ACATCTATAAACACACCACTCTTATCCATCACTCGTCCATCTCGACGCGCACAAAAGCCAAATGGCGGAACAATCGCTCGAGCGACTGGACCAGGAAATTACGCTCCATTTGCAACAGATAGATTCCAACCTCAGCTACTGTTTCAACACAATTACCCAAGATATCATCCCTCATGTCTCCCAGTATGGCAGCGTGTGCGATCAGGTCATGGACAGCTGCAACTGGCTGAAAACTATGTTCCAGGAGGCCGGAAACCTGCAGATAGAGGCTGTGGGAGGCCCCAACCCGCACAACATGGACGATACCAGCGGCCACAGCTCTCTCCAGACGCTTTTCCCCAGCAGGCCGCGTCTGGGCCCCGACTCCTCCAGCATCGTAGCCCCTCCCGCTCCAATTTTGGCCCCACACATGCGTAACGCTCCCGATTCTCCCGCCACGATCACAACCACGGGGAAACTGCTGCAATTGCCGGATTCCAGCGACGACGACACTGCACGAAAGAGTGTCCTCAACAAAAAACGCGAGTCTGGCGATCTCGAATACGACGCAGACCACGCCACACACACACTGACGGCTCCAGACCCGGACGGTAGTACCATGCAGCGACAACGACGGAAACGCAAGCTGTCGCTGCTCCTGCAGCAGCAGTACGGCTCCAGTTCCAGCAGCGTCGCGCCTTCGCCCGCCCAATTGAAGCGTCCCATCTCATCCAGCATCGACAGCTCGCCCATCCGTAAGGACTCGTCCCAGCAGGTCGAAAGCACCAAGCAGAACCCGGTCGAGCCTGGCACCGTGATCCACTTCCCGACCCGAGACGACACGTGATTCAAAAGTCTCATTCGCTCGCCATAATTTGAATAATTCATCAACCAGTGGTGTGTTTAACCACTCACTCCCAAGAGTTTGGAAGAAAGACCGGTCCGCCAACTGAACTCTAGCAGTTGCACCTATACTTCCCAAGTAGCTGATGGGCAACGTGATGTCTGCGAGCTTCGCACCCGAATGCACGGAATTGAAGCATGAGTACGACAACTGCTTCAACCAGTGGTACAGTGAAAAATTCCTGAAAGGGCTGTCGATGGAAAACGAATGCAGCAAACAGTGGTATGCTTACACCACCTGTGTGGAGGCTGCGTTGGTGAAACAGGGCATCAAACCTGCGCTCGACGAGGCCCGCAAGGAGGCGCCTTTCGAAAGCGGCGGTGAGCCCAGTGACAGCAAGTAGAATAAGGAAAGGTCTGGTTGAGCAGTGCTTGGCCACGAGAAATAGGGAAACAACTATTGCCCTGGGCCAATCACAGCCAGGGAAACGTGGAATCCGTGTCAAGCGTGCTGAGCGCTACGTCCTGGGCTTGGCTAATATTTGAGATCAGCTCCCCGCTTCGTGACAACGTAATTTTTTTGGAAAGCTTGTATATATCTTTTAAAGCTTTAGACTAGCCTATAAAGTGTAGGTGTAAGTGACACACTTACCAAGAACGTAGACCCCGTTCTCCGTTGATGTATAAGAATCCCAACAACATCACAGCCTGTGACGCATTCAATTTTCTGATTTTTTCTAACTTGTCCATTGACTCTAAAATATAAACTAAACTGCGGTCTACCCATGCGACATCCTCCACAGCTCTTGCTCGCATTACATCCGTGAAATAACCACCATCTAGTTGTCGTGCCCGGATAGACCATACTTACTGTCGTTAAGAGACCTAAAACGCTGATACTTTGGGTCATGTTGTACGAAACGACATGTAATACACACCAGTCGTAATTAAAACGCTACCAAATCTCCCACCACCGAAACAGCAGATTTCAAACAACTATTCAGCACATTTAAACACCCACATTCACGCCTTAAAAGCTGTACTATCTCACCTTTTTCGTATCTCATCACTCTCCACGAAATGGCCTGAAAATCTTAACCAGAAATTCGCTCTAGCTTTAGCTCCGCCCAAATTTCAAAAAATTTTGCCACCGATTTAACTTAACTTAACTCTATCTCAGGTAACATTTACCCAATCCTCAGAAACCTTTCTTCAAAATCAAAGACGGTCAATTCAGAAAACCTATTCGAGAACAAACTTTCAGGACTTTTCGAAAGCCATCACAGACAATATTTTGTAATTTTTCTCAGCTTTTTTCTCCCGGTTTTGACAATTATTGAGCGTCTTTCTTCTCCTTTCAGGTTTCCCAAAACACACATTTTTTAAGAACTTCATCCACGAGCCAGACTGGCAAAGTTCATTCAAACTGTCACATCAAACCAATTTACACAATGTCCACACAATTCAGAAAGTCTAATCACAACAAGCAACCGCACAGCACAGCCAAAAAGCTGGATCCCGAGCTCAAGTTCAAGTTGGAAACGCTCACGGAGCTTTTTCCAGATTGGACAAACGACGACCTGATTGATTTGGTCCAGGAGTATGACGATCTAGAGACCATTATCGACAAGATCACATCGGGTGCGGCCACTAAATGGGATGAGGTCAAAAAACCATCCAAGAAGGAAAGACAACAGCAGCAACAACAACTACAGCAACAGCAACAGCAACAGCTACATGTACAACAACAACAACAACAGCATACAAACGCGGTCTCCGCCTCAGACGGCAGTGGTAGCACCTCGCATAATTCGCATAACAACAACAACAGCAACAGCAGCAATAACAATAGCAGCAGCACTCACAGTCACAGTCACAGTCACACTAATAACAGCCAGCACGCAGGAACCTCGGGCGACGCTGATCACTCGCATCCCAAATACTCGAAACACAACAGAGACGGTGGCTCCAGACCCCACAAGAAGTCCGCAGGCAGAGAACGCAATGAGCGCGCTGGCTCTGCAAAGGCCGTCACCGCTAGCTCGGCCTCGTCAATCACTGCCTCTGCCGTCCAGGCTGAAAACTTGAAGCCCGCTGTATCTGCTGCCAAGGCCGCATCCTCGACTTCCTGGGCCGCCATGGCTGCCGACAAGAAAGCTGCGAAACAAAAGGCCAACGTAGCCCATTCTGCATCCAATAAAACCCAAAAGGAACAGTCAGAAGTTTCGGAATCTGCTCCACAGCCAGAAGAATCTGCTCAAGAGCCATCACAACAACAACAGCAGCAGCAGCAGCAGCAATCTAATGACCAAACTACTCTCGACGATGCCACAACCGCCGCCGTTGCTGCCAGCAATGTGCCAGTAGAGGACCTTGAAAAGCCAAAGAGAATGACATGGGCTGCCATAGCCACTCCTAAACCTAAACCAGGTGCTTTGAAGAAACGCGAGCCATTGGAGGAACTCGAACATTTGAAGAACGAAGCCGCTCAAATTTCTCCAGAGGCTGCCAACACTACCACCGTGGAGTCACAAGCGGATGTACCAACTACTGAAGTAGCTGTTGAAGAAACTTTCCCAGAAGCTTCTGAACAGCCAGAAGTGGCTGCTCCAGCTGTGGAACCATTCCAGCCAGCTCAACAAGAATCATTGCCAAAAGAAGAGGTGCCTGAAACTGTTGAAACCGAGCAGGTCCCAGAAATTCAGTCTTTGGCTGAGGAAGCACCAGCAGCCGCTGAGCCAGAGACTGCCGAGTTCCGTCCACAAGAACAGCAACAGCAAGAACCACAAAGTTCTTACGCTGATGAAAGCTCAGTCCCAGCTCCACCTGCTTCCGAACAGTCCCAATCTTTCTACCAATCTCAACCACAACAGCAATTCTCATCTCAAACCCCACAACAAACTCCTCAACCGCTACAGCAACAAAACGCAGCTGCTGCCGCTGCTGCTGCCCAGCAGCAGTACTATATGTACCAGAATCAATTTCCAGGCTACTCGTACCCAGGTATGTTCGACAACCAGAGCTATCCTGCTGGCTACGGTCAACAGTACATGCCACAGAGCCAAGGTGGATCTCAGTCTCAGCCATCGTCTGCTCAGCAAACACAGGCCCAATCTCAGGCCGGACAATACGGAATTCCTCCTACTTACAGTGGCGCTGGCAGAGACTTGGCCGCTGCTTCTCCAATGGCTGCTCAGGTTCAATTGCAGCAGCAACAACAGCAGCAACAGCAACAACAACAGCAGCAACCATACGGTGGATCCTTCATGCCTTACTACCACTTTTACCAACAATCTTTCCCATATGGCCAACCACAATACGGCATGGCAGGACAATATCCTTACCAGGTTCCAAAGGCCTACGGCAATTACATGAGTCAATACCAGCCTCAGCAGCCAGGCCAGGCTTCTTCTTCTCAATCGCAACAGGGTGAAGAGCCTCAACAGAGTGCTCAACCTGGACAAGCAGGTGCCTCTCAAGGTCAAGCCCAAAGTTCCGGAAGCCAGGGTCAAGCTCAGGTCAGTGCTCAGCAACAAGCCCAACTACAACAATACTATCAGTTCCAGCAGCAACAACAGCAACAGCAAGCTGCTGCCGCCGCAGCCGCTGCGCAGCAAGGCGTTCCATATGGCTACTCCGGCTACGATTTCTCATCGCAAGGAACCAGAGGCTTTTACTGAACAATTGAAGCATCAATAGCGTGACTGGACGAGCAGAAATATCATGTGTAAATAAAAGTAAACTAATAAGAACTCCATCGCTACGGGAAGAATGGTATGGGCTGCACATTGAGTGATAGAGCTAGCCTCGCTTCAACAATTTGGACTTTTCTCTTTAAGATGGTTGATCAGAATCGTAGAAAATATAAATGAAATTACAATTGTATTCTTAGCAGAGCTTCTGTTCTAGGTCGCATTTAGGACGTATATGCTAAGTGTATCTCAGTAAAGTTTCTGCTTGTCGTTAGAGTAAGACACAGCAGTCTGTATTGGCAGGACCAGTTTTCACTGCAAGCGAAAGAATTGCCAGTGGGTAAGAATTTCATGATTATAGAGGCACCTGGTCCTCAAGCTTACAAGTATGACAACTAAAAGAGTAGCTCTCGTTACAGGTGCTACTCGCGGGATCGGACGTGCAATCGTGGATCGTTTATCGAGCTCGGGGATATCTTGCATCATGGTGGGTTCTAAGATGGAGAGTTTTAAACAAATGAATGAAAGTCCGCCAATGCTTCCAAATAATGAGCAGTGGCATCGCGGGCTGGCCATTGATCTAGGACAGTGGCCCAAATGGACCGTTGAAGAAAAGTACAGCGGTTTCCAATATTCTAGAGGGCGTCATTCCGGTGAGCACGAGACGCACGCGGGGAATTGGCCCCTGCTGGCACTAGAGGATGGATACGAGCTGGCCATGCTGGTGAACTGTGCAGGAGTCACACAAGCGTCCCCATCGGCACTGTGCAGACCTTTAGAAATGCAGAGAATAACTAACGTAAATTTTTTGAGCGCAGTCAGTATGTGCAACGCAGCTTCCAAAAAGATGATGCGATCGCGGAAACGGCAGGACCGCGCTCCGTGCATTATAAACATCTCCTCGGTGCTGGGAGGGGACCCCAACGTCGAGCCCTTGCCGGGCACCTCGATCTACAGCTCTACGAAGGCCGCTCTGGCGCAGTACTCGCGTGTTCTGTCAGCGGAGCTGGCAGGCGCTGGGATCGCCGTTCACTGTCTCTCGCCTTCTCTTGTGGCGGACACAGATATGATCCAGAATTTGAACACCCAAGCACAAGCACGATTGCATGCCCGATTTGGGGATGGAAATTCTACTGGCATTCAAACAAAATATGACATTGCTGCAGAAGTATGGGAACTTTATGAGCAATCCAAGAAATAGCGAAAAACAACGACAATATTTCACGACAATTGCAAGAGCTCATATTCAGTAATGACACACATTTTGACGAACATCGACACTTGATCGCACACGAAGAATCATCGAGTGTCCACCACAACAAATTTCAAGAAATTATACCATGCTTGTTACATCAAGCCAAAACCCCACAATCATTTTTTTACAAACGGTTTAACACACTCATCGTGCCCAATTCTCACCGATACTTATACCTTCCTTCGCTGATCCATTAAAACACGCGCCAGCTCATCGCCAATAATCCTTAATTGAAGCGTGTGTGGAAATTTTCTTTTTGGATGGACGAATATCGTCAAAGTTGTCCTTCAAAAAAATTTTCAGAGTATAAAAGGCAGAGAGATGAGCCATCGATGCTGGTTCGCCAGTGGCATCTGTTTTTTGGGTTCCTGAGTTGTTGGTAAACTTGGAAGACTAGTGCTACAATGCTTATTTACAAGGACATTATCTCTGGTGACGAACTGTTGTCTGATGCTTACGACCTGAAGTTGGTCGATGGTGTCATCTACGAAGCCAACTGTGACATGGTCAAGGTTGGTGGTGACAACGTGGACATCGGTGCCAACCCATCTGCCGAGGGTGGCGATGACGACGTCGAGGACGGTTCCGAAATGGTCAATAACGTTGTGCACTCTTTCCGTCTGCAACAGACTGCTTTTGACAAGAAGTCTTTCTTGACCTACATCAAGGGCTACATGAAGGAGATCAAGGGCAAGTTGCAAGAGACCAACCCAGACGAGGTGGCCACTTTCGAAAAGGGTGCCCAGGCCTACGTCAAGAAGGTCATTGGCTCGTTCAAGGACTGGGAGTTCTTCACTGGTGAGTCCATGAACCCAGACGGTATGTTGGTGCTGCTAAACTACCGTGAGGACGGTACCACTCCTTTCGTGGCCATCTGGAAGCACGGTTCCGAGGAGGAGAAGATCTAAGGACCCGCAAACCTACGGTCTGTGTGTGCGTGTTTTTCCATTCCTTATTCTTTAATTCTGCTGCAGAGGGCGGAGCCCCGGGACGATGGCCTTTCGCAGGCTTTATAGCTAGTCGCATGAACTGCGAGGTGTATCAGAATGTAGAAGCCTAATAATATTACTGCTTTTAAGATCGCACGGCGATGCAACTCTCAGTGAGAAATACTCTACTGGATTTAGTTTCCGCAACTTACGCCTTCCCTAATAATATTCCAACTCACATCTAAGCAGAACTAATCACCTAACATTCATGGTCATAGCGTCTTTCTGGTTAGCCTTTCAACTCTTGTTGGTAGAACCACTACTTCGTAAATAGTGTTCCAAGTATCTAATACCTTCACCCATTGTCACACTAACAGAAACATAACACTGTTGAAGCTCTTTAAACACAGAATCTCGTCTGTACAACAATTGCCAGCGATCAACAGTCATGAGTTGTCCGCCAGCGTCCGTCACTTACACTCTACCGGGAGTAATGCACTATTTGCAAGCGGAATTCACCAGAAATGAACGGGATCGCTTGGGCTGGGAACTGGAAAGAAGTGAAATGAAAACCCGCATTGCACAGCTAGAAGGCGAGAACAGAACTCTGCGGTATGAATTGGCCAAAACGAAAGACGCAGAAAGCTCGAGCGGCGCGAAAACGATCGATTCGTCTATCCAGGAACCGCTCCTGCTCAAATCGAAACTTGCAGTCCAGGAAAATGTTAAGGAGATTGTCTATCTTCTACGGAGTCCTAACATCACAGAGCAGCTACACGGGCTACGGGATACTAGAGACACGGTGCATAGTCTCGAGAGTTTGAATTTGAACTCCAAGAATTCACCAATACCCTTACAGGTGTCACAACAGGAACCCTTGCAACAACATACGGACGGCCAAGACCAGCAGGGCCAAGGATCAAATAAGCTGCGTCAAGCACCAGTTGGCTCTTTTTCGCAAGACGCATCTGCGCAGGCCAGACACGTGGAAAAGCCTGTAGATGCTGCAAGGGATGCGTCCTCCGAGCATGGCTCAGATGCGGGCACCATCGTCCCAGAAAAATCATCGGTTGGCAGACCGAGAGCATCTTCACTTTTCTCTTCAAGTCCAGGCAGCCCCGTTGTCAACACGGTTCTGCGTTGCAAACGTCTAAGGTATCATTTGGCGGGGATCGAGAAACTCGCAATTTCCCAGTACAACATGCTTTCGTATGCGAGAGACGGTCTTTTAAAGCATTGGATGATTGAACCGAATCTGAACTGTAATGAAAAACTGACAAAAAGTTTCCATGGTCTTGGGCCTATGGTATTGAACATATTCTGGCTGGATAATCAGAGCTTTCTAACCGTCGACAACTTTGGGTTAAAAGTGTGGCAGATCGCGGAAAGTGCGCCGCTCACCACAATGGATGTATTCACTGACGAAGCTAAGGTGATCTTTGCAGACATACGAAGTGTGGACTTCAAAAACAAATGGTTGGTGCTCACGACCAGCGACGCGGTTCACATATGGGAACTTTCGATAACCGCGGATTCTATTAAGATTGTCAACACCAACAGGCTTGAAAACTTGGGACCTTTACTCGACTCTATTTTAGGAATGACGGAGAAATCATTGATCATATTTAAACAAGAGCCTTTTGAGTTGGTGATCTATACCTTTCAAGGTGAAAGTCTACAAAAAATCAGTTTACAAGAGGAAATATCTGCGGCCTTCAAAGATTCTGGTGTAACGGATGATTTCTGTCGTCGATTGCTACTGAACAAACAAAGCTCTAAACTTCTGATCCAATTGGGAGAAACCATTGCGGTGTACTCGTTTGATCGCAGAAAGATTATTTTCGCTACCCGATTAGAAACGGCTCCTACAAGCATTTTGTTCCGCTCTGCCAAAGATGACTTGATCATTGCTTTCGATGATGGCACCATAGAGATCAGAAATATAGCCAATTTTTCAACTGTGCTGAAGTCCTATAACCATTACGACGACGAAACCGAGTATGAGGAGGAGAGTCTCAAGTTCAATGCACCAGAAAAGAAGGGTGGCGATGAGACGCTTGCACAACTGCGGCAGATTGGGCACAAAGGTTTGATAATTGACACAGCAGACATAGATTCCACAACACTTATTATTTCGGGAGGGGACGATGGTATGATCAGACTCGAGAGAGTTATAGATTGTAGCTAAGCTTGTTACAGGTCACCGAACCATCAATAAAGGGAGCAGCTCAAATTGATCTTTACCTTACTTGATCGACGGTGAGTAACTATCAAGTCGCATACCCAAAGCCTGGCTATCTTCATGTTGGACGCGGAGGTGTCCTCAAACGTTCTCAATTGCTGGGGATTCAGTCTTTTTAAATCGCCAGGGAATCTCTAATGTGAGAATCTGGGATTACGACTCGACAAAATTAGATCGCTTTAAGTTACAAATGTCATGGCCAATCTTATCGAGTAAAGCTGGTTTCAATTGTCATCAAGAAGCAATTTTACTGCTCGAGCACCCAAACACAGCTAAATGCGTTCCACCTGGCGTTAGCAAAATATTATGATCAGAAGATCTTGTTTTCCTCAGCAAGGGTAAATTGAGGAAGCGGTTTAAAAAGCCCGAGAATCTACTACAAGTCAATTCCCTTCAATGACGAACTTGGGTAGAATTTATGACCCAGCAAATGACAGTCACTGAAGCCTCAATCATTATTTTCGCAGTGCAAGCAAAAAATCACTACTTGAAGAGATCAGACAACGTAATTGAGAGCCATCCATCTCCTTGCTGATACCCAGTTGCCCTCCGGAAAGGAGCATGCGAGATTCTGAATATTGGAAGCGCTATATAGCCTTCTGTCATCGCTCTACGTAAAAAGTGCCTTGGTCAATAATTTGACCAAAAGTTGAATAAATGCTCAATTCTCATACAGGATCAGAGATGGATCTTGACAAAGCTAGAAAGAGCGTTGGGTTAAGTACAACTGCTGATGATGGGTTCTTGCACTCCATCTATTTGTAAAGTTGATGCCAACTTGCAGGATTTCAAATCCTTGGCTAAGCCTAGCAATTGGGTTGATCTCTATCTGAATGAAAGTGAAAAATCGAAACCTGCAAACGTGGGAAGCACATTGAGCAACTACTCCAACACCATCCAACTCACTAACGAAGAGTACATATGCTACCAATTTTCACACGAGTACTCGGTATTGTCGCTATACCCCTTAGGTGATACTTTTGCCGGCAGAACACTGAAAGTGCACCTTCCTGAGCGCCTATTCAATATGCACCATACTTTCACTATCAGAGAAGTGGGGGCTCAATTGCTCATGGAAATGATTTTGGGCGACGGCTTGTATATGATGGTTAGTTTTCCTGTGAATTGCATTTTAGATAAAGTTACTGAGATTCCTGGAAACTGGTTTGTGGTAATGAACCCGTATGATTTTTCAATTAGACGTCCCCAGTACATGCAATCGGTTGCTCAAGACTACACAATTGTTTTCCTCGAAGATGGGGGACTTCTGGGCTTGAAAAGAAGTGCGAATGAGCGTGGTGAAATTGACGTGGCACCAATATTATTCAATGACAATAGTTATCTACAGGGCTTGAGCAAATTCTTCTTCTCTAAGCAAAACGCTTCACAGGACAGCAATGTCGTAAGCTGTACACTGTATCGAGAGCGCTACTTGATAACCCTGACTCAAAGTTGTAGAATGAAGGTGTGGGATCTCGAGAAACAAGCTGTGACGTTTGAGAGACAATTAGCCTCTGATCACAAGCATATCAACAGAATGTACGAAACATTAGGCCAGTTTTTGTCCCTCTTCGAAGACAAACTTGCCGTATTTTTGCCCTTCGAAAATGGACTTTTTCAAGTGTGGGACTTACGACTAGACAGCAACGGTGGTCTGCTGCTGAAGCCCGGCTGCATCTATCCTTGTAACCTCTCTTCATCCTCCATTTGGTCGCTAGTGGATATGAAACTTACGAGACCTCTCGAGGCACTTGAGCAAATGAACTATATGAGCATCGTCGTCCTGTGGAAAAGTAACTGTGCTATGAAACTTCAGATACTAACATTTCTTCAAGACAGTGGGGATGATTACCAATGGGTAGAGGCTACAAATCAGTTGCACATGGATTTGCGTGGAGAGTTAAACTTCGTAAGGGAAGGTGATACGAGCCGGGCATTGATGAATCTCAAGTCGGCATATGACTCCGAGCTTTTCAAGCAAGCTGAGAACATACTGAGCGAAAATCAGGTGCTCGTGTCTCCAGAGTCTCCACATAATAACGAGTATTTGCTAAACTTGGAGTCTGTTCTGAAGGATCTTAAAAAACAAAACGACGAGCCATCGTCACTCACGCTATATCAAAATGACCTTTTGTTGGTTAACTCCTTGTCACTGTACTCTCATTCGCTCTACAAAGTCGGCACATCTTTAGAATGCACCTTCCACAGCCTCAATCAGGAAGCCAATCCTACGGATACGCTAACGAGCTTTATGCAGATCATTGATGGGTTTGCTGCCACGATACCGTCGCAAGTCCTCGTGGATGTTTCGCACTGTCTAATTGAAGCTGTGACAACTAGTTTCCCTACGCAAATTCCGATGAAGAACATGTTTTCGAAACTGTTCTCCCGGCACTTGGATGGGCAGTTTCAAATGAGTAATCTCAAAAAGTTGCTAGAGGACCTCAATCACATCGACGTTGTTACCGTCTTAGGGAGCTTCATCGAGAAAACGCTACAAAAACAGGAACTGAACCATTTGCTCGTCGATTCCCTTTATCCCAATGCTCTTATGAACGTAGCCGTTCTAGAAAGCACGCATCAGGTTATTTTGATTCAGAATTCCTTTATCTGCAAGATTTTGCTGATATTCGCCTTCCTGGAGTTTGATTACACAACATTTTACTCACAATTGGAGACACTGCTCGGGCTGCATTACAAGCAACAGCTGTGGATTCACCTATACCAGCTCGACAAAAATACGCTAGCGTCCGAAATGTTCACCAGAACCAGCAAATTCGGTAATGGCCACAAAATAACATCATACGCCGATTGGTCTTCGGCTCAAACAGTTATACTTAAAGAGCTCTACGACATGGCCATCTCCCCGAACCCGCTTTTTATTGAGAGCTTTGACGCTTTCGTCATTTCTGGGACCCGAAGCCTGAAAAAGAGCGAACTGTATCTGACAACAATTCAGAGTAAGTTCTATATTCATTCAAATGTTGCACACGAGTTTATGCTTGGACTGGCATTTTTTGTGTGCGGGATGTATGAGCGCGCCTTTGACTTTCTTCAGAAACACCCTTACCCAGATACACTGCTCAAGGAACTTCCCGATAATCTTTACATTCCTCTTCAGAAAGATGGGCATATGTGGCGCGACGTTATTGGTTCTTTCAAATTACCAAATAAACACGCAGCATATTATTTCAATCTCTCAAGGCTATTCTCAGTTGCAAACAGTTATGAGTATGCTCTTAGATGTGCTAAAAGGTCTATTAAGTTTTCTGCCGAGCTTGAGAACAACGAAGAAACGCAGGACTTCAAAAGCGCTCAGCTGCTTCAGTATCTGAACATTCTAATTGTGTTTTCCAATTTTGAAGAGATCATGGATGTTCTTCGCTGTAGCCCTGAAATTATCTCTGAAACTGTCAAAACCTCTTACTACAGCAAAATGCAGAAAAATGTTTTGCACAAGGATGCATTTTTCTCTACTCTTCTGAAGCTATGTGAAAAGTCTGAGGGCTTATACCTGCCTACCCAGGATTATAATCTGATAGACAAAATATTATGTGAGGAACTTTCAGTCGAAAACTGGATCACATTCAAAAAGGCATACGCCTTCAGATTGATGAACGGACAGGATCGGTCTGCTGCAGAAGTGCTATATGGCTATATTACAAGTGGAAAAGATGTTGACATCAAGAGGAAATGTTTCCTTCTGATCATAAACATTATGAGCGGATTTACAGAAGAAAAAGACCGCTGGTTTCTTGCAGACAGCCATTTAGTGAAGCTTGATGATTTGAAATCAGGACTCGATAGACTAGAAGGCAATTAATATGCCTAGGACTTTACCGCGTCTACGTTATATATATATATATATATATGTATATGTATACCGAAGTAGGTTAATGTAGATGACAGGACTGACTTTTTGGACTAGCCACGATTCATAGTGTTGCCGCTTCCCTTGGCGTGTGTTTCTTTGAACTCGTCCCATCCCCGAGCTTTATAAGTCTGTTCGTCTTGCCATTCTTGGTTATCTTCATCAGGTTCGGATACTGGCTCTTCCCCACCTTGAAGAACGCGCCCACTCTCGAATTCTTGCTCAAGGAATTCCTCAACCGACATTGTGGGTCCATATTGACCGAAACCAAAAACTTTGTTCTTCAGTTGGGTTTTTTGGTCTACGAGTGTGAAATTACGAAGAACTTTGCCGGTCTTTGATATCAATGGAGTGTTCAAAGTCTCGAGTTTCTCGGTATATTGCAATGGATCCTTTTTCTCGCTATCACTGTCGGTGGAAGGCAACTCTGGTATTTTCACAAAATTGGACAGTAGTTCAATCTCATAAAGCAGTTGTTCTATTTCGTGGACAGCCTTGTAAGCTGTCTGTTCTAGCTGAGTTTTTTGCAATTCCCGGACCAGTTCATCATCGTTTGCAGAAAGTTCAGCACTGTTTCTGAATTCCAAGGCTTTGATTTGAGCCTCTAGTCTCTTGTCGTGCTGGTAAGCCTCAATTTTTTGCTGTCTTTTCAAATGTGCAGACGACAGGTCTTCAGCATTGGTAGGCTGGGGATATAGGTCCTCCAGTTTCGGGTCGTACACATTTTCCATGCTGTCCAGTTTCTTGGAAAATTCCTTGTTGAGAATCTTGTAGCCTTGAAGCGAGACCAGGAACTGCATGTATAACTGCACTGCTTTGCGCAGAAACTTAAGCCGTACCACATTTTTATCTCTGGCGTCTTGAAGCTGGAAAGCCTGTTTCTTTGAAATGAGCCAGGCAAGATGAAAGTCGATAGCCAGGAGCGGCATGGACGATGTGCTGAGGTCTTCTAGCCCTTCATTATCGCTAAAAAGTGCCAATTTGGAGTGCACCACCGTTTTAAGTTCCAGCAGTTGCCCGATATTTTTTGTCAAAAGCTCTTGGAATTCTTGGGAGTCTTGTCTGAGACCGCTAGAAGCGATTTGAGATTCGAAGTTGCTCACCAGCTGGCTAAACTGAGTTTTAACGGATGGCATTTGAGACTTGGACTGCCAGATATCCGGATATCACAGCATTGCAAAAAGTAGAAGAGCATGTTCATCAAGTAACCACTTTCATTAATTTTCCAGAATACAAACATATACAAGTTAAAAAACGTCCTTACTGCTCGCCCGTTTTCTTTGAGTTGCAGGCTACGATCCGAACTTTGTCGACTACAACGGTATTGCCTTGTGCGTCCTCGGTCTGCTCGAGTTTCACGCTGCAATTCTTGATGATAAATGTCCATACATCATCGCAGAAACGGTATGTATCGAGATGTCCCTTGAACGTAAGCTTGCTCTGTGTCTTGTCCTTCAAGGTTTCCGCCACGACTCTATCGAATGTACCTAAAACCTTCATTGCGAGCGACGCTTCGATCCGTCCATCACTTATCAGGGTATCCAGTGCGTCTACCAGCGTAGCTCCTACTGTGCTTCGACGGTACAGCTCGTAGTAACCGGAAGTACTCATGACAGGCCAATAATAGTGAGCAATATATGTACAGCGATTATATGAATGAAGGTATTTACCAGGAGCTTAGGCGCTGGTAGAAAGCGCTAGTGTGTGTCAGTAGCGTCCTGTTCGTTCTGACGCTAGTAGAGAGATGTTAAGTTATATGAAAGCAAGTAAAGTGTACGTGTAGAGTGATTTTGGTAGAAGTTATAGGTTTGAGATACTGAGTTGGTTTTTTGAGAGAGGGTTTTGATCGACGATCGGGTAGCTTTCCGGACAGTAGTTGCTGGTGCAAGATTGTTATTTGTTATTGTTAACTGGACGCTTTTTTTTGCAAAGAGTTTTTGTAATTTGCGGTAGCGGTGACTAGTCGCTTAAACAGTTATGTCGTCCCGTCACACTTTCACATCACAACGCTCATTGCAACCATAGCACTGCAGTACAGGTCGTCGTCATAATGCAGGCCCCTAATGTGAATCCTAGATTTGAGTTGTCTCATATCACTTTGTACTAATGTGGCACCTGATCATGTGATCAGATGCCGTATTTTCAAATTCAAAAGAATGTAGAGTTGGAATCTCGACACCATACGTTCTCCCTTATCCTCACGAAATTCACCATACTGTAACAGTGCAGAATTCACCGAGGCTTGTAGGTCCCAGTTTCGTGAGGATACCCGTCAATCACGTATATGACGATAAAATATAAATTATTACACTCTAAGCATATAGTACGAACAGGACCAACAAGTTAAAGAAGTGACTACCAAGTGCATCTGTTCGATGAGGTCTGCAAGAGAGCCAAACAGACACAGTTAGTGGGTTTAATTTGGATCCGATTGTCTCATTGCATTCTCCATGTCAAGCACTATTTTTTACAAATTTCGGTCACAAAATACAACGTCCCGAATCCTATTTGACGGGACTGGTATAACGGTATTCGATCTGAAGCGAGAAATCATCCAGGAAAACCGGTTGGGTGACGGTACGGACTTTCAACTCCGTCTGTACAATCCAGACGGTGGGGAGGAGTTTGAGGATGATGCGCAGGTGATTTCCCGGTCCTCGAATATTGAAGCCAGGCGGTCTCCAGCCATAAAAGTAAACGGCCTTAATGGGCGCGTTTCTCTCGGAAATGCAGTTAGATACGTAACAGGGAAACCGAGAGTCACCAAGACTAGCAGTAGTATGCCTGCAGTCAACACTCAAGTCACAAACACTAAGGGTATGAACGAAGAAGATGCGATTGCCAGCATGTTCGCAAATCAAGAAAGCCAGTGGCAGCAGACCCAGCAGGATATGGCTGGCGCGACACCCGTTTTCCACAAAACTGGGAACGTGGCAGGCCAAGATGAAGGACCTCCACCTCCAGGATATATGTGCTACCGGTGTGGTGGCAAAGACCATTGGATTAAAAACTGTCCCACAAACTCAGACCCTAATTTCGAGGGCAAGCGCATTAGACGGACTACAGGTATTCCCAAAAAATTCCTGAAGAGTGTCGACGTGGACCCTTCTACTATGACCCCTGAAGAAATGGCCCAGCGGCGTATTATGGTCACAGACGATGGTAGTTTTGTCGTGCAAGTTGCAGACCAACATTCGTGGGAAGATTATCAGAGGAAACAACAATCACGCGCTATGAATCAAAACGATATGAATTGGGCGAAGAGTCATTTTCCAGACCTACCGGAAGATCTAAAATGTCCCATAACCGGCGGGCTGTTAAAAAGTCCAGTGAAAACCAGTAAATGCTGCGGGAAGCATTTCTCGCGACAGGCTCTGGAAGATATGCTTGTTGAAAATGATTTCACTTGCCCCGCTTGTGGAAAGGAAGAGATCTTGCTAGACTCGCTTGTGCCGGACGAAGACAAGGAGAAACAAGTGGAGAAATTTTTGGACGAGCATAGTGTAAAGCGTAAGGAGAACGGCGAAGATGGTGGAATTTTGAAGAAACCCAAAATGGCCATGCCCGTACCACCTTTTGGTATGCCCTTCCCCATGTTTCCCATGCCTTTTATGCCGAACATAAATCCTGCGAAGCAGTAGCTAATTTTGGGTCATATTTAATGTGCATAGGGTTCGTATATATCTGATGTTTTAACTAGTACTGATGGCCATCGCAGTAACAAATAACGGCGTATTTACCGCTTGACGACCACCAGGATCCAGGCTCAGTCTTTTTCTCTGACTCCCAAACGGAGCATAGCTTTTCGTCAACGCCTGGGGCAAGTCCAACAATGACGTCGGCCTTACATGTCCTCAAACTCAAAGTCTTGAGACCAGTAGATGCCAATGAGCCAATGGCAGTCTCCCACTTTGTAGTACGAGGCCATTTTCTGTCACCAGTCAGTTTACGGTAGTTCAAATCGCCTTTAAAAATCACCAAATCGCTTTGTAAAAGGTCTTTGTGGACTTGGGCACCGCCATACTTGGTCTCGGATGGATCAATGTGAGTGTAGTCCAGATCTAGAGTCCAGAAGGGGGTTTCTGTGAACGTTAGCTGACCTGAAGCAACATGTTGTTTGAGTGTCCTTACGAGAAAATCGAGAGACTCGCGGCCGTTTTGAGCCTCGTCTTTCAATTGAGTCAAATCGAAGAAATCAGCAGAGTTCATGTCTTCCACTAATACTTCAAAGTCCTTGATCATACAATCGCTCACCATGTAGGGGATATCCTTAGCGTGAAACACACATTTGGTGGCGATACCGGTATCTAGGAGGAAAAGCGCCAACATCAAGTCTGCGTAGACCTCGAATCCAGAGTTGTCGAGAACAAAATCGACCTGCTTGCTCTTGGAAGACGTCAACTGGTCCCAAGCCTTTGAAGTGTCATTGATCAAGATTTTGGATTCAGAAGCCTTTCTGGCCTCTTCACCTTGCAGAGATTTGATATCCTCGAGAGTTGCGTTGGTCAAAAGGGACAAATCTGTGGCGTTACCCCACAGCGATATTTCAATGAATTCCTTGAACAAAATTTCGAGAGCCTGTGGGTTTGCATCCTGTAGCTGAGATTCTAGCTTACGATAGCGGGTAGCTAGCTCCACGACGCCGATCATAGAGTTCTGAAAAGTAGACTGTTTGAGGCGGTTGAAAATATCGAATTGAGCCCAAGAATTGCAATTACGGAATAGCACATTGATGCGGCGGTAAAGATACACTTCGCAGAACAACCAACCACCGGTTTGCCACGTTTGCGGGGTAGAAGTGATAACGTCATTGAAAGACCCTGGAACTTGCGCGACTTGGATTTCCTCTGCTGTAAAGGGTCTAATAGGCTTATCGGTTGCAATTTCTTGCTTCAACAGGCTCAATTGCGCTTGAATGTCTTTCCCGGCTTTGAAACGTTGAGAATCGGCTTCCAAAGTGCTTAATTCTGCTTCGAGATCGTCGATCGCGTTGGCTACGATCGTGGGCCATCTCGAACTGGCGGTGTACGCACCAAATGTATCTTTATCGTTGTTCTTGAAAGTCTCAGGTAGTCCCATGGTCTAGACGAGGGTTTGGAGTTGAGGTTTGTTGTCAGTGGGAAGGTGAGTTTGTAGGAGACTCGAGTGAATTTGAATATAAGAGGACGAAGCGCGCGAGTACGAGTACAAGGACGAGTACAATTGAACAATGGAGAGCGACAGCGATTAATTGTGAACACTTTAACTGGCTATAAGCACTGCTGAACAATCGAAAGCGACAGTGATCGATTGTGAATGATTATATTAACTTCGAGTGCAGTCCAGCAATTGGGAGGAGCGTTAGCGATTGAGAGCGCTGATTGTGAAGAAGTCGAGATTTCATAAAATTACTGAACAATTGGGAGCGTCAGCGACCAAGTGTGGGTAACTGGAGAAATCTTGGTGTCAGCGATCGTTTGTGAATAAGCAGAGAACTCTTAATTTCACTGACCGGTCAAGACCGCTGGCGTTCAATAATGAACAGTTAATGCCTTTTAATATCGATCTTAACATTCGAGCGTCGGCAATCAATTGTGGACAAGCAATGCACTTTTGATATAGTTGAACAATTGAGCGTCAGGTAACAATCGTGTTTAATTGGGGGACCTTTTGCTCTATAAACAATTGCTAGCGCTCTCAATAGTGAATAAAGAGAGAATTCGCATTATCATATTTGCGATCAATTGGGATCAATTCTAATGCCACGAAGCTCTCTTGAACAGTTGTATGTCAACGATCAAATGTCACTCGCCAACATTGTAATACCTGGCAAAGCAATCAGTCACCCAGCGGCCCAGATACTTTGTGCTGGAAGCCAACAACAATCAGGATTATACAAGTCCTGTACTTACTCCCGATTATCCACACACCACACTTGAATAATGAACATACATAGGCATATTAAACAACTTAGCGTGAGCCGCTTTGAATAAATAAGAGGAGAACTAGCGACACCGTTGAACAACAGATAACGCCTGACTTCAATTTCGAACAAGATTAACTGTCACAAGCGCCATTTAACAAGAGTTAGCGACCTGTTGTGTGGAACTCGTCGCGCAAACAACACCGCTCACTGCTAAGACTCTCGACTGTTGATAATTGCAACACCACTCACCAAAAACTCACAGCACATTTTTATCAGTGACGCTGTCATGACGTTTCAGACGCTGTAACAAATAGCGAATCCTCTTATTGGCATGAAACATACTTGAGACTCGAGTGCTCTTGCAAGTATATATTCAGTAAAGTATAGTCAAGTATATAATGCAGCTATTTTGCATTGAAAATCGCGGGATAGGCATGTTGAAGCTCCAGCCGTGAAATGATTGACACTACGCGTTTCTCCTGGGGTTTTAGCAAAGGAATTGGGCTAAAGTTATTTGGTGGTAAATTAGCTCCAGTAGAGGATCTTCGAATCGGTGATTGCTTGTTGGCAGCAAATGGCGAGCCTGTAGCCATAATCCATATCGCCATGGAGGAAATGGATATAATAGAGCTGGAGGTGTCAGAACCCATTGTTGAAGGATCTCGTCTTGTTAGAAAAAGTACTCGGTAAAAAATCAGTAGGAAAACAGGAAGCTTTTGTCATAATCTCTGCCAAGGAAGCAGTTTTGATCACCAACAAAGGTCTGTTGGTATTGGGTTCTGTGCATACTAAGGAGGAAAATTGTTATTCGTGCGGGACTCGAAGCTCGTCGGTATGGTTGTCTGTACCTTGGAATCGTCAACTCCCAGAAAAGTTGTGTCAGTCTTGCACACAGGCCTACAAACGCACCAAAACTAGATGCAGTAATGACAAGTGCAGTCTTGTTGTGACGCCAAGAGATATTGAATATATTTTAAAATGGCGCACGTCAAGACAGTGAGTGCTCGATTGAAGAGCGGCAAATATGTGGAAAGATATTTGTGTCGCAAGTGCAATTGTATTACCAAAAAGGCGTTAGGGTAAGCATGATGTTGGCAGCTTTGATTTATGAGAACGACAAGTTATAAGATGGTCTCGAGCGCGGATGGCCGAATAGTGGAGGATCATTTGTGAATGAAACCAGAAGGTTTTGACGGATAGTTATAGGTTTCAATTCTGGATGACTATCATGAGGTAAACGAGTTTCACAGCAAACCCAGATCGAATCATCAGTGTATCAATATTTCTCCTTTGATGTGATCGCCAAACCAGAGGTCGCTTAGTAGATCAGAAGAATGGTTAGAAGACAGAATAAAATTCCCGTAGTGTGAGTCGTTTTGTAAAAAGATAGACTCCCGGAGCGTATGAATCTTTATCAACATCTGAGCTTGCTGAAGGCGTAATTTGTTCGCTTTTCTCAACTGAATCTACTGGTAATCCTGAGTTTACATTCATCAATTGGTGATAATAAACTCTGGTTCTAATCTGTCATGCCTTTTATCGTATCGAGGTTCTCAATGACTAATCTTTGTTTCTCTCTGATGAAGTGACCTACTCTGAACTCACACTTTGCTAAGTGACAATGATTGGATGTTTCTTGCTTGTGTACTTGCCTTTGAAGATTATAAGCATTGTGTTGATTCATTTGACGCTAAATGAACTAGCAAAAAATCAGTATAGAGCTTAGAAGGTTGTCCAATCTGAAAAAGTGCAATTCTTTTAAGAAAAGCTCTTCTCGTTTTTTGAAGAGTTGCTCGTGAAGTTTGCGGCTACACGCCCGCTTCTCTCCCAGCAAAGCTCGAACACAATTTCTCAAAAGACATGTATAGCCAAGCACACCTAAGCTTAAAGAGCACTGACAATTTCAGACGTATACAGTAGTGGTGAAATTCAATATGCTAGATTATGCCTTCGAGAAGTTGATATATTCTTGTCAAGGGAGTCCGGCTATCAAGTGGTTTACTTTTGTTCCCACCGGGACCTTACTTTGTGCATTCTGGATGATCTTTTGTCAGGTTTGAACTGCTGTAGGCTCTCAACTTCCATTGTTGATGGGACTTTCCGTATGTCTTGCATCTTAAAATCAAAATCTTGGCTAATGTGCAGTTTACAAAACTCCGAAGCGACCGTATCGTTTGAGATCTTGCTATAGGTAAAAACTATGGTTACTTGTCCAGCTTACGCTTCCAAACGGTACAAGTAGTATTCGTAGTGATATTTGATGTGGATTCGCTAGTATTGTGAAGAATTAGGATGATCATGGATAGGAATGATTGTGATGGCTATAGACAGTATTTCGGCAAATCAATGAGGTTGCGAATGGCACTGGTCAACGATCAAATGCTATCGCTCTCGAGTTTGAAGCTCTATTCGTTTTACCAAAATAGACACACAATGGCATATTATGAGATGCAACTATTTTGACACATTTTCAAACAACCGATACAGACCGTCTTGAAACAACTTTTAGTGACGACCTGTGACAGAAGAATCATAATACTGAATCAGAATTGAAACACTCTAGGAACTCGATATTCATGTAAAAGACAACACTTGTAGGGCTCTTACCACACCATGATCCAGCTTCAAAGATCTAATCTGCGATGTCAGCTCAAAATTGCAAACCACCTGAACCGCCTCCGTTTCTTGGCGGTCTTGGAAGAGAGATATGTTTGTATCGCTATGACGGCAGCCTGTCATTGGTAAGAGATCTCAAAGCCGGTGAGACCCTGGTGGCAAAAGATGGCTCCCCTGTGGAAATCAAAGAGATCCTACTCAGTGAAGAAGATATTGTGAACATCATTCAGGTATCGAAACATTGGGCTCATAAGAAAGATCCAACTCGCTTGCCACCCTACAACTTGATGAACTTCTGCTGCGCAAAACGTCAATTGCTGTTTTTCTATACAAGCCAGCTGAAACGAAATGTTCACAGGCAGAAGACTCAAAGAGTCATTACGATCAATCAATTCTTGCAAAAAATCACCAGTGATGGCAGGAGAATCGACCTTGTCCAGGCCAAAGCTAAGCATTTTGATTTGTTTGGAAGCGAAGATGAAATTTATTAATATGTCACAGAGGCTACGAAACCGTATCCTGACTCCCTAATTGAATGGGAATGTGAAGCCAACGATGTGGCAAATTTAATACAGGAGGTCCGAAATGCAACGAGCCTAGCGCTTTCCCCATTGCTATTCCAGGTACCAATCCTCTTTCCATTTCTGAGAAAAGAATTTAATCGTGAGATTTCCCCTAAAGATTTGGAAGGCATGTCGTGGTTATTGGGATTATGGGTTTGGGATGGAAGTCGCAGAGGGCCGATCTTTGCACTTCATAGCGAAGATCATGATGTCAATGCTCGTTTAAAGAGAAATGCTAAGCTCTGGGATATGCATTTGCGGGCCCGGCATGGGGTTACAAAGCCAATGGCTATTTGCACTCTTACGACAATGGCACGCGCCATTTGTATCATAACAATCCGCTTTCACGCGTTCTGGCGGGTCTGAAATTCTGGAAGGATGGCAATAGAAATGCAGTTAAGGACGTCCCAACATGGTTGAATACAGAACAGATTATTGTGCGTCAAGGCTTTCTTGCCGGTTTGATCGATTCTGATGGATGTGCTCGAATTCAAGATAGTATTCCTAAGATCAAAATCGTAAATATTATCCCCGCAGTCCGTGATTCTGTTGTAGCAATTGGCAGGTCATTAAGATTGAATGTCACAGTTCATTTCCGCCATGAACGCATGAACGTTGCCGGATACCACGAGAGCGGTGCTTGGACTATGAACTTGTTCCCAGGTTCAAATCCTGAAATGCTAAGATCTCTACTTCAAAAATGTTCCTGCGATAGAAAGAGAAACCCACCAGTTCAGCGTTCCAAAAAAACGAAGAAGAGGACGATGAAGACATCGAGGACTGTGTGGACATTGAAGATGACAAGAACGATCTTCGTGATCAGATAACCGATGCTAGAAGGCGCTTCTTGGCAGAAACAGAAAATGCAATATTCTCGGGTGCCAATCTCGAAATTACAGAGGAAACGGATGATACCATCGAGATCACCGAGGATGTGGAGATTACTGCGTTTCATGACCGGTCAAATCCTTATTTCGACAACGATCAGGGCGTTGAACACGAGGAATTGAAATTAAAACACCCCAGGATGAGGTTCGAAGTGAAGGCAGCTGGCAAACAGGAAGTTTATGGCATCATTTGCTCTCGAGATGCACTGCTAGTCACGGATCAACACCTATTGGTTAAAAGCTCTCAATACATGACTCCTGCAACGACGTCCAACCCTAACTATGTAAGAGAATGTTTTTCTTGTGGTGCCCGGACCACGTCAGCTTGGCATCCCATACCCTGGGAATACCGACTACCTTACAAATTGTGTCAATCGTGCAAAAAGTCCTATACTCGTACAGGTACCAGGTGCACCAATGCCGATTGTAATTTGGTCGTCACGCCCAAAAACCTCTCGGATTGCAGAAGAAATCATCAACGCATGCTCAATGGTACATTGCCCGATAACACATATGTCCGTGGATACCCATGTCGCAAATGCAAAACAGTTACCGCCGGATTTGCAGAATCAAGGAGGTGTTAAGATGAATGGTATAGCTTAAATGTCGCTAATTATCACAATGATGAAATGTCACTTTTTACTAAATTAACATTTTTGATACCACTTTATGACTTCTCAAGCAACTACTGAACAATTCACTTCATCGCCAATGCCCCATCGAGCTACACACCTGCTTAGCTCCGCCGCTTCGCTTCTCTCTTCACACCTCGTCTCAACTCTCGACTAAAAATCGCTTAAACGTTTCGCATTAGACATATAAAATACTTAATTTGTCAATTGATCAAGTCTTGATCCACCAACTTACAATTGGTTGACAGTGTGGAAGATTTCCAAGCATTCAACAATTCTCTTGGACATGGTCTTCTCACCCTCTCTGACCCACACTCTTGGGTCGTACTTCTTCTTGTTAGGACCAGATGGGTCAGTTGGGTTACCAACTTGTGTCATTAGGTAGTCCTTGTTCTTCAACACGTAGTCTCTGATACCTTCCAAGTAGGCGAACTGACAGTCAGTGTCGACGTTGACCTTGACGGCACCGCTCTCAATGGCAGTGTTAAATTCTTGCTGAGAAGAACCGGAACCACCGTGGAAGACTAGGTACAATGGCTTGGAGCCAGCTGGAGCCTTCAATTGCTCGGCAGCGTACTTCTGGAAACCACCCAAAATCTCTGGTCTCAATTCAACGTTTCCTGCTTGATACACACCGTGGACATTGCCGAAGGCGGCGGCGATCGAGAAGTTAGGAGAGATAGGAGCTAGGGCCTCGTGAACGGCGAAAACGGTCTCTGGCTTGGTGTACAAGTCCTCACGGGAGACGTGTTCGTTGTTGACACCGTCTTCTTCACCACCGGTGATACCGATTTCCATTTCTAGCCATTGGTTCATCTTGGACATTCTGGTGAAATATTTGACACAGATCTCAAGGTTCTCGTTGTCTGGTTCCTCGGAAAGGTCAAGCATGTGGGAGGAGAATAGAGGTTCACCGTGTAGCTTGAAGTAGGCCTCATCGGCTTCAAGCATACCGTCGTACCAAGGTAGAAGCTTCTTGGCACAGTGGTCGGAGTGAAGAACAACTGGGATACCGTAAGATGGGGCAACGGCTCTGATGTAGTGAGCAGCGGCGACGGCACCTTCGATGGAAGCCTTTTGGCCCTCGTTGGAGACACCCTTACCGGCGAAGTAGGCGGCACCACCGTTGGAGGTTTGTAGGATGATTGGGGACTTGTTGTCTCTGGCGGCTTCTAGAGCGGCGATGACGGTGGAAGAGGTGGTGACGTTGATGGCTGGGATGGCGAACTTGTGTTCGGTAGCGTAGTCGAACAAAGCTTTGACATCTTCGCCGACGATGACACCGGACTTTCTCTTTAGAACTTCTAGAACACCCATTGTAGTTTGTATTGATTGATTTAGGATCGATGTAGATGGAAAAGAGTGAGAGGAAAAGAGTGAGAGAGTGATGTCGAATTGAAGAAGTGAATATTGATGTAGTTTATATAGTGATTCGAGAATGATGAAAAAATGGACCGGTGCGGTACAAAGCAGAGCAGTGCGGTGGTGTTTGCTTTGCGAAAAGATACGTAGGCAATGGGACCACTGCGCGCGAGTGCGTGTGATGGTGTTTGGTGGTGGTGGTGGTGGTGAAGGTGATTCGATTTTTGCTTTTTTTTTTGGGAAAGGTAGAGGAACAGAGAGAGGGAAAGGAAGAGAGAGAAAGGCGCGTGTTCTGCGCCGTGGGAGAAGTGGTTTGACGACGAGATCAGCAGTTTTCACGGCGTTAGAATGAGTGTACCTCTCGTGATGGGCTTTTTTTTCAGAGATGGATGACGACGGGAATAGAGATTGAGAGTTAAAAAATGACGTTAGATAATATTAAATTGAGATTTGTGGTCATTTTAAACGAGCTTCTTGGGAAGGGGAAGCTGTGGAAGCTGGAGGAAGCGGAAGCTGGAGGCTGGCTAGAAGCACAGTTGAACAATTGAGAGCGCCAGCGATGAATCGCGAGTAAACCAGATACTCGAAGCACTAAACAATTTAGAGCGTCAGCGATAAACTGTGAGTAAATTATATACTCAAAGCATTGAACAATAGTGAATGAACTTAGAACTCGAAGCACTAAACAATTCAGAGCCCCAGCGATAAATTGTGCATAAATCAGGTACTCGAAGCACTGAACAATAGTGAATGAACTTAGAACTCGAAGCATCGAACAATAGTGAATGAACTTAGAACTCGAAGCACTGAACAATAGTGAATGAACTTAGAACTCGAAGCACTAAACAATTCAGAGCGTCAGCGATAAATTGTGAGTAAATCAGATACTCGAAGCACTGAACAATTTAGAGCGTCAGCGATAAACTGTGAGTAAATTATATACTCAAAGCACTGAACAATAGTGAATGAACTTAGAACTCGAAGCATCGAACAATTGTGAATGAACTTAGAACTCGAAGCACTGAACAATAGTGAATGAACTTAGAACTCGAAGCATCGAACAATAGTGAATGAACTTAGAACTCGAAGCACTGAACAATTCAGAGCTTCAGCGATAAATTGTGAGTAAATAGAGAATTTGTAGCACTATCGAACAATTGAGCGTCATCCCTCGATTTGGAGAAAGCAGAAACACTTTGAGTAAGCAGAGATACTTTCAACTGGCCGTTAATGTTGCCCACAATTCAGGGCATCAATTGAGGACTTAGGAGTGCGAGTGCGAGTACGAGTACGAAATCACTAACGGGAAACTCGTAGTATTATTGAACAATGGAGCTTCAACGATCAATGGTGAACAGCTCAATTGTACAGAAGCATTGTAGAGCCATTTATAGCTGACGCTCTCAATTGTGGACAAGTGGGGCCCTGATAGTACTTTTGATAAACCCGAGTACGAGTACAATTGAGAGTGTGAGCGAACGAAGCCACAAGCACTATGAGCGATAGCGAGCAATTGTAAATATGCAGGGAAACTGCACTGCCTGATTACGGGTGCAATTGACAGCGTCAGCGCTCTTGTTTTATAAAAAAATCGAGAGCCTCGAGCGTTACGCAACTCGTGACATAATCAAATCATTAACAGCCAGCCCTATGTGAGATATCAGCATGGCCAGAATTGTAGAGGGATGTGAGCATTCGCGGTCAATTGTGCACTGCTCTTTAGAATCTCGTAGTACTGTGCGAGTCCGAAAGTCCAGGCACTATGCACGAGTGGATAAGTCTGAAGCCTCAAAGCATTGGTTGAACCCTAAGAAGGAAAGCTGAGTTCGGCGTGGTACGTGTTGTGATTGTCCATTTTTCAAGTGTATATATTCTCGAACTTAATAAAATTCAGATAAATTCAAAGGTGTCGCTCATCACATAGTGTACCTCGTTTTTTTGCAGGTTCGGCCTGTTTACAGCGATAGAAACTGTGCTAAATAATTGCCTTTATTCACAATAAAAAAGGCTAGCACTGAACACTGGAATAATAAACGCTTGTGCCCATCTTTCTTAAATGCATTCTTTATTGATTATTTTCTCACCCGTAGCATTTCTCCAGACTCTTATGTGAAACTACTGATAATTATGATCGACGAGAACCCGTGGTATAGTTGAGTTTTGACAACTGGCATAGATGAGAGTAATGGCGAGGTGGAAGGAAGCCCCTGGTAAAGTTGTAAGTTAAGTATTCGCACGGATGACAGAATGGGAAACTATTAAGACGGCTCTGGACTTTTTGACCACTGGTGCTCTCGATTGCGAAAGTGTGCTAATGTGCATCACAATCGGTAACGTGCCTTCAAAACGACTATCGCTTCTAATTATTCAACTGTGTAACAGATTCTGAAATTACTTTCTCGAACAAATTCAAAATACCGGGGCAATTCTGCGAGCTCTCTACTACACTTTTACTGTCGCTCGATTATTCAAAAGAGCTTCAAGAAACAATTGACACACTTCTACGACGAGTGCTCAAACAATGCCGAACAAAGCAGGTGTAAAAATAACGATATTCTGTTCACATTGATCGCAGATGCCCCCAGCTGATCAACAGTATTACTAATTCCCCGGTCTGTGTAACAGTTTCTCATATATTCCATGTAATTCAGATCTACAGGCTCTCCTCCTAGCTGTCGTTATCGCTCTGATATAACAAGCGCTGTCTTTGTTCACAATTGCTCGCAGACGCTCTCAATTGTTCAATTGTGATTGTGAGACCCTTTGCTAACGCTCTTGATTGTTCAGTAATGCTTCGAGTTCGATCATCGACGCTCTGAAATGTTCAACTGCAATACCTGGGCCCTCTTCGTACACAGCGACCTCTTTAAGGGAATTCACTTAACAAAATTGTTGCTGAGAGGTAACCTTTACCAACTCTAATTCATCCAAACCCGACCAGCAACGGTAGCGCTACACTCCAGCAAACCCACACACGCGACTAGTTCCATATCATGGGTAACACTAGTTCCAGACCATCTTCGAGAAAGAAAAAATCCGGAAATGAAACCACACCAGCCTTCACACGCACAGATACTGCCCAATCAGGGAAATCCGTGAAGTCTTCACGATCTGGTAAATCCAAGCGATCGCAGTCGTCATCCGGTTTGCCCACAACAGCCAACTCCGAAACCAACTTGGACGTAGAGCCCGAAACTCTCAAAGCCACCGCGTCCTTTTCCAGACGAAATAGTGCCATCTCTGGATCACAACCGCCTCTGTCACAACGAGGCAGTAGCAGTAGTGTCGGAAACACTTACAACAAATTCCAACCTCAGCTGTTAAGCGGGGACTTACCACCGTCAATGATACAAATGGAACCCAAATCTCCAATTTTGAAAAATTCCAGTACCGTGGCAACTTTAGTGGGTGGGAATAGTACCACTTATCATGAAAGCGCTATAACGGATGACGAAAACGACGAAAACGAGTCTCATAATCATCATCAACATCATCGGCGTAGAAGCAACGACTCCAGACGATATTCTTCTCAAAAATCGCCATCGGCTGCAAGCAGAAGTAATAGTGCTGCTTCGTCTCGAAGAAATGGCTCGCATCTTGACATTCCTGAAAACTCCACCATCGTACAGCCGACCCGCACTTCGTCTCATTCATCCGCGGGCAATCACAGTCGAAAGTCCTCTTTCAGTAGCTCGATGGGCAACACTGCATATAGTACCCCCATGAACTCTCCCGGAGTTTTCAAAAATTCTCCAGATGGGTACTTTTCCGAAAAAAAATCTGCAGATTCTCATACCGAAAGTTCTTCCGGGCTACGTTCCAGAAACTCGGTCGAAGAATATCCTCACGACGTTTCCCATAGTGTCGATGTCGATGATGACACCAATACTTCCATCAAGACCGCTAAACGGAAAAAATCTATAAGACCCATCGATATCGATGAAACTATTCAAAAACTTTTAGATGCTGGCTATTCTGGCAAACGTACCAAAAACGTTTGTTTGAAAAATTCTGAAATTGCTCAGATCTGCAATCAAGTGCGCGAGATTTTCTTGTCGCAACCGTCCTTATTGGAACTTTCTCCACCGGTCAAGATAGTCGGAGATGTGCATGGTCAGTACGCAGATCTGTTAAGACTGTTTACGAAATGTGGCTTCCCGCCAGCGGCAAATTATTTATTATTGGGTGACTATGTCGATAGGGGCAAACAATCTTTGGAAACCATTCTCTTATTACTGTGTTACAAGATCAAATATCCAGAGAATTTTTTCTTATTAAGAGGCAATCACGAATGTGCCAATGTTACAAGGGTTTACGGTTTTTACGATGAATGCAAGCGTCGATGCAACATTAAAACCTGGAAAATTTTTATCGACACTTTCAATACTTTACCCTTGGCCGCTATTGTGGCCGGTAAAATCTTCTGCGTTCACGGAGGTTTGTCTCCTGTGTTGAATTCTATGGACGAGATTCGACATGTTAGTAGACCTACAGACGTACCTGATTTCGGTTTAATCAATGATCTGTTGTGGTCGGATCCTACCGATTCACCGAATGAATGGGAAGATAACGAGCGTGGTGTAAGTTATTGTTACAACAAAGTCGCCATCAATAAATTTTTAAACAAATTCGGTTTCGATTTGGTGTGCAGGGCACATATGGTGGTGGAAGATGGGTACGAATTTTTTAACGATAGGAGTTTGGTCACCGTTTTCTCTGCTCCAAATTACTGTGGTGAATTCGATAATTGGGGGGCCGTGATGAGCGTTAGTGAAGGTTTACTTTGCAGTTTCGAACTGCTGGATCCTTTAGACAGCGCTGCTATCAAACAAGTCATGAAAAAGGGTAGACAAGAAAGGAAACTGGCTAATCAGCTAACTCAAGAATGAGTGGCATTATAAAATGTAGAATATACAAAGTTCTGTTTTAAAATTCATTCCGTGTCGCTAGACTTTTTCGTGTATATGGATTACAACGTATTTTCCAAATTTCGAGAATACACGGACGGACACGTACAACTTACGTCGTGAGAATAAGAAATTCGCACAAGATGGCTAGTCCGCATCGAGAGTATCTAGGATTCTCTCAATTTTTTGCCGTCACCTTTCTAATATGGTTTATAGTTATATGGTCAATATTACCAGATCTAAGTTTATATAAAAATGATCAACCTTGTTTGAGAAACGATGTAATTGCGTTCTTACAAGAGTTGGTGGAGCTCTTACCGCAACGATATTGGATAGCAGTAATAGAATGCTCTGTTTTGATGGGTATGCTTTTCGGTTATTTGGGTTTACTGACTTATAATGAAGACGTGCTGACAGTTCCGTTAAATGATATAAGAACCATAACAGACTCTCGCGCTAATGTTGCAGATCCCCCCACATATCAAAAGTTTTTACAGGATTACGCTTATACAGAGACGAGTGCAGTTTTGGATCTTCCTATAAGTGACGTTTGTAAACTACTTTACGAATCACAATGATTAATGTACATACATGCTAAGACAAAACGTATTTACTTCTGTGTTTTTCTTTTGTCAAACGGCAGTGAAGCCACGGCGGTCACCGCGATAGCCTCCTCTACCACGACCGCCTCCTGAAGAGTGACCACGGCCCCCTCTGCCTCTTGGACTATTAGTATTAACATTTTCTCTCAAGAAACCGCTTGCGGGACGGAAAACCGAGTATGGATTATCATCTCTGGAGCTTTGGAACTTCCCGCCTCTAGAACGCGAGTCGTCATATTTCCGGCCAGACTCATTGTCTCTGGAAAAGCCTCCACGACCACCTCCACGGCCACGATGGCTTCCCCTTTCACCACTATGATCACCACGGTCGCTACGGTCGCTACGACCTCCACGACCTCCACGTCCGGCCCCACGCCCGCGATATCCACCATGCCCTCTAGGAGCAGTATCTTTGAATGTAAAGTTATCAGATGATTGAGATTGGTCGTCGTGATTTTCGTCGTCTTTTTTCACCTCAGCAGATGGAGCTTCTTTGGCGTCGTCCAATTCTTCGTCGTTCGATTGAACCACTGCAACTTCTTCCTTTGGCAAGGGCAATGGAAGCTGGGGACTGGGCGATTGGCTTGCCGCTGCGTCCACAGATCTCTTTAGAATCGCAGAATAGCTCAAGGGCTTTGGTGCAACGACAGGTTTGGTAGGAGATACACCTTCGTTGGAGAGCCTTCTGAGCGTTTTAGTGTCCTCGATGTGAAGTTTGCTGTATTTCTCCTCGATGTCATTTGTGATCGCTTGAGTATCAGTTGGTTTAGCAGTCCCAAAAGGATTGGCTTTCGCCTTTGGTGGTCCAGTGGGTTTTTTTTTGGGTACGAAAGGTTTTGTAGGATCATCTGCTTCATTTAAAAGTTTTGTCTTTTCCACATAGTTTTTGAAATCCGCGAAATCAGCCGCAGTGACGACAATGTCGTAAAGTTCCTTCAAAGGCTGAGTCCAATGGTTCAAAATCTTGTCCATGTCTCTAGCAGAGTACAACTCCGTGAAGGTGACCTTGGAATCGCGTGTGAAATTGGCATCGAAAAAACTGGAGTTTTTCAGCGCAATTCCCATGGCAGGTTTTTTGTTGAGCTCCCAGAAAAGCTTAAACTTGATGAATTTCGTGCACTTTGTTTGGAAAAGGTCCTCGATTTCAGGCCCGGTGAACTGCGAGGGCAGATGTGAAAATTTTACAATGTATGGTGGTCCCATGGACTGGTTCGAGCCTGCGATTCCACCGGGGGCTCCCGAGTGTGGGTATCCGAAAGAGTCCTCTGGAGCACGGGTAGCCAGTCTTATGGGGGTGTGCTTGAGAACATCGATACTAGTTGTGTTTGTAAGCGGCGATGAAATCGCTTCTAGGTTGATATCTTCTTCATTCCAAACAGAGTCCCCCAACGAGTTATCGTTGAAGAACTCTTCTAAGGACATTTTCTTCTTACTGGAGTTGCCATTTGATGCTGAGGCTGTCACAATTTAGTTAAATATTAAGTTAGTATTTACACCACAAATTGGGCTACAACGGGCGGGGAGACTTCACCTATTGTAGAATTCGTGACTGGCATTGAACATACCCATTCTTCTTCACCTAAATCAAGCGCAGGAGACACGTCAAACTGTTAAATTGTTGCGTGGAAGACAGAGCATTGACATGTTAGTTGGGTGATGGTAACATATATATTGAAAACACAGTTTCCCTTAGGTCGTTTTGTACGAGCAGTGTTTTCTTTGTTAGTAGTAAGTATTATTAAAACCCTGACACTTCCACATTCTAAGGCCATTTTAATCGCAGAAACGTTTGATAACTGTTCTAGTGGCTAGACCGGATGTATTGCCGGTTTCTCTTATAATTTTGCGCTTCAAATTGCGCTTCTGATTTTACTTTCTTGAATATTGAAGTTTATTGCATTTCTGGACATGTAAGCACAATATGGATGCGTTATTTGAGGGTCTTATGCGATGAGGATCCCACTTGTCTCGGCGAGACAGTTCTTTAACGCTGGTTCTGATCAAATCGCTGCAATCTGCTTCGACACACCCAGACACCCTGGGAAAACACATACTGTTCAAATCTAAGATCTGACATGGTTCACAATCCAGTGCTTAATGTGCTTCGGGGGATGTCAATCTATGATGTGAACAATCCGAAATTAGGGTACAGACACCACATTTCAGGGAAAAAAAGGTAATTGGTCTTTCAGATTTCCAAAATTGATGTTCTGAGCGCTGAAATATACCATTATTCCATCTCACAATATCTTCCTTCCCACTCACACTCTCACATCCAGTTCTCACACTCCCATCCTCACCTAACTCATCTTACTCACACGGCCATAACCCCGATGTCAGTATAGTACGAAGTGACAAAGTGACACAACTTCCGTTTCCCGGACTCTTGTAAGTCTTAAGGTCTCTCCTCGTTTGCAGACCACACTAAGTCTCTTCCCATTTAATACTATCAACCATCTTACCAATCTGCCCAACGTTCACACTAGATAATTAATCATAAAACTCACCATTTCGTGCTGTGGCGTCTTGTCCATACTTAAGAAAAATTAATTCGTTTACTATGACGCTCATCGGTGATGAACTTTTTTTTTGACTCGCTGCTAGATAAAGCTCATCTTTATAGATTATAATACCTAGTTTGTTGAACAGTTAACCTTCACATTCAGCACTTGATTTACTGTTCTGTATTTGATCCTGTGGTGTTAATTTAGGTGTTGGACTCATTGATGTTATATCAGTGCTAGAAAACTCACGCTATTAAGTTTACCTGTGTTGAACATTTAAATTTTGACGAATTTTAACCTGAGAAGATAAGGCATTGTATCCGTACTTGAGCGTTGAAGCACATATTGGAAGGCTACTACGTTTGCTGGTATTTTGTGAGAGAATAAAGAAATTTTGACTAGCATTTGATTTTTCGGTTTAGTCGCGGTTTTTCGCTACTATATTAATTACGACATCCTAACATGAGCAGAGCTGTGAATCGAAAATGGACTTTGGGCCTCATTTTCCTCGGCATAGTGGTCGTACTGTGGATTCTGTCCTCTTTCCTGATAAACCTCATTTTCGAAGATGGATCGTACAGAAAACCGTTTTTACTCACATACGTCAACACGGCGTCGTTCGTATTCTACCTGTTGCCCACTTTCAAAGCCGTGTGTGTCAATTACTGGAAAACTGGTAGTTTCCACATCCACCGCGAGCTCGTGATCGAGGAAGAGGGACGCAGACCGTCGGACGACGAGTCTCAGCTGGTGCTGCAGCACTCAAGTCTGGATCCCTCATCATCCGAACTCACCACTTCCACATCGCCTCTGGTGCCAAAAGATAGCAGCAACGTTCCCACAGATGCCCTCACGGGCGCCAAGCTCTCGCTGTCGGCCACCATACAGCTCAGTGCCCAGTTTTGTATCCTGTGGTTTTTCGCCAATCTGGTCACAAACGCATCGCTGTCCTATACATCGGTGGCCTCTCAAACCATTCTTTCATCCACATCGTCCTTTTTCACCTTACTCGTGGGATCATTATTCCACGTCGAAAGTATAAACCGTGTGAAAATTATAGGATCGTTGGTTTCCTTCATGGGCATCGTGTTAGTGACCAAATCGGACGCTGACACTTCCGCCAACGCGGGTGATATCCATTCTGCAGTTCCTTTCAAGTTTCACAACGGCATAGACTCCAGTAACACCGAGGCTTTTGTCATATTTTGTGGAAATTTGCTCGCCCTTGCAGGAGCACTATGCTACGGACTGTACTGCACGCTTCTGAAGTGGCGGATCAAGGACGAAAGCAAGGTCAACATGAAAATCTTTTTTGGGTTCGTGGGTTTATTCACACTTGTACTGCTCTGGCCCACCATTATTTTCTTGCACGTCATGGGCTGGGAGACGTTCGAGTTGCCAAGTACCCCAAGAATCACATTTATCGTTCTTTTCAACTGTTTGATCACATTCGTTAGCGATTTCTGTTGGGCCAAGGCTATGCTCTTGACATCACCATTGACAGTCACTGTCGGTCTCAGCACCACGATTCCGTTCGCCATGCTGGGCGATTTTCTTTTCAAAGAGAGACCTATGTCATTTCTCTACTTATTAGGTGCCGTACTAATATGCGGCAGCTTCTTCATTGTCAACAGGGATTCCGAAGGAGAATTGAGTAATGAAGAGGCTTGACCTGTCATGTCTGACCTATCTTTGCATGTATTAATACTCACGTCATTATATTAATAGAATCAATATCAACTAAATGCATTATGTCTAGTCTTACATCCCAAAGGGATAATCAGGTTGTTTAATCCTGAAGCACTCAATAAAGTATACGAACCCGAACGCGCCGAACACCAGCAGAGTGAAGGCAGTTACGTTGAAAGTCACGGGCCTCAACTTCAAACGAGGTAGTAAAATCATGCCAACAAAAGACCCTCCCAACCACATATACATGCCGGTCACGGTAAGTATTTCGATGCCAAATTGCCAACCCATGCCACCGCTGAAAAACATTATTCGACCATCTTGATTTCTCGCTATCAGTGGAATGTTGTTCATTTGCGTGAACTTGTAACCGGTGATGGATGTCAATATTATTGCCAGAGAAAAGCACAGCGAGAAGAACATGCCCTTACGTGATATACGGGGTAAAATCTTCTTTTTAAAAGTGTAAAACGCAGCCAAGGATGCTACGAAATAGTACGAAAACTCTGTTATGTCGAAATCGAGTGCCATTTGAATGTAGACGTTTAGTATCTTGGCTAAATAGTGAGCAAACTTGAGTGGGTCTTTCGAAGTTTCTGCGGTGATCTTGTATTGGAAAAATTGGTTCTGAGTCCATGAAAAGTTCCCATCCTTTGGATGCGGTGGATACACCAACAGATGCGGTATCGTTTTAAGGCCCATCTCCTGCACGAAGGACTTACAGTGCGAGACGTCCAATTTAAAGAAAAATGCATCTTGGTTTATTTCTTCCGACAGTTGATCCAGCATTGCACGCGAAACTTTCCGTACATTTGCTTCGAATTCATCACATAGGTCGCATTTTTCACCATTAGAGTTTGTCTGGGAGGTTGTGACGTACAAAATTGAGTAAAAGGGCCTCGAGCCTTTCGAAAGTACATCGTAGTTGTCATCTGTGACCTCTATCAAGCCGTCTTGGTCCCTCAGGTGTATAATTTCATCCCATTGCAAGCAGTATATCGACTGAACCAATGACAACAACCAGAAGACCGCCTGAAACCTCATCTCCTGACCGTGACGATCATGCAAATTGTTGTTAGCTTTGGGTCAAACAGGTCTATTTTCCATTTAGAGATGAGTCTGGGATCACGTGTGTTTTCTGTAGAATATATTACTATTAAAATGCCTGTTTTTGACGTCGCGGGGCAAAGCTGATTCAGCTGCGGATGTGTCCATGGGACTCAATAATTTTTGTCATTGCTTAATTTCTTTCTTGCAGTATAGTGATTTTTGAGCTGATAAAATGACTTTTGATGGGATATAAAATTGTTCTTAAGAAATCTTAGCAAATTAGATGTTGAATTGACATGCGACACTTCAAATATTGAGATCTTCTTGTAGAGATCAATGGATTTGTTCCCATTCGAAGCCATTTCAATTGATTTTGATTTCCGGTGATTATCTTACCTGTCGAGTCTTCGAGCTGATTTGTTTTGTCTTAAAAAAAACGAAGACGAAACTCTTGAGTACACAAACAAAATGATACTTTGAACTGGTTTGATAGCTCTCTTAAAATGTTTAGTTCACTGAAGAGTCAAGGTCAAGAATCTGGCAACAAAATGACATTGAGTTCATGAGTGACAGAATAGTACAAAGTGATCTTCATGGAATTACAAATATTGGCATTCTACCAACGTTTGACAGCGAGCAATGACCCCTTCAGATTATGATTATCCAGCTCAATATTCAGCTTCATACTATTCCCATGTAATCGCGAACATTCATACGTGTGGTCACTCTGATGATTTTTGTTTTCGTGATCTGAGGAAATGTGACTTTCATTTAATGTTTTAAGCACTTCAATGCTCAATCTGTACGTACTTCGAAAAACAATGAACGGGGCGAAGAATCGTATCAAGTATCTTTGACTTGGCCCCTGTTCATCACTTTAGCTAGTCCTACAACAATTGAGCTCCCTTCCACCTTCCATACCTTGAGATGAGTACCGCATTGCAGCTTCTGGCAAATTACTATGAGGCTGTTATTGAAAGTGAAAGAATCTACTACAAGTATACCAAAGGTGGGCAACCATCTGTGAAGACCCCTGGTGAGATCAACGATGCTGACAATAGAGACTCGATGTTGGTGAAAGAAACAATCAGCCTGCAACGACAAATTACACAATCGATCAACGAATGCAACTTGCTGAAACAGGAGAACGAACGCCAGAAACAAATCCACAAGACTCAGATAGCTCTTCTCGAATCGAAGCTAGAAAACGCTCGAAAGTCGTCAGCAAAATCGAAGGAATTGCCTGTCGAGAAAATAAAGAGAAGCAATAAAGTGCACTTGTTAAGCCCCATTGGTAAAACGCATCCCGAAGGTAATGCTCCTGAACCCCGCAATTTGAGCAAAGCCATGACAGGCGCTTTGAAGAGCTCTTCTGTTGATCAGAACGGCGGGCTACGCCATGCGATAAACAAAAACAAAGCAACTCTTTTTGATGAAGATACGAATGAGTTTGCCGAAAACTCTCACGATGCCTCCTTTCTCTCTTCCATAAAAGAGAAAGATAAGCTGGCTGACATTGTTCTTCCAAAGGAAGATCTGACCGCCTCTTCAAGTGACGCAGACGACAAGAGTAATGGCAAAGCTAATCATTTGGAGAATCAACAAATCACGCAGAAGAAGCGGAGACTTATCAAAAAGCGTATTCAAAGAGTCGATACGGACAGTGAGAACTCATGAAGTTAATTTCTATTCGCATTGCATGAAGCTATATCGTAATCAATCCCGACATCTAAGCTGTCAAAGCTTCGATCTGAGCCCGCTTAGCCTGTATTTGACGTCTTTTAACAATTTTGTCTCAGGGTCCCACGCTTCAAACTCTCGAAACAAATCGGATATTTGTTCTCGACCAATATGGACCCCCGTTTCGAACAATAATCCTCTCATGCACCACGGCAAATGATAAGGATTTGAACCCAACTCGTCCACTTGGTACGTCTCGTATTTGACAGCTTGATCTTCAGACGCGTCCGATGTCTCAAGAGCGAACTTTATTCCTAGATCATAAACTTGTCCCTCATTGTAAATTTTGGAGTGACCACCACCAGTTAATGTACCCGCCAAAGAGCCACTTATCTCTTTGATTATTCCGTGGTCATCAAAACCTAGGTTATTGAGCTGATTTGCGATCCCGACGATGCGGGAAATGAAAGCCGGAGTTTTAGTGTCTTTATCGATGAAGGTGGCCCTGAAAATGTTTGGATGGCGGGCAAATAAGCAAGTCGACGAATAAAGCGGTACCAGCTGATCATTGATGGAGCCTACAAATGTGACCTTAACGTTGCTCGCTATGATGATCTTAAGACTTTGAATGTATTTTCTCGCCAGAACGGAATCAAAATCTTGGAATTGGAAAAGCTCCCTCAGAGAATCGTTCTCAATTGTGGAGTAGGCCCTGACAAATAAAGTTTGATCGACCCCGTAAAATGGACCGTTGTTGACGCCTGCCATTGCTAAAATGCTGACAACTTTCTTTTTGGCTAGCTTCAACGTTTTGGTGTCCTGATCCTGTGGTCCTTGATCAGTTTGATCTAATTGAATTATTCCCTGTTCTATCAACTTTGCCAGCAAAATGATAGATACTGGGCATCCTTGGGAATGTGCCACGAAATATATGAAATCGGCCTTATTAATCTCATCGACCCATTTCTTGATCACGTCCAGGAAAAACTCGACACGGTCCATTACTTTCCCTTCACGTTCCAGCGCTATTTTACTTATTTCCAACGGAGTGTTTTGGTCGCGGAACCAACGAATGACAGCTTTTTCGGCCTCCGTGATAAACTTAGTAGACGTGCCGGTCGGTTCGCCTATCAATGGTCGTATCATTCTAGTTGGGAAAAAGCCATGGATTCCGATTAAGAGCACCTTGATGGGCTTTTCGTCCCCGGTTTTCAAGGAGGACAGTGTAGTAGCGGCCTTTCTCCGGTACAACGATTTTGGCTTGAGCGTGTTAGCAGACAACAAGTGCCACTTGCGGCCATATTTTCCCATGTTCGAATACAGGGAATTCATAGTGGTGAGCTGCGGTAATATTTCAAACGCAGGCGTTAATATGTTCTGCAAATGGCCCTGTTCTTCATTCTCGTTTTCTAAGTTTTGCTCAGTAGCTGTTTCGTCTTTAGACTTCTTTTTAAACAGAATGGCATCATTCGAACCTCCCATGATCAACTCATTTATAATAGGCTTGATAGCAGCGGTACTATTTGTCGGGGAATCGATCACTTCTGCTGCTGCAGTGTTCTCCTCGTTTTCTGCACTTTTCCGATTCCAAAACGACCATGCTCTCCTTCTAGGTTCAGACAAGCCTGACAGTTCAGCTGCTCCTGCATTCTTCGTCGTTGTTGTGGTGGAATCTTCCTTCGTGTCCAGATTGGTGCCACTGTCACTTCTTGAGAATGCCCGTAGAGAGCTGATCGACGACTTTTTCCACCACCCAGATTCGTTGTTCCCATGGTTAGTATCAACAGCGGTCTTTTTAGGAGCCTCAGTACCGTCAGATGCACCTCTGTTATTAGTTTCATTACTGACACCCCCGCTTTTACCGCCCCAAAGTGCCCATGCAGGGGCGGTGGAGCTGGAAGGCCTGTTTTCGGAGGTTTCATATGCTTGTGAGCTTAGCGGATCATCGGGTGAGACTTGATTGTTGACGGAATTCGTGGACGAGCTAGAGGACTTGCTACTGGATCTTGAACCCATGAGTGAACGAGATGTTCTATTTGATAAGGCAAAGGCGATTCTCGACCGTATTGAAGAAAGATATGCTGTGGTAATTGATTTAAAAGCTACTTTAGGTACCGACGTTAGTGCGATCGTCTGACAAATGATACTAATAATGAAATATTTGTTCAACTTTGACTAGTTTTTGGTCTTCCTTAAATTATTAGTTAAGTTGAGCATCTCGAAATATACAAGTTTCAACCAAATTCAAAACAGACAGGCTCCACCAAGATCGCGAGCCGTTTAGACCCCACCAGTCGAGAATCTCAACATTTAAATAGCGATCAGAGTTGAGATACTAAGATGACAAATACCAAGCGCTTGAGAGACGGTGCAATTGGTGCCAATGGTTCTTCCAAAAGACAAAAGACATTAATGGATTTTGTTCGCACGCCGAAGACAACTGTCAAGGATTATACCGATACCACGCAACAAAAGATTTCGGCGGAAAGTGCTGCTGCCGAGAGTGAAGAGAAAGCTGAGGTTTGTGGCGATTTGCCCACAGCTGGCAAATTAGATAAAGAACAATTCCGCAAGAAACTGGCTGACCACGAGCTTGAGTTGTTGCAATTGGAGCTAGACACGCTCGACGATGCGTGGTTCGCGAAACTGGAGCCGGAGTTCCGCAAGAGCTATTTTCTAAAATTAAAAGGGTTCGTTTTGGAGCAACAAAAGGGCTCCACCGTTTTCCCACCTCCTGCAGATGTTTATTCTTGGAGCAGGCTTACGACTTTCGATCAAGTTCGCGTCGTTATCATAGGACAAGATCCATATCACAACCACAACCAAGCACACGGTCTAGCTTTCAGCGTGCGGTCGCCAACACCACCACCACCTTCGCTAAAGAACATTTATAAGGAACTAAGGGAAAACAACTATCCAGAATTCGAAATCGACGGAAAAGTTGGTGACCTGACGCACTGGGCGGAACAGGGTGTGTTGCTGCTAAATACTTGTCTCACTGTCAGGGCACACAGCGCAAACTCGCACTCCAAGAGAGGCTGGGAACAATTCACAAAACGCGTTGTCCAACTCATAATAGAGGACCGCAAGACGTCCAAGCAGCCCCTAGTATTTCTCCTATGGGGGAACAATGCATCAAATCTGGTGAAGGGACTCCTAGGTAGTGCTCCCGATAATTTTTTGGTGCTCAGTTCGGTGCATCCGTCACCATTATCTGCCAGCAGAGGGTTTTTTGGCAATAAACACTTCAAAAAGATAAATGATTGGCTCTACGCCAGAAATCAAACCATGATAGACTGGAGTGTTGTTCCAGGAAGCTCCATTAATGAGATCGAGAAGAGGAATCTGGTCTTGGACTTGTAGACATGCCCCACCTGTCACCGAGTGTCAGTTTGGAATAAAATGACCTTTTTATTGTTTAGGATCATGAGCTTAAGTGTATATAATTGAACGCTCGAGTATAGGTCAATTCCAGGTGTATTCAGAGCCATAAAGGCGGCCAGGACCAACTGTTATCCCTCCAATGGTCCAAGAATCCTCGTATGCCTCGGAGTCCTTGATGTCAGAGGTGTCGCGGGCGTCGAGTGCCGAAACCCAGGTCAAGAGTGATGATGATGAGCCAAGGATGCAGAGGAAGCCTAGAATGAACAAGAGCCTACTCTCACTGCTCAATGATGCATGTAAATACTCAGCCTATAACGAGTTTTCAATGCCTAGCGGGTTCTTGAGAAAGAAAAGCAGGTCTTCTGCTTCCCAAGATCAAATACTAGAAAATGGACAAAGTGCGGCAGATGTCAACAGCGAGACAATCAAGAGGAAAGACCAAGCTAGTCCACCATCGGAGAAACAAGATGCTCCAAAATTGAATGGTAAATTGTCTATTGAGGGCCCTCGCTCCCGCAGAGATCGAAGAATTTCCAAGAAACCAACACGATTTGACGAAGATGCGCAGGAATCAAGTTCTAAGTCGACTTCACCTACTGCCACACTGGTGCCAAACCTGCCCAAAGGCGCTATTCGCAAGAGTAGAAGTCCAAGTGTGCAACGGCCGAAAAACATTGCAAGAAAAACGAACATCTCCAGACCTGTTGGCCGTCCAAAGAAAGCGATACAAAATAGCGATTCCTTTGTGGGCAACTGGTCATCCCATTACATTGCATTGCCAGATATTTTCGATCTACAAGAGTGTCTGGAGACGTCTGCATTTACAGAGGAACTTGCGCATTCATCGCAGCTAACGCGGCAAAGAGGTGGCCGAGAAAGAACTATAAAGCTGCGTTATATTTTATACCCCGACTTCGAGGAGGAGTTTGTTATTGATTTTCAGTCAGATCTCTCAAGGTATAATCCGATGAGCGAGATAGGGCGTATCATAGAATTCACTGAGCTCGTTTACATGCCGCCAAACTATCGCTCTGACATGAAAAAGCGAATAATAGTGCCTCTAAATGCGGCCTTTGATCGGGAACTCGACAACGATTTCATCGGTGTAATTGGGAAGTACAACGACTTTATCAAGAATATCCCACATCAAGAAATCATACAGCATCTAAAGTCGCTTGATAAGATTCCCACTGCATTGTTGCATAGCATTCTACACATGATATATGTGCGAACAATTCACCCAAACGCTGGTTCACTCAAAAAGTATCAGGCCTTCAGTAATTATGTTTATGGAGAGCTTTTGCCTCAGTTTCTGACAAACGTTTACAAACAATGCAATCTCCAGCCGGAGCACATATTCATGGATCTTGGTTCTGGCGTTGGAAACTGCGTTTTTCAAGCAGCGGCTGAATTCCGATGCAAATTAAGTTTTGGCTGTGAGTTAATGCCACATGCCAGCATTCTAACAGAGGCTCAGAAAAAGGAGTTCAAAAATAGGTGCAAGCTTTATGGGCTTAAGGTCGGACCGACCCAATTTTCCCTAAGACAAAGCTTTATCGATAATCCCGCTGTACAAGAACTATTGCCTCAGTGCGACGTCCTGCTGATCAATAATTTTATATTCGACGCTCAATTGAACGAGATGGTACGAAAATTGATCCAGCCTTTAAAAGTCGGTTGTAAAATAATCACTTTGAAGAATCTGAGGCCGTTGGGTTACACTATTGACTACGACCATACAGACAACATATTAAACAGGTTGAAGGTGGAGAGATTCGATTTAAAGGAAGATAGCGTTTCATGGACTCATCGCGGTGGAGAATACTACATTTCAACTGTGCAGGAAGACATCGACGAATCCATTTTTCTCATGCATTCGAAGGGTCGCACAAGAACCAAGCCGCCCGTCAAGTACACACGGTGAAGACGGAATGCAAGAGACGCAAGAACACTACAAAAGCTGTTAAAATTAAAAGAGTCTCACAAAAGTGCAAAAAATAATACGTAAATACAACGGCGGAGAAAAGTCCAGGTGACCCCCTTCCCAGACAACGCTTTTTCGTGTGTAGAGGGTTAAATGAGGAAAATGGGAGGGGAGTGGGCGGGGACAACAAGGAATATATTGTGAGTTTTTTTCACTGCAGCGCGTGCTCTTGGCCGGTCAGTAGCGTGAACACAGGCGCTTGCAGCTTTTCACGGCCCTTCAAAAAGTCGAGTTCCATGAAAAAAGCGAACTCCAGAATGTTAGCACCTAGCTTTTCGACCAATTCACCGGCGGCCATGGCAGATCCTCCAGTGGCGATGATGTCGTCCATGATCACAACGTTCGATCCCTCAGGAATCGACTCGGTCTGAATGTCGAACACGTCCTCACCATACTCCTTGGTGTATGTGGCGTGTAAACACTCGCCAGGCAGCTTGCCTTGCTTTCTCACGGGCACGAACCCAGCGCCGATCTCCAAAGCCACCGCAGGCGCAAACAAGAAACCACGCGCCTCAAGAGCAACGATGTAATCGATTTTGGTGTCTTTGAACTTGGTTTCAAAGTGCTCTTTAAATGCCTTCACCAACTTCCCGAACAGCTGTGGGGAACGGAAAATGGGCAGGAAATCTTCGAAAAGAATACCCTTGCTGGGGAAGTTTGGGTACTGGTGAAGAGCTGATTTTAGTTCCTGAGCTACAGAATCCATCGAGGTTGATATTTTACTGGTAGAGGTGTCAAAAGTGGTCGATCCTTGAGCTCTTTAAGCACTTCTAAGTTTTTGGAAAGTATCCAAAAATTTTTAAGATTTTTTTGGCCTAGCTCATCGCATCAATTTACTGAAAGTTACAATTGATGAGGGTACCAAGGACAGAAAAGAGCCAAAGCATCGCAAGGGGATGCGATTGCGCGATCAACTTGAGCTTTCAAGCATTGTGGTTATATTTTTAAGCTAAACCAAGAAAATCAGCTTCTTAAATCGACTTTTGGCGTGTTTTTACCGTTAGTATTAAGCACGCTTAATTGGATCTAAAGAACTGCAGTCATTGTGGGATTTCTACTGGACTTTTGCTTGATTTTTGAATCCCTCCTGATATTTGCGTCTAATATTTGCTCAATACATTTCAAGTTAAGGGAAAATGGTTCCAAGGGCTCCATACCATGTTAAGCTCACTGCAGACCATCAACGCGTGTTCGAGCTGCTCAACAGCCTCTGCGCCGTGGAAAACTACGGCCAACTGCTATCGTACCTGGAAGCACGACTGCGTAGCGGACTCAACGAAACGCTGGTGGTGCCCCCTGCAGACGTTCTGATTGTTTTGATGACTCTGACAGTGATCCCTGACTCAGGAACTTCTGATTTGGTTGTCAAGGTGGATCCTTTCAGCGTGGCCAAAACGTCTGTCAGCTCACGCAGTCTCAAAATCCTCCACCAGCTGGTCAAAGCATTGCAGAAATTGGAACTCCAGCACCACTACAACATCCAGCTGCTACGCTGCCAGTTTTTCATTTTGCTCGACCATCTGAACTCTGTGGACCCGCAGCCCTCACCACTCGCAAGACGTAGAGCTTCTGATAAGCGAAGGAAAACCAATTCGCGTGTTGTTATAGAAGAGACACCGAGCTTGGGTGCCGCTGGCGGCATTGGCAGCGCCAGCAACAATTCTACTAGGTACCGCAACCCTTATACCACGTATGTGAGCGTTTTAGAGCACAGATGCGAGGTTTTCAAAAATGTTATCCTCACCACCACGTTGGGGCGCCAGGGTGAATTTTGGAATAGTGTAACATGGGCATTGGTGTCGTCAATTTCTGAGGATACCCACCTCTTTGAGAGGAGCAAACAATGGACCCAGCTATTGAGCTTAATTTTTGACTTGTTCGAACTACAAAACGACTATTACTACAAACTCAATAGTAACTCTGGCACTTCAGAATTTACAAAAAAGAGCCCGTTACTTCGTCTATTCCGATCTCTGGACACGTACGATATCTACACTGCCTTTTGCGATATTCTTCTGGTTGGACTCGAGTATTCGAACGCGGGATCTCTTAATGTGCACGCAGTGTACGCGAAGGAGCTGAAAACTCCTAGCACATACGTGTCGCGGACTGGTGCAAGCCAGCCATTGAAGTTTATCGAGTCAATGGCTTTCCGTCATCGTCTTCTCCGTCTCTTCACTGCGCTATCGAGGTCGCTTCCCGAGCAATCAAAAGATATACTCTCAGAAGCAGAATTCATCAAAACACTTTCACGATTTCTCAGCAGGACTGAAAATCTGACCCAGTTGAAGCAGTTTTTTTGCGTTGCAGAACTTGCGCCCTTTCTAGAACTTATGCCACACATTGCCCAAGCCACGCTCAATGAATGCCTATTGGACTTTGAATCACACAAACAGTTGAGCTTAGTTGATGTTCTGGGTGGTGACGACACGATGATAAAAGAACTAATAGAAGTCTTCGGTACAGAATTCCCACCACTTGACGAAGAGTACGACGGCAGGCGCGAGACCTTTTCCATGTCGATAGAAAGATGCGATATATGCCTCCTGGTAATCCTGAGATATTGGGAATTTGTCCATAAGTCGAGCCACTTGAAAACAAGGCAATGCCTTCCAGAGCTGGCACAAGCAATTCATGTGAATGATCAAAAAAGATTGAAGTTTTTCAAAATGATGAGGTGGGACGATCTAGCAGTACCTCTCCTTTCGTCGTATCTCAAGCATATACTCGGGTGACCTCTGGTCACACGTATAGTATTTGTCGCAGCTTATCTCAGTCTTTATTTGAAACCTGTAAGTGCACAATCGCGTTTATCATCTTCTTCACGGCAAGAACATGCCAAGGGACAAACGAGTGCCTAGAATCTGATACTCCGAACCACGAATTGAGTGCAGCTAGGTTTCTAAATTCCTGTAAAATAATTTTCAAAAGCTTTGTGCTGTCTGAATGCGGGCAGTTCAGTAAATTCACTTCAAATTTGTCGAGGATATTGCGGCTACTACTGGCCTTAAACCTTACAAGCGCACCAGTTCGGATTCCGCACCTATGTTGTGAGTTCGCAAGTTGCAAGGGGTTCTGAAATAGGACTCCGTGAACTTCGTTCTCTATGTTGACGATTTCGTAGTTGTCTAAGTTTGCTGTGTCAATAGCCTGAGAGAGTTTGTCATTTTCGAAAATCGGTTTAAAAGAGGGATAAAACCTGTCTTCGTCATATAACGAAAGCTTTGTGTCGTCTCCAACACAAACAACAGCCAGGTGTAGATTCCTAGAAGTCGACGAAAGTCTTCTCCAGTGCATCAATTCGTCATCAGGTAAGATGCTATCAAATCTTGTGAGAACTAAACAAATTCTGCCGTAATTATTTGCGACGATTTGAGAAGTTATCTGCCACATTTGACTGCAGGCTTCTTCAAATGCAGAAGTTGAGTTACCAATGTACCACGTTTTCACGCCACTTTCCGAACCTCGGGAATTCGACCATGCCGCGCATATCCAGTTTCTGTCTATACTTCTAGCATACGCTAGGTGGACGTAGACATCGAAATGCGAAATCTGTCCATTCGTTTGTTGGCCTGCCCGGAACTCAATCTTTTTGGGGATCTCTTCCGCAACAGCTGAAAATTTCGTGCCCTTTGGAGGAATGCTATTGTAAATACCGACACAGAGTTTGTAGTAGTCATCAACAGAAGTCAAAGGATTCTTGAGAAAATCCAATGGAATGAGTTTTAGAAACATCTTGACATTTGGCAGCTTCGACGTTACTTCTTTTGCCAGAAATTCAAATTTAAGCGTCAGAGACACAACGTCGGATATATCGTTACCCAAAAGTGGCAGAAATACCAAAAGTGGGACGGGCATTGTGTTGATAGTATTTGTTGAGCAGTAAGACACAATTTGAGCAGAAAGAAGAAGTAGAGTGTCCTTTTCAAAGTTCACTAGGTAAACTAAGCCGGGTGTGTCTGCAAACGTGAGTTTTACCAATTCACAAAAGCCCAACTCCTCACTCGAATAGATTTGCGACATTGTAGAAAGGAAGTCGAAACAGTCGTTTTTCAACTTCGTGGTCAAGAAGAGCGTCTTGAAATTCTTAGTGCCTTTGTATGGCCGTAAGCACAGGTGTGAAGAGAACAGCTCTGCGTCGGCTTTCATTTTGATTAGCTCGTCATTCTTCTTGAGGTGCACCGCGGGCTGAGGGATGTAGTTAATATCTTCAATTATCTCTCCCCCGTTTACCCTTTCGAACTTCGAAAAGGTAGTTTCCATTGTCTTCTTTATCGTGCCTTCGGAACAACCAATAAACTTGCCATAAGTGACGGGCTCTGTACCCAGATTGTTCAGGATTCCATTATCAAAAATGATCTGATCACTTAGCAGGTCCAATATGGTATTCAAATTGTCCTTTTTGCGAAGTCTTGGATTTTTGCAGAAGAAGACATCAGGCATCGAAAAGAGCGGCATGTGCCTTAGAAGAAACGGTAAACTGTTTGACGTTTCAGGCGCAGCAGGAGAGTCAGAATAAAGAACCTCGCCATTTTCTTTTAGCTCTATCCCATCAGAGCTTGTATCGGAAAAGTATGTTGGTGCCGGAGACTTACTTGCCTTGTCTGAAAACGGAGTATTTGTAGCCAATTTCATCAAGTCATCTGCAGGCTCGCTATTACTACTCAAATGACCGGTTTTTGAACCGCCCAGAGGTAACTGGCTTGTTTGTGGGTCAAAATTATCGAGCGACCCGCCTTTCTTCCACGTATCGGAGTGATTGACGAGCATGTCCCGTTCGTCTCCGACGTCGTTTTCAGACCGTTGGAAAGGTATAGAGTCTTTAAAAACGTAACCTTGTACAACGTCCAAAGATGTCTGAGGCTGGCTTTCCACTGGAAAATTCATTATCACGGGATTTCCCTCCAGGGCTGGAGGAGCTGTACCGCCTATGAGATTGCCATATTCTTCAACATCACTTCCGGAATCTTCATCTTCTGAGCTGGACATATTCGCGGTTGACACATCAAATTTCAGTGATTCCTCAAGTTTAGATCCGTCTAATGAAAACTTACCTCCATTCTTATACTTGTTATCGACGTTAGATTCTATGATTGGATTGAAGTTAAGCGGGGCGAATACACTCTTTCTTCGATCCTTGGGAGTTTCAATGGGAAGTGGAGCCCCAGGATCTGTGTATAGGGGTGTATTAGGTAGAGTTATCTCGTCAAGCGGTATATCCAGATACTTCCGCTTGAACGGCGATTCCCCGATGTTGAAAGGTGATGGATCTTTCATATGCGTTGATCTTTCTTTGGAATGATCACTATCGTCTGCTATTTCAAGCATCTCATCAGTTATTTCCTTAACATGATAACCTGGCTCGGTCATTCCAGAGCGAGGTGAATTGTTCTCCTCGCCATCTTTTACATCTCCGAACAGTTCTGCCTCCAGATCGCTGCCGTCTTCGTCAGTGTGCGAAGTCGAGGTCGCTGATTTTGCATCATTTGATGTACTTTCCATGAAAGCCCTTTCTTCAGATTCTTTCACTCCTCCATCCCATGCAGCACTAGCGACTTTGCGTGGAGACTCACTCAAAATGACGTCGTCAATTGTTGTATCAATATTTTCGTTAATGTTTGGTGTTGTTAGATAGCCGAAGCTTAGATTCTCGACCGAGTGTGGGGCAGACCTCGAGTTAACTGGCGTCACATTGGTGATGAATGTGCCTGGAGACAACCTTGAAGTAGCAGAATTGTTGAAAACTCCTAACGCGGCCAAACTTCCGCTCTGTGTGTGCCTGTGAAATGCAGGGTACTGATCGGCGTAGATCCCGCCAGTGCTCAGCGTGTTATTTCCGGTTATAGTTCCCGAACCTGGCCCCCCTGAGATGCTTCCTGGTGTTCTGAATGCAGATGTTAGCTTTAGGTGTATAAAGTCATCGATCATATCGAATGTGTCTTGCAAATTAGGATGGAGTATTAGATTTTGACGTGTGGAAACAGGTTCAAGGCAGCTCTGAGAAAAGCACAATTCGAGCGGCCAAATAGCTGTTTTGGTAGATTTCGGAGGGTCCAAATAACCGGCAATGCATGGTGTGTAGCCATTCAGATGGTCCAAATTTGGCGACACTCTGACCCATGTCAGATCTTTCCTGTTGGTGAGATCAATTCCATGAGAGACTAAGAGCGTTATGAGTAACACCGAAGCATTTCTGGGAGCTGGCGAAACGCAATTATTGACGTCTGAGGACGCTAAGTATGCCCTTATACCCGAGGGAGCCAAGTAAATGGCGTTTTTTCTGAAATGCGATTCGGTTATCATGGTCATGTCAAGACTTCGCAATCGCATTTCTTTGCTACACACCGAGACACACAGGTCTCCATTTTCGAACAATTGCGGTTCAAAATGGACGAGCTTGTTAAATTCGGGATCGCTATTTTTCAGCAAGCAGGAGTTGCCAAATGGGACAAGGTGCTGTTTGGAGTCCAGACACAGATTGATGTGTATCATACGCCGCAGTGCCTTCAGAAACACAGCGTACGCGGTGGGTAGATTTGGCTTAGAGAAATCTGGGGTGAAATAGCCTGTTTTTTCCGGAGCTGGAGGCGTCCCCGAGTGGCCCAGTTCCAGGCTGGGAATTGGAGCTTGATTAATGCTGAAGCACCACAGTTCGCGTGAAAATAGCGATGTAAGCACCTTGGAATCCTGTTTTCTAAGAGCCAGCTCGGTTTGAATGCTCCACTGTGCGTCGGATTTGCTGGGAATATACTGCACATAGTTGATCCTCTCAACGGTTTCTAACCTGTAGAAACTCGTCAAAAGCTCTTCCAACCGATAAGGAAGCTCCCCGTGTTCCATACTTAGGATTCGACCTTTTTCAATGCCCTTTAGCACAGCTATTAGCCGTTCTTGGACTGAGTGTAGGCCTTTTAGCTCAGCGTCAACACTCGACACTTTTAAGAACTACAATTTTGAAGTACTCATCAATTAAAATTAAGTATTATTTATCTCATATAAACACAACTAACACCTTACAGTCAAGTTCACCAAGGTCCATGACACAGAGCCAAGATGAGGGCCTTCTGCTCGTGGATGATTCTTTAAGACTTGGTTTGGGCGAGTTAGCACGATATCGTATTACAATTGATCGAAACAGTGACGAATTTAGAGGTCTTCTTGATGATTCTGAGGTCCATTTAACGTTTAAAAACACAGAAAGTGCGCTATTGAAACCTATTTATTTGACAGGACCGTACTCGTTCTACGTAGATGTGCAGCCGCATAACTACAATGAATTTGAGAAGTTCGGAGAGGATGTGCAGTTTTGTGACGACGTGAAACCAAATGACACTTTTAGGGCTGTTTTAAAGATTAACGAGAATTCTCGCATTGAAAGCACCAGCAAGCACAGCTGGCAAATTAATATCTCGTGCCAGCTCTCGGTCACGAAAATCCCCCTTTTGGCGTTCAGACTATGCATTAGTACCGAAAAATTGTTGGAGATGCCGCATATGCCAGTGTCGTCTGTCAAGGGTTTTATGTGCGAAAAATGGGACACGCAACAACTTTGGAACTTGCCTCCACGGTTTTTGGATCGGCCTGTGCACCTTGTAATTCTCACGCACGGCATTTTTTCCAACATCGGCTGCGATATGGTGTATCTCAAAGACAGAATCGAGGACTACACACGGGACGACAGCAGCTCTCCAACGTCCAATGTGGTGATAAGAGGCTATATGGGCAACCAGGGGAGATCCTCAAAGGGCATCAAGGCTAATGGGATAAGAATGGGCAAGTTCATCATCGATGCGGTCGACGAAATGCGGAAACAGTGTGACCTGAAGTATATCTCATTTGTGGGGCATTCTCTCGGCGGCCCTACACAGTCCATGGCTTTGAGATACGTATGTGTGGAAAGAGCGGATATTTTTGACCCCGAGAAAGGTCTTGAGCCAATCCATTTCATCACGCTCGCAAGCCCTTATCTTGGAGTCGCTGGAGAGGTTCCGCCTTTTGTTACCATTGCATTCAATATGGGAGTTCTAGGTCAAACAGGGGCAGACTTGAACTTGAATCGAACATTTTTCACTTCAAAGGACGGACTGGTCAAAAAGGGTGAAAGTTTGGGCAAATACAAGTTCAGGCCTCTGCTGGAAATTATACCTTCTGATCCTGTGATATCTCTGATACAGAGGTTCAAGAATCGAACCACCTACGCCAACGTTCTTCACGATGGCATTGTGCCGCTGAGAACTGCAGCTCTTCTGTACCTCGACTGGAAAGGTCTGGGTGATGTTCGTGGCATTAGGCAAGGCGACGGAAAGGAAGACGAGGGCACGCCCGAGTACTCCAACAAGAACAACACAACAGGCGAGATCCCTGAAGAAAAGATGGACAAGAAATCTGCGCTGAAATATGTGCTTCCACAAGCTGCTTTGAGAAGAGGGTATAAGCGATATCAAAGAACTCAGACGAAAAGTCCACAGTCCGATGGCAACAGTGACGATCCCAATCATAAAGATGAAATAGCACCACCACCAAACGCCAATCCACTTATTTCTGCAGCCAATATCATCATCGCACCGTTGCCAACTCAGGAGTATCTTCGGGACCCTGAGGAAAGAGCAGACAAAATCATTCACGACAAATTGTATTATCCAGACGAGCTTCCTCCACCTCACTATCGGAAGAGGGATCTCTTCAAAAAGATTATTTATCCAAATGACCGGATCTATAGGGTACAGGAGCGAATTGCAAGACAATGGCAAGAAACCTGTACCTGGAGAAAGGTTCTGGTAAGTCTGGAGCCCGACTCTCACAACAACATTGTTGTTCGCCGCAAATTTGTGAATGCCTTTGGATGGGTTGTGGTCGACCACCTTGCTAGAAACCACTTTGGCTCTGAGAGTCACACAAATGGCGATACAACAAAAAATTAATCCATTATCGTCTTCGTCTATAATAAATTGCGAGAAGTCTGGTACTTCTCCTAAATTGCTGCTCCGCCGCAACGAGCGTAGAATGTATTGTAAGTTTATGATCGCAAATAAGTGCTGGACCACAATAGAGTCGACATTTACATGTGTTGCATGTAATGTGTCCAGCCATAGTACCCACAGCGTCCAGTACGCACATGCCCTTATTCATTGCTTTCATCGAGAGGATCAATCTTGAATACCTTGTCTGGGTTGAGTAGACGCTTAGGGTCGAGAGCCAATTTCAGTTTTCGCATCATGGATATAGTGTCCTCGCCCAGCTCAGTTTCTAGCAGGGCTCTTTTTCCAGCTCCAATTCCGTGTTCTCCGGAGCAAGTTCCCTCGTTAGCGATGGTGAGCTTGGCCATTTTTTCAACGGCTTCTTTGCACATCTCGTACTGGTCAGGAGTGTAAAAGATATCGTAATGTAAGTTGGCATCACCATGGCCCAGAACCATATGCTGCATGGGGTATTCTTTCATCATTTCATTGAGCTCTTCCAAGGTGGATGCCAATTTTGAGAGCGGTACAGCGCAGTCTGTAATCCACATTTTAGCGTCTGGACTGATCTCGTTGTAGGCGTAATCCAGCATCATATACAAAGCATTCTTTCTTGCCGAAAATAGCTCTTCGGCCTCTTGAGATGACTTTGCGAACTCAAACATGACGCATTTATTAGCATGTGAAATAGACCTGATTTCCTTGATGTATTCACCGACAACTGTCTTGTTCAAACCGCCGATCTTGATGAATAGTGTTGGAATATTTTCGTATTTTCTCGACACGAGCCCACTGTAGTTGACACAGCGCATCATATCGGAATCTAACAGCTCCACAGCGTTGAGCGGGATGCCACTTTTGAAAAAAGAGGCCATAGATCTGGTGCAGTCATTAACAGAGGGAAATTGGACAACAGCTACTGTTTCGTAAGCGGGTTTGACCTGCAATTTCACAATAACCTCGGTGACGACGGCAAGCGTTCCCTCACTCCCCACCAGAAGACCGGTCAAGTTGTAACCTGCGCTAGATTTTCTCGGTCTGTGCTTGGTCTTGATAATTGTGCCGTCTGCAAGAACGGCCTTTATAGATATAACGTTCAAGGCCATAGACCCATAACGCGTGGCACTGATACCCGAGGCATTGGTGCTTACCATTCCACAAATGTGGGCACCTGGACCACAGTCACAACCGAGCATTAATGCTTCCATATTTTCATGTTTCGATAAGTGTTCATTGAGTTGCTGCCAGCCAACACCAGCTTGCACCACTGCGTCAAGGTCGTCCACGTTCACCTGCAAGATTTTATTCATTTTAGAAGTGTTGAGAACAATGCCAGGCCTTGTGGAATAAGTATGTCCTTCCAATGACGTTCCTCCGGAGTACGGTACCACTGGGATGCTGTATTTGTTCACTATTTTCATCACATCAGAGACCTCCTCTGTGGATGTGGGGTAAACAACGTACTTAGGTCTCTGGTGCGGCAGTGGTTTGGAAGGGTTGAAGCCATTGTCTGTGTGGTGGTCGAGTTCGGCATCTGAATTTTTAACAGCATTCTCTCCAAGTATTTGGCTAATTTCTTGCACACATTTGACCAAATCTTCATGATTTCCGTACTGAGGCGAACGAAGCTCGTCCAGAGGGGTTACAGAAGACAGGGGAAAAACCTGCTTGGAGCTGTTGCTAGCGGGTGCCAGGTAAAATCCCAATGAGAGACCAACGGCCAGAGATAGACCGGTCAGAACACTATTAAAAGTTGCACTCGGTTTGGAATTGGACTGCGACGGTGTGAAAAACCGCTGCGAGTGCAGACGCTGTTGTGGAAAACGTCTGCAATTTTTGGAGGCCCTGTGTAGCGACCTGGAGAACATTGATTGTAAAATCACAATTTGGCTGTTTTTGTCAAGATTAAGGCCTCGAGACTAATCGATTGTTATGCCATCAATGAGTAGTAGCCTTTATAAAAGGGAACAGGGAAGCCACACTTTTTTCTGAACGGTCTGTAGATGCTCATTAACGTCAAATCTTATCAGTGGTGGACAAATCGGCACACACACGATTGTCGAGTGTGCCGAGTTTGATGGCCGCAGGCAGCGGATATTACGACAATTAAGATTTTCGAAGTTTTCAATTTCTATAGAAATGACGTAGCAGATAGCGAAGATGCCGACAAATTTGAAGCTCCTGGCATGTGAACCGCCCGGAAAGATTCTGAAAATGCTCTGAGATGGGTCCGAACATTTTTTTTCGGATGGCCAGCATGAGCATTGTTTTTTAAGCATCCATCGCGATATGAAAACTGTCTTTTTACATGGCAAGCTGTTCTAGCCTAGTCGCCATCTTGACGGCGTGGACCTTGCGCGATCAAAGATTAATGTAGCAGAAGCGCGATACGTTGAAGATTTGTAGCTTTACTGATAGTCACTTCTTATTATAATGTCATTTGAATCCAAATCACTATGTGCTATAGTGTCATTTCAAATATCACTTTATACTATACTGTCATACCATTATCACTTTCCCCCACATTGTCATCACGACAGAATTGTATAAATTTAAGATATCGCGTCACACTAGAACTTTAACCCAAAGTCAACACCTGGGAATGGTAACATATCACCAATGAACTCTGTCAAGCCAGAATCGGGTTTCAAGACAAATCCAGGAGCTCAAGCAAACCGCAATATGGCCCCGGGTCCTCTGTCGAAAACCCCGGACAAAGGAGTGAATCTAGCGGGGAGATCCGATAGCCGCCCAGCTCTGAAAGAGAAAACCACAAACTTGCCGCTTGTCTCGGTAGGATCCAAAGAGGTCGAGAGTCTAAAGAAAGGAGCCATCTCTCAGTTTTTTCAGTTGCCCGAGGGGGGCAAAACATGGCCTCGATCGCGGTCTCCTTTGCCAGAAAATAAACAGCACATCAAAACTGAGGATACTGCAGTTCTGAGCTTTGAGTTCAAAAAGGATACCGCCGTTGTTGGCAAGAAAAACAGTGTGTCAAACCCTGTCGAGGATTCTCCCAGTATCAAGCGGCGTAAACCTGACAAAAACAGCGGCGACAGTTTGCAAGACCCAAAGCTGAATCTGCCCCTCATCCTTCCAGCTGCGAAAAGCTCTCGTACGTCAGATCCGGATACTCCAAACGTACAGGCCGCCCGTAAATTACCCTCCAACCCTGGGGCATACCAGCCCATGTGCTCGGCCTTGTACGAGTCTGATCCAAAAACAGAGAACCAGGAGTATTACGATGAGGCCTTTCGCGAAGTCAAGGACGAGACCGAGAGAATTTCTTGCGTTGAGTTTGCCAGGATGGATTTGCAGACGTGGACTTCAAGCGGGGAGAAATTGCAGCAAGAGCACCACGCCATCTTGGCAAGATTGGTCGAAGCCCGTATGCGTTTAAGCGAGAAGTTCAAGGTTATTACTGATTTAGTCAATGAACGCGCATTGGCACTCAATGCGCAGGGCCGACTATTAGACCAAAAACTTCGGCGTATTCAAGATCTAGGGAAAGAAATCTTGGACATAATCTGACAAGATGCTACAAAAACTCGCATCATCTTCGGCCTGCATTTTTCTGTAGTTTCCGTGGCTTGTGAAGATGCCTCAAGTTACGGTGCATCATAACGCTGGCCAGCAGAGAGATGCAAGGTAACAATTTTGGCTACTGCGCATATGCATGTGTCGCTGGCCGACCGTGCAACGCAAATATAAGTGAATTTCTTCGTATTGATGTGATGTTATCTTAACTGTACACATTTGTGAGGGGGGTTTGAAAAAGAGCTATACAACGTTGAATAAAAAACACAAAGCGATTCGCGAACGGGGGACAAAGTAAGGGCTGGTCCGACACCGTCTCGTCACTTTACCACAGTGTGATCACGTGTTTAGTTTCTTCTTCTGAAACGTCTCTCTCTTTGAGCGGAGACGTTAGAGACGGACAAAGGCAACTTCAAGCCCAAGTTCTTGACCAAGTCGGCGGTTTGGTTGTCGACGTTCAAGACACCCTTGGAGTGAGACAAGTCCAAAGCGGAGACGGCTGGAACGTATTGGTCCTTTCTCTCTCTTTCTTCTTCCTGAAGCTTGAAGGAGATACCTCTCACTGGGCCCTTCTCGATTCTCTTCATCAAGTGGGTGGTGTAACCAGCAATCTTGTTTCTCAATCTTTTGGACTGGATGGTGGCGATTTCGTCACACATTCTCTTGTTGGTTTGGAAGTCCATGGTCAACTTTGGATAGTAACGTTCAATCAAAGCCTTGGAGGCACGCTTGACGGTCTTGGTTCTAACTCTACCCTGTTGAAAAAAACATTGTTAGTAAAACGTCCTGAGAACCCGTGGGGACGGTGAGAGCAAGCGAGCGTGCGATACCAACAAGGAGCCTAGACGTCAGGATATCGAGGCTTGCGCTCCACTGCGTTTCAGGTGAACGTTTGCATGTTCTTCTTGTCACAAGTACTGAAAGTTCATCGGTCCATTATAGCTCCATTTCCCACCAAAAAAGTCGGCTCTATCGCGCTTCTTATGGTTCCACTGAGCTCCACTAAGCTTCACTCTTCACTTTTCAAGCATTAACGTACCATTTTGTCTTATTGCTGGTCTTAGATGTCTGAGGTCTGATAAAACGTCAAATTCACTGAGTTCAAGGTTTTTCCAGTATTCACTGATGACAACTTCCTGGATCTGGGCCCGTCGACTGGAAACCCGTGAGCAGTCGGCCTCGTGTTGGTTCCAACGGTGAGCCCAGGCAGCACCACTGGGACCAAGCTAGGCTGGTGGAGTCTACCGAGCTAGGCTGGAGGCTTGCAATGTTAGGCGGAAGCGGCCACACTATCCAGGCAGGAGTCAGCCTAGCGTAGACAGGACGCTAGACAGAGGCTCGCCACACTTGGAATGTTTCTGGAAAAATAATTTCAATGACCCAAGCGACGCAAAACATTTCCCATGAAAAAGTCCCGTCTTATTTTTTTTTCAATCTTGAAAAATGTACGGGTGCAAGTCACATGGGTTTGGGATCGAAACTAAAAAGTGTATTGTGTCAAATTCAAATGACGTCGTTCTGGGTGAAGGTGAGATGACAGCTCTCTCTCTGTCTCTCTGATCGTGCTGACAAGCTGAAGATTATATTAAGATTACAGGAAGCTCAAGGATGGAGCCGGAAAAAAATGCAATGAAACTAAAGATCTTCAGGTTTTCGCATCAACTGTCCTCTACCAGCAAAATGAAGAGACATCGATGAATCGAAGCCTATCGCGTTTAATTACCTGGTACAAAATGTATCCGAAGATACTCAACCCTCTAAATGCAACGAGTTCCTCAATAATAAGCCTCTGCTACGACACATTTGTGGTAGACGATATACCTTGCTTTTCAAACCGGTTTTTTTTCGGAGCTGGAGATTATAAGTTCGAACAACATGTCTACAAGTGGAACATAGAACCTTGGTCACGAAATGTGATTAAAGTTTGTTGTTGGCTCAACGCTCGAGACTCCTCTTGGCAACTTATACACATCTTCTTTCCGAGTTAACGCCAAAAAAGTGTCTAAAATAGGCTCGTATCAAATGACCACAATCTCAGATATGCAAATCGAGCTTAATGAGTTGTTCAGCGAACAGTACAGGCCAAGGTGCAACTGCGGAGAGTTGCAGAGATCTCTGGAGTCGAAAGTCGCCACTCAGTTGCTGGTTGCGCGAGATTTGACCATTTCTACACCGTACGGGTCGGCTTCCAATAGGTGCTTACGGAATCTTCGTTTTTTTAAACCAATCTCGGAATCCTGGTTTTCATTGAAAAGGCGACAGAATCGCGTAGTAACCAGCCTCAATGTCCAACAAATTTCATTGTGATATCTGCTCGGCAGACTGCACTAACAGGGTCAGGATATCGTGCGCAGAATGCCCCGAATATGACCTGTGTGTACCCTGTTTTTCTCAAGGCTCCTATAGTGGCAATCACAAGCCGTACCACGATTATCGTATCATTGAAACAAACTCCTACCCTATTCTGTCGGTCGACTGGGGAGCAGATGAGGAATTGGCACTCGTCAAAGGCTCTCAGACCTTAGGTTTGGGAAACTGGCAAGACGTCGCCGATCATATCGGCAGTAGATCGAAGGAGGAGGTCGAAGAGCACTACACCAGCTATTATCTAAACAGCCCGCACTACCCCATACCAGACATCACCAAGACCATCGATATCTCCCAGGAGCAGTTTCTACTCAATAGGAAACAAAGAATTGAGAAGTTTCGTGAAAAGCCTTTGGAACCACCCCGCAAACCGACTGCTTCGGTACCAAGCTGCCATGAAGTTCAAGGGTTTATGCCCGGTAGATTGGAGTTCGAAAACGAATTCGAAAACGAAGCTGAGGGTCCTGTGAAAGACATGGTTTTTGAGCCTGATGACCAAGCGCTTGATATCGAGGTCAAGCTCGTCATTCTCGACATCTACAATTCCAGACTCACGACTCGAGCGGAGAAGAAGCGTTTGCTGTTCGAAAATGGCCTCATGGAGTATCGCAAGCTCCAAGGTATTGATAAAAAAAGAAGCAAAGAAGCAAAAGAGCTTTACAATAATCTGAAAGCGTTCGCAAGCATAATGTCCCCTTCTGATTTTGAAGAGTTCACGAGAGATATTTTGGAAGAGCTCCGATGCCGATCCAGGATTCATCAGCTACAAGAATGGCGTAGCAACGGTATTACAACGCTCGAGGCTGGTCTTAAGTACGAACGCGACAAACAGGCCCGAATCATGACTCTTGAAAGATTTGGTGGCTCTATGTACAACGGGGCTAATGGTGGTAGCAATGGTCGCTACAGAATCTCTTCTGCACAACGCTCAAATACTGACTATGGTCAGGGCAATAATGAACAAGGTTCGCGTAAAAAGACATTGACAATTAGTGACATCCAACATGGTGCCGACTATGGCTTATTGTCTGCGGACGAACAACAACTCTGCATGCAACTCAAAGTTCTACCAAAGCCCTTCTTAGCTATCAAAGAAGTGATGTTCAGGGAACTGCTTAGGGCTGGAGGTAATTTGACCAAAAAGACTTGCAGAGATCTGCTTAACATTGATCCAGCCAAAGCGAATAGAATTCACGATTTTTTCCGTTCTCAGAGATGGCTATGAGTACATTCATGCGGATAGCGGGTTTATCCGCCTACCCTTAATCTCTGATATTCACTTAAGTAACAAACTCTAAAAGTAGCATGTATTAATTACAGTTTTTTAATGATAGCATTTATGATCTTGTATCTCGGGTCGTGGTCCTGTTCCAATTTAGAGAGTATATGATCTTGGAGATATTCGACAAATGATGCTCTAACTTCCTTGCCGATCCTTTCAGTAACCTTGCCCTTGTATGCAGTGAATTTATTGACAGACAATTGAAGCTGATCAACATCTAGTTGAGAGGCGTCCATAAATCTGATGTTCAACGTGATTTCCAAAATCAAAAGTTTAACGTAAATGTCTGGTAATTCTTGGTCGAGTCGAACGTTATAGGTGTTGCTCTTCCAGTACTGTATGATGTGATTTATCAGATAATCTCTGTGCAAATCTGTGAATTCACTAAACAGTGAAATGTAGCTCAAGGAATAATTGAAAAGCTTGTTTACCAATGCCACACTCAGATCATGGTTTGGTTTTGAGTCTGTGACTGCGTAATAGCCTCTATGCGTATTCAAAAAGCTTTGTCCCAGTTTTTCCATCGCAACATCAAAAATTGTGAGCGCGATATCACCACGTAGGGCTGGGTTCGTCTCCTCGTTTCCTAACATGTCCATATCGGCCTCGGGAAGTTCATTTAGCTTATCTTTCATACTGTCGCCAGTAGAGGGACCTGCAAAAGCTGCATCGTCATTTTCACCATCGTCTTCAGAATCATTATCTCCATTCTGTTTGGCTTCTTGCCGCTGGGCCTGCATGTCTAGTTCTTGCTCACGCTCGTTGATCAAACCCATTACTTTGCGTCTGTTGATTAGCTTCGTGATAAAGTTGAGCTCGAATTTGACATATTCATACCATAGCGCCGACGAGTCTGGGTTAAAACGCAGCCCGGTTTGGAACACCGTTCTACAGCTCTTGAAATTTGCATGCACTTCGTATTCGTATTTCGCACAGCTGACCCAAATGTCTATATTCGTTGGGTGTAATTTCAGCAGTTGGCTGTAGACGCTGTGGATCCTACGATATGAAGTTTTGTGGCCTCTGGTCTTGAGGTAGTTCAAATAAAGAGACCAGAATTTGAGTTCCTTGGGGAATTTGTTACAGCCTCTTTGAAAAATGAATTGGATTCGCTGTTGGATGGACCAATCTGATACACTATTGGGTTTCGTGCCCTCCAAGATCCGCTGGACACGCTTTCGACGCAATTTGTCGACATTGGACTCGAACTCGATATATTTCTCATAGTCCTCGATACGAGATCCTCTCGAGTTGAGTCTGTGCTCGAAGTCAGTTCTTCTTTTCATAATGGTGCTGACTTCATTTTTGGTGAAAAGGCCCTTATCCACCAGATCATCAACCTCAGGAATCGCCTGTTCTAGATAATACCTGGCTTTCGAAGACATACTTGCAGACTAACAGAACAGATATATAAACCCGAATAAGAGCCGCTACAATACCTTTTCCTGTGCTCTGATAAGTTGGATTCACTAGACGATGAGCTGCGATGAGCTGCGATGAGCTGGAAAATTTTCGAGATTTGAGATTTCCAGTCATCTCGTCACGTGAAACACAATTTATTTATTATTTAATTTAGAAAACCCCAGTATTCAGAGGTTAACGAGAGGCACATAGAAAAGAGAGATCTGCCTTACTTGATTGTGGTTACAGGGACAGCTAACTTCAATTATCAAGACAGTCTTCATTCGGTTTCTGATACTTGTCTACATATTTATATTAAGTCAATATATTTGATTACTCCACATCACCATACACGAGAAAAATAAAATATATCCAAAATTTTAAAAACTGATGAAAGATCTCAACTGGTAGAAAAAGTTGAAGATTGAGATAGCTAAAGTAGCACATCAGAGGAGGTTCAGGCTGTTCTCATGTTGTATTTTGGAAGCAGCAGGCAGCTGCTTAGAGTACGTTTTGTTTCGAAAGATTTTGGTGCACTTTTCACTATGTTTTCCAATACTAACGTTTCAACGACTCAGGTCTCTCAAAGCATACGATTCCAGTCCTCGCACGCAACTGCAAAGGGCCTGGCACATGCAAGTGTTCCCCCGCTATTCACACTAGCAACGCTAAGATCCTTCCCCTCGCTAGAGCCTCTCACGTTTGTTCCGGTCCCAGCTTCGGTGTTCGATGCTTCCCTAAGAAGAGATCTGCTGTGGAAGGCCGTGGTCTACGAAAACGACAACAAGAGAGTTGGATCGTCCAATCCACCCAGCAGAAGTGAAAATGGATACTCTAGACGGAAGCTTCTGCCCCAAAAGGGTTCCGGTAAGGCCAGAGCTGGTGATGCCAACTCCCCCACCAGACACAACGGTTCCAGAGCCTTGGCACGGTCTGCACCTAACGACTATACCACGAAACTGCCGCAAAAGGTGTACTCTCAGGCGCTTTTGAACGCGTTGAGTTATCAGTACCGACGCGGCAATATCCACGTGATCGGAGCGGCCAACGCGCTGTGCGAGACCGCAGAGCATGATCTGAACGAACTGGAGGTGATCCCCACGTCGCTAAAGCAGGACGACGGGGAGCTTGTGTTTGAAAAGTTTCTCCAAACGCACGGAATGGCGGGCGAAAACCTGCTGTTCATCGTCGGTGCGCCCAGACCGGGCCTTTTCCGGTACACTGACCCAGTGAAAGACGACGTCAACATAGTTCAGAAGGAGTTCGTCGACGTGAACGATATTCTCAAGGCACGTCGCGTTTTTGTGGAGCTGGAAGCGCTAGAATATCTGGCCGTCACTCACACCGTATAAATTGCATCTACACTTGTATATAGGGAGAGGAGAAGCGGTGACTTAGCGGAGTAAGCAATGTTATGCGTGAAAGGAACATAGTTTCTGCGAAGATCAGAAGGTGTCATATTCTATACGCTTCACCAACCTACAAACCTCTAGCACCTTTGAGTCCCGGACAATCTCATCCAAGCAATCTCCAACACTCCGAATTCCTGAAGTAGTATATACCACTACTTTCCATAAATGAAAAACTCACAAATAACATGCTAAAGTACTCAAAGCCACACTCTCACCTTGACCACCACTGCCCTTCGTTAACATATCCATTGTCCACTGACACATCAACCAACGAACTCTACATACACACCCAATTGTCACATTATTTGTGACTGCGTTCCTTGCCCAAACACCCATACATCACCAAAGTTCAAAAATTATTTTTTACAAGATCGTGAAAAATCAAATACACAAAAATGTGCGTCCTCTCCTTGTCATTCCTCCAGACAGCCCTGCCTAGCTCTGGGCAGGCACTCTGCCTAGCGTTCCGCCTAACACCGTGCCTAGCTCTACCGCTTCTCTGCCTAGCACTTCCCGTCCCCGCCTCACTCCCGCCTAGCCTCCTGCCTATCCTACTGGTGGGCTTTGCTCAGGAACCCACTCACAACTTGCTGGTCTTGATGTCCCCATACACGAAGTAGAACTACGGCTCAGGCTGGGAACTGGAACTTTTTGTCAAAATTTCAAGCGGTGTTGAACTACAGGACCCAGGCCATATCAGGATAGAACCCACGTATAACGGTAAAGATGTCTCTAGTTGTCCAAGAACAAGGTTCCTTCCAACACATTTTGCGGTATGTGAGCCATGAAGATGAAATCAGCGATTAGCAGCGGCGAGCGACGGACGGTGGGCGAGAAACAGACGAGAAATAGGATAGAAACAGACGTGAAACGATGAGTTTTGTGATTTACAAGTGCGGGACTTGGCCGAATTAGACTTTTATGGCGCCTTTGGTGAATTGCAGCGACCGCGTCCTTAAATCTCGCTCCCCACTGCGCGCAGCAGCAGCAGCAGCAGCACACATGTAATTTCCGGGCCCTTTTACTAACTATTGCGCAGTTTGTTGAACACTAACGTTGATGGTAACATCAAGATCGTGTACGCCTTGACTACCATTCGTGGTGTCGGTCGTCGTTACGCCAACTTGGTGTGCAAGAAGGCCGATGTCAGCTTGCAGAAGAGAGCTGGTGAGTTGACTCAGGAAGAATTGGAGAGAATTGTCCAAATCATGCAGAACCCAACCCAATACAAAGTCCCAGCCTGGTTCTTGAACCGTCAAAAGGACGTCAACGACGGCAAGGACTACCACAACTTGGCTAACAACTTGGAATCCAAGTTGAGAGACGACTTGGAGAGATTGAAGAAGATCAGAGCCCACCGTGGTATCAGACACTTCTGGGGCTTGCGTGTTAGAGGTCAACACACCAAGACCACCGGTAGAAAGAGAGCTTAAGCTCCTACATACGTACAATTTTGAAAATGTGTTAAAGCTCGAATATTTGATTGTATTTTAAGAGTTCAATAAGCGTTGAAAGGCTTGTTAGAATCGATTTTCAATGTAGACCAGTAACTGGCACCGAAATCTAAATCTTATATGTAGATATCTCCGAAGCTGTGCTTAAAAAACCACTTCATATAATACCGCGTAATTCTACTTGCGTTCGCACTGCTGTCCCGCGTAGTCTCAAGATACTCAGCTATTACAAAACTCCTTTAACAGTATATATATACACTGTATACCCATTTAAAATACAACGCTCTTCAATGTCTGATCGCGTTTATGTCCAAGCTCCGCAGTGGAGCAGTATCAAGTCGGTGGGAAGCTCCTTTGGTCTGGCGTGTGGGCGACAGCTTGGAGTCGCCATTGATTAGCTTGTTCACTCGGTTGTTGGGCGACGTCTTGATGGGAGTCAATGTCTTATTGTCAGTTTTCAAGCGAAACGTCAGCGCCTGTCCGCGCTTCGATTGATGAGTGTTGTAACCAGACTGTTTTGTCGGCGTGATATCAGAAGTCGGCGCCACTGTATCCAGTGCGATACTGCCAGTGTCCAAAATCGCAAGAGGTGGAGTTTTGGGATTCCATAGGGCACACGGCGTGGAACGCTTGACACTTACGGGCGTCAAAGAGTTAGCGACGATTGGAGAGTGAGATTCAGCAGAGTCGTCGCCTTCTGTCGTGTGGCCACTGCCCTCCACGTAAGATCCGATCTTTTGGTGTCTCTTAACGCTTTGGCGCTTGTTTTGGAACCAGATCTGGATCGCTTTTTCTGACATGGAGCACACCTCCGATAAGTAGAGCCTTTTTTGCTTGTCTGGGGTGGGACACCGTTCGAACTCGGATTGTAGAATGCCGAGCTCGTGCTTGGACGTCCTGCGTCTCTTGCGTCTTGCTAACGGCGCATTGTCGATGGCCGGTTCCTTGGATGGAAACGTTTCCTGGGAATGCGAGATGAAGGCAAACGCCTTTTGAGAATCTGGTTGCGGAGTCTTCGCCAGCGAGCTGGGCGTTGCCACACGCTGTGGAGCTGGTGAATTTTCGAGTGCTGCGTAGCACGACTTGGTTCTTTTCACGCTGCTTCTGGGCGTGGCTGGCACCTGAGTTGCTGGCTGTAATGGGGTCAATTGCAGAGGTGGGAGTGTGATTATGCCACGAGCGTTGCTTGTGAATGAGCCTGACTTGATCGGTGGCAGGGGACGCAACGATGGCGAGCAGGGCTCCGACATCGATCGTTGGTAAACTGCGTCCCGCTGTTGTAAAAGAGTGTGAATACGAGGAAGCATGCAGGCTAGCTGTGTATTATATTGATCTTACTGCACTTTACAATTACATTCTACATCTACCATGGCGCGCTGTCCATCTTTAGAGCTACTCATATATAGCCTGCTTGCGCAGGGTCGAGAATTATGATTCCTGGTTGTTGGCAATACAATACCGTAAACACACGATGATTCGTGGTTAGGCAAGCATAATTGGTCGTGGCATTACCGTTTCTGGCCAAACATCACCGGTGTCAATTAAAAGCTTTAAACCTATAAGTTCTACTGCGCTGGCACAATTGGTTCGCCAAACCTACACGAATACCCACGTCGCTGTGTTGTGAGTAGCGACAGTGTGTATATTATAGTCAATTACGGTAATGTAGTGTTGAGAGAACAGGATTTTTCGCGTCCGCGGTGCTCGCATCGGTGGGCGCGCTCAAAGAATGGGTAAAACCGCGAACGTCGTGGCACGAAGCATTTGGGGAGCGAGAACCGTTTGGGAAACGTTGGGATTTGGCCTGCTCGGGTTCGTGGTGGAACGGTTTAGAAGCTGGGATAGATGAGACTAGATGAGATGAGAGAGTAGAGGGTGCGCATTTAGTACGGCTGTGTCGCAATATATATTGACTTGGGCGAGCCCAGTGGGGAGGAGCTGAGCGAGAAAAGAGAGAGAGCTGAGAGCTTTAGATGTGGAAAGTCAATCTTGAGTTCTTTATTTGTCTCGTAAACTTAGTGTCCAGACTTTGTCTTGCATTGGTGTTTAGTCAAGGTCTTGTTCTTATCACTTTGTACTTATATGTCACTTGTCACTGGTGCGTCGCGGAACGAAAAGCTGTTTCCAGCGTCAGTGTCGGGAGTCATTGCCACGCTATATTGGAAGAGCTTGGTGGTGTGTAATTGGTGATGATAGGTTGGTGAATCGTTCGGTGGCCATATACCTGGGTCAATTTCTAGGTTTTATAGAAATGTATATGTTCAGAAACTATAGCCAGCTGGTCAAAGCTGAGCCGGCCGTGTCTTCTTGATCATTGAGGGTTTTACAGGCATCTGTAGGGGACGACTTCGGGAGAAGACAGGATACTCTTCGTTGTGCTAAAATGACAGTTTAAAATTAATATCCCAAAACAATTTGAAAAATGGGTAGACCATTGCCAATGACAACTGCAATGTTGCCCAAAGTCGTGACAATAAGCAGAATGCATGGTGCATTTACTAGTCAGTGAGTTCGTCACTGTGTCAGCAGTTCCGTCATTCTATCAGTAATTCTGTCACAGTGTTTAGCCTCGCACACTTTTTTCTTGCAAATTCGCCCGTCGAGTCGCTACAATTCCTCCACATTTGGCAACTCACTTGAGTGAATCGAGGATGAGATCAAAACCTGTGTGTCGTCGCTCGCTCTCTCTCTCGCACCTCGTCAATGGTGATATGTGATATAACCGAATATCAATTTCAATGGCCCGCTAAACATCACCAATTCCCGTAACCACTTCAATCCACAAACATCAAGCCCACAGCGGACTTTGAAGACCACTCATAACCGTGGTTTGTACTCGATAAATAGGCGAGGGTCCAGGGAAACTGTGACGGCGCGAACGAGGTGAACGAGGTGAAATTGGCACTCGCATTCGAGCTTTTTCTCACAGCTAAGGATGCCGGAAAAAGCGAGGTTGGGCGAGGCCATGCATCAAGGACGGCACAAACGGCTTGCAGGGATATTAATTGGTGTAGTCGTGGGGATATCTTTGCTTTTTGTTGCTTGCTACCGCAAATTCCCAGTGTGGTCGATGTTTCTGTCTGAAGACATCACCAGTAACACTTTGGTGGAAAATGTCTCACAAACCGCTGATGTAGAACAATTGGCAGCACTAGGACTCAGTACAGACACCCCAGTCAAGATAATACAGCTTTCGGGCGGCAAATCCAAGACTTTGCGCGGACGGTTCCTGCACATCACCGACATTCATCCAGACCCTTTTTACAAGACTGGTACGTCAGTAGCGCAGATGTGTCATAGAGGGAAGCCCGAAGACAAATCTGACAGGGCCCCTCGTTTCGGAACGGCCATGAATGGCTGTGACAGCTCTATGGACCTTATGGAATACACTCTTAAGTGGGTGGAGGATAATCTGCGAGACCAGATCGATTTCGTGGTGTGGACCGGCGACAACATCAGACACGACAACGATCGTCGCAACCCTAGAACCGAGTCTCAGATTTTTGACCTTAATGCCCAGATGGCCCAAAGATTCGAAAAGATATTTCGCAACCCAGATAACATAGACCCAAGAGATTTTGACGTGGAAGTCATCCCCAGTCTTGGCAACAACGACGTTTTCCCTCACAACTTATTTTCTCTGGGGCCAACACTACAAACTCGTGAGCTTACCAACATGTGGTCGAACTTTGTACCGCAAGAACAACAACGGGCGTTTGCCCGTGGCACGTCTTATTTTGTCGAAGTGATTCCTGGGAAATTGGCAGTGCTATCGATAGAAACATTATACCTTTACAAGGCCAATCCGCTTGTTGATACGTGCAACTCCAAAAAAGAGCCAGGGTATCAGCTGCTGCTATGGCTCGGCTATGTGCTTGAAGAGTTGCGTAGCAGAAACATGAAGGTGTGGCTAACGGGACACGTCCCACCTCTGCCGAAAAATTACGATGGCAATTGTTTCCACAAATACACGCTTTGGACTAATGAATATCGCGACATTATAATAGGCGGACTATATGGGCACATGAATATCGACCATTTCATACCTTTGGACGCCAAGAAGTCGTGGAAGGCCATTGAGAAATCCAACAGTAAAGCATTCAACGAGAAGAAGAATGGAGAATTTGGTGACGACGATGATTCAGATGACGTACTGGATAGTGCGGTGGAAGCAAGCGATGCCAGAATAATGGGTGCCAAGCCTGTAAATAAGGTCGCATACATCGAAAAGGTGCGTGAGACATACTACAACAAGATAGCTTCCAAGGCCAGCTCGTTCGCGAGTAGAAGAAGCAGAAAGAAGCACAAGAACAAGAACAAAAACGACAAGAACAATAAAAAGCCAACACATTACAAGGGCAAGGTCGACCGCTACAGTATCGTCACCGTTGCTGGCTCTGTGATTCCAACCTTCAATCCTGCGTTCCGGGTTTGGGAATACAACATCAGTGGGCTAGAGTCAAGCTGTTCCACCAATGCGATGCACACGCAAGAGTGGGGGACGTTTTTCGACAATTTGGAAACAAAAATCGAACAAGATTTAATGGAAGAAGAGAATACTTTTGGCTGGGCAGGTGCTCTGTGGCGTAGTGGCAAGATCGACAAGACAATTCCGTCGCGAATGCCGACAGACTTGCCTCTGGGGCCTGCATACACGCCACAGTTGTTCACACCAACGCGATTTGTTCAGTATTACGCGGATCTGAAGGACATTGAGCGGAAATACAGTCAGGCGCTTGATGACGGCCTCAACGAAGAGGAGGCCGCGGCCAAGGCGTTTGCTTACCAAGTCGAATACAGCTCAGACGATGCACCATACCCGATGAAATCACTATTGACCAAAGACTACATTGACTTGGCGGTGGAACTCGCGTACAACGAAACGCTATGGACCAAATTCACTGAGCGAGCCTTTTTGTCTTCGGGATATGACGACTAGTTAGGCAGTGCTTTGTTGACAACGACAATACAAGTGTACAATAGAATAAAAACCAATTCAAATCATCTCAAATCGAATCTGCATTGAGCTCTATAATCATAAAACCATATCTAACGACTGCGACCTCGTCTTTTATTTACATAGGTCGTAACGGGGAGGGGCGCTAGCACCGAAGATTCGTTTATTTGTTAGCAGTGCTGAAGTACTCCTTGGAAGCTTCAACTTCTGGCTTGATGGTGGCGGCACCTGGGGTCCAGTTGCATGGCAACACGGTGCCGTTCTTGTCAGTCCACTGGAAGGCCTCGACCAATCTTAGAGCCTCTTCAACGTTTCTGCCGACTGGCAAGTCGTTGATGGTGATGTGTCTCACAACACCCTTAGGGTCGATCAAGAACAAACCTCTAAGGGCGACACCAGCGTCCTCGATTAGAACACCGTAGTCCTTGGCCAAGGAGTGGTTGGTGTCGGCAATCAATGGGATGTCGACTGGGCCAAGACCACCGTCCTTTCTGGCCACGTTGGTCCAGGCTAGAAGCGAGTATTCAGAGTCGGTGGAGGCGAACAACACCTGGGCACCGATGTCCTTGAATCTCTTGGCGGCGTCAGAGAAGGCGACAATTTCGGTTGGACACACGAAGGTGAAGGCTAGGGGAATGAAAGCCAAGACCACGTATTGGCCCTTGTATTTGTCCAAAGACACTTCGTCGAACACACCGTCAATAACGGCGGTCTTGTTGAAGGCTGGGGCTGGCTTTTGAACTTGGGCGACCATTGTGTGTGTAATTGAGTTGGGTTGAGACGTTAGAAGCTTACTGACTGGACAGAAAGTGTTGTTTCTATACTTGTAGGAGCCATGAATCAAGAAATTGGTTCCAAAGGTCAGAAAAGTGCTCGCCTTTTATACTTTTTCTCAGGGGTTCCATAGCGAAGATCCAGATTCAAGGGATTAGTAAAACCGTATGGGGTGATATGATTAATTTGAAATTATACTTGAGATCACTGTGTACGGTGGTAATCCACCATGACGACTTTTTACCAGTGTGGTTATTTATGTGTAAAAGATAGCTTCGTTTGGCCTAGATATTTGACGTGGCTAGCCCAAAGAAATTGCAATTGCATTTGTCATGTTTATTGATATGGTGTTGTTCTTGTTGAATTTGGCGGCCATATCTTGAAGTTAGACTTTTTGTCAAAGTTTGATGATGGCGGATGATAACATGGTATGGTTGTTTCATTGAGCTACACGAAGGGCTTGTAATGGATCGGTAACGTGGAGTTGTGTGCGGTGTAAAACGCTCTGACGATGCGTGTGGTATTTATTCAAAAACCTGGCATTTTGTCACGTGCTCACGGTGACAGCGTGGTATGAAGTGATTTAATTTGATCGTATGTGTGTGTGTGTGTGTGTGTGCGACATGAAATACATTATTCGAACAATTGCATCGGCATGAACGTTATGCCCGCCGTACCCATAGTTTCCCCACCCCCACATTCAGTCTCGACGTCTTGACGCTGCTGTAATACGTTCCACCTCCGTCACAGCTTGGCGTTGAAACCGAGGTATCAAAACAGCAATGAAAAGCGCTGCTAGTTTCAACACGTTGCTCACTGCACGTTGCAACAGACGCACCCCCCGCACCTGCGGTCTAACATTTGGCATCAATCTTCGAATCATTCCCCCGTTGTAAATCTCATCACTTACTTGCGAAATCTTTCTAAGAACGCTCTTGTGCCATGGCAAACTGGACTTCTGATAAATAAACTTCCGCAGTTCCTTTAATACTTCCTTACTCGCCGCACTCATGTTGGAAACGTCCCTCACATGCTCTACCACATCTTTCAAAATGGGGTCAAATAGTTCGTGAAGGTTGGACATGTCGATTTCGTCATGTTGCGTGGATATACATTCTTCCAGCAGTTTTGGAACCAAGAGTTGCAACGAATCGTGATTGTCCAGCTTGAAGTCTTCTGCCAACTTAATTCTCAATTGATCATTGGCACGTAGACGGTCAATTATAGCGTCTGTAACCGGCACATTGGACACAAATCGATTGTAAAAACTCCTCGTTAATTGACGATTTTTGTACTCTTCCTCCAAAAGCTGAATTTCTTCGTCGCTTGGAATATCCTCTCTTCCATCTGCCAAAAGCTCCCGCCACATCTCACCAATCTCAGGAGTGCTCCAAACTGCTTTGAAGATGATCAAAAGAGTTCCCAGAAACAAGTGTGTGTATCGCAGAACATAGCTGAACTGAAAAAATAAGACAAAGAAAAACACTGAGTTTCTCAGTATCAAGTAGATCGTTCTCATGATGGTTTGTGTCCAGCGACGCAAGTGCGCTACCCTCCCAACATCTTCGGCTTGAGCAACACCGGCCTCAACATTCTCAGCGCGATCATCATTTGACCCAGAATGTGACGTGCGTACGATCTCATCAGCTAATTGGCTGCCATAGTCCGCCAATTGATTTAATTCAAATCCAAATTGGCTGGAGATTCGTGACAGTGCACTCTGTGACAGTAAAATAGCTCCTCGTAGCTCCACGAAATCTTCTGGGAACAACTCGATTTTCTTACCATCTAATTCGATGAAAGTTTGGATGGGTTGAAATAAACCAGACTGCACAAAACTCTCCTGACCAGATATCAGAACTTTTTCGAAATAATGACCAGTGCGTCTGATTTCAGCTCCCGATTCTGTGATAAACATTTGAGGAGCTTTGCTAGGATTTGTACTCGCGGATGAAACGTTTATTTCGGGAACCTGCTGCGTGGTCGGCGTAGGAGGTATCGTGTGTGCATTTTCCGTCGTTCTCCGCAAAAACGAAAACCTTTCGCTAGTGCTGAAGACTTCGTTCCAGAAGCCAGGACCAGTTTCAATGTACTCTTGATTGATATGAACGTGGATTTTGATATCATTACGCTCAGAGATATAGTCCAGAGCCTTGGAAGGGAGACCTGAAGATGTGTTTTCGCGAAGCAATTGGCCCTTGTAAATGAGCTTCACATCCTCAGGCGCGAGTCGCAGGGAATGTCCATAAACAGAACAGATAAAGTCCTTCACGTCATGGACCGTGGTCTCAGCATTGATGACCATTGTGTCCACGGTTAGTACGGCATCCGAAACAAATCGAATTGTAGCGCTGTCGTCCGATGGTTTTTCTTGAACCTGGAACACCACGCGACAACTGCTCTTCGTATCTGGGGCAAAATCAAAACCAAGGAGATCGCAAATTTGCATGTCATTATTTGAATGATCGATGTTCAAGAAACTAGGTTGCAAATGACCTATAGTCTCGATCCCTATGTTTCCTTGCAGTGAGTACTGATGTGCTGTGAATGTGCCATTGGAATCTGATAACTGGATGTTATTAAATATACGAGTTGCGAGTTCTAGTATTTGACCTAGCGTTGAAGTCCAGGGCACTCCCCGTTCTTGATGCGTGAGGCTTTTGCCGTTAGAGAGTACTTTCAACTCGAGTTCCAAGTTCGTGAAGCTGAAATCCTGGCTTGAATCGTAGTCCAAATTTAAGGCAGATCCTGTATGCTGGTCACAGTGCTCTAAATTGAGTGTTACGGCTCCCACTGTCGTCGGATCAATATCTCTCACCAGCTGCTCAGGATCCAGTTTGCGACCCTTGAACTTCACACAGAACTGCTGGACCGCATCAATCTCGCAATTCACGTCACGCTGGACTTTCCAGTGTACGTATTGTAGTAGACGTGCTACAGAGGACTCTTTGGGGGCCCTGATGCACAAATATCTTTGATGGCCACGACTACTCGTTTCAGGAACAATGTCCGCGGTCCAGACATTTACGAGAATTGCAGACCCAGCAAGATATCGCATAGTTTTGGTTTAAAGCGCCCAAGAGTTGAACAGAGGCGCTCGGGGTCGTTCCAAGCGGGTCGTTCTCGATGTGTCAATGAGTTGATGGTTTAGAGCTGATGATTGTAACACCTTGAATTTAGGAATCCCTAGCTGTACGTCGCTATATACGAAGTACACATGTCATACCGCTTTTTTGGTGTCAACAACGATCCATGAGGAGAGTTTAATGTTTACAATTGGCATTTGCCAGGCCAGGACGATATTTACAGTTACTAAGCGCGTTTGTCGGATCCGCTAGCGGCTTTGGAAGCCAGTTTTTCAATTTCCAATTGCAGATTTTCAGACTCAGTTTTCAGAGCTTGAGCTTTAGCACGAGCCAATTCTGCCCTCAGCTTCCGCTGCTGAGTCTCCTGGTCACGTCTTTCAAGTTCTTGGATCCACAGATTTTCCCTGAGTTTTGCCTTTTCGCGCAGCTCGTCTTCCTTAGACTTACGCTCTTTCTGAGATGTGCCGTAGATGAAGCTTCCTGCGACCAGCGCAACCAACGTTGCACCCTGCAAACCAACACGCCAGCGGAAGTACTTTTGAGCCTTGCGTTTGTTACCAGATCTAACATTCTGGGCAGCTAAAATAACAGCCACGGTTGTAGCAAGAGTACCCAACGGCACAAGCGGTTGCTGTTTGCAATGATAAATCATTTTTTCGTAAAACGTCATGTTGTCGACGTCCTGATCCGCGTTGTCGAAGCTTGATGGAATGTGGGACATTTTGGCTGGGTTTTGGTGACAGCTTTTGTTGTTTTAGGTGTCGGACTTTTCAGTATAACGCTTAGTTTTCATATTAAACAGTGAATTTGAGACGATCGTTCAGAGGCAATTTATCGGCCATTTTAGTCACGTGTGGGCTAAAAGTGCGGTGAATGTCGTCAGGATTTTGAGAGTTTAAGTACTGTTGAAAAGTTCTTGCTGGGTTCCAAGCTATTATGTATGCTCTGATTTGAGTTTGACGTGTTGGTGGCGAAACGTGCTTTTTTTACGCTTCATTATGCTGTCGCAAGAACCGGACAGATGTATTGGCGAATTAATTTAATTGGGTATGAGAGTTGTTTGAGAGTGTATTTTTTTGAAACTATCTGCAGTCGCTAGCTTTGCAGTATCTCAAAAATCGGACGGCAACGATAGTAAAATCTCCAGGTTTACAAACGGTGTGCCCAACGGTGAAAACTCTCGAAAACACCTGTACCAGGATTTTTTTAAAAACCCTGAATATTCCTAGAGCTGTCCACATTCTTGAAAATGTACTCACAACCCTGTAACCTCCCATCACCACACCGCTTTTGCCTTAGCATTACGGGATTATCACTTTGGTAGTATGCTGTCACTTGCACGAGAGAGTCATGTGACGAGATGAGATGAGATTCTAGTCAAGCCCTCAGACAGAAGCACGTCGTCGATCTCATTCGATTCGCGATTCTTTCCTGTCCATGACGTTGGTTCAGTCCACTAGCGCGAGGCTGGCATAGCTTGACTCGCGCAGCAACTCACTCAGGCCCCCACCCGCTTTTTCCCGTGTGGCTTTTGTATTAGCTCTCTATTTAGAAGGTGATATAACTTCAGCAGCCATGATCCGTTTCCTGCCTCTTATTCTGCAAAGATGAACTCCTTCATCTGCTGGTACGCGTCCTCTAGAACGTCGTTCACCACGACCTTGTCGTGGGCTCCGGTCTCTGCGTACTCCATTTCAGCGGTGACAGCGCTAAGTCTCTTTTCCAAGGACTCTGGCGTTTCAGTGCCACGGCCTGTGAGACGTTCCCGAAGGCTCTCGATCGAGGGAGGCGCCACGAATAAGAAACGCGCGTTCAGGTCGGTTTTCTTTACGGCCTGGACACCCTGCATATCGATGTCTAGAATGCAGCGTTTTCCAGCGTTGGTGACCTCTTTGACCGATGCCACGGTCGTACCGTAGTAGTTTCCCGAGAACTGGGCCCACTCGATGAACTTGCCATCCTGGATCATCTGTTGAAACTGCTCCACGGTCACGAAGTTGTAGTGTGTCCCGTTAACTTCACCTTCACGGGGTCGACGGGTCGTGGACGACACCGAAAACCCAAATGTCGTGGGGAACTCATCGAACAATTTCTTGAGCATTGTAGACTTCCCCGTTCCACTAGGACCCGAAATAACGACTGGACGTGACATTGTGCGACTTATAGACGAATAATATCCACTTTGGACCCGTAAAACGCTTTTATAAGCGTAGAAAACTGGCTTTTGTCGAACAAAACCTCGAAGACATAACATCGAGTGTTTACGCTGTACTATATATACTAGAGTCGCGTGGCATTGTTTTTTTTCATCAATTTTTTTTATGGCGTCCTATGCGATGAGGTTGGCACGCCTAACCATTCGTTCGTGTTAGCTGTGAAGGACAGGACAGCTTTTGGACAGTGAACGAGGGGGCGAATTAAGCGGGGGGCGGATAGAATAGGGAATTTATGTCAGAATAACAAAATTTGAAAATGCTGTGTGGCTCGCTTTTTCGAACCGAAACGCCCTTTGGAAGGATCGGTAATTTAAAGAATTGGAAAATAATCATATGCATAAGAACGGGGTTTGTTTGGTGTAGTCAAAGAGGGGATAATTGTGGGTAGCTGCTGTAATGAAAATATTGAGTGTCTTATTTGTTACTTAGTCTTGCGCTTTTTACAACAATGGGACATCCTGGGTGTCATGGTTGTTGCAATTAAGAAGTGCAATTTGTTGTGTGAATAGTACGGGATTTCTAATGTTTTGCGTCGCTGCAGACTTCCGTAGCTCTAGTGTGAAGCCGTCAGGCGATTTAATGGCCCTTTGCGGGAGTCGATAGATCTACATCTTTGGTGACATCACTTCGTAATTCGTTATCTGTCATTTGGTCACGTGTTAGGTGTGCCTAGGTCTAGCTAAACTGACACCGCTGGCACGTACACTCGTCAGTTGCGTGGGGGCTAGTATTGATGAGTCCAGAAACCGCGTTCGGTTTTCAATCCGTTTTTTCGGGCTTCTCCCTCTCTTCAACAAGCACATGTCTCGAAGAAACAAAAAACAAACGCAAACACCGTGTTTGCTCCCTCGAACGAGTCCCAATTTCCTCTCATTAGATATATCAATTCTTCCCGAATCAGATACGAAGCGTTCGCCTGTCGCCCAGCGTTATAGTTTAAGTTTTATCCAAGAATTGTGACTCAAGAAAGATTCGAACGTCCGTCGATATGAACTATATCACTAATCACGTCGCGAATCGACAAATAATGGAATATCCGAATTCACTACTTCAGAAGACACCCTAAACTGATTCTCACAACATCTTGAACGCCATTTCTGACAAGCTGACGCTCTCTTGACTTTCACTTCACAATCTACCCGAACTTGGTTCTCTGAATTGCAACTTTTTGCCACCCTTATGCGCACAAGAAATCTTCTAAAATGTCATTGAACGCCGTTTTAAACATAATTGTTCCTTTGGTGTATAAAGCAAGTCTTTGCTGGGCAAAAGGCGTCGTGGCTGATCCAGACGACGATCTGGACGAGCTTTTGCCTAGCCCGGGCTCCCCTGATGATGATACGTCTCCAATTGGATCCGGACCGGGAGACGATGTCAATCCAGTCACTGAGGAAATCTTCTCGTCATGGGCTCTTTTCATCATGCTGTTTCTTCTGATTTCCGCGTTATGGTCGTGCTATTTCTTGGCACAGCGGCGAATTAAGGCTGTCCACGAAACTGTGCTGTCGATTTTCTACGGGATGATAGTAGGTCTGATTATCAGACTTTCTCCAGGCCACTATATTCAGGACGCGGTCACTTTCAACTCCTCGTATTTCTTCAATATTTTGCTGCCTCCCATCATCTTGAACTCCGGATATGAGCTCAACCAGGTCAACTTTTTCAACAATATCGTGTCGATCCTCACATTTGCCATTCCGGGCACGTTCATTTCGGCAGTAGTCTTGGGCGCCATCCTGTACATCTGGACGGCTCTGGGACTGGAAAAAGTCGACATTTCCTTTGTCGATGCGCTTTCTGTAGGTGCAACCCTCTCGGCAACAGATCCAGTGACAATTCTATCCATCTTCAATGCTTACAAAGTGGATCCCAAGCTCTACACCATCATTTTCGGTGAATCCCTTCTAAACGATGCCATTTCTATCGTTATGTTCGAGACCTGTCAAAAATTCCACGGCAAACCTGCAAAACTGTCTTCTGTCTTTGAGGGTATAGGTCTTTTTCTCATGAACTTCACGGTGTCTTTGCTAATTGGTGTGATGGTCGGAGTTTTGGTCGCACTTTTGCTAAAGCACACTTTAATTCGCCGCTACCCCCGGATTGAAAGTTGTTTAGTATTGCTCATAGCTTATGAGTCGTACTTCTTCTCCAACGGCAGCCACATGTCAGGCATCGTGTCCTTGTTATTTTGCGGCATTACACTCAAGCACTATGCTTATTACAATATGTCAAGGAGAACACAAATCACCATAAAGTATATTTTCCAGCTGCTAGCCCAGCTTTCTGAGAATTTCATCTTTATCTATCTTGGACTCTCTCTGTTCACCGAGGTAGAATTGGTGTATAAACCGATGCTTATTATTGTCACTGCCATCTCAATATGTGTGGCACGCTGGTGTGCCGTATTCCCGCTGTCAAATTTCGTGAATTGGCTCTATAGAGTTAAAGCAAAGCGATCCATGGGTGTCTATGGGAACGATGCAGCAATTCCTGATGAGATTCCCTATCAATATCAAATGATGACTTTCTGGGCTGGTCTTAGAGGTGCAGTCGGTGTCGCATTGGCGATGGGTCTACAAGGTGATTTCAAATTCACTCTCTTGGCCACGGTGTTGGTGGTAGTCGTTTTGACCGTAATCATATTTGGTGGCACCACTGCAGGCATGCTGGAGGTTTTGGGTATCAAAATGGGGTGCATAGACGAAAACGATGACTCTGATGATGAATTTGATATAGAAATGCCCAAGCACATCAATATCGTTCCTAGCCCTATACCGACTTACTCCGATGAGACTCCACGAGATGAAGCCGTTGCAACATCTATAAGAGGGGAACAATTGCTATCATCGGAGGCAGTTCAGCCGTCATCGAGGCTGTCCTTGGAAAGGCAACACCTCAGAGAAACTTTGAGCACAATATTTTCACCAGATTCTCAATGGTTCACAAACTTTGATGAGCAAGTTCTCAAGCCAGTCTTTCTCGATAATGCTGCTGAGGGATCTCAGTCGAGAAGGAGTGAATCAAGTACTCCAAACTTTCTAGGTAGTAGGAGGTGACATCTGTGCTAAGAAGTAAAGCTCATGAATCTTCAACTTTACTCAATCATCCAGGTGAATTTGAATTTGTTAAATGCATCGTTTTGTATAATTATATAGTATGCTTATTCGTTGCATATCTCAAGCACCCACTTGCTCAGTTTCACAACATCGTCATCCAGATAGACATCGTTCAGCAGTTCATTATAGTTCAGAACCACTTCCAGAAATGCATTGATTGAAAGGTCGTAGAGAATTGTGATAACATCTGGCACGGATAGGTCCTTTCTGACTTGGGAGTCATTCCATTCCGCAAAGGCTCCCAAAGAACCAACGGATCTCTCCAAAATCTTCAAAACTTCGCCCACGGAGGAAACCACGGCACCCTTAGGATCCTCTTTCAAAGACTTGATCAGCAATGCCATCAAAGAAACAGCACACTCTGCGTGACAAACGGGGAGAGGTGCCAGCTTTTCTGCTTGCATTTTCTTAGATATTCTCCAGAGCTCAAACGAAGATAATTGCGGGGTTGAGTCTGCATTTTGAACTGGGAAGAAAAATGAAATGAACGCTTCTTTGATCTTCTTCACGCAGTCACAAAACACGTTGGTGATAGTCGTTTGGTGTGTTAGTATACGATTGTTTGCAGCGTTGGAAAATTGGAAGGGACTTGAAAACTGTAAACTATGATTTTTGGCAAAGACATTGTTGTTTTTGACTTTGATTCTGTGAGTTAAGTGTGAGTCATGAGGCTCGGGTGTTCCCGGTATCCTGGACTGGGAGCTGGTTGTTATTACAAAGTCATTTCCGAATAGACCCTCTTGCGTGAATCCATCTTCTAAGAATTCTGATTTTCCCAAAGGCTTTGTTTTGCGATAGGTTTCTTCCTGATGTTCCAATCCCTTCATAAATACTGCCACGCTGACATTGGTCTCATTTATCGTAGCCAGACACTCTTTCAAAATGCTTGGCCATATATACACATTTTTGTAGCGCGTGTGGTAAATTGGTAATCTGAGTTGCATGTCAGGAGATGTGGCCCTGAAAGAAAGTTCTTGGAACGCGGTCAGCTTAGTGAATGGTTTTTTTGAAGCGAGGCCCGTCGCAAGAGTTTCCATGGGTGTGGATGATAAAGACGAGATGGGCTTGCCCTTGTGTAAACAGCCAATCGACAGATACGCGCTAAATGCCAAGTTGACGAAATCCCAGAGTGTGTAGCTCAACATAGCGGCAACTGCGCTTTTCCACAATAGCCCAAAGCTCATTGTGCTGCTTTTTGGAGTCAAGTAAACTGTACAGAGCGGCGAAATAAAAATGGTCCCAAAAGTGAGCACGAGGCATTTGGTAAGCATATTTTTGAGTTTGGAGCCAATGTAACGCTGAGGATGTTGATGTTGGGAGCCATACTGAAACATCAATTTATCCAGATCAAACACCACATGCTGCACAACATACAGCGCCGGCACCAGCGCCCAGTTTGTGAGACGGTAGGCAAAGAGGTGCTGGGATCGCAGAGAGGGCCCATAAATGGCATCTCTGGCGGCCGCAGCGATGCAGATGTTGCTGACACAGTAAATTCCCAAGTAAACGCCGAACTTAAGCGAGCACAATTGGCCGTAGATCTGCGTGACGATGCTCGAGTAGCCTGGTGAGTTGACGTGCAAGTAATTCTTGCGTGTGACCACAACGAGCAAAACGGCCAGGTAGCACATCAATGTTTTGGCAGGCCAAAGCACCAGTTTTTTAACCATTTTTTCTCGCCCTGGGGCCCCACTCAGCGCCAGGATCAGTCCCAGTGCCAGCGAGACACTCAGCAACAATCGAGTCACCAAATGGTTGAATCTGGTCTTGCAGACATCGCTAAAAACAGCGTGATAGCTATATCGAGAGCTCAATGGCACATTTGTTCGCATTCTGGCCTCAAAACAACCGCAAATGTTCTTGTGGTGGTCTTATGATGCTATAAAGCTGATGTTTGTAGCGAGCTTGAAGACTGGTATTTTTTTGAATAAGATATATATATATATGTTATCTTCGTGTATAGCGATCATAATCTCGAATTAAGGACAATTTCAGTGTATGTAAGAAACATGAACTCATCAACAACAGCGATGTAAACAATTGAACAGACTTTAAAGCTCAGCAAAGCTCGATAGCTGGCTTTACATTTATATTCAATTGTTTTAGACTATTTACACGGACCGGATGGAGGTTTCGAAGATTGGAGGCTCAAATCCGGAGGATATCCAAGCAAAACTGGAGAAGAAACTTGGACCGGAATACATCTCGAAGAGAGTAGGATTTGGCGCAAGCCGGGTGGCATACATAGAGGGTTGGAAAGCCATTAATCTTGCAAACCAGATATTTGGCTACAATGGCTGGAGTACAGAAGTCAAGAATATCACTATCGATTTCATGGATGAAAAGCAGGGCAAGTTTTGCATTGGGTGCACGGCAATCATCAGGGTTACGCTGACAGATGGCACATTCAGAGAAGACATTGGTTACGGAACGGTGGAAAATGAGCGTCGCAAGTCGTCAGCGTTCGAACGAGCGAAAAAATCAGCCGTCACAGACGCGCTCAAGCGCAGTCTGCGTGCATTTGGGAATGCGTTGGGAAACTGTCTTTACGACAAGACTTTTTTGGCGAAGATAGACAAGGTCAAATTCGACCCTCCGGATTTCGACGAGGGAAACCTGTACAGGGCCGCTGACGAAGCCAACGAGCCGGCACGCTCTCATACAATCGAGCAGGAAGGCGCAGGACCGCCCTCCAAAAAACGCAATGTAAGCGGGACCAGGCCAAACTCCTCAGATGCCGGTGCGCCAGTCTCGGGACCTCAGTGGCAACAGGTCACGGCTCGTCCACCGCAGGCTGTTCAGGCTGCTCGGACTGCTCAAGTTGGTCAAGTTGGTCGAGAGCTCCAGCAGCCCGTGCAATCTGCGCAAACTCACAACTCCCCGCAACCTGAACAAGATGCCGACGAATTGCTGGACGATTCGTTCATGTTCAGTGACGAGCTCCAAGACGAAGAAATACTTGCTGCTGGTAACGAGACGAATACATCTGGATTTGACGCGAATCCGCCTGTCGCTGTGCAAGCGCACGCGCCCGCGCCCGCTCCACCAGGTGGGAACGCACCTGTAGCTTTCGTGACAGCAAAGGCAGCACCCAAACTCCAGAACCAGGCCATAGTGCCTGCTGATGGCATATTTGACCCCAAATTTCGAGCCCAGTCAATTCGACACACGGTGGATCAGACAACTTCGTCGCACATCAAGACTGCAGTACTGAAGGAAAAGGGTCTACCCAACCACAGAAGTGACATATACAACCGATTCGCCCCGAAAGGCAAACTAATAGCTGACCCAGATACTTCTGTGGAGACAAATGCTACGACTGCAAACTACCACGAAATCAAAAATCATCAACCCCAACCTCAACCACAACCACAACAAAATTCACCTCCAACAGATCAATTTTTGGCAGGAAAAAGTCGAACAGTACAAACGGGTAATTCTGTGCGACAGCTCCCTCCCGTGGTGACAACTGCTTTACCTGCCCAACCACAAGCTCCTAAAATCAAGCCCGTGGGCCAGCCTGTGGGAAAGCCAAGATTTACTCCGTCAAATGTTCAAAATTGAGTTTTCCTCAAAGCTTGACAATTCTCTCAAGCGCTATAACCCATGCCGGGAATTCGAAATGGCACACAAATGTACCTATCGGTATGTCGGTCCCCACTTACTGCGTTCGAAGACGCCTTTCTTACTTTCAATCGGCTCTATATCATTACGTACGCACTTGCATATTTGGAATAAATTGTTTCGAAAACCTCTGGCCCTTAAAGACAGCTACAACTCACACTGACCGACAAGCCTGCTCCTGATCCAAGAAACGCTAATCGACTTGGAAGTAACTAGATACTGATTCCCAATCACCTTTTCAAAACAAAAGGTCAATTTGAATTCCGAATTTTGAGCGCATTCACTGTCAGCAGGTCAAGATCTTCAAAAATGGTCACTTTGACAAAGTTGGAAAAGATCAGGAAAGAAGAAAAGGCCAAGGAATTCAAGCCTTTGATCGACGATCTCATAAACTGCACTGATGAAGAATTTGTGGAAAAACTGACTCGAATTGTAGAGTGGGATAGATCGAGAGATGACCTCTACACATGGATTCCGGTTCTCAACAGAATCGATGACATCTTGAATAAAATCCTCGATCGGTATTCCTACCGCAGCGCGAATCGAAAAACCGAACCCGTGAAACTAATCACTATGAATCTTAAGGACGAAGCATGTACCAAGGAGTTGTTGTGGTTCAGTTGCCGTCTGCTGAACAACAGCTGCAATCGGTCATTATATTCCTCCTTAGACGTTATGAGCCATCTTTTGAACTGTCCGAGCTATGGAGTCAAATTGGGCGCAATGAAAGTCATCGCCATCATGGGAGAGCAGCAGGTAGTCTCCCGGCAAAAAATAGACAACAGAAACCTGCTGGGCAACAAGGACTTGAAACGAAAAGCTCTGGATTTGGCACTAGCGCTTCCGTCATCTACCACAGATGATAATATGGATCATTTCGCTTTGGTGGATCTGTATTTTGATAAGAAGAAATACCCTTCCAAGTGGTCGAAACTCAACTTCAGTTATTATACGTCATCATCCAAAACGCATTTACCCACCAAACCAGGTAGTGGAGCATTAAAGCAGTTTTTGATGAGTGCGGAAGAGATTTCAAGCCTCTCTCTTCAGCAACTCTTCGACAAAGGGATGGCAGAAATTCCATCTGAGAGGTGGTTTGATTTTTCGTTGCAGGCCACAATTGCTAAAGCATTCTGCGACAACACTTTCGAGAATCTTGCTCTAAGAAACCTTATTATACAAACCAAATTCAATGCCACAGCTTACATCAATGCCGTCTACATTCCAGCACAAGTCAGTTCACAATTGTTTGAGGTCGATCCCTATGCTTTCAACACTTTAACCGACTTCATTGCGTTGTCTGAACGAAGATTACCAAAAGATTTGAGAATGGATGCGCTTTTCTGCTTAGAATGTGTGTCGCTCAAACATATATGGTGTTCTGATATCGTGAGAAACCTAGGTGGCAACATGTCACACGGGCTTCTTTTCCAAATTCTGAGATACATTGCAAAGCTACTGAGGGACAAGAATCATGAAGAACTAGATGAAGAATATAATGTCAGGTTTTTCTACCTCGTGTCCAACTTGGCAGACGTCAAAACTCTACAGGATTCGCTGCTGACGGCGGGATTGATCCCGAATTTGTTAGAGGTAATCTCCATAAAAGATTCACCTTTCAAACGTACGCTAGCATCTGCAACTCATCTCTTGGAGGTTTTCATTGATGATGCTGACGCAACTACAGAATTTATTTCAAACAACGGCTTCAATATCTTGATTGAATGCATAAATGAAGAAGTCACGTTTGCACTTGAACACCCAGAATTTGGAGAACCACCGAAGTATCCGACTGTGTACTATTCCATCTCTTTCAGACAGCTGGGTTATATTAGAAGCCTGTTGAAGTTGGTTTTGAAGCTGCTCAAGACAGATTCTGGAGATAGAATCAGAAATTTGATTGATTCACCTATTCTCGTTGCTCTCAACAAGATATTGGAAAACAGACCTGTGTTTGGTTATACCCTTATCACGTATGCATTGGATGTGGTTCAGACTATCATCAACACCGAGCCTACCATCTACCCCATTTTAGTGGAGTCAAAGACAATTCCGTATATCTTTGAACATTTCCAAGACTTTTTGGGACCATCAGGAGAACTGCTCTCACTCTTACCGGAAGTAATATCAGCATTATGCTTAAATGTCGACGGTTTAAATCAAGTCAAAGAGAAAAAGCTTCTCAACTATTTGTTTGAGATTATTAAGACTCCAGAGCTTGCAAAAATCATGTCTTGGGAAGATTCCGCGATAGATCTTGGCACCTCCATCGATGAACTCGCTAGACATTACCCCGACTTGAAGACAGAGATCGAAGCAAATTTTCAAAGCGCCATCAAGACCCTACCCGAAATTATAGAGTTCAATCAGCCTTATGTCTACAGGTCCACAACAGGTGAGGGAGAGTTTTATCGCTCAAAAACGGATAAGATCGTGGATAATGAACTCAATGGGTTTGAGATAGGAGCTGGGGCTATTGAACAACCTTTTTCGGTTCTAGACTGCTTCTCGGCTGTTTTCTATGGGCTTACGTTAGAAAATGTTTCTTGGGCGAGTCTTGCGGACAAAATAGACATAAAAGACATGCTTAGGTTGATTATTCAAGAGAGGCCACCTTTCGACTACGTGGGATCTCAGACCTTGCTCAATTTCTCGGACATACTCAAACTATTTGACGATGAACGCAGAAACTATGCCCTTCCGGCTTTAATGAGTCTTCTCTCCGAAAAACTGACAGAGCTGGATGACTTTCTAAATTATCCTTTTGAGAATTCGTATGTTCTATCTTCCACTTATGATGAGCTTGATGAAACTCTGCGCAAACTCTCAGTGATAAATGTTATTCTCTATGTCATAACAGACATATATATCAACATTGCGTCACTGTTTCCAATCCGGGTGCTTCAAATCATGGAATTCTTCGAACACAATGGTTTTGAGCTAATAACAAAGCTTCGACTGTTGTTTCAGCGAAGCGCATTAGAAGACATGTATATGCGCAATCGGTTACCAGAAGAAGTTGCCAGTGAGACTACCGTCAAACCGATTGGTAATACCCCACCATTGACTTTGTACGCCAGCAAACCTAAAAAGATGGATGATCCACCCGCCAAAACCTCAGCGAAATTCAAAAACACCCTTCAGGAGCGCCACCTATTCGTCAAAATGCAATCATGGGTTTCCATGCTTTTCAGATGCTTCTTGAGAATGACACATGCCAGGAAAATGACAATAGAAGCATCCGATAGGGCACTTGAGATAAGGATTTTTGATACGGCAGTTACCGAGATTGTGAAGATGATGGACTTGAAATATCTAGACACTCACTTGAGTTACTTCTTGGTCCTTTTCAACTTCAACACGTTCGTCTTCACATTTCCTAATGTGACGACCTCAGTTGGAGGGACTTTACAGACCATTCCTGCTTTCCTCTTTTACCAAAGTAAAGGCTACCAAGTTTATTTTGATGCAATCAAGCGGCTTTTCGCGAGGCTTCAAAGCTATGATAACGTCGAGAGCATAGAACAGTACGACTATGTCAAGGACTCGCCAGATGTTTTGACTGCAAGTGCCATCATAAACGCTTTGTCTTTTCTCAACAAGTCGATTCAGATGGACACAATGGAAAACATCAGAAACACGAAGGAATATTATCCTTTTGATGAGGTTTACTACAACCTAACTACTGCCATTATTGTCCCCATTAAGATTTTGGCTTTAGGAATCGTTGATGAAATAACGAGGAATTATGCTGTATTCGAAAACAGCTCCAACAGATTACCATATTCAGTCTTCAAACAGCTGTTAAGCCTGATTAAAAACGTTTATAACAATGCATCCGAAGGTGAGGAACATGAGCTTTACGAACTAAGATGGGATCTCATGCCTCCATCCCTACGGAAAATAAAAATGCTTATGGCATGTGGAGTGACAGAAGAAATTGCAAGAGGCTATCTGGAGGAACAGAGAGATGATTTGCCTATACATGTCAAGCCAGATGTTTTCTCTGACGACGAATGGACAAAGTATAAGACTCTCAAGGAAAGCGGGGACTGGCACACTGATCTGAGGGTGTTAGAACCTCAGTACAAAACCTATTCTTCCGTTAGCGATCTGAATAACTTGCGCTCAAACTTCTACTCCGATGGGTTTGAGGATCGCATTTTACAGCTGCTACCTTCGTACCCTAAGCTGATTAATGCCATATCACATATGATCCTTCAGATTTTGAAAGAGGTTGACAAATCTCCCACCAGTATTGTCGCAAAACTTCTGACCATGATGCGTGGCATTCAACTTGATAACTCATCAGTCCTTGCTCCTATGATTCACCTTTTTGGTATACTTCTGAACAACAAAGGCATTTACGAAGATTGTAAGGAGTACATGGAGGAGTTCGTCTCATACTTGAAAGAATCTCTTCGTCCGGAGTACGTCAGTACGGCTTGGTTTTCAAAGGCCCTCTACGTTTATGAGATAATTTTTGCCAAATCCGAGGCGCCAAAGTCCAATTTTTCTGCTGGCAGTTTTGAAGAGAAATTCCATGTCACTTGCCCACCTCTATTAAGTGCCTTCGAGATATCAGCCGAAGTCAAACTAGAGATATTCAGTTCTCTGATCCGAGTGGATGAAATATCGGACTTTTATTCTGCCCTTGCGATTTCTCGCATACTTATATTATATGCCAAAGATCAGCAGTACGCTTATGAGGTCACACAATCTGGCGTTCTCTCAAAGCTTTTGAAAACAATTGGTGTCTTTCAAAAGTCAGAAAAGATTAATTACCTTGAGTCGTCATTTCTTCTGCTAGTTAGAAGGTGTTTTGAAAATGCAGACACTGTCAAGAACTTAATCCACTATGAACTCTCGAGGGCCTTCACAACGAGGGCGATTGGTGACTCAAAGGAAAAACCTAGAGATCTTGCTGGCTTAGTATCAGAAAAAGCTAACGTCGTGATGCGAGACCCAGATGTCTTCATCAATAGCCTCTGCGAAACAGCAAGGTTCGAAGATTTTGATAATCCCGGTGCTCTGCAAAATTTGAGCGTTCGTAGAAACTTGAAAGAACGCGACGAAGAAATGAGTGATATCAATTCTCAATCTGAAGGGAAATTGACTTTGAGCAACAGGACCGGTATAGTTCATCTCCTCTTGTCACAATTGATGGCTGCATGCAAGAAGGACTGGACTTCTGAGCCTCCCAGGGAAGATGAAAACGAAGACGCAAAAAAGAAAGACGAAGTAAATGTTGGCAGAAACCCCGTCTGTGCCTACATTGTATTCTTACTGAAAGTTTTGATTGAACTCATAGGCAGCTACAAACAAAGCAAGTTAGAGTTTTTGACCTTCAACAAAAGAAATTTGTACGTGGAAGCGCCCAAGCCGCGAACGACTGCCCTCAACTTTATTTTATATCAGCTTCTTGACACCGAAAGCCGTGATCAGGATAAACATTACACCGAGAGAAAAGAAGTTGTCGGAAAACTTGCTCGCGATCTTGTGGTAAGCTTCTTATCCTCCGTGCAAGATCAGGAAACTCAAAAAAATGACCCAAAGTTAACAGATCCGGACATGACCTATATCAGAAAATTTACTATTGAGTCCGTAACGAAGGCCTTGAAAACAGCTGCAAGATCCTCGAAGAGTTTAGAGACTAATGTTGGTAAGCTCTATGGCTGGCTTCACCTCATAACGTCGTTCCTAATAACTGATCGAAGCTATCTTCACTCTGTTCTTGATTCAAACAAAACTTACGTCGACAAGTATCAGATTGGCAAACTAATGATAGACATGAATGTTCCCACTACGATAGCTGAATGCATGGCGCTATTGGATCTTAACTATCCATTTTCCAAGCGTCTCTTCAACAAAAGCGTTGAGCCTCTAAATGCCATGAACGAAACCCGGAGTAGATTTTTTGAGCTCTTCAAAATAGAGAATCTAGATGACGATGATGACGTTGATGACGAATCTGAGAAAGAGGAGCATTCTGATATGTTTAGAAATTCCGCATTGGGGATGTACGATGTCGAAGATATAGAGGACGACGAAGATGACGACGCCTCACTCATCGGTGAAGACGATGACATTGCATTTGTCGAAGGTGAGGATGGTGAGATTGAAGTTGTTTTTAGCGACGATGAAGAGGATCATCGCCATCATCATCATCATCGTCATCATGGAGACGACGCGTCTGACTCTCAGCATGATGGGGAGATTGAAGATCTTGATGATTCTGACGAGAGCATGGAATATAACTCTGAAGATGATGACGACCTCGATTTAAATTCGGAGCCACAATCGCATGATGGTCAAGACGACACCGAAGGCAGTGGGTCTTCTTACTATTCAGATGATGAAGACCCAATGCACTTTGTCGGGGTTCACGATGACGTCAGTGGTCAAGTAATAGACGTGGACCTCGGTAGCTCTGAGCTGGATGAAAGCGACTGGGAATCTGGACTTTCGGAACTCTCTGGATCAGAAGATGGTACCTCTGAGGACGATTTCAATGAGGATGGCAGCGGACGAGAACGATGGTTGGCTGACGAGGGCGACATGGAGGAGGATTCCGATGAAGAAGGTAGAGGACTTTTCACTGGAATCCAGCACGTTTTTTCTCCAGAGCCTCAGTACTTTAGAATTCATGGGCATGGGCACGGAAGTCACCGTAGCCAGCACCACGGGGGTCGCCGTTCGGAGTTTTCAATGGTTGCTCCATCCATTAGTCTTTTGAATGGAAATCGGCGGTCGCAAAGCATTCTTATGAACCCATTGGGGCCGTCTGGACTGGAAGAGATTGAAAATGGAATCCTCAATCAGCTGAACAGCGTCGGAAACACCAATCGACTACGAAATGACACCGGCTACCTTTCAGATGTGTTATTCAACGGTGAGTTCTTTGACGAAAAATCGTCTTCCGGTATCGTTTTAAAGTCTACGACGGCTAGATGGAACGATATTTACGAAATGTTTTACGACTCCAAAACCTACGTCAACAATGTCATTCCCACAATCGTCGAGAGAATCTTCCAGCCAAGCTCGGACCTTTATGTGAGAAAGAGGAATGAGGCCTTGGAAAAGGATCAGGTACAAAGAAAGAAGCGCGAAGAGGAGATCAAATTGGCAGAATCCAAAAAGCGAAAAGCCGAAGAAGTGAATGAAGATGATTCGGAGGGTGGTAATGAGTCGGAAATTGAATCCGACCAAAACGCAGAAGGACTAGAACCTGTGCTGGTTGATATTGCAGGCGAGCAAGTTGATATCGCGGGAACCGACATTGACCCTGAATTTATGAATGCCTTGCCTGACGAAATGAGGGCGGAGGTGTTTGCTCAACATATCCGCGAACGCCGTGCCGAAGCCCTAGAGCAGTCAGTTACTTCACGGGAGATAGACACTGACTTTTTAGATACGATTCCAGAAAACTTGCGTGAGGAAATCTTGGAGCAAGAGGCCGCAGAATCAAGATTTTCAAGACTTATGAGCAATACCCATGAAAGGGATGACGACGAAAGTCATAACGAAAATGAACACAACAACGAAGAGGAAGAGGATCGCCCTGTGAAAAAGAAGTCTGAGAAAACTTTCTTCTCGCCCCTGGTTGATCGCTCTGGAATCTCTGCTCTCATGAGATCACTTTTCATCTCCCAGCCTTACTTAGCTCGGGAAGCTTACCATGAACTTTTCTTCCGCTTGTGTTCAAGCAAGCAAAATAGAAGCGATATCATAAACATTTTGATGCTTATCCTCACTGAAGGTATTAACGACCAAAAATCTATGGAGAGCGTTTATAATATGATTTCGAACAGAGCATTAGGGACCACAAAACCAGGATGTAACAGAATGCTTCCTATTGATTGTACGCCACTGACCCTTGCTAATCAAACTATAGAAGTATTGCAAAACCTGGTGGAGACGGAATGTAGGATGAAATACTTCTTCATCACCGAACATGAAAATCTGCTCATCAACAAATCGCCTTTAAAGAGCAAGAAGGACATTTTCACTAGAAATATGAAGTGGCCAATCAACTACCTCTTCAGTTTGTTCGAGAAGAAAATCATCACAGATGAGTCTGTTTTGCTGGATTTGCTAACTCGAATTCTACAGATTATTACAAAGCCGATCTCTACTATCGCGAAGACAGCAAACGAAGGGTCGCAGAAAAAATTTACTGTTCCGGATATTGAAAGGAAGCACTTGGAGGCAGTAGTGTCCGTCATTAGACTAGATGCTTGCAACACGAAAGTATTCCAGCAAGTTCTCAATATCATGACGCATCTGTCAAACGTTAAGGGAACTCAGGACATTTTTACTGAAGAGCTTTGCGCATTAGCCATACAGACTGCAGAAGTCCTAAAACCAGACTTGGATGCATTGAAATCAGAGATCTGTGAGGTTGAAAGCGGGGTTGAAATTAACTATGAAATGATACAGAAGTTCACGGCTCACAGCTCAGATCAAGCAAAACTTTTGAAAGTGTTGACTGCCATTGATTACATTCACACCAGTAAGAAAAAGTCAGGTGAAATCGATGTTGACGCACTAATGGGTCTTTACGATAAAATCAAGCTAGGCGGAATATGGACTTCGCTAGGCCACTGCCTGGAAAAATTCGAAAAGCGTCCCGCTTTAAGTTCATCCGCAAACATTCTCCTTCCTTTGATTGAGTCCCTTATGGTTGTGTGCAAGCATAGTAAAGTAAGGGATTCTAAGGACACTTTAAAATACGAGGAGAGAAAGTCTGATTTCAGCGAGATTGCCGCTGAAAATACGTTCTTCGCATTTACGGACCTGCATAAGAAGCTGTTGAATCAAATGATCAGGTCCAATCCGAAGTTGATGAGTGGGCCATTTGCTCTACTTGTCAAAAACCCTAAAATACTTGACTTTGACAACAAAAGATATTACTTTATCGCAAAACTTCGAACCAGCGCTCAAGAAAAACCTAAGCTGTCCATTTCTATTCGTCGCGACCAAGTCTTCCTCGATTCCTACCGATCGCTATTTTTCAAATCAAATGAGGACATCAAGAACTCTAAGTTGGAAATAAATTTCAAGGGTGAAGCTGGTGTTGACGCTGGCGGGGTGACCAGAGAGTGGTACCAAGTTTTATCGCGTCAAATGTTCAACCCTGATTACGCGTTGTTTTTGCCAGTCGCCTCTGATAAGACTACCTTCCACCCTAACCGAACATCTGGTATCAATCCTGAACACTTGTCTTTTTTTAAGTTTATTGGTATGATCATTGGTAAGGCTATCTGCGACCAGTGTTTCTTGGACTGTCACTTCAGTAGAGAAGTCTACAAAAACATTCTAAGCAAGCCCGTGGCCCTTAAAGATATGGAGTCCTTGGATCTCGACTATTACAAATCGCTAATTTGGATTTTGGAGAACGACATCACCGACATTATTGAAGAAACTTTCTCGGTTGAGACAGACGATTACGGAGAACATAAAACAGTCGATTTGATCGAGAATGGACGTGACATTCCCGTTACTGAACAAAACAAACAGGACTATGTTAGGAAAATTGTTGAGTTCAAGCTTCACACCTCAGTGAAGGAGCAAATGGATAATTTCCTGCTCGGATTTTACGCTATTATTCCTAAGGACTTGATTTCTGTTTTCGATGAACAAGAACTCGAACTGTTGATCAGCGGTTTGCCGGACATTGATGTTGATGACTGGAAGAACAATACCAACTACGTCAACTATACTCCCACTTGCAAGCAAATCAACTACTTCTGGAGAGCGGTTAGATCGTTTGATAGTGAGGAGCGTGCCAAGTTGTTGCAATTTATCACTGGTACTAGTAAAGTTCCTCTAAGTGGCTTTAAAGAATTGACAGGTGTTAACGGTATTAGCAAGTTTTCCATTCACAGAGACTACGGAGCTACAGACAGATTGCCGTCCTCGCACACTTGCTTCAATCAACTAGATCTTCCAGCCTACGATTCTTACGAAACCTTGCGGGGTTCCCTGTTGCTGGCCATTAATGAAGGACACGAAGGTTTTGGCATTGCCTGATTATATACGCTGTACAAGTCGTCAATATAGCGATACATTATACTACGTTAAATAGTTTACCTTGTTGTATGTGTTTTGAGCACTGACACAGAGCAGGGGTGATTTTGGTGTCACTGAAATCTTAATGTCATAAAATGAAAGCGAAACATAGATTTCAAACGGCGAAAGTTGCGTTCTTCTTGGCATTTTGAGTGTCAGTGGATGGAAGCCTTGACCCAGCAACCACATATGAAGCGTGCTTGGGAGTCACCTATACTCATTACGGTTTAGTATTATACGTTTTCCGCTCTAGCTCTTTTACATGCAATTCCAAATTTTTGACAGACTTGCTTAAATCTGAAACACTATCGCTCCAGTCCATATCTTTTCTAGCCCTGTCTACAATTCTTATAGCGAGGAGTGATGCAAGTGAAATCCCTAAAACAAAGCCCAACGCTCCAGTCTTAAGAAATCTAGCTCCTGAACTTCTTGATAGTCTGTTTCCAAGGTCCGACATGGTTTTAGGATGGTCAATGAGAGAAGAACAAAAAAGTGTCTAAACCATGTTTCAAGATTCTTTCAGCCGTATTTATACTTTCCTTTAAACCCCAGATTGGCATGATGGCAGTTTGCGCTTGTCGCAGGTCCGGGCAGTCAGCTGCTAAAGGTGACATCTTACGGTCAACTTTGCAAGCGAGCCATCGATGCCAAGCAAGGGTGTGAGTTAGAGGCATCATATGAAGTGCTAGACGCGCTTCAACGAAATATAATGTGAGCAATCATAGGATCGCCTCGTTTCTTCTAATGAAGTTCGCTTAAAATTCGTTATTCTACTACACAAATACTATATTAATTATTTAGGAAGCTGACATAAAAGCACCTTACATTAGTCGCCAAGTGGGCCTACCCACTCCCAGCACTTCATGATTTCACCATGAACCTCCATTAGTCTGCCATTCACATTGGTATTGTTGCTCTCAAGCTTTTTGACGACTGAGTTCCACAATTCGTTTTTCAGCTTGAGATCCACAACGTCATTCAGAAGAACATCTCTCAGCTGAACAACGCTCAGATAGGCCGGTGACGAAGACTCCTGGGAGTCAGAAGCACTTTTCTGCAGTTTTGCCACGACCTGGTGAGTCAGTTCTTCGATTTTCTCCTGTCTTCTGAAATACGCACGTAGTTTGTGCTTCACTGTCTTGACCGCGATAATCATTCCGACCACTGCCCAGATTACGTATTTGAATCTCTGATAAGTCTGATAAACTTCTCTTTCGAACTTGCATCTGAGACCGATGTACCTCTTGGATGTCGAGCGAAAAATCCCGTTTTGGCGGCCGTGTTGAAGATGCTCCTCCTGTTCCGGAAGGTCATCGGTTTCAACGACGACGTCGGTGTCTCCTGAAGAGTCAGTTTCAAGTGTTTGTCGCTGCATTGATGTTAGTATAGATGAAAAAGGAAAAGAGCCAGCTGGCTGTGCCAACAGCCAGCCTGGCTCTGATTGTAAATTTTTATAACTCACTTGCCTCCAGGTAATATCAGGTTCATGCTTAAGGTCTTCAACGACCTGAGACCAAAGGTCTTCAAATTCTTCACTATTGATTGAAGGAGCCCGGGATTCGTAAAAAATTCGGTACAAGTCCTCCTCCGTTATGCCACTTTCCAGATCGTCTGGACTATCACCACACTTCACATTTCCATTCTTGGTTCTCAAAAGCTTTAATGATTTGTCAATAACTTCCGCAATTAGTTTTTCCCTTCTTGAGTCTTTTGCGCAGTAGTCACTGACAGGGAAAAGACCTTGTAGACTCCATTTGGACTTAGTAACAGCATAGTCAGGTTTACACTTGATTTTCATATAAGGGTAACAAATGGCGTTTACCGGGCATGGCAAACAAGCAGGCTTTTGCTGTTCCAAAAATTCCTCCACCTTAGATATCCATTGCCCGCCATGAGGGTTCTCGAAAGTTGGTAGATTAACCTCATGACCACAGTAGCCCACCTGTATCCTCTGCTCGCGATACCAAAGTCCGAAGAGAATCGGAGTCATTATCACTAAATTCAGAGTGAGTTTCCACAACAGGCTTCCAAGTTTCCTAGCCCCGCACTTCACGCCAGCCACTACCGACCTACGCTTGTGTGTCTTCTGATGTGTGGAAGTTTCTTTCGCGTGTTCGTTTGCCTCTTCGTCTGCCACTTGGTCCGCTAGTTTTTCTGCTTCTTGTTCCAGCTCTTCAACATCTTCTTTCGTGGCCAGTTGAGGAGTCTGAATTCTGGCTTCGCTCGTCTCTTGCGCGAGTGTTTCCAATGAAATTGACTCATCGTTGTCTTCGGCTTGAGATGACTCGATTGTCTCGTCCTCAACAAACGCGCCGTCCTCTTCCACAGAACCAATTTCGGATTTTTTCTGAGTTTCAACACCGTTCGAATCTCCTTCTGCAGTTGCGGTTTCCGACTCGTTTGCGTCCTCTTGATGAGGTGACTGTTCTACCGCTGGTGAAGAGTTCTCATTCTCCAAGAGAACCTTGTTAGGGGTCGCTGATCTTGATGATTTCTTGTCACTGGTATGGCTCTTTGCACTTGAAAAAGAAGGCAGGTCTTCGAAAGAAGCCTCTACGGGCTCCTTCTTCACGCTAGCAGGTCTAGTTTTTAAAGGTGTATCGTACGACGATCCAGAGGAGGCTTTTGCTAACTGCTCTCTAAACTCAGGGCTGATCTTTAATTTCGAGAAATCCGGCGATGCGGTTCTGCGTTTTAGAGAGAAATCCAATATATCAGCATTGGGGGAAGAGGGACCGGGCGAAGACGAGGGCGAAGACGACGATGACGATTCGAACTTCTCAATAACGAGAGATTTGTGTGGCGAGGTTTTGACCGGGCTTTTGGAATGCACTTTGTCCACTAAAGGCGAACCTGTGATCTGTCTGTTTGCAGATTCTCCCTCAGTGACTACCGTAGTCTGTCTCTTTTTACCACGTTTTTTAGTTTTTGGAGCTTCCAAAATATTGCCTTGCTCATCTGCATCACCGAACTCCTCTGCCTTACGCTTCCTGGGCGCTTTCTTGGATTTCTTGGCCTTTTTCTGAAAATCGTTCACATTAGAGAAGGCAGAGTCCTCTGAAGAGATGTCTCTCGAATAGCTGGAATCCGTGGTGGCACGCTCAATGTCATCTTTATGATCCTTGCTATCGCTGTGACGCAGCAATTCTTCCCTCTTGGGCCTTATACTTTTCTCAAACAGCTCGCAAAGCTCAGACTTTTTGAGACCGTGCGACAGTTCCACGTCATTTTCCACCAAAATTCGACGTAATTGCGCAACTTTCGCAACTTTAGGATCGAAATCCTCATTCAAGTAATCCAATTCCATCAAATCTGGGCGAATTTGGACTTGAATTGAGGTCGGTTGATGCTACTGTTTACACGTATGTCAATCGGTGCACAGATTTCTGCAATTCTTATACATTGTTGAATATTTAGGACAAAGAGTCACTATATACGTCACAAAGTTGAAAATAATACCAATTCTGCCTACATTCAAAGCCAGGATCAACAAGCTTTATGGGGGCATTGAAGGCGAGAATGTTTATTACATGATACTAGGTTATGTTCCTTCGCAGTCTTTCCTTGATTGAGATGACATTATTAAAACGATGTGTCAGAATAGTACAAAGTGATATACGCTCTTCCTGTGTGTAGAATTAATGGGTTTCGTCGTTTATCGTTCTTCAAAACGGCCATGAACACCGGGAAAACAATAGATCTCGTCTTTTCACCAATTGCCCGAAGTTCAGACCCGCTTGCCTCATTTATTTCATCACTTCTTCCGTTCGTCCTTTCTGTCATTTAGTCACGTGTATTTATGCTTAGTTAAGTTTTATCGTGACGTCGGGGATTTATACATGAGAGTTGTACGTATGTGAGTCGTGAGTGTGAAAATCACCCCTCTTATGCTTATTCGTTCCAGTCACCAGGCTTTGATGCTGGTCAACTAACCCTTTTACGACGACATATCCCGGAAGCAGATAGAAAGGCTCAGTAATTATACAAACCCAAAAAAAGGAATGAAGAACTATCTCCAGCCTCCAAATCGTTCAATCCAACTATTCTCACAACTATTGTCGCGGCTACTCAATTCTTTGAATGCTCTTCGAAGCTTCAGATGTCATTTTATAATGTCAAAGGTCAAATAAAAGAAAATAGAAATTTCCTTACCGAAAACTTACGGGAAAATGATCTTTTTATAGCAAATGAAAGCCGTCAGAGAAAAGCTTCAAACTTGATCCCAACCACCCGTTTAATGCACTAGCCTTAGGGCTTTTGGGTCTTCCAGAGTTCTCGGTTCATCACCATCTACGGATACATATACAATTATTAGGACCCTCTCTACAAACCAATATCATCAATCTTCTTTCTCAACTAGATCTCTCAAAACATTTGAGCATTTGAGGCATCAAGAGAGCCTTTTATCTAGTAGTTTCCAACTTCATTACCTGCTTGCCACTTTTAAGAACTTATAAATTGTGAGTTGGAACCTCGGCCAGAGATAGATCTTTCCACAACCGTCGAACAGTTTTCCATGTCTGGGCTTCCTATTGTCAGGGAAACGTCGCGTGAAGACTATAGTCCCAGTCCCTTTAACAGTTCCGAAGAGCACAGGACTGAGACTATGGAATTGGAAAAGCTGAACTTGACCGACGCTTCACACGATGACGACGACGATCACACCCAAGGCGAACCAACCAATTTTTCCTTCCATGAGAACAGGTCACTTTTTGACCAGGGCAGCAAGATTTCTGCATTACAACACCTTCAGCACCATCAATCGTGCTCAGTCGCATCATCTCCAACTGGAAGAAGGCTCTCTGTTTCGGCACAGAGTGCCTTGCCCGAGCCACCCTCTCTGCAATTTCATCAGGACAACGACCGTCACGCTTCGGCTCGCTACAAGATGGGTATGGTTATAGACGAAGACCAGCAACTTTCTGATGTGCCTTCCGCCGAACTCGTCGATCTCTATTCCAAAGTCCAGGATTGCCGTAAGCTCAGACACAAATATCAAACCCTGTCCATGCAACAAGAGCCGCAACAAAATCCTAAAAACCGGCCAGGCTGGAAAATTTACCCTCCGCCACCCAAGCCCACTTATAACGCGGAGACTAAAACCGTCAAGAAAGTTGATAATCGTCCCGATGTCGAGATCTTCGATTTTTCGGCAATTGAAATCCCAGGTGAAGACAAGGATTGGAATTTCGAGACTAATGACGACGATGTTTTTGTGGTGTCGAGCGCATTGGATCCGTCCAACCTTGCATCGGAGGTTCCAACATTACGGCAATACTACAAAGATCTAGACGCCTTGGTGACTATCTCGTCCGATGGACCCTCCAAATCATTTGCCTTCAGAAGACTCCAGTACCTTGAAGCGCGCTGGAACCTGTACTCCTTGTTAAATGAGTATCAAGAGACCTCAGTGTCCAAAAAAAATCCCCACAGAGATTTTTATAACGTGCGTAAAGTCGACACTCACGTTCACCACTCCGCTTGCATGAATCAAAAGCACCTGCTACGTTTCATCAAATATAAGCTAAGGCACTCGGGTAACGAAAAGGTCATTTATAGAGATGGAAAAATCCTGACCTTGGATGAGGTATTCGAGTCTTTGAATCTTTCTGGGTACGATTTGTCCATCGATACACTGGACATGCATGCTCACAAAGATACTTTCCACAGATTTGACAAGTTCAATCTCAAATACAATCCAATCGGTGAATCCCGTCTGAGAGAGATCTTCTTAAAAACTGATAACTACATCAAAGGCACCTACCTGGCTGATATAACCAAACAAGTCATCTCGGATCTAGAGAACTCGAAATACCAAATGTGCGAGTACAGAATCTCCATTTATGGCCGTTCTATTGACGAATGGGACAAATTGGCCGCATGGATTGTTGATAACAAAGTTATCTCCCACAACGTAAGATGGTTGGTTCAAGTTCCCAGACTGTACGATATCTACAAGAAGACCGGCCTGGTTTCAAACTTTCACAACATAACGAAAAACCTGTTCCAGCCGCTATTTGAGGTCACTAAAAATCCCCAATCCCACCCAAAGCTACATGTGTTTTTGCAAAGGGTTATTGGCTTTGACTCCGTCGATGATGAATCCAAGGTTGACCGTCGGTTTCATCAGAAGTACCCTAAACCTTCTTTATGGGAGGCTCCTCAAAATCCGCCTTACTCTTACTACCTATACTACCTATATTCGAGTTTGACATCCTTAAACCAGTGGAGATCCAAGCGTGGATTCAACACCTTCGTTTTGAGACCGCACTGTGGCGAAGCGGGTGATCCCGAGCACCTCATTTCTGCCTACTTATTGGCACAAGGTATATCCCATGGTATACTGCTGCGGAAAGTACCATTTGTCCAGTATTTGTATTACTTGGACCAGATCGGTGTTGCAATGTCTCCACTTTCGAATAATGCACTTTTCCTGACCTACGATAAAAACCCGCTTCCTTATTACTTCAAAAGAGGACTCAATGTGTCCCTGTCAACCGATGATCCGTTGCAGTTTTCGTACACCCGAGAGCCACTGATTGAAGAGTATTCGGTCGCCGCACAAATTTACAAATTGTCAAACGTAGACATGTGTGAACTAGCCAGAAATTCCGTCATACAAAGTGGTTGGGAATCGCAGATCAAACGGCACTGGATTGGGAAAAGCTTTGAGGAGGAAGGCATCCATGGTAATGACGTTGAAAAAACCAACGTTCCGGACATTAGAATCAACTATCGTCATGAGACATTATGCACCGAATTGGAACTCGTGGAGCACTATGCCCAGTTCCAAGCTAAAAAATGATGGATACGACGTCAGCTTTTTAAGTACAAGAATCGAAATATTTTGGTTATCTCTTATTTATCTCTTAACAATCTATTTCGAAGTTTGGTCGCCGTAGGCTCTGAATGTTGTCAAATAGTCCCCATTTGCAATTCTATTTTGCAAAGTCTCCAGGAATGAATCCGAGACCTCTTCGATATATGATTGCAGAGCGTCTTCATACTCAAAAGAGAGAGACTGGTGATATTTGACGTTGCTGCCAACTGGGACAAGCCACAGCCAAATGTGTGCTCCCAAAAACTCCTTCAGATTTCTGAGGACATTATGTTTATTCCAATAATCTTGAGCATCTAAAGCCTTGAATTCAAACACGTAGCGCATTCCATCTGTTTCGTTAAGATAGCAGATCCAATTTTTTGTGGCCTTTGATCGGCGTTTGGTGGCTATCACTTCTAGAGACGTTCGATTGACAGACATGTAGTAAATGTGAGACAGTGATAGCGGCCCCACCATAAGTGTGACCATACAGCTGAGTGCCAAAACTACTAGAATATTTGGATTGACTCGTGGAATTGTCTTGCGGGATGCTATTATGCGAGGCAAGTAGCTTGCTGTCGAGGCTATCACCAAAATGCAAAAGCCCCACAGGTACAATGAATATTGGACAAATAAACGATAGTTTCTCCGACCCACAACAGTCCCTATCCACATGCAGTAGTGGTCAAATCTAGGAACACAGTACCCCAATGTCGAAGAATGATGTGCACGATTGGCTTTAATGCTTTGACACGCAGTACACCACAAAGGATAGCCCTGTGGGTCGCACTGATAAACTCTTGGTGGAACAATCGTTTCAATGGCCCTTCCATCGGTACTTTTGCCACTGGACTGATCGTCTTCGGAGCCAGTGCCAGCACTGTCAGGTAATATACGAAAGGGCAAAACTTTTGGTTGTTTTCCAGGTCCCAGGATCACCAATTGAATCCATGCAAATATCACTACCAGTGCCAGAGTTACCGCACCACATATGAGTCCCACAGCAACGGATTTTTGCCCTAGCTTTTGGTGTATTTCATTGTAGCACAATTCGTAACAATAACCCCAGCTGGCATACGCAAGCAACACTAAAACGACAGCCGGAACTGAGGCCCTGAACCACCAAAACTGCTCTAGCCGCATTCAATGGCGGTGCTAGCGAATGGGTAAACACCTGGTTCGGCCAGATTTGTCAGAAACAAAGTTGATTGTATATTTGTATAAGAATGAGTATAGACAATTAATAAACCAAATCACTCTATCATAGGATTATAATCCTAAAGTTGAACTCGACGCGAGGAAAAAAGACTAGTTAAGGCCTGAAGCGGCAATAATACGGTCAAAAACATAATCTAAAGCTCAAGAGCTTTCGAATCCTACCTCGCCTGCCCCAGAACTTCAACATGGTGGTGGATGACGATGAAAAGAAAGATATGTGTCCGATCTGTAAGACAGATCGATACCTGTCGCCCGACATGAGGTTTCTAGTTAATCCTGAGTGCTACCACAAGATTTGCGAATCTTGTGTAGATCGAATATTCAGTTTGGGACCAGCACAGTGTCCGTATGAAGGTTGCGACAAGATTTTAAGAAAGAACAAATTCAAGACTCAGGTTTTTGACGACGTCAAGGTAGAGAAAGAGGTGGACATCAGAAAAAGGGTCTTCAACGTGTTCAACAAGACACTTGACGACTTTGACGGTGATTTGCAAGCCCACAATAAGTATCTTGAAGAAGTCGAGGACATCGTCTACAACCTGGATAATGGGATCGAAGTTGCCAGCACAGAGGAAAAACTGCGTACTTATGAGGAACTGAATAAGCAATTAATCATGGCTAACATCAAGCGGAGTCGACAAGACCTGGATAGTTTCGAGCAGCGACAGAAGTTTGAGAAAGAGATGAAACTGAAAAAGCGGCAGCTGGAGCGGCAAATCGAGGAGGAAGAGCTTGCCAACCGCGAGTGGGCGCGCAGAGAGATCATTAACCAGATTTCCACCGCAGAGGACCCCGAAGATGTGATAGCACACGTCAAAAAGACGGTAAAACTGAAAAAGTCATCTGCACGGCGGAAACTGGAAGATCTCAATAAAGTGCTGAAGAACAATCCTTACATGACGGTGTCAAACGGACTGATGAAGAAAAAAGATGTGAAGCCTTTCACGCCCTTCAACGGGGACAGGGAATTACACAAGCGGTACGTACTTTCTGAGTCCCACTACGACGATCCTTTCATCAAGTCCTTGCAGAGCAAGAAGGAATACATTGCGTCGGGCTTTCGTGCCGATCTCATATACGATCGTATGCTGACAGAGGCATTCATGGGACTGGGCTGCATAATATCGGAGGAAATGCAAACCACACAGCTGAGCAGTGTGTCTTGATGATACGATGAGTGACAATTGCGAGCCCGTTAGGACCAAGAGCACGAGGTCCGTTATTCATAGCCCACGCAACTGAATGGCGTTCACCAGGATTTGAGAGAGCTCGCATACAGTAAGCTGGGAACAGTCGCCGCTTAGTTTGTAGTTCTGCATCGAGTATTATGTTAGTAAGTCGGTCATGATGCCGGCTATAACAAGTAGCCAATATAATGCTCCATTTTAACCAATGCATTTACAATTGATATTACGCACCTTTTTGATAGTCTCTCGATTGAGTGTAGTACTCAAATTCTCATCTGAGAGTTCGATTTCATTGCCCTTCACCTGTTCTTTGAAGACAGTCTCTGAAAATGGGCTTTCTGACTTGTTCGTCACTGCTAAGCACACAATGTTCTTGGAGTCTTCTTTAATGCCAAATCGCTTAAAAGCCTCTGCTATGTTCGAAGTTGGGGACAATGACAATATGCACTCGGAATTCAGGGTCTTAGTTCTCAGCCGGTTATATTTACATTCCACCAAAGCCTTGTAAACAGCACAGAATAGCTGTTCTAAGCTGCAAATTGTCGAGGCATCGATCATTGCAAAAGGCATAGTTGCAACTTGTGCTCGAAGGTCTTCCGTATTTTGAACATCGGTGAAAAGACTGGCGTGAATCTCAAAGGAATCGAACTGCGGAATCGAATGTCTAAGCATCTCAATGATTTAGTTTGTTGAGCTTTGGATTGGAGATGAAGTTATTTAAACAGTGATCATAATGATGTGTGAAATTCTACTACGCAGTCAATGAACAGATAGCATCCAAAAAGGCATGAATTATGGATAGTTTGGCGTCAATTAGCCCCCAGGACAGCGGAAAAGAGACGAAAAGCGATCTTGCCAAGAGAAATGACGCTGTAGAAGGCCCAAAAGATGAGATAGCACAGCTTCTAAACAAAGCGCTTCCTATTGACAACAACGAAGAGATGAGACGTGAACCTGAGATAGTGACACTATATGAGCTGCTTGATGTTGCTCCCCATGGTAGAAAGCTAAAAAATGATCTCTTTTCAACCTTTCATGGCAATACAAGTGTATTCCAGCATTATGGTAAAAGCTCCATTAATAGGCACTTGGTGGACACTGTAGACAGTTGGATTGTTGAGAAAGAGGAGTTGGCGGGCGAAACAGGTGGATTGCGTGCGGCATCGCGTGGAGAGTATTCCTCTGCCATTTTTTCATGGAGCTCAGCCAATAAGGACAAGAAGAAACTGAGCTCATCGCAAGGCAAGGGACACACCTCTTCTAGCGGAGACCATGGACCGCGCCTTTCTTTGAACCAAGCACTCCAAAAACAAGCTAACGCGGGTATAAGCGAGTTTCTCACGCAACGACGAGTTCAGGAACGCTCGCGAGAAATCGAAAAGCTCGCCAGCACTAAAACCGTGTCCATCACCCCCAGCTCTTTCAAAGTCGACCCGTTGCTAAAGTTCGAAGCCCACGCATTGCCGAAACAGAAGAAACAAGACGCAGCGAAGCGCCAACGCCAACAGCAGAAGAAGAAAAACAGACTAAGCAACTTGTTTTTTTGGAAGGGTTCGTCGACCAGCGAAAAGTCCCACCACGAGCCGAAATCGCCAACACCGTTGAAACCTGCACCCGAACCGATTGAAATACATGCGAATCCTGTTGAAAACTACAGTCCCACCCACCAACATGACCAGTTGTCGTTTGAAGCTTCCATGTGCGAATCGTTTGGCGACAATAACTCTGCATTTGGCGAATTTGAGTCAGCATGCGCGTCACCACCAGTAATAGAGGCCACTGAAGCAAAATCACCGATCGAGGCCGGTCCTCGTGGCTCAAACACCTTTGTGATGGACTCATTCACGCCGCTCCGGCCAAAGAAGAAATGCTAATCCGCCTTTCGTCTTTATTATAACATAAATTTGCATACAAACACCTATACAACTCCGTCGTTGCCCCTACTTGATATTTCCAAAAGTTAGAGGCTTATTGCCTGGAAATGAGCTGTGGCCCCTACCCTGTTGGGGCTTGAAATGAAATTTACGGGATTGACGATCGCTGTTTTCAGAACTAGAGCTATTTAAACTAAAATTTGGGGGTTTGGCCGATTCATGACCTTGTTTAATAGCCTCCTCATACGAAGGAGGCTCGCTGGGTATCTCACTGTTACCTTTTCCCATTCTCAAGCCACGCCAGAGCTCTCTGTTACGTCGGATTCGAATGGGGAAGGGTTCACGATCTCTACAGCGTGCACTTAAACTAAACTCCGGGCCTGTATGTCATTCACGTGACATACGAGAGTTTATCTGTCGAAAAATGGCGAGTTTTGACTCTTGTGGGTGGATTTGGTGGCTCTAATCGGGCCCATATCAGTGTCCAGACACGTTTATTGAGCTCCCGATTATCGAGAATGATTTTGTCATTTGATTAGTGAGAATGAGCGATAAATTGAGTATTTCAAAATCTTCAACTGCTAGACAAACTGCGAGTTGCAATGCTATTATTGAAAGCCGTGATTTTAAACATCACATCAAGCTCAAGTGAACCAAGGGAGGGATTTGGTGAAATCGAAGATCAAAAGGTTTCCATTGTCTTGCGTGTCAGAATAGTACAGAGTGATATAGATAATTACAACAGCGAAATTGATCAAACTGCAAGTGGCGTCACAAACACATGTCATATGCCGTGCTTAAATGCGAGTCTGGTACCTAAGAGAGCCTCAATAGATTCCAAATGTTTTTCAAAATCTCATTCTTTTTCGTTGTTCACAATTCCATTGATTAAAAATACACGAGGCGAAAACTCATCGCTCAGGTCTTCAGAGCATATGAATATCGTTCCGGCTCCACCTAAAACTAAGAAAAAGCACTGGAAACATACGCGCAAGACACCCAACGTCACTCACCGCGGAAACTGATGCGCCCATATATTATAAATACATATATCACTAAATACGAAACAAGAATCTAAAATTTATTAGCTTTAATTTCTATCCTACCTGTTCAACCAAGACGATCTGCCAACATCTCTATTGACTCAAGCGACCATTTTACCACTAACACAATGATATCGACCAGGAAAACGACCCTCAAGCCCGCAAACAACATGGTTACCCAGTTTGTGCGTGGGAAAAGAACCAAAAGCAAGGGCGGCCTATCGCCCGTTTTGCAAAGAGCTGTCACCCAGCTGAGTGTCATGTCTGCTGGTAGAAAGCAGCCCAAAATGCTCAAACTTTCGCGTGAGGACTTTATTAAGCATCAGACTATCCAAAACTGCTGGGCGATGTACCAAAGAGAGCTTCGTGATAAGCGGAAGGAGCAGCTGAGAATGCAATATAAGAGCATTGAGCAGGCGATGCAGCAGCTGCAGCAGCTGGACCCGGAGCTCTTTGACGCCGCCAACGCCTCTGAGGCCGGGAAAAGGTTTCCGCTGGAGATGAAAGTGCCCACAGAGTTTCCACCCAACCAGGTATGGCACTACAATTACAAGCCCAAGCAAGATTAGAAATTTAACGAGGATCTCGAAAAATGTATCAATCCACCTACACAATCGCCGCAAACGTGAGACCATTCTGATCATCATACGACGCCAAGCCGTAATAACGAATAGCAAAGCACTCAACCTGCCACAATTCCACCCCATCCTGTATACTAAAACTCGGGAGAATACCACACAATGAATTTTCTCTCCGGGTGAAAAAGCTTCTTCGCTTTTTCTTTCCATATCATGTTCATAGCATCTGCGTCCCAAATACACATCAAAAACTAAAAGCTGGTCAGCGAACTGCAAGCGGTTGTTCCCATTCACTACAGAATGTTTACTTCTCGCATGTCTCATTGTCTCGAGCAGACCCGTATAACAAGATATTAAATATAGTATTATTTCGGCCTCTATTTACCATCACATCTCGTTTCATCAACACAGCTTCCAGCGACTAGAACGGCACTGGACCTGGCCATCTGTATTCCACTATGAACAGTTCAATTCAACTTTTCATAGTAGGCTGGTATGTGTGTTCTATAACGCTCTCTATCTACAATAAATGGATGTTTGATCCAGAGCTTGGATTGAGCGTACCGTATCCAATTTTGGTGACTTCTCTGCACCAATGGTTGTTGTGGGCCATATCGTGGGCTTATTTGAGAACCAAGAAAATTGAGAGACCAGCAGATCTTGCTAGGGACGAACAGCCGTGGAAATTTTTTTTGAAGTATATCGTCCCAACAGCGCTTGCTTCTGCCGGGGACATTGGTTTCAGTAATGTGTCATTCAAGTTCGTGGCTCTTTCTATCTACACAATTGTAAAGTCCTCGAGCATAGCTTTTGTGCTCTTGTTTGGGTGTCTTTTCAAGACTGAGCAATTCCGGTGGAGGCTCATGGCAATTGTGCTGGTCATGTTTATGGGTGTAGCTTTGATGATATACAAACCCGATACGGCCGACGACGATAACGGGGGAGATCACAAAGTACTCGGGGCACTCCTAGTCTTGGCGAGTAGTGCCCTTTCAGGGCTGCGCTGGGTATACACGCAGTTGATCTTGAAGAAAGGCGACTCATCCTCGCCAGCGCCAGCAGACACCGGAAATAAGACCCCGATTGACACTATTTATCGGCTTGCACCTGTCATGGGGTTAACTTTGCTGGCTACGTCCCTTGCCATCGAGGAACCCTTCCCAGGCGTGTTTAGCTCCCACTTGTTTTCGATGAACGACCGCATAACTACCGGCTCCGTGATGAGAGGCACTCTTCTTCTTGGAATTCCGGGCGTGTTGGTTTTTTTCATGACAATCTGCGAATTTGGCATTTTACAGCGGGCGCATGTGCTGACGCTTTCAGTCGCTGGCGTGGTGAAAGAGCTGCTCACTATTGCAGCAAGCATGGTCATTCTGCGAGAAAATCTCGTGGGGTTCCGCAATTGGGTGGGAATGATTATCATTCTACTAGATGTCTGCTATTACAATGCTTTCCGCTACTACGAACGAAGAGGCGAGTCATTTCCCGTCAACGACCAAGAGTCTGATATTTTCCTCCAAGAATTCGAATTGGAGTCTACTGAGCAAAGCTTTCCTGTTAGACATAGAACTGACTGAGAGGTGAAAAAAATGTGGAAGCCAAAACGTTTTCTCTCCCTCACCTTGACGGGCATCGTTACATGACAGTATGTGACATCGTGGTCTAAGATCGCCATATTAATTGTTCGAAAGATGCCACTAAACTCTGAGGGCGAAAAACTCGAATTTGGAACCGCTGAAAAGCGCACTCCACACAGAAAATTACGGGTTCGTCCATGGTAGAGTTCCAATCGAACTAAACTTTGTAAATCACCCACCTTCTTCGCTACAAACGCACAAACGTCTGTGACACTTCCAATTATATGAGTGTCGCAGTTCGTATTTCGCGACCCATAAAATTTTCATTTGAAGATTAGGAGAAACTCGACTCTACCACTCCTCTCTCCACAAACAGACCATCAAAACTCGATCATAAACTAGCTGTAGGTACCCGCTTGAGATACAATGCCACTAGCTTCATTTCTCTACTTGACACCTTTACGGGTGTTGAAGAGTCTGGCTGGTAAAATTGAGTGGGTGATCAAAAATCTGGTAGATTACCTTATCACTGATGATGGTGGAAGAGACAATCAAAAAATGGGCGTAAAGGATGAGAGTGGCCCAAAACAAACTTTTAAAAACCCAGAGGGCGTGCGTTCACTTTTCCCGAGGGCCAACAACGTGGATACCTCGCTGGATCGGGGTTTGGGTCCTGTTCCCTGTGCCCTGGATCTTTCGACGCTTCAAAGTCCAATGTCAATGGTTAAAACCCCGGAGGGCCACTTTGAGTGGCGGCTGTCCGAGGTTCCAATGAAATCGGAACAGTCCAAACTCGATGCTGCTTCGGGAACCGTCTCTCCCACAAGCAATTTTACTCCGAAATCAACGAATGGTGAAAATGGGTCTTCAAGTGAGGCCGATGCAAAAAGGTTCATCTGTCACATCTGCCACGCCGAATTCACTGTAAGAGGCTACTTGACGCGTCACATCAAGAAACACGCGGTCGAAAAGGCATACCAGTGCCCTTTCTACAAAAGCAACGTACCTAAAGAAGAACGCTGTCACAGACACGGTGGATTTTCCAGAAGAGACACGTTCAAAACGCATCTCAGGTCAAGACATTTCGTGTATCCCAAGGGTATTAAGAGCCAGGATAAGGCAAAAAGCTCAGGACACTGTTTACACTGTAACACTTTTTTCCAAGACACCGACGATTGGATCAGAAACCACGTCGAAAAAGGTGAGTGTAAGGGACTTCCGGAGGGCTTCAAAGTCGTTGCGAAAACTGGCCGGAAATCAGGCAAACTGAAGATGATCACCACGGCTGATGGTCAGTCACGGTTCATATCCACCGACCAAGCCTCAGTCAAGCCACGGGTGGCTGGCAAAAAGGCGCGCACTAATACCACAGCTGCATCGATCGATAGTCCAGGGTATCTACAGGGGGTGGATCAAATACGACATCTTGCGTCAACGACTAATGACCGTGAAGCAAACTTGAAATATGAAGACTCAGTAGGGAATGTTGCACCAACTGCAAAAAACCGGCATTTGGACAGAATAAGTCCAGGCCGTTCCGATGGCCCCAGTCCTGTCGTTACCGGCCAGCAGCTACATCCCGAGCCCCACTATGCATTCAACTACTTCACACCTCCTAAAACGACCCCGCTGGATGAGGCCTATTTTTCTGTGGATCCATCGCCTACGGATGACGCCGGTCTTGAAACCGTCAAGTCTACGTCGTCGGCATCGTCTCGCATTTCGTTTCATGAGGGACAAGAGAAATCGTTAGGCATGAACGGCAACGGCAATGCTCCTCCCTCGCTGTGTGCTCATGCGCCTAGCCAGGATCAGAGTGCTTTTTTCCAATTTCCGCTAGATTTCGATCAATGTCCGATGAGCTTTTTGGATTCCGGAACCCATCAGCCTGCATCTCAGACGCAAAACGGGTCGAATGATGTCACTGCGCTCAGCATGGAGATGACATCGCAGCTGCATGACCTCATGGACAAGCAAATGGAGGTGTCTGCTCTGAGTGAGAAGAATCTGCGAGAAAATCAGCAGTATTTGAATTTTTACAATCACACATTCAATTCTCATTTGTGAACGACTTCTTCTACGATACCAAGCGGCGAGCGGAAATTTCCTGAGACGGTCTCTCTCCCATTTAATGCATAGTCCCCGGCAACTCACGACGACATTCAATTCAAACGATTTGTTTCCTTCATTTTCTTTTTAACGTATAGGTTTTAGTAATTCAATTACATGGGTGTAACAAAGGCTAAATCAAGTCAAAATTGCGAACGCTTTTAGCGTGCAATAGCACTTTCATCAACAAAAGACGTTGTGTCTTGGACCTGTCAACGGTGTGCTGTATGGTTGTTGGCTAGTTAGCATTGTTCATCGTCAATTCGTGTACTGTGACAAATTTTAAAGAAGACTGAAAGTTCCTGAGATGACCCATCTTTAAGAAGTAAACACCATAAGACAGCTCTTCTTAAAGGTTGAAAGGGTCTTCTAGCCACGCAAGTGAATGAACTTGGCGCTAAAGTAGAATCAGCACATATCTTAGCGTTGGTTTGATGGATTTACGATGTCTACTGACCAGGAAGAGTTAAATTTAAATGAGCTCGTGGGAAACCTACTGGCAGCACATAATGAGCATGATGTCCCGTCACAGCTCGATAACAGTCAAGCAGAACTTCCAGAAGAGATTCCAGAACTTCCAGAGGAAAGTCAAACCCATGGAGAGCTCGAAGATGAAGATTTGGCTGCAGTTGTAGCGCAGGCCATAGGAGGTATGGAAGACCATGGCTCCGAGGAACCAGGACCGTTTGAGGCTGTGCAACATGATGGAGAAGGTTCACAGAGTGGGGCAACTCAGGAGGGTCCCGAAAGGACAATAACTAAAGAAGAGGAATGGGCTCAGATCTTGCAGCAAGGTCTCCTACAGGAAAGTCAACTAAATCCGCAAGAACACATCGATGACTCCATGAATATGGCTGGCACTGAAAATCTGGATCACGATGATGAAGCACTCCGAAGGGCGATTTTGGAATCATTGCAGAATCTCAACGTCGCTGAAAGTCAGCCGCTACCGGGAAAGGAACCTGGCGAATCGAAAGGCTCTCACAAGAAGAAAGAGAAAGGAAGCAGCCGAAAGGACAAGACCAAGGATAAAAAGACCAAAAAGACTGATTCAAAAAAGGACGATAAGGTCTCTTCCAGCAAAAAAAAATCAGCAAAGAAGAAAAAGGACTCCTCTAAGAAAACCTCCAAAGACCTGCCGAAACATTCGATCAGCGGGACAAAAGCCCCAAAACCAAGTAGTGATAACGATCTGCTCAATTTTGAAGATGTCATAAAAGGCTTCATGGAGCAGGCCAGCAACGATGCTGCTCTGCAGCCGAAAAATAACTTGCCAGACGAATCGAGCGTCTCGGGTATAAGCGACGGTATCGATGCAGAGACGCGTTCACTAGTCGAAAATACTCTTCGTGCATTTGAAAGTGAGCTCTTGGCGGGCCCGACAGTTACGAGCAAGAAGCCAACTAGCCGCAGTAAGAACAAAACTCAGTTTGCCAAGGCAAAATCCAACGAACGTAGATCGTACGAGGGAGTCCAGCCGATTGTGCAAACCTTACCACTAAGCAAGCCAAAGAAGATCAAACCCACTGATCACTCCAAAAAGAAAAAAGCCGCCAAAAAGAGTAGTAAAGAGAAGGATGAATATAATGAGGTCGACTTTTCTAAGGCCTTGGCGGATATGGTTAATCAGGTCGTAAACACTACGCTCTCTGACCAAGAACCTGCCGTACCTGCCGTACCAGCCGCACCTACTTCATCTGCTGGCGAGGCCAGACCAGAATTACCTAACAAAACCTCGGTAGTGTCGACTGGCATTCCCCCCGCCATCGATAATAATGCGGCACTTGAGAATGATTCTGCTGCAGTGGACGGAAAATCCCAAAAACCAATCGCGAAACATCAATCACAGGGACTGGAGGCCTTAGAACACCATGGTTTTGATCACCTCCGGCCCCAAAAGTCAATCGAAGATCAGCCACATCCTCAACGAGAGGAGGCTCGCCTTGATTCCCGTCGAGCAAGCTTGGAGGACTCTACCGAAGGTCCGCTCTTGTCATTTCCCGATGCCAAACTGATAACTACTACGAGCGATACCTCAGCAGCAGGCGATGGATTCGATTTGAATCAAATAATGCAAAATGCTATGACGATGGCTTTTCAGGGTCAAGTCGGCCAGCAAATTAGCCAATCTGACCTCAATGATTTCAACCAACAACTTCAGGGCTATAGCGTGTCCAGTTTTTTGGACGGAGTTCGTACGTCTGCGAAGTCAAAGAAGAAACCGTCCAAAAAGAAGAATATTGGGGACAAAAAGACAAAAACCAAGTCTTTAAAGAACAAAAACTCGTGGGATCAAGATGGACTAGGAAGTCTGATGCCGGCGCCTGGTGGAGGAGTTATGAATTTCAAAGATTTTAAAATCAAACCAACCAAATTGAAAGCGCCAAAGGTCGACAGTTCTGGTGTGAAGTCCAAGAAAAGCAAGAACACCAATAAAAAGACTATTTCTAGTCAAGAGCTTAGCGCTGCTCTCCACGCTACAGCCGGTTCTTTACCTGACCTAATACAAGATTTGCCTAAAGCACTAGATTTACAAGAAATCAAGAAATCTGGCAGGCCAAGGAAAACGCCCACTACTGTACCCATTTCCGATAAATTTTGGAGGAAGAGATATAAAATAGCGGTAACAGAGGCGGCCGCGAGGGCTCGGCGACAAAGGATGGATAGAAATAAGGCAAATCGCAAGAAATTGAAGGAAGATAGGCATGCAAGGCGCCAGGAAAGGCACTTGAAGCGAGAAGAGGATCGTTTGAATGAAGAGAACGAGAGAAAAGAGCTGGAGATGATAGTTGCTCGTGGGCCACCATACCCTCTAGACCTCCGTCTAACAAAAAAAGGAACGCCCAAGAAACCGTACCGCCGCTATACCGCGGACGAAATGAAAACAAGGTTATCGACAATGTCCGCTAAGTTTGCCACTGCTAGGGATATCCAAGCACGAGGGTTAGGGGTTCAAAGAACGAAAGCGCATCAATTTTCTGTCCCCAGGAAGGTCCCGATTATTGACTTCACTAATAGTGAACGGTCTTTAAAATCTGATGCTCATTCCAATACCTTTCAGAAACTGGGCTTGTATCCCCCTTTGATAAAGATACAGTCTATTGACGAAAAGTATGCGCCAGAGTTTCCTCAGCGTCCAGGCGACCCATTTATCACAGACCAAGCAGCGCGCGAGGAACACATGGTTAGACCAAAAAAGAAGAAACATAGTTCAAGGTATGAGTCTTTGCGAAGCCCAAAAACGGTAGTGCATAGAGAGAAGGTTGTCTTTCATCCACCATGGAGTATTCCGCAATTTCCACCACTTGCTTTGCCTGTAGCGCGAAGGAAAAAGAGAAGCAAGCTAAGAACAATCGAAGGATCAAAGAATTCAAAGTCAAGTCGCCGTGATGGAGGCAAAATAAGTGCGCCATCTTTTGTTTCCGGCAACAAGATAATTCCGTCTTCTCTTTTTCCAATTATCAACACATTGAAGGCCGCCGCGAGAGCGAAAGCCGCCGCAGGTGCTACTCCCGAGGAAGCGGGGAAGCATTTAGGCGCAATGCTGCGTAATGCCAGGCTCACAATAGCTCAAGTTTTGGCTCGGGCCAGAAGTCAAGGTATGCGCAACTATGGGTCGATAAAAACTCTCGATGATGTCAAACAATTACAGACTGGATCAGATCAACCTAAGATCAAAAGGACTCCGATCTTCAGCTTGAGCAGCATCAAAGCAATCAAAGAGCAGAACCAGAGCACAGCAACGCCCGACACAGTCCGAACTTCCGAATCAAGCCGTCCACCTCACGAATCCAAGAATCCGTCGCTTGAGAATATTCCTTCTGCTGTTGTCGCAGGTGACAACCCGAGCGAGGACAAATCTTCTAATCAGGTGCTAAGCTCACCTAGCGCCGAAGAAAGACTAAAAGGACTGGTGTCTTCAGAGACTACAAACGTGCCCTCTGAACGTGTCGTTGATAAGACAGGAATTGATGATGGCCCATCAAGTGAGGGGCAATACCCGGAAGCAGGTAATAATTCAGACCAAAAGAGTGATCAAGTACAAACGAACTCTGAGATCTCTCAAAACCAGGCTTCTCCTGATAAAGTACAAGACAATGATGCGCACCTAAAGGTGTCCAAACCCGTTCAGGTGGTCAAACTGGAGGATAAAGGTGTCGAGCCCATGTTGGCCGGTGCAAGTGAATTCAAGCAAAATGATGCACAGCGAATTGGAAATGATCTGCCTCCCGAAGTCAAAGTAGAACTGGCACGGGCAATAAATGATATTATGAATCCTCGCGAAAAGGCTCGTAAGAAGTATACCAGAAGGACAACTCCAGTTTTAAACCTTGAAGGCCTAGTGCCTCCGGCATCCTCCATATCCAGAATCAAACCAGACCGTGTGCTGGAGACATCCCGAGAAAACCATTTTCTAAGCGATAGTGCTACGTCTAGAAGCTCCACGCCCTTGTCTTCAGTAAAAGAGAAATCGCAAACGCGGGCGAGGACCCCGGTAAATAAGTTAGGAGGTCCATCCAAACCGGCTTTCGATACTAAATGGCAGTTCACCATTCCCACCGAGAATATCAAAGGGCAGCCTCTCCCACTAATTTCTATCTTGAAGAGAGCGAAGAAATACCTTAACTCCGAAGAACTAACACAGCTTAGGAAAGCCATGACGAACGAGCGTAAAAGGAAATGGAGAGAAGCCAACGCCAGCAAAAACAAAGATCATGATCTGAGAGCACGGCTCCGGAAGAGAGCAAATGCGTTGTTTGGTACTACAGACTCTGCACTCAAGAACGACTGGTTCAATAAAGAATACTTGAAGCGCTCGCTCAAGAAAGAACCGGAGAATGGCGACGAAACAAAACAATCTATTCAAGAACTTCCAACGAGTATAACAGACCATGAAGTTTTGAGTATGATTGCTTCTCTACTGGGAAAGGAAGATGTATCTCGGGCTATCGAGAAAGAGATCATTGACGAAGCCAATATGGTGGGTCCCGATCGAAAAGCCGGGAGGAAAAAAGTAAAAACAGCCTTTACCACAACCAAACTCGAGCAGTCCTCACTGCAAACACCGGGACCTTCTTCTCTAAATGATGCCGAAAAGTCAGAAGAAAAACCAAGAGATCATCCTGCAATTTCAGGTTCTAAGAGTGAGTCGCTTTCGAACTCTCAAGGCGATCAGCAAAAGGGGACGACGCAGTCTTCTGGTGAGTCTATCGATCCAATATTTTCGCAAATAACAAAGAGGAGTCGGCTCGATGAATTGGCATGTGCCTCAGACAACAGCAAACGCGTGAAAACAGGTACACATGTAGAGAGCGAGCCTCTCAAGAGACCCGCCTATATCAACTTGGAAAATACGGGTTGAAAATCAGGAACAATCAGGAACAACCAGGAACAGTCAGGAACAATCAGGAACAGTCAGGAACAGTCAGGAACAGTCAGGAACAGTCAGGATCAATCAGGAACAGTCAGGAACAGTCAGGAACAATCAGGAACAGTCTTCGATCAAACAGCAGCGCTTTTCACCGATGGGAACAACAGCAGCGAAAATCGAAGCAGTTGCTTTTATAATCGTTATCATTTGGATCATTGTATAAATATATAAAGTACAAAACGAGGTATTTTGGTGTTTGGTTTAAGATTGTTTGAGTGAAAGAAGCGGCCCATTGAACTCATCAGATCTTTTGTTCTGGGTTTCTCTTCTCCCACTCGATTTCTGCTGGGCACAATGGTAAAGTGACCATACTTTGGAAATCTGGTTGGGGAACACCTTTCATCTTTGACGTAAACTTCCATCTCAAAGTTCTAATGTAAATAGAAAAGATAACCCCGAGTTGACAGTAAGCAAAGTGCTCACCAATGCATCTGTGTCTACCACCACCGAATGGCAAATATGGCGAAGACACACCTTTGGAGATGGCACCGAAACCGTAATCCACCTTTTCGCTCGTACCATAAGAAGATTGGTAGTCATCGTTCCAGCGGTGAGGGTCAAAGGTTTGGGCCTGAGGGAAGAATTCGTCTTGCAAATGACAGTAGCCTGGGGAAACCAAGACATAGTGTCCCTTGGGGACCACGTATGGAGTGTTAGGAACGGACATGTCCCTGGTAACTTTACGGAAAAGGGAATGAAGTGGATGATGCAATCTTAGGGTTTCCTTGATAGTCTGGTTCAAAAGAGGCATTTTTTGAAGCAAGTCGTAAGATAGTTCTAGCTTGCCGTTTTCCAAAATCTCCATTTGTTCCTTGTATAGTTCATCTTGAATATCTGGTCTTTCTGCCAAATGCAACAACATCCAAGCAGAAGTGGCTGCAGAAGTGTGCTGGCCGCCCATCAATACACCAATCAACAGATTAGCAATTTCTTGATCGGTCATTGGAGTGCCATCTTTGTAAGTGGAGTTTTTCAACAAGGAGTCAATCAAGTCTCTGTCCTGAATATCGTTGTTTTCTCTTCTCTTTTTGATCAACTTCATGTAAGTGCCACTGATAGTTCTTTGAGCATGATCACGCTTGCGGTAGTGCTCCAGAGGCAAATGTGAGAATACAAAGTTAATAGGTTGGAAACCCTTATCCAGATCGGAATATAGATAGGCGAAATCGGTGTTGAGCATTTGACGCATTTCTTCACCTAGCAAAGAGCGAGAAGCGGTGAAAATAGTCATTTCGGGCTGGGTTTCCATGACATTGATGGAACCGGAGGAACGAGAGTTCATTTGGAAGTTTTGGGAGTTGCGGAAGTACTGGTAAATTTCATCTGCAATCTTGGGCACGTACGAACGGAACGACTCGGTGCTGAGTGCGCCCTTGACAAACTTTTTCTGTTCCATCAATTTGCTGTTAGGGCAGTCATAGATAACACCGTTACCGAAAACAGGCGTTGTGAGGTGAGTGTAAGCAGCTTCAGCCGAGACGTCTGCTAGTTTGGCATTTAACACAAACTCGTGACCCTTGGGGCCCAAGTACACGGTCATGACACGTCCCAGTAGCATGAACGAGAAAACATCACCGTATTTTTGTTGGCACTCTGCGAAAAATTCGTAAGGTCTCATTCCGTAGGAGACGGCACTGCCCACCCATGGAATCCAGTAAAAAACTAGCGGTACGCGATCTTTACGCATCGAAAACCACAACTGCCACAACATCACATATGCGAATGGCGTTAGAATTACAATTGACACCTGCTGCGCCAGCGAGAGCTGCAAAAACCAGCTCAATCCCACGTTTGCGACCGAAACGGTCTTGTAAATCAGCGTTTGCACCACTGAAGAATTGTTGGACGCCATCCTGAGTAGTTTAGATCGCCCAATGGCTTGTTGTATCGATTTTTCAGAGTGGTTTTTGGAGAGGATTCCCGAGACCATCATCTTGGAAATTTCACGTCTTTTTATACTCAGCTGAGCATCTTAAACGACGGGGTGACAGACGACAAAAGCTATACGACCAAACGAGCCGATATAAAACCTCGAGCGTCGGTACAATCAGAACAATGCTGAACGACAGCATTGTGATGGAACGAAGAGGTACGACTGGGTAAGATACGATTTCAGAACGTAAATTTGGTAGAGTAACCGGGCGCAGCAAGTGGGAATTAATTCTGGCATCTGGTGTTTCCCCGCGAGTTTTAATTTGACGGTAGAAAATTATTTAAAATTTACAACGGGTTTTGCAGTGGTACAATTGGTGCTTTAGACTTGGAGTACTGGCCAAGACTGGCCATGAACAATTATTGATATGCTCTTTGAACTTGTAGGAAATAAAGTAGTAATTTGGGTAAATTTGTTAATCCTGAGCTCACCCGTCATAACGTGGGATCCGATGGTGCTCATCCCATCGTTTAGAAAACGTACATCTGATCGTGCCGCTCGGTGAAGTATCGATGGTACCATCTGTCATTGTATATCACGTTCAACGGGTGTGTCGTTGGCATCACCACCGGGCATGCAGCTCGTACACGAACCAACAAATACAAGTGACGCTACCAGGACCGAGACCTCCGGGTATATCGTATCTGACTTGAGTGAGCTGAGTGTTCACTAACCGACGGCAACTTTAACGCACTTCGTTCTGCAAAAAATGGTAAATTTGACCTCGCACAGGACAAGTACCGTCACTTGAGTTTAAGGTAATGTCTTATTCAACTGGGTATTTCTGCCCCCGTCTCGCCCTCTCCCATCACATAAACCGAATCTCTGGATGGTAATACCGATCGCATGAGAAGTAGGATCTGCGAACTTCCTCCCAATTTGGGTTCTCGGGCAAATTTATCGTGGTATATTCGCAGTTCATACCGTAGTTCTGCACGTCCACCTCGACCACGCGCTTGTAAACATCGTAACACACCTGTCTGTCAGCGCCCAAACCGTTGAAAAATGAAAACACACCGTCAGGCTTGATCAGACCGACAACCGTGTCGTACAGATCTAGCATGTCACTGTAGTGCTCGCTGAAAGTGTCGTAGTATATGGCGTCGAAAAACACATTACCCTCGTCCAAAATTGCGGAAAGAGTGTCTTGCCAGCGTCCCTCCAAAACAACAACGTTGGGCTTTTCGTACCAACCTTCCTCTCGCATGTGCTTCAAAACGTCCGGGTGTGCTTCGCAAATGTAGTGCTTTGTAGGCTTACGCTCCTGAATAAAAGTGTCGATGATTCCCATTCCAAACCCAATATTAAGCACCACGGCATCGATGCCGGCATTTTTGAACATAGTGCTGCACGCCAAGCGCATAATATCAGTCTCCCAGTCCATCATGACACCGTCTTTGTTTTCTTTGGTAACAAGTGCATTAGAAGTGTATTCTAAGTCTGCCTTCAGATAGACGTCTTGGGTTTCAGCTGTGTCTCCCACAACTTCCTCCTGCTGGTTCGTTTGTGGAACTTCCACAGGGTCTGTGCTCTCTCCTTCTACAACTTCCGATTCCAGCTCTTCATCCTCTATAAATTCAATGTCGTCGTTCAACTTGCGTAAAAGAAGTTCGGCTGAGACTCCGGCTTCGACCACCCTTTCGTAAAGCACATTACCATTGGAAAAGCCACGTTCGCACAGTAAATCCCCAGGGCTCTTATTCTCATAATCCAGGAAATTCCATCCTGCACCGTATTCGAACAAAATGTCCACCATCTTTAGCACTATTTGACCCTCCTCCGCATTCAGACTATTAGGCAAAGATCGCACTAGTATATGTAGCGGTGTGGTATTGGAAGCAACGTCTTCAACATCGTCCTTTCCAGCTTCATGAGCAGCGGCTTGCTCGAGCGTGTAAGTCGCTGGAATTCCGCTCTGGAGGAGCGCTTTCAATTTCTCAACGTACGTCTCATTAATCGGACCCGATTCTAATGTTAACAGCTCGTGCAGGTTCGACATCTTCAGCTTGGTGCTGGTCTTTTCTGCGCTTGAAGTTTGTTGAAGTAAGAAGCTAGCTCATCTCATCGACAATCTGAAAATTTGACCACTGTTGGGCCGACACTGAAGATTTCGATGCTAGCGAGCGAAACGTTACAGTCATAAAGCAGTGTTATAAGCATATAAATACGTAATAGAATGAATATATGTCAATACTTTCGGGTGTCGTTCTCATACTTTCTTACCCTAGGTAATTCGGGTTTTTAGGCCTCGAATCTCTTCTCTGCCTCTTTCCAGTTGATGACGTTCCAGATGGCCTTGAAGTAGTCGGCTTTGCGGTTCTGGTACTGCAAGTAGTAAGCGTGCTCCCATGCGTCGATAGCCACGAGTGGCTTCAAAGGACCAGTAACGGTATCCTGGTTGTAGGTCTGAACCACTTCAATTTGGCCGCCGTTCTCGGCGTTTTTGACAATGAAGGCCCAACCGGAGCCCTGAATGCCGGCAAGCTTGGTGTTAGTCTGGGAGATCAAGTTGTCCAAAGATCCAAACTGAGATTCGATTTGCTTGGCCAAAGAGCCTGCTGGAGCTTCACCTCCTCCCTGGGAAGGAGGAGCCAAGTTTTTCCAGAACAAACAGTGGTTGGTGAACCCACCACCGTGGAATTTGATGTTCTGCTGCAAAGCAACGAGTTGCTTAACGACGGCCACGTCCTGCTGGGGATCGCCAGTCAATTTGCATTCCAAATCGCCAAATTGTTCGGAAGCGGCGTTGAACCCGTTCACGTAGGTTTGGTGGTGCTTGGTGTAGTGAAGCTCATTGATTTTGGCCGCGATGTGAGGCTCCAAGGCACCGAAGTCCCAGTCCAAGTCTGGCAAAGTGACCTTGGTTCTCTTGGCCATCATTGGGACCATTCCTGGAGCTTTTTGTGCGAATCTTCTGGCAAACATGGCGCTTTTCGAAAGAGAGTTTTCCAATAAGTGTAACTACTATTGCAACTGCCTATCTTCAGGTTTAGACAGCGTCCAAAAGCTAAAAGAAGACGGAGGTTTATCGTGGTTTAGCAATCTTTATATAATTTGGGAATTCTACCGGGCTAACCTTTTTTTCGGATTGATCTTGGAAAAATGATTGGACAGAGAGAAAGTAGTGAAATACAGCAAATATCGAAGTTTGGGGCTTACATTCGTCGCTACAGTGCACTAACAAATATGTTGGTTGACTTTAGCTTGATGAGCAGATTCTGAGGATTTTAACAGTGTAATTATTGCGTGTTTGGGGCTTTTAAAAATTGTCGATATTAAAGCGCAGAAAGGCGTGGGTCAACATGTTCTGGGGTTGATTCAGTCGGTTTGATGTGTGTAAACTCGGAAAATTCATGGGAAAATTCAATTGCTGAGCGTTTGAGACGTAGCAGGGCGCCAGTAATGTGTTGTAATTACTCTCGACGGATTAAGGCAAATGTAATTGAACTTGGGGTATGGCTGAGAGCGAGTGTATGCTTGATTTTGTGTTAATGGTGCTGGTATAAAATAGACAAGCCAGAAAGTGCTTGGTGAAAGTAGTTGGAGCTTCTGGTTCTGTCGGTGCCAGGTGGTTTCTTGGATGCCACTTTACGATGACACATTGGTACAAAGTGATTATGATATTTTGGTCATATCAGAGCTCGCGACACAAGTGGTAAGATTGGTATTGGTATCACAGTACATCGGGGTATCTTTAAATTTCGGGGTATCCTAATGCATCGAGTTCGATGTCGCCAGAGAAAGAAAAGCTCGATGCCCAATATTTTCACCACTCTCAATGCCAGACTTCGAGACTATATTAAAAAACGCTAGGGAATTCGAGCTGACCCTCAGGCCCCTACGAAGATTGTTGATTTCTTTCACCCTAAACTTTAACGCACAACAAAAGACCAAACGTTGGCCTACTCATCACAAAAAAAACATGAAGCAAATTTGGTGAGGGCTCTTATTATTTGTGCAACGAAATCAGCTTTAAAGGCTTACATTGGTGCTTTCTACACTCTCTGGGACCTCATCGGGGCCCATTCATAGGCTCAGAACTACTGACGACAGACTAGTACAAAGTGATATATCAAAACTAAATCAATACTGGAAAATAGCACATATAAGAGTTTCCCCTACACATCGATCAACAAACTCTCGAATAGCCCGCGGAAGAGAGACCCTTTCAAGGTTATGAGCAGCAAGCGAACACCGGAAGATTATGTGTTTCACGAAAAACTAGGCCAGGGCTCGTATTCGACCGTTTTCCGGGCTGTGGAACGCAACAACAGCGCGAGAAACTACGCTGTTAAGGTATGCTCCAAAAAACACATTATCCAGGAGAGAAAGGTGAAATATGTGACCATTGAAAAGGATTTGTTGAATAGTCTGGGTCGCGGAGGCCATCCCGGCATTGTACAATTATTCTGTACCTTTCACGATGCCGAAAGCCTGTATTTCGTGCTGGAATACGTTAGCGGAGGAGAACTTCTGAATTTGCTGCGTAGAACGGGTCCCTTGCCAGAAACTTGGTCCAGGCACTTGTTTGCCCAACTGGTAGATACAGTGGACTACATGCATTCCAACGGCGTGATTCATCGTGATTTGAAGCCCGAAAACGTGTTACTCTCGCAGGAGGGCAGAATCGTAATAACCGACTTTGGAGCCGCTTGCTCGATCGCAAATACAGTCCAGGACCGCTCTGCTTCTTTTGTCGGAACCGCAGAGTATGTAGCACCAGAATTGCTGCTCTACAGCCAGTGTGGTCTGGGATCCGACATCTGGGCCTTGGGCTGCATACTTTACCAATTGACGCAAGGAGCACCGCCTTTTCGAGGAGACAACGAGCTGCGAACTTTCGAACAAATTGTAGCGCTAGACTACAAGTGGCGACTTCCAACAATACCCCAAGTTGTGACTTTGGTACAGAGTATACTGGTGCTGGACCCGCTTCTGAGGCCCACTTCAAAACAACTAAAAGAAGACCCCTGGCTCGCCTCAGTTAAGTGGAATATTAAATCAACTCTATGGAAGGGTATCTGGGAGCTACCTAACCAAACCAAGACTAAACAAAATTTATATCAGAGGCGTCCGTCAACGTCCAACAGCCTGAATACAGCTACCAAACTACGGCCGGTGAAAAGAAAACCGGCACAACCAAGAAGTACAACAGCTATTGTAGAATGGAGACAAAAACTAGGACTCAACTCGCTGCCGTCACCGCCACCTTCGGCCGGCAGCGCCAAGTTTGCTGCCAATGCTCAGATGCCTCAGTTGCCGACATCTGAACCTAAGGCACCACAAAGTCGCCCTGAGACGTCGTCGTCTTCGTCTTCGACATCACTGAACACCGCCGGAGCTGCCACGAGCCCGCCCCTGCTAAAGCGAGATCTCATCAACATATTGGAAATACCCTACAGTCCCTCACAAAAATGTCTAACGTTTGCAAGCTTTTCAACCGTACAGGATTCCGTGATTACAGACTTCGTTACTCACAATAAGGATGCTATTATGAAAAGGTCGTCTACATGTATTATGACCTTAGACGCAAGAGGACATCTCTCAAGCAGAGAGCAGCATCATCCGATGAAGCATATGATCTCGATCTCCGACCCAGAACTTTCTATGTACGATTTTGAGTTTGATGAGTCCAGAGGAACAGGGTTCTTGATCCTAGAGAAATACAAATCCAAGCTCTGGTTTCTGTCTGCAGCCAATCCAGATAACAGCTGGCCTAGTGACATCGGAGCCCTAAACAGCCACAAACCCTGGGTCGAATCCTTTTTTATGGCAAGGAAACTTGAAGCTGGCGCCGGATCTCAAAAATCGAAACCCGTAGCCCGTTCAAACTCTCCTGGTTTACCTCGTAATAGTCCCCCTGTCGCTTTAGCGAAAGCGAAGCCAAAATTGAAGAACAACGGTGGTATTTCTCCTAACATGCTGGTAAGCTCAAGCCGATACGAGGTTCTTCATTCACTGTCAGGCCCTGGTATGAAGGGTACCGACGCTAGCAGCGGTGCAAGCGCTGCCTTTCGAAGTCTCCGAAAAAAGTAGTAGAACTGGAACTATACAACATCAATGGCTTTATGGGTAATGCATCAAGAATACATACTTAATAGAGGTCGACCGGCTGCCGTGTACTATAGCGATTGGCATTTGCTAAAGCCCTTAGTTATTCCTCATTATCTTTTAAAGCTTCGCTACTTACTCTAAGACACTCGCGTCGAAATAGAGACCTGGATCCAAGGCAGAGATATCCGCACTAGTTGCTGCGCCATCTAGGAGTAACTCACTCATTATTTTACCAGTTCCTGGCGCGTTATTAATACCCCAGCAGGAATGTCCGGAAGCCAGGTAAAGACCCTCTAAGTTAGTCTCTCCAACCAAGGGCCCCGAACTGGTTGGCACATTAAGGACGGGTAGATAGCAAGCTTGCCTTTTCAGAATGTGACCCCTGGAGAGATTAGGAGAGAGTTTCGATACGTAATGATAAAGCTCATCACACTTCTCACGCACGACCTCGACGGCATCACTGGTTTCTGGCAGTTCTACCAAAGTGTCACCTTCTCCACACACGTAAACTTCGTCCTTACGGGCGTACATCTCTGGAGAAAAGTAGTTATTTCGACCAATTTTCAATTCCGTGAAAATAGCGTACGGCGAAACAGTACCTGTGGATGGCTTTATGGTAATGGAATGTGCTCTGAGACCGGAAATTGGACAGTCCGGCAGTAACCTCGAAGTCCAAGGCCCCATTGCCAGTACCACCTGTTGGGCATCTAAGGTTTCCACCTCATCTGATTTTCCCTCGAATTCCTCGGAGGTTGGAATGTAAGACACACCCGAGGCACATCCCATGTCGTTGTATTTGATTTCGTTGACCTTACCCAGGATGAGATCCACCGCGCCGGTCTTCATGGCTTCATGAAGGATAAAATACGTGAATTTGTATGGATGCACCTGTGCGGTGGAGTCTGTACCTCCCAGCGAAGACCAGTCGCGCACAAGTTGTGTTCTAATCCAGTTGAGATCTTGAGGCAGTTCGGAAGATTGGGGAACGCTGCTACTATTCATTCCGCACGATTCTTGTATTTCGTCCGAGTCGGACCCTGCGCCTGCGTCTACAGTATTACTTGGTGCAGTCTCTACAGGCTCCAGATCTTCGTCGTCGCTCTCGTCGTCGCTATCATTTTCGTCGTCGTCGTCGTCGCCGCTGCCGGTGCGATCGCTTCTGCTGGTTTTGGCACACCGTTTTTTCTTGTTGGAAGTAGTGGTCTCGCAACTCTTTTTGCGAGTGGCCAACGTGTGCGATCTGGAATTGGTGCTCTTGTTGGATGCGGAGTCTTCCTTGTCCACCAGATCGCTCACATTCTGAACGTCTGCCTCTATTGAAACCGTGGTGAGACGACGATAGTCCCACTGATTTTCACCGTCGTATTCGTCACTGAGCTCTTGGTGCAGCTGGAAACTGAGGGGCACGATCTGCTGCGGGAAAGCCCACGTAGCCAGAAGCCCGCCTGCTTTACCAGACGCGCCGCCTGCGACTCGTTTGGACTCTAGAACAGTGATGTGGTGCGTAGAACTGTCAAAAGACGGATGGCGAGTCAGATAGTATGCTGTGCATACTCCTATGATTCCTGCTCCTACGATGACGATGTGATGTTTACCGTCGGCTTTTCCAGAAGGCCGGGGCAAAAACTCGACTTGGTCGATGGCTTGTGGCGAGCTGCTCATGATGTGCTGGAAAGACGTTTCTCGAGGAACTGAGACTATCCTGTTGTGCTTTCAAGTGGTGTTAGTTTCGCCAGATGACGTTGGCAACTGGTATACTGGAAAATCGACAGATAGCTCGCAGAAATACTGAACAAAAGAATCGCGCACACACGCCCACAAATCACAACTAAGAAATAAGACCACTTACGATCTCAACTCAATTTTTCTGAACCTTTTTTCTCCACACAGTGAAAAAAAAATAGTTTAAGAGCTAGCTGAAGATGATGTATGCTGGGATCTGAAGTGTGTAGAAGGATTGAGTTCGGGTGCTTTTTTTCTTCTTTACTCTGATATTGGGCCTTTTTAATATAAACCAAGTGTTGACGGATTTACTGTGAACGGCCTTGGCGTGGGGTGTTATTTTTCACTTTCCTTTTGATTCTTCTTCTTCTTCTTCTTCTTCTTCTTCTTCTTCTTCTAGTGCTTCTTCTTCCGTTTCTGGTTCTTCCGCTTCTGGTTCTTCTGCTTTTCTGTAATAAATGCTTGGCCCATCGTATCGTATAATCGATTCTTAGTCTTTCCCCCCACTCCTCTCTCTCCCTTGTCGTGTGACTCTCTCCCTAATGGGGTCGCACCATATTGGTGCTTTGTGTGGAAAAAAAGGCGCATCCAGTTGCGTCCGCTTCGCGGTACGTTGAGCTGTACGCTGTCGCACACAGTTGAGTTTTTTGACTCAAACGGGCTCTTGTTCTGCAACTGCGATAACAAGGTGGGACATACTTGAGTGAGTGCTCCAAACGCCGCGTACCAACGCTGCGAATGCTTCTCGGTGTGTACACCGTCGTCGTTAGAAGCACCACCCGCTTCGTTTGGCACATTTAAGACGATTCTGTTCGCTTTTTTTACTTCGGGATATTGGGATCGCTGTAGGGGTTTGCATTCTACACAAAGTGGTACCACTCCCGTGCATTGACCGCGCCTGCCGAACAGGGCCGTTCGGAAGCGGCTAATGGGTGTGCAAGTGTGAATGTGAGTGCGTGTGTGTTTGACCAGGTTTCCGGAAGCTGATGTAATGACCTGACATACACGTGACATACACGTGACATTTTAGGCGACGAGACACGCGTGCTGATGGGTGTGTCCCAAGGCCCTAAAGAGCGCTCAACGGTTGGATTAGGTTCTTTGTCCTTGGTAAACCAGGCTCATTCTCCCAGCCTTCCAACGGCTCGTTCACTCAAGAATTTCTATTTGGTATTTTCAAACCGCCCTACGTCGCCCTCCAGTGCTCGAAATTGAACGGTTTTACCGGCAAACATTAGCCCCATCGATCTGGGATCCTTCAATTCATCATATGATGCTTGAACTTGTTTTATAAGTGTTGTTTTCTGCTGAGCGGCTAATCTTGAAGATGTTTGTTCTGGGAAACAAGTGGTTTGAGCAGGGGCGATCAAGATTAATAGAAGAGCGCGTCAGAGCTGGACACGAGTACGAGTACGATCACGAGTACTTATGAACTATCGCTAAAAGAATCTACACACAATGCCGCTTCATTGGTCAAAACGCTGTCAATTCATCATACATGTCCGTCTTATAGACACAGTTTCTAGGATAAGGCTTTTGAACGAAATCCTTCAGTATAGTTATTTCGGAACGCGACGTTGAGTCTAGTCTTTCGAACTACGTGGAGGGCGTGGCATCATTAACATGGATACTTGGCTATGAAGCATCTTGATTTATATGCGTAAAATATCAAAACTAGTCTTGCGAGGCTGTCCTTGAGACTTGCAAAACACTTCTGACGTTGTAATGGTGTAGCGTTTTTTAATTTCGTGATGCTAAGAAACTGTCACAATGCGCTATTCGAGGCTACTTGAGGCTCTCAGAGTCCTTCCCGCGGCCCACTCCCCCACTCTTTCTCTACAGCACGAACGCCAAAACCAGCAGCACGATGAGTGCGACGATCAACAGCCCTATGCAGCAATCGTTGAATTTCTCCTTATTTTTCTCGTAGACCCACTCTAACTGCCGACGCCCGCGTGACAACTTGCTCATGACGTTGTCAACACTCCCGTCCATTTCGTCCAGCATCACGCCCTGGTCTTCGAGCTCCTGGCCCATGGTCGACGCTTGCAAATGCAGGTTCCGCATGCTTTGTTGAATCGTGTCTAAATGCTGATCCTGCTCTTGCAGCATTTCCTGTTGCATGGGATTGCTGGTTTGCAGGTCAGACGTCTCAGAAGATGATGATACATCAAAGTCCAGGTTCGAAGCAGGGTTTTCCAGGGCCCGCTGGCTCGGTATTTGCGCCTTCAGGCGCGCTACGTCGCGTTTCAGAGCCTGCATCCGCTCTTCCCGCTCCATGATCAAATCGTCGTTCACATAGCCGTCTCTTTTCATCACCAGGATGCTGGAATCCAGCTCTCGCACCGTTTCTTCCAAATCTGTGAATATGTCCCTTATCTCGTCGTCAATTTCATGGTTCCCGTCCAAGTATTGTATCAAACGATTCGTCTGCTCGTGGGTATCACTCAGAACCTGTTCAAATGGGTCGTCCATCCTTCAAGCTCCCTCTTTGGCGCTGTAAAAGTCGCCGACTATGGCATTTGAATAATTTCACATTCTTAAATACTCCCATTCATTTACTCTCATTCATATAATAGACGAAATCAAACTTGAAGCGGTGATGGACATCGAACAGCCAACTAAGCAGGAATCGCCACAGCCATTAGATCCGGACCGTATTGAAATCTCCGAAACGATTGGCGGTTCGCAGACCCGCAAATATTTAAATAAACATGTAACGCCGGCGTTACTTCGCGGAATGCGACTCGTTGCCAAAAACCAGCCCGACGATCCACTTCAGTTTCTCGGAGAATATCTCATCCAACAAAGCCAGCAAACGCGTGAAGGTGCTGTGACGGACTCGGAGACTCTACCTGACGCTAAGTGACGCGCAATTGATATTTAGTTAATATTTTATATGTGCGTGTGTGTTCGGGCGCGCCCCAAGCACCATGCAAATACTCAACAACAGCACTCTTAGAATTCATTACATCGTTAAAGAAAAGGATAAGTACATTTTCAGCTCAAAATTTTTCTTCCTCGGTCGCCTCGAAGTTCATCATCTTCAGCCCATAGCTGCAAAACACACTCAGGAGTCCAAGCCTCCATCCACTCCACAGCTCGTGTATCCGTTTTTTGTCTTGCAATGTGCTGTAGATTCCTTTGTATTCGCGTGGGTTGATAACCATGTTGGCTTTCGCGACGGGGAAAGGATCTTCGGGTTTCTTTCTCAGCAAATAGGCCGTTTGACAGCGTCTCAAGAGCGTTTCCACGGGCAGCTTGACGAAAAGCTCAAGCATTTCGGACAGAAGTTCCAAAGTGTTGTACCATACGGCCTGGGTAAATCTGTCGATCTTGAATTGGTGGTATAACAGGACGCCCGTGAGTTTGGTGAACACTGTGGACGTCAGGGAATGACCGATGTTCAAGGCAATCATGTCGAATGGGAGTCCGCTGAGGTGTTGTCTCCAAGACCATTTCTTCAGCAAATTGCGCAAGCTACGGTGTTCGATTTTCACGGAAGTTATAGTAAGTCTTGTTCTGATGAGGTCTAACGGAAGAAGTACAAACCCAGTAAAGACACTGGCGCATACTGTCAAGACGATAGACTTGCGCGTGTCTGAAGAGTGCACGATGTCAATGAAATATGGGTCTGGAATTTGCAAAAAGGGACTGATGAGACCCGTGAACCAGGCGTCCAGCGTCACTGATAGAAAGTTGTAAATAAAGGTAGTGTTGTTGGCTCTCCAGAGACCCCGTGTGCCCTCTTCTTCCATCACGGAATTGAGAACATCCATAGTGTGCAACGAGTTTGGTTGGATCTGTTTGGTTAGGGTAGGTGCGGTATGGTCGTGATTCAAGTGCACCTTAGAAGTGGCCGGCGCTTCTGACCAATTGCGATCGTCGTCAGGATACGATTGGGGGAAGAACTCGATCTCTTCCTCGTTCTCGTCGTCTGCTCCGTCAACATATGCATTTCCGGCGTCTGCATCGCTCATTTCCAGCGAGATTTTGGTGTTATCTGTGGGTTTGGTAAAATGAAACTCCCCGACTTGCAACAGCAGCCGCGAAACTTCAAAAGGCTGTTGAACAAGGTGTCTGAAATAGTGTCGCAGAAACTGCTCCAGAAGGTTGGAACCTATGCTCTTCCAGGACCTCCAGTTCAGGATATCGTTCCATTCCATGTCGTTGAACGATTTGTGGACTTTCTCGACCGAGGCGTCTGACCCTCGTACTTGTGATTTCACGCCCGCAGACAGTTGCGACAGGATGCCTGGCTCGTTCAGAGATTTTGATAGCCTGGATTTGGATTGTTGCATTATGCTGAGTTTGGATGCGATGCTGCGGCCGTGGCTGTCTACCACGCCTTGATCGGGCTTGAAAACGGAACTGTAGCCCGCATTAAAGGTGTCAGGATCGTAGTACGGTCTCAACTGTTGGTGAGTGTTGACATCGTCCATCGTAATGCTTTGGACTGCAGGGATGGAAAGGTGGTGTCTTGTCTGGTACCGAAGTCCATTTGACTAAATTGAGATAGCTCAAAAGATCAAGTGAGTCGTACCAAATGCGCGATGATCTGACACTTGGCTTAAAAGCAGTACTGTTGAGCCAGGACGCTAGTGTGTGTGTGTGTGTATGTTCCGCAGGAGTTCACTATCGTCTAGTTTAATGCAATTCTGGCTTGCATCTCAAACTTCCCTCACCGGTAGGGTCGATTGTAGTAATTACTCGACGAAAAATGCTGTTTTGAGACTACCAAGCGCTAATCTTCGTCCAGGTTGTCTTCTGAGTTGTTGGACGGTGCGTAGCTGAGCATGCTATCGGCTGCATTGAGGGAAACGACCCTCCGGCCGTTGGTCTGGTTTTTGCGCAGCATGCTGGTGATTTGGTTCATTTTGGTCATCGGCACGCTGCTCGTGGGGATCTTGGACGGCAGGAAGCTCGCGGCGGAGACTGCGAGGTTGTTTTCAACGGCTTTGCATTTTTCCAGCAGCGTACGGTCGATTTGCGCGTCAAGTTCTTTGTGATCGCGTTGCAGCTTTTCGAACTCCCGCTGCATTTCTGCGAGTTTGGCGACCACGAGTGCGCACTGCGTTTGCACGTCTGCCAGCTCGTGCTGCTTTTGCGCGATCTGTGCGTTGATTGCAGTCAGATGTGCGTGTTGCTGCTTGTAGAGCTCCAGTTCCTGACGGAGGCGGTTTATCTCGTCTGACTCGGCTTGATCCGGAATTGTGGACTGTGAGAGCTCTCCCACGGCCCTCCCACGGCTCCTGCCCTCTTGGTTCGACACCAGCAGATCCTGTAGATGTCTGTTGTTGTTGGCGCTGCGCGTCACCAGTGACTTAAGATCCAGCTGTGTTTGAGCCGTTTTCGAGTCCATTTGCTGCACTTGCGAGTTCAAGCTGTCGTGCCCGACAATCAGACGCTTGATGCCCACCAGGATCTCACTTATGTCGTCTTCGTACACCACTGTACCCCTGGGCGGCTCTTCGTCCCTGGAGAGTCTTTCAAGGGCCCTTTCAACGCGTTCTGAACCGCGAGAGCCGCCACTGCTCACATTATCCGATCCCGTCTGCACAGTTTGCTGTGAAATGCTGGGTCTATCCTGACTGCTCGGTCTACTTTCACTCATCAGAAGCGTTTACTGGTGGATTCAGGAGTACATTGTAGCTGACAGAGACATAATCCTGTATTATTATTCCATTATGCCCATATAGACGGTTGATCTAATCTCTAAATCAACATTTTGATGTGACTGTTTTTATAATTTACACCCATACCTCCACAAATTTACTTTTGGAATATTTTTGAAAACTGTTGAAGAGTACTGAAACTTTTCGAAGTCAAAAAAAAGAGTCGCTTGGGTGCGGTGAAAGAATCGCTGTCCTTTGCGTGTTGGCCCTGGCAGGGGGGATCCTGAGGGGTCCGTGAGCCTAGCGCAATCCTCCAGGCAGACCGTCTAGCGAGTCTCTCTGCCTAGCGGGACGAGCGCCCAGGCTTGGCGGAGCTAGGCTCCGTCTAGCCTCTGTCTAGCCTCTGTCTAGCCTCTGTCTGGAACTTCCCTCTAGGCTGAGCGTAGCGGGCTCCTAGCCTAACTCTTGGTGGTGGGAATCGTCCTGGAAGAAATTTTGGAAAGATGGCTATCGATATACGTATAATTGAATTACTGCACGCTTGATCTTCCAGTTAACGAAAACACAGTTAGTTAAAGCTCCATCACCAAAAATGGCTAAGTTCTTGAAAGCTGGTAAAGTTGGTACGTATCTCTGATCGCGCAAGTGGCGCATTTCGTGGATTTGAGACAGGAGCGAGTTTCGCAGGGTCCGTAGGACGATTTTGAAGACATGAACAGACAATTGGTCGCATAGGCGATTTTGGAAGGCAACCCAGTGGGGAGAGGCAGGAGAGACAGTTCACAATACCAGGGTGCGCCAGAGCACCTTGAATCGTCGTCCACGCACAAAAGCTGGCATTTTCAACTACACAGTCGCACTTTTCTCGCAGTTTCCTCACACTTCTCTCGCAGTTCACGCTCTGCTCCTCGTTTCGTGTATTCCCCAGTATACTAACTCGTCCATTCCTACAGCTGTCGTTGTTCGCGGTCGTTACGCCGGTAAGAAGGTCGTGATCGTCAAGCCACACGATGAAGGCTCCAAGGCCCACCCATTCGGTCATGCCTTGGTCGCCGGTATCGAGAGATACCCATTGAAGGTCACCAAGAGACAGGGCGCCAAGAAGGTTGCTAAGAGAACCAAAATCAAGCCTTTCATCAAGGTCATCAACTACAACCACTTGTTGCCAACCAGATACACCTTGGACGTCGAGGGCTTCAAGTCCGTGGTTTCCACCGAGACCTTCGAAGAGCCTTCCCAGCGTGAGGAAGCCAAGAAGGTTATCAAGAAGGCCTTTGAGGAAAGACACCAGGCCGGTAAGAACCAGTGGTTCTTCACCAAGTTGAACTTCTAAAGCAATCAAGCATGTTTCAAACTTTTTGCATTTGGAATCTTTCATCTCAAACTCTAAATAACCAGAAATTTTACTAAGGCGGATCCGTATGTAATCTACACAAACAAACCCATTAAGCTCCTCTAGTGCCTGCCGCTGGTGTTTTTGAAATCAAGCGTGCCCTCTGTACATTTTTTAAATCTAATGTCATCGCAGTAACTTCACCGACAAAACCTTACCTTACTGACTGACAAGCCAGGATGAAGGTCCGGTACTTAACCACCAGCGCTGTGCGACTGCTCAAAAAAGCTCAATTTGATGTCAAAAGTGTTGTGCGCCAGCTGCCGCTTTATGCTGAGTCCATCAAATTGCGGCAATTGGCTAGCAGCGACGACCTTCTCCAGCAATTAAACCAATTGCCCCTACAAGAACAGAATGCCAAGACCCTAGATACCCAGATAGCCAAGATTCAAACCCAGCGCAAAATCATCGAAAGGGAAATAAAGACGGACAGGAGCAAACTCCCGCAATCGCAGCGTGAATTGGCGGAATTGAAAGCCTCGTTCCAAGAGGCCACGGCGCAGCTCAAGACGATCCAGGACCAAGTTTACGAAATTTGTCTATCGCTCCCGAACCTGGTTTCCCAAGACGTGCCTCCAACAGAACCACAAGAGGTCCGGTGGATCAATGCACTTCCGAAGTACGAAGCGGACCCTTCGCGGGACCATCACGACATCATGGTGAAAAAGAAGCTTGTCAACTTCAAAGCCGCCGCTACACTTTCCGGGAACTCGTGGTATTATCTGCTCGGCGACGGCGCTCTTTTAGAACAGGCCTTGGTCTCTTACGCCACCAGACGCGCTCGTGAACATGGGTTTTCCATGTGCAACCCACCGAGCATTGTCAAAAACGGAATTATCGACGCCTGCGGCTTCAGGCCGCGCGACATGAACAACGAGCAGCAGATCTATCACATTGACAACACAGGTCTGGGTTTGACTGCGACAGCTGAGATCTCCCTTGCCGGAATGGAGATTGACAGCGTCCTAGACCTCTCAAAGGGCACCAAGAAAATGTGCGGTGTTAGTCGAAGCTATCGAGCCGAGGCAGGCGCCCGGGGAAGAGATACCAGGGGACTGTACCGTGTGCACGAATTCACGAAAGTGGAACTCTTTTGCTGGGCGCTGCCAGAGTACAGTGGTCGTGTTCTACAAGAATTATTGGACTTCCAAATAAAGCTGACATCGGAGCTGGGAATCACAGCTAAAGTCCTGAATATGCCTGCCAATGACCTGGGAGCCCCTGCGTACCGCAAATTCGATATCGAGGCCTGGATGCCCGGTAGAGGGTCCTTTGGCGAGATTACAAGCACATCTAATTGCACCGATTTTCAAAGTCGTCGCATGGGCACCAAATTCAAAGACACAGTGACAGAGAAGTCCTCGTTTGTGCACACGCTTAACGGCACTGCAGTCGCGGTTCCTAGAGTGATTCTGGCCATTGTGGAGAATTTCTACGATCCATCTACGAATTTGATTAAAATTCCAGAGCCATTGGTGCCATACATGGACGGTAAGCGGTACATTTAGGAAGTGAGAATTTTTGCTGGCACATTACACAAAGATTCTAGTGTGGAAACGACTCTGGAAGACCATTTCAGGCCCCGTCCATGGTTGATCTTGTACGCTGTCGTCGATCAACGCTCAACGTACATGATGATATTTTGCTGAATATTATCAGATCTAAGGGAATTGATTCTTATAAGACGGTTAATGTCAGTTACGAGCAGTTCAACGTCTCTTTACCCAGCACGAAAGACCGCGCTCGACTATGCTTCTGTTGGCATTAAGCGATGCTCACATCCCGGAACGAGCGATTGTATGTTTCCTATAAAAGAGGCAGCTTTTCCAGTGTTTAGATCACAGCATTAACCAAGACCGGCCAGGATCTTCCGCAAAAGTTCAAGAAACTGATAGGCGTGCCCAACAAAATACAACAGGTGGTTCTTTTGGGTAATTGTACGAAGAGCCACAGCTTTTTGAAGTTTGTGAACCAAATCTCATCGAATGTGGTCATAGTGAGAGGAGAGTTCGACACCAAGAGCGTGGCTTCGACCAAAAATTCCCGGGAAGAGATCCCATTGAGCACCATTATCAAGCAGGGGGACTTCACCGTAGGCTGCTGCAACGGCTACACCATTGTGCCCAAGAGCGATCCACTGTCACTGCTAACGCTCGCGCGCCAGTTAGACGTTGATATCGTTCTGTGGGGTGGAACGCACAACGTCGAAGCCTACACGTTGGAGGGCAAGTTTTTTATAAATCCCGGCACCTGCACCGGGGCGTTCAGCACCGACTGGCCGCAATCGCAGGATCCAGAGCCAGAAACTGAGAAATCGGACGCGGACAAGGCTGAAGCGTCAGTCACAGCTGCAAATGCAACTGCAAATGTAACTGCAACTGCAACTCAAACTGGAGCGTCCGAAAGCGATTCCGAGGACGAAGACGAAAATGAAGGCAAGAGCATTCCTAGTTTCTGCCTGTTGGACATCCAGGGCTCCACGTGTACCCTGTACATCTACACACTCGCCGACAACGAGGTCAAGGTCGACAAAGTCGTCTACACTAAGAGCTGAGGACCCAGTTTCAAGAACTGGTAATAAAATTTAACGGGCGTTTTCGGTGTAAGTCAACTAACACAGGAAATTTGAGCCATGTTGCGAGTTCCCAATGCCAGATTCCTGGCCATCATCGTCCGAGTTCGAAGCCCTAAATCCCATCGTCTGCCTTTGGATCGCTGTGGACGAAATCATCATCAATTAGATTAGCTAAGCTTGTCGAAAAAAAATTGTATATAAAGAAGGGCAAAAATCTACAGGATATCATCCTCGCTACATCTATTCTAATTCCAATATCCAAAGAGCTCGACTCTAAAGGTCGCCTACTTCGGCGGCTAAAACAGCGTAGATATCAAGGAGAAGTCTCTCTTTGGGGAATACAAACCTGTTTGGCGCTAGTTCTTCTTGAACTAGTCGCGAAAGGTGTGCATTTCTGTATCAACTTTCTAGCATTTCTCTTTACAATGATGAACACGAGTGCATTTGGCTCGAGACGTTTTTGTCGGTGTGGAAAAAACCAAGCTACCTTACTATTTTTTGTCTGATTTGAGAAATGCAGTGCGTAGATTTATCGTAGACACATATGAACATTATTTATGGGCAGGACAAGCCCGGAGCCCAGCCTCACGAAAGGCTGTTAGATTAAACCTTGTTTTTCTGTATGCCCTCCTGCAGAAGCTCAGGATTCTCTTGCAACAAGTCGGTCTCGAGATCGTCTTGAGCTACGCCGCGCTGGAAATTGGCCGGCTGCAGTTCATCTGTGTCGAGCACCTTTTTCATGGCATAGGCGTCCTCACCGTCAAGGTAGTAGCTCTTTTCAACGTCTAGGACCTCGAACTCCAGCGTGTCGCGGTACAGGTGAAGCGCAGCGCGGTTGGAGTTTCTTACGTGAAGCGATACGAAGTTGGCCTTGTACACTTCGGAAAGCGCAAACAGCGCCTGGCGCATCAGTTTCTCGGCAAGCCCCATGCGACGGTAAGTACGCATGACGCTGAGAGAGGTGATATGGCCGTTCAGCGCGTCCTGGCTTTGTGCAGCTGCAGGATCGTCGTTCATCTTGGCCAGCACGTAGCCAACGAGCTTTTCGCCTGGACGCACATAGCAAGGGTCGCATTTGCAGCGGGACGCATTGGCGCCTGCTGCCAGCTCATCGAACTCGCCGAATCCCACGTCGTCTGTGGTTGTGGCCACAAACGAAGCTTCGGGCCACGAGAGTACGTGGTACATGTAGTACTTGAATAGATAGTTTTCCGGCAGGTTGTGCAGGTTAGCGTTTTGCATGCACAGCATGTCTTCTATGGTGGCTCTTCGGATGGTAATTGGCATTGTGAGTGTGGGAACGACTAAACGCGTATTAATATTGGTAGAACTGAGCAACCCGCGTGTATTGTAAAGAGCAGTTCGAGTAGTTTGTCGCTATTCTTTATACCAGAGACGCAGTTGAACCTCTGAGAGATGGTAATTTTTCAGAGATGAGACGATGTTCACGTGAGAATCGCGTAATGCCTTGAAAAAGTGTCAGTTTGAATCGATGTGAGCTGGGAGTTCAACGCTGCGAGAAAGGATGCTGTGTGATGTTGTGGGCTGTTTTGGGTTTAATAGCCCAGGTTTGATTTAGTCGATTCTCGTCCTTTTTCTTTTGAATTTCTCTCGTAGCTTCATTTTTGATTTTTTTGAGTGAAAGCAGAGTCAAGCATCAAATCGACATGCCGGTTGTACGTGCCCAGCATTCGAGGGCCGACTTGGGGTTCCTGCTGGCTCAGAGATATTGTAATGCAGTAGGTTTACTGTGCTCTGTCATGTTCGACTGTGATGAATGTGATCACTTTGTACTAATCTGACATTATATTCTCTATCGCCAGAGCCTTACCAGAACGAACCTGTCACTCGGCTGGGTAGAGGTTGATTCTGGCAGAAGTATGTTTCGCGCAACCATTCGCTTCATTCACACTACCACGACATGAGTGCTCACAGCAAGAAATCCCACGTTTCCACGCGGTATCAGGTTTGGAATCGAGGAAGCGACAATGCAATATCATAAAAATTCATCAAAACGCCGGTCGGCACGGGCAAAACGCTGCTTTACGCGTTTCCATGTCCTGATAAAGCAGAAAATCGAACCAACAACAACGAGTACTCTCATGTGTGATATCTGCCTGTTTTGAAATCTGCGTCAGAAAAATGAAGAAAACCTAAAACTCGAATTCTATGATGGCAGAGATCATGGTCAGTGGTGTGAGACATGACTGCGCCCGTTACCAATACAACAGACTGGTAAACCTGTCTTCCTCGTCTAACAACTTCACCGAAAGACGTATCACGTGATCTCATTGACCCAATTCAGCCCATCAACGCATCAGCTTCTCGTGCTCTATCTCACTCTCGTCAACCTGAGACCACCACAGCTTTCCTCAGCGAGCGATTCCCTTCTTCTTTATCCGCCGCTCAAAGCTTTCTGACCATTTTTTCTCAACTGTCTAAAACTCGAACGAACGTAATACCTCGAAATCTCCAGAAGCCAATTCACCTCACTTGAAAGTCAAATAGTAGCAGTTGTACGTGTTTAACGGCGACTTGTTCCCCCTGCTCGTACTGATCTTGGTGTACTTTTCGTTCGAAGGACTATTTGTGCTCCAGCTTTCTTCATCGTTCAAACGTTCTTGCTAACTCACTTGTTCTTCATCGCTGTAGCTCTCAGCGAAAACCAAACTTTCCACCGACCATTGCCGTTCTTATTACTCCCACAAACTTGTATGGTTCGGGACACAAACTGAGACTTGTGATTTTGACAGAAACGCTTGCAATTGAACAACCTTTACATTCGCACTCACACTCACACTCACACTCACACTCCCTACAACAGCCCTTCATGAGCCAGAAAATCATCAGTCCGTCCACCTCGGTCAACTCCACGGCCCATCCAGGCTCCACAGGCTACGATTACACCATAGGTCCACAGCAGACGCTCCCAGAACTGCCTGTTTCTTCCAGCACCACCGGGGGTGGCATCGGGGGCGGTGCTTCGACTGCTGTCTCCACGACCTTGCCTCTGCCGTCCGTTTACAACGAATCGCTCAATCCCAATGCTCGCAACCAGCATGTCTCGCTTTCAGCGTATGCGTTTTTGTTCCAGGAATTAGTCTCACAGGCCCGTAACGCCAGCAAATCTGTTTCTGAAATCGAACTGCGACTCCACCGCAGTGGCTATCACATCGGCATCCGACTTTTGGAGCTGCTGAACTTCAGAAGCAGCGTTTCGGCCGGTTTCGGCTCGTCCTCGTCTTCCAAGGCCTTCTTTTCAAAAACGGCCATGAATCCCTCTGGCAATGCCCTGGCGCTCAACGGCTCGCTTTCGTCCACGCAAGACGAGCCATCCTTGGCCCAGGGCATCTCTCACATGAAACGTCGCGACCTGAAGCCCGTGGAGATCCTGCAGTTCATTCACAGCACCGTGTGGTCTTACCTGTTTGGCCGTGTCAGCGACGATCTGGTCAAGTCCTCGGAGCGAGAAAACGAGTTCATGCTCATCGACTCGGCACCCATGCTCACACAGTTCATCAGTTCCACCAACGTTCAGTGCGACTTTTTCGTGTGTGGGATCATCGAAGGAATTTTGGACTCGGCGAGTTTCCCTTGTAACGTTACTGTTCATTCGGTGCCCGAGCCCAACTTCGAACAGAAAGTCGTGTTTGTGGTGAAATTCGAGCCGCAAGTGCTTGAGCGAGAGGCTCTGAGAGCGTAGCTAACGCCAGAACGCAACAATACAAACGCAGCGATCCTGTAAAGCCAGAAATTCTCATTTTCCGTTATTTTAGCCAAGATGTCATCCAAAAACACGCGAAAACGGTTCAAGATGGACGATTTGGTCGATCAAACGCAACCTTTGAGAAGCAAGCCCATCAACGTTGTCTTCAAAACGGGTTTGAAGAGTCCTGTGCGCCAAAAACGACGCAAACTCGACACCCCGTATCCCAGTGTTTTCGATCATCAACACGTTGGAATCAAGCTTGCCGACGAAAACTGGCGAGCTGGGACCTCTGTAGCTTTGCCAGAAGCACCACAAGATGTTGGGCTACGTCCGGACTCCGTACCCGCGGTTTCAGAGTCGGAAGCGACCCAGCGAGCTCGGCGGCTAAAAATCAAAAACCCTCTACAAACGGGCGACCTGCCACGCCCGTTTCTCGACGCAGACCGATCCATTCAGCTGGAGGACTTCGACCAGCCTCCAGACTCCACTTCCACGCCGATATTGGGCAGTCCACGGCCTAACTCGCTAGAATTGCCTTACCACAGGCGTCTCGACAATCACGATTACTACAATGTCAACTGCAACTACAACTACAACGAGCCCTGGGTGGTCGATGCACACTGGGCTGCCAACTGTTCCAAACAGTACCAAGAGCCATACGACTTCGGGGTCAGTCCTGCCTGGCACCCGGGCCACGTCTACGGAATTCCCCTGGCACCAGGACACAATTTGCCGCCCCAAGGCCACAACTTGCCACATGCTGCTGTGATATCCACCTCTCGAAATCCTGACAAATCTGGCATCTTCAAGACACAGCACTCGCCTCTCAGACACAGAGGAGCCGAGTTTTTCCCTCAAGCCTACGCTGGCGGTCCTACTGTTGAAACGTATCCGTGGTACACGTTGGGCCAAACGTATCGGGAGCCAAAAAGCGATCTGGGCAGCGAAAGACGTGAAATTCGAGACACCAGCCAACAAAGCTACAGATCCAGCGGTGGCGAGGCCACTCGCAGCTCATGACGATCAAAATCGCCTTTCCTGTACTAAAAAAACCTAGCTTTTCAAGAATAGAAAGACACACCGTGCTACGGGCTTGACGGTTGCCGCGACATCAACAACTGCAAGTTGCCAGCTTGGGTCCTTCGCTGACTCTGACTTTTGCTTGAAATACTAAATCTGTACACACAATGACCTACTCTTCAAATATATATATACATATATATGTACATTTATCTCTAAGTTCATGACCCAATGTATCAAAAAGTAGTCATGGATGGCAGTCCAAAGACTGGCTCATCAGTTGGAAGCAAGCATCATACAAGTGCCTGGTTCTTAAATCGACGTTGTCCTCTAGAGTTCCAAAATAATGACAAAAAATAAAGGAAATAACGACAACTGCAGGATTCGAACCTGCGCGGGCAGAGCCCAAAAGATTTCTAATCTTACGCCTTAACCACTCGGCCAAATTGCCCTATTTCGAAATGGTAAACAGAATACCATCAATATATGGTCTTTATCCGATCTTTTGCTCGCCTTGAAATATGAGAAAAATCTTTAAGGATATATCAAATAAGTATATGAAGTAAGCTCTTGATTCGCAGTTTTCGATATCCAGTCTTTGGCAGTTCGTAAAACGGCAACTTGGCTCTTCCCTCCCAGTTTGATGACCGTTGTGTCGAATCTGCGTAGCAGACAATCTAACGGTGGTAAAAATACAGTTCCAACGAGCTCGAACGAGCCCCGTTTAGAGCCAGAAGTGTCAGATGCTCCACAGGTTTTGTTCATGGACACGCACGATTTGAGGAACAGAGCGGGCCATGTTTCTCCTAGCTACTACCAGGTAGCAACGCCCAAATCCCCTCACGAGCTTTCGCTCATGGACGAGGCCGAAGAAACCCATACAGGGCCCTCACATCATCACGAGCACAGCGAAAGCGAAGAAAGCGAGCGTTTGAAATACGAAACGGCAAAACGAGAGATCCTCGAGAATCTCAACCTCCATATCATGCTCAACAACAACGATCACACGGATCTGGTGTCCGAACTCGGACGTGTAGAGGCCCAGATGCGTGTTTTGGAACACATGCACCGCGACCCTCAGCTCTTAAAACACGTCGAGCAACACCAGGAGCAACTGTACGCCAGACATCGCGAGCAATTTCTGCGTAGGAAAGAAAAAGAGGCATCGAGGGCCAGTCTGGACGGTCTGGACCCTTTAGATTCGGCATTGTCCGGTGGAGACGGCAGCGGTGGCAGCGGTGGTGGTGGTCATAACGGGTTTTTTTACCACACGCGCAGCAAATCCGCACATAATCTCAACTTTGCTCACGAATGCGGTACCAGTGCCGTGCAGGCTCAATCACGGCTGCGACCGGTCAGCAACAAATCCGAAGGAAGCCGTCTGCCTGATGGGAAAGGCCCTCGCACGCAGGACCATACAATGGCGTCGAACGCCTGTTCATCGGGGTCGGAGCTGGATCCCGTGCGGTCTTCGTTACTGAACCAGCATCAAAAGCGTAACTACAGTAGCTCGTGTTTGACCAGCAAAAGCGGGATAGTTGGATCGAACGAGAAAAACGAGCCCATATTCAAACGACCCGACGGTATTCTCGTCATAATTGCATGTTCCTTCTGCGAGCGTAGCGGGTTCACCTCCGCTCAGGGAATTGTTAATCATGTTCGTCTGAAGCACGCCACAAGCTACCCGAGCCAGCCTCTGGCTGTTTTGAAAAACCAGCAGGTGCTTCCCGAAGATCGACAAACGCCAGAGATCATAGCCCAATTCAAGGACCTCAGTCTGGATCCACAGCACGATTATCTTCCTCACGTCATAAACATTCAGACCAGCGTAAATCCCGTTGGACATAGGGACCGCAGAACGGGCTCTAGGGAACTATCTCCTCGAACTGCATCTCCAGACGAGAATCAGAGACCCAACATTGCCAAGAAATCTACTAAGCATTTAAAGAAACTATATCAAAGTGACGATTTCAAGGAAATTGTCGACTACGTCAACGAATCCCAAAAGGACCTCGACTGCATACTCAAGCAAGCCTCGGAAGCTGAGGATCTTCAAGACAGTGGCTCTGACGATGAAGTCGGAGCAAAGCAAATTGTATCTAATAACTCAACTGCTAACGGAGACGACAATAATCCTACTGCAGACGCTGTCGCCCCACAATCCAGGTCCGAAACACCTACCGAGCGCAAACGGAGTGGATCAGCAGCAGCGGACACCAGCCGGAAACGCTTTAAAGCAGCGGAAAAGAAGGTGAGACCCGATGCGATTGCACTAATGAAGATTCCTGAGCAAGACAAACGGTCTTCGCACTACAACTTACGGGCCAAGTCAAAGCTCAGAGGACACAATAGATACGAATAACGAACGACTACATAAATAACCCAAAATCAAGCATGTTTTTTCTCACTCTGCTATTTTTCTTGTACAGAATTGTAGAATAAACTGATCATCTCCGATTCTACCTTTTAAATGTTACTTTAGCTTAGTCCTTGTTAAACATCCCCAACAACCTTTGTTTCCTATGTCTAGGAGTATCTCGAGTGTTGTGCTCAGGAACTGTAGTCGACTAATCTCTACCAAAGCGGAGGGATCAAATGTCCTCTGGTTTTACGCTACTGATATTCCTCTGAGGAAACCTTTCGATGCCAAGTATTCCGCTGGTGACAAAGAACCAAGCAAGTTTATTCCGTTCTCAAGAGATGACTCTACTAGACTGGAACGAATGTTCCAATTGGCTAGTTCTAGGAGTGACCACGAAATCTCCAAGTTTCAAGCTGTTCCTGTGAATGAAGACTACTTATTTGAAGTTGACCTTACCAAACGAGAGATGAAGCCGGCCTACTGGGAGGGACCTACTTACCAAGTACGACGTGGACTTTGGTTCAATTCTGAGCGTCTTCCCATTCGAGAGGACCTGGCTTCAGAGCTGGAGAAACACCGTCAAGAGCTTCTGGCAGACAAGAATAATCAGGTACAATGCCAGGACTCCCACAAACAAGAGGGATGCAGAGACGTATTTAAGCTGTCCAAAAACCATAAAGAGGGCAACATGGTTTTATACGCAGACCAACACACGGCGTTTATTTTGCCCGAGCTTTACGGCGGCAAGCTGCAGCTAAACTGGTTGAGAAGCAACTTGGCTCAGGCTGTCCAGTTTGGAGCATACAAAGTAGTCAGAGGAACCAACACAGAGTGCTCCTTTACAGACGTCGTGAAGCACCATGTCCAAGCCGAGGTTCAGGACACTACCAAGAGCCTGGGTAAAGTATCTGACCTCATCAACTGGCAGCTCTTAGATCTACTGACGGGACTCAATCCATTGAGCTCTTCTAAAGATGTCGACAATAAAGTCATGGAGCAAGAAGTGGAAAGCGACTATTCAAGAGACACTTCAGCTGGAAAATCGAGGCGTTCCAACCACAGAGACGTGGACCATCTGGTGTTTTGCATTCACGGAATTGGTCAAAACTTGGGCAAGAAGTACCAGTACGTGAATTTCGTGCACACGGTCAACGTCCTTCGAGCCAACCTGAAAAAGATGTATGTCAACAGCGATTCACTGAAGGAAAACAACAAGAAAAAGGGCCACGCAGACTGGGAAGAAAACTGTCGCGCTCAGGTAATACCCATTACCTGGAGGCACAAAATAGGGTTCAATACCGATGATTTGCAGGTCAACTCCGAAGATCCCACGCTGCCGACGCTCAGCGACATCACCGTGGATGGCGTGAGGCCGCTGCGCAAAATCCTGGGCGACGTGGTCCTGGATCTTTTGCTGTATGGGGAACCACATTATAAGCATCGTATCATGCAGGAAGTGGCAGGACAGCTCAATCACTTGCACAGTCTGTATCGGGCGCGGAATCCCAATTTCGACGGCAAAGTGCACATCTTGGGCCACTCGCTCGGGAGCCTGTTGATCTTCGACATTCTGTCGAACCAGGACAGATATCCTTTGGATTTTGAAGTGGAGAACTTCTTTTCTGTGGGCTCTCCCACGGGTGTTTTCAAGCTGATCCAAAAAACGAAGCTGGGCCATCACAAATCACTTTCTACTGCAACTAAAGACGAACGGCCCCAGTGTCGAAATCTATTCAACATATTTCACGTTTGCGACCCTGTCGCTTTCAGACTTGAACCTTTGGTCGACAAGTCTTTTGCCAAATTGCAACCTGCATACGTGCCCCACTGGTCAAGCAATGATTTTACATCTAAACTAGTCGAGCTTGGGGGTTCGTTGATTACCAACGATTTCAAGAAAGACGCCTCTACAGTGACGATGACAGACCGAAACATCAAATTACTGAATGAATTAAACTATTCTGGCAGAATCGACTACGCATTCCAACCGAATTTTCTCGAAGTTGATTTGATATCTGCAATTAAAGCACATGTCAGTTATTTCGAGGAGATGGACCTGGCAGCATTCGTGCTCAAACAAGTACTAGCCAAGCATCGCAAGGTCGACACTGGAGTCCTGGCCAAGAAGCGAGGCGAGGTCGTGGACAATGACTGATAAATTGGTCAAAAGTTCATCTCAGCAGCGATGAGATGAGATGAGATGGTGACGACGACGATTAGGATAACTGACAGCTCTTTGCACTGGTAGGATTGTCTCTCAATTCTGTTGAATCAGCATTATTGTGTGTTTAATCCTTATTCGAAACTTTGACACTATGAAGTATATCATCGAACATATGGAGCAGGGCTTCAGCGAATGGGTGACTTTGGAATACGCTCAAATTATCAGAGATTTGGGAGCCTCGAACCTGATTCTGTCATCTTTGCCAGAGGGAACACAAGAGTCAGATATCCCTGCAAAATTGGTCCGTATGGGTTTGCAATGGACCACTAGACCTCTTGTCGAGATTCACGAGGCCTTTCCTGACTTGCCAAGACTAAGAGAAAAACGCGTCTGTTTGTTGGACCCCCGTGCCAAAGGAGACCTTAAGCCTCAAGATGCATACGAATTCGACTACTTCGTTTTTGGTGGGATCCTGGGCGATCACCCTCCAAGAGACCGTACCACTGAGCTTTATAAGTCGTATCCAGACCTGTTGGTCGGAAAGAGACTGGGCGATAAACAGATGACCACTGACACGGCTATCAGAACCACACAGTTGATCGTGGAACGCCAGTTGGCGTTCGAAGAAATCAAGTTTATCGACTATCCGGAATTCAGATTTAACAAAAACGAGGCCACTGAGATGCCGTTCAGATACGTCCTCGACGCCGACCAGAAGCCAATTCTGCCCGAGGGAATGTTGGATCTTATCAAGAAGGACTCCGAACAGAGTCTCGATGACCTGCTCTGATACGCTTTCAGTGTCGATAATACGGAATATACGCAAATTCGTGAATATATATATATATATATATATATATGTGTGTGTGTGTGTGTGTGTGTATACATAAAGGGGACGAGTCCAAGGTGCTGAATCTCATAGGTTACTTTTTATCAGCCTGTTGTAGATAGTTGTCCAGCAATTTCTCGATATCCATCTCACCAGACTGCTGGGACGCCGACGATGTGTCCAAGCTCGAGGTCTTGCTGGGTGCAGTCTCTGGCTTGCTGGGCGCGCTCCCCATCTTGTATGTGACGCCGCCCACTGTGCCGATAATAGTGGCCAGGGCTAATACGTGTGGCTGAACAGTTCTCCCTAATATAGTGTAAGCAGCACCCATGGTCGACAGATGATGTTGGGCTCGCTCTTGTCAGGGACTAATCCTAAGTTCTGATTCGTCTTATTCTTGAGAATGGGTCAATTTGGATATTTTCGTGTGTGGTGATATCAAGCTAATATATGGAGCTAAAATGAGCATACGAGCACGGTATCGAGTAGTAGACACTTGATGGGCATTTACAGGCTACTTAGGCTCTTTTGGCAGAGATTAGCGGGCTTTCATACCACTCCTCATAGGCTTTGTGACCTTTGTCATCTTATACGAAATGCCGGATGGTTCCCTCCATGAGGAAGTGGGTTCTTTCCCGGGGTAGAATAGCCAAGCTGACGTTAGTGAACGTCTGGATGTGTAGTGATATATTTACTGTTCAATACTAGACGTTTTTGTTAAGTTGTTGGTGAGTGCTAATATTAATTTACGTTTTACTCATTTAAATCGTCATACTTGCGTTCCATGGTGTTTGTTATTGCGGGCATTTCGCTGACGATTGAATTGAATCACGGAATACTAGCCCTGGCATTTTAAACTACTCCGATGGCTTTAGCACATTTAGAAATAAAAATATTTATAATGTTGATATACTTTATTCGATGGTTTTAATTGATGTGTTTTTTGACTGGCAAACACTGCCACACCTTCGTTTCGCCTTGATCGTAACTCTTTGAGATATCCCGACATTAAGCAAATATTCCTATTTGTTGGCATCAAGTTATTGTTCGCCTGTGTTTCTAGGTTTTTAATGTTTTAACAGAATTGATGACATTAGGTAACAGTACATTAAAAAAAAACACACGTCTATAAATGTCGAGGACTTTGCCATAATTGCACCTCATCTTACATCATCGCAGAAATAACTCTCTCCGCTACCGGTGGCCTAAAACGTCGTAAAAACTCTCGGAACCCAGTTGCCGAAGGACTTCTCTAATTTCGTCCTCCGATTGGCATTCTTTCATAAACCAACCGCGAAATCTGCACTCTTTGAGTATGCCTTCCCATTCCAGGGTCACTTTTTCCTTGGAACAATCGACAAGCAGACCCGTGTCAGGGTCAGTGAACCCTTCAGACCATTTCAGTCGGTGCAGCACGAGTTTCAAGTAAAATCGACAATTCTTTTCAGTGCCAACAACAATAAGGATCCCTGGACCGTCACAACCAGCCCGTAGACACACCCCGCGCATCTTGAGCTGTCGGCTGTTTGCAGCCAGTTTGAACCTTATCTTGGGGTTTCGCAAGCTTGAAAACCGGAACACTCTGCAGTGCAAATCAGAAAATGTGGACGCAGTGTTTTCATTGACGTTCGCCTCTTTTTTGTGTTCTTTTGCCTCCAGATGTCGTCTGATGTTTGTTTCAACGTGAACGCGGTGTCTGTCCTCCACCTGCGCTCTCACAGTTTGTTCCCAGCTGGTCGGGTCAGTTATATTCTCGCTATTCTGGTAGACACTCATCATGTTGGCCAGTTTCACCTTGGGCGCAGGCTTGGGTTCCAGTCCCAATTGTACCTTGTGTTCGTGCTCTTCCCGCAGAAGTTTCCGGCGGTTACGACGCACTTTCTTCTGTTCTCGTTTCACGAGTCTGATTCGCGGAACTGGTAGCTCTCGCGCGAGATCCGGAGTCTTGATCGGAACGGGATGCTGGACGTAGCGAATAGTTGGAGTTTGGGGTGTTCCTGTATTGTTCTCATTCTCATAGTCATCCTCATCATCATCGTCGTCTGAGTCTTCCATCTTCTGCGTATACTTGTCCTTGATGCTCCATGTATGCACGTCTCCTACATACGCAGCGTCCCACCATTCCAATTGCGGTACGTGGCCCAGTAGATAATTATGCTCTCTGATTGAGACGTCCGGTAGTTCTCCCGCTCGTACCTTGGCTCTCTCAATCTCCTCTTGCTGTCTCTTCAATTCATTTTGACTCGCCAAAAAAGCTCTTTGTTCGTCAAGTTCCCTGCTTAGGACACCAGGTTCATGAAATTTCAGTCCTCTGCTGTAGCGCTTCGCAACTTTTGAACCTCCCAGGCCCTTCCCCTGCCCTTCATGCGATAAATAAGGATTATTCCTATACTTTATCAAATTAACGTTTTCTGACAGAAGTGCTGGGTGGATCTCGACATTTAAACCACGCGCTGATTCCTTGTTTTCGTCCCGAGCCAGAGAGGCACCAAACTGCCTCATCGGCTTGTTTCTGGGTCCCATTTCACTGTTCTTCACAGTTAGAATGAATCCATCGTGTTGGCTTCGAAGAGAGCTGAATTTAACGAATATCGATTTCAATATTCCAGAGGTCACGTGCCGCATGGTGAATCCGATCCTTGACTCAACTCGAGCCTCTACTCATCCTACAGCATCGTATCCATCTGGCTATGTTGTCATGATCTAGGCAGACCTTTTGATTGTCATTAGTTTTTTGAGCTAAGATCAACATTACTTTAAAAAATGGTAATTGCCTTGATGACAGGTCAGTACTGCATGAACTCCCAAAATCTCAATCCTAGATGACAACCCGTACTACCAACCCCGTGGATAACAGGCAGACAACGGTACAGCAGTGCGTTAGGTTAGCCATCTCACAAGACATGCAAAAATTTTGACGGTCGCACCGTACCATAAAAAAGCTTCGTTCAAGCCAGCAACATTAGACCCTGGCAATTGGCTCGCATTCTGCAGGAATCCATCCAATCCTGTCCCAGATACTATCCTGAGCGTCCAAAGTCACTGGAAGTGAAAGCTAAGCACCTCAGTCCTTTTAGGATTTACGCAGGCCAAAGAACCGCGATCTTTTCTTCTTTTTGGGTGCGTTCAATATTATACCGCTGGCCTCGCTACCGATACTGTTTCTTCTACTAGTGGATGGTGTACTTCCAGTGCTCCCTGAGCCGCTGTCGAAGCCTCCCAAAAATGAGAAAAGCCCTTTGCTCTTTTTCTTGATGTCGCTGCTTACAGAAGTGGCAGATTTTGTAGGTTTTAATACGCTCGCACTGCGAACTTTACGCAAGTCGGTGTCTCTGAGAGAGTTCTCAATGCTATTTGAGGAGTGAGACCGCAATGTAGCATCGTAGGAAAATGTTCTTTCGATTGCGTTCCGCTCGGCAGACGCTGTTCCGTCCTTGTCCTTGACTTCGGGCGCAAACTTGATTTGAATTTTGGGTACTGCATTGTTTCCACCATTGGCAACAATAGAGTCGCTAGGATCGGCGCCAGTGGCGGGCAGCTTGATCTGGCCTTTCAATGGAGTTCCTTTTTTCTGCTGATTGAGCTTAGAGACTTTAGGAGAGCCCACAACGTCCAGCATAGATTTTCTGCTGCGTGCCATTTCTTTACTGGCATTACCAGTGAATTCCCTTTTGAGCTCGACCAAGGACTCTGTGCTTTGGTTGAGGGCATCCAGGAGGTCCGCAAATTTCAAAGTGGCATCAAAAATCACGTCGACACTAGCTATCAATTGTTGGTCCGAGGTCAGCGAGTTGTTCTCTTTCATCGCCTCAGTCTTGGCCTTGGTCTCCTTCCTTAAAGTCATCAGGTCGTCCCTCAGTCGTGTATTTGCAGAGAGAGCATTGTTGTTTATCAAAGACACTGAGGAGTCAATGCCAGTGTCCTCACTATCAATTGAGCTGGTGGAAGACCCCTCCGTTCTCGGACCTGCAGAGCTGGAGGGATCAGGTGTGCCTGTGTGGTTGAGTATACCGGGTGCAGTATTTGCATGGTGCAGTTGGGGCATGTGGTTGGAACTCTCGGCTGATTTGGCCGCGATTTGCATTTCAAGTTGGTCCTTAACATCGCGCTCCAGTTCCAGCAGCGTCTTCACCGGGACCAATACAACTGGGACTGGGAACGTTTGGCATGCTTTATCTACAAGGCTTCGTGATTTCCATTTCACCATGCTTTCGGTCTCACCAGACCGGACGGAGCTGAGTACCATCAAGTCGGGATGATAGACATTTATGCTGTCGACCAGTATTTTCTTGGTCTTGCCCAGAACGATCTCCACAGTTACTTTCACAGCCCGATTTTCCGGCAGAACGCAAGTCACATATTTCAAAATGTTGTTCAAAACCTCCTTTATGCGACCCGCATCGTACCCCGAGGCCCATTCCAGCCACTCTTCGTGTTTTTGTCTATTCTGCTCATCTGCAGGCTCTGCCGAAAATGTTCGGTACATAGTCTCAGATGTCGCAGAGAGACGTCTGGAAGATGCTATTGGCCTGCTCCTTCTGATGGCCGACCTGGACCTCGATCTGGACCGCGATCCGCTGCCTGACATTTTTGGAATGTTCGCGATGATCACTAGATGGTCGACATCTTGTGAGAACTGCTTGAGGAGCCAGTCCAGCGCAGTCCAAGTGTACTTCCTGCCACTGATGTGGCACACGATAGTTCTTGGCGAATTTGGGAAGCCGACTTTTTTGCCAATAATCAGCGCTCGTCTGCGCTCTTCCTTGGTGAGCGGTGTGTATCCACTGGTGCCTGAGGGCTTTGCATTCGATTCCATCGGGGTTATCAGTGCCGGAAATACAAAATGGGTTGTTCCCGATCGCAGTCTGGACTCCATACACGCCTGACGCGACCTCCAGCGTGCCAGCCACGTTTTGTGCACCTTACTCAGCACCAGAGCGTCGTTCACGATTGTAGGCCGGCTGGGATAGTCTGTTCGTGTAATGCGTCCGTCCCATCCGATGTGGAACCCGTCCAGCCCGTTTATCGTCGAGTCTATCACTGTTCGACGATCGTGGTTGGGATATCCAGAGTAATCTGCGGGTGTTTCGTCGTCGTAAAACTCGTCTTCGGTATATTCCAAAGTATGGTCGTGGCAATCGTGATTCTCGTCTCCGCTCTCGCAGGCAATTCCTGCCAGCAAGGGCACGGTGTCAAACGACACACTCGGCACGTAGTTCAACTCTTCACTCTGCTCCATTCTCTCTGCATCTGGGCCTTTCTTGTCAGATCTCATTGTGGTCTCTACAGGTTAGCTCTTATTCTCATCAACCCACAGGCAAACTAGACCCACAAACTCGCTAGAGCTCAATTTCAGACGCCAAAACAAAAGCCCAGGTACACTTTGGTGAGCCAAACTGGAGTCTTGAGACCTTTTAAAAGTGGTCTTCCCTTGGGAAAGTAGCAGATATGGGTCAACTTCGAAAATCTGTTGTACAACGTGACTGAGCAGATAGCCCGAAAGATCGCTTTGGGAGCTCACAGAAAGCAGCTGTGGTGATCTTTGAAGCTTGGAACTTGTTACAGTTGCACGACCCAATCGAGAATGTCTTGAATGTAGTCTCCGTTCTTGCAACTTATGGTGAAAACGGCCAGGTCGCGGTCGAGATAGATGTGGGAATTCGGCAGGTGCAAAATGCCGTTCTTGAGGTCGAGACCGAGCTCTTTAGAGAGAACTTCGACGTTGCGCAGGACGTAGAGATTGGTGTCATCCAATTGGTAGGTCGGGATATCGTCGAACTCGTAGTTTCGAAGCAAGGGGGCCAGAAATTTCCAGTGGTCCAGCGTGTTCTGGTCTGCGGCGGTTTTCTTCGACGCCCGGCGTCCGGGAGCCGCGTGTCTGGACTCCAGCTGCGACAGCAGGTCGATCTTGTTGCCCACAATCAACATGGGCACGCCGTCGTGGTTGGTTTCGCATATCACGTCGTGCAGCTTTTGTTTGGCCTGGGCCCAGCTGGTCAGGTCTGAGAGGTCCAGCACATAGATTACCAGGTCTGCACGGGCCAAGTATCGCTGCCACAGATGGTGGAAACGCGTCTGGCCCGCTAGGTCGAAAATACGCACCGTGTTGAGTCCCATCGCGATCTGTTCGGTTTGCATCCCAAGGGTCGGGATCGTGTCGCGCTCAAACGGCTTAGAAACGAGTGCTCGTGTCAAAGACGTTTTGCCCGAGTTCTGCAGTCCCACGAGCACAATATTAAGCTGTCGAACGCGTTAGTAATTGAAGATTTCAAGCTAGCACACCGCGTTTGGCGTCAACTTCATGGCTTGCAAGTACAAATACGTACTTCTTTCCGGTAAAAAAGGGACAGTAAGTATTGCCAGCACGACGCCAGCCACTGTTCCAAGCACTGCACGCTCAGCATTCGGCAATTACAGGTCCAGTTCAGAGTTCTGGCTGAGCCTTTTGGTCTTTTTACTCGAAAGTAAGTTACATATTTCGTGCTAGTATATATATACATATCGGCTAATTTCACCTTCAGTGACAGCTTGTAGAAGAAACCGGCCGTGCAGGCGACAAAAGCGTTGATTTTGGTGGGCTTTACGGCCCGCTAGACTATTTGTTTGATATGCGACTGTTAGCTTGATATGCGAGTTTTATATACTTCGTTGCAGGGCCCTGAGCCCGAGAAATCGCGGGAAATCTGCGACATAGACTAGTGCTTCTTGGAGAGAACCATGGTGTCTCAAAACGCTTTGAAGAGACTTTAAAAGATGGCTCGAAATTGTAAGACCGATGTAGTGGGAGTTCTGGCGATGCTTTTATGTATTGCTGTCGTTTTTTGTTAAAATCAGCTTATACTTCCATAAAATCAGCACTTCTCCACCCCCAGTGTCTGCTTCAGCTGTCAGCTATAGCTGAAATCTTCGCACAATTAGCACTCCTTCACGCACAACTTCGCCTCAGGACGAACGTAGTGTTTTCTCTTTTGCCAGCTTGTCAAATCTTTTGACTGCAGGATAGCCCTCCAAAAGCCCAAAGAAATACCACTCAATGAGAAAATCGGTCGGAACCCTGTAGAAATCGAGTCGTGGTTTCAAAATGTACACACACTCGGCAACGTGGATTGCAAACGCAGCAATTTCGACGACCACAAGCAGTGCGCCGTTATCGAAATACGGGCCCACAACAGGCACGTAGTTCAGCAGTGACCGGTTGTAGTAACATGCTAGCGGGAAGAACACCAGTGCGATGAACGCGTACCCACCAAGGCCAGAGGGCGGGCTGATCTCGTTGATCTGCACGTGTGAGAAACCGCGTTTGGTCGCTGCCACTTTGGCCATTTCCACCAGCCTGGGACGTGCCTCGCTCCACTCCTTTAGCGGTGGATCAAACAGCACCACCTTTTCTATCTCGAACTCGACCTCGAAATGGTTGAACGACAGCGTCATATGCGTCAGTTCGATCTTCTCGAGTCGAACGTTAGCGATTTTGTCCGTGATTTTCACGTCTCCGTACGCATACAGGAAGTCTTCGAGTGCAAGCTTGTGTGACTTGTTCATGTGGGCCACAATGCCCTCGGGTGACGCTGAAGCGAGCATAGCTGGGTAGCTGAGCTTGGAAAGTTTCGTCAAACGGGGAACAAGAAAGTCCTATGGTGTTTTTCCTGTTCTAAGTGTAGCGAGAGCAACAGAACGTGTACGATTGGAGAATTCTAAAACAGTTTAACTCGAACTGGAGGCTCTGTTTTATAAAGCGAGTTAGTGTGAAGTAAAATGGATGAGTTTACTACACCTATATGGCCCAAACCCCTTCGTATATTCCAGATCACTATGTACTATAATGTCATTGCTATAAAACCCTATATAAACCAGCTTCTTGTCCTGACATCGTGGCATTAGAGGCCATATATGGACGATATATGGTGGTATTTAATCTGAATAGAAGTATCAAAATGGCCTGAGCATCAGTATATTAGGCTTTTTGAGCCCTGCGTTGAGTTCAAGACCAAACTCATATATATAAATGTTTAAATTTCAATTATTTACCACACGCGTTGCAAGTCCAGTACTAAAGTGGAGAAAATTGTTTTCATAAATTCCAGCACTCTGAAACACATTACAAAGCAAATCTCACAGCTCCAAAAAGGTCTTTTCCATGCCAATATTTCAGAATCGCTGATATCAACTTCTTCGAATCATTTTTGCACCTTTTTTAACTTAAAAAAGCCGGAAAAAGATTGTTCTAAATACAAAAAAATCTGACACATATTCCCAGTACTTTAGCTGCCCCCAAAGTTGCCTTTCAACCTCACTTTTGCTGGTTTACTCTTCTTTGAAGGTGTTGATGTCACTTCCAACGAAAATCTCAAAAGGGGCTCTTGTCATTTCCACAGTATAAACTTGACCTTCATCAAACCAACCACTCTTGAATTACGCCAAAACTGGTCAAAACCACCTCCAAGCAAGCATGTCAGGCCAGAATACTGGTCATGGGAACCACCACAATCATCACCACCACCATCATCATGGCTCGCACCAGCAGGAGCAGCGTATTGGCAAGTATCAAATCATCAAAACCCTGGGCGAGGGCTCATTTGGTAAAGTGAAACTGGCTTATCACGTCACAACGGGCCAGAAAGTGGCGCTTAAAATCATCAACAAGAAAGTGTTGGCCAAAAGCGACATGCAGGGCCGTATTGAGCGGGAAATTTCGTACTTGCGGCTGCTGAGACATCCACACATCATTAAACTCTACGATGTGATTAAATCCAAAGACGAGATCGTGATGGTGATCGAATACGCCGGCAACGAGCTCTTCGACTACATTGTGCAGCGGGACAAAATGAGCGAGAACGAAGCCCGTCGCTTTTTCCAGCAGATTATCAGTGCCGTGGAGTACTGTCATCGCCATAAGATCGTGCATCGAGACCTCAAACCGGAAAACTTGCTTCTTGACGAGCACCTGAACGTCAAAATCGCAGACTTTGGCTTGTCGAACATCATGACAGATGGTAACTTTCTCAGGACGTCGTGTGGCTCGCCCAACTATGCTGCCCCAGAGGTCATTAGTGGGAAACTGTACGCTGGGCCAGAGGTAGACGTGTGGTCTTCCGGTGTAATACTGTACGTGATGCTGTGTCGTCGTCTGCCGTTCGACGACGAAAGCATACCGGTGCTTTTCAAAAACATCAGCAACGGTATCTACACGCTGCCCAAGTTTCTGTCGCCAGGTGCGTCCAATTTGATCAAACGTATGCTTATTGTGAACCCGTTGAACAGAATCACAATTCATGAAATTATGCAAGACGAATGGTTCCGGGTGGACATGTCGGACTATTTGTTGCCCGTGGACCTGAGGGCCGAGAACGACGCTCATCACGACGGCGAAGACCATGGGCAAGGCGACGAGGATGAAGAGGTCGATGACTCTTTGGTGACGATACTTACGAAAACCATGGGCTACGACCGCGACGAAATCTACGAGGCCTTGGAGTCTGAGGAGGACAACCCTGCGTTGAAGGAAATTAGAGACGCTTACTCATTGATCAAAGAAAATAAGTCTTTGATCGACGACCTGAAAAACAACAGGGACCAGAGCAACGAGCTCGACACTTTTCTGTCACAGTCGCCTCCGACCTACGACCAAAAACCACAACGACCATCTGTGGGCTCCGCTTCGCAGAGATCCCGCAATCACCGCCACGTTAAGAAAAGCCAGCAACGCACGTACCAGTCGCCATTCATCGACCAGGAAAAGGACGAAGACAGCACAATAGCCATTTTGCCCAGCTCCTTGCCGCAGATGCATCGCGCAAACATGCTAGCAGAGGGCTCTCCTGCGGCTACCAAGATCTCGCCGCTTAGCACCAAAAAGTCGAAAACCAGGTGGCATTTCGGCATCAGGTCTCGTTCTTATCCGCTGGACGTGATGGGCGAAATCTACATTGCCTTGAAGAACCTAGGTGCCCAATGGGCTAAACCTTCTGAAGACGACCTATGGACCATCCGAGTGAGGTGGAAATACGATATGAAGCAACCTGCGAACGAAAAGATTCCTGATCTCATGAAAATGGTCATTCAGCTGTTCCAGATCGAGGCCAACAATTATCTCGTGGATTTCAAGTTCGATGGATGGGAGAACAGTTACGGCGAGTCCACTCCTGCGGCCAACGAAGATGAAATGAGCACATTTTCCGCTTACCCATTTCTGCATTTGACCACAAAACTCATCATGGAGCTAGCAGTCAATAGCCAAGGCGGCTGAACACTGTGTCGACAGCTCACAAAACGTTGCCAAACATCATACGGGACTTCATGCTATGCATTGTTTCTGAGTTTGAAATATCAGGTGTATTATTAAATCTCCTTCAATTCAAGCTACTCAAGGATTGCTGACGAAAGCCAGAGTAACTACTGCGCATTCTCAAAACTCTCACCACATCTCCGCTCCACTTCATAACGTTATAGTATACTAGTTAGCTTCCTAGCTCATCATCTCTTGACACTGACGTCGGTTTTCCTCAAAGAGTAAAACAACAACTTTATACTGAAATAGGATCAAAAGTTGAAGAAACTTGAAAGAATCAAGTAAAGTCGAGGGTCAAGCGATTCTTAAAGGCTCCAGCAAGACCCTTGAGAAGTGTGTTAGGTGGTGTACATTAGATCCTGGCGCTGAAAGTACAATGCCAAGTTTTATCATGAGCCAGGACTCGTTTGACGAGAAAGCTGTACCGTCAGAACTCAAGAAGAATGGATCAAAATTTGATTCGTTACAGACAGCAAAACTGAGACATCTGCCCCTTTCTGAGATTTGCGAAGAAGATGTTATACAACTGCAGGCAGTCAATAGACAGATCAATCGGGCTCGCCGTATTTTGGTGCTCACTGGAGCTGGCATTTCGTGTAACGCGGGCATCCCAGATTTTAGGTCCTCCAGTGGGTTATACGAGCTTGTCAAACGCCAGTACCCAGAGGCAAGCATAAGATCCGGTCAGGAAATGTTTGACATTTCACTGTTTCGAGAAGAGACCAAAATCCCAGTTTTTGCGAGTTTTATGGAGAAACTCTATAGCAGCGCTAGATTGGCACAACCGACCAAAACGCACCGGTTTATAGCTCATTTGAAGAACAGAGGTAAGCTCCTGCGCTGCTATACGCAAAATATTGACGGTCTAGAAGAAACTCTGGGTCTTGAGGTGTCTTCAGAACGCGACAGTACCTCCACGATGACCAACCAATGGAAAAATGTCGATGTGGTACAACTCCACGGTGATTTAAATAAGCTGAGCTGCACCCAATGCTTTGCTACTTGCGATTGGAACAGAATGCTATCCAGAACGCTGCGAAGTGGCCAGCTCCCAAATTGCCCTCGTTGCCAGCATGCAAACCACCAAAGAACTCTTCAAGGGAAGCGCAACACCGGATCTGTCGGTCTCTTGAGACCAAATATTGTTTTATATGGTGAAAATCACCCAAGTTGCGAGTTCATAACGCAAGGACTCAACATCGACCTTGCTCGAGGACGGCCAGATTTGCTGTTTATCATGGGGACTAGCTTAAAAGTCGACGGGGTCAAAAAGCTCGTGAGAAACGTCAGCAAACAAGTACACGAGCGTAACGGCCTTGTAATTTTGATTAACAAGACCAAAATTGGAGATTGCAATTGGCACGGCATCATAGATTATCAGATTCTTTCTGACTGCGACGATTGGGTTGATCATCTACAGGAAAGCATTCCGGAACTGTTCAAGACACATCAACAAATTGAAAAGGCAAAACAGTTGCGTAGGGAAAACAGTGAGCTTCGCAAACGTCAACGACAGGAAAAAAAACTCACACCTCCATCGACACCCAGCAAGCGAAAGAAGTCAACAGCTACAAATTTGCCGGAGTCTCTCCCGAGCCCCGAGAATACTTCCTCCGGCTCCTCATCGCCAACATTATCTGCGCATTTCAAAGCTGAAACGAGTGATATCGTATTCAAGCTTGCTCTTGAAAATAGAGCACAGCCTTGCAGCCTTTCCGACGCCAAGTCGTTGCCGTCACTGCAGAGACAAGACTCACATTCAAATGAGACAGATACCACGATGGAGGGAGATCTGACAGAGATTGATGAGGAAGAACCGGACGCCTCATTATACACAAGTGCTAAGAAACAAGCACTTACAGCTAGATAGAAAAACGATAAAAAGTAAAACCTAATGTGACTTAAGAGAACTTTTATGAGTTACACGCCATGCATTACACCAAATACCTATTTTCTTCACGTTGTGACACGTAGTACTAACTTTCTCAAGCTCGAGCATGTCATATTGCGTGCAGCGAGATTGCTGATTCGAGAACCTGTCAAGGAAGTGCCGAATGATTCTTCTGTTAACACCACAGACTCTTGCTTGTCGTTGATATATGATATCATCAATGGGAAGCTTGCGTCAGGCAGGTAGCCCGTAAGTTTAGCGTGACACAAACGATTCACTTGTTGGTAAGATTGAACTTCGGAAGGGGAACATTTGGCGACAAAACATTCACCATCGTACAATATCTTCACTTTGATGTCCTTTTCTCTTGAAGGTGAATCGTTCATTTCTGCGTAGGAGAGAAGAGGCGTCGTGGGCGCAGAATGGACCTGTCTTTTGGTGATCGGACATTCGGGCGCATTCTTAATTGCTGTGAAAGAGGAAGAGCGATTGTGCACACCTTTACCCGGGTTCAGACGTACAGGAACAGCTCTTGCTGGGATGGGACTGGGTAAAATAGTGCTATCTTCCGAATAGGCTTTGCAGGCGACCGTTTCCCAGGAATCGGTTCCTGAAGGCGAAGGTGACAGTTTAAAAGTCGAACCCCGAGGCGTGACCACTATGTCTCCTGCCTTGGGAGACAGCCAATGATCCTGAACAATATTCTTCTTGTTCTCCTCTGATATAATGGCTGATTGAACAATTTCGTCAAGGTACCTGTTAAAGTCCTGCAGCCTGCTGCTGATTTGACACGTATTGACCGATCTGCACGGTGACGGGAGCCCAGGAAGAAGGTCTTGGACATCTGTATGACCTTCGCTTACCAGCTGGTCTCTGATCAATAGCTGTAGAGAATAAAAGTCCTGGTAAAAGCGAGAGAGCACACGGTGGTGCCCAGTTTTCATAACGCATCGGATCTTGTACCACACCCGGTTGTCCCACAAGTCGATAGCTTCTACCTGACACGTCTCGATGTCGGGCAGAAAAGCATCAGCAGCAGGTGTCATGGGTGGAGACGGCAACTGCTCAGTGAAGCCCGCCACTCCATTTTTACTTGTACGAGAGGCCAAAACTGGGGTCAGCGACTGCACTGTTGTCGGTGTCGAAACGGGTGAATTTTGAGGGCCAAACGTAGACGAAATTCTGGAAGGTGTCAGACTTGAGTTTACTGCCACGCATCTGGCAGGCACCAGTCCCCTGCCAACGCGATTTACTAGACGCACTTCGACAAGATTGTTCGAAGCGACGTTCAGGAGTTGCACGACTTCGCCCTTGTGCACGTTCAAAAACCGCTGGACTTCGGCCCCGATGTTTTTGGAATGCTTGTTGCTGTTGTAGCTAGCCATGGGAGTGCGCCGTTTGCGTTCATTGTCGGGTTCATGTGGGAGATAATCTTGTAGCACATCTAGAAATATCAAAGATTGGCCTGGACTCACCGGGGTTTTGCCGTATGGCAAGTCCATGTGCGGCTTGGAAATGGTGAGCTTTTTGCAGCGTCGAGGGTCGTGAGCAGACCCACTGAACGTTCTTAAAATCCCGGCCAGTCTGGACTTGCCAGAATTAGGAATTTCTTGCGATTCCTCTAGAATGCAGTCGGGATCCGGCAGCATCACTTCAAAGTTGTCTTGTAGAAAGCCCAGTTTCGGTGTAAGCTGAACAATTCACGCTCATCTCACCAGACACCAAGTTCTCACACACCCACATCTATATATCTTGAGCAACGACGAGAATTGCGTATGTAGATCAACCGTGCTCTCGCACCGGCAAATGGTTGCACAAAACAAATGGCTGCACAAAACAAATGGATGGTCCATATCAAGTGGCCGGAAGATTTACACTGTGCAACGGTTATGCACCTTCGAGCACCTGAGCAGACTTATGTGCTCGGTATCCAACGACAACCGGTATAACCCAGACAACTGCATGTCCGTCACGCATAACAATGGCAAACCCAATCACGTGCTCATATCGCGTCGCGTTCCAGTCGTTCCCGATTAGGAAATGAACTGTTTACCCTTATGTAAGCTTACCACATTGGGAAAATGTCAACAGAATGTACTGTTTATTCCAGAGACGCTCGAGAAACCACGGTCCATGTCGAGGTAAACCCGGACACGAAGTATGTTTTGGTCAAGCGAGATTGGACGTCAGCGTATCGGAAACAAGTTCTTTCGCGTGTTTCGCGATGGCCACGCGTCAAAAATCCACCGTTCAAAAAACCTGTTACCTAACCACAATGGGTATAAAACCTGCATTCTGCCGACCCAGGCGAAGACGTAACGGCAAACCGTGAGAACGACGAGGATTTTTTTGCAGGCGGGGGAGTGGTGTTCCGTAGAATCGAAGTAACGGTTGTTTCGGAATTTCTCTGCATTTTGCTGCACAACGAAGTATTTGTAGTGTGCGTACGAGAAACCCGAAAAGCGCATTGGGAATGGCGAAGGTGGAGTTGGAAACTTGCCCGTCCGTGTAGCGGAAAAGACCGTTCACACGAAGGAGCCTAGTGGACATCAGCTATATAAAAGAGGTAGGTGCATTAGCGGTGGGTGGTGAGACGAAAAGACATAACAAACTCCGTAAGAGTGCTCGTAGCGGTTATGGTGTACACTCCGGCGATCCACACACGCTCTCTTGAAAGAATGTAGACTGTCTAAACTCACATTTCGCTCACAAACTGGATATAGTGAGTGAGTGAGTGTGAATTGAATTATAAATGGATCAGAATTCAAAGAGCTCACGTATAAAACGACACATTATATTAATTACGGTTTTAGTATCACTTTATGCTCTCCTGTCGTTTCAACGTCTGTCACTACAAATCCCACACTGGCCATTCTGCTCTATGAAAACAATCTTGTCTACACTCCACTACGCTCAGCTACACTTGTCGCCCCAAAGCGAACCGGACGACTCATAGCTATTGACAGTCGTCCAGATTATTAAAGGGGTTAGATTTCATAAAAATAAAATTCGAATTTCTCTACTTCCGGCCATTTGCGCCAGGTACACATTTGATATAGATCGCGTCCCAGCTGGTACTCCAGAAGATGTTTTAAAAATATGTTGATTTATGAAGCAAAATCCATGTAACAAGATAGAAGTGGTGGAAAGGTGAAAACCCAGGACGAATTTTTTTTTTTTTTTTATAGAGGTGAAAATTTGCACGTGATGTACTACCCGGACCAAGACCCAGGACAGAGCTCATAGCATGGCATAGCATCGCATCGCATCGCCACGAAGCCCTAGCGTAAATATAATGGTCGAAATCGACCAACTTTGTTTGCTCTAAGTTCGTAATTGTTCACATTTGCCAGTTCTGTCTTAATGTATCCCACTGTTTCCTGTCCTTTCCTCATAGTAAACTTGTAAACGTTTAGTCCGACTTTTTGGACTATGCCCACTATGGTGCGTCAGTACACTCCCAGTCGGTGGGCTCGTAAGCATTGGGCTGGTCCAAAAATGAAATTTGCTCCGGCGAAAGCTGGAAATCGTATGCCTTCAAATTCCCCGTGAGTCTGGCCACCGAGCGTGACTTGGGCAGAGGCACGTAGCCGTGTTGCAAAGACCACCGGATCAGCACCTGGCCCGCGTCGTGGCCGGTCTCCTTGGCCACCTGCAGGACGTTGGGATGTTTTAGCTTGTAGCCGTGTGTGAGAGGAGAAAACGCCTCGACAACTAGTCCCTTGGCCTTGCAATGGTCGGCCAGCTCCTGACGCATAATCCAGGGCGAAATCTCGATTTGGTTGACCACTGGCTTGTGCTTGAGCTCGGGCCATGCCAGCAGCTCGTCCACATGCTGCACGCCGTAGTTCGAAACACCAATGGACCGCACCACGCCCTGGTCCACGGCCTCTTGCATGGCTTTGTAGGTTTCCAATCTGCGTCTGGGCCCGCTCAACGGCGAGTGGATCAGCAGCAGGTCGATGTAGCCCAACGGTTTGGCCTTTTCCAAGCACTCCTGGATGGCACGCTTTGCGTTGGAATAGCCATTTTGCGAGTTCCACAGCTTGGTCGTGTAGAATACGTCGCTGCGTTTGTTATTATGCGGGTCTTCCTGTAGCCACTGGTGAATCCCCTGCGCTACTTCTTGTTCATTCCCGTATAGAACTGCGGTGTCCAAATGTCTGTAGCCGGCCTTTAAAGCCTGGTAAACCACCTCTGTGGTCTCCGACCGTGGAATATCGTAGGTTCCCAGCCCTAGAGAGGGCAAAAGATGGCCACTGGAGAGTTTGTAGGTCTTTGGAACAGAAACCATTTTTTGTTGGTAGTGTATCCGTTGATGAGTGTTGATGGTTGATCCTGGGGGAAGACCAACAGGTTTAACATTAGCAAATGGAAGCTGGTAAGACAAGTACCCTCTTATATATACGGTTTGTACACGATTCCGTCATCATTAAACCTGGCAGTTTGCTATTGGGCGAAGTCATATGATGTGTTGGTTCATAGGTTTGTATCGATACGCTACTTATAACAGTGTATAAGTATTATATTGTTTTTGATCATTGAGAATCGTTGATCACTGACCACAGCTATGGGATATCGAACTTGAGCAACGCTTTTGTTCGTGTGCTCGTGCTCTGGCTCGTACGCTACTTCCCTAACCTTTGACTTTTCGTCGATCAAGAGACTTATAAGAACCACTGTCATCACTTTACAGTTCGAAAGAAGAAAAGACAACTGAGTTGGTAATTCAAGTCGCGATACTAGATGATAGAGAAAATGCTTATAGGTTTTTCTGTGACGATTTTGTTTTGTTTTAAAGACTAGTTAGTAGATGATCGCAAGACGCTGAGTCTCACGCTCTCACGCTCTCACGCTCTCACGCTCTCATGCTTTCGAGCTGTTTCCTAATGAGCTCGTAAACAGTAAACGTAACTGCTTGTCCCGGGGCCACACGCATGACACGCGGTGTGATGCCCTTGTAGAGTGCACGGAACCCTTCTTCTTGAATTAACTGGCGTGTGATGGCAACGATCTTGGTAAAACTCGAGGTTTTCGCAGTAGATTTCTCCTTTTGAAGCCGAGTCTTTATGGTGTCGAGTGGAGCGTTGGTAAATGGGCCCACGGCGCCCGAAATTAGCCCGATGAGAGAGGTTTCCCACGACGGGAGCATCTCGGTGTTGTGATAGCGTTGCAGACGCCGTTTCAGCGTCGAGTACACCGTGAAGTTGGCACCCTGGTTTGACGCCTGACGTGCGGCGGTCAAAGACACACCACGATACAATGCACGCGGGCCTTCTTCCTTGACGATCACGTACGTGGCCTGGATGGCATTGCGATACCGTCCAGCGGCACGCACGTTGGTTGTGGCCGAAGTGGCGCCCGTTTGGCCTGCATGGTAGGCCGCACTGGAAAACGTAGCCGTGGTGGGCCCAGTGGCACCGCCAGGGCCTGTGGCCCCGGCCATTTCGGCCACCAAGGGCACGTATTTCACGTGTTGCGCCTGGAGCCGGATTTTGACCACTTCCATTGGATTGACCACCATCACGGCCTCTGTGATACCTGCACCCACGCCTGCGAGAAACGTATTCCCCGTGGAAACCTCTCCCGTGGCCCGATCTGCGAGCAAAGTGCGGTAGAATTCATACGACGTGAACCTGATGGCCATTTTTGGGATGATTCCGATCACCACGGCGCCCAAACCTTTGTAGAACGCGAGAAAACCCTCGTTATGCACAATATCCCGACCTGTGGACAAAAACCCCACCGCTTTGCCCGTGCTGGAGGTACGAGACTGGATTTGCATGCGAACTTTAATTGTGTCGAGCGGGTGGCAGCATAGGGCCTCGAACAGCCCGGCTGTTCCACCTGCCACCAGGTTAATTGCAGGGTGTGAAGACTGCGATTTATTCGCTCGATTGGACATTATTTCCACTTGCTAAAGTCTCTGAGTCTCCCTGAGTCAGTCAAGATTTGTATGTGTCAATTGGAATATATAAGAATTGTGACACTTTCTGGCAAATGTCAGGATTTCTACTAGTCAAACACTGGGGAAACAAGTTTACTCTGGTAACGTAACGGTACTTGGGACCGTTTTCCCCTGGCCTTTATATATGTGTGTGTGTCATGGGGCCGTTTGAACGTGGGTCTATTATACAATTTTGACATTTCTTGGTTCAATGGAGGTTCCTGGCCATATTGAGCCGACCCGATGACGCTTAATAGCGCCATTGATGCGAGGTTGGGGTATTAGGGCCGGGTACAAAAAAGGTCCGGGTCCGGGCGGCGTCAGCGGGGGGAAAAGTGATCTAGGAAATGGTGTGGGTGTGTTTAATAGCAGTTAAGAAGGTCGGTATCAAGCAGACAGGTTTGGCCTTGTTGTTGTGGAATTGGGGTTAAATGGTGTGTAGTTGTGGAGACGGGACTGTGTGGGGCCTCTGTGGTGGACCGTTGTGTCAGGAAATTATCAAGTGATGAGTGAAAGGTCACTAAGTACGGACACGGGTAGCAGGCTTCAAACGGGTTCAGAGCTCGACTAGCAGACGTTTGTAGCACATATAGCCATGCTGAATGTGCTTTGCCTATTGCCACTCTACGTGTCCACCACCGCTGGGTAATAATACGAATTCCCCGCTTCGACGCTCTAATTTGTGAAAAAATAGCTTCTCTACCTGAGCTTCTTTCATCAGTGCTACGATTAGAATAGTGATTTAATGGTGTATAGTGCTTTTAGTATTCACTCTGACGCTCCCAAATTTCAGCACTGCTTGTAGCCATTCTGGGTATCGCTGGCGCGGTCAAAGCCGAACTATCTAATCGCTGGCGCTCGAATTTGTACTCGTACTCGTACTCGGAATGAAAAATAAGTCTGCGCTCGTCTAGTGCTCATGGCTACACAATCGAGAGCGTCAGCAACGGTGAAGGAGCCCTCTACTTGTTGAATAGTCTCCAGGGTTCTGTATTCGCTCTCGACACTTAAGAACCTCAATTTATTCGCATTTCAGAGCGTCAGTGATATGTTAGTCGATGATTTTACAAGGCGCCGCTCGCTGACGTTCTTGATTGTTCACTTGTGCTTGTAGGCCTGTTTGTTTTCACAATTGAGAGGGTTAGTGAGCAATAAGTCAGTAGTGCTACGAGGTCTCTCTATTCACAATTGTGCTTGTAATTACCAAGATTATTCCCATTTGATCGCTAATGCTCGTGGCACCCTCCCTGACGTAATATGATAACTTTAATATCTAGATGCTACACATGGTACACACGCAAAAACGCTTAGGCCTCGGCCATGTCTCTCAATCTTCTGATAGTAGATCTGACAGTGGCAGCGGCAGCAGTGGACACGGTGTAAGCACCACCAGCCACGGTCTTCTTGCAGCTGGCGCAGGTCCAGATACCGGCAGCACCTCTGGTGACGGTCTTCTTACCGCAGAACGAACAGTCGTATCTGGCGTGTTGTTGGATTTCCAACTTCTTGACCTGTCTTCTCAAAGAAGAACCGTAACGGACACCGTACTTACCGGTGATACCAACCTTTTTAGTTCTCTTAGCCCTGAGGAGGATGTTAGTAGGAATTCCAAAGACGGAGGAGGGAGATAGAGAGAGAGAGAGAGAGAAGAGCAGGTTTAGATTGTCACTGGTGGATATTGCAATGAACGTCGATTGACAAGCATTTGTCTAAAGCATTAGAATGGTTCCTGGTTTTCCCGGTTTTCTTCAATCCACACGTTCTCGGCTCGTAGTGGTCCAAAAATGCTCGAAAGTGGCTCCAAAAAAAAACAATTTCGCGCGCACCAGCCTCGCGTAATAATCTGATCTATCTTTCTACCCTGTTCAGTGTCATTATGCATACATTTTATTGTCCTTGAGTTGCTGGATTCAGACTCTATACAAGTGAAGCGCAGTAGGTTAAACTTTTCAAATTCGAGTTCTATGGGTTCAAAAAACCTAGGCCGTGGATGCGAGGCGAGGGCGTATGAAGTGACGACAGTTCGTCGCTGAGCGTAAAGCGAAGAGAAGAGTCACCGTGTGAGGTGATAATTAAAGGTGTATTTTTTCCTTCGAAGATTTTTTAAATTGAGATGAGAAAAGTGGGTGTGTGGGTGTAGGCAGTCAAAGGGTTTTACAAGCACAGTTTTAAAGTTGAAAGCTTCAGCGATCGATTGTGAGTTGGCAGAGAACTCGTAGCACTATTGAACAGTTCAGAGCATTAGCGATCAATTGTGAATAAAGAGTGTGTTCCAAGCATTAACACTGAAAAATTGATCGCTACGCTCTCAATTGAGAATAAGGAGATGGCTTCTAGTACTACTGAACAAATTGAGACCGTTCGTGTTCAATTGTGAATGAGCAGAAAACTCTCAGCACTATTGAAAAATAGAGAGCGACCGCGAGTGTGAGAGCCCGAAGCACCATTGAAACGTTGAAACTGTCAGCGTTGATTGTGAACAACTATGGCTACAAGCTAATGCTCTCAATTGTGAATAAACAGAGAGCTCTAAATAACATTGAATAATCAATAGATACTTCGATTGGCAGTAATACAAATAGTGAACGGTGTATTGCTGAAGCTCTCGATTGGTGAACAAACACAGACCTCATAGTCACATTGAACTATTTAGAGTGTTAGCGATTAATTACAAGAGGTAATAGCCTAATAATATAACTGAAAAGTCCGAGTACAATTACTTCCACGAGTACGAGTACAAACGAAAGTGTCAGAAGTCGAGGCTACAAACACTATTGAACAATTAAAAGCGTTAGCGAGCGATTGTGAAAGAAGAGGTACTGCAAACAATACTGAGATATTGGGGGCATCAGCCATCAATTGTGAATGAAGAGGTTGTCTTAGTATTACTGAACAATTAAGCTCGTTCGGAACTGAACAATCAGTAGCATCATCGATCAGCACCAATATAAACATAACTAGTAGAACCATTATACAGCCAAGAGCGTTAGCTGTAAGCTTAAAGAATTATTGAACAAAATCGAGAGCATAAGCGATCGATTGTGAATAAGCAAAGAAGTTAGAGGACTGCTGAACAATTGATAACCTCAGCGATCAATTGTGAATACGTAATGAACTCTTTGTATCAATGAACAATTTAGAACGTCAACTTGTGGACGGCTCAGTACTTTATTGACAAGGACGAGTACGATTACGAGTACGATCAACCGTGCCAGCGATATATCCCATATGCAGAGCCACTCTGTAGCTTCTACGATCAAATGTACATAAGTAAGCTTCATCAATCAGTTATGGATACTTGGGGTCTCAAAACCCAACTATTAGCTCTCTTTTCTCATAATAAATCGCTGTCGCTGTCGCTGCTTGTAAGCGAAAACAGTCATTTTACAGTGGTCAGAGCTCAAACATTGAATCTCAACACTCAAGCGCGACGGCGACCACTTGGTGAACAATGAATTGATAGACTTTCCAAAACATTAAATTTCCTTACCCTTCAAGCACGAACAATTGCTTACAGACGAATTTAGCGCTAATATGCCTGTACTCGTTTTCATCATTTGAATAGCAAAGAGTAATAACGATCCACTGTAATTGATAGACTAATAAATCTGCCAGAGTATTCACTACATGATAACAAGTGCAGGCTGCAGTTTTTGCCAGTCAAAACATCTTTTCTGAAGGAGTGCTATTGAGAGCCATCCGAACCAAAACTTCACGCTCAGAAGCCTGGATCGATAGCTTTATTAAATTGTCATTCTTGAGACGGTTATATCACTCATTCCGTGCGCCTTTCATCAACAGATTCACGGGAACCCAGCCATGCCAAAGAGACATCAATGCCAATGGTACGGATACACATTGTAGCTATGCCATAAGTCGCGTTTGATGATCATCCATGGCAATCTCATCTTTACTGAATCAGTCGTCAGTCGTCTGTCGTTGTGTCACGTGATGGATAACTTATACGTCCTCGCAGAGCTTAGACCAGGATACCAAATGGTAGTCACTTGATCTGTTGGTCAAGCTCTATTACATGACTATTTACGACTGGGTAGTCGTATGAATACGTGAATACGTCATGCGGTTGTCTTCCTTGAAGTAGGCTCTAATATCCCGCATTTTCTCTTATCACATTTCAATGACACCAGCTCGAAACACGCACGAAAGGGTTCTCATATCTGGATATCATTTCCCAGAGGCTCAGGGCACTCAAACAAGCCAGTAAGCATTGAATATCGAAGATATTCCTCTCGATTCAGATCCGCGTCTCTCATCACTTTGTACTATAGTGTCATTTGTAGTGGGAATTGGTTCACCATTCGTCGATTTTAAGCCTCTCGCTCGATTTAGAGCTTGATATTGGTAATTCCATTACAGATTGTGATCTTTCCACTTATCGAGTCTCCCCTTTTTGTGTTTCGCGGATGTTACCGATGCGTTCACTGTCAGAGTCACCATAGTTTGAGCTACAGCTTCATGTATGATAAATAGCATGACAGAACGATTTATGAATAACGAATTAAAATACAAAGCGCGTTGACAATACTGCATGCTCACTAGTTGCCTACCACACCATGGGCAAACTTTAAAATGAGTTGGAATATGTGCAATGTCGCTGAAACTCAGAATAAAGTGTTCTTAAGATCAGCTGAGAGCATAGGAACTCGATCTTTATAAGTGAGAGGCTGCTTTGAGTGCCTTAGCAACTCTACTTTCAGGAGTGCTTGTGGCATCTCACGAGTACGAGTACAATCACTACATTTAACCTTTTCATCGTGCTAACTTGACATACGGCCACAAGCACTATTAAACAAGTGACAGCGTCAGTGAGAAGTTCTGGACTTCGAGTTTGTAAAAGCGAAAGCGTAAAGACTACACAATTATTTATACTTTCTAATCTATTGCTCATTTCGCTCTCGGTTGTCAGTAGGTACTCGTACTCGGACTTGCCAATACTACTCATAGGCCTTCCTTTATCCATAATTGATAGCTAACGTTCTTAATAGTTCATTAATTTCCCAATGCCAATCTAGCTATTCACAATCGATTGCCGATCTTCTCGATTTTTAATCACATTTCGAATTCTCTACTTATTCACAATCGATTGTTGACACTCTCAATTGTTTGGTAGTATTACTAGGTCTCACTGACGCTCCCAATTGCTCGATATTAACCATAGTACACCTTCGAGTACTCACATTTTGGCACGTTCCTTCACCGTCCTGAAAGCTCAACGTCTCGAAATCTTACATAAAGGCATTCAGATTTGATCACCGACACCCAGGTTCCGAGTTTCCTGCGAGTCAATGCAAGCAACTGAGATTTGTAACTCTGTATATTGGAAAAGGTCTTGGTGTCATCAGAAAATTGTCTAACCTAGTCGCAATCGAGCGATAACCAGCGATAATATACTAATTGCAGCCGTTTGAATCGTGCAAAATTGATGTCTGACATTTACAGCAGTTTTAGTGAGGTTGAGGACAAGATAATTTTTTATGGTCAACCACTGACGCTGTAAAATTTATGGTAGTTAAAGTCATCTCGATACTGAACTTAGCCCTCAAATATACTCACAATTAATCACTGAACCTCTCGATTGTTTCATGAGGCTGGAAGCAAGTGAAATTACTCACAAATATATCCTGAAGCTCTCGATTGCCGTGACTATTGCCATCTAAATTACTCAAAATCGAAGGCTAATGCTCTCGATTGCTCAGTAGTGCTTGTATCCATTGCACTTATTCACAATTGATCGCTGACGCTCTCAATTGTTCAACCGTGTATCTGGTTATCTTCGCTGTCGCCTCAGAAATCCCCGCACACCTGCACCTCGCCTTGTCACATTTCTCGAAAGATCCCACATCTCAAAAACTATATAAACTCTGCCTCTCTGAACAAACTCCCGCGAACTTCCCACCACTCGCAATCTCTCAAATCGACCATCAAGACCCATAAAATATCCAAACTCAACGACATCGGGCAATTACAACCTCGCTAGCTCGTTTGTTCGCCCAATCTCTATAAAAAAACGCGTTAATTCACCCACAACCACTACTCATCGCACCTGGGACGCGTAAACACCTGGACCAAGAGGATTCTTGTCAGAGCTGGATATACCGATCTGTTTCTTAATCGTCGAGTGTCTCTTCCACAAATAACAAACCACACGAAACGCACCCATGCCATCGACCAAGCTGACAACGCGTGCTACTCGACCTGCGAAACGCGCACGTAGGTCTGCTCGTAAACCCTCGCTGCGACAGAATGCCACCCGTGTAAGCGATGCAACGCGTGTATCTGGCTGCAACAACGACAGTTTTGAGTCCCATGGTGCCAAACCTGGGCAAACAGCAGCTCCGGAAAACCCTCCACAACTCAACTCCCCGTCGGTTCCAGCACCGTTGTCGTCACCCAGTTTCATGGACGACTATTTGCACTGGGACCACGTCGACAGGACGGCTGAGGCGCCACAGGCGCCCCCGGCGGCAGCAGCATCAATGGCCCATAGCTTACTGCTCGTGCACACACAACCAGTGCATTCCGTGTCTGTGAGTTTGCTGCACGACACGTTGGATCTGCTCGACGCACAAGACTCGCAATCGCGGTCTCCCAGTTTCTCGGCGTTTTCAGACCCAGACCAACTGCTGGATTCGTTGCCCGAACCAACTGCAGCGGACCACGACGTAAGCAAAGTGCCCCGAAACCCACCGCTTCCACTGCAACATTTGACAGAAGTGGCCATGAACGCGTGTCCCGAGCCACCCGTGCTGTCACCAGAGGACTCCTTTGTACAATATCTCTCGCATAAGCTGTCGCGATACTGCGGTTACGTGTCCAGCGACTCACACTACTGCGACAAGATCCGGCTACAAGAAATATCGTATCGACTCAGCAAAACCACATTTGAACGTTGAGAACTTGGATTGAAGAGTCGAGGGTCCCGCTGGCGTCGAGTGCGTAATTTTGAGAGTTTATCATCGAGAGTTCAACGTTGAAAGTTCATCGTTGAAAGTGCATCATAATCATCAAGAGTGTATCATCGCGAGTCTAAACTTGAACACTTTTAGCACTCCTTTGCTTGTACACTTCGAGAGCCTTCTCTTCTCGACACAGGCTTCCCTGCTCGCACTCCATTACACAGGCTTCCCTACTCACGCTCCTCTCTTTCCCCATATGAGTGCACCGCAGCTCGACGAACTCCAGTGGAAATCTCCAGAATGGATCCAGTCCTTCGGACTCAGAACGGATAATGTGCTCGATTACTTCGCAGAATCGCCCTTTTTTGACCGCACTTCCAACAACCAGGTCGCCAAAATGCAGCAGCAATTCGCCCAACCACGTCCCGCTGTACATGTGGCCGCTGCGGGCTCTGACAACTCCACTGGCGACCCTGAACAAGACCCCCACCGTCGCCGCATCCTATCCACCTATATGGTTCACGCATTGTGGGATGCTGAGTTGCGCAAACTCAAGGGCGTCGAATACGTGTTGGCATACGTGCGCGAGCCCGATTTTTGGATCATTCGCAAGCAAAATCGTACCACACCCACCTCTGCCACGCCTCTGCAAGACTACTTCATCATCGGTGCCAACGTATACCAGTCGCCAGCCGCATTCAAGATCTTACACAGCCGGCTGTTGTCTGCAAACCTGCATTTGTCGCATGCACTCGCAAATCTGCGCCGCATGAGTCGGTTTGAGCCCTCACAAGGCGGCAGTTTCGCTGCTACGGCCTACCACACCACGCCCACGGTTCCTCACACTGCTAGCACAGTCTCAAGCTCTACTAGCGGACCCAATTCCGCTGCCAATACCGGTCCAACTACGGCAAATGCACAATCCGTGCTAACGAGCTCGGCGGACCCGGGAGGCGCCGCAGGCGCCCACCAGGCCGCCGTAGACGACGCACTCATGGATAAACTACTTGCTATAAGCATGAAATCGACTCCCGTTTACCTGTAAGGCCCATGTCCCGAGGACTACCCATTTCACGTGATGGATTACTGTTCGTCAAGCCAGCCACCCACACTGGACCGCACCTTTTTCAGGAACTTATCCCACTGGCCACCACTCAGGCAGTGACCATTATTCGTCCTTTCATTGCAAGCCTTATTCTAAACGCTACAGTTTCTTCCCTCATAATGTTTCCCAGTCGTTTACTCTTCGCTTTATCAACTGTTTTGTTGTGTGTCCAGGCAGCTACGGACGCTGTGATCACCCACAAAGTGTACTTTGACCTTGCACACGGCGAAAAGACCGTTGGTCGGGTGGTGCTTGGACTCTTTGGCGAAGTTGCGCCAAAAACAGTGCAGAATTTCTACGAACTGGCCACTTCCGAAGACCCAAATATGGGCTATATCAACTCGACATTCCACCGTGTGATTCCTAACTTTATGATTCAGGGTGGAGACTTCACTGACCACTCTGGAATTGGCGGGAAGTCGATCTACGGTGCCACATTTAAAGATGAATCGTTTGCTTTGAAGCACGACAAGCCTGGCCGCTTGTCAATGGCCAATCGGGGCCGCAACACCAACGGGTCGCAGTTCTTTGTTACCACCGTGGCGACCCCATGGCTAGACGGCAAACACGTTGTGTTTGGCGAAGTGGTCGAAGGTATGGACGTGGTATCATACGTGGAAGGAGTCGCGACAGGTGCCATGTCGCGTCCAAAAGAGACTGTGCGTATTGTGGGCTGTGGCGAGATCGAGACTGTGCCAGTCCAGGAGAAGCGCAAGGAGACCCGCGACGATGCACACGACGAATTGTAGACCTATAGAGTCTCCGCCCGGTGCTTCATCTTGCCTGTCAAATAGCTACTTGGTGGTTAACGGGTAGTTAATTGATACTTACAACTTACTCGATAAGTGCTTGGTATCCTACGCATTACATACTACACAGCCTATTACTTACCAAATAGAAGCTATTATGTTTGTTCGCCGAGGGCTTGACTTGCTTGGTTTGCTTGGCTTTCTTGACTCTCTGCTTCATTGGGTCCAGGCCCTTTTGGTTCCCCAGTTCGTGCTAGTTCATTGTTCCTAACATCTTGTCAAAAGTTTCCAAACTTGATGTACAACTCCACAAAAAATCAACAGTACAAGCTCAACACCGGCTTGTACACATCATGCTAATGCCACGAGTCCTGGCAAAGGCCACACGGCCTTTCTTCCCCGGTACTCGCAATCTCAACACCATCTCGAACTTCACAACTACAAAACTTGCGTCCGCTGGAGGACCGTTCTCTCAACTGCCTGAATTCACACCTTTGCAAGACAGCATCCTGGTTTCGCTGCCGTCATCCTGCATACTACACACCCGAACTGACCAAGTATGTGCTCTCTCGTTCGATGCCAAGTCCAAACTTCAACAACAACCTCTGTATTTGAACGCTAGTGAAAAATCGCCTCACTTTTGCCAGCTCTCTACGGGCGACGAGCCTGTCAACGCCATGCTCGTGTCTAGCACGCCAATGTCGAACGTCTTGATTCTCAATCTCGACGACTACCGTGACGGATGGCATCTCACCGATCCACAGGCCAGCGTTTTATGCTACAGTGGGAATCTTGAATTCCAAACGGACAACCAATTGATCGGCCGTGGTACTGTGGCCATCTCTGGTGAGGGACCCGTATATCAGATGCAGCTTGGTGAGAACGAATCTGCCATCGTTAACCCGGGAGCCATTTTGGGTTACAGTAATAAGGTTTCAGTGAGCAATGCAGGGTTTTCGTCGCAAGCCTTAGTACCCATTCCTATAAGAGCGTGCTTCTCGCGTTATGCTGGCCGGTACCTCGAGAAACTGGATTTACTTCGGCACAAGTTGCTGAACCAGGGAAAAGTGTATACCGAGGTTAAGGGTCCCGGAACCGTGCTTTTGCAGACCTCGTTTGTACCAGGCCCCAAGTCGTACAATTACTCGGACCAGGAGCTTTTGCAGGCATTCAAGTGACGGTTTATGTGCAGACATGGTATATATATATATATCGATATCTAGGACTTTTAAGAAGAGTTGCCCAGGAAAAGTGCGACTTCATGGAAATCCTTAAGGGGTCTCAGCATGTTCTAGTGTGCTATATGTACGATCCGATCGAGTAGCCCACAAAGGCGCCTACGTAAGCCCCCATGATCAGCGGAGTGGGCCAGTTTTGCCAGTCCCGGTCCCAGTCCAATGGAATCATGACACAACTGATCCAGCATCCAACCGCAACGGCAATAAAGTACTTCTTGAAGATTCCCACTTTGAAATTGCATTTGAAGATGGAGTAGATCGCAGGTAGCCCCAGAACGCAGTAATGAGCTGAAAGAATCCAAGTTTCTCTCAAAAGCATTGCAATGGGTGCACCCAGCAGTATAATGATCAGCATACAGGGCACAGTGAGCACCAAGGCCGCTCCCAGGCTAATTGGTATCAAACTCATGCGTAAACGTAAAATCTTGTGTCCGTAGACCGTGTTGGCATTGAATTGCAATGTCAAATACGCCAATTGAAGCGGTATGAGCATATACAACAGCGTTACGGCGTCAAAATTGTGCGAGAGTTTGATGTAATAGTACAGCAGAGCCAGCAAGTGCACTGGCACTGTTTTGATCGTTCTTTTCACGTAGATCGGAGGTCCATCGTGGATCTGGCTGTGGTTCTTGTCACCCGATCGACGGGACTTTGTTAAGGTTTCGTCGTCGGAAAACGACACCGACTTCTTGGGCAACGCTCGCTTCTTCACTGGCATCTCCACTGGTGGCTAATCCAACGCTTGATCTCGGTTTCCACGTCAAGTATAACACTTCAAGTTGGTGTCAATTTTCAGTTTGTTCGAATCCAAGAGTTAACTATATTCAAAAATGAGAGGTTACCAGAAAGACTACGATAAAGAGGCTCTCATTGGCATCTCAATTATGAGTCAAAATTCTGAACTATTCTCGTGATTATTGTAATGGCGAAATTCGTGTTTACAAGGACGTCAAAGTTCGTCAATGGGAGTCTTTGAAATAAAATTAGATAAATTAGAAGCTTCCGGAGTGCCACGGTTGTTGAAAGTGCCCGCGATGATTCTCAATGGACTTTCCTAAATATTAAGGAGCTGTGGCCAATGCTCATTGGGATGGCAGCCATTTCTTGCATGCTCGAGAGCTAGAATATGTATATTTCTGAATGTCAGTGAACATTACTGATATATTAATTGATTTACACACCACTGCTGACACTTGAAATAGTCCGATAAGTTCAATTTATCAAGAACTTTGTTCCGTTCACGTCCCTGGTTAATGACATAGAGACCTCGTAGAGTACTCCACGTTGATCAAGTCCCTCCATATTTCAAAATCGGCTTGTCGACCAGCCTTCGCTGCCACCTGTTTTCTTCTATTTATTGGCAAAGAACAGTAGTCCTTGATGACAGTGAAGTCTAACATGGGCCTCAATGCATGTCCCAGCGAGTAGAAACTATTGTGCAAACGTTCCATCTTAGGGTTCAACCCGCACATCTGTACTTCTTTTTCGACCAAATGCTGTTGGACCACGTACAACCTTCTATAGCTACTCTCAGTGAGAGGCATAACTTTGAAAATAGATCCATCGACCTGGGCTCCAAGAACCTGGTATTCGGGAAGGCTTGAAGCTTGTGCAAACTCATTATTTTTCAACAGCAGCTTCATACAGGTATTCGTGCTGTGCAAATTGAAACTGGTGCAGTGCACCAGTTTTTGACCCGATAACGAATTTGGTTCGTCTGGTGCATACTTTAGAACGTGCAAAATATTGTCTCTGTCGGACACAAGGAAATTTACATCGCCGTTGTTGACCAAAAATTCCAAACTCATAGTGGCAAGCCTCGAAACGCTCTTGCCAAGAGGGATCATACGGTAGGGCTCAGCATCAAAGCCTACAAACTGGAACTCCTGAGCTGCATCACCTATGAGGAGTAGGTTCCCGTAGCTCTTTATATCAGTGACAAAAATTGGAACATCAAAGAACGCAACTGGCACCACGGAATTGTCCTCTTGTACATCGCGCACTAGTACTTTCTGGCCCTGACTGATTAAAAATCTGCCGCTTACCTCACATACGCTCGATACCGCGCCTCGAAACTCTTCGTGAAATATTTCCTTCAGCTTAAAGTTGGTGTCCGGCTTCCCTGGCTCAGGAACCACTTCCGATATGTCGTAAAGGTAAAATGAACCCATGGTCCCATAGTCTTCGTCCCTCAAAAAAGTGTTTCCCACCACCAAATACTCTCGTTTCCTTCTTGTTCGCGAGTTTGTTTGAATTAACATTGTTTTCATGTCATTGATGAGCGAGTTCTTTTCAAAGTTAATCTCATCAATAACGCGCCATGTACTGGGGTTTAAGAGAAGAACCCCAGATTGGAATCCTTGCGCACGCACCGCTTCGTCGTCGTAGCCAACCATCTTTTGCCCATCTTCACTGACCGCCTCGTATGGAATTTCTTTATTGTAAGAAACGATGTACATCCCAGTGCGTTCATGATATGCGACGTTATTGAAGCTACCATAAGTCTTCAGTGCATCTTCGACATTGACCTTTTTCACCGGCAACCGATTGCTGTATGAAAATGTAGTGTCCAAGGTGACGATTCTGGCATTTTTGATATCGTCCACGCATAAGACTGATTCGCTGCCCCAAGATGTTAAAGAGACCAGTGGGATATTGGCAAACTTAAAAATCTTGGGAGTAGAGTTGTCCTCTTTGATTATCATATATGGCACACTACCGGTAATTAAGATAACTGAGTATCCGTTGAAGTATTTCACATAATGCGCGATCCTTTCTATCGAGCTTACACCCTTAGCATACGCATTCCCTGGTGCACCCGTAATCTGGAGGTCGTTGCAATGCATCGATTTATAGAATCTGTTCCCAATTCTTTTATAAACATACACTTCACCACCAAAAGTTAAGATAGTCAGATACTCTTCTTTATTGTCTTTACCCAGCCTATTGATCATAACTTGCTTGATGGAAGGATCTGGAACAACTTCTTCAGGGAGCTGGTATGTGCTAAAATAAAGCATGTCGTTGAGATTGTCCACGCCGTTTAATTGATAGATTCGATCATGATGGTCCTTGGGAAAGAAGATGATCTGATTATCGGCTGCCACGAAAGTGAAAAGTAGCTGTTCCTTTTCCTTTTCAAGACCGACGAGATTGGTGAAGAATTCATTGCATATATTACTTTTCAAAATGACACCAGATGTGATAATCATTTCTTCGAGGGCCTCTGGAAGCTTGACTTTCGTGAGTTTATTTCTATGTTTGCTGTCAAGTTCATATATCTTTATTTCACCTTTGGAGTTTGTTAGCAGTATGAAGGGATCTAGAATTGACACATGAACAACCTCGAAATCAAAAGTGATGGTCATCAGCTTTTTGAACCCTAAATTGAACAGAAATACTGCTTTAGTGGTGACGTGAACAATTCTCTTGCCGCCACCTATCATGACAATTTCAACTGTCGTGACGTTTCTCTTAAAATGCTTTGGTTTAATGGATGTTATTTTCTCCCCAATCTCGTAAAGCTCGCTTTTTTCGGCACTAGAATCGGTGGTAACCAAGTACTTGTCTCTTTTCCGAACTTTGAGGTTCCAAATTTTAGTCACGGATGTGAACTTGAGTGCTTGCTTAACGACAGGACGGACGCTATGTTCCATGATATTCAGGGACGAAGTATTGCCGGTACCTGATGTTGTGACAATCGCAAGCTCGTTTTTATTGGGATTGGGAAGACCTTGAACTGTTCCTTCCACCGAAGAGGCTTTACCCACAGCCATGCTTGTAATGGGCCCAACATTAATGAGCCGGTCTATAACTTCCATTTCAAATGGTTGTAAAGTATCGCTCGGCAGCTTACCGTCGACAGAGGCCCTAGCCGGCCCTTCGTCGTCACCGTATAATGATGCATAATCTTCGTCTTCGTCGGGCTGCAATTCGATTTCATGCGTTTGTTTTGACTCGAATGCAGAGCGTAGATTAACAAGCTTGACAGTCAATGCGTCCCCTGATGAAAACCCGATGAAAAGCTGACAAGCTTTGAGACTCAGACCACCCTTCAAAGGCGTAATGCAAGTTGGGAGATGCTGAGACTTGAATATATGGTCCGAAACCGGTAGCCTGACCAATGTGAAGTCTAGTAACAATCTCCCTTCTGACTGTAAAATAATGGAATAAATCTCAGCGTTATGGTCCATTAACAGCAAAATTTCGGCGTCCTTACTCACCATGGCCGATGTCCATATTACCGGAGTGTTAAGCATGACCTCCAGAGATTTTTTATCAACCTGTTTGCCGCTAGTGAGCGTCGATGCAAAAGAGTTGATCTGAATTGTGGATTGCAATGCACCTGTGTTGTCCACACTTATGATTTGGTTGACACCAACTAGCACACACGAATTGTTGAGAGGTAAGATTGAGTGGATGTCGTGTGGAAGCCTCTCAACCTGATATATCGCGGTGTTCTTTTTGTTATTGAGAGTGATGGCCATTAGTCTCATCGAAGTCTTGGAGACAGACTTCTCGTTTCCACACCACGCGAGCCGCGGTTGATACAGCACGGCCACAGTGGGTCTATTGAAAGAGTTCAGAAACTGTATATCTACCACGTTCTTTATCTGCTGATTGAGCTCTGAAATACGCATTATGATGCTTGGCTCAGAGAGAGACCTGACAGGAGTTCCAATTTCTATCTTTTGTTTCTTGGTGCTTGGCTGATACACATCATACGCCTCATCCTCTTCTTCCACATTCACCTTGAGCGGTAAGATCGCCAATACGTCGTTATTGCACAAGAAAACGCAGCGGTTTTCGGGGTCTACACGCATTTTTGACTCTTGAGCAAGATCCAACATGCTTTTTTTCGAGAATTCGTCTTCGTAGTAATGCAGTTCCAGACTTTCCAAGCGCATTGGCCTCTGTGGGTCAAATCGTACTACTGACATTTTGGCCTTCCCAGTGCTGACGAGCAAACATTGCAACACGCTTTGAAGCTGTGGGATCAAAGCAATTCCCGTAATTCGTCCACTTAATTTAAATTCGTTGCACAGAACTAGTCTCTCGTGAATGATTTGGTAGACCGAGAGCAGGTTTGTTCTTGCGACAATCAATTGATCGACCTTCTCCGATGTGAAACGACCAAGGACCGAATGAGTAACTTTCGTCGCGTCAAAAACCTCATCGTAAATGTTCATAATAACTCGGTATCAACGCTACCAGCCAAGGCTATCCACCTTGTTCCCTGTGTTGGCAACGTGAAGTTAACTAGGTACTACAGCTTAACTTTTCACATTATTAATTCGTTGATGGCACTTCATACGACCCTGTCACTTCAATTAATTGATCATAAAAAGACCTAAAAACCCTGACAACTAAACTGTAAAGCCGCCCAAAGAGCTCAGCTTTTCATCCTTAGTCAAGATGAAAAGACTAGCTATCTATCGAGGGAATTCTTGTTGGCGTTAACAGCTCAGAAGTCTACAAAACAAGATATATCACTTCACACGTAATATAACGATAAAGGCCTAACTGGACTCGCTACAACGACACAGTACGCTGAACACAGCTATTTACACCCGTCCACTGCCGAATTTGCTCTTTTGAGTGGCTTACTCGTCTTCCTTGTAACTATGGTTTCTCTTTCTCTGTTTAATTAATACTATGTTAATAACGACTTTGAAAATGAGAGTCATCACCGATTCTATCTCAGATGCGGACATCGAAGCATCATCAGGATCGCTGCCATGTCAAAGACCTATACAATTGTTATCAAGCTAGGGTCGTCTTCCCTGGTTGATGAGAAGACGAAAGAACCCCAATTGTCCATCATGTCGATGGTGGTAGAGACCGTAGTGCGACTTCGTCGTATGGGTCATCGAGTCGTGCTGGTCTCTAGCGGTGGTATTGCAGTTGGTTTGAAGACGTTAAACCTGGAAAAAAGACCTAAACACTTGGCTCGCGTGCAGGCGATCGCCGCAGTTGGTCAGGGAAGGCTTATCGGCCGTTGGGATTCGCTGTTTTCACAGTTCAGCCAGAGAATTGCCCAGATCCTGATCACCAGAAATGATATTGCAGACTGGACGCAGTACAAAAACGCCCAGAACACCATCCTAGAGCTGCTACAGATGGGCGTGGTGCCAATTGTGAATGAAAATGACACTTTGTCCGTCAGTGAAATCAAGTTTGGCGATAATGATACATTGTCCGCTATCACGGCGGCCCTGTGCGGTGCAGACTACCTCTTCCTTCTCACGGATGTAGATTGCCTGTACACAGACAATCCTCGTACCAATCCAGACGCGAAGCCCATTTTAGTGGTGCCCAACATGGCCCAGGGTTTGCCAGGCGTGAAAACCGACGGTGGATCGGGCTCTGACGTCGGAACTGGCGGCATGGCCACGAAACTCATAGCAGCGGAGCTTGCAACCAATGCTGGTGTTCATACCGTTATTATGAAGAGCTCAGAGCCGCACAACATCTCTAAAATTGTTCATTACGTGCAAAGCCTAGAAACCCCACACCAGTCTACGGAGGACTTGGTAAAGTTGCAGGAAGAGGAGCTACAAAAGCTCAAAATTAATGACGTCCCCTTCCACACGCGCTTTATTGCGGATGAAAATGAGATGCACCTAAAAAATCGGGAGTTTTGGATGTTGCACGGCTTGGTAAGCCATGGCGCCGTGATTATCGATCATGGCGCCTTCGCTGCACTCACAAGAAAGGAGAAAGCGGGTCTTTTACCCGCTGGAGTCATTGAAGTTGAAGGCCACTTCCACGAACTTGAATGTGTGGATCTCAAATTAGGTTCTAGGCTTGAAAATGGCGAGTTGGACCAAACAGTCCCTCTTAAAACGATCGGAAGGGCCCGTTGTAACTACACAAGCTTGGAGATAGCCAAAATCAAAGGGCTGCAAAGCGACCACATTGAGAATATTCTAGGTTACGCGGACAGCGAGTATGTGGCAGTTCGTGCAAACTTAGCGTTCCCTCCACACTGAGCAGACAAGACGTTGACAGTGAATTAAAACGTACGTTGACCGGTTACAAAATGACTTATAGAATGTTTTTAAAGATCAGAGACGGCACCTGGGACTCAAAGTTACAATAGAACTGTTAATACCTGGTCCTTCTCATCAAAGAAAATGGTATCCTTGGATTGTGCTGAGTATGCTATTGATGGCAGTGGAATTTGTAACTTCTGAGGCAAAAAATCAGGATGATCGGCTGACGTTTCTAAATGCAATGTATTGTCCTGTGAGTCGTAATGGACCTTGTAGTCTTGTTGTGAATGTAGCTCAGATCGCACTTCGACTTTTAGTTTCGCCCAAAGATGAGATGACACTTTACCCATGCGAACGTCTAGCTTTAATGGCAATTTGGCCGGATGCTTTTGTTTGTCGACTTGTGTAGTCAGTGGGACGTGGTGAGGCTCGATTTCCTCGACCAGTTTCTTTTTGGGGTCGATTGTAGGTAGAGGGAAAAGTGGCGGCAGAGAGGAGTTGGGACCGGAATCTTCTTCGTTATCGAGAAGGTCTCTTCTTAATTGTAAAAATGCTTGTGGGTCGTTATTACGGCGCCTTTGTTCTAGATCAATTGCTTCACGTTTGGGGTCCGCATTGAGCTCCTCCTTTAGTACCTCAAGAGTTGGAATACTTGCACCCTTACAACGTAATTTTGGGAAAGCCAATTTTGTTCGGCTGAGCTCAATTCCTTGTCGAAGTTCGCAGGATTCTAAACACCATTCAACCAAAATTTCCTTGAGTTGTGGGTTGCGTCTGGCCCAATCCAAGCATGCAGTATTTACGCAGCAGTCGCTAACGTAGCACACGGAGCCTTTTTTGTCCTGATCTTGGCGAGTTGCAGAAGTCACGATTGGAATTTCCCATCGATTTGCCATGATCAGAGGGAAAACGATACTAGGCTCAAACGCAACATCAGGAGAGGGTACTTGTGATGCATGGCAAATGTTTATAAAGTATTTCACGCCAGTTTCCAGTTCGTTGTTGGAACAGCTTTCCACGATAGTCTTGATTGCAAACCCGGCTGATGGTTCTACCGACAGGACTCGTTCTCTTTCAACCTCAGCGTCGCCCAAAGCGCGAAGCATAAAAGTCATTGGATGATGCAATGGTTGAGGTGAGAATGACAGGCTTTGTGCCGCTGTGCTGCTGTGATGCTTTCAAATTACTTTCTACAAGTTGATGTCAATGGATATGAAATTAACTAACAGAAGGATATTTAAATCCAAAAAATGAGTGAACACAAGTGGGAGCTGTATCTGATCTTTAAAGTCGTGTGTCGTTCTAGATCGGCTTGGAATTCTCAATTCAATTACACGTTGACACGTTTGTAGACAAACCCGCTGATTGACAGTTTAGATGGTTATTATTCATATATTTAGGATGCTATGGGGGAAGTTTTGCATTCTTATATGGATAAATCGAGAGAGCGTGTGTTTTTGAGAGGCAGACATTCTGAGAGATGGATATGTGATGCTGTAGCTGGGTTTTTCTCTGACAGTCGAACGTGAATTCTAGAGTCAGACTGTGTCTTAACTATTCATTCCAAGAACGACAATTAGAGCTAACCGGTCTGAAAACTTGCAATCCTGGGAAGTAATAATTGACACGTTAATGAAGTGAGTTTTTAATACCGCAGCAAAAGTTTTCTTCCGCTTCTCCAATTCCGTTTTTGTAGTCGGACTGTGTCTTAATTCTTCAATTCTTCAACATCAAATACATCTAATCAACCTGGATACCCACAATCCTGGAAGACAACGTTTTTGCACATAAATCAAGTGGGTATCTGACACGTCAGTCGCACGTATATTCTGACGCTGTCATGCTTGTTCTGTAGTCAAACGATATCTTATAATTGCATATTCTTCGAATATCAAGTATTCCCGATTGGCCTGAACACCCGCGTCTAGCAAAAGAATTAAGAAAGATTTAATGCGAAAATCAAATCTCTGTCTCTCACATTGCAGTACTTGTTCTGCAGTTGAAATGTGTCTTTTAGTTATCTGTGCTTTAAACATCAAATATACTCAATAAGCCTGAATATCAATTACTTCGAAGAAAAACGTCAAGCAGAGATGTTTAGCGGAGTTTATGTGGTATTCTTATTCTCATTCCGACACTCCAATACTTATTCTGTTCTTAAACTGTGTCTTGATTATACAATTCTTGAACATCACATATAGCCAATTAACCTGAATACCCGCAGTGTTTAGAGAAAATTTGGCACATAAATTAGGCCGCAATTCAATGCGACAGTCCACACACCCATTCTCACATTTCAATGCTTGTCGTGTAGGTAGACGGAATCTTATAATTTCACATTCTTCACACATCAAAGATACCCAGTCATCCTGCCGATCTGCCTGGATACCAACCACTCCAAAACAGAACCTCAAACACAAAAGCTATCTCTCTCACTATACCACAACAAAATGGCGGAATCATCTTCCCTCAAACACACTCGCTCGCTCGCCGGCGATGCTATGGGACAAAGTGATATAGATCTCGGAGATTTTCCAAAATAAAGCCACTGCCCCAAATCTAACAACAAATTTCACGCGAGTCCACCAACTATCTTTAATTGTTCCACGCCGTACACTCCCGACTTTCAATCGCGGCTTTCAATCAGCTCTTAGACGTCTATCTCTTATAACCTTAACCAGTCCGAGCTCTGATTAATTATGATAAGCTTGTTTATTTATCTAAGCGCTCGAATGAAAAAAATCAAATCACCAAAAGGTATTTCAACAACGCTCATCGACGGTATAAATCAGACGTATATTTTGGAATTATAACGGCATTTTGGTGCAGAATTTGTAGGCGTGAAAGCAAATCTAGCTATTTGAAACAGCGGGTCGTTTTTTCACCAGGCTCTAGAGCTCGTTTTTCGAAGCTTTTACTGGCATCGCCGATCGCATTGCTTATCATACTATAGAATTGATAAAATGGAAAGAACTCCGTTACTGTCGGACAACAAACAAAGCAGTGGGTCTTACGGTGGATATGTGAGTGACGGGAGATCTGTGGAGTCTGGAGAAGTACCCTCGAGCCGATTTCGGCTCATGAGCCCGGATTTGGAAGACCCAGAAAATGCATATTTGGCCGAGCTCGATGATCCCAAAAATATCGAGTCTGGCATCACGTCCATAAAACACGAAGCTAAAGTCATCCTCACACAATCGGTGCCCCTCACATTGACATTTTTCATGGAGTATTCTATGGCAGTGACTTCACTTTTCGTGATCGGTCATTTCGGCACATCTGAAAACCTGGCTTCAGCGTCGCTCGCAGCAATGACCTTTAATATCACAGGACTCGCCGTCATTGAAGGCATGGCCACCTCGCTCGACACTTTTTGCGCCCAGGCTTATGGCGCCCAAAAATATTCCAAAGTCGGACTTTATTTTCTGCGTTGCACCGCGATGATCACCGTTGCAGCAATCCCCGTGGCAATCTTCTGGTGGACTAGTGCTTTCTGGCTACGATTTGTGATTCCAGAACTTCAATTGCTCCCCGAAGCCCAGAGCTTTTTGCGAATCTCATCGTTCGGCCTCCCGGGCCTCATTCTTTTCGAGACCGGAAAACGCTTTGCTCAGTCCCAAGGCTTCTATGACGCGGGGACCTGGGTCCTAGCTGTCGCAGTACCCATGAATGTACTCATGAGCATCGTCATAACGAAAAATTTTGGTTGCCTTGGCGCCCCAACAGCTATGGCTATTACTGATTGGCTTTTGGCACTGATTCTCTTCGTTTACTGCCGATATTTCGAACCCAGCATATGCGACTGTTGGTATCCTTTCACCAGCAGCTGGCACCATTTCAAGCGCGTGTTTCAGCATTGGGGTGTTATGTGGAATCTGGCATTCCCCGGTCTGGTGATGATCGAGTCGGAATATTTGTCATTTGAGATTCTGACCATAATGTCATCTCACTTTGGTGTGGAAGCGATTGCTGCCCAATCTGTGGTTGCAAATGTCGGTTCTTTGATGTACCAGATCCCGTTTTCCATAGGCTGCGTGGTGTCAACGCGAGTTGCGGGTTACGTGGGGATGGAGAACATCAAAAACGCCAAAACAGTTTTAAGAGCATCGTATGCAGTTGCTGCTAGTATCGGTTTAGTGAATTGCTTGATCTTGCTTTTCGGAAGGAAATACCTCGCTCGAGTGTTCACCAAAAACGAAGAGGTGATTGCCGCTGCATACCACGTCATGCCAATTCTAGCCGTCAACCAACTATATGACGCTGTGGCGACCTTCAGTGCTGCAGTTCTGCGTTCGCAAGGGAGACAAGCTATCGGGGGCTTGATGAATGTAGTGGGTTACTATATCATAGGAATTCCAATTAGCGGATGGCTTGCCTTTGGCTCCCCGCAGTTGGGGTTGAAAGGTTTGTGGTACGGCTGTGGCGTGGGCATACTGGTACTTGCCCTCTCTCTATCGTATTTCGTCTACCAAAGTAACTGGACCAAGATTCACGAGGACTTTCTTGCTCGAGAGAACGACGAGTTAGACATCGATCAATTTAGTGTGGATACGAGTTGCAATTCGCTCAATACATAGAGAACGAACATTGTGTAAGTTGAAACTATAAACAATAATCAATGCATCTACTTGGTGCCCAAGTTTGCCGTTTTCTATTAACCAAAAATTTGGATGCCAGTGGATTCCACGGGTTGGTTTTCTGCGGCTTCCTCCTCGGACTCGTGGTCTTCATTAAAGTCTATGCGCTGTCCCAGCAGTCCGGCACAGAACTCATCGATTTGTTCATCTGACCATTTGAAACCGTTGTTTATTGGCGCTTCATAGTTTGCAATAGGCTCTTGAACTGTAAAGTTTAGTTTTCTGCCCTTCGAGGCCTTTGTATCCACATTTTTCTTGATTTTATTATTGGAACGAGAAATCATGGCGATGGAAACATCACTGCTCTCGTTTTGCGCACTAGCGATCTTTTTGTCAACAAGGTCATTCAATAATACACGGTAAAAGTCTTCGTCGTCGAAAACATATGCATTCTCACTAGTGTCCACGGTTTTATTATCTTTCTTTCTAGGGTCGTAATTCTTGGGTATGTCGAGGTCGTCGTTATCGGAGTTTTCTGCATGTGAGTCGACGAGTGGTTTGAAGTTTTCCAAATTACCTTGCTCTAGATCCTCTTCGAACCCAAGAGCAGATACATTTTTTCTGTTTAGCCTGGTGCGCTTTAGTAGCCTAGATGTATCGGCGAGCTGGTTTTCCACTTGGACGTCTGCCGGCTGGTGGATAGCTTTGAATTTGGAAGACGACATGATGGACTTCCCAGATGCAGATGCCACTTTTTGCGACCATTTGTTGAGAACCGCGTTCCGGTACTCTTTAAGCTGAGCGTTCAGACTTTGCGACTGATCGCATAGTTCTGCAAAGGTTCGCTTGTGGTTTGAAGAGGTAGTTTCTCGATGACTCTCATTTTGGCTGATCTTTTCCGTAGCTTGGAAAGAGGTGCGGAAATCCACCAGCTGGCCCATGACTTTTTCCAAAAGCTCCATTGTCTTGGAAATGAGCTTACCGTTTTTAGAAGACTCCTTCAGATACTTTTCGTACGACAGATTCGTGAGAGGCAGCTCGTTTGCTGCATTGAGTGCTTTTTGCAGTTTGATCCGAGCATCGAGAACGTGGTCAAAAGTACGGTGCTGTTCCAAGATAGCAAATCCCTTGATTGCGTCTCTGTGTGTTGTTTCTGAAAGCTTGCTAGCGGCCGCTTTAGTCTCTTGTCGCACGATCTCGGCGAGTCTTTGACGCTTAAATTCTGTGTCTTCGTCTTCCTCTGGAAGCTCTCCCTCCTTATCGCTGTTTTCTTCACTCTGGTCTTCGTCTGCTGAGTCTGTACGCATGGAGACCCCACTGTCAGACTCTTGCTCTTCTTCTTCTTCGTCCTCCGCTGAATCTTTTTCAGCAGATTCTTCAAGGTCTTCATCGACATCTTCAGACCCACTTTCGGACCCGGGTGAAGATGCCTGGAAAACGTCGTTTCTGGAGCCCTTGGCACCTTGATATTTTTCATCTCGTAGAGCAATTCCTTGGTCTCTTAGTTGTGATTTCCCAACGTTCACATAATGTGATTTTGCCAATTTTTCGTCTTCCGAGTCGTTTCCAGAGTCCTCACCGCTCCGATCTTGGTGCTCGAAGACTGTTCTCTCGTTATCTTCTATGTCGTAATCGCTCACCGCTGGCTTGTTAGCAATAGCGGCAATCTGCTCAGATAAAGATTTCGCCATTGTTATGAAGGCTAGAGTAGGAGTTTTGGAGTCGTTGAGAGTTTCGGTATAAGGCAGAAATTAGCAGATTCACGACACCTATAATTGATGTGAGAATGAAGTTGTTTTAGCCTGCTTTTCGGGTTATTTCTTGACGGCCTCGTTGGTTCGATCTCATCGCATCTCATCGCCTTAGGTTAGCTCATCGCATCGTGATTTAAATTTCAAAAATTTTTCATCTCGAGTCGGCCGTCTAGTCAGTCTGTACGGTATTGAATAGATAGTAGACTCGATAATTGGGTAGATGTCGCTGATCTGAGATTTTGACATCAATTAAATTTGACCAGTAGGCAAATGTGATTAGAAAAGGGAAATATAGCCCCAAAAGTAGTGGTTTGAGGCTCTCAAAATGATGAACTACTGCCCTCTATTTTAGTTATCTAATATGAGCTATATTTCCGGTTTTTTTCTCGCTATCTTGCACTCATACCCTAACCTTGAGATAATAACTTTGACTTACGCTACAAACATGGTATAACAATTACAAACATGCCCCAGTATACAAAGACACCATCCCCGAACGTCCAAACGTAAATATATCTTTTAGTAAAATTGACAATTCGCAATGACACAGTGTCTTGTAGGTAGAAACTTTATATTTCACGACTAATTGTTTTACGTCGCAAAGACTCCTAAACAAAAAAACAAAAGACCCCCCAAAACAGACCACACACGTTCCAATGTTGTACCTATCGTTTTACAAACGCCAGCACTCTGTGCTCTGTCTTGAATACTCTAACTCTCCTCGACCATCGCCTTTAAATCATCTAAATTCACGTGACGCATATCCAATAATACGTGGCTATCAGATTTTCACCAATTTGGTCGATTTTACTTAACTCAACACTACTTTTGACAACTTTTATCTCGAAAGCATCTCAGTCGAAAACAGGACTTTAGGACCACTTTAACCTCGTGGATCGATACTCTCTAACCGGCGACTAACGCTTTGTGTATTTTTTTGTCAAGGCTGTTTCCAATCCCCCCCGTTTTTCGCCTCTAAAATGTTCAACAGACTCATGTTCTCCCGTTCTCTAGCCACTGCGGCCAAGTCCGTCAAGCCTCCTATCCAATTGTTCGGTTTGGATGGTACCTACGCCAGTGCCCTTTTCACAGCTGCTGCGAAGACCACCTCAGTCGAAAGTGCCTCGAAATCGCTAAACCAGCTGTCGCAAACCCTGGCAAAGGACTCCAAGTTGGCTACCATCTTGGAAAACCCTGCTCTTTCGGCTGAAGACAGAGCTGTTGTGGTCGAAACTTTGGCCAAGTCTCAGTCCGATCTGGACGTGTCTGTGTCCAACTTGTTGAAAGTGTTGGGTGAAAACAACAGATTGAATTTGTTCGGTGATGTGACCGCCCAATTTACCAAGTTGACCGACGCCTACAACGGTCTCGTGCAGGCCACTGTCACCACCGCACAACCTTTGGACGCCAAGTTGTTCAAGAGAGTCGAAAAAGCGCTAGCCAGCTCCAGTCTGGTCGGCCAGGGCAAGACTTTGAAGCTACAAAACGTCGTGGACCCAGCTATCCAAGGTGGTCTAGTCGTCGAGGTTGCCGACAGAACCGCAGACTTGTCCATAGCGTCTAAGATCAACAAGCTCAACCAACTGTTGAACGAAGCCATCTAAAGTAAACATTACAGACAAAACCAATTTGGTTTACTACACTGCACAAGAGAACCAACACCGCGGTGGCGCGTCCGAAGGCCAGAGCAAGGCTTGATCCTACCGCACCTCGCAGGTGGAAACCTAAGAAAAAACAACGCACATAATTTTTTATGTCTTTATATTCGTTAACGATTGACCCAAGGAACTTTTCCGCCAGTAAAGTGGCACCTCGCATTTAGTTTTCCTTCTTTGTCCCCAAGCCGGCCTTTATCCTAGCCTGTTTTTCAGCCTCACGCTCGCTCAAGAATTGCTTGTACTTATCGATGGTAATGCGGCGCTGAGCTTTTTCGTAGTTGCCCAAGTCGTGGAATTTGGTGCCACAGAGTTGGTCCCAGATTGTGAAAAATGGCTGAGCGTAATTGGTCTTAATACCAAACTGTTGGTGGTGAATGTCGTGGTAGACAGCGTTGTTGGGGAAAATCCATTGGAAGGGATCCCAAGGAAGCGCATATCCACAGTGGTCGTCCACAGTCTTGAGCGTAGCGAAAGTGAACAACAAAGCCTGTTCACGGTGCGTCAGCCGCGTTAAAATGGCTGCGATACCCGTGCCCAGCGTGTCGAGCAAAAAGCCCTCCAAAGGCGAGTTGTAAAGGGCGCCGTATGCGTAAGGCACGTAAAGCCGATGGTGTCTCGAGTGATATTTGCGGTACAACGTCTTGTTAGTGTGCATCAGACGGTGCAGCCAGTACTGCCATGAGTCGACGAAACAGAATCCCACAAAAACCTTGGCCAGCGAGATGCCGTACATGTAGCCAAAATAGATGGCGCTGCTTGGAACCCACGATGGCAAGCCCTGTCTCAGCTCCCACATCGCGCGACGTTCAAACCCTGTACTTGGTGCCGGATCGAAGTACAGCATTGCACCGCCCGTGACCGACTGGATGACGTGCTGCAGCAAAACTTCGCTCAGCACCTCTTGGCGGCTCGCCTTGTTGCGCTTTTGGACCTCCTCTGAGGGATGGATTCTAAACTTCTCCGCCAGCTCAAACGTGTCCATGACATGGAAAAGCAGTGAAAACGCCCAGTAGGCAATCACCGGCAAAACTAACGCCAGTTGTCCGTCCGTGAGCCATGGTAACAGAGGTTTCTGTGTCTGGAGGTGCTCAAAAGGCGCCACCTTGGCATCAAAAAACGAGAGAGCCTCTTTCACGTCCCAGCTACTACTATTCGAGCTCATGATTTCCTGATATTTGGGCTTATTCTCAAATTTACAGGTTTTCAGAGTGAAATCCGATGAGTAGAAGGTTGACTTTATTGAACCGAAATAATGAAGAACTATAATAGAGGCAGTGAAAATTCGGCCGTCTTTTAATTTTTCGGTATTTCTAATAGTCCCGTGACCGTCTTCGCTCAGTAGCTAAACGAGTATAATGAAACGATTGACAATGGTTAGTGAGCCGCGCTGGTGGAAGACTGCTCGATGAAAAGTCGGACACAGCGGCTGTGGCTAATGTATAGTCTTGTGTTTGTATAGCCTTTCTCTGGACGGAGATTGAACGCTTTTCGGACTAGTTATGATGGTGTGAAAAAAAAAAAATCCAACTGGTGTGATGGCATATCTGGGTCGTGTGATACCAGGGAAACGGAGTGTTGATGGATGGGAGAAAATGGTGAGACTTTAGGCAGGTGGTATGGTTGTTCATGGGACTGAAATTGATAGTTATCGTGTATCTCAACGCGGTACGCGATTGCATGTTGTTGTATTTACAGGATGATGGGGCTAGACGTGTGTGGACTTCGCTGATGGCATGCCAGAATGGGGGTGTTGTCTAAAGTGCGACTTTGTTGGCTGCTGCATGCTCGGCAAAGGCCAGCTTGGCTCGGTCGCCCAGCGCACGCAAAATTGCTGACTGTTCTCTGGCTGGGTTCCCCATCCGTGGGAGCACGTCATGCTTAACATGCGGCAGCACTGGAGTCCAGTGTCTGCCAATGTCGCCCATGCGCCACTCGTCCTCCCAGTGAATTTGGCTTGTGCTTGCAGAGGTCTTGCTCAGGGCTTCTCTCAGGTCCGCTACCGCTTCCTGGCCGTACGTGGGGCGATACTGGGCACTGTACCAGACGTGGCCGTCCTCGTTTTTCTTACGTAGCGCATCAGCCTTCTTGGGATCAAGGACATCTCTCAAGTAGCGTAGCCTACACAGATCCTGGTAAAGTTGCACGCCCTGGTCGTAGTTGGGTAGGTCCACTACAGCCATGCATCTCCAAACGTCTCTTCTCGTTGAGGGCTTCCTGTTGGCCCAGTCCGGACGTTTAAATTGCGCGTCGATCTGGTATTGTGCAAACACAGGCAGTTGCGAGTATATCACTTGGCCGCTCTCCAAATTGCGGAACAAGAAAACTTGTGGGGCGAAACCGGCCTTTTGTAGCCATTTTGCAGTGCGGAAACGAGCTGGGGCAACCATTGATGTTGTGGGATGCTTGCTGGGAATGTCTAAAGGCTTGAAGCTGGTGGAAATGCCTTTAGAGAGTTAGTTCGCTGCCTTTTTCACATCTAAGGCTTTCTAAAATTTTCAGTCACATGACCTTCGACAACAACGAAATTGACTTACGTAATTGACAAAGCACGTGACTAGAGAGCCGTCGGTTTTGAAACTTCGAGCTCAGTGCGGATACAATGGCTAGAGTCACTCGACACTCTCAGCACCAGCTAGCGGGTCCCATATGATTATTACAATTGCGGCCAAAATTGCTGTGGAGCTGTGCTGTTGGAAAGATTCGCTTTGGATCCCGTTTGTCTCCGATGTGATGCCTTTCAATTCTCGAGACTTGTAGTAGTGTCACTAGGATCAAGTAGCTCTTGATGTAGACATCCTCATAGTAAAAAGCTAGAAGAATGCTTAAAAAAGGCGTGTTTCTGCGGCTTGCGTTCTCAGTGATAGAAATTGCTCCATTAGCCGCCCACATCTATGGCGTACCATCGCCAAGACACAATCATGAAGTGTTATGAGAGCACCAGCGGGAATTTAAGGTGTCTGAAGGCAGTCATGTTCAGTCATTGGGAGGACTGAAGTTGCTCCCTTAGTTATCGATGTCTCAGCGGCTAAACAGCATTGTGATTCATCAAGCAATACATATGTTTCTTCCCGTAGAAATAAGATTGTTTCGTCCACAGATCAAGCATCAATCAGAAAAATGACTCAAAGCTCTCGTTCTGCTACCCAACACATTTCACCCTGGACTTCAACATAAGAAGTGCTGGTAAGCTCGACCTCTCACGATTCACTTAAACGCCGTTTCTTCACCAAACGCCACTGAACCACAGCTCACTCTTAAACTGGCCACTCTCATCAGCGAATAGTCCTCAGTTCTGGTAGCTTCACGAAGTGAAACTCGTTCACTTGTTTGAGCATTGGCTTGAAGGAAGTGTTGATGGCGGTTTTGACTTTATGAAACACACATCACTATATACGTATGCAGACAATCAATTATCTTTTAATGGGCTACTAGGCTTACCAGAAGATCTGGAAAAGTGTCAAATGTATGCAATTGGCGTTGGCTCGCGTCATTTCAGTGCCCTGCTTCACCTTTTGTGTAAGGTACTGATTGGACGATTTTTGATATCGAATTATTTCTGGTCTTTCGATTTTTGTTCAGACAACTGCCATTTTAAGATATCTTTGATAGGCCCCAGGACCAACGAATTAGCGGCCGATAAAGCACCCAAGATTCATATTTTGCTAGTTTTCACTTTCATTTTATCACACAATGTTGGAGCCGGCTTTCAACGTGCTACCTACTTCGAGGCTCGAAGCTGAATTGCAGATGCCATATCTACACGAGCCTGGTCATGTAGACATGCTCTACGAGACCAATAACGACGTGCCCGAGACACGGTCGCGAAAAACTCTGCAGATCTGTCGTTCGTGTGGCGCTGCGATTATGGACAAATGTGCGGTAATTCAAGATCAATGGGCCTGCTCTTTTTGCAATACCTACAACCCTTTGCAGGAAAAAGCACCCAACACCCCGTACGAGGTAGAAATCTCGAGTTTCCTGCCTGAGTCGAGCCCGTTGAGTGTCCAGAACGTACTGGTGCTAGACTTGTGTGTCAACGGCCCAATAGAGCTCGAGTCGCTCAAGGAAGTCATAATTGCAAAAGTGTCATCCTGTAGCCCTGATGCTAGTTATGGGCTTATAACTCTAAATTCTGGCGTGGTTAAGGTGCACTCAACGTCCACAGAATGCATTTTTTCTGCTGACGACAGCAGCACAGTGTCAAGGGCAAAAAAACTTGACGCACAACAATTCATTGATAAATTTCCACCGCTCAACGAGTTGTGGATCACTAGCAGCCAGCTGATAGACGCAGTAAACCGATTGCAACCAGAAAATTATGGTAACGACCAAAGACCCAAACGAGCTTCGGGCTTGGCATTTTTTGTCGCAAGTCTCTACTCACATACACCAGAGTGTCCCGTGTCAGTGACAGCTTTCATTAGCGGGCCTTGCACGGTGGGACCTGGAAAAGTTGTGCCCAAAAACAAAAAGTTTCATATCAGACAGCATTACGAGCTCGATGCCAATCGTGACAAATACTTTCATTTTGCGAGGAGTTTTTACAAACAGCTCGTGGACAAGGTAGAAGTGCGTGTCTTTATTTCTAATTTGGATCAAGTAGGCGTGGTCGAGCTAGCGCCAATATGTATTGAAATTGATCAATTCGACTCTTTCAGTGACGAACGGTTCCAAAAATTGGCGCTGCGATGGTGGCCTCACGAAGTCAGCCATAATGAAATAATAGTTTTTGCCCCCAAGGGATTGCTTATCGATGGCTGTTTCGGCCTTGTCTCCAAGTTACAACCCTCACAACAAACGTATAGCGACACGCCGTGTGGAGTGTCTGGAACAAATCGTTGGCGGTCGTGGTCGTCAAGACCCTCTTTGTCGTTTTCCTTCCAAATAGGCACTTGGGCTACTAAAGAAGATTCTCTTGATATAGCACCTGTTCACTCAGTAGTGCAAATTAAGCACAGCTTTGTGCGCAGCGGTAAGAAATTTGTGAAGGTCGATGCTGCGATGATTTTAACGACAAATGCCAATATGTCAGGCGCGTGGTCTGTTCCCAAAAGTCTAAATATTCCGGTAGCACTTTCGTGTCTCATGAAGCAGATTGCGTACTCTCAGCTTGTCAAGAGCAAGACACATGCGCTCGATTTACAGGAATGGCAGACCAAGATAGACAAGCTGGCTGCCAGACACTGCAAGACACTTTCGAAAAACTACCCAAAATTGGTGGAGTTTTTGTATCACCTCAAGTGGACTGCGCTTTTGCAAAAGCGTAATACTTCGCCAGATGAGGCGGCCATTTACCAACACACGATATTGTCTCAGAACAGAGAGATCTTGGAGCTTCTATGTAAGCCCCGTGTTATCTTATTCGCTGGTGGTGCTCATTCTGAGGTTTCTGCTCTGAATGAACAAATGATTCAAGAGAACGAGGCCATGTGTGTGGATTTCGGAACCCTTGTGCTTGTACGATACCTGAAGGATGGCATCTCTCTGGAGAAGGCCCAAGAAATGGGACATTCAATTCGTGCTACTCGAAATCTGCCAGTCAGTTTCGAGAAGACGCTAGTACGAGGCAGCCAAGATCGGTATTTTATATCCAAACTAATCCCAGAGGGCAATTCCAACACAGATGGTCTATCTTTGGGCGAGTATAATGGAGTTGTGCGCAAACTAGCTACTTGTATATGAAAGTAAATACTCGTTGACCTGAAGAGAACCCGGATTTTTCAGCCAGGCGTTGACGACCATTGCTAATGATTTTCGAGGCAAATATGACGCTTTATATATAGAGTTTCAGCAGCGTCATGGATCATGATTTGGTACCTTTCCCATTGTGAGAAGTTGTTTTTAGAGTATGTTTTACTTTTGAGTCCATGCGTGCTGTACCTTGGCGGCTAAATGAGAGTAATATAATAGTTCCTCAGAAACACATGAATCTTTGATGGACTTATCTGCATTTAAATAGTTCATAATTTGAGTGAGCCTGTAAGCGTTAAGATGGAGGTTGATCCCTCAGTGACGGTTTCATTAAAGCCTAATAAGCTCTTCGCAACTATTGAAATCCACACATTTGCAACGTAGAAACAAAGCAAGAAACAAACAAAGGAATAGAGTAAGTGGAGAAGCTTGTCTGATTTACACACTGTGTATTGATTTTCCGTGATTTAGGTTAAAAGCAGTAGTAACGTCGTTGGGTCCGTTAGAAATCGATTCTGTCAGTGACACAATGGGCTTTAAAGAACAGAAGGGCCAGAGTAGCCATCATGAAATCTTCGAGAAGGTATAATGTGAGACAAATCTGTTGATCACGGTACATTTGTCGGGCCCTGCAATATGAAACTTCGTACTGAGGAGCTTCACGAGGACCAAGACATCATATTTGCTGCTTAGCGATGAATTGAAAGGGACGAAGCAGGATAACTCGGCACCGATGAGGTCATCATGGATCTTCTGCCCACTACAACTTTCGAGACACCAGTCCTCTTTGATATGCGTTTAGCGATGCTGCATTGACCCAAGCAACGCTAAAATCACTCGTACGCGCACACCAAATGCCCTAACTATATCGAAAGTACGCGACAATGACAATGACAATTGACTGTTACCAGCATATTTCATGACTACGTTCTCGTCAACCATTCAAGCCTCTGGTTCTGCGACTAGTAACCCTCCGGTCACCACCGTTCGAACAAATTGCAGATCAAGTCTCCTCACAATGGCAGCCATGAAAAAGCAGTACTACGACGTTCACTACTAATCTATACACTTAGCCAGCTAACACGTCTCCAACGCACTGCTATGCGTTCGGGCCCGAAATCAGGTCGTATTCAAATATACGTGAACTTAGAAATAAGTCGATAAGAAGCACACCCAAAAGAACAATTGCATTACAGAAAGATTCGATCGATGAGAGCACTATTATATCAAGCTGTCGACAATACCACATCCAAAAATGCTACAAAAATATGTCAAATCTGTCGGTTCTTCAAAGCTGAGTTTTTCGCTAACGCATTCTTATATAACGTGATGGTTAGTGCTGTCTTTAAAGATCTTTTTGGAACCAAGACAGACTAGATCAATCTCAAAATAAACGCTGGGATTGAGACAACGTACGGGAGGTCTTGGCAGCTTGTTCGATCGTGTACTCGGTGGAAAAGTGGTGCTCAAAATCTGGTCGTATTTTGGACCAGTATCATAAATAATTCACCAAGCATGCAAAATCCCAATTACTGTATTCCCGTAGGGTTGACACAACTTCAACAAGATTTGATCGAAATTCTGATCTCCACGCATGCCAGATCATTGCTGCAATTTTGCAACAACGAGGATGTCAAAAAGCTCGAAGATCTTGAAAGCTCTAGAAAACTGACCTTGCCAGCTTTATCGCCCCAACAACTAACGTCATTGTTGTCGACTAATATCCGTGCTGTGGCTAACCACCCGTGTCTTTTGGTGGAACATTATATGCCCCGCCAGCTCCTGCTGATGGAGCCGGGGGAGAGACTGATATGCGGCAGCGACAAATTTCAGAAAATGGCTACGCTTCTCGACTCGTTTCTTTCCAGAGATCGCAAACGATTTCCAAAGCCACTGCAGGTTACAATTCTTTCCCATAGTGTAAAGGAATTGGATCTCATCGAAGGTTATCTTTTGGGAAAAGCAGTCAAGCTTAAACGGCTGTCAGGTGCGAGTTTATTCGACGAAAAGCATAACTATGGAGAGCCTGACACGGGCTCCAATACGCCCGTTCTACCTACAGGTTACATCAAGGACGACTATGAATATGGGAGACGCAGACGTAGAACCAAAGAAATAGACCATCGCGATTGGTTGTTTCTTGCCACGGCCACGCATTTGGCTAGGTCACCAGAACTGATGGATGACTTCAGCATTGACCTGGTCATAGGGTTTGATCCACTGATAGACGAAAATCTCGAGTGTTTCCTAAGGATGCGAAAGAGTGGCAAAATGGTCCCACTTATCAAACTACTGGTCAAAGACTCTCCCGATCATTTTTGTTTGGTGCACAACCAAACAAAAAGTGAGGATGATCACTTTCTGAGCTCACTTTTGCACTTTGTGAGACACCGGCAAACGATTACGAAAACAGATTCGACCGGGTGGTTAAGCCAGTTCGCTGAAAGTCTCTTGGAGGAAAAAACTCCAGACGCGACATCACTTCCACTTTGTGATCTTTCCGATCAACACTCAAACGTCAATCTTTTAGAAGCCGTAACGAAATATCAGTCCCTTTCACCTCTTTCTACAATGGATTTCAAACTCGTCCCCATAAACCAGGACCTGGATATCAAAACTTATCAGAACGTTTTGATGGATCGAATTGTTCAAAGGCTCAATTCTTGTGACGAAGAATACGCTACGCGTGAGAAGGATATTTTGGAAAACAGGTTACGAGAAACAATGCGTCAAAATGAATTTGACCTGCTACATGAAGAGGCGGCTAGTATTTTTAAACAGAGCAAAGAGGAAGAAGGCCCTGCAATTAATTCTCTTAAAAAATTCAACAAAGCGCAAGCAGACTACAACAAAGTCTCAGAACGCCTAAAAGTTCTATCCGAGAGAAAAGAATCGCTATCAAAAAGACTGAATGACAGCAAAACCCTACCATCCTCCCAAATAGATGGGTTGTCTTCTGAATTGAAAAAACTCAAAAGCATGAGGGACGCCAGTAAGCAGGAAAATGAACAAAAATCAGACACCAATGATAAATTAAGAGCCAAGTACCAATCCGAGTCATCCAATGCTGCCAATAAATCAATTGCTATTCAACGGCTGCGACAGAACCGTGATCAGCTCAAAGCTCGTCTATCCGGTCCTGTAGTCAGTCTTCATTTCAAGAATGCACTAGAACAGGAGGCAATCTTGAAAGAGGAGCTCATACGCGTGGTTCGGCAGTCTCAATTTACCCAGGGTTACGTCAAGAGAATCCAGAAACAGTACTCGCTCAATGGCACTCAGCACCTCAAAGCAAACACACAAACTTCTCGCTCACGTCGGCAAAGGAATGCAAATATGGGCTGAATAAAATGAGCAGCATAGCATTGAACCATGTTCATCAAATGATAGAATTAGTTAAACCTTTTTGGACTCCCAGCTAAAATCCAAGGCTTCGGAAGTCGCGAGATGCAAATATACGATTTACGGTGTGTGATATTTGAAGAAATCCAAACTTCAGGACAAATGCTGAGCAACAATTGCGAGCAGTTAAGAGCCTCGTTCTAAAATATGGGATGAATCTATTTACTCTTAAGGCTGCTATATTTCCAGCTTGAAAAGCTTCCACAGGTAAGTAGCTGCAAAATACCCTTCATTGGAACGCCTCAAAGTGTTCGCTTCGAGCATCTGTACTTCGTCAGTGTCTATCGATTTGCGTTCATGTATAGAATGAAGAATGGATACCACAACATCAGTCACAAACTCCGGATGTCCTTGCAAGGTGAACACCTTATTTTTTTGTAAAGTCCCTGAATAGGACACTTTGACGTATAGCCAATATTTTTGTATCCTTCTGGTAAGTCGTAAACAATGTCGTTGTGGACCTCTGCTATCTCAACGGTCTCAACGGGCTTTTCGTCTTCTTTCTGTAGTAGACCAAGCTTAATTGCGTCTTCAGTGAGTTTCACTGAAACAATGCCACCTTCAAAACCCTGGTCATTTCTGTCGACTTTAGATCCCAAACTAGCAGCAACAATTTGGTGGCCAAAACATACACCAGCCACAGGAGGAAATCCCTCCGTGGTCAAAACCGTATTTAGCAGTTGTCTCAACCGAATGATCCACGGTATACTCTTGTGATGAGCATCAAACTCGGATCCAGTAATGTAAATACCACTGCAACCCTTTAGTTCCTCCAACGGTGGGAACTCTTCTTTATAAACATCGAATGTGACGTACTCAGCCTTATCAATTGGGTCGCGCGTTTGCTCCAACATAGTGATCGCCATGCTGGCAAAGTCACCATATTTCTGAAGATTCTTCTTGATAGAGTCGGCGTTCAGAATTACAATCCTCATGTTTGTAGAACTCAGTTTACTTTGGTTAATCGGTGGTAGTCCCTTAAACTCTATATGAGCGAAAGTTCTCGTACATAAATTATTAACAAGAAGAAGATCCTACTCAATTGACCAAACTCAGGATGTGATTAGCCATATATATATATAATATATAACGGCATTGGAATGTGTTGATGTCTTGAATTGTTGAAATGCTCTTCTGAAGTTTTGGATCTTGGAATTTTTCACTGATAACGATGGTTGATCTTATTTCGATGTTTATACAAGCATTTCCCAGGCGACAGAGCGTTACCAGCACTAAATCCAGAGTATTTTGAACATATCACTATGCGATTTGATCAAAATCAAGCACTTGAGATAAATTATGTCGAGTCTTTGGATGACTCATTAGCACGACATATAATTGTCAGTTCGAAAAGATAAACAATTTGATGAGAGACGGACATCGGCCGGTCTTGTGATTGCACCAGCAATCAAAGCTTGTGGGGATGGCAAGAGTCGAGGTTATTTAAGACTCGAAATTGAACAGATGCACGTAATTATACTGGATTTATATACACCTCAGATTGGTAAGGGTATTCTTGAATTATCGGTTTCTTGAAAATTGGTAGTCCATTGCTGCGTGAGAAGTCCCGCAGTAAATCTAACGACTTGGTATTTGGCAAAGACAAGCTTGGAAAATTAAATGTTCATTATTCCTCAGATATTTAGGATGATGCCTTTAGTTTATAGATGGAACTTGATGCCAAATATCGCAACTGGTCATTCTTGGCCTTCAAGTAAAATACGAATCTATTCCAGCAATTCGTTGTCCGGACTCATGAGCAAAGAAGGGTTAGAGATCTTGTTGACAGGCTTTTGGCTTCCTGCGACTCTGCCAGGACTTGAACCTCCGTAATAACTTTTCGCTCGAGCGAAACCTAATAGGAAATTAGAGCTGAAGCACCAAATTGCAAGCCCTGAAAGGACTACACACAATGTTTTCCAGCCCAATGGTTCCACGAACGAGTTTATTACGTCGCCTATAAGTTTGGCACTAATCGTGGTCCTAGCGCGGAAAAAAAGATCGTTATTTCTGGCCATACACTTGCCCCAATTCTCGCATTGTGATTCTAAAGCTTCCACCCTGGTGCTGCGATCGCAATGGTTTAAGTCGTATTCTATGCGGCATTGGATGGATTCGTGGTCCAACTCTAATTTCGCTACTTCCCAAGCAGACCTCAGGTCTGCCTTGATTGACCTCATGAAGATCAGCGCAAAAGAGAATAGGACTAAAGCTGTTAATGCGTTGAGGAAAATCTGGAGATATGACGTTAAGAGATACGACGTGCGCGATGCAGGCTTTGAATATGACGACCACGGGTTCGGCAATTTCAACGTGTCGTGCTGGTCATAAGTTAAGCTCTCGTCTGTTGCATACACATCTGGTGGTGGATAATAAAAGTGATTGTTGTTTATGGAAATTTGAATTGGCTGTTGTTGCGATCTCTGCCGCAGCTCGTTTAATTCACCAGAAGTAAAATTCACACCAGTGCTATTTTTCAGATCGTTCATGTGTCCTTGGTCTTGACTCATTTTATAGTCTGAATACTGATCATCATTTTCGATCTTGTCGGTTACGTTTGGGGGTTGATCCAGTTTTGTTGCGGCAGCAACACCCAGGCTAGTTGGTGATAAAAGTGCTTTAATCACGGCTTTACTAGAGGGTCCTGTTTGCGAGCTTTCATCACTTATGGACTCTAACTCATCCAGCAGCTCGTTGTCAGCTGAAGGTCTGTAATCAATTAAGCGTTGATTATCGTCTTCTTCAACATCAACAGGGTCCACATCCATTTCATCGTTTGAGTCATCTTGGAACGTGGACTGTCGCAGTGGTGAAGGGCTCGATGGTACATGTGGCATTAACTTCTCCATGAGTTTTTGAGATATTTGACGCTTTTTATAGTCGACATCTTCAAAGTCATTCTCGCATATTTTGAGATCCAAAATTGCCTCTAAGTCCTTCTCATGGACTACTGCTCCCTTGTCGACGAGGGAAAGGTTGCTGAACTCGTCCATCCTACCCTTCCCAATGGGAATCTATACACGATACTGGTAGCTTTAGCATTTTTGTCGTACATAACTTTCGATGCGATAATCACTTTAAATTACAGAGACGCTACAGTAGAGCTATAGGTAGTTTAAGAACAACGACTCTTTTGGCCCACATTTTGAGCTACAATTACCAGTAAAGTTGAGCTTTTACTAGACCATAGGTGATAGTCATATTTTTAAAAATCCCGTTCGGTTTTGTAAAGCGTGTCTAAGAACCCAACGAGTAAACGATCAACAATTCCCCTGGTCTGGACGCTGCCTGCAACCCCATATAGAGCACTAGTTCCATCAGATGACGATTTTTGATTTGCGTGTGCACAAAGCTCTTTGACACAATCATGTAGTGTGCGAGTAAGTTCGTCAATAGCGGACCTCGTTAGCCATGTCACGGCCAAGTGTAAAGCTGGAGGATTTTGCAATGCACTCAAATGCCAGCCCTTTTGAGTCAGCTTGTCTGAAAGATCATGTACGTTGATTTTGTCAGATGTAACGGCAACTACGGAACACAGCGGGTCGCCAACGACTTGGAGCTCAGGAATTTGATCCTGAACATATTTTTTGAGCTTTCTGGTGGTTTCTATGATCTGTTTGCAAGAGTCAATATAGCCTTGCTCCCCCATGTGAATCATTGTGGCCCAGCAGCCGACCACAAGAGCTCCTGGTCGACTGCCTGCTAGTGTTGGGGAACCATATAAGCCGCCACACCAATCAGCCGACAAAAAATACTGGTATCTTCTCAGTTCCCCATTTCTGTACAGTATCACCGAGGAGCCTTTCGGAGCAAAACCATATTTGTGAGTGTCGCAGGAAATCGATGTCACACCGTCGACTCTAAAGTCAAACGGTGGAATTTCTTTGAAGCCTGCTCTCTCCATGTGTGCAATAACAAATGAGCCCAAACAACAATCAACATGCAGAGGAATGTCGTATTGTTGTGCCAGTTTCCCCAGGCCTTCAATGTCGTCAACAATCCCATGAGGAAAGTTTGGCGCAGATCCCACGAGAAGCACAGTATTCTTGTTAATTAATCGACGAACCCTTTTAAGATCAACTTTGTAGGTTTTTGGGTCTAGCGGCGCATGTCTTAGAGTAATACCAAAGTAGTAAGCAGCTTTTTCGAAAGCTGCATGAGCTGTAGATGGGGCAATAATTTCGGGTTTTTTGCAGCCTTTACGATGTAATGCGTACATTTTGGCGCTCAAACACGCCAATAGAAGCGACTCTGTGCCGCCAGAAGTAGTAGTGCCACAACCCGTGGCTTTTGGCGCATTGAACATGTCCAGAACCATTGCCACGACTTCAGATTCCATTTTTCTAACCGCGGGGAACACATCCGGATGAAGCTGATTAGCCACACAATACTTCTCAAAAGCCTGACTCTGCAGATGTATCAAGTCTTTCCCACCATGATACACGGCACCGGACACTTTGCCACCTTCCCAGTCAGAGTGAGACAGTACTTTTTGCGATAGATCTAGCTCTTCAATTACTTGTTTTTCGCCCCAGCCTTTGGAGGGCAGCTTGACAAAAGAGGTCAATTGTTCGTCTTGCTTCATAAGACTCTCTTCAATACTGGAAAGACTTTTGTCGACCTCGCTATTGACTTTGGTTCTCAGCAGAAACGAGCTGGCCAGGAAGTTGAACAGAGGTCGCAGCGTGTGGTGTTTGAGCATTTTGAGAGATATTTGAAACCCGAATCCGCCCACATAGTACCAAACCCAGGCCGTGGCTTTAAAAACGAGCGCTCCGGCTATGACCAGACAAAAAACACGGTCAGAGGGCCACTGATAAATGGATTTCAAGCCAGGAATGAGAGTGTCTTGAACTATCGTAGCAGGCATTTTCTCATGAGTTTGGGACGTCAAGGGAAACTTAACACACACACACACGCACACACAGAGTCTAGCAAACAGCAGTGAAACGATGAAAGGAACGGTCGTCAGGCAGTTTACTTGTTGTTCACACTTGGCTTCGCAAAAATGGTTCAATAACGAATACGAGGCGATGGAACTGGCACAATTTAAAAGGGTGTGCGACAAACAATGCTTGGCAGACAAAAATGATCCAAAATAAGAAAATAGAAGCCGCGGGTTCGCTGATCTGTTTCTGACTACAGGTTCTGCACTCGAATTGGAGTGTCAAACACGCTATTAGAATGAACAGGCCTTGTTTTTTGTTCAGCTCCAGAGCGCATTAAAATGTGTTTAAATAAATATACAAGAATTCTACATTAAAGTGCAAGGAAAGTAGCAAGAAAAGTAGCATGAAAAGTATGCTCGCTAACACACAGAGAGTGTTAGCAATAAATAATAGACGAAGTGCACAGCACTTTCAGCAGGGTCTTCCTTCCTTGACGAGAAAGGGTCGAAGTATCGCATCATCTCACATCAGTAGGTAATAAAAATGGCTAAAAGTTGTAACTCCATACGGAATTATGTATTTATACTGTGTGTCTCACATCGTATAGGTCGTCACCCAGAGCCGGATTTTTGTAGGCCAGCAAACCACAAATACTGTCTAGTAGGCGGTGAGCCAGTAAAAATAAGTATCGTGACACTCGTTTGAGGGAACCCATAATTCTCTGGGGAAAAACCGAATTTCAAGTACCTTTTTTAAGCTTAGAAAAAGTGACTTAAATAACCAACAGTTGACTCGAAAACACAGCGTGCGCCAAAGGTATGCGAAACGGAGAGAGAAAAGCTGCTTATGCTAATGGTTACGGCTATGAATATGGTTATGGTTTCGGAAAAGTCTATTCGTACAAAGTGACTAAACTCATCTCGGACATTCTTTACCTATTCATTCTGGTCTATCGGCATTTGGGTTTGGTCAAACCGTACATTAACATTGATTTCTTAATTCCAGATTCCTTCCACTATCTGGAACATCAATTGACCTACTCCCAAAGCTTCAGCTTTCTTCAAATTCGGAATTTCGGAACTCGATTTCCGACCGGAATAATAACTTTTTTCATAGCGCCATCTTAAAAATTCAATAATTAAATTATCACCGTACAGTAATATAGTATAGGACCACTAGCATATCAGTCTAATCACCACAGTGCTCGGCTCTCGGAATTCGTGAAGAGAAGCTGGAAGCGATCTAGTCAAGGCTCCAGCTTTTTAGTATATAAGTAGTGTAAACTTGAGTCGAGGGATCTGAATTTGGGATACTTATTTTGTTCTACTCGTGAGAGATCAAGAATCTGAACAAAACAGACTATCATTCAGCCTAGGAGAGAGAGATCAAAACCCAAGGAGAATTTGGATTTATAGTCTCAGTTGCAGTTTGAAAATTGGCATATTTCCAAGTCAGTCTCACCTCTTTCCGCCGCGTTTTACTGCCCCTAATATCGCCATGTTGACACGGTCTTTTTTGTTCAGACAGACCAGACGCAGCTTTTCGCAGCTTTCGCATGTCAAACCACCCAAACAGATCACTAACGAGCCCGTGAAGGCATTCGACAGCGCTGCGACTCTCGACTGGGACCTGCTACGGGCCTCTGTGTCCAAATTCAACAATGCCTCGCTGGACGTGCCACTCGTGATCAACGGTAAACGTATCTTCTACAACGAGGGCAACCGCAGCTACCACCAGCAAGTCAACCCGGCCAAACACTCCCAAGTGCTGGCCAATGTCACACAGGCCTCCGAGGCAGACGTGGAGGCCGCTATTGAGGCGTCCAAGGCTGCCAAGGCCAAGTGGTACAAGATGCCCTTCTACGACCGCGCTGCCGTCTTCCTCAAGGCCGCAGATCTCATCTCCACCAAGTACCGCTACGACATGCTTGCTGCAACCATGCTTGGCCAGGGCAAAAACGTGTACCAGGCCGAAATCGACTGTATCACCGAGATGGCCGATTTCTTCCGGTTCAACGTCAAGTACGCAGCCGAACTGTACGCACAACAACCCTGCGAGTCCAGCCCAGGCGTTTGGAACAAAGCCGAATACAGACCTTTGGAGGGCTTCGTGTATGCCGTGACCCCATTCAACTTCACCGCCATTGCAGGCAATTTGATCGGTGCGCCCGCGCTCATGGGTAACACCGTGGTGTGGAAGCCTTCCCAGGCTGCCTGCTTGTCCAACTACCTACTGCTAACAGTCCTTGAGGAAGCAGGTCTACCTCACGGTGTTGTAAACTTCGTTCCAGGTAACCCTGTCGAGGTCACTAGCAAGGTCTTGGCAGACAAAGAATTTGCCGCACTGCATTTTACCGGATCCACCGCTGTATTCAAGCAATTGTATGGCCAGATCCAGCAAGGTGTGGTCAACGACCTCTACAGAGACTATCCTCGTATTGTTGGTGAAACGGGTGGTAAAAATTTCCACTTGGTTCACCCCAGCGCCAGCATGCCCCACGCCGTGCTCAGCACTTTGAGAGGTGCCTTTGAGTACCAAGGTCAAAAGTGTTCTGCCGCTTCCAGACTATACGTGCCTCAGTCCAAGGGTGCTGAGTTTCTGGCCGACCTGGCCGGCTCTCTAAGCTCCGTGCGTACTGTGAACACATCTGCTTCCAAGATCAACGGTGGAGACTTGCATGGATTCATGGGTCCCGTCATTCACCAACAAAGTTTCGACAAACTGGCTGGAGCCATTGACGAGGCCAAAAACGACCCTGAACTGGAAATCATCTGCGGTGGCGAGTACGACAAGACCAACGGCTTCTTTATCGAGCCAACCGTGATCAAGACCACCAATCCTGACCACAAGTTCATGTCCACCGAGTTTTTCGGGCCAATTTTGACCGTTTACGAATACCCTGACGCCGAATTTGCCCAGATCTGCGAAACCGTGGACAAGGCCACCACTTACGGACTGACTGGTGCAGTCTTCGCACGCGACAGAGATGCTATAAACACGGCCGACGAGATTTTGAAATACAGTGCCGGTAACTTCTACATCAATGACAAGTGCACCGGTGCCGTGGTTGGCCAGCAGTGGTTTGGAGGTGCCAGAATGAGCGGCACCGACGACAAAGCCGGCAGTGGTAACATTTTGTCTCGTTTCGTCAGTATCCGCAACGTGAAGGAGAACTTTTACGAGCTTACCGACTTCAGATATCCTTCGAATTACGAATAAAACGGTGTTCGGCTGTTTCAAGCGCTCGCGTCACCCAATTGTCCAGCCAAACTCGCCTGGTGTCAATCTGCATAATATATTTGACGTTGCGAAAACTACACTGTTCCAGTCGCCGTCGTTGTATTTACTTAGAAAAGAACGAAAAAAAAAAATAATAAAGAACATTCTTATACGGACTAAAAGCTTAAGTAGCACCAACCTTCAATACCTATCATGATCCTTGGAATTCTGCTTGTTGCTGTGTCTACCTATCTACATTGTTCTCTCTATTCTAGTTGTTAGCTGTCGTCAATTCATTATCCATTAAAAATCCAGACTGCTTACGTGATCACCGCTTTCTATATAAGATCGCTAAATACGAACTGTTTTTAGAGTAAAGGTATGAATTCAAAAAAAATGTTATTCAGCTCTCCTATTGGAACCTGCCAGGATATACTCTTCAAAAAAGGACACAAGGGACCAGAAACGCCCATTACTTCTATCTCCTACTTGAAATTGAAAGTTGATAGTGCAGACTATTGGTTGTCAACTTTTTTCCAAGTTAATCCGTCTCTTTTTGGTTCAAAATTGCACATAAATAGTGTGCTCTTTTCAAGAAGGTATTTTAAGGGATTACCAGGAAAATCCACCGTTTCGACGTGAAGTGGCATTTTTACAGAGGCGTAGCGTGGATTCGGTTGAAGACGTGAGTTAACATCCCCAGTCGCTCAAGTTCAGCGGTTTCATAACCCGTTATAAAAACCCTAGGTCCAAAAACCCCATTTTCTGAATGAACCCCACTGATAAGAGCTACAACAATACCGGTGGTGACAAGTTTGTGGCCACCACCGGCGGCAGAAATATCCCAAAGCAAATACACATTGCTCACAGGAGGTCTGCCAGTGAGTTGACCAACCTTATGATAGAGCAATTCACTCTCCAAAGACAGCTGGAAATTGTCCAGGCCCAGCAACAGCAGCTGATCGCACAACAACAGCAGATGGCACAGCAGAGTGGCCAATACCCGGGGCCAGGCTTGCCGGGATCAAACCCAGTGAATTCTTTCCTCCCTCACCCTCCCCATCCCATGTACAGCAACAACTCTACTCCGTCATCGCTGAACATGAACAACAGGAGCAGATCGCACTCCAGAAATAATTCGGGCTACTACAACAACACTGATCTTGCTCCTCCCTCAGGCGGGCATCGTAAAACGGGATCTCAATCCGGTGTTTACGGGCATAACAGAAGACACTCACTGGGACTCAGCGAAGCCAAAAAAGCAGCCGCTGAAGAACAGGCTAAGAGGGCCAGCAGCGGTGTTTCCATTAAGATTGATGACGCAGAGTCCCCAGAGCCTTCCAGGAATGTAAAATTTGAGGCCGCAGAACAATCGGGCTTCAAATTTCCGCCATCCCCGATTGAATCGTCAAAGGGAACTACCCCTAACGCTTCAAAAAACTCAAACATGTCTCCTCAGAAGTCCTTTGAATTTCCCGCAAACAAAGAGAACCGTGATGATTTCACTCCCGTCAACACCCCTCACAGGAGCACCAATAACAGAAACAAAGAAAACGCGGGCATAAACTCCAATTGGCGTGTGCAACAGCACACATTCACTGCCAGCAACGCGCAGCAGCAGCAGCCTCAGCTACCTCAACAACACAAGAAAAGTCAATCTAGGGAGTTTGCAAGTTTTGGTGCTTTGGAACCTCCTGCAGTGTTTCAACCGGGCCATAGATCAAGAAACTCAAATTTATCGACCCACAGCTTCGGATCAAACAACAATGGTGGTAACCAAAACGGTCGTAAGTCTCTGTTTGCTCCTTATCTTCCTCAAGCCAACATCCCGGAACTCATCGCAGAAGGTAGACTGGTCTGTGGTATTTTGAGAGTAAACAAGAAAAACAGATCAGACGCATGGGTATCTACCGACGGCGTGCTTGACGCTGATGTCTACATTTGCGGTTCCAAAGACCGCAACAGAGCCTTAGAAGGGGATTTAGTCGCTGTCGAGCTTTTGATGGTTGACGACGTGTGGGGCTCGAAAAAGGAAAAGGAAGAGAAAAAGAGAAGAAAAGATGCTAGCAGTCAGCAGGATATCCCACTGAATAGTAACGATGATTATCACAACGACGCATCTTCACGGACAGTGCCTGCTTCGTCATCGTCCACCTCTCTCAACTCTACAGAAAAGGCCGACCAAACTTCTCCATCCAAGCCTGGTAGCATTAAGAGGAAGGGCTCCTTGAAGCAGCGTCCTACGCAGAAGAAAAATGACGACGTCGAAGTCGAAGGACAATCTCTGCTACTTGTTGAAGAAGAAGAAATCAGCGACAGCTACAAACCATTTTACGCTGGTCACGTTGTTGCGGTTCTGGATCGTATTCCTGGACAGCTGTTTAGCGGTACTCTAGGCTTGTTGAGACCTTCACAACAAGCAAACAGCGATGCCAACAAGCCAAACAAACCTAAGATTGTCTGGTTCAAACCGACCGACAAAAAGGTACCATTAATCGCCATTCCAACTGAACAGGCCCCCAAAGATTTTGTCGAAAACGCTGACAAGTACTCTAGCAAACTCTTTGTTGCCTCTATAAAACGTTGGCCTATTACATCTCTGCATCCATTTGGTACTCTTGTCTCTCAGCTAGGAGAGATCAACGAGCCAGAAACTGAAATCGATGCAATTCTGCGCGATAACAACTTTCTGTCCGATGAGTATTTGGATCCACAAGATCGCAGCAAGGAAAGAACCACTTTTCAACCCTCTCCTCTATCAGAAGAGAATATTAGCGCGAGAAAAGTGTTCGATAATGTCATGGCAATTTACGAGACTGGGGCTCTCTCTGACTTGGCACTCCATCTCGAAACTTTTGCTGATGGATCTTTCGAGATTGGCTGTCACGTTCTTGATGTGACGGCACACATTGAGGAAGGTTCATCTTTGGACAGAAGAGCCCGAAAGCGGTCTTCGAGCGTTTTCATTCCTCAGAAAGTGGTTAACTTACTGCCTCAGACAATAAATGATTCGTTAACCCTAAAAGTAGGAAGGACTTCTGCTACGCTTTCGGTGGTTTACGGATTTAGCTCAAACTATGAAATTACCTCAACATGGATCGGCGAGAGCATCATAAACCCAGCATCCACCATCACCTTTGAGGAGCTGGACAATCAGCTAGCTTCTAGCTCACCGTCCACATTCGCCTTGACGACTCAAAGGGTAGCCACAGCCTTTTGCCGCAAGCGTCTTAACTCGAAAACAGCACATCTTAGACCGGACCTTTCCTTGCTTGAAAGTTTAGATGACGAGAAGGTAAAAGTCGACATCAATATTTTCCAAGGTGATATGGCAACTTCAGTCGTAACGGAAATCGAACGCCAAGTGAATAGCACCGTTGCCGAGACTGTTCATGAAATTCTTGGAGATTTAGCGTTTTTGAGGAGGCAATCCAGGCCAATTGCCACGAAGCTAGCTTCATTCCAGAAAAAAGTCGCCAAGTTAGGCTTCGACGTGGATGTCACTAGCTCTCAAAGTGTCTTAAACTCGATCATGGCTATAAAAGACGAGAGTGCAAGGATTGGCATTGAAGTCCTGCTATACAAGTGCTTAGGACGAGCGAAGTACTTTGTGGCTGGCAAAGTTGATTCTGATCAGTTTGATCATTTTGCTCTGAACCTGCCACTTTATACTCATTTCACAGCTCCTTTGAGAAGATATGCCGACCATGTTGTCCACCGTCAACTTAAATGCGTTCTGGGTGGCCTTCCATACAAGGAAAATGATGACTCCTTGAAAATCACATCAGAATACTGCAATTTCAAGAAGGACTGCGCACACCATGCTCAAGAACAAGCCATCCACCTTCTCTTATGCAAGACAATCAACGATATGGGTAACGCAACAGGTCAAATTTTGACCATGGCTACAGTGCTGCAAGTTTATGAATCTGCGTTCGATGTTCTTATTCCCGAGTTTGGAATCGAGAAAAGAGTGCATGGCGATCAGCTGCCGTTGATCAAGGCCGAATATGATGGCAATGAGCGTGTTTTGGAATTGTACTGGCAAGCAGGCGTTGATAGCGCTACATTTGTTCCTGCCGATGAGAAGAACCCCAAGTCCTACCGCAACTCAATCAGAAACAAATTCAAGTCTGCGTCTAATGAGATCGCCACTGTTCAGTACCTGAAGAGTCAAGAAAATCAAGGTTTCCTCACGGAAGAACTCGCCCGGCAATTAAGCGATCTCTATATCGCTCCCCCTTCTTTGAAGCTTCCTGTTAGCGACGAGAACGACAATCCACTTCAGAGCTTTTTGTCAGAAGTCACGATCAGACAAGATAACGACAACAACATTCAGGAAGTTAGAGAGCTACAACGTGTGCCGGTGTTACTACGTGCGGAAGTAGGAATGGCGTTGCCCTGCTTGACTGTACGTGTGCTCAATCCTTTCGGGTCCAGGAAGAATTGAAAACTCTCATTTTACGGGAGACCCTCAATCAGCAATCATTATCACCAAAACCAACTTAGCATTCACTCATTATTGGCGACCAACAATCAGCAAAAAGCTTCACGCTATCGACTCATGTAAATTAAAGTAAATGACCCAAACTCAACTAGAAGAGCCTCAACTTATCTCTAATACTTGTCACTTTCTTCTTAAGTGACACGATCTTGCAAGTTTATTCAATGAACCAAATATTTCAAAACTCGTTAACTTTGAACAGAAGTAGCTCTTAACTAAAATAACCAAAGTTCATAGTCTGGAAGGAATGCTCTCTAATTTTGTTAATCGAAGCTTAAACACTGGAATTATCCATCAGACGAGAGCTTTGCACAGTGGTGGAGTTCTTACGAAGAAGGCTACAAAGAAAGCTGGAAAGGGCAAAAAAGCCGATGACGACGAAGAGGTAGAAATTGTGGATCTAAAAAGTTATATTCAACAGGCTACAACTGCATTCCAAAAGAGTGTAGAGCTTCATCAGAAAAAGCTTAACGAATTGAAAGCAGGAACCTCAAATCCCACCATTTTCGACAAGTTGAAGGTCGGTAAAGAAAACCTCAAGTTTACAGACTTGGCTACAACATCCACAAAGGGAAGGAATGGCCTTATAATTACAGTTTTTGATCCAAAAGACACCAAATCAGTCATCAGCAGCATTCTAGGAGCAGGCCTGAACTTAAACCCAGAAAGAATACCAAATAATGAGCAGCAGCTAAAAGTATCGCTCCCGCCACCAACCACCGAAACGAGAAAGCAAAACTGTAAGCTGCTCAAAGATGTATTTGAAGAGTACAAGAATTCTGCCAACAAAAACTCACTGGGTCACATCCGAGGAGAGATACTGAAGGCCTTGAAAACAATTGACAAGAAAAACGATTCTGTGAAAAAGGTCACCCAGGACCTCGAAAAACTGCATAAGGAATACACTCAAAAGCTCCAGGATAGTCTGAAACAAGCGGAAAAAAGCGTTCTCGGATAAATCTGTCTATCATGTTAAAACTGTATATAAAAAAACTGTTATTTGAAAAGTTGTCTTGATGTTCAGTTGGCATTTTTGGCCAATGAGATCAGTGACTTGATTCTCACCCAAGCTGATCTCGTGTAGGAGCCAGTATTAAAGGACTTAACGAAGGCCCAAGCAGCACGATTGCTCTTGATAGGATAGTCTAATGGCTTTGGAATTTGAGTTGAAATGAAGGGCAATTTGTCGTAGCAGACACTTTTCGCATTGCAAAGACCTGTTAAACCTTCTTCACCGCCAAACTTACCGTACCCGGAGCCATTGATCCCACCAAATGGTAGTTGGCAAACATAAAACGTTGCAAAATCATTAATTGCGACATTACCGCTGTGTAGTTGATTGGCGACACGGTTGCATTCGGCATAATCGCTACCAAATATAGATCCACCAAGCCCAAAAGGAGCAGAATTGGCCAAACGCACGCAGTCATCGGTGTCTTTACCACGCATCATGGATAGAACGGGTCCAAAAACTTCGTTTTGAGCAATGTCCATTTCAGGCGTAACATCTACCAGCAAAGTTGGCTGGAAATAATGTCCTTGCGGATAGTTAGGATGTTTGTAGCGTGCACCTCCGTGTAGTAGGCGGGCACCTTGTTTTACGGCACTTTCGATCATTTTCTCTAATTGTTCGAACCTGTTGTCTGATATCATGGCTCCCATATCGACGTCTTCCAGATTGTCAATGTCCGAGCCCAACCGAAGCTTCCCGACTCTTTTTTCCAAAATCGAGACCATTTTGTCATAGTTAGTGGCTGCAACTATGACTCTCTCGATACCAATACAATTTTGTCCAGACGACTGGAAAGTGCCCCGCATGATGATCGAAGACAATGCATTCAAGTCCTTAAAGGAGTCTAAACAGATCAAAGCATCTTTGCCTCCCAGCTCGACGCAAACCGGAGTCAAGCTCTTCGACGCTGCTGCCAAGACATGGTGTGCGACAGGCTTGCTACCAATGAATGTCAAGTGTTTGAGCTGTGGGTGGGAGGAGTAATAATTGGCGGTATTGTCGTTTGCAGTGGGAGGGTTGCTGTAGCACAACTGGACCAAGTCAGGATCGTGGCCACACGATTCAAGACATTTTTTGCAGATGGTGATGAAATATTCAGAGGACCATACCACTTGTTCCGAGCACTTGATGACGATAGCATTACCGGTAAAAATTGCTGCGATGATCGGGCCCAGCAGGTTGTGGAAGGGATAGTTCCACGAGACCAACGCACCGATGACTCCCAAGGGCTCGTATCTAACCTCGGCTCCTTTGTACCATTTCATGAAGAAATTTGTAGGTCCCGGACGCTTTGAGGGCTGCAGAGCCTTCTTCCCGTGTTTGATAATCCACTGCAGTTTTTCCAAGGTGACAAGAATTTCCCCCATCGAGGCGTCCAGCATAGTCTTACCGGAGTCTCTGCAAGCCACTCGGGCAATCAAGTCCTGATTTTCCAGGATATAGTCTTGGAGCGACACGAGGACTCTAATACGCTCGTCAAAAGACGTTTCGCGCCATTTGACTTGTGCGTGAGCAGCTTTGGACACCAGCACATCGATGTCTTTTTCTGTCATCGAGGGAAAAGAGCCCAGAACTTGGCCAGTGGCAGGACAGTGACACTGAATCCGCTGGGAGTCGTCTGAAGAACCATTAGAGGGTATCCCCGATATAGAATGTAGACGTTTGCCCTTCCAGTGTTTCTGGGCTGCTTCTGGCAATGGTAGCCCGAAACTCACGGGTTTGGACGTTTGTCTCTGGGCCACAGGAAAGATCCAGCGATATAGCACGTATGCAACGGCCAGAGTAACGAGGAATGTCGTCGAGCTGGTTTTCATGGTTGCTGGGTTGGAAACCAGTTTGGTGTTGTTGAAATGCAACGGCTGAGAACGCATCCAATCGGCCACGTATTCTTGAACTGTGTGGTTCAATTGCTGGAGCATTGACGAGTTCAAGTAGATGTGAGACATCTGGAAAGCGATACGCACAACTAAAGCGTCGTAAAGAACCCCGCTGCTGCTGGATATATTTGACTTCTTTTCGTTTAGTTTCGATAGAACATCATTATACACTGAATTTAGTTCCAAACTGTCAGTACAGAAGAGAGTTCACGTGCGGTAACTAAAAGCCCCGGAGTTCTTCGAATTGAGTTGAATTGAGCTCTATAGACTGATTATAGCAGGACGACTGGCGTCCTGAAGTATGTTTTGTAAGTTTTTGGAGCCTTTTGAGGCCAGCATTTTTATGAGTAATGAGCTCTTGACAATCTTTATCGTTGGACAAAAAATTGGGATTTTCCGGGTGGCCCGTAAACCAGACGAGTGTGTGAGTGTGTCAGTGCGTGTGCGTGTGCGTAAGGGAGTGTATAGGCCTTACGCAGCGTTGACGTGCACGTCTCCGACGGGAGTAATGACCGCGTTGATCAAAAGCTTCACGATGGCATCTTTCTTCTTGTTACCAGTTTCCTTGAGTTCCTTCAACTCGGCCTGCACCTGGTCTTCGGCCTCCATTTCCAAGCCATTCACGCCACCAGCGTTCTTGGCCTCGTAGTCCTTGAGCTCCTGCTCCTTTTTCTTCTTGTAGGCGTTGACCTCCTCAGCAGCGTCGGTCTTGGCCTGCTTGATTTTGTCCTGACGGTACTGTCTGGCCTGAGAGACAATTTCGTGAGCCTCCTTTTCGGCTTTCAAAAGAGTGGCAATTCCGTTTGGTTGAGACTGCGTCAAAGTTAGTATTTACGTTATTATCGATGTGTTTCGCGAAAACCGGCAAAGTAGGGACCTGGTTCGAGGAAGCTAATGACAAAAGCTGCAAACAGCGACGTCTGCACACAATACTCGACTGTGCGTGAACTGAAATGCCTAAAGTCCCAAAAAAAAGTCCGAAGTGCCCGTTTTCACTTCCACGGTACGCTAACTCAACAATCACGAAGGTAGCTTCACCAGTTCCAACTTTAACAAAGTAAAAAACGACATACCATAGTTGGCTACTTAGTAGGTGTATCAAAGGCTTTCTATCGACACGTTGACGACCGTTGTCCTTGAGTTTTTTCGATTGAAAAGGGGTTCAAAGGTGATGTATTCTTACAGTTCAAATTTTGAAAATATCACTATAATTTTTTAATATAAGCGAGTCTGAGCTTAACGAGTAGAACATCAACCAGAGAAACTCACTAGCCTCAAGGTTCAGAGAAAGGTTTATTTGTAGTACTGGGAGGCACCAAATTTTTTCGACAATTCAATGTGGTACTGGTTTGTGTTTCGTGAACGTAGCTAAATTTTTGGCTTGACTAAAGATTGATTTTTGATTCCGACTGGTTGAGTGTTTTTTTTAACCTAGCCCACTTGCACTCCACGTTGATATAGGATTGTGTTACAGAAAGTGTGGGCTTTGTACCACACCAAAATAATCAGAAAACTCGTGATGGGTGTCGTTATTTGAGAGCATTGACTTGTGGTAAGATGGCATCAAATAAATAAAAAAGTGCGATAGGTGTTTCAACCTTATTTCTTCACAACTTGTTTCTGAATTCCGCCCACTCATTCCACATCCGCAATAATCGCTCTAAAGAGCATGAATGTTTGCAACGAATGCTTTTACTAAACCCAGCTTGTTCGCCATCGAGTCGAAACTGCAGTCAGTTATCTAGTCGTTGAAAAGATCCGTATAACGCGATCACAAAATGTTAAATTAAAACTATGCATAACGACATCGAGCTCATCGCCTTCATCCAACTCTTGAATGTTACATAGCATGGCCTCTCTGAAGTGCTCAGTGTGTTTGGAAGAGCTGGCGCGATACACTTGCCCAAAATGCAAAAAAAAACTTGTTCTGTAGCGTGCATTAAGGCCCACAAGCTTCAAGATAACTGTACCGGGACTGCCGATGGGGCAACCAGCTATTTACCACGAGAAGACCTGAGGGCCGCTGACACTCCTGATGAGACTAACGTTCTAGTGCATCGAGACTATAATTTTCTAATGGGGATGAACAGGCAGTTGGAACTGCTGAAACGCGATGGGAAAGCGAAAAACAAGCGAGCGCTTGCTCCTTCGCAAGGCTACAACAATCCAGCACATCAGAGAAAGCGACAACAATACGAATTGCAGTCTCAAGTGATAAGAAGAGGTGTTCGCTGTGCCCTGCTACCCAAGGGAATGCAGAGAGCAGCTCAAAACAAAAGTAAATGGGACAAAAGCTTGGACTTATTTGTATGGTCTATCGAATGGTGCGTATTCTCTCCGCAGGGAGCAATCGAGATTCACCATACAAGTCACAGAAATAAAGAAACAGACTCTCTTGCCGAATGCATAGGGAAATGGGTTGAGGGAAAATGCAACGATATCTTTAGTGTTGGACAGACAGAGGCTGATGACGCCAACAATGTGCCAGGCTCTCTGGTTCAGTCCAATAGTGAAAAGGTTGAAGTAGTTACTGGAACGGAAGGCTCAAATGTGCAGAGTGTTGGAGTACCGGATGAGAAAACACAAAGCGAAATTAACTGCACAGTCTCAAGTGCTCCTCAAAGCCCACAGAACGTGCAAGCAAATATCAAACAAGCGAAATTGAACTGGATCTCATCACTCAATCTTCAATTCTACATTAAATGGTTCCCACAAGACTCAGATGTATTCAAAGATCCCAAAAAGCTAGTTCCATTGGACCCTACGAAAAGTATAGGTGAGCTATTCAGAGATAAAATGGTGGTGGAATATCCTACAGTTTACATCTCGCAAACTAACTCTCCTCTTGGAGATGGTTTCACACTGCTAAAGCAGAACGCTGAAAATGGGACTGAGAGTCAGTCAGACTCCGAAAGTGTAGACTCAACCAGTAATTCTGACGAAGAATCGGATAGCAGCTCATCAAGTGACTCCGATGAAGGGCCGCCCGAAACTTCAAGCAAAATCACTCACGTTACAGAAAAGGTCTTGAATCCAAAACCATCGATCGAGCATAATACAAAGCTTGTTCAGAGTGCCGTCGATGATGAAGGTGACGACGACGATGAAGACGACTACACACCTGGAATATCCTTGGATTTCCTAGCAGACTGACGCCAATAAAGTATTTCAGACTCCCCATATTTGCATAACTTGTATTTATAAAAGGCATTAAAACAATCTAATAGTAATGGACGAACCAATTCGTCATCAAACACTATGCTGCACCTGCAGCGTAGTGATTCTTATTCGTGAAAGTGACCTGCTGCTTGTTCCGAACAATTTCACTTCCTTCAGAGTCGTTTTTGAAATTGTTACTTTCGAGCATATGCTTTTCCCACACCGTACGTTCGACACCCATTCGACTATGACCGAGCACCGCGATTCGCATTGTGCTGAGAAGGTTTCTAGCCGCTTGGGTGTGCAGATAAACGGCACCGTTGAAAGCCTGAGTGGCGTCCTTGCCTACACTCGCTTCAACAAGCGCAACACCTCCTGGATGGTCGCTGCTAAAGGGCGTTACGTCATGAACGACGCCTTCTATTACGACGAGAAATCGCCTTTTTGTTTCATATTCGAGCTTTGCTAATTTGACGAATTTTTCCGGTTGCATGATTGGTAGTTTGTCTAGAGGAATGCCCCATTGTAGCTTAGCCCTTTCCTCATCCAGTAGCTTTTGTTGTTGTTGAAGCAAGCATTTGTCTATCTGATCCTGAGAGGTGTAATGAATGTTTCCCGCAAATCCCAGGTAGTACAGTATCAAAATTGCAAATTTGGAAGGGTCCCACTGAAGCTTCCCCAGTCCATTTCTGTAATCGCCTGGGAATTCATGATGGAAGTTATGATTAGACTCTCCAAAAGTTAGCAGATCTCCCAGAATACCCAGTGGCAAGTTAACGGCGGACCTAGAGTCATCGAAAGGTTGCTTTGCTAAAGGAAAATGTTTTGTGTGACACAGGGCACCTATAATCAGCCATTGTTGCTGTATCAAGGACATTCTCACCAAACCTAGGTAAAAGATTCCGCTGAAATAAGATAAGCCGCAAAACCTAGCCAATATGCATGGTATGAGTATCAATGTAAGGATCAATATTTCAAGATAATTGTCGTGCTGCCAGCGCAAGAGTGCGTAGCTGGGTGTAGTGATGAAATTTCTTGTCTTCTCACCGGTAGCTCTTCGAGCAGCTGAGTCCAAGGTGGCTCTGCAGTCTTGCACTGCTCTAGCCGATTTCCTGTTGCCTTTGAATAATTTATGGCCCCAAATAGCGAAGAGCCTTCCGTGAACGACGTTGGCAAGCGGGTCCCTTTCTGTGTCGACGTGGCGATGGTGAGCAAGATGTTGGCTGGAAAAATCAAGGATGGAACCCAGCCCGCAGGACCCGCCTAAAATGGCGAACACTGACTGTACCATCAAATCGCACTGGAACGAGGCATGTGTGAAAAAACGGTGGTATCCTGCCCCTAAACTGACCTGCGATAAAAACATATAAACCGCGAGACATTTGAGAAGGCGTGGGTTGCTTTCAGGTCTTCCAATAAGCAGCTTAAATAGTGAGAAAAGAGGGAGCCCCACGGACAGTAAAGTGGTTTGGATGTTGACTTTTTTCAACAAATGCACCACTTGTGGGTCGCGTTTCCGCTTCTTAACTGCAAAAATACCCTCGGGCGTTGAAGGAGGTATGTTTACAGGGGGTTGTTCTGCATTTTGCCTTGCGTTGATCTGTCTGTTAGGATTATTAACCGCTTCTCTGGACTTGAGAATATCTGAGAAGTCAAACTCAGGGATAGAGCCATTATCCATCTTAATGATTCTCACTAAAATACACCGACTGATCAAACTTCAAGCAGCGTCCGTCGATGTAGTGCTGTGTAGGAGCCAGCGAGGTTGATGAGTTAGTTCGTTCTGCTCGTTCTACTTGTATAGCGATCACCGGACTCGTTTAGTATGATTAGTACTCGACCAAATCTTAACTATGATGCCATGACAGTTCTCAAACTGGGTGAAATGGACGTATTCAAGGTGGACTTCGTGATTGAAACTATAAAATTAAATATCTGTTAGCTGTGACAAAGCTCTGAGACTATTGGAAATGCGAAAACCCTGGCGAATAGCTTGAAATGTCGCATTTTTTTGAGGTACTCTTTCTCTTATTAGGTACAATTTGCCGGAGGAGGGCATATCGTCTTTGCAAGCTGAATAATGTTTAATTTTGGGCTGTGGCAAATACTTTCTTTGTATGTCGATATTAATCGGGTTTGGTGTCACCGTCATGAATCTACAATTTTATTGATGAATGAAAAAAAGATTGATAGTAAACTTCAGGGAAGGCATGGGGTAAGTTCCCTCAGATTATTCAACATGATATAAAGGCTAGTTAAAAGTGTATTTCATTGAAATTGCCGCCAGGTGATTCGACTTTGCCAGGGTTTTCTGGCTTGGCATCTGAGCATATCACTTTGTACTATCCTGTCATTAATCAACGTGTGTCAGCGTCACATAAAAGGCTTTACGTTAGAGTCAGGCAAAGCAATAGCACAAGGAGTATTGGAATTTGAGGGTGTTCATTGAGAAATTAGCAAGAGTTTATACGCGTAATTTTGTTAAAATTATATTTGCTCCAATGGAGGTGACTTTATTTGAAGATTCAAGTTAACGAATGCTGAAACTGTTAAAAATTGCCGCAAGCACAACATTTTACTCGATCTACTATACACCCAAATTCTCATATCTGTGTACAACCTGGTAAAGAGGTCGGCATTGCTAACATAGATGTGAAACAAAATGTGGTAAAGTTTTTCCCGGGATTTTCCGGATTGTAACTCTGAAATTTTAACGAACAAACAACTAGAACAGCAGTCTGGACATCCAAAACATGCATTTGTTACAGACATTCATTGCAAATAGACCCGGCTCTATTCTCCCGTTTACTCTACTCCGGCCACCGCGCCTTACTACTTCTAACTCGTCCATAATGACCTAGATATCTATACTCAACATCTGGAAAATTCGTACAACTATCAAGGACCGATACTAAAGGTCTTGAACCGCCCAAAACCAGACCATTGAGACTCCATCCAAGGCCATGATTGATCAATTTGTGGTTTTCACACCCTCTGGGCAAGTGCTGTACAACTTCAGCTCTCAGTCAAAGCGTTTCGCTGAGGTACAAGTGAACAAAGTAGTGTCTCAATTGATCACGAATGGGGCCAGAAAAGATGAAGGGAGCCATAAATATACTACATTGAAATTTGACCAGTTTGCTGGAATGTGCAGTATAAGAAATAGTCCTGCTATTGTGTTTCTTTCAATCTACGCGGCCCAAGATATTGAGCAAACTCGCGAAGCTGAGCAGATTCTTGATCTCGGAACGAAATTATGGGATTCCTTGGGACTGAACCAGGCTGTGGAACAAAATACTAGCAAGCAAAGAGCTCACAAGAACCAGCACAACTTTACGTGGATTCTACAAAACTGTGATGTACAAATTGCCAAATTCGACGAATACTTCAAGGTGAAGATCGATGCCATAAAAGCGGGGAAACCAAAGGGTAAAGAGGTGCGGACCAAGTCAGGCCCACAGCTTGCAAAGTCAGCAAAAAATTCGTCTGCCAACGGTAAATCCCGGAAGTGGGGCCGTGATGGTATAATGGAAGATAACTCCACTCCTGGAGACATGTCATCGCTTGATTTCTCCACAGAGGGGACACCAGAACTTACCCCCAGCAACGTTATTAAGGTGGACAAGGATGCATTTGGAACCAGGACAGACAAAGGTGAGTTCCTCATCAAAGAGATTGACGAACTTCTGAGCAAAAACAAAGGTGTGTCCGCTAAGAAAGCCAATTCTAGTACTGGGGCATTTGCTTTTTTGCAAAAACATCTACTTGGTAACAAATCAATTGTTCAAGACGATCTGACAACCATTTTACAAAAGCTAAAACAGCAATTGATCGCCAAAAATGTGGCACCTGAAGCAGCCGATCATCTTGCGTCGAGGGTCTCTCAAAACTTGATCGGAACTACTACAGCGAATTGGACTAGCGTTGAAAACACAGCCAGGGAATCACTGCAGCAAGCTTTGACAGAGATTCTAACGCCAGGTGTGTCTGTTGATCTTCTTCGTGAAATTCAACAAAAGACTTGGTCGTCGGGTAAAAAGACACCGTACGTTTTCTCAGTGGTAGGCGTAAATGGAGTCGGGAAATCCACCAACCTTTCAAAATTGGCCTTTTGGCTACTGCAAAACAATTTCAGAGTGTTGATTGTTGCTTGTGACACATTCAGATCTGGTGCCGTTGAGCAGCTGCGTGTACATGTTGAGAACTTAGCCCAACTGACGGACGAATCCCACACCCGTGGTTCTAGAAATAGACGGGGAAAAACAGGAAATGACTTTGTGGAACTTTTCGAAGCTGGATATGGGGGCTCTGACTTGGTCACTAAAATTGCAAAGCAAGCCATCAAGTATGCCAGTGATCAAAGTTTTGACATCGTGCTTATGGACACAGCTGGAAGGAGACACAATGACCCAACTCTCATGTCACCGCTCAAACCGTTTGCTGATCAGGCCAAACCCGACAAGATTATTATGGTTGGCGAAGCACTAGTGGGAACGGACTCAGTTCAGCAGGCTCAAAATTTCAATGCTGCCTTCGGCAAGGAAAGAAATCTGGATTTCTTTATCATTTCCAAGTGTGATACAGTTGGTGAAATGCTAGGAACGATGGTTAATATGGTTTATGCTACCGGAATTCCCATACTTTTCATAGGTGTTGGCCAGACGTATACGGACCTGAGAACGCTGAGCGTTGAATGGGCTGTTGATACTTTGATGTCATGACTGAATTTGATAGAGCGCGTCGGTCTAAATGCAAAATTAATTAATCTAATGAGCTTATCCAATTTCTTGATCCTCCTCCTTTACCTTTGTAGAAGCATGGTCCTCCCCATTTACCTCTGTAGAAGCGTTTTCTTCATCTTTTTCCTTGGAAGGCGCTTTCAGCTTTTTGCTTGCACTCCTGACGTCTATAATCTGCAGGTCCTGAGAGAACTTCACATGTCCTGAGGCAGGTACAATGGTCTCAATTTTGATATCAGGTAGATTGGGTTCAGGTCCTTCTTTGATGCTATCAATAAAGGTTGAAGGTGTGTGACCCAATATACAATGAAGTATTATCAAAGATGCCGGTTTTGATAGCACTAGACTATTTTCTTTGCAGAAAGCTGCTGCAACACAGTCGGGGCATCCATTTTCACAGGGGCACTCCTCGACTCTTTTGAGAGCTCCTTCTAGTATCACGTCTATGTGCTCAAATGCCTTTATTGATAGTCCAGATCCATGCTTTCCGCCCTTTGAGTCGTAGAAGATAAGACGCGCTGGGCGCTTGCGTTGCGTCTGACGCTCTGCAAATTCTTTCTCTGGTGCCTTACATTCCGTTTGTATTTCATCAACGCCTGCAACTATGAAGGCTGGGAGGAGGCCCATAATGGCATGTTGAGCCGCATGTATCCCTCCTGCAATATTTAGCGATTTTTGTTTGCACAAGTCCAGGGCGACGGAAGGGATATCGATCCAAAGCCCCTTTGACTGGATTATAACTGGAGGATTGTAGGTCTCAACTGCATCAATAATGCGCTTGTACTTGTCCATCTTAAAAAATCCAAAAACAACTATTGTAGTCACAATTTTACCAAAAAATACGGGAACGTCGCTTTCTTCTAAGGACCTCAGCAGCTCTATTTCCTTTGGATCCACGTCAGTAAAATCTCTTTGATTAGTAGTCCACTCCACATCAACTCTTTGAACTTTGGCATAATGCTCATCAGGATTGAATTCCTTCACGAGGTAAGGGTACCCTTGGTGAACAAAGATTCCCCCATCATATAGGGTGAAACTGGTTCTCGAAGCCTCAACCTCTTCGATCACAATGTTTCTCCCATTTGTTATATCCACCACAGCGAACTGGTCTTCCTCAGAGCCTCTTAAGCTAACAAGTTTTGCTGGCCACGGTAAAAACCTATTATGTGTGTGGTATCCGTTAGCATCGTGATGTAGCCTCTCTTGGCAGGTTTTGGTTAAAATCTGTCTGTCGAAATAAGCTTGGTCTCTCTCAACATTAATTGGAAGCTCGAATGCTGCACATTGAATATGTCCTTCCAAAATCAATACATTCTCAAAGTCGAGTACGAGTTCTTGGAAGGATTCTTTGCCACCATCTTTTAAGAGTTCTGAATGTGCAACATAATGCTGGTCGACAGGTGAGTCACCGGCCACCACAAGAGTAAGAGAGTCTCTATTTCTTCTACCAGCTCTACCGCTTTGCTGATGAAAGTTGGCTAATGAAAGAGGAAATCCACACATAAGAACAGCATCCAGTCCGCCTATGTCGATACCCAATTCAAGCGCATTCGTCGAAATGACGGCTCTGAGATTCCCGTGAAACATCTCTTGCTCAATTTTACGTCGATCAGACGGAGAGTAACCGCCACGGTAGGACATCACCTCGTTCAATAGATCTGTTCTATTCATCTCTTGGAATATCGTCCGCACTTCCTTCATCAACAGCTCACAAACACGACGAACGTAGCAAAAGGCAATAGTCCTAACGTTCTCCAGAACGAGTTGCACCAAAATCTTTGCACTTTCATGAATGAAATTCTCTCTTCTACGAACATGTTGGGCTAGAACAGGTGGGTTCCAAACAACTAAATGCTTTTCCCCTCTTGGTGAACCATCATTATCAATGAGAGTTACCTGTTCTGTGCCAAAGATGCCTCTCATATGCTCGACGGGTCTTTTAAGAGTGGCTGAACACGAGATAAACTTGACATCCATGTTGTTGTAGAATCCATTTACCAACCGCACAAGTCTTCGCAATACTAAAGCAACGTGGGATCCGAAAAGTCCTTTGTACATATGAAGCTCATCGACTACAACGAGTTTCAAGTGCATCAAAAAATGGCGCCAATTGGGATGATTAGGCAATACACTTACGTGGATCATGTCTGGATTGGTGAAAATGACTCTCGCATTTTTACGGATATATCCCCGCTTGTTTTCTTCTGTATCGCCATCATAATTATCAACAATAACGTGCGACAGCTGCGGGATTCTGGTAAGCAAGACTTGGAAAGCTCTTTTTTGGTCCTGAGCGAGAGCCTTTGTTGGAAAAACGTACATGAAAGTGGCCTGAGGGTCTTTGAGTAGCTGGTCAATAGCTGACAATTGATAAATCAAAGACTTTCCCGACGAGGTAGATGTAGTAATTATGACATTTTCTCCAGCATGGATAGCATTCAGCGCCTGCGCTTGATGCGAGTAGAAAGTTTTGTGTTCAAACGCGTTGAGCGCCTCAGAAGCCAATTCAAAGTTCAATTCATTAAACTGTGCACACCGTTCCTCGAGAACCATGTGGCTCACGATCTGGTTATTGTAGAGCTCGGACATTTCCAGCTTTTTCAAAAGAATGGGCATAGTAAGCCTTGTCGAGTTATTTTCAGCATCTACAAGTACCTGAGACCCATCCTCAGCCTCTCGAGCTTTTATCATGGCCTCTATTGGATCCACAAACTCCTTTTTCTGTGGTACAATTGCAGATGCCTCGGATTCTAAAATTGTCCACGGATCACTATCTTTGTGCTTTTTTTGACGCAAAAACTTCGCCAGGCTAGTCTTGAAAATGGTGTTCCTGCGTGCAATCATTTTTCGCATTGCATCGGGCGAGAACTCTGGCATCTTCACCTGGGTCTTAAACTCCCGCCGCGATAATTTCCGTGACATGTCTCCATCAACAAACTCAAACACAAGAATCTGATCATCCCTTGAATCTTCGAGCTCATTATTTTCCGGCCTGAGCTCAAATATATCGCTTGATTTCTGCTGGTACCCGCCATTATTGAAATCGAATTCTTTTGTCTCTGTATGGAACTGATTGGCGTCCACGTACTTGAAAACCACGTCTCTTGGCAGTAAAAAAGCGATTTTAGCCAAATCAAGCGGCTCAAGTACTCTCCTAATGTCCTTTTCAATAGGCTTTCTAAGTGTCTCAAAGGTGCTGATAACATGCTTTCTAGACATTAAGAAGGTGTAGAAGGTGTTCAACCTAAAGAAGATCTTCCTGAGTTCCTTGCACCGGGTATCCTGGTCCCATTTACTAGTTTCATAACCAGGTTCCTGAGCATTCTGAGGCTTCGGGTCCATATCCAGAGCCGCTTTTTGGTTGTTCTACCATTGAAGTTCTTATAATTAAGAGTTTAAAGATGATGAGATGATGTATTTAAATAAAATGCTAACTTCATGAACTTTGACCTTCGACAAAGATAAAAAAAGACGACGTATAAGCCCGAAGAGTGGTTCAATAGGTCTCCCTAAGTCTAATCTAAGTATGGCATTCTCAGAAGAGCGCTTAGTAACGAAATTGAACGGGTTGGACGAGACTCAGGACTCAATTGTTGGTGCTTCTCGATGGTTACTCTCTCAGCACAAAGAAATCAAGCAAATTGCGGCTTGCTGGAGCAAATTTGTGACTAAAACAACGATCAACACGCGAAGAAAGCTGCTGGCAATATATCTAGCGAACGATGTTGTCCAACAGGCCAAACACAAGCGTATGGCGGAAGTTGGTGCTGCGTTTGGCGATATAATGCCTGGAGCTCTTAGTCGTGTATATCCCGAACTAAGCCTGGAAATGCGCCAAAAAGTTCGACGGGTGGTGGATATATGGAAGCAAAGACAGGTTTTCTCCGATTCAGTGCTGAAAAGCGTGTATTCGCAGCTGAAAGATGAACCTCGCCCTGACTCTCCTGCAGTGGCCCCAGAAATGCAAAACTTGGTTGTTCTTTTCAACCAACTGACAAAATCCCAGGCCGGTGTGAACTCCAGTAAAACCCGGTTTGACTCTTCCGTAGAGGCGTTAGACCCCAGTAGCGCTGTATACACAGAAAACTACAAGATTATTCAAAAAATCGGCCAAGCAGCCAAAGATGCGTTGCAAATATCGCTAGATATTCGTCAAAAGGCCATCAAAGAGCTGAAAGTCATGCTGGACTTTCAAAACGAACAATTGCAACAAGATCAGAACATGATTAGCGAGGTTGACGCGGTGCTTGTAGCCAAAGATCCCCTCAACTCGCAGCCATTATCTGCCGAAGAAGCTGAGATGGTTCCAGTTTATGAGGCCAGCGACGGGAGCGACAGTGATACAGACAAGAGTGACGTAGAAGGAAATGATACTAGGAGGCGTAAGTCCTCGACCCTATCAACGGAGCATAAGGACGATGTGAAGAGGCTCAAATCAATTGCTGTGGAGCCCAAATCTGACACGGGCGAAAGAGCAGATACTTTCGACGCCGCTACCTACGAACCAACACCTGCTGAGGTTGCTGCTAATTCTCCCATGGCTGTGACGTCAAGCATTCAGGACTTACTAAGTAAATTAGCTAGCTGATGGTATAGCCCTATCTTTTATGAAACGAAAATTCAGAGCTCCAGAACTTTAACGTACTGAAATGCAAGATCGCATGTAAAATTCTTGCACAGAGGATCCATGGACTCGCAGCAAATTTTGTAGTCCTCAATGCCAATGTCCTTTAGGTATTTTCGTATTTTGACAACCCTTTGCTCAAAGTCTTGGTCTTGAACGTCACCTTCGCACTCCAGCTCCAGAAGTAGCCCTTTAAATCCGCCATACGAGAACACATTAGTAGCCCTGATGGTAAGTTCTGCGGTTTGATACGTACTTCCAAAATCACCCTTTATGCTCTGCCTCTGGGTCCATAGGTTTGACAATTTTGAAGTTAAGAGATGGTCAAAGGATTCGCAAAAACGAGACGAGCATCCATTCAGAATAAGAGATGTCGGAATATCGCCAGTATTCGTGGATGTCACCACTGCTGACTTATTTTTGATAGTCACTGTTTTGTTGCCGTGATTGCTAAAGCTGATTGAATGCATAAGCCTTGAGCTATCGGGAGGCAGATTCTTGACCGTAAGCCGGAAAGTTTTAAACTCAAAGGACCATTTTTCCTTCACAGATATCAAGTCATTGGACAGTACGTCGTGGAAGTCAGTGATGGTTGCTGGAGCGGATTTCTCGATGAATATCACTCTGCAATGAAAGTGAACCAGCTGGTCAGTAACAATTGATGCAATTGATCGTATTCGAAAGTAGTTGAAGAGGACTTACGCTGAGCTCATGCTATTTTATCTCTATTTATTCTAGTAATGGGTACTCGAACGATCACCATGAGTTGTTTTATGAACTCGAACTTCAAAGCCAAACGTTAATTTGGCACACTACACGATAATGAGTAAGACTGTTGAGGAAACTCGAACTTTAAAATGCCTGACTTCTAGTGACAGTCGCGAGGCTTCTGTGACTTCAGTTAACGTTGTAGGTCAACTACACAAGACTTACCGGTCTTATTGCAATGGACAATTGCCCACTTACCACCTTTGGAGGCTTCTTTGGACAAGCTATTATAAATGCTTGTGGCGAAGCTACGGGGCGCAGAGTTCTGACCGGCACCAAAAACCTTGCGCAGCCATTCGTCTTTTTGATCAAGTGAGGTCACTGAAATGATCTCAAGCGTTTCTTCTCTAATTGCATCGACAGCGAAAATAGGCGCGGTCGACAAACTCGAGATAATTGCACGCGAGGCACTTCTGGCAGAGTCCTCGTAGACCCATTTCTCCTTCTTGTTGGACTTCTTAGCACGAGTAGCCATGTTTGGAATGTAGACAACCTTTTGAGCGCCTTGGCCTTTAAATGAAGCATTGCTACTATCATCAAGACTCCCATCGGCACTTCCCAGCTCGTCCCATCTTTTCTCTTCCACGGATGTCGGACTTCCGTCGTAAAACTGAAGCGGATCATTGCTACCTGCTTTTTGACCTGTTTCTTGCTGGTATAAAGCTAGGAACTCATCAAAATCGAGATCAACATCCAGCTCCCCGTCTAGTTTTTTTACCTTAAGCGGTTTGTACTTGCGTTTGTGGCTTGAAGCAGAGTACATCTGCTGCTTTATGAAAAGAATCCAGTCTACACCGTCACGCTGAGCAATTGAAACTACGTCATCCACAGTGTAGCAATTGCGAACAAAGTCCGCGCTAACATTTGCTTTCCAGAGCTGGTTCAGTATCTCTACACCAATGGTGTCGAGAATATGATTTGAGAAACTCGAAACAATGACACTGCACCGCGTGGGCTTCCAGTCTAAAGTTGCGTCCTTCAAAAAAGTGCTTCTTTTTTTCGTTTTCTTGCCAGCAGCCAGCTTGAAGTAGTTTTGGGCCACCACTAAGATAGTTTCCCATGCTAAGTTGAAGCCCACAGCCTTTTGAACACTATTTGTATTGCCACCAGAGGGCCGTGCAATGAGAGAGATCAATTTATCATATCGTCCGCCTGCGGCGATCAGGCTTCTGGTCCTTTCATCGTCGTACACTGCTTGAAACATGATATTGCCTTTGTAGAAAGACCAATTGTAATTGCTCAAAGGACACACCAAAATGTTTCTTGTCAGTTTCAATGGCTTGAAAAAGCTTAGCACTTTTGAGATGTACTGAAGAGATTCGTCCACTTTAGCAAGGTACGGACTATCGACCATTACCTTATGCATTCTCTTTTTGGCGCTCTCAAAGTCCAACCGGAAATCAAACAATTCCAAGTCGTTCAGGGAGGTCGAGGAAAGATTCAAAACAGCTTTCAATTCATTTTTGACATCTTTGAATGATTTCGCAAAACCAACCTGAGATAGCATATGCGACACAAGCGAGCGCTGTGCCTTATCAATTCCGCAAAAGCTGAAAATGCTTTCCAGGATATCAGCGTGGTTGACGCTGAAAACTGTATTGATTTTACCAAAGATCGGAAGCTGTGTGATAATTTCGTCTACGACCTTCAAACTCTCCGCATCATAAAACGGGGTTTCTGCGGTCGATTGTGAAATGATATCAAAATCGACCTCAATAAATTTCCGCGGCTCGGTACTTGTCTGTGTCTGTTGAGGAGGTCGGTATACGTGCTGTACGCGATATTGCTTGCTGACGCAGTTGGGGCATTTAGCAATATATCTTGCCATCGGATACGTCAAGTCATACTGCAACTGTAAAATTGACCCGCCTTTGTCAAGAATTTCATAGACGTTTTGAGTAGAATAAATGGGAGCCTTAGGGAAAATTACGGAGGTCTCGGTGTTTTCCACTGCGCCATGCCTTTTAAAAATCTTAATGACCTCTTCCATCATTTGTGACTTTAGAAGTTGATTGAAGGGGGTAGAGTTCAGCTTGCTATTGTCAAAGAGAATGTCATTCGTAACACTGTAGGGTTGGGCAAACAGACTTTCTCGGACTTGTTGTTGCCAAGGAGATGAAGGATCTGCAAGATGTTTCAACGCATCCTTTATGACATCATCTTGATGCTTAACGGGTAGTAAACCGCTGCGTAGGAGCGTTTGAGCATTGGGTCTTATACTAGGATCATGATCAAGTAATTGTCGAATTATCTTCTTTTCAACTGTTAGTTTATGGTCGTCAAAATCTGCCGGAAAAGCAACCGCAGGCGTTCTTAGCATTTTAAGAACATTGACTCTTTCCATGCCTGTCCTGAATGAATAAATCATTTCAAAGAAGATGATGCCAAGAGAGTACATATCGATCTTCTCGTTGTAGTTCCCCTTCCCGCTGAGAACTTCGGTAGCAACATAAAGGGCTGTTCCAATTGCAGAGGTGAGATCGTCTGTGCTTCCAGCACTCATTTGTGTGTCCACGCGCAGAAGATCAGCAGATTTATGGACGTTTTTAGCAAGGCCAAAATCACCAATTTTGATGTTCTTCGATTCATCAATGAAAATGTTCATAGGCTTGAGATCCCGATGAATGATACCCATGGAATGAATATATCCCAAAGCATCCAGTATCTCTCGAAATAGTCTCCAATACTCCTTTTTTTGAGAATTCAAGTTCTCTGTGTGTATCAGATCAAAGAGCGTGCGATTTTCACAGTATTCCATTTGAATGAAAAGAGTGCTTCTAACATTCCGTCTGGCATTAACTTGCTCTATTGAATTTCGATATTGAGCCATTGCATAGCCCTTTCGTGAGTTGGCCGGACTTCTTCGCTGCTTTACTCTTTTCTCATCATCGGCAATAGAATCATTGCTGCTGTTCTCAAAAGCATCCGATAGGGGGCCATCGGAATAAGACTCGCTACTCTCATCCTCTGAATTTTCGTCAGCATCGCTGGAGCTGTTTGCAAACACAATTTCCGGCAGGTTGGAGTTTTGAAACGAGTTCGAAATGAAATCCCAATTATTGTTCGCATTGGCGGATCTGCTCATGGCGCCACTTTGAAGGCGGCTATCAGAATCGCTCTCGAGATCAGAGTCTGACCCCTCCGAATCAAGGTCAGATCCACTTGAAGTCACGGCATCCTCCACATCTGGTTCTTCCTCTAGCCATGCGGCATAATAACGGACAACATATTGGTGATTGAGACTGGCCAGAAGCATAACCTCACTTAGTATCGAGGACAGTTTTTCTTCAGTATGCCGGATTTTTTTAATGGCATAGTACCTACTATCCAAAGCGTTCCGTGCTTTAACTACCTGACCAAATGCTCCTTTTCCCAGCATTGCAACCTCTTCGAAGTCAGTCGCATATCTAGAATTGTAGTTGGGATTGGTGGAGAGATACCTGGATTTGACATTAAAACTTCGTCTTCTGACCCCGTCGGGCAGATACTGTAAAGAGTTACTTGGTCTCGAGCTCCTTCTAGCGCTAAGAGCAAAAGACGAGCTTGAGTCAGCGTTGGGGGAACCGAGCTTGTTTATCGATGGATCCAAATTAGTTCTCAAAAATTTCATGGGCATCAACTCCAATGGACCTAATCGCTTTTTGAAATCGGGTTCCAGAAGCTTATCCAAGAAGTCTGCAAGACTAGCATCCATTTTGGTGCTTTCCAAAAATTCATGTGATGAGGAGTATTTTCCAAGAGTATCAATTCCGTTTATGATCTGAACAAACAAAACGCCCAGTTGCCAGATGTCAGTCTTTCTCTGTGGCTTGCTATTATTGAACTTTATAAGCTCGGGCGCCTTCCAGGGCTGTTCTATGGGGTCAATTTTAGTACCACTTTTATTAGGGTGACTGGCTAGAAGGCTGACAAGCGTGAAACCATACCCAGGATGCATCAACTTGGGAACTATTGTTCCAAAATCGGCGTCTCTGGCCAGATTAACGGTTCGCGGGGAAACACATTTGTGGACGACACCATGTTTATGAAGACATTCGAGACCTTCGATAAGTCTTAAAACCCAACCGCGAGCCGTGGCCAAGTTAACGAAACCAACAGATTCCACAACTTCACCGACCAAGGACATGGGGGAGTACTCACTCAATATTCGAATCTTCCAGGCGTATGTGCTATTGCTTCTTCCAACCCTTTCAACCGCAAATGCAAAGAGTTTATTGACGTTGTCATGGGTGACTCGAGTGAGAGAGTCCAACTCTTTCTCGAGATTTGATATCTCGCGTTTACCAATGCTTGTGTTGAAATGGGTGTTGTCCAAAGTTATCTCGGTAAGTAGATAAAAGAAGTTGACCATCATGTCAGAGGACGTCAAGGTGTTGGCTAAGGGCGAGTCGGGAGGTATGTAAGGCTTTACCAGTTTCTGCTGAGCAAATCCAAGTAGATCTGCACCTAGATCCACTTCCTTAGGGTTCACTACCGCCTTGAATTTGTAAAAAGAATTGTTCGGCAGTTTGGCTCTTACGACTTTGGGGAAAATGTAGGCTTCGCCAGAGGCAACCCAGTCTGCTGGCGGGTTAAGTTCGATTAGATTTTCGTGCTGGAATGTGAAATCGTCGTCATGCCTTTTCTCGATTTCCTTACGCACAATTTCATCGATCATTTTCTGTTCTTTCACTCTTCTGACTTCAACGTCAACTTGGCGCTTTATTTCTTCTTCTGCCATTCGCTTTTTCTCGTCTTCGATACGTTGTATCCGGTCATCTTCCAGAGATTGCATGTTTGCGGTTGCTTGCACCTCATCCAGCTTTTCCTGAGCTAGCGATGTAACTTCGAATATGATTTCTTCGCGACCGTTGGACCGCTGGTGTATGGTTTTGATATCGTCTTGCAGCGCTGTTAAATAGCTCCCAAGGACGTTTTTCACGTTCTCAAACTTGATAATGGGTGGCTGTTGGGGGTAGTTTGCTGGCAACGTTATATCCAAGGTCATGGACGATTCGGCGGGCTCCTGGTTTGTGGATCTGAGCGAGATCTGAAACTGGATCAGAGGCCGTCTGTCCCAAGAAGACTTGGCAGTCGTCTTGTTCACAAAATCGTCCATATATATGCATCTTATCGCCTCCAATTCGTTCTTCTGTATTTCATAGTCTTGGTCCAAGCTCAAATTTCCTTTTGGCATTGTTTGGTGTAGAGGAGCGGCACAATTTCATCAAAATCACACCTGCGCAGTATAACGCACTTGACAAACTTTTGGCGGGGGTCCTGGGCTGCCGTTCGTTGCACAATGACCAGCAAGTGAGCGGCTTGTTTGTTGATTTCTGTGAAGATCTGCAATGTGTTCTTCAAAACTAAATCCCTAGCATAAACAGTACTGTCTTACGAACATATACATACGTATACCCACTGTACATACAAAAGACGACGGTCTAACAGATCATTCGTTTAGTTCGCTGTGAATGGTGCGGCTTCCTCATCGACAACTCTGTCTAGAACATTTTGCGAAAGTTCAACATCGCTATCGTCAAGAAGGGGTTTAAAAGACAGTTCGTTCGATAGAGCTGGGAAGTTGGCGAAATACACTTTGTAGGCGATGTACATTCCGATGCAACTGCCAAGAATTACGTCGATGAAATGGTGTCTGTAGTCTTCAGTTCTGGAGATAGCGATGGTTGCAGCGCCAATGGCGGGCAAAGAAGCCACGGTTCTTCTCATCTGGCTGACACCGGGGTTTTCGACCAGTAGCTGGCCTGCTAGCCACAACGAGAGATACCCAAGCCCGGCGAAGCTCTCACTGGAGTGGCCACTGGGCGTGGAGCGGAACCCGTCCATCAGACGGCCCAGATTTTTGCTAGTGCATACTTCCGACGCGGTGACCAGCACGTCTAGGGGTGTGCCTTCCTTGGGCATGCACCGTGCCAGAAAGTCCGGACGAGGCCTCCCAATCCAGTTTTTGAGGAAATCCGTAAGCAGATTTGTGGCCGTCCACGACAAAACGAGCCCCAGCAACGAGATGTACATCAAATACGTCCGGTGCTTTGGGTCGCCCATGAGCATTGAAATCGCCACAATCGTGACCACTGGCACCACCATACTGTACATAAACAGCGCTGTGTTGCCCACTCTCTGTGTGGCAGCGTGTGGGTGCGACAGTGTGGGGTCGCTCAGGTAAAACTGCCGTTCGAATGGTTTTGCATAGTAGATAGGGATGTTAATAACGTAAAACAGCACGCAAAGTGCAACATCCGCCACTTTCCATTTCTTCAGTACCGCATGGTTCGAAATACGGTTCATGCCGAGACCGAGTCGGTTCACAGCCATCTTTAGCGAGTTTTTATAGACTTTTTGTCTTAGTTTCTCATCTTTTATATATATTTGAGTTTAAACCTATTCTATATTTTATTCTGTAAATATTTAACTTTAACGGAATTCATCCTTATCGTTCACCACTTTTTAACCATCAGGGTGAGTAACGCGCTGAAAGTAGAAGTATAAACACGATTTCGAGAGTATTTAGCGGGCTACTCAAGAAACTGGGATTATCGGTTATATTTTGACACATTCGGGGGTTCAAGAGGGCTTTATTTGGGAGCTTTTGCTGATTTGTGAGTTTAAATAACGGCGGCTAAAATAATATATAGTCTCGTTGCGAATTGCGAAGAAAAACGAAGTCCTGGCGATTGATTTTGGACGACGCTTTGAAGTTGCTGATTTTACATTCACTAGAGGGCCGCACATCTTGAACATGTCGAACTTTTTTCGCGACAATGCCCACGGTTTCAAACCGCGGTCGAATATATTCACGAAATTGCGAAATAAGGATTCAGATCAAGACAGCGACCTCAGCTCCGACAATACCATGTCGGTGCACGATTGGGGCGCAGTGGGTGAAAAACGGTCTAGGCTGGACCCGCATGATTCCCGTTTTCTCACAAATGAAACCAGCATCTCGCTGGTAAAAGAAAGCACGCCCATAGCGAAACATAGAGGCGCTCACGCTCCTCCGCGGCTTAAATGGCAAGAAGAAGAACTGGAGATCACCGAGGTCAGAAGTGTCGGTCAAGATCATCGCCCTGAAGTCAAAAACTCTGACGACTCTAACACAGCTACTACCACAAACGACGTACTTCTCGAGGCCTTCACAAACACGCAAAAAATATGTTCCAATCTAAAGCAGGAGCTGCAGCGCGCGAAAGCAGAAAGCCAGCAGCAAAATGACACCATCAACTTCTACAAGTCCGAATTGGGCAAGCTAGAGGGCAAAATGGGAGGACATAAGCAGATGCTGAATGCGCTGGAGACGAGGTCTTCTGAACTCGAAAGCCAAAGGAAAATCAGAGGAGAGCAGCTCACAGCTCTACGCGGGGAGTACGATGCCCTTAAGGAGCGAGTCCGTATTCACATTAAAGACAGTGATCTTATTCGAAAACAGCTTGAAGAATTCCGCCAACAACATGACCAGTGTGACACGAACATGTCGAGGAAAACGGAAGAATTGGAACACCTGAAGAGAGAGCTCGCCGACACGGCCAGTGTACTTAGTGAAGAAAAACTGAGGAATGGGGATCTCATGCATGAGATGAAAAAAATGAGGGAGCAATCCGCCAGTCTCATGGAAGACGTGCTCAAAAGAATGGAGTCGAGCATCAAAAAAGAATTATCTACGCTCGAGAAGTGCGTCAAAGCAAGACCCACCAAAAGCTCGCAATCGGTGCAGGAACTTCAACAGGTTCGCGAAGCATTACAATCTGCCATAACGCTGCAGCTTAAAGAGTATTATTTAAAGCATATCGGGAAACCCTTCAAATTCAAAACGTTATGTCATTCAATGGTCGGCTAACATAGTAAACACAGGGAAAGCAAAAACATCAGTGAGAGAGTCCAACATTGCCTCCGTGGTGAACTCAGCAGTCTAGAAGGGGATCTGAATGAACGGCTCGCAGTTAATTTCAAAGAGTTTACGCGAGAAGTTTCGAGCCTTAGTCGGATTGGGGATGGCATTACTAACTTATCCAGCAAACTGCAGGAAATCAAAAATTGTGAATCGAGTAAAATTCCAAAAGAGTCCATATTCGCTCTTCAAACTTCTGTCAACGATGTTCAGAGCTCGCTAGATTCTATCAAAGTTAGCCTCCAGGATTATAAGAGTCAGATCGATTTCATCGGCAGCTATGAACACAAAATAGATGGTCTGCACGAGCGCTTACAAACTGTTGCATTACAGAAAAGTGAAGCGGTTGCATTGTTGAAAACTAGAGACACGGAGGTCGAAGATCTTAGCAACCAAGTACTTCACAAAAACAATGCTATCGTAAAGCTCAATGATGAAGAAAAGGAGCTCAGAGTTTTATCAACACGCCTCGAACAAACGTTGGAGGCCAAAAATAAGGAACTACTGAAGATCACAGAAGAGCTTCAGATGAGTAGGGCTGATTGCGAAAATAAACTCGCTGCACAAAATGAAATTCTAGTTTTGATGAGGAGCCAATGCGACCGTCTGCAAGGCGACGTTGATGAGATTAATCGCAGTAAAAGTGAAGCCGAGCGAGAAAAGATGAGCGCCAAAAACAAAGCCAAGGAAATCAATGAGCAAGTTCAAAATCTCAATGTCGAGGTCATACAGCTAAAAGCAAAGGAGTTGGAGCTCGATGAAGAGAACAGAAGACTGAGGAGCACAGTCGAGCAGTTTAATCTAGAGGCTCGTGAGAACGCTGATCAAGTTCGGGAGTACAAACGGCGTGTAGCGGTACTTGAGAACGACAACACCTCGAAAGCAAACGATGCTCTTGAAAATCAGGATAAGATCGCGCTTTTGGAGCACCAGCTCCAAAACACGCGTAAACAGGTTCAGGGCTTGAAAGACCAGCGACACAAAGTACCGCAGGTCAAAAAGAACTCGGTAGTCCAACATCAACAGCACCAGAAACTCCGATCTCCGGATGTGGAACAGCCATCGATATCGGAAGCGGTCACAGTGGCAGCGCCCACTCCAGCAATGCCAACGTTTCGGCCAAAGTCAGCGGGGAATGATGTGTTTGACCTTTCTTCTTCGCCCAATGACGACCTTGAGATGACCAACCCATCACCGGCTGCCACGAAAGCTCTCAAATCACGCACGTCAACTCTGTTAGGTAAAGCGCTGACATCAACAAAGAAAAAAGTGCTGTTGCTAGAGGAATCTGAGGGCGTGGAGGTCAAACATCGCGGCCGCAAAAAACGCAAGGTCTGAGAGCAGCGCTGAGGATGTCTTTGCGACTTAGTGCGCCCGCTGAACGACTGAGCTGCCTTCACTTCAACTCCTCAATCTTTTGCTCAAGTTGCTTAAGATCTAGTCGATGGAACACTTTTGAAACTGTGTCCGGTTTCTGTGTGTTTTCAACATGCAGCACTGGGACGTCCATGCAGTATTTGTTCCACCACTCTTTGTTTTGAGGCTCGTCTATGTCGACTAGAGCGAGCTGTAAACCATTAAATCGCTGTTTATTATTAACGACCAGAATAGCGACTTCTTTAGCTTTGTCACAGAGACCGCAGTTGTTCTTCGAAAACAGCGTCAGACGTATGCTCGAGCAATTGGCTAAGCGGGCGGCCGAATGAAAGTGACGTATCATTTGCAGACTGAAGACTGGTGTAGATTGGTAGTGCTCAAATAGTATCGGTGATCCAACATCATTTCGCTGGCTCGAAATGCTAGTGTCCGAAAGTCACGTCTACTTACAACCCAATGTAAACTAATTTTTTCTGCAACGCCCCCAGATAACGGTCCTATAGTGTAGTGGTTATCACTTTCGGTTTTGATCCGGACAACCCCGGTTCGAATCCGGGTAGGACCTCTAATGAGAAGTTTCATTTTTTTCCATAAAATGATATTAGTGACACTATAATACTAGTCCTTAAGTTTTCATCTACATATTTCCACGCCAAAACCAAAGCCACTACTCAAGGAACCCATCCATAATTACTTCTTTATCAAACGATTTGACTCTTAATTCAATGATTAATTGTTCGCTCTAACGTGAGCTAGTTTTATTATAAAACAACCAAGCCAAACTTAAAAATTTACACGACAGATTCACAAGTCCAAGACCTGAACAGAACATAAAAACTCTCCTAAAATTAATTATTGGTGTCATTCCAGAGCATACAACTCACCACACAACTCGACAACGCCATGACACTGACTACTAACCGTCTGGTAAGATTGGGTCATCGTGAACGATCGACGTGTTGGCCCCATATATGTTTTTTGCTATATAACGTGTGTCTGGAAAACCAGACTATATAAAGGTCTGTCTTGAGAACCACTGTCAAAGTAATTTGAGCATCATCAACAATCGCAGCTTTCATTCCACACTCGCATTGAGTACTTAACGAGAAGCTATTAGGCATAAGAACATTCAAGACACACACTTTTTACCTTGAATCGGTCTTGAAATCAACTGTGATCCCTAAAGACTGTGCTATCCCCATATTTTATACACACACCACCCATTAAAGCAGACAAGCTGAGAAATGGCATTGACGAGAGAACAATTGAAAGATATCGAAACTAAATTGGTCGAGCTGGCCGCCAAAGAAGTGGGCCCACTGCTCAAGGAAAAAGCCGGAACTCAATTTGAAGCTTACGACGATAAAGCAAACCAAGTTGACCTCGTCACTGCTGTAGACAAAAAAGTCGAATCGATCATCAATGAGGCGCTCACAAAACTGTATCCTGACTTCAGATTTGTCGGAGAAGAAACGTACCGTCCCGGCGACACGGAGATTGGCAACGAGCCAACGTTTATCGTCGATCCTATTGACGGCACGACAAACTTCATTCACGGCTACCCTTACAGCTGCACATCGATAGGGCTTGTAGAAAACGGTGTGCCGGTGTGTGGCGTTGTGTTCAACCCACATCTGGACCAGATGTACCATGCCTCTGCTGGAAACGGTGCGTTTTTGAACGGCAAGCCCATCAAAGTTGCAGAGCGGGACTTGAAGCTCCAGAAATCGGTCATTGCCCTTGAATCCGGGTCCGAGCGTTCGTCGGGTTCTTCTGGCGACGACAACTTCGATATCAAGCAGGCAACCTACAGAAACCTGTTGAGCGACCAAGGTGCCTACATCCACGGCAGCAGAAGCTGCGGCAGTGCAGCCATGAACATGTGCATGGTGGCTACAGGAATGCTGGACGCCTACTGGGAAGGTGGCTGTTGGGCCTGGGATGTGTGTGCTGGATGGTGTATTCTGACGGAGGCCGGTGGTGTCGTTGTGGGAGGCAACCCTAACGAGTGGAAAGTCCCTGTGGACGACCGTTGCTATCTTGCTGTGAGAGGTGGCTGCTCGCATCCGTCACAAAAGTCGTTTGTAGAGGGATTCTGGTCTCATGTTGCTGGCAAACTAAAGTACCATTGGTGAGTTGCTCAAGAAGCTAGGGTTTGAAAAAGTGCAAGCAACGCGTCGCTGTAACTCACATGCCCTTGTCTTGATATGTCTCCAAATAATCCAACTATGATTCATGTAATCCGAGAAGAGAAAAATGACATTCCGGCTTGGAGAACAAGCGTGGAGTAGCCAAGTTGATCCTACCAAAATATAGGAACGACAAGACAACGAAAAAAAAGCCCCAAAAACCTGATAATTACAGTGAAACTCTGGGGCTACGAAACCAGCACGATCATGGACGGACACGGTGGGATACCAAGTCTCAAGGACGCTGCTGTTGAGGAGAACTGTGGACAATTTATAAAGATGTGTATGTCGTTCACGGTGATCAATATTATACTAACCATCGAGAAATCCGAATTCGACACAACTCATCGATGATGTTGATCTCAGCATTACCACCCTACTGTAGCTGAACTAGGATAGTCTGGGCTTTTGATGAGCCAAGCGGTCGACAACTTCGATCCAGATGCAGATTCTGCACTTTCAGCGGTAAGTCGTAGCGTTGTGCGCCACATCTTGGCGCTGTGCGAAAGTCAGTCCAATATGATCGCTAAAACAAGACTGGCCAACATAATACGCGACGTGGCCAAGAAAGAGACCATTCACAGGGCTCAGTTCTCTAAAGTGTACCAGAGTGTCAACAAAATCCTCATTGAGACTTTTGGCTACCAACTGGTTGGATTGCAGCCGAAAAACTCGCCCGCACATTTAGCAGCGGACAAAGTGCAAACTTTCATGCTTGTGACAGCAGTTGCAGAGCCACCAGCCGCGTACCAGGCGCTACTGGTGCAAGAAGCGAGTGACATGTATGGCTCTCGCGTCATGGACGATCATTATGTCGGTAACGAGCTGCAGGCGCTGTCAGAGACGAACGCCCAACGGTCTGTCTCTACGGACCGCAACTTGGCCATGCAGGGACTCACGCTGCTTGTGCTGATGCTGGTGCTGCTGTCCAAGAACAATCTGCTCTTGCAAGAGCTGATTGAGGGTTTGGCGTCGTTTGGCGTCCCGAACGATGGCCGCCGCATTCCCGTGGTTGACCTTACACTTGAAGACTTCCTGAAACATCTCGTGAAGCGCGAGTATCTGCACCGGGTGGAAGAGAACACCGCTGATGGCATGGCCGATGTCATTTTGTTCAGAGTCGGACGCAAAGCTCAGGTCGAGTTCGATAAGTCCGCACTCATAGAAACGTGTCGGGAAATCATGCAGCTCTCACCAGAACAAACAGACCGGCTGAAGCTCTCCATCGACCTCAATGTTGGCGACGCCTACAAGACTCATGTGAGCTAGTGTTGCACCTTCTCCGTCGCTCCTCCGTCGCTTCTCCGTCCGAGATGATCACATCGCTTACGTAACTGTAAGCTCGCTCGTTCTAGAGGTCGCGTGATCCCTCGGTCCCATATTATTTTCACCCAATTTCTCGTTCTCCCGTATACGACACGGAATTCGTACTACTTGTATTGATTTCGAGAAATTTCAACAACTTGGAAATAAAGCATTGTTCCTCCAGTTCAGTGAAGAAATCCATACTGGCACTGAATTCTGTCAATCGTAAGTGCTGAAATCGGCAAAGTTTGATCTTTTGGCTCTAAAACAAAAAAAAATCGTTCTAAAAGAACGCATTTTGATCGAATCACAGCTTCGCAGTGAACAGCTGCATTTTGAACACCTGCAGATATCATTGTGAGTTTGACATTACAAAGGTCACCTTTTAGCGTATTCCATCTGGTTCGTGCTCTCGAGAAACGACCAAAAAAACACTGCCACTTTTCCTTTTCTCTAAATCATGCCTCTGGGTTTGGATACGTTGGACTTCGCGGTTCTTTGTGGACTGGCTCTTGCCGTGTGCGCCTACTTCGGCAAAGACAAGCTGAAAGAAATCCTGGCATCGAACAACGACGCCATCAAGGTAAGCAACGACTCACGAGACATTGTGGAGACGTTGCGCAACAACGACAAAAACTACTTGGTGCTTTACGGCTCGCAAACAGGCACGGCCGAAGACTACGCCAGAAAATTCGCCAAAGAGCTGGTGGCCAAGTTCTCGCTTCGAGTCATGTGTGCAGACGTGGAGAGCTACGACCTCCAGAACCTGAATGAATTGCCCAGCAACGTGGTGGTTTCGATCTTTCTTTCGACCTACGGCGAAGGAGACTTCCCAGACGGAGCTGTCCCCTTTGAAGACTACCTAACCAACCTCAGCAGTGGGGACCTCGAAAACGTGCGCTACACGCTATTCGGGCTCGGCAACTCCACTTACGAGTTTTTCAACGGTGCTGCCAAAAAGGCTAACAAGCTCTTGTCCGAAGCAGGTGCCACTCTGCTCGGCAAATGCGGTGAGGCTGACGATGGTGCTGGCACCACTGATGAGGACTACATGGCGTGGAAAGAAACTGTGACAGACCTATTGAAGTCGGAACTTGCCCTCGACGAACACGAACAAAAGTTTCAGCCTAACTTCAAATACTCAGTTCTTGAGACCTCCAAGACAGATCCAGCTGTTTCTTTGGGAGAACCAACCTCGCAATATCTACCAAGTCAGCAGCTGACTTTCAGTCCTGATGGGAGACAAACCGGGCCATTCGACGCAACGCATCCCTTCGTCGCCCCGATCGTCAAGTCCAAAGAGTTGTTCCAGTGCGGTGAGCGTAACTGTATCCATGCCGAATTCGACGTTACGGGCTCAAACCTGAAGTACTCGACAGGAGACCATTTGGCTTTATGGCCATCGAACTCCGATGAAAAAGTTGAGAAGTTTTTGAAATGTTTCGGTTTGAATCCCGAGACCGTGTTTGAATTGAAGCCACTCGATTCCACCATCAAGAACCCATTCCCATTGCCTACAACTATTGGTGCCGCCGTGAGACACTATTTGGAAATAACAGGACCCATTTCCAGACAATTGTTTAGCTCCATCATGCAGTTTGCTCCTACTGACGAATTGAAGGAGCGCCTCAACGACCTATCGAAGGACAAAGACGAATTTGCCAAAGAGATTACTGTTAAATACCTAAATTTGGCAGACGCTCTATTGTACCTGTCGGACGGTGCGAAGTGGGACACTGTTCCCTGGAACTTTTTGGTTGAATCCGTCCCACATTTGCAACCTCGTTACTATTCCATATCATCTTCGTCTTCGAGCGAAAAACAAACCATTCACATCACGGCGATTGTCGAGAACATGCCCAACCCTGTTTCGGAAAAGGCACCTCCCGTCACTGGTGTTGCCACCAACCTGTTAAGACACATTCAGCAATCTCAAAACAAGGAAGACATTTCGGCATCTACACTGCCGGTCCACTACGACTTATCCGGTCCTCGTGACTTATTCAAATCTTACAAGCTACCGATCCACGTCAGACGCTCTACATTTCGTCTGCCTTCGAATCCTGCTACTCCAGTCATTATGGTCGGACCAGGTACTGGTGTAGCACCATTCCGTGGTTTCATCAGAGATCGTACCAAGTTTGTCGAACTGCAGCCTAACGTCTCTTTGGGTAAGCACTTGCTATTTTATGGCTCGCGAGATGAGAGGGATTTCCTATATCAAGAGGAATGGCCTGAATATAGCAAAAAATTAGAAGGTGCTTTCGAAATGGTGGTTGCGCATTCCAGATTGCCAAACAAGCCTCGCTCCTACGTTCAACACAAATTGATTGAAAGAGAAGACGAAATTTTCAAGCTCATTGCCAATGAAGGAGCTTTCATTTATGTCTGTGGTGATGCCAAGGGCATGGCTCAAGGTGTGCATTCCGCTTTCGTCACGATTTTGAGCAGAGGTAAGAAATGTACAGAGAAAGAGGCTGCTGAAATGATCAAGATGTTTAAGTCTAGTGGCAAATACCAGGAAGATGTCTGGTAACTTTCATGATGCTATACAATTGCTAATGAACGTTCTTTTCCCATTTCACCTCTGAACTATGTTTTTCCAAGGTTTAGCCTAATCTATAGCTGGTACATCCCACCTTGTATAAACTCAAAATATAGAGATTCAAACTAGAACCTGGCAAAATGTCCAAGGTACTGATTGAGAACGCATTTGCCACCTTTCGATGCTTAAAAGGGACATTGGACTTTGTGGCGCACAGGAGATTTTGGGCTTCCAGCCGTCAAAACTTTCAAATCAACCAAACTGCCCTTGACAAGCTTTATCCAAGGCAGGCAAAAAGTCTGAAGGTATCTTCAAATCCTGCTAAAAACCTGAGAAGGCGATCTGCTCCTCTTAGTTCACATTCAAATGATGGGAATTTCAAGCTGTCAGACGGAATCTTGAGCACAAGAGAATGTACCACTACAACTACCAGTGAATTCTATGATTTGGAAAGGGCGATCAGCTTACTTAGCAGCTCAGGCTACCACCCTGTTACCTTAGTTCCAGATGAAATTGTCACATTCAAGTACCTCTACAATGGCTTCAGGTCGGATATCATGGTTTTGGGCAATTGTGGGACGGTCGTTGCGTGGGGTCTAGAGGAAACGCTAGTTATGAAGAACATTTTGCCCTTGATACGGGACGCTAGGATCAATGCTCTGCCTGAACCTCAATTTGAAAGTGAAGACCTCGATTACATAGAGATTGAGTCACCACTAGATCTCGAGAAAGTGCAGAGCCTAACGAGTAAGTCTGCAGAAGAGAGTTTTATAGATGGGGATCTCATCATTGTAAACAATCTTGACCCGGCCATGGGTCTTCTCGACAAAGCTGCATTCTCGAGCGGTATGTCGCGAAGCACTAGGCTCGCGGTTCTGGAGGAACTTTTGAAGACCCATATTGATAAGTCTAGGAAGTTCACTGAGCTACTATCGACGGGGAAGAAGCTCAATCTTACCGAGCCAGAAGTGCTCAAGTCTACGGGGAGTCTGTTTCTTATCAGAGGCAAGCTTAATCTCTACTCGGAACTTATCGAGACCCCAGATTTGTACTGGAGCGAGCCACGACTGGAAAGAATCTACAAACAGATGTCCAGAAGTCTTGACATCCAGCCAAGAATCAGCATTCTAAACTCTAAGCTCGATTTTGCGGCCGAGGAATCCAGAGCGTTCATGGCAGTACTCAGCGAACGGAAAAGCACGTATCTCGAGTGGATTATCATATATTTGATCACTATTGAAGTGTGTTTTGAGTTACACCACTACTATGAGCGCTACTGGCTTGATAGACCTCGTGAGACCTGAGAAATCCCTCCAGTTGCCCATAATGCACTAGGATTTTACCGAAATAGACGATTCGTGATCTCCAGTTTCACGCCTGCAGCTGTGTTGTTGACCACTCGAATCCCAGTCAAATCTGGAACCACGTAATCAGCGCCAGCTTCAAAGAGCTTTTCCTTGTCGTACGATGAGGTGATCCCGACTGTGATTGCACCTATGCGTTTTCCGGCCATTATGCCAACTGGAGCGTCTTCGAATACGACGTTCCTGACCATCGCAGGATCCTTCGACCAGATCTCGCCGAGCTGTTTGGAGGCCATTGCATAGCCTTGTGGGTCGGGTTTTCCCTTGACCACGTCAAATCCGGTGACGAAAACCCTGGGTGGACCGATGTCTTTAAGGATGTTGTCGAACCATGCACGAGCCAGATACGCTCCCGACGTCACGATTGCCCAATTGCGTTCTTCGAGCTGTTTTCCGTTACTGAGATCCAGCGATTGCAGCAATTCTGCTGCTCCAGCTATGAGACTGACCGACTCGCAATAGTCTCGTGCGATGGACAGTTCCATTTGCTCCACAGCACCATTTAGATCTCCGTGCAACTGTGGGAAAAATCGCTGGATTACTTCTTGAGTTCTTGTCCCATGAGAATGTTTGAATAGCTCGTCAGGGTCTACACCGTGCTTCAGAGATAACTTGGTCCACGCTTTCTCCACAGCCTCTGTAGTTTTGATGATTGTGCCGTCCAAGTCGAATAAACAAAAGTCGACATCTATCAATACCTTGCCCTTCGAGTTCATTTGAGATGATTTTAAGTAGATGATCGATGTAGTCTATATAGCTATACGAAGCTTTTAAAATCCTGATTTCCGGCTTAATCTTGATTTACTCGAGTCTATTCTCATTTATATCGTTATTTCAAATAGCTTATTGGTTGCATCTTTGATTCCCCTGATCATCATGACAAGCTGGTCCATCCGATAGACACTGACTGTGCTTGTCTTTTCCACAACCGGTAAATGCCGTGGGGAACGGAAATCTGATCGTTGTTGAAATGAAAACACGAGGCATCTCGTCTTGTTCGACGGCTAGCGATCATCCATCAAGACCGTTCTCTAAACTGGCATTGTCTTCTGTTTCTTTGGAAGGAATGATACCCTGTCAAACGTGACTACATTCTATATTAGCTTGAGGTTCTCTAGAGATTGGGTTTCTCCGGAGCTTCAAATTCTAACCCAAAGTGTGGAATGGCGGACAATCTTCCCTGTGACTTGCTCTTCTGACACCAGTATCTGGTGACACTTTATATACAGAATTGTGGGAAACCGAGTGTGGTTCTTGCAGTGTCTCTTGAGAGTGATTGAAAAGTCGTGGTCGCGATAAAACGGTCAAGCCTGGGCCAGCAATATTGCATTTAGGTAGATTTGGTTGCTGTCGACAGGCAAACGATTAACGCACCGCAGCAGTCCAAGGTGTCCGTGCTGTCCGCTTCCAAATTGTAATTCCTTCGGTATGCATTGCATTGTGATCGTTATAAGCTTTCAGCTTCTGGTTTGGTCAGTCAAAATGATTATTATTGACGATTCCAAGCCTTACCGTCATTTCCATGGAAGATGAGCTGTCTTCTCACATGGCACAGTTTCTGATGACGACTTGCACTGCAAAATCCCCGGGCTTTTAGGAAACTCTGGCGTTCTCGGAGCTGAGCATAGCAGAGTGCTGGTTTCTCGACTCGATGTCTTTTTTCAACACTTCGGTGATCTTGTCAGTCAGTTTCTCGGTGATCTTGAATGCCTTATGACAGCAGTCCATCAGTGTCAAAGCGTCCATGGGTAGCCCGCCTGCCTTCGAGACCTGCACAACTTCACGATTCTTGTTCAAAGTAACGGTAAGCGTCCCGTCTCTCAGCAATTCCTCCTTGAGCGTGGCGTCTATCAGACATATCTCGTTGTTGGACTCTCCCTTGATGTTTTCCTCTGCGTCCTCCGGATTGAAAAACGAGAATGTCACACAGATGGGTATGTGCAAGACGCCCAGAGGCACCGGTTCCCGCTCCTCTACCGGATGAATTGTTACCTGTTCTCCAGAAACTGTCACGTCAGGCTTCCGGAAATGCAATAGACCGCACATGACAGCTATGCAGCTGACGTCTATAAACCCACCGTCGCAGTCCAAAAAGTGGACGTCTGCTCTGACAGCCCAGCACTTGCTGCCTGCCACAATACACAGTCCTTCCACATCTAGTGCTCCAGATCTTCTAACTGCTTTTTCAATGATTCTCGAGCACAAAACCTCATCCTCACCGGTGTTGTTGCCGTTCTCGAATTGTGCGCCTGCCATGGGCGAAGTTTCCGTGGAAATATAGAAGAGACCTTCAAAAGGACGATCCTCGTATGGCTGGGCAATGCTGCAGCTGATGCGACAGTGCACCTTGGTTTTACCCATCGTAACCGTCACATCTCCGTAGTCTTTGCCAAAGGTGATGCCCACATCTCGAATTTCTTCGAATTTTCTCAAATCTGGGCGCAATCCCTGCCTGAGAGCCTCTATCAGAAACTTGGACTCTGAAGTTGATATTTCAATATCTTTTGCCATCTGGAAGACGTTATAGGTGGGGCTAGGTGTCGATAACTACACCATATGCTCAGGATTAGCAGATTAGCCAGCTTCCTCTATACTAATTTTTCAGCTTTCGTGGGAAGTGCTTGATATTTTGAGGTCATGTGCTCATGAGTAGCTCGATATGGCCAGTAACGGTCAGTCTTGGCCTTGCGCTCAGTTTATCTAGCTTCTGGTCCCTTTGGTCGCACTTTGTAAGGCAATCGATTGACTAGTTGGCACTTTTTTTTTGAAGAATCCATCAATAGCACCTTTCCCAGTCTTGATTTTGTTAGTTTTGACCACTTTGGTGACTTTCCTGACAATTGGCTTTTTAGTGGGCCCATTGCCAATACCAACTTTCATGGCTGACTCGATTAGAAGCTCCTGTTCTTTCTGTCGGTGATTTTCCTCTTCTTGGTATCTTTTATACTGTCTGAACGCTTCTGCAAGATTCAAATTCTCGCCCTCGTGCTGAATAAGATTGTGATAGGCCTGGCGTGGCACTAGAGAGATGAGCAGATTGCACGCGAATACAGCTTTGAAATGGGGTTGCATTTCCTCGGGAAGATTCCTGGGGATTGGCACGCTTTCGGGAAATGAGCTTATAATTTTACCAACCTTGGTCGCCAGCCATTGTGTGATTTTGACGGGGCTGGTCTTGAAGTAAAGATCGCCACCTTCTTCCACACATTCACTCAGTTGCTCCAGTGCTGTTCTCAGAGTTTCAGCGGGTACTTCAGACCAATTGGGACTATGATGGTCGATCAGGTCTCCAAGGAAGTCACGCGTCATGAGGAACCGGTTTTCCAGCGACACCGATGGCGCAGCTGGATCTGCCTGTTGGTACTGGTTCTCGTCCTTACTCTTGAGATCCGCGAATAATGCGCCACACAGACTAAAGCCCAGATCGTATGGCGTGGAAAACTCAAAGGAGCCTTTACTCAAGAGCCATCCATCTTGTCGATCGGTGTTATTGACCAAAATTCCTGACTTTAAGGGTTCTTCCCGGGACGTGTAGTGGTAGCTTTCGTTGGCAGAGTCGCGGGCTCTGTTGAACTCGCATCCCTGACTAAAACTTTTCGTTTTGAGTTGAAATACACTCCCATTATGGACAAACACTTTAACGGGCCGTTTGGACTCGATATTGGACGGATTTGGGAGCTCAAAAACCCTCAATTTATCAACTGAACATTTCTTTGGTAGTGCGATAATGAGTTCTGGCACCGCTTTATTCGTAGCCATCGTTATAGAGAGATTTCTTCTCAGCACGTCAATCGATGAGGTTTTGATATTGAAATATCGTTAATGCTAAATTGATATAAGCTTATTCCAAGTAACAATCGTCAACAGTCACCGTGAACTGAGCAAGGAAGAGAGCTTCGAGACCACGCTTCAAATAGCTTTTAGGAATTTCCAAAATTCAAAGAGCGCATTTCTTCGAGTGATTCGTCCTAGCACTTTTTTTGGACTTACTCTTACCCATAAAGCATTTTTATGTCACCTATCGTTTAGGAAAACACAGATTGTATTTAAGCAAGTGCTGATCTGAAAGTTTACACCAGGAGAACAAATTCTTCACGTTCACAATCCAGGCTGCTACCGCAATGTCTTCTTATATGCTTAAAGTGTTGTTCACTGTTCTTGCACTACTCACAGTGTCGGCTATGTTAGCTGTGAAAGTGATTCTGGAAACAAAACGAGATCTGCATCCTATTGCCCTGGCTGAACAGGCAAATATCACATCAACAAGAAAGGAAAGAGAGACTGCAGTGTATCGTAACTTCACCGTCCCGCCCGGTTTTCCACTGACCACGGGAATGGGTCTCAGTCTGGGCTACAGGCTTCGAAACGGGAACTTCGGCGATCTGTGGTCGAGTATCATGGACCTTTCTTCCGAAAACTACGTCGAGCTACAAGGTCGCAAGCATCCGCTAGCTACCATAAATGGCGAAGCTAAACAACTCGTGAAAAGCTTACAACAGGAGTCGTCAGAACCCAAACGCCTGGGCATTTGCGTCCCAGTTTTTGGACGTCCTGGATTTGTTCTAGTCATTGCTGGCCTGATGGGGTCCCTCCAAGAGTTTATTCCATTCTTTTTGCCCAGCGTACCTCGTTCCAAACAAGACCTGCAGATTCTGGCAATAGAGTCGTGGGAAACTTTCCGCCAGATGAACGGCAGCCACGAATGGTACCAGAAAGTGATAGTGTGCGATTCTAAAAAATTCGAAGCTCCTAGCTCCATACCAGAGAACATTGTGACCTTGGAGGAGCTATTAGCCGACGCGGAAGATGATCGTACGTTTAAATACACCCCTCCTCAAGACAATAGCGACGACTTGAAAGTCATGGCTATTAACGTCTCGCCATTTGGAACGGCCAACAGTTTCACTCATATGGCCTTGGTCAGCAGCGTTGCAGCTTTTATCAAGTCGTTCCCCCTGCATAACGAATTGAGCTCCCACGATCACCTCAGCATCATTCTAGAGGATGACTCGGTGCTTCAAGATGCCATTCAGATTCTACCCAAGCTGCTGGCTACGCTACTACATGGGGGTTCAGCCTCCCTTACATCTTCGCATAGCTTCAACACGCTAGAAAAATGCATGAGCAGAAACACCACTCTCCTTCAAATACCAGAGAACTGCTCGCTCCTCGACTCACAGCTCAACTTCCCCTTGACCGTGATACAAAAAGCTCGACTTGCATTGGCCTCAAACTTTCTGAGTGAAGGCGTCTTCACATCGACCGCACTTATGTCCCCAGCGTTCGAAAAGCTGAGGTGCGTTTACCTCGCAAGCAAGGTGAAGAACGTTCGTGCTGTAGCACTTATGGACTTAACCGTAGCTAAACCAACACAAGAGTCGAAAAAGAGGGCACGCTCGACAGAATTTTTGAATCGTATGCGCGCCTTATTGGGCTGTAGGGCGGTGGTTGAGCTTTATTGCCCGTTCGTTGTTCTAGGGCCCGTTGCAAGTACGAATTTCTTTGACTACAGAGTTTTCCCACAGCAAGTGGATGGCAAATTCACTAACTGCGGACCAGTTTGCACGTCGCTGGAAGCTAAGCTTGTAGAGGACGACAATAGTCAGGACTATGACATCTTAAAGCGCCAAGGCATGCTGTGCATAAGAGGCTTTACCATTGGAAAACCTGTAGAATCTGCACATCAAAAGAAAGCGCTGGAGGTTGTTGAAAAATTCGACGGCGGAGAAGGCTGGATGCCCATGCTCGGAGTCTTCTGCTTGTGGGGAAAGGATGGCTGTCTTTATGAGTATAAATAGTCCTCGCGATGCATGTAATCATCATATTCAATGGTATATCAAGTCTACTTCTATCCTTATTTATACTCAAGTCTACCTTTGACGCATTCCCAGAAACGCTTTATGTAGTCTTCTTGTTCCCTCTTGTTCTCACAGCCGCGAACGGCTAAGTACGTTCTGTTATCCACCGCAACTTCCCATTCTCCAGGATTCGCACCAACAACTGTACCGCCTGTCTCTTTTAGAATACACCAACCGGCACAGACGTCCCAGGCGTAGCAGCCGCCATCCCAGTAGCTGTCTAAGTATCCGAGACAAATGTAGGCCATAGTCATCGCACTAGACCCCAGGTTACGGAAACCATGTACAAACCCACCATCGCACGATAGTAAATTCTCATATGTTTGGATTTTGGTCTTGAAATTTGGTCCTTCACGAGCTGAGCCAGGCTGTAAGGCTACTACAGACTTCGCCAAGCTCAATGGTCCCATTGATTGCCTTTTGGACTGGAAGTCAAAGTCTTGCTCGTTTACACGCACACCGTTGCCTTCCGAAGCAGAAACCAGCAAATCCAGATGAGGGTTGTAGATGACACCAACGACTGGTCTCTTGTTGACAGTTAGGCCCAAAGAAGTGCAGCTGAAAGGGAAATCGTGAATGAAGTTCGTGGTGCCGTCGATTGGGTCGATAATAAACGTTGGGTCGTCTGTAATTGTAGTCTGCCCCGGAACATAACTTTCCTCACCAACAAATTTGAATGTTGGATACTTCTGCCTAACCTCCGTCCAGATTAGCTTCTCGACTTGTTTATCAATAGCAGTTACAATGTCCACAGCTCTTGAACCACTTTTAGCGTCATACGTATGCTGAGTTCCGGACTTTGCCTTAATAATGGGACCAACATGCTCTCGAGCTAGAGAGCATAAGAACTGCTCGATAGCGAGCATCTCTGGCAAGGAAATGGGCATTATGATGTTCTTCAGTGAACGTTTTATAAAGGCTCTTTCAACCTGTGAATTATGAGTTGACCTTAACAATGATATATTTATAAGACATGTAAGATACCTTTTCTCGCCAACAGCAAGCAACAACAAGTTTCGAGAAATTCAATGGCTGACAGATCGTATAGAGAATAAAATTTTAATTAAACTAACGTTACTTGTACTTTTTGACAGTTTTGGAGCGCACAGAGTGTTTTAGGCAGCCTTGTCATAGCCATGCTCTTTCAAATACTTGGCGACATGATCGCGGTCTCTCTGCACCCATTGGGCCTTTGAGGTGATGGTGTCTAGAGCTTGTGCTAGTCCCTGGTCGAATCCTTTGGTTGATCTCTTGCTGAAAAACCTTTGGACCTCTTCAATGGCCTCGAAAGAGGTGAATCCAGAGCATCCCAATGCAACAACAGACCCTAGCATGGACAGTCCGGGAGGCAATCTTTTAGTGAGCTCATCCCAATTTTGGGTGACCCAGACCCACAAAGCCTTCACACCAGCTGCGTGCATACGCATGCCCTGCATAGGAATATAGATGTCTTGAAGCAATACTGTCCCATCTAGCAAATAATCTAGAGTTCTTTGGGTTAGCTTGGCGTCTTCAAATCTACCTAGGCTTCGTAGTGCTGCAAGTTTCTCATCCGTGTTAACAGGGTTTTGATAAATGCCGAACATTTTCTCGTAATACTCTTCGCCACCTTTCTTGGCCGCAGTGCTGAAAACAGATGGTTTTAATTGAGCTGGAATGGCATTCTTGTCCCCAGCAACATACTTGTCAAACATCTCTAAAGAGGCCGACACAACAGAAGGAATCTTGGCGGCGCTTGCAGTAGAGAACATTTCGACCTTCATACGTTGAACGGAATAGGAGTCTGATTTGTGAATCGACCAGCCCAGTTCGTCGATTTTGTCAGAAACAAGCTTTCTGGTAAACTCGTTCAAAGCGTCGTTAACTTCCTGAGACTCAAACAGCCATGTAGCTCTCAAAGAGTACAGACTTTTGATCATCTGTTCCCAGACAACAAAAGAGTTTTCACTTCTCCAGTTGGAGATGAGCTCCAAGAAATTTGTAGTGGAGGTGTAGCCGGAGGTGGAAAGAGCCTTGGCATCTGCAACAAGACCAGTCCGATCTTCAACAGAGAGCTGGTCGGCCTGTTTGGATAGCTTGGCCCATCTCTCGTCCGTGTAAGATGTGATGAAAATACCGGCTTGGTCGGCATTCACCTTGAAGAAGTCTGCTTCCTTCAAAGTAAAAGTTGCCGACCTATCATTGAGAACCAACGAGTGGTCGACACCTTGGTCGGTCTTCAAAGCCAAGAATACTGGGAATAGTGTCTTGTCTTCCTCAGGCTTAACATCCTTGGTGGTGAGGTAACGGTTTTGAGTGAAAGTGACTTTATTGCCACTTTCCTCGACGGACACCACGGGAAACCCTACCTTCTTGGTCCAAATATCCATGACCTTACGCACATCTTTACCAGAAGCTTTGGACAAAGCATCCCATAAGTCTTCTGTCTTGGCGTTGCCGTACTTGAATTTGGTCAAGTAGTCAGAGACACCTTTGATAAAGACGTCTTCTCCCAACCAAACGGATATCATTCTCAAGAGAGATGAACCCTTGGAATAGGAAATGGCGTCGAAAATTTGATTGATCTCGTCCGCTCTTTTAACGGGCACCTCAATTGGGTGCGACGATCTGAGGGAGTCCAGAGCCAGCGCAGATTGCAAAGTGTCAGAGACGTACTGTTCCCAGACTTTCCATTCCGGCTCAAACTCGTTACAAGAGTACCAAGACATCCAAGTGGCAAAACCTTCGTTCAACCACAAGCCTTCCCACCAATCCATGGTGACCAGGTTTCCGAACCATTGGTGGGCAAGTTCGTGTTGGACAACTTCTGCGACTCTCTGAACACGTTGCAAAGTTGAGTTCTCGCGGTCCAAAAGAAGGTCCACGACTCTGTAGGTAATCAGACCCCAGTTTTCCATAGCACCAGCGCTGAACTCGTGGACAGCAACGTTATCCATTTTAGGCAGTGGGTATTGGATGCCAAAGGTGCGTTCGAAAAACGCCAGAGTCTTGGCGGTCAGATCGGCAGCGAACTGGCCGTCGTGTTCCTCACCTGGAGCGGCATACACACGGACAGGAATGCGGAAATGCTTGCTTTCCACATAGTTCAATTCGGCAACGATGAATGCGACTAGATACGTGGACATCTTGGGCGTGGTGTTGAACGTGGTGTATTTCTTGTTGCCCTTTAGGAGCTCTGACTTGACGTCCATGTTCGACAGATGCGTCAAGTGCTGGCTGGAAATAAGGGTGATGGCGAACGTGGCCTTTAGGTTGGGCTCGTCGAAGCAGGGGAACGCTCTTCTGGCGTCTGTGGGCTCCATCTGCGTGGTCGCCATGTACTTGGTGGCCCCGGTCTTCTTGTCGGTGAACTTGGCGCGATAGAACCCTGCCATGTTGTCGTTAAGAGTCCCTGTGAATGACAATTCCAAAGTCACGGTTTTCTTGTCCTTGAGGAAGCCCTTGGGGAACTCCAACGTTGCCACTTGCGCCTCGGTGTCGATGTCCCATTTCACAGCCTTCTGAGTGCCAATTTGGGCCGAGTTGATGTCGATTTCCAAGGTGTTTAGCTGGATAGTGTCCTTGCTGCAGTCGTTTACTTGCAAGTCAATCTTGACATTTCCGTCGAATTTGAATGTGTCGAAGTCAGGTTCAACGCTCAAGTCGTAATGCACTGGCCTGACGTTCGTGGGGAGCACTTCACGGTCGGAAGTTTGACTGGCCATGTCCCGGTTTCTAGTTAGTACGAGTTTCAGCTTGAACAGGTGTGGGAAGACGAAAGAAGGAGCGAGAATCTCTGTGATAAAATTGCCAAACTAAAGGTCGACGATAAAATGCTCAGAGTTTCAGTTGTTTAAGAGCACCTAAGATCAAACAATCAAGATTGGAAAGTTGTTGGTAAAAGGCTAAGATGGCTTTCAACTAGTCGATGTTTTGTATTCCATTGAGTTGCCACCAAAAGGGTCAGATGAGAGCCCTACAGCGGCGAGGCAAACCTGTTGCCACGTGAAAAATCGCGGGCGACGACTGGAGAGGCAAGATCGGCTCACAGCGGGCTCTCCATCACAGCATTGGGGGGGGGGGGGGTCCAATCTGTGTTTATCGCGACTTGGGCAGCTGGGTTTCTTTCAAGGTTTCTTGTGGCATTCGAACGGAGAAAAAACGCGTGTTTTAGCGTGTTGGCGGTTGATACATACGGTCTGGACGCGATTTGGGACTTTATGCGTTCGCATTTGGCACACGGTGGTCTCGTCGACGTTATAAGAGTTCTGGAAATGACAGAGGAGACGTGTCCTTTTAGTTGTGTAGTGATAAAGCCACTTTGAACTGCTATTGACGCTGCTCTACGAAATGGCACGCCGTTTCGACAGAAAGCTCGTGAGAAAGACGACAGCAGTCTTCCCGATGGTCTGCAGATCTGCATGTCTGTAGCCAAGGGTGTGTAGCCAGTGATTGGAAGTGCAAAGACAGTGCTGTTGAGTCAGCGACGCGATAGATGCTCTTATTTACAGCTTAGGCTTTCGATGAGCAATGATAAATGCGAGAATTGAACATCTCGAGAGACACATCCGTGTGTAGTGATTAGAGAATTAAATCGAACGACGGGCAAGCCAAAGACAGTTTCGGGAAACTTATGGGCTCATGGTGGGTGTTTGAATTGGGAGCGATGTGTATTCTGTGATTTCGTTTCCTCGAATGCTTCAAGTTCGAGGTTCCTTCGCGTCCTTCAATCTGCAAAAATATTTATGTATAGTGTGGTGACTCATGAAACCGGGAATATGGTCTTGCTGTATACTTGGAATTTTAACGCGGCTAGTGCTGTATTTTAACGTTCTTTGTCGGCCTTCAAAATTGGAATTTTGTGACTAATAGCTGGTCATTTTCAACCACATAGCGCGAAACCCGTGTCTCGGCCGCCTATCTCCGTGCCACCGAGCTTTCCCAGTATAATAAATTAATTTTATTGCCAAGAGCGAACACTCATGACAAACAAGAAAGAACTGACTTCACAAACACATTGATTGATAAGCAAGCAATGGGCGATGCTATGATCTCGTTTGAACACATGCTTATAAAGGAGACGATTGGCGTCTTTGGGTAATATTTTTCTGTCAGCTCACTCTTCCAAAATCCACACAGCATTGAATATTCAATACAAAGGCATATTTTACTGTCACTGGCATTTCACAAGCACTTTTCCCGAAAACCTGAAAGTTTTACAATTATGGGTGAGATTTGTCCGAAAACTGATCTAGAAAACTCATCTAGCGTTTCTGCTGGGCCATTCCAAGGCCCCGGAAAAGCTAGCTTTTTCGAAGTGACATTGGAAGCAGAAGATTCAGAAAATGTGGAAACTCAAATGTCGCTGTCACGAAAATGGTTCGTATCTATGCTGGTCACACTAACCGCTGCAGACATCACGATGACTTCGAGTTGCTGGTCGTTGGCACAAGGCGATATCAGACGTAGGTTCCATAATATGTCGGAAGAAGTCTCCGTGCTGGGACTCTCACTGTACCTCCTGGGCATGGGTTGTGGGCCGCTGCTTCTGAGCCCGTTAAGCGAGCTGTACGGCAGAAAACTCACGTTTATAGGCTCGCTTTCGATCAGCACCTGCTTTCTGTTTCTCACGACCTGGGGCCGCAACATCCCAGCTTTGCTCATCGGTCGATTTTTGTCGGGCTTCTTTGGCAGTTCGTTCATGAGCGTCGCTGGCGGCGTCATCAGCGACATTTTCTCAAAGAATCAAATCGGGATTCCCATGACTATATACACCACGGCCACTTTCTTGGGGCCTGCACTCGGTCCCGTAATCAGCGGTGCACTTTCAGGTGTTTCTTACCGATGGACATTTGTCGTCATGATCATCGAGTCAGGCGTGTATTTGATTCTGCTGCTTTTAATGTTCAAAGAGACCTACAAGCCGGTTTTATTGGTGACAAAAGCTCGCAGGCTGCGCAAAGAAACTGGCGACGATCGGTATTTTGCACCTCTCGAAGTGATTCGTCGCGAATCTTCTCTCATAAAATCGATCGGATTGTCCATTGGACGCCCTTTCAGCCTGCTGACTCGCGACCCGATGATGGGCGTACTCTGCTTCTACACTGGTCTCATTCTGGCCATCATATACATGTTTTTCGTGGCATTTCCCTACGTCTTCACCACATTGTACCATTTCAATGACGTCGAAGTGGGCATAACGTACCTGGGCATTTTGGTCGGCATTTTCCTGGCAGCTCCCACAAGCCTGCTTTTCCAAAAGAGGTACGAACAAAAGGTGCTGAATAACAACGGCTTACAAGTGCCCGAATTTCGATTCGAGCCTTTGTTTTATGGAGCGTTTTTGGCACCTATGGGGCTCATGATATTTGCCTGGACCAGCTATAGCCATGTATATTGGATCGCGCCCATCATCGGCACCAGCGTTTTTGGGGCAGGCGTTTTCTTCATTTTCACCGGAGTTTTTGGATACACCGTCGATGCTTTCCGATTGTACACGGCTTCTGCGATGGCGTGCAATTCGTTTGTGAGATCCATGATGGGCGGAACTTTTCCTTTGTTCACGCTGCAAATGTATCGCGGCATGGGTATCAACTGGGCTACTTTTCTGCTGGCGATGATCGCTATGACTATGATTCCAGTGCCATTTTTTTTTACCAAGTATGGAGCTTACTTGAGATCCAAAAGTCCCTATGCGTGGGATTAGAGCGTTATTCGAGCACACTTACAACAATGAAGATATCGAGACGCTTGATCGATGCTTGATGTCGAATACTCTGAAATCTGACATCGCTTGAAACAATTTAGCAAGCAATTCTGCTTACAATTGGGCTAAAGATAAATATATATTAATGAGTCAAGTCTACAGGGCATGAAAGCATTGAAAGTGTCGTTAGCGTCTTAAGAGACGAGTCCTTGGATCTTGGATTCGACTTAACAGCTTTGGATCACCGGTGCCAGAGCGCGTACGCGAATGACGTACTCTTCGGATTATGTAATCAGACGCGGCGTTTAGAACAACGTTCTAATTAAAAATATACATCTTTGAGTTGAAGTATATAACTGTACTCAACAACAACTTCAGACCCGGCGAAACAACTAGCCGACTTGACTATTTCTCCATCAAATAATCACCAAAGCTATTGACAATATCTACAACTATCAAAATGTCTGCACCCAAGTTGTTGTTTCTACATGGATTCCTTCAAAATGCCAAAGTGTTCTCTGAAAAATCGTCTGGTATCAGAAAGCTGCTGAAAAAAGCCAATGTCCAGTGCGACTACATTGATGGCCCCACGACTTTGGAGAAGAAAGACCTGCCCTTTGAACTAGATGACGAAAAATGGCAGGCAACAGTGGACGCGCAGCTGAACAAGTCGTGGTTCTACCATTCAGAGATCTCGAAGGAATTGGACCTGACGCAGGCGATCCAGGCTGTCTCAGACCACATCAAATCCGAGGGACCCTATGACGGTATTGTCGGCTTTTCCCAGGGTGCAGCTGTGGCCGCAATCGTTACAAACAAAATCACAGAACTTGTGCCCGACCACCCACCTTTCAAAGTGAGTCTGATATTTTCTGGCTACTCGTTCACCGAACCTGACCCCCAAAACGAGGGCCAGCTCCGCATCACCGAAAAGTACCAAGACAGCTTCACCCCTGCACCAAACAGCCCCACAAAGGTGCTATTTGTGTGGGGTGCCAGCGACATGGCCGTTCCAGCCACTAGATCCAAGTTCTTGTACAACATCTACACAGAAGGAAAAGAGTCCACAGACCTTGTAAAGAGCTACGAGCACCCAGGTGGACATATGGTGCCTAACAAGAAGGACATTTTGAGACCCATCGTGGACGAGATCTCTGCCGCTCTAGAGACTTAAGCCGCTTGGAAAAAGCGTACGAGATATAGAATACATATAAAAGTTTGAGATAAATTGTGTGATAAATTGGAAGATAGTTGTACCGACGTGGTTAAGCGTATTTTCTTTGTTGATGTGTCTCGTCTGTAATGGTGGGCATCCTGACTCTCGAGCGAAGCTGACATTAAGTCACGTGCTCTTGCCGTGAGACGTATATCAATTCCTGTGCTGTGGGTGATCAAGAGCTGTCTGGCCTGGTCAGCGCGCAATGAGCTTGCCGGTGGTTCAAAAAATATCATCGTTATGGACATCGAGTTTAGGAACTCCTTGAACTTTCAATTAGTACGAGATAAACTGGAGATCGTGTCACGTTACTGCTCTCGTCGGGCGACGCAGTCGCATCATCAGTGTCAGGTACATGGCCCATCACCGTAACTTTCAGTGTATATAGAAGTGCTTTCAATTATGGTTAGGTTATTTACAAGGCATCCGGTCTATGTGTTCAGCGATCATAGAGCTCATTCCGAAAAAATGAATGAAATTTGACGATCATCCGTCCTGGACAATTTACCGGACCACGCTATTACTATTTACACTATTTCATAAATCGGAGATACAGAACGTCTATCAATAGACTAAGCTAGCTTCGAGTACAGACGGTCAATGACAAATAAGTAATTTGTTCCAATTTAAATCACCCATTTATGTTTTTACATTGATCGTGCACATTAACCGACCCAAAATTCTTGGTAGAAAAATGAATCTTTTCATTCGTTATTCTTCCTACATCAATCAATGTACACTTGTAGATGCTTATCAAACTTCAATTGAGCCACTGTAAACCCAAGTTTCTATACCAGCAGCCGTCCGAAATCTTTCCCCATTGACGTCGTCAAAACCCATTTTTTTAGGAAATTCAGCCGGGCTATTTTCGTCGAACAAATCTTAAGTAACGCTCTAATAAACAGGCTATATACGCAAAATACAGTGTTCAACTTCAGGCTTCTTAAGCTAACAGTTTGGACACAGACATTGGGTTTGGGCTGTTCGTCTTGAAATAATATCACTTTGGACGTCCGTGTCCAATAGTTGGCGGGTGTAGTTAAACTACATCATCATCATCGCCTATTCTCTTCACTCCTGTGAGCCAAATCAAACACCGAATCCTCTGCTATGGCACCAGAATCTCTCAGCCGCGAAGGATCATGGAAGAAAAGACCAGCACCCATCCAGGTTTCTGAAAAAGAGCTGCCGTCATCCATTCCACCTCAAACAGGGCTTACTTTCAATGTATGGTACAACAAATGGTCGCAGGGGAATACCGGACGGAGCCGGTTTGTGAGTCCCTATAAACTGGATACTGAATCTCACGAGGGCTATACGCGGGGAGACAAAACAAAACGGGCATTTTTCTGCCTCTACTTCACTAAGGGCATGTGTTGCCTTGGCAAGAGATGTGAGTACCTACACCATGTCCCCAATGCAGAAGACATAGCTAGGCTTTCGCTACAATCCGATGTGATAGACTGCTTTGGACGTGAAAAACACGGGAGCTACCGCGAAGATATGGGGGGTGTGGGCTCATTTCGTAAAAAAAATCGAACATTATACGTGGGAGGCATCACAGGAGCTTTGAATGACCTCGCTTTGAAAGCTGGACAGGTGGAAAACCGTATACGATTCTCATTTGGTAAGTTAGGTCCATTGGAAAGAATACGATACGTAGAAACTAAAAATTGTGCGTTTGTGAAGTATAAGCACCAAGCCAGCGCCGAGTTCGCTAAAGAAGCCATGAGCAATCAAACGCTACTGATACCGTCAGACAAGGAATGGTCCGATAGACGTGAAGGTACCGGACTTTTGGTGAAGTGGGCTAACGATGATCCCAGCCCCGAAGCACAACGTCGAGAAAAAGAACAACAAGACCAAGAATCGCTTAAAGTGATGTTGGACTTACTGGAGAAAAATGATGCCAAGATAGCCGATGCGTCGACCGATAATACACCCTCAAAGAAACGATTGCTTGAAAGCCCCGAAGCGGATAATAACTCATTCCAAAGATCAATATTCGGTAGCTTGTCTAAGAACAATCTGAATAGGCTTAAAAAGCTAAAAGCGGAAAAGCCAGCCACGGACAGAGCAAATCAGTCATCCCCAGCGAGCCTCGTGGATTATCCCTCCTCAGACGAGGATTAGGGACTGCACTATTATCAAAGTGACGCTGCAGCGTAATAAAATACCGATGCCTAAAGCGTATTCAGAAAAGAATTGGTTTCATATGGTTCTGACCGACGTTGAATTTTTGGCGCACCGATGACTTGATCTCATTGATTTTTTCGCCATCGGTGGCCTTGACATACTTGCAAAGTTCTTCAACTGTTTTAACGTCATCGTCATCGCTCAGAAAAGTAATAGAGTTCCCACTTTTACCAGCTCTACCAGTTCTCCCGATACGATGGATGTAGTTCTCAAAAGTTTTCGACATTTGATAGTTCACAACAAGAGATACATTTGGAATATCAATACCTCTACCCGCCACGTCCGTCGCAATCATTATGTCGGCCTTACCGCTGCGAAGCAAACTCAAAGAGTGCTCTCTTTGTTCCTGCGACTTCGATCCGTGCAAAGTTGTGACTTTAAACCTGGTTTCTGATGCGAATTTGGTTACCAACCAGTCGGCAGTCCGTTTGTAATTGATGAATATCATGATCGGGGCCCTGAACCTGGACAAAATATCCTTCGTGAGCATTTTGAATCTTTGCTCCTCGCTAGGAACATAATCGATCACTTGTTTAATTTGAGCTTTGGTATTAGGGGACCCTACTCGTACATGTGCCGGTTGATTGAGATATCCATTGGCAATCCTTTCTATCGAGCTCGACATGGTGGCAGTGAACATCATGGTTTGTCTTTTTCTTTTTGTCTCGGCTCTTGATAGAATAGTTGTCACTTGGTCCTCGAATCCCAGGTCGATCATCCGATCAGCTTCATCGAGAACCAGTGTAGTTACATTATTCAAAATCAGCATGTGGGACTCCAAACAATCGATTAGCCGACCAGGAGTAGCTACCAGAATATCACAACCGCCCTGCAGCGAATAGGATATCTCTTCTATCGAGTGACCACCAACGATACTCGTCACGCTGGTGGGGCGAGACCAATGTTGCAGAACTTTTTGAGCTTCAGATTCAATCTGCTGGGCCAATTCTCGAGTAGGAACCAAGATCAAGATGGCTGGCCCATCCAGCTTTGTGATATCGTTGAGAGGCGGCATATTACTGAGTTGACACAGCGAGGGGATCAGAAATGCCAATGTTTTACCTGAACCAGTGGCCGCAACACCCAAGAAATCGCGACCGCTCACTGCGTTTGGTATAGTGATCCTCTGTATGGGCGTGGGTTCCTGATACTTCAGCTCGTGCTGTATGATTCCGGCCAAGTCTTCTGGGATCAACCCAGTCTCATTCCAGTTTCGCAACGGGTGACGTATGGTTCCACCTTTGGTTTCGATATGGAAGTCTTCTCGCAGAATTCTCCAGTCCCGATCCGTCATGTCCTGGAGTGGTTTTTGAGCCCAATGCTTACCCATATACACATCCTCTGTCGATTCTTGCGCGGTTTTCAACAGTTTTGAAGCTTTCGAGCTGACTAACGGAGCAAATCCCAGCGTTGTATCGTCTTCTGGCTTCCAATCGAATTGAAATCGCCTGCGAGACTTGCGCTCCATTTCCCTCGGTTGAGACTTCACGCCGCTCTTTTCTGCCCCTACTAACTCCTTTGCGGACTCTGATCCATTTTTACGCCAGCTCAGGCGTTTAACATCTTCTGAAGTTGCCTTTGAACCTAAAGAAGGCTCTTGCAGCGTTGCTGCTTCAGTTCGTCTTTTTTTGCTTAAAAAAATGGGGGGTTTCAAAACAGAATTGGACGTTTTTTCGCCTTTAGATCCAAGAAGATCATTGATGTCAACTGGACGCTTCATAATGTCCTACTGTCATTGCCTTTTGACAATAACTGTCCTACACAACGTTGATCTGTTCTTGAGCCTTGCTTGATGCACATTTCGAATTCTTATGTGCTATTGTAGATCACGTGGCACGAAGAGAACTAGAGTCAAGGTCGAGCTTCAGAGCCGTGTTGGCTCTCCAGCAGGCTCTTCAAAAATCTTGATCAGAAGCATTAAACATCTGGATTGCTCAAGCTTCTTCAACACACTCGCTTCGAAATTTTACCGATATTCGCGCAATTGTGGGGCGAATGAGAGCGTTGCGTAAATGCAATTTGTGAACACCCGTTTAGCGTTTTGATGAGCTCAAACAGGGAAAAGTTAGGTTTTGCGCACCTGGAAACTTTGGGATAGCGTGCTTCTGTGGCTTCACGATAATCTTTCTGCGTGAATGTCATGGGAGAAAAAAGTATTGTTGTGTCCCAGGTGGGTTATGCTGCAAATCCACACTGCTCGAGGACGAATACATCACGGTGGTACGAAAGCACGCTTGATGAGCTTTGTAATAATGTTCGGAGGCTCTTTTGTTGATTATCGAAGGCTTCTGCCCAGAAACTATTGTACTGTCTGCGAACATTGTGACATTTTCCCGTTTGATAGATAATTAGAAAGTGATAAAAAGGACAGCTCATAATGATTACAACGGCACAAACGTTAGTGTATCCCATCCATTCACCGGGGTTTATCGATTTATGAATTCTTCGTTTATCCTATGGTCCTGTTCTCTCTATTTGATTCCACCATGGGTCTTGGATATTTCTCAAAGGCAAAGCTCGTGCGTCACCTGCGTGAGACAAATGGTGGGAAGGCAAATCATCGATAACCTTTCACATAGATTTGGTACTTGAAGCGTTGGCTCTGTCTTGTGTCAGCGAATACTTAGTGAATAAACACAATCACGCGACCAAATGGTATTGGAATTGTGTGAACAGGATAACAGCGAATTGGACCACCGCACCAACCAAACCGAGGTTTGAAAGTCAACATCTCGCTTCAAATACCTGTTGCAGAACGTTTAAACTTAGTGCTTGCACACAGCTTCTCCAGTGCCATAGACTACTCTAATCAGATATAAACATGTCACTCTCCACGGGTGTGTCACCTCCTTAGTATGCTAAAGTAATTCTTATACCGCCCTACATCTTAGCCAGTGAATAAATCAATGAGTCTAGCAGCATAGGACCAACAATCGTCTAGCCGGCCCCAAACATGGCTTCATGACTTTAAGTGTTAACTTCCTTACATCTGAAGACAAGTATGATGCTATCAAAGACCGAAATCCTAAAGCTGAGGGAGTTTTCGTGTATGCTGTTAAGACCACGGGAGTAGTGTGCAGACCAACATGTTCGGCCAGGTTAGCGTTGTTCAAAAACATTCTTTTCTTTGCGACATTACAGGAGGCTATAGAGTTAGGGTTTCGTCCGTGTCGAAAATGCAAACCAGAAATTCAGATGGGTTGGAATAGACATCGAAAACTGGTGATAGCTCTGATCGCTCTTTTCCACGAAATGCAAGCGACGGGCAGATCTGCTGGGGACTTAAAATTAGCAGAAATTGCTAAAAGCGTTCATATCTCGAAGTGGCAACTAATCAAGGTGTTCAAACGGTACACAGGCACAACACCAATGAAATATTTCCAAGGGATTCTTGACGGGAAAAAACCTCTTCGCGAGAACGATATTCCTAACGTTGTCACGAAAAAACGGGAATTAGGTCCTAAAACGGAAGAGAAGTCGACTGATGGCGGTGAATCTTCTGTTCATCTCTCTGTCTACTTTGAGGGAATTCTCGACGATGACTGGGTTACCGAGTTTTATGGACGTTGAAAGTGAAATTCCGGGCTCTGAGAACGGCCTAGCAAGTTACTAAAGGGCGCTGCTCTATTTTACGTTAGTGACATTGTTTTGAAGCTACTTTTTCGACAGAGTATCAGGCAGTTTGTGATTTTTTTTGCGGAACCCACACCTGGAACTGAACCGTCTCCTTCTAGAAGCTCAGTTTTCCTCGCATGATGATAAGACTCATCTCTCTCAGCCTTTCATGATAGTGTTGATGTTATTTTTAACAGACACAACCGGTGGATTAAGAGTAAACTAATTTCTACTACAGAATTGAAACAAGACCACCCAGAGGTACCTATAAAACGCTGCTATGACCTTAAGTAATTAACCACAATTCTTGAGCTACTCATACTTGCGAAGAGCTGTTTAGCAGTTGCGAGCTCTTTCTTCTAGTTATACAAAATATTGAACACTACTCCGATACGAAATAAATTTATAATATCAAACCTGGATGATCTCTACTTCAAGGCGACAACGTTCAGGATAAGACCAGTTACCACGTCCAATTTAACCATAATGAGTGCCGGCTGTTCTGCTGGGAGTAATCCACTGACTAATTTGAGCAAACACGCTCAACAAGACCGAAGTCTACAGCGCAATGGGTTTCTTGGTGTGAATCAAGGCTCCCAGAGTCGATTTAAAACGCAAGAGAGTACCTTGAGTGACGCCAGTAAAATGCATATGGAAGCATTTGGTGGTAGAGACCGTAATGAGGCCAGTATGATGGTGGGTCATGGACGTCCTGTACTGCCCCCGACTCTTGCAGAAGTTTCACAGGATCGTCATTCTCAGCAACACCAATTTCGTGGACCATCTACTAACGGATGGAGCCAGCAGTTCCAGCAGGGATCTGCTGATGTGAGCTTAGATCAAAAGTCTGCCCTGCAAAGCCGGTCGCCTCAAGTCAGTCATAGAGCACAGGCTGAACCTTATGACCGGATGCAGATGATGAGAGCCCGCACCACAATGGGCTCATATAACCCGCGTTTGGCATCTGGCATGCTTAGCCCCATGGCCCAAAATCAAAGACTTCAGCAAGTGCCCTCAAATGAGCAGGCGTTTCAGAGTATTGATCAGGACAATTGGGATGAGCAGTTCAAGGAATTGGAGAAAGAGGTTGCCGAAAAGCTGGCCCTTCGAGAGGAAGAAGTTGCTAAGCAAGAAACAGAAGTCGTTGGCGAGGGGCAATCTATCGTTGACGACCAATATCAGGCAGAATTCCAAGAGGTTTGGGACAGCCTGCACGAGGAGGCAATGGACGAGACGGCGACCAACTGGAAAAAGGACTACGAGCAATATCTGTCTGGACGGCCTGCTACGAGCCTGCCATACAAGTTTGAGGCGGAGAACCAGTACCTGCACAACTCTAACCCGTACGAAATTGGATGTATTCTGATGGAGAATGGAGCAAAGCTAAGTGAAGCAGCGCTGGCGTTCGAAGCGGCAGTTCAAGAAGACCCAAAACACGTAGATGCGTGGTTAAAACTGGGCATGGTGCATACCCAAAACGAAATGGAAATCAGCGGCATAAGCGCTTTAGAGGAATGTTTGCGACTGGATCCCAATAACCTGGAAGGAATGGTCACATTGGCCATCAGCTATATCAACGAGGGCTATGACGTCAGCGCTTTCAAAATGTTGAATAAATGGCTTGAAACCAAATATCCAGACCTAGTGGCTCCAGAGCAGTCAATGCCTGCCAGTGGCGACCGCTACGGCATGAGCCAGGCTCTTACGCTCCGGTTTTTGCAGGTGGTGAACAAACTTCCGGAGGTGGATGCCAGTCTGCAGCTTGGGCTGGGAATACTGTTTTACTCTAACGACGACTACGAAAAGACTGTAGATTGTTTCAAGGCCGCTCTTGCGGTTTCTCCAAACGACGAGCTGATGTGGAACCGACTGGGCGCATCTTTGGCTAATTCGAACCGCTCCGAAGAGGCCGTACAAGCGTACCGCAGGGCGTTGCAGCTGAAGCCCACGTTTGTTCGGGCACGCTGCAATCTGGCGGTGTCCTGTATGAATATGGGTTGTTGCAAAGAGGCTGCCGAGTATTTACTCACTGCTCTGTCGATGCACGAGGTCGAGGGCCTGCCCTCTGAGGCGGCCACGAGCCAAAACCTGCTAGAGACGTTGAAAAGAGCGTTTATCGGCATGGAACGACGCGACTTGCTGGAGAAAGTGCGTCCCAACATGGATTTGAACATTTTCAGGTCCGAGTTCAACTTCTGAGCGGTGGGTGACGGCCCAAAACCAAAAAACCAGAAAACTCAAAAACGGGGAAGACAACTATTTACAGAAAGAAGAACACAAACACTCTTGCAATGTCCTTGTACCTTCACCACCGATGACACTACACACCAGTTAGGAGCTTTGCTTGGAGCTCTCTATGGGTCTAATGACCCAAAATGACACACTCATCACCATGTACGTGTATGTCTTCCGTCACCAAGTCACACGCCTCTTTATTCTCTTTCCCATCTCGGTCTTTCCACGCCGCCCACCCCCCCGAACAATTACCAGCTTCTGCTATTGCCACCGTGCACCATAGCCACCAGAGCCCGCGGGAAACACTCTTGCATAATTTTCCAGCTTTGCTATTTATCAAAAACCTAAAGCCCTATCATTCTGCATCAAGAAAATCACACTCAATACAAATTAACTGCCTGATTTCCTACAAAATTAAGTTACTAATTGCCACCGCTGCCACCGCCTCCATAGCTGCCATAGCTGCCGCACACACACACATCCAACGTTTATCACTATTTCCTTCACTGTCGCTGTCGCTGCTCATCATCTGTCATTGGGACGGGTAACCATCTCACGACCTCTATATTGACTATTCTATATCTGAAAAAGTACATCAATGAAAGATTCATGTTTAGATCCAAGATTTTCCAAGCATTGGAAGCGATAGGGCTGTGGACCGATGAGCTACAGCATGCCGTATGATGCTGCTTATAAGGACGAGAAAAAGAGACAGTTCGATTATAGGCGGCGATCGCCGGTGGACCGTGTAGGAGCGGCAATCGCGCGGAACAAAAAAACAGTTCTTTTGGTGTTTTGCACGCTGTTTATGGTGTTCTGGTTCGGTTCTTCAAGACTTACATTGTTCTCGAGAGCCCCCAAGATCGTGCTTATATTGGCAGTGAATGACGGCGGTGGTGTTCACAAATGGAAGGGTGAACAGGAATGGGCGATCGAGCGGATCTCGATCCAAAACAAGCGTGCTTACGCGAAAAAACACGGCTATGGGCTGACAATCAAAGATATGCGGACTGCGAAGCGCTACTCACACGAGTATCGTGAGGGGTGGCAGAAAATCGAGGTGCTGCGCCAGACCATGCGCGAATTCCCAGATGCAGAGTGGTTCTGGTGGTTGGACCCAGAAACACTGATCATGGAGCCCCAGTTGTCGCTGGAAAAACACCTTTTCAAACGCATGGACACGCTATCGTACCGGGTCTTGGAGGATTTCAATCCATTGCAGCTGCCGCCGGACATCCCGTACGTGGACTACTCAAATGAGCCCGAGCTTTACATCACGCAGGACTGCGGTGGCTTCAATCTGGGCTCATTTTTGATCAAAAACTCGGAATGGAGCAAACTGCTGTTGGACGTGTGGTGGGATCCCGTGTGCTACGAACAGAAACACATGATGTGGGAGCACCGCGAACAAGACGCGCTGGAGGCCCTGTACGCACGGGAACCCTGGATCCGCGAAAAAACGGCGTTTTTGCCCCTGCGTAGCATCAACGCTTTCCCTCCCGGTGCATGCTCGGAGTTTTCCGACGATGCCCGCTACTTCTACAGCGAGGACGAGCGCGATTTTGTCGTGAACATGGCGGGCTGCAGCTTTGGTCGTGACTGCTGGGCCGAAATGCAGCGGTACGGGAGTCTCATAGAGGAGCACAACCACAAGTGGTGGCGTAGGCTCCATTAGCGGCGAACAATTCGAAAGTGGGAGTGCGCTGAAAGTGACTGGCAGCGATAGTTGAGAGTGCACACTCGAGTTTCGAACCCACCTCTACAAATCACGTGAACATCATTTCTAGAGTTTGCACAGCTAACGCAGCCCATACTGAGATGATCTAATAGCTCACAGTATAACCGTCGAAAGCAGCTCATGTCTGACGCAGCTCGTGTGCCAATGTCTGACGAGAAGTTCCCAAATTTTTTTCCTTATCGCAGCAGGCCAAATGTAAAACCAAAACTGTTGCTAGAAAAACCAAAAACCAGCCAAAATTGGCAAACGAAACTGGGCCATAAACGCGCTCGACTACTGGTGTTTTTGACGCTAGAACTTCATTTAAAATCGCAGTGTTAACGACCAAAACGGCGTCAAATCTATTGATCGCGTCGCCGCCTCATCGTACTTCGCGATCTCAATTCAATAATACTCAGTTTTAGAATGTAAGCTAAACTAAACAGATAAATACAAGGTTTAAACCAAACTCATCCAAAGGCCAAAAGACCGAACAATTGAGGTCGAAGCGACGTTCAGATCATGGAAAATCAGTTTGGTGGAAACCCTGAAAATTCCGAACAAGATGAGTTCCTCAGCTTCCTGGATACTAGACCTCTACAGGAGACGCCGAGCGCTGCAATAACTCCACAGGCCATCTTGGCGCGGTCCAGTATTCACACTTCGAACTCGAACCTGCAGTCAGTTTCTCCCGCGTCGGTCATGTCACCTATAATGCAGACGCAGACAATGCCTGCTGCGTCGTCGTCGTCGCAGCAAGCTCTCAGTGCGGCAACAACGCCGCAGCAGGTTTTGACGCAGTCGATCGCATCACAGCAGCCACAACTCCAGCAACATGGCCAGTCTCACAACCAGGTGCCAAGTGTGAGTCAAAGTGGATCAGCCGGTCCGTCGCAGGCGTCGACTCAGGCCCCGACTCCTCAGGCCATCCTCAGCAATACAAACACCCTCCAAGACCCACAGCCTAATAACACGAGTGCAAGAAGCTCGTCAGGCTTTGCTGACAGAACAGCGATGTTTGCAGCGCTACAGCAGCGGCAGCACCAGCAGCGACAAAAACTCCAGATGATGCAGCAAGCCGTGTCGCGCACAGGGTCTCCTCAAGAAGCAAATGCCAAAAGACCGTCAGTGGAGCCCCATTCGCAGTCATCTTCTACTGGCCAAGTACCGCAAGCACAGCCAAGCATTCCGCCCACCAACAGCCTCCCGCCCACTCAGCAGCGGCAAGCCATTCAAAATCTGGATCCTGAGGTCCAAAGACGCGTGAGTGCGGAGCTAAACAATAAACAATTTGAGCTATTCATGAAATCTCTCGTGGAAAGCTGCAAAAGGCGAAATGCCCCGTTGCACTCCTTCCCAGAGATCAGAGGTCGTAGGATTAATCTTTTCGTCTTGTATTCAATGGTGCAGAAGCTCGGAGGCGGGGAAAGCGTAACCCGTCTTCAGCAGTGGCCAATGCTGGCTCAGAAATTGCAGCTACCTGACGATGCTTCACAGCAATTGGCAGCGCTGTATTACCACCTTTTGGTCCCATATGAGCAGTACTTGGCTTCTCCGGAGGGTATAAAGGAAACTCAGGCAAAAAGGCTGTTCTTACAGCAGTTTTTACAGGAACTGCTAAAGAAAATAATGGTCCCACAACCTAGCACCAATTCGAACGAAGCCGTGATGGGGGGTTTTGCCGCCGGCATAAGAGCCGAGACGCCTGATGCGAACAAGGTCAAAAAGCCACGGAAACCAAAAACTAAGAAGAAGTCGAAAAAAGACCTGGAGAAGGAAATGAGACATCAACAAGAGCAACTTCAAAAACAACATGAATTTCAACAAGAGCAGCAAGGTAGGCTGCTACAGGAACAAAGAGCTAAACAACAACAAGAGCAGATGCGACTGCGACAACAAATGGCTGTTCAACAAAGCATCGAGTATCAAAAATTGCCTAAAGTTTACAAACGGTCGTTTGCCAGAAATTACGTGCCCTCAAGTCGCGCCATTGAAACTTCTAATGGCTATGACATGAGGGCCGTCTCGCAAATTGGTGAGAAAATTGACGCTAACAAACCAGTTTTTTTATTCGCGCCCGAGCTTGGTACTATAAATCTACACGCTCTATCCCTATCCCTCTTATCTGGATGTGTATCAGAAGTTAACGTGGCATTGAACACTCTATTGGTCACAAGCGCGGATTCGATCCTTGAAATACCATTGGACCGCTTTCAAGGTTTGATCGATTCCTTGGCTATCTTGGGATGCCAATTATTGAACAAGCTGTGCTTATCGGAAGGTTCTGTACAACAAGAGAATGACAACTATCTAAACACTATAGATGTCCAAAGTGCTCTTCATGAAAATACAAAATATTCAAGAGCTAACAACACTTTGGATAAGGTGTTCAGCGCTAATAGCAAAGATTACTCTGACGAAGAAGTTATAATCAAAGTTGACTCGCTGACTGGCGTGGATTTACAGCAGTCTGTCCTAACCCCAGAATCCACTCCCACGGATGACTTTAATTCTGAAGACGATGACCGACAATCGAAGGAAAAAGACAGTTTTAATGAAAAGAGCTGGCACTATTTGCCCGAAGCACTTTGTCTCTCGGACGACATAGAGAACTGCAAACTAAACGTTCCGAGCTATCTAAGCTCTTTGCGAGACATTCGTGATGAGGTTGATACCCTGTTTACTAAGGTCAATACCCGAGGTGCTGAAAATTATCAGCTTATGGTAGTAGATCAGCTGTCAACGATTTCAATGATCGTACGGAATCTTTCTTTCCGCGAAGCCAATACTTCTCCCATTGCAACTAATACATCTTTTAAGCGGTTTTTAAACGATTTGATCTGGTGCTTATTCTTACGAAGCGATAAGTTTCTATTCCATCGGAAATGTCTGAACTTTAAGAAGGACATGATCATCACATTAGCCAACGTGTCACACCTACTGCAGGTTGAAGATCACGTCACGACATGTCTTTTGATATTTTTGATTTTAAGCTTTTCTGAAGGGAAGGGCCTTGCGAAAGCAGATGGAATAGAGCCATTAGAATTCTCAGAGTATCCAGTCAAGCTGAGCAATTATCAAACACTTGGAGTAGATGTGCTAGCAAAACTACTTTCATTAGGATACCCTAACAGGCTTTTGTTCAAAGCCGTTTTTTTACAACAATTCGAAACAGACCCGCATTCGCAAGATGTAATCACTTGCAAGAAACTAATAGCACTCTACGAAGCCACTGCTTCTCAAAAATACCAGGGCTTTTCCCTTTTGCATGATACATTTGCTTCCCTTGTATCAATAATTCCATTTCAACAATTGAATATATCCCCAAACTTAATTGAAGAAGTTGGTCCCACAATTTCTCAAGGAGTGACCGCCTTACTCTCGCTAGCGCGCTTTTGCCGCAAAGACAGCCTGCCGAAAGGCGCCCCAAACATGCCCCTACTTTGGTTGACCTCTGAAGAAAATGTAGGATCGAGTTTGCGTCGCCTAAGTGAGGCTCTGTCTAATCTGGGCATACACACTAATAATAACTTGAGCCATTTGAAGAACCTTTTCCATTTCATTAGTGCTAAATGTCTTCAGCTAGTTACTTCACTAATCGAGCAAGCTTTAGACCTAGCGGACGAACGTGCAGCTGGCGACCAGGCCACATACCGATCAGCACTTGAGAGCCTGAATGGGGTAGCTAATCTTTTACCTTCGGAGCAGAACCTATTCACTCTGCTGACCAATCCCATGGCGGATTATATGGTCGCGAGAGAAACGGGTGAGCTTCATCGCTTAAGAGCTCGAATTTTAAGTGACAGCGAGAGCCTATTCATTGCAAATGAAGAAAATACGAATTTTAGGAATAAAAGTCGCGATGAGTAGGATATGCTTTCAATCGGCGTGTGGCGCGCCACTGTGCGCGCCGTTTGTTGTACATCAGTGCTTATACTCAAGATTCTTATATGATGTCATCAGAGTCCTCTTCGGCTTCCATCGCAATATAGTTGAGGATACGATCTGCGAGATCCGCATCATTAACTAAATCAGTGAGCTGCACCTTGTTGAGCTTTTTAAGGCTCTCAAAGTTCTTTACACGCTTTGTGACATTATAATAATCGATATTCGAAAAACCGGGTATTCCGAGGAGTTCCCTCAGTTTACTAATGGAGTCCAATGTACTCTTCGTCTTGGTTGCCTTTCTTTCCAAACCAATATTTACAGAGGTTGTGGGATCAGGTTGTTCTCTCCCTACTTTCAAATCCAAAATGAGATTGACTGTCTGAAGTGGGGAGGACGACCATAGAATCCTTAGAGACGGAAATTTCAAAACAAGTTGGGCTAGCTGCATTTGAATCTCATCTTGCATCAGCTTTCCTCCAATCGGATGTGCATTAGAAGAGGTTGATCCATATCTTCTTTCACTAAAGGGCTCCAATGAAAACGAGTCAATATCATCGAATTCTATAAGTAAAGTAGGGTACTCGTAATGCTTTAACATTTTCTTGCACTGTTCACTAAGTCTGCCATTTTTGAAGCTGCCGATCAAGTCAGGTACGGACTTTCTTTCTACACAAATTTGTGGAGAAAGGATATAATCACCTACCGTCAACATACAGGGAATGACTCTAACACCGTACCGGTACAGTAGCCCGGGGAGGGGAGCTCGAAACTCTCGCATATCAACGACAACAACATCGTTCGTTAAACTCTCAAGGGCTTTTTGTCCACCTGCTATTCTTGAGCTTCGAAGACTTTGGGACAACAGCAGTTTCCGTTGAGTCAGATTTTTATACCTTGAAAGGTCTTCATCGACTTCGAAGTGCTGAGCCAAATTTGTATGCTCTCTTATCATTTTAGTAAAAGCGTCTTTCTCTTTCTTGATTGCTGCCAGATGACTTTGTTCCTCGACGCTGTCACCGTAGTACATGAAATAGATCTTCAAAGGCAGATCTTTGTGCAGCGCCTTGTACATTTCAACACGCCGAATGAATGACAAGTCTGGTTCATACATTATAATGTGAGAGGGCATCACTTCTTGCAAAAGAAGGTCATTGGTCTTATTGTAGAACTTCTCAATGACAATCTGCTCGCTTCTATCGATATATTCAAACAGAGAGTCAGATTTTGCCCACACACTCTCACTTTCTACCATACTGGGTGCTTGAGAAAATGGCACATCATCAATCTCGGTTGTCGGTATATCGTTATAAATATCAGCACCTTCGTCGTTGTCTAAAATCTCTTCAAGGTCCCCGGTTTCTATCAGTTGGTCATCGGTTCCCTCAATAATTTCTGTTAAATGTCCTTCGATTTCATGTATGGTCATTATGCTATCAATGTCTTCCCCACCACTTGTAGAAGCGGTCTTCAATCGCGTCACAGCAGCTACAGCGGCCGCACCTCTTGTCCTTCGGCGTTTTGAATTTATTTCTTCTTTCGCGAATGTTTTTGATACAGCTAACTCGCCTGTATCACCTTGTTTCTGAGAGTAGTCGCTGACATCCTTCGCAGCTCTTTTTAAAGCATCCCTCCGTTCCATATATCCTCGTAATTTTCGCAGCAAGTACTTGCGAGCACCTTCCTTTCTTTCCGAGTAGGTTATAATCTTCCTGAGTTGGCGACATGTTCGATCTTCAGAGCAAATGATCAATGTTGGACCATTGGGAACAGTAGAGCGACCTTTCTCTGCGGCGATATCCTCCAAAATTGCCGTGAGCTGCTCCCACTTGGGCAATTCTTCCAGTTCATAGTTTCCGTCTTGAAACACTCGTTTTTTAGCGTAAGAAAGAACCGCTTGAGACTCTTCAGCCATCAACCAGGGCGATTCAGAGTATTTTCTCGTGACGGAAGGTTTGTTAGCGTCTAGAATCATCTGAATGATCTCATAGAAATCGACAGCATCGTAACTTATCAAAGCGTGTAAGAGTTTCTTCAAAGTACCGATATCTTTAACAAGTTGCTTAGACTCGAAAGAAATACGATGCCAATTGGGCGATAAAACTGTGTGAATGGATCTCAGAAAGTTTGAGTGCAAGCAATTGTCTGCATTCCAAGACTCCAAGGCCAGGCTTGGATTTTTTCTGTTGAGCTCTTCAATACACTTTTTGAGACACTCGAAGAGACCGAATTGAATCTGAGACATGGAATTTGTGAGAGAGACCTTCACCTCTATTACTTTGTTTTCGTTTCGTAGGTTCAAGCTGGAAGAAACGTCGACATGAAAACGAGGCCACAGAAGCGTTCTCCTCAAATGCAGATCTCTGAGTTTGCGTCGTAGCGGTGAAAACTCGCTCATGAAAGCTTCGGGCTGATCGGAAACTGCTTTGATGAAACCCCATTTGTTGGTGGCCCGATACATGTCAGTGATGAACGACTCGTTGGAAAAGTTGTTGAGAGATTCCACATGCAAAATAACGAGCCCTGTGATGTTGTTAGGGTGGATGATGCCGGACAAGAGATCGACGATCAAGATGCGGGAGGTTACTGAAACTATTCCGCCGTGCAAATACAGTCGTCGTCTTCTATCTACGGTGAGCGTATCTGCTGTAACAACACTGAATGGTCGCTGGCCACTTTTGGGCTCCGTTTGTTCTGTTTCCACACTTTCGCTTGTATCTGCATTTTCGTGTACTGGCTCTTCTTCGATCGACCATGATAGCTCCAGTAGCTCTTCCTGAATTTTGTCATTGTCCTCGTCGGTAGCATTCAGGAGCAAAACCAAGGACCGTTTATCCTGGCCGTCAATCACCGTAGGTGTGGCCAATATGTGAAGGAGATTGGCTACAATTGGCTCGAGACCCAGCCCTTCCCCCAAGATTAAAAGGCAGTCTTCAGAAACTAGCAAATCTTCCACAATTTGCTGCTGAAAATGCAAGGGAAGCGACAGTTGCAAATCGACCGGCCGAATTTCTTCGATATCTGGCTTCATGTTGGCATGACTGTCGTTCATGATCAATGGATACAAGGCATCTTCCTGGTTTTTCGGGGTGCTTGAATTTTCTCCTGGAAACCCCGAATCTTGGTCCTGTTTTGACAGTTCCAAAACCAAATCTTCATCCTCTGATTCATCCTGAATAAATAAGGACATGACGAATGCCACTGGACAGCTCGGTGGATGTCTTGAAGGTTCATGTCAAAGTTGCCTTTACCATAAGAATTCGAGATCTTCAATTATGGATCCGGATCACGTGACTGATTTTTGTTATTCAGTAGTTAAGGTGAAGCTTGGAAGGCCTATTTTAGGGCGGTTGTTCAGCTTGGTTTACATGACAGCTGAGTATTTTATCGTATCCTTTAGCAAATCTAGCGATTTTCCAAGTTATTATGTTGAAGAGTCATTTATGTCAAAAATCGTCAAGCGCTGGAAATTAGGGTCGAAACGCTTGCTTCTAGAAATTTGGAAATTTATATGAATGGAGCAAAGCTTAAATTTACAATAAATAGTATAGGAAGTGCCTTGTTATCATTGAAACGTCCAAAGGCACGCTTTATTGAGTTTAGTGTCGTGGAACGACTCAGTAGTATAAAGTGATAATAGTGAAGAGATCTCGCTAACAGGGTTGACGTCTATCGTCATAGCGCCCAGTGATTGCCAAAAGATTCAATTGGAGGGCAGAGGTCTCAAATAATGGATAGAAAGCAATCGATGGGGTAAAATAATAGCTGTAGAGCCAAGCATAAGCGTCTTTTAGTGACCTTGCTGAAAAATCAATAGTTTACTTGTTCGAAAATAAATAAGATGTAATACTTCACAATTTTCTCGAAGGATTTTTTTTCTAGCTTTGGCAGTCGATTTTAGCTTGCAAAACTTGGATTACTTTTGAAATTACTACTACCTGCCACACTTTTGGGATCATAGTTCCAGCAAAAGTGTCGGCACAATATTTTTAACGGGTGTGCGCTGCGTTGTCACTTTGATAACAGTTAAGTTTCACAAATTCCAATAAGTTATGTTGACTCATGACATGAGGATGAAGCCGTGAGTGCTTATCGAGAAATCGAGTGGCCCTGTGTGATGCGAATATCCTTGGACCAATTCGTTATGCATAGTCACTTTGTACTATATTGTCATCTGTCACTTGATCATGTGATCCTTTGGAATCATGGGAAACCTTGAAGCAGGTAAGCTGATCGCCGGAGGACACCATGGAATGTCTCTTAGCTACTGATTTCTGTTAGCCGATTTGAGGAAAAATTCCCACCGCACAAAGCTGGTCGTTTGGAGCTGCGAGCTCTTCAATAGCGTGGGAAAATTTCCTCTTCAAAAGTGATATATTTACCATGAAGAAATGAGGACTTGATATTTATGACTCCCAGAAGCTACTCAATAGCCTGAAGAATGGCTCATATTGGAAGCTTCCCGAGCTGGAGCCCGAATAAAACAAGAAGGAGGAAAAAACACACCATTCCTATTCCGTTCTATTTGGGACACCGAAGTTGGGACTTTCGGCATTTGGGGAAAAGCATTGGGCCTTGCGCACAAAACGACATACAAATGCTCTGAATTGAATTTCAGTGTGCTGCGGTGCTCTTGATCATCGGACGATCATCTAATATAACCGATGCGCGTGACACAGTAGTACAAAGTGATAAAAATCAATGCTCGTCCAACGGGCACTGGCATCGTTCCCAAACTCCATTATGCCTCCAGCAAAACAATACCATTGTGGCATGACCAGTTTGTGGTTTGGCCTGATTCTTTCTGCGTCCGTATCCATACTAATAATTAACCGCACTTTGCAGACGCACGCAAAATTGAATGACAGCTCGTACAATTTTTCGTAACCAAACAAAAAATGCAGCAATTCAAGTTGCGGAGCTGGAAATAGCCCCAAATAGTATTTAAAAACCTTTAACAACGCTACCGAAAATAACCGTAGCCACCAACCCGGTCCTTTCCATTTCAATCCGCTTATTCGATCTTCAGGCTCAAATTCTCGAAACAGTAAAAAAAATAGCTTAAAAAGCAAGTGCATCCAAGTAACAACATAACTAGAGTTCTTAAGACGATGAACATGGTCCTCTCTGACCTGTCCCAGATGTTGTATTTAAGCTTTGTAAGTTAAAAACTCTGCCGTACTATATGATATTTCGCTTTAACAAGAAACTTGGTGTAGGCTAGCCATCATAGAACAAAAGATGGTATCCAAAGTTGTACTCAGAACCGTTTCAATACTCATCAACTAGCCTCGCCTGCTATTTGCTATGTCGACAATCAAAGAATTATACGAGGCTTCCCCCGGGCCATTCGTTTCCCTGGAGTTTTTCCCACCTAAAACTCAGTCTGGGAAACAAAACTTGACAGCACGTATGGGACGTATGACAGCGTTGAATCCGCTGTTTTTGACTGTTACTTGGGGTGCAGGGGGGACCACGGCTCAAAAGACACTAGATTTGGCTGCTTTGGCTCAAAGAGAGCTTAACATACCGGTTTGCATGCATTTGACATGCACTAACACGAGCAAAGAGGTTATTGACCATGCCTTGAAAGAGGCTCACAAGGCCGATATTCGCAACATTTTGGCACTCAGAGGTGACCCTCCAGTGGGCGAGGATTGGGAAGAAGGTTCCAACTTCTCTGATTTCCAACATGCGGTGGATCTCGTGCGCTACATCAAAAGTGAATACAAGGATGACTTCTGCATTGGAGTGGCTGCTTACCCCGAAGGCCATTGCGAGGGAGAGGCCGATGTTATAGACCACAGTGCGGTCAGAGACTTGCCTTTTTTGAAGGAAAAGGTCGAAGCTGGAGCAGATTTCGTCATCACACAGTTGTTCTACGACGTTGAAAAGTTCCTGGACTTTGAAAGATTATTCCGTGACGAAGTATCTGCCACGCTTCCTTTGTTTCCGGGACTCATGCCCATTAACTCTTACCAGTTGTTCAACAGAGCTTCGAAGCTGTCGCACGCTTCGATTCCTTCGTCTATCCTGGACCGCTTCCCCAGCGAGTCCCGTGGCGACGACAACAAAGTACGGGCCATAGGTGTTGATGTCATCTCGGAAATAGTGGACACCATCTACACGAGAACCAACGGCAGGATCAAGGGTTTGCATTTCTACACGCTAAACTTGGAGAAAGCTGTGGCACAGATCGTAACCAACTCGCAGTGTCTCTCGAAGATTTTGGAAGAAGATAAGGACGAAGACTTGGTGGATGGGATAGAGGAAATAGCGTTAGAAGACTCGGATATCAGTGGAAATGATAACATGAAGAAGAGAAGACGTCAATCTTCTGTACACAACACCGACAGGACCTCAAATCGAGTGCTGATCGACGACCAGGACAAGAACATCATAGAGGGAAGAGAGCCATCGGGTGCGCCTTCTAGAAAAGTGGTTCTCTCTATTTCTCAGGGTTCTGGCAGTCTTGGTAGAGATGCTACTTGGGATGAATTCACCAACGGTCGATTTGGTGACTCTCGTTCGCCAGCTTTTGGTGAAATTGATGGATATGGCCCATCGCTGAAAGTCAGCAGCCAAAAAGCCTATAAAATTTGGGGACAACCGCAGCGCTTCCAGGATATACAGTCACTATTTGTTAGGTATTTGGAGGGAGCCTTGGACGCGCTACCTTGGTCTGACCTTGGCATATCGTCCGAAACTGCATTGATCCAGGAAGAGTTGATCCAGCTTAACGAACGTGGTTACCTCACATTAGCATCTCAGCCAGCTACCAACTCCACGCCCAGCACTGACAAGATATTCGGATGGGGTCCACGGGGTGGCTACGTATATCAGAAGTCGTTTGTGGAGATGTTTGTGCATAAGCAACAGTGGGACAACGTATTAAAACCAAAACTAGACCCATCTTCACCCAATGTAAGTTACTACGTTGGAGACTCTAGCGAGGCTTTTTACTCGAGTCTGGACACCAACTGCTCCAGTGTGGTGACCTGGGGTGTTTTCCCAAATTCAGAAATCTTGCAAACCACAAGAGTCGAGGAAGAGTCCTTCAAGGCCTGGAGGGATGAAGCGTTCAGTATATGGCTAGAGTGGAGCAAACTGTTCCCTCGAGGATCCGCGACAAACTCGCTTCTCAGACAGATACACCGCGATTATTATTTGGTGTCGATTGTTCATCACGACTTTAGTCAATGCGACGCACTATGGGACTTGCTGTTGGGTTAATTTGTGGGCCACTGCCATGTCAGACCTACGCATGAAGATGTTGAGGAAAAGTGGTTTTATGTCTGATCTCCTGCTTGTAGTGTCAGTTTCCACTCATTGTATATTAGTAGAAGGTAGGTGTTCAATGCGATATCTGTGTCTGCAGCTTCACTAACAGCACTTCGCAAAACATGCATACGAACAGCCAAATACGTCCAGAACTTAAGAGGGATTTATTGCACTAGGAACGTGAATACTCAATAGGGAGATTCAGTTTTCAAGCCTCTGTTGGGTGTCAGGCCACAGTTCGAGCCTTTTATAAAGACCAAACACCAGATCTTCCTTAAAGGTGAGATAATCGACCAATTTAAAGCTCCCAACATCGAGCTCCTTTCCCATAGCTTTAATTGGACCCCATTTTTAGACGCTAAATAACGGTTAAGACCTTCTAAGATCCCGCCGGTACCCAATTCCATTCAATTTCCCTTTTTATGCTCTTCATTCTCCCTCCACGGCCGTAGCCTTGCGTTTCCTTGAGGCACTGGAGCCTTTGGGCTTAGCTAGGTCCAATTGGGCCTCTAGATACGCACACATTTTATGGTCGCGACCACGGTTCCAGGACTGGATCATCCCGCCCATGAACATCACGCAGCTGTCGCGCAGCAGAAACATGCCGCGACTAAACACGGCTCCTGGCAATATCACCAGCTTAGATCCTAGTACACAAGAGCTGCCGTCATTTTTCAGAAAGTTCAGAGGTGATACGTTGATCGCGAAGTACATCGCACCGGACCGATCTTGCAATGTAAGCTTAAAAACCGATTTGTCGGGTCCCTGTAAATTCGAATCGGTCGACACATCGGTCTCCACGTCCACCGAGGTAACAAGTCGCCGGTCAGTGGGTGTTTTGGACGCCCCAACTCGGTCCACGCGCTGCGTTCGTGGGTCAATTCGCGACCGCAGTGTGTCCAGTTGGCTCGCCTTGGACCTCCCAATGTTCTCTACCATGCATATCTGAAAAAGCAGCGGCTGGTTTACTGTTACCAGTCGCTGGTCTCCCGTATTGTGCGCTGACCATACCGCGTTAGCTAACGCGTCATTCATGAGCCTAGTTCGCTCGTTCTGGGTCGTATTCGCGGCGACCGAAAACGGTCCCTGGGTAATGTCGGCCGTGAGAATTCCGCTAGACATTTTTAATACTGTACGGCGTCTGGATTAGTGTGTTTTGACGGTGTTTTACTACGTTTTTAAATAAGGTCAAGAACTACACGAACTTAACTATTTACTCTTCACATCGCGAAACTGGGAAAAACAAGAAACAGCATCCAAAAGACCGTTGCAATGGCCATCCAGACCATCTTGGTGATCAACAAGTCCGGTGGACTGGTTTACCAACGCGACTTCGTGGCCACGGCGCCGCGGCTGTCCAGCAACGAGTATCTGATCCTAGCAGGGACGTTACAGGGAATCGTGGCGATTGCGAGTCAAATTACGCCCAAATCGCTGCAAATCGCGGGCAAGGGCAGCGCCAAGGGCGGTGTCGAACCCGCAGGCGGCGCTGCCGCGCCTCTGGTGCCCTATGTGGGCACTTTGGGAGCGACAACGGCGAGCGGCACACCGATGGGCAGTTTCCTGGGGCCGGACTACTTCAACGACGCGTTTGCGAGTTGCAATGGACGGGGTTTAAAGCACGTCACGACAGACCAGAACTCGCTTTTCTTGTATCAAACACTCACGGGAATCAAGTTTGTTGCGGTGAGCACACAGCCCACGACGAACGCTATGGCGGTGGCGGTGGCAGAAAACCTACTTCGCAAGGCGTACTGTCTGTATGCGGACTATGTGATGAAAAATCCATTCTACGAGCCCGAGATGCCCATCAAATGTGAGCTATTTGACCAAAAACTGGGCGTTTTGGTAGGCCAGCTCTAGGTTAATAAGCTACAAAGACAAGACTACTAAGAGCAACGAAGAACACAGCATAGAAGTATCGATCTCGCATCGAGCCCAACGCATAAGGACAATCCATCCCTCTAACCATTTCAATCCTCCCATCCTATTGCGAGTGCACATAGCACAGATGCTGTAGCTACAGCAGACGTGTGGAAAACATCAATTGCCGTTCCAAAACCCACCAACAACAGCAGCGAAGCCACTTTGCACTCGTTTGGGCAAAACTCGCTCTTGGTTGTGCCCCTCCTCGCGGCAATCATTTTTTTTTCACCAACTCATCACGGTCTTATCACTAGTGTCTGTCCTGTGTCATGGAAACACTATCTTTTGATCTATTTCCCACGGCGAAGAAGACAAAAGCTGACGCTAAGGTCTCTTACAATGTTTATGGCTAACTGCAATGAGTTCGGCGGTTCCGACGGGAACTTCAGCTCTATTGTGCCCAGAGTTTCGCCTAAACTGTTGTCTAGGTTTCTTGCCAAGTTCCTGCGTCAGTGTTTACGTCTGAACCGAAGAGGATAAACGTCGAGCCTATGGAACTTGCGATAAAAAGTATAAATGCTCAAGGCAGCACGACATAGGATCTCTCGAAGCTCTGTGGTTGAATCAGAATTTTTTTTTCTTTGGCTTCGCTCATCAGATCCACTTATTCATCAGCTTTTTCGCCTTTCCATGAAGTTCAACACAGTTTTGAGCGCTCTTTGGGCAATTTCTGCTCTAGGAGCAGCCAACCCGCTACTGCGCAGGGCCTCATCGTCCAACGTCTCCACCTCGAGCAATTATACGCAAACTGCCACAATCACAGATGCCGCGTCCGCAACCGACACCGTGCTAACGGTGACGCAAGGTCGCTTCGGTGCGTTGTTCAAGCCCAAGGTGATGATGATCAACATGTTCACGCCCGAGGAAAACGCGTGGGTGAAAAACCTAGACCTCAAGCACAACATCTCGGTGCCCATGCTTTCGCCAGAGTACCCATTCGTGCACTCTAACGCCAACTACACCATCATGTCGGTGACCACAGGTGAAGGTGAGATCAACGCCGCCAGCACCATCACTGCTTTGTCGCTATCGCCTCTTTTCGACTTGACTGACACTTACTTCATTGTCTCGGGTATTGCCGGTGGTACACCCGACTTGACCACCATCGGATCGGTAACCTACCCTAAGTACGGCGTGCAGGTCGGTATGCAATACGAGATCGACTCGCGCGAGATCCCAGCCAACTGGTCGTATGGCTACGTCAACTTCCACACTAGTAAGACCAACGTGTACCCAGCCACCATCTACGGTACCGAGATCTTTGAATTGAACGAGGTCTTGAGAGACAGAGCGATGCAGGTTGCCTCCAACGTCACTTTGAACAATGGTACCAGCGGAAACGTGGCCTTCCGTCAAAGATACAACTCCTCTATGGCCGCTTACGGTGCTCCTAAGTTGGTGGCCTGTGACACTGCCACTTCTGATGTTTACTGGTCCGGTGCTCTTTTGGAAAAAGCTTTCACCGACTTTGTGACCACTGTTTCCAACAGCTCGGCCACTTACTGCTCCACTCAGCAAGAAGACAATGCTACTCTAGAGGCCTTTTTGCGTGCTGCCAAACACGGTTTGGTCGACTACTCGCGCATCGTGATCATGCGTGGTATTTCCGACTTTGACAGAGCTCCTGCTGGTCTCAGCGCCACTGACTTCTTCTTCACCAAGGGTTTACAAGGCGGTAGTAGCAGTGCTTACGCCAACTTGTACACTGCAGGGTTGCCATTTGTGACGGATATTTTGGCCAACTGGGAAACTTTGTACAAAGTGAATCAATTCACGCCAAAGAACTACATTGGTGACTACTTTGAGACCTTGGGAGGTACTCGTAACTTTGGTTTGTAGTTACCAGAGTGTATTATACGTAAACTAGATACAAATAGAAAGATACCAGGAACTTTCCCGATTTGAAATGGCATTTGACCCAGAGGTGGAGCCCAGAGGTAGGCTTGAATTTGGTTGTGGTGAATGACGCTGGCATCATGAATTTCAGTTCAGATGGAGTGCTGAGAGGCTAAAACGATGCATATTAGATTGCGACGATATGGTTTGTCGTGGTGACTGAATAGTGTACAGTGATATGCAAGTGTGCATCGCGCAGTGAAGAGAATTCACAATCGGGGGGAGCTTCCAAAGTGCTTGTCATCGACACAATGCGTTTATTTGTGCCGTTTGATTTATACGATGTTGAGCACTGGTCTCGAGGTTGGAAAGATCAAAGATCATCGCTTGCACCCTGATGTCTGTAAGTCAGGAAAAGTCGGCACAAATGCAAAAAATGTTCCCAGTTCCCACAATTCAGTAGTGGCAAAGTGCCAAATTCAGGATGTTAAGTTGGTTTGCCATATAGAACTTGAACCATGGAAGATGGGTGCCAGCTTTTTGAGATCTTTGAATAAATCTTCAAGTTCTCTTTAAAACAGACAAAGGAAAGCCAATGGATTTAGGAATAATAATCTCAAGCACAATACAGTAATTTTGAACAGATCTGCCTTGTGAGGATGAGTCTGTATTTGGAACTTGCACCTTGTTATAGTTGTCTGTCACTGCTGGAATTTAAAGCCAGGAAAAGCCAGTGGAAAGCAGATAATTATAACAGTATTGAGTCGATTTTGGTAGATTAGAAAGTCGTCTTGTTCCAAAATTGAGACAGAAACTGTAGACTAGGCATTTCATGTTGAAGCTGTTTCTGTAAGCTTAGCTGGAGGCAGTTATGCTCTAGATCAGTCTTCACTGAGCGCGAGTACGAGTACGAGTACGCACGCGAGTACCGTTCGGACTATAACGCGTTAAAGCGTTTGAAACACACGATGGCATCGCCCAAACTACAACATCGCACTCGGTTCTTTCTCGGTTGTGAGCCTCCAGTGAGCGAAATGTAGCCAATTACTAGGGATCAGCGTTAAAATAGCTTTCAATAGCACCAAAACGATACCAAATGACGCTTCCAAGCTACTAGCGTTGGCGCCAGATGTGACAATGACATTGTTGACGCTAACCAGCATAGGACTTGTTGATTCAACCACTTTTCCAGTGGGGAGGACTCCGCTCACGAGGCTCGACGTTTAACGATGCACCCGGAGCATTATGGGACAACAATTTTGGACCCGCTGTGATAAGATGTGGACGCAATGGAATTTGTTTCCAGGAGGATCTGTGAGGTTGCTCTAGATTCAAAAGGACCATTTACTATGCAATCCAAGTGGGACGGTTGGTGAAGTTGACTTTCGTGGAGAATTGTTTCGCTGCCATCGACTACTACCACACTCGAAAAATCCCAGAAACGTTCTCCCTTCTAAACTCAACGCACACCGTTATTGCTTACTTCCAGCTCCAGAATCCTCTGCCAAGGCAATTTCCAAAAGCCCAAATCCTAACCCAAAGTCTCGAGAAATCGACAACTTTCGGCAGTCGTACTTTACCGGCTTTAGCGTGGTTTTGTCGTGTGTTCAGTCTGCACAAGCTCCTCATCCTATTGCTTAAACGACTTGCACTTCCACTAGAAGTCGAAAGTACATTTCTGCTCGTTCCCTCCAGACTACATTTGCTCTACAAAGCGCACTGCGTTCGCACACACCTAGTTTAACGAGCGGGTTCGGGGTTATCGTAAGCTGCAGCAACGCACCAACTTCTAATTTCCAAATAAAAGGCCACCATCGCGAAACCCTTTTAATTCTACACATCCTGGTGCTCACATTCTCGCATTGCGAAACCAACTGGTTTCCACAATCAGACAAAATGCGTTTCCTTGCATAGCCGAGACCACTCTTTCACAAGACCAATTTTGCAAGAAGACCTCACAACTTCTATTTCCATATGTAAAGTTTGCCCACGTCCAACACATCGCGATGAGCATAACGACAGAAATCAAAATACCACCAAATTCCTAAAACCCGGTTTCTTTTCGCCCAGATTTCAGTGCTATCTTCCACCATCAAAGCTCCTCCCACCTCTCTCATACTCACCCACTCACTGCGTCGCCCGTCCGCAATCTACCATCACTCTACCACTAATTTACCAACCACATTTTCCTCGAGACATCGCATCGCATCGCATCGACACCCTAACACGTTGGCTAGCACGTCATCGTTCAACTGCCTGACCCAGCAGCCGGTCGGCTGCGGTCTTTAGAGCGTCTCGCCACGGTGCACAACTTTCGACGTCTGCTGATTCTCGCTTGCAGACCAAAAAAAAAATGTGCGCTACGGCAGCACAGCACTCAACGAAGAGCCCACCTGGAAGATTCGAGATGGGCTGATTTCAACTGTTAATGCTCACTGCCAGTGCTTGCCTGCTCGCAGTCGCTTCTTTTGTTTTTCTGGCCTGTTTTCTCGGTGTTTGGATGTGCAGTGTTGAGCAGATTCGCAGTGATACTCGTTGGACCTGGAATTATCAGCGCATTTTGGATCGCCTGCTTTTCATGAACCGTGTGGCTAATAATGATGGGCTTTTGAGCGTTGGGCATCGGAGTGTTTGGTTATATATGTGGGTCCAGTTCGAGTAGTTGTGAAAGGAAAAACGGTGAAATGGCGAATACGGCTTAGAACTGGAAAGCTAGAGCAAGTCAGGAGCCATGCTCACGAACTGCCAAATCAACAACTTCAAACTGACCCGTCAGATCGGGTCCGGGGCGTATGGACTGGTTTTCCATGCGGTAGACCTGATTACCGAAAACGAATATGCCATTAAAGCTGTGGTCAAGGACACCTCAGCACGCGAGATCAAACAGGCCACAATGCTGCAAACGCAGCTGTACTACTACTTCAAGTCGTTCCAAAACCACTTGTACTTGCCGTCGGTCGATTTGGACTCGATTCGCGTGCTCACCGATGAGCAATTGCAACGGGCGCCACATTTCCGCGAAATCGCACTACATTTGCAGGTGCACGCTCATCCCAACGTCGTGACCGTGCACCAGGTACTCGAGTCGCCTCTGGCGACGTTTCTGGTGCTGGACTACTGCGAGCGCGACCTCTTTTCCAGTATCGTCGACCACCAGTATTTCGCGCGCGACGGTGCACTCGTCAAGCGCGTGTTTCTGCAGCTGTGCTCGGTGCTGCAGTACTGCCACGCACGCGGTGTGTACCATTGCGATATCAAGCCCGAAAACATCCTGCTCGACGCCTACGACAACGTTTGTCTGTGCGATTTTGGACTTAGCACTTTGGCCTCACAACTGCCGGCCAACGTGTCGCTCGGATCCAGCTACTACATGGCTCCAGAGCGGCTCTCGTGCCCGTCGTCCCTGCAGGACGACAGCGCCGCCGTCGCCCCGCTGTTTCCTACATGGGCTGGAGACGTTTGGTCTTTGGGTATAATTCTCATCAATTTGACCTGCATCCGCAATCCATGGCTCAAGGCACATCAGCTCGAGGATACCACCTTCAGCTACTACGTGCGCGACCCCAAGGTGCTGCTCAAGATTCTGCCCATTTCACAACAGTTGTTTGAAATTTTGACGGATATCCTGCAACTAGGCCCAACCACAAGACCCAACTTGTCCGACATCATGGAGCGTGTCTCTGAGTGCACTTCGTTCACCACGTCCGGCCCTCTGAGCCACGTCGCCCCGCTTAGTGATCCCGAAATACAGACCCTCCTCACCAGCCATCGCGGACTTACCATCAAGCAAATGCTGCGCAACTACCACTCCGACGAAGAGTATAGCCGATCAGATTACCAGGACGGAAACGAGACCGAGCTCACCAGCGAAGACGAGTGCTCTTACGAACGCCCTCAATGCGACAGCAGCGCTTCGAATCAAATCAGAGACGTCCAGGGCAAGTGCCAGTCGAACGCCGTCGCCACCAGTGCCTCTACTGCCAGTTTTCCCACCGACTTCGAACTAAACATGTTGACCAAGAACATGTCGGTAATGACCAACTACTCGGCTCACAGCCGGTGGCTGCCGCAGTACTAGGACGCGATGCTACGACAAAACGAAACGAAACGATGATTTACGAGTAACGAGGTTAAACACGAGTGTATAGATAATGCGGGTCCGGGACTGGGCCCATGATAGATGAATATAAAGTGTGTTCAATTGCGCTGCCGGTTCTGCAGCGCAGGAATAATACAATAAGTTAATACTTGGGTGTTGAGAGATCAAAGACCTGGTGGCTAAATCCAAAGGTGGTAGATCGAACCAAGACTCCAGGAATCGGCTTTAAACTGCACTTTGACGTGTGTGAGGCAGGACCTCGTCGTCACGTAGAAAGCAGATATTGAATTTCCGATTCTACATAATGTATCCATGATTTAGATAAAGCATGCGTCTCCCCAGCATACGTGTGTCTCACTTGTCCCTCCAGTTCCATCAATTACCTGCTACAAACTTCTTGAGATCTGCTTGGCACTCCTGTACGACCTGCTCAACCGATTTGCCGTCCACATCGACTGTGGACGCCAGCGTCTCAGCCGCATCTGGCAACATCAGGTCGCTGAATTGCGAATTGATCATGTTGGCCTTCATAAAATGACCCTCTCTTTTGGTAATGCGGTCCAAAATCAGCAGTCTGTCTGCGAACAGGAACAGAAAGTAAAAGTCCGTTTCTGGACTGTGTGAGCGGATGAGGTCGCGATACTTTTTCTTGAGGCTCGAGCACGTCACAATCCACAGTCCGGAATGCTTTTGAGCGCTCTGCGACGACAATTCGCTTACTTTCTTGAGCCAGTCCCACCTGTCGTCATCGGTCAACGGGATGGCATGGCTCATTTTGGCGATATTTTCCGGTGGATGCACTGTGTCGCCCTCTAGAAAGTCGACATCCGGATACTTCGTCCTGAAAATTTCGCGTAACTTGGCCGCAATGGTTGATTTGCCCGTCCCTGCCGTTCCAGCAAGAACAATTACCTTTGGTTTGGTCGCTCCAGAAGTCATTTCGAGCCTTAAAAGGACGCAAAAAATTCCAAATTTCTCGAACAATAACGCTTGCCACCGATCACACCGATAATGATGGCTCTAAGACCTGTTTATGTTGTCTAATTGTCGAGTTAAACGTTGTTCAAGTTTGCCAAGAACTGTGAATTAAACGTTATATATATCCGCTATGCTGTTTATCCGGGGAAGGACAATGCTAGTACAAAGTGATATACACCATTAAGATGTTAACGCGAGTCTCCCCGCCGTCGCAATCGTCGCGATCTTTAGCTTAGCAGGCTAGTCTTCTTATGAGCTAAATTCTTGGTATCATTTGGGTAGCATTTTGCGATTTTTCCGACGAATTTTGGATGATTTTTAGACAGTTTCGATGATAATCGAGGAAGCTCCACCACCACCGTTGCAAATACCAGCAGCACCGATCTTGCCGTTTTCCTGGGTTAGGACGGACACCAAAGTGACGACGATTCTGGCTCCGGAACATCCAAGTGGGTGGCCGATGGCGACGGCGCCGCCGTACGCGTTGACCTTCTCGAGCGGGATGCCTAGCAGTTGTGGGTTGGCAAGTCCAACGACCGAGAAGGCTTCGTTGAACTCGAAGAAGTCCACGTCGTTGAGTTCGATTCCTGAGTGCTTTAGAGCCTTGGGAATCGCTAGACTTGGTGCCCAAGTGAAGTCTGCGGGCTCGTGAGCAGCCTCACCCCAGCCACGGATCACTGCAAGTGGCTTGACGCCCAATTCCTGTACTTTGCGTGCCGACATGAGCACCACGGCCGCACCACCGTCATTGATAGGCGAGGCATTGGGTGCAGTGACCGTACCGTTCTCTTTTTGGAACACGGTGCGTGCAGATCTTAGTCTTTCGACGTTGAGCTTGGCAGGCTCCTCGTCTTGGGCCACCTGTGTGTCTGGTTTGCCGCGGAAGCCCTTGATGGTGACTGGGACGATCTCACGGTCGAATTTGCCCTCGGTCTGAGCCTTTTGGGCCTTTTGGTACGATCCAATCGCGTACTCGTCCTGCTGCTCGCGTGTAATGCTGTGATCGCGAGCGCATTTTTCCGCAAACACACCCATGGCCTGGTGGTCGTAGGCGTCGTTGAGCCCGTCACGTTGGATCCCGTCCACCAGTGTGCTGTTGCCAAACTTGGCTCCTGCACGCGCAGCTGGCATGTAGTATGGCGTGTTCGACATCGATTCAGCACCACCGGCGACCACCACGTCTGCGTTGCCACACATAATCGTTTGCGCACCGCAGATGATCGCTTTCATCCCAGAAGCACACACTTTGTTGACAGTGGTGGCCACAATGCTCTTGCTCAATCCAGCAGAAAGAGCCACTTGTCTGGCTGGTGCCTGGCCCACATTTGCACTCAAAACGTTACCGAAAAAAATCTCCTCCACATCCGAGGCTTTTAGCTCTGGAATCTGTGCCAAGGCTCCTGTAACAGCCGTAGATCCTAGCTCCACTGCGGTTTTTGATGCCAAACTTCCTTGGAAACATCCAATTGGCGTTCTAGCAGCCGCAACGATGTAGACTTTGTCGGACATTTGAAGGGTCGAACAATAGGTTTTCGGGTAGGTTTGAGCTGTTTGGCGATATCAAATGGGCTCAATTGGCTTCGGTTTGACCGTTATGAAACAAATAAGTGGTGAAGAAGATTGATGGTTCGAGTTCGTTACAGTTGGCTTTTTTTCAACATTGGGAACGACCGGGTTGAGAAAATACGATCGACGACACATCCGTGTACAGTGAGAAACTGAGCGACGACACAGACGTGAGAAGTGATGGATGGTGGTCTGTTCTGAAGGATCAATTGAAAAGCACTGGAAATGGATGGAAGGAGGATCCTAGTAATGGTGTTTGATACTGTTTGAATACCATTGGTAGACGAGAGGGTGCGATTTGCCGATACTGGGCTTTCTCTCGCTCTCTTTCTTTATCTTTCGCCCTTCCTCTCTTTTTCTATTTTCGTTCTTCCTCTCTCTTAGCTCTACCTGCGAAGATACGGCTTGGAACGCTTGCTCGCGGCTGGCGATCTCACATATGGGTTCCGCTTCAATTGATCCAGTTTTTCAAATATAATCATCTCGCACACATTCTTAAGCTCGTGAGCGCTTTGCTGGTCGATAAAATAATTCGGGTACCGGTTGCCCAACCAGAAATATAGCATGATTATGTTGTGTAGCGACTCGTAGTGCTCCAGCGAGTACTTGTCGTTGCTGATGAATTGCGGGTTCAAAATATTGAACGAAAACGGGTAGCTGGTCAATGACCGGGTCTGTCGCTGATCTATGGTCGAGCAGAAATTCACAAACGCCTGTTTTACCATGGGGAAATCCTTTACGGGCGCGTTACTGAGACGCATTTTATCGAAAAATGGTATTCCGTCCATGTGTTCAAACATCGAGATATTGGTGAGTCGGTTTTTGAGATCGCTCAGCGTGAACAGCTTCGCAGATCGTTTTTCTACCTCAGTCGCCAGCGTTTGCAACAACGTTGAAACTCGCGCCCCCGTAGGCAGATGCGTCATCAGCTTCCCGCAAATCTCGTCAGTGGGCCAAACAATCGCAGATTGCAAATATTCTATCGGAGACGTCATCCCTGTCCTCACAGCGGTCAGTACCGTAGGATCCACGCCCGTTACGTAGCCCACAGCAGCTTTCTTGCCCTCGTCGACTCCATTCGCGGCCACATTGGCAACTTTGAACCTTCCAGCACGCCCGCCGATTTGTTTAACGTTAGAAGAAGACAGCTCCACCATTTCCTGACCATTGAATTTCATATGCGTCGTGAAAATGACCCTCTCGATCGACAAGTTCAGGCCCATTCCAACCGCATCAGACGCCACGAGAACGTCGTATTCGCCGCTGTTGAACATATTTGCCTGTTGAATTCGTGTCTCAGGCGGCAGAGACCCGTAGATGACCGCCACTTTAAGATCCGTGAGTTTTTCTATCTTGAGCTTGAGGTCCAAGATCTTCTTTTTCGAGAACGCCACGACACAGTCGCCTTTGCGTAGCCCCTTCAAGCCGCTTTTCAAGCAGTTTTCCTCAATCTTTAGCTCTCCCAATCTTTCGTATTCATTCACGACCAGCTCGTCCCCAGTCATCTTGACGATCTTCTCAACCAGAGGAAGCGCACTTTTTTCTCCACATAGGTGAACTTCGCGGGCAATCGATCCCAGTAAGGCATTGGTCCATGCCCAACCTCTATCTGAATCGCCCATCATTTGGATTTCGTCAAGAACCACCACATCAAATTTTTGCGACAACGGCACCATTTCCACTGTTCCAGATGTCAAACCAGCGGGGTTCCCCATTTCATCTATCTCTTCTATAACTTCTTCTCCCGTGAGCAGGTTGCATCGTATGTTCTCGCTTTTGAACCTATCGTACACTTCCCTAGCAAGCAAACGTAAGGGTCCTGCGTAATAGCCCCGATCGCATTGTTTGAGTCTTTGAAGCGCACGATACGTCTTACCCGAGTTTGTCGAGCCGATATGCATTATAATGCGTCTCCTTAGCTTTCTGGCCTCTGGGAACCACTCTGCAGGGTTTGATATATCGATGTCTTCAGCACTATTTGTGCTGGACCTGATCGGAGCCACCAAAGGCAGCATTTCCTGCTCAAAAATGTGGTCGTATATGCATCCCATAATATGATTGAGTTTCTGTTGCGATGTGACGTGCTGGGACTCCAAAATCGTCTGCCAGTTTTCCTCTGACACGGCATCACATTTCAGTAACTGACACACCAGAACCTTGGGATTTGAAGGCCGAATAAAATTGCTGACGCTGACAGTATAGTTCTGAGCTTCTTTTTCCAAATCTCCATTCCTGAACTGCACATACAGGTATTCTCGAACTCTAAGCCATGCATATTTCTTGGCTTCCTTTTCCACTGGCCCAAATGCTGTCAGTTTGGTGTTGAAAAGCCACTTCAGCGAGTTGTCGACCAATTCTTTGAACTCATGGTTCCTGGTGTAAATATTATCGGCTTTTTTGGCAAAGTTGAGCTGTGATACGTTGAACTGCTTGCGCTCATCGGGCGGTAGATGAACGAACGACGGCCTACCCCAGGGCCATTCTGCAAACTTGCCAGCGCTCCCAGTGTTCAGTAAATTTAGCAATCGTACAAAATTTCTAGAAGCAGGCGAAAACGCTCGTCCAAGGCCACGACAGACATAGTTTCGGATCATTATCGCGGTCAAGGTGAGTAGTTGTATATGTTATAAAATCTGCGATGAGCTTGCAATTATGAAAGTCGAGGATGTCACGTGATGATCTTGAAGATATGTAGTCCATGAACTCTTTGGCCAACACACACACTCCCGTTTGGCTCATTGTGCTTACCAATTCACTATATTCTTATTTGCAGTGTATCTTTCGAATCTATAAAATGCTTGAGTACGTATGTGGGCTTTTTTTTAAACCTCGTCCAATTAGTGACCTCTTGGCGATTTCTTAGCCAAGGCCATGGTGTTTTCCACCCAGCCATCAGCACCACCGCCTTCCAAGATGGTGTCGTAAACTTCTTGAGTGGGCCATTGGTCAAGATGTGAATTCTCGGTACCCACTATCGCGGCGTTTCGAGTGCTGGGAATTCTCAGCATTTCTCTTTCAACTTTCCAGCCAACACGCACGGCCAAAGCTTCGACTCGTTCTACCAATCCAGCGTAAGTGCTGTTCCCGTTTTTGAGAGAGCTTTTTTTCACGCCGTATCGAGCCCTCTGGCCCGAGAAACCGTGAGAGCAACAAGGAATAACGACAAATGGGTAGCCAAGAAGCGGGATCCAGCATGTGAGCTCGTCGGAGTGGTTGCCTATTATGAATGTGTCTGGTGGGAATTCTGTGACGTTGACGCTGGACGATTTGAGGAGATCTTCGCTGGAGTATACCACCGTGGCAGGTGCGATTTTATCTTGAATCTTTATGGGGAAATATCTGCCGTTGTGATCCAGATCCGGTGCTCGTTTCTTGATCTCGGGATGAGGTCGCAGCAGGATAGAGGGTATTATAACCTGTTCTTGTAGTTTCTTCTGCACCTCCTTGGGATATATTTTCCAGGACTTGCGCTGGCGGGCGTCGATTCCCACGCCGGAAATGCCTTCCTGGAGCAACAAGTAGCACAGAACGCCGTTGCCACACCCCAGATCCCTGAACTGCATCTTGGTAGCGAACTCTGGCCCATAGATCTTGTTCCACAGCTCGATCAAAAACGCGGCAATGGCGATGTCCTCGAAAACGTGTTTTTTGGGATCCGTGCTCTCTGCCCAGTTGTCAACCAAAAACCGCGAGTGTTTCTTTTTCAGCGCGATGTAGCGGTCCTGGAATAGCACTTTGTCGACCACGACATCGTGGGCGACTTTTTTCTCGTAGCCTGCCTTGACACCGGAAGAGTGTTTGTGTGCCGTTTGCAGCAGGCGACGTGCGGTCCTGACAACACGCTCGCCCTCGTCCCGCAGTTCGCGTGCGCCCTGCTCCGCGAACGGTACGTAGTGTACTGACAGACGCTGTTTGTGGAAAAGAATACCCACGGCCTTGACATGCGGAATGTAGAACGGACACAGCTCCTTCTGGTCCAAGTGCGGCGTGTAGATGATCAGAGAAGTTTCCGCGAGCGTCCGTGAATTCAGCAGCAAACACGTCTGATTGATGATTGCGTCCTTGTACGGGTTTCTTGGGATGATTCGCCGTACCATTGTGATTTTCTGCGATAGCTGCAGCTCCGGACTCGTTTCGATCTCGCGTACAGTCACATCCTCCACGTTCACCACCTGAGCCTCAGGATCCGCCACCGTGTGTAGCTCTTTCTTGAATGACACTTCTGTGCCGGTCTCAACGTCATATTCCCATTCTTTCAGCACGTCCGCTCGCAGAATCACCGTCGAGTTTATGTTGGGATGCCGAACCACATTCATCATGGCCATTTCAAAGTGTTTTTTCTCAAAATCAACGCTCTCTTCGGTCTTATACATGCACACCCACTCATTTCCCAGCTCGCTGGGCTCGTGGGCACCGAATCTGATCGACATTGGCCCTCTTATAAGTCTCAAATGGCTGGTTTGATTATCGCTGTTCTCGAGCGCTAAACTATAGTTATACTGAAAAGTGTGAAAAATCGTAATATTTTGTCTTCGTCAATAAGGATTGGTTATTTTGGCTGATAATCATATGAAATTTGACCATGTTGAAGAGATATAAGTATTGAAGATTCAAGATTTCGTAGATTTAGTCGTTATTGTAAGGTTTAGCCGTTTAAAGATGGCTTCTTCGTCTCAGTATGTTGAGGTAGTGGTAGAATTATGCGGAATGCGCGAAAAAAGCGTTTGAAATGGAGCATTTTCGAGGGATTTCAGGCGGTTTTCGATATGAAGGTTGAGATTTGGGCGCAAGTGGGTAATAAGGGAATGAGGCAGCAATTGAGTTAGTTTGAGGTGGGAAAGATTGCTACTGGCTTCTTAAAGCACGGTCTCACATAGTATCATTCTTTTTCCGGTCCCAATTGCACCGTTTTTCACTCTTCTGGTCTTGCTAAACACATGTCACTTGGCTCTGCCTGGTTCATAGCTCACGCAACGCAGTTTGGTGATTTCTCTAAGCGTGTCTTGACTAACATCTTCAGATTCAAACAGCTGGAAAAGCTCGGCAACGGTACGTACGCCACGGTTTACAAGGGTCTGAACAAAACCACGGGCGTGTATGTGGCGCTCAAAGAGGTAAAACTCGACTCCGAAGAAGGAACGCCTTCTACCGCAGTACGTGAGATCTCTCTTATGAAGGAACTCAAACACGAAAACATCGTCAGACTCTACGACGTGATCCATACCGAGAACAAGTTAACGCTAGTCTTCGAGTTCATGGACAACGATCTCAAAAAATACATGGACTCTCGCATAGTGGGTAACACGCCTTACGGCTTCGAGATGAGCTTGGTCAAGTACTTTGAGTGGCAGCTTCTGCAGGGGGTCGCTTTTTGCCACGAAAACCGCATCTTGCATCGCGATCTGAAGCCCCAGAACCTTCTTATCAACAACAAGGGCCAACTCAAGCTGGGTGATTTCGGGCTGGCAAGGGCCTTCGGTATCCCAGTCAACACTTTCTCGAGCGAGGTCGTGACCTTGTGGTATCGCGCGCCGGACGTGCTGATGGGGTCCCGGACCTACTCCACTTCGATCGACATTTGGTCCTGTGGCTGTATTCTGGCAGAAATGATCACTGGCCGGCCGCTTTTCCCCGGCACGAACGATGAAGAGCAACTGAAGCTGATTTTCGAAACTATGGGTACCTCCTCCGAACGCACCTGGCCCGGGATCTCCAACCTGCCCAAGTACAACGCTCAGCAGCCCCAACACCTACCCAAGGACCTCGGAGCCCTGTTGCAGACTCAAACACGCGAGAAAATGGACCTAGCCCTGGTCGATCTTCTGTATGGTCTGCTACAATTGAACCCGGACCGCAGACTAAGCGCTAAGCAGGCTCTGAATCATCCATGGTTTGCAGAGTACTATCAACACTAGCAACGGGAGGCCAGGATCGGTGCCACCGGGGAAAACTTAATTATTATACTATGTACAGTAGAGAAAGGAAAATTAGGTCTATCATTTTACGACATTGAAACTTGGTTTACCGCCATATTTGGTGATTGTTTCGACCAAAGCGTGGTCCTTGATTGCATTGAGCGATACCCAAAGTTCGTCCTCGCATAACAGACCGAAGTCATGGGAACAGAACTTCCGGATAAACTTGCTGACCATTTTCGCCTTGCGGGCGCTTATCAATTGCGCATCATCGAGTTTCTCGCACAGCAACAGTTGCAGCAAGTGGGGAGTCACCGAAACGTACAGGAAATCGATGAAAACAGCCAACGGGTGCGAATCAGCGAAGCTGCGCTTGCCTTGCACGGATATGTGGATGATCAGATTGAGGGCAAAGAAAAGATGATTGACATCTAGCCGTGGAGCGGCGCCATGACTGTCGAGAAAGAACCAATGCATGATGGATTCGGCGACCCATGACGGGTGCTGAATAGCATAATCGAAATGGAGTCGCAAAAGCAGCTGGTTGTACACGACTGGCTTCGCAGAAATATCATTGTCGAAGAAAATGGCAGGCCACTCGTACACGCTTGCCGGGAAATCTCGCAGTGGTTTATTGGTGGCTGGATCGAACTCAAGAGGCAATAGGGGGGTTGCCAGCTCCTTCAGTGTTCCCTCATTGTACTGCTGAAGTCTCAGTTGCTGTGTCTGGTCTTCAGCTTCCACAGGAGCTATTTCGTCGACCGGGTTCAAAAACGAGGGCGTAGCATTCAAGTACCGCAAGAACATGGGATTTTCGAGGGCACAGTCGGCCAAAACGTACCAGGGCCAGTAAGTGTCTCCGAGACGAGTTTTGAGGGCTGCATTGGCGTCAGAGACAAAGTTGGCGCGTAAATACTGTTCGATCAAAAAGGGCGTGGGCTGAAGACACTGCGAAAAGTGCCTATTCAGAAGCGGGAGGGGGCTATTGCGACCGGAGAACACGAAAATGCGTTCGAGCACGTCCTGGGGCAGATCTTGGAGCCGTACTGGCCGTTTTTTCGCGAGGGCATTGGCTTGTCGCTCTGCCGATTTCAGCTCTTTATGTCTGTGCTTTCTGATGTGCTCATAATACACTTTCTCACGCACTTTTTTAGCTCGCTTATTGGGCCGCGTGGCATAACCGCTTTTCACATAACCCATAGACTACCAGTGGGTGCCAACTGGGCGTTGTGTTCGTTTTCCTGGTCGAAAAATGCTCTCTGTTTTTGATACTTTCAGATGCTCGATGAGATTGATGAAATTGGACACTTTTTCACTATAGGCAGAGAAATGACAATTTCACCCATAGTAAATAGAGTTCTTGTGAAAAGACACGGACGAAGTATTGTAGATATATAGCTGAGAGCTGGAGTATATAAAAGGCATATAGTTGATCAAGACTGGGTTTCCGGGTTTTAAAAATGAGCCTTTTTCGTGGAGTTCAGGGTCTTTTTGTGCAACTCACTGTTTTTCTGAAAATTACATGTTTTGTGGAGCAAACTCAACATTAGGTTTTGAAAATTGCCAGTGAAAAAGGAGAGCTCTGAAACTATAGATTTAAGACAAGCTCGACCCAGAAGTTATGCTTGGCTTGCTTGATTCGTTAAATACTAAACACGCTTTCCAACAAGCATGATTTTGCTCTTAAAAGTGCTAAAATAGTGTTTCTCACTTTAAATATTTTGTTGAAGTCCGAATTTCGCTCTTGAGCAACCGTTGAAAAGCCAGAACGCTCATCTCGCGACTGAGAAACCATGCCATCGCTCAAGTCTCTCGACAGCCACTACAGAACCATATTTTAACAAAACACACAGGGCAGCGAACGAGAGATCAATCATGTTGAACGAACGAAATTAGCCGCCGACCCTCGAAAATTTCGTATATGTATAGGGCCAATAACCAAGTGTTTCCTGATCTTCTACCTCAACCCCCGACAGCAACACAAATGGAGGAAAAGAGATGGTGAACATCGAGCCCTTGATGCCGGGGGTGAATGATGGATGCTACACGACGGTGTTGAGCGTTTTGTGTTTGAGACCATTAGCAGGAACTCTTCCTGGTGGTCGTTGCACAGGTGAAACGTACATTCAACAACAGCAAGGGAAGGCGAATTAGAGGCTCTTAAGAAGACCAATGAACGATGTGGAGCAAGTAGCTAGATTACGATGTTGGGGCTCCCCCCCCCCCCATGCTCAAAATTAACACCTGAATAGCACCATATAGCAAGGACTTTCAACGCAGCAACGCGTACCTTTAGCAATTCCCAAGAATTCAGGCACTTTGATCTCCAGTTGCCTCAAATTGCAAAAGTAGTGTTGCATACTGTCTCCCTGCTCTGCTCCCTGTCCTCGCTGACCTCCCTGTCGCTGGCCAATCGGAAGTTCCCGGATCTCAGCTACCATCCCTTGCTGTGCTTCACTCACACGGATATACCGCGGACGATGGTTTAGCCTAAAACGAACCACGATGTCCACTCACAATACACGCTCACAACACACACACACACACACACACACACACACACACACAACGCACAAGCACTGACCGCGGCTGAAATCGTGGCCAACCCGCGGAATTCTGCCCATTTGTTTCAATTCCTTCCTTTCTTAAAGCCTCCTTGTTTCTGCACGGAGAAAAACATGCAAGCTGCCAAATGCGGCGAAACTCTACGCAGTTGCCCAGCTACCGCGTATCGCGCACCGGTTTGCTACCCAAAAAAAAAGCGCTGATCGCTGCGTTAATTCCAGCGTCCACCGAAAGAAACGGACTCCCAAAGAATCTACGCGTTCACCTGTTTTTCACCTGTTTTCCATTTGGATTCTGACCCAAATATCGACTCAAACATGGGCTCTTCTCCTTTCGTCTAGTGAAAAGAGCTCGTTCAAAGTCACTTCGGGCTCAAAGCTCTCGGCTTACTATTTTTTACCTCTTGGTTCCGAAGCTGGGTTTTTCCTCACATTTCGTTATTTTTGCAAAAATGTGAAAACGAAAAAACTTGGCTTTCCCGAAAACAAGGCTTACTTTACTATTACGTTGTTCCCGCGCAGCACCTGGTGTTAATTACAAGAAGAGGGACTTTTTCCAGTGAACTGGAGATCAGTACCACCCAATCCATACCACAGAGTCGAAGCACACTTCTTTAGCGCGCTAAATTATGTCTTCTCTGCGGGTGTTGGCCGTGGGCGACAACACTAATGTGCTGCTATACGCTTGGCGAATCCAGCAGTCGAAAAGTGTGAATTTAACGCATCTCAGCAGCGCCAAGACGTCAGAATATAGCGTTGAAACGGCGCAATATGGCAGTGACACGTTCTGTTTCGAGCAGCACTTTGAAAGCGTGGACCAGATGCTAGCCAGCGGCGACGGAAGCGCCCGGGTGTTCGACCTCGTCATTCTCAGCGCTGCCTCGCTACAGGAACTGTCGAGTCTGGCGGCGAAACTCAACCCGGTGCTGAATCTGAACACCAAGATCCTGGTGGAAAGCTCCGGGTTCGTGCATTTAGAACCCTTTGTCAAAATGTCAATCGATTTTGGCCAACTTAAAGTATTTTCGGTCATGTGTGACTTCGACTTCCGCCAGGTGTCACCATCGCGTTTCGAACAAGCCGCACACCAATTGGCGCCTTGCAACCTCTACCTCGGAGAATCAGGCGTCAAGGGTTCCACCAAGTACGCCGCTGACAATGTGGCTCTCTTAGAGACTTTCAAAAGGCTCTTCGTGAAGCTTTTTCCACAAGACAAGGTCCATGTGTGCAACTTCTCTTATGCGGAATTTCTGTCCCAGCAATGGAAACTAGCGCTTCCTCGCATTTGTTTCGACCCACTATACATTCTGCTGGAAAACTCCCGACCCGAGGAGCTCAATGAACAAATTCTCGCCAAACCTTTAATCTCTGGGCTGGTTACTGAAATTATCACTGTCACCAAGACCATGGGCGCTAAACTACCACCTGGGTTTGACAACGAAAAGGACCTGTTACAACAGTGGCTCAAGACGACAAACAACGAGCTGCCGCAATTGGCTTATCATTTTTGCCAGAAAACCGCTCCCTTGAACGTGGACATGTTGCTGTTGCAGCCAATATTACTTGCCGACGATTACGGTATCAAAACTCCTTATTTGGAGTTCCTTTACTCGATGATGTGTCAGTATCAGAAAATGAATGACGGCGAATCCAAATTGTTTGCTCGTACGAGTATACAGTCGAAAGTTACAGGAGAACTCACTAAGTTGCAACAAGAGCACATCGAACTCAAGTCCCAACTTCACTCTGTCCAAAATAATTTAGCGACTACAAGTCAAAGTCATATGGCTCAAATAAAGGCAAGAGACGATCAGGAACACCACCAGAAAAATGAAATTGCATTTCTTAAAGGGCAGATTGCCAAGCTCAACAGCGACCTAGCAAATGAGCAGCGCAAAGTGAATGGCTTCGAAGCAAATCACAAGAAACTCCTTCAGGATCAACAACATCTTCAACAACAACTGCAAATACAACAATATTCACAGATGCAATTATCCCAGCAGCATCAACCTCAACCCCAACAGGAAAGAGCATTAGAAGGCTCGCAGGCAAAATTGATTTCTTCAGAGTCAGCAAGCAAAAGTTCCTCTACTGGAACACCCAACCTTCGGGACATCGAAGATATTGCTGTATATGGGGTTCATTACGGGTTGTCTCCGTCACAAAGGCCTCAACCGGATGCAAAAGAAGCTCAGCCCGTCCTTGAGGCTGCGACCTCAGCCACTGGCATTGAGGCTCAAGCTGCAAACACTTATAATAATGCTCGCACTTTGCCAGTGGAAGGGGCCGGCACCGACCTACGCGAGCGTGAGCTTGAATTACGCAGAAGGGAATTGGAACTGCAAGAAAAAGAGTTGGAGCTTCAAAGAAGATCCGCGGTAAGACCCAGACCTAACAAATATCAAAGTGCCTCTATGCTACCGTCACACGGAGGCCCAGGTCCCACGGTCAACGGCCAAGGCGCACGGAAACCTTCTTATTCGCAAGCAGGCTCCAGGAACAACAGGCAAATGCATGGGGCCGCACAGCCTGGTATTCCTAACATGATAGACCCCGTTGGTATGCAACATAGTTTTGGACAGCCCTCCGTCTCCGGAGTGCCGGGACAATTGGGACCGGCAATTGGAGCCCCAATTGGTGGAACTTCGGGGTCTCAAGGTCACCCACACCAATTCAAAACTACTAGTCGTAAGAATAGACGCAGTAACATGCCTAATTTGCGCCATGCATCGAGCGTTGACGTTTTGTCTATGGCTGGAACGGGCACTGCTCCACATGGGGCTCCTCCATCAATTGCAGCCAATAGCTCGGGCACCAGACTGAACTCAATGGCTGGGAATGGTCCACCGCCTTCGATGATGCTTAACAGGCCGCAGAATGGCAGTGGGCTGCACTTGAACAACATACCGACCCCATCTTTGCTAGGCCCCAAAGCCGGAGCTCCTTACTCTGCTGGACCTGCTTCCTCAGTGCCCCAACAGCAATTCAGACAAATAAGCTCTAGCACGGTGCTTGCAGAAGATCCGGTCCAGGCGAACATCTCCTCTCACACAGTGGTTCACAATCCCGTTCCACAACAAGTTTTTAATGGACATTCCAGCGGCTCTTCGTTATCAGCTGAGTCCCCATCGGCCATGTCGCCCAATGGCAACATGACGGTCAGCGATCCATCTCCGATTTCGATTTCAGAAGTCAATGGCCAAGACAAGACACCAGTCCCTACTCAAGATGCAGGCACAATGCTTGACACGGGCTTCGAACTCGACGCCAAGGACGCGACCAAGAAGAAGTCTAAGTTTGGCCTATTTGGCAAAAAACGGAACAAGAACTAAGCTTCCATATGGATATCGGCTTGAACCAATAGCAAAGGCGTGAAAGTCAGGAACCGAAACACCTTATGTATTGATCAATATAACGATATGATCATATAGATGAAGACTTGAAAAGAGTAGTATGGTATGAGCGACTGTGGGAGATTCATTACACTATGTGAAAACGAGTGCCAAAAAATAAAAAAAATAAATGGTCTCTAGCGGGATCGAACCGCTGATCCCCGCGTTATTAGCACGGTGCCTTAACCAACTGGGCCAAGAGACCAATTGTTGTTGAAGGAGAAAGATTAGAAGATACCTATGGTTGGTAACAGGGCAAGTGTGAAGAATGGTGTAACGACACGATATCCTAGATGAATACGTCGTCCAAGCTAGAGGGCAGGTATATAGACGATTGTAATTAGAGACAGTTTCAAGTCGACGAGATCGATTTTCTGAAATTTTGGGCTCAGATCGACTTGTGGAAGTAAATCAATTGAGAGAAATGAACATGAAAATAGGTTCGATATTCAGGTAGGTGACAAAGCTGCTATGTTTTACGAATAGATTTTGAGATTGCGGTTGTTGTAAGAAGTCTTTCAGATAGCGTTTATGGCGATGTCAAAGAGTGTGGTGTTTAGAAAAGTAAGTTTACGGTTTAATAACTCAAGGCGTGTCAAAACAAGAATCGCAACACATGAAAACAAGCCCAGAAAAAGGTCTAGAAAGCCACTGTTCCCCGTCATGCTACTATCGTCCTGGTTGGTGGCCTGTCAGCGCCACTTTCCATTGTATGTGCTCGCACCGCGTCACTGATGTACAAAGTGATCTGACTGACAACGTCTTGTGTCTGGAGAGCTTCAACTACCACTGGATAGAACACCCATGTATGTTAAGCAGATCATCTCATATCTACTCCCTCAAAGCGCCTGCCACTCGCTCCACAATATCCAACGCCCATTTCCTCCCACGAAATATCTCTATTGTATTAATTTCCGACCAAAACAACTGGTAAAAACACCAAACTTTCGCCAGATCAAACTGTCAGCTGCCTCAACCAGAATCCATTGTCGACTCACTTTTAAGTTCCCCTTTAAACGTCGATGCCAGCCGTCAAACTCACAATTTGAGACTCTTGAACACATCCAAATATCACTATTTGCCAAAATGACACCACATAGTGAAAAATTTTTTAGAACAGAAGAACTTCGAATGGCCTGAATACTTGAATGAACCACCAGTTTAACACTCGATTTAAGAACTTGACTATACCCAAGCAAGCAGCCTAACTCAATCATTCAAACATGCCAATTGATCAAGAAAAACTAGCCAAGCTACAAAAGCTTTCCGCCGCCAACAAGGTCGGTGGTACCCGTAGAAAGTTTGCCAAGAAGACTGGTTCTTCTGCTGGTGGTAACAAGGATGACACCAAATTGCAAGCGCAATTGGCCAAGTTGCGTGCTGTGACCATCGACCAGGTCGAGGAAGCCAACTTCTTCAAGGAGGACGGCAAAGTGATGCATTTCAACAAGGTGGGTGTCCAGAACGCTCCTCAGCACAACACCTCTGTTTTCTACGGTATCCCACAAGAAAAGACCTTGAACGAGCTTTTCCCATCTATCATCCCTCAGCTTGGTGAAGACTCCATCAACGCTTTGACCCAGCTAGCCTCGCAATTGCAGGGCAGCCAGGCCGGCCAGGAGGCCGCCGGTGCTGCGGGCCAGGACGAGAAGGCTGACGCTGACATCCCAGAGCTCACCGGCCAAAGCTTCGACGCCGACGTCGAGTAATTAGAAACCTAACGAAAGAGCAAAGAGCACGAGCCTTACAGGACTTGGATCCCAGCGTAGGCGTTCACAGTATATATAGACTCAAACACCAAGATTACCAACCCAAAAAAAAGATTCACGAATTTTAGTTTCTAGCCGTTTTAATACACAAAATCAAGAACTTAAAAAGAGTAGTTCCAGATCTGTACTCGTAAGCAGTGGGAAACCTGTCCCACTCGAGCATTCGCGGAGCGCTTCCTCCAAGGGCGGTCCTGGACCGACAACCGGAAAATCCCTAACCATGTCATACCTTGGCCCCGTTTAGCCTCGCCTTTTCCAGTATATCGTTGATGTCCCCGCCTATGCTGAGAAGCTTTTCTCTATTTCTTTTGCACGTCATGGTGTCAAAATGTCTTTTAAGTGCGTCTTTGCGAGCAAAGCCCTTGCCGCAAAGCGAGCAAATGTTGGGCAGTATCGGCAGATGAGCCCTTTCATGTCTTCTTAAATCACTCGATCGCCTGAAAACAAGCTCACATTTGGCACAGGGGAACTTCTTGCCCTCATCGTCTGCAGACCCGGTACCACTGTTGTTAGCCTTGTGTCTGTCTTTGGTGTCATCTCTACGAACAGGTTCCACAGTCTCGAAACGTTTCCTCTTCTTGTTTGCTGTATAATCAGACGAGCCGTGCAAAGACGATTCTGTCGATGGTGAAGCGATATCATGGTTGCTGAGTAGTTGGTCGAAATAGTTCAGAACGTTTTTATTCTCCGGAGCAATGATTTGCTGAGGAGCCCGAGCGATCGATTTTTGAGAGTCTACATACTTCAAGCGACTCAATAGCTCTTTTATGGTTGGATCGACGTTCGCGCTGTTCAAACTCGTTGCTACCAACGCTTCAGCAGCTTGCCGGAAAAATATGGAATCTTCACTCATATTAGGCCAAAAGTTACCGTTTTTTGGGGAGAATGTATTTTATAAAACAGGTACGGTCGCTCCAAATAAGCGTTGATGCTAGTTATAGGCCTCTTTGGCTCCAGTTACCAGGTATTTGAAAGTTAATGTTCGCTGTCGTCAATTGAATGTATTTCATGAGTCTAGTTTTTCAACGTCTAATTTACACATTTAGTCATTAAGTCATGTGATTCGATGAGTGCCATACATGAGTAGTCTTGTCGAGTTTTAAACTGACCTACAACCTCAAAAATGCCGAGGAGAAAACGCTTATTTTGCAGTCTAGAGACTATAAACCTTGAAAGCTTCTTTCTGTTTTTTTCAGGGATTTTTTTGCATCAGTTTTGACGTAGTTGTTATTTAATCAATTATCGCGAAATTAAATCAATAAGTACACTATCTGGCTGACAACTGAACTTGAGAAGGCTATCTCCAGTTGATTGTCAGTAGTTATCATGCTGGACTTAATACCAGTCAATTGGAAAGCTGCTCAGAAAGACCTCATTTTTTTTCAATGTTAGTATCTAACACAATCTCACTATAAACTATGCTTAGGACGAGGTCTAAAGTTCATGAAAATTCGCACATTCCCGCGAGAACAGTTATCAAATCCACTTAAACGTCGCACAACCATGGCGCGTCGTCTCTTTCTCTTATACTTTAACTCTTACCAAATAACAGGTCCATTCTGACACTTCGTTCTTTACTGAAAAATAAAGTCATCGATCGCCTCCTAGCACTTCTCGCTTTCTAGCACAGCTCGAGGGAAACCAAAGGCTGGCCTTACCGACGTTCTTGATGGTGACTGCGTCTCTACGATTGAGCTCGCGACATGCGTACCAGAAATCTCTGTGTTTGCCGAAGACCAAGTTTTCTAATCGATCAAATCTGCAGAAAACCATTGATGTGTTGATCCCACAATGCTCGCAGCAAGTTTACCAAGAGCAGTTCAACGCATTCCTGCAGCATGCAGCAGCACTGGATCCGCCCGAAAGAACGAAATTTGTACAAGACAAGCTCTTTGTTTTACACGATGGCCCACCGTACGCCAATGGAGATCTCCATCTGGGCCATGCCTTGAACAAAATACTGAAAGATTTCATAAACCGATTCCAGCTTTTGAAGGGGAAATACGTGTATTACAAGACTGGATGGGATTGTCATGGGTTGCCCATTGAGCTGAAGGCGTTGCAAAAGCTGGCTGCCGGACAAAATCGACTATCTGCCTCGAAAGTTCGGTCCCTGGCCGCTGAACATGCTCGGAAAACCATCAAAAGCCAGAGAAATCAGTTTGAAAAATTTGCCATTGCCACGAATTGGGATGACCATTACGAAACCATGCAGAGGTCGTTCGAGCTTCATCAATTGGACAATCTCAAAAAGATGATTCACACGGGACTGATCAAACGACAAAATAAACCAGTCTACTGGGGTACTGAGACCAAAACTGCGTTGGCAGAGAGCGAACTCGAATACAAGGAAGACCACCTTTCGATTTCAGCGTATGTGAAGTTCCCACTGACTACGGCGTCCTGCTTTTTCTTGCAAAAGTTTTGTTCATTAGACTCGCAGAAAGGAATAGACGTAGTAATTTGGACGACAACACCATGGACAATCTTTGCTAACGAAGCTATCTGTTTTAATAAGAATCTAGAGTACGGCATTTACGATTTTGGGGACAAATATGTTTTATTGCAGAGCGAATTCGATGTGCAGACACTTAGCGACAAGCCTGCAGACCTCGTTGCATTGATTACTGGAGCTGAGCTGGCACAACTCAAATATACAAGTCCTGTGATGAATGATGTTCGTGAGAGGCCCCTGATGCATGGCGACCATGTAAGCCAAACGGCAGGAACAGGCCTTGTGCACACTGCTCCCGGCCACGGGTTCGACGACTATGCTATTGGTGTTAAAAATGGTCTTCCGATCTTTTCGCCGGTGGATAATGAAGGTCGCTACCGACTTGACGTCTTGCCTGACGCTCTACAAGAAAACCTTAGAGAGCCTGGAGAAGTCTACGCCAGAAAAGTGCTCTCGGAAAACACTACACAGAAGGTTTTGGAACTTTTGCGTCAGTGCCAGATGCTTTTGAAAAGCGAAAAGTACGTGCACTCGTATCCATACGATTGGCGATCCAAGAAGCCAGTCATTATAAGAGCCACCCCCCAATGGTTTGCAGATCTTACAGACGTCAGGGGCTTGGCGCTTGAGGGTCTTAAAAATGTTTGTTTTTATCCAGAAAGAGGCCACACTCGGTTGGCGTCATTCATAAAGTCCAGAACCGAGTGGTGCATATCTCGTCAGCGATCATGGGGTGTTCCCATTCCTGCATTTCACAAACGTGATAATCCCGAAGAGGTCCTGATGAATGAGGAGACTGTCGAGCATGTCATATCCGTCATAGCATCGAAGGGCATCGATGCCTGGTTCAAAGATGACGACGGCGATATGAAAGAATGGCTTTTGCCCAAATACCACGACGTGGCACATCTATACTGCAGGGGTAAAGACACAGTTGACGTGTGGTTTGACAGTGGCAGTACGTGGAAGGAATTGGAGCATTTTTACATCAATGAGTTAGGTTTGGAGAAGGCACCCACACCGCTTGCCGATGTCTATCTTGAGGGCTCGGATCAGCATCGGGGCTGGTTTCAAAGCTCTCTACTCACACGAGTAGCGACTAGTAACCTACCACAGGCGCCATATGGAACTCTTGTTACACACGGATTCACATTGGACGAAAACGGGATCAAGATGTCGAAGTCTATTGGGAACACTGTTTTGCCTGAAAGTGTCATCAAGGGCGACGAAAAACGCGGCATTCCGGCTCTTGGCGTGGACGGAATGCGACTTTTGATTGCACAAGCAGACTTCACGACCGACGTTGTTATAGGGCCCACCGTTACACGGCGCGTAGCAGAATCTTTGAAAAAGCTCAGACTAACTTTCAAATTTATACTGGGAAACTTGCAACAATCCGAGCACGGCTACAAGCTTCTGGACTTTGACAACCTGAGATCCCTGGACCAGTATACACTGAGCAAACTCAAAGAGTTGAACGACGAGGCCTTGAAGCATTACGAGTCTTTCAATTTTTCCAAAGTGCTGACTGCTGTCATGTATCATATGAATAACCATCTTTCGGCCTTCTATTTCGACATCGTCAAGGACTCACTTTACGCTGACGCTGTTGGAGGTCTGAAAAGACAGCAGGTGCAAACGACATTGTTCCACATCTTCGACACTTACAGAAGCATTTTGGGCCCAATCTTGCCGGTAATGGTCCAAGAAGCCTGGAACTTTCTGCCTCGTGACTGGCACCAAGATACCAGTACTACACATGGTTCCACACCTCAAAATTCCCCGCTACTACGTCCCTGGGCGCGTCTCCAAGCTCCAGTGTCGCCAGAACAATGCCAAAATTTCGAGCAAAACGAATTGAGAATTTTGGAACTCTTCAATCAGGAATTCAAAAAAATAAATGGCCTCACCAAAACCGCTCAATCCCAGGCTACAATACTACTTCGTGACGATACAAAATTCCCTTTTTCCGCAGATTCGTTGGCAGATATACTCCAGGTTGGCCATTTGCGCATAAAAAAGGCGTCCTCTCATCCTGGAGCTCGCTTCAAATTGGGCACAGGAGCCGAAGTGAGTTTAGTGGTCGAACCCAGCGAGCTTCACGAATGTCCCAGATGCTGGAAACACAACTCGCTGACACCGGAGTCGCTGTGCGAACGCTGTGACGCCGTAGTCGTCAGGTGATGAGCTTCTCAACAACAAATCTAATATAAGAAAGAGAGATCCATAAACTCTGAGGAAGTCTCATCCCAGAGATCTTGTACATAGAACATGTCGCTTAGCAGGTGGCAATTAGGCATTCAACAGTCTTACAAACGATGCTTTCCCACATCTTTTAGTGCTGGTCTTTTAGTGCATCCTAATATCACCAGAATAGCTCAATTACGGTGCAATTCGACTCAAAATCAAAGTAAGAATCAAGAACCTGTGGGTCCACCTCAAAACCTAGATAGATTGCACAAGTTTATAGCCAAATCCCGGTTTCTGACCAAGCTGAACGAAAAGCCCAAATTTCGTGCTTATTTCGACAAACTGGCACACACGAGCCCTGTCAGCACCATTACGTCGTTTCTGATTCTGCATGAGATCACGGCAATTGTTCCACTCTTTGGGCTGTGGTGGGCTCTATACAAACTGAATCTGGACGAGCAGTACAACCTGCCCGTATATTTCAAAGAGCTGCTGAACCAGTGCGGAGACTCCATCGAAAAGCTGGTCGACAATTACGACCAGGGCTTCGACCGTAACCGTCTCATTCTCTCGGGTGCGGTTTCGTACGCCATTGTCAAAGTTCTGTACCCCATAAGGGTGCTAGTAAGTTTGTGGGCGGCGCCGTTCTTCTTGAAGTGGGTTCTGGCTCCATTTCGAAAGCTCGGCCAGCTCTTCAAGCGTCAGAAGCCAGCCAATCCCACGGATTTGAACGATAAATAACAAAAAAGCTTATAGACACACACCCTAGCCTGACTGCTCCCCATTGCCCTTAACGTAGCACAGATCTTGCTTTAATCTCCCCACAGTCATTGTGTATCGTTTTTGAAGATGTTCATAAGACCCAGTATCCTAACGAACTGATCTAACAAAAATCACAACTGCAACTTACAGCATGTATAACGCCCTCAGCCAGTATCCCAAGGTTGGCCAAGAGCCCCAACAACCCTCGCACAGTGCCCGGCCTCAGCAAATGTCAGATATCAAAGCCGGGACCTCCAACAGCAGCGGTAAACCTCTGCTGATGGCCAGCAGTAACGTCTTCTCGATAGGACCTTACAAAAATCGCAAAGATGCCAACAGAGTATCAGTGGTGGAGAAATACGAGATCATAGGCTACATTGCAGCTGGCACTTACGGCAAAGTTTACAAAGCTCGCAAGAAAAGTCCTGTTAAAAACGGCACAGCTTCGTCACCTAGCGATAGCGAGTCATCGGTGCCAACGACATCAAATTTGCCACTGGGCGGCCACGAGGCCCTAGATGTCAACTCAATCAACAAATCTACAAGAGTCCAGGACTGCAGCACTTCCCTTCCATTTCATAATCAAGCTCAAGAGGGCCATTCAGATCATAAATCAGATATCGTACAGACACCTGGAAATCCGGGAAATCCAGGGCCTGTCATCATTGCATCGCCGACCAAGAAGTCTCCAATGCTGTTCGCTATCAAAAAGTTCAAGACTGAACGGGAGGGTGTGGAACAGCTGCATTACACCGGGATCTCGCAAAGTGCTTGTCGAGAGATGTCGTTGTGCCGAGAACTTCGAAATAGACACCTTACAAACCTGGTAGAGATCTTTTTAGAGCACAAAAGCATCTATATGGTCTCTGAATTTGCAGAACATGACCTGCTCCAAATCATTCACTTCCACTCACACCCAGAGAAACGTCTTATTCCGCCAAGAATGCTAAAGTCCATTGTATGGCAGATCCTCGATGGCGTATCGTATCTGCATCAGAACTGGATTCTGCACAGAGACTTAAAACCTGCGAATATCATGGTGACAGTCGATGGTTGCGTCAAGATTGGCGACTTGGGCTTGGCCAGAAAATTCCACAATATGGTCCAGACGCTCTATACAGGCGACAAAGTGGTGGTAACAATTTGGTATAGAGCACCGGAATTGCTGCTGGGTGCGCGTCACTACACGCCGGCCATTGACCTTTGGGCTGTAGGATGCATTTTCGCCGAGCTGATAGGGTTGCGACCTATCTTCAAGGGCGAAGAAGCTAAAATGGACTCTAAGAAAAGCGTACCATTCCAGGCGAACCAACTACAGCGTATTTTGGAAGTGTTAGGGTCTCCGAACGATAAGACATGGCCAGACATCTACAAATATCCAGAATGCGAGCAGCTTGCCAAATTCCCCCGCTATAGAGACAACTTGCCAGTGTGGTACCATTCTGCAGGTGGTCGGAACAAAGAAGCTCTAGACCTTTTATATCTACTGCTTCGATATGACCCAATTTCAAGAATTGATGCTGTTGATGCTCTCGAGCATCCATACTTCACCAACGAGGACCCTACAGTGTGCGAAAATGTCTTTGAAGGACTCAATTACAAGTACCCCCCAAGACGGATTCATACAAATGATAACGACATAATGAACGTCTCCAATCCCAAGGCAAAACCAACTACTCTCAATCCCCAGGCCTCTGCTTCCAAAGGCGCTGCCAATGCATCATTGGGAGGGTTGGGAGTTAATCGAAGAATTCTTGCTGCTGCTGCGGCTGCTGCTGCAGCGGTATCGGGAACAAACTCGTCTTCAAGGCCGGCGTCGTCAGGAAACGTTAACGGACCCGCACGAAAAAAGAGGAGGTGAACGCAAACATGGCGTGGGGATTAGTTTACGGAATGATGTACATCGAACTATTAGCGACATATGCCGCTATCTATGTTACAAGTATTTAATGCAAAATTTTGGGTACGTGCAGCGACAAAAACGTCGCCAATCAAGCTTTCCCAGTTAGCCGCACGCGGTAACATTATGCCAAGGATGATTTCGCGAGTAACTGCTCACTTCTTGCTTTGCTTTCTCTTACGCTTGAAACCGATCAATCTTTTGATATTTTCGTCGACACCGGATTTCTCAGATTTCTCAGATTTATCGTTGGCATCTTTTTGAGACTTTTTGCCATCGTTTTTCTTCGACTTCTTGTGGGCATTAGATTTATCCTCTGCTTTTTCATTTGCAGGTTGCTCACGCTTCCTCTTGACGGACTGTTGAGCATTTTTGTGAGCCTCCTGTCTTCTCTTAACCACATTAGCATTTTCAATGGCAAATTCAACACACAGACGCCGGCGGGTTAGCCCCTCAACATCCACATTCTTTTTCTCTTCCTCATCAAGACCTTCTAATAGCTCATTTATTTTGACTTCATGCGCATTCAGCCATCTTAGGCCCATAAGAGCAGCTTTGTGATCTCTGAACTCAACGAAACCGTAACCACGACTTCTACCACTGGAAGAGCCTTTCACTTCCATGATAACTTTGGCTTGTCTTACAACACCTTGTTTCTTGTCTTTCTTCTTCCTCGCTGAGATTTCGTCCTCGCTCATGAACTTGTACTTCTCCTTTGTCGATCTTTGAATTTCTTCCTTACTCAATGGATGTCTTTTCTTCAAGGTGACTTCAGTTGCGAACTCAACGATAGCCTTACGCGCAAGCGCCTTCAAAGCTTTGTCAGTCATGGCCCTTGGAAGGTTTCTGACAGCCAATCTGGTCAGCGAAAGATGCAAACTTGGGTTCTTTTTGAGCTGTTCCACTCTGAGCTTATACGAGGCGTCCCTAATTTCCATATCCTTCGCGCTCAACAGCTGGGAAAGCTTGGAGCCCTCTGTAATTCTACCCTCGTTAAGCAGGTACAAATTACGCTTGTCTCTAGTAGTTGGGGCCTTACCGAATGTCTCTTTACGCATCGATGCATTTCTCTCGGCGTATCTACCCGCTGATTCTCTGTCCAGGGAAGGTGTAATAGACAGGATTCTGCCTTCGTACACGTATTTGTATGGGACATCGTCACTGATCAATAAAGAAGTGGTGCCAGAGGCTGGTGCATTTTTGACACAGTCTTCGAATGCATTTTGATCTCTGAATGCAACAAAAGCAGACCCCTTAGCGAGACCTGTTTCTTTGTCGAAAACAGGAAGCGCGTATTTGACGGGGCCAAAGTTGCTAAAGTGCTCTTCCAAAGATTCCTTTGTAGCATCGTAGGGCACATTACGAACGAAAATCGACCATTGTTCTTGTCTGTTCTGTTTAGGACGTTCTTCACGGTCCTCTTCTCCATCGTCTGAACTCATGGCGTCGACTGCCTCGTCCTCGCTATCTTCAGCGCTTTCATTTTCATCCTCACTAGCAGCTGCATCCTCATCTTCAGCGCTGACGTTGTCGTCTTCCTCGACTTCTTGGTCTTCCTCGTCTTCCTGGTCCTCCTCGTCTTCCTGGTCCTCCTCATCTTGTTCTGGCTTCAGAATCACTGGTTGTTCCTGCTGGTGCTCTTCCCACTTGTTTTTCTGCACTGCAAAATCGACTGCCACCTGTCTGCCATCGATTTTCAAGTCCTTGGATCCCTCGATGGCCGTTTTGCAGGCGGCCAGTTTCTTCATCGTCACAAAAGCAAAGCCGCACAGCTTTCCATCTGGTTTCTTAGGGATCTTAGCCTCCACAACGGTACCGAAACGCATGAATATTTTTTTCAGTTGATCTGGGTTCCGCACGCTCCAGGGCATATTTCTAATGATCAATTTGGGTTTACCACCAAGCATTTGTTGTTCTCTCTCTTCCACACTACGCACAACAGCTTCTGGTCTGTTATTCCCCGCCCTGTCTCTTCTTTTGGCCACGTCTACTCGCAATAGTCTGCCCTTGAACTTGGTCTTTCTGGCCTTCTCCAGCGCTTCTTTAGTATCATCTTCCACTGCGAAACTCACAAACCCAAATCCTCTGGATTTCTTCTCCCCATCTTTGACAATCACCGCGTGCTTGATTGGTGCCAGATCAGCGAAGTAAGTCGCCAACTCTTCGTCTGAGGCATCGAATGGAATCGAACGCACGAAAAGCGTCTTCATATCGAGCAAATCTCGGTTATTCGAGCTCTCGTTTCGTACAGATTTCGTCCTATCATTTCTCGACGTCATAGTATCTGTGTGAATCAACGACATGGCTCGAAATGTGGTTTACTTCTTGATCTTCAGCCCCAAAAGTCTAGTCGATGAGCTAGTTGAAGAGATGCGATGAAATGCGATGCCCTCTTTAAACACTCGAAAATTTTCATAATGTGGGAAAGAAAGTGTTGATGTCACCATCCACGGATTATTTAAAGTTAAATTTGATGTTTAAGAATTGGGAACTTTTGACGCCTAAGAAATGTAAACATAAACATACACCAAAATAAGGAAACCTTGTTGAACAACAAGTGCTGAAAGGGTATTTTGGTGAAAGTTACTGTTCTATCGTGGCTCTCTTTAATTCATGAGCCTGAACAACGATTCTAAGTACGATATTGGCGAAAATGTGATTTATAGAAAGCTACTTAAGTTGTCGCGCGATATAAGACATGAATTCGCGCAGCGATGGCTGTCTCGAGCAGGGACAAGTCAGTGGCGTAGCATATCAAAGGTCTTGGCAAGAGCGTCTCATGCAACGGACAAGAAAGCTGACACTAAAATATGTCGGTATTTAGCAGCCAAAATGTGTGTTCTGGGTATCAATTTGGGCCAACTCGCGGAGCTTGACTGTCTAGACGTGTTCGAAAATGGCAACCAGCATAGATGGTCAGTGTTGACCGCTACGGACGCGAAAAGAAAGCGAGTTTCACTGCGCGTCGTGCCCGAAAAAGTGGTTAGTTCACTCGTAAAGGATTTGGAAGGTCTTTTTCGCATACACACATACGTCAAAACACACCCCAGGCTGCCGCTACTCATATTACGCGTTCAAATTTTTGACTTGGAGGATCCCACTCAATCATCCAGGCCTGCCAGTAGGATGCCCTTCTACGTCGCGCTCCCGCACAATTCAGCCACGCTTATTTTCTCGGCCTTTGCTGACGTGGGCGCAAAGCTGATAGTCAGTAGTGTGATGAGATGCGTATGTCATAAAGATGGCATTGTCTTTGAGAAAATCAGAAAGACACCGATACGAAATCTCGACACCGTCGCGGTTCTGTGCAATATAACGCGTGATGCAAACGCTATGGGACCATGGAGCGATTATGCAAGCAGTGCAATTGAGCCTTCACCTTTGAATATTGCGAAGCTGCGCGAGCTGCCTAAATTGTCGTCCCTTCGAGCCTCAAGCCTCAAAGAGAGATCTCGATTGAGATTCAGAGGTGCGATGCTTCAAAGCTCCCGAATAGCTGCAAAAACGGGGGAGCAATCAAGCCACCAAGTTCCCGAGTACAGCTCTTCTCTCGCAGTGCCTCGAGTCGACTTCACAGTGCATAACAAATCGGCAAATAGCCAAGATGTTCGTTTCAAAATGAAGCTTTTTGGTACAGACGTCTTTGGCGGGTTGCATGAACTGTGTGACCATAATTACATCGATCTCGAGAAAATGCCTGGCTGGATAGCAGGTGAAAACGGCCCACGAAATGGGACTATCTATAATGGTGATTTTAAAGAGGATATGAGGTAAAGTGGCGCTCTGAGATAAACTCTTAGACTTTATTCATAGTTTCTGTTATAAATGCTCTCAATTGGGGCTCGTTGGCTGGCACTTGCTTGTAGATTTCTTTCAGGCCCGCTACGTCCTTTTCTTTGGAGGCTAGTTGAATCGCATCCTGAAAAGAGGAACAATTCAAGTACATCTTCAGTCTCTTCTCATATGGTATTCCAGATACCATGCGGACGTATACGGCAGCTTCTTTTTTCTTCTTTTGTTGCAGGCAACGTTTGTAGAAAGTCATATAGCCAATTGGTGACTTTCTCTCCTGGGAGAATTTATAAAGGTCTTCAAATCTCTGATCTTGAGCCAAGAGCTTGCATTTAATGTGATAGTACTTTTGATCTGATATTTTGAATTTTTTCAATAAAGCGGCCAACGGCCGGTCAAGACGATTGCTTATAAGCTTTTTGATCGTCTCGTCCAAAGTCGCATTCACAAAGCTTAAGCCATGAGCTTGCTCCAAGTGCTTTTGTAATTCCGTCAAGTGGATCTGGCGCTCAAGGATATCTCGATCATTTTTGACTAGTGGATCGTGAATAATTCGGCCAAAAAGTTCTTTAACCTGAGGCAGATACTCATTCGAGGTCTCACTCTCTGCTCCTTGGGTCCATAATTGATATGCGAGTTCATTCAGCTGATCTGACTGACGATAGTAGTCAATAAGAAAAGTGTTGTCGTTTCTGCAGAAGTAGGCAAAAAGCTGGTCATCGCGCATCACCAACAATATGAGCTTAGTAAATTGAGTGGTTGTGAGCTGCTCACGTAGTTTGAGCAGTACTGAAAGAGTCATTTCTGGATTTCCATAGTCCTTTGCTTTTTTGAGAGCCAATTCGTGTTCATCAAGTTCAAATAATGCAGGAAACTCAATTTCAGGTAGTGCTTCTTCAACTACCAAGTTTTTGGCCAAAATAGGACGCCCTTCCCTCAAAGCTGTCATTCCAATGTCTGCCATGGGCAATTTGACGGGTAAAGTTGCCGCTAGTTTTGAGATAGAGTCGAGAATAACATTGTCGTCTAATTCGGATGATGAAATGATTTTTGCATTTGCCCATGTTGCAAATATGGTCGCGGTCCTGTTCCTAAGCTTGAGAAACTGGCAAATAGAAATACACTCGTAAAAATCTCCCGTTTTCATTAGTCGCCTCAACAAGGTGTCAACTCCGAGTGATTTGAGCCGATCGACCGTAAGTATTATGCCCTTTTCAGTAAGCCTATTCAGCACTCTCAGCTTATCGCAAGTATCAACGAATACATCAGATTTTTGAGATTCCTTCGCTAGAGAGCTTTTACCAAATGCAGCGGCAGAAAGTAGCTTTTTTTGCCAGTATGGTTCGAGCTCGTCTCGAGCAGCATCCAGACATTCTGCAACACCTTGGTCTAAATTTATAATTTTCAAGTTCTCAACCGCGCGCGGTGCTTGAGTAGCCAGAAGGCTGACCGAGTCCAGAAGTATTGACCCAGGCTCTGTAGAGCCCATCAAGAAAACGTTCGCAGTGTGATGGTTTACTCGTGATATCAAGCGTACCCGCTCCTTTGTGATAACTTTTAGGCCGTCCAAGTTAGTCTGAAATGTTATCAGCTCCTCAGGATACCAAAAGGTGACGCTAGATGAGTCGGGTCCGTAGAGCTTGATTTCTTCTTCATTGAATGAGCACGCTATTGTGTCGTCTCCACACCAGGCGATTGTGTTAGGGTGTGACTCTAGTTTAAATTCCATCAGTCTCGCTTTGTCGTTTCTGTAAATCTTGATTTCATAGGACTTTGCATTGTACAGGCAAATAAAGCTTTGAGGAGAAATCACTACCGAATGCCACGACTCATTGCTGGTTTCCTTCAAAAGCAGCTGAGACTTAAGATCAAAGTGGTAAACGCCATCCACATCCAGCAAAACAACCAAGTCTCTATTGCAATGCCAATGGTTCTTGGTCAAAAGCGTGAACTGTTCTTTGTTTTCGCATATCCTGACCAGCTTTTCACCATTAAACTGGTACAAGTCTTGCGAGGATAATAGAACAGCAGTTCGATTCTTAAAGTCCCAGATTGTGTCTTCAACCTCTTCACCCAAGAGATAATCGCGAAACTGTAACGGTATCCAGTTGAAATAAACCCTTAAACGGTCCGTCATAGCAATGGCAAGCGACCCCTCATCCTCTAGATCGAACTCATAATGCACTATTTCGCTTGGCAGCGTAGAGATCTCGATTTTGCCCACGCATTGCCCGGTATACAGGTGCACTTCGATAGAATTTTCTGTTTCTACAGCTAGTACAGTTGACGAAAATACCATATTGTTTTGAGAATCTGGAGGAATTCTGAGCCGACACAGCTCTCTGTCCCTGTAAAAAACATCTTGTAGTTTTTCCCAGCCTAGACTTGGATTTTTGAATGCCATTGGGCGGGTTCTCACCTCTCGTTTTGGGCAGAGCGTGCTGTATTTCCTAGGTACGAGTTAGAACATCAGATATCATAAACTTGACCTAACGAACTTTAAAGATCAAAGTGATAGATTGAAAACTACCAACCAAAGAAAGCGAGAAAGTTTCGCCATGTCAGAGGTGATTTTGGTTTCGAAAAGTAGAGTTGAAGTACCTATATCTCGAGAGGCAGCCTCGGTGTCGCCCGTGCTGCGTAGTATGCTGTCAAATCCATTTCTAGAACAGCATCAAAATAAAATTGAACTTCTGGACATAGAACCTCATGTCCTGCAAAAGGTGGTTGAATATCTGGAGTATCACCAAAGGTATATGCTGGTGTCAGAAGACGAGGATATTCCGGATTTCGACATCCCCACTGAGATGTCTTTGGAACTTCTGCTGGTTGCTGACTACCTTAACATTTAGAGACCTACTACAAAGTTTCGAGAGCTATAAAATGACAAAGTTGACTTTGGTGGTCTTCGACCGCGCAGCAGTGAGAGGACAGTAAGGACACTTGAAATTGCAAGTCCCGTTTTTGCTCAGTTTGTCAAGACTGAATTTCGAGATGATGTGGTGACAAGGAAGAGCGTAGGGCGGGTTTTCCGTAGTTGTTTCCTCCTTAAGAACCGGGCATATGAATACGGGGTGGAAACTCGTCAAGAAATCCGGAAGCTTAACGTTGAACGGCAACTCGTTTTCCGTGCTCCAATCGATGTGACGAGCAGCTTGCAATGTTCTGTACTTGATGAAAAACTGGAAAGAAATTATCCCGCTCATCACGACCAGGAACAGCGATGAATTGAAAGGAAGGCCGTTTCGAGCACAGTACTCCTGCGTGAACAGGTCCATGCATTTTTTTCGTTGTTCGTCGAGGTTGTGGCCCGATTTAGGCGGAGCCACCACGACTTGTGCCAACAAAGGAGCCACCCTGTATCGCAGCGATGTCTTTCGGGTCTTACTCAAAAACCCGGGAATATGTTTCAGTAAATATTGGTAGGTAGCAAGCTTGTCACCGCTGCGCAACAAGAACATGGCTCTCAAAAGGTGAAGCTCAAACTCGAGGTCGGAGCCCTCGGAACACCAGGCCATGCATGCTTCCAAATTGTCACGAAGAAGCTCACGCATGATTTGGGCTAGCTCCACGAAGTTTGCTGACACCAACGGGTCTACACCGTACACGTTCTCCAGATACTCGACCATGGCGCCGGAGTCCTGCTCGGGTTCGTCACAAACACTGTATCTGGATATGTGGAGACCTATGGCCTGTTCTACGTGTTTTCGTGCGCTTGGCGAAAACTGGTTGGTGTACACCTGATCCAGCTCAAAGTCGTATAGCTTGTTTAACGCATTCTTTTGAAATTTGGAGTGTTGCTGGGTGGCTAGCTTAATATTTTTCTTCATACCAGTTTCCCAGTTCTTGTGCATCTTGTTGAGTTTCTCGATAGCCACTTGACGCTTTTTGACCAGTTTTGCTGAAGTTTTGTTGTTCTGGCCCTCTTCCTGAACTTGCTTGGTTATATAGCCCTTCAATTTCTTGACATTGATTTTGAATTCGTGAGTATCCTCTAGACACTTTCTCAGATGAGTTCGCCCCGCAGCAGCTCCATCGTTGAGCTTCTGACACTCGTTTCCCAGTGTCTTTAGCAGTTCTGACATCAAATATAAAACCAGTTGAAAAGCGGCCAAAACGAATGGTTCAAACCGGATTCTTCTGTGACCACAATCTAGACACCTTTTCCCAGATGATCCAATCCTTAAGAGCTTCACAGATCGCTTGCTGAACTCACCCAACCTCTATAAGTCGTTGGTTCTTGCGTTAGTCTATAATCCCTTGATACTCATCGATTAGCGTATCCAGACAGACATTGAAAAAGATCAGGTCGCGATAAACGGATGGGTCAAAAAGAACTGAAACGTCTGAAGAGAGGCCCGTTATCCGTCCTTTTGCCTGATCGCAGTGCTAGTTCGTTTCCAGGCGAGTCAAAAATGTATTTTAACCGCCCCGTTTATGCCAATTCTTCTAGCTTCTCCTACCACGGCTCAAACACCTTTCAACGTGTGCTGCGAACCGATTTGCCGAGACGTCTCTGTTGCAATTGTCACAGTGAAAATAAATAGCACTATCTTGCTGTTTTGGCATCCCATGAATGTCAAGATTGCCTGATTTGTCGTAGTAGTAGGGCTTCGGATCATCGCCATATCTAAAACGCAGAGCTTGGGCTTGCGTAGTGGTCCGTGCAACAATGTCTTGGATGATTGTGGATATAAGATTGTCGTAGATCGATTGAGACGTACTCTCTATAGTTGGAGGCGACATTGTGAAAGCGCGAGAGCCAGTTGCGATCTCCCTGTCCCGTCCTTCCTATCAAACTGTGTAATCGCTTGGTGTAATGATATCATATACAGTTTACGTATTTCAATTTAACTATTTTTCAAACACATCAAATCCCGTCGTCCAACACTGAATCCAAGAAAGCGTCAATCAAGACTGGGTTTAGAAACAAAAAAACTATTAACAATGCTAGCTATGCTGAATATCCAACTTGATGGAGTCGCACGTAAAAAACCGTTTCCCTCGTAGTTTGTCTTTTTTTTTTACTTTTTGTTCTTTTGAATTCAGCGACTTAACCATAGGTTAGACCCAACTGTGAGTTGTCCGCTGAAGAATAAATAATAAATAGCATCAAAGCCTAGACCGCTTACACTCATATGTGTTTGTTCTTGGAGGGGTGTTTTTTGTTTCCTAAAGTTTGGCTTGTGGGTTTGTTGAACGACGGGGTGCCACCGACAGAGCTTCACGCTTGATCTTGTCGCCTAGCGTCTTGTCCACGCGGGAAAACATCGAGAATACTCTTTCCTGGATCTCAGGACAGGCGTGGGCAACGTGCACGGCCACGTTATGCGCTAGAGCCTCCTGCTGACCTGGGGTACGGCCAAGGACTTTGTAAAGACCACGAGCCTGGACGAAATCTCCGTCTCCTGGGGAAGTGGCCCAGTGGAACGGCATTGCCGGACCAGTCCAAACCTCTTGATGCTGCTGGATGGGCTTGGAGGCCTGGATGTAGTTGTAAGTCTTGGCAGTAGATAGGTAGTTGGGTTCAGAGCCCAAATTGCCATCCACATTCATAGGACCATCTCTGATAGAGGGGTTGAAAGCTTTGGAGGCGTATGGACAATTGACCGGGATCTGGTGGTAATTGGCGCCCAATCTGTGTCTGTGGGCGTCGGGATACGCAAACAAACGCGACTGCAAGACCGGGTCGGCACTAGCCTCTTGGTATGGCACGGTGTGGCTGGGAGAAAAGGCAACTTGCTCCACTTGAGCGAAGTAGTTTTGAGGGTTTTCATTAAGCACCATTTTACCGATCCGACGCAATGGGAACTGTTTGTGGGGCCAGATCTTGGTGAGGTCAAAGACAGAGAAATTCTGCTGTTTGGCCTGCTCTTCGGTCATAGTTTGGATGTAAACAGTCCATGAGGGGCAGTTTCCCTCTTTGATGCTTTTGAAAAGGTCTTGGCCGCAGTAGTCTGGGTTTTCACCAGAGAGCTTGACGGCTTCCTCGTTGTTGAGGTTTTTGATGCCTTGATCAGTCTTGATATGGACTTGGACGTAGTACCACTCGCCCTTCTTGTTGGACCACTTGTAGGTGTGACCAGAGTAGCCGTTCATGGTGCGGTAGGACGCCGGCGTGCCGCGATCGCTGAAAAGGATCATCACCTGGTGAATAGCCACTTGGTTTTCGGGCGTGGTCAAAAAGTCCCAGAACATGTCAGCGTCCTTCAAGTTGGTCTGAGGATTGCGCTTTTGGGTGTGAATGAAGTGAGGAAACTTGGCTGGGTCCCGAATGAAAAACACGGGTGTGTTGTTGTAAACCCAGTCCAGGTTGCCCTCCTCGGTGTAGAACTTGGTAGAGAAGCCACGAGGGTCTCTGGCAGTGTCTGCAGAGCCCTTTTCGCCGCCCACGGTGGAAAACCGTGTCATGCAGCGGGTCCGCTTGCCGATCTTGTTGAACATGGCCGATCCACATACATCCGAGATGTCGTCGGTCACTTCAAAGTACCCGAACGCACCGGATCCGTGTGCGTGTGGATTCCGTTCTGGGATACGTTCACGGTTGAAATGCGCCAGTGAGTCCAACAACGTGAAGTCTTGCAGCAGCAGTGGTCCGTGCTGTCCCACGCGCTGCGAGGCAAAGGGCTCGTTGATCGGATTGCCCTGAGAGTTTGTGACAATGCGATCTTTTCTGACGCTGGATGCGTTGGTAGGGTCTTCTTTAGCCATGTTGGTAGTGTTTCAAATCAGGCCTTTTTTTTAAACAATTGCACGAACGTCCTCGTAGCACGATCTTTACAATACGTACCTCAAAATCAACACGTTCAGAGATGTTTAATCAAGTCTGATCAACACTTCTCTGGTACGGTCTGATTCACAAAGAAGTGTCAAAACATTTGTCAAAACCGCCTCTTTATATAGTCGTCAAATTGCCAAAATTTAGGGTCATCATTTTAGCGCCAGCTTATCTATTTGGGCGGGAATATACTCCAATTTTCTAAAAACCGGGGAGCTCCAGTACGTCGCTTTGAACGAAGAAGGGAGTTCCCGATCGGGTTATTGTAGACGAGACGGAGTTCGTAAGGAATTGATATGGTAGAAGCAGGAACTGTGAAGTTCCCATAATAATGTGCATATACCAACATGAGTGAATAATGCAATAGAAATGGGCTATTCGGGCTTGATAGGTCTGATTTGATGGAAATATCGTGGTGCAAAAAGAATGTGATCACTATTTACGGACCTGATGTTTTAGAAACAAAGGCGTCCAAGTGATTTTGGAATTAAATCACGGGAAAAATTGGGCTCGATTGGACTAGGAGAATCTAGAGTGTCCATGTGGTTGGGGGAGCGGTCAATCGTTGAAATTAGAGAGGTTCTTTTCTTGGGTTTCAGGCGGAAGATGCGTTATATTTATCGTCTTCCGTATAAAGTGATGTTGCAGAATATTAGATCATCGCTATGAGACGTGATGAGAAGATCGATCGCTGGATCGATAGAGAGTAACTATCTCGCTAGCGCTTGCAATTCTTTTGCAAAATATCGGATGTTGAGAACAGCACCGTTGAAACTGGCCTTGATTTTCTCGCCGGTGTGTCCAACAGGACGGAATTTGAATGGAGCGGTGTGTTTTGAATTTTCTACAGGATTGGAGTGATGTCCTCCGCGGAACTGTAGTATATATCGGGCTTTGAATAAATTCCCAAGGCTTCTTAAAGCCAGAGGCGCCACTTTGAGCGTTTCCTGGGATGTATGTGTATTTGTTAGCTGGTCACGTGACTCATCAATCTGTGACACTCGAAGCTGTCCACGGGGTCCAAGGCAAGCTTCGGAACATTTGTGCAGCACAATAAACCTATTTGCAATGTATCATGTATCACTTCCAAATTGTCAGTCATCAATTGTCCAGCCATTAGTTTTTACATTTTCTGTCCTGCTGGGTCCTATAATCATTATACTCAGACAGAACATCACTTTATACTAATCTGTCATATGGCATCACTACGGTCCCAGACCCATACCGCTCTCGAAAACCCTCCACAAACTATCACATAATCACATTTACACTGTTTAATCTGCGCCTGTAAGTAGCGACACAATTGTTTCTCTTACAAATTACGCCGGTTTTACGATCAAGATCGTCACATCACCTTCAGTTGGCATGCTTATTTGAGAACTTTACCGTCGGCAATTTCTCTTTCCTTGTCGTCAACGACAACAGGCTTGTCCCAAGCCCACATGTTACCAATGAAGTCCTTGTCTTCTGGCTTGGACACGTCCAGTTTCGCATAAGAGTACGATTCCCAGTCAGGAGCGACATCGAAAGCTGGGACGAAATCCTGGCCTCTCACCATGACGGCACCGGTAATACCGTTGTCGTTGTTTTCACCGTAGACCACTAGACAACCAAACATGTACTTGACAGAGCCACTGAGTCTGTTGAAAAACCCGCCCACCAGATTATTGGACATGAAGGTCAAAGTCAACTCGTCGTTGTATTTGAAGTCCACTTTCCAAATAGAGTACTCTTCTGGATTGTAGTTTTCCCAAAACCAGGGCAGAGCACCGGTTCTAGTGTCTTCATTGGAATACTTCCGTTTCCACTCGTCCAAGGAAAACGTGGACTTGCCCAGCGTCTCTAAGGGATGTTTGGGCTTCTTGGGCTCGGCTGGTGGTTCTGGAGCGGCCTGAGCCTTAGCAGCCGGAGCTTTGACCGTAGCTGGGACGTCCTTTTTCGATTCCTTTTTAGCTTCCTTCTTCTTGTTAGTTTGGGGCAGTGGCAAGGGCTTGTCACACGTCTTGAGCTCTGCGAAGAATTCTTTCAAATAGGCGCTCTCTTTGACAGTGTTGTACCAACGCATAGTGGCTGGGTGAGCTGCACGCCATTCGGTACCAAAAATATTCTCAAAACATCTGCCATACACACAAGTGGCGAAAAGGTCCGCTAGAGAGATGTTTTCAGTGGCCAAGTACGTGTGCGTAGAGAGTCTTTCCTCGTACAGGGCAGCAACGGCCTCAATCTTGGCAGAAAACGCGTCAGCCTGGGGCTTGACGTAAGGAGCAAGCCCCTTCAAAGGCTTCACGATGATGACAAACGAGACTAGCAGATCAAAATTGGTGATGGACATCCATCTCAAGATCTGTGCTCTTTCCTGGACGTTTGAGCCGGCCAATTGGGCCTTGGCCTCCTTGTCAGAGGCTAGATCCAGCAAATAGTACATGACTGCGATGGCCTCGGTCAATTTCTCACCACTGGGCAGAACCATGCCAGGAACCAGTTTGAGCGGGAAATCGCGAGCAAACTCCTCTGGCTGGTCATCTGGAGCAACGACTTTGACGTCAAGCTTGAGTTGTTTGACGAGAGCCTGGGGAACCCAGGTTCTGATGCGAAAGTTACCATAAAGAAGACCTTGTGACATAGTGTTCTGGTGCTTTGGAAGCTCTAGATATGTGTATTGAACTGAATAACGGCGTGGGAAGATTTTTTCGGTTAACCTTACTGCAGAGATTGAATTTATAGGTTACGATAAGACGATGTCACACACGTAATAAGTGATATTTTATGTGAGATCTTTGATTTAAAGTATCTTCGATCTAGTTGTCAGTGTAAAGGTTTGTTCCTCTTTTCGCATGGGCCGCGTAGAGCTTCAGAAAGTTGTGGATACATATTTTGAAGTTTACTTCTCTCTTCCTGGCACTGCTATTGTCGCTGTATTTTGCCAAGCTGTAATTAGTTTTTCAGGAAACACAGCTGTGATCATCGCGATGCCAGCATAGCTCAAAATTGGGATCGGGAATTTTGTGATATGACGCGTTTGTTTGGTATTGGTAACTCGTTGGCTCTTATTTTAAACGCTGGCACCCAAAATCTGGCTCTGACAGTGTAATTAATTTATTTATCCTTATAAGTGGTGAGTGTTCGTTCCTCATGGAAGGTGGAGTTGAATCAAATTTCAAAAGCAGCAGCAGTAACGCCGCCAGAGTTTTAGCCATACCACTAACCCTGTCTATAAATTTTTGAATTTGCCAATCACAGTTCAAGCATGGAAATATTAATTTCCTGTCATTCGTACTTTTGTAGCAAGCTTAAAGAACACCGCGACTGTCAGGTATAACAAAAAAATAGGAATATAAGTAGCTCTAATCATCTTAACTGATGGCCGTCATGGTGAGTTCAATACGGCTGACCCAAACTCTCAAGCATGCGATGTGAACTCTTCAAGTTGACGTTCAAAATGATCTAATTATACTATAGGCGTTTAAGATACATTACGAACCTAATGACAGCTGCAAACTGCTATCCAAACCAGCGGACAAGACAGCTATCGTTACCCGCGAAGCTTGACGTGCTTTCACGCTACTCTAAGTCCGATACAACAAGCTGCAGGTATAATTGACCCTTTTATATTGTGTGTGACACTCCAAAATTGTAGAGTTTCCGCTATCCAAGTTCTGAGGTTCTCGCATCGAATAACAACACCTCCAAGAGAGCCTTGCCTGCACTTCAAATTCTTTTGAAAAGTGTCCAAAAATTCATCATGAGCTCGAATCAGACCTCTGCAAGGGATTCCCCCTCTGATCAGCATAAGGAAGACGAAAACCTCGAAAGACTTAAACGACTAGGCATGCAATGTGTGTCGCCTGGCTTTGGCAAGATGGACGACCGCATGTTGTCAACGATCCAGCTATCTAGAGACATTGCTAAGGGACAGAAAGAGGTCATTCACAAGCTCAGCGTCCGCCAAACAGAATCCGTAAAAATCCCAGATTCTGGTGACGAAGTGGTACCCAAGCATGTTGAACAAACGAACCAGGACGTGAAACCGTCGAGTCTCGACTCTTTGGAAAAGGATGCCACGAAAAGTCGACTCAAATCTTTGAAAAGAGCGCGAGTGCCTCCTCCGCTGAATATAGGATCCAGCACCGCTAACAGCGAAGAAAAACTCCCCAGTTTTGCACAAAGCAGTAACAGTCATTATATGGGTGCCAAGAGCGCTCCGGCCCACATCACACGATATCCCAGAGGCAAATCCAAGGTTCAGTACTTGGGACGTGCGTCACGTGCAGAGTCGCAGGCTCGAAAGAGGCCCAGAGTCAACCCCAGCTGGCCTCCCATGATGAACCCCGCTTTTACACCGTACGGTTATTATCAACATCCTCAAACTGCTACAGTGCCATACCACATGGGCTATGGTCCATTTCAAAATGCGTATCAGGCTCCGTATGTAATGGCACCCGTGCCTTACGCCATGATACAGACGCCATTTACGGATCCATCAGCAGCGCAGACTACGCTTCAGCAAGATTTCGAAACATACAGAAGTCAAAACCCAGGTGTTGGAACTAGGGATTTATTCGGAAACAATGAGAGCCGCTGGGCGCCCATTCAAGTGCAGCCCCAAAGTGCCAGGGACGAGTTTTTTGGATCTAGAACCCAAAAACCGAGCAGGCAGATGAAACGACCCTTTCAGAAAAATGAGGCGGTTTCGGACGAGAACGAGAACGAGAACGAGAACGAGAAAGAAAATGAAAATGGGAATGAGAATGAGGACGACAGCGACAACGAAGAAGCTGATTTGGCTATTGAAGAAGGGGCCGAGCCTACAAGCACCATGACTTCTCGGCTTGCAAACCTGACAACACTAGATGGAGAGCTCCGGCTGCATGACGATAGCTTTGGGTTTTCGTTTTCGCTTCTGGAGGCTGCCACGGATAAAAAAATGTTCATGTCGATATGCGATAAAGTGTGGGATGAATTTCAGACTCTTTCAAAACGGGAGGGATAAGTGTACACTGGAGACGAACTATGTTATTCAAGACAATTCCAGCTTGCTCGAGTCCCAGAAAATTGTCCAGAAAATTGCCAAACACTCAGTTGGATTTTTCTCAATCTTTTGCGTTGATACCTGTCTGAGTCTTGAAACACCATTAGTGTCTCACCATACTGATGACCGGTCCATTTTAGAAATGTGGACCTTTGGCAATCACCTTTGCAACTTTCAAAATCGGCTACACTTGAGGTAAAAACTTCGAGATTTTTTGACAAACCGCCCGACATCTTTTCACATACTTTTACTATCCCATTGGGTCAATTACAGAGTCTAAAGTGCCGTCTGGGGGCCGTTGACGATCTCTTTGTTGTCGCTGTCGTCGAGAATCGAGGACAATTATCACTATACACGAAGTATATATATACCCGAAAGATCAATATTCTGGTTTCAATACCAACTAGATGATGATACTTTATAAACTCTTCGAGCAGAACACATCATTAAAACAAAAGCCTGAGAGCTGGGCATCAGAGACTGTTTCGAGCCAATTGGAGCCTTAAGTGTTGAGAGAAGATCTGTTGTGGTTTTTTTGGGGTGCTAAATACGGCTTTTTTTCAGGTAAAAGATGTCGTTCGCTATGTGGTTTTACAGACTGCGCAAGACGCCGGTTTTGGCTTTGATACTTCCTATTGGCCTTCTTTTAATGCTCTGCTGGGTGTTTTTCAGTCAGGACGAGTCACTTCTGGGTCTCGAGGGGTCCTCGATTTCCAATCACAAGTGGGCACACGAAAACGAGAAGACGTTTTATTTCCCATACGCTCGCAAGTTCAAAACTGCCAAGTATTCGTATAAGAAAAAGTCCAACTGGCTTTTCAGTGACACTGTGGAAGACAACATTCCACCCGGTCACATCACGCATTTCGATCTCAACAAGCTAGAATCTACAGCAAACGCTGCAGTCAACAAAGAGCAAGTCTTGATTTTGACTCCCATGCAGACGTTTCACGAGGAGTACTGGAACAACTTGCTACAGATGACTTACCCACGCGAGCTGTTGGAACTTGGTTTTATCATCCCTCGTACCAAGAGTGGGGACGCAGCGCTTCGCAAGCTCGAGGCAGCCGTAAAAAAAGTGCAGTTGGGCAAAAAGGAACAGCGATTTGCAAAGATCACAATTCTCAGACAAGACTCGCAGAGTTTCGACTCTCTATCAGAGAAGGAGAGACACGATCTCAAAGTACAGAAAGAGAGGCGTTCTGCCATGGCCCTCGCCCGCAACGAACTTCTGTTCTCGACCATTGGCCCTCACACTGCTTGGATTCTATGGATGGACGCTGACATTGTAGAGACACCTCCATCAGTGATTCAAGACATGACCGCACATGATAAAGCAGTTTTGGCCGCCAACGTCTACCAGAGGTACAAGGACGACAATGGGGAAAGTCAAATCAGAGCATACGACTTCAACAATTGGGCCGAAAGCCCTACCGCGCTAGATATGGCTTCCAACATGGCCGATGATGAGGTGATTTTCGAAGGTTATGCTGAAATGGCCACTTACAGACCTCTAATGGCTTACCAATATGAAGCTTCGAATCCAGTTAACATCGAAACCGCGCTTGACGGTGTTGGTGGTGGATGCACTCTTGTCAAAGCTGATGTTCACAGAGACGGGGCTATGTTTCCTAGTTTCCCTTTTTACCATTTGATTGAGACTGAAGGTTTCGCCAAAATGGCAAAAAGACTCGGTTATGAGGTGTACGGTCTTCCAAACTACCTAGTATATCACATTGAGGAGTTCAATTAAAATATTCAGAGAAAATTTCTACGTTAAGTACGGAAACAGTTGAGCATTTCGCACTTCGAAAGTTATTTCAGAATTGTATATATAACGTTTACATTTTCTTTCAAAAGGTGAGGTTGGCTTGGATTCTGATTTTCATAGCGCCTGCTCGTCATACATGCCGTTGTGATAATCGTCAATGTCAACGTGATACAAACTGGCAGTGTTGATATTGGGCGAGTGCTTCGTTTTTTTGATCATTTGGGTCACCTTTTGCAGGTCCAATTCCAGATAGTCAGCCATGAATTGACCCACATCAGTATTTTCACGGTTGCCTTGCAAATTGTCTAACAACCTATACCAAGTTTTTTGACGGTTTGCATATGCATAAATGTTGACGTCCACCGCGCTGTGTCCATGCGTTGTCCATCCAATTTGTGCGCGTGTTGATATCATTCCGTTTAATTTATCATTCAGTTCACCAATAGATGTGAGATTAAGTAGCTCGTCCGTATCTTCTTTAGTATAGTCAAAGATCCCCATAAGCTTCTCAAAAATCGTTTTCTCAACAAAATCAACTTTGTCTTCACCACTGAAACGCAGAAGCAGTTTGCTTAAGTATTCACCGGAATGGTGAGTGGCACTCAAAACCTGGGGGTACCAAACGTACTCGGGGTAAGCTTTGGATACTTGCTTGGCGGTGACCAGACCCCCAGTTTCATGATCAGAAGTGGAGATTAAAACCGTTTCAACTTCACTCTCACTAGCATATTTCAAAACCGCTTCAAACGCTTTATCAAAAGCCAGAACCTCCCGGACTTGAGCAGCCGGATCGTTTTGGTGACCAGCATGGTCTATCCTGGACCCTTCAATAAGTAGGAAAAAGCCTTGATCGGAATCTTTCGTGGCCTGAGTGAGAGCATTTACGGCGGTCATGGCCTGTTCCTCCAGCGAAGGATACTCCGTCTCGTCACGGTCCACATCGAAAGGAATATCATAATCTGCCATGAGCGCCAGCAATGGTAAGCTAACGTTGTATCCATTTTCAAGAGCATCGAATTCTTGGCGGTTACCCACATAACTCCAGCCGTCGTCTATGGCCTCCTTGATGAGGTTACGCCCATCAGCACGACTTCCACGGGTCCCATAAACTGCATCTTCTGATGCATAGAAGTGAGTTCTACCACCACCAATCATTAAGTCGACCATGCGACCTAATGGGTAGTCTCCCAATTGATGTTGAGCAATAAGATCTTCTTGAAATCTGTAATCGACGTGCGAGCTGAATGCAGCAGGCGTGGCATCAGTAATCCTGGTCGTGACAACAAGACCAGTATGATACCCTCTGAGCTTAGCTGCCTCCAAAAGTGTGCCACAAGGCTGTTTTTCGGGATCAACACCTATGGCGCCATTATAGCTTTTTAGTGCACATGAAAAGGCAGTAGCACCGGCTGCAGAATCTGTGATAAGAGAACTCGATGACATGGTTCTTGAGGAACCAATCAGATGCTGGTCCAGCACAAGAATATCGTCTCTGCTCAAATTTTGTGAAAATTGTCTAAAAGATCTGGTTAAAGACAAAGATGCAGGGCCCATTCCATCGGTGACGAAGAAAATGACATTCTTCTTGGACGATTTCCTCCACCAGGATTGGTTCCAAGACTCTTGGAATGTGTCAAACGATAGCAGCACACAAGTAAGGAGTACAAATGCCAGCAAAAAATGGGCAACTTTTCGTGACGTTCGTCTTGAAGTCTTCAAAGGCTTGGTGACAAGACTTTGTTTCTCCATACCCTGTGAATAGCTATATATGATGAAATTGCAGCTTTCAAATTTATATCCCACTCGTACCACAGCCTCTGGACTTTGTATAGCGTCTGGAAGTCGCTTGTAGCTGACATAATGGATACTATCAGCTTCAACATGTAAACATTCAATTTCACTCTGAGCTAATTAGTAGTATCATTTCTTGTTTTCCTGTCGTTGAAGTTTGAAGGAAGTGACGGAATGCTGGCAGGCGAATATTGTGATGGTGACGGCGTTTTATCTAACAGTCAAGGAATATTTCAATTGGAAGCACATTGTTCTTTGCAATTTCACTTCTTGCTTCATATCTTTTGAATGTTTAGGTGTCGATGATGATGACAAGAAAATGATAAAGATTCACTCAGCGAAAGAGAAACGAAATGTAGGAGCTTTGTATTTTGCTAGCAATGAGGTCATTATGTTTGGTAAATTCGTGTATAAAAGTTGTGTTTTAGTGACTGAGGAGTTTGCATTCAGTTCTTTTTTTCCACAATTGACTTGTTGATTCCGAGAAGAATAAGCACGAGCGACTTCGCTTTCCGAAGATTCGGCAGGGATATTTGGGCTTGTCCGTGGAATCAACATTGAATCGAGGAGTGCAGAAGTCTGGCAGATAAAAAGCTGGCGCAATGCATCTTGCCCGTGAGTATGCGCGTTTTCCAGTTCCACGGTCGTGTTGTGAAAAAAGTTAAGGTTCGCAGCTGGATGATGCTATCAAGAGTGAGAGTGTCAGTTGAGCTTTTGACGGACGCCTCTTTTAATCGACGCATCTCTTCGAAAAGCAAGGATGTCGTGAGCTTCGGAGCCTGAAAACAAATATTCTGACTCTCAACCCGTCAAAACGCGCAATGACCGAAATACTTTATCAATTGTTGGCAGCCAGATAGCATAGTGAGCCGGGAATACCTCAGTGTCGCACAATGAGACTATTGCTACTTGTAGATTGGCGGTTTGTTGGTCTTGTTCCTTCTAAGACGAATCAAAATCCATTCTGCGGCCTCCTTCACGCCTTCTTGTGTCAGTGCACTGATCGGAAGCACTCGGCTGTCACGGGCACCCAGATGCTCAGCCAATTTGTTGAAAACCTCCTTTATGTCTTGCACCTCCATACGATCTTCTCTGTCCTGCTTGTTCGCTAGCATCAACACAGGAATACCTTCAACTTCCTCGTTCATCACAACAGTTCTTAGTGCCTGACAACACTCTTCCAGACGTTCACGGTCAGCGCTATCAATGACGAAGATGATCCCGTGTGCTTGGCGATAGTATTCAGACCATAAAGCTCTCAAAGATTCTTGACCCCCCACGTCCCAAAACTTCAATACGCTTGACTCTATTGGAATTGTCGCCACATTCTGGCCCACCGTAGGTGTTATTTTGTCTGGGGATTTCGAGCTTTTGAAGTACTCTTTCTTCAGCATTTCCAGGAAAGTAGTTTTACCAGCATTGTCAAGGCCCAGGATAAGAATCGAGTAATGCTCTTTGCGGTTCAGGTTGGCATACAGACCTTTGGCCAAGTGGAACATTACAAGACGGTTTCAAAGTAGCCAGATCTCGATCGGAGATTTCTATTTCAAGTTTTCGCGATGGCTTTACAGCTCGCCAGATTAATTTCATTTACTTGAAAGCATGATATCCTGTATAATAACGGACTAACGTGCAGGCATTGTGTCTGGAAGTGGATAAAAACAACGCTGTATATAGCTCCTGATATTCAACTGAAGACTGTTTACAAGTTTGCTTAAGTTTGCGAGTATTTAATGGCCATTTCCGTCCTCTTACGCGCAGTTTAGACATCAAAAGGCTGTACTCTAAGAAATTGACGACAGCATCGACATTGACAAGCGCCTGGTCTTGTAAGATCTTGAAAGGTATGAAATATGGCGTAGATATTATTGCCCAGATGTGTCTTTTTGCCAAAACTTGCAATCATTTTGTGCTTTATGACAGGCGTTGGAGCTCCATTTGCCAAAAGCTCCATAGAGTAGCGCAAAACGCTGATCTTGCAACTCTCGCTGAGATTGTTCCTTCAAAATGTTCACGCATTGTTTTGACGTGATAAAATGCAACTATGGGCATGATTCGCTCATAACTGTCAACTGCGTTCTGACTCAGCACCTTCGTTGTCTCGTGCAGCTCTTTTCTTGCGGGAACTGTACGCATTTCGCAGTTTTTCGTCTTCCCGCTCTTTCTTCCAGTCTTCCACAGCCTTGAGTCGATACTCTTGGCACTTGGCATCAATTGCAGCGTCATCCATTGTGTCGTCTTCTTCCAGTTTGTCGCGATACTCGGAAACTCGAACCTCGATCTCCCGCCTACTTAAATGCTCCAGTATACTGATGTCCTTGCGTTTCTGCCGAGTCTTGACATCCTTGGATCGATCCTGAGACTTTTCCACTCGACTTAGATAGTTCTTTGCATTTTTGCGGTCTTTATTTGAAGCGAGCGATTGCTGGACGTGGCCAGAGGTTGAGGAGCCCTTGGCACTTTTCAATCCTATACCGTTAAAAGACATGGCTAAAGTGGGTCAACAGTGACCTTAATCCTCTGCTACCGACGTTCAGCCCTCTAGCTTACAACTGATTTGGCTCACATTGGTATCGGCTACATTTTACAATCATTATCAGCATGTGACAGCAGAGCCATTGCCGTTGTGTCAACTTAAGAGCCAAACTGCGTCACATTGGGGGATCAAATCCAAGTTCTAAGAGCTGATTACAGTCAGCACATCTTTTGCAAAATTATATAGCTATCTAGCATTTCCTCTGCTTTAATTGGGAACATTTGATCTTGAGCGCCTGGGACAATTAAGCAAGATAGGAACTCACACTGCAAGACGCATTTTATGGATGGCCAGCAAGGAAATCACTTTCGCGATTTGACCTTCTCAACGGTATATCTTGACGAGCACTTCTCATCTCGAATTTGATGAAATGACTCAAGTGTCAACGCTTAAACATATTTCAGCATTCGAATTCCACAATGACGTACTTTTCATCGGAAAACATAGCACATTCCAGTGGTGTCAAGTGCTCTGTGACCTTAAACCGGTCTTCGTTGGGTACCAGTCGTCCACCAAGCCAGTTGAGATTTCTCAAAAGTTCCTTGATACCCTCTACGTCTCTCAGCACATGTATTCGAAGCCAGGCGAGACCTAGTGTTGCTGCGTACTCTAACAAAGCCATGAGCAGCGATTTGACGACGTTTCGTATGTCTTTAAGCAGCACCACCAGGAGTCGGGTGGCATCATTTTTCGACCAAAAGGGAATTCCAGACCAGCTGGGAAAGTAGAGCAGCGAGTATGCAAGCCCAATAGTCCGCCACATGGTCTTCCCAGGCCACGCGGACTGCACTTTTATTCCCTTATCGTGAATTGTGAGTGTCCTGCCAACTTCTCGTACTACGTATTTCTGAAAGCTGGCATAGTTGTCATAGTTGGTATCCACAAACCCACGTTCAGTTAGCAAAATGGCGTCCCAGTAGAGTTCGGTGAGCTGCTTCGTGTTTTCTGGAAGATCTAAAGCGGTGTCACGGACACCACTCTTCACAGCCGTCCATCAAAGTGTAATAGTAGAAAGTAGGTTTTATCGTTTGCCGATGTTTAATTAAGTCTGATATATCGAATTTGACCGCGACGCATTGTTTGTGTGGAAGTTCCAACAGCTCGCGTACACGTTTGGTAGCTAGTAACTGGACCAGCCGAGATTCCTTCTTGTGTAGGTTGTGCATTTGATATTTTTGGTCTGGCTTGAAGATGAGCGAACTAGCTGCCATTAGGGCCATGCCAATTTAGCTCCGTATAGAGGTAGCAAGATACGAACTTACAAGGTGGTGATGATTTTAAGCTCGTGCTGTTGGTCGTATCGTGAGCTGGTTTAAGTAGAACCAGATGATTAAAGCGTGAGTTTGATAGCCACTTTGTTATTGCAGCTCTGTCGGTGTACTTTTCTGTGTTTCCCATCTTGTTAAGTCTTACCCGTTAAATACGTATCAAAGAGCTGAAATAATTTATATGTGCTGCTGATAGATATCGAGATTTCTTGGCGCTCAAGGAGTTTTATACCAACCTTAGATGCTTCCTACTTCTATTCTGCTTTGCTGAGTCCAAACTCGAATTTGAAGAATTGACGACGATCCTGAGCTATGATGAATTATTGAAAAAAAAGAGCTTTCAGAAAGGTAGGAAACTTTCTGCTGAAAGATACACAATCATGCTAATTATGAGTGAACAATCCTCGCCAAAATGAACTATTAATTGCTGAGGGACCGCGTCATTGACGCGTCGCTAATATCCAGACATTTGAGTAATACTGGATTGGTGGATGTGGAGATCTTGGAACAAAATTTCAAGCCCAATGACATTTTGAGCGTGTTGGCCATCTAGAGGCAAGTATGGCACTAGTCAGAGGAGTCTCAACTGCGATATGACAGTTGTAATGTAAGATGACATAATAGTACAAAGTGATCGATAGTTCATCATTTGACATTAGAATCGCAAAAGTGGGCGAATCTTGATCAAGACGTGAAAGTAAATACCGTATTACCCGTGTGGCATGGAAACAAATGGCACAATTGTAGTACACGAGTGGTTTCATGCCGCAAGTGCCACTATGAACATGGTGTTAAGATATCACGTGACAAAACGACCGATGACGCTTGGAATATCAAGTTGATGTGTATCATGGAACTGAGGTTGATGGTGATCAGCAGTCATCTCTGGAGGCTACTCAAAGGTGGTCAATCACTTTTCCCATCGATTGTAGTTTTTTCGAAAATAAGAACTTCGTCTGTCAAAAAGAAACAAATAATCCTATTTGCCAATAGCTTGCGAAATCCCGAGCTTATCGACACCGGGTCGCACCAATTGACATTTGTATACTCTTTCTATCTTGTGATCCTCCATTTAACGCGACGTTTCCCTGCATTTTTTTCTGTTTTCGCAGAACGCCGTGAGTGTGTTAGGAGACCATTGTATTCAAAGTTAAACATTTTGTCGCAAACACTGTAGAAGCGTGGCTATCACTCAATGTCCTATACTCTATGGACCTGCCATCTCAACGTCTATGATATCTCTTTAGACCATTATGTCATGTGACAATTCAGATCTCGAAGACCGTAACCTTGACACAAGATCCCGGGACCTTGTCAAGTGTGTGAGATCCACCCCTCGTCGAACAAGGTGAATGCCTTCTCATGAGCAGGACTTCCCACCAGATGCCAATTTTTTCTATAATCTTCAAAAGCTGAAATTAAAGTGACAGGTAAGTTAATCAAGAACCTTAGCAAGCCAATCTATAATGAATAGCCCCGCATTTAAGTCTGCTTTTGATAGATGCCCCAGCAACAGTATTATGTTGCATACAGAATACAACAACTACGATTACCGGACTTTCAAGAACACGACGATCAAAAAAGCTCGGCATCCGTAAAAAGACCGCTCAGAAATCTCTTCACATCTTCAAACCACTTCTCAACCAGCTAAAACTATGGAAAGATGGCCCTACATGCCAATAGCCAAGCACTACTGACCTTCATCACCTACATCACTCTTGACCAATCTGTCACAAGAGCCTTAGCCAATAAACCTTGATTACGTAATCAGCTACTCGTTAGGTCCATTATACATCGAAATTTATCTCTGACATAGTCTTCAGCACCAATTTCGAAACTTTGCCGTTCATCACTGTCATTTTACACTTATCAGAAAACACTTTCCTCCCCCATCTTCATCATCTTTCCAAAATCTAGCCAAGATTACACGATTAAAGCCAAGATTTACGTTTTTTTCGCGGTCCTTCCTTCAGCCTATTTTTTCCCTGGTATCGGAGCAGAAACTTGAAATTCTGTCTAGTGTTCATTTCAAACAGATTTACGTATATATATTTGAGTAAAACAACAGCTCTTGAGATCGTTCGACTTCACTAAAGCCCTGGTTTGAATCTGTAGTCGAAAATGGCATTGAGGGTTAGCAAAAGGCTGCTAAGAGTGGCTCTTTTGGTTGTTTCAGTGCTTGGAATCTTCGGTTTGGTTCTTCACACCACCAACAGCGAAATAACAACTTACTATGTCGACAAGACGAAAGAACTAGTCGACAGCCAAAAGTCGTGGTGGAACTCTGAAGCCGCAAAGAGCGAAGAAAGCGAGAGGAAAAAGGCTGAACAGGACGCTGCAGAAGGAAAACACTTGCAGGACGTGGAACTAGATGACGCTGCGAAAAAACTAGAGGAGGACGCGACCAAAAAACTAGAGGAAGTCGTTGGCGGAGAAGGAAATGGAGACTCCAAAACCACACCTTTGAAAGAGAAAGAACCTGAAAGCACTGCCACCGACACCAAAACGACCACCGTCAAGGCCGCTTTCGTCTCTCTGGTCAGGAACCAGGACTTGCAAGAAATCGTGGAAACGGTTCGTAACCTCGAAGACCGTTTCAACTCGAAATTCCACTATCCTTACGTGTTTTTGAACAACGAGCCTTTCACACCCGAGTTCAAGTCTGCCATTAGCAACGTGATTTCTTCCACCGTGGATTTCGGTTTGATCCCTCCAGCTCACTGGTCGTACCCTGAATGGATCGACCAGGAAAAAGCTGCAACTGTCAGACAAACTGCTGACTACATATACGGCGACAGCGAAAGCTACAGACACATGTGTCGCTACGAATCTGGGTTTTTCTGGAGACACGAGCTATTGGACAAGTTCGATTGGTACTGGCGTGTGGAACCAAGCACCAAGCTGCACTGCAACGTCGACTACGATGTATTCCAATGGATGCAAGACAACAACAAAATGTATGGCTTCACAGTATCTATCAAGGAATTCGAGTCTACCATCAAGACTCTGTGGTCCACTACCAAGGAGTTCCTCGACGCCAACCCCAAGTTTATTGCCAAAGACAACATGATGGACTTCATCTCAAACGACAAGGGCAAAACCTACAACTTGTGCCATTTCTGGTCCAACTTCGAGGTTGCCAACCTGAACTTCTGGAGATCCGAAGCTTACCAGGAATATTTTGATTACCTCGACAAAAAGGGCGGCTTCTTTTACGAACGTTGGGGCGACGCTCCTGTTCACTCTATCGCGGCGTCTTTGTTCTTGTCCAGTGACCAAGTTCACTACTTCCCTGACATTGGCTATTTCCACAATCCATACAACAACTGTCCGTTGGATCAAAGTATCTGGCAAAAAGGGAAATGCTCATGTGAACCGATGTGGGATTTCACCTTCCAAACATACTCTTGCACCAATGAGTACTACGACTTCAAGAAATTGAAGAAACCAGATGGCTGGAAAAAGTTCAGAAACTAGACTGGGCTTTGAGAGTTTGTGGTATACTGTCTAGTAGCTTGCTTTGACGCGAGTCGTATAATGCTATCCAGTACGCGTGTACGTACACATATAGGATCTAAAGTGGTATCTGCCAGTCAAGTGAGCATACTGTCTGATTCCTTTGAGTTTGCATAAATGGCCGCATGGATTTACGACGAGTTTTGACCGACTAGGGAAGAAGACCTGTGTCGCAATCTGTCTAGCATGGTGTGCCAGTCACCTTTTTAAATATAATTTGCTGGTGTGTCTGAAAAGAACATAATTTGATGTGCTGCGATTACTTCATCGGTTTTTCAATAGGTAAGGCTCTAGCTGGTACTTACACTGTCAACCAGAGAATGATCTACCTGTCAGGAAAACCCAGGGCTTGCCGATGTCATGTACATTTCTTCTAGTTTCTTGAATATTTTTCGGCTTTTTTACATTCTGAGAAGCACCGACAATATCATTAGCTTGAATCTACACCATAATCCATGCGCCGAAGAGGATCGATCATTGTCGTTGTCACATTGAAGGGCTCCACCAGTTATTCCTATCACTTTATACTATTCCGACACCGACAAGATTACGTCTTCATAGTCATTCAAGAACTTGAGGGAAACCGAATAAAAAGATCTTAACCATCGACTACATAGCGTCAGAGTTCGAATACCTCCTCTAGAGACACGAACTCAAAACAAACTCTATCCTTAGCACTCTGTTTTGCGGCTCTGATCACGTGACTTAACGATCGAAGACTAAACACCTCATTAAAGCACGGCATTTCTTTCCTCGTCGATTTCCACGTCGAGTCGCAGAAATTTGTCACAGTTTGATCAAGATAATTTGAATCTCTGAATGTGTATGAACCCATTCAAACTGTTAATCTTCCCTAGCTTCAAGATTAATATATTATCATTATTGAGAGTTATTCGTGTATAGTGATAGTATCCTCAAATTTGAAATCATCATCAGCGTCTAACAGTTGAAGAGCTCATCACGAACACATCTGTAGTTTAAGCACATCGACAAATCATGTTTGAGAAGCCTAAGAGATACATTCCTGGACCCGGAGAGCCAGCTCTACCGCCCCAGTTATCTGAGTTTCAAAACAAGACTACCGATGAGGTCCTTGAAGAGCTGAATCGGATGCCATTTTTCATGAAAACACTAGACGAAACAGACGGAGAGGGTGGTCAAAATACAGAACTAGAAGCTCTCAAGGCTCTCGCTTACGAAGGGGAGCCTCATGAAATCGCAGAAAACTTTAAAAAGCAGGGAAATGAGCTTTACAAGGCCAAAAGATATGGTGACGCGCGGGAACTTTATAATAAGGGCCTTGATGTGGATTGTGAGGTCGCTGAGATAAATGAGAGTCTTCATTCAAACCGCGCTGCGTGTGAATTGGAATTGAAAAATTATAGACGCTGCATAAATGACTGCAAATTGGCCTTACAAATTAATCCTAAAAACGTTAAATGCTACTACCGTGTAGCTCGAGCCTTTCATAGTCTCGACAGGGCTGACGAAGCAAAACAGACAGTCCAATTTGCGTTGCAACTAGATCCGGAAAACAAAGCCCTTGGTGCACTTTTCGAGAAGATTAGAAAAAGAGAGGAGGAGGTGCAGGCCTACGAAGCGCAGAAACTAAAGGAAAAAACAGACAAAGAACGTTTGCAGACTCTACTAGATGCATCTTTGATTCTTCGTAATTTCACAAACATTGATACCACGAATCCTCCTGAGCTGCTAGAAAAAGCCAAATTGTACTTGGAAGATGAAAGCGACGTGCAGTCGCAGCTCATTTTCCCAGCCATGGTTTTTTATCCTTCCAGCGACGAGTTTGACTTTATCGGTGCTGTTGGAGAGCTGAGCACCCCAGAAGATCTCTTGAATATCCTTCTTCAGAGACCTCAAGAGTGGTTTGACCAGCCTATCCATCAAGATTTCACAACAAAAAAACTACTCGCGTTCATGGAAACAGAAGCTGGGGGTCTGGTGAAAATTGGCAAAAGGGTCACTTTCCATAACGTTTTGAAAATGCAAAGTCCGGTCGTTCCTCTATTAGATAAATCTTTGAGAATATATTTCGTGCCTAAAAGCTCTAGCGAAGAGTGGCTTTCAAAGTGGGACAAGTCGGATGCATTGAATAAACGTAAATAGCCATTGTTCGTAAAATATAATCATCATCAGCTGTTTTAAAAGTAGAGACTAATGGCGCGAATGTTAGACACCCGTGTTGTGCCGAGAAATGGACTGTCTGCTTTTCAGCTTAGACAATCGAGAGTTCTGGAAAATTTCATCTGTATGCAATGGAGGTATAGGCCCAAATATTGATTCAGGATCCCAATCTTGTTGAGCTAGGAGCTGCTCTTGTAAATATGGAGAGCGCGCCCAAGGCGCTAAAATGGAACCGTCTTCAGCATCAGAATCGGAGTCGATATCCGGAAGGGTCGTATCGCCTGCGTTAGTTTCTTCTGAGACTCCGTTTATCATCTGCCTGTGATCCTTCGTGTTCAAGTCGTACAGTATCGTGTTGCGAGGTTTGCTTAGTGACGTTTCACTTGCGTCGCCTACCGCACAAAAACTCTTTGAACCTTTGTAAGCATCTGCTGCATCTTGGAAGATGCGTGACTTTCTCTGCTTGACGTCCTCCTCTATAGTCGATTTTCTTTTGAGTTTCTCATGACCTCTCTTATTTTGTTCTTTCTGGCTTCGAATAACCTCAGATAGTCTTTTATCAAGCTTCTTCTTCACATCTTGCCTTTCAGAAGCCACCAGTGGTAGAAGTTGGAACTTTGTTAAACGGTCTTGGGCCTGTTTTGGCCGCACTCCTTGAGCTTCCGAGACCTCGTCATAATCATCACGCCTGCGCTCATTGCTAAGCTCCTCAGTGTGAGCAGGTTGGTTAAAATGCTGTTCCGTATGGTTTGCTGCTTTCTTCTGATCGGTATTTTGAAAGGAAGGACTTCCAAGTTGCTCTCCACTCAAGCTCCCGTGCCTGGAGGTCCGGGTTTCTTTTCTGTTGACTCCTGAGTCGTAGAAGGACCCTGATCTAGTTATAGTGTTCGTGTGATTGCGTACAGTGTTTTGGGCGCTTGTACGAATGAGGTGTCGAGAGGGTGACGTCTCCATTCCATTGTTGGAAGAAAAGCCTGCTAAAAGATTCGTTCGTCTTGCGATAGAGCTGGGAGAAACGACAGTGCGTCCACTAAGCTTTGCTATTAGTGGGGTTCTGGTTCTATTCGAATCTGAATTTGTCAAAACGTCGTCGTTGCCGTGAACTATTTTTGCGCCCTGTGTCAGCTTTGGAATTTGAGAGTCGAAGATACTTTTCAAAGTTTTTTGAATACTTTGATTAGTGTTATCTACCTTCGGAGAGCTTCTTTGTTTTGGAGATCCTGTGGACTCTTTATGTATCAGTCCCGTGTGTTTCGACCTTTTCAATTCTCTTGTAGGACTTCTGCTAGAGGCTTTATTGTCGAATGAAGCTGTAGACTTTGAGGCAAGGCGGTCAAATACGTTGCTAAAGCTGGGTTTGACGTTTTTTGTTGGCGGTCGACTATGACCACTCACGAAATCGGAGCTTGTGTGTTTTGTAAAATTATCGACCCTTTCATTAGTAGAATCACTGCGATCTTTTACTGGTGCTTGGTCAGTTCCCGTAGAACGGATCACCAGAGGGTCTTTATCAGGCAACGGAATGAACATATTTGATCTGCGTTGTGATCTGTCACGTAGCGGCAAGCGCTCCGTTCTCACGTTTTCCGACAAATGTTGTTTCTCGGAGACTTCTTTGTCGAGAACGCTGTTTCCTTCGTGCATAGAAATACGCGCAGTGTGTTTTGCGGTATGCAACGGTGATTTCGACGTGTTTGGTTGATCATTCTTCGAGGCATGTACGTTACTAGCACCAGATGAGTTCCCGCTACTCAAGCCAAAACTGCCTGCAGTTTTGGTGGATGATTGTGGTGGGACATATTCAGGAGCGAAGGTTGTTCTCTCGGACTTGTAAGGCGACCATGGAGACGATTTCAAAGTGCGACTTTGCGCTTTGAGACTGATATCAACGTCACTTGTGGGTGACGCTGTTGCTTCGTGCATATCTGCATCATCATTCGCGTCACTTTGCCTTTGGATTAGTCCATTGCTCGATTCCAGCTTTGTTCCTGGCGTTGCACGCGAATCAGCCCTGTAGTTCATCTTTTGCGGGGTTGATTCTTCCAGCGCGACTTTGCGTTCCGTATCGTTTTTTCCGCTCTTAACACCACTATCATTTTTGGCGCACATCCCAATCTTCAGCAGTTCGTCATCAAGCCACTTACTGCTAGCTAGACATGCCGCGCTTATGGCGTCTTGGCCCTCTGTTAGCACCTCATTGAAGCGGTTCAACGACTCAACGATCGATCTAGAACCACCTTGAATAAATCTAGTCTTTTTCCTGGCAGATTTGACTGCCCAATCCATGCCAAGTTGACGCGTTTTATACCGCTAGAAGTGCTCATCTCTGATCTGATCTTTGTAGTTCATTTATTCAATAAAGCAGACACGGAAAAAGTATTGATGTCACTTTGTACTAAATGTCTTTAAGATTTGGAACTTTTCCATCATTGATTAGAACAAATCACTTTTTGAAGGAGCAACGGGCTGTGATCGTCAGTTTGAAGACTTACCGTCAACAAACAACAAGATACAGGTCTTGAACAGCCGATTCTAGTTTGGATGCATTAGAGGGACGTTATTGATGGCTTCTGGTAAGGAAAACCGGGCTGCACCAGGACTTTTCCCAAACCTGGACAGTTCAGAAGAGGTCTCAGAAACAAGAGAATCAGAGAAGTTAACTAATGAAGGCAGCTCTCTTGATCCCAAACTATTTCGAGCGGTAATCAGCGACCTCCCACGAAACTATGCAACAGCAATGAAGACCGACACTTTTTACATTACACGACAGTATAATATGAAAGCTGGAAGTGCGGGTGGTGCGAATGACATCTGCTTTTCTAGCTTCAGAGAATATGACTCTATGCTCCGTACAGAATACGAAATGCGTCAAAGGCTGGAAGAACTCGAGAAGGCGTTGTCAAATAGTGGAGTACGGCTGCAGAGGCTAGACAGCCTAAACGCTTTATATACCAGAAATCTTTCGTCATCTGCCTGGGGAAAACGTTCAAAACGCTGGAGGTTGATGTCCATGGTACGAAAGTTGAAACCTATGCGTTTGAGTAGTGCGGTTTCGGATGTCGCGGGCACCATAGACACAGATCTGCAATCGCACCATTCCGACAGCACGGAAATAATCGATTATATCAAACCCGGGTGTGGCGTGATAGACAACTCTTATACACCGCAAAAAACCCATGTGATGGTTCAAGAAGAGCTAGAACCCATGTCAACAACGACGCTCAATACACCCGAGAGTCGACATGGTCGAGCACCGGTTCTGCAAGTGACAATTCAACGTAAGCTCAGCGTACGACATCTACAAATGATCTCGCTGGGTGCCACAATCGGCGTGGGACTTTTTTTCAATTCCGGCAAGGCTTTATCCATAGCAGGTCCTATGGGCGGCTTTATAGGATACGCAGTGGGCGGGTCCCTAATTCTGGCTACGCTTTTTTCATTTGCAGAGATGGTTGCTCTTATACCATTAATTACTGGTATTTCTGGTTTGTCCTCGAGGTTTGTTAATGATGCTTTTGGCTTTAGCGTGGGTTGGTGCCATTGGCTATCATATGCGATCGGTTTCGCTTCAGAAGTGGTGGCCTCCACCATCATGCTCTCTTACTACAAGAACTTGGATAAAATTGCAACAAGCAAGTCCGCTATGGCCGTTACCATTGCCACGATAATTATCGGACTGACTTTGATAAATCTCATGGACGTTCGAGTCTATGGTGAGTTTGAGTTTTTCTGCAGCACGTTCAAACTTATGATTATTCTCCTTCTCGTAATTCTGATGATTGTCCTTAATGCTGGTGGACTTCAAAACAGCTATATTGGATTTCGCTACTGGGATTCTCAAAAATCTCCGATAAAAGAAATCACTTATGGGCCCTTCCGTCCCACGTTTGATCTCAAAGACCGGGGTTACGGCGCCAGAGAAGGAATTCCAGGATTTGGCGGAATTCTTTTGAGCTGCATCGCATCAAGCCTCACGTCAGTATTTGCATACGTTGGGTCTGAAATCGGGTTTATAGCGGCTGGGGAGGCGAAAAACCCTAGGAAGGCGGTGCCATCAGTGACCAAGAGAATTTTTACGAGAGTGATTCTATTTTATCTCCTTTCAATATTCGTGGTTGGTCTAAACGTCTATGCAGGAGATCCGAGGCTATTACGCTATAACACTTCTAGCGACATCTCAGCCGTTATAAATGGACAGTCCGAATATCAAGATATTTTTAATGCTTTGGGCAACACACACTGTCAAGGCCATTATTCCATGAATCTAATTCCCATCGACAACCCTAATCAATCGCCGTGGGTGATAGCAATGCAATCTTTCAACCAATGCACCTTGTCGTCTTTCATAAATGGTGTATTTGTGGCAATTGCTATTTCTGCAGGAAGCTCCCAATTGTATGCTTCCAGCAGAACCCTTTACTCTATGGCCACCCAGCAAAAAGCTCCCAAGATATTTACTACCTGCAATAGAAGCGGAGTTCCGTATATGGCCGTGCTGTTCTGTGGAGCGCTAGGATTTTTGAGTCTTTTGTGTTTGAATGTAAACAGCTCAGAGGTTTTTTTCACCTTTGTTAGCATCGGGGCATTGGGAAGCGTCATAATGTGGTTTGGCATGAACGTAGCCTACCTACGGTTTTACTACGCGTTGAAACGCCGTCCGGACATTATATCTCGTGATGATAAAGCCTATCCATACAAGTCGCCTTTTCAACCCTACTTTTCGATCTATGGTCTCCTTTTGGCGCTACTCTTGATCCTTTTTAATGGCTTTCAGAACTTCTTTCGCTGGAATACTAAAAACTTCATAACAAGCTATTTGACCCTGATTTTATTTCTGATACTGTACGTCGCATTCGGCTGGACCGGTGGCTACAGCTTCAACAAATTGGACCAAATGGACTTGGATTCAGGGCGAAGGGAAATGGATCGGGTCATCTGGAAAGAAGACTCGGAATACTCTTTAAAGCCAAAAGAAGTTTTGAACAAACTACTTAGCCATATATAGGCGTCATTTCTCATCCAAGAACCTTGAGCATACCTGTTGACCGCTACATCTGTAAAGAGCTTTCCAGAAACTCTGAGAGCGTCAATAGCTCATTATCATCTGCTTTGGAAACATCTCCTTCACTATCATGTGAACATGAATCTGAGAACACTATAGGCGGAAGGAGACCACGGGAATCTTGGCGTTCTCTGTGTGCCTTAGGTGGCAGAGTAAAGTTTTGCGCCGAGGTTATTGGTTTTAAGAGATCAACATCTATGGTTTGATGAAATACATTGCCTGTTTCTGGGAACCCAGCATGAGCAGAGTTAAGCCTTGTATGGCCATGTCGAAATTTATCCACTTCTGCCTTGAAGTGGGGTTCTGAGTTCCTTCTCAACTGTTCCGATGTTGACGCCATAATACCAGAAAATTTGGCAGAACCATCCTCTTTCAACCAGACGCCGTTTTTGCGAGATTGACTTTCCTGTAGATGCATGGTCCTGCTCAATCGCCTTTCATACCCTTCGCCGGTGTTCTTGAAAGCACCAGACTTGAGAAGGTAATCTTTATCCAAGGATATGGCGCTGCTTCGCCGATGGAATGGCTTGCGGGGAGTGGGAGAGTATTCCTCACTTTTGGTGCTTATTGTCATAATTGAGAATAAGCTGTCTGCTCTGTTTTGCAAGCCTGAACGACCTGATGGACTCTGGGGCACAATATCTGATGCCAGACATTGCTGACTGGGAGTCTTCTTTAGCTGCTGGCTTGAGGATGCATTTATTGATTTTCTGGACAGTCCATGTTGATCTTTCCACCACACGGTGTACTTATCTGAATGCTGATATCCCGACGTCCAGAGCTGGCAGCAATCAGGCCCAACTCCAAGGCTCGTTTGAGACTTAGGACTGGTTCCAAGAGGTGGTTCTGAAGGTGGTGCTGACTCGTTCTTTGAAGAGTGCTCTGGAAACTTGTATTCGTGCAATTTTTTGTCTGGTCTGTCAAGCTGGGTAAAGTGCCGTTGGTGATCAAATTTCGACTCTTGCTGCTGCTCCATCGCCCTTTCGCTTTCGCCCATCATACTTTGTCTAACGCTGCTTCTCCAAGGCAAACGCTGAGAACAAATGTGATGGGAACATGCGGGTAAACCATCGTATTTATATCCGAGCTCAAATGTTCGGTTGGTAGCAACACACAATATCGAGGAAGTGCATTTTGGCACTTCCCTGAAAGTATACTTTTGTCGACCCATCTCAGCTTTGCCATGTCATCAAAAGTAAGAGCAGAGTAGGTTCGATAAGGGATGTCAGTCCTATAGGAAAATTGGCGCATCAATTTAGAAGCTCCCGGCATACTCAAAAATGACACCGTCAAATTTCTGAGGTTTAAGCTTAATGCCGAGCAGATCAGCGTTGATTTAAGGATACTCTATTCTAATCGCGCCAGGGTTTCTTGCTGTTGTCACTTTCAGTGCAGCAGTTTAGCATTTCTGGCCTAGACAAAAAAAATCTTCCTGTCTGAAATTTGCAAATCATATGCTGTCACTTGCAAGACCTTATGTCAACCTTGGAGCTTTCGTGTAAGACATCTGATAAACGTATTATTGAAATGCAACCCACATTTCCTTCATGCCAAAGTTATTTCCTCGGTAGTGCGAGTCACTAGTACTACTTGCTGACCTCGCCAGTGATAGTTGGATTAAACGTGGATTTTAAAAAAAACGACAAACCTCGGTGGCTACAAGGAGGCAGTACATGGCTGTTTTGATTAAGTAAATTGCCAAGTACTGGCTGCTCGGTCTTTAGCTCGATCAACGTGCACTGGTGCACTTACTTGATGTTAATTTTAATAAACCTAACCTACCTAATATCAACCTAAATCTGTAATTTTTTGAGCAGTAACAATGAAAACTGAAGCACATTCTCTGACGAGTAACCAGCTCATCTGTTCCGCTTTTCTACGCGATGTGTTTGTCCTAATGATAATCTTTTTAATTTGTTCCCTTCCTCTGTCTCCGACGACAGGATAATAAGTTTCACCTCCCAATTGAAAAGTTCTGAAATTCTTGATGAAGGGCGAAAGCAAAGCAAGCTACCGTGATGCTTATTTGCCCTGTCTTGGCTCTTGTCCATGAACCATTTTTTCTTCTCGCTCATTTAGCCCTCTTTTACTTGTACGCCGTACCGCCTTCCTGTCGCAGTCAAAATCAAACCTGTTGGTGCAAGTCGCCAAGATAGAATGGATGTAAACCCCGTCCATTCTTCAACGACAGATCCTCCGCGACTCTATGATCCTCCTCTTTTCCATGGACATTTATCCTTGACATTTGTAGACTGAGTTGATTGATGTTCGCATATGGAATCTGGGACTGAGTATCGTAGGCACCCCACATGGACATTGCATGATGCTTATCCTGCTGATAGGTATAGTCAAAAGACTGGATCATAAGACCAAAAGCCATCGAGGTGCTTGGGGGTGAGAAATCTGTAGAGTTTGCAGACGATATACCCGAAAATGAGTTTCTTGTCGACGAAAGAGACGCTGCTTCGTAGCCATTCAATTGCTCTGAACTCAGCGTTATGGCTGAGGCGTGGTCAGTCCAGCTGAGTTTACGGGTCAAGGAAGATCTGGAATTACGTCTTTCCAGCTCCTTTGGCGTGAGCAAGTCTGACAGCTCGCCAGGAATAAAGTCCTCCCCATCGAAATCCTCGCAATCGTCTTCTTCGTCAATGGCAGATTCATATGCCGTCTGTTGGTGCAGTGTGGGGAGGGAGATAAACGTACCATGAGTAGCCACTGGGGGCAGTCTCTGCGATGGGCTTGCAAGTGCAGCTGTCATCTTCTGCTGAGGAAATTGTGAGAGCTCTGTGTCGCGCAGCGATATTGAAATCGGTGGGGGCCCCGCATCGTTACTTCTGTTACCGGAGTTGAACTGCTTTGAAGGATGCACTCGAGTCCCGTCAGGCAGTATATGAGCATTGGCGCATTTGTTACCAAACCTGCAATGGCCACGCTCGAAGTACTTGCACGGGGTGGCATCCGCCGCGACCGAGTTCAACGAGTGTGAAAAGGGACACGAATCGCCAGCCTGGCAAGTGCCTTGACGGAAAAAACGGCATGGAACGTGCGAGTAGTTTTTCTGGGGGACCGAGTTTTTGGTGATGAGTCGGTGCTCGAGAATGGCCCGTTGATGGTTTAGCGTAAACGCTTGTTGCTGTGGCAGCTGGCGTTGGTGGTGATGATGATGGTTTTGGTGCTGACGGTACGCTTCAAGGGGTGATTTGGGCGATTCCAAGCTGTTGGACTCTGATGGAGATGACATTTCTGGTGCAGAGCTCGTGGCAGCTGGTGTTTGCAGCTCGGACGACACAGTCAGCCCGGAAACGGCGTTTTTGGAGCCTTGGTGCGCTTTGAAGCTGGAGCTTCGATAATGCGACGTCTTGGGTTTACCGGGTGGTCCCAGAGTGTATGGACTGCTGCTGTTGGGCTTGGTTTTCGGCGTCCGTTGAGCCATTTCGGGGCAACCGTGTGGTGAGTGGTAGGGCGTTTGGCCGGTGTGAGTTCAAGCTGGGCAAAACGTTTGGATGATTTCAAACCTGAGAGTGAGAGTTGATTCTCGACGAATTTACGAGCGAAGGGGTATTGTGAGATTGTATACTTGTGAGCTTTCTATCGTAGAGACTATCCTAGACTTTCGAATCAAAATACTATGTGTGTTATGTGAGCCTGAAAACCTTGACAGGGGCAGTCTGTTAGGGACTGGGTTGGGTACTTCTTATCTTACACTCCCTGGAAAACCCGAGGGTCACCTCTAGGGCCAGTATCTTCTTTTACCCTGGCAAATCGATCGTCTCTACTACACTACGCTACGCTACACTATGCTACACTGCCTGTCCTCGACTCCCTTATCGACTGCAGGGGTGATCGACCCGATGGACCAATTGATCGCCAATTTGCAACCAACAGCACAGGGGCTTGAGACATTCGAGACATTGTGAATAAGAAGCTTGGTTCTTGATAAGGACACCAGTCCTAAGGGATACAAGATGGCCCGTCACGAGAGTCGATAAGATAGACGAAAGACCTAAATAGCGCACAGCCACAGAGTGCCTAATCCAGGGCGAGGTGCGAAGAGCGAGCACGGGCAGCTTCCCTGTTCAATCCAAGACATGTTATATACACCTGTAGAGATATGTGTGTTAAGTGGAAATGTACTACGTTTCTGGTCTTCATATATGGGGAAAAAACGGGGCAAATCCCTGAATCAAAATTTAAAATGCCAAGCATCCTCAGCACGCACAGCACACACCAGGAGCGCTGAATATATCACTGGTGTTGGTGTTTGTAGTGACCCATCGCTCATCCAGAAATTATTCTTTATAAATGGCTGGTAAATTAGTAGAATTTGCTGGATTTTGATCACTACACACGGGATGATCTCGTTGGTCCAATCTAATTTAATTATATAGAAAAGACTCAACACAACCTCAACTGTAACAAGCCAGCATCAACAAGCCAGCTGCCCAGCATTTTTGATGTTCAAGTTCTGAAACTCGACGGTCTGTTGGTTCAAATAGTTGCGGCAAGAAAGAACCCCAGCCTGCACCGCCTGGTTTTATGTAAAAAGTTATAGATTCTCTCGCTCTCCTACTCTCTCTTTCTCCCAGCCCGTCCGTAAATACCTTCCCAATGCGTCGCAATATCTGTGCCGAAAACGCTACTGTTTTGCTGGGTCTGCCCGTCATCACATCTGTGCAGAGACCGTGCATGCCCGGAACGTTCTAACGTGATAAAGGATTCCTCGAAGAGAACGAAAACAAACGTTGCGAACGGTTCGATTGAAAACGGCTGTCAGCGAGGTTTGCCATAAACGGAATACAGGCCCACGAGGACACAGGTAAGGGAGGTTAGCGCACCTTTTACATGCGAGTATGTTCTCTGGTGGGCATTATTCAGGCTGGGAAGAGAAATCTGCCACCATGCTTGCCTCTAAACAAACAGAAACGGGTTGGAAAGAAAAAGCCAGTCAGGTCGGGGATGTGTGTGCGTGTGTGTGTGTGTGTGCGGGTGCGTGTGCGTGTTTTTGGATGTGAGGTCCGCTGGGATCTCAGAGCGTCTCACAGCGATAGAACAAGTGTTCCCCTTTTGACGAAGCTCATGCCTGCATGAAACACAGGTCGGACTGCGGTTCTGCAAAACTGTCACAGGAAGAGCGTTATATTCTGCGTTTGCCGCACTGCTCTTCTCGTGTGCACAACCAGCACATGAGTATTTCCAGGGATCATGTCAACAAACAAGAATGTACCTCTCCCTGTCTGTGTTTTGTTCTCAGGTTTTTTGGGCGCTCCGTCCGGTATCAAAAGCCCAGGTTATATGTATGGCCTCGAGCACGAATTGGGATCTGAGCCGTGATTTTTTGGGCCTGAAGTCGCACTCTACCACCAAACAGTTCCGTGCTGTTGGTTTCAAGATTTTTGCGAGGCGTTTGTGTGTGTGTGTGTGTGTGTGTGTGTGTGTGTGTGTGTGGTTCGCCTAATTGGTATCCTGGAGCCGTTGTTGATTCTCAAAAAAAATTCACCTTTCTTCTCTCCCTTTCCTCACAGTCCTTGTATTTGCCTTTAACTGTCTTTCTGCTTCGACGACTCATCTTAGTTTCTCCTGTTTCGGCATGAATTCCTCTAACATTGCGCCCATGGGCTCGTCCAAAAGATCAAGAGAAGTTTCAGACTTTTTGTGGACGTCCCGGCCACCTGCCAAGAAAGTGTATGGTGTCTTGTCTTCGAGTGTAGACGATCCCCATCAGGCCCGATCTCAGCAACCCTTTTTCGACACCCCAAGCTCCTACCTAACTAATCTCACACCTTTGGCCACACCCACTAAGAAGTCGCGATCTCCGCAGGGAGGAGACGAGTTTAGCTTTTGTTATAACCACAACAGCAGCAATACTCACTCGAATCTGGAAACTCATTTTTCCGATCTCAAACTATACATACCTCACAAAGCCAGTGAGGACGTCGGCAACGCTACTCATCCCATATTCATGACGGCTGAAATTGTCGAACAGATCCTTAGATTCGTTGTCGCTGACGCTACCATACCGCGGGAAAAGGTTCGTCACAGACGCAAACCTCAGGCCTTCACACATGCCTTGCTGATGTGTGACGGTGATGAGGCCAAGGCCAGAAGATTGTGGGATTGCAGTACTAAACCTGAAGTAATTTCGGTCATTGATAAAAGACCAAGGCTTCACAATTGCATGCAGGTGAACAAAATGTGGCATAAAATTGCATTGAGCATTATCACCGAAAGCTTACACTTCACTGACTCTAAGAAAGTGCGAAAACTGGCTGCCAACGCTTCGAGACTTCGCAACTGTCTCTCGAAACCTTCGGCATTTGTACTGCACAAACTCAGTAAGCTCAAGCAAAGCGATTTGAACACTATGGTCCCTGTTGTGTCATCTGAGCGCTTGAAATGGCTTGAATTTTATATCTGTCCCAAGATTTTGCCTCCTCTACCCATATTTCAAAAGTCTTTAAACCTGGAAAAACTGGTTCTCCCGGGAAATCAACTGGTGGACGATGAATTTTTGATGAAGATTGCTCCATACCTTACGAAACTCAAGACTCTTGACTTGCGAGCTTGTGATAAAATAACCGACGGCGGTGTTTTGTCGATCACAACAAATTGTCCTGAGCTCAAGGTGTGTAATCTGGGAAGACACAGAAATGGGAACGCTATTACAAGTGTTTCGATGGTCGCTTTAGCTCGCAATACCAAAGTGGATACAGTTGGAGTGGCAGGGTGTCACATAACAGATGCAGGCGTTTGGGAACTCGCCATGCACCGCGGGCCCCTAATCAGAAGACTTTCACTCAATAATTGTCAGCTGCTCACAGATAACTCACTACCTACTTTGCTTGCACTCGGGTATTTTCCTCAGCTTTCCGTCCTTGAGATAAGGAACCTCGATCGGCTCACAAACGTTCGGCCAATCGTCGAATACGTACGATCCAAGCGTTCTCTAGGTATACCAGTTCTGGTTGAAGGAGGCGAGAGGCTCGATTCCATGATCAAGAAATTTGAGGACCGATTGGAATTGCAAGAGTCCGCCCACGTCTTAGCGGCTTTTGCCGAGTGGGTCAACCAAGATGACATGCAGTGAGGTATTGTTGAGCGAGAAAGTTATGTGCCATATTTTCGCACGCAGGACAAGCCAGCCGTAAAAATATACTCCGTTTTTAGATTAGAAATGATAGACTGTTAAAGTATTTGGTTTTACTGTGAGACTCTTGACCAGCATAGATCTTGAACAACTGTGTCGATACTCCGTGGATATGACCCATTGTCTTGATCTAACGCTCGACAACGGTAAATTTCGCATCCGGTATTGTTTTCTCCGTTGCCTGTGCCTATGCCTGTGCCTGTACCTGTTTACCTGCATCGGCTTACTTAATCATTACCTGTTATACTACACCTAGTAGTCACGTGTCACAAAATAGAAAATCTGACGTCATATCGCGTGATATATGCTTACGTCAGTTAAGTCTCAATTATAATCGCTCTTTACGGTCTTGTCACGTGCATTCTCTTTTTTCTAATGAAGTCAGGAAAATAAGCGTAATTACGACGCTGCCTGGACAATGTTCGAAATAACTCCAGTGTCTAACGTATATCCATCACCACAACGATGAGCTACCCAGGTGATAAGTATGTTAGATTTTAGAAACGTTGAAATAGGAACGAGCTTTTGATTTCTTCTCTTTTTCTGACTCAGAAAGTCACAATTTGACTAACTTCATGCCAAGTCCCGGGAACAGACAACACTACAATAGCTACCGAAGCTCCTCGTCTCGTGGGAGATCTTCTAGAGGTAGCCGTGGTGGCTACAGCTCTACACGGTATCAGTACAATGGTGGTGGCTACGAAGAAAACGCGGGGCGGTTTGGGGGCTCCGCCAACAAGTACCGTGGCAATTATCGTGGCGATTACTACGTTCCGCAGCGGTCGAACCAAGGCGTGAACAACAGAGGAAGCTATGCAGAGTCGTCTTCGCGGTATGAGAAAAGAGCCAGTTCGTCATCGCTTCATGAAACGCGGCCGTCACCTCAACCGCACGCAGAGCGCCCTCACGAAACTCTGGCTGCTGAAACCACCAGTCAGTTCAACACTCCCCAGAAAACACATGTCACGGACTTTCCCTCCTACTTTCTAACCGGTTTGAACGAATACACAAATGATGAGCAGGAACGGTCAAAGATTCGATCACTTCTGCGAGGGGATGAAGAAATCGATGCAAAACTAGAAGAGCAGAAATTACAGCTATGCAAGAGCGAATTGGAACTCGGGCTGCTAAGCACTCAGTCAGAGAAGGATGCTTTGAACGTTCAACTGACTCAAGAAAACTTGGATGCCATCCTGCTAATGCAGTAACTCTAAGTAAACTATTACTTATCGGGCGAGTTGAGTAATATTTAAAAAGGCGTGTATATATTTTATAGGATAACGCAGGAATCTCAAAACATTATACACAGGTAAAGCTGCGGTTTTGTATTTATCCTGTTTTTGATTTAGATTTTGATATCTTTATGGCTAGCAGCAGCGTGAATTTCAATGTTCAAAAAAGTTAATTCCTGAGAACTGGGCATCTCCGCTAGCTAAAAAAAAGCCGACAAACAAAACATATTTCAGTCCAGAGTCCTCCCCCAAAATGTCTTTTGTATCCCAATTTGCTGCTTTAGGGTCTGAGAGTAAGGTAGCCGATGCTCTGCTATGGTCCGTCTTCGCTCTTGGGGTCTTGAAAGCGACAACTTTTGTTTTGAGCTTTTCCAGCGTGTTGGTCGACTTGTTTGTTCTGCCGGGCGTCAATCTCGGCAAATACGGTGCTAAAAAAGGGCAATTCTGCGTAGTCACAGGTGCTAGTGATGGTATCGGCAAAGAATACGCTCGTCAGTTGGCTCAGCGTGGTTTCAACCTGGTACTTATCTCCCGCACCCTTTCCAAACTTGAAGACCTAAAAGCCGACTTTGAAAGAGAATACAAAGTGGACGTTCGTATCTGTGCGGTCGATATCGCCGAAGACTCTTCCGAAAACTACTCCAAGATTCAAGAGGTCTGCTCTGGGGTCCCCATCACCATGTTGATCAATAACGTGGGCCAGAGCCACAGCATCCCAGTTCCTTTCTTGGAGACCGAAGAAAAGGAGCTACGCAACATCATCACTATCAATACCACTGCTACTTTGAAGATCACCCAGATTGTGGCTCCTTTGATCGTGAAGTCTGCCAAGGATGCGCGTTGTAAAGGTTTGATCTTGACTATGGGTTCTTTCGGTGGTCTCTTGCCCACACCGCTGTTAGCCACTTATTCCGGGTCCAAAGCATTTTTGCAAAGCTGGTCTGCAGCTCTAGCTGGTGAACTCAAGCCCCAGAACGTGGACGTTGAGATCGTTCTGTCATACTTAGTCACGAGTGCTATGTCCAAGATTCGCAAATCCTCAAAGATGATCCCAAATCCAGCTCAATTTGTCGCAGCTACGTTGAGGTCTGTTGGAAGACGCTCTGGAGCTCAAGAACGCTACGCTACAATGACCCCTTACTGGTCGCATGCGATTTACCACTTCGTGATTGAGAACACCGTCGGAGTGTATTCCAAGCTTGCGAACACCGTCAACTACACAATGCACAAGAGCATCAGAAACAGAGCTCTACGCAAGGCTGCTAGGCAAGCCAAGAAACAGTGAACTGGGATAAATTTACCTTGTTGTTTGTTCGTATACTGTGTTTTAGCCAATTTTTCTAGTGTATAAGTAAATACTGATCCTGTACAGTGTTTAAATCATAAATACACGAAATCTCGAATCTTTCTTTAGAAGGGATAGTTCCACATAATATCACTTCTGAGAGACTAGCGACATGACCGAACTAGCCAATTATAAAAGGCTCGAAAAAGTCGGTGAAGGTACCTATGGTGTAGTTTACAAGGCTCTGGATTTGCGACACGGCCAGAGAGTGGTTGCATTGAAGAAGATCAGGCTTGAAAGTGAAGATGAAGGTGTTCCCAGCACTGCCATTCGTGAAATCTCGCTTTTGAAAGAGCTTAAAGATGATAATATTGTTCGTTTGTATGATATCGTGCACTCGGACGCTCACAAACTGTACTTGGTGTTCGAATTTTTGGATCTCGACTTGAAACGATACATGGAGTCTATCCCAAAGGAGCAACCATTGGGCGACAACATCATCAAAAAGTTCATGATGCAGTTGTGCAAGGGTATCGCTTACTGTCACTCCCATCGTATTTTACACCGCGACTTGAAGCCTCAGAATTTGTTGATCAACCGCGATGGAAACATGAAGCTGGCTGACTTTGGGCTGGCTCGCGCTTTCGGCGTTCCCTTGAGAGCCTACACGCACGAGATTGTGACCCTATGGTACCGTGCGCCAGAAGTGCTTTTGGGAGGCAAACAGTACTCCACGGGGGTGGACATTTGGTCGATTGGGTGCATTTTTGCTGAGATGTGCAACCGAAAGCCCATTTTCAGCGGCGACAGTGAGATAGATCAGATTTTCAAGATATTCCGTACCCTGGGAACCCCGAGCGAAACGGTTTGGCCTGACATCGTGTACTTGCCCGACTTTAAGCCCAAATTTCCAAAATGGCACCCCAAGGATCTGGCGCAAGTGGTGCCGTCACTAGACGCACAAGGCATTGATCTTTTACAAAGTCTTCTTACCTACGATCCTATTAACCGAATGAGTGCCAAAAGAGCTGTTATGCATCCATATTTCCAAGCACAGCCGGGAGAATAAGCTGACCGGTCTGTGAACTATGCGCTTCACCCAAAGAGAGTGCTAGATGGAATCTGACTCGATGCCCTAGCTCAATGATCTGCACTCAGGCGTGCTGAGGGCCTAACGACTTCGAGACGATCCATCGGTCCTAATTAGGAAACCCATATCCGAATACGGGAACCCAATGCATCTTTTGCCTCTTTGGGAATTTCTGTCGTCGCCCGTCGATTGATCACTGTGTACGCATCAAATGTTTTCCGACAAGTAATGAGTTTCTCGCACTTTAACAAGATATCTAGCTCCTCTATAAACCTTTCAGCTTCCCGTTCAGCTCTGAGAAACAATTGCAAAACTCAAGCCTATAAAAAACGCGTTATGTTTCGAATCGCGGGATAAAACCTTTATCACTATATACGTATTCACAGCTGTCAAATATTACGGTTGCCACCAAAATCTACGCTTTCTATCGGTGTATTCTTAACTCAACACCATCGTCGTTCAACCATAGACAGCAGTGAAATACGCCAGTATTGACCCATTTCAACGTTAAACTCTATAAAAATGACAATTGTTGCCAATCGAGCTGTTACTTTCGTCAACAACAAGAGTCTGCCTGTGATTTCGTCGCAAGAAATTGATCTGGACACTTGCTATGGAGACAACGAGATCGTCGTCAAAGTCCACGCAGCGGCTTTGAACCCTATCGATTGGTTAATGTACCAACTTGCATTTTCGTGGTTTGCAGGAAGCGAGAAGAAGACGTTTTCGAGGGATTACAGCGGTGAGATTGTCAAAGTCGGCTCGAGCGTTGAGAACTTCGAGATCGGGGACAAGGTTGTTGGGCTATTTGAGCATATTTTGGGGCCCCAGGGATCCCTCAGCGACTACTTGGTGTTTAATCCTACGAAACAATGCGCCTTGACCAAGATGCCGGCATGCAACGACCCCAAGTACAGCGATTACGTTCTCAATGCAGCCTGGCCTCTCGTTTTCGGCACAGCCTACAAAATTCTGTTTGGCTACGGCCAGAAACTGGGTCCCGGCTCCAAGATCCTCGTCATTGGCGCTTCCACGTCCGTTTCGAACGCGCTGGTGCAGATTGCGAAGAACTATCTAAACGTGGAAACCGTGGTGGGGATCTGTTCCAAGAAATCGTTCGAGTACAACAAGGCCCTGGGCTACGATCATTTGGTGGCTTACGACGAGGACAATACCGTGGAGAAAGTGGTTGGTCTGGTGAAAGATAAGTTCGAAAACGGGAAATTCGACCTTGTTTTCGATTCCGTTGGAAACAGCGATTTTTTCCCCCGCATCCACGACGTGTTGAAAAGCAGAAACGAGGGATCCTATTATTTGACCATCGCGGGCGACCACAAGATTAAATACGCCAATCTAAGCCTGTGGTCTATTCTCCAGCCCAGCTGGGAAATGCTCAAGAGGTACGGTCCATTTCGCAAGTACAACTATGCATATGTGCTTTTGAACAAGAACCCGAAGGCCATGGCGCTGGGCGCTCAGCTGATAGCGGAAAAGAAGTACAAACCCGCTATTGATTCTGTTTACGAGTTTGGCGACTACGCTGATGCTTTCAAAACGCTTTGTTCATATCAGGTCAAGGGAAAGGTGGTTGTGAAAATTGATTGATTCTCTAGTCGATTCTCTAGTCGCTCAACGGATCATCTTTTTTCTTCCTACACCGCGTCTTGTCCCAATCGGGAAACGGCACTTCCGCTTTCAGAAATCCGCCTCTTCTCACCCGACTTCTTCCTTCGAGAGCCTCCGTCCCCCGCGTTTTTCCGGTTCCGGCCGCCGGGCATCGTTTCTAACCTCCGGTGCCCCCTTGGCGTTACCCGCCGCGCGCTCTGGGTTTCCATTTGGGGAAACAGCTGCTAACTACGTCATACCAGAAAGATATTTTAAGACGCTGTCACCACCACAACATACTAACCAAGGCGAATACGAACACAACACGAGTAGTAACGAACTTGGCCCGTATTGTCTCTCTATGACACCTAAATATTTTAAATTATCGTACTCTTTGCACTTCGCTTAACGCTCGTCAAACTGGCCCCAGAAATCGCCTCTTACCGCATTCGGCCATTTTCGTCAAACATGATCTCTTTCTCCTTTTCTTATTTTTCCACATGCACGAAAAAGAAACGAGTTAGAAAAAAAACTAAAGATAAAAAAAATAACGTGACCATCTCAAATAAAAGATATCCGATCATGTTTGACGAAAGTCTTGGGCTCAAAAAACATATCCAGGTAAACTGAGCCTAAACCAAGCCTACATGTCTATCTCTATATCTTTAAGTCTTCAATCACAGTCTACCATCTCCTTCTTCCCTTTTTCTCCTCTCTAGCTTAACAGCCTTTCAATCTTACCACAACTTTGGGTATATTGTTGGCCATTGGACATCAGCAAACCCAGTAAGATTATCCCGGTTCCTGAAACTTGACTAGTTGCGGTTTTTCAGACACCACCATCGGTTTTTGACAAAAATATACGGTGATTCTAAACAAGGCTCCAGTTGACTTTTGTTTGGTGTGTTGGAAATTGTACGTGTACGTGGATTGCAGCGTGTCTCATTCTTTTTTTTTGTTTGACGTGCTTTTGACCTGTACTCAGCTCACCACAGTTGTTTTTTTTAATTGATTTCAGCTGGAAGTTGACCTGTTCGGCTTTTTTGTATCATTCTGGTGTTTTCGAATCCCGTTTGGTTGTCTCTTCCATCCCCAGCGCTGTTGTAGTGCCCAGCTTTCACCATTTTGTTCCCCTACCGATTATTCCGTCGCCGTCACTCCTTTCACATCTACTCTGTTTTGCCCTGTAATGCGACAAGAACTAAAGTATTTGATCTACTCGCACATCGCTATAGTCGTTGTGCTACTGTATCTGACGTTTGACCTGCTCACGCTGGCCATCGACGACACGTTCCAGGATGCCCTGTTAGACGTGGACCTCAACCCTCCAAAAGACGCGGCCCCCAAGCCAAAACTCATCCCCAAAATCATTCACCAAACCTACAAAACAGCCGATGTACCCGAGCACTGGCGCGAGGGACAACAGCGCTGCATCGACTTGCACCCTGACTACGAGTACAAGCTCTGGACGGACGAAACAGCCCGCCAGTTCATCAAGGAAGAGTATGGCTGGTTCCTCGACACGTTCGATGGGTACCGCTATCCTATCGAGCGTGCAGACGCACTGCGCTACTTCCTGCTGTCACATTTCGGCGGTGTCTACATCGATCTCGACGATGGGTGCAGACGTAAGTTAGACCCTCTACTGACCGTGCCCGCGTTTGTTCGGAAAACCAGCCCGACTGGTATCTCTAACGACGTTATGGGCTCTGTCCCGCGTCATCCCTTTTTCCAAAAGGTTATCGAGTCGTTGAAAAAATACGACCGCAACTGGTTTGTACCTTACATCACCATCATGTTTTCCACGGGCCCTCTATTCGTGAGTGTCATTTGGAAACAATACAAGAGATGGGGAGTTCCAGAAAACGGGGTCGTGCGTATTCTACAACCGGCTGACTACAAAAAGCACACATACTCCTTTTTCTCCATTTCTCAGGGGTCTTCTTGGCATTTAGACGATGCCAACTTCATCAAGTCCTTGGCCCACCACATCTTGGCCTGTGTCATCCTGGGCTTCATAGTGGCTTTTCTCGTTCTTTACGCCGAGTACTGCTTTTACTGCTGGCTTGGGTCCGGTGGTGGAGCTCGTCGTATCGGGAAGGCTTTCAAGCGTGGCTTGGCGTGGTTGGGCATTTTTTCTGACAATAGCACAAGCCCTGAATCGATGGAGCTTAGGTCCAAGTTTAGAAGATTGCGCAAGGACTCCAATCTCCCGGTAAAAATTATCTTCCCCGACCTGGAGGAGAACAGCTCTGATCAGCACGCTGATTTGAATGGCAATTAGGCGTGGCTTATGACTACAGCGGCACCAACGTGCTGCCCGCAAAAAGCCTACTCTTCTGATAATCTGTTCAAACTATGGATTGTCGTTTTTTTCTGCTACTGATCTTGATTGTTTTCCTTTTCCAGAGCATCATAGACGCTTGAATTTCATCGGTAGCATGGTTTTGAGATCACAGTAAGAGCTCAATTCCCACAAAGACAGCACACGTTCAATATCTTTTACATCACCAGGTGCCTTTTTTATGAACACAATGAAAGCTTCGCGGATCGTGGACATGCTTTCACTCTAAGTCAGACAATCTTTGAAGCAATGAAGATGGGTCACTTTATTTTTTATGAGTCCTGAAGCTCATATCGGACAGGCTTCTACCGCGATGCAATTGTTGGAGCCTTAGTGTTTTACCTATTTTTTTATCACGAGCATGTACTATAACTTATCTATTTGTCTTACACAAGTAGCTCTGTCTATGCGACCCTGCAAATGTAACAGTATATATTTAAAAGCATAACACAAATTAAGAGATTGACAGAAGTCGAACGAACCCGATAGATAAACTTTAATTTGTCTAGTTTTCAATAAAAGAACGTCATTTTCGAGTCGCTAAAGACTTTTTGGTCCTAATCAGCATTGAAGTTTATGTTATGCTAGTGCAGCAAATATTGGACCTTGTTTTCTTGTATTCTTGTATTCTTGTATTCTCGTTCTCCGATCGTGTCGAATAGAATCTGTTGGCTGCGATAATGCTTGCCGGGGAGTTCCACTCTAAGTCAAAAAATACTTGATTTTATTACTACCAAAACAGTAGTGAGAGCCTTACAGACTAGTTACAACAATATTGATGACTACTAAACACTCGAAGTGACATGCACTTTAATAGCGAGTTGTGTAATTTTCCTTTACATCTCATCATCAATGTCTGATGCTCACCTGAAATTTTGAGAGGCAATATCTCAGACCTAATTGACCTCGGAGATTAACAAAAGTAAACCTTGTTTAGCTAGAATTTCAGTTAAAGCTCGCTACTTATCAAGACAAACATTGGCGGTTTTAACTAGTAAATTTCACGACTTGTTGCAAACGAAAGCCAAGACTAAAATGATTTTATGACGTTCTTACAATTTATCGCTGTCATCGCGTAAGAGCATATGTTTCTTCCTTTGGCTTGTCTATATCAAACAGGTTTTTCTGCGACAACTAGAAGATCATTATTTTACCGTCGTAACTGTGGCTAGTTACGTTACATTTCAATGGGTAGCTGGGTCAAGGGCACCAAAATTTGCCTAGTTTTACAGCTATCTGTTCTGGAGTATGGGTACTTCATTTGTAATTGCAGGTATTTCAAAGTCATATTTGTTCACACGTTCGATAACTGACCGAATAGCACGGGCTACAGTTGAAGGTTCGATATATGTCAAGATGGCAGAGCAAGAAATAAATCAATTGTTATATTTATTACAACATACAGCAACGAAGTTTGAAACTTTTATATCAATTTCTGGCAGTCAAACTGACACTAGCACCAGAGCTTACAGTGGACAACCGAAAACATGATGAGAACTTATACTATGAGAGTATAATACAAGCAGATTGAGAGTTAGAGAAATATCCAAATATTAATAATACACTGCCAGCGGCAAGAGAAAGGTTAATTTTGTTTTACATAAATGGGATTTGGCGATCAGAATGAGGCTTAGGCCAAGTTCGCAACTGAACCACTCTGGTCAAGCCATCCCTGTACTGTGCTTGCGCTCAAGCTCGAGCCGAAGTCACCGCTAACACTCACAACGTGCAGGGTTTTGTCTGAGCCATTGAAAATAACAGCGGCCTTCAAGCTAGACGAGGTTGGTCTAGCAAAGTAGTCTTGAGTACCACCACCGCCTTGGCTGTTACCGTTGTTGCCCTGGCCATCGTGCAAGTGAGTGATCAATTTCTCACTGCCGGAAGACAAAATCTCGAACAAGTCTAGCTCACCACATCCGGAGCTCCAGCAAGAGCAATCGGAGTTACCGTATTGGAGGGTACGTGGGATCTTAGCGTTCAACATCCAAATTGCAGGCATGTCCTGGTTGTAAGAAGACGAGTAGTCGTGAGGCATCTTGAATTCGAAAACAAACATCTTGGTGTCACCACCGAAACCGTGATAGGAAGGAATATCATCTCTGGTTGTGCCACAAGAACCAGAAGAAGTGTCCGAGCAATCAACGCCCGAGAAGATCATATACTCTTTGTTGGAGGCCAAGGTCACTTGGTCCAAAGCTTGTGGAGATCCAGCACCGGAAACACCATCAGCAGCACAATAAGAAATAGAGTTACCAAAACAGGCAGACCAAGTACCAGAACCAGCGGTACCACCTTGGTGGTTCATGAAGGTCAAGTTGCTGGCAGAACCTGGAGTATAGTATGAAACTCTCTTCCAGCCAGACCCAGAGCTGGAACCAGAGGAGGAAGAAGCTGGAGCGGACGAGGAGGAGGAAGAGGAAGCGGAGTGAGACTGGGCAGAAGAGGACTGAGAGGGGATAGCAGAAGAGGAAGAGCCCTGGGATGCAGTTGAAGCAGATGAGACTGCTGGAGACTGAGAAGTGGTGGCCGCAGGGGTCAAGGACGAAGACGTGGCGTAAACGGCAGTGGCAGAAGGGTTTGTAGAGGCCACGGGATTGCCGTTACCATCAACGTACATGGTAGACGTAACATATGCGACGGCGACGGCGGCATCACGCTTGTGGTCGTGATGACGAGTTGCGACGTCACAGTCTTCTCTTTTCTTAAGAGAACCAGAGCTTGGGTAGTAAACACCAAACTGCAAAAGCTCTAGCGGACCTCTGAAATGGACAGAAAGTTCTTCGTTGAGTGGCGACATAGAGCCTTCAAAAGACACAGATTCTTGAGTACAGGAGCAGGAGGACTCGTCCATGCCAGTGACGTCCATGTAGGAGCCAGAATAGCCAACGTTTTCGTAAACGACAGCGTCGGTTTCGGAACAGTAGTAGTTCCCGTCGACATAGTCGCACGAGGCGGCGGCAAGTGGGGCCAGTGAGAGCGCAGCGGCAATACAGGACTGGGAGAGTTTCATGTCGAAAATGAAATCGCTATTTAGAAAAGGAGTGACAACGATGGAGATTCAAAAGATTTTAACTAGTTAGCCAACTGATCGCTGAGCAAACTTTTGGCACTGAGGGAATGAAAGAATGGAAGTAAAGATAGTTCTTACGAGAAAAACTGCTCTTACTAGTCAAACTCGGGGATCTACCAACGTGGGAAGAATGTGAATCGTTTTATTAAAAGGAGTGTGGGAGTTTAGGAGGCTTGAGAAAACTAGCCTTTAGTTCAGTTACCAGGGGCTGCGATTTTTGAAGTTCCAAAAACAATTTCGCGATTGCTGGGGATAGGAGGGAAAATACTTGAAGTAGTGCTTGGAGTGAGTTAGAAGGAAATACTTCGGATGGCTGGTTTTCCAAATTTTAGATGTTTATTAAATGTTTGAGCTTCAAAACTTTTCCATCTGTCTAATCTTTTCGCTCCGCCATTACCGTTTCCAGCCCGCAAGCTGGCAAACCTAAAAAGTGGCTGATTCTACCAGCTGTGCGTTTGCGTTGCGTAGTGCACCGCAATCGAGCTGTGGCCAGTCTTGTGCGATTCTTTCTTGCAACTCAGGCAACGAAAAAATTGTAAGTCGGGTTCCCTTCGAGATTTTCACCCGGTCATTTTGATGGCTGTTTTGAATCTGTAGCAGAAGATGGGTCGCGTTCATGTGTGTTTCGCGGTTCGAGCCATTTGCACAGTACATTTCGTAGCGCACTCTTCACTAAATTCTGTAGAAGGCATTTCGTAAACAGTAATGGCGATTGGCTCGCGTCTGCAAGTGCCCCGTTCATTGCAATTTTTATAAGCAAGCCACTCAGATTTTTGCAGATGAAGGTTTTTTGCGTTGTTGCATAGGATTCAAACACCGACAACAATGGACAATATGTGAAATTTTGTGCAAGGTTTTGCACAGCATGAAAGTTGTGTAGTGTGTTAATACAGGATTTGACAGCGTCTTGACCACTTTAGTGCCTTCAGATGATAAAAAGAAATAGGTGACAATGTATCGTCTTGAAAACAGCGAGCGTAACTCATAGTCGCACCAACGTTCACGAAGCCTATTTCTGCCTCCATGCATATCTTTAAGGTCCTCGTTGCATGCGTGATGTAGAGATTACAAAAACATTCCTTCGCCTGATTTCTTGAACTCACGGAGCGTTGAGGTGCAAAGAACCGTCTCAGGGTTCTAGAATCGGCAACACGAGTCTAAGTTATCGACGGTCGGATCAGAGAATAGCGTCAACGCAGACTTCTTGTATCTCCACGGGACGAACATATTCGAAAAGTGTCATTTCGTGCGGTATTGTAAGAATTGCGCGGGAAAATTGACCTTGAACGACGAGCAGAGGTTTGCGAAAGCAACGCATTCAAATCTGATTCTTGAATTCTCTTTTTCGGACCTTCAACTGCAGGACACAGAAATGAGATGAGATTGGCGAGCTTAATCAAAAATGGTGGCCGCCAAATCATTTGTGTAAATAGCACTTCAAAAACAGGGCCGCCCCAATCGATTAGTCGGTGCCCACATGGATGCCGATATCGGCAGAGGGATTGTCTTGAGCACTCAAGAACATCATTTTTTTGTGTTAATTCGATTCTGATCACTCACAAAACCGGTTCGACCTAACTGCCAGGGACCATGTAGAGTTCCAGCTCATCGAAATTGCAATCGGTAACTTCAGAGGTGATTACGCTACGCTGAAGTGGTGTGAGAGCCTTCTTGTAGCGTCTAACTGCTAGAAAAGAGGCTCTAGCATCAGTGAAGTGGAAGAGGAAGTGAGTCAAAATACCCGCCCACCTTTTTTTACCTTTTATACAGATCACTCTATACGCCCCTAATTTGGATCAGGCTGATTAACTCTAATTTTCGTATATAGGGATTTTCTTTGTAGAGTTCTACGCTAGTATATGACTTCTCATTTGTAGGCTTTGGACTTATTCTAGGACGGTTATCGAGGGGTCCATGGATGTGGTTTCCAGATTGCAGTGTCCGCGGTGGTGTTCCTGAGACCTTATCTGATCACGTGACTAAACCGAAACCAAATAGGTCGAAATCTCAACGGTGTTCCACAAGCGAAGACTGGACATTTTACATCCCTGGAGGTGAGCACTAGACACTCTTGGTGCTTTTAAAAATGAATATCGAAAGCGTCACACCAGGCTAAACCCACCATATTATACTTCAATGTGAGAGCTCCGATTGATGTCGTTCATAGCGATCACGATCTAGAAAATAACACGAAAGCCTTAAATATCTTATAAGTAGAAAGCTTCCCACTACATTCGGACACTGGCCCATACTATCCAGCTCCACATCCCTCTCAAATGGCTGTCCAGACCCCCAAACAACGCATAGCCAACCAGAAATTTGCCAAGCGTAATGAGAAAAAGCTAGGCAAGGCCAAAAAGACGGAATCTAAGTCCCCGCTGGCTCTGTCCAAGGGTTGGGTTTTTGGCCTCCTCTTCCTACTGATAGGAGGTGGTATCTTAGAATTGGTGACCCTTTTTTTGTGAGTGATGGCGAAAATGTAATTATATAGTTTAATTAAAGTGCGCGTTATAAAAGCGTGGCTTGCATTTTAGAGAATGAGTAGGTGTTGACTATGCTAAAGGTGTGTGATTACTCGTGCTGCCGCCATAGTTTGAAGTGAGGTTAGGCTCATTCATAGGCTCCGGATAAAGCTGCCTTTGTGAGTAAGCTCCAGAAGTCAATCAAAATCCTTAAATGACCACTGCTGTTAGAAGAATCGCAGTTCAGTTTTCAAAATTCACTTATGAGCTATGCCACCACCGAAAGATCCCTCAAAATAGAGTTTAACAACCTGTAGCGATGAGCTAAAACCTCGAGTATCGCATCATATATTTAATGTCTCTAAACTACTTTTCCATGTGACGGCTTGGTCTGCTGAAAAACCCAATATGACAGACATCCAATAACTTAATATTACGTTTTGGTGCCATTGGGCAAACAACTAACTTTCGTATTGCTAAATATGAGCTAGGTAGTCCTATTGCAACTATGCGCGTTAACTTTCTCATCACCTTCCGCCGGGGCGTTCACTTACCGTCATCAAGACTGGCAGGACCTGCAATTTCCAATAAATGCTCTGCTCTCACAGATGAAGAACTCAAGATCATCGATGATCTACCCCTCTTTCGCCAAATACCGATCAAACCAAGCAGCCATGTTACCAAAGCTCGAAGAGCTTATTTAGACCGAAAATTGCCCAGGGTTCGAAAACTATTCAGAAGCGAGCAAGAACCAGCTTTTTTATCGTATCACCTACCAGGAAGCCTACCCAATCCGTACTGGGATGCGCACGCAAGGGCTAAAAAGGACCCTGTCACAGGTGAAATTGAGTATTCCGGTAATGCTAGACTGTCGGTGACAAAGCTCTTGACAAAGCGTTGGTGTGAGCTCCGAGATACTTACGATATTTATTCACAAATTCCTATCTTCGAGCATGGCCAAGTCTCGGTTGGTCGCCGTGAACACCAGAGGCTCGAAGATGAGACACATGCTACTCTAGAAAATGCAGAAACGCTCAGAGCAGAGCTTGGGGACGAAATACCTGATGATCCTTTCCATACACTCGCTGAAAATTGGTATCAGACAACAATCAGGCTTCTTGCTCTTTTTCAGACCGGACAAGCCAGAGAAGTTCTTTGTCACGGGTATTTGAGCTCCAAAGATTGCCAGATCCTTCAGGGAGACGTTACGGATGAGGGTGATGTTCTAGTCAGTGGAATCATAGATCACTTGGTTTTGAAGAAAAAAATATCTCGAGGGCTCAAACCAACTCCGCTAATGCTCAACTTAACTGACGGCTACTCTTCTTACGACATGAAGGCAGTTTTACAGGGTTTATCTGCTTCAATCCAAGAAGCGGGTAAGAACTTGGAAATTGTTGTCAGTGATGTAAAGACGAGGCCCATGAAAACCATTCCTCAACAACAATCTGTTGTGTATGCCTCTAAAATCCAGGTGATGTACTACCGATTTTTCTTAGAGAATTTGAGCCTGGACTCAAGTCGAACGTATCAAAAGCTTCTCATAAACGCTCAAAGGCGAGGGTTCGACTTGGATGCGCCAATTAATCCTGCCAAGCTACTCTTTTTCATAGAGACCAATCCAGTGATAACTCAGGATTTGCGCAGACTACGAGATGGCACTCCAATAGGTTTCGCACCCTATGATACATATAACGAAGCTCATGACGCACCAAAACAGGAATACAATTGGGAAATTATCAAAAATGCACAATTACAGCAGCAATATGCTGAGTTTTTTTGCAATTGGACTACTCCAGTGACCCTACGATATTTCGCCACCCGTCTAGCACAGATGTACACAACTCTTGGGCCGCTTCTCTCCAAGAATTTGATGATAGAGTACTACTCGGGGAATACGAATTTCCACAACATTTCTTTTGAATATGATTCAGATGAACTTGAGCAACATGGCACTCAGAGCGCTCTGTTTTGGTTTGGTAAGCGCAACATCGAGCCTATAAAGCCAACTGTGCGAAGCATCCTGACCTACTGTAAACATTGCGACTACGAAAGCGTATGCCTTTGGAAAAAACAAGGGACTGAAATGTGCAAGGGCTTAGGTGGAGAACTGAAGAGGCTTCATCAGGAAGCGAATGTGGTCAAAACAGACTAGAAGTGACAGAAATTGGTGTGTTTCTCGTCGAAAAAGATATTTAGAGAGCTTATAAAATTTTGTTCAACGAGCTAGATATCTTGGACTTATAACTGACAGTTTGAACTCTACTAAAAATGTCAATTAAGACGTAATCTTTTGCACAAGCTTCATCTGTAGTCAGCTTCAATTTTTTCTCCTTGTATTTACCATGGTGTGAAAATGACACCCAGTGAAATCCAAGTTTGGGTTTACTGAAATGTGGTCGTTGTTACCCGATATGAGAGTGCTCTTCCTGTTGGTGCGTGCTAGTGCCACATGGGTTCTCTCTCGTGCGTATTCTAACGAAGAACAATCTTTATCCCGCTATTACCAAGACTTACGATTGGCTAGCCTTGGCGAAACTCTACCAATCGCAAATCCAGAGACACTGGGATTACATATTTGAAGCTGAGATTTGCGCTTTTGGCTATCCACCTTTCCACAAACCAATGTGTTCTTGGAAAATATCTTGTGATAAGTTCTGACATGGCTCGCAACTTTACGCATTCAAGATTGAGTCGTACTGCCTTGCAGCCTTGCAGGGTTTAGTATGTTTCGTAGTCGTCGATTTTCAGTCTCCTCTGAGACTGATACAGCAAGCGCTCAGCCAGCTCCTAGAGAGATGCCTGCTAACAGATCTGACGAAAAACAATAAGCCCGATGGGTTTCGAGTTCTCGCTTTACCTAAGAGCGGAGTTTGTATTCAAAGATTCATTATTTACAAGTCTAAAGGCACGAGAACACAATTGCATAAATAGATTCGGCAGACGAAAGCCGTTAACGTTTTACAGGGGCACTATTCGAATTCACTCGTCATCCTCCTCCGGTACCAAAGCTTTTGCTTCTTCCAGAAGTTTGGTAAGCTCGCCAGACTGAGCCATACTCATGACAATGTCGCAGCCTCCGATAAATTCTTCGTTTACATATAACTGTGGGATTGTAGGCCACTCGCTGATCTCCTTGATGCCTTCGCGCAGCTCTGGATCTTCCAACACATTGTAAGCAGCAAATTTGAGTGGATCTACACCTTGCTGCCCCAGCATACCGATAGTGGCCTTTGAGAATCCACATTGCGGAAACTCAGGTGTGCCTTTCATGAACAACACAACTGGTGCAGATTTGATTGCAGATGTGATAGCCTGTCTGGTCTCTGTAGTCATGAGTCTAACCCATGACGTGGGTGCTTTCGCAAAGGTTTGAGTAGCGAGTCTTGAGAACATTGTCAACCACGCGAATGATATTGCTGATGGGATGCGCGCTGAATTTATAAAGCTGGGTTGACGTGACGAATAAATCAATCATAGTTCTAATAGTTTGAAAACGAGTCACGTGACTCAGTGGGTTGGGCTCGACTTAACAATAATAATAATAATAATAATAATAATAATAATAATAATAATAATAATAACAAGACCACTACTTAGACTAGGAGTCAGGCATTCGATGTGTACATTGGTGGTCGGTTTGGAACCCGGTGGACTACTTATTCCAAATTTCCTGGTGTTTACTCTGCGCGTCTATGAATTTAAAAGCGGCTGAACAAGATGCTTGTTGATTTTTTTTCGCTCTTCGCCTTGCGCGCAGGGCGAGCCCAAGAACCCTATTTGACAGAGATCAAAAAGCAGTAAGGGGGGGGGGGGGTCAAACGGGCATCCCTTCCGTCTCATTGCATTATCAAGAAATCATAATTGCCAAGCGATATCATTTTGTGCCATTCTGTCATATATATCACTGATCACTATGGACGAAGATCATATTTACACATTCAACTGCGATCTCTCCAGTGGGTTTCTGGCCAAACTCTCGAGACTCATTCCTCTTTATCGCCCATCTTAGTCCATGCCAACGTCTATTGCGTCTATCACGCATGCAACTTTCAGCGTATTTTCCTTATCACCACGGGCTTATTCGAGACCATCACGTCACATTAGTACAAATTAGTACAAAGTGATCTCCTGATTAATCTACCGCTTTTTGCCGAATAGCCCTCCAGCGACTTACAGATAGCAGTTACCCAGTTTCTTACCATTCATTGGGTCTACTTTCCCATGAATACCGATTTTCGCTTTCCACAGAGTCTCATTTTTCCCAAACGCCTTGATCATCGAATATCAATATTTTGCTTCGCAGAGACCCGGTATCACCAAAAAAGAATTTACTAGTACACAGCTGAATATTATGCTTCACGAATGAAGCCCCAGAGTCTAAAGCCATGACATGACGCATACAAGTGTCAATCACATTCGCCATTCTTTCCAGCACAGCTGACCGATATCACCATATACGCGCACCTGACCAGCCCAAATTTGCGCTTACGTCAGCTTCTCTCAAGATCCCGGCCCAAAAACGCAAATTTGCGCTCTACCCTAATCTGCATTTATCTGATAGATACAGCCCTAATCGATTCTATCCGGCTTTATATAAAGGGCGGCTGTTTTGACCAAACCCTTCCACCTGCCTACAACTATTTGATATGGCCAATTGAACACTGTAATATCCAACTAAACACTATAAAACGAACTCTTTCAACCTCCCTATCCTCGCCAATGCATATCAAAACTCAAGGATGGAGCGTTGAAGACTGGCGTTCTTTCCACGCACATGCCACCCCACAAGAAGGTCTGGACCAGCTTTTAGCTGTGCTAGAAGCTCAAAAAAAAGCTCCCCAGGACCCAGCTTGGATCTCGCTCGTTACGCCAGAGCACTTGACACACCAGTGGCGTATTTTGCATAGCAAACGCGACAAACAAGCATTGCCGCTGTACGGTGTGCCAGTGGCCGTAAAAGATAACATCGACGTGGCAGGATCATGTACTACGGCGGCTTGTCCAAGCTTCGCATACGAGGCATCGCAGGACGCCACCTGTGTCTCGTTGTTGAGAGACGCCGGTGCCATTGTGTTGGGCAAAACCAACTTGGACCAGTTCGCCACTGGCCTGGTGGGCACACGGTCGCCATATGGCAAAACGCCGTGTGTTTTCAGCAAAGATCACGTGTCGGGAGGGTCTTCCGCTGGCTCATCGTCGGTTGTGGCACGTGGGATCGTGCCCTTGGCGCTAGGGACCGACACGGCCGGGTCCGGCCGTGTGCCAGCGGCATTGAACAATTTGGTGGGCTTGAAACCCTCCAGGGGCGTGTTTTCGTGCTCGGGCGTGGTCCCTGCATGCAAATCGCTAGACTGTGTCTCAGTGTTCGCCATGAACCTGGGCGATGCACAAACTGCATTCAAAGTAATGGCCCAGCCTGATACCACCAATGACGAGTACTCGCGGGCCATGCCGTCCAATCCACTCCAGAAATACCGCAAAGACTGCACTATTGCCGTGCCACAGTCAGTACCCTGGTTCACCGAGGAAGGTGGGGAAAACCCTCGTTTGTACCAGCAGGCCATTGCCAATTTGCGGTCCACGGGAGCTCAAATCGTGGAAATCGATTTCGAACCGCTCCTAGAGCTTGCCCGTTGCTTATACGAGGGCGCCTGGGTCGCAGAACGTTACGAGGCCACCCGCGAGTTTTTCAACACCAATCCAGACCCTGCTACCCTAGACCCGACCGTCACTTCAATCATAAAAACAGGTCCAAACTTTGACGCCGCAGACGCTTTCAGATTCGAGTATAAGCGTCAAGGAATCTTGCAAAAAGTCACAAAATTGCTGAGCGACATTGATGTTCTTTGTGTTCCTACTTGTCCTCTCAACCCCACTTTTGAGCAAGTTGCAGCCGAACCCATAAAAGTTAACTCTCAGCAAGGTACCTGGACCAATTTTGTCAATCTTTCGGACCTAGCCGCCCTAGCAGTTCCAGCCGGATTCCGCAACGACGGTTTGCCAACGGGTATCACATTGATAGGTAAAACATTCACAGACTACGCTTTGTTGGACCTAGCAAATCGTTATTTCAAAACAGCATTTCCTAACAATTCAAGATCTTATGGACAATTTACAGATCGCACGATTACTACCCAAGACGAGCTACAACCTGTTCCTTTCAGCCCAGAACAATCCATAAAACTAGCTGTTGTTGGTGCTCATCTTAAGGGCTTACCACTTCATTGGCAGCTTGAAAAGGTCAACGCTTCTTATGTGGGAAGTCCCAAGACCTCCTCTAATTATAGACTATATGCCCTACCGAAAACTGGCCCTATTTTGAAACCAGGACTTAGAAGAGTGTCGGACGGTAAGACGGGCGCACAAATTCAACTTGAAGTTTACAGCGTGCCTAAGGACCAGTTTGGTACATTTATTGCCATGGTTCCAGAACCATTAGGGATAGGCTCTGTTGAGCTCGAATCTGGGGAATGGGTAAAGTCCTTCATTTGTGAGGAGTTTGGGTACCAACAAAAAGGGACTGTCGACATCACTGAGTATGGTAGCTTCAAGTCTTATGTGGAGGCGTTGGCCCTGGACGTATCCAAGGAGAGCAAGCCTTTTGAAACTGTCTTAGTCGCCAACAGAGGCGAGATCGCTGTGCGCATTATTAAGACCTTAAAGAAGTTGAAGATTAAAGCTGTTGCAGTTTTCTCTGACCCAGACAAGTATTCTCAACACGTCACTGATGCCGACTTTGCTGTAAGTTTGAAAGGTAGAACCGCCGCTGAAACATACTTAGACATTGACAAAATCATCAGCGCCGCTCATCAAACTGGTGCACAGGCTATTATTCCAGGGTATGGATTTTTATCTGAAAACGCTGATTTCTCCGACAGATGTGCCGCAGAAGGTATCAACTTCGTTGGTCCCTCTGGTGATGCTATTAGAAAGTTGGGTCTTAAGCACTCCGCTAGAGAGATTGCAAAAGAGGCCGGAGTTCCATTAGTTCCTGGTTCGGGTTTGGTGAGCTCACCACAAGAGGCAAAGGAAATCGCTGCTAAACTTGAATATCCTATCATGGTTAAGTCCACAGCTGGAGGCGGTGGTATAGGCCTGCAAAAGGTCGACTCCGAAGAAGATATTGAGAGGGTTTTCGAAACTGTGCAGCACCAAGGCAAAGCGTATTTTGGAGATTCCGGCGTCTTTTTGGAGAGATTTGTTGAAAATGCCAGGCACGTCGAAATTCAGATGATGGGTGATGGCAAGGGTAATGCCATTGCCATTGGTGAACGTGACTGTTCATTGCAGCGGCGTAACCAGAAGGTTATCGAAGAAACTCCAGCTCCAAATTTAGGCGAAAAGACCAGACAACGGATGCGCAAAGCATCCGAGAACTTGGGCTCTATCTTAAAGTACAAGTGCGCAGGTACAGTGGAGTTCATTTACGATGAAAAAAGAGATGAATTTTACTTTTTGGAGGTCAACGCCCGGCTGCAAGTGGAACATCCAATCACTGAGATGGTCACTGGCTTGGATCTTGTAGAATGGATGCTGTTGATCGCTGCTGGCACTCCTCCGGACTTTGAAAAGGCCAAAATCACAGTAACTGGCGCTTCTATCGAAGCACGTCTATATGCGGAAAATCCTGTCAAGGACTTCAGACCCTCTCCAGGTCAGTTAACGGATGTGCAATTTCCGAAGTGGGCCAGAGTTGACACCTGGGTATCTAAAGGTACAACAGTGTCTGCTGAATACGACCCTACTTTGGCCAAAATTATCGTCCATGGCAAAGATCGTAACGAAGCCATTAAAAAGCTGAATCAAGCATTGAATGAGACTGCCATCTATGGGTGCATTACTAACATTGACTACCTGAGATCTATTGCCTCTTCGGAAATGTTCAAAACTGCGAAGGTTGCCACTAAGGTGTTGGATTCTTATGACTACAAACCATGTGCCTTCGAAGTTACTGCGCCAGGTGCGTACACTACGGTTCAAGACTATCCAGGAAGAGTTGGATACTGGAGAATTGGAGTTCCTCCTTCGGGACCCATGGACTCCTACTCTTTCAGGCTAGCTAATAGGATTGTTGGGAACCACTATAAGGCACCTGCCATCGAGATCACCCTTAATGGGCCTAAGTTGGCTTTCCACACCGATGTGGTCATTGCTCTGACGGGTGGTGTAGCGCCTTGTACTGTAAACGAAAGAACAATTGAGCAAAACAAACCTATCTATGTCAAGAGAGGCGATCACTTAGCAATCGGCAAAATGACAACAGGATGTCGGATGTATCTCGCAATCAGGGGTGGCATCGACGTCCCCGAGTACCTAGGTTCTAGATCAACTTTTGCTCTAGGAAACATGGGCGGCTACAATGGCAGAGTGTTGAAATTGGGAGATGTTCTGTTTTTAAATCAGCCTGAACTCCCATCTTCCACGATGCCAGCACCCGAGTACGAACCATGTGAAGCTCCTGAAGACATGATTCCTGTTTTGACTGAAAGCAAAGAGTGGCAAATTGGCGTTACTTGTGGTCCTCACGGCTCTCCGGACTTTTTCAAGCCAGAATCTGTTGAGGAGTTTTTCAGTGAAAAGTGGAAAGCCCACTACAACTCTAACAGGTTTGGTGTTAGACTCATCGGTCCTAAGCCTAAGTGGGCCAGAACTGATGGTGGTGAGGGAGGGTTGCATCCATCAAACGCTCACGATTACGTTTATTCCCTTGGAGCCATCAATTTCACTGGCGACGAGCCTGTTATCATCACCGCCGATGGCCCATCTTTGGGAGGTTTTGTTTGTCAAGCTGTTATTCCAGAGGGCGAATTGTGGAAGGTTGGTCAAGTAAAGCCTGGCGACTGCATTCAATTTGTGCCAATCTCGTACGCCTCCGCTAGATTGTTGAAGGAATCTCAAGATAAAGCGATCGAAGCATTCGAAGAAGGACATTTGAAGACCTTGGCCTCTGAGCTCATTTTGCCCACCTACGAGAACCCTATTTTGGCGCAGATTGAGAGGAACTCTGAGTTCTGCCCCAAGGTTTCCTACCGTCAAGCAGGCGATCGCTATATTTTGGTCGAATATGGGGAAAACGAAATGGACTTGAACATATCGTACCGTGTTAACAGATTGATCAACCTTGTTGAGAAAAATAAGACGGTGGGTATAGTTGAAATGTCACAAGGGGTCCGTTCTGTCTTGATAGAATACAATGGTTACGACATCACACAGAAACAGCTGCTGGAAACACTGATTGCCTACGAAAAAGAGATCAAGTTTGACAATCACTGGACTATCAAGTCGAAGGTCTTCAAACTGCCGCTCGCTTTCGAGGATTCTGAAACTCTGGAGTGCGTCAAACGGTATCAAGAAACTATTCGTGCCAAAGCTCCATGGCTACCTAACAATGTCGACTTTATCGCGGATATTAATGGCATTACTCATAAACAAGTTGAAGATATGTTGTACAGCGCCAGATTTTTAGTATTGGGCTTGGGTGATGTTTTTCTTGGTGCGCCATGTGCAGTCCCATTGGATCCTCGCCATAGGTTCCTTGGTTCCAAATATAATCCCTCCAGAACTTACACGAAGAATGGAACTGTAGGGATTGGCGGAATGTACATGTGCATATACGCAATGGACAGCCCTGGTGGCTACCAATTGGTAGGTAGAACGATTCCAATTTGGGATAAGCTGAAGCTCGGTGCTCACTCCACGGAACATCCATGGTTGCTGACACCTTTTGATCAAGTTGAGTTCTACCCTGTGAGTGAGAATGATTTGAACAGATTCACAGAAGAGTGTGGAAATGGTCAGTTCCCTGTGCAGGTGGAAGAAAGCGTCTTTGATCATAAGAAGTACTTGCAATGGATTTCGCAAAACAGTGAATCCATTGAGGTTTTCCAGAAGTCTATTGGCGGTGAAAAGGCAGAGGAGTTTTCGAGATTAATGCAAAATTCTAATGCCGAGTTGGAAAGTTCTAGTTCCACGGTTGCTGTTGAGGAAGAGGAGTTTCCAGAAGATGCTGAAATGGTTTACTCTGAGTACTCTGGGAGATTCTGGAAACCCTTAGTGTCCGTTGGTGACACAGTAAAGGCCGGTGATGGTTTGATCATTGTTGAGGCTATGAAAACCGAAATGGTCGTCTCAATGCCTAAGGACGGTAAAGTTTTGAAGATTAAACACAAGAACGGTGATATGGTTGAAGCCGGTGACGTCGTAGTTGTTGTTCAATAATGGATTATTTTCGGAACATAGTGTAAATTATATATTCAATTGCAATGATGTTGAGCTTTGCCTTGTAGCATGATTGTTCCGTTTCTTGTAATATTCTGAAGAGTGTCAAGTCATTGCGCTATCGATGGTGTCCTGAATAAGTGGTGTAGAACTGGTTTGACTATCTTTTGACCTTCTTCCCTGAAGAGAATGGGGAATTGATGGTGATGAAGATGCGAATTGAGAAAGATGCTGAACTTCTAATGCTTTCTTAGAAGCGTGCATTCTCTTTTGAATGCGACGCTTCTGTAATTTTAGCGGCAAGAAAGGAATGTAACCGAGCTTTTCTTCGATAAGCAGAGTTTTAATGGAAGCAATGATCGTTAGCCAGTATACGTTGTACGCTATCACTGAGCTGTACGTCGCGCTGTTGGTCCACCCGAAAATTGCGGTGAAAATCATCCACAATCCGTCTCTTTCTCCATTACAGCAGTTTACGTGCCAAATAGACCGACTGATATCATAAGATCCGGGACCGTTGCCCACTTCACTCATATCCTGCCCATTACAGAGGTTGACATATCTTTGTACCTCGAACTGCCACACACCTTTGGAGAATAGACCTGCAGCAATCAAATACAGGAAACAGGTTGTGATGACCAAGCTCACTTGCAAAGAGAAAGATTTAGACGACTTGAAGAAGAAATATCCAAAAACGGAGCTCACAAATGTTGCTGATAACATGGACAATGGAATCGACGACAGCGGCTGGTCGATACCCACACCACCCACAAAAACGACCGCTTCCAGTCCCTCTCTGAGCGCTGTGACGAATGGCAAAATGAACAAAGCGTATTTCTCAGTGAATTTGACCGCTTTCTGACCATTGTCCTGCAAGATCTTCGCGCGGTCTGAGTAGATGATGGCCGCTAGTTTGACTCTGAACTTTTCCCTTAATTTGCCCATTCTCAGGAAGAACAGACCCATTACTGAAATGATAACAGACGCAACTGTGCTTAATACCCCTTCGTAGTAGTGTTCGCTTGCGGACCACAAATCTGTGCCTATGATGTAAAATGCCACAATGAACGCCCCACCCATTAGAAAGCAGCATAAAAGCCCCAAAGCACCACCCGATAGAATTTGTACTTTCAATCTCCGATAAAGCTGTTGGTTGTTGAATTCCAAGGCCGAGTTGGCTGTGCCAGAGCCAGAACTCTCGGAATTAGATCCATCCAGCATTTCCTCTTCTTCTATTGTAAGTCTGGCAGTTTCTTCCGTGTCGTTGGAGACGCCGCTGTTGCTTCCCTTGAGAGAGCCATTCTCGTTGGACAACAAAGCCTGTTTGACCACCGTGAGCAGAATGGACACAATGACAATGATCTCCAGCGATTCTCGCAGAAAGATGAAAAAGATCTGAAAGGAAAACAGCTGCTCAACTTCCACCATTTTCGACCTTTGAAAAGTAGATTCCGTGTTCCGAAGACGATAAAAGTTCACCTGGAACTGAGCTGAATCGGTTCTCTGGTGAAGCTTGAAAGATGAGTAAACCGGCTGACACTTTATACTAAATCGCCTTGAAGCATGTCAATATAAGATCGGGTGCAGTCGTTTTGTACGTAGTGTATGGCGTCAGCTTCGGGTAGAACCGGTCAAGTCGGTCAAGTTGACGTTCATTCACTAGCTGTGTTGATCAGGTATGATTTGGATTCGTGGGGGATCTTTTGGTGCTCTTAACTTTTGTTCTTTGTTGGCACGATTTTGGCCTTATTTAAATGTTCAGTTTCTGTTAGCCAAACTCTTGACAAAGACGCTGTCATCAATTATATTTGGGACCAGAAAACCGCTGGTGGTTTCCCTAAACGTGGCCCTTGCTGCTCTCTGTCAGTGTCATTTTTTGTAGCCTGTGCAGTTGTCGTATGCTGTACCCAAATGTCAGCGACATCGATATTACACCGACAACCACGATGAGTATGAAACCATGGTCTCCTTCCTCGATGAAGTTTTCTAGATTCATTCCGTAGAGCGATGCGACGTATAGTACACAACCCATCGATAAGAGTCCAATGCTGAAACGTAAACCTAGTAGCATCAGCTGGTTTCGGTTAGCATCCAAAATGATGTTTATAATTTCCTCTGTGGTTCGTACGTCTGAGATGGTATTTCCCACGGTTTGCACAATCTCGTCAACATGAGCGTAATAAGTCTCCAAAAGCATCTCGATTTCGGTGTGGTCCTTCTCGTCGCGAAATTTGCCGGTGCACTTGCTGGACAGATACATGTCCGACAACACATCGTCCTGTTCCAGCAGGTCGTCTATCATTTCGCCCATTAGTGAAGTTTTCTTGTAGAACTGGCTCAGCCTTTTGTTTTGGATCAGTAAGAATCGAAGCTTGTCTCGCGTGATGCTGTATTCCAGGTCTTGCAGAATGCCTCGCGTCAATGTCAAATGCACCTTCATTTCTGCAGACATGTTCGAAAGTGCCGAGACAAAAATCGACTCTAGCGCACGAAACTCGTACGGTAGGGGGTCTTTAGAAATGCCGTTACCATCCTGATTTCGCAGTCGCATCGTCAGGTCATTAAGGAAAGTCCGGTGCGCTCTCGATTCCAAAGAAAGCCCCACCGAATCAAAGAGGATGACTTGGTCGCTCTTAACCAACGCCCGCATCGTTAGCAAACTGATAAAGATACTGTTCTCACGTACCAAAAGGATAGGCACCAGATCCTTTTTCCTAGACTTTTCGATCTTCCGTAAGTCTCGAGGCAAAAGACCATGCATCGAAATCAAATCTTCTCGTTTTACCTCCAAAGACGGAGTGCCAACATTTCCCTGAGAATCTAGAATGGTACATCGCAAAGTATCATTCCCATAGTTGTAAAGCGAGTTATTCCTTTGAGCGAGATTCTTCTGCAAGAGAACTGCAGTATTGGTCGATGATTGGAAGCGTATTAGAGACTCGAGCGGCCTTGAAGCTAGCGGTAGGCGTCTACAGCAAGCTGAAATATTCACGAGAGCATTTCCAAACCGCATGGACCTTGCTAGCACACTGTTCAGGCTTTCTATTAAGAACTTGGTTGATATATAACGATTAGGACATGCAATGAAATTAGACAACTTCGATGTCTAAATTCTAATCTTTCAAAAATGACATTAAAATTGTCCCTGAGAGAGAATATTAGGTATTTAATGACTGCTATTCGGTAACTATGCAATGCTTTTGCCTCTACGGCTCAAACTTTATTCACAACTGGCGGAAGTGACAATTTCTGAGCATCGAAATACTTCCTGGTACAGAAGAAGTAATCATACCATGTGTTGTCGTCCGATGGGTTGCATGTACACTGGTTCTGTGTTCTTATATTCTCTTCCACAGGACAGGAGTAAAAGTCTGGGTGGTAGTAGCCGATTCCGTCGAAGAAGTGCAATTCAGTCTTATCCAAGAAAAGCGCGGCTGCTATTGAATGAACTGGGGCATCACCCCACCGTTCGTAGAAAAATCCACCTGTCTTGTCAAGGTAATCGAAGTATGCCTGGTAGGCTTCAGAGCGCCAAAAATCAAGCGATCCGATTTCGAAATTGGACCAGAAATGGCACATATTGTAGGTCTCTCCATTATCGTCAGAAATGAAGTTCATAAGATTGTTGCTGTGGACATTCTTTGGGTGCTCCTTCATGAATTCTTTAGTTGTTTTCCAGAGTGTGGGAATCGTTGACTCGTACTCGCTCAAAGACAGGATAAACCCATACTTCTTTTTGTTGATCTTCATAAAGCGGAACACATCGTAGTGGATGTCGCAGAAGAGACGGATTTCGGGCTCTACGCGCCAGTAGTACTCGTATTCTTTTAGCAGATCATGGTGAAAGAAAAAACCGGACTCGAAACGACACATGTGGCGGTAAGGCACAGACTCGCCGTAAATGACGCCTTCTGCTACCATTTTATCTCTTGCCAACGCGGCCTTTTCCTCGTCAATCCAGTCAGGAACGGACCAATGCTCTTTGGAAATGACACCGTACTTTGTTTTGCCTGAGACGAGGGACGAGGTGACTCGCTTGAACTCTTTGTCGAACGGTTCGTCGTTGAGAAACACCCAATCGTAATGGAATCGGCGGTTGAACCGGTCTTCGACGTGTCTTATCGAAGGCACGAGGTCCCACAGATCTGAGTTTCTTGCTAGGGTGACAAACGCAGCTTTTTCGCGCGTTCCGTCGTTTTCAGGATACTCTACCTTTTGAACTTTGTCTGCGTGCGGTTTGGTCAGTGTTTGCGGGTTGACAGGTACTAGGTTATTGAAAACCTTTCCATCCTTGTTGGACGTTTGTAAAGAGTGTTGAGGAGGCGTGTGGAGTAGAAATAGGAAGCACAGGAGGGCTACTAAGCTGATAAACCCGAGTCTAATGGGACGTTGGTATTTTCTGATCAAAATCGCCGATTTCGGCATCAGTTTCTTCCGAGCCGCGAGAGCCATCTTTTTAAACTTGGCAATTAAATTTTGCGGCCCTGTTGACAGCGAATTATAGACCGATGGATGATCTTTAGGCCCGTGTACGGCTTGAATCGAGATCTGACGCTTGCGAGCTTGAACTGTTCAACGTGAAATCATAGTAGACAGGATTCGCCAGGCAATTAAAACTGATCACGTGCAATTCGAACGGCGGGGAAAGCTGGCTAATGAACCGGGATGAGCCTTACAGACGCTATGAAACTATGCTATTGATATTTGATATTTTGACTAGAAGGTGCTGCGTTTCGATTTAATTTCGATCGCGATTAGTACCAACATTTGACGATTTTAGGTGCGACCACGGTACTTTGGCGAAATATCTGTATCATAATAGGTGACTAGTTGCTCATATGATTTTAAGCCAGCTAGCAACAGCAAACGCGGTTTTAGTTGGTTTCAAATAAGAGAATTTTTCAGAGTTTTTGATGAATTACGTTGTGTTCACTTGTCAGATCAACTTTAAAATATTCGAATGCACCAGAAATATTGAATCATGTAAGCAAGATGAGCAGGTGAGCTTATTTTCCACTATATATTGTGATAATTTATACAAATTGACCCGTTTGACTTGCTGTTCATGACCCATTGGAATTTCAGATTTTAGTAATAGTCTCAGCTGAAGGCTTGTTTAAGGTATCAAAACATGTAATCATATTATTTACACCTTCTATTGCATCATGTTGCGAGGTAAGGATCTTTTGATAAAATTGAACGAGTCTCTCGAAGTGCAGTCTTCGAGAATGCTTCTCTTCCTTTCGTTTCACCAGTAAAATCAACTCGATCATCAAAAACCTAAAATGTCACTTATGTTGAGAACAAGAAATTGAAAGGTCTCTTGAGACTTTCGATGTGACCTCGACATCTTACAGCTGTCTCTTCATCTTTAGTCAAATCTCAGCTACAAAAGTAAATCAAAATGACTGGCAGCATGAGTGAATCGCGTATCAAACAATATAAATAATATTAATCAAGTAGACTTGGAGAATACAAAGTCGAGAGTCTGACATCAATTGACCGTCAGGAAAAACGTATACACCTCCAAAGAGATGAATAGAATCGAGAGATGAATACCGAATGAACTTTGGGCAGGAGCTGCTCAAACTGTTCTGGTAAGCGCATTCTACTTTTAAGATCACAATATACTAAGCATTGTCAGCGTCAGCACTACAGCGGACACCGCATACACCTAGAGGTGACTCGTTTCCTTGTTTGAATAGCGTTTTATCTTCGTGTATACGTGTATATGAATACTTGCGCGTTAATCGTCATTAATTTCACTGTCGCAAGAAATTCACGGCTTCTTGCAAACAGGGTCGCTCGTCCTGTGGGGCTCCTAGATCGAACATCATGGTGCCACAGTGGACGCCTCGTGGCTGCGAAACAAGTTTGATCCCGCTTGCATCAATTTTGCGGAGCTTCTGTGCGAACCGAGAGATTTCTGGATACAGTATTTCGTCCTCTCCGCACACAATGAGCAGTTTGGTTGACTCGAGGACTTTGGTCCAAATATCGGGCTCGAAGTTAGTCTCCAGATTCAAGTATGGGTCTGTATAATCACCATTGGGCGCGTATACGTTCTTGAACATTGCCAGCTGGTTCCAGGTCAGGAAATCGATACTTTCCGAACGCGGGACGTACGATTCAGTTTTCGTCACATTAAGCCAGGGACTAACAGTTAGGCATTTTTCCGGCAAAACAGTCTTTTCGGCAACACATTTTTGCAGCACGTTCAGACATAGGTTTCCGCCCGCAGAATCGCCCAGTAGCCACACTTGATGGCCTTGCGAAACCAGTTTTTGGTATTCATTCCATACTTCGTCAACGGCCTTGGGATAACGCTCACATAGAGAATAATCCACGTACGCAAGGGACAAATTACCGACCTCTTTTTTCAAATGCCGCAAATATGCCAAGCTGTATGGAAGCATGTCTAGACACATCCCTCCACCGTGGACGTACATCAATACTGGTGCGTTTGGTTCGCGGAAAATCCATCGTAGCAAGCCTTGGCGTTGTGCAGCCCCCAGCCACCAGAACCCGATACGGTTTATGACAGCTAGAGCTGGATTTACCACGTACTTCATAGTCAAATGGTCCAGACTGTTAGCACTTTCCATCAAGAAGACAACAGTAATCCATTTCAAGATGCCGAATTCATGGTGTTTCCCACTGATCCAGCTTTTCCCAAAAGCATACGGCAGTCGAAATGCCAGTTTACCAAAAAACAGCAGCGGCTCCAGCATCGGAGATCCCTGTATGTATATCCCTGTTGCTTCAAGTCTTTTGTTGTCACTGAAAACTGTAGTCTTTTGTTTCTTGAACAAATGTCTGAGATGCCCATCACTTATTAAATATTTAATCGCTGGACTAATAGCATCTAAACCATTCACAACAGGACAAAATACGCCTGTTATGGACCGCAAACGACTCGCGAGCGATGCTTGCAAGCTATTAAAACCTATGTCACGATTTTCAACCGACGAAATAGTGCTAAAATACGCAGAATTGGGCGATTTGAACCGTCAGATCTTACGGAATCCTCGAGACTTCACCAACGAGTTTTGGGTCAAGTTTGAGAAATACGGTTATGTCGAAGAAAAGAGACTGCGAGTGTGTCAAAACCTCACAGAGCAGCACGGAAATGGGCCTGTGTTTGTTTTTATCCACGGTTTAGGTGGGAACATGACTCAATTTGAGCCACTTTTAAGACTTTTAGCAGAGTTGAATGAGGGCTTCCTAGCATTGGATCTCCCAGGATTTGGTTACAGTGACGAGATGACAGAGTACGACATTGCTACCGTGGCAGGCATAGTGGAAAAAACTGTTCAGATTCATACTCAACGGAAAAAACTGGTCCTGGTTGGCCACTCTTTGGGCTGCCATATTGTTATGCATTTCATTTCGGAGTTTGCTTCGAATTACGATATCAGAGACGCTGTTTTTCTGTCACCGGCCGCACCAGATCTGCCCCAGTTAAAGTCTCTTATGGCAAGTATTGGCCTTTGGGTGCTTGCTAAGGTCCCGGTACTATTCGATTGGTATCGGACTTACTTTGATCAGAAGAAAGGCCTTGAGAGCTCCGGGATCAAGAAATTTCATCACAAGAGTGACACATACCGAAAACTTTGGCAGTTTTTCTACAACGTTCAAATAAAAAGCCGATCCATCATTCAGTATCTAAGGGGCTGGACCCCTATAAACTGGTCAAGTGACACCGTAGCAGGCCTGGCAAGTGCTGTTGTAATCACGGGCAAACTGGATCCTATTACTCCATTATCGACCGCTAAATCCTTCTACGCAGCGCTAGATCCTGTCAGGCGGAAAGACTTCATAGAAATCGAAGAGTGTTCGCACAACATATGCTTCGATAGTCCGAACCAAATCGTCAGCCACTTTTTGGACGTGATTGATCGCCATGGTTAATGAAGCAAAAGGTGAATGATTTACGCTTGTATGTAGTAAAGTTACAGATGGCAAAATATATTCCTATCGTGTGATGCAATGAATGAACAAGACAAACTCTTCAATCCAATTTTATTCTGACGGCCTTGACAGATGTGTATGCTTCGAAGGCCTCGACACCCATTTCTCTACCATAACCAGATTGCTTGCAACCACCGAATGGAACAGAGGAGTGGAAGTCGTTATATGTGTTGATCCAGACAGTACCGGCCTTCAACATCTTGGAAACTTTCAAAGCAGTAGAAAGGTTCTCGGTTTGAATACCGGATCCAAGACCAAATTCGGAATCGTTGGCCATGGCCACACCGTCCTCAATGCTCTTGAACTTGGAAATTGTAACGACAGGACCGAAAATTTCTTCCTTGACAATTCTCATGTCCTCATGGACATCGTAAAAGATGGTTGGCTTAACGAAGTAGCCGTTTTCACCAACACTTTCGCCTCCGGTTAGCACTTTAGCGCCTTCTTCTTTACCAACGTTGATGTAGCTCATGATAGTGTCGTATTGCATCTTGTTGTTGATAGCACCTTGGAAGTTCTTTTCATCGAAGGGAGAGCCCACGGTGACGGTTTCCTCGACGTATTTCTTAAAAGCCGGGAGTAGTCTGTCGTAGATACCTTCTTGAACATAGATTCTGGATCCAGAAGAACAGATCTGGCCGGCGTTTAGGAAAATACCGCTGACCAAGTTGGGCAAGGTTTTCTCCAAGTTGGCATCGTTGAACACCATGTGTGCAGACTTACCGCCCAATTCCAAAGTGACCTTCTTCAAGTTGGACTGAGCAGCCTTGACAGCAATACCTTTACCGGTGCCTGTGGAGCCTGTGAATGCAATTTTTCTGATTTTAGGATGGGTGGTCAAAGTCTCACCAACCCCTCTACCTGGACCAGGAATGATGTTTACAACACCAGCTGGGATTCCGGCTTCTTGGCAGAGGGAAGCGAAAAACAAGGCATTCAAAGGAGTTGGAGAGGCGGGTTTCAAGACAAGTGTGTTACCAGCAGCCATGGCAGGTGCGATCTTCCAGGAAAGCATCATTAGAGGGAAGTTCCATGGAATAATCTGACCGCACACACCCACTGGCTCTCTGACGGTGTAATTCACGTAGCCGTCGCCTGTGTCGATACTTCTGCCGTCAAGCTTGTCTGCTAGACCGGCAGAGGAGCGAATGAAATCGATAGCGACGCCTACATCGCCTCTGGCTAGTCTAAGAGCCTTGCCGTTGTCCATGGACTCGATAGAGGCCATCAATTCCTTTCTCTCTTCCATAAGATCTGCTAGCTTGAGCATCTTGCGAGCTCTTTCTTTTGGGTCAACAGTGGACCACGAAGAGTTGAAAGCCTTATCGGCACATTCAACGGCGTACTCTGCATCTTCTTTAGTACCCGACTGCACGTCCAAAAGTTTTTGCCCCGTGGATGGATCTTCGACAGCGATGGTGTCGCCGTTGTGCGATTTGATAAATTCATTGTTAATGAACAAACCCGTAGGCTGCTCGTATGTGAACCCGTTAGGAGTGGTTAGCTTGACAAAATCCGCCTTCACTCTGATGGACATGCATCTGGCGCCCATGGCCAGATGGCGTGCGTTTCTAGCAGCATTCCGTAGACAAATTCCAGCGGTCATTGTGCTTTGAATCGCTGTACAAGTGCTTCACTTCGATCTTCAAACTGATCCAATAGTGTGTAAATCCCAGTGCTCGTGAATTCAACTTTTTTATAAAATTGTAAACCCCTCTTGAATGATGAGCTGGTTTGGTAGATTACTCATGGACTTAGGCCAATTTTTTTTTTTTTTTTTTGCTGTTATTTCACCCGCTTCCTTCACGCTTTTCGCTTCTCGCTTCTCGCTTCGATGATGCTCTCGAGTGTTTGTTCAGGCAGAGCACCGCTTTTCTACGTGCTGCCATGAATCTAAACTGCGATTTCTGCGCCCCGCACCCTCTGCACAAAACTCAACGTTAACCCACCAAAACTATGCCACCGTGGAGCGACAGTTGTGGCCCCGTTCGGATTCGTAACTTTTCCTTTGGTCAAGCTGGTGCTGGCCTATCTCCGCTGAAGTGTCAATTCTCATGAGAAAAGTGAGTATACGGCTTTTGGCAGTTATGATGAAAATTTTATTGAACGCCGGTACCGGCCTTTTCCCAGAAAATCGATAAACGAGAAAAAAGAAAAGGCAAAGAAGAACAAAAAAGAAACAAAATGAACAAAGAGAGCAGGCACTTTAGAATACACGTGATCTGAGCGACCGGGAGGAAACAATGGCATAGAAATCGTAACGCCTGTGTTCAACGATGAGCCCCTCTCCATGTCTAGCATTTTGCAAAATTGTACCACATTAACGGCGATAGTTTGTTTGGCTTTGTTAAGCGCCGTCCAATGGTCAAATAGAACCGTGTGCGAGAAGAACTAGCATTTTCGGCTCTAAATCTGAGAATTGGTTGTGGATCCTACTTGAAACGCGTGCGGCCATAACCCACCCACCAGCGCGCTGTGAAACTTAATTTCTGTTTCGTAGATGCAGCCGTCCATTTGTGTCGCGTCAACTGCAATATCTTCCAAAACCTTCTCTTAATGCATCGTGTACTGGTTTTCGCCAATATGCCGGCGGAGTTCTGCCGTGCGCAGACTTTCCAGCCGTCCTACAAGCTGGTGTGCCAACTCTTCAACTCGTGCTAGGCCCTCATCGTTCGCCTGGCGCTCGGGTCCCAGTGAAAATTCGCACAACACGGTGCTATCGGAGTCGATACTGGTTTCAAGTGTAAAATGCGAGCCTCGCCGCACCTGCAGTCTACAAGTGATGGTCTTGTGGCTGTAAGTGCACACTCGAACACTATTGGAGCGTCCCAGTATCATGCAGTCGTGGTCGGCGTCGCAGTTGTAGCGTTCGGTGCGCACATTGAAAAGATCTTCCACATACAAGTCGTCGTGATCTAAAACCTCTCCCAGTAATAGAGTGGCAACGAACTGACATACATGGCCGCTAGATGCCCATGAGAGGTTTCGCCCCATTCCAGCATGTGAGAAAAAAACCTCCAGCAGTGGATTGCGGTCGAGCGAAGAAAACACAAACTCCTTGACGTCGGACTGGTTGCACCACACCACGTTGTCCATATGCAACGTGCTCAGGCTACCTAGTTTATCATACATCAATTGGAATAAGTCACGGACCTCGACTTTTGTGAGAGTATAGTCGTGCTGCTTTTGGCTGCGACTCCTCTGACCTCTTATTTTTGTTCGCTCATCAATGGGTGGTGGATAGTGCGATGATATCCAGGACTCGCCCACCATGGCGTACGGCGACACGAAATGCAGGTCCTCCAATTTTTTGGACATTAAACCACCGGGATTCGCGTAGTATCCATGTCCCTTGGCTGAGTCAGTGAAATACAGAGGCTCCAAATTTCTACCCCACAAGGCATCGTCTTCGCTCACCGGAGCATGCATGTCAGGTAATAGAGATGTTGCATGATTCCACTTCTGACTAGTTCTGGCATGCAATTTGAAGTCTGTCGAGATGTTCAGGTCGGCCAGGTTCAAAGTAATGATGTTTGGACAGTGGTTAACAACGTGGAACAAATAGCCAAGAGGGACATCTTTCGACAAGGCATATTTCAGAAGAAATTTGTTCGTCATTGGGTGTCGGTCATGAAAAGGCTGGTCTTTGAGATTCGTTTCCACCGAGAACTTTACTGCAGCCCTGTTTGTATTATCCCGTACCGCGTCGTTGCACAATTCATCGATGTTCTTCCGATTCTTGAAATTGGTCTCCACGTACTTTTCGTACTGCTGTTTGGGAGTTTTCCTCGTGCTAAACAGTTTATTGAACCACCTTCCGGATTTCTTACCACTACTGCTATCATATGAAGGGATAAGGCTAAGGGATGACAGCGAAGGGGAATTGTAAAATGGGGATATAATGCTGGTTGTGAAGGATGTCACAGAACTGTTTGACCGATGCGATCTACGCCCCCCGGACGCGGTGCTTGTGCTGTTTGTCCCCGTTGAATGAATGGAAGAGGGCCTTGACGACACTTTCCGCAACACGTTGTGGCAACTCAACATCTGATTTCCATAAAGCGGGTCAAACCTATATCTCCAGTCCCGCCAGCCAGCCAGGGCGATATCTGGAAGATCCTCGTCTATGGGTGATTCAGACCTCTCTATAGTCGCTCCACCAGCTTCTGTGTCGCTTGATTGATCTTCATCAGCCTCCTCCAACACGTCACGGGCGGAGGTTCTCCTGCGCGCAGAAATTCGCTCCTGTTCAAAACCACACCTATGCTCTGCGTGGCACCTGTGTCCTTCTATAATGCCATTTTTTAGCGTTGACAAGTTCAAATGCCGTACGTGCAAGCCATTCTCGGGGTGTATCCTAATTGAAGTGACAAACTGCGCGACACGATATGTTGATGTAAATGCGGGGGACTTGTAAAGCTCAGGCTTCGTGGCTGCGTAGAATTTCTTGTTGATATACAGGCATCGTACCAGCGTTCTGGAATCTTCGAAACACGCACCTGGCGTGAACTGTTCGATGACTGCGCCTAAAATCTCCACCGGGAGACTATTGATATCATCGTAAGGACGATAATACTCAGATATAACTTCATGCTGTGCGCCTGCAGACGAGATTGCGGTTCTGGAGTGCGACGTGGGCAAATTGCGGTTCGAATACGAGCTTCGGAGTGAAAAGAGCGAAAACGAGTCACTTGGGCTGTGGTCGTGGAATTTGCCTATGAATTTCTTCGCCCGAGACGAGGAGTTTCCTCCGTAATTCTGCAGTAGCGACTTGTACTTGCGCTTGAGTTTGGATTTGGTATTGGTATTGTCAAAATCAGTTCCCCCATCATTTCCACTATTCCCGTCCTTGTTTGACACATTCGCTGCGCCACGGGCTGAAGAGGTACTACAACTTTCTTCGCTGTTGCTGTAAAGAGTCTGGTAAATTGATGTCCCGTATCGAGAGTAGTTGGAACTCAGGATGTTAATCTGAGGGATCCCGGGCATGCCAACGTTATTCGTTTACCGTAATTCAGATAAGAACAATAGATTGGCAATTAGTGAGTCTAAATGACGCTCTTTTGACCGTTGAACTTTTGAAAATCGCTTTTGAAGTGTTCACAAGCCAGATTACTAAACAGTGGGTCTCTAATGAGACAAAATTGTACTCTGAAGCCCACCCTTGGTCTTTATCGGTATTTTGGTGTTAAAGTTGGAAAGTGTGGGGGGGGGGGCTACAGTTTTATACAAGATTTGAAAAATTAGTGGTGATAGCCTGATATTGTAAATACGCCGATAAACTGAACAACATGGACAAGTTTAGCCATATTTTGTAAATAAAAGACGCCAAGTAGGCGTCTTAAGAGTTGTTATTTACAGCTGTGTAGAAAAAATAGGTCATTTCAAGTCGTCGCGAGCATTAAAAAGGTGTAGGTTGAGAACAATGTGAATGGGTGGGATGGTAGACAAATTCGGCTTATTTCGTTTGGCCTGATTGATCGGCAGCCTTGTTTTGTTCATACTGAGCTTCGAACTCCTTCTGTTTTTGCATTTGCATCTGCATCTGCTCCTCTGGCGATGGCAAGTTGCCCTCGACGTAGTCCTTGAGCGTGAAGGTCTGACCACCCATCTGCTCCTGCTGGAGTCTTATCTTTTCTTTCTCTTCCTCAATCAGCTGCATGAAACGAACGTAGTTCTTCTCACCCTCCTCTCTGAGAAGATCTAGTGGGAATTTGGGCTTCGCGGAACCGAGAGCACCGGCTCCGAGGGCCTTGAGCGCCCAATTGCCGTTGGCTTTGGCCTCCTGCTCTTTGTAAAACTTGCTCTTGAGCACAGCGACACGGCGTTCAAACTCCTCTGGAATCTGGTACTTGTCGTTGTAGCTGTTCAACACAGGTCTGACATCATTCATCTGCTGGGTGGCCAGATATTCCAAAAAGGGGATCATTTTCAATAAACCGTCGTCAGCTTTGCCGTCCCAGGGCTTCATGGGCACGGCATTTTCGGGTTGCAGCTTGTAAGAGTTAGGATCACAATCGACAATGATGACTTTGCCAAGATCACGGTTTAGCTTAGACAAATCCTTGACATGAACGCCATCCTTGTACAAACAATGCTCCTTGTACAAGTTGTAAGTGATAAAGGCGTGGATGGGGTCCAATTTCTCGGCCACTTTGTCCGCGTACATCATGTAGTTGGAAGAAAACAGTACAATTTCGTAGTATTGCGATAAATAGCCCAAAAAGTAGTCCACACCAGGTCTCTTGGCTGTTCTCCAGCCATGTTCCTTAGTCCACTCCGAGTGAACCAAAAGATCCTCCAGACTCAACACGAGTGTCAGAGGTCTTTGGTATGGAGGAGGTGGAGGTGGGGGAAGCAAATCCGGGAAAGGGGGTTCTTGGAAATACGAGAAAATGGAATTGAAACGCAACTTCAACCGTCTGTACATTAGTTCGGGCGTGTAACCGTTGCCAGCTTCTTTTTTCAATTCTTCGGGTTCGTCAGCCTCCCAATCGCGAGCCAGGTACCCAGCCGCACCCGTGAGAGCGGCAAAAGACCCAATATAAAACCAGTTTGCGTAACGCTCGCGTTTGATGTCTGTCGAGGTTTGTCTCTTTCTTTTGCGTTTTCCCGAGCCGTCACGGCCCTGGGGCTCCTCCGTTTCCGCATTCTTCTGGTCCTGAGACTTTTCACTCTGTTGCTTACCCTCTTCGACATCCAGACCAGCCTTGGCCAGTAGATCTTCTGTGAGAATCGAGTGTGTCTTCTGTTCATTTTTTTTCTCATTTAGCACTGATTTGGCCCCACTGAAAGCTCTAAAGCTCCCGATTTTTGGTGCAGCGGTCTTCCTCAGCGATGATCTCGCAGTGACGCGGGCAGTGTGACCCAGAAGTCCCAACATGGTTTGTTTGGAGCTTTCTTGACTGTTGATTTCTGAAATCTATCGTTAAGATTTTAGACCTTGAAATTAGCACAGTATACTAATATTGAAAAATTTTCGAAAACCTTGGGTTTACCCGCCTGGGAAAGGCATCGCAGGGAAAGGCATCGCTGGACCGACAGACTATCAAGACAATGGCAGGAAGCCTTGAACCTCGTACTAGTGCCCGGTGTACTATTTGGACGTCGTCAGGCCCTTTGAAAGTCGAACTTTGGGCTAAAGAGTGCCCTCGAACTGCCTTCAAATTTTTGGAAAATTGTGTCCAAGGCCGGTATAATGGTGTCAAATTCGAGAAGAAAGTGTATGACGCTGCTGTTCAGTCGTCAGAGATTGAGAACGAGCCATGGGGAAATTTAGAGAATGATTCCAGAATTAAAATGAATCGCAGAGGGCTTCTGGCAGTGAATGTGGAATCAAAGGGCGGATTTTTCATCACGCTTCGAGAGACATCAGAGCTGGACGGCCAGGTGACAGTTTTGGGTCAATTGGTTGATAACTCGTTTTATACTTTGCTGAAAATCTCCGAAAAAGAGTTCAAATCGGGAACTCAGGACCAAACGTATCTGTACCCGGCCACTGTGGAAAGAATCGAGGTAGAAGAGCGATATTTCGAAAACTTGAATATCGAGAAGAAAAGGGAAGCGTCTAGTGTTCCTGGAGCAGTTCCAAAACGAGTGAAAAGAGCAGCAAAAGTGCAGCTCGACTACGACCATGAGGAAGACGAAGAGGACGACGAACCTTCAGAAACGGTCAATATCAAGATAACAGCAGCACACGACCTCTTGGCTTCAAAGGGGCTCATGCGCCAAGCACCGGACACGCAATATCGCCACGATGTAAGCGAAGACGTCGCGGCCGTGGAATCCAGGCAGCCCACTGATCCTACAGACCCGAAATTGACCTCTTTTGCAGTTCCTGACACCCCCACGCACCAACATCACAATGCTGAGGCTGCTGCAGATTCCGAAAACCCCACCGACCAGCTTTCGAGCCGAGAAGCTGACACCATGGCAATGCTTGCCAAATTCAAGCAGCGGCTAGCACGTTCAAACTCATTGAGCTCTCATCAGCTCAATTTTGAAGATCGCGAATCTTGATCTTCTACTACTCGAGAAGCGTGTAAAAGTTCTTGTAGGCTGCATCAAGACTGAATAGCAGCTCACTGGCATCGTCTTCGGAAAGCTTCTCTGAGGCTCTCATCTTGTTGATCTTCACAATCCACTGCACCAAATTCTTCCGCTGGTCAAATTCCTGAGAGCTCACTCTGTTAATACTCAGCAGCAGCTCAGACATCAAGGGATGCAGTTGGTCCTTGGTGCGGTAATTTAGCTTCAAAGCGTCCATCACTGTGATGAAATTTCCCGTCGCCTCAGCTACAGCTTTTCCGCCAAACTTTGAGCCACCTGCAGTAGAAGGCTCTTTGTCACTTTCACTTCTGATTCCGTGCTCCACGGTCACTGGGATGCCCCGTTCTATTCTGGTAATAGCATTGGAGGCGCTGATGTAATACTTCTCTTTAAACTCTTGCAAATCCCCAAACTCTTTCAGTACTTGTTCGTCCGACAAGTAAGTTTTGTATTGCGCTAGAAGCTTGTTCACTAGTACCGTATAGTCCTCTCCAGAGAGGCTGTCCCTCAGATAAGCCTTTTCAACGTGGTCTAACGCTATGATCAAAGAATAGATCTCAGCTAATGTTTCTGCTGTCTCGCGCTGCTGTGCGGTTGTTAAATGATTGAAAAGCGGAACTTCGTCCTGAAGTTTATCGGTTACGAGCTCTGAATTATCCATTCCAATCTCTTATGTGATTCCTGGCAGCAGAGAACTTGAACCACAGCTTCCGAGCAGAACATCTGCTAGAGCTGGCGATGGACCTTTACTTGGATATATTATTATACTCGATGTACTTGTAAGAGGACGCACGTGATATTCTGAACCAAGAGACAAGATTCAAACCCGAGCATAATTTCCTGTCTGTTCTGCTGTCCGTACCAGTGTTGGATTGAGACGTGTTTAGATTTGTATTACTATCATGGTCTTCAATGTTGATAATTCCCTTTTTTATCAAAGGCTGTTTGCCGGAAATCAGTCTTCGGTAGTGCATGGCGTTTTTACCTTCGCGCTGTAAAGATATCTCGAACGGCGCTGTGAACAATCAGCAAAAAAATCCAACAGTAGCATGCGAGCGTTCAGTGGTAAAATATTTGGTGATCGCTATCGAATTGTTTTAGCATAAAGCCCCATATGCCTCCAATGAAATACACCGAAGCAACGGTTTTCCCACGATGAAAACCATGGATACATTTTACGACCTTCGAAAACCATCGAAATGCTCGCCATTGGATATTCAGGGGATACCAGCAATGTTTGCTGCAACGTTCTAAACTTCTCGAGAGTTTATCCCTCAAATAACATTTCACTCTCCAATCCGTTGACTACTCAATCACCAACACTCTTTTTGGTGTTTTGAAATTGGTGTTGTAATTGATGCCCAAACTTTTTAGGGTACTGGCATCGGCTGAATAAACTATGGGGGGTAGTGGTGGGTATTCTAACTCTCCAGAGCTCTTGCGCCTCCTAATTCCACCGAAAGAATCGTAAAACGCTCTAGCATTATTAGCAACGCCAGTTTCTCGCGCTATGGAGTTTTCAATATGCTTCATTTGAGTTTTGACCCACGGGGATATGTCAATCGGCTGATGGAGTTCGAAATCCTTGGCGTTACCGATCTTAAACTTTATAGTGATGCCGTGCGTAACGGAGAATAGCCTGCCATGCGTGGTAATTGAACTATGGTAGTGAAAGGGTTCCAGATCTTTTTTGCTTTTCAAAAGCACTGTTTCTGGCGGCCGCTCATTAAGCGCAGGTGGGTGTTCAGGTAAACGATATAGCACAGCAGGTTCATTGAGAGACATCTCGTACTGTTTAAATTGCAGGTTCTTAGTAAATATTCGGACGTCGGCTTCAAACTGGATACCAGATTTCGGCACAACTTCGTTAAATGGCTTGGTCATAGTATGAATAATATTTTCCCTTGAGTCATAGTGAGAATCGAAGGTCTCCAGATACTCTTTGATTTCAAATGTGACTGTTTTTAGTTTGAGTCTCTTGCTGAAGTGGCGTGTACTGCTACTGAATGCGCTTGATGAAAGGTTTGGTATGATATCCAGCTTTAAATGTAACAGATCATCCGTTGACACGCAAGGGTTTTGCACCTCGTATTTGACTTGAACTCTCTTATCAGGGGAGTGATACATTCGACTTAAAGGCAGGGTGTGTTTAGGTGATGCAATGAGGTCGTACCGTTCCACGTAAACGGCCGTTGTAAAGGTCTCCTGGAGAGTATTTCCAGCGACAGTATAATATGTCGTTCGACATTCAAAGGTTGTGTAGCTATGCCCGAAACGAGAGTTAAAATTAGTCTCCTTAATATCATCTGGGACAGCGATGGTCAATGGGATGTCAATTCCGATCAGCTTCTTATCAGATACCTTAATGTTCTTTCTATAGTGCACGGCAGTTTTCTCGACTTTTGGCCTCGTAGTAAAGCTATGACCAGAGTTGTGCAAAGACTCTGTAGATTTGAGAACCACTTCAACGCTTTCTATGTACAATTCTTTCCCATCACTAGAGCGTATTCTGAGCTCGCATTCCAACCTGGGCTTGTAATAAAATTAACGTTAGTCCAACTATCCAGCGACATCTAACAACATCGTTTCAACATACCAAAGTTTCTGGCAATCCAGGACAGCCTCTAATAATTGAGTTGTAACTGGGCTTTAATGATATAACTGGACGTGTCATTGCTCAGCCCTGTCTTATATGATCTCTCTTCAGGTTGACCGACATTGGTGTAATAAGGTGAATGATCTAAGGTCAAGAACATCGAAGTCGTCAATGGCGACCTCAAACGTTTAAATCACACTTTGACAAGTATCATGGTATCGATGCTTCAACCAGCGCGAGACAATGCCTGGATTGGTTCAATTATGAAGTCAATTACGAGTTCAATTATGTGTTCAATTATGAGTTCATTTTCTCTAAATATACTACAAAACGAGGAAGAGTGCTGCTGATAAAATGCAGTCGGACATTTCGGTTAGAATGACCATGCGCGTCCAATATTAAACCGCAAGCCAGCTTCGGAACTAAGACGATTGGTTTATTCCACAGTCACTCAAGCATCGCTCATTATCATGTCGTTACTCCCCTCGTCGTTAGGATGCAAGGGAGTCGACGAAATTGGTCTTTGTGAGCTGTAATCGTTGATGTTTTCCGCACCCTGATTCAAAAAGTGCAGAGTGGCACCCTCGTTGACCAAATTCCAGATACCCAGGTACGCATATTCCTCGATACAATTGTTGAGTTGTAGCATTGTGAAGCCACGTGATCTGACAACCTTCACGATCAAATCGTAAGCTAGGCTCTGGTGCAGCTGAGAACCATCTCTGGCAAGGTTCTTGATGATCGTGTATATTTTGGTAGTTGGGTTTTCGTCCTCTGCATTTTTGCGGTCATCCTGGTACAACGACTCTTTCGAAACTTGTATTAGTCTCAAAGCTTCCTCCACGTCATCGAATTCGACAGTGTCGCTAAATCTCAGTTTAGCCAGAGCCTGCGATAACCTGATAATCGCCAGCAGCGTTCTCGGAGTCGCCTGTCCAAACGAAAATTTAGAGTCCATGGCCTTTTTGGAGTCTTGTCTCATTCTAACATATGACTGAACCACGTATTCGTTGACCACGCGACCCATAGTGGGCTTTTTGGTCTTGGCGTACGCAATGAACTCCCGCATTTCGGTTTGTTCCAGAGGTGTAAACCCTAGATCTGGCTGTTTGTTGTGCATGTGAACATATGCTACATGCTCTGCAAGTTTTTCATCATCTTCGCGATTGGGCAGATCCAGCAGCAAGAATAGAATATCGAATCTTGTCAAAAGAGCGGCTGGCAAATTGATGTTTTCTAGCGGTGACAGCCTGGGGTTGTATCTTCCGTAAAGGGGATTGGCAGCAGCCAAAATTGATGTACGGGCGTTTAGTGTGGTGTTTATACCGGCTTTCGAGATCGAGATTGTTTGCTGCTCCATAACTTCGTGAATAGCAGTTCTATCACTTTCGTCCATCTTGTCAAATTCGTCAATGCAACAGATACCGTTGTCAGACAAAACCAGCGCACCGCCCTCCAGTACCATTTCATCGGTGACTGGATCTTTCATAACTGCAGCTGTTAAACCAACACCTGAGGAACCTTTACCGGTTGTATAGACACCTCTGGGTGAAATTTTGCATATAGATTTTAACAGCTGAGATTTGGCAACACCGGGATCACCCATTAGGCAAACGTTGATGTCGCCTCTGATTTTCATCCCATCGCCCACTTTTTTGTCCACACCACCGACAAGTAGTAACAAAAGTGCCTTTTTCACATCTAAATTACCGTAAATCTCGGGTGCGATAGACTTGGCCAGCTTGTTGTAAACATCTCCCTGAGATGCAATGGCCATGACTCTTGCTTCAGTCTCGAGTGTTATTTCGAAAGATGCAAACTTCTTTTTGTGTTGGAAGACATACTGGGCCTCCAAATAGGTTTCCGTTAGAAGCCCTGCCTTCAAGGCTTTGAACCCTGTGAAGGGAGAGGGCATGTAGATACCCGTGACATCGACAACGTCACCAGGACTTAGACTTCTGACAAGTGCACCGTTGATGTGGATTGTCAAACTCCGCGGGATGTGGCCTATCGGTACTTGCTCCGACATTTCTTGTATTTTGCACTCCTGAAAGGCACTGAATTTGGAAGCTCTCGTGCTCATGAATAATTGACCCTTGGTTTGATTTTGAGAGCACTGTTCAGATGTGCAATCTACCAAGGGTGTGAACATGCGCGAGTTGACCTCTTGGAAGACCTCGTAACCACACTGGTCGCAGGTATAAGCATTGACGAGTACTGAAGGTTTCACGTCCGAGACCCTTGTGACGATCCCACGCACGGTGATTAGCTGGCCCAAGCAGTCACCTTTGATTTCCCTGACGGGCAAAGGTGCTTGCCACTTGTGGCTGTATGCTGCGCTGAGGGGCTTGAAATACAGATTGTAACGTCTTGTCAGCTTTGCGGGGAACAAGTCCGATTCCTGTTCGGCGATTTCTCGCATGAGATTGTCGTCTTGGAATTCACCGGGAGCCTCGGCGGCGAGCTCAGTGCGTTGGTCAGACAGTAGCCTGTCATTGCGAAGCTTGCGCTGGTATAAGATCACGTCCAAGACGTCGTCCTTGTAGTCAATTTCCTTGGTTGGTGGCGGTAGCAGTTTGTCAACGGCACGACTAAAAATCTCAACAAAATGGTAACAATTGCGAATCACGGTTTGCACGAGTCCTGAAGACCCCGACAAGATGTTTGATGAGCCATCTGGGTCGGATGTCAGAAGTGTTTCGGTCTCGTACTTCAGAAGGTCGTCTAGTTCGATGCCCAGGGTTTGCAATTCACGATTGGCAACTTTTTGCAGCAATGCCATGTACTTGGGGCCCTCTCCAACTTGCATGGGGTCGTCTTGAAGCGCGGACGCATCGCTTTTGAAATGAAGCAAAAAATCCTCGACCGCGGCCTGGATTTGAGCGTAATCCACGGGGATTTGGATGGATGGTAACGCGGCACTCATGTTGAGAGCTGACGGGTAGAGTTTAGGCTTGCGATGCGTTCGCTGGCGCCGTTTTATTCTTTGCAAGTGCGCGTGAAGTATGGATGTGGATGATGGTTTCGATGGGTTTGGAAATTTAGCGTTGTTTACGATTTCCGTATGGGTGAGAAGAATGGTAACGTGATTTTCACGTGGGTAGGTGTTTGGCTGTGTGTGTAAGACAGAAGCTACAAACAATGGAGGGCGAGGTACACTGTCCGTGAATTGGGAAATAGATCTGGCGAGGTACTCTGTAGATTGGGAAATAGGTCTGGCGCGTCGAGTACGAGGTATGGCCCTTGTTTTAAGAATTTTGAAAGCGAGGTTGGTTTTCGTCTCGATGTGGTATTTGTTCGGCTAGTCTTTTTCCGTTATTGAGCTCGGAATTAGCATGACTTGTTCAGCGTGGATATATGCCGTCGAATGCGGCATAGGATAACACAGGCATTTGATTTGAGATCAATATCAGCTCAGTACGATGAAGGGTGTACACCAAAGGAAGGGCGGTCTTTAGCAATTTTGATACTTTGTAAGTCGATTAAACTGCCGTTAGCACCACATTATCGGTGGGTTTACGCTGTGATTTGAAATGATTGGAACATCGCCAATGTCGATGGCGATGGCTTTATCGTTTTTATATTGGGTTGTCATTTGACGTTTGATCACGTGCGGTCAGCAGACGAAAGCTTTTGAGCGTAGCTCTGTAACAGAAGGGGGTTAGAATTTAATATCCTGCTCCAGGGTTCCAGCTAAGTTTTCGTTGCAGAGAGCTGGAATGAAGCTGGGAAATACTGATCCAATGCCGTTGAAATGGAATTCTTACTTTTTTTGAAAGTTTATTATTGGCTGTAGCAAAATCTTGATATTTTATGGCGAATGATAATTAGTGCCCTTGGACTAAAATGCTTGGCCAGTCGCTTTCGCATTGAATTCCGAGTGCTTACAATCCATTTGAGCTGAGCTCAAGAAGCGTTTAGAAGCGTGTGCTGCTTGTCACGTGCCCCTCCGTCCTCAGGCGCGTGCGTACGAGCCCTTCTCTCTATCACAATTGAGAGCACCAGCGATTGTTCGGTAGTGCTTGATTCCATCCTAGATGCTCACAACTGAATGTCAGGAGTACTTAAAGTCATCTTATGCCTAACGCTCTCCATAGCTCAAAAAATTTTTGTAAGTCATACTACTACGTATTCACAGTCGTGAGCATCAGTGATCGATTGTTGAGAAGTGCTTGTAGCCTTATAAGTAGTTCAAAATTGATCGCTGATGCTCGCGATTAGTTATATGTGGTTCAAGTCCTCTACTTATTCACTATTGATCGTAAGCGCACTCATAATTGTTTAATGGTACTACGAGGGCCCTACTGTTCACAATAGAGTGCGTGAGCGATACTAAGAGATCCGACGCTTTCGATTCAGGCGTGCCACGAATCAGCGATCGACTATTTAATTGTGCTGTGAGCTCTATACTTTGTCGCCATTGATCGCCATCACTCTCTATTGTTCAATTGTGCTACATGCTCTGAGCCAACAAGATTACTGTCAGTAAATCTCTAACGCTCTAAAATGCTTAACTGTTCTCGAGCCAGCATGATTATCGCATTCGATCGCCTACGGGTCTCATATTGTGCGAATGTCGCACAACTCCCCAAGTTCTTCGGAGACGCCCACGACTCTTCAGAGTACTTATAAACACTGCACGTTGCAAATATAACGCTCCCAACTGTTCAATAATAATTTGAGTCCTCTGCTATACACAATTGAGAGCGTTAGCGATCGATTTAGTAACACCCTGATTTCTCCATTTATTCCCAATTGAGAGTGTCTGCGATCAATGTTCAATAGTACTACGAGTTGTCTACCTATTCACAATCGATCGCTGACGCCCTCAATTGTTCAGCTGTACTCGCTCGTACTCGCCCGTACTCGCACCTCGACCTAAGGAAGCTATAAACCTCGCTAGCGTTTTCAATTAAATAGTGATACTTCTGCATCTTTGAGTGCATTTCAAGCACCTAATGGTGTTTGTACCCATTCTTACTTTTCACAGTTGTGCTTGTAGAGCCCGCTTTTTTCACAATTGGTTGCAAAGGATCCCAATCGTTGAGTTGTGCTGTTAGACATTTGATTGTGGCCATTTAAACGTTCACAATTTAATCCTGACTCTTAAATGCTTAGTGGTACTTGTACCTTCCACTATTCAATATCGATAAAGGCTGCTCTCAACTTTTTAGTCAAGTTTATGGTTATCCTGGCCATTGAGGATCGATCGATCTCGCTCTCAGTTGTTCAGTAAGATCAAAATTTACCTACAAATTCACAGTTGATCGGTGATGCTCCCAATGGTTCGAAAATACTACGAGCCCTCTGCTCATTCGCAATTGAGAGCGTCAGCGAGCAATTGTTCTTGAATACTACGGGTTATCCTAATTGTTCAATAGTACTACGAGCCCTCTGCTCATTCGCAATTGAGAGCGTCAGCGAGCAATTGTTCTTGAATACTACGGGTTATCCTAATTGTTCAATAGTACTAAGAGCCCTCTTCTTATTCACAATGGAGAGCGTCAGCGAGCAATTGTATTGAATTACTACGGGTTATCCCAATTGTTCAATAGTACTACGAGCCCTCTTCTTATTCACAATGGAGAGCGTCAGCGAGCAATTGTATTGAATTACTACGGGTTATCCCAATTGTTCAATAGTACCACGAGCTTTCTTCTTAATCACAATCGATCGCTGACGCTCTCAACTATTCAGTAGTTCTTGTAGCCTCTTTCGCTAACGCTCTCAACTATTCAGTAGTTCTTGTAGCCTCTTTCGCTAACGCTCTCAACTATTCAGTAGTTCTTGTAGCCTCTTTCGCTAACGCTCTCAACTATTCAGTAGTTCTTGTAGCCTCTTTCGCTAACGCCCTCAATTCTTCAGTAGTTCTTGTGCTCTCCCGCTGACATTTTAGGTATGTACTCGTACTCGTACTCGTATTCGTACTCATAACCATCCGAAATACTTCCAGGCCTTCATCTGTGTAGTAAAACCCAGAGTTCTTAAAGCTGCCAATTGTGTAACGGTAAACCATATCTCTACATCCTTCATAATTGAAAGCGTCAGCGAGCAATTGTTCAGTGATACGAAGAGTTCCCTCAACCACCACCACATCTTCCCTCCCTCCTCTCGCATGCGCGCTCGAGTCCACCATATTCATACTCTTTCACCAATGGTGTGATTTTCGCCCGTACAGTCGAACCACCACTGAAAAACCATTAGGGTGATGGTAACCACTAGAGTGCGCTGTGTGTGTGTGATGGGCTCGTGTAAGGGCATACGCTGGGGTGATCTTTAACCGATGTGTTTGTTGGCCGATGATTACCATTACACAGTACATATATAGAGGCAGAGGGCGGGAGAGCAAGACAGAGTAAGAGTACAACTTCGAAACAAATATATAAGCACGCTGGCGGGCAGACACAAAGACATTAACACACACTAGCACACACACTAGCACACACACTAGCACATACACTAGCACATACACTAGCACACACACAAGCCATTCGTGATATCGTTTTAAAAGTAATCGATCGTTCGCTGCACAAGTGTTAAAACTCGTTCTTCCTATCCTACGACACAACACCCAGACACCCACGATATGATGTTTACGTCAGCTTCTCGAGCAGCGATGCGCTTACGTAACGCAGGCGCGAGATTCGTCGCGAGAACAACAAAAACGAGAACGACACAACAACAACAACAACGAGCCTCGTCCACCACAACGCACTCCCACCCCACATCGCCCGCTACTCGATGTCCACTCAACACATCCTCCAAAGTCTACATGTTCTATCTCACGCTCGGGTTCGTGGCCCCGTTTCTGCTGTCGTGGCGCCAGTCGAGTCGGGTGCTCGAGCCAGACCTCAAGGGCCGCCACAACCCTCGTAGCGTGTTCCAACGACTTATCTAGCTAGCATCATCATCTTCTTATTTATTTATTTATTTATGTAGTATTTATTCACCACGGACAGGATTTCGGCACCAATACACACACACACACAGGCTTCATAGAACTCGAGACGGAAAAAAATGCTTTCATGGGACGAGATCGGTGTTCTGGTCCACACCGGTGAGCTGCAGCTCCTGCTGCGCACCCCAGCTGTCACTGACCAGTATCGTCGCTACAAGTTGTCCCTGGCAGATCGCGGTTTGACCGTGGTCGAAGCCGTGGTGCTCGAGAAGCTGCACTGGGACAGCGTTTCGCTGTCCCAGCTGGCTCAGCACTGGCCCACGGCGTCCCTGCAGCTCCAGGCCATGCTGAGCCGTCGCGAGCTGTTCAAGTTGCTGAAAAACGACTTCCCCTACGATTTCCCAGCCTCCGTGCACCATCTGGTGCTGTGGAGCAAAGTGCGTATCCCGCTCTACGTCGATGGTGGTGGTAGTGGTGGCGGTAGCTCGTCGTGCGAAAAAGTGCGGCCTGTAGAAGCCAAGATCCAGCGGTTTCTGGACGTCAATCTTGCCCGTCACAACGTTCACGATTTCGTGTGGTTCGTCAACTACCCGCATCTACAAAGCGTCACCGCGGTCTCGCACATCCACGTCCTGGTCAACACTTCGAGACCGCACAGAATCGCCCAGATCTTGAAGCAAGGGTTCCAGCCAATCGAGAACTGAGGAAATGAGGTGCCATGGCAGTTACATGCTGTACTTTTATATAGTTTTGATTGATGAAACAATCGCGAGGTCGCGAGGTCGCGAGCCCGTTAAACCACTAGATCGGCCAATCACTGAAATGCTGTTAATACCATCCACAGAGAGGTCAGAATAACCTCGCGTAAAGAGGTTCACGCCCATTCTCCTGGACATGCCATCCAACTCGGTCTGTTAACTCTGGATTCCATGATTATGATTATCATTTTACACGGCTCATCGCCTGGACGTTGATTGATCCCATGCTACTTTTTTTTCTTCAACGCTCATGTCTAACAGCTCTCAACTTTCTTTCTAAAACCCAGCACTCACCAAGCACCGAGCACCAAGCACCGATCGAAGTCGTCCATATTTAGTCTCCAAATAGATGCCTTTTTGTCAATGGAATTAAGACGCTCGTCCAGACGCCGACCCGCGGTCAAAACCACCGAGGCTGCTGCGCTGCCTGCCAAACCAGCGATAGCTCGCCGGTCGAGAACAATCCGAGAAGTAGGAAAAATCCTCCCCAAACAGCTGGCCCCCATGGTGAGGCTTCGCAGACCGTGTTTCCGCGGTTCAGAACAGCCCTCGACACCACTTGCTAAAAATTCACTTCGTCGCACGGTGGACCGCGAGGTCGTGCATTCTTGTCTGGACACACTGGAACGCATGGTTCAACAAAACCGCGGTCTTCAAGAGGATAACACCGTCCACGAACTGTCCCAACAATTGCACCATTTCATACAGGCGGTCGACAACTTAGCGGTCAATGACGCCGCAAGCGACGCTGACTTGCTAAGCCGCATCAAAAACGAAGCCCTGGCTCCAGAAACAGCCTCGCCTGCATCTAAGGCTGACCTGTTGCTCACCAAGATTCTCGTCGACGAAAAAGTCAGCGGTGCCCAGAGCCTTGCCGTTGTGGCCAAGTGGCACGGCATCGACACGCAGGACGTGGCGGAAATCGCTTTCACACGCGAGAACGTTAGACCCAGAGCCGATCGCAACGCTCAGTTCCGACTCGATCTGCAATGCGTTAATAAAAGAGTCAACAAATTGCTGTCGCAAGAGCGTGACAGCTCTTTGATGTGGCCGGAAAAGAAGAAAAAACCATTGTTTTCATCCTCAGTGTCGGAAACGGGTGACGCTTTTTCCAACGTCGCACTAATGTCCTGAAAACTACCAGCAGCCCGTGTACTTGATCACAAGTCTTGAATTGCATTCATTAAAATTGAAACATCGTACTGTCTTCACTTCATATACTATCGTTATTTTTTCAAAATCATTCCTACTCTTCCAGTGGTTGTTCATCCTCGTTTTCTTGTGGTCCTGATTTTTGGAACCACTGGTTGGGGGGCTTGCACAATTCGACCCCGTAGATTTTACTCACAATCTGCTCTACGAAAAAATAAAGTTGCCCCGGCAAATACGTTATCAGAATTCCCCACATGCTTTTAACTGTTGCGAGCTGTAAAATGTCCATGGAAAGCCGTAGCATTAGAGGGGAGACTCCGACTCGAGCTCCCCCATTTCCAACGGACTGGATATCCATTCGAATCTTATAGTAAAGCAGATTTTTGTGGACAACGTGCGCGAGAGATTCATACGGTTGAATCCATTTGCTCATCCCAATGACCATTCCACCCAGTAGAAAGATCATCCACAAAAACTGGCTGCGCGTTTGTACCGCTTTTTCCACGTCTGCTAGCTGCGACAGCATGACAACCACTCCAAACACAAACCAGTAGTCTAGCTTTCCATAATCGAAAAACGAGTATAATACTCTCACATACTGGCCCCTTCTGAAAGCCAGATCGAAATTATAAAGCGTGTTGCTGGGATCAACTATAGTTGTGCTGGTCAACACTGACAACACGATGATCCCGGCCGCCCAGGCCTTCGTCACAGCCGGGACATCCCCAGCGAGGTTGAATATTATGGCATCCATTAGCCAACGGGACGAGATCTGAATCCTTTTATATCTTATCAACAGTTGAAGGCTTACTTGGCTTACTTGGCCTTCAGCGATTGCCTTATGCAATTTACGATTTCGTGAATGGTGATAATGAGAAATGAACTGGGCACATGATAAGCTAAATTAGCTTTGATAAATGCTTGATAGCTGAAGGTCCGGCTTGGTTAGCCTTGTGGAAAGATAGCAATTAGTTTGTGTGCGGCAAGATTGTGAAAAGAGCGTTCATTTTGCATGTATTGTTGTCGTTTATTCAGGCCAATCTGTGATATCATTTTGTACTAATATGTCGCTGCTTTAATGTAGTACTACTTTTTGATCGTACCTTGACATCTGCAAAGAAAACAAGAGCAGTAGCTCCGAAAATGTGGGACTAGTGATCCATTCGCTCGGTGAAGCTGACCTTTTGATTTTACTGTTGGTTCAATCTTGGCTGGCTTGTTACGGCCGCTTTTGTCTTCAGCAACTGTAAGAGTCCTGAAAGATTTCATATGCAGTAATTAAGAAAGGGTCCCTTGAGTTTGAACAAATCTTTAACCATGGGTAAGAGGCTTTAGCGAATTTGCAGTCGTTATCGCAAGACCGACTCTTTCAATATTGCTAAGTTTCAAAGACTAGCCTCTCATTTTCTGCACTTACCTACACACAAGAAGATCGGCGGAGCTTCTGAATTCGATCAATTCACGGAGCATCAGCAACTGCGAGCTCTCAGCTCAATTCATCATATAAACTCCATGACATAATAGTACATAGTGATATGGAAATTCCAAAGCCATACACATTGTTTCTTTATGGATTAAAAGCTTGTTCCGTCGCATTCAATATGGCTTTGTCAATTTAAATTAAAGCTCTTCAGAGGATCAAACCATATTTAAGCTAGCGTCCCGCCTTTTTCAGTTCTCCTCCGCCAAGCTATTGACTACACCAAAAATTGTTCATTTTAGGGAATTTTCGTATTCTTATAGCGAAAATCAGAGTTCTTTAAATTGAACTGGACAGTACGAGAACTAATGCTCGATTGTGCCCTCATTTCCATCACGATTGGCTCAGGATAAAAACTGAAAATTAAAATGGTATTTTTACAAACAGAACATAAGAAGTTCTTGTCTCAAAATATCATGGCAATTTAGTCACTCAAATTCATGAGTTTCTACGCTGCTTAATTTGACCTGGATCCTGGCCCAAACTTCGGTATTTGCTCGTATACGCTGTCAAAAGCCTTTTAGCGCACGTGACCTCTGGGTGTCAACCTTGTATACCATAATCACGTCAATAATGTGCCCATCTCTCGTACATCAACGACGATCATACCTCAGATTCAAGGCAAACTAAGCCTGAGACCCATTTCAATGGATATTCCACAGATCGAAAAACTGGCTTACCATCCTCCAGTTTGGAATGACGAACAAGAACGAGTTCTTAGAGGCCCATTTGACTACCTGGCGTCAAGTCCAGGCAAGAATTTCCGATCGGAGCTGATCCAGATCTTCAACTCCTTTTACAGACTACCAGAAGCTCAAATCCACGTTATTTCGAAGCTTGTTGAGATTCTGCATACTTCAAGTCTATTGGTGGACGATATCGAGGACAACTCGGAATGGAGACGTGGATTAAAAGCATCGCATTTGGTTTACGGGACTCCCATGACCATTAATACAGCCAATTACATGTATTTTTACGCAATGGAGTGTTTGAAAGAATTGGCGCAAGACTCAGAAACGGGATTGTTGAATCAACTACTCATAATCTTCAACGAGGAAATGTTGAACCTACACCGGGGCCAGGGCCTCGACATTTACTGGAGAGACGAGCTCGTAGTGCCAGACGAACGCCAGTATCTGAATATGGTAATGAACAAGACAGGCGGACTCTTCAGACTAACAATACGGCTTATGGAGGCGTTTTCGACGGAGTTCAACGGTAGCGACTCTTTGGTGCCACTCAGTAACCTTTTGGGCATCCTCTACCAGATGAGAGACGACTTCATGAATCTCCAAGACGCAACAATGATCAAAAATAAAGGCTTTGCGGAAGACATCTCCGAAGGTAAGCTATCTTATCCCATAATTCACGGCATACGGCACGGAAAACTGTCAGGAGACACGATCGTGTTAGATATACTCAAAACTCGTACGCAGGACGTCGAGCTTAAGCGAAAACTGGTAAGCTATCTGGAAAATACTAGCGGCTCGATGGCTTACACGCGTGAGAATATTCTAAGAGTAGGAGCCTTAATTGAGGAGCGGTTTTTATCGTCGATTCAAAAACGCGGCTACGACACTGCGGCATTGTTGGCAGCGGTAGGTCATCTGTGTGCTATTTGAAAAATTCTGCATCAATGTTTCTGCGTTACTGGCTCGTAAGCATGGCTGATTCATTTTGATTTTTATCGTGGTCATTATCGTCATTGGAGGTATATATATGTGTGTGTGTGTGCTAGCTATTTGATGCATCTAACAGTCTCCGGTAGTTTTCGAAGACTTGTCTGAGTTCGCACATCTTCAAGTCCTCAAAGTCGCGGCTTCCCAGAACTCGCCATGAATCCGGAATTGTAGTGAGTTTTTTAACCGACTCAATTTCAGACGGAGCTGGCAAGGTCGAAACGCCATTCAAAGGTTTGTCTGGTGTGAGGGTGGTGACTGATGTGCCGGCAGGGGGTGTATAGGACCGAATTTTGCCGAAAATGTTGCGTAAAGAGGAGTCGAAGGCCGTTTTGAGACCTTCAAATTCCTTGTAAGAGTTAGATCTTGGTAGACCGGAGAAATTTGGTGGCATGCCACTAACAGATACCTGTGTTTCTGGCAATACAATTTTCTCACATATCGGAAGTTGCAAGCACGCCTCCTCAGCTCTCGTCAATTGCTCTTGAGTTTCAAAGGGAAGAGATGACAATGTGAGTCCCTGCAAAAATGTCAGTGCTGCATCCAAGTTGGTGAGGGCATATAAGTCCTTTTCTACCAATTTCTTGTTGTAGCGGAAAAGCTTGATAAACTGCAGGTTTATGAACATGTGCTTCACAGGAAACTGGATGATCAAATAAATGAGTGTGGAAAGGAAGTCATCGTTGCTCAAATGGCCCAGAGACATTGTCATTTCGTCGTGCAATCGTATAACGTTCAAAAGCTTTTCATATGGTGCCAGTGGCCCATACACCATACTATCCAAATGCGATGCCAGTTTCCCATTGTCCAGCCCTCTTTGAGGTACGGATAGAAACTCGATGAGATCCAGTTTCCCACATTTGGCCATGTTTGACAGCAACAACGTTTTCTCCCACATCAATCTATCAAAATCCATGAATTCTGGGCTGTTTTTAAACAGATTTGTAGCTTTCAAATTTCGTGATGGCTTCTCGCGTCTTGTAGTGGTACTGCTGGGCACTGACGTCCCCACCTCTAATATTTTTTGAAACACATCGTGCTCGCACAGTTCCAGTAGTTTCTCGATTCTGCGATTATTCAGTTCGGTTAAGCGTAGGTGTTTGTTGATTTCTTCAGGTGTCAGAAGCGGCTGGATTCCACCCGTGGAATCGGTGCTGAATAGCGATGATGATCTTTTCCGAGCCGTGTCACTGCTGCTTCTACTGCGATTGAAAATCCCACTGATGCCGCTGCTCAAAGTTTCGCGTGCATTTAAGAAAGTCGTGCTATTTCCCACTTCAGGAGCCCTAGTGAGATACTGGAAAGCAGCTTTGTCGAACCTGGAGTAGAAACTCTGAAATAAGCCAGATAATTGCACCACACTTAGGGGCTTCAGATATTTCGGTTGTTTTAGATCGTCCACGAAATTATCTTCTAGACGGGCTAGTTCTAGCGGCACTTCCACTATTTGATCTAGTTCCAAAGCTATCTCTTCTTTTGTGAGTGACGTCGCGCCGTTTCCAGACGAGATCGATGGCTCATGAGAAGACCCTTCAACAGAGCCCTGGTTTGAGTCCTTGATCGCCTGGACTCCGTCAAAGCTCCGCTCATTGATTGGAGGAGTGTGGAACATTGTTGAAGACCAGGATTCCTCTATATATATGCTAGAATCAATTGGTGTGTTTTCTCAAGTAAGCTCGTTGTGGATCATTTGATGTACAATGGACAATATTGAAATTTCAATTGTAGATCGTTACAGAAGACGGAACTTTAAAAGAGAACTTTCTCGAACCTGCAAGGGTCTCAAAGCTCTAATTTTGATTTTAGAGTGAAACAAGAGATATCCGAGCTGAATACTGAGCTTTTCTGAGTCCCAATTGACCTCTTTTTGGTGAGTTTTTGTTCTCTGTACTCTCTACACATATAGTACTCGTTGGTATGGAATCGCTCAAGAAATGCCCTCGTTCTCCATGAAAAGATCTCGTAGTCCTGATTTCGTGGGAATTTCGAATTACAAACGACAGCGCCTCATCGAAGATTTGCAGAATTTGAGTATTTCTGATAACGCCACTGGCTCTACAAGCTCTGCGACCAAAGTTGTTGCTGACAATAATTGGATCGATAACCAGCAGATCTGGAAAGTTGTAAGCGGGCAGAAAGATGCGAATAATGATATTTATAGACCCATCTGGGAGAGTATAAGGGACAGCAATCTTCAGGTTATTAAATGGTATGACAGCGCTAGCTTGGTGTATAGGAGCTGGCTTCTATGGTATCATCAGAAACAAGCTGACGAAATGGACATGGAGATTGATGAGGATGGCCATACAACGACATACCAGGAAAATGATGACTACGGGTATGAGCCGATGCTGTTAGATACTTAAAGAAACACACAATGGCGGTGATACATGATACAAACTTAAGCAGCAATGAAAGATTTGGAATTAATTAAGATTAAATTATTACATCACGCATCCTCAACTAGGATCTTAAGCCTCCCACGCACCACCTCGGAGACCTGATAATCGCCTGTTACCTCCTCGCCGACAGAATTGTCGAGCTTCACGTATAGTTTGAAAGCAGGGCTCTCAATTCTTGGTGCAATTCTGACACGCAGTTCGGTGTATGTTATGTTAGTATCGAGCAGCAGAGCAAAAATGTCGTCTTTATAAAAGAACTTTATTTTTGTGGGCTTCATCTGTGGTGGAGACACGCTTGGTGGTCGAGAATGTGGTTTGGTATTTCTTAGCGAGAGTTCATTCATCATTTCGTAAACCTTGAGTTCCTCGCCTGTAAGAGTTGAGTCTTCGGCTACCTTGGCCCCGGGAAAAGCATTATTTGATCTCTCGGTCGTACCTGATAAATGGTTGAGCGTCACTGTTGGCTCCTGGGCGAATTCTTGATCAAACCCATTTTTCCTTATATCGAAAAGCGATCGGACAGTATCGCATTGAGATATGTGCATGGGCAGTCCGATCAGATCGCGCACGTACTTGTTCAGATCCTCCTTCCGTTTCTTGGTGATCGAGTCTGTGACGTACGGTACCGGACCTGGTATATATGGCATAATACGCTTTGTCCATTGACCTCGTACGTCTCTGAGTTTGCCAGCTTCTGCAGGGAATGTGTCCAAAAGTTTGACTTGCAAGTCATAAAAGTCCTCATAATATCTTTTCAGAGTGCGTGCTCTTCCGTCAGAAAGCTCGCACACCACATTAAACCAGAACTTGTCACCCTCCAAAGAGAACGAATCTACAGCTGCGTGTGTAATCGTCGAGCTGAAGTACGAGTTGTGACTTGGTGCTCCAGGATTGCCTCCAGAACCCGCGTAGGAACTTGTACGCTGCTGTAGCTTCATTTCAGGCGAGCTCAAGGATATGTTACTAGCTTTGTATTTTGCAACGTTCGATTTCCATTCCTGCACGGTGGGTAAATTCGCGGATTGTATATCTTCGCTGATGTCGCTGCCCGTGGCGTAGCCCGTATCAATGTCGATTATACTAACGTAACCAATCGGCACGAGGCCCGGTCCTCCCAGTCGGCCTATCGGCTTGGCAATGAACCATTCAAAATTGTGATGGGCGCATATGAACAAGTTCTCACCTGCGTAAGTCGTCAGCTCGTCAGATTTTTCGGCACGGAAATCGTACAGGACAATTGCATATAACGACCCGGGTCTTTGGCCATTGTTTTGACCCTTCTCAAGGCCCTGAGTTTGCATTTTTGGTTGCGTAAGAGACTGGCTGCTGGCGATCCCATATGAGTCTGAACGTCCTCTGGAGAATGTCTCGAAGTAGCTTTTTGGTACCATTCCTCTGCGCTGGTCATTGGGACTTGCTGCGTCGTACCATTCCTTGTCTTCAGTCTGTACTATGAAGAACTCGCCTTTCACAAACGAGAGTTCGCGAGGGGACTGGGCCTGATAGTTGTAGAGAGCTTTGATCACCTTGTCAGAGTTGGCCGTGCTTTTCGATGTCCGATTAGATTGTGTCGAAGCAGACGAGCCTGAACGAATTGGTATGGTTTTCATGTGTTTTGCAACATTACTGTGGTCTGCTGTGGGGGAAGATATGTCTGCAGATGTGATTCTGCTCTTGCTGCCACTGTCTCTACCCGATCGCTTGAAACCCTGTGAAACAAAGATGCGAATTACTCGTTAGTATTGAAACATTGATAAAAACCATGATGACCACTTTAAAATCCTATGCATGCTTCCATGAGATGCTCTTGATGCTCTTGACGCTTCGGACTGACTTTACATTTTACTCTGCCTAAAGACAAGAGAAGTCGATCGGACTAGCGCTTGAAGAGTAACTAGAAATATCATCAACAAATTTGGGTACCTAAGAACATACTTTAAGCATCGTTAAGCAAACTTTGGGAGCAATGACACCTTTTTGTCGATCGCAGGGCCTTGACGGGTTGTGTAAGACATTTGAAGAAATATGAAACTTTAAAAATGCTACACACTTACTACGAAGTCAAATATTCAAATGGGCCATATCCATTCAAAGAGTGGTCAAAAAGAGTTGTTTCGTTGCCATTTGAATTAGTATAGTACGGGCTACCTTCTTCTCGACAAGTCTGACAAGCAGGTATTCAAGCACCTTTTTTTGGCTTCAAAAACTGTCCTTTGGACTTAATGTCAGAGTTTGAAGACATATCTCGAGATATCTCAACTCTTAACTCCTCTTCTCAGGCTCGTCTACACGCTCATAGTATAACATGTAAACGCACTTGGTATCGCCGAGAACCTCATCGGTTTTGGCCTCGCGAACGTCCGCGTCGGAGACTTTCCAAAATGGATAGTTGACAACACTCTTTATTTTCTTAAGTTTTCTTTTGATGGTAGGAACGGCTTCGTCACGTTCACTGGTACTCGTGTCGGTCACGTCTGCGCCCGAAGTGCCAGATGATGGACCGCCAATGGAAGAGGTCACTGAGGTGACACTGTTCATTCTTCGGCGTCTCGCCCCAGAACCTACATCGGACCCCGTTCCGGATCCTGAATCTCCGTTCTGCTCGTCAGAAACTCCAGATGCCACGGATGACCGTCTCGACAAAAATCCCGTAAGCTTCTTCAATTTGGATGGTTTCCTGCTCGGAGCGTTGGATGATCCTGGTGCCCCTTGTCCAACGATGTAATCGTCGTCATCGACAACAGGTGACGACAAAGGCAACCCGGGGGCGGACTCAGGAAAGACAGACCTGAAAGGACTTGAAGACTCGGACTCTTGGGACGAAACGGATACCTGATCTGAGCTGGACATGCTAGCGCTAGAATTCCAGGCGTTTGCTGCGTTCTTATTTGAGTCGAGTCCAAAATCGATTGTTGGAGATCTGTTGACAACTTGGTTCGACAGAACGTCCTTGATTAAGTCTGGCTTGCGTCTGTAACACTCATAATGTCCCTGTGAATGAGTGCCCTGGTGTTTCACCATCGCTCTCAATTTGTATTTGATTGGCTTAACACCAACACACCTGTTATTCTGTATGTCTTGTTCCTGTGTTAGCAGCTCTTCCTCAAAGTTGACATAACAGGAATTCCTAGAATACGTCATACCATTGAAGACCGACCGAGATAAATGCAAAATGAGTATGTCTGGGGATTCAGTAACCACAGTTTTCTTGATGATTCGAGACTTGATTGTGCTCGTGTCACAACCTTCTTTTTTGTAGTTGTTGGTGTAGTTCATTAAATCTTCCGAGAGGTCGTCATTGATGAATATATCAGGTATGATTTTGGATAAGGTGGCCAAAGTCACTTCCTCTTCCTCAGATTTCGGCTTGTCTTTCAGCTGCCTTTCATTTTCTAGAATAGCCTTAATTTTGCAAGACAAGCATGCATATCCGTCGATAGTCTCAGTTTGGTTGTCGGCTATCATTGCAGAAAGATTGGCAGACATTTCCTGCGGGACCGGGAGTGGGTACATGGAAAAGGGATGCATGACGACCTTCGACGAGCCCTGGCAGCTCAGGCAGATCAAGTGGTCTGCTAAGGAGCCTTTTATTGGGAAATCTGGTATGATCACATTCAAAGAATGGTCCTTAACGAACTTTTTGAGTTTCAAGTTCTCCTTCTCGAGTGATTCTAGAATGACCTGGGTAAGCTCATGGGCATCGTTCTGACCTGATGATATTTTGGCGTCGAATATTAGTTCAAGGACATGCAGGAAGGGCCACACAGAGACGTACTTGTTGGTGTCAACGATCTGTTGCAGCTGATACATCATTTGTGCGAGGCCCTCGTGAAGAGGAACTTCGGGAATCTCCTCACTCGAGGCAGTGGAAATCCCGTTTTCTTTAGAAACTGAGCTTTCAGCGGTACTTTGTGCTGCAGACGTGTCGCCCGTAGCCAACCCTTCGAAACGGCCGTGACCATTCAAATTTTGAGATTCTTCGATTGTAGACATTGTCGTGATCGTTGCAGTCGAGGAGATTGCTTGTAAGTTTGCATGAGGACGAAGCGAATGAAATGCAGGTCTGGAGGCTCCAGGTGCAAGCGAATTTTCGAAAGAACTGGTGCCTCTTTCGGCAGGATCTTCGAGTGAGTCCACATTCTCGGAAGTACTGCCAGTTTCCCAGCTTGATGGCTCGTTATCTCCACGATCGAGCAACGTCCTTAGGAAAAGAACCTGTTTGAGCAGGTCGTTCATGTAATTGGTCAATCTGGGCAGTGCCGAGAGTGCCTGCACCGACGAATTTGCGAAACAGTCATTCCGGTTATTGATGAGTCCTGTAGTATACTTATCGCTTCTTTTAGAGCTCGAAAACATTTTGTTAGTTCCTTTCCTGAGTAAACTTGGTGTCAAAACGTATAGGGCTAGCGCTGTGACGAGTGCAATACCAAAATAACGCAGCTGCTTAGAGTGTCTTTGGAGTAATATGTCAATCCAACCAGAGTTCACGTTGTTGTAGTGGTTGTTGTATATTATCAGGGACATGAGGTGGATAGAGATGTTTGGAGTTGTTAGTCCTTCCTTTCTTTAGTAGACCTATACAACTGAGAGAGCTCCAGGATTGGAATAATGACGTAATAGTCACGTGCAAATCTTTTAAGACACGTCTCGGCGATTGGCCACGGTCTTATTTAGCTCCAAATTCACAGAGGATGATTCACTGGCCCTCAATGGATCTTGGTTGACTGCTTGAGAAATGACGGCTTGAGAGTCGCCGGTGCGTTTAGTCAATTCAATTCCACATACTCGACACTTTTTGTTCCGGAACCCAAACGCCGTGTCCATGGTTTGGCTTCATTCTGCAGCGAAATGAGGTGGTTTAGCCTTTCTGTGAGATTACTCTCGTTGTAGCTTTAGATCAGTGAAAGTCTCGCTTTGATTTCGTTCCACTTCGTGACACAGTTGTTCGACTTGATAATTAACGAAACAATTTCGACCAACTCGAGACTTACACCGTACAAGATCGTTAGTACCCTAGAAACATCATTTAAATGTATGGTCTCGACGGATGGCACTGGCAAATTCTTACTCTGAGTCTCACTTTGGCCCTCACCTCGAAGGAAGTAGTGCTAAAGAAATAGTGGGGAGGGGAAAGCACCTTGACATAGCGAAAGTTGGCCATATTTGCAAAAGAGAACGGTCAATTTGACCGAATATGCTACCAACACTGCTTTATGGATAAACAGGTTCAACAGAGGTAACATACTTAGCACAACCAAATCTAATTGAGATGATCATCGTTGATCATCTCTGATCGAAATGGGACGTTCATTCAGTTCCAGACAATTCCTTCCAGTATCATGCCCATCGTAAAAAGGTCAGAATCCACCTCAACGTGGCGTCTCGGCGTTCATCTCGTTAATCAATTTAACACCAGTTTCTGCTTTGCCGCTCAGCATAGCATCTCCCGTAGACATTTAAACTCTTCTACCCATCAACATGGGACTGAGTGCCAGCCCTCGAGTCAAGAACCATGATATCTATTGTCGGACCTTTCGATTCTCTTTGTCGAGAGTGTAGAATCTTCTTAAGTATTTATTCCCGTTGTTTTTGTCAACATTCAGTGCCAGGTTTATGTTTCTGTTACACCAAGATAAATTAGAGCTGTAGTAGAGAAAAACCTAAACAATGCCAATTTTACAAAAAGGTATCTTGTATATCCATTCTATACACTATTTCTTCCTGCTTAAGCACCATGGCTTCCAAAACTCGCAGCCCACTCATCGAATCTCGACAAGGAATCTGGTGATACGCTCTTTTTTATAGTCAGCAAAGCGTTTTGGAAATCCTGCAAATTGATGCCTCTAATTTTGCTGAAATCGACGTCTATCAGTTTGTCGCCCAGTTCTCTGATAGGCTCCATGGCAGCGTCTTTCGCCAATGCAGTAATATCAGATCCAGAGTATCCCTCTGTAAGCTTACCCACGATTTCAAAATCTCGCTCTGTCAATGTATTTTTCTGGAAGGTCAGAAGCTTTTTGAGATGTGCGATTCTGGTTTCACGCTCTGGCAACGGGATATGCAGTCTTCTAGTGAACCGCCGGCGCGCTGCTTCGTCGATGGCCCACGGTAGATTAGTCGCTGCTAAGACCAAGACACGACCGCATTCTAAATGTCCCTCCTCTCTTTCTCTGGCCGTGGTATTTGACAGCGAAGACCACTGTATCAAAACCTCGGTTTTGATTCTTCTTGACGACTCGTTCTCGTTATCTGATCGCGAAGTCAACAACGAATCAATCTCATCGATGAAAATAATCGAAGGCGAGAGTCTCTTGGCCAAGTAGAACAGAGCTCGAACCAGTTTTTCAGACTCTCCCAAATACTTCGAAAGCAATGACGATGCGCTTATGCTAAAAAACGTGGACTGTGATTCCGTGGCAACTGCCTTCGCTATCATGCTCTTACCTGTTCCCGGAGGCCCAAAGAGCAGCATACCAGAAACCGGTTCTCGAAGCCCTTTGAAAAGGTCCGGCCTTAAGAAAGGGTACACTACTGTTTCTTTGAGGGAGTTTTTCGCGTTGTTTAGACCGACAATGTCGTCCCAGTAGACTTTCTCCCCCAAAACCAGTATCTCGTTTACAATGTGCTGGCAGGCTTCCTCATCCACACCTTCGAGTGTTCGCATAACGTCGCTGACTTTCTTCTCTTGTGGTGACAATTCAACATCCGGTGTCACCGAGCGTTGCGACTTGACATCGGGCGAGAAAGAGCGGGATGGAGGAGACATTGGCGATCTTGGCGAACGGACCTTAGTATCTCTTTCACGGGCCCGGGGTCTCTCGTTTCTGTCCTCTACGCCTTGCTTTCGATGCGGGATGCTCTTCCCTGGTATTTTTATGGTGGGTCTCTTTATCGTAGGTTGCACATACTCATATCTCGGCTTAGGAGTCACAGAAGATCCCGTATCTGAAAGGATCATTGACTTTCTAGTCTTCTCAGCGGGTGGATTCATTTGAGACCAGGCTAGGTTCGCGGCACGGCTAACGTTTCCTGCATAGGCAAGATTGGTGTCTGAAGCCTGGCGACTGTGTGCAGCGACTGCTGCGTTTTTGGCTCTCGCACCTCCATCGAGACTACGTCTCCGCATTTCATCTGCTGATCGGCGCAGCGACCTTCTTACATCCATCGAAGTCCGTTCGTAGGGTGCTTTGGGTTTTTCGAAAGTTGATTGTTGATGAGCTTTTTTCCCCTTTGGCACAGCCCCACTCGATTCTCGACTCGCTCGGCTTGCCATTTCTTGCTCCACCTGGCGTTTTACAGTTATCTCAAGCATCCGTGCCTTTTCCTCTTCCAAGATTTTGTCCTGATGCTGCTTTTCCTTCAAAATCCTATCTTGCTCCTCATGTCTCAGCTTTTTGAGTTTCTGAACCTCTTGCGTCTCTCGCAGCTCTTTGGTCCGCCTCGACTCCTCTTTACGGGTCGAGATTCTTGTCTTCTTGAGCAGACTTGACAGCGAGAAATGGCCGCTAGTATTTGCTGCAGAGGACAATTTGGCACTAGAATCTGGTTTGAGACGAGCTTCTACTACTACACGACTCTTTTTGATGTCGTGGTCCAGAATCCGCAAATCACCCACAATATCTATCACGTCGGAGTCCTTCAGCGAGAATATATCTTGAATTTTATAACTGTTTTCTATCTGGTTCAGACCCTCTTCCAGATAAGACCGAACATGGGATAACGCTTTCGGAACCTTTTCCAGCAAGGACACATCGCTTCCTGCTACTCGAATGCTATCCTGGCAATTCTTGAATTGACTTTCGACGATAGAAAACAGCAAATTCAGTGTTTGGCGAAGCGTTAAATTTGCTGGGACCACAAATTTTGCATGAGGCATTGTTTGTCCATCAATATACGATCTGTCAACCGCTCAAATATTCAGCTGCTTCGATATCACTTGCTGGCACAATTGTTCCAAAGGTAGCAAACATGCTGTGCCAGATGCCCTTAGGTCAAATTTCATATATCGTCAAATGCACCGAAAAACTGATCACGTTTGGAAGAGCTTTGAACATGCTTGAGTATATAAAACGCTCAACGCAGTCGCTCCAACTGGAGTCAGGATCCAGTATATAATGCTGAAGTATATCACAGGTATCGTAGTTTCATCAATTGTATTTTAACCATTTTTTAAATGCCTTTTTAGCTTTCATTTTCCATAGTTTTGAGTTCCTTTCCTCAGACTAATAAGACACTGAAGCTAACAGATTCTTTGGAAATGACAGTTATTCTTGTTACTTATGTTTAGTGTTACATTACAGGATTCGTGGCTCAGCAGATTCAAGATCCTGTATTGTGCTGTCTTTTACAGTACTTGTTCTTTTCGTCCTCGTCTATCTGCAAGACCGACCAGTCTTGAAAGTTCTCGTAGATGCATATTTCGGTGTTCTTGCGGGTCAAGTTTCTGAAATACATGGAAATGCTGTTTAGAGTTAGTCCGTTGGTGGTTCGGAATTTTTCAAGGTCATCAGTGATCACCTTTCGCATGCTTTCGCGGTCTGTGTTCAGGAACCTGCCTGTGCGCAGCCCGCGATCGACCTCACGCTCGATGTAGTCGATAATGATGCGCCGTGTGGGGAAAAAATGCGAGTCCTCGCCGACTTTCCAGCGTCGCCAGCCGTATGTGTCTATCAGCGACTTGATTGACGGCTCACCGTTCAGACCAACGTACCATTCGTTGTAGAGATCCCATATCGTTTTGTTTTCGCGCGACAGCTTGTACTTGAACACTTCTTGCGAGGAATTCCCATTGGGAGACGTGCTGGAGGGTGTCCTTTTCGTTAGAAGCTGCGACGACAAATTGGAATTCCCGTAGCGGGGTGACAGCTGTGACGACATGGGGGCACTTGTAAGGGCAGATATTCCTAATCGGGGGCTGACTGCGTTGCGAGACATCATAGAATCCAATGTTGCATTCATGGTATTGGGCTGGGCTTGCTGTTGCAGCTGTTGTTGCAATTGTTGTTGTTGCAAGAGTTGCTGGTGAGTGGGGGGTCCGGCCTTCAAATCGTCGAATCTGAAGCGCTTGAACGGCGATTCTATAGGCGTTGGCGAGAACCCAGCCTGGTTCGGCAAAGGAAGCTTCCTTTTTTGGGTCTCCACGACGCCAGAACCACTGAGCGAGTGGAACATATTTATTGGCGCCAGCGAGGGCGTTGTTTGAGCCTGCTCCTCGCCTGTGCCCACGACATTGTTGAAAAAGCTCGACGAAAGCCCATTTTTGTCGGCGCTACCTGAACCGCGGCCAGTGACGCTCAGAGAAGCTGGGAAAGCTGCACCGTTTTGGGCATTGCCTGAGACGAGCAAACGCTGCGTGTTTAAGACCTCTGAAAGCAGCTGCTTTACGGAACCCAGCTCGTGTCGCAGCGATTTGAGCTCTTCCTGGAGAAATTGGTTGTGGAGTGCGAACCGCCGCGAAATGTCTATGTAGCCCTCTTCCACTTTGGACAGAACCTGATCATTCCAATCGGAGGTCTTGGACTGTGACGAATTTATCATTCTATGCATCTCGTTTCGGAACTGCTTGAAAGTAAAGTTTCCTTCCAGTCTGGGCACGTACCCGAGAACGTTGGACAGCAGATGCGGCAGCTCATTGGTGCAGCTGAGATACGCTAAATCCTGGACCAGCACACGGGCCAGATACTCGAACAGCTCGCACAGCGAGTGCAAATTGTAGTTGGTGCGGTCTTTCGTCTCCAGGTCCTGCTGCAGCTGGTCGAGCCAGGGAAAGATCTCGCTTCGAAGCTCTTCAGGAGGCTCCATGACACGCAGAATCCTGCCCTGGGCGCCAGCCAGAGCCCCGTTGGCGGGCTCTGGCTCTTGTTCTGGCGACGGCGACACGCCTGCTGCCCTGCTTGCCGCCAGCGCTTCGAAGCTGCTGGTGTCTGCCAAGAGCGGCATGTTGTGGAAATCTTCGAAACGGATCGGCAGGCCCTGGGGGTGGCCTCCCCACCGACTGGCGGCATAAACTGCGACGCAGAACACCGGGCAATTGGAGATCTGCTTGTTGCGCGATACGGTGTTGAAATAGCGGTACTGCTTGTTAGAGAACGAGTCGTTGAGCTGCCGGAGCGTGAGGGACTCGGCGTAGGTCTGCTCGACGACGAGATCCAGCGCTCGCAACGACGGGGCCAATTGCGCGTCCTGCATCTCGAAGAACCGCTGTAGGACGTAGTTCATGGCCACGTTGATGTCGAGCTGCGGGCACGTGAACAGCTGGGGCAGCAGACTGCTCTTGCCGTTCGACAAAAGTTTTCCCGGCTCGCTGATCTGCGACGATGTGCTGGACCGTGGCGAAGGTGTTTGCTGTTTGCGTGCACCAGCACCAGCGCCAGCTCCTGTTTGGGGCGAGTTGGCGTGGCTCCTGGGTCTCGATGAGCTGGTATTCATGTGAACCGCGACAATCGATCACTTGGTACTAATATTCAAATTAAACCTCGAAATGAAATGAGACACCAATACAATGCCGCTGAAACTCGGGGCCCACGCTGCACTCACTACACGCAATTTCTCTTACCATATAAGTGAGGTCCCAGCTATCCAAACGAGTTGTCAACCTGCGGGCCTTGCTTCTTTCACTTGCCTGTCGTTTCAACACCTGGTGATCAATTCTGGAGGGCATCGATCATTGGGATTAATTTACCAATTTATTTCCAGTAGCAACAGGAAGCCGGCATTTCGACAGGACGTCAGCTTCCGAAACTGGAAGGACGAGTGTGATGAGTGTGGTGCATGGGTTTTGTAGTCGTAGCCGCTGTGAATCACAGTGTAAAGCACGGTGTAAAGCACGGTGTAAGACACAGTATGAAAGACAGTGTGAAAGACAGTGTGAAAGACAAGAGTGGGAAGACACTCTGCCGTGTGGGTGTGTTGTGTCGTCTTGTAGCATTTTGGTTGTTGTGCTTTCTGTGCTTTCTGTGCTTTCTGTGCTTTCTGTGGTTTTTGTGCTTTCTGTACTTGACTCTTGGCGACTCTCCTGAGTTTTCCGACCTGAACAAGACAAAACACAGGGAAGAAGGGGCGCGGGAGGGGAAGTAAGGTCTTTGAAATGATCAAGGAAAGCTGTTGTAGAGCTCACGAAGCTGGCTTTTGGCTGGAGAGAGAGAGGGAAAGGAAGTGTGATCTCTTTGTACGAGTATAGTTTTTGTCTCGTTGGCGGCTAAAGTGGTTGAAAAGAGCGACTGAGAGTGGGGAGTAGCGAGTAGTGATGGTATCAGTAGTAGTACGTATGCTCCTCTTTGCAGCTTGAGCTGTCTCCTCCTGACTCGGTTTCTCGCTCTCTCTCTGTCTCTCTCTCTGTCTCTCTCTCTCTTCTTTTTTCCCGGCCTGTAACAGAGAAATACTTAATATTCGTACACACAGGAAGAGACACAATTTGACAGAGAAACAGACACAATTCACAGTTCGATAGCGAATCACTACGTTTCAGTTTGAATACCTCGTTGTACGTCCACACACTGGTGTGCACCCTGTTAGCCCGATTTGACTCCAGTCCCTGACCAGACTGTTGTTCACGAAAACCACTGAAAACCACCGAAAACCACTAAAAACATCTCTAAGAGAGCACAAGAAAGGCTAGAATAAAGCGAAATTTCGAGAGTCTGGCAATAACAATTAGCCATATATATATAATATATACAGATAATTGGGCTTAAACGCTCCCAGCTGGTAAGCTTCCAATCTCGTACAAGATGACACACGATTCCGCGTCCTAACTCATCCTATAAACTAAACCATCCACCACTCATCCATCAGCATGCATCAGGCAAACAAAAACGCGTCCAAGATGTCTCAAAAGGGCCAGAAACAGCCTCCCAAAACAACGCCGGCCAACCAGGTACGACCCCAGACCACAAATGGCAACGCCAAGACTCCTCCCGCCGCTGCAAACCCCAGACCAGGTTCGTTCTCGGCAGCGGACCTGAACCGCATTGTGCTGGAGTATCTGAACAAAAAGGGCTACCACAGAACCGAACAAATGCTTAGAGTCGAGAGCTCCCGTACCTTGACTCCCCAAAACAAACAGCTTCCGGGAAACACCGGCACTGGCGCGTTCCCCGAGCCGGGCCAGGAGCCCAACGCCCAGGGCGCAAGACCCGTTTCCAACCCTTCCAATATCAAAAGAGACTCCGACGGCAATCTCATCTCACAACAAGCAAACAGCTCGCCGAGACACTACTTCCTCGCGTACTCCATGCTGAAGAACTGGGCCGATTCCTCCCTCGACATGTACAAACCTGAGCTCACGCGCATTATTTACCCAATTTTCATTTACGTGTTTCTCACACTGGTGGCCAAAGACGCGATCCAGGCTCGTCGGTTTTTCGACCGATTCTCGGTCGATTATAGAGCGTTCCACGCTTCAGAGATCAACAAGCTTTTCTCTGTTAACTCGGTCGACCATATCAAGGAAAACGAGCTCGCACAAGGCTTTCAATCCAACAAATACCGCGTGACAATATCGCGCACGACTCTAAATCTGCTGCTTTATTTCTTGAATGAGAATGAAAGTGTCGGAGGCTCGTTACTCATCAGTATCATAAACCAAAACCTAGATCCCAATATCGTGGAGACCATCACTTCCCAGGAAACTTTGACAGATGGTATAAAAGACGTTTCTGCTGGTGCAGTTGATGTCGATACGCACAATTCCGTCCCCGTGAAACTGGGCAAGTTCCCCATCGACGAAGAGTTCGCCAAAGAGGTCGAAACTGAGCTTCAGAAAAAAGACGAACAGGCCAAATCCGCCGAGAATCAGGACCAGCCGAAAGGTCTTATCGAGGAGTACAGGGACATGAATAGGCTTTCGACCGACGAGAAGACCGCCAACGACGACGAGAAAACAGAGGGCGCGGCTGCGCTCGTCGAAGCAGATAAGAAGGATGATCGCAAACAAGACCCTAATATGGAGTCGCCTTCTAGAGAAGTTCTACCTCTGCCTTCCAAAACAGCCCTAGATCTAAAACTCGAAATTCAAAAGGTACGGGAATCGCGAGACGCTATACGTCTCGAAAATCTACAAACCTCCGCGCCCAGCGTTTGCATGTACACTTTTCACAACACCAACTCTGAAATGACGTCTATCGAGTTCAGTGATGATGTTAGATTGGCGTCTGCAGGTTTCCAAGACAGTATAATCAAGGTGTGGTCGTTGGATGGCACGCCTCTACAAAATAAGTTGCCATCAAAACAAAATGAGCGCGCCAACAATGCCACACTGGTGGGTCACAGCGGTACCGTGTATTCGACTTCTTTCAGCCCTGACAATAGATATCTCCTTTCTGCGTCCGAGGACAAAACTGCTCGGTTGTGGTCCACGGACACTTTCACCTCCCTTGTAAGCTATAAAGGCCATAACCATCCTATATGGGATGTGTCATTCTCTCCACTTGGTCATTATTTCGCTACTGCTTCGCACGATCAAACCGCTAGATTGTGGTCGTGCGACCACATTTACCCGCTGAGGATTTTTGCCGGTCACTTGAACGACGTTGATACGGTCTCTTTCCACCCCAACGGAACTTACGTTTTCACTGGTTCTAGCGATAAAACGTGTCGCATGTGGGACATCGGCACAGGTGATTCGGTGCGTCTGTTCCTTGGCCACACGGCGCCCGTGATTTCGACTGCCGTTTCACCCGACGGCAGGTGGCTCTCGACTGGTAGCGAGGATGGGATCATCAATGTTTGGGATATTGGTACAGGTAAAAGACTAAAACAAATGAGAGGACATGGTAAAAACGCAATCTACTCGCTATCTTACAGCAAAGAGGGTAATATTCTCATGTCGGGCGGCGCCGATCATTCTGTCAGAGTCTGGGACGTCAAGAAGTCTACCGCGGAGCCGGGTGCAGAACCAGAACAGCCATTCACAAATTACTCGGGAGACGTTACCACATCGGTTAACCAAGACATTAAAGAGTATGGCCGTAGACGAACTATTGTTCCTACGAGCGACCTTGTTGCCTCTTTCTACACCAAAAAGACTCCTGTTTATAAAGTGAAGTTCACGAGAAGTAACCTGGTGTTGGCTGGAGGCGCTTTCCGAGAATGAAATGTAAATATAAAACTGTCAGATATTATTAGCCTATATGGTGTCTTCAAGCGCAATGCAAAGGGGTTGAAGTTTTGTTTCTCAGTGGAAATGAACTTTCAGTCTAGAACGGGACGTCTGGCATCCCACCTCGACAGCAGGGGTCCATTCTTGTAGTAATGCTTTTGCCAGTATATGAAGTAGCGCGGGAGACCAAATACGAAAGTCACGGCGCTAAATGCGAAAACGGTTGTGTAAATCCAGCCCAAGAACTGGGTCACGAAGTAGTAGACCACTGCGTTGTTGATGAGAAAAGTAGTCCCATAGGTGGTGAACAGCTTTCTGTCCAACAACGACCGTTCAAAATACGGCAGGAGAACGTTGAGCTCAATGCAAATGAGAAGGAAGCAGAACACATCGGTTGTTGAGCTGAGCCGTGACGCAAGAACCGCTACGTTCGCAACCAAAAGGTTTGTGGAAACAATAGACTGCGACTGCAGAGAAACGGACGCTACATAGAAAAGCGTGAGCCAGCACGAGATAGTCCAGATCGAGTCCGACGACGTAGTTCTTGAAAGTGATTTCAGCACAGGCGACAACACCAGCATGCTGAAGATGATGATTAACGGGGATTTGAGCGACACTGTTGCGCGATGGAAAAGCACAGAGGCCAGAAATGCCAGAGACGTCAATGCCCCGGTGATATACACTGGATCGCAGCGGTAATAGTACAGCAATGTGAACGTTATATACATGAGACCGGTGTTCAGAGCCCGGTGGTAAAAAAGCAGAAAGTCCCCGACTACGCGGCTGTAGGATGATGTGCTGCTGGGATTCAACTGCACATTTCGAAGTTCTGAGACTTCTCTCAAAAAGTCAGGATCGGTGTGATTGTCTGGAAAGTCTTGCTTAAGCCAAAGCAGTCTTTGCCATCGTTGCTTCATCGGCTAGTTCGCTGTGAATTTGTCAAATCATTGGCCTTTTCAGCGGGCAAGGTGATTGATATTTAATTAACGTATATGATATTAATTAGATGATGAGTTCTAAGTTTTAGACACATTCACCAATAGGTCATTAATAAACATACATACCCGTATATTCCCATATAAATAGGGTATTTAGATGACGAACTCAACCTCTGAGTCGCACTTGTCGACTGCTTCTCGACAGGACAGAAAAGGCAGCGAAAACTCCGCGATCGGCCAGTCTTTTGTTCCGCCTGTAAGAACTTTGCCGCGCCAAACCGAACAGGCCGAAGCTGCACCGCACGCAGACTACCAGGATAAACTATGGACACAAATCGACGTGCTCGACGACGTACGACGCATGGCTCGGGAGAAAGATGCCTACGAAGGGTTTCCTCCGGGATTCGAATCGGGACTGAGACAGCTGCGGGAAGCACACATCAGTTTGCTGCACACGATGAACAAAAGACGCGACGAACAGGAGGGGGGGGATGAAACCTTAGAGCCGGGCAACGAGGGCAACGGCGAGGAAAGAAAACTGGTGGAAGAAGTGACGCGCTGTTTGCGCGGGTTGAGGGACTAACGTGGGTCCACGAAACACGGGGGTCCAACAGGCTCGATAGAGCCGAGCCCATGACCTAGCTCGTGGAGTCTCAGCGACACACACACACTGCCAGAACTGCAGTGTCGATATGTGTGTGTGGGGGAGGGAGGAAGACGAGGGACGAGACCCAGGGCACTATCTACGAACGCTACACCCACTCATCGAAACGGTTTGGTTTTGGATACAACGCTAAGCTACGCTAAGCTACGCTACCGGTACAGAGGACTGCCCGGCACCAGCCAAACTTGAGAGAATAGTTCAATTGTCTGCACCGTTCCTCGTCGCGCGGTGTTTTTCAGAGAGAGAGAGATTCAGGTCACGTGGTTCTTATTACCATTATTCCTCTCACAGCGACCAATTGCAGATTTCACGCTACTCCAGTGGGTCCTACCGCTCGAACATTCCTGTCTGTCTGCCACTACAACTCTCAACTATTCCGACATCCATTCACGTCAGGTTACCTATGTTTACTCTGCGAGCCGATTTTTTTTTGGTGAAAACGGCGTCCGCTGGCTTCTTGTCGTCAAGAACATTACAGGCGAGACAACAGGTGATGATTTGCGAAGTGGAAGCCAATAATCACCACATTCTATTGATTGCGTCTAAGGATACGAAAGTTCGGGTAAATCCAGGTTGTTTAAATACGAGCCGTGTCTGACACTGTTTTAACACGGTGAGTGGGTTTGTTCAGTACGAGTATCGTGAACTTTCCACCCATTTAAACCCATTTTGACTACTACTGGCTCTTTCGGATCAGAAGAATTGTCAATCTAATAAACAACTGAGCAATGGCCTCCAACACCTTTTCGGACTTCAAGCTGGCTTCTGAGCTCCCAGCCTGGGCCAAGCTACAACAAATCTACGACAACAAGAGCAAGTCGTTGAACGTCAAAGAGGAATTTGCCAAGGACAGCCAGCGTTACGCTAAATGGTCTAAGACTTTCAAGAATTACGACGGGTCTGAGATCTTGTTCGACTTTTCCAAGAACTTGGTCGACGACGAGGTCTTGGCCGCTTTGATCGAGTTGGCCCAGCAAGCTAAGGTCACCGACTTGAGAGACGCCATGTTCAAGGGTGAGCACATCAACTTCACCGAAGACCGTGCCGTGTACCACGTTGCGTTGAGAAACAGAGCCAACAAGCCTATGTCTGTGGACGGCAAGAACGTGGCTCCAGAAGTGGACGCTGTGTTGCAGCACATGAAGGAGTTCTCGGAACAAGTCCGTTCCGGTGCCTGGAAGGGTTACACCGGCAAGAGCATCACCGACGTGGTCAACATCGGTATCGGTGGCTCCGACTTGGGCCCTGTCATGGTCACTGAGGCCCTCAAGCACTACGCTGGCAACATCAAGGCTCACTTCGTGTCCAACATCGACGGTACTCACATTGCCGAGACCTTGAATTTGTGCGACCCAGAAACCACCTTGTTTTTGATCGCTTCCAAGACTTTCACCACTGCTGAAACCATCACCAACGCCACCAGCGCCAAGAACTGGTTCCTAGCCAAGACCGGTGGCGACGCCGCCAACATCGCCAAGCACTTCGCCGCGTTGTCGACCAACGCTGAGGAAGTGGCCAAGTTCGGTATTGACACCAAGAACATGTTCGGTTTCGACAGCTGGGTCGGTGGTCGTTACTCCGTGTGGTCTGCCATCGGTCTTTCCGTGGCTCTATACATCGGCTTCGACAACTTCGACGCCTTCTTGAAGGGTGCCGAAGCTGTGGACAAGCACTTCGTCGAGACCCCTCTAGAAGACAACATCCCACTATTGGGTGGTTTGTTGTCCGTGTGGTATAACAATTTCTACGGTGCCCAGACCCACTTGGTGGCTCCATTTGACCAATACTTGCACAGATTCCCTGCCTACTTGCAACAATTGTCGATGGAATCCAACGGTAAGAGTGTGACTCGCGGCAACGTGTTTTCCAACTACTCTACCGGCTCCATCTTGTTCGGTGAACCAGCCACTAACGCCCAGCACTCTTTCTTCCAACTGGTCCACCAAGGTACCAAGGTCATCCCATCCGACTTCATCTTGGCTGCCCAATCCCACAATCCTATCGAGGACAACTTGCACCAGAAGATGTTGGCTTCCAACTTCTTCGCCCAAGCTGAAGCCCTAATGGTCGGTAAGAACGAGGCTCAAGTTGAGTCCGAGGGTGCCACTGGCGGTCTCGTTCCACACAAGGTTTTCTCCGGTAACAGACCAACTACTTCTATCTTGGCCCAAAAGATCACCCCTGCTGCCTTGGGTGCCTTGATTGCCTACTACGAGCACTTGACCTTCACCGAAGGTGCTATCTGGAACATCAACTCCTTCGACCAATGGGGTGTTGAGCTAGGTAAGGTTTTGGCCAAGGCTATCGGTAAGGAACTTGACGGTTCTGAAAAGGTTGAGGCCCACGATGCCTCTACCAACGGTCTAATTAACCAGTTCAAGGCCTGGTTGTAAGTCAATCGTTCTTGTCCATAAGATTTTACGTACTCACCACACACCCACACACACGATATAAACGAGCTTAAGATGACGATATCTGAATCATGAAGGCAGATTTAAAAGGTTTAACTTCTAGTTCTTCCCAATATTCAAAGTTTGTAGAGTTTAGCTGTCAAGTATCTTTTGAGAGTAATAAACGGTCTTGAAGCATTCATCGCGTTCAGTAAAAGCTTGAGTTCAAAGGCGTTGAAACACTCGTCCAACTCGTGGATATACTCGTACTGAGACTAATAGATGACCGAATCTCAATCCCATAAATATACGAGCGAGGCTGTCGAGACTGTCGATACTACTGGTGAGATCGACAAGACTGTTGAAAACGCCGATGAAGCTGTTGAAACCATCGACGATGCACGACAAAGGCGATACACTCGTTGGAAAAAGAACTCTAAGCTCCTGTACGAGTTTCTCAACACTAACAATACCAAATGGCCATCTTTGACTTGCCAGTTGTTCCCAGACCTGGATCTCGCGGGCGATACCCACAGAATCCTGTTGTCGTCGTTCACCTCATCGCAATTGCCCGAGGACGAGTCTCTATATGTGGGGAAACTATCGTCCATGAAGCATCTGAGCTGGAGCTCGCTTAACAACTTCGATATGGAGGAAAGAGAGTTCAAAATTGACAACTCACTCAAGCTCCCGCCTAAGAACTTAGTCGAGGACTTGCGAATCAAGTTTCCGGCCGGTGATTGCAACAAGGCTCGCTTGAACGTGTCGAATCCAGACATTATAGCTGCTGCGTCGTCGAATGGGTCGGTCTACGTGTTCGACAAAACAAAGCACGGGTCCGCGCGCCAAAAACTGATTTCTGGCGCCATGGGCGACCCAGACTACCAGATCCACTGCCAGCTCACCACATCTGTGACTTGTGCTGAGAACGAGGCTATCAGTTTGGCCTGGAACTGGCAACGTCAAGGTTCACTCGCAACCACTTACGCTGGCGGCCAGGTGTGCGTGTGGGATCTCCAGAAATTCCACAAAACGTCTCCGACGCTTGTGGACCCGCAATTCAATATAATTATGGACCCCCAAGGGACCAACGACGTTTCGTGGATGGTCAACCACGACTCTTTGCTAGCGTGCTGCGGAGAGGGCAATGTTCTACGCGTGCTCGACACAAGAATCGATCAACAGAAAGCCGCCTCACAGGCTGTGCCAAACAAACACCACTCGAACGGCATCAACGTGTGTCAGTTCAACTATCACAAGGATCTTCTGCTGTGTTCTGCCGACTCTTCGGGAAAGATCAACTCGTGGGACATACGGAATTTCGAAGAGCCCGTACAGTCGTGGCAACACTGCGACGCGGTTTCGGCACTGCAGTGGAACCCCCATCATGCCACCGTGCTCGCCACGGCGAGCCAGAATGACGGTCTGGTGAAGTTGTGGGATCTATCGCAGCCGGACGATGAGCAGCTTGTCTTCACCCATGGAGGGCACATGCTGGGCGTCAACGACATCTCCTGGGACCTCCACGATCCGTGGATGATGTGCACTGTGTCCAACGACAACTCGGTACAGCTCTGGAGGCCCGCAAGTCATCTGCTGGCAGCTGTGGGCGGCTAAAATAGCCGCCGAAGTGGAAAAGTCGAAAAGTCGACCGAGCACGTGATTGTGTCGTATACAGTGTCCAAAATGGGCATGTGACCCAAATCCAATCAAAATTTAATATCCGAACTGGGCACTATATACGAAAATGGTCGATCAACAACTAACTGAAAATTTTAGAAACTGAAGCGTTGTTGAAGCTATCACGATTAATCTACTGGTAAAAAAGTGGTGTTTAAGAACAAAGTCAAGGCTGAATCTTAACCCAGGTCTTCACAATTGGTTACAGCTGCTTACTGACAGGCATTGAATCACTATGAGCTTACGCGCCTTGACCTTGAGGGCGTCTTCCCGGCCTTTGGCGTCTCTGGGCATTCGTCAAGCCCCGTATGTGACAACGTTTAGATGATAGGACAGAACAAGCAAGAAGAGGGGAAAAAGCGTTTCAAGACGTGTTTAGAGTGCTCTGAGGACTGTTTGAGCTGCTTTGGCGGTTCCGGAGTCTTCTCTGGACCCAGATAGGGGCAGAAATGCGATTTTACTTGAAATTGTGGAAATATGGTGTTCACCACTTCATGGGTCCTTTCTGTGCTTATCGCGCATGTGGTGACATATTCACGCACACACACGTACACACTCCCTTTCTTCTTCGGCTTGTGATATGTTTATCTCCCGTCAACGTCGTAATCGTCATACTAACTGAAAATAATTGTAGAATTGGTGCCCGTTACATGTCCACTCCAGCTCCTCAGGATCCTAAGGAAAAGGCCTCTTCCATTTTGAGTGCCCTTCCAGGTAACAGTGCATTGTCCAAAACCGGTATTTTGGCCACTTCCACCGCTGCTGCCATCTACGCCATCTCTAACGAACTTTACGTGATCAACGACGAAACTATTCTATTGGGTACTTTCACAGGTTTTGTCGCTATCGCCATCAAGTTCTTGGCCCCAGCTTACAAGGACTTCGCTGACGCTAGAATGAAACAGGTGTCTGACGTTTTGAACGCGTCCAGAACCAAGCATGTGGATGCTGTCAAACAAAGAATCGACTCCGTTTCCGAATTGAAGAACGTGTCCGAAACCACCAAGGTTTTGTTCGACGTGTCCAAGGAGACCGTCGAGTTGGAGGCCAAGGCTTTCGAATTGAAACAGCAGGCCGATCTAGCTGCCGAAGCCAAGTCTGTTTTGGACTCGTGGGTCAGATACGAGGCATCGGTTCGTCAACAACAGCAACAGCAGCTTGCCGAGTCTGTTATCAGCAAGGTGACAGCCGAGCTATCCAACCCAAAGTTCCAGGACAGAGTTTTGCAGCAATCCGTTGCTGACGTCGAGAAGTTGTTCGCCAGTTTGAAGTAAATTCGCACTAGGCGCAAATTTCCAGGATACGAACCATTTTTAAATGAAAATAGCACACAGGTGGCCTACGTGAAGCCCAAAGAATTAGATATTCCATTATAATCTACCACACATTCATCCTACAGAGCGCATGTTCAGATCTCGAGAATATCTCCTCGACGGTCTCATTTCATTAACACTGCGCTTTTATATTGATACATAAATGTCGTCAAGACTTCATCTCATCCACTGACAGAATTTCTGGAGTTGAAGTCGCAGCTTTTATTATGATCAGGAAGGAAATCCTAAACTTAATATCATCAAATTATATACAAGAACTGTGCTCCGAACTATTCAACTCGCCACATGTCAGACAGACCGGCTTCTGACCCAGAAACCACAGTCTCTAGTTCACAAGAAGACTTCGACTATCAACATGTTCCAGCCCAGGCTTTGGACGCTGTAAGAATGCGTCTAGCCCAGCTCACGCATTCTTTGGCTAAACTAAAAGATGAAATGTCTAAAGCAGAGCTGCCCCAATGGTATTCCCTCCAAGTTCAGGTAAGCGTCATCCTCACACAAATGCAATCTCTAACTACAACTTTGCACCATTTTGAGGAGCTTTTGGATTCAACAGTAGTTTATCCTTTGGGAACGTTCCCCACTACTGCTCATGAGGGCCTGTTAACCACGTTGCTGCGAAAGAAAAACATCCCAGAGGCTGAATCCTGGATACTCGACGCGAAAGAGACTGCTGGAGTAGATCTGAACACAGCGTCGCCAGAAGAGGTCAAAAAGTGCTTAAAAAGTGACGAGGACGTTACAAAATGGGCCTTGGACTTTTTGAAACAGGAACACAGTAATTATGCTTTCCGCGGTCTTCACACCAGCAAAAAAATGGCCGAAGATCCGTCACTAGGGGCTGCCGATGAATACCAGCCTTCGATCGGTCGAAGTATTCCTAAACAGCCGTTCGACGTGGACAGTATACTAAAGGTTATTCATCAAGGTGCCAACTAAACCTTTACAAGAAGTTCTATATGCCATGAGTATATACAGGATAAATGCATTGTTAATAGAAGGATTTCACTTTGAAACCCTTTTCCATAAAGGCTCGTCAAACATTGGAGAGCAACTTTATTACCAGTTCCCAAGTACCAAACATTATGATGCTGTTAGGAACTGTTCTCAGAAGATGAGGGGTCAGCCCGCCGTACATTGAAGTCAATCCCTCTTCTTTTATTATAACACGGAAAGACTGAGTTAAGCCCGTGTATTTGAGCTTCCCGTCTTGCAATGGCGCTTGTCTCAATCTTGTGCGCACCACTTCGTGTGGATAAGTGACTATGCTCGCCAAAAACTTCGCAAGCCCAGCGCTGCCAGATCTCTGACACCATTCCTTTATTTTCTCAGAGCTGCTCTTCTCCCCTTCGCTGATGTGGCCAAACTTTTCGATGGAACGCATTTTGATAACATGCTTCATTTGCTCGTAAAGCAGCCATTGCAAAATACCCTCGACAGATCCCAAATATGACGCGCTGAGACCTTTATACAGACCAAAAAAGCCTTCGTGTTGGATAATATGTTTTAGGCAATCCCAGGAGCTCTTGTACTGTCGGGTCAGACCCGCCTTGTCCAACTGGAGTCTTGTCTTGATGAGCCAAATAGGGTTTGTAGCAGTAGAGGTTGCCCACCCAGCCGTTGCGGCCGAGATGAGATGAATCCATGGCGCTTCTTGGCCGTCATTGAACGCTCTTGAATATATCTGCTTTGTCGTGCCGTAAGTAAAGAAATTGATGCTTCTGGCGGGAATGACGCCTACGAGGTTCGGTCCCAGACCTTTGAAGAGGCTTCGAAAGCCCTCTAACTTGTACACGTTGGAAATAATGTCGAACGTTTCTCTGAAATGCCTTGCCCCACTTTTGATGAAGTAAGAAGAGTTATGAGTCCCGCTGACGGCAGAGGATTTGTATGCACTTTGAAAGACGTCGCTTTGGAGCCTGGTTTTCACCACATCGAACGGACAAGTTATGATTGCCCCTGCCATGCCTCCAGCACCGCCTGCCACGAAATGGACCCACGGCTTGATTTCTGGCTGCGAAGAAACAGCTGCTGTTTGTGCGCCGTCTGTCGTCAACAGCGCAGCATCTTTCATGTTGGAAGAGTCTTCATCACTTCCGAGATACGGAAGAGACTCTCTTGCCTCTTGCCGAATCTGATCCAGTCGTTTGTTACCCATTTTCTCAAAGCCACTGGTGAATGGTGAAATTAAAGTGTGAGCACAATGGATGGGTCTTAAATAAGGTAAATTTTCTACGGTTTGAATCAATAAATGGCTCCACTTTTAGACCAAAACTTCGCCATACAGATCAATCCTCGATAAGACCTTAACCCGAGGTTTTAACTGATCCTTAAAGCCAAAGCTCGCTGAGATTTATCTCCTCACCTTACCATCGGTCTTGCTCATCTCTTAAGCGTAATTATAGCCAAATTTTTCAGGCTGGTCGTCTAATCGAGTCGTCATGAACGAACGCCAACTCGGTTTTGGTCACGTGTTTGAAATTTGCCTTACTTGAGCATAACATCTTGATGAATAGCCGCCGAGGTAGCTCGCCAAGCATCGCGAGCGATATTTCTCGGTTCGGACCTGTCGCGTAAGTGGAGGCGGCAAACTCGCTCATATGGTCGTGTCAATCCACTAGCCGCTGAGTTTGTGGCCGGGCTGAATTTATGAATGTGCTTCCTTCTTAGTGTAGCAAAGGACCACTGGTGGCATGCTCCGGCTGTAAAGGAAGTGAAGCTGTTTTTAAGGGCCATGCTATGGAACTATGATGAAATTGTAGTGCAAAACTAACCCACGAGTTGCATTTTCGAACTGACACTTCGGTAACGTCAAAGCAGACCACACCTGCTGAGTAACTGTTCCTAACCACGCTGCTAGGCGACGTCTAAAAGACTAGGTCTTCAAAGTTAAACCTTGTAGCTTCTAAGCACACTAAACCAATCCATCAATTCAGCGGTTAACAAACACATTCAATAGATCAAACCCGGAGTACCAGTAGCGGTATTTTCTATAAGCGTTTTTTGGCCCTGTTCGACGTAGGCTCAGCAGACAGGAAGAGCGTTGATCAATACCCGAAAAACCCCGGGGGATCTCAGTTATGTATATTTCTGAATTACTTTCACCCTCCATTTCGCTACTTCAATTTATTAATGTTCATCTCAAAGTTCACTTTTTGAATTGTGCTGAATGGAATTGAATAATGGCGAATCTATGAGCGACGAAATTCACAGCTCATAACACCTCAATGATCGTGGGTCACACCTACGATGCTTAACCTGCTACCTCAATCAACCGCCTTTTTTGTTACGGGTACGTGTACAATTGATTTACATTAGACACAGTATATAATGTTGGAAAACCAAAAAGGCTAATCCCAACGGGAGATAAAAGTCGCATGCCAAAGAAGAAACAGAATGGATTAGATGAAAGTCTCGTATGGGACTGGGGCCAAAGTCTTTGGAATGTTACCTTCGGTGGAAACAACACGGGAGCCTCTTGGTTGGGCTGGTTGTCTCTTCAACTGGACGGCGATACCTTGAGCCTTGGCTTCAGTACGCTTGGCGGCGTTGGACTTCACTCTGTCCAAAAACTCTTGTCTGCACTTGGAGTGCTTGATGTGCTCGACTCTCAAGTTGACTCTCTTTTCCATGTATCTGTTACCAACAACCTTGTTGATGATGACACCGACAGCAGACTTGGTGACGTTGTAGACAACACCGGTCTTACCTTGGTAGACCTTGTGAGGCATACCCTTTTGGATAGCACCGTTGGCCTTGATGTCAACAATGTCGCCAACTTTGTAGATCTTCAGGTAGGTGGACAATGCTGGAGCACCGTTCTTCCTGAAGTCACGTTGGAACATGTAACGAGTACGACATCTGTAACCGTGACTGTGAGTGAGGTGGTTAGTACGGAATTCCTAGTGGTGAGCGTTATACGCCGGAACAAACGCAGCACGAGTTACCATCGAGATGGTCTGATAAAGATTTGGGCCCAAAATGATGCCCACAAAAGCGTATAATCTATCGTCTGTTGCAGCGACGTAATCGTCTCCGTTGCAGCTCGCTTTTCCACGCCCTATTTCTTCCAAGTCGGTAGTTGCTCTTAGGACAATGAATCATTCTCTGTACTCATTTCATCAATGGAAGTCTAAACTATCGTTCATGCTCAAAAATGGCCGCTCCTTCTCAGCTGTGTGCTCGTAATACCCATAGTCGGGTTTGTGCTCCTCCCTTAAACATTAATCCACATACGATTTACCCATTTTTGCTTATAGACCTTGCTGTTGACACTGATCCTACTATCTAACTATCGTTAGCTAGCCTGAAACTTTTGTTAAACTTTTCAATCTGGAAGCTGCCCAGCGACGACCCGCGATGGTTCGCTCCTCAGCACTCGCCAGTGGTGGCTAGGTCTGGGCTAGACAGAGGATGCTGTGGGTCTAGGCAGAGAGTCTGTCTGAACACTGCGAGATGCTAGGCAGAGCCGTTAGGCGCTAGACAGGGACGTCCTAGGTGCGTCTGCCTAGAGGATGGTACCAGGCTCGCAGTAGGCGACTTCCCGTAGCGAGACGGCCGTGCTGATGTTTTGCGTGGCCTCGTTCGTAACCCACGCAAAAAATTACCCACGCAACTTTTTGATGAAAATTTAAAAGTCATCTGCAATTTGATCACACTTGTGATGGAAGATGTACGGATGTTGGGATGTATGGATTGAGCTGGACTGCTTTTAGCGTCAGCGTTTGCCAGTCCAAGCTAGAAAGGCAGATAATGAGTGCGAAGAAAGAGAATAGAGAGAAGCGTCGAATATAGTCGAGAGTATCAATCCTAATAGAGGTAGCTCATCGTTTATACATGAATTGAGTGTCTGGAGGCTGTTGTTATATCGGACCCAGATATACATAATGCAAATGCTAACTTTCCCAACGTCAGGAGAAGCAGAGCTATCTTGTTCTGTCTTTAACCTTTTTCCATATCTAATATACACGTTCGTTGGCATGCTGGTTAAGCATTACCTTTTTACATCATGACTTGAAACCAAAAACAACTTACAATTACAATGGAGCACGCGTGCTTCTCTGGATCTACATAGCTTAGACAATTATTGGGAAAGCACGCGATGCTAGTAAATGTGAGTTAGTGCAGACGGCGTAAGATAGACCTAAGTTTGGTCTATTTACTCGGCGTCCTCTTCGGCGTCACCAGCGGCTTCAGCCTTTCTGGCAGCGTTCTTTCTGGCGACTCTACCTGGTCTGGCACCACCGAATGGAGAGGTTCTGGCGAAGTCGACGTGCTTCTCAGATTCCAATCTCACCATGAACGATGGAATGTTGACCAACTGCTTACCGACAGCAATGTGTCTTTGGGTGATCAAGACTCTGGCGTGGTGGACAGACTTGGCCAAACCCAACTTGTAGACCTGGGTTTGCAATCTTCTCTCCAAAAAGTCCTCAACCTTCAAGGCCAAGACGTAATCCAACTTCTTCTTGTCCTCGGCCAAGACACCAAGTCTCACTAGTCTTCTGATCATGGCGTTACCCTCGAACAATCTTCTTGGGTCCTTCTCATCTCTGGTCAACAAGTCTCTGGCAGCACGACGGATCTTGGACAACTGGAAGGAGATTCTGTAGATTTCCTTCTTGTTCTTCAAACCGTATTCACCAGCCAACTTCAATTCGGCGTCCAAACGAGCAGACTCGTAAGGTCTCTTTGGGGTAGAGTAAGTCTTGGAATGAGTGTTTGGGGTTCCTGAAAGAAAGGACAAAGTTAGTTAATTTGATCGGGCAAGAAAACTACGAGGCTCTATATCTACGGGTCTACTCATGAATACGTTTTTTTGAACTTTTCAACACTGTCGCGCAAAAATCTAGAAACAGACATGGCCATCGCGCAGCGTTCACAGTACTTCCAAACCCAAATTTGTCGTCAACTACCCTCTTGAAGAGGGTAAGAAACGCCGCCGGTGGTCCAGATTTGCCTGAAGTGTCGGGGTTCAGTGCAAACGTGTTTGGAGCCAGCAGGTATGGAATGCGAACATGCAGAAGTTGTCGAAAGACTAAAAAAGTATTCATGAGGACCCGAAACCTCGGAAAGGTGGTTAATGATTTCGCTAGGAAACCAAAAAAACTACACCTCCGACGTCTTGACTTCACACAAAGTGTGTTGTCAACACATCTATAAGCAATGATAATGAAACGTACTTGGCATTGTTAAACTGACTTGTTGATGCTTTCGAAAGAATTTAGATCAGAACCTGGATTGAGATGAAAGTATACTGTGTCTTATATAGTGGCCATCTTGAAAAATTCCATGGTTGAAAAAGTTCCCGTAAACTTTTGCGTGGGTTCCTATTTTGCGCGGCTACAACAATTTAGTTTTTCCAAACCACTCAAGAATTCCATAAATGTATGGGTGGTGAAAAACAGGAACATAAAAAATGTCAAATGAGATTGTAATGATAATTGACAAGCAAGCACTGAGGCGTCACGATGAAAGGTGTTTGTCGTCTATAAACAGTTTGTAGTATGTTGTGCTCAGTTTAAGGGAAAGAGATTCTAGCAATCTGTCAAACATTGGAAAATTCCCGACAATTTGAGCTTTTCAGTGTCACGTAGTTGTGTAGATTTATGATAATAAACTTCAGATTCGCAGCACACTTTGCTTGTACCCAGTACAACGGTCAGTTAACCTGAGATCTATGTATTTTATGTTTACCACCGTTGAGAGACTACCATTTCCTCCACTACTTACCTCCTACCAACAAATAAAAACAGCTCTCGATAAGTTCATTTAAATTCACGAAAGGGAATGTTGTTTTTGTTTCCATACAAGACCGCATTTTATTGAAGGGTCGAGTGGAACTCCTTGATAATGCTGTCAACGTCATCGATGCTCAATTGTCTGACGTCACCGATCTTTTTGATCTTCAAAGTGACGTCCTTGATTTGATCGTCAGTCAATTGCAGATTCAGTTGCTCGACCCTGGACTTGATGGCATTCCACCCAGTCAGTCTGTTAGCAAAGTGGATGTATCTCTTCATGCCGAAATCGTGAGGGTCCAAGATCTCGTAAGTGGATGGGTTCGCCAGAATTGCTTTGGCGTGAATACCAGCCTTGTGGGTGAACGCACAGAAACCGGTGATAGGATTGTTGAAAGGAACGTTGACCTCGACGGCCTCTGCAACCAGATTCTCAATGTCTCTGAGCTTTTGCAGCTTGTACTTGGACTTGACGTACTCTGGGGCGGCCACAATCATCCGGGCCATGAATCCACCCAGAGGCGTGATTCCGTTTCTTTCGCCGATCCCGAGCACGGACACGTCGATGAGCCTGGCGCCACCTTCCAGCGCGGAGTATGCATTGCCAATGGCGCAACCGGTGTCGTCGTGGAAATGGCATTCAATGTCGCACGATACGACGCTCTTCAAGGTTCTGACCAAGTCGTACACCTGTCTGGGGTTAGCGCAGCCAACGGTGTCGGCGATACCCACACGATTGACACCGATGGCGCTAACGGTCTTGTAGATGTTTAGCAAGTCCACGATGTCGGATCTGAAAGAGTCCTCAGACGAAAACCGGATTTCCAGGCCCTTAGACTTGACGAATTCGATCACTTCGATGGCACTCTTGGAGATGTAGTTCATGTCTTTGCCGTGCGAAAACTGTCTGAGAAACTGGGATGTGCCGATAACCACGTCTACACCGTCCACACCGGTCTCTACCGCCACTTTGGCGTCGTCCATGTGGCAACGAATGTGCGTCAGGATCTTGGCGCGAAGACCAAGCTTGCAGATGGTCTCGCAGTCTCTGCGGCTCTGTTCGGACGCCACGGGCGACGTGAGCTCGATGTAGTCGACACCGAAATCATCCAAAGCCTTGGCGATTTCCACCTTCTTTTCTGTACTGAAAAAGGCGTTGGCAAACTGCTCGCCTTCTCTTAGCGTGGACTCAATCAGCTGAAAGTTGTTAACATTCGACACCAGGTCGAGCGGGCTGGGAGCGTACGGGTTGGATGCGACAGACATGCTGGGATGTATATGGGCGATGCGGGAGATGCTTGTGCAAGGTCTTGCGTGCTTGAGAAGAAAGAGGTGTACTACATGTCTACGATAGAAAGAATCAGTTTTTGACAAAAGAGAGATTGGACATTTTTGGCTATTAGTAGATGGTAGAATATTTCCTGCGCATTTTGCAGTGGAAAAAAAATTGCCGTGTGAAAGGAGAAGGGAGAGACAGACACACAGACAGACAGACACACATGACATGTGACATGCTTCTTTCCCCGCGCCCTAAAAGCGCATGCTCGTCGACCACCCGTAACAGCATACCAAGATGGTCAGTCTAATCGCACATTAAACATGTGACCCGTTGTTTCCCACGTGATCTCCTTTGTCGTATCCCCTCGTACGAAAACGCGAACTTTTTTGTGGAAATCAAGGAGAACCCAAGTCACAATCTACGAAACAGTATGGGAAAAAAGACAAAAAAAATTTGCGATATGTGGGAGGGCCCGGCTCTATATATAAAGGTCAGAGAACCATCCGAACAGAAAAATCCAGCTGTATGCGGAAAAGAAGGGAAAAATGAAACAACGCTGAGAAAGCGGCGTCGTGAGGAGTGACTTATTTGGGGGAAATAATATTTTATTTTATCTTTTCTTTTTTTTGTAAGAAAAATAAAAAGACCACCTGACCTGCGCTGACATAAGCGGAAATACGAGGAGGATCACAATTTTTAGCCGCCGACGTGATTTCACACATTAAAACCTGACTTTACAAGTTAACCACCCGCCACCATCATCTCTAAGCCATGACTGCCCAGATCTCGCGACTGGACCGTCAGGTGGTCCTGCTAGAGACAGGATCGACCCAAGTGGTGCGAAACATGGCCGCAGACCAGCTCGGCGACCTCGCCAAACAACATCCAGAAGACACGCTGTCGCTGCTCTCACGGGTGTATCCGTTTCTAATGGCTCGCAAGTGGGAGACACGAACCACCACGGCTCGTGCAATGGGCGGAATCGTGTCTCACTCGCCCGCGTGGGACCCCAACGAGGACGACCAGGACGACCAGGACGACCAGGACGACCAGGACGACCAGGACGACCAGGACGACCAGGACGACCAGGACGACCAGGACGACCAGAACGCTGCTGAAGCGCCAGAAGAGGCACCAGAGGCGCAGGAAGCGACAGGCGAGTCTGCCAAGGTCAAACTGGAACACGAAATCCGACTCAAGCTCGAAGAAGTCGACAACACTCAGGAGTGGAAAACGCTGGAAGACGACAGCAAACTGCTGTCGCTTGCAGACTGGAATCTACACGAAGTGCTGAAGTCTGGGAAGGCTCTGCTGGCGACCAGCATCGACGAATTTCCCGGTGCCGTGGCGCCAGCATCTCTACTGGGCTCCAAGCAGCCCAAACTCGAGCACGGCTCTGTCAGCGACGATTACCTGCCGACGACAACGTCACAGGACCATCTAACAGGGGTGGCCAAAAAGGACCTAGATGCCACGTCTGAGTCGTCGAAAAAAAGTGCGCGTATGATGGCCATGGCCAAACGCAAGCGCAAGATTCAGGCCAAAAGTACCACGAAGAAACCCGTAGATATCTCACAAAGCTCCATCTCGCGCAACCTTATGGCCCAAGATGACTCCAGCCAAAGCCCCACGCCGTCGCCCACAATGCTAAATAACCCAAAGCTAGAAATAACAGAGCAGTCCGACTCCAAGCGGATCATGGTCGAATCGATGGTCAACCCGATAATGGAGAAACATGACAGCGTTGCTGGTCTCGTTTGGCAGTTCCAGGGTATTTACGAACTTTTGCTCGAAAACCTGATCAGCGATGCCTGGGAAACGCGGCACGCTGCCGCTCTGGGTCTACGAGAAATTATCAAGAAGCACGCAAAGAGCGTTGCTAGAATAAAAGGCAAGTCCAAGCGTGAGAATGATCGACGCAACCGCAGGGCTTTGGAAGATTTAGCCACCCGTCTTTTGACCGTATTTGCCCTCGATAGATTTGGGGACTTTGTTTACGATACCGTAGTGGCACCTGTGCGAGAATCAGTTGCGCAAACCATGGCTGCGTTGTTATTGCACCTTGATGACAGTTTGTGCATTCAAATTTTCGGCGCTCTGGAACAGCTGGTGTTACAGGATCCTAAATTAGTAGGCTTACCGAACAAAATATGGGAAGCCACACACGGTGGACTTCTGGGTATTCGCTACTTCGTTGGAATAAAGACTGATTTTCTGTTTCAGAATAATCTGCTCGACAACGTGGTAAATATTGTTCTTTACGGGCTGAAAGAACATAACGACGATGTTCAAAGTGTTGCTGCTGCCATCCTGGCCCCGATTGCAGTTGAATTTGTCAAATTGGAAAACAACACCATCGATCTCGTCTTGAGCACCATATGGAGTCTTTTGACGCATCTTGAAGACGACTTATCTTCGAGTGTTGGCTCCGTTATGGACTTGTTAGCCAAGCTTTGTGAACAACGAGAAGTTCTAGACGTTTTGAAATCCAAGGCTTTGGCACATCCTCAAGAATGGTCTTTTAAGAGCCTGGTGCCTAAGCTTTATCCGTTCCTGCGGCATTCCATTACCAATGTGAGGAAAGCTGTTCTCAACTTACTCAAAGCATTTTTATCCATAAATGACGACTTCGTCAAGCACTGGATCAATGGTAAAGTTTTCCGCCTCATCTTCCAGAACATTTTACTGGAGCAGAATCCACAGGTTTTGGAACTGTCATTCAATGTCTATACTTCGATGCTAGCGGAGTACAAGACTAAAAACCCGGACAAGAATCTAGACCATCTATTCGGGAAGCATCTGGCCCCAATTTTGCATTTACTCATCACTCCTATAGGAGAACATGGAAAGAGTTACAACATGGAACTACAGTATATTTTGAAGCCCTCTCCACATTACCAACTGATATCAGAAAGAAAAAGAAACACGCATGCAGACATCAAGTCGGATATTCCTCCTCCTGTCAATAGTGAGCGCGTTAACATTGACGCCCCAATGATCGCGGGTGATGTTACGCTTCTGGGTACCGAAGTGATATTCAACACAAGGGTCACAGGTGCTAAAGCTCTCGGTATCACACTTTCGATGTTCCAGGAATCGACTTTAAAGTCTTTCTTTTCCAATGTGCTGCTGGATTGTTTGAAGCTTCCCTATGCAACGCCTCGTATGCTCGTCGCGATCATTATATCAGAACTTTGCTCAAATCTCATCAGCCAGTCTGATCGTTCCGATAGCAAAGAGTTGCTGAAGTTCATTTCAGACAATTTCGGACCCATCTTCATAGAAAATTTGACTGACACCTCAACGCTTCCTGTTTTCAGAGAGCTCGTGCCCAGTCTGAAGGCCTTAAGAACCCAGTGCCAGAGTTTGCTGTCGACGTTTGCCGACGTTGGTATGTTATCACCTCAAAGGCTCCCTCAGCTGGCCATCATTGTTCAAGGCGAGTCTGAAGCAGGGCCCGAGGCTTTCGGCATTGAGACTGCTGAAAAAACGTATGGCGAAACGAGCGATAGACTGTTCCGCCACTTGAGCAATTCTCATAAAATTTTGGCTAAGAAGCCGGTGGACGACGCTAAATACCGTGTCTTGCAGGCAATAGAGACTGCCAAGGAGGCGAGGCGATCAAGAATTTGTAATGTTCTAGCCAATTATGCGTCAGCAACTCTATTGTTCGGTGGGCTTCCTGCGAAACTGAATCCTTTCATTCGGTCACTGATGGACAGCATCAAAGAAGAAAACTACGAAATTTTGCAGAAGAGATCTGGAGATGCTATTTTGAATTTGGTCGTTGAACTTGTCAAACAGAACAAAGGCAATGTGGCTAACAAGATAGTCAAAAACCTCTGTGGTTTCTTATGTGTTGACACCTCGGAAGTGCCAGAATTCGCTTTAACATCCAACTATAAAGATCATATCCTGACTTTAGTTCGTGAACAAAGTGCGATAGCTTTTCAAGATGATGCTAACGCTCAGAAATTAGCACGTGAGGCGCACATTAAGCGGCAGGGCGCCATGTACACGCTCAGTGAATTCTTAGTCCGCCTTGGCTCCGACGTCTTGGAACTTGTTCCACAGGTGAAGCAAATTATCTTTGACCCACTGGAACGCGTTGCTGATGAGTATGGAGGTCATCCTTCTGATGCCAAGACGGGACAAGAGGTCGTCGACGCGTTGGGTGTCCTGAGAGCTCTAGTCGTTTACATGAGCGAGGATGTTCAGAACAAAGAGGTCCTGCCTCGCTTGACCTACCTCGTTAAATATTTGAGGTCGGACCTTTCCGTTTTTAGGTATTCCGCTGCTAGGGCTCTCGCCGATCTTGCGAATACCTTACCAATTCAAGTCATCCCATTCATTATTCAAAAAGCTCTGCCACTTATGAACAATCCCTCTTCTGTGACGGATAGACAGGGGGCTGCTGAGCTAGTGTACCACCTAGCGATGTGCATGGGGAGCAACATTTTGCCATACGTTATCTTTCTCATCGTCCCTCTCCTAGGTCGCATGAGTGACTCCAATCAGGATATAAGAACTTTAGCCACCTCGACTTTTGCATCCATCATTAAGCTCGTACCTCTAGAAGCTGGTATTCCGGACCCTGAGGGGCTGCCACAGGAACTGATGGAAGGCCGTGAGAAGGAACGAGACTTTATTCAGCAAATGATGGATCCTTCAAAGGCGAAGGCTTTCCAGTGTCCTGTTGCTATCAAAGCTACGTTAAGAAAATACCAGCAAGACGGTATCAACTGGCTGGCTTTCTTGAATCAATATCATTTGCATGGCATTCTTTGCGACGATATGGGCTTAGGAAAGACATTGCAAACTATTTGCATCATCGCAAGCGACCAATACTTAAGGAACAAGGAATACGAAAAGACAAAGGCCAGAGAAAGTAGGCCTCTACCTTCATTGATTGTCTGTCCACCCTCGCTTACCGGGCACTGGGAGCAGGAATTTGAGCAGTATTCACCATTTCTGAAAGTACTGGTTTTCGCAGGTGGACCCTCAACCAGATATCCGCTTAGAGATAAGCTTGGCGGGGCTGATATCGTTGTCACCTCTTATGACGTTGCAAGAAATGACATCGATATTATTACGCAGTATGACTACAACTATTGCGTTCTTGATGAAGGGCACATTATAAAAAACGCACAATCCAAGCTTGCCAAGGCAGTTAAATTGGTAAGGGCCAATCATAGGTTGATTTTGACAGGTACCCCAATTCAGAATAATGTTGTAGAGTTATGGTCACTGTTCGACTTTTTAATGCCCGGATTCCTGGGGACAGAAAAGATGTTCCACGAAAGGTTTGCCAAGCCCGTCGCCGCTTCTAGAAATAGCAAGACGTCATCGAAGGAGCAAGAAGCGGGTGCTTTAGCTTTGGATGCTTTACACAAACAAGTTTTGCCATTCATGCTTCGAAGACTGAAGGAGGATGTTTTATCCGACCTTCCTCCAAAAATTATTCAGGACTATTACTGTGAATTGAGTGATCTACAGAAGCAACTTTACAAAGACTTTGCTAAGAAACAGAAAACTACAGTTGAACAGGATATTGAAAATGTCGCGGAAATCGACAATAAGCAGCATATTTTCCAGGCTTTGCAGTATATGAGGAAGCTGTGTAACCACCCTTCATTGGTCATATCAAAGGATCATCCACAATGGCTCCAGGTGCAAAGTTATTTGAAAGAGACTGGTCTCAGCCTTCATGATGTTGCACACGCTCCCAAATTAGGAGCGCTTCGCAACTTGCTGTTAGAATGTGGCATTGGAACTCAAGACATGGAAAAAAACTCCAAGCTTTCGTTTCCTTCCACTGACAATGTCATCAGTCAGCATCGTGCTTTGATTTTCTGTCAGTTAAAAGATATGCTGGATATGGTTGAAAACGATTTGTTCAAAAAACACATGCCCTCGGTGACCTACATGAGGTTGGACGGTAGCATTGAATCCCGGGATAGACAGGCCGTAGTGCGTAAATTCAATGAAGACCCTTCAATCGATTGTCTGCTGCTCACTACCAAGGTAGGTGGTCTAGGTTTAAATCTTACTGGTGCAGACACAGTTATTTTCATCGAACATGACTGGAACCCAATGAATGACTTGCAAGCCATGGACAGAGCTCACCGTCTCGGTCAAAAGAAGGTTGTGAACGTCTACAGAATCATTACCAGGGGTACGCTGGAAGAAAAGATCATGGGTCTTCAAAAGTTCAAAATGAACATAGCATCCACTGTCATCAACCAGCAGAATTCGGGTCTGGCGTCGATGGACACACATCAGCTGCTAGATCTCTTTGATACAGATAACGTTCCTTCCCAAGAAAAGGAGGGCAAGAATAAAGACGGCAAGATTGACGAGATCGTTAACGAAACTGGGCTGTCTGGCAAGGCTAAAGAAGCCGTTGGAGAACTCACAGAGTTATGGGATACGAAACAGTATGATGAAGAGTACAACTTGGATAATTTCATTAAAACGTTGCGCTGAGGCGCTTCGCTATATTGCATATAGATTGACACGCTCAAAAATAGAGGCTGTTTGTATTATTACTCGATTTTTCATGACTAAAGAACCAAAATGTTATTCTACATGATTGGAGCTTTCTAAGAGAGAGAGCCTAGATTCCACCTACGGTCATTAATACGCTTTTATTTGGCTCAAGTTGGCACTCCTTGTTGTTGACCAAAGATAAAAGGTCATCACTGATTATCAACTAAATTACCTTCATTACAGGAAAGTTTGGTGACGATGGCATCTCTTCATGAACAATTGCAGGAGCGGAGGAAGAGGCTACAACTCTTGGCCGGCAAAGCTCAAGGAGAACATGGTCAAACAAGTGCAGTTGAAATTACTGACAACGATGAAGGAAGGGAGGAAAGCGAGGTGAAGAAACCAAAGGTAAGTACTGGATATTCGGGCACTGGCCTTCACGATAACTCGGCGGACGATGAAAGGGCAGACAGTCTCGTAGACTACGCTGAGAATGAAGCAGTTGATACTGAGCTCCACGAGTCGAAACGCAAACCAACCAGTGATCTTGAAGAAAAGTTGCGTCCAGATCTTGATGAGCTAGAAAAGCGTACGGACGATGCAATACAGAGACTGGTACGGCAAAAATACTTCGCTTCGAGCACAGAGAATGACAACATACAGTAAAGTGAAAAAGGTTGGGCGTTTTATAAATATGGTTAAGTACCTAGTTAGGGTTGATGAATGCTTCACGAATGTACAGGATAGCGAATATGAAAAACGAGAAAGCGCCCCCAAGCGTAACGGTTCGCATACTGATCTTGGAAGCCAACATTTTGCCGCCTATAACGGCGAGACCCGTACAGATGGCATGGCCCACGATGGCGCCGAAAATGACAAACCAATAGTCACTTCCTGAAGCCATGGCGATTGTGCTGATTTGGGAACGGTCGCCAAACTCACCCAGGAAAACCATGCTGAAGATTTGGACCCACACCGGGCTAAAGACATAAGCTACCAGGTCCATAACTTTGTTACAGATGCTCTTCAACGCAGCGTTTTGTAGAAACACGTTCTTGGAGGATTCATTGCCGGGCGCACCGCCGCTTTCCACATGACCCATGTTCTTGTTAAAGTCTCTGACCGCAATTTCCTCCTCAACCTCAGCAAGCTCTTCCTCGACTCCCATGTCTCTAGACATGGCCAGGCCCTCGAGAGTCAGCTTGTAGCCGAAAATCAAGAACAAAATTCCGGCCATGAACTGGGTGTAGCGCTGGGGGACCAAAGACGTAAAAGTGCGGCCCACAAGGCCCGAGAGAATAGTCATCAGGAACAAAGCGCTGGCAGAGGCACTGAAAACAAGCATTCTCTGGTAGCGCATTGCCATCAGCGCAGCGATCAAGAAGGTCTTATCACCGATTTCAGACACCCCGATCATCGAGATCGACAGCAGGAAAGATCTCATAGGACCATCGGTATCAGCAGCATCGTCAGCAGTAGAAGAGCTACCGGTTTCAGAGCTAGCCAACGCGCAAGTAGTCAAAAGGCATAGTAGCAGAGCTGTTTGGCATCTCGGAAGTCCCATGATCGTCAAGATTGAAACGAAATGCGACGCCTGAGCGAATGTTTTACCTATTCGACGGTAAAAAAGCTGGTCAGAATAGGGCCCAGTGTTATACTCTCAAGCAAACCAACTGCAATGCTCCGGGACAAGATGTTAACAATTCGTTAATGGCTCAGCCTTATTACAAGGATTTGAATCTCACCAAATTTTTCATTTCATGCATAATAAAATAATACGACTGGTGGTGAGATAGATATAATCAATAACACACGAGGGACCACGACTTTCCATGTGGATTCTTTTCATATCTCAGCTGACATCTTGAGTTTCCAATGTTACTCTTCGCTGGACTGTTAATGCCAAAGCCAGCGTGAAATCGCGAAGCGTGACGGGCAAGGACGAGAGGTGTTCAGATAAGCAATTTAATGGAAGTTTTCGAAGTGTTCTGCCGCTTATTCCAGATAGCTGCGACAAACAACGTAAGCTGTTAGTAAAATTCATTCAAAGGTGCCTGAAAAACACATTTTCTTGCATACCACGCATTGCCGGGCGATTTGGCTGATCGAAGTTCGCATCTCTTCGGTTTCCAAAACGGAACAGCTCATGCTGCTCACGATGACTCCGGTTTTTATCAATTCATTTATGGTCGAGGTTAAAATTAGGCTGGTACCGATTTCAGAGGGACTACCAACGTAAAAGACGCTGTCAGCCCGATCCACGAAAGCTGGGTCGAGTGCACTTAGCAAGTTGGAAGTCGCTAATATCAACAAATTGTGGTAGCGCTTCAGGCTATCCAATTTTGTCAGTAAAGTGTTGACCACCCGGATACCATCTGTAGCCTCGTTTTTGCCCATTAGCGACGATCTGGATGGAGCCAGCGTTTCGATTTCGTCCATGAGTAAGCACACGAAGCGATTCTTGTGGGATTCATTCAGCAGGAGATTCTCGACGTCTTGAAAAATTCTGCCCAGGTTCTTTGCAGATTCTCCAAACCATCTGGAAAAAATTTGGGAGCAGGACAGCTCTACGATGATTGCCTGACATTCGTTGGTTTGGAAGACCTTGTGCGTCTTTCCGCTGTGACGAATGGCCAGTTTTTGGCATAGTGCTTTGCAAACAGTGGTCTTCCCCGTCCCTGGTGGGCCATGCACCAGCAAAAGCTTGTTGTTAGATACAAGTGTATGAGAGAGCTTTTGTTGGGAGAAGTTGGAAAGCTTGAGCGATATCGTAGCGTAGCTGAAAAGTTTCTGCTTGATGTTCCCGTCGAAATGAAGAGACTCCCACAGTCCCTCGAATTCTGCTGACGGCAGAAGTTGGATTTTGCTTTGGGCCAATGTCTCTGCTGAAATGGACACATCGGACAATGTGGGGTGGATAGCCACAAGCGTGCTTTCGTCGTCGCAGGAGTTAGTCGAAGTGTCGTGAATGTCGATCCTGTCAAATTCCTCGGTGATCCCAGTCGAGTCTGATTCTGCAGTACAGTCCTCCAAACAGCAATAGTACTTCACTTTGAAGGATTTGCGCGTTTGACGTGGAGCCTTCTCGGTGTCCAGAAAGCCCTTGGGGCTTGAAGTTCCGTTTCCGTTGAAAACTTGCATGATCTCCTCGGCCATTGACATTTGGGAGTCGCAGAATACAGTGTCCGGAACTGCCGCTTCAACCTGCAGGCTTTCCACACAAAGTGATACCAACAGGTTTTCCTGTCCGTCGGTTAGGTTGTAGTGACCTTTGCTGCCGATTTGGTGGAGCACGACCTTGATGAGAGATCGAACAATGCTGATTTGGGCCTCGGTCGGATCCAGACTGATTTCGATGGAGCCCTGACCTTCCAGTAAAAAGTTCTTGGATGTCAGAAAAATCGCACTATTGCTGTCGAGGTCCAGTGTCATTTTTCGAAGCTTGTTTTCAATGGCCTTCGTCAACGCGTTAGCCAGTGTAGTCTGACCGTGGCATCCATATTGCGCTCCCAACTCCTGCAAAGTTTGCCGTACAATCACGAATGTAGAAGCTTTCAATCGCACGTCAGCTATGTACGCCATATTTACCGGATATATTACAAAACTGAACGCTATGGAAGATACGTATATACAGATATGACAATCGACTCAAATTAGCAGACTATGGTGATTATGACACACTTTCTGGCTGTCTTTTTTGAAATAAACGTCCCAAAACTTGAGTTCACCAAGGAGACAAGTTTTAGCCGCCAAGGTCAAATTTATACATATTGGTTTATTTATCACTTTACACGGATGAATCGAGGCCATTTTATCCAATTCCACCCATTTTCCGTATCGGGTATATCGAGCCGCTTATCAGTAAGCTCTCGATAACAATGTAAAGCTAGCGTATATATAAAGATGGTAATGCCAACAAGAAGTTCTGCCCTTCATCTTACGTCGTCAGTATCGAGAATAGCGTTGATCTTGAGTTGAACAGCATTTAAAGGCTATTCAAAGTCCACTCATTCTGTCAAAAAAATTCGTCTTTTTGCCCTACATGTCTTGTTGTTCGTCGTCCAATAGACAACAAAAAAGCCAATGCAACACGACGGCGACCAATTCATCTGCTGAGATCCTAACTACCTGCTCATCGAACGCATCAGTCAAGACGCAGCAATGCTGTGCCTCAAATTCCAAGGAAAGATGTAAGTGCGGCTCTGCCTGCGCTTGCAAGGGCTGCAACACCACCAAATTGTAGTTCCGTCAGGATATCACGAACTGATCGAAATAACAAGTTTCGTGACATCAAGATCATCACGGACACGCCAGAATACGCTGACATATCGACCACTTGGCGAGGCCAACGCCAGCATTAGGGAGAATCTGTAGAGCTAAGAGTCTATCACGTTGAACGAACCATAGATAATTATTATGAACATTCAGTATAAAAGAGTAGCAGCTTTGATGGAGCTCATCGGCACATCCAAACAAGGTTAACGAGGTCAACGAGGCCGTTGTGGTTCACTTTTCACTTGCAACAAAGCACCCATTGGTTTGTACCCTGATTTCGTCTTTGCCATGGCCTCCAAGACGATAGAAAGAGACGAGGAATCTTCGATAACGCGCGATCTTCTGGACTCTGATGATGAGGCGGACGAGCTATCCAAAGACTGGTCGCATATCGCAAAGCTTTGCAAAAGTCAAGCAGTGGTGCCCAAAAGAGGCGATAAAGATTATGAACCCGACGGAACCAACGCCCAGGAACTCTTGCTGTACAGGGCGAAAAAAGCGATGTTCGATTCGCTTTCCGATGCAGCCCGTGGAACAGTAGTCAAAAACCAAATCAAGGCATTCTACGTTCCCGAACGCCATCTCGCATTCATTTCTCAACCAAAAGGTAATTTCATGCACACCATGGGTAAGGTCGACAGGAATGGGACCTGCTGGTTGAATTTCCACGAATTCGTCTACCTCGCCGAGAGAGGAACAATTACGCCGTATTTCAAGCGCAGCGACCGCGAAGACCACGGACTCGACCCTTTGCTTAGCATCCAGGATCTGTACCTTCTTTTCAGATCTTCTCAAGAATCCGATGAATTTGCAGTGTTCGCCCATCTTAAAAGACTGGGATTTATTGTCATGCCTTCACAAATGTCACCAGACGACCATAACAACGATCAAATTAAGCATATGCCGCGAGCAGGTCTTACTGACAGTCTTTCAAAATTGACCAAAGCTTTATCCCAGATATTCCAAGTGCCCACTTATCATCCACTCCAATATCACCTTACCAGATACACTACATCTGGTCAGATCTACGCAGCTTTGAACAAGCTGGTACCCTTCTACACAGCGCCAAAGACAGCCAAAGAAATTGATCAAGAAAGATACAGCAGGACGATCAATTCACGCAAAAATGACTTCACCTTTGATGTATGGAAACCGCAGGGCAGCTTCAAGAAGAAAACCCCAGGACTGCCAGATTTACATATACTCGTCCTTAACAAAAACACGAGCGACTATAGTTTCCCCACCTATTCTGTGATCAGGAGCTTGTTTCAGAGCGTATACAGTAAATACGACGGAACTCTGGAACGGCAAGAATCCGCGGCAGGCTCGCCTTTGAGCAGTAAAACAGGCAAACAATTCTCTAAACCTGTACCGCCTCACCTTGAGCAACAAAGACGTCTAAAAAAAGGGTATAGAAGCTTTATTTTAGCTGTGATGGATGACGGACTTATAAGCTTTGTGAAACTGACGGAGTCGGATTTTGGGTCAGAGAACGTTTGGTTTAAGACCACTAGGAGAGCATCCAAAAACAAGCCCAGGTCCGACAGATCCACAAGACACAACGGTGGTAAGAATCCTGGCGGTGAGAAGAAAACCGAAGAACTCAATGCTATCCGCTAAATCTGGAGTACAGGCTTTCGTCAAATACTGACGGATTGTTATAGAAAGACGTTGGGTTTTGTTCCATCTGACTCGCTGGGTTTTGTAAACCTGACAGGCCACTTATTCCAGAAGGTGGCTGCTTGGGGGGCACTGGAGGGGACAAGGGAGACCGATCTTGGACGCCATACGCTTGAGGAGGGATAGCGGGCAAATTCTCAGCTGCATTCCCTTCCCTCCAATTTGTATTAGATGCGATCTTTAGTTGCTGAAAGTTTTGACTGAGCTGATCGGGCAATGCTGGAGCCGTGGTGTGAGTGATTTCTTTTCTGTTGTTGTCGAAAGACTGTAGGTTCTGGGCCATCTTGAGCAAAGACTCGTAAAAGCTGAGTCCCTTTGGCAAGTCGTTCGCGAAAACAGAAAAGTTTGCGAACGCTTGATTGAGCCCATTGTACAGCTCATTTCTTCTAGCCAGATTCGGATCTTTCTTGGACGATTCTTCATCTACGCCAGTCAATTTAAAAATCCCATCTAAGCCAATCTTAATAGTGTTGATCAGATTTCGTTGTTTAAAGATGGTTGCCTCTATTCTGGTTATCAAGGGCTTGAATTTCTCAAGTTCTGTGTCAAAAACCTTTTTCAGCTCATTGTCGGTAATACCACGGTTCATTATAATAACTCTCGTTATATCATCGTCATTTACCGCCTTCTTTAGATCTAGAACTATGCTGGCCCGCTCATCCTTCAAGACCTTAAGATCCTCATGCTGGTCTGCTACGTTCTTGATCTTCTGCTTGATTTCGTCGTTTTTGTTGTCATCAATGTCCAGCAAATCTGGCTGTTCATTCTGGAATGCAGTTAATTCAGCCCACTTTTTCTCCAAAGCGGCAGGGTTTTTCAATAGTTGCAGCTCTTTCATGTGAGACTGGACAAAGGAAAAAAGTTTCTGGTCAGAATTTGACGCGGCGACGAGAGATGACTTGAGCTTTACCGCGTTTTCCTGTTGTTCTTGTGGGATGGATCCCAGCAAGACCAAAATTTGTTTCCTGAGCTCAACGACAGAGTGCATCTGTGACTCTACATCTTGATAAGGACTCTTTAGTACAGAGCTAGACCAGGACTCCAAGTGTTCCCGCATCATGGCTAGCTGAGGATTATCTGCCTTGCGGGTTTTGCCGCTGCTCGTGTATCTATTTTCAAGGTCTCTCAGTATTTTTGGTAGGGTCGTAAATTCGACAAATGATTTGTACTCCCAATCGGCAGTATCTGCGCCTTCGACTTCTTCCCGCAAAAGATTGGCTTTGAGCTCTGAGTATATGCTTTCCTTCTCGTATACTTCTAATGGTATAATTCCCCTGAATAGGATATCAGAAGATTCAGCCACTTTCTCCATGTAGGGTTCCAGGAGTTTGGCTAGTGGCGGTGCTTTTACTGCATCCATACTTTTTATGTTTTCCATAGATGCGTCAGACGGTACTGAATCGTGGTAAATAAAGTCATTGTCTTTAATCAAGTTCTTGTGCTTAGCCATAATCAACGTTTTCAAAGGCTCTAGATCCATGGTTTCTTTGACATATAGCTTGTGGACCATGGTAGACACAATGGCATCCTCGGCGAGCTTCAAAAAAGCTATAGCTTCCCCGAACTTGTTCTGCTGTTCGAGAGCGATTCCGTAGTTATATGCCGAGACACTTTTGTAGAAGTGAGCTTTGCACAATACGATGCTTTTCCACTTAGTCTCTCCATATGTGGTTTCCGATGTAGGCGTTGTTGATGAAGCTTCGTAGAAACTGTTGGCTTTTTCGTATAGTGAGGACGTCATTGATGCTAATTTGGCTATCAGAGAGGCATGCTTTGCTGTATCCTGACCGTTGATTATCCTCAGTAAAAAAAGCTCTTGGGCCTGTGCGTGGCAGATATTGGCTAGAAATTTGGTATTATCGGCCTGCAGGTCGACAGATGGCGAATTGAGGAAGTTTTCGCTTAAGAACTCGAAACACGCATATGCACGCGTCATGAAGCCTATCGCACTTTTCATATCGCTTTCAACTTGATCCTTGGCTGCCAAGGTCATGACCGCAGCCAAATTGTACAGCACACTCGATTTTTCAAATGCAACAGTTCTCTGGGTATATTTTTGGGACCCACTGGTCGGTGTGTACGCGGCATCGTACCAAGTATAGTCTATATTGAATTGCCTTGAGCTTGCGCCAAGTCGCAAGTACAACTGCTCCAAAAAAGCATAGTACAGCAGATTTTGTTCAACCAGGGCTTCAGGTGCCAGACTTCCATTGGCGTTATTACGCAAACGATCCAGATTCTCGGCCTGTTTGACGTCGAAGAATTGGCTCCAGGCAGAAGACCCATAAGATTTCTTAAGGTACGAAGCCAGTGCTTTAGACCAATTGACACTTTCTGTGTCCTTGACTTTGAAATTCAACAAAAGGGCTTTCATACTTACGTACCACGCGCTTTGAATTAGAGGGCCTACACGAAAAGGAGAAGATCAGAGAGGGGTGTTAAGGCGCTAGAAGGTGTTGGATCTCGCTTACGTTGTAGTGTTGTAGTGGTTATAATTCCCCTTTTGACAAATTAGAGTTGATATCACTTTCTACTATTCTGTCGTGTCGTGAAGTTTATTGACTGACAGATTGTCGGATAGACATGGTTTTGAGCTTTGAAGCTGGTTTTAATGGGTAAATGTGCTAACTCCATCGTTTTGACCGAGCTGAGAGACCTTTTCGAGCCATGGAAAGACATTCCAGTACACTTTATTTGCGCTGGACAATTATTACAATTCAGCTCGAGAAGCTTTAAGAGGCCTGGGAGTGATCGTCATGGCCAATAATTTTTTGAAAAGAGCAGGTAAGGAGCCCTCAAGTGTAATTATTGGAGGAAGAACAAAAAACTGTTCCTACGATTGGGGCTATTTGCAAATGCTGATTTCAGAATAAAGAAAATTGACTTTGATTCTAGATAAAAGAGTTTATCCAATGTACTAAGGCGTAGTATCTTCAAATCTCACTGTACCGTTGTCAAACCTCTTTGCAATCAGAACGGTTTGACGTTGTCCATGTGGAATGCCCATTTTGTATCACTTTATACTAATCTGTCGTCAGTGCTAGAAACTTAAATTAATACATATAAAATGCTCCCGCGAGGCTTAATTATTGAAGTGATGCCCAGCGTATACTTTCAAGCCCGATTCTATGCCTCATTTTCATGATCCTCACTGCATAGAACGAACGGGGTGTGTTGTCTGTCAGCTTCAGGGAACGTGACCTTTAAAGTTGTCCTCTCGGCCAAACCCTGCTATTGCATACCCCTCAGATCATTGCTGCTTCGAACTAAAGTAACAATTAGCCCACGCAAGTTCCGCGTTCAAAGTAATGTTTTGAAATTAAATTTCAATTTAATCGAACAAGAATGGCGACAGCTAATTAAGATCAATTAAAAAAAAGAGAAGCCACGTCAGAAGCTTCATCATAAATATCTCATGAATTTCTTAAAATACATATATCAGTAACAACTCGGTCGCAGTTCGAACAGTCATTAGAGCATCGTCGATTCTGTCGTTGACGATCTTTACATTCCCACAATAATCGTAGAAAGCTACCTCTTCCAATTGGTAGCGGTTCTTGAAAATCTTCGAAATAAGCTGTAAGACGACAAGCCGGGTCGACAGTCAGTTTCTTGATTTTACAACCTTCAATTGCTTAATTCGTTTCCCAAATGTTTCCCAACTCAGTGACCCGAATTTCTCTTCGAGCACCCAAAAACTTGCTGATCCCAGCTAGGTATCTGTCGAACACAACCCAACTTCGACAAACAAGCTCGACAAACGATAAAAATGGCGCCAAAAAGGACTCGAAGATGACAAACTTCAACCCTAGACACCTTGGTATTTCCGCAGAGGTTTACATTCCACCCTCGTACGGAAATTTGCCAAGTTTTTTCAAGCATCCGATAGTGTTCAGTAATGCACTCATCAGACGTATTTACACATTCGGACTAAATACCGTGCAGGTGGCATTGTTTCGGTACCAGTCTGGTTTGAAGCCCAATTTTCTTCTTTGGAAAAATAATGCAATCGAGACTTACGTGCAAGTGAACAAAGCCTTCGCTGCGCGGAATCTGGGCTCTGTGAAGCCGCAGGTTTCACTGTGGGTCGACGAAGCGCTTACCGCACGCGCCAAGCAGCTCCCAAAAAACTTTGAATTGGATTGGCAGCTCTTGAAATTTCGCAATGTGCCCAAACTGGTTTCTGTTCAAGTCATGATGGTACCGGGACATCCTTTGGAACACATCCAACTAATTTACAAATTCGAAACAAATCAACGCTTGATAAAGTTGAACAAGACTACGCATCAAACCGAACGGCTCGATCGCGATGTGACCGATTACGTGGCCTTCCTATGCGATGCCTCGAGCGATGAACTCACTTTAATGGGATCGGTCTTTGAAAGTGACCCTAGTGCCAAACTTCCCAAAAACTATGAGGAAAATATGCAAACTGCCATTCAACGAATGAAAACCAGCGGCGACATCTACCGCATAAATAGCAAGTAACGGTGCAAAAGCTGTTATTTAGTCATGTATATAAGTTGGTTTTTTTGTGAAGTATACGAATTATTGTTTACAAGACATAGCATGACATTAAGTCAAAGTCGGCGACAGAACCCAATTGCCTTGCAACATTATAGTCCAGGTCAAAAACTGATAAACTTTTATTAAACGAATGCATTTACATATTGTTCATGACATTGACGTAACCTCTGGCACCTTTCTTCTTTCTTCTAGCTCCGCTTTGATTGCCTGCGTTACCCACCAAGGACATTAAATCGTCAATGTTGTTGGCTTTTTTTCCAGAGAGACTCACACTTGGGGTTGAAGACGGCGAGACACTTTGTGAGGGACCAGCGGCTTCACTTGATGATGCACTTCGCTCTTCGAGTACATTTGAAGAGGGCGTAAATGCAGCAGTTCTGGCTGCAGCTCCCCCAGCAACAGATCCCGAACGTGGCTTCACCTTTGGAGACCCCTCCAATTTCTTCGTGATGATAGGAGGCGGAGGAGGTGGTGCCGAAATTTGCTGCTTTTCTTCCTCCGTGGCATTCTTGTTTACCCACCGTTGGAGCTTGTCATCATAATAGAACGTATTTTGATGTCCTAATTTTGCCTTAACAGGCTTCTTTTCGTTAGGATCTTTGCGTAGCCATCCGAACCACGAAGCGCCGTTTTGGTTGTTGTTCCGGTCACCCTTTGCTTCTGTCGCATCTTTCTTTGCCTTCTCCTTTGATTTCTGCTTCTCAGCTTCTACCCTCTGCTTTTCCAGCTCGGCTTCATCCTCCTCATCGTCGGTTTCATTTTCTATGATGTCCTCGTAGTATTCTTCGGCTCCTTCCGCTCCTGGTGTTGAGGCGGGAGTGAATGGTCTAAAGCTAGGATTGGACGAAGGCCTAATCACTGGAGCGCTGTTACCGCTAAACAACTGGCCGCCATCGTCGGCCACCAAATTCAGCTTTTTGTTCGAAACAGGCTCAAACCGACCTTGAGGACTTGTAGCATCGGTCTGTGTATTGGGGGACTCTTGCGGGTCTTTCATGGACACGTTATCTCCACTTCCCATGCCACTCTCGCCAACTGGCGATTGTGAAAACGAATTCTTCCTCACGTCATTTGTTGACACCGCCCCAGACTCCCCGACGTCTGTATTTGATAACTTGTAGCCCCCATATGAAAACATGTTTAGCTCTGCATCCGAAGTTTTCTGAGCCAAGTCGCCAGGACTTTCAGATGCTCCGTTATCAGTTTCCAGAGGTTGTGAGTTAGATGGCGCGTAAGGATTATGAAGCGCCTTGGTTTCCTTTTCGACTTCAACTGGTGCGTAGGGATTTCTGGCCTTACCAGACATCACGTTGGGTCCGCTTGAAGTCTGCGATGGCACCTGTGAGCTTTTTAGGCCATGAGCATACTTCATGTTATTTGTACCGGTCTGAACGTTCTCTTCAGTGTCCCCAAGAAGCCCAGGCTGACGGCGCGTTTCATCCTCGAAGTTCGCAACTTCTTGCGACTGAGATGCTTCTATGCCTGTCATCTGCGTTCCAAGAGCGTTATTATCAGTCTCATATTCAGATGTCATAGCTGCGGTCCCGACATTTACGGGCAGAGGCACCGCATGATGTTTACGATAGTGTTCTTGAGTGAGGGTCCCTGCAACTTCTTCATTTAGGGTCTCCACAGTTTGGGCCATTGAGACATCCCCATCCAGACTGCCGTCTTCGAAATCTGCATTTTGTGATATTTTGTTCGAGGGAATGGGAATATTTATCCGAGGTTGCTGGTCAACCCGATGTGAGGACGCATTTGTCAACTCTGTGCTCAAGTCAGCCGCTGCAGGCGGAAAGGACATCGGTGTGTGCTTAGGAGATGATAAATTGGATGATTTTGACTGAAAGCTGCTTCGAGATTGGGCCGAGTTCCTTCTGCTAGTGTAGCTGCCAGTGCTCCCAGATATCGGCGGAGGAGGAGGAGGAGGAGCAGCGCAAAGGTCTGCGAGTAGAGCGGCGTTCACTGGCTTCTCGCTTCTGTATGACCTTTTCGGTCTGGAATGAGCATGTGGAGGGAGAGCATTGTCTGCTACTCCCTCACCACTGAGAGGCACTTTTCTACTGATGTATTTGTTAGAAGATGACAAAGTCGAGAACAATGGCGGTGGGGTTTCGGCAGCTGGAAGCTGATCCTTCGGTCTTATAGGCGATTTGTGAAGGATTGACTGAACAGGTGAATCAAAGGTTGAGGCTGGCATTTCGATTGTCGTTGGTTGATTGGGTGTAGCTGCCCATTGGTTACGAGAAGGATCGTACTTGGATTCTGCGACTGAAGAGCCGTTCCGTCCCTTCAATAAGCCTCCAGAGGACACATTAGTAGGTATTTGAGGTCTCTGTAATGGAGGAAAGGCAGGTGTAATTGAGGAGTTGAGAGAGTCAACCGGGTTGAATGGTAAAGGTTGGTTGCTCAAATCTAATAAGGATGCGTTTCTAGAGTTGCTTGGCGTGAAGCTTTCGAAAATCTTCCCTGTGGTATCGTTTTGAGCTTCTTCGCTATCACCACCAATGAATTTGTTGAAGGATTTATCAAGCTGGCCCCAGACTTGGCTCAGCTTTGGCTTACCAAGCCAGCTTCCATTTGTGCCTACAAGTCTTGAAGACACAAAATTCAGCCGTAGTTCAACAGCACAGGCCAGCGGGCTGTTCTTTGGTAGAGACCTCAAGCTTTGACTGACAGCATCAGCATATTTCGAGGCATCAGCAGTCATGCCACATTCAATTAGAGCCAATGAGTGGACCAACTTCTGAACAAGTGAGTGTATAGATCCTGGATACTTTGGGTCTTTGACAGCGAGAGAAAACTCATATACCTCGGTCAGTAGCATCCCCTCCCAAGAGTTTTCGTCGCCAACAGAAGAAAACTTTACACCGGAGCCTACGATTAATTCGTGGTCCGATACCGGAAGGTCTGCTACTACAAAACAAGTAACCCCCTCGACACGCATTCCATTCTGGTGTAGAAAAGCGCCAAACTCGACCATGAACTCCGTTGAAAAGGGAGTCAATCGTAACGCGTCAGATGCTGGATCGTCAGATTGATGTTTGACATTGTTAAGAATCGCAGCGACAATCATTTTCCAATTATTAATGGCCCAATTTACTTTCAAAGGATTGACCTCGAGCTCGCTAACTACGCGCTTGGCATTGCCAACAGATACTTGGAATATTAAAGTCAGCAGATAGCCAGAGAAATCAGTGTCATTGCTGCCAACCGGGATAAACTCTTCATGCAGGTAGATATTAACAACGTCTGACCATTTTTTCTTACCAAGTAAGCTACCTAGCATCAACGCTAGTGCGTAATCACCTTCAGCAAGCGCTAACTCAAGTGCATGTTCGTGGTTTCCTGTCTGCAGTGCTGCAAAAACTCTAAGCTGGTCGTTCGCACTTAGTTTTCTGGCATTGAAGGCATTCTTCTTTCTCGAGGCCGGTTGAGACAAAAATGGCAGTAACTCGTCCGGATTGTACAAAGCCTTTGCGATATCTCTCAAAGTAACATCCGGAGTAATTTTTGCACTTAAAATATTGTACAAGGTCAAATCTTTCATAGGCTGATCCTTCGTATACTGAAGGCAGCTATCAGTGATCCACTTTTGAACTTCCTTGCTTTTTGTCTTGTTCTTCAACAGAGGGCCAGGAAAGCACTTGAAGCTGTCAGACGGCTTCACAATAGCATCATAGCTAGCAACACAGACATCTAATCCTTGCCCTCCCGTCGTAAAATAGCTGTTAGCGTCACTTGCGCGTGGTAGGCCGAAAGCCACTTTCGAGGAACTCCCCCAGCGGAAAAGAGGAAATTGTCGATGGAAGGCAATACTTGGGTCAACCGCCTGCGCATCAGCAACTCTATGCACGGCAGATGAGTCATCGCCTGTTTGTTTCAAAATGTTGGACGCAACAGGGCGTCCGTAATTTGAGCTTACGCCGTAGTGAGGGCTTTCGCTGTCCTGCGAAGGCAGGTGGAATTGTGGTTGAACAGTTGGCGCATATTTTGAAGAAAAAGCTGGGGCATAGACGCTAGAATTTGAACGCGCATGGCTTCTCTTTTGCGTGTTAGGTGAGACGGGCTGATTCCCCAGTGTCGAAAGTCCAATCGTTTTGAGAGCAGGAACCAAAGGTGCCTGAGCCTCTGGGCGGAGGAACTGATCACCTGGAGGGCCGTTGTTAATTGTCTGACCATGAAATCGTGAAGCTGCGGGCATAATGTTATGACTGTTCGCACGTCCAATCGAGACTGCACTCCCGCTCGAGACGTTGCTAAAAGCTCTAACACGAGCGCTTTCAGGGGCATAAGGACTCATTGCGTTTCCTTTTCTTGGGAGTTCTGCATTGGCTGACGTAGGCGCGTACCTACTCATTGGCGCGGGAACGTTACTTGCACCTTTGCTGGGAAGTGAAGGCTGGTATGCAGTTTGCTGATTGAGTTGCATGTTAAGATTGGAATGGTCGAAAGCCTCTGCTGACACTCTGCCAGGAGGCCCTCGATAAGTGGATACAGGGGGATTGACGGCAGAAATAGGATCACGCGCCTGAAAACTTGGCTGCATCTGTACACCTTTAGGAGCACTCCCTGTGTAGTTGAGTGGAACAGGGATGCTGTTACCGACTATGGGGCCCACTTTGGAAGGAACAGCTCCCGAAATACCGGGTGTATTGATGGAAGACGCACTGGAAGAAATTGCGGGGCTAACAGATCCAAAGGGTTTAGGCTGTTTGGGCTTTTTGGAATTACGAGATGCCAGTTCCAACGGGAAGTCGTAGGCGTCGGACTTTTTCTTTTCCTCGTCTAGTTTTCGGTTCATATTTTGGGGAGGGGGGAATTCTGTCAAGATTGGACGTATTGAAGGGGCTGCAGGATGAATCGGTGCCGGTTCCGTAACGGCGGTAACCCGAGGGCCGCCCACTTCATCTATTGCGGGTGATGGGCCATATCTCGAGGTCTTTCTATCACTTGGTGCCTGTTTTTGCGTTTGAGAGATCAGAGGTGCAACAGGATGAGCAAAATTAGCGTTAGTTTGAACCACTGGGGTCGAGGTCACCGCAGGCGTGCTTACATTGCTGTCGTTGCGTGGTAGGTAAGGGTTGCTTACTGGAACAGTTGAACCAGGGCCTTCACTGAGACTGGCTGTTGCGTTCAAAGAAGGTTCTTCATCAGAGTCCAAAAAGCTATCGTCGTCATCTAGAAGGTCATCGTCATTTTCTAGAAAAGAAAACTTTTTGGGCGGGTCCCCAGAGCCGATGGAACTCCGAAGAACAGATGAGTCTCCAGCATCTTCGTTTTCTACCTCCCATGGAAGTGGGTTTTCTTCACTCTTTTGATTTTGAGATAGCCATTCAGGAGTCTCATCGACGGCAAGAGGATGTGCCGCCTCAAAATCATTACCTGACGCAGCAGCCGCGTCTTTTAGCCCCAGATGGCTGAGAAAATCATCGTTTTCTTCCCATGGAAGTGGTTTCTCATCACCTTCGTCGTCATTGGCAAAAGACTTGGCTTCATGTGTTTGTGCATTGGAAGTCAAGCTTTCCGGAATCGTGACAGGCTGGACAGCGTTGTTACGCGCATCTTTCTCATTGTCTTGTTGCACTTGGAATTCTGGTTCCCATGAAATTGGGTTAGAATCGAGTTCTGGCGCCAAAAAGTGATTCTGCGATTCATCTCTAGCAAGCGTATCATTGACGGCTTGACTGACAAGCCCTTCCGGTTCGTTGTCCTCGAAACGAGACGCATCTTCCTCTTCGTTCACAAACTCGGGCTGGTCGAGAAAATTGTTTTCTGCGACGCGCATTTTGTTTTCGGGACTCTCAACATCTACAAGCAAGTCCGCATCTGTGACCAGTTCATTCTCTTGATCCACATCTTCACCTTCCCCTAGCTGAACTTCAGTAAAATGTGGAGAGGCCGCTGTGAACGGTGGGTTAGTTTCGGAAACTAATTCTGCTTTAACCTCCGGATGCTCAGAATCTGATATTGTGATAGATTCCTGAACAGATCCATCGTCGATCGATGAAACCGAAATTTTTTCTAAGCTCAAAGCACCTGGAACTTCGTTCTGAATTTGTGAAATAGCTGGAGGTTCCAAAGGGTCATGATGGGCTTCTTCATCATTTTCGTCGAATTCGTTCAAGTCGTGATCATTGAAAATTTGTTCAGGGGAAGGACTATCAAAGGTTTGTCCAGGAAACGAACCGTTGCCTTTCATGGAATCTGAGTCATCCAGCCCCGTTTGTTCCATAGGCTCTACCGTGACAGCAGACTCTTCGTGGACATCATTCGTCTCATGTTTCGGAAGAGAAGGAGCCTCTGTCTCAAACTTTGTGTCCCTCTCTTCTTCGTTATTCACAGTGCCTAATTCAAAATCCACTTGTGCCAACTGCTCACCTTGTTGAGAAGCTGGATCTTGAAGGCTTAAAATGTTATCTTCAGTTGTATCTTCGCTTCCAGCGTCTTTTCGTGGTAGTGTACCATTTGCCTTCGTTTGCTGCACTTCTGCTTGCGACGCGCTGAAATTGGTGCCGTGACCAGAAGAACGTTCGTCGACGTTCTCAGCATTCTCATTATGTGCCATCTCGAACACGTTTTCTACCAGCGAGTTTTGGGACCCATTTTCGATTTCTTTGGAGAAATCTGATGGGGGTGTTTCCTTCGAAATTGTGGCACCTTCGTTTGAGTAAGTGATGCTCTGCGTCACAGTGTTCGCATCGGTTTCAAACGGAGGCTCCTGCTTTAGAGAAGGTGTAATAACAGCTTCTGTGTTGGTTCCCTGAGTAGTGTTTTCTATACCTGACTGCACATCTGCAGCTGTAGATGTTTCAATTCCTGTTTCCACGTCATTTATGTCATCCAAAAAACTGCTAGATTCAGCTCTTGCTCTTTGTGATTCTTCGGGAGCTTGAATTTCTATTTTCGGTTGATCCGAATCTTGCGGCCTCAATTGAGCTACGCTAGGCTCGTTTTCGACCATAGTGTCTTTAATTAGATTTTCCATAGCAAGAGTTTCCAGATTACTTTTCTCTACCACTTGAGGACTCTCTTCATCCTTGTTCAAAGCTTTCTTCTGCTTCTGCCTCTGTTTCTTCTTCTGGTTCTTCTTTTTCCTGGCTTCGGGACCCATATTTCAGCGGCAAGCACAACCCCTTTAAATCCGCTAGAATGAAACTAGATGGTGTTCCAACCAAAGCTCGTCGATGTTCGATTCGCTCCGTTTACCTGGTTTGGTTTTGAACGGCTGTTACTGATCTAAAAGTATATACGTGAGCTCGCCACCTTTTTCGTTCATAAATTGGTCACGTGATATAATTGTTCAAAGCCCAGCTTTAAATGTTAACAACGGATCAAAACCCATTGATGATAGCTTGTTTGATGTTAACTATCACGGATTTTTGAAAAGAGGGAAAAATGGCTGACAGCTGGTAGGCTGAACTCGTATGTGCACGGCTCCTATTTGTATGCTTGGAGAACAAGCTTTATATATTTCCAGTCACGTGACAAATTTGAGTCGGAAATCTTGTTGTGGACTCGCGGATCGATTCGAGGATCGACTAGATGGCAGATCTAGACGTCGCAAGGAATCGAGGCCGAGATGGACCCAGTGTGCTCTCTAGGAATGCAAAAATGGGAATCTTTTCCAAATTTTACTTTAAGATGTGAATGGACGACATTGATTCTGTAATACGATCCGCTTGAATCTGTGTGCACTTGAAAATGTAACAGTTCGTTGTGGAAGAATAAGAGTCAGAACTTGAATTTACTTCAACTGGGGATTGTTACCAGATAGCTGGCTGTAAATGTTAATTCATTTTACAGTCTCAGTCAAGCTCTTCACAGAAGTAGGCCAATAGCAGAGGCACGGTCTCGAAAAATACTTAAACAATGCCCACAATAGAAGCAGAAGCATCCAAAGCTTTCCCAAATTCAAATGACGCATTCGTCAACTCCATGCCTGAATACTGATTTCCCAAAATATATATATATATGTATATATATGTATAGGTAACGATAATGTGCAATAAACTTCTCCTTAATATACAGGCTTAACTACACCTTATGAAATAAAATTTGGCTACGGTCTCCAGCGAAAGGGGACTAAAAAGATGCTCAAAACAACAAATAAAACCACCTAGTAGTCTTCAAAATAAACCGGTGCCTGACATTTCTTGCAATAATAAAAGCGAAGAAACACGATTTAGATAGCTTCTTTGGCTAAAATCGAAGAAAATTAAAACTAAAAACTACATAAATTACGCCCTTTTCAGTCAGTGATAACACGCGGGCCAAACAACTGTGAATTGAGCCTCTCTTGAAGAGTGCCAGGTCCAACATAGGCGCTCTGTCCCGACCGTACAAAACGACATAAGATACTGAAAAGTTTGAAATCTTACAATGAGATGTGCGATGAGCTGGTCGCAGGTAAACTACAACTGGTGTCTAGAAGGGTGAAACCGGTACGTGATACCACATTAAACGATGGGTAGACGAGGGAATGGCCCTAAAAATAACAAACAGAAATTGGCTCCGGAAAAAGAGCGTTTTCTACAATGTTGTTCGGACATTACGCTAGAATTGACTAGCTCTTTGACCTCAGCATCATCTCGAGAAATCAACTTGAATGGCCTGATAACGAAGTACTCTAAGAAATACAAGTTGAAACAACAGCCTCGTTTGACCGATGTGATCAACTCGATTCCAGACCAGTATAAAAAATACCTGCTGCCGAAACTTAAGGCGAAGCCCGTCAGAACTGCCTCTGGTATTGCTGTTGTGGCTGTTATGTGTAAGCCCCATCGTTGCCCACACATAGCTTACACAGGTAACATATGTGTGTATTGTCCCGGAGGACCAGACTCGGATTTCGAATACTCAACACAGTCGTACACTGGTTATGAGCCGACATCCATGCGTGCCATTAGAGCTCGTTACGACCCTTACGAACAAGCGAGAGGCCGTGTAGAGCAACTGAAGCAACTTGGCCATTCAATCGACAAGGTAGAGTATATTATTATGGGAGGAACGTTCATGTCTTTGCCAAAGGACTACCGTGAAGACTTCATTGTAAAGCTCCACAATGCTCTTTCGGGTTTCAACGGTAACGACATCGATGAAGCCATTCAGTATTCACAACAAAGTTTGACCAAGTGTGTCGGAATCACAATCGAGACAAGGCCCGACTATTGTACAAGGACGCATCTGGATGATATGTTGAAGTATGGCTGCACGAGACTGGAAATTGGTGTGCAATCGCTTTATGAAGATGTGGCTCGTGATACTAACCGTGGCCATACTGTCCGCTCGGTTGCAGAAACCTTCTGTGTGGCTAAAGATGCCGGCTATAAAATTGTATCCCACATGATGCCCGATCTGCCCAATGTTGGAATGGAAAGAGACATTGAACAATTCAAGGAATACTTTGAAAATCCTGCGTTCCGCACTGATGGGTTGAAAATTTACCCAACGCTAGTTATTAGAGGGACAGGTCTGTACGAACTTTGGAAAACAGGTCGTTACAAGTCGTACAACGCGAACGCGCTGGTTGATCTGGTGGCTAGAATCATGGCTCTCGTTCCACCTTGGACAAGAATCTACCGTGTGCAAAGAGATATACCAATGCCTTTAGTCACATCTGGTGTAGACAACGGTAACTTGAGAGAATTAGCATTGGCCAGGATGAAAGATTTCGGAACTACCTGCCGGGATGTTCGTACCAGAGAAGTAGGCATCCAAGAGGTTCATCATAAAGTTCATCCTGACCAGGTGGAGCTTATTAGGAGAGATTACTGTGCCAACGGTGGCTGGGAAACGTTTTTGTCCTATGAAGATCCGAAACAAGACATTTTGATCGGTCTGTTAAGGCTCAGAAAGGCTTCTAAAAAGTACACTTACAGAAAGGAGTTCACCTCGCAAAGAACGTCTATTGTAAGAGAACTACACGTATACGGATCTGTGGTGCCCCTGCACTCTAGGGATCCTCGTAAATTCCAGCATCAAGGTTTTGGTACGTTACTGATGGAAGAGGCTGCTAGGATAGCCAAAGAAGAGCATGGATCAGAAAAGATATCAGTAATCTCAGGTGTAGGTGTTAGAAATTACTACGCTAAACTGGGTTACGAACTTGATGGGCCGTATATGTCTAAAAAGCTATAGCCTAGTAAATTCTCGCGGACCTCTCTCCTGGTTTATAGTCATGTTTTTGGTAATAAGATGCAACGTCATCAAAGGTTTTTTTCAACGCACATAAGCTTTCCGAGCCAATATTTTGATAATGGAAGGCAAGCCTGCCATCAAACAGCCTTAGGCCGTTCTGCTCGCCTATCTCCAGAAATTTGTCCAGGTTGATGCCTGATTTGGCCAAGTCAACAAAAATGAAATTGGTTTCAACCGGATGTGCCAGCTGTAAATTCATTCCGTAGTCTCTCTTGATAGTGCTGTGCAAATCGTGCCAGAACGCCCTTGTTGCTCGAGAGACTTCTGTGATCGTTTTTGGGAAATTGCTGTTCAAACAGTGATTGGCGATACGAGCGATGAACCCGGCCTGTCTTATTCCACCACCTTGCTGTTTCTGCAGATGGCGGGCTTTAGCTCTGAAGCGGGGACCACCAACCAGCATAGATCCAATGGGGGCCCCCAAGGACTTGGAGAAACAAACAGAAACGGAATCAACTAGAGCTGCTATATCTCTCAGATAAGTTTCTGGGCTACGATCGCTGGACGCACAGGCAGCGTTCCAAAGCCGGGCTCCGTCCAAATGCAATTTGATGCCTTCTTCGTGGCACCAGTCACTGATACGCTTGAGTTCGTCGTAAGGAAAGCACATTCCGTGTAGAGTATTCTCCAAACAAATGAGCTTCGTGGGAGCAAGGTGGATGTCGCCAATGTCCGGTACGTAGTTCTCTTTTATATCTTCAAGTGTCAAAAAGCGATCGTTTGATGCCTTTACCGGCCTCACCAGCGCCTGAGAAAGCACTGCGATTCCGGCGCCTTCGTCAACGTATACATGTGCTCTGTCGTCGCATAGAACGCTGTATGGGGGAGCAAAGTTCAGGTGAGTTCGGATGGCTAGCTGATTGGACATGGTCGTCGACACGCAAAACAGGCCCTGAGCCTCTAAATTGCCGTACATACGGCCACCCAAAAGCTCTTTGGATACTCGCTGCTCGAGAAGAGTCGTGTCTCTGTCCTCTTCGTAGATGGAGTCGCCCAAAGACGCCTGTGCCACGGTTTGCCATATTTCGGGCGTAGGAATGGTAAAAGTGTCGGAACGGAAATCGCCCGACGACGACGTATATTCTGGGACCACGGACATCAATAATTGAAGGTTTAGAGGTATTTGAGAAGGATTGATGCCTGAGTTGGACTGATTGTCTACCAAGAAGCGCGTCAACTGGGTCCTAATTCAAATACTTAATCGTCAAGTCGTAGTATGTCTCATTTCGGAAAGATAAGAAAACTTATCTAGACAAGATAAAACACCAAGAAAGAGGCTATAGAAAGTCAGTACGTCAAGCAACGGACTGGAGTCAACTGGGAAACTCTCCCATCGGATCGAGATTTTGTCTTGTGTCGTGTAAGAATGTATTGGTTAGATGAAGGATACCGCTATATGCAAGAACTGGGGCTTTTGAACCAAGTTTCTGGCTTGAAAACCGATGATGATCTCAGCATCTGTTTGTTTGTTACTCGCTCTTGGCATGGTCAACTTTAGCACTGGGTTGTGAAGCCTCGTAGGATCCCAAAAACTGTGTAGAATAGTTTGTGCTGATGGTGCGTGAGGAATGGATCAGCTCCGGAAACACCTTCCATCTCCAGCACAGAGTGTAGTCGTTTGACTGACCATGAGTCAAGATGCGCAAATATTCGAGGTGGACGATGTAAAAATAGACGCCAGAGCCCGTGAGAAGGTGCCACCAGGAGTGCAGTTCCAGAAAGACCCCCAAAGGCAGATTTAGAAACGTTCTGCGAACGAAAATCCAAAAGGAGCAGAAATGCACGTCCAGTTGCCACAGGAAATACCCCAGCAGGAAGATGGAGATACTGAGGGCCATCGTGTTGCGCAGATTGCGTTTTGCCAGCGGATCGTGCACGTATTTGGAGGCCATGGCACCTGCGGAGAACACCACTATCACGTTGAGCACAGCGTACGCGGTCTGGTGGATCGTGGGGTCGCGGTACAGCATATAAACCACGGTCAAAATCCCCGCGGAGCCAAAAACGACGGCTCCAATGATGCTTTGTCGAATCAAAGAGGGCGTTCCACGAGTGTTGTTGCGCAAAAGATGTTGTTCCTCGGAAAATATGCTCCATGCCGGGATGCAGGTAGCGTAGATCATGGGCAGCTCGTCCAGAAGCTGGTATTCGTACCGAAGCGTCATGTGGAATAGCCACGATCCCACGCCCACGGTGCCCAGACCCACTCCTATCATCACAAACCGTTTTTCAAGTTTGTGGTAGTACGCAGACCATGTTACGTACATCGCCAGCGCCACAAATGCGCTGTTTGTAATAGTGTTGGACCACTCTGCCACGAAAGGCGATACCACGTAGTTTTCCTCGCACCAATCGATTGTCGAGGTTGGTTTTCCCCAGTAGCCAGTCTCCAGAGGCTCTGGGTATTTCTTGAATATATGCTTAAACATTATATAGAGCACTTGGCTGACAGGCGGATACCGAGACTACAGATACTTGACAAGCTGTGTGCTTCGAACTATTTATATGAGTGTGGAAGATCAGTAATGCTCGTACAGATCTGTATAAGACAAGGAGGTAAGGTGACAGTGTTCGTTGCGATGTCATATCTAGAGGGATTTATATAGTAGAAAAAGGAAGCCTGTCAGCGACAGATGAGAACAAAATGATGTTCTTAGCCGATACCTTTCCGCTGACGTGAATGCTTGCGAGGGACAGGGGGGAATGGCGAATTAGCTGTTGTAGATATCTAGTAAATTTCAAGGTTATTTTCCAGTAGTAGTTTTATTAAGATTTGGTAAAGTTACGGCTCACTCGTAGCTTTAAAATGGGATCAAAACGAGGTTTTATGAGTAAGTAGACTTAACACGACAGAAGAACTAAGGTTTTGAAAACACAACTAACAAAGCACTGAAAAGACGTGTGTATTTCTACTGAGCGTTTCCTCTCTTTTATGCTGTTCAGGAACCAAAATGAAGTCTCTCACACACCATTTACTAGATGACAGATGGTTTTCATGACATTGGAATGCTAATGATTGAGAAACTCTCGGTCGGCCGGTACAATCCTTGGGAACTACCCAACTGTTCAATATATACAGAAAATAACTCTCGTCGAAGTGTAAACTTCTTTTACTGAAGTTTCTTGCAATTCTGCTTACAGGACGAATTATTATAAAGTATCCAGAAAGACGCTTGTAAAATGCATTAGAGTTTTTTTAAATGTCCTACATTTTGTAGAATTGAATCTTGGATCTCTCAGGCTTTATACATTAAGAAGTCTACCCAGCTTCCTCACTTTCTCACTCTAACTCGGATGTCAATACCAGAATTACTAGACTTATAGAAGCGAATACTGGCAGAAGACATTATCTGTATCATACTACAGACTTTTCAATCTATCATACCCACCGATCTCTCCCAAACTCAAGGTTCCTTCTACTTTTGAAGATAAACTTATATTGAATATTATCATCACAGAATCCTACAAAAGCCATTCCAAGAACTTATTCCATGCGCCCTCTGGGGGCACTCTTTTAGCGTCCAGCTCCTTGGTTTCCTCTTCGATCTCGGCTAGACCAGTCGTAACGTCGATTTCAGCAACTGGGTACATCCATGTGGTCCATGTTCTGGTGTAAATCTTGTGTCCGAGCCACAATGCCAAGAAAACTGGCAAGGTAATGTAAGCCGCAACGAAGTCTGCAGTCTTCCAGTATTTGGGAATGAATGACACGTACCCGTTGGTCAAACAAATGATCGAAACCACCACCAGGAAAAAGTATGTGCCGTAAGGTTGGAACGGAGTCTTGAATGGCACACGTTCGTAAAGCCCACGGAAGAAAACGGCCTTCCTGAATCTCAGATAAGCCACACCGATACAGATCCAGCCGATGAAACCTGAAATTGTAGAAATGTTAGAAAGCCAGTTGAACCCATTAGCAGCGCCTGCCGACACGTTCAGGAATGCAATGCACGAAAGAAGGGCACTGATTCCAACCGCATTGTAAGGAACACCGAACCGGTTGATCTTGGCGAAAAAACGAGGAGCAGTTCCCTCTTCAGCCATTGCGAGTAGCGATCTGCTGGCTGCAAAGAGAAACGAATTACCTGAAGACCACGCCGAGGACAATATACAGGCGTTGATGATGTGAGGAAGACCTTTTATACCGGCGTTCTGAATACCAATGACAAAAGGCGAGGACGCAGCGCCCGATTTCCCCTGGTCAAGAGCAGTAGACAGCACCTTGTCATTGTAAGCGACAATGACGCCAATTGCTAGGGCAGAGGTGATGTAGAAGAAAATCAAACGGTAAACGAAACGCTTGGATGCCTTGGCGATGTTTCTTCTGGAATCGACGGCCTCAGCAGACGTCAGGGCAACCAATTCCGGCCCCAGAATGAATGCGAATCCGCCCTTGATAACTCCGGTCCACACGTCCAAGAAACGTCCTGTGTTGCCGGTGGTGATGTGGTAGGCAAAAGCGCCTGGATGTTGCCAGTAACGGAACCCCAGTCTGTCGTGATTGGGGCCACCGCCCCAGAAAAGGATAAATGACACCATTAGCAGACCCACAATGCAGAGAATCTTGATAATGGCGAACCAAAATTCACTTTCACCGTAGTACTTGACGGCCCCGAAATTCAGCAACGTAACCACTGCAAGGAAAATGGCAATCCACCCGCCTGACGGTACGGCCGTGGTCCAGTAAGTAACTACGCCAGACGCTGCGGTACACTCGCTTGCGACCAGCACAACATAAGCATAATAGTAGTTCCAGCCCGTAGCGAACCCAAGTGATGGGTCCACGTATCTGGTCACCAATCTTGAGACCGACCCACCCATGTCGCTGCCCGTACCCGGCAGAAAACACACCATCTCTCCCAGAGCGTTCATCACGGGATAGATGACCATTGAGATGATCAGATACGACGTTAGCAGACCTGCTGGTCCGCACTTGTGAAGCGACGAAGACGTACCCACGAACAAACCTGTTCCAATACATCCACCGAGGGCGATCAATTGGATATGGCGTGAATTCAAACCTTTCTTAAGCGTGTGCTGTGGCTGTCCGTTTTTTGACGTTGAGTTGAGCGGTGATAGCGACTCTACGTCGAGCTCGAAAACCTGTCCAGTCTGTTTGTCCACGATGCTGGTTTCCCCAGCATCTTTCAAGTCTCTGGAGGTAGACATGATAATGGCGATGGTGATATTATAGCTGCAGAAGGCTCTGGTTCAATTGTTGTGTGTCAAGAACATTTAGTCAACGTCCAAACCCTAGAGTCCAGCTAGCGAGGTATACTTATATAATTATATTTACAATGCATTTATCGATACATCCATCTTTCCTGCTTCTACATCAAGTCTGTAGTAGTACTCACCAAGTAAGCTATCGGCAAGGGCAGCCCACTCAATGATAGTACGACGTCCATATCTCCTGGTAGAGCGTTTTGACATTTCTCGAGAACGAGTTTTGTTTTCTCATAGGAGAAGTCCGGAGAGATAGAGATAAGCAACGTAATTGTAACTAAAAAGTGCCGTGAGTGTGATACACTGAAAGGTGATTGTGATGATAGCACCCGATTCGGAATTGGGGAGCCTTATGAACCACCTGAAAAATCTCTATCTCGTCTTTCGAGGCGTATCTCGCTGCCGAACGATGATGCCAGGACGAGTGCTACGGTGACGACAGAGAAGTGACAACTGAGAAACGCCGTTTTTTCAAGTATTCTGTGGGAATAGTGATAAAGAATCGCGTGAAGGTGAGGAACTCCCGCTACCGCGCGGAAAAGCTATCCCGAGCCATTCAGTGTTCTTGAGAGAAGCTTTCAAGTTGTCTGACAGTGTACTCAATATATGAATTACTTCTATAGAAATTTTTCACGTCGTCATAGAAGAATTAGCAGAGTTGAAGCCAAAGTGAAGTGAAGTAAGCCCAAGTGAACAAACAACTGGGCTTCTTGAAGCGTCTCTGTCTGGTCCCTGGAAATTAACCCCGCAAGCCCGATCTCCTGGCAATGCAACCGCGAACCCGCGAGGTCGGGAGAATTTGAAATCTGCTCTCGGAGTTGCGAGGTTACTGTTCAGGGTTTTGCATCGCGGTACAGTGGACTGGAATAAATTGAGAACGTTTTCTTGGCTTCCTACAAGTCTCAGGGTAGGGCTACCGTAATGTTCCTGTGGAGAGCATTAACTCGCTGGAAGTCGTCCCAAAAAAAAAAAATCCATGCTTTTGATCCTCAAGGTATGGGTCAGGGACAGCCATACAGCAACTGCCCCAGCAATTGCACCATGTTCCAGGTAAGGAGCTTCCCAAGCATATCTTAAGGTGGAAGACTCTTTCTTCACCGTGTCCTCCTTCTTGCTTAACAATTCCGAGCGGGAAAGTGCATGGAATAATATCCACACGGCTCGCAATCGGGTTATCCGCGCGTCACAGCGAATATTCATCTTGCACGTCGTCAGATGTATCACTTTGTACTATTCTGACGCTGTCCGCGGAAATTATGCATCGCTGAGGTACCTACCAACCCGCAAAATCTGAGAAATCTACTACGGGAACGCCATGAGAGAACTACCAGCAAGTGGGCGTTCACGTCTTACATGTCTTGGTAAACGATGAAAAATCTTGAAGCGCTTTGTCGGACTCGCTTTTCATCGCTGTGTTTCCCATTGTATGAATTCTAGTTGGAGGGTACAACCATGCTTCGACTGAAGCAGCTAAACAGTATTTACATCAATACTTGCTTCCCTGGTCCAGGATTCGACACCCCTCTGCTCACTACAAAGATGTCACTTTGTCCCACACTGACACGCCTCACGAATTTTCTGCTGCTTCATTGTCCAAATCTCCAACTTGTCAAGCGAGCATCCAGACCAGTTTCCAAGTACAGACAAACTTGCCCTCACTCTCTTCATTTTTTGACCTTACTGCTGCCAATGTATTGTTCCTGTAGCAGCATCCTGTACATTCTCGGAATTGCAGCACTACTATCAAAAATTGAGCAAATGCGACCAGGAAAACGGCCTTTTTAAGCCGAAAAATAGCACTACCAGCTTGAGTATTTTTCCAGGTCGTAGATGTCTTAATCGTCAATACAAAACGTCTCCTTCTGTTAGGTCTTCCCCTCGGTGACTGAAACTCATCACCACTACGTAATTAAATTGAAATTAACGATATTTTTAGATGCACACATACAACAAACAATGCAAACCATTATTCTACATGAACAGGAAAACCACCAATGGGACGTAGAAAAATAGCGATTGAACCCATCGTTGACGAGCGAAACCGCACGGTGTATGTTTGGAGACTTTTTTGGCGGCGAAAATCGGGTGGAATGCGCCCATTTTAGAGTCTTTCGAGATACTAACATAAAACCACGACTTTGAGCAGAACGTTCATAAAACGGAAAGCTGGTCTGTTCAAGAAAGCACATGAACTGGGCGTTCTATGCCAGGTGGACATTGCAGTGATTATTCTGGGGTCCAACAATACCTTTTACGAGTTTTCATCGGTAGACACAGATGACCTTATTGATCACTACCAGAACTCCAAGCTGCCGCACGACGTGAAAGGGCCGGCAAACTATGGGAATTTCAGCAAGAAAAAGCGGGTTGTTATCCATAACCGAGCCAAACGGCGGTTTGGTCGCGCTTCGCCCGACACAAATAGTGCAGACGACAAGGACGACAGCAATGAAGCAGGAGACAACGACGCAGACGATCTCGGGAGACCCTTCCAAGGCAGCGTACAAGGTCAGAACGACAATAGTGAGCAAAATCTCGACGACGAGGACGAGGACGATGACGATGATCCCGAAAACAACAGTATTTGTGAGTCCGAGGGCAACTCCGAGAGTGGGGTGGTGCCCGGAGTAGGGCAAGCCCGCAAACCGACCAGAAAAAGGCTTAAAATCTCTGCTACACCGTCTTTTCCCAACGCTCCGGCGGCCAGGTCCGGCAAAAACCCGTCTTTCAACTCTCTCCAACAGCAAGTGCAGCGTCAATTTCACAATCTGTATGCTGTCGCATCAAATCCGGAAGCTTCCTCGTCTTCCGGCTTTGCACATTTCGGTACCCAACCGAACTCTTCATTCTCAAGATCCAGCGTGCCCGGCTCATATGCCAGAGGGTTTAGTCCAGCGGCAGGCGTTGCGTACGGCGGAGCAGCTTACGCAAACACAAATCCCAATGTCGGGCTGCGATCTACGTCCATCCCAACGGGGATAGATCGTGGAGGCGTTCAAACAGTACCGAGGACAAATCCACACGGGTCGTCACTCATCGACGACACGCCTTCGAGATCCGATTCCCGCTCGCTTCCGCAATCGAATCCTACCACCAGTGGCACCAACTCGAGACCCACCCTGCGCGTGCAAATTCCTTCCAGCTCAGGTACCGCCATTAAAAGTGAGCCATCCTCAGCCATATCTCCCAATCGCACCAATGTCAACTCCTCTTCACAGTTTGCGCGCAGCAATGCTGGCCATATCGAACTGCCGCACCCTACACAGTCCAAAAACAGCACACCGCAGTCGGCCCACGCCCCGATTGTAAGTCCCGGTCTCGATCGCAGCGACAAAACGCACAGTTTCTTACCATCAGCCGGCGGCATTGGCGCTGCCAACCCCGGGAACGGTTTCCTTTTCAACGGACTGCCGTCTGCACTCAACGCATCACCCTCAATACAGCAGTATTTCGCAACGCCAGTGCAACCAAACCCGACAGGAACAGCTACCAGCACGGCAGGGTCGATAGTACCGTCAGTATCACACCCGAACGGGTATCTGATGCAAAAACATATTCAGATGGCTCAACAAGAGCAGAATTTACGAACGCAACATGCAGCGGGCGGCGCAGAACCTACGTCGGGTCCCTTGACTGGGCTGCCCTCGAAGTTTGCTAACGATCTGATAGTAGCGTCGCCGAACACATCGATGTCGATGTTCCAGGACTGGGGTTACGGTCGTACGGGAAACGGCAACAACAGTTCTGGGGCGCAGCCTGGAGGAGCGACTACAGGTGCGCCCTCTGGTGCTGCAAACAACGGTGGCAGCGGCTTGACACCGTACATCAACGTGAATCAGACGCCATTGTCGAGCAAGTATTTTATATTCGGAGACCCGAACGACGACAAGAATAAGAAGCCCTGAGGTTATATGTCACAGCACACCACGCTACGTTACTTCAAGCTACAGAGGCGAATAGGTGGGTGCTTTTTCGATAGGGCGACGTAAGGTTGGAAAACCAAACGTGAGCGTTCAAAAATCACCGGAACTTCAATCAGATTAGTTCGACAGACACTACACAAGCTGAATACCCCAGTTTCTCGACCTCATTACCACATCACATCATTTGAATATTCTAAGAAACCCAACCGACCCACCCATACACAACAGTCTCATTGTTCTGTGACATCCTAAGTGCCATCGCTGCTTCCCGTATATCTTCTTGTTCTATAATGGCGTAATGAAAAATGACATACCTAAAGTCAGAGTTGGACTGCTCTTTACCTGCACACCCACACACCCAAAAGTTCCAGAACTTTTTTGAAATTTCGAGTGAAAAATATAGACATAGGTTTTGAGTCGCTTGGGAAAAGTCACGTCGACTGACCCACGCAACTCAAAGTGAGCTAGGCGGACGCTGCCCGGGCGCTAGGCAGAGCAGCCTAGGCTGCTAGGCTGCTCGCGTTGCATCTCTGCCTAGCTCTCGGCAGGACGCTAGGCTCCACCCCGTCTGTCCAGCCTGGACTTCCTTCTAACTTCCCTGCCTAGCCGTCCTGCCTAGCCTGTCTCAGGCCCTCTGGGAAAAATTATTCACCATCATAGTGGAAAATCACCAATTTGACGTGAATAATATCAAGACAATTCACAGTTTTGGATACCCATCAGAAGACTAAGGACAAGTAAGCCAAGATGAAGGTATGTGAACGGCACAATGAGCCAACGATAGCACGACTTGCGAAGAGACGAATGTTTGAAATTTCCCAGTTTGAAGCGATCCCAAATGGATGAATACTGTGTGATACTCGACAAATAATAATGAAGCTGGCAACGGACGCAGTGTTGACCAACACGACGACAGAGGATAACTACAGCACTAGCACAAGTTTTGTAGACCAGTGGGATTTACAGCGTTTTGAAAACTATAGAATTTGGTGGGGAAGGTGGAAAAGCTCGTAATGTCGATAATGTCGATAAAATCGCATGCAAGCCTACCAGAGCTTTTCGCCCTCGTTTCTCGCAGTGTCTTGGTGCTTTTGAATCTCTCGCCATATACTAACGTCATTTTTTTCTCGCAGTTGAACATTTCTTACCCAGTCAACGGTACCCAAAAGTGCATCGACATCGATGACGAACACCGTGTGCGTGTCTTTTACGACAAGCGTATCGGCCAAGAAGTCGACGGTGAGTCTGTCGGTGACGAGTTCAAGGGCTACGTCTTCAAGATTTCCGGTGGTAACGACAAGCAAGGTTTCCCAATGAAGCAGGGTGTCTTGTTGCCAACCAGAGTCAAGTTGTTGTTGGCTAAGGGTCACTCTTGTTACAGACCAAGACGTACCGGTGAGAGAAAGAGAAAGTCCGTCAGAGGTGCCATTGTCGGTCCTGATTTGGCTGTCTTGTCTTTGGTCATCACCAAGAAGGGTGAACAAGAGCTAGAGGGTATCACCAACGACTCTGTTCCAAAGAGATTGGGTCCAAAGAGAGCCAACCACATCAGAAAATTCTTTGGTTTGACCAAGGAAGACGACGTCCGTGACTTTGTCATCAGAAGAGAGGTCTCCAAGAACGACAAGACCTACACCAAGGCTCCAAAGATCCAGAGACTTGTCACTCCTCAAAGATTGCAAAGAAAGAGACAGCAGAGATCCTTGAAGGTCAAGAACGCTCAAGCTCAAAGAGAAGCTGCTGCTGAGTACGCTCAATTGTTGGCCAAGAGATTGTCTGAAAGAAAGGCCGAGAAGGCTGAGGTCAGAAAGAGAAGAGCCTCTTCTTTGAAGGCTTAAATTCTGATTTAATCTAATTAAAGCTACCCGACACCTCGCTATTGCGAGCTCAAATCATTATCTAGAAGCCGACCAACATGAAAGATATACTTATCTCGGAAAGGTGTGTATATTTCTTGATAGTTTAAAATACTGTGAACTTATAAAAAACATAGGAAATGGCAAAAGCCCCACCTAAGCATCCCACACCGAGCTCTCCGCAATGGCACACGAAGTTCGTGGATCAAACTCTTATCTTTGATGTATAATAAGCGTTTATTTGTGACTCGAATATGTGTCTTTAATTACTTCGCGGCTTCATTACATGGTGACCAGTTCTTCAGCACTGGTTGGATGAATGGCAACACATGAATCAAAGTCAGCCTTTGTAGCACCCATCTTGACAGCAACTCCGAAACCTTGCAAAATTTCGGCGGATGAGTCCCCGACAATGTGCAAACCAACAACTTTCTCGTCTTCACCGGCGCAAACCAACTTGTAACTGGTAGGCGACTTGTGTTCCAGCATAGCATAGTACATGGCAGTGAATTTACTGTTGTAAACCTTGATGTTGTCTTTACCATACTTCTCAATGGCTTCCTTTTCGGTCAAGCCAATGGTACCAGCTTCTGGGTGCGAGAACACCACACTTGGGACGTTTTCGTAATCCTGCTTCTGATTGGCAAACTTCTCGGGGCCAAACAGCCTGTTTGATAATTTTCTACCAGCAGCAATAGCCACAGGGGTCAACTCGACCTTACCAATGACATCTCCCAACGAGTAGATGTTAGGTGCTGAGGTGTTCTGATACTCATCGACGATAACTTGCTCTTTGTCGTTAAGCTCGACTCCAACGTGTTCACAGCCAAAGCCCAATTGGGTTTTACGACCAATAGTCCATAGCAGCTCGTCTACTTCGGAGATATTTTCTCCGTTATCCAAGTAAACCGTTAGTTTGCCCGTAACATCGGATTTTTCCACTTTACAGATCTTGGCGCTCTTATGAATGTTAATGCCTTCTTTGACGTAGTGATCGGTAATAGCAGTTTGAATGGAATCGTCAAACTTACGCAACAAAGTCTCACCCCTGATCACCATGTGAGTTTCGGTGCCCAACCCGTGAAACACACCAGCCAACTCAACGCCAATGTAACCTGCACCGGAAACCACAACCTTCTTGGGTTGCTTTTCAAGTTTGAAAAACTCGTCAGAGTCAATTCCCAATTCGTAACCCTCAATACCGTCTGGCTTGATTGGAGTACCGCCAGTTGCGATCAAAATGCGGTCGGCTGTGAAAAGTTCCTTGGTGCTGTCGAGCTTCGTCACCTCGACCTGACCGTCTTTGTTAAATTTAGCCCAACCATACATAAAATCCACACCTTCTTTAGCCAAATTACGTTCATAAATTCCGTTCAAGCGCTCAATGTAAGCGTCCCGTTTTTGTTTGAATTGAGCCCAGTTGAAGGTCAACTTCTCGCGAGTTAACTCGGTGCCCTGGAATAGCCCATATTCGTTTGCGTGGCTCAAACGAGTTGCTAGGTCTGAAGCATACCACATAACCTTCTTTGGCACGCAGCCTACGTTAACGCAAGTACCACCCATGGCTTTGGCCTCGATTAGCAAGGTCTTTGCTCCGTAAGAAGCTGCTCTTCTACTGGAGGCAACTCCACCGGAACCACCACCGATAACTAAATATTCGTAATGCTTAACGTTCGTCGACATATTTCTCAACGCTACTAGTCTAGAGACTTGTTGGATAAAGGGCATGCGAAGGATCTTCAGGAGAGTGGTAGATAGATGGATAAGCTATGGATTATTATTCTCGAATTTGTCAAGAGTCGAGGAATTTCAAGATTTTTGAGTCAATTTTCTAGTTGTACGGAACGAGGATCGAGTAGAATTATGAATAGAAGACGCTTTGTGGTAATGGTGCGACAGAGTCTGAATTAAATACACAATGTAGAAAGAGAGTTGTATAGCGGGCCCGTACTGATGCAGTCCGAGACACTGAGATGACTAGGTTGTGCATAGAGAACCTGGGTTTGTTTTTTTATTTTTTTTTGCCTGTATGGTAAAATCACAATTCTATAGCTGTCCTTGTTGCGCGGGAGTAATGGGCGTAGATCGAAACCATCTTCGAAGCTATCTTGTATGGTATTATCACAGGCGTGGCGTGAACTTTATGCGCAATTCGTCGAAAATTAGGCTTTAATTGAAGTAGTAATGCCAAAGGCATACTTTCCTTGAGAGAAGATTTCGGGACCAATGTCTATGCTTCTAGTGATAATTTTTGGTTCTGGTCGGACGTGTCCGTTAGGGACTCGTTTGACAAAAGTTTAGGTTTAGATGAACGAAGCGCCAGAAGATGCCTAGAAAATATCCAGATAGACCCCGCCAGACAACCAATGGTGGAACCCACACACAGGACAGAGTATATCACGCTCACAACGCGAAAAGCCGAAATGGGAACGTACTGATGATACTGCGCATATAGTTCCTTTGATCCTAAGGCCATTGTCCCCAAAGGAAATGTCATGGCCCACCAGCCCTTGTGGAAAGCGGTTACTTTGGGACCTGTGTGGCGGGACCGTAGTGTGCTGCCATAAGATGCAATCGCAGCAAACGCCAAAAGCGTAAAGAATATTCCGTTAGAAATTAATAGTAGGCTCAGCACAATACCACAGACCTTGAAAGACCATTTGACAGCAAGACACACCAGATAGATTTCACCGTCCGCAGCTGTGAATGGGTAATAGCGCTCTATGTAGCGCTTGATATTATCGGTGAACAACATGATTCCATATGCGCCTTGGCCCATGGGACCCACGACCAGAAACATGGTGAAGATCAAATTAAGTGGAGGAATTTTATTGACGTACAGGTTCCAAACATAAGTGCTCACGACCAAGACGGTGAGCAACAAAGCGTTAAACCAAATCAAAGCCGTCACGCCAAGTGTAAGGAGCTGGACATTGCGGGTTGTATTGTCAACAAATAGCTGGGACATCGTAAAAATACCGCTGCTGGATGTCACAACGACGAGTGGTACCACGGGGAGCAATAGTGTGCTTTGCAGTCGCTGCTGCATATTCTTGGTACACGGCTGCAGGTCAGAATCATCCCAGTATCGATTGTGTTTGAGCCAAATACAAAAGGTGAGGCCCCAGGCCGATCCCAGCGACAGCACGACACTAGTCCACCACAGCACGTACACGAAGATGACCAGACCGTTAGCCACGGATCGGCCTTTTAGCTCATCATTTGCGAGCTGGAAGATGTAGTTGATGATGGTGATGTAGCCCATCACCAGTGTGCCCCAGAACAAGCTGTAGGTGTAATCGAAGAAGTAGAGCCTCCCAAGGTTGCGTAGACTCCGTTCTCGCATGTGTACCACAGCTACGGCAGCTAGCATGGTGAGTAGCGTTACAAATAGAATGCACGCCACGGAAAACATGATATAAGAACAAATACGCAGCCATCGAGCGTCGTAAGGAAACGAGTGCAGAATGTTGGACGAGATGCCGGTACCCATCACGGTAACGAAGTAGAACGGGCTAAACTTATCCAGCAGCTGTCGTCTTGCTGAAACGGACATTTTGTGGCCTCAAGCAAAATTAGCAGTGCTCAGTATGATCTCAGCAGTCTCGGTGAGCCATCTACAGCCTTGTGGTGAAGCCCTGCGCTGCTAGTTCAGATCTTATTACTTGACTTTTTATATAATTAACATAAACTCGATAATTGTCACAAATAACATTCGCTTCGAAATGACTCACGGGGAACCTATCAATCTATCAATTACGATATTCAAGGTCCTAGCAACATCCAGAGCTGTACTCAAAAATGGACGAGAAGCTACGAAGGCTACATGCCCAGCCGTCGCTCTTCTGCACAATAAATGTCAAGAATATATTCCACGGGCTTCGTGGATACTATCTAGAACGCACTCAAAGGAGTACACCTAGTCTTGGCTGCCTCAAAAGTCCGGATCCGGTCTGAAAGAAGATGTGGTGGACCAGAGTGTCGACGAGCGAAGGTAGTTTGTCAAAGCGACTGCTAGAAGAATTGCGGCGTGTTAGGAGGCTGAAGAGCCAAAGGAAGTAAAAAAAAGTCCCCCGAGCTCAACGATTTGTGAGTAAACTATCAGTTTCAGACTCGCCGTGGATTATCTCGGGTTTCCTATCATAGAGCTTGGCTCTGTCGCGTTGGTGGAGTGGTGGTTCTTTGACATTTTGGTTATACGATGGTTTCCTATCATATGTAATAGGAAAGCATTCTAAACTTATCTTATCTTATCTAATTTGTGACATATTGGGTAAGATAAGGAAAACGTGACAATCACGTTTGAGATCTGTATTTGATGTTACCGCCAATCCACGACGTGAAGGAGGGCGAGAAAACGGAGAGCAAGGTGTAGACTAAGCTGAGCCGCTTTTAATGAGAGTGGTCTTTTGTTGCTGCTGCTGAGCGTGTTCTTCACCTTTCAAAACATCAAAAAGAGTGTAAAGAAAGATCACGCGACACATGTCGTATTAGTACAAAATGATCAATTTTGTTTCTCACATTTGAAGCCTGGCCGCGTGTGAGGGCAGTACAGCATGGCTATAGCTTTGACTCAGCTTTGTTTGAGCCCGATTAATGCAGCTTTGTGGCTCTGATGTTGGTGTAGTTTATTCATACTCAAGAAACAATTGGAAAATTCCAGTTACGACGATGACACTAGGGTGACAGAAAAGAGACTTTTCCATTGCAATGACTCTTCACCAACAGCTAACACTAATTTCCACGGATTCACTACGTTTACTGGCCCAAAAACGATTTGACAGGCTTACACATAAATTACGGGGAACTCGAACAATCTATATTTCTTATGCTCTGCATATCAAATGCGTAGAAAGAAAACAACCAAGACTCATCCCAGCAATAGTCCAATATATGTATAAATGTTTCTGATCAAAAATCAGTGCCTGCATAATCGGTGTTTCCACCAAGAGACATCCTATAGCACCCCACGCCTCTTCTACATTTCAAAGAAGCATGAACGACGTGGTGCAAATTGTCCCCACTCTGTAAAATGTCCAAATCCACTAACAAGATAAATTCTTCACCTCCCATTTTTCCATCTCGAACCGTTGGTGATCAGGTACACAATACCTGCCATCGAAGCAATGTCGCAAAACGCAAGACCGGTGAAACACCAGCCCACTCCCAATTCGTCGCATAGTTTAATAATTATAACTGAACTGATACCAGCCGCGAGGTTTCTGAAGAAACTGCCCAAGGCCACGGTTCCTGCAGCCCTCTTAGGAATGCATTCGGTCAGATATGTCATGCTTGTGTTTGAACACCACGTCATGCCAAACGCAGTGAAAAAAGAGAACACCAGCACGATTGCCAAGTGATGATGGAACTCAATGCTCCATCCGTATCCGACGCATCCACAAATGTTGAGAAGCAACCCCCATAATTGCAAGATGAGCCGCTTCTCGCCAGGAAATGTTTCGTTTGGGTGCCGTTTGACCCACACAAGCCTGAAATAATCAGAAAGGTGGCCACCTGTCAACGATCCAAGTAACAGAGCTATTCCAGGACACACATAACATGCTCCTATCTGTAAATTTGATAAATGGTACCTCTCGCGCAGAAAATGCGAGAACGTCACACTAAAAGCATAGTATGCAGCGAATAAAATGGCAGTTGTTAATGAGCACACTAAAACTGGAGGAAACGTTATCAAACTCCAATAGACCGTCAAGCTTGGTTTCGGAGGTCTTGGATACAATTTTTGGAACTCTGGAGACTCCGATACGGGTTTTAAAATCCCAATGTCACTGCATATCAAAACATTACCTTTTACCACACGTTTCCTCTCATATTTACCGCTCTTCAGTTCAGGATCGATCCATTTGGGGTCTCCGTTTCCAACAATACAACGAAGGGTCTCTGGAAGAAACACCATCACCATCAATAAACCTACTCCTGACATGATTGAAGTGAACCCAAACAGCCATCTCCAATACGATCCGTGCATTAGTATCAACCCAGAAATTATAGGCGCTAATATTGGGCCCATGTTTGGACCCAGCATGAAATATGCAATTCCCTTACCCCGCTCCTTTGGCGATCTAATGTCGCTAACGGTTCCAGCTCCCAAAGCCATTACCGAACTCGAAGCAAATGCTTGCATGATACGTAAAAAAAAGAGGGCACCCGTATTAGCAGGAACGGCTGCCAGTAGAACGTTAACGGTCACCGTCAGCAGTAACGAAATCATGTAAAGAATTTTGCGTCCTCCGAAGTCTGCGAAACTCGCCCAAATTAAGGGACCCACTGCAAAGACAGCCATAAAAACGGAAACTGTAGCATTAATGGCAGTAGCAGAGAGATTGAAAACGTTTTGCAAAATTGGTAACGCTGGGATGTAGATGTTCCCGGATAGTGGTCCCAGAAACCCAATGTACACAATGACGACAAATATGATAAATGTCTGCCGTTCTGAAAATGCTGAGTAACAAGGTGGTTTGTCCCCTTCCGGGAAATCCAGCTCCATTGATGGCTCCACCTTTGCTCCGTTTTCTGGAGTGTTGTCACTGGTAAAACCATTGACACCCTCTAAAGATTTGAATTCCGTAATCATTGGACCCTCGCTTGTGTCGACCTTATCGCTTTTAGCCACACCTCTTGTAGCTGGTTTTGCTTCAATACTGGTCTGGGAGTCATGTAACTCGGTATTGACAAGTTGCCACTCCGCGATCTCCTCGGCGCCAGGGTCTGAACTCTCTCGATAATTTTCTTCTGACATCTTGGTTGTAAGAGCGCTCAAATAGCGATTTTCACTGCAATGCCAGACCTCTAACGACTTTACTAGCGATCAGCGTAACCCTAGTGTGATTTGTGAATAGTCTCTCGGTTATTCACTAAGAAAGGTTGAATCAAACTTAATCTCTTTGTGAATATGTGACACTAAATACCTTTACTGACATCAACAAGAGAACACAGAAAAAACACAGAGCAGTTGGAAGTCTAAATAATATCGAATTTTATGACATTTAAGCTCTATAGGCCCGAAAAATAATATACATAGTTTGAACCAATGCCACCTTGATGTACCCACCGGAGAAAATGGAACGACTGACTTTGGAAGTTGAGCAGGCAATACAAACTGATCAACGGAAGTCAGTCTTACCATTACCACGTTTACCGCTAAACAAGTGTTTGGCCAAAGCAGCGGTCGAGTGCCTGTCGGATTCACCTTGTCTTGCGTCTCTGTTTCTGTCTCTTCTTTGCAGCTTGGCTAGTCTGTCAGTCTTGGATCTCATGGAACTGTCAGCAACACCATCCAGCAGTCTATCGGATTGTCTGAGCTTACCACCGTTGGAGGAAGTGTTCGATGTCTCAACACCTCCGAACACAACATCGGCACCAGTTTCCACGTATCTGTTCTTTTCAGCAGCAGCTTTTTGCTTGTCTTGCAAAGTGGACATGTCGTGTCCCAAGGAAGACATGTGTTTTTCCATGTCGCCGTAGGACTTCGAAAGTTTCGAACGAGGCATTATTGCGCGGTTCTTGAGCGCTTTACGGTTTCTAGCAGTTAGAATCATCTTCTTTTGTCTGTCTCTGATCCAAGCGGCCTTGTCCTTGATGTCAGATACCTCCTCAGAGGTGAGACCATCGTGGGTTTCTTCTCCTTCTTCATCGTCGGAATTGTAAAAGCCTTCAGCCTCAAGCTTCTCTTCTTCTTCTTCGAGCGCTTGCAGCTTGACAGCAATCTCAGGGTCCATGAAGTCGTAAACGTTCTTACCGTCCAAGAGTTCGGGCATGACGTCGTTCTTCCATTCATCATCCTCCAACAAGTATTTGTCTTTTAGGTTGATGTTGAAAACACCAGCGCCACCATTTTCGGCCTCAATGTCTCTAGCCAACTTTCTTCTGTTAGGGTCCTCTGCGTCATACTTGACCTTGTTCTTGACAGCATCAGGAATGTAAGGCGATCTATCGACACCGTCATCTCTGGCTTGAGGCTTCGCAACGTGGATCTTGTTGAGCACGTTGTTGATTCTGGCAGTTGATTTGAGCTTGTTTTCAATTCTGGCGGCCAATAGCTTTTCACAGGCCTTGTTTCTGACGGCCATGACGTTTTCTTCTTCAGTACAAGATGCGGGCATGATCTCGACGCCGGGCATTTCGGAGATGGTCTGCAACATGGCTGCACGCTCCTCGTCCAAATCATCAGGTCTGATGATATCAGTCTTGTTCATGACAACCATGACCGACTTGTTTGCAAACAAGGGCTTGATGGAATGAAACAATTTGACTTGGGCTTCAATGGTGAAACCACACTGCTCGGACAAGTCCATGAAATATAGCACACAAGAACGCAAATGGGCGATAGCGTAGATCGACTGCATTTCGATGTTGTTCATTTCTTCAGTTGGTCTGTCCAAAATACCGGGAGTATCGATGGCCTGGAATCTCAGGTACTTGTAGTCGAAATGACCAACGTATAGAGACTTTGTGGTGAAAGCGTAGGGCTGGACTTCAACGTCTGCTTTGGTGATGCAACGCAAAAACGACGATTTACCGACGTTGGGATAACCACAGATCAGCAAAGTTCTGGTGTTTGGATCGATCGATGGCAGTCTGCCCAAATGCTGACGCACCTGTTCTAGATACACCAAAGGGTCCTTGAGTTTTTTGACGATCGTGGCCATTCTACCCAGAGCGGCTCTTTTCAGCTGCTTACACTGGAACAACGATTGGCCGAACTTCAGCAGACGCAGGTAATCGCGCGAGACCTGCTCGATCAGCGTTTTGGCACGCGACACTGCGGCCAGCGACACTTTGTAGTGATTTTTCTCGTACAGCGTGTCCATCAAGTCTCTGTGGAACGGATGCACATCGTTAATGTTTGGGAACCCTTTCAAAAGGTCCTCGAACTTCTCTTCGAAACCCTCAGCAGTGTACTTGACCTTACGCATGTAAAAAGCACGGATTCTGGTGATTTTGAAGCCGGGTCTGATCACCGTGGGTGTCTTTCTCTGCGTTCTGTTGAGCACAACGTCCAGCAAGTCATTGGCCGTCGAGACCGTTGGGATATCTTTCCAAGAGAGCTGCATGGCTGAATAGAGTTTCTATGGGTCTAACACGACGAGGAAACACGGGAAAAGACTGGGAAGAGCGGGAGACTCGACACAATTATCTGGAGGTTCTAGTAAATTCTAGTGTGTGTGGTGGATATCAGTATAAGATCCACAACGGTAAGATATAGCTTCTCACCCTCTGTTTATTTAGGTGGAATGAGATGTTTAAGTCTAATAGTTGTAGCTCATCGCATCTTCTCATCGCTTTAATTTTCAGCTCATCGCTTATAAAAATTTTTCAGTAGGGACATAGAGTAAAAAAAAGAAGTCGAGATGAGCTAAACTGGGTCACATGGTTTGGTATCACGTTTTCCGATTCTGTCATCTGGTGTGCCAGCCGTCGCAGAGGTGGATTGATAGAGGTGGAGGATAGTAAGGGAATAGGCTGAAGTGGTGAATACAATGGACTAGCGTATTTTGTTTTCCTCCGATCTAGACATACGTCACAATTGCAGGAAATCTCGCCTTTATTGATGGTATGATAAGCCAAGTCTTGGGGTGCAATTTGTGACATTCGTGAGTAATTGTATAGGATGATTGTAGTTATCGATTAGGATTGCGTGCGAGTAGCCTTGCCTGGCGTAGAATTCTCAAGCGCTCTGGGTAAATGCGATCGAACCGCTTCTTGTGCTGGACAGGAAGCTCGATGCGAGTACGAGTACGAGTACATCGCAAGTTGGCCACGGCAGCGTCGCTGCATTGTTTTTGACCACTATCCTGTAATTTCACATTTCTTGACGTTCATCTACCCGCAATGGCTAGCTAGCGAACAGGTGAGTACCCGAAAAGCTACTCGTGGGGGTACTCGTGGGGTTCTCGTCCTTCAACACAGTAATTGCCGTTATGGTACTCGTACTCGTACTCGTACTCGTGCCTGTGCACCCGTCACTGCGAATCGTAGCACTGTGCTCACACAAATTGCGATGTCAAGAACCGGTCTTTTGAACTCTCTACAATGCCAGTCAGCCATTCCGATAGAGTGTCCTGTTGGAAGGTAATAAATATGTCTTTCAACACTATTGACGGACAATGGCATGGTCTTTGCGTCGTGTAAAGAAGGTAGAGATAATATATACATAGAAAGTTGATTTTTAAAATATCCACACGTCCAACATAGTCTCTCTTGCGCTTAATTTAGCTTTGTTTTCTTGCTCAAAGCTCCAAGGCTCCGGACTAATACACTTGTACATAGTGCTCGGGTTCGTGCACAATGCTGATTATTGGCGATAAGCTGTCATGCTCCATGCCAAAAGCTGATCGATGAAAGTCAACAGTCGATGTCCAGGATCTCTTTTTAGAAGTAGGTTTGGTTTTTTTTTGACTTGGCTAAATTTTATTTCAACTTGTCAAATATTGTGACGCTGGAATGAGAAACAGTGTCATCAGGCGCAGTGCGTGTGTGAATGAAAAACACTAAACAAGCGTAATTTCTACGCAACCAGGCGCTAATTCTGCTCTCATTAGAATATTTGTAGCCTCCATTGCCCAAATCACGGCTGTATTTCGTCTTCTAAAAGCGTTTTGGGTTCAAATCTCACAACGTACAAAGCGATATCTGGATCTCTATTTGGTGTACAAAAGTCTTGAATATTAGGAAACCGACCTACTCACCAACTTTCCAGACACGAATTTTAGATTTCAAGCCAAAAAGGTTTTCATCGCGCCTGAAATCTAGTTCCTAATGTCCAATCCTCAATCCGCGGTAGCGATTGCATCGCTGCTTCGCCGTAACAAGCTTTTGAAACAGAGACAAGGCTTGTCTCAGGCTCGACATGTGGATTTCTTTCGTTACAAGCGTTTTGTAAGGGCTCTCAAGTCTTCCGAATATAAGGCAAAGTCAGAGAACCAGCCCGATCTGTACCCTCCAGTAAACAACTTCGAAGACGCGAAAAACGTGTTCATCGAGCTCATCAAAGCCCAACTGGTCGTACCCTGCAAGAAACTGCACAGTGCTGAATGCAAAGATCACGGACTAAAGCCCAACAAGGAATTCCCCAATTTGCTACTGTCAGACAAGGCAATGCTGCAGCCCGATGAATACTACACCTGGAACTACAACCCCAAGACGCTCACGGATTATTTGCTGGTCGTGGGTATCGTTGTCGGTATTCTTGCCTTCGTGTGCTATCCGCTATGGCCATCGTCCATGAGAAGAGTGGTATACTACGTGTCTCTGGCACTCCTGGCGCTGATCGGACTGTTTTTCGTCATCGCCATTCTACGTTTTATCATCTATTTGCTGTCCCTTGCGGTCTGCAGCGAAAAGGGTGGGTTTTGGCTGTTCCCCAATCTGTTCGAAGACTGTGGTGTTCTTGAAAGTTTCAAGCCATTCTACGGGTATGGTGAAGTCGAGTGTTACAGCTACATCAAAAAGTTGAAGAGAAGAAAGCGCAAGACAGACAAAAAGGTACAGTGAACTCAAAACAAAAAACCGGAAAAAATAGCCTTGTATTCATCAATTGACTACATCCAGAGAGTAAACAAGCAAGATACCTACCTGACTATCGTCTCGCCCATGCTCGGGTACTAAGACTTGTTGCGCGACTCCGTCAAAACTCGCCAATTGCCAGCAGAGCCGGCCATGCACACCAACATCGCTGTCGACGGTATTGTGTACATTGTACGTTAATTAATACTTATACAATGATGATGAGCTAACCCACCATCAGTCAGCATTCTCCCATTCAGTGTCATCAGCACCATCGGTATGTCTCAGCAGCAGCATCTGAAGGGCTCACTCGAGTCCGAAACGAATTTTGAGGATGACTACAACGACGAGTTAATCGATGACGACGCTTCAACGGCAGTTCATTCAAATCCAGAACATGTTGTGTATTCTCGATCTACTCATAGTTTTGCCAATGACGATGCCACTACAGTTGGAAATGACGTGTCACATTTGGCAGTGCACGACTCGAGCCACAAACGTCGCCACTCTAACGACAGAATGCTTTCATTGCATTTAAGCCAATGGAATTATAACAACAATCGAGTGGGCTTAAGCCGCGGCATTCAGAATGCAGAAGAGTTGATCCAGCTGATAACAGATGAAAATGAAAGCAGACCAATACATGTCCCCTCAAAAGCCAACGACTGCGATCTTCGCATATTAGAAATCGACTTCAACCTCAGAGGAAACAAAAGTAGTAATGTCAAGCTAGACAAAAATGCAATTGCAAATTTATTTGCAGTGCGTGCCAAAACCGCATTGAGCCATCTCAAATCTTTACAAAAACGTGTCGATGACACTTCTTCCAAGGTCTTTATCACTGGTGATCTGAATGCCGGTAAATCCACATTCTGCAATGCCTTACTAAAACGGAGAATTATGCCTGTGGATCAACTGCCCTGCACTAACGTGTTTTGCGAAATTTTGGAGGCACGGGAGTACACAGAAGTTGAAGAAGTACACGCCATTCCCTTGGCAGTTGCCCCAACCGTCAAGGAGGCTACCGATGCATACAATATTAAAGACAAGTCTACTTACAGGGTCTACCCAATGAGCCAATTGTCAGACTTAGTGTATAGGGCAGACCTGTACTCACTGCTCAAAGTTTATATCAAAGATGACAAGAGGCCCGCCGATCTCAGTCTTCTGAGGAACGGAACAGTCGATATATCGTTGATCGACTCTCCAGGACTTAATTTGGATTCAATTCAAACCACAGAGGTGCTGTCGCGCCAAGAGGAGATTGACATGGTAATTTTTGTCGTGAACTCAGAAAATCAGCTAACACTATCTGGCCAGGAGTTTATTCAAGTTGCCAGCAGGGAAAAGAAGCTAATGTTTTTCGTGGTCAATAAATTTGATCAGATCAGGGACAAAGGACGTTGTAAGAAGCTGATTCTGGATCAGATCAAAAAAATGTCACCCGAAACTCATAAGCAATCTGATGAATTCGTCCATTTTGTCTCCAGTGAGTCGAGACCTAATTTCCCCGGCGGCAACGATCCTGACGACAATGGCAACGATGACGATGACGAATTTGACTCGAATGACCCTGATTTCGATAAGTTGGAGACCTCACTGCGCAATTTCGTGCTAAAAAAACGGTCCCTCTCAAAATTATTGCCTGCCAAGACTTATTTGACAAAACTCTTGAGAGATATTTCCGCTATCGCAAAATGGAATCTGGACCTCAACGACTCAGAAACTAAAAGCTTGAATGCCGAGCTGCACGAGATGAATCCTGAAATAAAGTCGACAAATGCTCAATGTCAGAAGTTGACTGACCAAGTCGACAAGATCGTCGAGGCCGCGGTAGGAGAGGCTTATGACTTCACGAAGCACAAGATCAACACTGCTTTGGAGCTTTCTATACGGGAATTTCCTGACTACGAAGGACTTTCAAGTATCTACGATTACATCTTCCGCTCGAGACAGTTCATTTTCGATCAAATCAAGGACAGCGTAGGAACAAGTGAGTTTAAAGCGAAAAACGATACTTCCCTCAGAGTTAAGGAAATTCACTCTCTAGGAAAGTCTGAGTTAGGAGAGGAATTCATGTCGAATCGGAGATTCAAAAGCGATTTGATGTTCACAAAAAAGAAGCATATGTCTTTGAAGGCACTTAATGTTCCCTTTGACGTCATGGATTTATTCTCTCCATCATGGAAAGGATTCCTTGGTTACCTCAGCTGGGGAATCTTTGGCGAGGATAGCCTTGTCGACAAAGAAATCGAGACTAACGAGTCAGGATGGAATGCCACTCTAGGCCTCGGCCAATATTCTTTAACAAAATATTGGACCAATCCTTCTCTCCTATTCACCTCTAAGATCCCGGCTCTTGCGGTATACTCCTGGGGTGGTACGCGTGTCTTCACCACTGTTCTGATGTATGGGTCGAGATTTTTCTCATGGCATTCGCTTACTCGCCTCTCATCGTCAGTCCTGCTTCTGGGCTCGGTGATGGGAATTGCGTATTTGATACATGATTTGCCGCGTGCCCTGCCGCTCAATTTATCTAACAAGTATCGGTCCAAGCTGCAAGAACTAGACTACGCGCATCGGAATGCCAAGCGGATTTCAGATGAAGTACGAGACGTGCTTAGGTTCCCATCTCGCGAAGTTGTCAAGTCTTGCGAAACGATTCTCGGTAAAAAGCAAGCCGCTAGGCGCGAGATCGAAGCCAAGCTACACGACAACATATTGTCAGTGAAATTTTTCAAAACCTTGTCTCATCGTGCTAATTCCCAAATCCAAGTGATTGAACAAATAGATTTGGACGTTGACTAAGACCTAGCGCCGTCTTGAAATCAATTATCCTGATATGTTCGGTTCTCTCAACACTCATGATCCTCGTTCTAGTTGTTGACCATATCCTGACAGAAGCATTCAAAGACGACTACGAAGTGACAGTAAAGGCTAAGATGATCTCGGGATTAATTTTGTTCGAGCGACAGAAGTTATCCCAACATAACCAATAACTCGGTTAGAACAACAACGATTGACAAGTAAGTTCCTTGGTCTTTGTAAGTGCTTTGCTTACTCGTTCGTCGAGCCATTTTAAAGTTCACTTTAGCAATTGATTGGCGGGTTCCCAATTTGACCTCAATCTCTAGTAAAACAGCATACATTGTGCCCTAATAAGATGCCAGTACCTCTATTGAACCCATTCCATTGGGGATTTCACGGAACTCTGGAACAAGTCTCGAATCCACAAGGAACAGTGCCACTCAAGCTGAAGAATGAGAAGAACGCTGTTGAATTGAGTGATTTTATATCCAATAATGTACCAGGGCTGAAAGACCAGGCGAAATTTGAGCTTCATCCCGCTCTTTTTACTGGCTACCTCCAAACTCTGTACTTGGGAGGAGCAGACTTCTCAAAGAGCTTTCCGGTTTTTTATGGCCGAGAAACAGTTAACTTTTCCGACGGTGGCATCTGCACTGCCGATTGGGTCATGAACGAATGGAAGTCCAATTATCGCTTGAAGGCTGGCAAAAACGGCTCGACCTTTAACAAGGAGCAGTTCAAAGCTGATGAAATCGCCACTCATCCCGAGAATTGGCCCCGTTTGCATCCAAGAACTCGATTCCTTAACGATCAAGAAAGAACAAAAGTTCACGAAAGCGAGAAACCACTCGTAGTGGTGATTCACGGGTTAGCAGGTGGCTCCCATGAGCCAATCATTAGATCATTGACCCAGGATTTGTCTAGTGTGGCTAAAGAGAAGTTTGATGTGGTGGTTTTAAATTGTAGAGGCTGCGCCCGGTCTAAAATTACTACTCGCAAACTATTCTACGCACTCTTCACAAATGACATTAGAGAGTTTCTAAAGCACGAAAAGGCTCGTCACCCTTCCAGAAAGATCTTTGCCGTCGGATTCTCGTTTGGTGGCACTATGTTGGGCAACTACTTGGGCGAAGAAGGCGACAAGACACCCGTTGAAGCTGCTACATTTTTGTGTACACCATGGGATCTCTACCATTCTGCTTTGAAGATGAACGGGGATTGGTGGTCGCGTACTTTGTTTTCAAAGAGCATTGCACAATTTCTCACAAGATTGGTCAAAGTGAACATTCAAGAGTTAGAGTTCAAAGACGGCGATGAAAGACCTAGCGAGCCACCTTCCAAAAGGAACCCCTCATTCTGTGTTTTCACCAAAGAAAATTTGAAGAAAGCGCATAATTTCGCTTCTACGATGGAATTTGACAATTTGTTCACAGCTCCGTGTCTGGGTTTCGATAATGCACTCGATTACTACAAGGCATGCGGATCTATTCACGAGCTTCCTAACGTCAAAGTTCCTTCATTAATCATCAATTCAAAGGACGATCCTGTGGTTGGGGAGGATTCCATCCCATATGCATGTGTCCGGGAAAACAAGAATTTGGCGCTTTGCGTAACTGATCTAGGTGGCCATTTGGCATATCTAGACAAGAACTACAACTCATGGGCGACCGCTCAAATATCCGAGTTTTTCAATAAATTCGAAGAATTGGTCCAGTGAACTGCAAATAGACATAATGCTTCCATTCTACACACAATTTACTTCATGACTTCCCATTTTCGCCCCGTCCTTTTTTCCAGGCAGTAGAACCGCTTTCTCGACCCTTCATGGCTGATGTGCTTTTTGTCACTATTGAAGCACCATCAACACTTCCGTAAAGCATCAACATCTCTTGCTCATCGCGGCAGGCGAGCTTGTAAATTTCTTCATCGCTCAAATTCAAGCGTAACCGTCGTGTTATTGTGTCCAGTAAAAACTTAAGGTCTTCTTCTGCAATTTCTGTTCTGGAAAGCTCGTTCTGCAAAATGTATTTCCTGCTGACGTCGGTAGCTATAGTGCAACCAAATGCTATAGCATAGCTCATTTTCTTGTTCCAGTTGACGGAGTAAATGTGAGGCTCGTCAAAGCTTTGTTCACAGGAGTCTACGTGTACCCACCGTTTCAGATTTGAGGAATAGAACTCGCACCATACATGGTCTTCACGATTCCATACGTATCTCGACTCGATGCCAAACGACTTCAAGAATAGCATAAAAAGGTTACACCACTCGCCGCAGCGGCCCTTTCGAGTCTCTAGCAGCTTCATTGGGTCGTTGTAACGAGGAAACCGAGTAGTTTTCGAACAATTAGGGCATCTGTAAACCTCTACTACCCCACAGTCAAAACGGCGTTCGTCAGAATTTGCACCCTCATTGCCAATAGCTGTCATTTGCTCGCCTGAACACCCACAATGTTCACAATCAGGCGAATTGCACCATTTGAAGAAGTCGTTTTTGAAATATCGTAGCAGTTCCTTGACTAATCTGTCGACGTAGTCACCCTCAGAGCCCTCAACGGCGTCTACATTAGCGTAAATGATCTCTAAATCCGCAGTATCCAAAACTTGGGCTTGCCAATGGTCGACCTCATATCTGTTGCACAGGCTCTGACTGAGACCGTATAGAGTTCGGGCAAACTCATTTGTCTGGAGCAACCTCTGAAATCTATGTGGATCGGATTCGTTCTTGAACTTGTGAATGATCTTGTCTCTATAGAGAGCCATAAACCTTGAAGCTAGCTGTGAGAACATTTCCTTGTCATCCATTCTGACCTTTGAACAGCTTTAGATACTCCCTAGCTAAGAACGTTCTTGATTTTGTTTGACATAAAAGGTTGATTTTAATATGGTCTTTCCAGCTTCAAGTTTTCTTGTTGTGAACTAAGCTCAAGGCAATGAAGCCTGAAAAAGCCTACCTAGGAGTTGTACTGGTATCTTACGTATACATAGCAGTAGCCCTTGCGACTATATGGAAATTTTGGACTGATCCTTTAAGATTGTACTACTTGAGCGCTGTTTTACTTGCACCAGTGCCCTTTTGGCTCTGGAGTGTGATATCTTGGACAGGAGCTGAGATATTTGCCCATGCCAAACGAGAATAACGATAAAGAATGCGTGTGGAACTCAAATCCTGCGTCCTAAGGCCCTCGCGCAGCTTTTCAGCACAGGTTGTGGAAATTGTTCAGTTTAGATTTATTTACAGGACATAAATGTATATATACAAGTTGGTAACGGTGCTAGTTTATTTCAATAACATAGCATGTCTGCTTACCAGTTCTCAGAATCAAAACTCTATCATCAATGTAAAAGGATTCTAGGTCGACGGAATACTCCAGCACTTTTGTTCTTTCCGGGCCAATATAAATGCTGCCCTGCTTCAGCTTGCGACGCGCTGCGGACTTCGAACATCCAGTTGCGTGCACAATTATCTGGTCAAGTGGTAAACCTCTGTCGCAACGAATCAGGATTCCTGCGTCTTGAAAAGTCCTCAGAATATCAGAGGCCCTAAGCTCGAGCTTGCGTGTTCCGTAGAGAACTTCAGATATTGTCTCGGCGTCCTGACCTCTGCCTACACCGTGAACCAGATCCACGACCTCTCTGGCAAGCAGCTTTTGGGCCGACCGTTCTTTGGGATTTTGGCTGCCGGAGTGAATCGTTTCTTCAATAAAGTCGTTAGACAGAAGAGTAAATGTTCGCAGCAGTTTTCCAACATCCTCATCTGTAGTGCGCATGAAATACTGATACATTTCAAATGGCGTCGTGATCTGCGGGTCTATAAACACAGCGTTTCCCGCAGATTTGCCGAATTTTTCTCCGGTGGATGTAGTCAAAAGTGGGACCGTTAAGCCAAACGCATGATCTTCCTTTTTAGATTTAGTACCTATTCTCCCAATTAAATCGATGCCCGCAGTGATGTTACCCCATTGATCATTTCCACCGACTTGCACAGTAACATCACAGGTTTTGTTTAAATGATAAAAATCGTACGCTTGCAAAATCTGATAAGTAAACTCGTTGAATCCAATACCGTCCTTCCCATCAAGTCTGGAAGACACAGAGTCTCGAGATAGCATTGTATTGACTCTAATGTGCCGGCCATACATAGCCAGAAAATCTAACATTTTCATATCGCTCCACCAATTGTTATTATTGGTATGTATCGCTCGTCCAATTTTCGCAGAGGTTTCCTTGTGCTTATAGTTATAATATTCCAGTCCTCGTTCGAAGAACGAACGTAGTTGCAATTGAATCTTCGAGATGTTGCTCAGTCTTTCCGAGTTTTCCAACGCGACCCTTTCCGTACTGCGACCGCTGGGGTCGCCGACCTGACCTGTGGCACCGCCAACAACTGTATAAACATCATGGCCTGCAATATAAAAGTGAAGCAACACCATCAATGGCAGAAGGTTTCCCAAATGCAATGACTTGGCAGTGGGATCTGCACCACAATACAAACCAATTTTGTCCCCGTTCAGCAGCTTCTGCTCCAACAAAGATTCAGGCTCAGATACTTGCGCTAAAAGTCCCCGATTCCGTAAAGTCTGCAAGACATTCACACTACCAATAGATCTCTGAAATAGCCTAAGACCATTGGTTGAAGCTAGCGAGCGCGGGAAAAACATTTTCACAGACGCATTTTTAAGCATTTCATGGAAAAGCTGGGTATCTGAAATACTCGAGAGTTGCACTACAGAGAAATTTGCACTACAGAGAAACCATGTTCTGGGAAGTGATGTCTTTAACTTGTTCTATAGGTGATGGATGGTATTTCATTGATCCAGTGAAATTACACGACGTAAAAGATGATAAAAACGACAGCAATGGACAATGGCGCCAGCAGTTGTACGTGATGGTCCCTAAGCGGCGCCAGCAGTCTTGGATAGTGCTTAATTCTATTAGAAAATGGTACTTGTGTCTTTGTTTTATAGTTTTTCGATGTTTGCGGATTTCGCTTCGAATTATCAATAATCTTGAGACGTCGGCAAAAAGTCACCCAGAAGACTCATGTGGATGATCTAAAGGGAGTTCCAAGAGTGCCAATTAGGAGAGCGAGGTGATATTACTGGAATTGACGATAATAAACCAAACATAAAAAAAAATTGGATTATTTGAACTAACGTGAGAGGGGTTTTTGTCTGAACGAAAAGGTTGTTTCTGCACTTTCCCACCCTCCAAACAAACTTTCTCGAATTTCGCAACAAGTGCGATTAGTTTGCCATGTTCTCCACCTTGACTTTGACTTATAGTGCCCCGCATTAAAATTAAATTGAATAAGCAAGAAATATGGAAAGGGTCTCAGACACAAAAGGCCTGTTGCAGGTTTACCGCCAATCAGACATAATACTCATGCAAGAAAAAACTAGTGCAATCCATACGCAGCGATTGTAAACTGTGATGAGTTTCTTAGAACACTTTTAAAATTCGAAGACGACTTCACGACATTCCCAGAACATTATTGATTACTCTTCCAATTCTTGGCGCTTCAAAACACGAAAAATTTGGTCATGGTCACAATCAATTACAACTGTTCTACAAATTTCAGTATCGAAAGCCAAGGATACTTCCCATTGATCTCTATGCCATCCCACTGTTCTTCTTTCCTCTCTCTAAGTTAAAAGTTCAAGAAATTTTTAAAATGATCTAGTCATTCCTGTCTGTCATTTCATTCAGAATATCCATACCAGACAAAGCAGAGACCGTGTGTCACTTTCTTTAGCCGTCCCGTGCTCACAGAATCCATAATGCCTCCCGTCAAGCAAGTCTATAGTCAACAACAACAACCCTCGAATTGGGACAAGTTCAAAATGGGTCTCATGATGGGTACCTCTGTGGGTGTATGTACCGGTATTTTGTTCGGTGGATTTGCGATTTTAACGCAGGGACCGGGCCCGAATGGCTACATAAGAACTCTTGGACAGTACATTGCTGGTTCTGCAGCTACATTCGGTCTATTTATGAGCATTGGCTCGATTATTCGCAGTGAAGAACAGACACCACGTTTGCACGCATCAAACACTCTTTCGTTGCAGCAGAGAGCTACTTTCCAAGCGTGGAAAGCCAGAGAAAGTTACGGACTGTACAGAAACGAGCTCAAGAAGCTTTGAACACACGAATTCTCAATATCAAAAGATCCCTTTCAGCATGTATATACATACCCATCATCTACACACCTATCAATATATTTCAAATTATTTGAACTAAACTCTCGCTGTTCTTTAAAAACTAGACAGCTACCGAAACAAGCATGCTTGCTGTCCGGACCTGGGGTGCAAGAGCGCTGCGAGTTTCTCCACGCCGTTTCAAAACCTACGCTACCAACGTCCAATCTTTGGAAGACTTAGCAAAGCTCAATTCTCTTGACGATGTTGATCCAGAACTGGTGAGAAGACTGATAAACGAAAGAACCAATCAACTGAATACCCAGAATGAGCTTGACATGCTCAAGCAAATGCAGACCGAGGAAAAACAGGGGCAGCAGATGGCATTGAAGAAATTTGTTCGGCCCATGTGGATTTTCTTGCTGATGAGTTCGTTCTTTTACTTAGGAGGCCATTACATCTGGTGGAAACTTGAGTACGATGAACGGGAGATAGAGTTGAACAAACAAGTACAAGATCTACGAATGGAGCTGGACGAGGCAATTGAGCTGAAAAAAATACCTTGGCTCCCGCAGATCAAAGCTCTCAAAGTAGCTCGACAAAGACTGCTAAAAAATGGTACTATGCATGGCTCTGGTAGCGATTGCCTGGTGCACACCTGCGTACTAAATCAAAACTATTTGAATGAGCGTATGTACGTAAAAACCGTTTACTTTACCATTACCGCAAGATGTCTAAAATTTACTATTCTTCAACAATATGCATTCCCCATGCTCCGTAGGCAATTCGTAGATTTGCAGAATTCCGTCGCCGCCTGCTAGGTAAACCTGATTTGGAAACTCTTCCGGAAATCCAATACAATGTCTCACATCGTCTGCTACTTTCATAAAGGCGAAATCTCGAGCCATAGTCTGACTTGGAATCCGAGAGATTACCTGTTTGGAGAGGAAGCTTGCCAGTTGTCGGGGAGAGTCTCTTGCTAGTCGAGACTCCAGCCACGTATCGCGGCTTCCAGAGCTTATGGAGGTCTCCAACTCCACGCTCTGCGACAGTTTGAACACATGTATGGTATCTGTATCTCCAACACACCCCAGGAGGGTAGCTCCCAGGTTGAACTTCATTTCATAGATGGTAGTGGGTCTTGTGCCGCGACGGAACTCGCGAAACAGTTGATCGTTGCCATCAAATTCTGCGTCTGCTCCTGTCTGGAAGACCCTTACGATGGTACCCCGTTCTGACGCCGATGCCACCAGTTTGCCGTTGTGGGTAGTGGCCAAGCAGCTCACGCTGCTTTTATGCACAGATTTCAGATAGTTGATGGGGGTGACGTTCAAAGCGTCGAAAACCACAATGTCGTTGAAAACACCGCTTTCCTTTGAAGACCGTGAGAACGTGCTGTAGCACAGTATGCTACTATTATCACTGCTCAGGGCCATTCGTATGTTTGAAGTAGATGTTGAGCCATTAGCAGTAGAAGACCTTGCGTTGGGATTTCGCAGGTCTAGCTTGCCAGCCAGCACGTCGATGGTCTGCAGAAGCTTCATGCACGAGATGTCGTAGATGAAAATCTGGTCGCTCGCCAGCAGTACACACATGCGTTTCCGATTCATCACCACGTCCTCTATTTCGTGCGAGAAAGTCAGCTCACATATTGTGGATTTGCGTTTAGTATTGACGATCTTCAACTTCCGACTTTTTTGAGAGCCCTGGCTCTTGTCCACAACTACTATCAGACTAGTGGAAAAGAGCATTTCCACAATGAAATCTGGTTCTGGTCCGTTTTGGAAGCTGGCTAACTCGTCTCTGCTGCTGGTCCGGCTTCCACTCTCTAGCTCGAAACATTTGCCAAAAGGATCACAATTGTAGATGCACAGCGACCCGGGAGTCATTGATACTGAGCAACAAGTGGCATCCTGATTGAAGCGCAGTGCTCGCATGCTGAAGAAAAGGACCAACCACACGTCTTAGAGCCAAGCACTTGCACTTTCTCTAACGTATCGCGATTTGATGTTAACGATTAATCACAGTTAGTTGAACCCATTCAAAAAAGTCCGATATAACGGATAACGATCGACGAGTAAAAAATCGATGATATCTTCTGGTGCAGTGGCATTTAGAACTCCAGTGCCACTTTAGTGTGATTATGATCTTCTGTAGGCTTTTCAGCCATATTTTTAGAGTCCTGTACCTCGGAATCATCTACTGGGATGCCCCAGGCCTCGATTTCGAACTTCTTTCTGCCATTCTTGAAAGCGTATTCAGACCTCTGTACGTGCATTTCACCTCTATCACTTAGCAGAGGCAGCTTGAGAACATGTACGAGGCCGTGCTGTATCTTGTTGGGCTGAGATTTGTACACTCGCTCCAAAAATTGCGACATCTCTTGCGGAAACGGCTCAAGGTCTATCACAGAGTCGAAAAGGTTCTCTATCATTGTCAGTACCTGATTGCCGTTGTGAGCGTAGAGATCTGAAGAAATAGAGGCCAGGAGGACGGCGCGTCCGGCGTTCTGTTTCACCACAGATCTGATCCCGTGCAACAGAGGCAAAAGCTCCGCTAGTTTTGAATATTTGGGCGGATACATTACTGGATGCAAGAACTGGGGCAGCAGTATCCGTATCAGCTTCTTCTGGTGCTTTTGGAACACCGCTTGGAGCTGCGTTAGGACCGCTGAAAGCGGCTGGACCGGCGATATAAGCGTAATTTCTGCAGAAGTGGGAGCAGGAACGAGACGCGACGTGATATCGAAGGTGTGCGAATATTCAGGGTAGGTCTCCAATTCGACGTCCCCATTGCGTGCCAGGGCGCCTTTCTGAAGGTTATCCTTCAAACCGTATCTCCACGCGATTTTCAAATCCTTGCCAGGAGCAGCAGAGGGCTTGCTCACTGCGGCCCCGGACTCGAGCATGTTTTGAACTGTGACCTCAGATTCGGCACTCGAGACTTTGAACCGTTTGGCCTCTTTTTTCGAGCCCTGATACACGCCAGGAAGTTCTTTCGCGAAAAACGGGTTCATAGTCAGCACCACTAGATGAGTGTTTCCCGCGGCCAGCGAACTGGGGCCACCTTTACGGTTGTGAACGATACCCTGGGCAGCGAAGTTTTTCACGAGCACTGAGGCGAAATCAGTCGCGCTCTGTTCCTGGACTAGAAGCGTTTGTCCAAGAGGAAGACCCATGTGGCCCAATAATTTATCCAAATCCTGACATCCTGTAGCTGTGGAAGGCTGCGAAGTGGCTGGAGAAGGTCTTATACCTGGATGAGCGCTGTCAATTTGCCCAGTTGTTTTAGAATTTGACACATCTCGCATCGACAATTTACCAACTCGGTCGGCTAATTGCGCATCATTGCTGGTTACAGGAGTTCTTTGTGGTCCCAGGCTTCTGCCAGGAATTTGACCACCAACTGGCAATCTTCTAGCCCCAGGAGCCCCCAGAACGTCGCCTCTTTTCCTAAATGACATGTTCTGCTGGCCGATGAGTTAGCTTATATCAGAATTGAAAAAGTTCAGTCAGTCTTGTAAAGAGTCTCCGAAGGCCTGAACTTCGTAGTTTGTAATTCAAAAACTCTAGTTTAGCCTTTGAATCGAAGCTGCTGTGCTGGAAACCGTCTTATATGGCTCGTTGTTTGCTGATTTTTGTTGTTGAACAATAGTGACGATTAAAATGGTAATGGAATTTACTAACTTGTACGAGCTAAACATCACTTATTTACAAGAACTGGTCAAAACTACTCCCAAACGCTTCGAATTTTGGAATTTCAGCCTCATTATCTCAAGTTCAAGTGAGAACGGTGGTATTTACAGCGTTTTTGGTTGAAATTTGGACCCGATACGACCCGCTGAGACCACTTAGAACCAGATTCGTGTGCTTGCAGGGTAGAAGCAGCGGAGAGCTATGAGAAGTTTGAGACTTGGGACCCGAGTAACAAGTCATGGATTCGGCACAAGATTAGGCGTGAAGTGCCGTTTCACATCTCAGCATTACGTCCAGCGAAGGTTCGACAGCAGCACATTTCAAAACGGTAAGAACTCAGACAAAGATAATAGCAGCTCATCGGATAACGGCGGTGGGTATGTGAAGAAAGCACTGCTGACCATACTGATTCCGTACACGGGATACGCCCTGTATGTCATAACACAGGCGAACTCAGAGATCACGAAACGAGAGCGTGAAGTCCAGCAGCACGAGGACGACAAGCACTTCAATGCAACGTTGGCCAAATATTCAACATTGGAAGTGCTCGGCCGTTTTGCAAATCCTTTCAAGGAATACAGGATTCTCACGGCATTCGAATTTTCTCTGAATCGAGTGCTCGAGCTTTTCCAGCGAAACCGTGGCGGTATCCCGACTTGCACGCACTCGATGAATGAACTTATGCCCGTTCATATTCCCACCTGGGCGAATAAGGAAAAGCTCGCCAATGATAACTCCACTCTTACTGTAGACGTCCTTGGTGCAAATGAACCGATTGGCACAGAAGCATCGGGCTGCGTGAAGAAAGACCTGCCGCTCCATTCGACATGGTTGGGACAGTCCTGCAACTTTGTGGTGTACAACAATTTCAAGATTTTGACAGATCCGTTGTTCACTGACTATCTAATGCACGAAACGCTTGGCCCCAAGAGAATCACCAAAATGCCCGCACCGATTGATAGAGTTCCCACCCCTGACATTATACTAGTGTCGCACAACCATCCCGACCACTTGGATTTTAAAAGCATGGAATTCTGGGGCTCGAATGGCAAGACGCACCCATTGTGGATTGTGCCCAAGGGAATGGCTCAGTTCATGAACGACCATGCAGTTACTAACGTGGTGGAGCTGTCGTGGTGGGAGACTGCTCGAATCAAAAAAGATAGTGCCACTTACAATGTTTCCTGCACGCCTGCGATGCACTGGTCCGGAAGGTCGCTCGTCGACACTAACCGCTCACTATGGTGTTCGTACTTTTTCTCCCATAATAACAAACCGATCTTGTTCCATGCAGGAGATACTGGGTACGTTTGGGATTTGTTCAAGAGAATAAGCAATCAATATGGAAGGGGTGTTAAATTAGCCCTGTTACCATGCGGACAGTATTGCCCCTCATGGCACCAAAAGCCAAGGCACATCTGTCCCGAGGAAGTCTTGAAGATTAGAGAGGACCTTAAAGCCCAAAATGTATTTGGTGTTCACTGGGGGACGTTTGTGCTGAGCGGCGAGTATTTTCGCGAACCCAAGGAGAAACTGGAAATGTTAGCCGACTGGGAGGGCGTACGAGACACATGCTTTTGCCCCGAGCTGGGCAAAACTATTACTCTCGAATAAGTGCCACACAGTATACGTAAATAAAATTAACCAAAAGTCGTCGACTCATTTCGCGTTACTGCAGGAGACCCGCTCTAAAAACTCAGCCCATACTACGTCTTTTATCTTGAAACCATTCTTGCTGTTGTCAGGAAATGTCCGTGCAGTGACATCGTTGGCGTATTGCCGAATTAGCCCAACGCTTTGAGAGTGTAAATCTCCATATTTGCGTGCCAATTTGGGCACTGTGTGAGGGGCCATTCCCAGAACATCAGACTGCACCAAAACTTGACCACTCACGCCAAGACCAGCACCTATGCCAATTGTGGGTACACTTAGTTTTTCAGTGATGTACGAGGAAACCTTGTGCGGTACGCACTCGAGAAGAACTGAGAAGCAGCCAACATTTTGCAATTGCTGAGCAGTATGGTAGATAGCAGCCGCGTCTTCTGCTGATTTGCTTCCTTGGACTTTAAAGCCACTCAGAGAATGTGCCCGTTGTGGTGTAAGCCCTACATGGCCCATGACTGGGATTCCTCGAGAACACAATTCTGCCGCTAATTTCAATGAATAATCCTGTTCTTGAAAAGCACTCGAGGCACTTCCCACCTCTATTTTGACGGCTCCCACTCGTGGTGAGCCTTTCATAAATGCAATTGCTGTCTCAACGCCCTGTTGAATGCTGGACTCAAAACTTCCAAATGGCATATCCACCATGACGAAGGCCGGACCGGGCGATCTGCACACAGCCTGAACGTGATAACGGAACTCCTCAAGTCCGATCTGATTGGTAGACTCGTAACCCAATGCACACGTTGCCAGTGAGTCCCCGACTAGAATGACATCGCACTCAGCTGCTTGAGCCCAATTGGCGGTTACAAAGTCGTACGCCGTGACCATTGTTATAGGTTGTTGTGCATTATACTTGGCGTAGAGATCTGCTATAGTTTTGGGGCGAGAAATGCTGGTATTCAAGGGATAGCTTGAATACTTTCTAGTCAGCAGTTTTAGGCAATGACCACGCATCGAGTTGACTTTATTTTATTTGGAAACTAGCTTTAAGTATAGATAGATTCATTTAGGTCATTTTTTAGCCAATATAGAAGAGTCGTACATAGTTATATATATGAGCTCTGACTCAATATACAGTATGGCATGGACTCCATTATGGTAGCTATTTACAATTGGGTGTATTTGTACTCTTTATGAGAACAATTTGGGTGGATTTCGTTGTTCAGTGTTTTTTTACGCTTCTCCAGTGAAATTTGCAGCGTCATATTGTATATATTTTGGCCAGTGACAGAAAATTAGCAGAAGGCTCACAATGACGGGTGGACTAATGATTTGAACGTGAGATTTGGTCGATGGTAAACAAGTGATTCACGCAGCCTATTTGTTTATCTTATGACGTGCGTCAAATGTCAAATGTCATTTTAGGATAAAGTGATAAAATTGTTTTCATTTAAGCACTCAATAAAGAGGTGACAGTATTTGTATATTGTGATATAAAACTAACCATTGAAACTACCAGATTCTCAATGACAGAAAAAGGGCCCAGCGCCAGGATTATGGGTCATAAGTTGTTTCTCATTCTCTATATATTTCAGTCAGCACTAGTTTCAAATTTGGGGAATAGAACCTGCGAGTACTTTTCTTTGCGCACTCCCCCGCTGTTCTCCAGCGCAGGATTAATGTGGAATGCAGGGCTTTTGTAATTGATATGCCCACAAAATGGCTCACTGATATGTAGACCCAACAAAGCCATGGCCTGGAGTGACATGTCTTTGAAAAATTCGGGCGACTGATCGATGTGATAATTTTCCTCCTGCTTCAAGTAGCTTTTGTTCATGAAAAAAAAGCCAGCAATCCGTTCACTGTCACTGCTATTAGCACTAGCAGCGTGGTAGACACTCCCTAGCATAATTATCACGTCACCTTCTTCCATTTCCAAGTGGATTTCCATGTTTTTGTCAAAATCACCAGGACCGTCAAGTGGACCCCACAGATGCGACCCGACGATAGCTCTGGTAGCGCCGTTTACTTTGTTCATTTTGGTCAAGGCGACTGCCATTCCCAAATGCGAATCGTCCCCATAGTGATACCTATCGCGCGCTGGATGCACATTGTGGTGTACCATATCTTCGCGATGATACATCTGGTCACACGCTCCAGGCCCAACTCTGTAGGCAATTCCAGAGGCCAAGTGAAATCCAGATTGACCGCGGCGCAATCCTTCACCAATCCAGAATAAGTTTGATTCGCTCAAGAACTGGTGGCACAATTTTGAATACAAATCGTCGCATACAATTTTGTCACGACAGGTCTTGGATTTTAAGGCACACCGCGGTGCCACTGTAGTTTGCTTTGGGAAAGGGGACCCATTCCAAGATTCCTCTCGGTAGTAGTGTGGGAGTATTTCCTTCTTGATCTGTTCACAATCTTGTACAGAATAGTGATTCTTGATCATGCACATCCCATATTTTTCCAGTTTTTCAACGATATCTTCAAAGTTAGAGGGATCGGTTGCCGTCAAGCGGCCGGTGTCAAATTGGCCATTGGTTTTGATGTTTTTTTTGGGAATTCTGGCAAAACATTTACCGTCTTCTTCAAAAGTGGAAACCTGGTCTAGGTTTTTAGTAGCCATGTTCGTTGAGACAGACATTTCTGGTAATTGAGAATGGCCGTTCAATCACTTCTCATTTCTTGCCGGATAGCTGATATTTTGGTGTCTTATATATGTCAATTCCTGTAATATGTGATGACTCCGAGTCATCCTAAAGTAAGCAAACATATAAACGTATTCTCGGCGTTAAACTAAACTGCAGAATGCTGAACTACAACAAAGTTTTGTTGGATATCCTTATCCATGATACACATTGAGAGCGTAACTTGTTCGAAACAAAGACTGTGACCCTCTGAGTCATGTCACTTCCTTGATTAAACATTTCCATAACACATCGAGCGATGAAGCTCTTCAAAAAATAACTCACACAGCTCTAAAATGATTTCCTGATATACGACTTTCAATAAATTTAGCAAGTTGCGATTTCAATTACACCAGGCGCTTTTACGAAAATCTATATTTCTAAAGATCATCTAATACTGAGGCGATGGCTTCGATAAGCACTCTTAGTTCTTCTAAAGTAGTGGTGAAAATTGGATAAATATAAATCCACTTGTTAAAAGGTCTTATCCAAGCTCCTGCCTCAACAAACCGTCTTTGTAGTTCTTCAACTCTGACCGGGAACTTGTTCACTTCAACAATTCCAATAGCACCCAAAATTCTCACCTCTGCAACATTAGGATGCTCTGCAAGAGGAGCAAGCTCGTCAAATAATTGTTGCTCAATGCGGCGAACTTGGTCTTTCCACTCTCCCTCTATCAAGATTGCCATATTTTCGTTTGCCACTGCACAAGCTAATGGATTACCCATGTAGGTTTGACCGTGCATTAATCTCCCAGCTAGACCTCTGCAGATACCCTCGCTCACTTCTCTAGTACTGACAGTAGCCGAAAGCGTCAAATAACCTCCAGTGAGTGCTTTACCCAAACAGATAATATCTGGGACAATATTGGCGTGCTCGAACGCGAATAGTTTGCCAGTTCTGCCCAGCCCAGTAGCTATTTCATCCAAGATAAGAAGAATGTCATACTCGTCACATAGTTCTCGAACCCTTTTCAAAAAATGTGGGTGGTAGATACGCAGTCCTCCTGCGCCTTGAACAATTGATTCCATGACGACGCCGGCTAGTGACTGGTGATTTTCTCTTACAAGCTTCGCGAACGGAGCAACGTCTAATTCTTCCACCAATTGCTCCACATTTGGATCGCTATTGTGGAAGTAAACTTCTGGGGCCTTGCAGAAAACATTCTGAGGCACGAATCCACCGTATAATGAGTGCATTGAGTTGTTGGGGTCGCAAACAGATAGCGCGCCAAACGCATCGCCGTGAAATCCTTTTTCAATGGTCAGAAACTTATTCTTGGAAGGCCGATTTGTGGCGTTGAAATATTGAAGAGCCATTTTCATGCCTACATCGATCGCGATGGAGCCTGAATCGGCCAAAACAACACATTCCAGTGATTCGGGGAGCATCTGTACTAGTTTCTTGCATAAATCAATATCAGGCTTGTGTACAATTCCTCCAAACATGACGTGAGAGACGGAATTGAGTTGCTTGATTGCGGCTTCGTTGAGTCTGGCGTTATTATATCCGTGTTGCACACACCACCAACTTGCCATACCGTCAACAATTTCGCGACCGTCTTGTAAGTGAAGATAGACGCCATCAGCTCTCGATACCGGGTATACTTTCAAAGGGTTGGTAAGAGAGCTGTAAGGGTGCCAAATGTGGCTACGATCAAATTCCAAATCTTCAGATGTAATAGCAGTGTCCATTGTGGCGAGGGTCGTGGTGTTTGCTATAATTCGAATTAAAGCACATTTGAGTCGAGTAACCTTGTCTTGTCGACTGCGTTTAAATACAATTCGCTCGATACCTAAGCCCGAGAATCCAACAGTCAACAAAATACATGCTATCGGTTACCAATTGAAAGCTTTTGGTTTAATGTTCTCAAAATAGGAAGTCATTGTAGGATGACTATGGGACTGTCAATAGAGAATGGTAGTGAACATATGAGCCAAGTATCACGTGTGGTCTAACAAAGAATCCCGAGTGCTTTCAATAGCCCAGCATTTGATGCCACTGGTATATGCTGAATTTTAATTGTTGGATCATGGGTGGGAGGGCAGTGAGTCGTGAAGGACACTGTTCTCGGTGAGAACAGCTGCGATTGCTCGATACCATTTGTGCATGATCGTGTATATTGACTCCTCACTATCACCGCAGTGCCACTTGGACAGCGATACGCCTGGCTCGGTCAACAAAAGATGATTTTCACAAGTAGTCACAAATGTGATTCACTTGAACCATACTCGTGGGGCTCACTAGAAAGGATGGGTGATTTCGCGGTTCATGATGAAAAGGGTTCAAAGGAGTTGTTCTTTATTCTGGTTGAACAGTTTGTACCGGGCGAGGCCCAATCGCTCGCGCTTTCGGTTGCGATTGGAGAAGTGCAGTGTTGGTAGTTTTTGTCTGCTTTGACTAGCTATCTACAATTGAAAGTGGGCATCTAATAACACATTCGTCTAACATGACATAGACCACAGACCAAAGCCATGGCGCAGAACACTGAACAGACGTGGCGAGAGACTTCAAAGAAAACACTGGTCCCGGCAAGGTGAGTTTAAACCCACCCGTTGAAGGGGGAGGAGGGGAAACCCTATCATTGTAACTCAGATCTGTCATTCAGTCACGTGACGTGACCAGTGGGCGAAGCGCATGCGAAACTTTACCCGCTTGGCCGCTTGAACTAGTCGCTTGCACTTAGTATGCCCTTTACCAAAATGAATGGCTACAAATCGACGCTCGTCCAAACCTTTATCGACGGTCCTGTTCTATACAAGACCTATTTTTCCATTGATCGATTTTCGTATAGTGACATGTAAAAAGTCCGGGCGATCACGAAACAAAAAAACCCAAGTACCGTAGTTTTAACACCAAACCAGTTTCGCGACGTCTTCCATTCTGGACAAGAGCGATTCGTTGATTTTGGTGCTACTACCATTTTAAACGTCAAAATTAACTACCATCGTGCTGCGTCTTGCGGGATTCATCAAATGAGCGCTTTCCCGTACGAGTACACACGAGTTTACACGAGTACACAAAACTTTCCATGCCTGAGAACGTGTCTTATCGATCGTCGATCGCCCCGACAAACGGTTTGATCACCGTCGACCGCCGTCAGCTAGATGCACTATACCATTGAGAGTAGCTAGAGAACTCAAAGTACCATGGACTAGTCGATGCCCTCAATCGTTCCGTAGTGCTTATGACCATCTTCACTATTCACAATCAATAGTAACCGGTCGAGAAATGGGAGAGCAGTATAGCCTGTATCATTTTTGTACTTATTCTTGTAGCCATTCCATTCTTTCACAACTGAAAGCGTCAGGGATGTAGTCACCAAAATCATTCACATTTGGTGGCTGGTGATCTCAATTAGTCGAGCTTGTAAGTAGTCATTAAACGTATTCGATGAAGCTCGCAATTGTTTTAATGTGCTAAAAGCCATCACAAAAATTCGCAATTGATTATTGACGCCATTAATTGTTTAAATGTATTGAGAGGTGATCGCGTTCGCTTTCAATTGTGCTTGTAGCGACGGTACACTTAAAAACGATTGCTAACGCTATCCATTCGTGCTTATAGCCCTACCAGTATCCACAATCAATTGCTATCGCTCTTAACCGTGCTTCTTGCTTGTTCTTACATCAATCAAGATGCTTCAATGTATGTATCAACTGTAGCCACGCTGTGTTCACAATTGATCACTGAAGCTCTCAATTGTTTAGGAAAATACAATGAGCTTTCAATTGTTCAAGAAAGTACGATAAGTTCTCAATTGTTTAGCAGTGCTTGTAGCACTTTCTTTGATCACAACTGCTCACTGGCACTCTCAATCGCTCTGTTGTGATTGTAGTAACCGAGATTATTCAGAACCGATTGCAAATGCTCTCATAGTACTCAGAGTGCCCTAAAATATTCACCACTGATTGTAAATGCTCTCACTTGTCCAGTAGTATTTCGAATGCTCTAAAATATTCACAACTGATTTTAAATGCGCTCAGTTGTTCATATGTAGAGTGCTTGTAGCCATTGCATGTATTCACAATCGACTTCCGGCGATCAATGCTCACAAAGATGAGGAGGTGATTACTTTCCACAATCCATTGTGAGAGTCTTCCACCAATTACCATCGATTGCAGAACACAATTGGCTTCTGGCTTTGAATTGTTCAGCCATGTGAGGATTCGACTATTTCCCAGAATCGAGAGCGACAGCGATCGTTTCCTCAGCAATACGAAGAATTGACCATTTTTCACAATTGAGAGCGTGAGCGATCAATTGTGAAAAAATACTACGAGTCCTCTGCTTTGCACAATCGAGCGTTAGTGCTTGTATACCATGAGTCCTCCGCTTATTCACACTCGAGAGCGTTAGTGCTTGTAGTCATTGTGCTTGTAGCCATCTATTTATTCACAACTGATCGCGGACGCACTCAACTGTTCGATACTGCTTCTAGCATTCTTCACCTATGCCCTTAATTGTACTCGTTCTACAGCTTATTAAAACTACAACCACGCTTTCACTAGAGCTCTCGATTGTTCAATAATACTACGAGTTGTCTAAAAGATTCACAACTGATCGCTGTTGTTCCCAGTTCTTCAACTGTATTACAAGTTCTCTAGTTTATTCGAAACTTTTCGCGGACGCTCTCAATTATTATATATAGCGTAGCCAGTTTAACATTCTACAATTGATCACCGAGACTCTCAATTCTTTAGTAGCACTACGATTTCTCAATTATTCAGTAGTACTACGAGGTCTCTATCGAATCTCGATTGAGCGCGTCAGCGATCAATTTCATAGTGTTTAGAGTTCGATTTTGCTGACGCTCTCAATTGTATAGTGTCTCGAGTTCGATCGCTGCCAATCTCAATTTTATAATGCTTCGAGTTCGATCGCTAACGATCTCAGTTGTTCGACTCTACTACGAGCCCTCGACTTATTCACAATTGAGAGCGTAAACGATCAAATTGTTCAGTGATACAACGTGTTCTATTCTAGCTCGCAAATCAGCCTCACGCTCTCAGTTAATCAATAGTGCTCGTGGCCACCATACTTATTCACTATTGATCGCTGACACTCTCGATTGTTCAATAGTGCTGAGAGTATTCTACTTACTCACAATTGATTGCCGATGCTCTCAATTGTTCGATAAGATTGAGAGGGCTCTGCTGTTCACAATCGATCAATAGTGCTTGTAGCCCTCTCTTCTTTCACAATTGCTGGCTGACGTTCTCAGTTTCTCAGTGTCTATAATCATCTTTGCCCTTACGTAATCGCATTCGCCCACTAACGCGGTTTATGAATGAATAATATGAAGAAAGCGTCAACGATCGACTTTTTAATAGTACTCAGAGAGCAAACTTGTTCAATGGTGCTTGTGGTCCTCTCGTTGGATGCTCTCGATTGTTCAGGCCTGTAGCTCTAGTGTATTCACAACTGATCGCTAATGCTCTCATTCTAACGCTTCCAATTGCTCAGTAGTGATTTTATCCAAAACGAGTGCTTGAAACCATCTTATATGATCGCAGTTGTTCTTTTCACAATGAGTTCTCTACGTAATCCCAATCGGCCGCTGACGCTCTCAGTAATTTAGTAATATCAAGATTTCTCTACAAGTTCGCAATTGAGAGCGGCAACGACCCACAATTGAGAGCGATACTCTCCAGTAACACTACGAGTTCTCCATTGCTCGCTGACGATCTCAATTGCTCCATTGTATGACGATTTATCGTCTTATCCACGACTGACGCTCACTCTCAATTGTGGAAAGCAGAGGACTCGTAGTAGCTCTCACTTGTTCAATTGTGCTCCGAGTACTCTAAGTTACTTGTAGCGCCAAATCTATTCACAATTGATCGCTAAAGCTCTCAATTGTTCAATGGTGCTTGAAGGCCTATCTTTATTCACAACTGATCGCTGAAGCTCTCGGTTATTCAATTGTGCTCCGAGTACTCTAAGTTATTCACAATTGATCGCTTACGCTCTCAATTGTTCAGTAGTGCTTGTAGTCAATTGTTCAGTAGTGCTTCGTGTGGCTCTTCGGCCAAATGCGCGGACTTCCCTATCTCGGTCAAATGCGACACCCCTACCTTTCAGCCTTTGATACGACCCGCCATCACGCCTGTATAAAATCTGTCTACATCTCCGCCGCCATTCCCACACACGTATATATACGTCTATATATCTCTGCCCACGAGGATCTCATATCGTCGATTCTAGGATTGTCTTCACGTACACCCACACACCATCTGATGTCCATTTCGCAAGACCCTCCTCGAGTCCAAGTACTCGCGAACGTCGACTCCGAACCGCAGTTCGCGCCCTCCAAGACCACCGCAAGCGACATTCTCAGCTCCGAAGCGCTCCAGTTTGTCGCGCTCCTGCACCGCACTTTCAACGGCCGCCGTTGCCAGTGCCTTACGGACCGCGGGGTCGTGCAGAGTGAGCTTGACGCGGCCGGAGCCGCCGCCGCTAAAGCCGGTAACTCCGTCGGACCCTCCGCGGAAGCGCTGTTCCGGTTGCCACCGGAAACTCAACACGTGCGTGATGACGTCAGCTGGCAGGGTGCGGTCCCCGCGCCCGGCCTAGCCGAGCGGCACTCGGAGATAACGGGCCCGCCCTTGCGTAACATGCTGGTCAACGCGCTCAACGCGCCCGTGTCCACGTATATGGTGGATTTCGAAGACTCTGCGGCTCCTACCTGGGCCAATTGCGTGTATGGCCAGGTCAACCTGTTCGACGCCATCCGCGATCAAGTCGACTTCCGTACCGCTCGCAAACATTACCAATTGAGCGCACCTTTCAAATCACTTCCCACGGTGCTTGTCAGACCACGTGGATGGCACATGGTCGAGAAGCACGTGACCGTCGACGGAGAACCTATCTCGGCGTCGTTGTTTGATTTCGGGCTCTATTTCTTCCACAACGCCCGCACGCTCGTGGAGCTGGGCAAGGGCCCGTACTTCTATCTGCCCAAGCTCGAGCACTACCGCGAGGCGCGGCTGTGGAACGACGTTTTCAACGTTGCCCAGGACGTGCTGGGCATCTCACGCGGCACGGTGCGCGCCACGGTGCTGATCGAAACGCTCCCCGCGGCGTTCCAAATGGAGGAGATCTTGTTCGAGCTTCGCACACACTCCGCAGGCCTGAACTGCGGTCGCTGGGACTATATCTTCAGCACCATCAAACGGCTCCGCAACGTGCCGGGTCACGTGCTCCCAGATCGCCAGCATGTCACCATGTCTGCGCCGTTCATGGACGCGTACGTGCAACGGCTGATCGAGGTGTGTCACCGGCGCGGTGTGCACGCCATGGGAGGCATGGCCGCGTACATCCCCATCAAAAACGACGAGCGTGCCAACGCGGCCGCGCTCGCACAGGTGAGAGCTGACAAAGAGCGCGAGCTGCGTAAGGGCCACGACGGTTCGTGGGTCGCACATCCAGCACTGGCACCTATTTGTAACGAAGTATTCCATCGCATGGGCACGCCCAACCAGATCCACTTCCGTCCCGAGTGCGCTGTGCAGGCCAGCGACTTGCTCAACACGCGCATTTCGAACGGCGGCGTCACCATCAATGGAATTCGCCAAAACCTCTCGATCGGTCTGCAGTACATGGAGGCATGGCTGCGTGGGTCGGGATGCGTGCCCATCAACAATCTAATGGAGGATGCGGCCACTGCCGAAGTTTCGCGGTGCCAGTTGTACCAGTGGGTGAGACACCGTGTGACATTGAGCGACACGGGCGAAGTGGTGACACCGGACCTCACGCAACGTATTTTGGAAGAACAGGTCGCCGAACTATCTGCCAAAAGCCCGCTCGGTGGCGACAACAAGTTTGCACTCGCAGCCAAGTATTTCTTGCCCGAAATTCGCGGCGAGAAATTCAGCGAATTCTTGACCACTCTGTTATACGACGAAATTCTGACATTGAAGAGTCCACGTTTGTGAATTCGAATTTTACAACAGGCACGGTTGGCTGAGTAAAGAGCACATTCACAATGGCTACTAGCACCAATTTTCTTTGAACACTCGGAGGCGACCGCTTCCAGTTGCACATATGTACGATGGTTTTTAGCACAGTTAAACATACTTTGAGCATTAAAGATATACTGGAAGGGCGTTGTTGGAGCAGGAGTATTTGGGAAGGGTGTTGTCATTTTATAAGGGTTTGTCATCTGTCGCATCATCACATGTTTGCTAAGATATTGAAGACCATTGCACAGAATGCTCTTGTAGGGTTATACAAGAAGTTGGTTGAGAGTTTGCAAATCCAGAGATTGCGTGCTGAGGCGGAAACATATTGCCTCCTATATGATTGTGAGTTCGGCAGAGATCTTTTGTGAGTATATGTTATGATTGTTTTACCGTTTTGTTGAGGATAACAAGATGCTCATCTGTAGGGACGCTTCACGAACGACTCCTGCAGAGAATTGGCTATTCATCTACTCAGATTTTTATAGGCCATTATGTTAATTATCATGGCACCGTCAGGTATGAGGTTAGGACTCGGTAATCTTCGATGTCAACTCTCTGATACTGTCAATTTGAATATAATCATTTACCAGTCATTGCAACGTCGTACTACCGATATGTAGAAATAATGGCTTCATGTATTGCAAAAACCGATGGCTCACGGCTGTAACTAAGCAGTGCTCGAAATTAAACTGAGATATAATTTTTGAACAGATCCCAGCTGGGTTAAAAAAACGCTGTAAGAACCAAAATCTAATTTCGCGCCCTTTTCTTTTGTTAACCTGTCACAGCATATGTGATATCTATCAGAGGGGATGAAATTCGCGGTTGCGATTGTTGAAATTAGTGGTGTCGATTAGAGAAATGCTCACTTATTCTTTTAAGTCAGCTCTTCGAGGCAACATGATATTGATGATATCGTAAGTATGGCAATCTACTATCAATTTCTGACGGTGAAGAAAAAGCCTAGCCTCAAATCGAGGTTCCTGGCATTGAAGTTAGTGGTGCACTGCTACTTTCCCTTACGTCATTTTTAGAGACAATGGGCTCTTATTCAAAGCGTAACACGAAAGACATACTTAGCACGCACTGGCATATTTGTTCTGAGAATCATTTTTCCAGATCCTTTAAAATATCAATCAAATCAATATAAAATTACTCCTCGACCACTGCATATTCTCTTAAACCAAAAACCATCACATATCTCTATCTATGATCACCCGATGAATTGCCAAGAAACACACATAACCCCTCCTCTACATCAAAAGCTTTAATCATGCTCCTACAAGAAAAGTCCATTCGCAGCGAAACCAACCTTCCACCAAAATCCCCCACACTGACGACCAGCATCGAAAATCCCTTTTTTGATTATCTAAATACAAACAAAACCGTCCCCAAGCTTTCTCCATACACCACTTCACCGCCTTATTTCCTAAGCCCTTTAAAGTTCCCCATTGTTTACCTTTTTTTTGACGTTTTTTCCGGAAAATTGACTATCACCAACCCACGTGTCTTATATATGCCCTCTCGTTCTCCGTCTTTTTTTCATAACCACCACAAAATTTAAAAATTTACCACGGATCATCACCACCGTCGAGATACATCGAACCAAGGAGAAACCACATATTGGCAGTGGACCTGTCCTCGAAGACACTTTCACATTGTAAATCGTCTTTAACAAGCGAAAATACGAGACTTTGAGTCGTTTTTTGGAATTTTTTGGGGCTTTTTTGGGCGATTTTGGGTTACGTTTGGGTACTATTTCAAACAATCTTTTCTTTTAAAACAATCCAGCTTCAAGTTAGTTTATTGACTAATCTTTGCGACTCGAACTTTTAAGGACGATATCTACCGGATATTTGGCTACATTACAAGCGTTTTTTGCCACATTTTCCAGATTAAAAACGGTATAGGAGCGTTCACAATAAAAAATCCTGAAAATGGTGGTCAATGTGTCTCCAAGAACCAGTATGAGCTCCAGAAGCAGGCGTGGGTCTACCATCAATAACTTGCTGAACTCCATGGGAATCAGACAGGGCTCTAATAACGGTACACAGGTTGGTTCAACCCCCATGGATCCAATTCCCGCTGGGATGCCTCTGGGAAGCCCTACCAACGGAACTGGCTTTCGCGATCAGTTTCAGACAGGTAACGCAACACCGCTCAATACCAGTCAGAACGGCGTACTGAATGCCACAGAAGGAGTGCATTCGAACCCCGTACAGGTGTTGAGCTCTGATGACGAAGACGACCGTGTCGTATATGATGATGTAGACCGTGATGAGGCAGGCAGAGCTGGTGAGGAGGAGGACAACAACAACATCGAGCACAACCATAACGAAAACGGCGGTCTAGCCTCTGCTAATATGTTAGGAACCACTCCGTTCGACCAGGGGCTTCAAAATAGCACGGTAGCCAATCTTCGAGACGAGCTGCCAATCACTCTCACACTAGGTCAAAATGATATCCCGCCTGGTCCGGGCCATCAGCCCAGTACACTGACGCCAGGCGAAGCAAATATGGTTCCCAAGGCAGTACGCCACTTTGTTTATGGAAGTTCTCATCCTGAAAGTGCTGTCGAACTGCTGAGCTTGGATATATCCCGGAACGCAGCTCCAATCGAGCCAGTTGCTCCAGATGTAGTTCAGTCTCGAAAGGACAAAAACGGTCTTTTTAGTCTCAGACTTACTCCTTTTTTGGACCAGTCTGCGTCTACTAATCCGGGCCTATATTTCGAACCAATTGTGAGGACGGCTGGTCCCTGCTCCCAACTGGTTATCGGAAGGTACACAGAACGGGTCAGAGAGTCCATCACCCGAATTCCGGAACACTTTCACCCTGTGGTGTTTAAAAGCAAGGTAGTTTCAAGGACTCATGGCTGCTTCAAGGTAGACCAACAGGGAAATTGGTACATTCGAGATGTTAAATCCTCCTCGGGTACCTTTTTAAATCACCACAGGCTGGCACCTGCTTCGACAATGTCCAAAGATACTTTACTGCAGGATGGAGACCTTCTGCAGTTAGGATTGGATTTCAGGGGAGGAACGGAAGAGATATATCGAAGTGTGAAGATGCGTGTTGAACTGAACAAATCGTGGAAAAGACGTGCCATGAGATTCAACCGCGAGGCTTTGCAAAGGCTGAAGAACTTACAAAAAATGACTTCTGGGCTAGAGGAGGAAGATTGTTCGATTTGTTTATCAAAAATCAAACCATGTCAAGCAATATTTATATCGCCATGCTCTCACAGTTGGCATTACCAGTGCGTGAGACGTTTGGTTGTTTCAACTTACCCGCAATTTGTTTGCCCAAACTGTAGGTCGAGCTGTGACTTAGAAGCATCTTTGGACAGTGATCTGGATAGCGACGAGAATGAATTCGATGTCATTTCCGATGAAGTTAAAGATATGGATATGCAGCAAGATAGCGACTAAACTTTAGATTGTTTAGTTTTAAACGATAGTATTATTCTGTTTTCAAACTTATATATCAAAGTAAGTTCCATATTCGTTCTTGCAGTTACATTTTTACGTACACAGAACACACGATATGCAGTTGAACAAAAGGGTCTGGCTGTGGCAGACTATTTTTTTTAGCATTCAGTACCTATCTTTGTCACCCAAAAGGCGCAACAACACGTCTTGCACCTCTTTTCTGGCTGTTCCGTACTTGTAGACCTCATGACCGCCATTTAATATTTTCCATTCTTGGGTCTTCTTTGATAGTTTCGTGATGTCTCTCTGCCAATTTCCCCACTGTGGAGACTTCTTGATCAATTGGTCTGAACTAGCTACGCTGAGCTTCACATCGCGCAACTTTTCTTTCGCATTCAAAACATCCTTGTAGCTTAACAAAGAGCTAGTGATGCTCTCCAAAAACTTTGACCTGATGAACTTGCCCTGGTATTGTAAGTCGCGCCCATAAATTCTTTCTTTGGATCCGTGATGGGCCAGAAGCCATGAAGTTTGTAGCTTCAATCCTAGCGTCGACCAGAGACCTTGCCACCAAAGCTTAAAACCGTTATGTCTTTTAATTTCCACAGGCAATTTACTGATATCATCTGGGTCCTTGCTGTCGTTGTCAGGGGGGAGCAATCTTTGTAGGTAATTCTTCAAAAGAATGTCCTCATGCCAAGACTCTACGAGCAACATGGAATCAACTTTGTCTAGGTTTTTTGCCGCAAAAACCTGAGCATACAAGCCGCCGATATCGTAACCCACCAAGCTGAAAGGACCTACTATCTTGGCATCCTTCGTCAAGGCATAGCTCAACGCATCAGCCACCATTGCAATTGAAACGGGTGCAGGGGCTGAATCGGATAGACCGTAACCTGGTCTCTCATAAGTACAGTAGCGGTTCACTCTGTTCAAATGGTATAGCTCTTGAATCCAGACGGCCGAAAGAAAGCCAGTGTCAAGGCTTCCATGATCGAAAAGAACAATGGGCTGTTGATCTTTGTCCTGTGACGATAGATCGCCGTAGCAGGTAATATGGAGCTGGTAAGTGTGCTCCTTGTCAACCCAGTGGAATGCATCGTAAGATGCAGATGCATCTGCTGTTACATCCTTTACGCCATGAGTTAGTCGACCGACGTCAATGGCGTAAAGAAGAGTATTCAATGTGAAGAACACGTAGAATACGAAAATTAGACATTTTGCAGCGTTTCTAGCACCTATCGACATCCATTCCTTGATAGTGTGTCTAGAGGTTCCTTCCGGGCTCGGTCTCTCATCATAGTCACCGCTAAATGCGTGAAACTCCCTGTAGTAGTAGTACAGGTACCAGTCCAGAACGGCTCCAGCAAAGAATGTCAGGGCAGCCCAAACATATGTGAAAGTACCGATAAAACCGATTCTTCTTCTGGTGTAGCTGATGATGAATGTCAAAAACAGGTTGAACAGGGTCATCGAGAATAAAACAATGTTTAGGCCCTGGTCCAGTTTAGAGTATAATCCAACCCTGTTAGACCATAGATTCAGAGAGTTGGCCACAATCGAAACAAAAATCAAACACAGGTCATCAAAACTGACCAGTCTATTACTGAAGGGCAGTCCGATGTTGAAAAAAAAGTCCACTAAAAAGGTGATGACCAGCCAAATCAAGTTGATGCTGATGAGGACGTTGAGGACAATACGCGAATCCTGTACAAAGATATGGTAGCTTTCTCGAGTCTTGTACAATCTACCTTGAACAGCTTCAACTTCGTTGGGCAAAGAACTGTGTGCTGCATCTTGGCCAATAGACCTGTGAGAAGCCCGGGCACGGTCCTCGTTGAGGAGTGGCTCATTTTCTGCCCCTGTAGTCGCGTACGCACCCGGACGATTAAATTTGACGCCTTCTGGCGACTTTAAACGTGGACTGCCACCTGTTTCACCTACGTTTCCATCTTCACTCATTTTGCTGCTATCCTCTTCACCAATGTAATTTCCCTTTGGCAAGTTAGCGGACTTGGTATAGTTTCTTAATAACCACTCACTTTTATAAAAGAGGCTTTTAAACAATAGAGCCTGAAGTCTGACTGCTAATGTCAGTCACTGAAGACAGGTTTGTTTCGTTAAGTTGTCGTGTTTGGGAGAGATGATGTTCCGGAGTATTAGAACCCTTAAGTTTGCTAAAATATCGTCCATCGTAGAGAGCGACGTACTTTCAAAAGACCGAGTAGTTTCGAGGAATTGTTTGATCTGTCGATACCGCTGATAACCGTTGGCACTCGTTTGGAGCTCCAAATTTGCCGTTGATAGTTTGGGTATCTTCAGGCCTTAAATTCGATTAGAATTTAAGTCGTTTTATTCGCAACAATTGGCGTAAAATTCTATTATCGGGGCAACTCTATTTCTGCTTCGTCTTCCTGAAGACTGCTATCTGTTAAGTGCTCTCGATCTACGCGAATTATCATTTGGTGCATAAAATTGATCGTCTGATTACTGCCACAGTGGATACTGTAGAGTTTTGACTTTTGTTAACAATGAATTCTTATTCTGTCATTTGCAATAGCTGGTAGGAAACAAACCTCTCATTCCATTAAGCTCACCAAATGTCCACCCACTGCCGTCATCTTCTCGAAGAACAGTAATATTGTCCCCTTCTGTGATTGATAACTCTCCGTCCTCCTGAGCTTCATAGGAATACACAGCTTCCACTGACCGAGTGGTCCCGGATTTTCTGGGCGGAGGTGCACGAGGAGCATTGGAACGAACTGCCTCACGAATTGCAATATAGCTGGTCGGAACAAGTCCAGTGTCCCCTGTAGTTTCATTTTTAATTTTCGTCCAACCACTGCCGGAGTCCGGTGCCAATACCGAAAAATTGTCGCCAATTGTGACACTCGTTTCATCATTATCTGTCTTTTGGTAGCTGAACAAAACGGCATTTTTGGTATCATCAGTTCGCTCAGTTGCGCTGTTAGCATCGCTTCCCGTATTCGCAGAAAATCGTGAATCGCTAGTTTGAGCTCTACTTCTTCCGCGAAAGAAGGATAAATGATTACCATTTTTACTCTTGGACTCGGTGGAGAATGTCGAAGCCATGTCTGTGTTGTCTTCTTTGGTAGCTTTTTTCTCCGATGAAATCGTCAGACTCTTCTTGAATCTGTTGAAAACGCCCGACTTTTTGCCCAGTTTGTCGAGGTCAATCCCGTCGGTACTCAGATCATGCTCCTCAGGTACGTTATTTTGAATACTTTCGATCTCTACCAAAGCTTCCAACTTGGCAGTCTCATGTGATGTATAAGATGTCAGAGACCTCACATATTTCGAAAGTAAGGCTAGTGTTTGCTCGCCACTTAAGCCGTCCTGCGATTTCATTCCTTGTCTTTGCTTGTTTAGTGACGTCAAATCCCCGATCTCTGAACTTGCAAAACCCTGCATTTGATCATAGACTTGCTGAGCTTTCGCTAACCTGATCTTCAAGTCCTGTAACTCGGTACTAGACGATACGACAAATTGTTCATCGTCGTGCCACACTGACGACGGAACGTACTGGAAATCAGCGGGCTCTTTCCAATCCTTCAAGTTGTGCTTGATAAACATTGTTGAGTCTAGACCTGGCTTGTTTTGCGATACCACGGAGTCTGCTGTGGTTAGCCTCGCGTCAATTCTTTTGCACATGTCTCGCTCGAGCGAGCTAGCTGATACCCATATGGAATTCATAACCCGTGTGCGACTTTCGTGCAAATCTTGCAACAGATCTAGCACTTCTGGCACATCCTGGAAATAGTATTTGTCTTTGATTCGATTTGCCTGATTAATTGTGACGAGGTAATGGTTTTTGGCAATGTTCATTTCGTGTTCTTTGCCACCAGCCTTGCGTTGGGCTTTGTCGCTCGATGACTTGGTCTGCTTGGCCCGTGCACTTTCCATCTGAATGCACTTCTCATCGTACGATTTTTTGGCCTTTTCCAGGACTAAGTACGCCTTATCCCGCTTTTCCGTCAAAGCAGTGTTGAAGCCGTTAATTGTGGTTACCAGAAAGTCGCATTTTTTGCCCAGCGCCACGAGCTGATCTGCCACTTGAAACTCGAATTCCTGTGCCAATTGATTGTGATCTTGCGACATCTTTTCTGTTTGCGATAGAATTTCGTTCCACGCAACTAAAGAAGCAGCTTCCAGCGATCCCGGTGTCGTCGTGGGTGCATCCCCAACTGATAACGCTACCGTGCCTGCACTTTTCTTACCAAAGTATTCACCAGCTAAGTGTGTAAGTCTGCTGCTGTAGTCTTTTTCAAGCTTCGCTCTCTCTCTGTAGAAGGACTCTAGCTCTGAGAGCCATTTAAGATTATTCTGAACCCACTTGGAAGTTTCCTTGAAACCATCTTTGATCTCATTGCCAATCGATAGTTCCGATGTCATTGAGTAAAAAAAACTTTGGCTACACAATTGTCGCTTTTATAGCCCTCTGACAGCGTTTCTTCTGTGCCAATTGAGCTGTTTGGTGATTGTAGATGTTTAAATGCCATATTTATTATGTTTAATTCTTAGATTTAGGAGGGCTCTCTATCAATGAAGTTAAGCCAACATCAAATCAATATATAAGAGAGACAATTGTTCATCGAAGCTAGGACGTTCTCAAACTATAGTTACCTGTTGAATCAAATAGGTGGCATTTTTTTCTTTAGAAACTTTTATCGATAGTTGTTGAAGCTGAACTATTGATTAGAATACTCTCATTTGCTTGATACTTTGTACATTTTGCGAACCAAGATGGACGCCAGTCAAAGACCCGAGATGACTGAGCATCAAAAACAGCAATTGCAGTTTCAGCTTTTCCAAGATTCGCTGCCCAAAGTTAACGAAATTGTGTATCGAATGCTGTTGAATGAGGCCATACCCATGGCAGTAAACGTGCAAGACAGGCTTTCTGAAGAGTCAGGAGGTCATGAAGACAATGAAACTGAACAAGGTCTGGAACAGGATCTGGATGCGAAATTGACATTTGATCCATTAAAAGACCACGTCCCCTCACATAAGCTTCTCCAGAAGTATTTGACAGCAGATGAAGAATATCAAAATAAGGTCGACGAACGTCTCAATAACATAGGATTCTTGCTGGGCCAAAAACTGTCCCAGCTGCTCATCTTTAGCAACAATCCCAGCCTGAATTTCAGAGATATGGACCTTCTTGCCGTCATGAAATTTGTATGCCGCGACGTTTGGAGACAGCTTTTTGGCAAACAGATCGATAACCTGAAAACCAACCACCGTGGCACATTCTATCTGCTTGACAATAACTACAAACCAGTCGAGTCGTTTGCCCTCGACGAAGACATGTCTCAAGAGGAACAGACATTGATAGAACCATATTTAGAGATCCCATGTGGAGTCATACGTGGAGTGCTGGACTCTCTAGGATTTCAAGAAAAAGGACAGGTCATCTGCACGGCTTCAATAACAAGCGATCGCGAGTCTCAAAAGACCGGTTCCTCTGCCAGCTCGCGAGCAGTCCTTTTCAATGTGCAAATCAATCCCGATAGATAACGAGCCTTAATGCATCATTTAGAGTCTACAAGCTTCTATGTATACTTGTATAGTTATAGCGCTTGTCTGCTGTATTTGTTTGTGATTTCAGTTTTCAATCCTTGCTGCTACGAGTCATTAAGAAAGCCAAACTGCCCGTAGTTTGCTCAAACGACCTTTTCTCAAAGTCGAACTCCTGGCAGCTAGGCGTATTCAGAGCTCTCAAATTTTTCACGAGCGAACCCTGAAGGCTATCCAGAATCTCGATTTCTTTGCTCATCAGTTTTTCGAAGAATCTGCGCTCCTCTCGCAGTTTCTCTGCTATCTCTGTTCTTTGAATGTTATCAACCTCTTCGCGCCAGATCCTCCTACACTCGCGACACATATCGTGAAACCGTCTAGTGAGATCCGAATCCGTTTTTCCTGCCTTAGCTGCTAAAAACCGCGTTTTTTTGACCAGTCCTGATGATCCTGATCGGAGCATCAGTTTCGGTGTGCGCTTCATTACGTCGTGTTTCTGTTGTTCCTCCCACAAGAGATCAAATTTGGCCTTGAACCCATTTCTGAACAGCAAATAATCACTGGCAGCCGGTATAGGATACTCGAGCTTTCTAGCTAGCTCCTCGTGGCCGATAGTTCGATAACTTAGCCCTGTAAAATGGAAATACAGCGCGTGGTATATTCTTTTCTTGGACAACGACAGTGATTCCCACTCTTTTCGTTTGTAACGTCTGAATGAGCTATTTCTATTGATCCAGCAAATTAGATCAGCCTCAGGTACGTTGAAATGGAGGTTCTTCACTTGTAGTTGATAGTAATATTGGAACACTGTAGCTGGCATCGTATCTAGTCTTTCAAAGGACCTTCGATTGAGAAACGCAGTTCTAGAGACATTGGCCCGCAAGATATGGCACACTTGCATCTCTACACGGCAGATTAAGGTTTAAACGCGTTTAGAGCTGACTTAAAAGCCCTGTGATGTCGGTCTTGAAAGCTTGTCCAAATCTCGATCTGAGGGTCTGCTAATTTCGCGTTATTTAGTGTTATTTACGCGTCTGACAATGACACATGTGATAAAATGACTATGGAAGGAATTAACTTAAAGCACCTGGCAAAGAGTAGATATATACATATAATACAACTGGGGGTTCACCGTCTTGCCCATTGGGGGATGCAGACTAACGCTTTATTCTGAATTCAATACTTGTTCGTGGTAGTAGTAGAAGTGACTTTTTTTGTTTAGGCCAAAAATTAAGCACAGTCGATGTGAACGCATCGGCACGCATGCTGGATACGTAGCGACAAAATAGAAGCTACGCTTAATGGAAATGATCTCTTAATTATTGAACGGTACGCTTTTGAAGGTCAGATTGGCATTCCCATGGGTGGGTGTTTGGAAGCGTTCAGTTGGCTCAGCTTTGATGTGTTGATTGAGACCAAAAGTGTAATCGTTCGGATCCGGAACTCTGTTTTTAGTAATGGCATCTGCGTCGATAGGAAGCACAGTAGGCCTTATGCCAATGCTATCTGGTAAGCTTAGACCATAGGGGATGTCAGGGCGATCCGTGGGATCAGAAGGCGGTGGAAGATTAAGCTGTTTGGATACGCTTGTCGGACTTTCGGGAATTTCAGACAGCTTTGCATTTGCACTCGAGACTGGCTCGTGTCGTACAGGTTGCGGGGGAGAGTCATCGGCAGGATGGCCCGTTGGGGCCACTCGCGTGTTGCCCTTGCCACGCCCTTTGATGCCCCGGTTAGAGTTTTTGTAAAGGTCCGCGAAATACTCTAGCATTTCTCTTTCTTCAGGAGCGATCTTCTCGTTCGGATCCATTTCGGCCAGCCTCTGAGTCAAGGCATTTAACGTCGGCAGATGCGAGCGATTTTGATGAGCCTTCATGTTTCCCAGCTGCGTAAATGTCCGGCTGCACCCGTCCAGCTTACATTGGAACGGTCTCATATTGTCATGCGTTAATCGGTGAGTGGCAAGGTTTCCCTTCCTAGAGAACCGGCGCCCACATCGATCACATTCGTACGGCTTCTCACCCGTGTGTAGACGAACATGCGTCCGCAAATTACCACCCTGAGTAAATCTCTTGCCACAATACTCACATTGAAAAGGCTTGTGGCCAACATGCGAACGCACATGAACTTCCAAGTGAGTGGGCTGTGTGAAGCACTTGTGGCAGTATGGACACTCGTGTTGCTTTGCGGCATGGCCCTTGGGTTTTTCTACTCCACCCATCAGTTCACTAGCAGGAGGAATTAGCGCCGGGGCATCTTCAAGCAACACAGACCCATCTGGACCCCGGGGTATACGATCTGTGACTCCCTTTTTGCGAGCCTGAATCATCAGTACCAATTGATCTATTTTCGTGGCGCCCAAAAGCGGGCGTACGTCATCGGACACTGACAAAGGGTCTTTTGACTCTAGGTAACTCATCATATTACTCATGCTTTCTGTTTTCACTTGTGGATTGCTGCTGTTGTTACCGCTGCGTCTTCGTTTGGTTCCGGACTTGTTCGAGCTTCCTTCCGTTTTCCTGCTGCGTTTTTTTGGCTGTATGTCAGAAGTCAAGCCAGATAAGTTTTCATGATTTGCGGTGGTATTCATAGGCGATTCGGAATGTGAATTTGCCTTAGGCGGTAGACCAGTTGTGTCGGACTTACCAATGCCGTTAGACATAAGAGGTGCTCCCGGAACATAGCTTGGATTGTCCAGCGCACCTCTCAAATACGAATCTCGTCTTCTGAAATCAAAGTTAAAATCGTCAGTAGAGAACCGTAGAGAGTTTTTCCGCGACGAGAGTCCCTGGTTGAAAATAGCCTCCAAGTCGGAATCCTGTGTGGCTGGTGGAGGCAATGAGCCTGTTGAAGCATTTGCGTTAGCAGAACTTAGTGTGCTGCTTACCTGGTTGTTGCTTGCGATGGGTTTCGCATTATTAGCAGCAGTATCATTATTTTCCGAGTTGTTAGTATTCGTGTTCGTGGCAGAATTTTCGCTGATGTTTGGGTAGCCTGAGCTTAAACTGGGTCGACTTATCAGAGGCATCCCGGCAGATGAGCTGTTGCGGTGTGGTAAAATGTGTGGGGGTCGCATGGCGACTTGAGGGTCGCGCTTACTGGAGTAGAAAAAGTCCAGATCTGGAGGTTCGGCCCCGCCGAAAAAAATGGAATTGCGCTTGGAGCCCGGTATCAGAATGTCTGAACCTCGTGTGCTGCTGCTGTATGGTGGGATCTGTTGGGTCTGGTATTGGTTGGGACCAGAGGGCCCCGATGAAAAACTTGGGGTCTTAAAACGCGGCATGAATGGTTCCAGTTGCTCGCTCTGACGTCGCATTGTGGTGAACTGAGAACCCCCATCAGGTTGTTGTGGATTCTGAGTCTGGCTTCCCGAGCTGCCGGGCCATAAGCTGTTGATGATAGAGTAGCCCCGACTGTACGGTCCAAAGTCGGGTCGTGTGGGGAACTGTTGCTGTGGGTGTTGTTGCTGCACTTGTGGCTGCTGCTGCTGCTGCTGCTGTTGTTGTTGTTGTTGTTGTTGTTGTTGTTGTTGTTGTTGTTGTTGTTGTTGTTGTTGTTGTTGCTGCACTTGTGGCTGCTGCTGCTGTTGTTGTTGTTGTTGTTGTTGTTGTTGTTGTTGTTGCTGTTGCTGTTGCTGTTGCTGTTGCTGTTGCTGTAATTGTTGTAATTGCTGGTCCTGATATCGTGGTGCATGCTGTGCCGTCTGTGAGACGCCCAGACCCTGGCTTTGAGCCTCTGCGATATTGAGAAACGACGACAGCGCCGCGTCTGTTGACAGACGCGGTGCGTTGAAGTTGGTGTACATGGTAATTGAGTCTGCTCTGGGAGCTATTCCCGACGTTCCTGGCACCAGTGCAGGCGGAGGGGGCATCATCGATGCCGGCCTATTTTGACCCGCTCTTTCCGAATCTTGTTTGTTCATGCTTCCAAAACCCTATTGTGCGCACTCGTCGCTCCTTACCCGTTAGACGACACTCACAGTCTTGCTTTCTGCCCGCTCTGATTCAATAGTTTATAGCTCAATTTCAACCTTAGAAAGCCCGATTTTTCGCCCGCTTATAGCCCAAAACTCCTGAAACCAACTATATCAACTCTTGAAGCTAGCTTGAAAGAGTTTGTTAGGGTTTTCTAACCCGTTTTGAACCTCTTATTCCAGTTACGCTTCGACAACTTTGGTTTTACAAAACCTTAAAATTCTAAGTTGATATTTCTACCTTACACTATTTTGTCTCTATTAGATGACCTGTAGTTAGGTTATTAAATTAAAGACCTGGGGCTTCGTCCGGGATGATCATGATCTTGCTCTGCCCCTTCAGCGAATCAAAGACGACCGGGTAAAGACTTTGGACGACGAAACATGATGAGCATGACGACGGGGAAAGAGGATTGAAATGAGCTATCCGAGACTTGAGATTATTTTCTGTGTTGTTGGGGAGAATTCTCTTTAATTAGTTTGTTCTTGGCCTTGTTGGTGGGCGAAATATCTGCCTTTTAAGAGCTTTTAGAAAAATGGGTTGATGTTGGGAAAAAGAAGGGCTTAACGAGACTTGATTGAGATGGTTGCAAAGCAAAGTTTTATCTGAGTAGAATACACTTGGTTGTGGTTCAAGCGGTCTATACTTTGTGGAAAAATCGGCAATGACACAGTTTTGAAATTCCGTGCGTCAGACTAGTACAAAGTGATAAGAATCGAGTAAGCACCACCTCACTCCCATCACCACTCCCACCCCGTCTCGTCTCGTGTCTGGCCGCACTGCACTGCGGTTGTTTCGTCACTCATTAAATGCATTAATCTATTATCTATTGAACTGAATTGACGTTACCGTCCATATCGTCGTAGTCAATGCCAAACTGCCCGTCCAGTCTGGCTCTCTTCGCAGTAGGTCCCTCTGCAGGCGATTCGTTTGCAGGACTCTCCAGTAGGCGCACAGGTTTGTCCTCAAGCAGCCATTTCTCCATCAGAGCTGGCGGGGCATCCATAGGAGGCAAAACAACTTCCACCATTTTGATTTTGTCATTGATTGCGAAACCCGGATCGCTGATCAGCGCCAAGAAGTCGCCCACAGTCCGGACCTTGCGTGTGTCGTAATAAGAAGCGCCAAAAGTCGGAAGTATCTTCAGGTTGTCCCAGGATTGAATGTCTTGGTAGCCAGCATTAGATTTCTTATGCAAAAGTCTATCGATGGTATACCCGCCATTATTCATCAGAAAAATGATCGGCTTCAACCCCCAACGTATCATTGTCGAGATTTCTTGTACAGTCAGCTGCAAAGCACCGTCACCCACGAACAGGATCACTCGTGGATTGCTGCCCTCTTCTCTTGCCGCAAACGAAGCGCCCAGACAAGCACCCACAGAGTAGCCCACGGATCCCCAAAGCGCCTGGGAAATACAACGAGTGCGGCTAGGAAACTTGCTTTGGTTGATTCCAAACGCAGATGTTCCGGTCTCCGTGATCACAATGTCTCCAGGGTTGAACCAGGATGTCAATTGGCTCCAGATCCATTCTTGCCTCAATGGAACATTATTCATTAAATGTAATTTCGGCTTCAAAACGTCTGAAAATTCCTGCGGTCTATAACGAATCCTGGAAGGATCTAGCTTCGAAAGTAGCACCTTTAGCGCCACTTTTAGTTCCAGATCGGGATACGAAGCGTTTTTCAGCTTGGCGTGGTTTGAAAACAACAAGACCGTGTTCTTTGTCCTGTACGCGAAATGGAATGAGCTTGTGCTGAAATCAGACAATAGAGCACCTACAACTAATATGAAGTCACTGAAGTCTACGACTTCCCGGACCTGCGGGGAAGAAATAGAGCCAAGAAAAGTTCCTCCAAACCGCGGATGTTGTTCATCAACAGATCCCTTTCCCATTGGTGTACAAAAGACAGGAAACTTGGTGAGCTCTACCAATTGTTGCATTTCTTCCACCAGCCCGTGTCGCGAGACGCACGCATCTGCAATGATCGCTGGGTTCTCACTCTTGTAGATCGCACTGAGAACTTTATCTATAAATTCGTTTTCGACCTCTTCATTGCGCAGTGCTGGCCTCAGATCCAGCGGTGTATTTAGCAAGGACGAGCTAACGACCGTGTTTATCATGTTTAATGGGATGCCAACGTATACGGGTCTTTGTCTAGTGAAGGCGATGCGTAGAGACTTGTCGATCTCCTCGGTGGCGGTATCCACGTCGTTCAGCACAGTAGTGTAATCAGCTACGTCGCTCCCGAGTCTATTAAAGACTTTGAAATCCCCGTTTCCCAACGTGTGATGCAACAATAGTTGTTTGACCTGAGCGGAGAGCGGTGGCATTCCCACTACATGAACGAGACCGACATGTTCTGCGAATGATCCCGCAACACCGTTCACGGCAGAAAGTTCACCTACCCCGAAAGTCGTCACCAGACAGCCCAGACGTTTGATGCGCGAATACCCGTCCGCGGCATATGCAGCATTCAGCTCGTTGGTGTTGCCCGCCCATACCATTTGTGGAATTGTGTAAATCTGGTCGAGTAAAGGCATGTTGAATTCTCCAGGTAGCCCAAAAATCGTATGAACTCCCAACTGCCGCAGTCTATGCAGAAGGTAATGACCTAACGTGATCTCTGGCGGCAGCGCGAATTGGTAGACATAATTCATAGCCACAGTTTTCTATAACAAATACGGTGAAAGTAGAGCACCAGGCTCGCACAGAAGTTGATTTATCGTGGATCAACGGAGACCCCCCTCAAGTGACGACTTTTAACGCTCAACGCTTGAAAAAAAGTGTCAAACTGTCAAGTGATGATGAGCTCAGGGTGCGAAAAATTAAGCCAATCTCACCTTTTAAAGATCAAAGCGCTGTCTATTTGAGTTTCAAAGTCCTTGTAGCAGCTATAAATATGGTGACGCGTGGTCAATGGTGAGACCGCGGTTCAAGTGTCTTGGTTTTCGGAGTTGATTTGAGCTCGGCTGTTTAACTAGGAACTTAAAGTTTTATATTTCATTGTAAGAAAAGCGTAGATATCATTTTATACAAAGGACTTATACATAGAGGAAACTATAAGAGTCTGAGTTTTATGAGAATGATGCCCGTAAGAACTACTGAAGACACTTGGGGCGAACGTCTAGTTTTAAGTAGTTGCGATGGTCTTTAATGTGTTTTGTAATTGTCGGGTAAAGAAGAACAATTACCCATGCATGTCAATTTATGCCATTTAATGCCATTTTGTAGTGCTTTGATTAGTAGTTGTAAGCTTTTTGACGCTAGTTTTACATATTTCTGCCGAATGTACCTGTGGCATGCTCAATCGCGATGGGAAGGTGGAGGAGAACGGGGTCAGTGATGAGGTTCAAGTGACAGCGATGTAGCTTCAACGTTGAAAAGACGCAACATTGATGTGAAATGGTCGTGCATGATTGTTCGTGAACGTCGTGAAGGGGAGGGGAAAAGGAGGGAAAAGTGAGCAAAGAAAAAGTTAATATTCTTGATGCAGTTTCGAGCATCTTAATTACTCTGGAGTTATAGCTGGAGACGGTGTCTCACTGCTTGCGATTCTTCCAAGGAGAGCGAGTCGAATTCGAGCTGGTCGCTAAAGTCCAGCAAATTTAGCTTCTGCACGGCTTCGGCAAGCTCCGAGTCGTGATCTTTGGCCTGGCGTAGCTCGTCGAAGTAGGGCGAGCACAAACACTGTAGCGCGGTGAACCGCTCGGTGGGGTCGTATCGTAGCACATCCGACAAAAACTGGATCGTTTGGTCGTCCTCCCGCTTGAAAACCTTGGCCAGCGGGATAGGCCGTATCTGTGGAAACTTGTGCTCCATATAGTTGGGGTTCATGGCACATATTTCTTGTTTTGTGGGCGTACCCAGAATTTTGATGATCTCGACAAGCTGGTCTATGCCGCTTTCGCCAGGGAACATGGGCTGGCCTAGGATCAGCTCAGCCATCACGCATCCACTGGACCAAATATCGATTTGCACCGTGTAGTTGGTTGCACCGAAAATCAGTTCTGGGGCCCTGTAGTAGCGCGAGCATATGTAGGAGACGTTGGGCTCGGACGGTTTGAGCTGCTTGGCGCTGCCAAAATCGCACAATTTCAAAGCGTAGGTTTCTGGGTCCACCAGCAGATTTTGCGGCTTGATGTCTCTGTGGCACACTTTGGCGTGTGTATGCAAGTAGTTGAGACATTTGACCAGCTGGTACGCGTAGAGCTTAATTTCGATGCGGGGCATGTTAGAACGTTGCGTGACAAAGTGACGCAATCGCTGGTACAGCGATTGCGGCATGTATTCGAGGATCAGGTTGAGGTACACCTCGCCTTGTGGGTCCGTTTCGTAAAAGTAGTATTTGAGATCGACCACCTGTGGATGCGTGAGCTGTTTCATGATCTCCAACTCGCGATTTTTGAAGCGACGGTCTTGAAGCACTTTTTTGATGGCGACACGGTCGCCAGTTTCGTGGATCTGGGTAGTGAACACGACGCCGAACGAGCCGTGGCCCACAACCTCGGTTGCAGGATACGAGATCGTCACAGCGTCGCCGTCGGAGGAGCCATTGGCATGGCCCAGGAACACCTGTTTGTGGACTGGAGAGTTGTTAGTAATTGCTTGGATTTCCATGGGGAGGGTAGCTAGCGCGCACTGGAAGCGAGGACAGAGATTAGGACTTGAAAGAAACGGGGGACGGGACGGGGCACCAATAGTTGTTTTTTTGGTTTTTCCTAGTGACCGAGACGTGAGAGGGAAGGCCACACAGCAGCGGAAAGCTGGATCGACACGCTCTCTGTTACTTGTGGTGGTGGTAGTAGTGGTGGTGATTTTGGTGTAATGCGTCTGATCGCCCAAAATGTGATAAATAAGTAATAGGGCGCACCACTTTCAGGTCACACGCAGGTCACACGACACAGGGAAAACACCAAACACGTCAAAACACGTCAAAACACGTCAAAACACGTCAAAACACGTCAAAACACGTCAAAACAACGCCGATCGCAGCGAAGGACAGCTGTGGTAGTGATGTGATGGTAAAGGTGTTTCGGAATCGTCACAAACAGTCGCCGATCGTAGTGCAACTGGCAACAAACCGGTGTTTTAATGTTATTATTATTATTGGTATTATTTTTCTCAGCACCACTGAGAGCCCGACACCTCAAGCAATAATAGCACTGTATGCGCGGAATTGACAAGGATTTGGTGGCAGCTGGAATAGAAACGACGAGAGTCTTGGATCTTTTTCTTTCTTCTTGTTTTTACCAAAATCACGGTCTCTTTGGCCGGGATCACCAGAGACTCCTCGCCTCCCACCTCCAGTGTACTGTGCGTTGGTCGGATGGGTTATCCCCAGCTTATATTGGGAGTGCCACACGCTCCGTTGCTGTATGAAGCTCCCAAGCACTAAGCAATGGCCAGGAGGAAGGGGCTTCTTTCGCTCGTGTGATCCAAACTGTAGCCGATGGAGCGGGCCTGGGTGTTGGTCCCTTGTGGAGACGTGGTGGTAGTGGTAGTGGTGGTGGCCGGACCACGCCGTGTCTCCGGAGACTGGAAGCCAGCCTGACGTGACGAGGTGACGTGATGGCACACCACTCACTCACCTACCACACGAGGTTGTGGGAAAGGAATACCAACGGAAAAAAAAAGGACCTGAGACACGAGTACATTGCGGGGGAGTGGCGGAAGTACTCGTGCCGTTTTGAATGTGTGGGTGTTTCCATGGTGTGTGGGTGTGAGTGTTCATCTTCTCGTTCATCTTCTTGTTCATCATCTTGTTCATAATCTTGTCCATCATCTTGTCCATCTTGTCCATCTTGTACATCTTATTCTTCTTCTTTCAAGCGCTGTCCTGCTGGTTAGTGAGAATGGGCTAAGACAAAAAAATCACATACCTTCGGGAGCGGCCGCAGCCGCTTCCACGAGCTCTGCAACGCGAGCGCCCGTCAAACGCGCCTTGGAACGCTGCTTGGACGGATTCTGCGACTCCTGTTTGCGAGCTACCGACGTGGGCCTCTTCGTGATGGTGGTATTATTGTTGGTCTGCTCAACGTGTTCGACCTCGTATTGGGCCAGTTTCTCTGCCAGACCGGTAACGTAGGTGTTGGTGTTGGTGTTTGTAGGTGCAACAGCCGTGGCGGTGCGTGGCTTGGCTCTCCCAAACGTGATCCCTTCTGGGTTGTGGTGGGGCGAGATCTGGCGTGTAATTTTCCGCAACAACGAGCTGCCGCTCATCTGCGAAGACCCCATGTTGTAGTATGTTGTGTACGTGGATTATAGTAAACGTCGTGTGTAGAGCGTATAAACAGGATGTGTCGGTTTTCGAGCCACCCGTAGATCCCAACGTTGAGCTGTGTTGTTTGTTTGTTTGTGTGTTTTGATGTGTGTGTGTCTAAGTTGTCTTTAGCGCGCTCCATTTCCTGGGGTCCAGTGCCTTTTATACTGGCGACAGGCCCCCTAACAAACAATTTCGATACCCACAATGTATAATTTTTTCCCAGCAACCGGACTGCCGGTTTTTCCAGCAGTGTGGGGAAGTCCGAACAAAGCCAGCGACAGCGGGAAAGCGACGATACAATGGGTGGAGAGACAGAAAGAGAACTTGGGGAAACAAAAAATGAGAGGGCAGGCGGATTTTGCCACGTCGAGAAAGTGTCACTCGTTCAAAGCTGTAAGTTTTCATGGATGAAAATTTTGAAATTGTTAGATTGAGTTTCGGTCATGTGACCTGGCGCTGGATGGTCGATTGAAATGAAGTTGCAGTGAAAAGTGTGGTTATGTTTCGTTGCAGCGAAATAACAGAATGAAGTTTGTTTGGATTAGGGGGCTCTCCACGGGCGATATACACGCTGACAGCTCCAAACCTGTATATCTGGTCCAAGGAACATTTTTGGGGGATGTCACGTGATACCCTAAAATGAACACTTCATTCAACCTGCAGTTTCTACACCAGTGGTTTCGGTGTGTTTGTGGGACTTGTTTTGCATTTTACAGCCATGCAGCTTGGATAACCACCAAATTTAATTAATCCCTTTTTCATTGATATTCTACTAACTCGCTTTTCGAGCGAGGGGTGTATTCCCCGCAAACATATGAGTGAGGCAGTCAAATTTCAGAGACACAAAATAGATACGCATATAGTAGAGATTTTTATTCAATAAGCGCCTAAACTATAAATCAGTGCATCGAATTCTCATTGCGACGCCGTTATTTGGACGCTCAAATCAACAAACCCTGGAATCTAATGATCCCCGAATACTTAAATCCTGTCACTTTGAACCCGTCTGACATTTGACGTTCGGGCACGTGCCACGCAGGCCGTTCATTCGTGTTTTCAGCAGGACGAGTACCAAGGTCAGAGGGCGTGATTGCGAGCCAGTAACTCAAGGCTCCAAATCAAAAGGCCACGACCAAAGGTCACATTTTGACCATGGTCATTAAAATTCTCTTTTTCACGCACATCCCACTTCAGCACTCTTCAAGCTATCCACGAGTTCCTACGCCCATTTCTTGGCATTAGCAGATACCCATAAACCAACAACAAAGCTTAGCATCGCGGAGAATAAAAAGCAGTAGCCGACTAGCCACTTCGTATTAAGCTCCATACTGCTGGCCGTTTTATAATATACGAAAGGCAAAATGCAACGAAGCTCGAATCCAAAGCATCCAAGCACTATAGCCCCAATCAAGCACTATAGCCCCAATGAAGCACTATAGCCCCAATCAAGCACTTCTTAGTAAAAAGGTTCTTAACTTTAGGAGAGGAGATTTGCGGTGGTTGCGTCCCGTCACGAGCTTTTCTGAATGACATGTATTTCCCCTTGGTGAAATTTCTCGTGATAGCATACGATGACCGGCAAAGAAAGATGGAAATCACAACGGCTACACCAATTTCAATTAACGTCATACATAGTGTGCGTGTTTGTTGTTTGGTGAAGCTAATTCTAAAACTATCATCAGACAGGAAGTTCACCAATATATATATATATATATATATATACATCTTTTTGAAAGTGAAACTTGAAGAGTCGGGGGGAGAAGTGCTAGCCATACTGTTTTTATCGAAGTACTCGAAGCGTAACAAAATCATCAAAGCCATTCACAGTTTCGAAAACATGCCGTTGATTAAAATGGATCCATTTTTTGTACAAATGTATCGAAAAAAGCCGGCCTATAACGACACAATTGCCCTGAAGCGTACTTTAGCTGCTCAACGTAGGCTAGGACTGAATGATCAACCACATAAATGACTTTTGTCATATTCGCACCGATCTGACATCTAACATCAGATCACATACGAGCGTGACTATTGATATACTAACAAAAGGTATACCAAATAGCACTCCAACCTTAGCAGGTAATTATAACTATCAAAGCATACTCAACTAATTATTTGGACCATTTATTCAATCATGCGTAGCTTTGTGTGTACTATTAAATTCCCAAGCCATATCTTGTCTCCGAAGTGATCACCACGCCTGTACTTTACAGACTACAAGAACACGAACTCACAGCTTACTCAGACACATGGCTTCTCGTCAAATTCAAAGCTATCGACCAGGTCCTTAGTCCATTTTCTAGCACGATACATCACCCAGGCACTTACAAGAATGCATCGTGCTGTGGAGATCAGAAACAGGTAGTTAACTGCCGTATTGTGGGAAAGACTTACGAACTCGGCATCGTCTTCAGTAATCATATATAAAGCAAGCGGCAATATGGCAAGGAGTATCTGCATGAAGCCCTTAAACTTCCATTCACCCAAAACACAGTCTCTTAATTTGGGCAAGTTATATTCAGGGCACTGGTCAACGCAATACCCATCTATTATTGACATGTAGTAACTGGTGTTCAAGTAACTGAGCACCCAAAAGCAGAGAGAATTCCATGAAAGGGCAACCACCAATACAGTGTATTTCGACATTGGGTTCATGATGTGTGTTTGTCGGTAATCCTACAAATATGTATGGTTAGTGCTGGTATGATCATTGAATGGACCTCTGTATATATTCACTTTTTTTGATGTGAGACTTTAAGCCATTCTCACAAAGGCGATCGCTGGTGTTCTAGAGCAGTCTTATTTTGAATGGAATTCAAATTGCTATATTTCCACTTTTGATTGGTGAATCCATTAATGTCATTCGCCATACTTTATTCAATTTCAACTTCCCGTGCAATGGTTGTAAATTAACAAAATAACGAAACACTTGAACTTCAGGTACTTTAAGTACGCATCAAACAGCTCTAACTGAAAACATCAATAGTGGGTAGATTCGGGCATGTTGGCTACTGTCTTGGCCGAAAGGCAGGTATCCCTACAGCTGGGATAACTCTAGGCGATCGTTAAAACTCCGAACACTGCAGATAGCTGTCAAAATCATGCGCTTTCATGTAAAACTCGCAACTTAATTCTGATAAATACCCACTAAAATGGCCGTTAAATGTGGTAAAAGTCTAATACTGTGTTTTCAAGCTCGAAGCTCGACGTTTTTCCCTTTCGTTTTCGTCGTTATGAGAGTTTCTCCTGTCACAAAACGTCACTGTCACAAAACATTTCGGTGTATATAGAATTCCGATTCTGTGAGAACCATTCTCTCAACGCATTGAACCTTAAAGCAAAAGACGCTTGCGTTTGTGAGTCTCAATCTTCGATGGACGACCCTTCTGAAATTCCACGCCGCGGCTTCGTGGAAAGGCTTTGTACGAACTTTATACGCATTGGTGATGGCACTGTTAACAAAATCGGAAGAATAACAACATTTTTTATTTGGTCTAGGTATAGCGCTGTTGCACTCGTTTGCGCATATTTTCATTGCCGTCAAGAATGGTAAATCGAGTGTGCAATGCCACTTATTCTTATGTTCTTTTTAGTGGTGCTTATTATAATAATGGCTCTCCTCTTTTTCATGCGACATAGGCAGTGGTTCAGTAAAACAGTTCCTAGTCGCTTGAGCCCTACGGACACTTCCACTGACAACAGACCCACAGTTGAGCTAGAAGATGGAGATGAATCGCATCTTGATCAAAATACGTCGACTCTGAGTGGTGCCACAAATCATGTAGAAGAACATAAAATGCAAGAAATGCCCCCAAACAATGGAAAGTGATATGAAGAATCGCGAGGCCCGTATGAGTCGCGTGCTTGCCAAACTTTAGAAGCTACGTAGTTGAATGGGCTTCTCTATTCGCACTTTAGAAACTTAACAAAATCCAAGGAATCTCGTTGTGATTTACGCTAGGAACAAGATTAGGCGATTAATTCTTTAACCCAGAGTACGTACCAGTTTTTACGTGACTCTGCCTGGCACGGTAAATGCGACTGTGTGTTGCTCGATTTGCGCGAGTTGAGATGACTTCTGTCGTTTTATATGAACCTGACATCTGTCATCTTGTCACGTGCACGGATACGCACACCAGGACATGCGTTTCGTTCGTAACAGCCGCATCATACTCGGCTATTTGTTTGTACGGTGCAGACCAGGTCCACGCAGTGTTGTTTCACCAATCGAATTTTCTTGAAGTCATCCAAGACACGAACTTATAGTTTAATCAAACATCTGGCATTTCAGCAGTCTTCAGGCTAGCTACAAGCACTTCTGTCCATGTTTCGGCATTAAAAAGTACCCATACAAAAATCAGTAGCGAACTCCCGCAATATCGCAAAGTGTGTAAAATACTATGCTTCAACAAATCTATATACTTGCGTTTGTTGCCACATATTTTAAAAACATTTCTTCCGTTGAATCTCTTGCGCTATCACAATTATAGAGAAATTTCACAGTGTTTTCTCCATCAGCGAGTTTTGCCTCATGTCAAGATGATGTTTTTTTTTTCTGTGGATTGGCTTTTTAACAGCTTCTATAACAAGTATGGGAATACTTGGCAAAAGAGACCAAACGCTAGTCGTCAAATGGCTCTTGTGAGAGACAACGACCTTCTCGACGTGGTCGCCCAAAACGTCCTTTAGAGAGGTGGCCAATTGTTCGAATCGCTCGGCTTCAGATTGTAAGATGCTACTCTGCAGGTAAGAGCTGTTTACTCTGTATAGCTTATTGCAAGCAGGACCGGGACGAATCACGAGTCCAGACCACGAATCAACTCGTTTATAAGGCTTAACGATTTCAGCTGCGCCGAAACGCTGGTCAAGGTTGATCATGAATCGCATGTTGACTCCTAGAAAGTAGACAACGTTGAACAATCTGTAGCAACGCACGGTGAACTCAGAGAAGCAGAAAAAAGCGATGATGAGTCGATCCAAAGCGGCCCCTATGCTGGGTCGTTAGATGAAGCGTCCGCGAATGAAAGCACCACCTCTTCTGCTAATGGAAGCCACACATTCAGCAAAGGAGACCGGACAAGAGATCTAAATCGATCGATGTTCATCAAAGTATGGACAAAGGTCTAGGAGAATCAGGGGACGCAAGTGTTAATCAATCGGTACAGCTTCCAGGTGCAACTAGCTCTAATGGGCCAATAATCTCCCAAACAATGAATAGTCGTCCTTTGCAACGGACTTCAATTGCCACCATTAATCAGAAAACCACTGTACCCTATGAGGGCTGGTTTTATTCGAGCAATTCCAGAAATCTAGGACATGACACCTCTCTTGAACATAGTCATTATCACCATTATAGCAATTCTGGCGGATGTGATGGTGAACGCGGACGGCTCTTTACTAAAAGAAAACTGCCTAATAATGAATGCATGAGTTCCCAGCTGGCTTTCGAAGAAAAGTTTGGTTTTGGTTTTGCCAAGTTTTCGATGAACCCTTCCCATAAGTAAAGCCAGAAAATGGGTCCAAATGAAGGAAGTATGGAAGGGCATGTGGCGAGAAAATTTGATTCTTGGCTTTCCTCTTCTCCATACCGAATCTGGGTTACCAAAGTTAAAGACGAGAACCCTTACGCTGTCTGTAAATATGATGATTGTGGGCAAAATTCTTTTTTCAAGGCAATCCGACGTCATCAAATATTGCCAAACATCTCAGACGTCAGCATAGCGATGACTTTGCATTGTTCACCAAAGGTTTGAGCGGAAAGCAGAGAACTCTGGAAGCATTTTCCACAGTTCTTTCGACCTCTTCAAAGCCCATTCTTCTGACAAAGAGATTCGGTGAATTTTTAGCTCTCTATAAGTCTGAGCTGATCCAACTCCATGCTTTTATTGAGAATTTTGTCCCGTTTCATTTGGTTGAGGCACCTGCCATGAGATCGTTTCTACGAAGTCTCAATACATCTAACCGGCCTATCATGTTATCGCGTAGCGGGTTTGTCAGACTTCTGAACGACTATGATTACGAATTCAGCAAAGTATTGAAGTCTACTTTGCGAAACTCTTTCAACTTCAAGCTGCTAATGAACATGTGGACGTCCTCGAGCCAAAAGAGCTATTTAGCCGTTATGATATCATTCTGCCTTAACTTGAAAAACAAGTCGCACTTGGAGAGGGATGACTTGGTCACTCAAGGAAATCGGAACACTCACGTCCTAGATTTCATAGACTTGAGTGATCAACGGCACACAGATAAAAACCTCGAGGCTGCCTTATTGGCATGTCTCACCAAATATTCAATCAGTCACAAAATTAGCCGCATCACCCTGGACAATGGGTCGAACAATATCTCAGTGTTTGACAGCCTCGATGAGGCTCTTGACTAAGAATTCGGCGCTGCTGAATCTAGAAAAATTACCAAGATACGGTGTTTGAACCATGTTTTGAATCGCGTTTTTATTAATTTATTCAAAGCCTTTGAGATGCATCACTCTAGCCTTCTCTCAAGAATCGACAAGATCTCATACTATACCAACAGCAATATTTTTGTTAAGGAAAAACTTAGAGCCTACCTTCCCTGCTCTATTCCAAAGTATACAGCCACAAGGTTCCTTTCACGCTATCGCCAGCTCCAAACCTTCCTTAAAGTATCCAAACAAGTTACGAGGTTTTACTTAAAAAATCGGCTCCTGCCGGAATTTTAATTGGAGCCAGAAGATGGCCCTGTGTTCTGACACAACAAAGAAGAAATAGAATCTGTGACGTTTTTCATTCGCATAACGCGCGTGTTCAAAGAGTTCACCATGCTTCTCCAGAATGACTCGACCAACGCCGTTATAATTGGAATCGACTACCACAGAGCTATAAATCGGTACTATGAAGTTATTAAAGCTACGCAAAATGGCTCAATAGATGTGGAGACACTACAGGGGGTTGGATTTAAGCCCACCGACTTACCTCCCGACGAAACAATGAATAAAATACTTGACGCAGTGGCTAGCTCGCGTCTCAAATTCGAGAAATACCAGACTATCGCCTACAAGGAAACTGGATATTGGGTTGCTGACATACTGCAGCCACATCGCAAGCTGGACCTGCTTAACGCAGCTTTCGATAAAACCTTACGAGACGAAGTTGTGAAAACAACTGAACGTTACGTAACGAGTTATTGTAAACAATTTGCTGAGGGTCTCGAAGATGGTTCTAGGACTGAAGATCAAGTGACCCCCAATGGATTCATTTCGGGACATCATAGACGAAACGTCACAACAATACTTCTCGACCACGGCGAGCAGCAAATGAGACTAGTGGGAACCTCTGCAGTTTTGAGAGAGTGAGAGGTTTATCTGACAGAGCCATCTGAGGAAAGTGCAACATTTTTGGACTATTGGAGAAAGAACCAGAGCCGATTTCCCGCAATTTGCTCACTGGCCCTCTCTTTTTACAACACAAAATTATTGACTGCTGACGTTGAGAGATGTTTCTCCATCAGCAAGAGAGTTCTGGATAGCAAATTCTCGCTGTCAAGCTCGAACTTGAGATACGCGATGGTGTTGAGAAACCGAATGAAGTGATTTGATATATGTCCGGAAATGCCAATCGTTCAAAGCATTCCCGTAGAGTGGACAAGTGAAGATACTGACCTGAGCTCATCTTGCACTGTAGAATCGTCTACAGATGTTGGAAGACAAGTCTAGTGAAGAAAGTGGTTTGGAATACGAACCCAAGGGAAAGAGATTTTGTCCTGGCACCCATTGTTGACGTAAGCGTTCGAGACTTCTGACAGCCAATGTAAAAGTCAATATAATTGAACACCCTTGTCATCACATCTTGCACCATTTCAGGATCTACTATTTTTGATAGAGATTGAACTTTCATATCAGGCCTTAGAGCGTGTGCAACCCAAAAAGCTGTCTCAGCGGTTGCAAGAGAGTAATATTTATTAAACAATGGCTTCGAGGAGATGATTGCGTCCAATGTCTCCATTTTGCAACTATCAATTGCTTCATCAGGGTGCTTTATTCTGAGCCCAGCGGTTTTTAAGGTTGCAGCGGTTGTATCTCCTTCGGAGATTTTGGTACAAGCCTCAAAAAACAAATGAAGCTGCGTATAAAACTGGCAAATTATTCATTCTATCATCTTGCATTGCCATGGTCAGCTGAAAGAATAGGTTTGTTAACTTCAAGAATAATTTAGGCGGCATAATGTCCTCTGATTCATAAAGAAACAGCTCTTTATCTTCTCTTTTCAGTTGAGATTTCTTGTAACTGTGAGGAAAGTAGAAAACTGTCTGTGTCTTGACACAAGTCTCGTCTCATTGTGCTTTGGTATAATTTTTGTAAAGAACTTTTTGAAGTGGTCACTCAAAAATACATTGAACTTGATTTTTGACGTTAGGTGATCAATCAGAGCTACAACTCCCTGGTTCCGCTTCTCGAATTTCTCTACCATCGTCTTGAAGATAATGTTCAACACATGATTCAAACATCAAATTTTCACAATCCCTCCCTCTACATTGACTCCATCTCCCATCAGTTCAGGCTCTTTCAGATTCAGCGTGGCTGTATTATTCGTTGCGTTATCGATAGTAATACTGGCCACCTTGTGCTTTAATGAGTATTGCTCTAAGTAGTCCAAATTTGGACGGAAAGAAACATAAATTGCCAGATAAGTTTTTGGTGGCAGCAGAAGTCCAAATATCCAGCAAAACGTTGACTTTTGAAGTTCTCTCATGTGTATACATCATCTGATCCTCAAACTTACCGTAGTACTCGTCCATCTGTTAAACAAAATGTTTTTCAAGTATAGTTTACCATCTTGCTCTTACTGCTATCGATGGTTCGACAAAACTCGCGGAAGTGAAGCGATTCTGCAACACTAGAAGGTAGTAGAAGATCAATGGAAACATTGAGCTGTTTCATCACTGTTGTCTTACTTTTGTAGTATTCGAGAAGACTTCTGCATAAGCCGAACGGTTTACGCTCAAGGTATATGTGACACTCTTCAAAGAATTAAGTTCAATTTGGTTGGGATAAACTTTCGCATAAGAACTTTTTGTAATCAGACTTATGATGCGCTTTTAGGTGCTTGACATTGTTAGAGGAAGTCTGGTTTGTACGAAGCTGAATTTTTTTACACGATGGCCATATTTACACTGTGCATAAGGTTCACTGCAGCCATAGTTCGTGACCCAAACGCCAAATGGAGATTTTGCTAGCCATTAATTGAACTTCACAGCCAGCTTCTTGTCAGATATATGCAATCTTTCTCCACTATTTGTTCATTCAGTATTTCGCAGGCATTCATGGAGAAACCGTTGAAGTTGATGGAGTTTTGGTTCAGAAAAGAAGACACAAGCTTTCTTGCGTCGCGTCTTCGTCAGGAGACGTATTTCCAGCATCACTATCCGATTGTTCGGATGGTATGTGTTGATAGAATAGGTCAGGCGAGCTTTTCGCAATGTACTCGCGGTACTCGCGATGGTACTCGTACTCGTGCGCACTAATGCGGGTAACCAATGAGACCACATCACTATCGACGAATAGTTCGGACCATTCAGTTTCCTGGGGCCAAAAGTCCCAGGTATTCTCCCGATATTGTCCCTTGTGCTATCCATTATCTTCGCTGTGTGTGTGTGTCTGTCTGTCTGTCGTAGTGGTGATCAAAATCAAAACAATTTCGTACATAGCGATGTGGACCACACAAACCCAACTACCCACAAAATCCATCTATCTCTCTCTCTCTCTCATCCCATACTCAGAAGTGACCCAGCAAGGCTCTAAATCGTCTCTCTTCCTGTCGCTCCCTCTCTTCCTCGCTCTCGCGAAACTCTGGCTTACGTCAGCCAATTTGTGTCCGTAAATCAATATATGAACCCTTGCAGGCGTGCTTAATCTATATGGGTCGTGGTACACGAGCAACGTGTCAGTATAATAGTAATAATAAAAGCTGGGAACGTGGGACACGGTCGAAACGAGCTTGGATTTTGGGTGAGTGGGTATATAAATATGTAGTTTGGAGGGCGTAGGTGGTAGGACCTTGGATCGACGTTGTAGAGCGACACGCTAGAGTTAAGCTCCATAAAACGTTTTAGATGACCTCTGTTGAATATAGACTCAGTGCAGAAGACCCCGATCTGTTGTTCCAGTTCAGTTCGCCGCTGGCGAGAAACACGGAAAGTGGAGGCGGAGGAGGGGGTGGGACGAGACCTGCTACGACGAAAACAACAAGGGCAGCGACGACGACGCAGAGCTGGGATTTCCAGTTCAGCAATGGTGGTGGTGGTGAGTACAGTCACGTGCGTGGAGGTCACGTGCTCTCGACGAGTGCCGCGAGTACATTGCTGGAAGACAACGACGACGACGAGGCACAAACGCTGTTCGGGTCGGTCAACGAGGGCAACCAGAACGGGGCAGTCACAGCACCTGCGCCAGCACCAGCCACAGCACTAGCCACAGCACCTGCGCCAGCACCACCAGCAGCCTCGCTACGCGGCAACTCGTCCCAACACGTGCGCGTGGCACCACGTGACACGCACCGCGTCCCCGCCCTCGGTTCCAGTGCCCATCGCACCGCTCCCAGACGTCCCTCCGGCGTGCACACGCTTTCCCAGTTTAACAACATCCTCACAAGGTCGCTGTCCGCGCACCAGCTGCAAGACATCGAACGCATGGTCGACGAGTTCTGGCTTCGCGATTCCAAGCTCACAGAAGACATGTTTGACGACTCGTCCGACGAAGAGGCGTGATTGGGCAAAGACGGTACACACACGTACGCTCTCGTCCCCGTCCCCCGTCCCCCGGCGTTTTGCAGGCGAAATGTTCGGTGCGGTTATTTAGGGACATTGAAAGAAAGCTTAATGGTTGAATCTCATCCACTTACATACTAGATAATCTCGAATAATGATAAAAAGCTGCAGTAATGAGAGAAAATTGACACTTACCAGTGATTGTGAATGGGCTCTATCACCCATCAAAACGCGGTATTCAATACCCTGGCACTTTGCTCCTAAGTCTACATAAATGCTCGTTTTACGACAAATTCATAAAAATTCACAAGATTTCAACTCACGAGGTCTCATGTGTACATTATTTATGCCAAAGCCTTATATTTCGTAACTACCGCCTCAAGTTCAGCTTGCAACTCGTTCTTGCGTTTATCGTCACACCACGAGCCCTCAATCGACTGGCGCACCACTTTCTCCCAAGTGGCCAAGTCCCAGTCGAATCTGGTCTGTACCGCCACGTAGTTGTCGAGAATGTAGCCTCCGAAATAGGCAGGGTCATCGGAGTTCAGCGAAAATGGGATTCCAGCGTTCAAAAATTCGGTCAATGGAAGCTCCCGTACGTCTTGGAACACTTGTAGCTTAACACTGGACAGCGGACACACGGTGCACATGACTTTGTCGCGCGCCAAACGGGCCATGAGCTCAGGGTCTTCCGTGGACCGCACACCGTGGTCGATACGCGACGCCTTCAACAGATCCAAAGCGTTCGACACGTACGAGGCGTCTCCTTCCTCGCCCGCGTGTGCTGTGAGCTGAATATCCGGGTGGAAAGTGCGGGCCGTCTCGTAGCACTCTGCGAAAAGCTCAGGAGGAAATGGCTTTTCAGCCGAGTCCAATCCCAACCCGTGCAGCTGCTGGGTCTCGAACAACACGCGCGAGCTTTCCAGTGTGGCCTTGCAGTCTTCCACCGGTAGATGACGCAGTAAGCACATGATGAGCTTGGAAGAAATGTGTAGCTCTTGCTGGGCCTTGACGCATGCTTTTTGGAACCCGCTCACCACGGTTTCGATAGCGATACCGCGCGATGTGTGACTTTGTGGGTCGAAAAACACTTCTGCGTGCTTTAGACCTTGCGAGTGCGAACGCTTGAAATACGCCCATGCCAAGTCGAAAAAGTCTTCTTGTTTTAAAAGCACTTCGCACCCAATATAGTAGAAGTCCAAGAAATCTTGCAAATCCTTGAATTGTTTGTATCTGTCTTCCAGTTCCTTGACAGTTTTAGGGAATTGTTCTGGCAATTCGATGTTATTTCTCTGCGCCAGAGGGTATAGTAGATCTGGTTCTAAAGTCCCTTCCAAGTGGAGATGGTGCTCACACTTGGGCAAATCGCGCAAAAAGTCACGCATGGTGTTGCTACATTCGTAAACGGCCATTGTCAAAATATAAACTAAGTATGATATTCAGAAACCGCTGAGATCAAAGGCTTTACGTTTCTCGGCGGGCCATTCGAGAACTGTCGTTCTTTATATCAAGAAACCTGCAGGGAAGCGATGAGCTTCCTCGAGATCAAGAAAAGAAAAAAAACCCAAAAATTCGTGAAAAAGTAACGCCGTCACTAGTGTTCCCAATGCGGAAATGCCAATACCGCTTCCGGAAGGGTTCGAATTGGGAAAGGCTTGGCAGCGCGGAAAAGCCGGTCGGCAGAACCGGGAGTGGCAAGAGAGTACTCGTGCCGAGCGGACTCGAGTACTGAGGTGAGAGCAGGGCAGTTGAGAGAGGAGGAGGAGGAGGAGGAGGAGGAGAGGAGGGAGAGGCACAGAGAATGGGAAGGAGATGAACTTCTAGCGATTAAGAATTTGATTTAGAATTCTACTGGCGGCGAAAGCGGCGGCGAAAATATTTAGAGTGGGGTGTGACCTTGTGTGTTAAATAATACCTGGAATGATATCCGGAATCTCCACTGAGATTTACAGAAGGGCATGGTATATAACGCTTAGGGTCGTGATGCTCGTTAATCAGTTGTGCTCTTGAAGCGATATTATCACTTTGTAGAAGTTCCGTCGTCTATCTCTGGGTCATGTGACCTTTTAATCTCAGTAGTGGTGGTACTGATAGTGGTTCTGTCGTTTGAATGTACTAAAACATGGTCGACATTCAGTAAAGAGTAGTTGTAAGGTCTCATAACTGCTGAAAATCTCTATTTGCGTTCTCAGCCGTAGTAAGCCACATCAGACTCAAGTGCGCATAAAACGGTTATTATTTATACACAATTGGTCAGTATTGTAATGGAATCTCGCCCAATGAAATGGCCTTGATTTTGATCAGTATCACTGGTGACACCTGATACCCTGCAATCTTTACCTTTCCACTTAGAGCTGCGCTTCTCTGTTGCCAAGCAAGTGAAAATAAAATACTCTTATTATTTCAGTTTCAAGAAAACTATGCGAGATGCATTCACCTCTGTCATTCGAACTCTCTATTCACACTCCTGCTGTTAATTCGTAAAAAGCTCAGGGTTACGGCCGCACAACCGAGCTCTATAATCAAGTTCGCAAAAACACCACACTAGTTCCCGTCCCTTGCGTGCGCTATATCTATGATTGCGTACTTCTCCGTCACCACCACCAAGTCAGGGACGGGAACTGAGGCAGTCAACAAAAAATCTTGAGCAAAGATGATGATCATAAACAAAGGCAAAATGCCACAAATTATGAGCCAGACCAGTGATGGTTTAAACCTTGGAAAGGTGGATGACGCGGAAGCCTTACGTGTTTGCGAGACTGGGGCACGTGACCAGCGACGGGAAATTAAACGACTCGCAAGTGCAAAGTGATAAGACCATACTATTCTGCAGTAGACACCTTTTCTCACCGGTAAGATGCGACACAGGTGTGGCCATTTTTACATGTGAGTCAGCTTACACCACACCCCTTATACAGTGTTGCAATGTGAATTTTGCGTCATCTACCATTGTGAGAAACGAACATGTCGTCATAAAAGACCGCGCGAGTAAGATAGACCCTGGCGATCGAGGCAAGATTGAAGACGAGGACGACAAGATGAGGTGCCGCGCAATTGGCACATGAAGATCAAGTCATTAGTAGCACACAGAGCAACTGCGTCCACCAAAACAGATACCGGCGAGTGCAATTGGCAGGCGTTCATCGAGCAAGTTTACTGCACCACATCGAATTTCAAAATATTTATTGAAAGCCCATCAACAATTTATTTAGCAGTCGCACTGCACCACATCCATCAGATCTCGTACCAACTCATTCAATTATCAAGAGCCTATTGGTTAGATTCCTTGCCACACGCTAACTAAATCCAATCATGAGTGTACGGATCAAACGCACTGCAGCCAATCGATTACAAAAAGTACCAGTTGAGAGCAGACGATAGAAATTCCACCAAGCCAATGCATCTACAATGTAAAAAACCATATTTATGCAATGATTATGATCATATCAAGCAAATGCACCCACAACTACTACTGCTTAAAGACAATGAAGAAGAGCCTTTGGAGCTGGTGCATCTAATACAGCGAGCTATGATTAAAGACAAGACTCGAGGTTCTACCAAGCAAATGCATCCACCATGTCAAATACCAATACCCAGGATCAGCTGAGGCAAACGCATTCAAGACGTTAGATTTCATTTGAGTGTAGAAGAGGCAGAACATATGCATCAGCGACGTGATATCACATCAAAATAAAATTAGCAGGAGTCCGTCGAGCACTGTACTGCTGCCAATCCATCACATGAAGCTCTAGCTGAGTGCGATAATCAAGATCAAATTGAGCAAATACATTGTTTTACACATCATGTCATGTACATGAACTGAGAGGAGATGGTAAGGAGTTCATTGAGCAAATGGAACACCCATATCATATACCAAGCGAATGCAGTTAGGAAGAGTTTGTCGAGAAAAATTCACTGGCACACCTTCAGCACAACAAGTTTTAAGAATCAATGAAGTACATGCATCTACATTAAATTTTGATTCCAGTAATCAAGATTTATCAAGCAAACGCATGGCTCACATCAAGTTCCAACTGAAAATTGACAGTTAAGAATCTACCAAGAAAATGCATTGCATCATACCTTCCCCGTCAACCGACAAAATAATGCCACAATTAGGATTAGATCAAATAAAGGCAACCACATCCATTACAACAAATTCTTACTCAATACAATAACGACGAGTCTATGGAGCAGAAGAGTCTACAACATCATTATGATTTAATACAGTGATTGCTGGTCTATCATGCAGATGCATCAGCCACTCCAGATTGTAGAGAAAATTAGCAGAAGTGTGTTGAGCTAGTTTTTGGCACCCCATCCACTACGTCAGGCTCATCTGCAGGGCAGGATCAAAAGACTATCGAGCAAATTCACTGCTGCACATATCTCCATTAGACTCAATTGAATACTATAGTCAAGGTTCTGCAGAGCAACGCTCTGCATTGTGTTCACCATATAACAGCAATCGAGTATAATAATCAAGACTATTTTGAGCAAACTCATCGCCCTGAACTTCTCAACATTAATAACAAGTGAAAGCGAACAATCGGCGAACAAAATTTACCATATCAGATCATGCAGTTACCGGAACTATACCGAACAAATGCGATGCCGCACATCGCCTCCATAAATTTTCAATAGCTACAAGAATCAAGAGTGTATCGAGCAAGTTCAGTGACTATTTAGAAAACTAATTGAAAGCAGATGAAGAAGACTACATCAAGCAAATGCATTCACTATATTAAAGCAATGAAACGCAATTGTTTATAAAAAACGCGTTCTTCACACAAAATGCCAAGCGGAAATAATAGAGAGTTTGTTAAGCAAAGTCATTGCCATGCACATTCCAGCACAACAATCGATTTGGAGCAAACAACCTAAAATGTATCAAGCGACGTCTATCACATCAATTACCAGGAGCTCACCGAGCAAAACTAACATTCCTTATCCTCTTATAAATACTAACTGAATATGTAATGATCATTATTATATTGAGCAAACTCATTACCACGTACCTCATAACATGAATATTAATTGGAAGCGGACATCCCCAAATACATCGAGCAAATTTCTTTAGTACATCGCTTTCCAAATCAAGGCAATTACATGTAGTCTACGAAGCAAATTGACGACTGCGCATCTCGTTACGACTCCCAATTGAAGACAATTATAAAAAATCTGACGAGCAGAGCCCTACCCTAAATTCACCACGCAAAATTCTAATCGAATATGAATACCAGGATCTTATTGATCAATTGTCGACCGAACTAAGGGACTTGACACGCCCATACTCACGCCCATCTTGCCCATCTTTCTCACCTCCTTCCACATCACTTTCTCCCCCGCTGACGCGAACACAATTTTTTTTCGCTCGTTTCTTAACACAACTTGTCGAAACCGAGAAAAAGGCCCGTCAAAACTCTGTGGCCCAAAAATCAAAAATATCAGTTATCTATCTCAACTACTACAACAAAGTGAACAAACACTAAGTTTCTTCAACAAAAGCTCTCAAACAGGCTTATTTGAACAGCACAAGAAGGCTGGGAAGGGAACGTCGAGCTTGCTGGAGCTTGAAAGTGTGCACAGGAATTCGAACGAAAGACGTGGCGTTTCAGCAGGGCGAGAAAAGCCAGAAAAAGCGTAAGACGTTGTTGAGGCGTAAAACGTAAGATTGTTAAAGAGCGTTACGATTGCTGAGAGCGTTGAAAGCTTAGAGAGCTTTTAGAGCGTTAAGAGCATAAGAGCAAGGGTTTTGGGAGCTGGAACTGCCGACTCCTGTTTTTGCCAACAAAGTATAGAGAATTGACCATTTTTGTGTCGAGCTCGATTCGTTGCTGGTTTAGCAAGATAAGATTACTGCATACAGTTGAAAATCTAACCGTAGAAAGCGCGATATTATTGTGAGTTTCTACTACTACTACTACTACTACCACTACGTCGTGCCAAGAAAAAAATCGCATCACCACCACCATCATGAATAGCGCTTCAGGATCACAGCACCAGATGGGGTCGTCAGCGTCCAGCACACGCGATGACTCCACCATCGTCGGACTGCACTATCGCATCGGCAAAAAAATCGGGGAGGGCTCGTTTGGGGTCCTTTTCGAGGGAACCAACATGATCAACGGCGTGCCCGTGGCGATCAAGTTCGAACCGCGTAAATCAGAGGCCCCGCAGCTCAAGGACGAGTATCGCACCTACAAGATCCTGGCCGGCACGGCCGGGATCCCGCAGGCGTACTACTTTGGCCAGGAGGGCCTACACAACATTCTGGTGATAGACCTGTTGGGACCCTCGCTTGAGGACCTGTTTGACTGGTGCGGACGCCGGTTCTCGGTGAAAACCGTGGTGCAGGTCGCAGTGCAGATGATCACGTTGATCGAGGATCTCCACGCCCACGACCTCATCTACCGCGATATCAAGCCCGACAACTTCTTGATTGGCCGTCCCACCACATCTCAGGCCAACAACGTCCATTTGATTGACTTTGGCATGGCCAAACAGTATCGCGACCCCAAGACCAAACAGCACATTCCATATCGCGAGAAAAAATCCTTGAGCGGAACCGCCCGTTACATGTCCATCAACACTCATCTTGGCCGTGAGCAATCGCGGAGAGACGATATGGAGGCTCTGGGCCACGTTTTCTTTTACTTCCTCAGAGGTCAACTGCCATGGCAAGGCTTGAAAGCTCCCAACAACAAACAAAAATACGAAAAGATTGGCGAGAAGAAAAGAGTCACAAACGTTTACGATCTTGCACAGGGGCTTCCTGTACAATTTGGGCGTTACTTGGAAGTGGTGAGAAATCTAGCCTTTGAGGAGACTCCAGACTATGAGGGTTACCGGAAACTATTCCTATCTATTCTGGACGACATGGGCACAGAGGCTGATGGAGAATATGACTGGATGAAGCTAAATGGCGGTCGCGGCTGGGACTTGAATATCAACAAAAAACCTAATTTGCATGGTTATGGCCATCCAAATCCACCCAACGACAAAAGCAGAAGACACAGAAATAAATATGCACAGGCACCAGGCATGGACCCTCAACAGCAACTGCGTTACCAGCAACAGCAAATTCTACATCAGCAACAGCAACAGCACCAGCAACAGCAACAGCAACAACAATTGCAACAGCAGCAGCAGCAGCAGCAGCAGCAGCAGCAGCAACAGCAGCAACAACAATTGCATCAACAGCAGAATTTGCAGCAACAGCAGGCAGTTCAGCAAGTCAGACTCGATCCAACTTCCTACGAGGCTTACCAACAACAGACTCAACAAAAGTACGCTCAGCAGCAACAAAAGTCTCAGCAAAGTGGTCGTGTGCACAATTACAACCAGCAAGTTGCCCAACAGCCTCACCAATATGGAGCTCATCCACAACCTGTTGCCAAACAAACCGCTCAGCCAACGAAGACAGCTAACGACGGTCAATCGTTGTCGTCAGGCAAGGGCTTTTTCTCGAAATTGGGATGCTGCTAAAGAAGCTCAAGCCCAGCTGGGAAAACATTTACTGACAATTGTCGCCAGCAACTTGAAGCGTGAAAATTTCATTCAAATCCTGAACTGCTAGAAACTAGTAGCGGCTTAACCCAAAGTGGGTCGCTCTTTCAAAGAAAGAACTTTTTTCTTTCTCGAACAAAACAGGAAAAGCTAATTCAGCACGCCGATCCTAGTGTGTAATCTATAAATTTACTGACCTCAAGACCCTCGAATTGAACTCTTACCAATCCTTGGCGAGCGCTTGGGTCACACCGAACAATTACTCGTCGCTGCCATACATCTATCTAGTGATGAGTCGTAATTCAAAAATTTTGAACGCTTAACTTTAAATAGAAACTAATTATTCGCGTCATTAGTTATAAAATGTGTCTTCGTTGATATCATGTTTACTCTGCTTCATTTGTGGGCAGCTTGGTAATCCAAGATTTGCTTAGCGGAGTCGAAAACTGTCACTTCAAAAGGCTTGAAATCCAATCCGGTGAGCTCGCAAGTGAGATCGGTGTTGTAGTTGAATATCTTGGCCAGAGCCCCCTTGTTGTCCTTTGTAGTTCCCTTAGAGATCTTACCATTTAGTTCTGGGAACTTGGCATTCAACACATCTAAGATGCGCTGTACGTTGAATTTGGCATCTTCGTACTGGTGGTCCTTCAAGTTCGCGCCAGAGACGGGGAAGAGTCTCTGGCCACCGAGTTTTTCGTTGCGCAGAGGAAGCATGTGGAGCAGAGCAACATCGCGGACGTCGCATACCAACCCGTTAGGCTCCTCAGTGTTTATCTCGGATTTTGGAGTGCTCTTCAAAGCGCTGTTGACGAGCTCTGCAGAGGTGTTGAGGGTGTCCGAGGCCAACCCCCACTCGAACATTTGAGGCCCCAGCACGTATGGAGGGCACACAGCTGTGTATCTGAACTTGACCTCCGAGGCGTGTTCTTCTAGAAACTCCCACGACACTTTTTCTGCCAATTTCTTGGACGCCACGTATGCTGAAGCAGCGTTGTCCTTGGCCTTATCCCAGGTGATAGGGTTCCAGGTCTCTTCCGTGTGGAGAAGTCCTGGATTTTCTACGTTCATGATCGACGCAAACGACGACGTCTGCACCACGGTTTTGACGTTCGAGCCCAGCTTCAACACTGAGTTCAAGATGCTCTTGGTGCCTGCGGTCGAGGGGATCAAATAAGTCTCTTCGTTGGTGCCCTGGTCCGATCCGAACGAGAAGTTCGCGGCCATGTGCAGCACATGTTGCAGGTCTGGGTACTTCTTGAGCACGGCGTCGAAGGCTCCCTCTTGGGTGATATCGCTCACGATCTCGATGTCGAGTTTGGCATAGGGGTACAGTTCGGCAAACGATTCCTTAACTTTGTTGCCCTTGCTCTGCGAACGCACTGTTCCGATGACATGGAATCCCTCCGAGAGTAAAACGCTCAATACGTGAAGGGCAATGAAACCGTTGCAGCCAGTGACCAAAACTTTCTCGTCCATTTTCAGTTGAGAGTAAATTGTCTTGATGATGTCTTGATGATGTCTGGATGATGTCTTGATGTCTTGATATCTTGTACCAAGGTGTTGGACTCAGGTGACGTGATGTTCGTCAAAACCCTGATAACGACACTCCCCTACCAGACAAGTTGTCGCTTTTATACGTTATTTGGGAGCGCAAACTGGAAGCTCGCGCTGGCTGGTGCACATGAATGTTTTTTCATCGAATTGTTGAAGCAAACGAGAGAGAAAGACGCTGAAAAATCGTGGATCGTAGTCAGCAAGCAGTCTTAGTAATTCAAAATACGTCTTTTACTGTTCATAGGCAAAAGAGCCTAAAAAAGGTAAGTTTAAAGCCTTGTAGAGCCCTGAGCCTTGAGCCTTGGGCCTACGGATTTTCGCAGCAACGGAGACTACGGAATGGGACGGAAGGTAGCTCGTGTGCACGAAGACAATACCCGACAATTTCATGGGACATGCTGTCCACGCACCAGCAGTAAAGTGTCCAGATCAAAGATGCAGTTTCGCACCCTGTTGGAAGGATCTAGAAGGCGAGGATCCCCAGTTTTTTCTTCTCGATAGAGGAAAAGCTTGTCGTTGGTTGCAGAGGCAGCCTGGGAGTTTCGGTTGTGGACGCCCAGTTGGGACGCTATGGAGTCCAGTGCGCGCCCCACAGGCCAAATCTTGTTCAGGAAAAGCTCGTGGCGGACCTGTTCGATGTTGGTGTCGGTGTCGATTGTGTGACAGTAGACGTAGACTCGGTTGGCCTGGGGAATGGCGGGGTCGCCGTTGGCGCATTTTTTTTGCTTCGCAAGTTCCACGAGTCGGGCAGCGGGGCCGGGAGGTTTCTTGGCCGTGGCAGAGCCAGAAGACTGCGAGCGTCGCTGGAAAAACGATTTCAGCTTCGCCACGGCACTGCCCTGTCCTGCTGACTCGAGTCTTTCACGAACGCTGCGGCCAACACTCGTGGATGAGGGTGCTCCGCGTTGGACGCGAATGTGGGCCTTTTCCGGCAAAAGCGAGTGGAACGACGGCGAAGACGAGGTCTTGCTCGTGCTTTCAGGCGCGGCGGTACTAATGAGACGCTCTTCCTGCTGCTGCTGTTTCGTCTTCTCCTGCTCGGCCCACACCTCGCATCGGTGCTTCTGAGGCGTTCTGTGGGCCCCGCAAAAGTCACCGTTGCAGTACTTGCAGTGGAAAGGAAGGAAATCCAGCTGTCGACAGAAGCTGCAGTGGGTGCCAACGTCCAGCATTCCAGTTTCGGTGTTGGTCATCTTGATGGTAGTTTAAAGTCTCAATTACGTGAGTGTAGCCCTTTTTACCAGCTTGTAGCGAGTGTAGCGCTCCGGGGTCGCTTTGCCGCTCTTTATAGCGCTTTTCGGTGGCGTTAAACGGGCCCTGGGTGGCGTTTGTAATGCTGGGCTTGAGCGTTGTTCAAGGCTTCTGGTATATTCTCTGATTCGTACATAGTATATATAATTTTGGGCTTAGACTACAACCTGGGTATTTGTAAGGTCGAAGGAGAGCGTTAGGAGGCTGGAGACACGTACGAAGATGTACTAACGCTCGAGTGAGACTGCTTCGATCGGGCGCGTTGTGTTGTCTTGCTGGTGAGACGATCAAATGTGTAGTAGCAGCGTTATGAGATATATCACCTTGGACGGTTATGTCGCCCGGGTGGTTCGGGGGTCCGTGTAGGTCTCGGGTGTGTGAAACTTTAAGTCAAATCGATCACCTCGGGCTCTTTGGAGCTGGCAGACGACCCAGGTTCGTCGTCACTGTCGAGATCAATGAATTCCAGCTCTTTGATATCGGGCTCTTCGTCGATTTTCGATCTACCGCACCATTGCGCATCTTTGGCACGTTGCTGAGCAGCTAGAGCGGCCATTTCTTTGGCAGAGTTTCGCAGTTTCGATTCAAGAGTGCCTGAAAGTCCACTATTACCACTACCATCATCACCACCACCGAGGACGTTTACTCCCCGGTTGTTGTTGCTGCTGCTGTCACCCAAAACGAAACCTGGAATTCTAGCACGAGGCCGCGCACCTAGCTTGCGTCCGCGTCCCACGAAGCCGTCAAATAGTCCACGTTGCTCGATAACCCACTGTCGAGCCATTAGTTCATCGAGTTTCCTGTAAAAGGCAGCATTATGTGGCCCACAAACGTTGTGCGCCAGTTCGTGAAGCATGGTGCCCAAGATCTGTTCCCGCGACAAAAACTGGTCCTCATCAAACGGCTGCCGCAATCGCAGCATTATTTTGGAGCCCCCGTTCACGTTCATGCCAAGCAAACGTTTGTTTTTGGGATAGAATTCAACTAGCTGGCCCACTTTGAAGTGGTTCTCTCGCATCAGCAGCGACACTTGGTGCGCTATATCTTTCAAAATCGCCAAAGCGTAATCGCGGTTTGGTTTTCGCTGCATAACAGCCAGTTTCCCGACGTGTGCGTTCCTCTGGATCGTCATCTTTTACATTGCCCACCGTTCTCCTGCTATATCATCCAGCGCGTTCGCTGATTCTCGAGGTGCGCGTCGAGTCTAGAACACACAGTGTTGGGAGCTCAAGAACAATACGGCGACTAGGTGGCCCCGATGCTAGATTAGTTCGATGCCAGATGCTCATCTCAGTTGATCGATTGGGAGCATGGCTCTGTGATATAAAAATGATCTTCTGGATGAGACATTTGCGAGGCACGTGACAATTAGGTTCAAAACCTTTTCAAAACCCACACTTCTTGCCATTTTGAAAGGTTTAGAAGCGTGTTACTTGCAGTTTTGGACTGGTAATGGTTGCGACCGATGATTACGGTAGGAAATCTGACCGTTCTCGTTGTTTTTTGGCTGGTCTTTTTATGTTCGTCGTACGTGACATCAATCACTGGGTCGAGAGAAACGGTGTTGGACAAGCAGTACTGTGTGTTTAGCTCGAGGTTCTGGTCGTGCGCATTGCGTTCGCGTACCCGGAAAGTTTCGAAAGTTTCGAAAGTCTCAAATTTGCGTTTGAACGTGGACTTTCTGCCCGCATATGACGATAGCCATCAGCAACTATCTTGCGACTGAGTATTCATCACAAGGTCAGGGAATCACCATTGAATGAGCGCAGTATTCACGGTGTGAAGGAGTCTGAACGATGTGTACAGAACCTGGATCACATCTCTCTCATTGATTACCACAATACTCATGTACTCGAACATCTGAAACTTCTTAACGCAAACTGATGCAAAGAAACACATTTGAATTCTCACTGCATAAACTAGCCCAAATACCTCAAAACGTCGCTCCTCAAACCATCAATCAGCCCTCCTTCAAACTGTTGACTCGCTTAACGACCGAGTTTTGGATCCAACCTGGACCTAACTTTCAACTAAATTTCATTGTGAAAAGTTCTGGTAGCCCAATTTAACAGCCGGATCTGAGATAAGTACAGAGAACCATTGTCTCAGCGCCAAATCATCAATGTGGATCTAACAGTGAATGAAGTTGAACAATTCTCAGAATGATTAGAATCTGGATTAAATTAACGAATTTAGAGATGGGCGAGTACAAAAGTATTCACATTCGTTTTCGAACGGCGAGTACTTCTAAATTATCAACTCTATCAAGCACGAGTACAGGTGTCAGAGCCCACAGCATGAAAGAGCAAACAGAGATGAGATACAAGGGTTGTTTATCAGTAGTAATAGTAAACAATTTCAAGGACGCCACGCGTATAAAGGGGGTCGAGAGCTCGAGAAAATTTGGTTAAAATTGTAACAGTAAAACTACAAATTTTTTCCAGCGAGCCAGTCAGCGAGCTTTGGTAGCTTTTCAGTCTAATACTGGTAAAAACGTCGCTGTAGGGCTTGGGAAAGCGGCGGTGGCAGGACAATGGTGGCCTTCGAAAACATATATAAACGACTATACTCGTATACAATGACAATCATGTCAATCATGTGACCTTAGAAGTATTTTTGAAATAAAACGTATACCAGAGTTGAGCTCAACGCTCTTATTCAGTTGAAAGCTTGTCGAGAATAAGAAGGTCCAGAGACAGACAAGACGGCTTGATTAGCTTGAAAATGGCTAAGAAATCAGCTCAAGTGAGCAAAAATGGCCATAGCCATAGCACGGAGTCAATGAGCAATCTAACGCGACCACAATTGTACAGTATCTACGACTCTGAGATCACCAACAGTGAGGATAACGAAGTATACGAAGAAGCGAAAAAATCCGTGGGACACTTTCCCAAAACCTGGAAAAAGAAGGCCGGCCCCACTGAACGCCAGTCCAAGCTGCAAAAAACGGTGCACGTTCTATGGTCGTTGTCGCTGCTTGGGTTGGCCGGGATTTCGTATAACGAGCTCAGCAAGCAATTGCACGACAATCACGAACTACACGCAGAGCTGGCTTCCAGACCTCTGGCGCTGGGCGTGGAGATTTGCAGAACGCTCAGTTTCGGAATGGTGCCAATGTGGCTGGCGTATGCGCTTGAAGGCGTGCTTTTCGGCGCTTTATTCCCTCTTTTCGATACCCTCTGGGGCCGTCCCGTGCAAACCACCACTTTCGCATCGTTTTTGCGTTGCGTGAATGCCATGCTTGGCGTAGCATTTGGAATCCGCAGGATAGAATGGAGTTCCTCGCTGCAAGCCAGTGGTGCCTGGTTTTTGCTCAACATTGTGCTTTGGATGTTTTTCGATGGGACGCCGTCAATGCTATTGGGATGTTTGGGCATTGGTACGATCGCGTCAGTGACCAGCTACCGCGATGTGACGGACTACTCACAGGTGCTGTATTTCATGGACTTTTACTTTCTGGGCCTATTACTGTTTGGTAAGCTCGGCAGATACCTTTATGGCCAGAGGGCCTGAAGCAATCAGATACTAACAGTGATCATCTCGAGAATTGAGCTAGCGTACTGTAAATATGGAAACGAAAGATTAAAAAGACAATGCCATACTAAAAGTAGGCCTCTTTGTTTGTAAGTCGCAAACTTTAGGAGACTTCGTAATTACTGCCCTTTTTCTGCATGGGAGAATTCTGTCGCCGCGAAGATCATTAACAGGACTGTCATTTGTTCCCTTCCCCGCCCCTACGTTCCTACCAGTCCTGAAAATCCCTTGTAGTGCTGATTTCCAAATCAGTTTTTAATCGGCCGGCCGAAGCCACTCACTTGTTGGGGGATCTTGGCGGAGGCCCGCTGGATATGCTTCCCTGTCTTTGCAATTCTTGCGCATCTATCGCCCCCGCACTACTGCTGAGCCTTCGTTTGATGATGCTTTCTCTTAGACCGCTAGGATTCGTTACTGGCAGATGGCTGTTTCCTATTGAGTTCGATTGCAAATCGTCCGATTTTACGCCTGCTTTGTTTAGTGCATAGTCCCCACTGTCGAAGTACTTTCTTTCATGCAGCTTATGCTTGAAAAGATCCTTTTTGGATGGCAGTTTGCCGTACATTTTTAACAGTTTGATTTCTTGAGGGGTCATCTTAGAAGTATCGATCGATTCCTTTAAGTCCACATTGCTGGACGTAGGCGAAAGGTCGGTCGACTTGCTCATCTTATGTGTGATACACAAGGGTAGTTCGCCAGTAAATCAGTAAAAGACTCCTGTCAAAGGTGCGAGTTGTGTCTTGTTGAACACCTATCCAGATTGACAGGGTTGCTTAACCCAGATTTGGATGTATTAATATACTTAATGTGCTGTTTTGGTATATGTATCACTCAAAACGAGCTGAGACGTTCAGGTTATAAAATGTCCGTAAGAAGACAGGAAGATCAGTAGAAGGAAACCAACCAGATGATATTGTCTTCACGGTACTTGGAAGTTTTAAAAGCTCTCAGTGACGAGCGAACTTCGTTGCTTATACGTTCACTTCTTCCAGATCACCATAGACGAGCAGCTATGTGTGTCACCAACAGCACTTCGTTCCAAGCCCTCACCCTAAGACGTCTCGATGCTGAGCCGTGATGAGTGTTGCTTAAGTTAAATTTCGTAAGCCCGCATATTTGGTCTTTTCAATTTCGAAGTTACAGGAAATTTTGATCTTGCATATTCATTGCGGTAAAGAAATCGAAATCCATGCAATATAAAGCTTATGCTTCAGAGGCACATCGTAGAATTACGCTATATTTCGCAGCAAACCTGGCAGAAACACCATCACTGAGTAATAGCTTGAGCAGAGTCCGAATCCGCCAAGTTTAAGAAACGATCACAATTTACGAAGGTATGTTTTCAATGAATTTACGCATCTCATCATGTTCTGCTATCTCTTGGTGTTGATCAACACCAGTTACACAGCTTGAGAAGCCCCCCATAATCTTTTACTGAGCCGCTATGAGGAGCACTAGCACCCTGCTCCTTGGGTTGTCCGCGGCCGCATACGGTCTGAGCGATCATGCCGACCAAAAAGTGTGTAGGTTTCGCACCGGCAACGCCAATGAAGTAAGACAGAAAGTGGAAGAGTATCTTGATTTTCCAGCTGATATATGGACTCGCAGCACCAAATTCGTTGACATTAGGGTCCCGGCGACCCTTGCAAACCAGTTGGAAGGCTGTGAGGTGGTAATTGACGACCTTCAAGACGCTATCGCTGAAACCTATCCAGGTCCGGACGCTGAGCTTTTTATGTCCTCGCTCGACAATGGCCCACAGTCTCTGCGACCTTTGGATCCTTTTTCAGAGCTGAAAGCATCGAACGACATTTTCTTCAGTCAATTTCGTGATCTCGACACCATATATACATGGCTGGACCTTATGCAGCTCACATTCCCCGACTTGGTCAAAATAGAATTGGTAGGCCAAACTTTTGAGGGACGGGAGATGAAGGCATTGCACATTAGTGCAAACAACAAAGAACTGAACCCCGAAAAGAAAACTATCATCATTACAGGAGGCGTTCACGCCCGAGAGTGGATCGGTGTGAGCACTGCATGTTATTTTATCTCCCGACTACTAGCAGGCTATGGAGTTAATAAAAGGGAGACGCGGTATCTGGACCGCTTGGACTTTCTCATTGTCCCTGTCTTTAATCCTGACGGTTATGTCTACACTTGGAGCCATGACCGCCTGTGGAGAAAGAACAGACAACAGACCTATTATCCGAGATGCTTCGGTATAGATATTGACCATTCGTTCGATTTCCATTGGACTGGAACGCAAGATTTCCCATGCAGCGAAGATTACAGCGGCGAAGCGCCATTCGAGGCCTTGGAAGCCGAATCATGGAACAATTATATCAGTGAGGCTAAAAAGGAGTATACAATTCATGGCTACTTGGATCTGCACTCATACTCCCAAGAAGTGCTATACCCATACGCGTATTCATGCGACGCCCTCCCAAGAGACCTTGAAAACTTATTGGAGCTGTCCTATGGCCTTGCCAAAGCGATTAGACGGAAAAGCGGCAAAAACTACCATGTTCTTTCGTCATGCGAAGACAGAGGATCGGATTTGACACCTGGTCTCGGGTCCGGGTCTGCGTTGGACTACATGTATCACCATCGAGCCTACTGGGGTATTCAATTGAAACTACGAGACACCGGAAACCACGGGTTTCTGTTGCCTCCAAAATACATAGTCCCAGTGGGTAAGGAAGCTTACGGGGCACTCAAGTATTTCTGCGATTTTATTTTGAACCCGGATCTTTAAGTACAAATGCATTCTGGATGTATTTAATAAAAGTCATTGAACGTCTCGCTTACCATATATACAGATTCAAACGGCGGTATATGCAATAGGTGGCCACCATAACCAATGCAATGTAAATGAATGTGGCGTAAAGATCGACCGGCAAGCCAAACCGAATGGCGGCCACCGACACGCTCACGGGAACCGTGGAGGCTTTGAATGCTGGGTATGAAGAGGGGGTCACCTCGAAAGAGACGAAAATTGTCAGGTCTTTGTTGTTTGAAGAAGCAGGCTGTTTTTCCATCGACCATCCTATCATTTGGATATCTACTGGATGTATAGCTGTCCAGCAGAATTTTGCTTGGTAAGTGTCGCCAGCATCCAGCCCTTGAACTTCCACTTTAAACGTCGAGTCGAGCGGCACATCGAAATTTTGTATCGCTCGGTTCGTATTGATCAGAGACAAGTGTGGGTGGTCGATTGTGAGCTCTGCACTTCCATATTCGAAATCAGACGGCACTCCGAAGACTAATGTCTCAGTGTTAGCTAACGCTTGACCAAACAGGAGTAAGAGCCCAATTAACAACTTTGGCACCAGCCACCTCTTCAGCATGTCCAGGTACAGCTGGTTGCTTGCTCTTTCAACTTGGTGAAGCTCATATCAAAAGATAATTGTTTAAAGCAGGCAAGACATAACTGTAGAAAACTTATTTACATAACACACACCTCTATACAAGGAAGACGAACACGGGAAAAACGCGATCTGAACAGCGCTTTCAGAATCCACAAACTGGTCTTTTCAAGCGGTTTTTGTGAATTCCCATCAGGACAATGTAATGCTTTTACAATTGATCTTTTTACCCATATATTCTTTACAGCCGAGCTTCTCGATGTTCCTTTGATATGAAGGAACCCTGCTGTTTGTAATGTAACAATGCTGAGCGAAGCAAAATTAAGAATTTGAACTCCGTAGACTCGTCGCTACCAGCAGACTCTGGCTCTTTGTAATTATGTCGGCACTTCGGTCTAGACGAAGACTCATAATAATAGTATAGTGTATAATACTGTCAACTGAAAAACACGCCAACGCCATCGAGCTCAACGTATTGAAATGTAGGTATTAAACGTCAAGAACTTGCTTGCCGAAAATCCAAAAGGTTATTAAATACTTTTTTATCGACTTGTTATTTCCAGCTCTCTAATGTGTCATTTTTCGCCTGTGTCGCTGCGTTCTTGAAGAAACGAACCAAAGCTAGAATTCTCTATAACATAGCACCTATAGATCCTGACAAGATTTCAAACAGCTACCAATAGCTTTCAAGATTGGCTACAGATTAAGCAAATCAAAATGAGCCCATATTATTTATTTCCCATAATTTGTAGCCAACTAGCTAGCCAGCTACGTGTGCTACGTGTGCTACCATAAGTAAGCCGACGAACTCGTATTTTCAAGCTGCAAAAGCGCTTTCACGGCAGATAAATGCGTCAATGCTGGCCATCAAGCATTCAATGATCCTTCAATGATCCTTCAATGGCCAATGATAATGCTAGTGGTGAACCAACATCATCTTGCTTGTTTTTATTTCAATTCTGTAGTCATCTGATGAAATTAACGATTCTTTGTCTTTGACGGCCTTAAATCGCCAAAACCAAAGCATCGAAATTATAAAACTTGGCGCGCATTACTGACTCTTGAGACTCATTTAAGAAACCCATTGAACGTTGTATGGATAGTGCTAGATTGAAAACAGCCAACAACCCATAGAGATGCTCCTTAGGGACGGGAATAGAGATTCGATGCGCAGAACCAATTCCAGGGTGCCAGAAGGCTCTCAAGACGACACATTCGAACTGATAGGTGATGTGAACAGCAGAATTTTAGATGAGGGTCAGGGGCAGCAGAATGAACAAGATCACATACAACCACAGCTACGTCAAGGTATGGCGAACTTGAACTCCGAATTGCAAGCTATGCGAGACCGAAGCGTGCCGCAACGCAACCAAGACCAGAGAAGGGCCAGGTGGGTAGACGAGCACAATCAGCGCTGGCCCCCAGTGGCGCTGAGACGACATTATCTGCGGCTCTTCTTGCGCAACCTGCTGTTGTTGGACCATCTATTGATGGTGTTTCTCTTTCCGTTCTCGGTGTACAACGTGCTCAAAATCCTGCTTGCGGAAGTAACTTTCTCGAACAGCGACTTTGTGGCGGACATTGCCACGTACTGCCATTATTCGAACATTCTGAGCGAAGATGGCAGATCTGTGGTCTTCTTTAAGAGCGGATTTGGACTGTTGGGCAAATTTCACAATATAATTGTTTACTATTCTGCTCCACTATTTGTGTGGGCTTCATCGAAAGCTGCCCTTGGTACGTGGGTTATAAAGGCCTACGTATCGCTGATCAAAACGACCGCTGTGACCCTATACACCGTCTATGGAGTGGGCACAAGTGTCTACGTGTGTTTTGCGACTTTCTTCTTCGCTCTGTGTCTGTTGATGACTGGATTCAGACGCTACAAGGGTGCTGCAAGAATAATGGGGCATCTGTATCGCACCATGGTGGGGGTCTTTTGAAGCAAACGAGAGGATACCGATGGATTGATGCCTACAATCAAAGCGATGCGAGCTAAAGTGAAATTAGAGAAGCCAGTCTGAAGTTGAAGAAGCTACAAAACCCAATGCAGACAAAACTCAAGCTTGCCAAAATAATACGAACAGATATACGAACACCAGATCAGCAATGCTTACAGGATTAGTTACGATGCGTTGACGTTTGACATAACCTCGTTATCAGTGATCTGAGACGTTGAATTCGGGAACTGGGCTTTAACTAGCTGATAAGACTTGAATATAAAAGGTGGATAGTTGACTCTTCAAGATCCAGTTCAGCTCGGAGTACAGTTTAGTCGTCAGACTCTGTCATTTGAATTCAACAGTGCGAGCATTGTTGGACAAGATTGTTTCTCGGTCAAAACAGGTTCAGCAGAATGAAATTTAGTACTCTTTGCCAAGGCTTTTTGGCCTTGAGTTTTTGCTCCGGACAGAACCCTCTTGGTATAGATCAAAGTGATGATTTGGAACAAGTTTGGGGCCAGGATTGGCCTTTTTCTGGCATCCAAACCTATGCACATTTGCCTCACGGGAAATGTCTTCTCAACAAGAATTTGGATTTTGACATAGGCATCATTGGAATGCCCTTCGATACTGCAGTCACATTCCGTCCCGGGGCTCGATTTGGTCCACAGGCGATCCGAAAGGCCTCGCAAAGGCAGACATCGTTACGAGGCTTCAATTTCAGGGCTGGTATAAATCCTTACCAAAACTGGGCCAAGATTCTGGACTGTGGCGATGTGCCAGTAACTCCGATGGACAACAAACTGGCTCTGCAAATGATGGATTCAGCGTTTGAAAACCTGTTGTCCCGAGACAGTACTCTGCAGGGATCAGTGCTGCCTCCACGGTATGTTACTCTTGGTGGTGACCACAGTATTATCCTGCCGGTTTTGAGACAACTTTACAAGGTTTACGGGCCTATCTCGGTGATTCATTTCGATTCGCATCTTGACACCTGGGCACCCAGCAAGTACCCTTCGTACTGGCACAGTGACGAGTCTGCCTTCACACACGGCTCTATGCTTTGGTTGGCCAAACAGGAAGGTTTGCTCTCGGAGGACTCTAATGTTCACGCTGGACTGAGAACTCGCCTAAGTGGAACTAGCTGGGATGACTATGAAGAAGACGACCAAGCAGGGTTTCACCGCATCGAATGCGACGAAATCCTGGCCATCGGGGTAGACGGCATGGTCGACAAAATTCGTGCTATAGTGCCAAAGGACAGACCTGTGTACATCAGCGTGGACATTGACGTTTTGGATCCCAGTGCGGCACCTGGAACCGGTACCGTTGAAGTCGGCGGGCTATTGACCCGCGAACTGCTTCACATGATTCGCAAGCTCGATGACTTGCCATTGGTGGGTGCTGATATAGTTGAGGTTTCTCCTGCTTACGACCATGCCGAAATCACCTCTCTCGCTGCGTCACAGATTGCATATGAACTCATCACAAACATGGTCAAGAACGGGCCCCTCGATCCCAACATGGTGAATGCAAATCTGCGCCCTGTTCAAAAAGACGAGAACTCTCGTTTTCGAAGCCAGATCGAATTTTGAGAAACAGCGACAAAAGTTCTTACGGATCTTGTAGTAAAACCACGTATACATCTGCATGCAGACCAATTAGCCGCTAATATAATGTGGGAATTTAATGATAGAGTGGGTCTCTGTTCGTAACCATTCCCATTGGAAGTGACAATATATGTCAAATATACACCTTTTACGTCCTCGCGACCAAAACAAACTGTAAATAGATAAAAAAAAGAACAATTCTCGCGATTTCAAAGCCAGCATATAATCCTAGCCGTTGAGCTCCTCTGCCATGCTTGAACTGAGCTCTAGCATGTGGTTCTCATGTTCGTATTTTGTTACTCTTCGAGTAACTCTTTTAAATAGTGTCACCACATCACGGTGCTTGTTGAGCAAAGAAAGGGTTTGCGAACAAAAAGTGTCAAAAAGGCCCTCTTTCAAAGCTTTTAAGCCGCAGTTAGGCCTTATAGAATACAGTTTAACGGGTTTGGAAGAGCTAGTGTTTGATCTAGGGTTTCAAATCGCCTAAATATGAGTTCCGTGGTGCAAATCAAAAAGCTGGGAAACACGAAACATACTGGTCTCGGCAAAACCAAGTCATCTTGCTCCAGTGTGTCAATCTCATCTTCAGACGGCCGATCAAATAGTATGGAAGCATCTGAGCGAGGGCAGCGTGATTCTACCGCTAAACAATTGCAAGGAAAGGTGGGAAACGGGAAAAATTATGACAAACAACAAACCCCTGTCGAGACGTCTCTTGACGATTTCTTCGCTTGGGTGGACCCTCTGCCGACCAAACCACCTAGCTATAACTCTGCAAATCCAAACAAACGCGTGGTTTTCCCTATCTATGACTCCCCTAGTTCAGTGCATCTTCCTCCGTATACCCCTGCCGTGGAGGAAGTAACATTAGTCTCAATGAAGATGGAATGGGTCAACCCGTTCAACATGTCGCCATCCAGAGGGTGGAAGAACTTCATAATGGAGATTAACTCTACACAGCTCAATTTTTACCATATCGACCCGCAGTTAACGAAAGGCATCAGAAACTATTGTAACGGTAAAGCCACCTTTGCTGGTGAATCGATTGACCCGATTCTTGAATACGATAGTCATCATTCAATCTTTAATTCCTTCAGCTCGAAAAACACATACCAGTTTAACAAAGCCGACCAAGAATCTCTAACCAACAGGATAAAAAAGGACAAGGCAAGGTATTTGGCCAACAGTAAGCTGTTTAGAACCTATTCGTTGCAGTTTGCCAAATTCGGGATTCCAACAGACTACAGTAGAAAAACGTTTGTCCTAAGGTTACGATGTGAGACGGAGCAGTTTCTGCTGAGCTTCTCACACGTTGATGATATGATTATGTGGGCCATGAATTTAAGCATGGGAATTGGCGTTTCTCTGGATATTGATTTCAGAGAGCTTCCTACCTATAGAACTGTGCCACGCCGACGCAGGCGCCGAAGACGGAAAAGAAACGACGGCATTACAAACGGAAGTGATGGATTGCGCAGGATCACCGCCAATAGAAGGACAAACTCTATGCCCCCAAGTAACTCGTCTGCTTCTCATCGCAATGGGGTTTCAGAGTCTCATTCTTCCCATAAGAAGACTGGCAGCGTTTCTGCAGCAAGTACGAAGTCAAAGCGCGGACAAGAGGTTTATTTATCGTCTTCTCTCTCTACTGCTGGTAGCAGACGGGGCAGTAATGACTCAATCAAGTCGAAACTCAAAAGCTTTTTCAACGCCGACAAGAAGGTTGCATCTCCCACTTATAAAACTTCCTACGTCCGGACTATGAGCAGTACTGGATTGAACTCTGTGGTCGAGGACGAGGAAGAAGACCCTATTCCAATGGTAACAAGCTCTGCAGCAAACACACCAAATAAGGTAGCAAGTTTCGTGCGGCCTCGCTTAGATCAACGTTCTCAGTCAATGGAACTCATGAATGGCAACGCGGAAACAGAAGACTATTTTGGATTCTTAAACAATTCTGCGTACAAAACGAACGAGGGACCAGCTGCAACACCTGGCTCCCCAGGAAGTGTGGGGTCAATAGGAGGTGCCACAATTGCCTCTGGAGAGCTTCAAGTTCAATCTGGGTTCGGAAGCAATATAGGTCTGCAAAATGATCTTGCAGAGCTTTATCAAATCATGCGTGAGCACAACGAGGACGACGAAGCGATCGAAGAGGAAGAGGATGAAGAGGACGGCGATGCTTTGCCTACATTCGCTCCTAGCGATCACGACGACGAGATTGAGGAGGAAGACGATGACGATGTCGATAGTGTACACCGTAACCCTGCGACTACTACATCTTCAATATACCAGGAAGAGGGGATCTTTCATGACAGCGAAGACGATTATTTGTATGTTGTGGACCGCGGCGACGCGTTCCGCAGACGTGCGTCTTCCGTGACAAGCAACCTTAGCAGCACGCCCTATGGAAGTGAGGGTGTCAAATGGCACCCACCTAGGAAAGAAATGTCAAGAAGGAGGTATATTCGAGACTCTTTGCGGTGTATCAAACCGCTCCCAAGCGACGAAGAATGGATAGGAAAAGTCATGATTCGGGCAATCCCTTCGCCTGCTTACGAAACGAACAACCCACCCGTGTCAGGTTTCATTTTTGATCAAGGCAAGACTGGGAAACGCAAGGCTCCAAAGATAAAATCTCTGAGAATTGAAAACGGCATTATATTGAACAAGTGCAAAAACCACTTTGTCAAACCTTACGTGGTTGGTCCTACAGGGCTTTTGAAGACCAATGCAAGGTGCTAATTGCTGACCTCATGAACGTTAATTGTCTTTCACCTGGAGAAATAACATATTTAGATAGATTAAATTTATAAAAAGTGAGTCCATTTGACAGCTACAGCTGCTAACAAGTTGGGGCAGTGCCAGCTGCTTTCCCTATTTGTAAAGGTTGTCTCAGTTATATCGCGTTCGATGTAGAAAGAATAAAGACGTTCACATATTCTTTCTTTAACCATTGCAGCAGACAATTCTCCAGGTCAAAGAATCAGAATAGAAGCTACTAGAATGGATGCTGCACCAAAAACCACAGTGCGCGTAACATGCATGGGATTCGCATCTTCAGGAGAAAATTGTAGAGGAGCAAAAATGTGATGGTCATTTTCTTTACTTTCGTGACGCTGCTTAAAGCTGCTGTAGCTGTTATAGATATGTCTGAATGCAAAGTCAGCATGATCTGCAACGTGAGAACGTTTTGTTAGTAAAGATCCAGGCAGCCCATAATGAGGAAAACATGCTCACCGACTACATACTCGTGTCATTCATGTAACTAAAAGCTCTTGTAGCTATCAACGCTATCAGCATTAGACCCAATGTCACTTTTATAAGTGTACTGTTTGATCTTGCGGAAAGAGAACCCATATGTATCTTTTCACCTAAAAAGTCCAGCATTATAAGCTACTGATAATACAGCTAAATCTTGGAAAGATAACTAGCTTATGAAGGAAATTTCCTACAGCTCTGGGTTTGAGAGTGAGACACTATCTTATAGTCTAGATGAGCTTAATTATATGAAATTGTTTCGTATATCACGACCAAATCGATTTTATAGTCAATAATGTCATTGATTCTATGAGAAAGCCAATAACGATGTCAGAGCCTTACCATCTCATTTGAAACTGGTGTTTTAAGCCCACACTGCATACTTCGATTTTTCAAATTTCATCTTCTTTTACACATCATTTAGCATCAAAAAAAATACACATTTCATATACAGTCAAGAAATTAAAGTATTATTCAAGACAGTTAAACAACTCGAATTGGCACGGTCCAAACGAAGTATCTAAATATGGTCTAAATTTTCATCATAAGGCATATAGAATATGTAAGCCTTTCAACTGCAAACAAGATTTGTGTCGCATCCAAATCTTTGAGTCATTATATACGAACAAGAGCTTTAAATTGGACTCGAAGATTTGAAGCGCTCATCAGCAAACAAACTCTGTTGACAAGTTCCTACAACTCTGGTTTGGTTTACACCAGTAAGCATTTACCTTTCCCTCTGCTTACTTAAAAGTAAAACTTGCTGGCTCGCCGGAACTTACTGACTCTTTGACTAGAACTTTCCTGTGTCAAGGGCGCGAATGGGGAAATAAAAAGCGCATAAAAACACTATAGATCTACACGAACATGGCGCCAAAGAAGACACTTAAGCAGATCCTAGACTCCGAGTATATCGAGAATAGTGACGATGAAAACTCAAAGGGTCTGGAGGCCTCGGAAAACGCCTTAGAGGAGGACGAAAATCTCGAGGAAGAGACCGATAATAAAGATTACTGTGTAGACTGTAAAGACATGAAAACAGAGATAATATGCAGAGACTGTGAAGAATATTTTTGCGTTGTGTGTTTCGGGATGATTCACCGCACTGGCCGCAGAAAGAAGCATGAATTTGTAAAAATATCCACAGAACAAAACCCTCTTCCATCCGCTGAGGAAGAACAAAAACGGATGCAAGAGTCGAATAATAAAAGTGCCGACCATCATTCGAAAGAAGATTCAGTGCAGCCAGTCATGGAGTCTGTCAATTCAATTGACCAGAAAATGCTGGCAATGCTAACAAAACACGCAAAATACATACCCATGCGACTTACCCCGGAGGAGAGACATTTATTGAGACTTCTGGAAGCAGCTCTTCAGGTATCAGAATACACCGATCGTGTTGACATTATCTCCTACAAATCTAAGGCCAAGAGAATTGTAGAGCAGCTAAAGGAAATGTGCTCAGTATTATGTGGTCTTGTAATTGCTTCAAATCTAAGGGTGGGCAAGAAACTGCTAGAAATGAAGAATTTTAGTGACATCTCATCATGGTTCCAAGATGTTTTCGAAATTGGAAGACGCTACAAGATTATGAACCCCGAAAAGATGCGGGACACGTACGGGAAACTGTGCTACATGATCATGGACTCTCGCTTACCGCAGATCGAGGACCACCTAGAGTTCCATCTGTTCAAACCTATCAAAACCGTCTACGACTACCTCACCTCTAAGCCTGACGATCAAGGACAGGCACTGAGGATTTTCGAGGATAAGCTGATCTTGTATGCTACTTCTCAGGTTTCTCCTGTGGGTAAGTCAAGAGCGGAGATCAACAGACTCATTAGACAGAAGGAGAACGCCATAGAGAAACTGGTGGCAAAATACAGCAGCAAGTACTATAGCAAAGATGATCTCCGTCAGGTTTTGTACTCCATCGGGGATTACAATGCATACGTCAACATGAACCGCAGACCGGTGATGAGAATGCTTGAAAGACTGGAGGCTTTCAAAGATCCCGCAATTGCCTCTCGGTACAACATTGGTATTCAGTATGGCAGAAATGGAGCTCGTCTAACGCACGATCACGACCGTCAAATGCAGTACGTACAGCAATCGCTGACATTATGGTCCTCCATACAAAGAGAAATGATACATCTGTGGTACATTGCAGACCAAGATCTGTACAGCGCCCATGAGTACAGACTTGCATCGACTGGCCAAGGTCTAAATCGTATAAAGTCCTGTCCTGCACTTTACCGAGAAATGCAAAACATTCTCAGAGAGTGTCGCTCCAAGTGCACTACCTGGGTGGGATCGTCAGTGGTGCATTTGGGGGATGATGCGGTGCCCAACGCATTATTTTTCCTCGATAAATACATACAGGTCCCCAATATCTTGATTCCGTTCGATCAAGCTCTGTTAAAGATCAACGACCTGGTTGAGGGCGATTCGGCCATTCAGGACTACATTGAAGCCGAGTACGGCTCGGTTGAAGATTTAAAGCTGGTTATTCTGCAGGACGCATTCGCCCACATGTTCGATGGCTCGGGCGCAGACAATTTCTACATGAGTGGGTCCTGCATTGACGGAAGACTAACTTCTGCGTGGAATCATACCAACTCCATTGCGAAAAAGAATTACTACAAAATCTTTTTGATGACTGGATTCATTGGATTCAATGGTCAAGAAGGTTTTTAGCATCGATATGTACATTTTCAAATAGTCGTGTCTTTTCGATTTGTTGATATGATAGTTTTATCATTATAATGTGTCTTAACCTGTAGTTCATCAACAGATGATCCATCGCGAAAAGAACGATAATTTTAGGTCGAAGCATCTAGCTTGATACATGAGCGACACCAATGCGCTATATAATCAACCAATAGTACTAGACAATGGTTCTGGGGTCATAAAAGCTGGGTTTGGTGGTGAAGAAAAGCCTAAATGCATCGAGTACTCTTTGGTGGGAACTCCAAAATACAGCAAGGTCATGGCTGGAGGCCTGGCAAGCGACTCTCAACTAGTTGGAAACGCAGCTCAACGGGAACGGGGACTTTTGAGATTGCAATATCCTTTGGAGCATGGAATTATCAAAGATTGGCAGAGCCTCGAGGTTTTATGGACACATATATTTCAAGAAAGCTTGAAGCTGAACAATCTTGAAGACCACCCTGTATTAGTGACTGAAGCACCTTTAAATCCTGCTGGAAACCGTGACAAGATGTGTGAACTTTTATTCGATCTATTTAATTCGCCAGCAATGTACGTCTCTATACAAGCAGTTCTAGCCCTTTATGCGGGGGGTAGGACAACAGGATGTGTTATGGATTGCGGTGATGGCGTCTGTCACAGTGTTCCAGTTTACGATGGATTTACTTTACCCTCGGCAGTTCGAAGAATAGACGTAGCTGGACGAGATGTAACAGAATTCCTACAATTACTGCTAAGAAAGTCGATAGGTGTTACGCTTCTGTCGAGTTCAGAAAGAGAGATCGTGAGGATGATGAAAGAAAAAGCCTGCTATGTTGCCACAAATATAGCAAGCGAGGAGCGTAAATATGGTGGTGCAAGTGGACCAGAGTCGCATACTAAATTTAAGTTGCCAGATGGCAAGGTCATCTCGATAGGAGCCGAGAAGTTTCGAGCACCTGAGGTTCTGTTTCAGCCAGGACTTATAGGATCTGAGTGTGATGGTGTGGCAGAAATGTGCCATCAAAGTATATCAAAAGTTGATTTGGATCTAAGATCCTCCTTATGTTCAAATGTGGTGCTCAGTGGAGGCTCGACATTGTTTCCTGGTTTTGGCGACAGATTACTGAACGAGCTGCGCACGAAATGTGGACCCAGCACTAAGGTCAAGATATTCGCTCCGCCCGAGAGAAAGTACAGCACCTGGATCGGTGGGTCAATTCTGGCCGGACTAACGACATTTGAGAAACTCTGGGTGACGAAGGCAGAATGGCAAGAGAATCCTCAATGTGTGCACTCCCGCTTTATGTAATAAATATCAATGTAATGCAAAGTATGGGCACTGTCTATTAATCTACTTGTAAAGATGCTCCTTACATGTACGACACATGGCATCCGACCGACTAAATGCAGTAGTATCTGTCACCGAAATCTCCTAGACCGGGCACCAAATATCTATTCTCGTCAAGTCCGGAGTCGATAGCGCCCGTCACGATTTTGACCTTTGGAAATTTGGCATGGAAAAGATCGATACCTTCTTTGCTACAGATCAGGTTGAGGAAGAAAATGCGTTCAGGCTTGACACCTCTCTTGATCAAGACCTCGGTGGCCATAGCGGCACTACCGCCGGTGGCCAGCATGGGGTCCAACAAAAACACATATCTGTCAGCGATGTCCTCGGGCAATTTTTCGTAGAAAAGCTTTGGCAAAGCCGTTTCTTCGTCTCTTTGAATCACAATCTTCCCGATACGCACGGAACGGCAGCATTCTCTCAGACCTTGTTCCATGGACTCACCGGCTCTCACAATGGAAACTCCGCAGATTTTGCCCAAAAATGAGACACCTTCAAATTTTTGGTTCGTGGACGTTTCCACGGATTTTGGGGTCACTGGCATATGGTTCAATCCTTCTTCAACTAGCAACCGGATGATACGGTCCGCGTAAAACACGAAGTCCGGTCTGCGTGTGGTTTGGTCTCTGATGATCGTGTACAGACCCAAAAGCTGATTGGTTTGTGGTAACAGCAGCACGTTTTCGTATGGTTGTGTAGACATTTGCGTAGTGATATTGTTTAGCTATTGTGGGATGACAGACAATGTGAACACTGTATGGTATATGTGTGTGTGCAGGTCGAGACAAGTTCTGTCGTCAAAATATAAAACAAATTCCAGTTCGTTGATTCAAGCCTGTGAATCAATAAAAGGTATACCAAATACGATTGGAATTGTCAAAAAGTGGAGTTGGATAACACAACCATTATAAACTACAAGTGTTATCGGAGAGTGTAACGTCCATTGTCAGTTTTCAGCTATCTTTATATATAATTGATTTTTCCTGTGCGATGAGCTGATGAAAATGTTTCTGGGTGATCTCCGTCGGATTTGTTTGCAGATAAAACGGCGAATTCCGAGCAGGCAGGAACACAGGATTTAACGATGGATTGAACAGATACAATAATAAGACACTTAGAAGAGATAACGATGATGCTATTATGGCGTCTCGAGGGAGTAGTTTCTAGACTTTGAATTTGTGTCGCTGTGTACGATGTGATATCTTTTATTAAGTAACGTTACGATACTTGACGACTACAGACAACAGCACGAGAGGTAGTTCTCCCGAGGTTCGTGATGCGTCCGTTTCCCGGTCTTGACATTAAGAAAATTCTAGCTTATGTTGTAAAAATTTTAAGTGACGATTTTGGTCTTTTTTAAGGATTAACGGGTTTTTTTTGAGCCATGCGAGACCAAAAGTTCTTGTCAGACAGTCAGCGTCAAAAGAGCCAAATGAAGCTCTCTTCTTGATTCATTGTGGATGAGTAGATGGAAATTAATTTTTGTTGTTTTCAATACTATTTCAGAGGAAACAGAGTAAGGGATATTGTGGGTGTCACACGCGAGATGTGGTATGTGTGACGTGACAATTTGCACTGTGGTAAGGTCAGAGAGATTCATACTGATTGCTGCATGGTATGCCTTCCGATTTGAAGCCGTCTTAAATACTTGCTTGAGCCTCCTCCGTCAATGTTTTTTCAAACTTGCATCTTGGTACGCTGATTTATATTATACAAAACTAGTACGAACACTACACCCGACCGTACGGCTCTTCTCATACAGTGAGCGCGTAGCTTTTTGTCATTTCAATATTGGTTTTTTTTTTCGGGGTCGCTGAATCTCCAGCAGTGCTCTACTCTACGGAAGGACCACTTATGATTTCAGACCCGTCTAGTGGACTCAATGTCAGCAACATCGTACCTCTAATCACGACCAGACCGAGCTCCTTTGTTTGACCCTCCAAGATCTTGGTATCGTCCTCAGGGTCTCTCAGGTACTCTATAGTTTCGTCTAGCACCAAGTTCATCAGCTGGTCAAACCCCTTCAGTGTGCCAATGACAAGTCTTCCTCCCATCAATTTCACCCGGATTTGGGTGTCGGAGTATTTGGACAAATTCACAATAGGTTCGCGCTTGGGACCTTCATGTTTACGTTTGTTTTGAGATTGGTTTTTGCCCTGCAGGTATTCAAAGTTAGTAGACAATATTAACATCAAATGGACTCAAATTTCTCCGCTGAAAAAGCCCTGAAAACGTTTTTCGTCTGGAAACTTACCGACTCGCTCATTCCGATGTCTAAATCGTTTTTGATTGCAATGCTTTGCGCTAAAGTTATCGATTAGTCTTCGAAATGTCCAATTTTTTTAGATGTTAATTCTTGAAAGTCATTATTTAGCTTAAGCTGGGCATCGAACGTAAATTATCATGATGAGAACGAGAAAACAATGCCTCAGATACAGATTCAATCGGAATTATGCTCCAAGAGTCGTGAGATCAGCTCAAATCTTGACTGGAAACATTTATGCGAAAAATTGAGTCAACTGAGCGGCGTTTTGCCCTCAGACATGGAGTTAGAGTTTAAGTTTCGGAATGGTACATCCAAGACCGTCACCAATCCATCTGAGAAGGATGGCTTATTCGTTCAAGATCTCGGCCAAGAGCCCTTTCAGATTCAGATCAAGGACTTGAATGCAGACTCGTTGGCCAACCAGCTGGCTCAGGACTTTGTTCGGACCGAAAACGAGGAAAAGTCATCACCACTTTTCACGCTTTCCGAAGAAGACTACAAAAACAGAATGGACTCTGTGTTACAATGGAAAAAGGACCAAGGTCTCGGCAGCTACGACCCAGAGTACCGCGCCAAGCTGGAACAGGAGCTTCAACGTCAACAAGACTGGGCCCAGAGACTCACTTTGAACGAGCGCTGTTCTGTCACGACCCACAATGGGAACTACGAAAGAAGAGGCTGGTTGCGATTCATAGGTCAAATACCGGCAGTGTCCAAGGAACCAAAACTGTGGTGTGGAGTAGAATTCGACGAACCTTTTGGTAAAAACGATGGCACCGTCGACGGTCACGTGATGTTTGGTCCGGTCAAACCCCAGTACGGTGGATTTGTGACACCTACAACCGTAAGAACCTCCTCTGAATACCAGCCACTCGACCTGGGACTCGAATCCGATGACGATGACGACGAGTTGTAAATACGAATTTCACGCTGAAAGAAGACCGTATTATCACCAACTCGTTCATAGTGACGCCAATTAACTCGGGAAGAAACCGATTTGATAACCGATTGATTCACTTCATCATTACAAATGTCGCACTTCTGCTCACGGCCTTCAGCTTTCAGCCTTCAGTCCTCAGTATTTAGCCCTTTTCCCGCTACTCAACAGCCACATCCAACATGGAGCTTCTGAACAACGCCTACCATCATCTTTACGACTCAATTGCCGGCCTGGACGCGCAGCATATCATTCGGTTGGTTATAATCGTGGGCGGATACGCCTTGTTGAGAAACCTGGCGCAGAAACATCTGGCCAAGAGGCAACTAGAGAGAAAAGTTCGCGAGGGCGAGCAGGCGAAGGCCGAGCAGAAGTTGGAGGAGCTTGTTGACGATCCTAAAGGCGAGGAGACCGCCAGTGCCAACGCCTTTGGCTGGGGTAACAAGACACGCCAGAGAGTCAAGAGACAGGAAAAGATTCTGGAAGAACGTATCCAAGAGCTGCAAAAGTACCAGGGGAACCTGGACGACGACCAGGATATTGCTCACCTGCTCGAGGATTGAACCCGGGACTTTTCCAGCATCATTTATCATCGTCACTGTCATTGTCAATAGCTATATACGAATCTTGTGTTTATTACTATTATCGTCGGTAATGATCTTCAAAGGTTTCATGAAAAATTGGTCACTGGATCAGCGATGAGCTACGAGAAGCCAGCAGTTGTGACAGCTTAAAGGCCAGGAACCAAGGCGTTTAGAAGGCTACTAAAAGTCACTATTGGTCGAGCGCGGCTCCAGGTATTTAAGGGTTGAATTATGAGTTTTCAGCGTGGCCGGAAAGACGGCAATTCGTTCGCCAAAAACTTACCATTCGGTCTCAGCTATAGCGACGTTGGAGCTAACGAAAACCGAGAGCTCCCCACCATTCCAATGCCCGTAAACGGTATGGTGCTGCCTCGGGAGCGTGATACGGCTATCCAGTACATGAATCTCGTCACGGCGGTGCGGGAAGGTCCGTTTTACACGGGTTCCATGCAACTATCTGTGGACGGGCAGGGCAAAGACCTGAAATTGGTGGATGAAGACGGCATAAATGACGGTGTGGAGCGGTACTCGGATCGATACTTGAAGAAGCGCAAGATCGGTGTTTCCATCGATGAGCACCCGTTCCATCTAGAGTTTTTCCCAGATGAGCTCTACCAAGTGATGGGCATCAACAAGAAAAAACTGCTTGCGATCTCGCAGCTCAATAAACGCACAGAGGTTTTCACTGGCTCAGCAGCTCAGAACGAAGACGCCGAGGGATTGTCAATGTTGGAGAAACTCAAAAATCTAGCAGACGAAGAGGACGAGAGCGCCAGCGTGGAGAACAAGGAAGAGCTCGAAGACGTGGATGACGAATTCGACAGTGACGAAGACGAGGACTACAACGCCGAAAAGTATTTCGATGACGGAGACGACGACGCTGGCGAAGAGGACGGCTACGGTGACGAGCCAGCGTTTTAGCCGGGTCTCAATGGACCAAGTAGAAGAGGGGAGCAGGAAGGGAACTGAATGAGTTTATCGGCGTTGTCGCAAAGCTGCAAGCCACCATTGCATTATATCTGTACATTAAGTATTACACCTGTTCAATTAGTATAAAAGGACAAGTCATTTTGGGAGAGTTTTGTTGTCAACAACGCATACTTGTGTTTAGTGGTGCTAGTTAAGACGTTGTCCTGATATCGACATGCACAGTTCTTGCAAACATTGCGGAACCAAGACATAAATACCAAGGTCGAAACCCGCTTTCTGCTCGCTGTGCTTCGCATTGAGACGGCGATGAGCTCTCTAAAGTTTTTTCAGTCTAAAGGTGGGGGCCTTCGCCTCGTAGGAGAATTGGAAGCATTTCGCGACCTCGTTCCAGATTTTGAAAGCGGACTAGGCGGAAGGGGTGGTAAAGGAGGGTTTTGCTCGCGTATGCTGGATGCAAACCGGCCCATGGCTCGTGGACTACTCTCGGCGCTGGTTCTTCTGGCTTGGTCCACAGGAAGACGCGGAAGCGGTGGCTGAGAGGCAAGTTTCGACGATTCGAAAGATTTCCTGCTGGGGCTTCGAGTCGCCGTGGCCGCGCCTTCGTAGTCCTCTGGGTCGACACCTACAACTTTTTGTAACGCTTTCAAGTCCAGCTTGTTCTCGTTGTCGTTTCCCTGTTGATCAGAAGCAGGATTTTTGATAGACTTCCACTTCTCTTTCAGTTGCCTGAGCTTCGCGAATAATGGCTCGGTGCCCGCAGACGTAGCTGTTCCAACCGTATTTACAGTAGCGTGGCTTTCGTGGGACGCAGAAGTGGCATGGGAGCTGAAAGTTCCATTCGAAGCGACTGAGGAAGTGAAGTTGATTGAGTTTCTTGAATTCGAATTTGGTCGCACGATGGGCTCTTGAGAATCTAATGCAATTGAGCTACTGCGTGATTCGGATGCATGAGAGTAGCCATTGTACGATTTAGCATTATATTCGTCTCCCATTCGAAAGGAGGGGAGTTTGGAAGGCAGTGGAGGCGGTTCTCTACCTTCCATAGCTAACTCCAGACTATTTGCATAATCAGAATTCTTCTTTCGAAGCCTTGTAGTAGGTATCAGCGGGTGGAATGTCAATTCCACGTATACTTGACCAGCCTCTTCCTTTCCCATTTTGAGGTCAAACCAGTCATCGTGGCCGTCTTCAGGATCTTTGTAAAGGGCTGGTGTCAAATCGACTGTGCATTGTCCTATTAGCCTTGGAGGTGACCTTTCGTCAAATAACTCTATAACTAAAGCCGGCTTCACGTCTGGCGTAAGGTCAAACTTAGAATAAAAATCAAACTTGGGAGTTTGCCCGCCTCTAAATGCTACCTCTGAGGTAGCTATCATGTGTGAAATTCGCAGTCGAACGAATGGGCTTTGCTTGTCCAGCTTTCGTAGATTTGGTAAATCGCGAGCTCTACTGACGTATACTTCCAAAAGGCCATTGGCACCGCCAACGGCACCGCCAACGGCACTATTTGATGAAACTGACATTATATTGCGACTATTCTGAGCTAGCTGGGTCCCTTCACGAGTCCGCCAACGTTGCTACTCGTCAGAGCGTTTGGATCTGGATGTTCGTTTGATTTCATAGAATTATATATATCAATCTCATCACAAGGACTAGTGTATCGACTAGAAGAGCGACTAGAAAATTGACTATAAAACATTATTTTTGAAATACGTACATGTCTGCCATCGCCTGCCCTAACGAGCCTACTATATGATTGGCTGTGGCAAGATTAACATGCTATGTGGCAGAGTAGTTAGGCTGCGGCTTCGGCTTCTGTCCCGTTATTTGGTACTTTGAAATATGATACCGTGTTATACTGTCACATAGTGGATAGTGCAGCTTGTGTGTGGTGCCCATGACTGTCTCTACCACGCTCAGGACTATTTTTGGTACCTGCTCTGCTGCGGCGTTGAGTTTTCTGGGACTGGGCTAGCGCGACTCTCGCGGCTAGATCGACTTTTATGTGAGCGAGGTCCGGAAGGAAGTTTAGAGGAAAATGTGTCGCTAGACCTTTCACCGTGATGTCTGCTATCGAATCGGCCTGTTTGTTTGGGAGGCTGTTTTGAAGTCATCCGGTCACTCAGATCCGGTCCTGCTCCATGTGCTTGATTTGAGAAACGACTACGATCAACACCAGAGTCAGGTTTCCCTCTTTTATTAGATGCTGTGGAGACACTTTCATCTCTGGGGCGCTTCGTGGATTCAAACCGTGGGCTTTCTAAGCTGCTTCGATTGCTTATTTTACTTTGATTCGCCGAAGCATCTCCAAATCGACTATTGGAAGTACCACTACGCTGTGATGCAGTGCGAGCGGGACCACGAGGAATGGGCGACTGAGCTTTGTTGAAGTTTCCAGTCTCTCCACCAACTGGAGTAATAGCCTTTCTCTCGTAACGCGAACCTGCTCTACTTGAACTAGTTTCAGGGCCACTCAACCCAGGACCCTTAGAGGACTTGATGTTCAGAGCACTCGAGAAATGTCCTTTGTCGAGACCACTGTCGGGTTTGCCGGGGTCGCGTCGACTTGAAACGGCCTTTTTATTTCCGTTCGACTTGCCGAGTCTATTTTCATTCTGTTCAGTTGCTTTTATGCCGCTGTATCTAGAAGGTCTCTTGTTTTCATCAGCATGAACTACTGATGCGGTCGACCTAGATTCCGCAATTCGTTTCTTAGATGGTACGGTTGTCGAAGACGAAGTTGGTTCGTCATCGTACTCGATAGGAGGCGCCTGGTATCTGCCTTCGGTTTTTTTCTTCGTGCCATATGGATTTGTTGTGGATTTACAAGCGCGCAATATACCGCTCAATCGCAGCTTGAATTTTTCATGGTTCACAGAACTTACAAGACTTCGATAGAAAGACTCCAAGAGCTCCGCAAGTTGAGACCTGTATTCCTCAGGGTTCATAATCGTCTCTTTTTCGATTTTTTGTAATTGCGATAGAAGAGTTTTGTTTCTCATATGACGATAGAGGTAAGCTGTCCTGTTTGCTTCCAGGCACTTTTCAACGTCCCACATTTCATTGAGTATTTCATACATTGGTAGAGGTGGAACTCTACCGAATCTGGAATTGACATGTGAGGCCGAATCCCTTTCGATCGCAGTTTCATTTGCTTGCGTTGACTCGTTTCCTTGCTTGCTCTCAATTTCTCTTTCGGCATTAGACTTTAGTCTCTTTTCGTTCTCCTCTTCCTCTAAGGCTTTATGATATTTCATAACCAAATCTTTCTTTTCGAAATCGAAGCTTACCTTCTCTTCCTCACTCATGCTGTAGAAGGCATCCAAGTCCAGAGCGGTTTTCAAGCGCGCTTTGAGATGACCTACCAAGGCGTTGCTTGGTAAAAGGATGTCTTCTCTTTTGTCTACCGCAATCAGTTTCTCCATGGCTTCAGTCATCTGCAGGATATCATATTTTACAACCGGAAAGACTGCAGACAGGTGTTTCATGAACTCAATTCCGTTACGAATTGACATGTAGTTTTGTTCCAAAATTAGGTTCACGACATCTTCTGCGATAAGGCTTTGAGCCTTAAACAGTCTTTTGAGATCATGCCCAGAAATCTCCTTCTGCTTTCTGCGACATTCTAGCTTTTCAAGGTAGGTCGCTAGAAATAAGCCCAGGTTACTAGCCTCTGAAGTCGTGGAACTGAACAGCAATGGCCCGAGGATTCTAGTTGTCACAATGTCCTCGAAAATGTCCAAGGCACCAGAAAAACCAAAAGTCTCCCATATAAAGGCCACGACAAAAAGAGCATCCGCTGGGGAAAACAAAACTCGGGGAATGACGCAGTACTGCAAAAAGGGCATTATCATGTCTGCACTTTTAAGTCGTTCGACACTTATCGAAGACACAGTAAGCGATTCTAAAAATTTATTGTGTGCTCTTTGGTGTGCGATTCGACTTGCCATGACGCCTTCAATTTGTCTCGATAGCTCGCGCTTCCTCTTGCTAGATCTTGTTTTCATGAGAGAGTTTTCGATTGTAAGTTTTTCGTCGTCGTAAAGCTCTCTACGGAAGCAAACATCATATAACGAGAGAAGCCAGAATTTAACGAAGAGGTCTTTGTGCTCACCTTCAAATTCTCGAGGAATGAAGCTCGCTTTTTCGATCGCGAGCTCAAATTGCTCTCTGGGTCTAGCATCATCGTGAGCAAAGTCATCATAGTACTCTCTCCAGATAAAAAAAGCCCACTCTATCGATAAAGAGTACTCGCTTATCAGCTGGTCAAAGTCGGCTACATTTTCACCAAATACTCTCGATCCTAAAAAGTACTTGCTCATGTCGATAAAAGCCCATAAAAGTAAATTGATATCATCAATTTTCGATGACAGCACCTTATAGTGAGAGTCTTCTTCAGTGGAAGATTTGCTTAAGTGATCCAGCAAAAGTATAACTTCCGTTAATGCATTTTCGTCTATGAAAACCTTCAAAAGCCGCAAAGCAGGGTGGCTGTTGTCAGCTCTCGAGTCCCGAATGACTGTCCTAGCTATCTCCTGCAAAGGACGTCCTGAATTGAGCATAATTAGCTGTTTTGGGCTCAAATCGTTGATGGCCTTCACACCTCCTACTCTAGAAGTCATTTCTCTAATAATTGTAACTGCTATCATATCATTGAGATGTAGCTTCTTGATCACAAAGCGAATTATGTTTGTGATGTCCATTTTTGGCGACTTTTTTGCTAAACCAGCAATGAAAACAGCTATTCTCTGCACCCACGTCATGACATGGATACCACTGTCTTGTAGACTCTTTCTTCCAGACGTCAAGCGAAGAAGAATATGATACTGTAAGACGTCGTAGGTGAACTGTGTAAAGTGCAGACTAGTTTCTACAACCAAGTCTGATAGCTTATCGTAGTTTTCTAGCTGGTTCAAAACGGGGTCTAAAGTGCTCAGAGGATTTTTCGCTATTATCTTCGCAAAGTTTTTGCCTTTTTTATCCACATTGTCCATGCTCAGTGACTTGAGCTCGGTTTTGGCCTCTCTACTCGCAGAATTCCATGCGGCCTTCAGGAAGATATTGTCCTGAGACAGTTTAGAGGATAATTCATTGTAAAGAAAAAACCGTTGTTCATAGTCGAAGTGTTTAAAGAGTTCGTAAGCTTCATTGATGATTACAATATTCTCCGTCAAAAGAGGAAGGGCAGAGAAAATGAATTTTCGCGTAAAGTTTAACCAAGCTTTTAGTTTTGTTTCGCATTTCTCGCTGAGCTGCAAATCTTTAAAACCGATTCTGCAGAGTTTGGAAACAACAGACGGACTGCGAGCAATATGAGGCCCAAGGAGGGATAGCCACTGATGACAAGCCTTAAACAGTTCTTCAACATCGCTGACCATTTCCACATCTTCCATGCACTCACCATAATAGAAATCATTGACACTGTAAGACTGAAGAGTCTGGAAAACCTCGTGCGTCGGTGTAAGCTTTTTGGCTTTTTGTGTTACTAAAGCTGAACTGTAAGAAATGGAAGAATGATAAAGGGGTGTAATCGAGTGCTCAAAGAGCCTTAAGTAGAGCCTTGCCACGTCTTGACTGACCATAAAAAATCGGGAGTTTTTCTGAAAGGCAGAAAGAAACGGTACTATTGCGCCGTGAGCGAGAAGCCTCTGTATAAGTAGCATCTTGCCACCTTTCAAAATGTCCTTTTCTTTAATTTCTTCAGTAGCCTCCGTCTTTTCTTCAATGTTTTCAGCTGTCTCATTAGTCTGATCATTGTCAGTTGGCAGTTTCTCCTCATTTTCTGTGTCATCTGCAAGGGCGGCAGCCATTGCTAATGGATTAGATACCCCTTTCATACTATCAGCCTCCAGGTCCATGTAAAATTTATCCGTGAACTTCCCAATAATTTCGTCGCTAGGCCCCAAATTATCATAAATCGAGGTGAAGGATACAAATCCAGCTTTTACGAGAACGCATACCATGTCATAAAACTGAACGTCGACATTGTCATTATTCAAATGCATGGTGAGCAACTGTGCAGCCATAATGCTTCCACCGTTGCTCAGGTTTTGTGCCAAGCGGCAATCGGCCGTCTCTTCCGGCCAGAACGCAGATGCCCTCAAAAATTGGACCAAAAAGTGGTATTGAGTTGTGACAAAGCGAGCTGATACCACCAAAATCACGTCCAAAGCCCTTAAAGGGTCAAGTGAGTACTTCCCAATTATGCATTGAGCTTCGTGGCAATACCTTGCAGCACTTTCGAAATTTGCGGGATCTTCGTAAGCTACCAGCATAAGGGTAATTAACTCTGAATAGGCCACTGGGTGTTCACTTAGCAGATTGTACTTGTGAATCATATACCCGTTGTCTAAAAGGCTTTTCTTGAAAAGGGCACGCTGCTTAGCGGTAAATTTGTTTGCGCTCTCCAGCAGCTTGTCGTCATTCACATAAGTAGAGAAATCGCTATCCATCACATCCAAAATTCGCACCAGCTCCACTAAACGTTCTGATTTTTCAGGAAAACCGTTTAACAGAGCTATGAACAAACGTGCTGTTTTTGGACCCTCTGCAGCATGCACTTTTTTTATTACATGGCATGCATCCTCGACACTCAGTCCACCAGTGCCATTGACAGTGAGCAGCATTATAATTTCATACAGTAACGACTGAACTTGCTGCTTGCGCTGCTTGCGGTCATCGCATGTTGCCAATTGATCTATCAAGTCCTGAGTGAAAGTATTTAGATCTTCAGTATTCCTCTTAAAGCTCCCAAAACTCTCCAAAAAACCATTCAAACTTGCCGTGGACAGCGCATTGATCTGAGAGCATACACTGGCCATTCTAGCTCAGATCAACTTAGTATTTAGCTAGATCTTTTGTTCAGTTGAGGTAGACCATTACTGAATTCCTTGTTGACAAAAAAATCTAAATTGTAGAAATCCAGTAAATCAATCAAAAGACACATTGATCGGTAAAGACATACAGATATATAATCTCAATCTATCCATCGACATGGTACGTTCTGTCTGAGTTTGATGCTATTTTCTCAAAAATTATGGGCAAAATGTACTAACCTTGTCTAGTCTGACAAACACCGGCAGCAACAGCTTTTCCAAGTTATGAGGCAGAAGCATTTAGGCTTAGGCACTGAAAATACGACGACTGATGAGTGGATAACACAAGTACATAAAGACACATATTATAGTATGGCCTCGCATAGTGCCATGTTAGAGTACCTGACGTTGTCGCAAGGTGACTCCAGCAAACGAATCACAGAGCTGCGACTTCTGGAGAAGATGTGCGACAAACCGCCAGCAAACAAGCGAAAGCTCCCGGAGCTCCCGTAGAGGACAAGACTGGCTTCCAGTTTCAACAAATGACTCTTCAATGAAAATATAAACTATTCTACAATTATTTTTTGTTTCTGACAATCCTGACGCAGGAAAAGGGCGAGCAAAAGACCAGGCTTGTCTGTTTCTTCTGCGACACCCAGCGCGTCCCGTTTATCCTAGGTCGAGCAAATTTCGGCCGAGATCACACGGTTATTGACATTGGCACGATCGAGCCGTTTTTGAGCTTCTGAAAGAACACGCGCATCGGAGCTCTGGAGCCAGAGTTCTGCAGTTACAGACCCCGAGGGCAGATCGATGATCGAGGTTTTCTGCACCGCTACCCCGGCGATTTTCTCAACAGCTTCGGCCAAAGACTGCGAATCGGACCCCAAGGGAAGGTTGCGGAGTCTCAAAAACCGCATTTGAGCGGCCGTGTTGACCGTGAGATACAGGTCCTTGCCATAGGGCTGCACAGCTGCACGGTCGCGACTTCTGGCCATTTCGCGTCTTTGCACGCTACTTTCGACGCGTGTGACAGTACCTGTGGCCGAGGTTCGCTGTTTCACCGTTCTGGCGTTCACCAGCCTCACACTCTTGCCGTTCTGCTGTGCTCTTTTCGCGTTTTTATGTGCTGGCTCTGTGCGAGCTGCTGCTTCCCTGAGTAGTACCCCGACGTCGTTGGCACTCACCAACCGTCCGTTGACCACACGAAGACCCACATCCTTGATGCTGCCACTGTTGTTGTTTCTATTCCCTTTTTCCACCTTTTTCGCCATTCCTAGCCTTTCCAGCAGGGTTTTACCCTGGGCTTGGTTTTTGACCCTTCTTTCGCCATTGACCGTTTGCGACTTCCTGTGACCTTTACCGGTGTTTTTAGTCGCCATTGAATAGTCTATTACCGGTCTAAAGACTGTTTTGACGTTGATTTGAACCACCAGCTGTTGTTGTTGATGTTGTTGATCAACGATATTATCCATGTCTTGAACGTTCAGGTCCGATTTTGAATATCTTGACGAGATCTTTCGTCGATCGTGTTTTGAACTATTTAAATTGAGATCACTACAAACGAGTTCGTCAAAAGGGGTTTCTGATCTATAAATGTCAAAACAGGTTCAGTTACAACTGCAGCTCACTTGGTTGATCCTGAGCGTAAGAAACAAGGTTGAACAAGGCTGATAGATACGTCATGACTGAGTCCAGCTCTTTCGCTATCCAGGGGTATAATATGTCCAGGCTTTTGAAGCGTTTGGAAGACGCAACGGCCCGCTTAGAAGACGTTACTTTGTTCCAGGAAGGGTACGTGCAAACCAAGATCAACGCGCTTCACGACGAGGGAAACAGTGGGAAAGATGCAGTGAAAGCGAACTCTGCACCTGGTAATGCAGATGCGGTCGAAATTGCGAAGCAGAGCGAGCCCCAGACCGCTGTAGAAGCGGAACACGCCAGTATTGTGGCATTTGACAGGTTCACGGATGAACACTTGAAACCGTTGCTACAGACGTCTGAAAAAATTGATCCACTCGTTAAGCAAGCCATTGAGCATTTTGGCAAAGCTTTCGAGGCTCAGAAACAATTTCTGAGGGTAGTGATGGCTTCCAAGAAGCCTGACTACAGTTCCGAGGCTTTTGGCAAATCTCTCCAGCCCTTGAACGAGCAAATGCTGGCCATTGGCGATCTGAAAGACCAGAACCGTCAGAGCAAATACTTTGCGCATCTCAATGCGGTGGCAGAAGGTGCGCCGCTTTTGAGCTGGATCGGCGTCGAGACTCCAGCATCTATGATTGGCGATTTCAAGGATGCAGCACAATTCTGGACAAACAGAGTACTCAAGGACTTCAAAGACTCTGACCCCACCAGCGTCGAGTGGGTCAAGCAATTCCTGGGTGTTTTTGACGGCTTGAGAGCCTACGTCAAAGAACACCACATGACAGGGCCCTCTTGGAATAACGCGACGGGACTTGAATTCTCTGAAGCTTTGGATAAACTTAACGCCTCTAAATCAACTTCAAGTGAAGGCCCAGCTCAGCGTTCTGCTGCTAGTGCTGCTGCTCCCCCTCCACCACCACCTCCAGCCCCTCCTGCGTCCGTGTTTCAAGCGCAAGAAACTCCAGCTCCTAAAGGTGGATTTGACGCCGTTTTCAGCGAGTTGAACCAGGGCGAAGATATAACAAAGTCCTTGAAAAAGGTGGACAAATCTCAACAAACTCACAAAAACCCAGAGCTTCGTGGTTCTTCTGTGACGCCTGCCTCTAGAACCCCACCTCCAAAGCCCAAAAAGCCCACCACACTCAAAACCAAAAAGCCCGCAAGAAAAGAATTAGTCGGTAACAAGTGGTTTATTGAAGGTTTCGAAAATGTACAAGAGCCGATAATAATTGAGGTTAACAGAGATGAGTCTGTCTATATCGGCAATTGCAGCTCTATTTTTGTACAAATAAAGGGTAAAGTGAATGCTATCTCTATGAGCGACACTGAACGCTGTAATGTGATGGTAGAGAGCAGCATTTCAGGCTTCGATATCATCAAGTGTGTTAAGTTTGCCGTTCAAGTGGAGCAAACTCTTCCTCAAATTAGCATTGACAAAAGTGAAGACGGTATTATCTATCTCAGCAAGGACTCGCTCAATGCTGAGATTTTCACCTCTTGTTGCACTTCCCTCAACGTCAACCTCCCAATTGGTGAAGATGATGACTTCGTCGAGTTTCCCGTTCCGGAACAACTTAAGCATACATTTGCCAGCGGTAAATGGGGCAGTTCTGTCTTTGAACATGCGGGATAAGTATCGTTAAAGGAAGAGCGTTAAATAATATACAGTGACTTTACTATTAACAAGAAGTATACTCATTTACCATTCCGAACGTAATACATGTAAGCGCGTTCATGGACAGGTAGGCCAAAGGGAGAAATGACTTCCGATTGGCCAGGACGTGCCACGGGGTCTCTAAGGTAAACAGCATGGCATGTTTTGAAGGAGATTTCAATGTGGTGAGGTAAAATGGCAAATGGTGATAAAAATGGTCTTGGCTTCCAAGGCGTGAAATAAGGTTTGGAAGGATCTTTGCGGCCATAAACACCTTTTTGCCACGGCAGATTTATGGCAGCAGCAGCCCTAGATTCATCTTCAGCTAATTCGCTGACATTGATAGGCTTGTGGCCACTGACCTTCTGAGCCCATTGAGGGTCGTATGGTATCGCCAACGTCTGTTCGCTACCTTTTTTTCCTTCGTAAAGCTTACGAATTACCTTGTCTTGAGAGGTCAACATTTCGGAACACAAGTTCTTCGCCGCTCGTAGCGATTTTTTGGCACCATCAGACATTGCTTTCTTCTTTTCCTCCGAAAGGTTTATTAAAGTTTTTGAATGATCGGCCAGCTGTTCAAGCGACATGGCAGATGCACTTTCTGGCACTGACTTTGAGATTTGAAGTTCTTGGAAACACTCTAAAGCTTTGGCAGCAAGAGCCGCATCATCGTAAAATTGCGATAGGAAGTCTTGAGCTCCGGGCTCAGCAGAAGCAGAACCTTTTGACATGATTTTCGCAAAAATAGCCTCCTTCGTCTGCGTTTTTATTTCGGACTCCATTTGAGCGTCTAGAGTTTTATTGTAGTTTCTAACAAACTCGAGCCACTCCTGCTTTTTTGGGTTCGAGTCATCCATTTGGCGGTATTGTTCTTGCTTCTCTGCCCATTTCTCTCGAGGGTTCTCTTTGAGGGCTTTCACGTATCTATTCCAGATAGCAATTTGGCGTTTGTCTATCTTGAGGGATTCAGCCAACGAGGGTTTCTTTGCACCCAAAGCTTGCAGCACCTTTTCTGGTTTGACAAAAAAAACGTCGCCAGGTTTCAAGGTGTAGCTTGGTTGCGATATCTTGATTCCGTTAACGAAAACATTGTTATGCAAAATAAATTGTCTGGCTTGTCTCACAGAAGAGGCAAACATGGCACGAAAGATTGCAATGTCCAGTCGTTTCTCTAAAACCCCGAAAGTTTGTAGTAGAATTGGTGTCTGCTGCGTTTCACGGCCCTTCAAAGACGCATCCAATTGGGCAACGGAATCCAACTTTGGCGTGAAAGTTGTCTGCCACCGATTTTCAGTCAAATGTTCACCATGGTAAGCTCTAGTTTCTTGTTTGGCTGTCCATTTCTGCTGATACAGCGTCTTTGATCTGAAATCGACCTCGCCTTTCTTGTACAGGTTGAATAGGTTGTATTTGTTGAAACTCGACCTGACTCGACCGCGGGCCAACGACTTCAGCAAAACCGCCTTTCTAGGCATTATTGAATTGAAATATCAGCCCAACGCACAGGGTCAAACTGATCTGAGAGGCTCGCAATGACCTTTTAATGTTCGACAACAACTCTGTGAGTTTGCATAAGAGATGAGCTTGATTTCTTAAAATTTTTCAAAATATCCTTTTAGACGAACAGCTCGAATAGTATTCTAACCAGAACCCTCATGACGGGAAACCTACAATTGAGCGGAAGCATGGCAGGGAGAGTGGAAGTATTTGAAAAGGTTGAGCTTTAAAGCTGGAAATTCCGGTGTCTTTAAAGTAAGTTTCAGATCGAGATCATGTCTCGTATATAGTGATTTTATGGAGCAGATCTTTCCAAACTCATTTTCGAGTTTGAATGTATCCGAAATATTGATGTACTTGGTACTTCTTGCGGCATTGAGTTCGGCCGTGTCATTTGGAGCCTGACGATACATTCTCTCTGACTTGAGAGGTTCAAAGTTCGGGTTGCTGATTTTTGGAGCTATTTTATATCACTTTGTACTGCGCAGACGTTTAGTCTAATTTATTGATAGATTACGAAGTATAAAATAAAATGCCAATACAAATGCAAGTTTTGGGATTTGAATGTTATCTAATGTGTAGTTTCACGAAGAGCCTTGGCAGTTTTGTAGTCATAAAATTTTGATCATCACCACTTTTTTTACTCCTCAGTATACTACGTTTTCCAAAGTTTTCGTTCCTCAAAAAAAACCAACTAACACGACTTTTCTACTCCCACTACACCACCTAACACTCTAATTAGCTTCAAAAATGAGCTAATGACTTTCTGCACAACTGGATCAAACGGTTAATGAGCCACTATGAAGTTTTGACTTAAACAGCGACACACCCGTACGAAAGGCTCTTGATCATAGTATTAGGCTCATTATATCCTACAGGGAGTCAAGCACATCCAAGTGAGTCCTAACTTCACTTCTAGATGGACGCTAGCATCGCTGTCTCCTCTCGAAATGAGTGAACCGTGGAGTATCGAGGATGATATTCGGCTTTTCCGATGGATAACGGATTTCAAACCGGCCGGTATACATAAACATTTCCATATGATCAGCATCTTGGGACGAATGAACAGACCTGATCAGTTCCCGGTGGTACTCTTATTCGATAAGCTTAAAAGCGAGGGTAAAGGTCAATTCATTGCCAGTGAAATATGGGCGAAGCTAGATCAACACTATGACTTGGCAAAGCTAGACGAACGAGAAAACTTGGCAATGCATGAGAATGAGCAAGTAGGTGATTCTAAGAACGGTGAGAAAATGGAACCATTCCACAGTTCTGCGTCTCAGGCACTGCGACGGGCATTCAAAGGACAACGGGAGTTCAATTTACCATGGGATGAATATGGAGAACTGATTTTGGAGAATGCTCGAAGCGCGCTAGACGACAATCCCGAAGATGAAGAGCACAGATCCGACCAAAATTTCGATCGTGAGGCTGTACATAGAGAGAGATCGCCTAGAAGGCTAACGCGGTCTTCGATATCCCACAGACCGCAGAAAAGAGTGACTAGGTCGCAAGGACCTGCTCCGCTGCCGAGAGATACAGACGAGTTAGCAAATGAGGATTCGGTACGGTCAGAAAAAGGTAGCCAGTCTGGCTCAGAAGCGGATCAAGACACTAAAAACAGCCCAGAAGGAAGTGGAATAGCGATTATGGAGGGAGAAGAATACGATCCCAGAGCTCATGAAGTCGAGCCTGAAAAGCAGGAATCCCAGCAGGAAGGAACCGATTTAGAACCCGTTGCTCCATCAGCTCAGCACGAGGCCCCAACGCAAGAATCACCACCTTCGAAAAGGACGAGAACTACACGAAGCCACCCAGCGGATGCAATCTCCGAGATTAATGACGCAGGGAAGGACCGGGCCTCAATGGCTCCATCCTTGTTACCACAGGCTCAACAAGCGGTCAGAACCAGCTCTCGCGTAGCGAATCGACGCAAAAGTCGTCGATAGAGCACACAAACACAGTACTTTATTCTATAAGAGACAATCGAGTAAGCAACACGACAAAGATCGTAAGCAAAGAAACTTGACGTTTGAACTATAGCTATATGAAGATTTGAACGCATTATAGGTATCTATCTAGTTGATTTTCAACAATTCGACGTCGAAGACCAAAGTGGCGTTAGGTGGGATCAAACCTGGGAAACCACGAGGACCGTAAGCGTATGGGCCTGGGATGGTTAGTCTGGCCTTTTCGCCCACGGAAAGCTTAGGAATACCAACGTCCCAGCCCTTGATGACTTGGCCGACACCGATGTTGCATTGGAATGGAGAGCCTCTGTCGACAGAAGAGTCGAATTTTTGGCCGTTCTCCAAAGTACCAGTGTAGTGAATGGTCACCAAGTCGCCAGCCTTTGGGAAAGACGAGCCGTCACCTGAGGCCAATCTGTCGATTTTGACGTTACCTTCAATAGTTTCAGACATTATGTTGGTGAGAGTTGTTGGAATGGATTTGATGGGGGGCAGTAAGGCGTTATCGTTGATGGAAAGGGTTTTTAGAAATGGACGAACTTTTTTACGTGAGTTTGACGACTGTAGAGGAAAAAATGATTTACGCGGGGTCAAATAAAGCACAATTGACAGCGTCAGTGGACAATTGAGAGTGTGCTTGGTGGGATAGCCGGCAGGTTAGGAGCTTGTAAGAAGGGATTGAAGCTACAAGAGGTAGTTTTAAAAATATGACGGACGATAATGATTAAAACTAGCAAATATGATAGAATAGTGAGTGATTAATTGCCTGCCACCACTTTCGAAAGTGGACAGCTGGATGACTTAGGGATGTGTTCATCAGCCTAACATCAGGAGAGAGTTGACCAATCTTGTTAATTTTGTTTTTGCTGCATAGTCGTGGGTGAGGTTTCAATAGCAGTTAACATCACTGGAAGGTTTCTGGTAGCGTTGGTTGTCAACTTACTCGAGGTGTTGTGTATTAGCAATTAATTGGAAATACATACTCCTGGGTGAGTATCGGCAATCAATTGGGAGAATATACTACTGCAGGAGTGTCAGGGATTAATTGTCATAACACACTGGCCTATAATCGGGAATTTGAAAAGAGATGGATATTACATGAACATTAAAAATGACTGGGGAAAAGCTGAACTTGTGATGGAATAATGATTCGCGTCGAATCAAGCTGTCCAAGTCTTCAAATGCTCAGCAACTGGTCCCACCAATGCTTCAAAGTTTGGCATTTTGCAGGAGGAAATCAAGCAACTTACATGACATAACGTCAGACGTCTTTTGTATGGCTCGTAAACTAGTTTTAGAGACTCAATTGCCGATTTTCAGTGTTAAGGACGCTTTAAATGCTGACTTTATCGGTTCTAAGCTTCTCAAACTACTCCAGTCTTTCGGACTCGTTTGAGCGCTGTCTTGTATTTGTAAGTTTCTTCAACGATGATTCATATCCGCTGTGCTCTTAATTTTGCAATTGGGCTTGTAGCAATCTTTCACCGCGCTCTCAATTGTTCAGTGGTCGAAACCAATCTACGTTTGTACAGTGCAGATTATAAGCGATCAATTGTCCCCTGGTGCCTGTAGACTTTAGACCTCTATGTATCCACAATTGCTCACCTACGCTCTCTCGAAGCCACTTTGTGTATTCAACAATTTATCGCTGACAGTCTCAGTTGTTAAATAGTGCTTTTAGCCTCCTCCGCTTACGTTTTCAATTGTTCAGGAGTGCTTATAGCCATTCTGTATATTTCACAATTGATCGCTAACGGTGTCAGTTATTCAGAAATGCCACGGATTCTCTACTTATTGTTACCGCTCTCAGCTGTTCAGTAGTATTGGGAGCTCTATGTTTTCTATTCAGAAGTGATGGCTAGTACTCTGAATTGTTAATTAGTGCCTTTAATCACAATTGAGAGCATCGGCGATCAGTTGTCTGGTAGTGCTTCGAGTGCTTGAACTCGCTCGCCATTACTCTCAACCTAAGCTGATTAAAGCACCTCTCACCTCTCATTGACAGCATCGAATGAATAAGAGGTCTAATTGTAATTTGCATCTTTAAATATATCTCGAGCTTTCAATCAATCATCATCGTACGTTGACGCTCCAAATTGTTTAGTGATACGGCCAAAGCAGGCTAAATAGTGCTTGTATTTTACTCTCGATTTTTAGATAGTACCAAGAATCCTCTATTTGTTCACAACTAACTGATCGCATACGCTCTCACTTGCTCAACTGTGCTCGTACTCGTACTCGACAAAAAACTACGCCTCTACTTGCTCAAAATTGATCGCTATTGCTCTGGCTATCGCTCTCGCTAAAGCTTTCGATTTTTCAACAGGGCTTCTAGCCTCATCTCAAGAATTCTCTTTTTATTCCCAATTGATAGCAGAAGCTCTCGATTGCTCCATAGTGCTTGTAGTCCTCTGTCTAGTCAAAATTGATCGCTATCGCTTTCGCTAACGCTCTCAATAAAGCTCTCAATTTCTCACCAGTGCTTGTATTTCTTGTCGCACCGACAACATCAGTCAACTACCAAAAGATAAAAAAATCTCAAAACTCAAAAAAAAGCCCAAGACCCAAAAAAAAACCCATTTCCATGCCTCAACACCCCTCCGCGTGCACTGCGCGCGAGCGTGTGTACACTTCCATGTTTCAGGAAATCAAAACTTGCGGGTTCCACCATTACCACATACCGCAAAGCCTATTACCGCAAACAGTAACCAACCACGACCATCACCTGTTTACGTACACGTACATTCTACATTTCCAGTACTCTTTTTAAAAAGGCTCGAATCCAGACTTTTGACGGCCCCACGACTACTTGTTCCGGGCTTGCCCAGACATCAACCAAGGCCGGATGGTTTTCGCATTTGGTTGGTGCCAAGGTTGCTCCATAAATGGAAAATCCCACATCGGACAAGCTGGCAAAGGGATGCGCACTCAAAGTCACCACACTTGCCGTCACATACCTTACTAAACATCACATTCTTAAGGCAAACGACAACTATAAATACAGACCATCGTCACCACTGGTCTATCCTAACTTTCTTCTTGCACTTCTTTATATTTTTTAATATCAGTAGTACTGACATTTTAGTATCTAACGTTCGTTGTTCAACCTAATAAAATACCACTGAAAATAATGCAATTCTCTACTGTCGCCTCTTTCGTTGTCGTTTCCGGTGCCGTTGCGTTGGCCCAAACCACCACCGCTGCTGCCGTGTCCCAAATCGGTGACGGTCAAATTCAAGCTACTTCTGCCACCTCTGTTGCTACCTCTGCTGCCTCCAGCACCGGTAACGCTACTATTATCACCCAAACCGCTAACGGCGCTGCCAACTATGGCTCCGGTGCCGCTGCTATGGCTGGTTTGGTCGCTGCCGGTGCCATGCTCATTTAAGTGTGTTGAACTGGGTTTTATATACTGTATGCAGACTTTAATAGGATGATGGCCAATAGCTGAAAATTCGGGTACTCAAGAACAATTGAGAGCGTCGGCGATCCTTCGTGAAGAGTTTAAATGACTTCAAGCACTATCAGACAACTGAAAGCTTTAGTAATCGATTGTGAGCTATGTTAGAGTGGCTAAAAGCACTAGTAAGTAATTGAGAGCGTGAGCGATAACTTTTAAAATAGTTTATGCTTCAAGCACCTCTGAACGATCGAGAGCGTCAGCGATCAATTGTGAATTTCTAGGGAGCTCGTAGCACTACTGAGCGATTGAGAGCGTCAGCGATCAATTATGAACTATGTAAGAGTGGCCACAAGCACTTCTGAACAATTGAGAGCGTAAACGAGCCGTTAACTTCAAGCGTTCATACACAATTGAGAGCATCAGCGTTCAGTTGTGAATTGTCAGAGAGGCTTCAAAAGATCGTCAGCGATCAGTTGTGAATTTGTAAAGAAGTCGTAGCACTACTGAACGATTGAGAGCGCCAGCGATCAATTGTGAAGCTTTTTAACGGATCTAAGCGCTTTTGAAAACTTGAGAGCGTCAGTGATCAATTGTGAGTACGTAGAATGGCTACATGCACTACCAAACAATCTAAACCGCGCTCATATGTAGAGAATTAAGGTATTGCAGAACGTTTGGAAGCGTCCGAGACCAATTGTGAATGATTAAAGTGATCATTAGCAATTCTTTACAAGTTAGACTGACAACCGTCACAGGAGTGGTTAAACACACCTCTGAGCAATTGATCGCACATATTCTCAATTGTGAGAGGACTCGGGAAATCTTAGTTAATCGCCCATTACCTTGATGGTGAGTGTTATGCGGAATGGTGACAACTCTGGGTAAGCCTGACCAATTACTCGCATCTACCCTTAACTCAATAGGTGGATAAGTGTTGATCTTCTCCAGCACTGATCGACCATGGCCGTAAGAACTATTCACAATTAAAAATGAGTGCGATCAATTGTGAATACAAGAATAACTTCAGGCACTAATGAACAATTGAGAGTGTCAGAGATCAATTTTAAGAGTACCCTTAGGTCATGTGAACGGATGAGAACGTTAGCTACCAACATTCAATCAGATAACTGTTAGTGAACTTGACCACTTAATCACTCACTACCCCATTCTTTACTATGTATCTAACTCTCGGCATTCTTGGCCATACATTTTACATTTAACATGCTAAACGCTATCAGGAGCACCTGTCTCATAGAATTCCCATCCATGGACAGCTCAAGTCTGACCTAGGTGTCATCAAATAATTAATACGACCTAAATTCATGATATCGATTCCTAACTTACTTTCTCGAGGTCCTCCTTCGTCTGACAACAAACCTCAATTGTTAGTGGTTCAAGTCATTTCCTGGCGTGAAAGCATGTCCGAACTTCAACATAAGTTTGGTGGAGATCCCTAAGAAGAGCTCCTTTGTTTTACTACTGGGCTATTATTTTATTGAGAAACATGGAAGCTCTTCAAACGATCAGCTCGTAATAGGCGTCCTGTCATAGTATACTTCTTATTTCTTATCCTGGCCTTTTAGCATTCCCTTGAATAGCACATCAGTGAACACCGGAACGCCCAGACTGGAAGATGACGTTGGTCCTTTCGTGTGGAAATCGGTGCGGCGTTCAAGGAACGTCCTTTTAGAACCTTGTTTTTGGTGAATTTTTTAGGAGCACAAGGCTTCAGTACAGCTGAGCCTCGAGAGTGTTAGTATCGATCACTTCTGCTGTTTTGTTCATTCAGTTGTGATTGAACAAAAATCCTACGGTGGTTGTGTGAGGCGGCAGCGACACGAAATTCAAACGAACCTTTACCTTGGTAGTAACTAATGGAGTCTCTGCAGATTGGTTGTGACGTTTTGCTTCTTCAAGAGCAGATGCTCCTGTATTCTACGGTCACAAACGCTGTCAGACTGTTCAGAACCTTTTCACAAAATTGATCGATCGGAGCCCAAGCCAAGGCTACCAACACGGACAGTTCAGGTCGCGGGATTGGCTCACTCTTAAAAATTGCAAAAAAACTCTAGCTGTTTTCCAAAATCCTATTTCGCCTATTTGATAACCCAAGGTACTCTCAGTATAGCGGGTAAATTACTTCCTATTGTTGTTATCGCTTTCTAATAAGAAGATAGAATCGATGAGGCATAAAATGTAGCCAGCAACGATCGCACATACGTGCCCTTTCGAATATTCTGTCGCTTAGCGATGAATAATGGAGTAGTAAGGCCGAATTTATGTAGAGTGTGCGGTCTGTGCTAAAAATGCCTTTCATGACTGGTTTTGAATGAGCATTGTCTCCGAGATTGATGGAAATACGTCAATGCTTAAAGCGGTGGCCAAAGTTAAAATTAATCGCTATCTGGGAAACTCAAACACGATGAAATGAATTGGAGGGCTCCTATGTGCTGTTGACATGCGATCTGCATTGCAAGTCAAAGCCATTTTTACAATTGTTTAAGAGTACAAGTTTACAGTATTTTAGCCGAGCGCGACGACAATGAAAATGACGCTGAGCTTGCTTCAGTAATTCGGTAATTGGTGCAGAATTACCTCACCAAACTATACAGTCCGATCCGAACACTGGAATCGAACGGGACATATTTTTTTTTATATTTCATTTCGAGTTCTTTTACTTTAATACAACTTGTCATTTCAAAAACATTGAATGACGATGGACAGAAACGTTGAATACCAATGACATTGCCTTGAAACCAGAACAATTCACATTGTCAGCGGCCTATTGTGTACAACCCGTGGGAACACCTTTTGGTCTCATCATATGTTGTTTTATAAGATCGAGTCTCACATTTGATCCACTAACCCTCTAAAATCCCAACATCAAAGTAGCGTTCGGACAGACCATTTGCTAATTCCACGCACAGTCACATTTCGTTGATGTTTGTTCAAGTGAGAAATCTAAGAAATTCTCCTTCAGAAATCTCTCTAGATGAAAGGTCAGATAAACTTCAAGTCAACTCTACACAGATCACCATGAAACTTCCTTTCTTTACACTCCTTTACATAACTGTTTATACGCCGAGTTCTTACCATGAAGCTACCAACTTCTCACCAGAATTCACTCCGTGCTTGATATCATTCATGAGTTTCGGAACAGCCGCTAGACCACCATCGTAAATCTTGATTGGAATATGATGCAATTGACCACTCTTAATTCTTGATTCCGAAAACTCGACGAATTTCGAGGTCTTGGTACGGTACTCGGGTCTCGCAGGAACAGTGATCGATCCGAATGGCACGTCATGACCACTAATCAAGTACAAAAGAGCAGCGTCGATTTTGATGCCCTTCTTACGCTCATCCTCCGGAATGAAGTCCTTCTCTGTATACAACATCAATGGCACGATTGTGGCGTTATCGGCAGCGCACTTGTAAACTTGGTGGAAGGTTTGCGGAGTCGATACACCATCCACCAAGTGTTTTAGTCCACCGTATTTCTTTGTAATTTGTTCAATTACGTCGCTGTCATGATAATCGAACACGTCGTCGGCCCCGTACTGCTTCAAGATAGCATCGTGTTTCTTGGAAGCAACTACTATGATCTTCGAGTACGCATTTATTTGCTTGGCTACTTGAAGCAACCACTGGCCCACGCCGGTGGCACCACCCCAGATCAAAAGGGGGAAGTCGTGCTGAGGAGATTTGGGCTCCCATTCCAACTTATTGCCAAAATGGATGTCGAGAACGGCACCAGCCGTTAGAATTGAAACTGGCAGCGACGCAGCAGACTCGAAGTTTCTCACGGGGCCCTCTGGGATCGTCTTGCTGTCGCTCTTGGTAAGTTCCAAGTCGTACGAAAGGACCGAGTCCAATAATGCGTATTCAGCATGTCCTCCATTTTCAGGGAACTTGATTGAACCACCGTGAACGGGACCAAATGTAGTCTTACCGACGGAGAAGCGCTTCTGGTCAACATCAGGACCCAATTCCACAATGACACCCGCCACGTCGCACCCTAAAATTGAGCCTTGAGGTGCAATCTTGAAATCCACATGTTTCCAATCCGTAGGATTACCGGCCACAGCGTGTACCTTGACCAGCATCTGAGTGCCAGTCACCTTTGGGACTGCCACATTTTCTTTGAGAACTGCTTTGTCGCCATCGACAACGATAGCCTTCATTGTTTTTGGAATTTCAGACATGTCAATTTCCTCTTGGTGTATTCAAAAGTTGTACCCCTCACAATATTTGAACTTGAATAGCGTGAGGTGATGAGTTCAATGGATCGACGTCTTGACAGTGGGAACGAACCATTTTTATACAGTTCATTCGTGGTTTAACAAAGCGGGGCAAAAGCGCTATTTTTGCGACGTATTTGTAAGCGCGTTTGGTTTTCCGTACGTTACAATGCTGTGAGAGAGCCCGGCAATTGCATGGTGAGTTCGCATTACTGTCTCCGGACATCTTGGCCTGCACCCTTTTTCCGAACTCAAAAAAAAACGTGACATCGCTTCGTCTAGCTCTTAGCATCCGTCAAAGAACATTTAAGAACACATGAGAAGAAACATTGGATGGAAGTCAACGGCTCCGATGGACACGGATAGCTCAAACTTCCTTCCGTTACTCGCGTCACTAGTTTGCAGTATAATCTTGTCAAAGCCCTTCGAATTGCACTTGATAATAGGATCGAGTTACTGACATCTGCGCCGAGAGCTTGAAACTTGACACGAATGTGTGAAGTTTTTGCGACAATTCGATCATGCAACTATCTCTTCGCGGAGGATGTCTGAATAATATGTTGTCGTAATTCGAGTTCGTGCTTGTGCTCTGGGGTTGTAACAAAAATTTGTTATCCATAAGCTTTCGAAAGAATATTTCGCAACTGGATAATAGACGCCGTCTTCCCAATTCAAGTAGGCTTTTTCGCTGCTTTGGAAGACTCGGTGTGCTTTTTTTTAATCACACCTTTGAGTCGGGTCTTGGTACTGGATTTCGGTTTGACGATTCTCGACGGCACTTGGGACCTCTTCGCAGCGTCGCTGGATGGTGTATTCATCGTAGTAGCCGAACTTTGACTACGACTTTCCTGAGCCTGCTTCTTTCGGGTCTCGAAATTGCGGCTCTGCTGTTCTAGCGACTGCTCCAGATTATGCTTCTGTGATTGCGCCTTCTTGCGCAAATTCTCGTAAAACTCAATGTCTTCAACACTGAGGCGATTGAAGCTGTTGCGATCCTTGACAAGCGCATTAAAATCCTCTTGCTTCAAAATGGCGTTGAGTCGCAGTTGTTCTTGAAGCGTCAGCCGTTCCTTGGTTTTGTAATCGGTATCCAGCCTTGCCCGTTCTCTTTTTTCCAGTAGAAGCTGGGCCTCAAGGTCAGCGCTCCCTTCTTTAACGAAGCTCAAGGGTTGAGACTTGCGCTGATGGTCCTTGGACATCTCTAGGCTCTTATAATCGTCAGACGACCTAAGATGTGAATTCCGCTTGAGTTTTCGACCGCAAACGCGTATAAAGCTTCTCGAAAGACACTCAAATGACTTGGAGATAGGTATAAGACGAACAACGCCAAACGCATCTTCTAAATGGTACCCACTGATCATAGCTCTCTCACCTGCGTCAAAATGACCGGCAGATATTTCCCAATCAAACCGAATATTATCTAAGCGGATTTAGCTCAGTTGGGAGAGCGCCAGACTGAAGACAAACTTCGGTCACTGAAATCTGGAGGTCCTGTGTTCGATCCACAGAATTCGCATTTTTTGGATGTTCAAACTCGAACCTTCATCAATGCCTGTAAAAGCTTGGCTCATCGAAAAATTCATTAGAGCCAAAGATATCCGAGGGTTTGGCATTGGATGTCAGCAACTGTCTCGATACCAATCCTCTGCGTGACGTGGACGGCCGTGCAAGGGTTTTGACATTTGGGTCGGTGCTTAGATTTAAGCAGAATGATATATCCATTGGATTGGCCCGCCCGCCAGCTCGCGAAAGACTGAGAAATCCGCGCGCTTGTCTCATTGCACCGTCTTTGTCATTCGGCGAGTGATGTTCAACTAGGGAAGTCTCGGTCACATCTTCAGGACCTGCAGCAATCTGCTCGTCGGGTGGACTGCTTTTACTGAGCGGAGTCTTCTTATTGAGCTTCCTCTTTTTTTCGGCAGACTGTTTCGATGTACTGTCGTGCTGGATTGGGGGGAAGCCAGAGATAAAAGATCCCATTCCCAAATTGAACGATTCGTGTGTGAAACCCAGGTTGCGGTCGCAATGTGATGAGGCTAGCCTTAGGAGTGGTGCCAACTCGATGTCTTTCATACCAACTATAGGCTGCTGTTGAAGTTTGGGATATCTGTCTAAGTCCTTCCGTAATGCTCCATTGTCCGTACATCCTGCGGGCTTTTTCAGCATCAACGCTTCAATGCACGACATAGTCTGCAGATCTACTCTCACATCAGGACGGGCTAGTGAGGAAAGTGAAAGTCGGGGCGTTAAGTGAGGGAGACTCGTATTGGCCAATCCTCGTTTATTGGTGATATCACTGGGTGCGAACTCGTGCTCTTGGCTCCCGTATTGATATCCACAAACTTTGAAAGTGGAATTTAGCGCTTTTGCCGATGTTTCGTGCCACATATCGGGCTTTTGATCACAATACTCAGGGCTTCTAGTCCTGGTCGTTTGTTCACCTTTCTTATCATCCAGGTTCGCAGCGTTTGTTCCGTAGTAATTTGATGGGGACCTTCCTCGAATTACTAAAGGTGGAGTTATCATCTCAGTGATGGGCACGAATGTAGAGGATCTGTTTTCCACGAAACACGCCCGCCCTTCGAGATTCCGAAAGAAATCCGGGTGAAGACGCGTCTCATTGATGACGCAACCCAATATGACCTTTAGTTGGAAGTGTTTCGTTTGGGTGGCATTTTTCTTGGCGTTGATTGAGGAAGAAAATTGGACTCTTTCATACCGGGCTACCTTTCTGATACGATTCTCAGGATAAGAACTTACTAGATCGTCCTCTGGGGTGTACGGGAAATCTGAAAATCGATTGAGGTAAAATAAATGATCATATTTCCTCATTTTAGCCTCGTTTCTGACATTAGACGCCTCCCTTATGATTTGGTGCGTTGGCAATGGTGCTGGAACTAGTGGCAGGATGGGTGGCTCGAATTGGGGACCTTTATCTCGCTTTGCTGTGTGCTGCACCAATGTAACCGGTGATTCGTCTTCTGTGCATATTGCCACGAGACGAACCGCGAAATACTTGACTTCAACAGGCTTGCTACCTAGAAGGCCAGTGACCTGGTAGGACTTGAGTAGAAAATCTCCGGTTTGGACGCCCACGACCTCGAACGACGTTACCAAGGTGAAGTAATTGCGTTTGTAGCCTATCCACTGATTGTCAATATTGTCGAAACCGCGGTCAATACGCGGCGTGAGAACGAAGTGGACGGGCAATTTGGTTGTTGAACACACGACCTGGCAATATGTAGCACCCTCTTTGAAGTCTGGCCCGACTTTAAACTGCAGAGTCGAGCGCGGTGCGATCTTTATTTTGCGTTTTTCCAATTGTGCTTGAGCATGTCCCAAGTCTTGATCTGAATCCAGGGGCTCGCTGTTGCTAGTCTGTTTTTGATCTTTAAAAGGCGACGAGCAGGTAACAAAGTCAGAATTATGTGCAGTCTCGTTTTCGTCTTCGTTTTCGTCGTCGTCGTCGTCGTCGTCACCTAATGCCATATTCATTCGTTGGGCGGCTCTTTTGCCAGCTCTGCGACCAACAACTTTTCTGTGAGACCTTGGTTTCGCTCGACTTTTGGTGTGGGGCTCTTCGAGCTTTCTGGACTCTTCGTGGTACATAGATTATAAAATCAGATACACTGCTATCAAAACTAAACAACTCTACTTAACGCTGATTCTTATGATCATTAACAGTGTTAATGCTGATCAACAAGACTCTACGATGCCGATTTAAGGGAGGTTCAGCGGTTGACTTTTGTGTTTTTGAATGAGTTTGTACTCAGGAAGGCCATAAATCATTGTTCTGGTTTTTGTGACACTCTTCACTAAATGGTAAATAAACAGATGCTGACAGCGACGTTGAAAGCATCTAAACAGTGTAGACATAAAAAGAGATCCTATTCACGTTAAAGTATGTCAAAAGATTGAAAACTCGCCATAACTCTGTAATATGGCAACCGGGCTCACTTGAAACACTGATCGAAGATTACCTATTCATAATTTAGCCGCCGAGGGTATGCCCGGTCTGATCATGTGATCAATTTTTCATACCTTCACCGTCAATAGTGACGATAATGGAAAATTTTAAGCGATGAGATGCGATGCGATGCGATGAGCTAGCTCTCTACCTAAACTTGATGCTCGAAGAAGATATTGTTTGAGAACTTGCCATAGACGATTAAAGTAACTTATTGTGCACTGGTGACTTGTTTTGAATATCCTTTCTTAAGTTTTAGAGCAGAAAACCATCATTTCCCCACTTTATTCACGGTACTTCTGTCTTCCCGAACTATTCCACACATTATACAGATATGGCTAAGAAGGCGATCGACTCCAGAATCCCGTCCCTGATCAGAAATGGAGCTCAGACAAAGCAAAGAAGTTTCTTTGTCATTGTGGGTGACCGTGCCCGCAACCAGCTGCCCAATCTGCATTATTTGATGATGAGCGCTGATCTCAAAATGAACAAGTCCGTTCTTTGGGCCTACAAGAAGAAACTGCTGGGGTTCACTTCGCACCGCAAAAAGAGAGAATCCAAGATCAAGAAGGAAATCAAGAGAGGAACGCGTGAGGTCAATGAGCAGGATCCTTTCGAAACTTTCATTTCCAACCAGAATATCAGATATGTCTACTACAAGGAAACGGAAAACATTCTGGGTAACACATACGGTATGTGCATTCTGCAAGACTTTGAAGCACTAACCCCTAATTTGCTGGCAAGAACCGTGGAAACTGTCGAAGGTGGTGGTATCGTGGTCATTCTGTTGAAATCGATGTCTTCTCTAAAACAGCTATACACCATGACCATGGACATCCACTCTAGATATCGTACAGAAGCCCATAACGATGTGGTGGCACGTTTCAATGAGAGATTTATTCTCTCTTTGGGATCAAATGAAAACTGTTTGGTGGTAGATGACGAACTAAATGTGCTGCCGATCTCCGGTGGTAAAAATGTACAAGCGCTTCCTCCAAAGGACGATGACGAGACTTCGCCAAGAGAACAGGAGCTGAAGGATCTAAAAGAGTCTCTTGAGGACGTACAACCCGCCGGTTCGCTTGTGGCGCTCTCCAAGACGGTCAACCAAGCTCAGGCAATTCTCAACTTTATAGACGCCATTTCTGAGAAAAAGCTCAACTCTACGGTAGCTCTAACGGCTGGCAGAGGTAGAGGTAAATCGGCGGCACTCGGGATCGCCATTTCCGCTGCCATATCCCATGGCTACTCCAATATCTTCGTGACTTCCCCATCGCCAGAGAATCTGAAAACGCTATTTGAATTTATTTTCAAAGGCTTCGATGCTTTGGGATACCAAGAACACATGGACTACGACATTATTCAGTCTACCAACCCTAGTTTCAACAAAGCTATCGTTAGAGTGGACATAAAGAGAACTCACCGTCAAACAATCCAGTATATTGTGCCCAATGACTGTCATGTTTTGGGCCAGGCAGAACTTGTGGTTATTGATGAAGCTGCTGCTATTCCTTTGCCCGTCGTTAAGAACCTCTTAGGACCTTATCTCGTTTTCATGGCATCCACAATTAACGGGTACGAAGGTACAGGCAGGTCTCTTTCGCTAAAATTGATTCAGCAGTTGAGAGATCAGTCAAATTCCTCAGGTAGAGAGTCTTCCGAGACAATGGTTGTTTCCCGTGACAGCAGAAAACCAGAATCTCATGTTTCGGGTCGCACACTGAGGGAAGTTGTTTTGGATGAACCTATCAGATATGCTCCAGGAGATCCAATGGAAAAGTGGCTCAACAAGTTGCTATGTCTTGATGTGACTTTGATAAAGAACCCTAGGTTTGCTGCCAGAGGAACTCCTCATCCATCCGAGTGTAACCTATTCTTGGTCAACCGGGATACCTTATTCTCATACCATCCCGTATCAGAGTCATTCTTGGAGAAAATGATGGCTTTGTACGTTGCCTCTCACTACAAGAACTCACCAAATGATTTGCAATTGATGAGTGACGCACCGGCCCACCAGCTATTTGTTTTACTTCCACCAGTGAATCCTAAGGATGGCGTCAGAATTCCAGACCCACTTGTTGTACTACAAGTCGCTTTGGAAGGTGAAATCTCCAAGGACAGCGTAAGAAGCTCCTTATCTCGTGGCCAAAGAGCTGGTGGTGACTTGATTCCATGGCTAATATCCCAACAATTCCAAGACGACGAATTCCCAGGTCTCAGCGGCGCTCGTGTGGTACGTGTGGCCACTAACCCTGAATATGCTTCTATGGGATATGGCTCTCGTGCCATCGAACTGCTGAGGGACTACTACGAGGGCAAATTCGCCGACTTGAACGAGAACCCTGTAACAAGAGTTCATGAGATAAAGAGAGTCAGCGATAACGAACTTGCGAAAGCCAGTCTCCTGAAAGATGATGTAAAGCTGAGAGATGCCAAGACTCTTCCACCCTTGTTGTTAAAACTTTCAGAGCAAGCACCGCACTTTCTGCACTACCTGGGTGTCTCCTACGGACTAACGAGTCCATTGCACAAATTTTGGAAGCGCAACAAATTTGTTCCGGTTTACCTGCGCCAAACGGCCAACGACCTCACCGGTGAGCATACTTGCGTGATGTTGAACGTTTTGGAGGGAAGAGAATCGAACTGGCTGACACTATATGCGAATGATTTCCGTAAGAGATTCTTGTCTCTCTTGGGTTACGATTTCAGCAAGTTTACGGCAGTCCAAGCTCTGAATGTGATTGAAAGCGCCAAGAAAGCCCAAGAGCTCAACGTCGCCGATTCTAGCGTGGAGAAACCTTTGACCAAGGACTACCTTGACTCCATTTTGTCGCCTTTTGACTTGAAAAGACTTGACAGCTATGCCAATAACCTTCTGGACTACCACGTCATTGTCGACCTCTTACCAATGCTGTCAGCTTTGTACTTTGGTGGCAAAAGTGGCAGTGCTGTGAACCTATCGAGTGTCCAGAGTGCAATTTTGCTGGCCGTTGGCTTGCAACACAAGAGCCTGGACGACATCTCCAAAGAGCTGAACTTGCCATTCAACCAGACCGTTGCCATGTTCGCCAAGATCATCCGCAAATTCTCCATATATTTCCGCGAAGTGTTAAGTACTTCCATCGAGCAAACTTTGCCTGCCCTGCATGACACAAATATAGAAGAGATGAACGGGAACGAAGTGAAAGCGTTGGATGCTGCTCACACCCTGGACAAAATGGAGGATGACCTGGAGGAGGCTGGCACTCGTGCCAACACCGAAATGCGTGAAAAACAACGTGAACTGATCAACAGTTTGAACCTGGACAAATACGCTATTGACGACAATACCGAAGAATGGGCGGAGTCCAAGAAGGACTTGGATCGTGCTGTTAAATCCAACGGTACTGCTGCTGTTAAATCGAACAAAAAGAGAAAAACCGAAAACGCTACAGAAATCTACAAAGAGGAGATGAAAGCTTTGAAGAAGCCTAAAAAGAAGTCCAAGAATAACTAAAACTAGTTCAATGAACTTTTTTAAAGCTGTAATTGATACCTCAGTTCTGTATATATATATATATGTATATCAATGTGAAGCGAGTATTTTGACATCTGACGTCTGACATCACCAAATCCTCGTACCAAGTGCTTCATGAAAAATTTTGAGAACTGCTGTGAATTGAACAAGTTATAATAGAGCCATAGTGAGTTGAACACACGAACTAATCAAGTTCATCTGAAGTCAAAGCTGTTGGGATTGATTGCACCGAACCTTACGCAACAAATCAGTATATATTCAAAGTACTAAAGAACACACAAAATGGTCGAATTGACAGAAGTTACAGAGGACAACAACACTCAGATTTTCGAACAGGAAAAGGAAGTGCCAGCTGGAACCTTCAACAACGAAGAAGCGGTCCCAGAGCAAGAATCCTCGGACGAGTACTCCAGTGATGATGAATACGACGAAGACGAGACGCTTCTGGAGAGATTGAGCGCTTTGAAAGACATAATTTCGCCCAAGCAAAGACAGACGATTTCCAAGATCTTCGATGCCACGGTTTCGGTGGTCAAAAGCGCCTTTTCCAGAAGTGGAAACGTGGCTTGGGCTATCACAACATCTGCTCTTCTGCTAGGAGTCCCGCTTTCGCTCTCCATTCTTGCAGAACAGCAGCTGATCGAGATGGAAAAGAGTTTCGATCTTCAAAAAGACGCTAACGATATCTTGGTGCAAGGAGACGCACCTGCAGCGGCTACTGCGACCCCATGAACATGAACACGAATAAGCTCGGGCGTTCGAACACTTAATGGAATGGGTTCTATCTATCTTATTTGTTTCTACCAACGACGGAGACTTTTTTTAGGGCACAGGAGAAAAGCATCTCGCGGCCTTCCAAGTGAAATCAGTCTTCTAGCCTTGTATATAACTATGCAGCGATTTTCAATGCTTGTCTAACGAACAACATTACAGCAGAGCGGCTACGCCATTGCTTCCCTTCATCCTAGGTGAATTTTTTGGGATGCTTGATGGATAGGGTGTAGATGTCAAGGAATGTGGTGAATTCGTATATGACCTCAGTGATGAACATGGCATGGATACCCAGAGCAAGACCAAATCCGAGCCAGTTTAGTGCCGGTAAAACCGATGCTTTCTCATAGCCCAGAACGTGTACCAACAGCGATTTGATCAAAAATTGCAAGAGAGGAATGAGCATGGGAGGATTGATCATAGGGAACTCTTGTTTGGTCAAATGGCAAACAATAATTCTCCCAACGGTGAAGGCAACGGTCAGTCCAATCGAGAGGACGAAGGGTAAAGAAATTGTTTCGGGATCCACAGAAATCACCACCAACACGCTCGCGAAGTAGCTGAAAAATGGTACCAATCCCAAAGTAGCGCGCAGGACATTTGATTGCGCTTCTCTGGCCGTGCTGCCCTCTTTGTTGTAATGATTCACCACATTTCTTCTAGAAGACGCGATGTTGAAGAGAAGACCCACGGCACAAAAGGCGTACACGAGATGCAAGCTTTCGATTGTGAATGTCTTGTCGCCAAAGTGGAGATCGCAAATATATCTATGCCATAAAGCATCTGGGCCAAAAACCCCGGTGAGGATAAACGCAGCCACGATCATCAAGATTCCTTCGACGGGACCAGAAAATTCACTGAGGAAGAGCATGTGTGTATGATACTCTTCCCAAGTACTGAGGTAGAAGTTGCACAGCAATGCAAACTGCGCTAGAACCATCATGAACGTCATTCCGGAGCCTACAGTGGAGCAGAAAACCATCATAGACAGCGTGGTGTTTATGGAGTCAATGCAATGGTCAAATAGCTCGCCCAATGGACCGCTTTGGCCCGTTCTGCGTGCATGCTGGCCGTCACAGGCGTCAAATGTCTGATACAGGAAAAGGCCAAGTGCGTACGTGAAATAAGCCCATCTAGGAGAGTTTCCCGAGAAGGTAGGATCGTAATACAGCACAGTCAAGACATTGATAATGATGAAACCCAGACCTGATATGGTGATCAAATTTGGTGCCATCCATAGGGGAAAAATCTTGACGAACTGAACCCAGAACGGTTTCAAGATATATTTTGTCACCAAAGAGCGATCTTCACTTTGATACCTTGGAAAATAGTCATCACGTTAGAATTCATCTTCAAAGGAGAGAGCGAGGTGCTGTTTGAAATAGGTCATAGTTTTGCTAAGGCTTCACATACTTGTAGGCTTTCAAACTTGCTAGTTTGGAAGCAGGAATGAAAACACCCATCTTGAATAGGGAATTTGCCAGAAAAATTCTATTCCGCCAATGCTTTCGCTTGTCTCGCCACTTGCAATGGACAATGGGTTAGTTTCGATTTCGATCTTGATTTCAAGGTCGAAGAAGATGAGAGTGATACGAAACCGAATCATTAGCAGCTTTCGTACCATGTGACAGAGTTCGGAGCTCCAGGAGTACGTTTGGCTGACCTCAGCTCTATTTGCAAGTGGTCAACATCTTCGACACAACTCCCAGGAGCTGGTCGTTCTCACACGCGGCGGCAATCCGTTCCTTATCATTGAGCTGTTTGTTCACTTGGTTTTCGCTCTGGTGGGAGCCCTGTTTCAGCAAAATTGTGATTCTATAGCGTGCTGGAAGTGCTCTTTCCAATCTGACACGGATTCCAAGGCCTATCAGCGTGGCTAAAGAGCAGTGTGTGATGGTGGGAGTGATTTTGACGAGCACCTCTGAAATCTTGGTCTTATCCGGGTTTTCACGCACTTCGATGTCTATAAGATTTACCACAGCCAGCTGGCCCAGTGTGAGTGGATGTTCCGGGTCTGAGATATAAGCGATGAGATCATAGATTTCCTGGGCGTCGATCGGATCTTCACTTTCCTCTGACTCATCGTCATCTTCTTCAGTTTCCGCATCTGTGAGCTCCGGGGCATCGTTTTTGCTCAAAACTTCCTCTTGCGCCAGTAGTCTGTCGACGAGCTCGATACTGCGATACACCTGGCAATCAGAGTTCTGATGGATGCTGAAAAGTTGCATTCTACGTTGCAAATTCTCCGCCTTCAAGTCATTATCCAGGATGATATCCGTTTTGTCTTTGAAACGAGAAGGAAGCAGGTTCTCGTCCAAGACGTCTGGGTTTTCGTTGATGAACTCACTCATATTGTGTAGTGTTGTTGTAGTGCTAGAGGGATAGGTATTCCAATACAGTAAGCGACGTTTGTCCTTTTATATTGTCTAAACGTTATGAGGTTTATTCAACATCTCTAAATCATTGTTATCATTATTAAAAATTTAACGACTACTACAGCTTAAGATTTCTACAAACATCGTTGAACGTCAAGCACCCATGTCAGCTCATAAAGTTCTGCTGGTTGGAATCAGTGGGTGTTCTTCTAGTGGTAAAACCGTATGTGCGATTGAGTGAATCCTTTCATCACGACACTCTGCTAACCTATTTTAATATTCTAAAGACCTTGGCCAAACTAATTACGAGCCTACTGCCTTCAGCAGTCTTGCTTCATGAAGACGACTTTTTCAAGCACGATGAAGATATTCCCTATGATGAAAAATATCAGGTAAGTAACTGGGACTCCCCTGATGCCTTGGACTTGGCACTATTTCGCAAGGAACTCGACTACATCAAAGAAACGGGCACAATATCTACCGAATTGATACACAACAATAACCACCAAAATAGCCGGGCCGTCTCACTAGACGCAGACACCCAGCATGCCATCGTGGGGAAGCTTGCAGCTGCATTTAAGGATTCTAACACCAAGGTAGTCGTCGTCGATGGGTTCCTGATGTACCATGATGCGGAACTGTCAAAAAAATTCGACCTTAAAGTGTTGATCAGGGCTCCTTACTCTACACTGAACAAACGAAGAGCTGATAGGAGTGGATACCAGACTCTGGAATCATTTTGGATCGACCCGCCATTTTATTTCGATGAATTTGTCTACAAGTCCTACAGCGAGTGTCACGCACACCTCTTTGAAGACGACAACGTAGAGGGAACTTTGAAAGAGAATTGCGGCGTTCACGACTATATGAATGACGACAATGCAAAAATAGGTGAAGCGCTGCTGTGGCTCTGTGATCTGATTGTCTCGCTGCGCTAAAGCTCGTTATGTTTACTTTATGTTTTTCTTGTCGCGCTTTGTGGAAAAGCGGCACGATTTAAGACTTGACACTTAACACCGTTGTTAGGCCTATGAACTTCCCGAAATTTCAAAAACTGTGTGCTTGGATCCAAAACGCTGACGGTCATCATGCCGCTATCATTTCCCAATTGGACCCCAGAGAGTGTCATAAGAACAATTTACTCCTCACCAATTAATGTTCACAAAAACGACCTAGGGCTGACGTTAGAACTTTCGTATATAACCCAGCAGCTTATTGTCTGCTCCTATCCAGTCGTCAAGTACCCGAAACTGCTCTACCGAAATAGCCTCAGTGATCTAGTGTCATATCTCACCTTATACCATGGCCCCGGGAATTGGAAAATCTACAACTTCAAAGTAGAGCAGGGAAGTGCTGACTACAGCGACGAAAATCTGGCCAGTGTGTTGTCGCAGCAGAGTTCACCGGTGGGCGGTTCAGATGGCTGCTCGTTTGCGTCCAGCTCCCATGGTTCGTGGTCAATTAGCTCTCCAAGGGGGCAGTCCGCAGTGTCGTCCCCCGATCTGCCAGCCGAACTCAGCAATTTTATTCAACGATACGGCTGGCTGGATCATTCTCCACCACCATTTTTACTTCTACAGCAAATTCTGGATGATATGCACGAATACCTTTCACAAGATCCTAATCGAGTAGCTCTTATGCATTGCAAAATGGGCAAAGGTCGGTCCGGGTCCGTGGTCATTGCCTACCTAATGAAATTCATGAACTGTTCCTTGCGCGAAAGCCGCGACATCTTTATGAACAATCGGTTCAGAGCAGGCATAATTCGCGGCGTCACAATAAGGTCTCAGCTGAGATATCTTGCATACCATGAACTGTTCCTACACATTGGAAGGCCCCTCGAGAGACCAGAGATTCTTACTGAAATTGCACGGTCCCGCTTCAAGGTCACTGAAGTTATTATCATGAACCCATTCCCGCATTTAAATCTTGATTTCAAGAATTGCTGCATAATTGTGAAAATGCATGTTTACAATCGTTCACGCAATGGGCTTTTTGAAGTCTTGGAAGCCGAATGTAACGACCTTTTGTTTGACGGTCGATTGCACAAGCGGACAACCTCCATTTCCGTAGACACCTGTGTTCTCAAGAGTGATGTAAGGTTTTCTTTCGGTTTGCGTTTCAAGAACAATGAGTTCATTGACAATATCACCCAAAAGACGTCTCTTTCTCATTGCTGGCTAAACCTCTATTGGGAGACTCTCATATGCAGCAGGAACGAATCTCTCACCAGCTACACGCTGGAGGAACTTCGAAGCGAACAGGGTCGTTGCCGAGACGGTAAAAGTTTCGCACTTTTCACCATCAAGTGGGACGACTTGGACGGTGCGAAGGGCATGTTAGGCAAAGGCGTCAAACTATTTGAATCGGTGACGTTACGATGGCAACTTTTATAAACAAGGAGTATAACGTCTGTACGTAATCGAGTAAAACGCGAATGCATTGAGCAAAGAATATTTGCCTATTAGAAGCTGTTATGATCGTTTTATTTTTCTTACCATGGCTCCCTCAGCTCTGACTACTTCGAGCACTTTCGATTCGTTTCTGCAGCATTTCCTGGATGCTCTCGATACTCACCTCTGATGGTTTGATAGGATCTCTTTTGAAACTGTTTTTTTGAGGTTTTTCTCCCACGACCTCCAGAAACTTGACAAAACTTAGCTTGATGACTTTGAATTGCTGCGATTGACTAGGACCTTTCCTTGATTCTTGAAGAGTGATTGTGTTATTCGAAGAGTTGTATGAGTAAATGCGACCCACAGTCACCGTATCGAGCACATTGGTGATTTTAACTTTGAAGCCCAGAACGTGTTCCAGATTAAAGCTCATCCTATGCGTGTAAAGACCTGGTCCTGTCGTGTTAGTTCTAGCTTTCTATTGTACATTTTAACACTTAAGAATACTGAGATTGTAAAAATCAAAATGCATTATCTAGAATTTGGAATATTCAATGGAAAGTACACATCGCTGGGATAAGTTAGCGCTTTCAATGCGCTTGTTGATCGATTATAGTGGCAAGCACGCGAGCTAAAGAGGGCAAATGCGATCTCGTGTGTCAAGGCCTTCAGTAGCTGAGAGTCGTTAATGATGGGACTCAATTGGCAAGCAATCTGTAGCTTACATTCCACTAGTGTGCCATTGTGAATCCCTACTGCAAAATTGACTTTTGCAAGAGTCGAGAGAAAACATAAGCTAGTTTCTGTCCAGTTAGTTGGCTTTATGTGTGGCCTTTGTAGGGATTGGCAAACTATTCAATATTCATCACTACTACAAACAGTTTGAACCGGAGTGAACTCAAAAAGTCTTCTAGAGTTGCTAAAAAACGTCAGACCTACTTAAACAACATACCGTCGGGGTTCGAGTGAGCGACACCCGGTCGCGCAGTGCTTTTGCTTACAATCAAGGGTAAAGACGCAATTCAAGCTTTGCAATCAAACTCGTCTCGACCATGCAATTCTCCTTGATTGTACAATTACGAAATCAAACGAGGCCAGTGGAGGTAGTAGAATGATGCATTATTATCCTGACCGAAAAATCCTGGTTCGTGACTGGTACGCGCCATTTCTTCTACAAGGTTTAAATCGCACCATTGAAAAGCTACGAATAACAGCACCACCCTGTCTCAAATGTTTGGGAGACCTGCCAAAACGACTTCTTTCAACTGAAAAAATACCATTCAAGTCGGCCACACAAATAAATTCAAAGTAGTTCGCTGCTATGTAGCGAGAGACCTGACTTACTGTTCTAAACTGTAATTGTAGATATCTTTTTTGTATTAAAACGTCTGATGAGCACGAAACAAACTTAGTCCAAAAAACCACCTTCACACCCGAACCTGCTCTATTCGATATGCCGGACGGCACGAAGAGCAAGTCGCCTTTATTGAAATCGCTTTCCTCCAAGGACTTGCTTCGTCGAAGTGCGCATCGAAACGGGTTCCTGACAGTCGACAACTCTGCTGCACATGAAAAGGATGATGCGAATGAAGCAGCTCATGAAGCAGAAGAACATCTACTGCAGGACTTGGACAATATTTTGAACAAGAAACTTCATCTGGGGGAATCAAGCCCCAGTAGCAGCAGTTTGCGAGGATCTCCTATTAGTTTATCTCCTCCAAGATCGCCCGGTGAGCGGGCTGACAATGAAGCACAGTCTAACGGGTTGGACCCAGATGCACAGCAGGAAGAGGAGGACGGCGAGGAATTTGCTAACGTCGATGAAATAGATGGTCCAATCTCCCCCTCCTCCAGTACCGGAAGTCTGCGAGATCTTGCTAGAAGCCATCTCCACAAGACTGTGGACGACAGCCTGGGTCACGACATTGACTACAATCTTCCTGTCGATAAAGACTACCAAAATCAACTTGACAGACGAGCCGAAGAGCTTGGGAATGATCTCTGCATACATCAACCGTCGAAAGCAACCTTGCAATGGTCGATGCAAGACTTTTACTCACTCCACGAGGAGCTTCCAGACTGGTTTTCTCACGCCGACTATAGGTATTTGGGCTCTTTCAAAATGAGCTTCGAAAAACGTTACGATGCTGCAAAATTCCTCAAAGATTCTGCCTACGCTGAGGATATTGTCTGTCAACTTATTCAACGAGCAGCTACGAACCCGTCAGAAACGCGGACATTTCAGTCATTAGCATACGTATCCATGGGGCTTTATGGTGATCAAGAATCTAATCAAAACCACATCAGCAGCATCCGATATGCAAATACTTTATTAATGCCGTTCATGTCAACCATAATCGAATCATTCATCATCCACGCCTCCTTGTGTCGGGATAGCCAGGATCACTTGAGACATCACACGGATCTGTTGCTTCTGTCGAGTTCGATACTGTTTTTTGTCGTCAACGTAACCATTGAAGGTAGGGAAAATCGCATTTTGGAATCTGCTACAGAAGCTGTCATCCAAGAGATCAGCAGGGCAAACCTGCTTGAATTTACTGTCAAATACATCGAGCACTGGCGCTGGTGCAGTAGATTGAGTATGAGGATCAGAAATGTGATCATTTTGTTACATCGGCTATCGCTGCTCCAGTTTGGCGACATGAAGCGGTATAACAAGGTCAAGAAATATGTTCGTCGAAAACACAATTGCAACAACGAGAGCAATCGACCAAATAAACTTGCCATAAGCCCTCTAGATTATCATGCCTTCCGAGAAGACATTTCAGCTCGGTTCCCCACCTTTCTGCCCCCACCATCAGATATTCCTGCTAGCTTTGACAACTCCAACTCCCTTTCTCAGTTTTTGGAGATTCCAAGACCAAAATCCAAGAGCACTCTGAATCTAAACACGGAACCACCCGAGTACCACATTGCCACACCGATGCCATCACCATCTTCCTCTCCGGCTCAGCGCGAAAGAGGTTACCCCAAGTCCCGAAAATCGTTCCAAACTAACCTAGCATATCCCTCCATGTACCCATCTGAAGCGGACGACAGTTCCGACGATGTCCTCTCAGAAAGATTACTCCTGCCAGAGGACGCCAAAGCCGTTGAAGATGTCCCTTATAGTGTGGTCGAGGCTACTCGTATTTTGCATGACAGCATGGAAATCAAACTTTCCACGAAACAATTGTGGCATGAGCGCGAGCTGTTCATGGCTCAAGAACGCGGCTGGGGCTCTCAAGAGGAAGCCGTGGACACCAAATTATACTATTACGATCAAGGCAGCTCCGCTGAAGCGCAAACTATGTGCCGAGTCGAGGATTTCTACGAGAAGTGCCTGCCAAGTTTCAGTTCTCTTGTTTATGTCCTGTTGCAAACGGTCGAAACGAATGTCCACAATCGAGTCTATTTCCGCGAAGATCTAATTGGCGATGATGCCGAGCTCAAAGCTTCCTCTCAGCTGGAAATCACCCGAGCAAAAGAAGTTGCGTTGAAATCCGCCACCTCGATCCTATTTTTGATGACAAAATGGTTCAAACTGAGTCATATTTTGAAATTCGAGCATCTCTGCGTTATCCTTCACGACTACAAGCTCATTGGCACTGCCACAAACCTGTTGAACAGCTTTGCGGACAGGTATCCGGAGCGAGCGTTGGGAAAAGTCGTTCAGACAAAAAACACGTTCTGGAAGGTGTGCTCTACCTTTAACACACAGTACGCAGACGACTACCAAACCAACAGCACTGCATGCAGTGACAAAAACGTCGACCTTCGTTTTCTGAACACTGAGGTCTGCGTTTTGACCCTGCTGAGCCAAGTTACCGGTAGCAAAACCCAGAGACTCAAAGAGCTACCGTTATCGATCGGGTCGCTACTCAAAAAACTATACCAGCTCTTCAATCTCGAGATATTCCATCCCATCCTAAAGATTACCCACGAACTGACACCTTTCAAAAACAAAAAATGGAAGGCAGAGCATATGGACCTCATTTCCGGAGTGTACCTCTACAAGAAACTAAAACTCAACGACAACTGGGTCACAGGAAAGGACATCGCAGGCGAGCTCAATGATGCGTGCGGCCAAGAAATCGCCTTAAGGGCTCTACTTCAATTTTACAATTTCATGCATTACAAGCAATCCGTCGAGCATCTAGGTTATTCTGACAAAAAAGATTGTTCTTTCTTCAGCAAAGAGGCAGAAGCATTGACAGCAGCTCGCTGATGGGCCCTTGTCTCTTCACAGTACAACGATATTCGAGGTGTATGAGACAGTGAGTGTTAAAGACAGTGACGTATGTGATGATGTTGAAATAAGCATTGTTTACCATTCATCTTTGTATCGACAGAAAGCCTAAAGATGGATAGATCAAAACACCAAACAGCGGAAGCAGAGCCATTGAGAGAGGTTAATGAATCTTAGGACAGACCTGTCACTTACTGTGGCTGATTTGGTGGCTTCCAGTCTTCCCGGCTCATTATTACAGTCTCTGGACGATGAGTTAGGAAGTATATTAGCGTCTCGACCTGTGAATCTTGAACATATCAGCAGGCTGGTTCACAGGTATAGGAGCGGGGCTTTACCGTCTCCTGATAGCCAATCGCGGTGGCAGAAACTCGAAAACTTGCTTCGGCTCGTTGCGACGTCCCCGAACCAAGAAGAAGCGTCTGCGTATTTGCGTCTTACACGAAACATGATCATGACAGAGTCAACTCAACAGCAGCCACTTTCACCTCCAACGAAGGCCAGTGAACCGTTGCTAAGCACATACCTTCTCGAAAACCACGATAACATGATGACTCCTCTGCGAGATCTCAACAACTCGCCCAGTTACGCAGAGTCTTTCGAAAACATTGATCGCTACTCAGACAGGAGATCGGTGCTGTCCTCCAACTATGGTCGCAAGTACCGTGACCGTACTGACACGGCAACGCTTTCGAGCCTTTCAGACCCTTATTTTAGCAACGTGGCCAATGAAGAAGACATGCTCAAATCCATACCCTTCACGCTCCTAGCCACGACTTCACACATGTTTGTCTTTGACGATTCTGGCGTACATATTCCGGGGAATGTGCTCAATGGAGAAAGTGGGATGCTCCACATCCTTTTTGAAGCAGGCCTTCTGTATCGCTTTCTTGATAAACAAATTCGGACGCATCGCAACTCCGACACCCTGTCTCCACTAAAGATTGCGCTTCTGACATTTGTGGATCAGAAATTACACGACTACATGGTGGATGTCAACAGCATTTCTAACAAAGCCGATATTCGATCATTAAAGGCTTTATACATTGAGATCGAGAAATGGGTTATTGAGTTTCGCATTTACTACAACTTGCTCATTGAAATACAGCAACTGAGAGGTGACCGTTTGCTTTCGCGCGTCTACGATCTCAGAAACCACGGCAATCTTTTGGTCAAAGCGGTAGCCGAGTCCCTGTACAGTTCACTTGCATTCTTATACTACGAATATCTTGCTAACTGGTTGACGGGCGGCCAGCTGGACTCACACCAAGAGTTTTTCGTGGAGCCGATACAAAATTCAGACCCGAATCAAACCTTTCTCAAGCTGGACACAGACAGAGTACCGACCTTCATCCCGGAAAGAACCGCCGAAGAAATATTTATGATAGGCAAAACCCACCTATTTCTCGAGAAAGAATGTTTAGAGATTCAGTGGATAAATTCCTGCAATCGCAAATACACTCAGATTTACAAAAATCTGAAAATGAGTGGCATTTCGACCAGCTTTTGCGATACAGTGACTGCCCATTACGGCGAAATAATGACATTTTGCAGGAAAACACTTGATGCCAAGTACAGTTTTTCCGATGTACTTCGTATGCTTAAAGACGTGCTACTGATGGGGAAAGGTGATTTCATGGAGCGAATGATTTGCAACTCATCCGAGTTTCTACAAGAACCTTCTGCTACGTTACCAAGCTACAAGCTAACTAGATGTCTTCAAGAGTCGATCAAGCAATCGTCGCTTAAATTCATGCTCACAGCTCCACGGACTGCTAAACTGGTCGACGGAATTGACGCTCGAGTTCTAGAGCTCGGTCATGGATCAATTGGGTGGGACGTGTTTACGCTTGACTACCTGGCTTCGAAGCCTCTTCTTACAGTCTTCGAATTCAGTCGCGGTGGCGGAAGGAAGGAGTACCTCCGAATGTTCAATTTTCTATGGAAAATCAAGAAGAACAACCATTTTTTTCAAGAACAGTGGTCCAGAAACAACACATTGGTACGAGACTTCCGTCGGCTCCGCCGAGGAAAACCATTCATCAGGGACGTTATGGGGAAAATTTTGAAGGTCAACGTCCTAAAAGCAAACATCCAGCATCTAAATCGGAAGATCGAATCATTTTGTCTCCTGTCAATTGTTGAGAGAAATTACGCATCTTTACAAACAAAAATCAAAAATGACAAGTCTAACTCAAAAAACACTTTGAAGACTACTTGCATTAAAAACGGCATAAAAGTAGCGGAAGGAATTTTGAAGCCACATTCTTCGCTAGTACAGCAAATCGGCCTCAGCACTAGCATAAATTCTAGGACTGCTACCTACACAATAGATGATTTGAGACGTATCCACGACGACTATTTGCAAAAGATCGTGACCCATAAGTTACTAGACTCCGGTTCACAAAATAGGACAAGAGGTGCATATTCAAAGCAGTACTACCCTGCCTCTCTCATAATATTACTGGGTGACCTCTTCGAGTTTACGTTACAATATTCGGAGTTTAATGACATTATTCACGACCTTCTATTGCGTTTGAGTTTGCACAGCACTGATGAGGTATCTAAATTACTGACCAGATTGAACCAGCTTTTGATCAAAATTGTTGCGCACTACAAGTGGATACAGAAAACTTCATATTATCTTATCAAAGACTTAAAGGCAGATGGGGACACTGAGTTATTAAGCTTAAGTAAAGTTTTGAGATAGCTCATCAAATGTTTTGCATTAAATTATATGAACATAGTGACAAATGGAGTACGCGATGTGGCAGTGCCCAAGACTCGGTTCAAACCTTCATCCTGTGGAACATCCGTTTTAAAAAAGTCGAGAACCCAGGTTGAGGGTAGTTTGCATATGCGATTCCATTGGATTCTAGATTGCATGCTTCTCCGTCGAGAGCCTTTGTGTCTCTGTGAATCTCTTCTAAACGTAGCTTGACTATTGTTTCTCGCAGAAGGAGGACTAATACCAACGCAACTAGGAAGCAGATACCAGCAAATATCTGGGCGTAAAGGTATGGGTTACTCTGGTTTTGTTTGGAGACCAAGGCTTGGGCAATAACCTCGCTTAACAATAGAAAGGGAGAGGTAAAGGTGTTGGAGTAACCCCAGGCAGGAAGAAAGTCTTCTGTGCCAGAGATGTCCGCCATGAGCACTACGCTCATGACATTACCGACACCGATGCATAAACCCATACAAATGCTGAACATGATAAGTTGAACAAAAGTATGAGAGGGAATCCAAAAGGCGAACAGGAAAATGGCCAGAATTGACGTCAGTACTACAGTAGTATTGACGCGGCCGTAGCGATCACCAATGACGCCAATTGTCGGTCTGCCCACACACTGGGCTGCATTTAGAACAATTGTTAAAAGAGAGCTCTGTTTGGATGAAAGTCCGCGCGATACACCGTATGGTGACAGCGTAAATATCATCAAATTGTATCCAAATAAGGTAAAGGTGGTCCAGACACAAACCAAGTTAATTTTATAGGTTTTGACGACTCTCCATTGGAAAACCAGTAAAATCTGTTGCTTTATGACACACCAAGACTTGAACCCAACCGGTTTAGACGGCACGCGTTGCCGCAACAGAATTGTAGCCAAAGTACAAGTAGCAGCACATACAATGGCCAGCATTCGAAGTGCCCATCTTTGATTCCCGGTCTTAGTTATCATTTCTTGAACGGATATCGAATAAATCACACCGCCTGCGCCGGTTCCAAGATACGAGATTCCAAAAGCGGTGGAACGCTTCTTCAAGAACCAGCCTGGAAGAATCGTAGTAGCAGGAATGAAAACGAACGCAATACCCAAGCCAAAGAGGAAACCCTGCGTCAAGTACAGTTGCCAAAGTTTTGTGGCAAACGAAGCCAGGAAGAATCCCGTAAACAGAATAACGACGCCCAGGCACATGGTTGCTCTAAAACCTATCATTCGGGCTAAAATCATCGCTGGTGGTGAAAATCCTTGGCCGCCAAAAACGTTGAATCCCGCAATGAGCGCATAGTCGTATTTAGTCGCCCCGGGAAATGCCTCCGTGTTCAAGTAGTAAGCGAGAAAAATACCAGACCCAGCACTAGCTCCCCAAGTCGACAGAAAGACCACCGTAAGACATGCACAGCAGACCCAGCCATACCCTCCGTCTGGTGGGAGACTAAGTTCACCGGTCGAACGATTTGTGAAAACTTTAGATACAACTGTTTGCCGGACATCCTCCTCTGTGGTGACAGACGCTGCTTCGTTTGGAAACGAATGCGAAGAGATTGCTGATTCCCGATTGGTTTTTATTTTATAGGCGTCTTCTAGTTCAAGCTGATTTACCAGCAAACGGTCGAGTTTCCCAGTTTTGTTGACATCATCTTCATCATCATCATTGGAGGGACGATTTTTGAGCGGACTAGTACTTGTTATTTCGCCAGAATTAGCGTTGCTTACGCCATTTTTCACATCTGCGTTCTTGCTTCCGCTTGCACTTTCGCTAGGCCAAGTATCAAGTGAATGGAGGGAAGACGTCTCGGTGTTCAACGATTTCATAGCGAAGACGATTAATAGTTTTGAAAAACAGAGAGTCAAAAGAGAATGGTGTCTGTAAATCAATTCATACCCTCCGAAATGTGTACTTCAATTTTAACGTTTGTGGAAGACACACTTTCGAGAAATGAGAAACGTCGAAATGAGTCAAAAAGACGTCAAAGAAATTTGAGATTTACTTAATGTGAAAAATGCTGTTTTGGATTGTTGGCAAACTTCTTGAAGCAAATACGGCGCTTTCAGTACCGAGAATAAGGTTGTTGAATTGATGGATTAAATGCCATGTCTTGGCGATAAGCGCGGTGTCGGGGATGCCGAGCATTTTTTATCTAAGTGCCTATTATATGGACGGCAAGTAATAAAATTAGTCATTTCTGTAAGTTTTGTATTTTGGCGAGCGAAGACCGACGAACATACTGGACAAGGCAAATAGCATGTAGTATTGCTTGCCATAAAGATATTCAAATCGGGAACTCAATTAGAAGCTGTCTGCTCATCTTACCGGCTGATTATATTTAAAGCTTAATTATGGAATGCTGCCACTGACAGAAAAAGCCGTTTGAATGACTCTCTGGGTTTCAAGGTAAGAAATATGATTGAAGATCGTGGAATCATGCTGCAGAATTGTAAATTGTGAATAGTGTTTTGATGAAGTGGGTGTGTGCCGCGTTGGGCAATTGTTCGGCGACACATTAGGTTTTGCTCGATGGTGACAGAGTAGTGGAAAGTGATCTAGAGAGAGCGACAGGAACTGTTGTTGATATTTGAAAGATCATCTCATCCGATGAGGTGGCCATTCACCGCTTCATTATATAGCTCGAGGCGAATGTTGTAGGTTTAATCTTTCGTGGGATTTAGGATTCGCAGCTGAAGATGATTGCGAGATGGGGTGACAGATAAGTACAAAGTGATCTGACATCACAACGCGTTGCAATTTGACAGTGCTATCGCCAGTGCACTTTGAAAGTATTGGAGCATTAAGGTGACGTTTTTGAAGCTTTATCCTGTTCGTTACGCTATTTCATGATATCAGGCTGGTCCCAACTTTCAGGAAAAGCCTCGTCCAGATTCAAAGTAAATTTCATGTCAATTCTAAAAAACAACGATTCAAAGGACCTGAAGAGTCTTGAAACAAAATCCACAACTGAGCTCAACCATTTTCACTCGGTCCTCATCAAGATTAGGCGATCCAAACTGTATCTTTCGTACTCTATAAAATCTCTATTAATCACCAGTCATTGAAGTCACATGCTTTTCTAGAATAAGTCTAAGAGTACTGTAATTTTTCAGCGATGAGCTTCGCTTCAAGACCAGTCGAACTCAAAACTTACTTCTGAACAACTCAGTAGATCCTTTCCTCTACCTCTTGCCATCTGAATTTGATCAATCAATGAGTACTGATCCTTTTGAAAAGGTATTTGAGAACCCAGACTCCCAAATTCTGCGTATCAATGACGACATTGATGTTGCAGACATCAGCAGCGATGAAGATGTGGAAACAGGTCAAGAGCCAGACAGAGTCGTCTCCGAAATAAAGCAGGACGTCAACGAAACTCAAAATGCCAACAGTAGTGGCGAGTTTGCAAATATCGAGGCAAAAGCTGAAAATGTTGAAAGCTCTGTTAAGGAAGCATCGAGCTCATCCGCAGATTCTTCGTCAGATCAGTCGTCAGACGAATCCAACGATAGCTCTTCAGATGATGACTATAGTGAATCATCGGGAGAAGAGGTTACAGTGATGGATGATGGGGTCGATGATGAAGACTCTGCAGCTCAAGACCCTATCACCTCCAAAAATGAAGTCACAGAGGAGCCACTTTACGAATTGCCCGAAAACTTTGAACTAGGGCCTAACACTGTTATTAACGAGATTGGAACTATCAAGTCCGCTTTTGATCACAATATTATCGTCGAGTCGTCTAGCTCTGCTGAGCAGCGCGTCTTAAAGGAAAACTCTCTGCTCTGCCTTCAGGACCGTCGCATTTTGGGCCCACTATGTGAGGTTTTCGGGCCTCTACAGGCCCCCTTCTACAGGGTGGCTTTCCCGCGGTCAAAACCAGAGCTGTATAAGGAGTTTTCGCAAATGACCGGTCAGAAGGTGTTTTACGTAGCTCCCGAGGCTCATTGGCACGATACATTCGAGCTCAAGCGCATGCGCGGTACTGACGCTTCCAATGGGTTTGATGAGGAACTGCCGGAAGAAGAGCAAGAGTTTTCGGATGACGAAAAGGAAGCCATGCATAAAAAGTTGAAAAAGCAGTCCAAGAAGCGGAAAGGTGAAAGTACACCGTCATCAGAAGGTGCGCCATTAGTCAAGACTGCGATAAAGCGTAAAAATAATGGCGCGACTCCGGAACAAAGCACAGGAATGACAACTAGCTCATACAGGCCTAGAAGCTCTCGTCACAGCGAAGCCAACGCACCCGAGGATCGTTTGGCCCAGAAAAGACCATCACACCATCAACAAACGCATCAACATCAACAACACCGCCACCACCATCAACAGCCACAACAACACCAGCAGCAACCACAGCACCTGGGTTCAAACATTGTTCCCCATCCATCAGCACCACCTTCTTACGTCCAGCAGCAAACCTACAATTATCCACCCCAGGGATATCAAGAAGCCGTAGGATCCCAATACTCAAACTCCGGTTATGCTTCTCAGTATAATCAACACCCAGCTCAACCTTTCAATTCGCCACATCCACAAGCGTTTGCCAGCTCAAATTATTCGGAGCAATATTACACGCAACCATTAGGATCCTTCACTCATCCTCAGCCCACTTTAAACCCAGCGTATGGACAGTCTAATGTTCCTCTCAATCCACAATTCATGCAATTCCAAATGGTCCCACAGCAAGCCTTTCCTCAACCCCAGTTGATGCCCCCATCGGGGTTCTCGCAACCACAGACTCAAAATATGCAACAAATTTGGCAACTACAACAAATACTTATGGACCAACAACAACAGCATCAGAATAATCAGCATCAAAACAATTAGCGTTAAGAACAGCTTGCTTGCATCACAATTTTATCATGTACATTATCCGTAACTCAATAAAACCTCCTCAGCATCATTTAGAGCACCTTTTGGAAAGCCTGCCTTGAGGGCCACTTTGATCGCGTCTGATTTCTCACAGACACCTGGCGTGAGTTGGTGATCATATAGAAATTTACCGCCCTCACGATCATGTACAGTACTTTGGTAGTAGCTGACTCTTTCCCGAATAGCTGGTTCGCATTTAATGTCGATAAGTCTCTGTAACTCTTTACCAAAATGTGTTGCGAAAAGTGACCTGCAACCATTCTGTTCAATTAAATGCTTCAATGTAGCATATGCAATGCTGACACCTTCCTTACCACTCGTGCCCCTTCCTATCTCATCCAAAATAGCCAATGATCTAGGAGTTGCTCCTTTCAAGATATAACCAGTTTCTATCATCTCTACCATGAAAGTGCTCATTTCGTTGTATAAGTCGTCAGCTGAACCAACCCGACTGAATATCTTGTCTACTATGCCTACTGTTGCAGACTCGCAGGGAACGTAACAACCAATCTGGGCCAAAATGGCTATTATTGCGTTTTGTCTCAAGTAGGTTGACTTACCGCCCATATTTGGCCCTGTAATAACCCAAAGTTTTCCAGCACACAAGGAAGTGCTATTGGGCGTGAATTTATCCAGCGTTTTCGCGCTTAGCGCATCTTCCACCATGATATGGCGACCGCCCTTGATGTTGAGATCGCTGGACGAATCTACAATTGGACATACCAGATTTTTCTCCAAGGCGAGCTGTGAAAAAGATGTCAAAACATCCAAATAGTCTAATATTTGAGCCGCACCTCTGATCGAGGAACTTCTCGAGACGAATTCATTCTTAAGTTCGGAAATCAATGCATCCTCTTCCTTTCTTATCCTGACTGCCGCATACTGAAGCTCCTGTCCGAGATCTACCCAAGACCTATGACTTAACCATATGCTTTGTGAGGATTTTTGTAAGATTCGAAACGCATTCCCGCGAAATTGAAGTCCGTCCCGAACAATTTTTGAGATTTCCTTCATGTTGATTGTAGTTGCTGAAATGTGAATGGCGTACTCGCTCGTTTGCTTGATTTTCAAATGTACCGTTCTAGCTTGAATGCCGCCAACGAAAAATGACCTGAGTTCTTGTTGTAAGCATTCTTGATCTTTCAAAAGGTCTGCGTGCAACCGATGCAAATCTTGAAGCTTGCTACTGGAATCAGGTTTCACCACCCAAGGTAGCGACTCGCCATATTGAAAAGAGGATTTCTCTGGGGATTCCAAGCTCTCCGTTGCTTCCGCAGCCTGAGCCTTTTCAAAAATGATCAATTGTTCTTCATCAAGGGAGTTTAAAACTCTGTCGATCAATTCTTTATCGTACGTTAATGGACGAACAAGAGAGGCGAGCAGTTTTTTCGAAACTTTTCTCTTGCCACTAAACTCTCTTTTCATATAATCGCCAATGATTTTTCCTCTTTGTAGCGAGTGCGATAGTTGCAACAGCTCAGCGGCATCACCTTTACCGAATGAAAACTTTTGTATAATGCGCGGCATATCGTAAGTCTGTTTCAATAGCCGTATAAGAACCTCCGTTTTATCGAAATTCTCTTGAAAAAGGCCCACTAACTTCTGTCGCTGATGGATTTCGGGTAGATTGAGCGATGGAGCTGAAAGCCATTGCGCTAATAGTCGACTGCCTGAAGGCGTTACAGTTCGACGGATCACCGAGAGTAGAGAACCTTTCTTGGTATTTGTTCGTAGAGTAGTGCTGAGCTCCAACGCTGAACTAGTTCGTGAGTCAATTTGCATAATGAAACTGGTAAGCTGTCTTTGAGGGACCTGTAAATTTACAGTGGTATTGGGTAAATGCTCTTCGATATACAGGAGCGTGTTTCTCAAAGCCGCTACTTCCTTTTGAGTAAAATCTCGTAATGTCATGTCCAGCACAGCCAAATCGTGGCCTTCCTCTCCCCCACTGTTGAATAGTGGATAAAATGAACGAATCTCCCGATGGCCCGACGGAAGACGTTGGTACGTCACAAAGTATTTCTTCAGCTCCACAAATTCTGGGTACCATGTACCATTTTCTACACCAAAACTCACTAGCTCTTCATCCAAAAGGATTTCTCTAGGCGCGATCCGTGCAATTGCCGAAACAACATCTTTCAAAAGCACTTGCAAAACAAATACCTCACCAGTTGATATGTCGCACCAGCAAAGACCAACTTTTATGCCAATGTCAGCCACTTTTTGCATGCAACCTTCTGGAAAGTCTAAACTAAGCAAAAAGGTGTTCTCTTGGAAATTCTCAAAGGCTTCGTCTATGAAAGTTCCTGGAGTGACGATTCTGGTCACTCTTCGCAGAAACCGATTGGTCTCATTTGTGAAAGATGCTTCTCTTTTGAATTGATCAGCAACTGCCACGCTGAACCCATGCTCTTTGACCAAAACTTTCAAGTGACGCTGAATCTGATGAACAGGAAACCCTGCAAATGCAACTTTGCCATGAACATAGTCACGGCTAGTGAGCGTCAGATTCAATTTTGGAGCATACATCTCCGCGTGCTCGAAATACAGCTCATAAAAAGAGCCCATCTGTGTTAGCACCACATAATCCTTGTATTTGTCCATTGTGTCTCGAACATATTGTAACGAAGGCGGCAAAGAGTTCTTGACTGAGCGAATCCCCCTATTAGGTCTATTCCTCTTTTCTGCTAATTCCAATGGGGGTTCTGTGCTAATGGCACTTTCTGTCTTGTCTTGTTTGTCACTCGTCTCTACGAAAGGCAGCGTGAACTTTTCAACCAGAGGTTTTGTTGTTGAAAACCCGCTTTGCCTGCGAATTGTCTGCCAGAAGAGGACATCGCCAACAGTCCGCTTTCGTAGACATCTCAAAGCACTACTGGAGTGCATGTCATTCAGGGATTGGATATTTTACTGAAATTATGTCGTAAGCTCATCGCAGGATTATGTTAGCTCGTTATTAAATAAGATCGCTATACTTCAAACACAACAAGGAAAATAGGCCATCGACTCGAGAAAAAAGTTGATGCTAGTTGACTTATTACAAAAACAGTTTCAATTCATTAAAAGATATTATTAAACAGATAAAAACTCCTATTTCCCCTTGAACGATGCGAAAAGCTACCTAACTAGATGTTGTCTGATTTATTTAGGTGACAAGCAAGATGTCACTTTTCTCAGTTAAGATAGCCCTTGCAAGATGGGGCACCACAATGACAAGGCAGCCTTTCTTCATCATCTGTTTCTCTTTCAAATTTGTAATCGTAAGTCAGCTCCTCATTGGCTGCTATGTCTCTTAATGCATAGATGACGATCCTCTTCCTTCCATCTACTCTGATGATCTTGGCCGTGCAGCTGGGCTCACAACAATGATTAATGAATCTTGCTATACCACCCTTTTTAGTGGCATCAATCACAGTTGACTCGTCAACTCTAAACAAGTAACTGGACCCAATACCACATTTCAGATACGTCCGTTCCCTCATTTCAGCCACAGGTTGCCGCAGCATTTCTCCCACATATTCGATAATCATTTCCTTTGCAGCAATGGGCTCCAGAGCATAAAGGCCCCAGTTATGGATAGCAGATCGAGCAAACGTTACCGGTTTCTTCCGCTTTGTTAGCTGATTGAGTGTAAGAAGCTCGGATTCCGAACCAATGATCGCTTTCTGTGCTTCTATATCTTGCTGGAAACGTCTGTTCATTGCCCTGTTCACTCTTGAAGACGTTATCTCTGAGGGGTGATTTTCCAACTCTGGTTTTTCCGATTCTAAGCGATGCGTGTCGGAGTTGGTTTCTGCCGCATCTTGGTGGTTGTACACAGTGTTGAGCGGTTGATGTAGTTTTCTTCTATGTGGTAAATAACAGTTTTTCAGCCTGTCACTTATTTTTTTGAACCCTTCGGCCTTGAAGCTTCCTGCTGGGCTTCTGAGAGAATCATCAAATGCCATCTCATTAGTGCTGTTTTGCAAGGCCAAAACTTTTTTGTTTTCTTGAGACGCGAGATTTAGTTCGTGCAATAGAACACCTAGCTTGAACTTTTGCTCCCCACTGATAGCATGAGCAGGCGGGTTCATCATTTTTCTCAGGATGACAAAATCCTCCTCGTCCTTAACTGCATCTCTGATATCCACAGCTGACAAGATGCCCTGGCTTTCAAACAAGTCGACCGGATATATTGGAGTTGGTCTCTCAGAGGCAGTCGGTCTATATTTTTCTGAAGTTTTGATTAACTCCTCTCTCCGCGAACTGTTCGAAACAAATTTCTGGACATCCGCCTCAGGAGTCGTCGCTTCGGAAGACTCATGTTTTGTCTTCTTGTAGGGAGGTTCGAAACCATCAGAGAAGTCGTCTTGATTGTCTTCTTCGTCTTGAAGTCCATCCTCAGCCTCAACAGAGGATGACATCATATCATCATCGTCCAACTGTGTCTCGAAAGCTGGTGGAGTATTACTTCTGGAATCTTCATTTAGCAAGTGGGCCATAGGTTTGACAAGTTCAACATCCGCCTTTTCTGAGACTGAAACTGACTCTTTCGGAGTCTTGGCGTCTCTAATGAAACCTTTTCCTAAAAGGCCCTTAGTTTTGAAACGCGCACCATAAAGGTTGAATATATCGAAGGTAGATGACTTGGACTCTCGTTTTTGTTTTGTTTCGGCGGCAATACGTCTTAATTCAAGCTTTTTCTTCTCGTCCTCTTCTTTTCGAGCTATGATTTCTGGATAGTTCTGTGGACTCAAGGCATCAAACACCGTGGGTCCGACGATTCGTCTCTTGAGGTCCCTCTCTAACGCCCAGCCTAAATCTTGTATGATGATATCGGCAGCAGCATTCACGATGTCTTCGATGGAAGCATATTCTTTCTTATGGCTCTGACGAGCTTCACGCTGGCCTGCGGCGAGTGAAGGTAAGTTTGCTTCTATTAATGTAAACCTTATTACAACGGGTTTACGCCTTCTTCTAGAATTAATGCTTAGAACGTCTGATTCAACATACATGCAAGCTTTAGCGTCGGAGATATCATTGAAAACAACATAAAATCCCGATGAATGACCGATGATCCTGGAAAACTTGTACTTTGCCAACTTGATCTTGAAATCTTCTATAGCGAGGCCGTGAACTGAAATGACTTTCTTCGACACGAAAAGCGACGGCCTTCCTTGAACTATTCTTTCGAGATCTGGAGGTAAAGCTTTAGCTTGCGGGCCAGTGGGCAGTTCTTTATTATCATTTCGCCTCTCAACCTGCTTTTGAATCTTGACGGCTTGCTTGGCGTTCTCCTCCACAATAGAATCAATGATTTTCTTCGATTGGTTGTCAGTGTTAATGACCACTGCAAACTTAAAACCAGACACGAAATAGTGAGCGTTTTCGAATGTCTTGGCCGCCTTGTGAGCGGCCTTGAAGGGGGCATCTAAATTTCCAGGTGGACCCGTGAACCTTATAACGTACACGTGCAGCGGCAAAGCATTGCTGGGATCGATAAAGCTCTCAAAGTGGGATATTTCTCCAAAGGTCGAAAAGTAGTTTTTTATGATGGCGTCTGGGACGGAGATATGCGAATCTCGAACCATTGGGTACACCACGATCTCGTTTGCTGGAGGGGGACCGATAGAGTGCTTATCATACACAATTCGCGGCAGTCGTGACAGTTGTGTTCGTGCTTTTCTATGGGTGTGGCCCTTGACGGTATGGTTATTTAAGGCTGCGCTCCTAGGATCTGTGGCAGCCTGATCTGGAGTTCTGGCCTTCAGAACAGGTTTGGGTTTCCCCGCGGACTGAGGCTCCTGGACGATCACATAGCCCGAGGAGGGCAGTTTTTCCGACGTCCACGGCCTCATGACGTTCTGGTGTATCAGTCGTCTTGCTACAGGGTCGAAATAGTGGTACTGTTCATGGAAACGCGTGGTGTTGTAACGCAAGTCTGGCGCAGGTCGTCGCGTCCTGTTAGGAGCCACGACGGGCGTCTGAGCCAGTCGCGAGCCTCGTGGATAGTACGTTTCGCCCTTGAACAGGTCTTTGTGCCGATTGTAACTGCTGCTTGGCCTATCTCGCCAGTGTGAACGACCGTTTTGTGGTTTCCCATTGGTGTGTGCGGTGCTGTCGTTTTGGTACCGGCTGGCGGGCCGTCCGTAAGGCATATCATGACCATGCCTGTAGTGATCCATTCCTCGGATTTCTACCGTGTGTACAAATGTGTACGAAGGCTCAGCACGATTATGGCTCACTTAATGCGCTTTCTTTGACGTGTCGATGATACTGTTTCTTACTGAGATGCGACAGAATGAATATATTGTAGATGGGCATATATAAGAGTTACGTATATAATGATTTGACTCGATTTGGATAACTTTCAGAGTATATGAGTGGGTATAAGGCTCGCTATTTAAGCCATAACGACCCCGAATTATGATGCTACGACAGTGGGCTTTATTTTAACTTTTAAAGAGCTTTATAAGTCGCATTTTTAGCCATTTCTTCTTTAATTTCGATATTTTGATCAACTTCTATGTCGAATAATTGAAAAACAATACACCGAATATATAGTAAAATAGCGATGAACTGTCAGAGATGAATTATTTAAAACCGTCAAATGTCAGCCCAGCAAGTGCGAAGATGTATATGTGATGTTTTGAATATTGATCCAGATGACGCAGGTAATGATTGGGCGAAAGGGCGGCTGAAAAAGCTGCAAAATACGACGTACACGCTGTATAACGTTTCACTCAACAAGCTGATGCTAAAACCGCACGAAGAGGCAGCCAGAACGCATTTGTGCGCGTTCCTCGCAGCAGAAAAGCTGTCCGAGAAATATGAACCCGATTTAAGGTTTGGATCCGACAAAATCCCGTTGGAACCGAGACAGGTCACGAAAATGCTGGATATCATGCGAAACACAATTCTGACTTCGTCGCCTGTTAAAAGCCTGAGCTGGTCACCCAGTCCGAAGAAAGCTAGACGCAGTCCAGTGAAAAACGGTGGTCGCTTCACTGCCATTGACCCAGCTGAAATGCGCAAGCAATTGTTCGGAACGCCCACTGGACAGAGAAAGGGAGCCACCCCACAATCTGACACTCCCTCGAGCGATTTCTTACGAGGTAAGGATGGCACCACGTTGAAGGACACGACCGAGGGTCCCGAACGAACGCCACGAAGAAAACTGGTTTTCGAAATGGACGAAGCTGACGACCAGCGCGACGTAGCAGTCGCAACGAAGGGTTCTACGTATGTCTCCGATCAGGACTCAGAAGAGGAAGAGGAAGAGGACGAGCATGAGGAGGAGGGTGAAGAGGAGGGTCCACAAAGCCCTTCGAAACGGCCCAGTCCGCGGAAATTGAATTCTTCGCCCAAAAAACGCTTCAAGGCATCGGACTTCGATTCGTCTTCTGCAGCGGGTGTTACTGACCAACGTCGCTGTTTGTTATACAAAAAATACTACAAGGTGACGCCTGCAGAGGTCATCGAGCTCTGCAATCATTTCGAGATACCCCGCGACCTAGCGTACCGCATTTTGGATCAGTTTTTCGAGCATGCCACATACCTGGTATTCCCATTCCAACTGGTCTGTGGACTCATTCTCAATTGCTGTCAGGTTATTTTTAATGACCAGCGACGCAAGGACCCCAGGGTTTCGGAATATCTGTACCAGAAGATGTGTCTTTTGATGAAAACGCCCGATATAGCGGAAATCAAAGAATGCATGCGTATTGTACGAGAACTTATTGAGGGTGAACAATGGTTCCGAGCACTGAAGGTAAAATATAACTACTACGATGGTGTGGCTTACGAAGAAGCTATTGCAATAAGACTAGGAAATATGCTACAAAGACCTACAAATATTGCGTCCGATGAGCAATTCGAGATCTGGAAACATCGTCTTGTCACAGATTTATCGCTGAGAGATGGGACTTGAACCAAACAAAAGCCAAAAATTTGTTCGGTTTTTCAAACAGTGTCTGCTCTGTCTGAACAGCTTTGGTGAGCTTTTATAGATCCGAGAGTTCTGAGGTCCCTGACGGTGGTTCGGCCTTTTCATAATGGTCTGAAAGTGAAAAAAAAATTTGAACTTTAAGTTTCCAAGATCAACCAAAATTTAAGAAAACATCAAAGCCAACGTCCCATAGCCTGCCAGGATCTCATTCGAAACTCATTCGAAACCTGTTGATTACTGACAGCCGATAAAGATAAATTCCTAATCAGCAAAAATCCGAGACGTAGTTTAACTTTTGACTGCATGAGTTTCCCATCGACCAAAAGAACGCAGGCAGAGTCAAGCGATTCTGAGTTTGACGGACATGTCATAAAACGTCAAGATGTTAATGGACATGTGTCAGATTCGTCTTCTGACGAAGATGTAGAGTACGTGGAAGAACTCGAAATTCCCGGGGCCGAAGATCATGTTAACAATGCCAAGTGGCAAAGCACCATATCTAAAGTTGTTGGATCCGTGGTATCCATACATTTTGCTCAAGTAGCACCATTCGACTGCGATCCGGCTCTTGTCTCTGAAGCCACTGGTTTCGTGGTGGACTCAGAGTTGGGAATCATCCTTACAAATAGACATGTTGTTGGCGCTGGTCCATTTGTGGGCTACGCAGTGTTTGACAACCACGAGGAATGTGATGTGATACCAATTTACCGTGATCCAGTGCACGACTTCGGCTTTTTAAAGTTTGACCCCAAAAGCATCAAGTACATGAACGTTCAAGCTTTGGAGCTTAAGCCTTCCCTCGCGAAAGTCGGATCGGAGATCAGGGTGATCGGTAACGATGCTGGTGAAAAGCTGAGTATTCTTGCGGGTTTCATTAGTAGGATTGACAGAAACGCCCCTGACTACGGAGAGCTCACTTACAATGATTTCAACACAGAATACATACAAGCCGCTGCATCAGCCTCCGGTGGGTCTTCAGGATCCCCGGTGGTCAACATAGATGGGCACGCAGTCGCTCTTCAAGCTGGTGGCTCAACAGAAGCGTCTACAGACTTTTTTCTACCCGTGAATAGAATCCTGAGAGCACTCGATTGCATAAGAAAAGATGAACCGGTCACCAGAGGTACCATTCAAACTCAGTGGATATTGAGACCCTATGACGAATGTAGAAGATTGGGACTCACTGCTGATCGCGAACAAGAAGCTCGTAAACAGTTCCCTGACCGGATTGGTCTATTAGTTGTGGAGACAGTGCTTCGTGAAGGGCCGGGCGATACAAAAATCAAGGAGGGTGACACACTCATTTCAATCAATGGTGAGCTTATTGCCTCCTTCATACAAGTTGACGATATCCTGGATAGCAGTGTGGGAAAGAATATCGAGCTACTTATTCAGCGTGGTGGCAAAGATCTCAATATTACGTGCGAAGTGGGGGACCTTCACGCCATTACCCCATCGTCGTATCTAGAGGTATGTGGTGCCACGTTTCATGAGCTTTCATACCAAATGGCAAGGTTTTACGCTATCCCAGTCAGAGGTGTCTTTCTAAGCAGTGCATCCGGATCGTTCAACTTCGACTCCAAGGAGAAAGTTGGCTGGATAGTCGATGCCATCGACAATCAAGAAACCCCTAACTTAGAGACTTTCATTGAAGTTATGAAGCACGTTCCAGATAAAAAGCGTGTCATTGTCAGATATCATCACTTGACAGATCAACACTCGCCAAATGTTGCCAGCATTTACATCGATCGCCATTGGTGCAGTGAATTCCGCATATATCAAAGGAACGACAAGACTGGTATCTGGGACTACAAGAACCTTGCAGAGCCCCTGCCTTCATTGCCTGAGATACCTCATGAAGCCAAATTCATTGACTTGTCCATTGAAAATAAGGAATTAGCAAAACTCTCCAGAAGTCTTGTTACAGTCACCACAATGTCACCCATTCCTTTGGACTCGATGTCAGCGGAAAGTCGTAAGGCTGCTGGGCTTGTGATTGACGCGCAACAAGGTTATGTCATAGTCTCGCGTCGTGTGATACCTCACGACTGTCTAGACGTATTTGTGACCATAGCTGATTCCGTCATTCTTCCAGCGGAAGTGATCTTTCTGCATCCTACGCAAAACTACGCAGTGGTCAAGTACGATCCCTCATTAGTTAAGGCCCCTGTGGAAACTCCTCGCATGTCATTTGAAAGAATGAAGCGTGGCGAGAAGTCCCACTTTATCGGGTACACTCACAACAACAGATTAGTGTCTTCTGATACCAAGGTAACCGACATCTCATCCTTGAGTATTCCAAGCAACATTATTCCCAGATATAGAGCAACGAACCTCGAGGCCGTTGGTATTGATTGTAACGTGAGCTCGAGATGTAATTCCGGTATATTGGCCGACGACGACGGTACAGTGAGAGCTCTTTGGTTGTCCTTCCTTGGTGAGATTCAGGATGGTAAAGAAAAAGTCTACCTACTAGGGTTGGACCTAACCGACTTGAAGCCCGTAATTGATCTACTGAGGAGCGGAAAGAGACCAAGAATTAATATCGTTGACGCTGGTTTCGGCTCTATCTCTGTCGCGCAGGCCAGAATCCGGTCTACGCCGGAAGAATGGATTTCCAAAATGGAATCTGAATCTGAAAACAGACTGCAGTTCATGCATGTAACAAGAGTGTCTTACACCGAGGAGAAAGAAAAGCTTCTACCCGGTGATGTCATCTTGAGTGTGGAAGATAAACTGGTCAAAGAGATGAGGGATCTGGACGGAATCGTTACGTCTGGAGAGGGTCCTAACAAGGAGCAAGTCTTGAATTTCAAGGTGGTCAGAAACGGTCGAATTGTTGATCTGCGTGTCAAAACAGTTGAAGTCAGTGAAACATCCCATTTTGCGGTTTTTGCCGGTTGCATTCTACAGACTCCTCACCACGCTGTTTTGCAAGCAATGTCCAGCATTCCTAGCGGCGTGTACTGCACATTCAGAGGCCAGTCTTCCCCTGCTACCCAGTACGGAATAGCATCCACTAATTTCATCACACACATTAACGAAATCGAGACGCCAGACTTGGAGACTTTTGTGAAGGTGGTAAAAGCGATTCCAGACAACACATATTGTAAGATTCGTTTGGTGACTTTTGATAATGTTCCTTTTGCCATTTCTCTGAAGACGAACTATCACTATTTCCCAACTGCTGAGCTCAAAAGGGACGCTGTCAGTGGCAAATGGATTGAGAATGAACTCAACAAGACCGAGGAAAAGTCTGATTGAAGGAGCTTTTGCGAGCCCATAAACTGTAATGCGATTGCGTATCTACAAGTACCTATTACATTTGATATACCATCCATATATTTAAACGTTTATATACACACATATTTATTTACATCGATATTGCATCTCCAGTTGTTGATCAAGAGGAACCCTGGTGAATGAGTAGTGGCTCTTCCATCTTCCGTCCCATTTCCGATCATTGATACGGAAGTAGTCTTTTTAGATGCTTGATGTGAGTGGAGTGTGCCAGAGTTTTCCCACTCAAAGATTTCAGTGAAGATCTACTCCAGCCCGCATTACCATGATTCCTGCCCGCACGGCCCCTTTTGTAGCTCGTAGATGTCTTTCTCCATCTTTTCGCAGTGCCTTTATGAGTCTTCATCAAAGTTCTCGTTTGAACCAGAATTGGCGACTGAAAGTGAGTCAGAACCCTTCTACAGCTCGCTACCGAGCGCATTAAATGGCTAAACATCAAATGTGATACGAAAAGGCTGTTAAGGAGCTTATGTCAAGGCTTGACTGACTGGTTTGTCGTCTCAAAGGTGATCAAAATGGTGCCCTGCCAGCCAAATTTTTTAATATTCACTATAGACAGGTCAAATTAGAAAACGACAGCCAAACGAAAAGTGACCGGTTTCCGGCGTCAGCGAAAAACGTCAGAGAGCCGATGTCAGTGTTTGTTGACTTTGTATACCGGCGGGAACTGGACTTGGGTGGGACCTTTAAGTTGTGAAGTTTATGGATTTAAGTTGACATTTTACTTAACACTTTACATGACACTTGACTTAACTGCTATTTACCAAGGTAAACTTGATTATCACACGTACACACTAAAAATGGTTGAAGATATTATTATGGAAGGGGAGTCGAGCCCAGTTCAAGAAACTGACGAATCTGCGGATTGTGCCTTTTTCTCTCAGTTGTGGTCTTATCCCCGCGAAATGATCCAAATCTGTCGTTACCAGCAAGATGATTCTTCTTGTGCAGTTAACTACAAATTCGAAAATGCCAAAGGAGGACTTGTTGCTCTCCGCGACTTTAATTCCTCGAGAGACAGAAGCTGTGTCTCGCGCAAACGTAAACTGGAGAACGAAAACGACTCGGAGCATCGAACTGCACGCCCAGCAAAGGTGAGAGTACTCTCGACCTATCTCTAAGCGAAGTTCAAGCAAAGTCTAAATGCGAATTGGTTTGTATTTACAGATACGCGTGTAGAAGGTAGTATGTACGACGAACAAAATGGAAGTTGATTGTTACCGCCAGAGGTTTTCTTTTTGTGAAAAATCTCATTTTTGCATATGCGTCTAACCCAAGATACCTTGAGCACGGTAAGCAGCCAAAGTTTCTTCAATCTTAGCGCTCACAATTGGGTCGGCCTTGATTTTCTTTTGAATCTTGGAGGCCTCGGCAAAAGTAGTGGCCTGTAGCTTCTCATCGAAGCTTCTGGCTAGGTCGGCAGCTTCTTCGAACAGAGCAATGGCTTCATCGATATCTTCTTGTTGCAGCTTCAATTGTGCTAGACCAATTTTAGCTTGCTCAGATCTTGGGTCGAGCTGGCAAGCTTCCTCGAACAACTCCGTAGCTTCGACAAAGTTTTCGACGCTAGCCTCTCTCGACAAAAGAGTCGCTTTGCCAATCAATGGAGACACACCAACGTGAATACCTGTCAAAGCCTTTTCCAATTTAGCAGCAATTTCGTATTGTTTTCTGGCACCAGCTAGATCGCCTTGGTCAGCTAGAATCTCAGCGTAGAAGTTTGGAACCTCGGGAGCGGTTGGGAACTTTCTTCTTGCCTCGCTGAAAAGGGTTTCGCTGTCGCTACGCTTTCCTTCACGGTAGGTCAGGCAAGCCAATTGGATGTAAGGGAAAATGTTCGACTCGTTGAGACTCTTGGCCTTTTCGAAATCCTTGCCTGCTTCTGAAAATTGTTGCGTAATGAAATACATCTGTCCACGGTGGTAGTAGACAGCAGCACAGTCAGGATCTATTTGCAGCGCTTTTTCGAAGTTTTCAAAGTATTCTTCACCTTGACCCTTGTCGGCCATGATGAGAGCGATGTAAACGTACGAGTTAGGTCTTGGGAAGTATTCAACGGCTTGTTTCAAGTCTTCGTGGGCGGCCAATGGGTCATTCTTCAAGAACTTGAAGATACCAACGTGTTCCAATGCAATTGCGGCTTTCTTTTTCAGCTCTTCATTGTCAGGAGATTCATCCAATAGAGTTTTGTAGAGTTCTCTAGCCTTGGAGAAAGACAAGTCAGCTTGTTCGTAGCCCTCTGCAGTTCTTTCGTAAAGCTTGGTTAAAGCGTCAAGCAAAGTGCGGTCTGCTTCCGAGGTTTCATTATAATTGTCGAAAGACGTCTCAGGCTTGAAAATACCGAAAAAGGACGCCAATGCGGTGTTGGCAGGCAGTTGGCTAGGCTTGTGTTGTTCCAATTTCTGTTTGAGCACGAGCATCGACTGCTTGTTCATGTTTCTTTCCAGCAATGGCTCCACAGACGAACCGTTGAAATCGCCGTACAAACTCACGGCAGACAAGTCGAACATAGCATCGGCGTAATTTCCTAGACTCTCGTTGGCCGTGGCTCTACGAAGCAGACACTTGGAGTAGTCCGGTTTGAGCTTCAAAGCCGCAGTGGTGTCCTCCACGACTTTTTCTTGCTCGCCCAAGGAAACGTAGCAAGCAGATCTGTTCGAGTAGAAAACAGGGTCGTTTTTCACCTCGATAGCAAGGGTGTAGAACTTGATGGCGTCGTGGTATTTCTGACTCTTAAAAAACTCGTTTCCCTTGTCTTTGAGGCCAACTGCAATCTTATCTTTCTGTTCCGCACTTAGATCTGCAACATTGCTGAGATCTGGATCTCCGTTGGCATCGACGGGATAAACAGGTGCAGACAAGGCCTGTGACTTTCTCTTGCTCTTCTTCTTCTTCTTGCCACCCTTGATCTCTGTTTCGGCTTCTTTTTCGCCCTCTTCCTCCTTTCTTGAAGGTTTCTTGGTTTGCTGAAGTTGCAGATAGTAGCAGTATGCCCCCACGGCCGTAGCTCCTGCAGCGATAGTCGCTATAACCGCAGTTTTGTTCCTGGCGACAAACTGTCCAACTGAGTTGTCAGAGGACATTATGGTTGGCTTTTCACTCGATCTTGATGTACTTAAAGTAACAGGTTTTGTGCAGAATTCACAACTTGGTCTTCAAGATATTTATTTTATACACTAAAAAATTTTCAAAGTAGGACTAAGTCAAAAGCGATGCTAAAAGGACACTGAGAGCTGGCTTTTGAATGCTTGGAGCTTGATCTGACCGTTGCAGGATATAATTTTGGCATTGGCCGAAATAATCATCGAATTTCGACCATTTTTGGTCGAGATATGACAATAAACGTAGTTTGAATTGCCTTGAACACTGACTCTGTGTACTAGGGCCCACTTTGTAGCCATCTTGACGCTGACATTTGTATTGATGATTTTGGGGTGTAACTTGTGGGCCCGAATCGGCTTCACAGCTCAATTTTTGGGCAATTGCTTGTGGGAAAGCATGAGAGGTTGAAAGAGCTTATTATGTGTGAGCTGGCAAATCTACGTGCCAAACTTCAACCGCGCTTAAATCATCTTGTGGGTTTTCAGCCTAGTGAGCAGGTCCCACTTGAAGTCCTCTGTTTTTGAACGCAATGCAGCAATCTTTACCCAGCTCACGCGCCCGCTCTCGCGACAGCTAGTGATGGTGCTAAGATGACTTTGCGATTTAATTCACTCCCATTGGCTCCGGTTGTTTCTCCTGGCCTGAAGCCATTGTTTCTTGCACTCTCTGTATGCGTCGAAATACTCCTGACACATGGATTTGTCGTAGTCGTTGAGCTCCAAGCACTTCATGCTCATCTTCGAGGACTCCTGGCAGGGATCGTAAAACTGGCTGGCGTCCTTGGCAGCAAACCTGTACTTATTGAAGGTTGATTCCGGATTGTCAGGATAGAACTTGAAATTTCCTGCCGTAGCGTTTTTCGGGGCATAGTCCACTTTATTCTTGTCGACTTGAAGTTGAGGGTCGGCGTTTTCGGTCGGTGTATCTTTAGGATCGGACATTTCGTGAAAGTATTGGCAACGAACGTAGAGTTACACGACTGGTTCTGCAATAGTACTATACTGTAATTATGGTACTCAACGTCGAATTTTTCAGCAATGCTTACTACTGCTGGAAGACGATTTAGAAGACTCGGGCAAAAAGTTGAGCGAGCGAACTGTTGTGTCTGTTGGGCTAAAGTTCAGCGTAACAGGAGATCGAAGACACTACGTCCAGGTAGACAGTCAATTGTCACTGATTTTGAGGTTATGGCTCTGAGTATAGTTAAACCATTATTATTATACAACAAACATATCTGTAATTTTTCATCAAAAATTATAGCGAGCTCATCGCACAGCTCATCGCATCGAAGTCATCAAACAAAACTTACCGTTCATCAAGGTAATTAGACGTCTTCACCTCAGCCATTCATTGGGAAATGTCTGAGCACCAGGATTGTAAGCGGTGCCGCTCTGAGAAAGCGGTTCTTGTGTCGAGAAAAGAGCCATTCTGTCCAGGATGTTTCCAGAAGTTCATATCGTTGAAGCAACGGAAACAGATGATGTCGGAACAGTACTTCCAAGACGTGTTCAAAGTCATGTACCAAGATAAAGTGAAAACGGCTGAGATTGCGGAAAAAATGAATGCGGAGTCCAGAATATTGGTACCACTGTCGTTTGGGTCTAGTTCACTGGTGATGCTCGATGTTTTGAACGACACGCTAAAAGAACAACTAGAGGTGCACCGTGGCAAAACGGGATTTCACGTAGACATTTTAATTTGTTTCCTGGGCAGTGAGGACCTGCAAAATCACAAAGATAGACTACAAACTCTCATGAACACCAGGCTGCTGGAAACCAGAAATTGCTACAAAACTCATTTCGTCGATTTGGAGTCGTTTTTTAGCTCTTCCAAGCGTATGAGGGTGCGTCTTGAGGACTCTAGCTACATCGTAAGAAAGGTAGACGGTGCGTCAGATGCTACAACGGAGCCCACGGTCAAAGAACTTCTGAGCACATGTGTCAACCGCTCAGCACGCGAAGACTTGTTGAACGTCATGAAAACGGCCACGATCAAGCTTTTCGCCGCACAACATGCCTACAAGGCCATTCTATGGGGCCATTCTATGACGCGGTTGGCCGATGAGATTATGGCCCTCGTTGTTAAGGGAAGAGCCGCTCAAATTGCCAACACTTTGGATAATTCGAGCTTTGACTCAGAATTTGATGGATCTTTCAAAAATCTGCATCCCATGCGGGACATTCTACTATCGGAGATCGACGCTTACTGCCACATATCAGACCTTGCTTCTTTAACCTATAACTACGCTCCTCAGCGCACACTACTGATCGAAGAGGTTCCGGACGCGGAAAACTCGGGATCGAAACTGGCTAGGAACATGACAATAAACGAGCTAGCACGTCAGTACTTCGATAATATAGAGGGCAACTATGCCAATGTCATATCCACGGTTGTAAGAACCGGTGCCAAGCTCGACAGTCCGCTGGATGCCCTGCCGAAAATGAGTAGATGTGGAGTGTGTAACGCCAGGCTGTTTAAAGATGGCTCCAAATGGCTGCGGAACATCACTGTCACAAGCAGTCACCATGTTGAATCTGAAGAAGACCGAGAACTATACTCTGCTTGGGCCGATTCCGAGCATGGAAAGTCCAGAGGGGAGTATATCAAGTTGAACACAGAGTTCAAGGAACAAGGTGAGGTACTTCCAACGTGTTACGGTTGCCTACTGGTTCTTGGAGAGGTAAGGCACAAGATTATGTGTTGGCCCGATAATCAGTCACGTATCCTTCAAGATACGATGGAGGCATATGTAATCGGTGACGACGATGAGTCAAATTAAACGTTCCTTCCGGACACTCTATTTACGGTGTATTGTAGTATTTCCAATCTGCCAAAATTGGCGTACATTTAGATCTCCCAAGGCAGCAGGCGAGAACTAATATCTGAGGGCTGTCAGGCCAAGGGCAATAAAGCTTCGTACAACTCTAAATGTCATCGGGCTATTTGGACGCATTTTTGAGCATGCCTAGAAGCTGTTTAGAAGCGTTTTCGTCTTGTGGCAGCGGTCTTTGAAGAATTTGGTACGAGAAAGATGACGGTGGATTGTTTATATCAGCACTAGGTGGCACTCTCTCTGCGGGTCTCGTCATAGAATTGCCAGGCGAATGACCACGGAGCATTTTAAGTAGCTCGGAGCTTTCACTGCCAGAGTCCTTTTGCATCGTTCTATTTTCCAATTCACAATGTTGTGATGAGCTTGAAGACCGTGGTGGCTGCGCAAAAAGACCCGGCTTACCGTTCTTCAATAAATTTAGCAGAATGTCCGAGTCCATCTTCTTGCCAGTCTCTAAGGTAGATTCCCTGTCCGCGGCGTGCGTGTGATCATTATTTGTTGGTGCGTTCTCTGCGCGGCTCGGTGGACAGCTTACAGGTGCTTTTTTGAGCATATTTAAAAGTACCTTACCATCACTTACCTTGAAAGTATTCCGTTCTTCTTCCACCGACTTATCAATTTCTGACGAGTCCAGCACGTCATTTAGCATTTCACCACGTTTGAGCAGCTTGAACTTCGGCTTAACCTGGGACCGCGCGTTCTTGTCCTCTTGGTTTTCAGTTTGTAGGTCAAGTTGGACATTTAGCGATTCTTTTGTCTTAATATCCTTAAAGTTCGGATTGTGTAATAAGTCATTCGTCGCTACACCAGGGTGCGCCTTTGGAATGTTGGTAATCGGGATTTCAGCGGAAGAGGTTTGCAAGAAATTTGGAGTGTTCGAGAAATTTTGACCAGTGTGCTGCTTGCCTGAAGCTTCCATTTTTTGCCTCTGATGTTTGTTGTCTCTTGCGTACTTGGCAGAAAACGACTCCAAGGGATCTTCCTGAACCTCCTCTTCCTTGTCTTCTGAATCGCTCTCTGAACAACTTTCAAAATCTTCATACTCAGATATATCAGTACCTGTCGTGCTAGCGTTGTGCACGTCTGGTAGTTGTGCAACTGATGTGAGAGTGATTTTTGCAAAGTCAGGCTTCGCGCTGATGTCTCTTTTAGTCTCTTGCTCGCTGGAAGCTTGCTTTTGGGGTTTATTGAGTAGACTTAGCAGAGTCTTCGGACTTGTGTTGAGGTCAAGAGAGGCCTCATCATGTCCACGGAACCCCACGTTGGCTGGTGTAGATTGCTGGCCAGGAGGTGAAGCTGGCTTGTTCAGGTTCTTCTTGTTGAGAATGTCTAACAACTGCTTTGCCGATGCGTGCTGCAAAGGATTGGCTTGTGAAAGATTGCTCTCTTGGCGTTCCTCTTCCTCGACGACGGTTGGTTTGGCCAACGAGTTCATCTTGGGGGTAGGAGGCGGTTGAGTGCTTTCGGAACTTGAGCTAGAGTTTTCGGGCTGCGGAACGGCACCAATCTGTAGACCAGCACCATTCATGAAAGGAAAAGGTGCAAATGGCTGGAATGCCATGAAAGGGAAACTGTGTTGAAATTGCGGAGGAGGAGCAACAAAAGTTGGCGCGGGGATGGCAGTTAGAGGCGTCGCTGCATTACTGGTGCCAACAGTGCCGATGGCATTTGCAGCGGTGTTGGCATTGCTTTCGGTCTTAGATAGTGAGTCCACCTTGAGGGCTTGGTTGGAGGTAGCGTTGCCAGCAGACACTGTGCTTTGGAGCATGTTCAGTAGCTCTCTGCCAGGGTCGGAGATATCTTCCTTTTTGATACCTAGCAGGAGTTTCAACTGCGTTTCAACATGTGCCTTGAGTTTTTCGTCGTCGCCTATTTGACGATTACTCTTGACCCACATGGCCAAGGGTCTCATGAGATTGTTTACAAGGTATATTTTGACCTGGGCCGTCTTGGGGTTGCAACTACGAGAGAGCTTCTTGAAATCATGCCATTGAATCTTTTCGATTTCGTTACGCACTTTGGGCTCAAATTTGAAATCCTCAGGGATACCGCTCACGAGGAATATCTTGTAGTTTTTGCCGCCGATGTTGCGCTCGATGAAGGCGTTCTCGTTGATGTAGTCGGAGATGTCGCATCCAGTCTCTTCCAGCACTTCACGAACGCAGCAGTCGACGTCGTTTTCGTCTTTTGAGATTTTGCCTCTGGGGAAGGACCACGAGTCCGATTCTGTGCCCTTCACCAGCAGCAATTTGGTCAGTTTTTGGTTGAAAATCGCAGCACCACGCACCGGTATACTTCTTTTGTACTGAGAGAACTTTTGGAGGGCCTGTTCTGCTCTGACGTCCCACTTCCACACCATCGGACATAGCTTAATAACATGCTGTGCAAAAGACTTGATTTTAAGGTTTGGCAAATTTGGATTCAGAATTTTCACGTAATCAGTGTAGAACCAATTGGCTTCCTCAACGTGGAATAATTCTCGCTCCACTGACGAGAAATCCTCAGGCGGACAGTTGATAATAAATCTCACGATAAGGTCTTCCAAAACCCTGTCGAGAGAAGCTGCTGTGTCCAAAGGGTGTCGTAGCGGTAAGGACATAACTTCTTAAAACTTCGTAAACAACAAAAATCGTAGCTAGCTGGAGTGTGATGGCTCTTGTGAATGCTTGCGTGTGTGTGTTATTTTAATGGTTGATGGTAACTTGTTTAGAGCGTGTATTCTAGAGTGAAATATTTTCTAATTGGCCTTTAAGCTCTGTATACGAAGAGTGACAGAAATATGATGGACTAACACGAATAAGAGCAGTTTTGAAGCCAGTTCGACACATCAGAGGGTGTTGCAAAGGCCAAATGCGTGAATTGAATTCAGGAAATTCGTATTTGGGAGTTATAGCGAGAAAGAACGAGTAAAATCGCGATCAATGTGGGGAACTATATCAAGAAAAACGAAAATAACAGAGAGTCAAATAACAGACTTGGGTCCCACGGAGATTGTTAAATTTGAAATCTGCTACTAAATTAGTTCCTGCGTGTAGCTCGAATTGTCACGACGGAGAGCGTGTTGTGGGTTTTTTACCAGTAAATCTAATTTCTGGTGATTATATTAGAACCAGCGACACTGTAGTACAGAGTGATAAGTTGTTTACAAGGTGTTTTTATCAAGAAAGTTGACGCTTGAAATGGTGACTTGCACACTGTGTAATCTGATCTCGTTTACGAAACACATGGAAAATGCTTGTCTGTTTGTCTACGAGCCCCCTTCCACACTGAAAGTAAGTCAATGCGGTGTTTTCTATCACTCTGTACTATTCTGTCACCACCCTAAAAACATTCTTCTCCCAACGTTTTGCTCACTCAAAGCTTGGTATGGCCAAGACCTTTTCGAATGAAAATTCGTAGAATTAGAGCAGATTAATATTCCCAATTTGCGTTTCAAGCGGTTTTCAAAAGCCCTTCTCCCACACCAAAGTCGTCTCTGACACATTAACCTAATTTTCCGCAGCCCCATCCTCCCATTTTTTAGGGTGGTTTCCCGTTGGATTTTCCCACTTCACTGTGTCCGTGTGTGTGTGGCTTTGCCGACCCTTGCATGCACAACATGCCCTTAGGTCACTCGTTTCAACAGCAGCAATAGCAAAGCTCTAAGACTAGCAAAAAATAAGCAATACTAAGACAATTATCAAGGTAAACTAAGAGCCGAAAACGGCGTGGAAGCAAGCTACTTGGCTCAATCCGACGTTCAATGTTTTGCACTTGGCAGATTGAGGTTGAATCGAAACAATTAGGTTTAGATTTTTGTATATAAGTTGTAGATGTGATCTTCGATTTACAATATGATAATGATATTGGTTTTACTAACCATATTAGAAAAATTTAAGGTTATGGGAACATCGATATTCCAGGAAATATCGAAGTGAACAATATCAAGAGCTCTGAACCAGGAATCAAGCTCATATCAACAATTGCAACCGTATATTAACATTAATTGTACATAATGTCTCTCAAAGTCGGGTACATTCCAGAGCATTTTGCCAGTCCTTTAATTTTTGGCAAACAAAAAGGGCTTTTCAAGAACCAAGACGTAGAGGTGGAATTGATCCCTTACCCCAGTGGGTCGGGCCATTTGATCCAATCGTTGAATGACGGCGAACTGGACGTCGCTATAGGTCTCACAGAGTCGTTTGTTCGCGGAATCGCAGACACGGACAAGGACACCAAGCCCAAATACCAGATCGCGGGCACATTCGTGAAGTCCGCACTTGAGTGGTGTGTCTCGACTGGCAGCAAGCGTGATGACCTCGCAGACCTGAAGGCGCTCGACGGCAAGAAAATCGGTGTTTCCAAGCTCGGCAGCGGCTCCCACGTCATGAGCTATGTGATGGCACTGCAAATGGACTTTGAGAAGCCATTCGAAGACTTCGTTGTGTGCAACGACTTTGCAAATTTACGCAAAAGTGTGAACTCGGGCGAGTCGGACGCTTTTATGTGGGAATACTACACTTCCAAGAAGTTTTTGGACTCGGGCGAGATCAAAATGCTCGGTCACGTCTCGTCGCCTTGGCCCTCTTGGGTCGTGGTCAAACGTACCGAAGCGGACCTCGACGCTTTCAAGCGGTTTGTCCAGGCCCTAAACGCGGGCATAGACTACTTCAACAAGCACAAGGAAGAGTCCATTGACCTTGTTGTAAGCGAATTTGGGTACTCTAAAGAGGACGCTGAAGGATGGTTCAAAACGGTCAAGTATCACTCTGACTGTGGAAATATTAACGACTTGCATGGTGTCGTCACGGGCACGCTACACATCTTGGCCAACACCAATGTGCTGAAAAACAAGGATGAGTTGGTTATTGAAAACAACTTACGTGACGGCACTTTGAACTCATCGTGAGAAGTTTGCAGATATAGTTGTGAAGCGGTAAATAGCTATTGTCATGAATGATTGAGAAAAGAGGAAGTTGGTTAGGGGCGTGAAAGTTGTGAATCCCACGGGTTGTACGCTACGGGAAGGACGAAAATATCAGTTTCTTCAAGAGGCAAGCAATTTGTTGTGTTCTTGACCACAGAGAAAAAATAAGCACAATGGCTGGCGCTTTATAAAGTAGAGTTGGCATCTTACAATTTCAATTTTAGTCGGAAACTATTCAGCATCTTGATCAAGCCGTACCGTTTCAAAGCGAGTCTCTTCAATTCAAAGCTAACTTATAGACACAGCATAAATACTATGTTGTAAACTCAGTCATCGCTAGAATTCTGTAAGAGAGCTCAAACTGACGCTGGAATTGATACGATTTTATCTGCAAATTGGGGAGCCCGAAAAAGCTCGATAGAAATGAGAGCTTTGCAAGTACACAAGCTATAAGTTTGAAGAACCAGAAACCTACATCTCAATCGCACAATCCTGAAGTATCCCTCTCTTGCGTGCTTCGTGTCGTCTTGATTAGCGAGGAAGGCCGTCAATATCACCCTGCACTTTCCTGGCGCGAGATGTGTTTTCAACTCACATGTGAACGACTACAACCGTTTTAGAATTTCACTGACGACAGGATATGAGCTGTAAGAGGAGGAAGAGTAGGATTCCGTTGAAGAGCTCGTTCTTAAGATGGGTTTATATAGAGAATGAATCCAAAAAATTGTCGAAATGACTCAAGGGTACCCAAGAAATGATTTAAGGTTGTTCAAAAATCATCAAGAATGAGCGGGATTGGAACTCAAGGTCAACTCGAATTTTATTGAAAGCTCCGAATTTAATCAAAGTTCAGTTCTAACTAAATTTCAATATGAGCTGACACCACACTCGAAATGAATCTAGAAATACATCAAACTGAGCTCAAAACACATTCAAAAAGTAACCCCAGATATAATTAAAAACCGCCTATTTTGACCCAAAAATGAGCTGGCGTTAACTGGGCTCGAAGATTAACACAAATCTTACTAATAAGCCATTTTTAGATTCACGTCAGACTCGACTTGTTGTAATTTGCCCAATTCTTATCGAAGATCAGCTTAAATTATACTTAGAGGTGACACACAAAGAACTCATCTCAAATTTATTTCAAAATAAGCTCAAAACACACCTTAAAATAACGTGAGATTTCAATCCAAACACAGCCAAGAACACAACTCGAAATTCAATTCAAAAATTACTTTTAAATTCAGTTCGAAAATTGGTGTATAACTTAAGACAACATTAGCCCGATTTGAATCAAAGTTAAGGTCATATAATTCTCAATAATGAGCTTAAATCGCCCTCAAGATTCGCCCAAAAAACACCTCAAAATCAGCCCCAATCTCAACAAAGAACAAGTCCAATTATACCCAAATTTCAAAATGCGATTAGGCTCAACTATTGGTATATGTACTCGAAATCGCCCACGAATCACTTCAAATAAGCACAAGACACACCCAAAGATTGATTCAAGATAAGAGCAAAGTGTACCGAAATTTTAACCACAAATGAGCTGATATTACACTCAAACGTTGATTCAAGTATATCAAAACTGGCCTGGAATCCACCTCAAGCTCAAGTCGCGAATTTATCTAAATCAGCTACTCACCTTTGATTATTCTTTAGCCAATTTTAATCAAAGGTGAGTCAAAAACAAAGTTTCGAATACAGCTCGAAAGTCATTCCAAAATTCAGTTGTAAAATTAACACGAGATTCTCCCAATTTTGATCAATGCTCAGGTCAAATAGTATTTAAAATCGGCTCATATTGCCGTCAAAGATCGCCCAAGATTCATTTTTGAAACGAGCTGAGATTAATCGAAAATTAGTCACATTCTTCATCAAAGCACAGTCTAGAAACGCAGCTCAAAATTCAACTCAAAATTCACTTCGAGAGTCCCTTGATTCATAACCCAATTTAGGATTGGTCCAAATTGAATCAAAAATCAACTCCAGTTATAACTAAAATGTGAGCTAAAATTACATTCAAAATGAGCCCGAAACACAAGTTGCTCAAAGAAATGAGCTGAAACTACACCTTGAGACCACCTCAAGTTTTACTTCCATTGGCTCGAACTTCGATGAAAGATCAGTTGAAAATATTCGTGAAAGCTAGCTAAGATGATGACATTCAAAAAGAAGCTCAAAACACCGTCCAAAATCGGCCAAATTAGGTGTCTGGTCTGAACTGATATATCAGCACAAAATACGCTCAAAAAAATCCTCAAATTCACTAAGAAATCGCCCGAAAATCACTTCAAAATTAAACTCCAAATATGTCAAAAATGGCCATTTTTATACTCAAAAATCGCCCAAAATTGCCATTTTTCTCACCCAAAGCACCTGCATTCTCCCTCGCTCTCCCTCGCTCTCCCTCACTCTCCCTCACTCTTCTTCCCGCTCTCCGTCCCACTGCTCCTCCCCCATCTCTTATTATTTTCGTGTCGCTCCGTTCTGTCAATTTCTCATATCAGTCAAAAACTCACCTTTTTCCCATTTTTCATCAAAATTTTTTTTTCAAAAGCCCATCTCATCGCGACAAGAAATGTCTCGATGGAAAAAGTGGAAAGCGCATCTCATAGCTCATCGCACCTAAAATATCAACAAAAAACGATAGAAAGACTCCTACAAAAGACAGTTTAAAGCTTGTCAACACCGCTAAAACACTAGTAATCTAAGGTTGTTACACGCTATTGGAAACTGCGCTCAAAACGAAGGGAAAAAAAGCGAATTTTGAGGATTGGCTCTGGGAAGAGAAAAGTGAACAAAGTGAATATTTGTGCTGAACAAGGAAGAAGAAATTAGTTGTGAAAGGATCAGTAAACTTTGAATGGGCTCGCGTTCAGATCTCAAGTGACTACAAGTATTACTTTCGTTGTTTTTTTTTCACACTCTGTCAAATAAAGACTATGACAGTTCCAAAATCTACGGTGCCAGCAGTACCGGGCTTGGCAGCTGTGCAAACCAAAAACCCGTCGTCGTGGGACGCTCAAGATGACGTCCTGCTGCGCCATCTCAAAGAGGTCAAAAAACTGGGGTGGAAGGAAATTGCGCAGTACTTCAAAAATAGAACTCCGAACGCATGCCAGTTCCGCTGGCGCAGACTGCGGTCTGGGAACTTGAAAACAGCGGGGAAACCCACCGAATCTTCGGAGGACCACACTGGCGGTGCTGGGGCTGACCCCCAGCACCAGTCCCTCCCGCTGACGATGTCGGCGTCGGCATCGCCCGCACCAACAAATTTGGCGTCTGCTGCGGTAGCAGTTGCAGATGCAAAACCGATCACCTTGTCAAACTCCTCCACGGGCTCTCAGTATGCGCCAACTCCAACACCTGCCCTTCCCACCGCTTCTGTGGCCGCTCCCGTTGGCGCCTCTGGCTTTGGTTCTTCTTCTGCTGCCACGTACAAACCAGGCTCCAACCCGACCTCTACTGCTGCTTCAAGCCGGTCCATGACCCCTGTAATAGCAGGTGGAATTGCGAAAAACTCTTACATGGACGCTCCGATCATCCCCTCTGGACCGGCATCGGCCCCGGGGATTCCCATGCAGTCGGCGCTTGGTTACCTCCCATACCAGCACCTCGCTCACCAGCCATCGCTAAACCGAAGATCTCAATCCCATTCTAGTATAGGCCCAGACAAGTTCGTGAAGCCGAGATCCTACTCTCATACCATGGCTCCACCTTCCAGCTTGCTGCACCCTTCCTCTGCCTCCCACTTACCATCTATTGAAGTCAACAAGACTCTAGAGGACGAAAACTTGGGGCTTATACCTAAAGTCCTCGTCCGCTCGAGACGATCCTCTGTGGCACAGCATGCGCCGTTGCCGCACATGAATTTATCAACACCTGCATTGGCGTCCACTTCTTCAAGCAATCTAACAGCGGCCCTCAATACAACGTTGACGACTTCGAAGCTGCCTAAAAACTCCTTTTCTTCGAGACCCAGACGCTCGTCTTTCCATATGGCGGCTCCAGATAGAATTTACTCGACTCCCTCTCGCAGAGGCTCTGTCGTGCAAGCACCTACCTCGGTCGCTTCACTCACCAGGCGTGAGAGTTTCAACAACCATACGTCGCGCCGTGATTCCTATATTCATCCCAGAAGAGAGAGTTTCGTTCAAATTTCTTTAGATAGACGCGAATCGATTTCTAACTATACTGATGTTCCGAGGTCTAATCTAGCAAGCTTCACGCCTGCTATGGGAACCGGCTTAAGTCACGCACATTCTGCAGCTGAGCCACTAACCTGGTCCCTGGATGAAGACCGTCTTCTTCACGAAAGACAAGAAAAGCACCTTTCTTTAGATGAACTCAGCATCCTTCTTCCACACAGATCTGAAGAAGAAATACAGTGGAGATTAGGAACTCTGGGTGTTACGTCTTCCTCCCCAGCCAGTAATTCGCCCCTAGATTCCCCGGATCGATCGCTCACAGACGATACGGCGATTGAGGAAGAGAGTAACGCAGTTACTGACGAGAATCCACGTCATCCGTCGCAGGTGGTGTTCGACATAAAAAAAGAGGTTTCTCCGTCTTTGTCCCTTTCCCCAAGCTCAAATGGAAGAGAAAATTCTCCTGTGTTTTCACCCCATCCCATAAATCGCGAGGCTTCTCCTGCTACATTTGACGCCTCTTCAAAAGCTGGAATGGGTCAGTCTCTCGAGGACCCGAAGTACAATTGTTCACCCAGCTTGAGCGAACACCGTAGCGTTCCATACACTGCTGTCAACAGCGCCGGAAGCTCTGTTGCGCACAGAGCTGCCCTGCCTCCCCTTAACAGTCTTTTAAAAGACATACTTTGAAGTGGCAGCCTAGGGGAGCACTCCGGTCCACTAAGAAGCTTCATTGCTCCTTTTAAAATTTAAGGACGAGTTTACGATTAACAGGCTGGTTTTTGTTTACGTGGGCTCATATTGCAATATATAGGGCTATGGCGCTGTACTGACTTTGATGAAGGTAAGGCAGGTCCAGGGCGATGTATCATCTAAGTCTTGATTATGTTGGTTATGTACAATGTTTGATTATTTCGAACAATACTGTTTTATTATACTATTACAATTCAGTACGAACACTTCATACTCCTGAGATGTCTTGTAGCGACATGCTCTTCTTCGCTGTCGTCGCCGCTATCATGTATTCTTTTGATAACTCGTCCTCTTCTGCTTTTTTTGACACTTGCGTTAGTGTCAGATGAGTCGTTTCCGAAATTGGCGTCATCATCCTCGGAGCCGCTCAGTAATTTGATGTCCCCGTACTCAAGAGCATCCCCGTAATCGAAATCATTATCAGCTGTACCCATTACCACGTCCACCTCCTCCTCTTCGTCTTCCTCACCTAATTCCTTCTCTCCGTCAAAAGCCGAATCAAATGTCTCGACATTACATACATCGATGTTCTGAGCCCGTGAGACGTCCTCGTCATTTGTATATGTCCCATCAGCTTGTTCTGGTAACGAATGCGGGAGCACGATATTGGCATCTGACGAGCCGCTGGAAGCGTCACTTTGCGGTAAACTCATGCTTCCTAATAATTGAGGATCGATTTCTGAGCTTTGATGACTTTGGATCTTTTCCAGGCATGTCTCTTCCATGCTTCTTGGATCAGCAATGTCATCTTGCAGGAAGTTAACCAATACTGAAATGCTATTTTTGAAACTGTCAACGCCATTTTTCTGCCCTGCATTTGTCGTTCGTGTCGCACCAGTAGTCTCTATCATAGTTCCCATTGCATTGATGCCACATGAGGGCCCAAATATCATCGGCTTCCATACCAATTTTTCGGGACGTAACGAATACAAGTTTTTCGATTTAGCGGCGTTCACGACATTATTTATCAACGACCAGTCGTTGATTTTTAAAGCATAGTTCGTCTTATCGCCTTTCTTAAACTGGTGAAGTATCTTCAGTTGCTCGAGACCAACAACTATGTCCGTTGGTATCATTCCCGTAAGGTTGGAAAGGTCTTCTAAGGTGCACTGAAATGTCAAACCTTTCTCTTGAGCTTCCAAAATCTCATTCTTCAAAGACTTTATTACCTGACATAACTTGATCTTCCAGAAGTTCCGGTAAGATAGCAATCCTAAGTCAGAGAATGGTTTTTCCGGTGTTCCCCATTTATATTCTCTTCTTGTCAGAAGGTATGAGAAGTCCACCAAGAGGTGACCGTAACCTTTTCTCTGATAAATGGGCAGCGTAAGAATGCAGCTAAGGTTATAATCCGTGGATGTCAGTTTTTCTTTCGAGAAATACCCCACAAAGTGAAAGTGATTTTGGTTCCCAATATCCTCCCGCTCAGTCAGAACATAGAATATAAATGGCTCGACATCGTAATAAAGTGTTTTAGAGTTTAGAAAAAGCTTTGCCAACAAACACAAGTTTTGGCAGTAGATGACGTTTTCACGGCCATCGATTTCCCATATCGAGATTTTTTTATCTCGGTAAATTTCATTGCCAGGCGGATGGCGTAAAGAGCATTTAAGTTGATGACGATGGAAAACATATCTCGATTTCATATACTTCAAGCAGTATTCACAAATGTAGAGGATCTTATTTTTATTGAATTCTTCAGGGTATGGTGCGGTATACCATGTCTTAATTTCATGGTCACGCAGATGAATATATTCGATCCTAGCGGCCTCTCTTTTGGTCTTATACTTTTTTGAATGTTGAAGTTCCCGGTCCTCTGCCTCGGTAAAAGCCAAAAGAAGATTACCGTTGTAATAAGAGGCGGGACTGGCATTGTACAGTAGAGCCTGGAAAAACTCACGGTCCTTTATGGACGGGGTAGTATTTTGCGTGGTGAAGTCTTTTTTGTCGGCGATGGCGCAGCGATATGGCATGGAGCAATCATTTTCAATCTTGTTGAAAAGGGTCTGTGACTCGTGAACGTCAAAGTCCACCTCGTACCTGTCGGGGTCGACGCTTGAATTGGAAATAAGATTCTCGAAGCTCAGAAATTTTGTCGGATTATAACGTATTTTGACGACATGCTTTTTGTAAGTTCCTCGAAACGGATCTACCTTTGGAAATTCTACGTTTGGACTAAGAGCATTGGCAACTTCTGCTTCTCGCGGAAGTGACCAGGCAGTGGCAGTGACAGTGGCAGTGGCAGTTGCAGTGGCACTAGATGCAGTTTGTGGAGCCACTTTAGGTGGCGGTCTAGGAACGCTTCGTGGTACGCTTAGTGGTACGCTTCGTGCTGTTTCGTTTTCCACAGGAACACCGACCCGTGCCTTCTTTGGCATCGGGCCATTGTCGTACGCATGTTTGGCCCTGGTCTGACGACTGAAATTGTCAGGATCTTTAGCTATTTCGTTCGCGATCGATGCATGTATGTTATCACTTAGCTCGATGTTCCTCAGAAGACGCAGGTGTCGTTGTGCGTGTGCATCGGCGGGATTCATGACACTGATCGTGTTTAGAACCTCAAACGTCCAGTCCTGAGGCCTCGAAAGCCGGGAATGATGCTATATGGGTCAATTGAGCCGTGAGAGGACGGGATGTGAACGATTGAAGCGCTAGAAGCGACGGTGAACTCTGATTTTGGCTTCTTTCGAAGCAAAACAATGGATATTTATATTTTATATGTATCAATCATCTTGTCATTTGGCTAAATAAGCTGAAATGAATAAATCAAAAATAAATAAATAATTTAAAATAACATAAAGAAAATAAAAAATTTGGGATCATCACGTGCTTGACATTTTTTGCACCGGACTTGTGATAATAACGCGCAAACCAGGCGTTATACACTCATGGTACTTATGAACCACGCTATTGAACTCGTTTATTTTAGCACGATACCCATCCCTTTCTTTACCGTTATTTCGTATTTCGAAATTCTATAATTTTGATGTCATTAGAAGTTCAATTTATGACACATTAGTAGAAAGTGATATTCTTCGCTCAAAGCTTCGTTGAAATCCTTCGAAACAGCTGCGGCTGAAGGGAATCTTGATGCAGCGTTAATTTAACGTCACTTGGGACAGAGCCCCTTTCAACATTCACTGCCAAAAACAAAATCAGAAAAAAAAAAGATTCCATAGACCGCGCGGAATTCTTTCTACATATTTCGGAAAATATGGAGACGATGACAGTCAATTGCCTTCCGAGTGCCTAGTATTAAAGAGCTTTCAATTTTGAGACAGTGAATCTGATCAAAAAGGCCCAAAAAATATATATAATCTGACATCGACCGATGCTAACAGTAAAATCCTGAAATCAGTCTAATATGTTTAAAATTTAAATAAATCTCCTCAGCCTGACTTTGCTGGACCCTATTATAAGCGCGAATCAAAAGTTCGAGCGTCGTTTTATTTTGAAGTTCATAAATAAAATTATTCCCTTTTTAATTTCTTGACGAGACGTCCTCACCAGCACTCTGTTGCTAGAGGAATCAAGACAAAAAATATTGAATTGAATAAACCAGTCTAAGAGATTACACGGACGCGACACTTTCCTCTCTCTCTCTCTCTCTCTCTCAGACCTTGGCAAAATTGTCATAATGATGATCCAAGTCCCGTTATTAGTGCTATGAAAGGTTCTCAAAAAATCCCATTAAGAGCCTGATGCGCGCAACAGTTGAAGAATCCATTACTGATCAAGCCGCCTGATCCTAGCTCCCCCATTTTGGCCATGAGCTGTTCGCATTTGAATCAGGCGTTTAGAAATGAAAAGACCCGGGATGGAATTTTAAAAACCTACAACATGATCCGATACATCATCGAGCACAGTACATTCCAAAATCGTCATTTACAATCGATGAGATGCTCTGAATGTCATGAAATTAATCATGGATCAACGTTCATGTGTTTACAGTGTGGTTTTTGTGGTTGCTGGAATTCTGAGCATTTTGTCATGCATAGCAAGAAAGCTGGACACATCTTTGGCGTGAATTCCAGCAACGGACTTTTGTTCTGTTTCAAATGCATGGATTTTGTGAGTGGGAACGAAATGCTAACTAACTCCATGCTTATAAAATACTGGGACGACGTCTCGGTCAAGAGTTCGTTGCCCACGTCACGCGGTAGAGATGGTTTGTGTGGCCTGGTCAACATGGGATCAACCTGTTTCATGAGCAGCATTATACAGACGCTGGTTCACAACCCTTACGTGCTAAAGTACAGCTTGGACCAGCATCACTTTGCACATTGTGATATCGATGACAGTTCATCCTGCTTTTCTTGTGCCTTGGATAGCGTTGTTGCTGATTTTTACGGCCCTTCCAGCCATAATTTTCCGTCGCAACAAAAAGGCTTCGTCGATCTGCTTCTATGCGCTTGGAAGGTCAACAAGAACTTGGCGGGTTACTCTCAACAGGATGCTCATGAGTTCTTACAGTTCTTTCTAAACCAACTGCACTCGGATTATGTCAGACTTACCAAAAGCCCCACGACAAAAGCAGAAGCCTGCAAATGCATTGCCCATTCAGCATTCCAAGGCACCTTAAGAAGTACAATCATTTGTACTGACTGCCACGACGGGAGCAACATCAAGTTTGACCCCATGATGGATTTGTCTTTGGATATCAACAACAAGACTACTTTGATAGAATGTTTGCAAAGCTTTCATGAGGGCGAAGAACTAACAGACTTTAATCATAACTGCCGCAACTGTGGATCCACCCGAAATCCTTTCAAGCAAATGACGATTGCTAAGCTACCACCAGTGCTAGTCTTACAGTTGAAGCGGTTCGAGCATCGCATGACAGGTACCAGCGTGAAGCTCAATGACTTCGTGGAGTTTCCGGCATATCTCAACATGGCACCCTTCTGTCATAATGATGGGTCTAAACCTATTCCAGACTTTGTTTACGAACTAGTGGCCGTGATCTCTCATGAAGGCTCTGTAAATCAAGGTCACTACACAAGTATGTGCAAAATCCCTGGAGGGCAATGGTTCCGTTTCAATGACTCAATGGTGATAAGTATCTCAGAGGAGGATGTGCTGCGCCAACAAGCATACTTAATTTTTTACGTCATTCGCTAGATCGGATAACCGAAAGAGCGTCACACAACATCTGCATTTAAACTCATTCATTAATATCTATCATCATGCAAAGGCTAACTTCAAAGCTTCTTTTGTTTTACGTAAAGAACTAGTCACATTTCACATTGTTCGCTAGTCGAAGAAATCCTCATCTTCACTGCTACTTCCAACACCAAGATTAAACTTACCTCTTATGCCGGATTTGATACCTTTCTTAGCGTAATGCGTGAATCTCTCTTCTCTTGCCTCTTCGTCATCTAGGTTCATCACCAATCGATCATCTTTTTCGTCGACAGCTCCCACTTTCACCATCAATTTTTCCAGGTCATCCAATCGAGTGTCGTTGCCACCGAGCTCGAGAAGTGTTACCAAGTTTCTAAGAACCTCTCCACGATAATACACGATCAATGTCGGGCAATTATTTTCGGGATAATTCTCGATCGCCCTGTTGGCAGGAATATCCACAAACTTCACCTGTGGGAATTTCACAGCAGCCTGATTGAAAATGTCAGCCAGCAGTCTACTTTGCAGCTTACTGCTGAGGGACATGTGTACAAAGACAAAAACTCCACCATTTTCCTCACCCTTGGCGCCCATGCTGCATTCTGTGATTTCCTTATTATACTCAGGCTTATTGACATGAAACACCTGGCCAAATTTGGCCTTTTCCTGTGATTTTTTAATTTCGGCCATTCTTTGCCTCTTATAGAGTTCTAAAAAATCCTCGTCCTCATCGTCCTCTAGCTCTTCAATATCTGAGAGATCTTTTCCTTCTAGACGATTCTCCTGCTGTTTGAGTAGAGCTTCTTCAAGCGCCTCTTCAAGCTGTGCTGTTGGCGATGGTGCACGCTGGGGAATAACGCCGTGCGCCCTCAGAATGTCGTTCCATTCTGTGTCTTCCGTTTCATCAACATCAACTTTCACCAGTGGTTCGTTTTGCATGTCGAAAAATTGGTTTGTGAGCTACGTAGTGGTCTGGTTTGTCCGTGAACGATTTCCCACAACTCTTGAAGCTCTTGCTTGGTCTATATTAGATCTTAACATTACTCTGACTTCAGAAGAGATCGTAGAGAGCGATTTGGTCGACCAACATCAGAGAATGCCATCATCACCATCATCCTCCTCTCTTGCTGGCGAGCAGACTGCTCAGCACGTCTGTTTTGGGGGTTCGGCCTCCTTTGGTATTTGTTTTGGCCCGACGCTTTCTTGTGGTGGAAGTCTTGTGACCAGAACCTCCCTCTGTAACTGGAGGCTCCATGGTATCAACATCTCGTCTTCCACTTTGCGTCGTTGGTTCAGGCTCGTCGTCAATCTCAATTGGTGAGATATCCCTATCACTTTCATCCGACTCAATAATCTCGGCACTCAAACCAGAAGGACCATTACGCTTCTGAGTCCTGTGCTTTACGGTATTCCTCATCCTAGATTTTGAAGTGCGGCCATTGGTGCCCGACGAATCTACCTCCACATCTCGCCCGGTAATTCCACTACCCCACGACTGCGTAGCAAATGAAGCAGCGGCATTTTCCTGTTCTCTAAACGCTTGAGGATTGGAATTCAGACTATTAGCGGATCGTACGTCTTTAACGAGCTTTTTGAGATCGTGGATGTCGTCGACATTTCCCAATTGCTGATTTGTAATAAGCAATTTGACTTCATTGTCAATCTCTCGGTCAATATAGTCTTTCAGTGCATTTTTCTCATCCTTCTCCACAAAGCGACCGATAGCTTCATTGAGACCAAGTTCCGGAAGTAAAGACAAATTCATGGACTGGAGTAAATTCTGCACCATAGCCTGAACACCTACATCACCATCTCTGTTGCCCGTCAACGAGTCGATATCCATGCGATCTTGCGCCTTCTTCGCAGTTTGCTTCTTTTTCTTGTAAAGCTGAATTACGTTGTTGGTATTGGCGACTGTACCTACGAATCGGTTACTAAACCGTCTGGCGTTTTCGACCTGGTAATCCAGTCCTTGCTCGGATTTGGCGCTATAATCCACACGAAGCCTAATCAGTGGCAGGTCTGAGGTAGGAATTATCTGCTCCAACCCTTCTGCATTTTTTTGGGCCTTTTCGCCCAGAGCTTCATTAATCATGTCTTGCACTTCCTGCTGGAGCAACTTCGTGATTGAATCGCGGTCGTGTGGCTTCAAAGCCGATATACTCTTAAGCGATACATCTCTCATAATGAATCGCCGCGAAGTTTTGAGTGGTATTCCAGTCAGTTGCGGTTGCTTTCCGTTCTGTATCTCCAGAATGAAAACCTGTTTCTCCTTTGACTCTGCGTCGCACAGCGAGGTGGCTACCGAGGAGCCTGGTTGTAGAACGTCAAAGCCTTTAGTAGAGTTGTGCATCAAATGGGGAATGCACTCGTGCTCGTGCCCCCAAACCACGAGATCTAGAAAATCTGGCAGAAACTGCTCGGGCAAGAAAGCAGTGTTTGTGTGTCCTGTGTGATTCTGGTGCACGCACATGATACTGAACCATTCCCCGTCTCTTACGGCAGGAACATTGAATTTGACTTTTCCCTCTTTGAACGTCCGAAACAACCTCTCGTCGCGCACCGAAGCTAGGCCATACAGGGCCAGCTTGGTATTACCTTTTTGAAACAGTAGTGGCGTCACCTCAATGTTATCGCTCTCCATAACTTTCCCGAAGTGATTGACTAGTCCACTGATTTGGAGGATATCCATGGGACTGAGCAAGGCGTCCCCGGACGCATCATCGTGATTGCCGGAAATACCGAACACAGGGATCGAAACATTCATATTGGGATCTTCGTAATTAACGTCGGTGAACTCGCCATACTTGAACACCGTGGATGGGTCACTCAACAGTTCCAATTCGCACGGCTTGTCGCCCATGCAATTTAGACGCAGACACTTCATGACGTGATAGAGGGCCTTTTTAGAAGGTTTGTTGGCGTGAAAGAGATCTCCGCCCTGCAGTACCATGTCAACATTCTTCTCGCGTGCTACAGACATGATTTCGGCAAACGTTTTCCAAGAGTCATCGCCCGTCATAGGATCGTTCTCATTGTAACCAACATGATTGTCTGAGGTGACCAAAATTCGTATAGTATCGGGGTCGGGGTACTCTAGCATCGTGCACAGATCCGTTGGCAACTAAATAGAGCCCAGTAGCCGAATATTTAGGACTGAATCGGCGAATATTGCGATCATGAACAGTAACGGCACTCTGAATCTTTTTTTTTTGGTGTAAGATATTGTATATTGGAAAGAAGTATATCTCGGTTACAATTTAAACTTTACTTGAAACGTTTGACAAGCGAGACTTGTGATACAAAAGCCCAACCCCAGCTCTTCATATAATTATTCAATGACCAAGGACATCCCCTTCTACACCACCAACGAGGACAAGAGAAGACTGCGTATTTTTCTGATCAGACACGGTCAAACCGCGGAAAATGCTAAAAAGATCCTTCAGGGCCATCTCGATACCGACTTGAATGAGACAGGCATCGAGCAAGCGCAGAAATTGGGTCAGTACCTGTCGAAAAATAGAGATATCAAGTTCGATCGAGTCTTCAGCAGCGACCTGAAACGGTGCCAGCAAACCTCTGCTCATGTCCTGAGTGAGTATCCCGAATCAGAGAGACCAGATGTGATTTTGAAGTACGGGCTAAGGGAGCGCTCTATGGGTGAAATCCAGGGCATGTTTTTGAGCGACGCGGAGAAATACGCTGAGAAGCACGGTAAGGCCTCGTTCCGCGATTTTGGCGAGACACCGGAGGACTTCGAGCGCAGGCTAACGCAAACGGTTTCGGATATTGCTCAAAACTGCACGGAAATGCAAAACATCGCTCTTGTCAGTCATGGGGGCTCGATCAGACAGCTTTTGAAGTGGTTCAACTACACTGAGCACGACATGCACCGAATCATCGTGTTCAACACGTCCTGCACTATTATAGACTACCTTAAAGACGATGCCAAATTCGAGGTGAAGAGGGTTGGAAATACGCAACATTTGGGTGATGGAGAATTCATTGTCAGTGACTTGCGCCTGCGCTAAGAGTGATAGAGAAACAACCCACTTTTGAGCTCGAAAGTCACAATCAGATAGAAAAACTATACATACGCATAAAGACACAGTCACATAACTAGAAGGAAGGCCTGGCATTTACGGGCCTGGTAGCTTTGGCTTCTGAAGCTATCTCTCGTCCCGAACATGTCACATGCGCGCGACAACGTAATGTAATATTTTTTTTTGTCGATCTTAAGGGAACCTATATATACCTGTAACTGACCTTTGCGCCAGAGTAACACCTGTCCAGTTGCAAACCAGTCTTCAATCTGCAATGTGGAAGGCAATCACAAGTGCGTTCAACGGTGAACAGGGTAGTCCAAACAATGGCAACGGCCAAAACTACGATTTTGAGCAGGTGAAATCCTTCGTGGACTCGAAAGACAAGTCAAAAACAATCATCGATGTAAGGGAAGCCGACGAGTACAATGGTGGTCATATTCCAGGAGCTTTCAACATGCCCTTCAGAAGCCAGCCATTGGCGCTGCACCAGCCAGCGGGTGAATTCGAGGAGGATTTCGGGTTTCAAAAGCCCGACAAAAGCCAAGAGCTCGTTCTTCTGTGTGCTTCTGGCTTCAGGGCCGGCAAGGCCAGAGAAGAAGCTCTCAGAGCCAATTATGAGGCGGTCAGCGTGTATCCAGGGTCGATGAACGATTGGATCGCGAAGGGCGGGCCAACAGTCTGAGCTCTTTGTTGAGGTTGTTGAAGTGCCAATTTTTATATCCTCATCTAACTCTTGTACCTTCGACTTTCGTGCCAGTCAAAAAGCGTTACTGGTGGTAATCTTGAGACACTGGTGGACGCCTAACAAATGCTGGACAAGAATGAACTTCGGCTCTTCTTTTAAGTAGCAAAAGCTGCCGTTAACGATCTTACTGTGTATTTTTCAGTTCTAATCGAGAAGTATGGTGTCCTCAAAGCATTCTTCAACCTGTCGCTCGGACTTTTTCACGAAGCTGAACCAAGAAAGCTTGTGTAAGCTCATCTTTATAGCTTGTCTCTACCGTCACGTGACTTGGTATGTCGCTCAGACGTTGCAATCTAAATCAACCTAACGAGCCCAGCCTTCATTTGAGACTACTTATAAGATAACTTGTTACACACTGGTAGTTAGCCTTAATAGAAGAATGCTGAGGTCTGGATTGAGCGCATCAAGATGCGCTGTATTTTCAAGAAATTTAAGCACCAAGGTGCCCCGAGTGTACCAGTTTGAGGATATAAAATCACTTATTCGCAACCCAGATCACCACAAAGTGTTGGTGGACGTAAGAGAGCCTGGTGAGCTTCAGCAATATGCGATGCCAACTGCGATTAACCTGCCTCTTAAATCAGCGCCTGGTGCTTTAAGTCTCACTTCAGAAGACTTTCAAGAGGTTTTCGGTCTGCCCAAGCCACCTACCGACCGCGAGCTCATTTTCTTTTGCGCTGCGGGCATCAGGGCGAAAGCAGCAGAGGAACTGGCTCAGTCCTACGGGTACAATAACACTGGCATCTACCCAGGGTCTATCAACGAATGGCTGGCAAAGGGCGGCGACAAAGTGAAGCCCGAAACCTAGAGACGCACCTTTACATCCTCAGGCCACTGTGGTTTGAAAACTCCTGTAAATAGTAATTGTCTATACTGCTCTACGTAACGACCGTTTTTTTGACGTCCTAACGGTCATGAAACGAAAACTGTTTGAATTCTTTACCCCGTCTCTTCTTGCGCTTTCTGTCCATGACCTTCTCCCTCTGTTTGGCCTTCATGTGGTCAAACTTATACTTCTGTATCACTTTGCGCTTTTCGGACTTCTTTAGATGAAACTTGCTCTTGTTGTCTTTGTTGATTCCGGCCTCATAATCTTTCAGGATTTTACGGTCCAAATCACGATTTTGAAGGGTTTGAAGCTTTGACTTCATACTCCTCAGGTTTTGCTCCATCTCGTCTCTTTCATGGTCGCTAATCTTGTTCAAAAACTTGCGATCTTTGAGCAAGGAGCTTAGCTCATCAATCTCGTTCTGTCTATATTCGTCCAGAAATTTGTACCGCTTTCTTATACTTTCGTAGTCTTCTGACTTCCCTAGTGATTTATCGAAGCGGATATCTTGGTACAGATTCTCGTTTTGGCTTTTAGGTATCTCTAAACCTGGGATCTGTCTGATTCTTGGTGCTCTTTTCTTGGCTGATTGCTCCGTTGGGGCATGGCTCTTCTTTTTCTTTGACTTACCGCCAGCTCTTGATCTTTTGGATTCTGTCCCTTTGTCCTCTTCTTCAAACAGACCCTCGTCGTCCGAAGAAGCTTCTGAATCGTCTCCAAACGATTCCTCAGCGAAAGTTCTTATCTTTTCTGTTTCAATCTGGCGTGTGCTTAAGCGCGGGAATTTTGACTCACTCGCACCATTCTTTTTGATTGCACTTTTTGCCTCTTGCTCAATTTGGGCCTCTGCTTTTCTTAGAGCATCAAACGAGAGGGTAGAGAGCCCGTCATCGCTGTCGTCCTCTTCCTCATCATCACCCTGTATATTTCGTCTAGACAGAGTCTTCAGCAATTCATCATCCTCGGATTCATCATCGGATTGGTACCCAGGCTTTTTATTTTTGAAGTAGTACGACATATGGGCAGTCGGAAGTAATAAGAACTGGTATTCTACGTGCCCCTTGCCAGTAACTCCATAGTTTTAACAATACATCTCTTTTCTACACCATTTGCCTACCTCATCGCTGACATTTTTCATCAATCGGGTCGTTTTTTTCCAAACTGACACACATGTATGATTGATCGATGAGAGCTTGTTAGTCACATTGGTATAGAAGCAGCAAGCTAATAATTGCCGCCATCTAAAACCTTCTTGGTTATTCGTTAGAAACACTTCGTACCGTTGATTTGCTGTGTTTATTAAATATATAAAAGAGTCTACCTTTTTTGGCCCGATGTTAAAAACCCTATTGAGATTCTATGCTTTCCTTCAGGCTCAGTTTACGGGAGTGCCTATCAAAATGATTGCCCAGTTCCTTGAAGTTTAAAGTGCTAGGGTCGGCTTCCATCTCAGTCTTGTCTTTGAACGTAATTTTTACGATCGGCTTTTTAGTTGATTCTGCTGTAAGGAGCTCATTTTGAATGGTAACACCGCTGATGCGCTGAGCAGGTGGTATAGCGCTTAGAAGCAAACGAGCACATTTTGCTGAAGAGATAATGGTTAGTACTTTTTGTTTTGAAGTTCATCATGCAGACTCAAGAGTTCTCATACCTTCTTTTCCAAATGGATTAAATCTGACAACAACTTTCGTGAAGTACTTTGTTAGCATGATGCCAAAACTAGAAGTTGATGGTTTTGAATCGAGTTGACGAACTGATCTTCGATCTCTTGTGAGCTTTCCCTGCTACTGAGAGTAACTAAATCACATTTCTACTGGATCGGTGATGTTCAGAAAATTGGCCGGGACAGGTAACTTTTAACGATTTTGTTCGAGATCTGACAGCATTACTTGTATAAATACTTTATGTTTGGAACGGTCGGTTTTCCGCCAGAAGCACTCAATGATTTTGCTATGTCTATTTACAGCTCATCGTGAGGATTTTCCTCTGCAGCTTTGTTCTTCTTGTTCTTGTTACGAACTTTTTTAGAGTTAGATTTAACACCATCCAAATATGCCTGACGTTTGGTGAAGGGACCCTCACGCGATTGAGCCCATTGCGATAAAAATCTCCAGAGGCTAGCTTTATCGAAAGAGGAACCGTCATAAACGTAGTGTTTTTGAGTCTCGGTGTCAAAGATCACCAACTTACTGAGTTCAGATTCAACTTGCGTCTCTTGTAATGTCAAGAACAAGTCCTTCGTGTCATTGGGCAGCTTCTTCAAATGATCTGCTGAGTCTCGTAGTTTCGAATTGAGGAACACATGAAAGTCTATGGCGCCCAACCAATCGAGCGCCAAACTCTTGTACATCGGAGAGATTTTCTCTTTCTGAGAGAAAAGAACAGCTTTCAATCTAGAGTTGGGCTTCGCACTAAGTGTGTCCACTAGCTTTTCCAGTCTTTGGATTCTGTTCACGTAGTTCTTGACGCGGGATACGCAGAAATCGACTAAAGGCCTGAGCTTTCTTTCGCCTTTGTATACCTCACTCGCATGGTTTCCCAAACGAATTCTGTCTTCTGGACTTTTGTTGAGATCAAATTTTGGTGGACGGAACACCATCAGCGTTGGAAACCCTTCAACACGGTACTGGGCGCACAATTGTTTGTTTTTGGCCTCATCGCAATTCACGCTTGCGACTTGTACAATGCCATCTAGATTTTTTGCAGCTTTTTTCATGATTCCCTTCAGCTGTTGGCAATAGCCGCACCAAGGGGCATAGAACTCTACCAGTGTGGTGTAGTTTGTCCGATGGACTACTTTGTCAAATGTCTTAGGCGTCAACTCTGCAATATCGGCATTTTTGTCGTAAAAGTTTTGAGCAGTGACATATTGAAGACCCACAAGTGCCAAACACAATTGCAGGAATTTCATGGCGGCTATGAGCACTATCCAGTCCGTTGATTTGACAATGATCGCATTTCATGTTGAAGATTCGGATGCTGCGAAATAACAGGCTTTGATTTTGAAGGCCATGTGATGAAATCAAAGACTTGAAGTGCACCCAGCCGCTTCTCGAGTATTTGTACTCATGATTTAACTACTGGGTCTTATAGAATAAAATTAAGGGGAGTCCCGGTGATGGAATGTAGTTCCAGTCCCATCAACCCAGGTTATCACGAACAGTATGCCGGAAGAATCAAGCTCGCCCTTCGCTTTTTATGCATTCTATCAGCTCTACGCTTACTATCACCCCGGCTGGGAACCCAAGCTGTCTTTTGATGCAGTAAAGCAGCTATATCCCAACTATGTGACTGGAAGCAAGAGAACAAATGAAAAGACATCACTTTTCATTACCTGGAAAAAGAAAACGAGCAAGAGCGATGACTACGATCTCCGAGGATGTATCGGAACGTTCGCCAAACTCCCCTTATTGAAGGGAATCGAGAAATACTCATTGATTGCTGCTCTGCAAGATCATAGATTCGCACCAATCGGCGAAAAAGAACTGCCTAAGCTCAAGTGTAGTTGCAACATCTTACACAGCTTTCAAACAATATATGGTAATAAAAAGGGCGACATTTTCGACTGGGATTTAGGGGTTCATGGCATTGAACTCACCTTTAAAGACCCTAGCACCAATCGAATCATGAGCGCAACGTTTTTGCCAGAAGTGATGCTCGAACAAGGATGGAACAAGGAGGCCACTTTCACAAACCTCATAGAAAAAGCGGGATGCTTGAAGGATGTAGATTTTCTCATGGGCCATTACGAAGAGTATTTTATCGAGGTTGTTCGTTACAAGGGCGACAAAAGTCAAATACGGTTTGATGAATTCCAACGCCTGCTTAAAGCTCACAAAAATGTAGAGTGATACACTGGAAGTTTCGTTTAAAGTTTTCTCATGCAAGTTTAGTAGGGCGAAACGTAAACGTTTATAATACGGCGTATTCTCTCAAAGCGGCATGCTCATGATCTCATCATCCTCTCGTCACTCAAGTCGAGGACCGTTACAACAGTAGATTCATACCTTGAAATACCAGAGGTTGAAGTCATGTATAATGACGATAGAAACGGCAACGTTGAGCTCCATTTTCACCAGCGATAGCGGCTAATACAGGTTATTTTACCCACTGTAACACCGTATTGGAGAGAACAGAAAAGCTGCCTGCGTAGGTATCTTCTCAACTAAAAGAAGGACAACCGTCAACACATATACCTTAGGCGCTGTGCGGTAGGTTAACTTCATCTTTTCGATGTCAAGTAAGAGCTTCAACTACTTTAAAAAAAGGTAATGCAAGAATTACCATCAAAAAATACGACAACTGCAGGATTCGAACCTGCGCGGGCAGAGCCCAAAAGATTTCTAATCTTACGCCTTAACCACTCGGCCAAATTGCCATTAATAAAGAAATCAGGCGTCGCTTCCAAACTCATACTTTAAATGATTTGTCAGTTTGGAATCTTCAGGCTATGTCCATGACACTGGTACAGTGATTTTGAGCGCAACATACAGGTATACCGAGCATCGTTTTCTCAGGTACCTGTTTCATAACGGACTTGAAGTGAATAAGTTTCGGGATTATTGTTTCATTTATTGTTTGTGAGCCGAAATGTGTCATTTCAACTGATGAAACAACAAGGAGCTGACTACAACGAAAAACAATGCCATGTGCATTGTCACACCTACTGCGAAATACCACCAATAACAAAAGTCCTAACTACATAATCATTACTTAGCCAAAACCTGCCCACTCAATAGAAAAGAATGAGACGTCACTCTCGATATCTTCCTGCTCTTCGTGCGCCCTCACACCGGCCACAACCCATAGTTTCTTCACACCTGTTCCGAGCCGGCCTCCGCTAACCACTTGCAGTAGATTCAATGGATCACGTCTGTAGTCTAGTGCCGGTTGCACAGTCATGTGAGAGTGGTATCTGAGCGGATCCCCTGGGTAAGCTATAAATCTACCACCAAACCTGGCACCTGGCGACAGAAAATAATTTTGCTGCTTCAGCGCCTTGTAAACACGATAGTCGCCGGGGTTTGTGCAACCGTCTTTAAGCTTATGCCATAGTTTTTGTTGCTGCGCTGGGTCATTGCCCTGGCGCTTCGCTTCATTTGAGATTAGGCTCGAGGCACTCGGTATCTCCACGAACAGCGACGACTCCAACAAAGCCGGAGTTTCCTTACCTTCGGCATTGGACAAACCCAATCTTGCCATTTTTTCCGCATGCTGCTGTCGTTTGAACACACGTTGCTCGGCGAAAGAGTGTTCCAGCTCTTGACGCGCGCGCTCCATCTCACTTGAAGTCACGGTTTCGGCAGCAGTGGTGACACTTTCGGGCCCGCTAATGAAGAAAGCCACTCCAGTTTCTGTCAGCCACAGCGCTTCCTCGACCATCAATCGCAGCGGCACGCTAAGGAAGCCATTTTGTTGCGCAGCAGAGGGCAAAGTCCCGCTTAAGATTCCAGCAACCCCGATATCGCGAAGTTTCTTGATGTCGTTGATGTCGAAGACAAGCGGAATTCTGCCATTCCCGCTGCCCACTAAGCTGATACCTATCTTATTAGACCCGTCCATCTACAGCGACTCATTGTAGCGAAGTGTTAACTGTTGTTAACTCGTCGCGATTTTTCATGCTTCACTAACGCATCTCATCGCATTGTTCAGATCATGATTCACAAAACACGTGATCCCAGGAAATACTCGCGTATATAGTGATCTATATTTAACGAATTGTTGTGATTTTATGTTTTGTCTTGTTAGCCGCTGAACCTTGAAGTAGAATCCACTTCCTGACAAGAAGCCAATCGTTGTCAGATGTGTGCAATCAGTAGACACATCAAGAAGAGCTTATCCAGAAGAGCTCGAGAGTCCACAGCAGTCTAGCGTTTCCTTCGACTTGTTTGTTGTCCTCCAACTTGTTGGAACATTGATGATTAGCCCTGTTTACCGATAAAACGCGAACCACAAGAAGAAATCACGGCCGCTTTAAGATCAATATCGTCTACACATGAAGCTCGGACCAACGATATTGCTAGTGAGTTATGCAATGCTCTTTTCAAAAGAGCCAGAAGACGTGTGTTTTCGCTAGGAAATCATTGAGCGTCGAGAGATCGATGGCCTGGAATCAAGACAACGAAAGACACGCAAGAGCCAGACCCCATACGTTCTTCTTACTCGGCCAGCCACCCACTCGGTCAGCAACTCACCCAAAAGAGCTTAAACGCCGTGCTGCCAGCCGTTACGGCAAAAACTAAGCACCGCTGCAGGAGCTACACAATGCCAGGCTAAGCTATAAGCACTTAAATGCAACAATCCCGATTTTGATGGATCCACATGTTTGTTTTTTTGATTTTGACGAGCTGGTGATTCGCACACCAAACAATAAGCGTCAGAAATGGACAGTCGACGACGACGCAGGGTTCATTTACTACACGACGCAACAGTAACTTGGTCTAGCGCTCCATGCAAGTGCAGCGGTCTCACTGGCGCCAACTCAGCCCGTTGTTCGAATCACCTGGCGATCCCGTTCAACGAAAAATGGCTCTTTGTTACCTTCAAGGCACGAGATCAATGCGCTTTGAACTGCTTATTGTCGTCGGAAATGTCGAGGCTTAGCACGGATAGAGCTACACGCGTAGCAACAACGTTACGGTGCATAGGACCGGCGGGAAAGCTTTGTATCTGCTTATCTCCAGCCTCAGGGTTTTTCATCACCTAGGGAAGCCATTTACCTTGGTTAGGAAAAAAGATTCATATGAATAACGACATCATGGCGAAGAGATTAACACTTTGAAGTTTACTCGTTCTCCCACTTGTTCACTAAATTCAATCCGTATCCGAGTTTACCTAGCCGTTCGTGAGGCAAGGAATTAGATTGGCCAGCTCTCGTACGTTAGACGAGACTTTAAACTACACTGTGATTTTCGCTCTGGAGGCTTATATTAACAGGCTTATACTAATAAGCATAGAGCAAATTGGAAATTCAAGTGACGATCCACAGCGAACAAAAACAGTCCAAACGGGGCTAATTGAAGACGAAGCAGGGCTATTCGAGGCTTTTAAATTCGAAATCAATCGAGAGCTGGACCAGGAAAGGCAAATAAAAGAGAACTAGAAGACTTTCTCGTCCGGTTCCCCGGCGCATAATTTTAAGCAATCTCTGTCGTTTGCTTCTCCTCTTACCATGACCTCCGTCGGGCATGAACCAAATGACTTTCGACTAAGGCCGGAGCAGCTGTCTGAGCTGCACGACCCCAAGTCTCTCGCAGCGTTCGACAGCTTGTTCGACAACGAACCGGCTAACCTATACAAGTATCTGCACACAGACCCCGTTAAGGGCTTGGGTGTGCAAGACGAAGACATACCGCAAACGTCTCGATACAAGATGTACGGCGATAATCGCATTCCTCAGCGCAAGGCCAAGCCTTTCTGGAGACTGGCATGGGAAGCGTTTCACGACCAGACCATGATTTTGCTGACGGTAGCAGCAGTTGTATCATTCGCCCTGGGCCTCTATGAAACATTGGGTCAGCCCGCAGAATACGACCATGAAGGCAAGAAAATCACCAAAGTCGACTGGGTGGAAGGAGTGGCCATCATGATTGCAGTCCTCGTAGTCATCTTGGTGGGTTCAGCTAACGACTATCAAAAAGAGCGTCAGTTTGCGCGCCTAAACGAAAAGAAAACCGACCGTGAGATCGTAGTGTTAAGAGGAGGTGAAGAACATCTTATTTCCATTCACGACCTGTTAGTTGGCGACGTGGTCACTTTGCAAACTGGTGAAGTGGTTCCGGCTGACTGTATTCTCATTGATGGAAGTTGTGCATGCGATGAATCGGCCCTGACTGGTGAGTCCGACACTATCAAGAAGGTAGGATTAGAAACAGCATTTAACAAATTCAAGCTGTTGTCTGAAAATGATGCTGGCATCGATATCGGCGGCCGCTTCAAAGGGGAAAGGGTTTTGGATCCAATGTTGATTTCGGGCTCCAAACTACTTTCGGGTTTAGGAAAAGCTGTGGTTACTTCGGTGGGTGAACATTCGATCAACGGAAGAACGTTAATGGCTTTAAAAGTCGAGCCCGAGTCGACTCCTCTTCAGGAAAGATTAGATGGTCTAGCAAACAACATATCCATTTATGGGTCTGTTGCTGCGCTTATTCTTTTCATCATTCTGTTTGGCAGATTTCTATCATACTTACCTGCGGGGAAGAAGTTACATGATTTGACTCCAGCCCAAAAGGGCTCTAAGTTTATGAATATTTTCATTACTGCCATCACTGTTATTGTTGTGGCAGTTCCTGAGGGTCTGCCTCTGGCTGTGACACTAGCTTTGGCGTTTGCCACGACTCGAATGACTAAAGATGGAAACCTCGTCAGAGTTTTGAGAGCCTGTGAAACAATGGGTTCGGCCACTGCCGTTTGCTCTGATAAAACGGGAACTTTGACTGAAAATCGAATGACAGTGGTGAAGGGATTTTTGGGCTTAACCTCTTTCGATGAAACCGAGTCTACTGATCCTTCCATGGAAGGATCAGACCTTGAAGACGTGCTCGCTAAAACTTGCGACCAAAAGCTACGGACTGACATTCTAACGAACATTGCTTTGAACTCGACCGCTTTTGAGAACAAACAGGACACAGGAGAGGCGGAATCCAATGAAAACCCTTTCCATAAATCTACAAAGTCAATTCTTCCTTGGAGCCGCAATAACAAGCGGAAGAAGAGTTCCAATGATGATCTCATCGATAATATAGACAAACTGCAAAGGGAGCCTTTTATTGGGTCTAAGACCGAGACCGCTTTACTTTCCTTCGCCAAGAAAAATCTGAGAATGAGTGATCTACACGGTTTAAGAGAAGATCCAAAGAGGTTGGGCGTTGAGAAAATTGTACAGGTAATACCTTTCGAAAGTTCCAGGAAATGGGGTGGTATAATAGTCAAATACAATGATGGAATCTATCGATTTTACGTCAAAGGTGCTGCAGAGCTTATCTTGAGAAGATGTCAACAAAGGACCCGATCCGACGGTTCTTCAGAAGTCCTCTCTACTGAAGCTCGAGAAGAAAGCGCTCAAACGATACAGCACCTAACTACAGGCGCCTTGAGGGCTATATCTCTTGCGCACCAAGATTTCCCAAACTGTCAAAGTTGGCCTCCTCAACACCTGAAAGATAGTGTGGACCCTAGTTCTGTTTCTCCGGAACTGATCTTCGGAGAGGAACAATCCCTTCCGAAATCAACTCCAAGCACACCTGGTACCGCCGTGTCCGCTTCAGAGAGTGGGCTGAGCTTGGACGCTATTGTCGGAATCCAAGATCCGCTCAGAGAGGGAGTCAAACAGTCCGTTGAACAATGTCAGAAAGCGGGTGTCACAGTCCGAATGGTTACGGGTGATAACATTTTGACTGCTACCGCTATCGCCAAGAATTGCAGCATTCTGTCACCAGAAAATGCTAAAGACCCCGAAAGTGCTATGGAAGGTCCTGTATTCCGAAAACTCTCTTCAAAGGAGCGCATTAGAATCCTGCCAAAACTCAGGGTTCTTGCGAGATCATCGCCAGAGGACAAACGGGTGCTTGTCGAAACTTTGAAGAAAATGGGAGACGTTGTCAGTGTTACTGGCGATGGTACCAATGACGCACCAGCTTTGAAACTAGCAGATATTGGATTTTCCATGGGTATTGCGGGCACTGAAGTCGCGAGAGAAGCGTCCGATATCATTTTAATGACTGACGATTTCTCGGCCATCGTAAACGCGATAAAATGGGGCAGATGTGTCTCCGCATCTATCAAGAAATTCATTCAATTTCAGCTCACAGTTAATATCACCGCAGTTACCTTGACATTCGTCTCAGCTCTTGCTTCAGCTGAAGAAAACTCTGTTTTGACCGCTGTGCAGTTGCTGTGGGTGAACTTAATTATGGACACACTAGCCGCACTCGCGTTGGCCACCGACAAGCCTGATGAGCACATTCTTGAACGGAAACCTAAAGGACGGGATGCAGTTTTGATCGCCGTGTCAACTTGGAAAATGATTTTAGGCCAGGCTGCTCTGCAGCTTACCGTGACATTTACGCTGCACTTTGCAGGTGGCAAGATATTCTTTCCGCATAAAAAAAGCCTGACAGGACACGAGCAGCAACAATTGAGTGCCATGACCTTTAACACATTTGTATGGTTGCAATTCTTCAAGCTTATCGTTACAAGGAAATTGGACGAGGCGGATGGTATCAAAAACGTACGCGACAGGGTGACCGCCTCAAACTTGAATTTCTTTCAGGATTTCCTTCGCAACTATTACTTTCTGGTAATCGCTCTTTTCATCGGAGGGTTCCAGGTTCTCATCATGTTTGTTGGGGGAGCCGCTTTCTCAATCGCAAGGCAAACGGGTGCAATGTGGGCCACGGCCATTATCTGTGGTCTGCTGGCTCTCCCAATGGGTGCATTGATTAGGATCATTCCTGATGAATGGGTTCTCAAAGTGTTCCCCGCTCGGTTAGTGAATGCTGTTCTCTACGTTCTTGGGTTCAAATTTTTAAGAAGATCCTCTAAGAAATCAGAGGACGAAGAGTCTTTGCTAGTTCAAGATGCAGACGCTACTCTTGTAAGTTCCACCGCTTTCGAAAGAGCTAAAAATGAAATGACCTTCGCCAAGGGCCACCGCGGGGACGAGGGAAGTCGGTTGAATCCCATCCATGCATTCAAGAAATGGAGACAGAGCAATTCATCAGCTGGATCCGACCTAGAGGACCGCTCGTACATTGCCTCCGTCACTATGGTGCCTACTCTAGTCGGTGGAGCAGTGGGCGGCTTTTCTCATATCTCCGCGAACGATGGCGACAGCTTAGAGAAGAAGTCCACATGAAGCACGCAGCAAAGCATTTCAAGATACATAGAACTCTGCATCACTCTCAAATGAACAGGGAGTATTAGTTCGAACATGTAATATTAAATATTCGCTTATACTAATATACCAGAAGTCAAAGGAATGCAGGATCCATATCCTTTTTATTCAAATAATGTTCAGCTTCCTCTCTGATGCGATTAACAAATGCATCGTAGGCGTTACTGAATTTGGTGAGGTGTTTGAAAGCCAGCCTGAGGTCATCGTACTTTTGGATTTTGTCTAGAAGTTCGCCATTTCGACTCGCTGATGATTCTTCTGCCAGAGATTTCCTGAATTCCGCGCTGACAAAATCTCCTAACACTTTCAAAGAGTCCTCGAAATCAGATAAAGACACAGTTTGAGGAATCTCATCATCTTCGATGCCTTCAAATGAAGCTACAATTATAGATCGCAGGTCGCTCAGACACGTCGATACTTGAAATAGCCTACATTTGACCAAACTCAGCTCCTGTAGTGCCTCTATCGTATTTGTGCTGTCCTCGCTTCTCGATTTTATCTCCTCCAGCTCGGTGTTGACGTTAGCTATTCCTTCCTTCAGGTCCTTGACAGACTTACTCAAGGTGTCCAAATAATACTGAAGTCTCGTGGTGCGCTCAATTTGTGTGTCAGTACTGGTGTAGTTGAGCAATTCTGTCGGTTTTTGAAGTCTTCGTATCTTAGACTCAAGTTGTCCGGTCAAACGATCTGTGTATAGATCCAGCCTTGACAGAAGAGACGAGGCCACAGGTTGTAGATCTTGTATTGGCATCTGGTCTGGCGATAATAGCAGATCTAGATATCCTAGAGGAGCGAATTGCTCGTCGAAAAACATTTCCAGTATCTCATCACCGTTAGACATAGTTGAAGCAGACATTGAGATTCTAATGTGAGTCTTGTCGCGGTCGTTGTCAGGTCAAGAGAAGGTTAGCTATCTGATGCTCTTTAACAAGCTTTGAGAAATGGTCACCAATAACGGACAACGCGATGGTCTTGAAAGATGCTCAGTAAACAGCACAGAAGCCCTCGGAACCCACTGAAATAGTCTCGGATGCTTCCTTGGAAGCTGCAAATGCTGAAATGCGATTTGTTCCAGATACTAAGTAGGTCGAGTCCTCGAACGGCCCAAGTCTCGGATTGATGTCGAAACAAACGGCAGAGCTCTGCTCAAACGACACGAATAGCTGGCCTTCTTGTACGTGAACAGCCGTTACTTCTGAATCGTTAGTCCCAGATAGGTGGTGAACGGCTTTTGATGGATTTCTTAGATCCCAGTTTGCAAGTATGCCGTTCGCGTAGCCCGCGTAGACTGAGTATGGATCTGATGGAGAGTCACTCAATGCCATTGCTCGACAGGAGCTCATGAACTGGTTGGAAGTCTCTAGCACACAATTCTTGGTGTAAATATCGTATTTGGAAATCACTCCAGAATCGTGTCCGGCCAGTACACTTTTTCCTGCAGTGCCAAATTCCTGCTGGTGGGATTCTGCCTCGTGTTGACCGGCACCTGAATCTTGCATGACCATTGTATTGATGGCGTCTGAAGGACTTGAATCTCTTGCGTATGTGTGAACCGTGTCTCCACTTGCGCACTCCCAAAGTTTCACGGTGCCATCGCTTGAGGATGACATTATGTTTCTGCCGCGATCGACTATAGCCGTGGCAGTAACTGGGCCCCTATGGCCTCGTAACGTGCGCGCGCAATGACCATCGGTAGCTGACCAGATTTTGAGCTGCATGTCAGCAGATCCACTGAGCACGACTTGACCACTGGGGAAAAATCGTACAGTGTTGACGTCGGCGTAGTGGCCTTGGACGGCGAGAACAAGACGCTGTCTGTCGTCGAATATTCCCAGTCGGCCAAAGGAGTCTCCTACTACGTATTTCGTGTTGCCACAGCTTTTGTAAGAATCAGCAGATGAAAAGTTCGGACCTAGACTTTCGGTGGATGTTTGAGTAAGGTCGTACTTTGGAGTCCTGAACTCACATCGTTTGCCGTCAAGACAAGCCGAAAAGGTTTGGTCACTCAACCTCTCAAACAAATTGCCTTCGCCAGCGTCAAAGTGGACGGCATTACCATTGAGAGTCACTTTTACGCGATACTCATCAACTTGATTTGCTGATGGCTCTACGTTGATGAAAAAAGTATCTTCGCTGTAGACGCCGCTTGAAACGTCCTTGATGCAATCCAAAAAGTCAGGCTGGATGTGAAAGCTCGCCATAGCCGTACAATTGATGCACCACTGGCTTTTATTTATTTTCGATCATAGGGCTAGCATCGGAAGATGGGAAGAGTTTCTTGTTTGTATTAACATACGAGTGCAACCAATTCGAAAACACCAACAGAAAGCACAGCGGAACTGACAGCTTGTGAATGCAAAGCTCTTTTAAGGGATTCGACGTTTCTACGCTCTACATATCCTTGTCTAACCTCGCTAATTTCCACTATCTAAAAGCGCTGTAAATCGTCAGAGTAAGTCTATTGGAAATCTCACAGAGCCAACTTACTATTGTAAAACCAAATTCAAAATGTCCATTGCTGACCAGGTTCCCTAAGCTACTCAAACCTACAGTTCTCTGTTGTTTAGCTGTTTGATTCTTAAACATTCTATAGTTTTTACGCGTTTCCATTCCATTGAGACGCGTAAATTATTGATCGCGATATATATACATTATATATATATATATATATATATAAGCATTGTAATTCAGTAAACCCACCTATATTTTCACCACCGTCCAACAAAGTCAAACAACGAAAAACGAAGGGTGTTAGCTCAAATTAACATCCAACCGTTCATGTCGAGTGTTCAGCTAAGCGAGGGCATCATCCGGTCCATCTTCACCGATGTTGAGAAATACCACAAGCCAGCCGGGGGCATCTTTCAATGTCATAGAACGCGTAAGAATGATCCCTCTGTCCAGACTAATAGAAAGAACCTTATTGTGATCTCAGATGGTGTCTACAGAGTGAAAGCTCTGTTAAGAAACGACGCGGTCCGAAAGGCACGCGATATGCAGTTGAATGTAGGGGACATATTTCGAATGACGCGTGGCGAACCTGCTATCGTGAAGGAGAAGAAAAAGTACGTGGTTCTCATCGACGACATCGAAGTCTTGGAGCAAGGTGCTGAAATTCGCGGCCCAGGATGTGATCTCATCGACGTATACTTGAGCGCCAACCCTGGGGAAGTGGTGTCATTGGATGAGTTTGCACAGCCACCGGCCCCAGCTCCAGCTGCTGTCCCCGAGCCAGGTCAACAGCAGAATGCACAACAACAATACCAAAATACCCCACAATACGCACCCCAGCAAGAGCAGTACAACGGCGGAAGGAGCGGTACTATCCAGCCTTCCTCTTCCCAAAAAAGTCGACCCATTTTTGCCATCGAGCAACTCTCTCCGTATCAGAATATGTGGACGATCAAGGCAAGAGTATCATTTAAAGGGGACATCAAGACATGGAGTAACCAGAAGGGCGAAGGAAAGCTATTCAACGTTAACCTGTTGGACACGTCAGGTGAAATAAGAGCTACTGCGTTCAACGATAATGCTGTCAAATACTACGAGGTGTTACAAGAGGGCAGAGTGTACTTTGTCTCTAAGGCCAGAATTCAGCCTTCCAAGCCTCAGTTTTCTAACCTGTCACACCCTTACGAACTGCAGCTGGACCGGGACACTGTCATTGAAGAGTGTTACGATGAAGTTGATGTACCAAAAATGAACTTCAGTTTCGTTAAAGTCAATGCAGTGGAGACAATGGAGCCCAGCTCAACTGTTGATGTGCTGGGAATCATTCAAACCGTCAACCCACCCTTCGAAATAACGTCAAAAGCCGGAAAGAGATTCGATCGTCGTGACATTGTGCTCGTCGATGACACTAACTATTCCGTCAATGTGGGATTGTGGGGAAAGCAGGCATTGGATTTTAATTTGCCTGAGGGCTCCGTTCTTGCCATAAAAGGTGCAAGAATTACCGATTTCAATGGTAAAGGAATGTCCATTGGCTTCAACAGCACTTTACATCCAAGCCCAGAAGTACCAGAGGCTTTTAATTTGAAAGGCTGGTACGATTCTGCTGGACGTGGTCAACAATTCCACTCTCTGAAGCAGGAGCCTTTCCCAGGTGGTGGCAACAAGGCCAAATTCATTGCAGATCGTATTACTATTGCCAAAGCGCAAGCTGAAAATCTAGGTATGAGCGAGAAAGGCGACTACTTTAACATCAGAGCTGCTGTCAACTTTTTGAAGGTCGACAATTTTGCCTATCCCGCCTGCGCAAACGAAGGTTGTAATAAGAAGGTTATTCAAAGTTCAGATGGTACTTGGAGATGCGAAAAGTGCGATGTGGATCACGAAAAGCCACAATGGAGGTATATGCTGACAGTCTCTGTATTAGATGAAACGGGCCAATTGTGGATGACGTTGTTCAACGAACAAGCCGAACAACTGCTGGGTACGGATGCGGGCACCCTTATGGATTTGAAGGACAACGATGCCGAAGAGTTTACTAAGGCAACACAGAAGATACAAATGTATCAGTACGATTTCAGAATTAGAGCCAGAGAGGATAACTACAATGATCAAACACGCATACGGTATTCCGTAACAAATGTTCATAGCCTTAACTTCAAGGTGGAAGCTGACTACTTAGCGGAGGAGTTGGGAAAGGCCTTTTTGAGCTGAATAAATGACGCTGCAGTGTGTAGCTTGTGTACTACAAAGGATTGATGATTTTAATTGATTGTATGATTCTATCGGAACATTGCTCCTCATTTAGAATGTGGGAGGCAATTGAATACGGGTTTTTCTGACGGTTTATGATACGTCGATATGCATGACCACTGCAAAATGAAGTGATGCTTTCATGATTTTTTATAGAGTTACTACAGCTAGCATGGCCACTTTGTCATTCACACCTCATCGCCACTAAAGAAGCGAGCCAAGAACTTCTTGAGCGCTTCAGAAGGGCAGTAAAAGAGCACACGCCTAAAAAGCTCTCGTTAACATCTTCAGTAACGTGTGCAATTGCCTTCACTAGCCTTTGAATAGTTGTACAATGATAGAATATTCAGCCAAATTAGTTTTATAAACCAGTATTTTTGACATATTAAAGTTGGCTGATGACGTTCAAAAACTAAACAACGTATAAACATCTCTTAAGATTAGACTAGACCTGCTGCAAAGTCTCAGCAGTAGCTTCGGATAAGGACTGGATGGCATTGATTTGATTTTTTATCCAGCTGCTCAATACATATGAAAGTTATCAAAAGGCGGCGGTCCATTAAATCTTGCAAGTACTGCTACGAACATAAGTTACGGTGTTCCAAAGAAGAACCGTGTAACAATTGCAAGAAGCATGGAAAACTACATCTGTGTATTTATGGATTCGATAAAGATGCTTCCCTTAATCAGTCCAGTTCGAGGAAAGGAAGTCGAAAACAGTTCGGTAAAACAGTATCCAAGATCGAGCGCAAGCCCACAAATGGTAACACTGGCCCTTACTATCCTTTCCTAATAGAAGCTCAAGAAGCAAGTCTTCTTGGAGAGGACAGTAACGCTGGGACGGAACGCGATCAAAAAAGCGGTATGAGAAGAAATGCGATCACTCACTTCGACCGGCTCGGAGCAGGAAACATATCTATGGAGGATATTTTGAAAATGATTCCAGAAAGCAAGGCATCTATGAGTCTTTTAGTAGACACTTATTTTCATCGTATCAATCCCATCATACCGTTACTGGATAGAGATGCTGCTCTGTCGCAAATCAAAACCATATATGACCAACACAGGTCTGGACAGAAAGTGGTTGCGAGAGATTGTATTGTGATGTTTACAATACTATTCACCGTGGCGTATGCCCATGTTGCAGAGGGGCAAATTCCGGACCTGCTTCTCTGCAATAAGTATTACGCAGCTTTCCAGGCGCTTCTTCACTATGATTCTTTCCCTTACAAGCCTTCCATATCATCAATACAAGGCTTGTTGATAGTTAACTTCGTGTTGGACCCAAATATGATTAACACTCTTACAGTATCAGCAATTGCGCTTCGTCAAAGTCAGAAACTCGGCGTGGAAAGGCAAATAAAGATTTCTACTGGGGACGCAGAAACTGGTAAGAACTACCTTCGAGCCTTCTGGCATTTTGTCCTATACTTCGAAGGGTCATCCTCTGTGGTTTCTGGTCTTCCATTCATGCACTCTACAGGCTTGTTCGACTCGGTCGATCTGCCCGACGTCGACAGCAGTCCAGCTCCGGCACACATGGCATTTGCAAACGGAAGGTTTTTAGTCAATCAAATGTTTCAAGAAATCATGCACTACAAAGACACCGAAACTATTCCCGTGGGTGATGCATTGGTCAACGTACAGAAACGCTTTGGAGAGCTGAACATGCAGATAGAAGAGCTTTGCACCAAAATCGGTGTGTTAAGTAGAGGGCAGGCGGTTTACTTCGTAAGCACGTTAAGAATTTTTCTTTTGAGAGCATATCTTAGGTTCATAGCCTTGTTTCCTCCTTTGATTAACAGACCCAAGAAGAATGAGAGTTTTGACGAGCAGCCCGCTGACTACGTCAAAATACTCGACCAAGTGATAAAATATGGGGTGGTCATGAGGAAAGAGACCGTGGAGCTTTCAATTCTCCTTCTATTTTATACACTGCGCCGGCTCACGGTGGATAGTTGCTCGAGGTTTGCGTGGTATTCTAAAGGTTCCATGGTTATGCAGTATCTTTTCATCCTACTGAAAGCTATTTATCAGGACCCTGATGCATCTTATGGCATTGCCAAATTCAATCCTGAATACCCTGTCAATGTCTCGGAGGACATTCAGGAATGCGTGAATACAGATGCTGCGGGTTTCAAATACGTTTTGGTGGAGGAGCTTTTCAGGCTGTTGGAAGTAAAGTTGGCTCCTCTTTGGGATGATGGCGATCTCAACTGCTTCATCCTACTGCGCTCACTTAAAGATAGAGTTTGGGAGCTGTGTAAAGAAGAGATTGAAATCAGAAAAATCACTTTCATATCCTTGAGAGCGTGCGCTTTGTTTCGAGCCTGTCAGGCCAAAATGGAGACGTTTTTGCCTTCAAATTTTGAAAGTTACATGGAGCAGTGGGATTTTGGTAGCAGAGCTTTCGATGCAGAAATCGTAATGTCATGGCTGTCACACGTATGAGCAATGACCCAAATGCGACATGAGGCGTTTATATAATTCACCTATCTGAGCTGATTAAATGCGTTGAGTAAGGCAGACGCAGGTTGTAATTGCGGTTTTGATTTTTCGAACAGTTTCCAGTATCTCAGGGTTTCGTCGCCTGCACCTGAGACTATGGTTGTCCCATCTGCAGATAACGTCATATGCAGCACTCTGAAACTATGACCTTTCAAAATTGCAAGAGGATCCATTGTATTACTATCCCAAAGTGTCAAATTGTACTTTGAATATCCATGCGATGTAACAATTTCGTTCGTATTCTTGGACCAGACCATGTTGCACACTTGCGAAGCCGCATGTACGTCATGAATTTTTGTACCAGTCCTGATGTTCCATACTTTCAACTTTTTGTCGGCAGTCCCTCCACCTGTCGCCAAGATTCCTCGCTTATGAGGGGACCATGCTATCGCCTTGACAGCTGCTGTGTGTTCGGACAGCTTCAAACTAGGACTACGACAAGTTCCATCGTAAACAAAAACCAAGTTGTCATTTCCACCTGAGGCAAGCTTGTTCTCCTCAACGTTCCATTTCAGTCCACAAACCTCTTGAGTATGAGAATGGATCTCTTCAAAACATGGTTCAGGGGTCCTCACATCACGATGCAGAATCCTGCGGTCTCGGCTCCCTGAGCTCAGGACATGGTTATTCCATGACAGACAAGCCACTCGATCTATATGGCCTGGTATTGTCCTAATACATTTCTTTTTCTCCACGTCAAATATCTTGACAAGACCGTTAAGCTGTCCAACAGCGAGGTGAGAGCCTGCTCCCACCCAGCTCAGGCTGGTGTATTCGTCGTCGGTACTTGCTAATTGTGCCACATCATTTGTTTTGTTGTCTGTTAAAAAAATTGATTTTCCCAGAGCTACGGCAAGGATATCTGTGCTGGACCAGTCTATCAGATCGTAATAAAAATCGTCTGCCAGTGAGGGGGCATCAAGCACCCTATATGGAATTTTGGCGATTTGTCGAATTTTTTTGCTGGGTTGCAGTAGTAGTTTCTCCGAATCAGGTCGTACCGGCGATGCTGAGCTTGAATATTGACTTTGTAATAGTGAAGCTGTAGAGGGTCTAGAGGCCTTTTTTTCACAGTAAGTAAGTAGACTGGCACCCCTTACTGAAGAGGTGCTCGGCCTGTGGTGGTGCTCGAAAATAAGCCGTCGCGGTGTTGCCGGGCTAGATTGCGTAGGGGAAATTAAAGATTCCCTCTCAGAGCTACCAGCATGAGATCTTGGCGGCGTCGTCGGCTCTTGATACGAAACCGAGGAAGAATACTTTATTCTTTCTATGCTGTCTTCAACCTCATTCGAGCTTTTACTTAGTTTCTCGCCGAACAGTTCATTCTTCAAAACAGCATCAAACGTTTCATATGCCTCTTGTTCTTTGCGAAACTCTAGTTGGTTATCAGAGTTGGAGGGTTGAAGTCCAGGGAAGTTTGAAGAGCCTACCGATATCATCGATCTCAAGTCCATATCGGTTCTATTGGGCATATACCTATCAGTGTATCCTACATGGTTCAAGCGCGGTCTTCTGATGGGCGAGGACTGCGCAGACGACAGGGAGGAAGAGGAGGAGCCATCCTGTTTGGACACACGTTTACCACTTTTACTTCTCGGCTTGACTGGCGACGAGCTGGGAGTATTATCAATGAAGGGATTTTTGAGCCCGTTGGACATTTTGAAGATCAGAGCTGCCGCCGACGATGGAGTATTTTGGTAGGTTTGTCGTGTTTTGTGCGATGGAACCTGAAGTAGTGAATCTACCTAATAATTATTATAGGTAGTAATCTTGCACGAGTGGTGAGGTTGTCAACATCCAGCTGTGAGTAGACTGTGCACGTATATCCGACCAAAAGCCTCAATTCCCGGTTGCATTTATTTGTCCCAGTGTTTGAGCATCAAAATGCTATCGTAGTCAAGCGGAATGACGAAGCGGTTAAAGTTTATTTCGTTTCCCCGTACATCGAATTTCTCGCGTGTTCGTAGGTCTATCTTGACTTCTTCGGCTTGATCAAGCTCTTGTTGCTGTTCGAACTGTCCTACTTGGTCGAATTCATCTTCTTTCTCCCTGTATTCTATGTTTTCCTCAACTTCCTCGAAATCTGGCGCCAGAGCACTCCATTTTGGAGGGATTACGAGCGACCACACGTAGACATTACCGGTCTCTAATCCATTGCTTGTGATGCACATGTGATTGAAGTCCCAGTCAATGTCCATGAGTTCTTCCTCAGCTCCCTCTAAGACCCTGACGAGAGTTCCAGTGCTCGTTTCCCAGAGATAGAGATCGCGTGCCGAAGAGCCATGAGCCGAGGCGACCAAATATTCGGCAGAGTTGCTACTGAAACGAATGCTGTTCCACTGGAGTCTGTTTATGACGTCTTGGTATCGGTGCTCGAGCGCAAAATTGAATTCTGTAAGCTCGAAATTAGCTGTCAACGAATATTGTCTAATGGTGCGATCCGAGGAATTGATGGCCACTCGATCTCCTGACTGGGATATTATCATGTGCTTCGCGTTGGAGTAAGCAAAACGGTACGAATGCACCAGTTGAACCTTTTGGTCTGAAATGCGGTAGATCTTGAACCAGCCCTTTGAGGTACCTGTTATGAGAATCTCCTTCCACACGGGGTGCACGCAGGCCACCAAAGTATATCCAAAGTCCTGCTGTTCGAGCTCTTCGTTTTCCTCGCTCTCCTTCTCGTCTTCGCCTAAGTATTCGTATACATCACAAATCTTCGCAACAACCGGCGTCTCAGGTGTCAAATTGATGCTAAATGCATATTCTTCCTCGTAAACGGTAGCTATGCACCCCAGGTCAAACGGACCACCCCATTGACACGTCCAAACTGGAGATTCAAACCTTACCTGCCGGGCAGGTACTCCTGGTTTCTGTAAGTCCCACAATTTCACATACCAGTCGCGGGAACTTGTTAAGATGTACCGATCATCTTTTGACCACGCAATCGACTGGATCGATCTCACATGGCCACCACCTCTATTACCGAGCATTGCGATTGGCTTCGCAGTGTCCATGTCGTAAAGTATCACTGCACCATTGGAACAGCCCATAGCCAAGTAATCACCGCCGTGCGAAAATTCCACGCAACATGTTTGTAAAGGAGTTTCGAATGTTTGCGTTAATCGCTCTGGATACTCCTTGAGAACTGTGAAGGGATCTTGGAGCAGAAGGTTGGTCATTGTGTCTAGAAGCAGCTCTTATATAGTGATATAAACCTTAGGCGCGTATTATATGAATTTGAAAGATTTTACAGAATTTCAAGCTCTTACATACGTAAACAACACTTTCTCGATTCTGACCCAAGCAAAGGAAGAAGCAATTGATCAAAAATGAAGCTCTTGGACGTGCTGCTTCAAGCAAGTATTCTATTACTGCTGACCCCTTTTACCAATGCCTTCTACTACTACAGTAATGGTGGAGAAAGAAAATGTTTCTACAAGGAACTTGTCGAAAGTACGTTGCTTCAGGGCAAGTACAGCGTAGAGGTCTACGATGAAAGTCTCAAAAGCTACAAGGCGCCTTCTAAGAATGAAATTTCAGTTGTGGTCGACATTGAGGAGGTTTTTGATGACAATCACAGGGTGATGAATCCAAAAGGAGAAGCCCGTGGTGAGTTCACATTCAACGCTCACAGCTCTGGTGAGCACAAGATTTGTATACAGCCACAGGCACAGGGCTGGCTGGCGAAGGTCAAGACAAAGGTAAACATCGATTTTGAGACTGGTTCCGAACATCAGTTAGACTCTAAAAACTCAAATGGCTACAAGTCTTTGCAGAGCAAGATCCAGATCTTGAATGAGCGGGTTATGGTACTTAAAAAGGAGCAAAAACTAGTCAGGGAACGTGAAGCTATGTTCAGAGACGCTTCGGAGTCTGCGAACTCTCGCGCTATGTGGTGGACTGTCTTCCAGGTCTTCGTCTTAGGAGGGACATGCGTATGGCAATTGAGACACTTGCGCACGTTTTTTGTTAAACAGAAGATTTTGTAGATATACAACATCACCCAGCTCCCGCTGAAAAGCGGTAATCAAAATATCATCAAGCAATGAGGCTAAATAAGGCGCACTTAGAGAGCGATATATTGTCATTGATTTTTCACGTAGAAACATAGAAACATCTATTATGCCTGTGAATCCTATATAAAAAACTGCGCTCCAACCGTTCTCTAAAATGCAAAAGTACTTTTCAAAGAGTTCACTAGCTCTACATTGAGAAACTCTTGCTCAAACCCGGACTTTGGAGGGGGCGTGAAGTCGAAAGTAATTTCCGATGGGATTTTGTGTGGTTTCCTCGATTCTGTGTTAGGTGGACAAACCTCAGGTTTCTCGAGAGTATTTGCTTTTCGATTTATCTGAATAGTGAAAGAACTTTTTCCAGAACCAGGCTCAAATTCTTTCTTCGAACTTTGCAGCTCGGCTCTATGTTGTGGTTGTGGTTGTGACGCAAGACTGAAGCTCATGGCGGGACGGGAGTCACTTTTCTCAGCGCCCTTGAACTCTTCACCTGATCTTGGCTCACGTTCGGAGGTTAAAGAAGGCCCTGCACCAGGAGCTGGTCCCTCAACTGAGGTAGAGTCGGTGCGTGATGACTGCGGATACGAGAAATTGAAGGCCATTGACTTGGGAACGGCAGACGAAGATGACTCGGCATCATGTCCCCTCGACAAATCATCTTGCGACGACTTTGGTGCAGAGACTGTGGTGCGCAGCGATGAGGCTTTTTCAGGCTTGTATTTAGTGAATTGCTGCGTCACCGAGACCTTCTCGTTCTTACTGCCTTCTTTTTCCTCGCTATTCTGTATTTCACTCAAGGCAATTGACTGAGCAGGGTTAATAACTCCTTTCGACGGGGTATCTGGAGCCGACAGTTGAGGTTCAACAGACTTCTTGAATTTCTTGAGCTCAGAGACACGACTCGAGTAAGGATTAGCAAGTCCTGACGGTTGCTGTTTGGTCTCTCCAGAATCGAGAAGCGATAATAGAGCAGATGCAGTATTACTGAGCTTTTCTTGAGCTGGGTTTTCAGAAACTGTGACGCTGTCCTCGTTTGTCTTGGCTTTTTTATTGCTGACCAAAAAATCTACGACGCCGTGTCGGTATGACCTTGACCTGTAGGGCGAAGGAAGACTAGAATAATCGAAGACTCTGGACTTCCTGGAATTCGTAGACGACGTGCTTTTCATACTTGTGTTTGCCGTTGTAAAAGAATTGTCGTACTTGGGATAATATTGTGGAGTTTTGAGTGACGTTTCGCCAGGATTGGCGTCGGATTTCAAAACAGGTGAGGCATCGGCCTGCAAAATCGAACTCTCAGAAACAAATTCGCTCCGTGGAAATAGCTCTGTCGAGACGTTCCTGCTTTTTTTCATCAAAGACAAAACACCCTCGTACTCAACTTCGCTCAATGCCTCGTCACCCTTTTGGCGGAAAAAGCTAGCAAGCGCTGAGTTAGAGACGTTCGCCTCGTCGAGGCTTTCGGCACGGGAAACATCCTCCTGTTCCTTCTGGCGTTTTTCAACCTGCCTGTGCTTTGCGGCGACCAAACTCTCCGAAGGCTGATCGTAAAACCCACCTGGAGTCCTTGCCCCGAGAAATTCTGGTGCCCTCACTAGATTGAAAGAGCTTGCGGCGTCCGACTTGTTGTTCGCAAACAGCGACTTGACCTTTGACAGAAAGGAGCGCTTCTGAGGATACATTGCTGGTTAGTGTGAAAGTTGGGAGATAAATAACAAATACTACGCACATACCTTTCCATTCTGCGTCTTGAAAATTCTGGAGTAAGGCGCTTGGGGGGCTTTACCGAAAGCGCTTTCTCGCGTGTATTGCATTGGTCATTCAATACTGAAGTACAGTTGTCAGCGATGAGCAACGGACAAGATACAAATTAAAGCTTTATTCCAAATCGACAAAACCATTATTATAAAAAAATGATGAATAAAAAATAAAACTAGAAGGGGCGAGCTGGGAATTGAACCCAGGGCCTCTCGCATGCTTGTAGTATATAGATCGGTTTTAGCCAATCTTCGCCCAAAGCGAGAATCATACCACTAGACCACACGCCCGTTATTGAGATAACATAAAAACCTGATTTTACATATAGGGTTAATTAGTTTGCGTGAGGAATAATGTGCGTTCGTGTGACGTATTCGTGTCTGTCCACTTACATCCTCAGCAATGAGGATGGCAGACCATCATCTACTCCACTGAGTACCTGCCTTCTTTTCACGTTTTAATCATGTTTGTCGTCTTACTCAAAAATAAAATGTAGAAGTCATAAACTAACACCTACTTTCGATGTTAAAATTACCCTGCAAAGCTCAGTCAACGCATCCCCATAGCTTATAGACTCAGATTCTGATCTCTACTGGTGAAGAAGCGTTAAACACGCTCATATGCGCAAGTTATACTCAGGTCCTTACAGACTGGACAAACTAGTTTGAATTGAATATTCTTTTAAAAAGCACATCTGCATTAATTCTCAATGTAGCGAAAAATACCATTATAACGAACATGAAGCCATTTATTGCGATTGCTTGTGTTCATGAGTTGTTAACAAAGTTAAATGTTTACCAATTTATTTAGAGACGCTGAAAATGCCACCACGAAAACAAAACTTGAATCTACAGGATGACAGTTGACATCAAACACTATGCTTTCGAGCGTTGTTGTCACTTTCGTTATTTCGTGTAAGGGAGTCCGAAAGTTATATTCATCGCTCCAGCGACATGCCTATTTTGCCAAAATAACGCAGTGAGAGTCTGTAAACCTCTTAATCATACGCCAAATATTATTTCCCCTAGGAAAGCGTTCTAATAAGCTAATTTGCGAACGTCCTTATATCTTATGACAAATAGTGAATATTTTGTGCATTTCTTATCTACGTAGGCCTCCTCGCGTCGATTCCCCAAGTTCAAAGAAGAAGCTCTTAATGAGTGCTGCCCCGCACAAAATCCGTTGGCAGTTGCTGCGCAAACAATAGTTCAACTCATGACCATTAATGAGTGACTTCATATCCTCTCATCAAGGCCTCTTAGATCCAAGATCCACAAGCAAATTAGTATGTCTAGTTCAAGTAACTCGACACATTGTGTTAAAACAGAAATGAAAGCAACTCAAAAGAAATTTTCGATATCCTTTCTTCGCTCGGCCCGGACCAGATCTCTGGGAACCGTTTCAAAAAGCTGCGTACCATGTTGAAGTCGCGATTAGCCCCCTTAACTTTGTCGGCACGATAAGTTTGGACTCAAAACACCAGGATACAACCTCCTCAACCTCTCGAGGCGATATGAGTCTGGCATTTCTAGTTGCCACAGCGTCCGTCGAAACACCCGGATTGAAAAAAACCTCGTTTAAAACTAGAGAAACAAGCTGCTTCCAGATCTCTCCACGCAGGGCACCATCGCCATTGATCCACAACCGCGAGCATGGTTTACCCAAGGGGATACGACTTGAGAGTACATTTTTCTGGTCAACAGGTTTTCTGCACGACACGATCAACGGAGGCATCAAAGCATCAAAACCATACTTTCGAGTCGTGTAATGCATGGGAAGCTCATGCGAGGAGACCGGAACAGGGTTAATCGAGATTGTTTTTGATTGCAGCATATCCACGTAGACGATGGCAGCGTGATTTACAAGTTCTTCTTTTAAGACAATACCCTGCTTCCCTCGCAGGACGACTTGTAGTTGTTTGATGTAGGTCGCTGCTTTTTCTAGATTTTCGAATTCTCCCTTTTTCTTCAATAGCTCGGCAAAACCGTCGCTTAACTGAAGTTTTGACGAAGCCATGAAAGTGAGTTGTTTGTCTTTTGCCATATCCAAAATTATTCGATCAACATCCTTGACGTCAAAATCCTTTAAAGCTTCGATATCAGCCACCGCTGCCGAGTTCTTATCCAGCAGTGCAGATCTAACAATAGTCTTGATATTTTCTTCTTCTCCACTTGTTCTCTTGATCTTTCCGAGCTCGTACGTGTAACATTTTCGCAGTAAAGTCGACTCTCGTTGAATCATGGAAGAAAGATCCAAACTCGTAGTACCAACCAAGGAAGCGGCGTCCTTGATAAAAGTACTTTTCTTAAAGTTTTCTTCGTAGTTTCTGAGTAATTCTGTCGGCCTCTCGGGAAGTTTTTGCTCGGCACCCTGCCATAGACTTATGAGCTTAGGCAAATCAAGACTTTCGATGTCCTCCATCGTTGTTCTTTCTTCTTTCATCGCATTTACAAGGATTTTACGCCACTTCATTTTCAAAGCTTTCAATCCACCCAAGCCCATCTTAATGCGGCGCAAAGTCCACTGCTTTTCTAAATTGCTAAGTGAATTATTAGGGAATAGCTTCGTTACGAGATTCCAAGCGATCTCCCCTTTAACAAGCTCAGTGAGAACAACCGACATGACAAGAACCCGCAAGCCAACTTTGGTCCCCACATTGTAAGACTGCCGATCCGCTTTTTCTTTCGATGCTTGTTGAGCCATGTTGCTTTGAACCAAGGACTGACGTTCCGCAGTTGAATCGCGCAAAGATGACACCACTTTTGTCGACGACTTCTCAGCTTTCTTCTCCGACCGCCGAGTGACAGATTGCGCGGGCTTCCCACTCTTAGCTTTCTTGTCAAAGTTTTTGATTCTCTCAGCAGATTTGGTGCCACTCAAGAACCTTTCTCGTTGATCACTGTCGAAGAAATAGATATCCGTTCCTTCAATCACATCGTTGAAATATGATTTTTTGTTGTCTTTCTCGTTATTCAAGTAGGTTGAGATTGCCTTTGAAGTAGTGTTCGGCAAATATATCACTTTGCGGCCGGTTCTTTTGTCAATATCAGATCCGATTTTTTTGACAGCTTTCAAAAGTTCTATGTCACCCTTTATAGTCTTTTTGTCCAACGTTGTTTTAGATCCCATGAGTTTAGTGACTTCTTCGAAGAATTGATCTCTGAAAATGGTTACACCCCCCAGCTTCTTGATAGTCCCCAAAATTGCGCGCTGACGGTGGAGAGATTTTAGAGAGTTCGCAGAAAAGCCACCTATAGAGAGAGTTGCTCTGCCTCGATCTCCATTATCTTCGTCGGTTACTGAGACACCTGCGTCTGATTCCGTAAAATGTGCTGTTGACAATAGGTCTTGTAAAGGTTCCTTTTGCGACTTCACAACTCCTTCCGCAGGCAATGCGCTCTCGCGCGACTTCACTTTCTTTGAGGCTTCATCATGTTGAAGCTCACCTACTTTTGCTTGCTTTCTCTTTCGCCCTCTGGGGGCAGCATTTTCGTTCGCTGGAGCTTTGAGCTCTCCATTCCAAAAAAATACATCCCCGTCACTGCTATGCATGAAGCGAAGAGTGTTGCTTAGGGGAAAAAAGTTGTCGTTGTTCAGCTCTTTTAAGGATCTATGTTGAGGCTTCAACGGCCTGAATCCTGAATCTTCGTCCCTGGTCGCCGCGGAAGTGAGAAGCTTGAAGTTAGGTTTTGTGAAAAGCCTGTAGAATTTCCTTTTACCTTCAAAGTCATAGACTTTCACCAAGCCAAAACCTTCACTGTCCTCTTTTTCCTTCCCAACAGTGTCAATGTAATATTCACTACACTTTGTAAATGACCTTTTGTAGTCATTTCCTGTCAACATATTGACGCCCTGCATCGATGAGAGACCTGCTGTACCTTCTTTGTCTACCAGTCCAAATGTTTGATTCTGCAGCGGGTAGAACCTATTCAGTAAAAACCGCTTCAATTCTGTGTTCATGTCATCCTCAACTAGTAAGTTTTTGCTCTGAAGAAGCTGCGAAGCATTTTCTGCATTTAAAAGGCTATAGTTCTCTTCGTCTTCCCCTGCTCCATCGTCATTTCCTGGACTCTCTTCATTTTCCTCGTCAATATCACTATCGTCTTCTGACTCGTTGAGCGGACGTTCTTCGGGTTCGTAGTCCTTAAGAAACTTAACACATCTTATTTTTATAGCGGGATTTGAAGGTGAAATAACCAATACCTTCTTCAAATAGCCAGCTGCATCGAGTGAAGAAATTGCTGCAATGAAAGCTTTGGACAGACGCTTATCTTTGTCGAATTTGAACTCTCTCTTTAAATCAATTACTTGCCGCACACCGTTTTTTGAATTTTTGACAACCTCAACTATGCTCTGAAGGCTGTCTTTCATGCTAGCGTAACCTTTGTTACTGTCTTCTCGAACGCCAAATCTGTGAAATCTCAAATGCTTCACGACGTGGCCCTTGTAAATTGTCTGAACTCCTGAAACAAGGTTACCAAGTTTTTTTATTCTACCGGTAATGCTTCGAGGATCTTGCGAAGTTTTGCGCGCTAAGTCCATCGTGTTGATACCCTGCTCTTTCGTCTTTGCAATTTCCAGAAGTAGTTCGAATGCCAGGCCTCCAACAGAGCATTCTTTTTTCTTATAGCCCGTGAGAAAGAGGAAGAGCCTGTCTTCCGAGATTGAAAAGGTTAGGTCCTCGCTTCCTATAGTTTGTTCATCGAAATCATCTGCTGCCAGAAGCTTTCCATGTCTCATGATAGATGTATCCTGATAAGTTCCGAAGCAGCGAAGCACAAAGCTCCTCAGGCGATTGTCTAGGTTGTCGGTAATTTCAGAAACTACATCCCAAAAAGGACCAGATGTTAAAGCTGAATGGTTTTAATGTTAGTGTTGACTTTTATTCGTGTTTTTCAAACAAAAAAAACTTACATCCTCCTGCATAAGCTATTTCTTCGCATATGCGCTCAACGAGCTCATTGGGAGTTAGAACTTTCATCACTAGAGGCGCAGATATCGTCTGTCTTTAGGGGATCCTGTCCTGGAGCTTAAGTTGCATGTTCTCTTACTCAATATCGAATGTAGTTTTCGTATTGTGTTATGTAGGTCAAGCTGCCATAAAAATTTGAATGTCACAAGATTCGACTGATCGTCGTGGTGCGCAGTCGTGGTACCTCTTTTCAACATTCGAGCGTGCGCTAACATGTCGGAAGTAGTAGACGATATTGAATGGTACGGCTTTTCTTGTCCTTGAGATGTTTAGTTTGCATGACACTTACTAACCATATATTATCGAAAAGCACGCTATCTAGCGATACTCTGAAGGCTCTTCAAGAATTCAGGCAGGAGGAGCAGGAAAGAGAAGCCAGCTTTAAGCAATTATATGACGCAGCTCAAAATGACTTCGAAAATCAAAAGGTGATGGATTTGTTCAAAGAAGATTGGCAGCTCTCACAGTTCTGGTACGATGAGGAAACTGCAGACTTATTGGCCGACGCTTTATTAGATGGCGCCGATAGCGACACAGTGATTGCGATTTTGAGTGCCCCATCAGTTTATGCAGCAATAAAGAAGCGCCCGGCTTCTAGCATTCCCACAGCACACATACATCTTTTCGAATTTGACACTAGATTTGAAGTTCTTGGAGGCTCCACAAACTTTCACTTTTATGATTACAACAAGCCCTTGTCAATTCCGCCACAACTGAAGGGAAAAGTACACAGGTTTTTGATCGATCCCCCATTTCTGAACGAAGAGTGTCAAAGCAAATGTATGTTATTAACTTACTCCTTTCTTGTCACCACTGAAATATTATTACTAACTTGATCTTCTCAATCTTCTAGTTTCCACCACCACCAAGGCATTGCAACATCCTGACTTCACATTGAAGTCTAAATATGGTAATCGGCAGCACGCCATAGTCTCCAGCACAGGCGAACGTATGGCAGGTGTGGTTTCAAATCTGTATCCTGACATCAAAGTTACTGATTTTCGACCAGCCCATGCCAAGGGTTTAAGTAACGAGTTCAGGTGTTACGCTAATTTCGAGTGGAAGGGGTGGAAATTTGAATAAAGAAAGCGGCATGTCTGTGTGACGGTATTTTAATACCAAGCGTTTGCACAGGCGTGAAAAATCACAGTCGACTGATCTCAAGAGTAAATATAGACGCTGTTTGAGGTTGCGCGTAATTTCCAGGATATTATAGTTTGATTGTTTTCAGGACTGATAATATAGCTCCAAATATAATCGATAAAAAAACACCAAAAACATCAAAAAATAAAATTTGTCTTCTCAAAAACTTGAATCTTGAATCACACACTTAAAATATGTTTTTTTTTCGGACGCTTGAAACATAACAATTCAAAAGATCAATTTTTAAAAACTATAATTTAAACATTAATATATGTTTATTTATTCTGTACATTGATAAAATTTATAAAAATCAATCATGTGACGGGACTATAAACCTTCCAGCTAGGCGAAGCTGGGCGCTTAGTGTTAGCAAGTTATATTTGATACCTATCGTTCGAAGCAAATTACTAGTAGGTAGATACATTCTCATACTTTGAAGGTGATCTTATGGCTGTCTCAAAGGGCTAAAGTGTCTGTTCTTCGTAATCATTTATGATATTGTTTCACTGCTCATGATAGTTGGAAATTTGTCACATCACACTCATCATCGTTTAACAGCTTTTCAACTGTGAAAATGAAATAGGGCTATGCACTTTAAGCATTGTAAAAACTACTTTTAGTACTCAAAGCAAAAGACAACGACAAACAAGAGATGAAGTCTGTGCTCCTCGTTGGCGGATCCGGTTTTCTTGGGCTTCACCTTGTGGAAAAATTCTACAATTTGTCGCCTCGCCCAGATATTCATGTCTTTGATGTTAGACAAATCCCGGATACTCTTTCGAAGTCTTTCACTTTCGACCCGAATACCATCAAAGTTCATATTGGAGACTTAAAGTCCACGGAGGATGTGGCGAATGCGCTTCGCACTAGTCAGGCCGATGTTGTCGTGCACTCGGCTTCTCCAATGCATGGATGTAGTCAAGAGATATATGAGAAGGTCAATGTCGAGGGGACCAAGAACCTTTTGGCTGTTTCCAAAAGCATGCACGTTAAAGCATTTGTCTACACTTCATCGGCCGGCGTTATATTTAATGGGCAGGATATTCATAATGCTGACGAGTCTTGGCCGATTCCTGAAGTCCCTATGGATGGATACAATGAAACAAAGGCGACCGCGGAGTCAATGGTACTAAAAGCAAACAGTCCAAAGGATGGTTTTTACACCATTGCTCTAAGACCAGCGGGGATTTTTGGCCCTGGTGACCGTCAATTGGTCCCAGGCTTGAGAAATGTTGCGAAAATGGGACAATCGAAATTTCAAATTGGAGACAACAACAATCTATTTGACTGGACGTATGTGGGAAATGTTGCCGATGCCCATGTTCTGGCTGCTGAAAAGTTATTGGATGCTACTTCGTGTCCTCGCGTCGCGGCAGAGACATTTTTTATCACAAATGACTCTCCTGCTTATTTCTGGGCTCTTGCCAGGACTGTTTGGAGAGCAGATGGCCATGTGGACAAATATAATATTGTTCTGTCGAGGCCTCTGGCTATTTTCGTAGGACATTTGTCTGAGTTCTTCTCGAAAATTACTGGCAAAGAGCCGGGTCTTACGCCTTTTAGGGTAAAAATCGTATGTGCTTACCGTTACCATAACATCAGCAAAGCGAAGAAGCTTCTGGGTTACAAGCCGAACGTTGATATCGAGGAAGGTATTGCCAAAACGCTGGCTTGGATGGACGAGACAGCATAGCCGGAAGGCCCTGAGTTGCAAGTTGTTCAGCCACCACGAATAAATTTATTATCATGCCGAAATATATGTGCGTGTTCTTTACATATCTATAGAAGAATTGAACCTGTAGTAGAACGAAGGAATTCATGATTCCAGTAAGCGATCTAGTCGCTTTCAGACGACAGTAAGTCAGATAGGGCAAAGAAGACATTTATACGAGTCTGCGGCCTGTCCCAAGTTTTTTAAGCATTCTTCATGGAAGCCATGGTGGCATTCAAATATCACAGTGGATACCTTCCTTTCTCCTTCCGCTTTTGATTCTTTTGCACTCTTCGATTTAGTCTGCTTTCTCCAAATAAGAAACAAGTCGCTCGGAACGCACACTCCCCACAGCTTTTCGCCGCAAACCTCGCAATTGCTCGAGTGAATAGACCATCCGTTTTGTAGCAGTATTTCGTGACGTAATATCACTTCGGAAGAGGAGCTGTTTGCAATTTTGGCAAGAGTGGAAAGCAGTTGCTCATCAATTTCTGCCAAATGTATTATTTCGCCAAAAACAGAAGCAAGATCTCTGGCCCTAGTTAAAATCAAGTCTTGGCTCTCTAACGAACAAGTAAGCACGTCCCTGGCAGCAAATCCTGAATATTCTCCAAAAACACTGTCAGTAAGCATGGTAAGATGATATAATAGTCTCTTTATCGCCCAATGGCTTTGATGGTCCTTATGATTTAATAACAAAAACGTCAAAAGTCTGGACCAGCAATTTCGTGACTGCTCACCTTGAGCAGCACAGCAGGTGTCAAATGCGTAATCCAAAAGCTTGGCGCATTTTTCCTTGTCTTGCGAGTCTTTTGAGAACGTTACAACATCGTCAATCACAGCTTCATAATTGTTCATTTGACGTTCAACTAAAATCACACCGTACACCGAATTGCGGTCTTTTAGTTTATCTAGCAATTGCTGATATCTATTCGACGAAAAGTCCGTTCTCGCTAGCAATTCTTCAATTTCCTCTTCGTTTTGAGCATCGCTCAGGTCCATAATGCGTTGGCTAAGCATCTCGAATTGCCAGGGAGCTTTAGCATTATGAGATCGAAAGTATTGTTGCAGGTACAGGGGCTTCTCAACTTTCCCAGCCTTTTCAAAAACTGTAGCGTGAAGGCTGGGGTCATACTTATCCAAGCAGTTGATAATTCCAAGAACATCATGCTTAATAAGTTTATCAATATTCTCCAAAATGATGTCCGTAACGCCTTTACGCTCCGCAGGTTTTTTCTGCGTTCGCCCCAAACAAAACTGGACAACATCCACTTCTGAATGGTAGAAATTTTCCAACTCATGCGATTCTAGGCGAAGTTGTAACATTTGTGGAAATGCCTCGACTTGCCTGTAAACGAGAAGTAGTACGCGGTCAAATTTTTTGAGCTTGAGGTGAGAGATTAGCGATTTCGTAGCCGTAACATAATGTCCCCCTATAAGCAATTCCAGACTTTTCTCACTTTCGTTACGCAGTTCCGATAAATTTTCTGAGCAGAGAAGCAGGACCAGGTGTTCAATAAGTGGAGTGGACAGTCTGATAAATTGCGGATACTTAGAGAGGTTATGGACCACAAAAATGGTTATCAGAACTTTTTCGCACGATGGCCGCCGTAGCTTCAGTCTATCCATCAAAAAGTCCACGACAAATTGTCGACTCACCTTTAGCCTCGGTGTTGCGTTATTAGCACTGCTTTCAGTTTCCTTGGAGTCGTCATCGAAATAGGAATCCTCGAGCACTTCATGGAGCATGCTCAAACACCTTTTGAGGTCAAAATTGAGAAGCAGCTCCATGTAAGGGAATGCTGGCTCGTCGCTTTGATTTTTACAGGTGTACAACTTTTGACCTGAGTGCGGAGGCCAGTCAATTAAGGTGCCGTTGAACAAAATGTAACATATCTCAAGCTTTACATTCAACAAACGATCAGATGATTTTATCATCTCTTGTACTGGAAATTGCCTGCCTGTCATTACGAAGGACAAGTAGTCGTAGACTAAATGTTTATCACCCTCGAGCTCTTCATTTAGTAACTGATGCGGACGTTTGCTCCCCCCAATAATGGACAACATGTCTACAAAGGGGGTCAGATAATCTGTAGATGTTACAGTCCATAGGTATATCAATTCTCTACCCAGCTTCAGCTTTCTGCACAGTCCCACTGCTAGGTTCACATCGATAGAGGCAATATCTAAGTCAAAAAACACAGTTTTGATAGCTTCTGTGTCATGGTAGATGTAGTCCGATTGAAGCAGTTCACTGAACACACTGGGTGTTAGTGTTCTGACGGTTTTTTTCCTGATCAAACATACTAAGCAAGAAAAAAATGTTTCTTTGCTCTGTTGCGGGATCTGATCCAGTGCTTCCTCGATAAAATTCGAAGAGTCGAATTCATTATCGTAGATCAAGGAGAAATTATGAAGAGATTCTTCCAGCACTTGACAGAGAATTTGTTCGACGCGGTTGGCATCAGACACGCGCACAATGTGACGAACGCTAGCGACTGACAAGTTCTTTAGAGGTTGAGAGAGTTGACGCTTCCGAGCGCTTAGACTGTCTTTTAATCTAAAAATACTCCAAGGTATGCACTTCTCTGTCATAAAAAATCGCAAAGCTCTGAGAGCACTCATATAGTTTCCTCTCTGAACAAATTTGAGGATTATGTCTGACCACGACAAAAAATCGCAAGTTTGCATGTTGTAATTCGTCAAAGCATATAGGCGTCGATTGAAGTATGCAAGGCCGCATTCTACGGGATTGAGTAAAGCTATTGGCAACATGTCAATAATCTCGAATACTTGGATCTTGTCCATTGTACCGCTGAGGATAAGCTTGTTCGAGCTCGTTAGGACACTCATGAACGAAGGGGAGAGCCACTCTATTCGTTTGATTGTTTCCTCGCACGACCAAGTGACTTTTGAGCTAATTTTAAGTTTCTCAGAGGGAAAAGTGCGCTCAAAGCTCATCACTTGTAATAAGCTCGAGCTGGAGAAGCATACTTTGGTACCGCAAGGACTCCAGATGATTTGGGAGTGGTCTGTAATGACCCCTTCTATTTTACCGTAGTAGCATAAATTGAAATTGTTTGCTGATATAAGTGCGATAGAAGAAGCAGATAGCACTGCTACTGGTTGAAGATCGGAAAAAGGGGCATTTGCAAACCCTGGATAAACAGCGCTCACATAATTAGAGTTGCCCGTCATCGATGGACTCTTGAGATTGGCTGTCGAGTAAGACAATTGCCAGATTCCCTTTCGAAATCCACTATGGTACGAAAGATTCCCTGATTCATCGCTCGCTACAACTGCAGTATGGCGTTCAGATAGAAAACCTAGCCCTGTGATACGTTTTGATCTGTGCTCGGTTATATGAAGTATCGGTGCGATTTTACGCGTTCCGTCCGAGGCTTTTGAATCTTGCTTCTTCCTGTTGAGGTTCCATATTACGAGGTCCCCAGACTCTAAACTCGCCGCAATATGGGTTCCATCTACGGACGATCTTATCATGGTCACTTTTGGATTGATACATTTGAAATCTAAAAGGAGGGCCACCTGTAGGAATTGCTTATGATTGAAGATGGCAACTGTCCCCTTACTTGTGCCCACTGCAAAATATGAAAAGGCAGGGTAGACATAAGTAGGGCGGCCATAAGGACTTAGAATTTGGTACACCTTCTCGAGCGGTGTCCAAGAAAACCAGTCAATTTCGTGCTCGCGAAGGTCGTCAAACAAGTCAAAATCACTGGCGTCATCCGGTGAGACCTTCGAATTTTCTGTTGCAAGTGTTGGAAAATTGCTGAGACCTATAGCCCTGTAGTCTAGAAAGCTTTTTTCATGGTAAAGCTCCGCATCCATTAACAATTGAGCAAGGGGCTTGTAAGATGGGACCAGTGCACCAAGATCAAAATCGTTACTGTAAAGTTATACAAATTTTTTTTTATTTTCACCTTCACCAAGCGCTAAAATAACAAAAAGTTTAATGTTATAGAGTTAAGCCGTACATACGATAAAAGGGATCCCCAAAATAACTTACAACTTTTGCATAGCAGCAATATCGGTAGATTGAACGTGGTCCTCGTCCTCTTCGACAGCCACTTGCAGGTCTTCCAAAGAGACCTTGGCGTCTTCGACGACCAAGTTGACCTGCAATTTCTTGATACCGAAACCGATTGGGATCCATTGGTGAGCACCCCAGGTTAGACCGTCCATCTCGATGGACTTGACGTTGGCAACCATCTGTTCCAAGTCGGTCTCGTCATCCCATGGCTTGACGTCCATGGTGACGATAGACTTAGCAGCTGGCTTTGGCTTGGAAGAGGCCTTCTTGGCGTTGTATTCGGCAAGTCTCTTGGCCTTCAACTTTTCAGCTTCCTCGTCGACCTCGTCGTCGTCAGAGCCGAACAAGTCAACCTCGTCATCGTCCTCCTCTTCTTCAGTGACAGCAGCGGCTGGAGCCTTGCCAGAGGCAGCTGGAAGGGAAGAGAATAGACCGGACTTGGTGGCGATGTGGTTGAACCATCTGGAGAAGTCTGGGTAGGCTTCCTGGAAGGCCTTGTAAGCGGCAACGTCGGCTTGGGTAGCAGCAGTACTGTGCTAAAGTTAGTAAATGAATTTTGGAATGTGTCGACCACGCCAAAAGCCAGAAGCTAAAAACATTGCCATCGCCGTCTGTGTTGCTGCACTCTATTCTCTGAATATCAGAATTGTATAATGAAATACTTCTTCTTTGTCACTCATACCGGGGGTCTTACTTCCCGTCATAAACACGGACCAAAGATTATGATCATCATTTTCGGAGAATCGGCTTGCACCACAAACTTCGAGAGCATAAGCACCACCAAAGCTGCTCTGTTTTTCCTCTCTTAGCGCATCGTCGGATATCAGTAAACATACCCTTCGACGTATGATTTGTCGGCCAAGAAGGTGTTTAGTTCCTTCAAGGTTTCGATCTTGGAGAAGTCGGTGAAAGACATTGTGCTGTTGTGTGATCTAGCTCGATGATGCTTTGAACATCTTGTAACGAAGATAGAATTCTGGTAAACTAAAATTTTTTTTGAATAAAGTAGACTACGTTCTCGAAAAATTTTCGTAATAAATATCAAATATTACGGTGTTTAAGAGATATCATATAGCACGAAGTCACTGTGCTTCAAACTTTAGGGCTCGGTATTGCTCGATAGTTAGCGTTCATTGACGGCTTAGGGCTAGGGCCTGCCACAAGAAATCACCAATTAGAGCCTAAAGACCATTTGTTTGTCACTCTGAGGCCGCCTGACGCTGAAGGACACTTTACTCATAGAGAAAACAAATAATATTTTCTCTTCGAGTGATACACGGGTTACGAGAATGGTATGTCTGATCCTCAATTATGTAGTATATTGACCGGTTATCCTCAATGCCGAGGGCGGACGAAGCTCTGTAAAATGATGCTACGCTTGCTTATATCAATATCATCTCGTACGATTAAGAGTATATTATATTTAATTATTAGGTATTCATTACTGTAGATCGACGTCGATATGGCTGATCCTGACAAACACCAATGTCGCAGCAGCTACTGCCTCAAGCCTACCTCACCAACTTCCACAATAGAGTGAGAAATGAGAACGTGCCTTGTTTCATCACCGGTCAGCCCACAAGAGGCCACAAACGTGCCAAAGTCGTAAACTACGCAGAGTTCGAGACTGATTTGCTCGAAGAGTTCGTGGACGAGGAAACGAGGGACCTGAATGGCAAGGAAGACGAGAACGGGAAGCCCGCTGTATCGGCCGAAGACTTGGCGAACGAGAACGCGCTGCCTGATTTGGACACTCAGGACGATCCGACGAATATCCTCAAGTACCCCAGAATACGCGAGACGTTCCTTCAGAGTCGAATCGCGACCCCTTACAAAGTTGCACTCTCAAAGCAAACAAATTCTCATTTGGCACCTGTGATCATTCCCATACGGCTAAATGTGGAACACAACGGCCACAAGGTGATTGATTTTTTCACCTGGAACCTCAACGACCAATCCATAACTCCCGACCAATTTGCTGCCATCTACTGCCAGGACCTGGATTTTCCTGTAACGGCTGCGGTCTGTAGTCAAGTCAGTGCCTCTATCACGGAGCAGCTTCAAGAGTACTCGACTTTGGCATCCGTTGTGGTTCCAGATCTGCACGTTATCATAAATCTCACCTGTAATCTTGACGACAAAATGTACGAAGACAACTTTGAATGGGACCTCAATGATCACACACTGACACCAGAACACTTTGCAAATACAGTCGTTCAAGATTTGGGCCTTACGCGAGAATTCGCCCCAGCTATATCACACGCCCTCCACGAAGCCTTGCTGCGAGTAAGAAAAGACTGGCTAGAGGGACATCTAAGTCCTGACCAAATAGAAAATGGGGCAGCGTTCGGCTACCTATCAGGTATTAGGCTGAATGTGGACTCTCTCGGGGCAGATTGGTGTCCGAAGGTAGAAGTGCTCTCGCAATGGGAAATTGAGAAGCGCGAAATTGAGAAGGAAAGGAATTTAAGAAGATTGAAAAGAGAGAGCGCCAAAGTAGAAGACAGACTGTCACGCCGTAGTCGCAAAAGACGTGTGGATGACTTGGAAACAACGATGAGAATCTAGGGTGCTTTACGGCCCGAGAATTGATGTACTATAGCCAAAAGACTAATGTCAAACGTTACATTTGTAACTTTTCTAGCAAGCGTAGAATAAGGAAATATATCTTTTACTCACATTACCTGATCTTACAAGTTGGTAAGTTGTTAAAGTCCATCAATTTCATTCTGGGCGCGAAAGAGATCGCTTCCCCGTTCTCGGTGAGGAAAAGCGTGTATGATTCCTCTCGTTAGCTTTAGGACAGATGAAGATGAACTCATTGAATGCTGGTGGAGCAAAATAAAATGAATGGGTGCTACTTATAGAGATCAGCTTGTCCATACGCCTAATAATTTGTAAGGGACATCTCGCGTATTTTATAGATTTCAAAAACTAACTTAGCTTGCTGCTCTTAGCGCGGACAAAGAACTTATAGAAGTGAAATCGTTCCATTGAGCTCAACAACTCAAAACCAGTCATTCCTCCCAATTCACACATTCAATGTCTGAAAAGCTCTTACAAGAGTTCTTAAGCCAGGGATTGCTCACAAGCTCGTTGCCTCAGGCACAATTCATCGCCTTGATCTCAGCATCAAACGAGGGTATACCTCGTGAACAATTGGTTACGGTGTATGAACAGCTCAAGACATATGAACAGGAACTTCTTGGAAGTACCAAAAGCAGGGCGCGACAGTTTTTACACGAAGTAAGATCTAACTCGAAAAATATTGTAGAAGCCACTCAAATGAAAAGCACAGTGTCAGTAGAGGCTCTTGTGAACTCTCTGTACTCAGCGCATCAGCTTCTCGACGAAAAAGCCACCCAGCTCAACTCTGATATCGATTCTCATATGGCAAAGCTTCATACCATTAAGGAGCAAATGAAGCCCTTGCAAACTCCAGCAGCAATTGACCCTATTCTCGGCAATCTAAGATACTTACTTACGCAAGCAGAAGTCCTTCAAGATTAACAACAGATGTCACTATTTACTTCAGGCACCGGATATTCTGATCCTAACCAGCGAAATACTTCGTACTTCGAATTGAGAGCGTGGTTATTGTGCATACAGTATTTGTCGCCACTTTGGCTTTCTAATGCACCAGTGTTCCGCATCGGTTGCAAGAATATGCAACGTTTTATCCGAGAGTGTATAAGGGCCATGGAACACATCGAGCAGGGCTCGTGTGTCGTGTAAACATCAAAATTCAAACAAAGATAGGTTTCCTCGGCTTGATCACAATTTTTTGCTTGCCGTTCATGTTCTGAAGCTGCAACAGACCGGATTCCCTGCATAATGCTGTGGTCAAGAGGAGAAGTACTACATCGCGAATCCGTGCTGTATATAACTCTTCTGCCGTTTGGGCTCACAAATGCGGATACGACAGGAGGGTCTGATGCGTTCTTTTCCGCTTGGTCAAGAGACACTTTACTCAGAGTGGTCAGTGTATTTCTGATGAATGCCATATCAAAAACGTAATCATTCATGATTTGATCATTGGGGTTGCCACGCCATACAAGTGGCCAATATAGAGCCGACCATTTCAAACTTAGCTCTTTAGTGGAAGGTGCAGCGGTTGGCACAGCGGAATGGTCGTTAGCATTATAATACTCGAATGGTGCATCTTTCATTAGAAGTAAGAAATCGTCTTGCTCCTCTATCAGCAGTTTCGAGCAGACTATTACAGTCAGAACCCCGCTTTCTTCGCCCTTTTTTATCCTTTTGATGTGCTGAAAGGATACTGGATCATTACTTTGAATGTTTAGGCGTATAAATTCGATGAACTGCTGACTATCTCTTGCTCGTATATCCACCGTCCAAACGTTTTTTACTCTGGGATCATCACAGCAGCCCGTATTCCTTATTTGAAGCAAGCAGTTTTCAACAATGCCTTCCTTGTAATTAATGTGGTATGGGTTCTGCTTCTTCTTCACCATATTTGCCCATCTGTTAAGACCATACTCTAGATGATTTAAAACGACAGGAGTTTGAATTTTTATTTACTGTTGAAAAGATGTTAACGTTGTTTTAAAAGCCGAATGATGAATTAACTGACAAACTTATGAAATGTCTTGAGGAATACATACTACAAAACCTCGTTACACCTACACTCAGCAGTGAGCAGGTATTTACTGATATTGCCAGACAATTGTCGAGGGCAAATGATTATTTTAAGGCTGCCATCTCGAAAATATTTGTTGTTGCCAGCTCACATCCTCGATATCTTCCCTCGGTGAAATCCACGGAACATTCATCTGTTGTAGATGAGTGCATCAGGTTTTTGAGAAGCTGTGACAGCAGTAGTAATGTGCTGACGTACGGATACAAAGTGGCTAAGAATGCGGATGTCTTGTCGACTATCCATTGTGAATCGACTAATCTTAATGTTTCGAAATTGAAGTGCGGCATATGGTGTTCACTACACAAAATACTTGGCACGGCCAATTTTGTGAATCTACTTGTTAATTCGACAATTTTTGAGCTCAGAGACGGACACTTTCATCAGATAGTAGGCCGTGTTCATGAGCACCCGACAAGAGGTGCGCTAGAATATCAAGCGACAGTAGGAAACTTTTCCTTTTTATACAGAAACAGAGGAGATTGCAAGATTGCGGAAATTTTACCACATTCCCCTCAGCTTCTCTGGCTTCAAATTTTTGAAGAATCGAGACAATCTGTGGAACTGGGAGAACACCTTGTTGCACCTCGCGGCATTGGCCTTCTAAAGATTTTATGCCAAGTTATCAAGAACCATCGAAAATTGAAGTATCTATGTGTGCTCCAAGCAATTTGTCCGCGTAAAAACAAAAAGACGTGCACATCCAACGCGGACTTCAAATCTGACGTCAAAAATGTTAATAAGTTTCTGACAGTCATACTTGAGAAACTAATTCCTCTAGAGTTCTTCGGTTCCAAGCATAATAAATCAGTGCTGCTGTCCAAAATAAAGACCTTACTGAAGCTCCATTTACATGGTCGCATTTTTGTAGCACATCTAATTGAAGGCTTGAGAATTAAAGACATCCGATGGCTAGGATCGCCGTCAAGGATTGATGGCCGGGAGTCTACAAGGAGGCAAGGTATAGTCAAAATTATCGTGGAGTGGCTATTCGGTAGATTTCTGCCTTTCATTTTGAAGACCTTTTTTTACTGCACTGAGCTATCCGCTACACAGGAGATATTGTTCTTTAGATTTGACGTGTGGTCTGAGATGACAGGACCCTTTTTGAGTTTATACTTCAAGAAGCACCTTGTATTGAACAAAAACTGTTCAGACCATACGAGCGATAGTGACTTCACTCACGGATTCCTGAGGTTGACTCCCAAGCTCAATAAGTTTGATTTTCGCGTGATATTTGTGCCTCTCAAATGTAGATCTCAAGATCAGCTCAAGATGCAGTTAGATAAAACACACAATGCTATCAGACCAACTGCCTGCATTCTCAACTACATCTTAACGAAAGGGGAATCACGAGCAAGTGACTCCATATCAAGGAGGCTTTGCTCGCCTCTGGAGATAGTTCCTGCTGTAAGCGAGTTTAAAAGAGCTCTTGTAAGCAAATATCAGCAATTTCCACAGCTGTTTTTCATTAAATTCGACATTCAGTCTTGTTATGATTCTATTCCCAAAGTCATGGCAAAGCATATCATTAGCCTACAAGCTGAATGCTACGCCGACTTTTATGTCCGGTCCTATTCCTTTTACGACTCTAGACGGGACGTCTTTAAACAACGCTTTAGTGTCAATGGAGAGAAGGATTCTGAATTCCGAAGTGTCGAAATTGATAACGTGCGCACAACTTACCTCAGTAAGAACGACGTATTGGACATACTCGATGACGAACTGAACAACTGCGCTATCATTCATAAGGGGAGTTGCTACTTGAGAAAGTCAGGAATTTTTCAAGGTGCCGCATTTTCTTCCAATGTTGTTGACTTTCTATACAATGACTTGATTGATAATGAGAAGGTCTTTACCAATTACAGTAACGCCGATGTAGTCATCTTAAGACTGGCAGATGACTTTTTAGCGATTTCGACAAGTAGAACTTACATTGAGAGAATGGAGATTCAAGTTCGAGAAGGCTTTAAGGACTACAATGCCTCTGCCAACTTGGGCAAAATTGTCTCTAATGTGAAGGATGACAGAGCAGAAGTACGGTTCTGTGCTGTAGATGTGGACTTGAAGCCACCTGTTTAAATTATGTTATTTAGTCATTTTGATGGTTTTGAGAAAAAAGAGAACAGATCCTATGCCTACATGGCTGCCAGATTGTTCTTACCCATTGTCGGATATCTCATTTTGTAGTGAAGTTCGACAACTGAGGCTAGCACTGAAGAAACCTTTCTCGAGACTCTCTCATAAATCTTTTCTTCAATGCAAGCGGTAATATTAGCGCCATCTATTACAGATATTGGGAAAAGTCGTTGAATTAAAACTTATATTTCGCGAAGGCAGAAATGTCGACATGCGCTGCAACCCTTGAAGATCTTAAAAGAGATCGACGTTCAGCCACATTAATATCTAGATTGAATGTCTTCACGTCGGCATTGGCCTGAAATTTGCCCGCAGGTTTTCCTCATCTCTTCTTTGCCGTTGCTTCTCTATTTCGCTTATACCACCAGCCTTTTTAAAACTCTTTTTGTCAATATAATTGCCCAGCTCATCTTCAAATTCGCTGTTGTCTCGATAGGTCATTTCCTTAGTCCGCAATTTCTCGGCTTTTTCGATGGCGTCAATCCTCTCTTGATGATCTGGTTGGAGCGCTGCTACTTCGTCTAACACAGCACTCCTCAGTTGATTGAAGGTACCAGGTTTAGCGATCGGTAAAATTAAACTGTTGGTTTTCTTGGGATTTTTTTCCTTTTCTTCACAGCACAGCGTTACTAAATCGAAAGTTTCTTGAACTTTGTCCAGGTCCTGCTTGAAGTCAAAGGCCAAGTCTTCCTGTAAAGTTAAAAACTGTTGTTCTTCGCAAACTTTTTCTAGTTCACTTTCCCAGATCTTCTTCCAATTTGGCTTCTCGACAGAGATATGCTCCTGCATTTTATGTAGACAAGCTTGTGCATTCTTGAGTTCAATACGAACAGATCCAAGTTTTTTCTTGGAAGGTTTCGATCCTCGCACGGCAACGTCTTTCCTCAGAGCCTCAATCACGTCTTGCAAGTCATCTACTTTGCCGAGTAGCCCATCTGAGACTTCAGATAGCTTGGAATGACTCTTTTCCATGTAAACACGGTTAGCAGTGGTAGAGGAGTTGAAAGATAAACTCTTGAATTTGGCTACCTTCTCCAGAATGCCGGAAATATTATCCTCGTATGTTTTCTTCTTTGCATCATGAATTTGACGTAGAATGGAAAACTGGTGCCTCAAAGACTCCAGCTCCGCATGCAAACTATTGTTAACCAACGTATCTTGGCTTTGGATTGGTTGATCCTGCCGCGACGACGTACTTTCTCGAAGTTTTTGTATCTCTGCGTGCAAAATTTCTTGCTTCTTTTCGAAACGCTGTTCAAACTGTTCAAAAACTTTGACCAGAGAGTCTTCGTCGTTCAAAAGTTTGGTGCCCACTTGCAATGATAAGACAGAACCTTCCCTGATCTTGTCCAAGTGTCCTGATTCCAGCTCGTAGAAAATATCATAGCCCGGATCTCTAATGCAAATCTCGGGGAAACTGCTGGTGCCTGGTGTATACGTGAACTTCTCCACAAAGAGCAATCTGAGTGCATTAAACGATGTTGGAAGTGATAAAGAGCACTTTTTGGCTTTCCCATCTAGTGTCAAAAATACTGTAACACATTCTTCGTTCCCCTCTACCATGATGGAAGAATCATGGCTTGGCATCGCTGCAAGCTCTTGTGCAACATATTTTGAAGGAGCCGAGTAATTACTAAAGTCTTGATTGCTGGAGTGGTCGCCAACATAGTGCGGTGGTGTTGCCGAGGCCGCAGCCTCGCTTGTTGACTGATGACTGAGCTTAGCCATATGATATGCCGAAAATCTCTTGGATGCTCTTCGTTGCAGAGTATCGCTTTTTTTCAGTTGTGCAAGAGCGGCGTCTTGATCTTCGCGTTGTTTCACGACGCGCAGAGACGGCCTATTCTCTTTTGTCGGAGTGCTGGTTGCGGCAGGCAACCTGGTGGGCGAGCCGTTAGCATTCTCACCAAGAGAATCAGAGCTTTTGTGACTAGGTGTAGATCTGCCCGAAGGAGCGTTGGAAGATGCTGCCGAACGGGAGCTCCGCAGGGGAACTTGGGATGACTTCGCGTTGTGCTTTGCACTCTTCAGCAGCGTCTGCTTGACCTTGAGCTTATCCAAGAGCGTTACTACAATCTCGCGAATGCTGGGAAGAAACTTGTCTAGTGTTTCTTCGGATGGTCTTTCTCTCAGAGCCACTTCTAGAACTTTCCGTAAGTTTGTTGGGAGGTCGCCCAAGTCAGAAACCTCTAGTCCTGCGTAGGAGAACTGTTTGGTGACCAGCTTGAAGTCGTTCCCGAGCTGGACATATGCGTCAGATACATTCTTTTCGTTTGCCTGTCCCTTTGACCATTGCGTCAGCCGCTGCAGTAATTGTTTTGTCGAGACGAGAAGTTTCGTTACGCTCGTTTCAACGCTGGAAGCGCCGCGAGAAGGCCGGCTGGATGACTGACTGAAAGACCTTGTGCCATTGGCAGTTGAACTTCCTGTATTTTCGGACATTGGGCCTTCTACTGGAGCTGGTATCTCTCGACCTAGCGGCATGCCATTTAGGTTTGTGATCCTAGTTGATCAGATTAACATGTAGTGAAATCGCTGTTATCGTATGTTACGAAACACGTGACACATTGGTACCCAAAATACGCGTATGAAGGACAAACATCGAAGGCCGGCAAGGCACTCAAGGCAGTGTTGAGAGAACGTTCCTTCTCGCTTTGGTACGAGCTTCTTTGCTTTTGGAGCTTTTGTCTTGAAGGCCTGGCCAACAACAAACTTGCAGGCTAAAACTTGTTCACGCGTGCGAGCGAACGACAGTGCGCGTCGACGATGTTGTCATTGCTTATAACAGGAATCTAATGCTAAAGCCAGGAGCAATGTTCTTCTGGTGTAATTTCATTACATGCGTCCAATTGTCCAGTCACTCTAAGCTGTGTTATGATTTCGCGACCTCATCTTGCCGTTGCTGATCGATCCTGTAATCAATGCTACAGTTTATCGTAGGCAGCTGGCTCGGCCGCATGCACTTGTCTCGTGAAAAAGCCCACTTCGTACTTCGCGCCTACAGCCACTAACGACTGGGACGGGCTTCCAAAACGACAGATAACTCTTCACTCTCCAAACCTCGAAACTCAACTCTTGTAGCAGCCCAGATAGTTCCCCAGCGGTTCCTAAAGAGAAAACTATTTGGAGCTAAACGTCGTGCTCGCGTTAGCGGCATCGCAAACTTTCGTGACATTCAAAGAGTCCATCAGACGTGGTCCCACACCAGCTTCATGGGTTAGTATACAACCTTGAACACACGAACTCAAGCGGCATTCTCGAGCGCTGGCAGTTTTGTCGCTGCTACTGCGGTGCATTTATGAGTTTTCTTGTTGATCGAAGATGAATAAACACTTTGACGCGTCATATTTCTATAGAGAATAATCACCTGAACTAAATTTTAAAAGACGAAAGTGAATAAAGTGAAGATAGTAGAATGTCGATTAATCATTTCTAGCATAGCACATGGTGTGGTTAAATACATGGCTGTAAACTCAAAACCGTACCAGCAGAGATTTCCAATCTTAGAGAAGTTCATATAAATTGTCGAGCTTACCGCTCAGATGGAGCATGAATGAACGTGCTTTTCCCTCGTGTGTGCCGGACTCAGAGGCTGAAGACCATGAAGTAGTGATATGGAGACCAGACCAGTTTTTAGCCGTTCCACAGGAAAGTGTGCCAGCCGAAGATGTTTCGAATCAACATTGGATTGAGAACGGTGTACACGAGCGCAGGGAGATTGCAACGCATAGATTTCGTTCGTTTCGAAAAAGAACGGCGATCCAGAAAAACCCATACAAATTGGATAGAATTCGGCATAAGCAGTTGCTGAAAGGATTTGGCTTGCAAGTGGAGTCTTCAAGACAGATAAAAGACCGAGATGACGGTGGCAATAGCGCTTCACTAGGTGCTTCGTCACAGGACGCCGAATGGACTGAACATGAAGGCAGTCCTCATAACTACAAGATCGGAGATTACCATGATATCGACGCAGAAGATGACCAGCCAAAAGATGGTTTGACCCAGGAGAGCCTGAGCTCAGCTGAAGATGAGCAAGATTTGGTCTACCGAGGTCGGCATATCAGCTTGCAGTCTGGATTTAGGGGCATTCTTCCCAAATCCATGTGGAAGAAAGCCTTGCAGGATTCCAGAGAAGTGCACTTTAACAATCTACAACAAACTAAAAGAGAGGGCAAAGGGGTGGCAAAGCGGAGACTGGTCACTGATCTGCGGCTCGAGCCCGGGAACGCCGCACTTAGTGATGGCCTATTCGTGTCGGATGAACCTATGGATAATGTGGATGATGTCTTCAAAACCACCAAATCGGATAATGAAAAACACAGTTCTAAGCACCTGGAATCAATGAGCAACTACCTAGAAGGCAAATACGGCAGTTCATACACATTTGACGATCTGTCCGATGGTGCAGAGCTGTCGGACGATGGCTCAGACCCCATTACAACGTCAACTGAAATGCAACCTACGTTTGCGCAAGGGCAAAATTTAGAAGAAACGTTAACCGATGCTTCTAACTCAGATTTGGAGGTTTCAGACCACAAGCTCAATTCATTTAAGGAGCGTGAAGATAACATCATCGATGCCATGCTTAGTGCACGGCGGCGTAGAGTAAAATCTCTTGGTGCCAGAAGGCTGACCACTCCCCGTTCAAATGGTTCAAAAGTTACACAGCCAGCAAACAATCATAACAACTTTAAGCGGAGGAAAACCACAACTTTAAAACCGCGTACAAGCGGTCCAGTGAGGCAAAAGAAGTCTGTACGGAGACCTAATTTAAAACCTCGAAGCCGAATTAATGACACAGCACGCCGTGAAGGTCCATCTGATAGATCGGCTAGTATACAAGCCAACAATGCGGATCGAAGCAGCAACGCTAGGGAAGAAGCGAGATCAAAAAAAAGTTTTGGCATCGAGAATCTCTCTAACTTCATATACACGGCTTCGAAAGGAAAGCCTACTGCCTTTGATACATCTGTTGAACGAGAAGGAGGAAGGTTTGCTATCGTGAAGAAAAGGAAGGCCGAGGACCATGACCTGGAAAAGATTTCTGCAGGGTGCTCCGAAATATCTCCGATACCCGAGCTCCCATTGATCTCTGCGATATGGGGTCACAAGTATGATCAGTCTCAGACCGTGGAGTTCACCTTATCTGGCAAGCCTTTCAAGGCATCTATGTACGATTCGAATTTTGCAACTAATTTGAAAGCGATTTTCGGTCATATTGTCGAGAGGGGCGCCTCGGACTTGGAGATTTATTCAATGAATAGCCTCATTGTTCCTCTGTTAGACCAACTGGATAATCCTGGTCTATGGGCTATTGTGGATGACTTCCATAAGAGCTTTAGGTCGAAAGCAAATACTCTGAGAAATCGAGCGAAACCCATACACTTCTACCAAATTGCCGCTTGTCAAGTTATGCTGACTGTGGTACGGCGCTATTCAAGTACCTCAAACATACTATCCAAGGAGATTGTGAGCAAAATTCTCGATCACACAGTATCATTTTTCAAATTGCTTTCCAAGTGCAGTGTTCTGGAGTTAGACGCCAGCCTTCTAAATGATTCCTACACTATATTGTCGAATCTAGTCGAAAGTTTACATCAGGGGCGAGAACTTTGGAACAAGATCTGCTTCTCTACATTTCCCTCGAGCATCGCCCTCATCATTCTACGGAACTTCCCTACAAACGAGACATTTTGGCAGATTGCAGAGATAGAACAATCATATACAGGGGTCAGTGAATGGCTACAGTTTGTTGACCACGCTGTCAATTATTGTCAGTGGCGCGTCGATGGCATGCTGATTCAAAGGTTCTATAACTTCTTTAAAGTACGGAAATTTCAGAACTTTCCCGAGGAAAAGTCAAGCGAGACAAATTTACACATTTTTGGCACAAAAGACTGGAGCTCGTCTTCCAAGACTGCTTTCAATGTCTTCATTGATTTGATCAATTCATGTCAATTGTCAAGGGTTCAAATAGAGAAAATCACTCCACTTGGTCAACTTGTCAGCTTGAATTCTCCTGCGTTACTAGCGAATCGTATAAACCTGTTGCTGGTTCTTGCAGAGCACGCAGATTCTAGCTATGAGTCTAAATTCGAGGATCTCTGTTATCCATACCTTGATCAAGATAGTGAAAAACAGCCGAAGCTGGTGAGAATCTTCGAGCTCATGCTCTTGGGATTTTGTTCACTCCTACAAATCAATGCGAACAAAAACCTGATCACCAAGGCGAGAGTAGCGTCACTAATTTTTCAGCAAATCGTAAAACTCCGCAGTTTGGCTGTCAATGAGATTTTGGTTCAGTTTTTAAGTCGCATCTATTCTATTGGACCTTTACTCGGCAAGTCCATGTCATTTGTGTTGAAAGCTCTTTACCCAGCTTTGATGTTCATGATCAAAAATAAAGAAAAGGCTGAAGTAGTTCCTTTAGTTAAGTTCTTCGAGCGAAACCTACACTTTTTGGACGTGCCATGGCTCATTACTTATCTCCACCAGGTTTTCTCAGACTTGGCCAGCGAGGATGATACCCTCTTTCATTTTTATTTTGCCGTTACAAAACTATTAGCAACAAAGAAGGCTATAACCTGGTGGTCAGTTTTGAACTACAACAATGCACTCAGTGCATCCAAAATTCAGTACGTTCAGTTTTGTACCAAAGTTGTCGAAAATTGTGACGAATACTCCTTTCTACAAATCAGGCACAAACTACTACAAACCATCGTTGACTTTTTGTTGGAGCCAACTAACTATGCGTTCATTAGATTCCTCAAAGCTCTTTCTCAGAGAGACAAAGACTTCAAGCTCCACACAAGCCTCTCGTACCAATCCAGTAAACTTGAAATTATAAGGGCAACTCTGAATGCATACAAACAGGTTAAAGACAGCTCGTTCGTTGAAAGTCTTGTTGCCAAACTTAAAAGCGAGCTTTTGAGTAAGCCGCTCAGCAAGCCGCTCATAATGGAAGTAACGAATGCGCTCAATTCGAATTTTGTTGATATTCTCAAGAATAATGGCGATTTTCTATATCTTAAAAGTCAGTTCAATATTTCTGACGTTGAGACGCAAAAGAGCATTTTTCGCGAGTTTCTTTCTTGTCAGAAAAGCGACATTGAGAGGGCTATGTTTTTAGAGGAAGAGCTTCTCAAAATTGTAACCCAGGGATCATCTTTGCCCTTGTTTCTTCAAAAAATTGAGTCTTCGATGGGCGCGGCGCTTTATTCAAATGACTTCGGTTTTTTGGGCCATCTAATAGAGGCGAACGCTTCATGTGAGGTCGAGAAATTCACGGAAACTCAGTGGTTTGTCCTTCTTACCTTAATTCGATTCATCAATGGACTACTTGAAAAGAGCCATTGCCAAGTCAGCCGCACTGACTTTTCAGGGCTTTATCAACTACACTCGTTTATTTGCCGTGTATTTCGGAGACCTCTTAAGGCATCATTCAAAGTTGCAACTGAGGGCCACTTTTATCAAGAGGTTTCTCTTTTTTTGACCAGAAATCTTGTCATATCATCGGGATTTCTTGAACACGGGAAACTTGTTGCAATGTGTAAGACATTTTCCAGCATTGCGGCATCTACAGCAAAACGTTCAACTACCAACGCTTTAGCCTACCCCATAGAGAGACTTTTAAAACTGTACGGGCCCTCCATACATTCTAGCTTTCATGAAAAGGTCGACAATTGTAAGCTTAATGCCGTCATTGAGAGCTCTTTGGCAAGGCTTGATAGATTATTACAGTGAAATGAAAAGAGGATTGTGGTGACAAGCATCTGTGGTAGGAAAATTGCATATAAATTTAGCATTTCGTGTGTTCTTTATTAGGAAGCACTATTTACAGCATTTCACATAATCTAATTATAATGACAATTTGTTTTGACGCAGAGTAATTAGTCCCTTCTTTGCAGTGACAAAGTCAAATCATAAAACCTCAGGAAAAGCTAATTCACTTCTTTATGTCCTTCTCTGCCTCCAGCTTATCGACCTGCTTTTTTAAATCGAGCATACTGCTAATGCGCCCGAGAAGAAGCTCATGATGCTGAATCACTTCAGAAGTTGGCATCGCTGGTCTGCTAGGAAGTCCCAACTCTTGTAAAGTAGTCGCAATTTTGGTTTGAGTCGCGGCCTTGAAAGTCGATATCCGAGTGGACCTTAGATACGCTCCGGAAGGCAACTTTTCCCCATGTGTTTGTACGCCTAGGGATCTTCTTTCTTCTGCCGTAAAGTTTTGTAAGAGTTGTTCTGCGTATTCGCTATCAGCCTTCCTCTTTACGGCTATCTGCAGTTCCTGCTTCTGCTTTTTCGTCTTTTTCACCTGAGTCTGGTTATTTATGTTTTTGTTGTTAGTGATGACCTTTTGTTCCTGAAGTTGCTGCATTTGTTGTTTCTGTTGAGCAAATTGTTGTTGTTGCTTCATCCATGGATTTTCCGGAACTGTTTGCTCATATTTACGTTTCTTGGTTTTGTCTGACAGTAAGCTATTGTACAGCTGCGTCATGCCCTGTGATGTCAAAAATTGAGCAATGGGCTTATCCGAGTTTGGAGAGTCCAGAAGCCGCAACAAACTCTCTCTTTCGCTAGACGTCTTTCTTGCTGCCATTTCAAACTTCTTAGATTCGACAATTAAAGCTTCCTCCTCTGCAATTTCGGCAGCAGACCTGGAAAGTAGTCTCTGAAGGTATTTCTTGCGCTCGACTTCCTTCTCCTTAGAGAATTTTAGCGAGCCAACCAACGGGTTGTCAGGGGTTTGGGCCATAAAATACTGATGGCAGACTAAGTAAAAGATCTCTTTCATATCTTCCAAAGATCGCTGTTCTTCGACTTCGAATCTGTCCTGTATAATAAACCATCGCATGTCATATTTCCTGCACAAATCGAAAAGCTGCCGTACGTCTCGAAAACTCCATTTTTTAGAGTCGTCGTCTTTTCCTGTTTTGTCCTTCATGAACGAGTTGTACTCTTCTTCCGTGAATTCTGGAATGGTAAGTTTCGTATTGTATTTCTCAAACGCATTCACCTGCGGTTGCTGCTCGACTAATTCCTTTGAGCCCTTCACCCAATGTCTCAGCTTGACTGATTGTCGAGGCTCGAATTCCGCAAAACTCCACGGGGAAGGCTTGGCCATGGTCCGCATTTTATCCTTGAATTTGTTGCTCTTTTGAACTGCAACAGGTGGCGTATTGTCCCCCAGAAGATTGTACAGTTCCCGCTGCATTCCACTTACTTGAAGCTTTGGTGTTCGGCTTGGAACGGGTGTGTGACCTGAGGACCCAGGGCTACCAGCCCGGTGATTTTGAATGTTCAAAACATCAAATATATCAGACGAAGACATTTGATGCTCGCTGTTCTTCTGCTTGTTTATTTCAATGGACCGCAGTGTGTCCTATAGATTACTTACTACATTTAAAGCTGATTGATATTTTCGATCAAAATTAAAATATACATTTATATATAGAAAGATGTAAATACAAGGTAAGCCCTTTCAAGACAAGAACGGAGGCGGCACAGCATCGATCTCGTACCATGTTCAAAATTCAGATACGTTCGCCAGGTAGCTTGGGAGCCAAGTCTGCTCCTACTTTCGAGGATTCATGGAAAATCATAGAAAATGCTATGGCGATGATACACGAAGGACGCGTAAGTGAACTGTCCTTTGAAGTCCTCTTCCATGTGGTATACTCCCTAACGTTGCGTAAGCTTGGCGGCGAGCTCTATCATAGGATTGGCAATGCGCTTGAGAAAAAGCTTCGGAACGTCAAGGCATCGAGCCTAAATGTGACTTCAACAGACCTGCTTTTGGAAATACTACGAGCTTGGGATAATCATTGCGAATCGCTTCGATTGATCAGTGACGTAACCATGTATCTGGACAAGGTTTACTGCAAGGACAACCGAAAGCCATTTGTATATGACATGGGGCTCGGGCATTTCCGCGATATAATTTTGAAAGCTTCGAAAGATCAAGTCCACAGCTTGATGGTACGACAGATCAATGACGCACGGCGCGGCGCTGTGGGTACTGATTTCGAAACCCTAAAAGCCCTGGTTGGAATGATGGAAACGCTCACGGACTCTAATGACACATACTATATCACTGAATTCGAGCCCTTCCTGCTCGAGAAAACCAGGAAATTCTATAAAACATTCATCGATAGCTACAGCGGTGAAATCATATCATATCCAAGAGAGGTCCAAACGCTCATAGAGAAGGAGCAGGAGGTAGACTCCAAATTCTTAAATCAGGACGTTTCGATCAAAATTGCCAAGGTCGTCGAAAGTATACTGATTTCGGAGAACATGCATTTCGTGGCAGAGAGAGTCACACCGCAGCTTTTGGAAAACAATAAATTTTCGGATCTTAAGCTCCTGTTTGCATTATGTCATGCTCCGACCGATAACAAGAAGCTGTGGAAGCAGTGTTCTCAATATATTTCTCATGAGGGTATATCTATCACCGAGGACTTCTCGCTTAAGAAAAGAGCTCAAGTAGCAGTCAAATGGATCACTGAAATTTTGGAACTTAAGACCAAATACGAGAACCTTTTCAAAAGCGTTGCAGAAGGTGAGTCGACCGACCTCAAAGCCGTGAATGAGGCTTTCTCCATAATCTTGGCTCAAAACGGGAAAAGAAATGCAGAATATTTGGCAGTTTACATAGACTTCATGCTGCGTTCTCCTTCTGTCGCGGAGGATTCAATGAGGGTGAAATTGGAGGAGGCGATTGCCATCTTCAAATTTTTGAGGGAAAAAGATGTTTTCGAAAAGGTATATCAGCAGCAACTTTCCAAACGTCTGCTACAGCAACGGTCGTCTTTGAAGCTAGAAAAACATCTCGTTAACCGTATGAAGGAGGAAGTGGGTAGATCTTTTGCCTTGAAGCCGGAGGGCATGTTTAGAGACATGTCGATATCGCAGACCAACAATTCAAAATTCCAGCAATCTTATCAAGTACCATACGCATTCGACATTAGCGTACTCACATCAGCCTGTTGGCCCTTTCAGCAAACAAGCAGCGAGAAGGAAGTTGTGTTACCTGCTTCTCTCGAGAGTTTAAAATTGGACTACGAAAATTACTATATGAAATCGTACAACGGCCGGGTCCTAAGTTGGGCGTACCACCTTGGCTCTCTGGATGTTGGATTCCAATTTAAGAAAAGCTACCATGTCATCACCATGCCAGTGTACGCGGCTATCATATTCATGCTATTCGAGGACCACGAGGAATTCTCTATGCAAGAGATTAAAGATCTCACAAACATTCCAGAGCATGAGTTGATCAGAAACCTTTTGACCATCGCAATTGCCCCCAAAACTAGACTACTGAAAAAGCAGCCGATGAACAAAAAGATACTTCCTTCAGACAGATTCCGCATTAATTATTCATTTTCAGCGCCCACTACAAAGGTGAAGGTTCTTGCAGTACTGACCAAACCGGAGTCTGATACACAACCTTCTTCCCGTAGCAACGATGTAGCACAGGACCTTACAAATGAGCGTAAACGATGTGTTGAAGCGGCCATCGTCAGGACATTAAAGAGCTCTCAAAGGATGTATTTCGACCCGCTTTTTGAACTCGTGCGAGAAGCCGTGGCAGTGCGCTTCCAGCTCGATCCAGGCTTGTTTCACAAAAGCGTAGACAAGTTAGTGGAACGGGAGTACATTCAACGGGATCCAGACGATGGTACTTTCTTACACTACCTTGCGTGAATATTTAGCTTCTTGTAGGTTCAAACAATTCAAGGCGTTTGCTTTTTCAGTATTTTCTGCAGGTCCTTGGCAACGCGAGCCACTCCGCCTGTATCCTGCGAACAAACGAAACACTTGGTTGTAGTTTTCGCTCTGTTCGCGAAGCACGCGCCACAGAAGTAGTGCTTGCAGTTGGTTACCACAGGGTTTTTGTAGTCCTGTTTACATATGACGCATTTGAATGGGATTTCCTCCATCTTCTTTACTTCTTCTTTGCTGAAATCGATCTTCCAATCTTGGTTGAGCTTCCAGCCAGATTTGAAGTCATCTCGTGCGTGCAGAAACTTACAGCTATCTCCGTAGCCGCAGTACCCCGTTTGTTTGTAGTCCTTACACACATCTGGCTGGTAGTCCATGTACAGTGTTGATTTCAGATTCGACTGGTTTTTCTGGGCAGGGTCCAGACTTGAAAGCGATATCGAGGGAGTGGAAGAAGTAGCCGTTTTTTCAGCATTTCCGGTTTTTTCCACAGTTTTCAAAGCTTGAACTTCATTAGAATCTACAGAAATTCCACGTTTCGGACTTTCATCTTTACTGTCTGTGTCTTGTGCGTCGTTTAAGCCAGGCGATGAGCTGCATGATGACTTAGGCGATGAGCTGACTTTGTTCGCCTTCGAGTCCACGACAGTAATCTCTGGACACGCTGTTAATTTCTTCCGTTTGGTAACGTTCTGATCCTGTCTCACAGTTCGCTTCTTGAACATTACACCAGCGCTTAATTCCCTTCTGACTTCATCCTTTGTATACTCTTTTTCCAACTCATCAATTAGAGATATTAATTAACTTTACCTTATTTCACATCATATTCAACAAAAAAATAGCATAAAGTCAAACAGAGAAACTCTGAACAACTTTCGCCATTGTAGCACTCCTGAACTGCTAGAAGACCAGTTTTAGTGATGAGTGAAAGTGGTAAGGAGCGAGAGACTAGAGCTCAGTTTGTCAAAGAACATGAAGCGCGTTTGGGGGGAAAAACAAATAAGGTTTTGCGCAGTGCAATGAAGCACCAGAGTGGTAGGGGCAGCGGTGAGGGTAGGTCGCAAGAAGAGGAGGGTGGAGTAGAATCGTCACCACTGCTAACGTCGACGCCACCAACAGTGTCGAAGGCGCTCGTGAGGTTATACCCGTATCTGATAATAGCAGACAAGGTTTTGAGCATTACGACATGGACAAACGACGACATCTGGCCCAGTGTTTTGGTCGTGACCGGCTATATTACAGTGGTGCTTTACTTCCAGAATATGCTGCGGTTTTTTGGCCACCTGGTGCTTGTTGGAACGCTGTGGTGCTACTCGCTGCTGGACTCGTTCGTGGAGAACTCGATCAAGGAAAAACCGACGCTGGACGACATTGTCCAAGTAATTACGCGCGTAAACGCCAAGGCCGATCTTCTGCTGTCACCAATTGCGGTGTTGACGGGCAATGACATCAAAAGACTACTGTTCACGACGATTTTCTTGTCGCCCTTATATGTGATCATCACGCTGTTCATCTTCCCACCACGCCGGCTGCTGCTGTTTGCGGGCGTGTATCTGCTGACATACCATTCTTCATGGTCAATAGTGAGTCGAAAGCTGCTGTGGAGGTTCAAGCTAGTGAGACTGCTTGTGTTTTACGTTACCGGGCTGGACTTGAGCGGGGCCAACAAGAGCCAGGGCATTTTTGCCGTTGTTCAAAATAAGGTCAAGAAGCTGTCGTCGCACAAAGGCAATACGGAGGATGGGAAACCCATCAGATTCACGTATGTGCTTTACGAAAATCAGAGACGCTGGCTTGGCATTGGCTGGACCTCCAACATGCTAAGCTACGAAAGAGCGCCATGGACGGACGAGTTCATCAACGAGGCGCCCTCCCCTGAGCAGTTCAAGTTGCCAGAGGAAAACATGGAGATGTCCTGGAGATGGGTCGACAGAACATGGAGACTTGATATGACCAATGACGGGGCCATCCAGCTCCCCAGTTCTCGCCCCAGAACCACGGCACAGCCTAACTCAGACGACGGTTTTATTTACTACGACAATACTTGGAAGAAACCTTCTACGGAAGATTCGTTTTCTAAGTACACAAGACGCAGACGCTGGATTCGGACCGCAGAGCTGCTGCGGGGCGACACTTATGACATCAGTGGCTTGGCAAGCACCACGAGCTCTGCCGATGTGGCATCTCAACCGGTAGACGCCGCGGGAGTGGTCAGCGCCAAGCCCGAAGGTGCAGACGCGCCGTCCACGATTTTGGAAAACGTAAAGGACCTTGAATCCTACAGGCGCAAGGTCTCGTTCAACGACCAAGAAGACGTGCACATCATACCTCCACCAAAGGAAGCTGGCTTCAGAAGATCTTCACAGGCTGTTATCGACGATGATGAAGTGGATCATGGCTCCTCGGACCAGCACCAAGAGCAGCCCGTCGCGATGGCCGTGGCAGATCGCCGGAAACAGCCTTGCGAGGATGCCAATGCTGCAGTTGCCGCTGCCGCTGCCACTGCCACTGCCTCTGCCGCGGTGCCCGAGACCAAAAAGAATGCATAGCAGGATATATACCTCGTAATAATAAATACACACACAACGCAGAGCCCGCCTGCACTTCACAAATGCACTAAGTCTCGATTAGAAAATATACTTGAAACACGTATTCTTTTAAAACTAGATAATGAGAGCTTCCCGATTTCAAGTCCGTCTGCCCGTCCGGGTCAGTCAGTCAGTCCGTCCGTCCGCTGGATGGTTCCTGGCGTACTTACAATTTGTTGACCTTCAAAGTTGGAGGCAAAGATTGGATCAACTTCTTGGCCTTACCGGCGTCGTTGACGATCAAAGTGTATAGGTATCTGGAGCCTCTGACCTTGAACTTGGTCTGTCTGAAGGCCTTACCGGACTTGTTCAACTTCTTGTTGATCTTGACGGTGGCAGATTGCACGTCGGCTCTTCTGGCTAGTTCCAAGAACTCTTTGATATCGGTAATTTCCTTGGCCATTGTGTCTGGATTTCTAAACTCGAACGGTGTATCGAAGTTTTCAAAATGTAACTAAGAAGGAAAAGATCAGAATTCGAGGTTTCTTACAGTGTTGAGAGGGCGAGTTTCCCATTCACACTGGGAAAAGTTTCAGAGACCTGGGAATTTTCAACGTCACGTGCACAAAACCGAGTCCTTAAAACTGATTTTTTGCGTGGGTCGCGCAACTGTCGATGACATAATCAGAACTTTAGTCCATAGATCTTTGACACGTGACTACATAGGTCACAAGATCGAAATATTTTCCATTTGTCATAAAAACTAAATGGTGTGCGGATGTTCTAAACTGACAGTCACAAGCCAGCTAACCGCACATCACAAGATATCCTCCATTTCGATCTCGTCGTCGCCGTCGGGGTCACCGTTGTCGCCGTTATCGGCGTTGTTGCCACCTTCACCGTCGTGATCGCCGTTATCGGCGTTGTTGCCACCTTCACCGTCGTGATCGCCGTTATCGCTGCCGTTTTCGTCGTCTTTCGCCAGCTCACCCAACCGAGCGGCTCTCTCGGCCTCTTTGAGTCGCTTGTATTCAGTCTTGAGTGTATATTTGAGCGCGTAGGGGCCCTTCTTGACCAGAATGGCCACTTGGTCTAAACACTCTTTCAAGTACACCTCGGGCTGCTTGGTACGCTCTTTGAGACCCTTCAATGACCAGTAATCGTATTCGTCGAACAGTTTGAACAAAAAGTCCAGCAGCTCCTTCTTGGGCATACGAATGGCACGCACGTTGTTCTTGGCCTTTTCGCGACCCACTTTCAGGAAATTGGAGTTGTCCGAGCGCATCGACATCCCTGCGTGGCTCATCGTCACCCCCGGCGTCTGGTCCAGCACCGTGACCGTGGGCTTGTGCTTGTTGCGCACGATATCACGACGCTGCTCGACGATCTTGTGGTAGTGTGGGTCCTCCATGGACGGGATGACGTGGCACTCGTGGCACACTGTGCCCGCGATCGCGGTTTTCTTGGGAATGGTCTTGACGTACGGGATGTACCGGTCGCGTCCGTCTCTGTCGGTCATGACCCGGTTTTGAAACCGCCGCTTGTTGTTGCGCCGTTTGAGCTGTTGCTGTTTCTTACGCATCTCCTCCTCGCGCTCTTGGCGCCGTATAAACGCCTGTTTCTGCTTTTCCGGGTCCGCTGCCAGCTCGCGCTCACGCTGCTGGTACTTCTTCAAGTTTTGCTCTGTAAACACATACTCATTCTCGACCAGTTTTTTGGTCAGTTCCAGGTCATACTGGTGTGGAATCTCCAGGTTATCCTCTGTGTGGTTCAAAAACATCTGGATTGTCTGGCTGTTCTTGTTGATACGGATTTTCCCCAGCTCTTGCCCGTTGAGATTCGACTTGTGGCGCCATTTCTCCGCTAGAAACTTCGGCAGTCGTACCAGCCAAACCTGTCGTGCACTGCTATCCAGATCAAGATCCAGTGACTCCTCGTATACACGAGTCTCGTTATCTTCTATGTCGTTGCCGTCAAACACTTCTTCGTCTTGCGATAAATACTCGTCCCCAGACTCATTTCCCTCGTTTTTCGCCGTAGCGGCCGCAGTAGTTGTTGTCTCTGGCTCTGAACTCATTTTGGAGGTCCTACACGAGCGAACTGGAGCCTTTTATACCTGGCTCTGTAACTTTTTGGGTTTATAGGATGGGAAATTTGTATCAATGAGTTGATCTTTATATTATATATTTATAAATATGCAATTAAGAGGAGGGCATCGATGAACCTTCAAGTTTCGGAACTACTTCGAAAAGGTACGAATATGGATCAGTTGGCCACTGGAAGATGGATCTAAGCAGTTTACTGAAGGTTGAAATAGCAAGGAAGAAAGCAGAACTTCGAAAACCCGAGGTTGAAGCGCCAGAATCGCGCAAAGATAGCACGACAGTTGAAGTCGTACAGCCTGCGGACGAGCTCCAAAAGGGTCCAGGAGATTCGCTGGTAGCGGTGGCAAAAGAGGATGTTGCCGAACGAAATGCGACTGTGCATGAGACGGGGTCTTCCCGGAACGAGATGGACGTGGAACGGCTGCGAACGCGGCCGGAACGCGTCGCGCGTGCTCGTGAACACGACGAGCACGCAGACACAGCGATCGTGGCCGCCACGATTGGCGACCCCGAGCACGCAGCAGATCTCGCGTTGCAGTGCAATTTGTACGTGCACCAGCTGCTAGGCGAGTGGCAGGATTTGGGCTACAAACCGGAACTCGTGGTCGAGACCAAGAAAGCACTGTTCCCGCTGCTGGTGCAGCTGCGCAAACAACAGCTGCCAGCAGAATTTGTCACGTCAGTGGCGACGATCTTGTACCATGTCCAGCACGCGCAGTTTGCACAGGCCACGCAATCGTACCTGAAGCTCAGCATCGGCAACGTAGCTTGGCCTATTGGTGTCACGAGCGTGGGCATCCACGCTCGAAGTGCACAGGAGCGCATCCAGGGCCGCGACAAGATCGCCAATGTGATGCTGGACGAGCCGACCCGGCTGTGGATCACCAGCGTCAAGCGACTGGTGTCATTCGCGGCCGCGGCCGCGAATATGCGTCGTAAGAAGTCACAGCTCCAGGACGAGTGATTTTTGGCTACTTAGGATCCGCTATTGCCATTGCGAATTCTCCCACGTCTTTGAAGTCACTTCGGTAGCGACAGAACGACCATGACTTCGCTCGTGCAAGGATTGATCGAGGGCCTGGCGCAGGACTATGCGACCGACAAGTGGAACGACTTCGCTGGCGAGCGTTTTCAGCCCACGAAGGGTATGTCAAAGAGACCACAGGGAACAGCAAGAACACCGACAACTCCTTTACTGACGATCAAAACCCCCATCTTTATGCACAGACCCGTTCTACGAGGTGTCTCGCGAGGGCAAACGCAAGCGACGTAAACTGCCCGAGTTCTGCTCGCCTCGCGAGAAGAAGTTGTGGAAAAAGCTGCAAAACCGTGCCTGGAAAGACGACCGGTGTCTATGTGGATGTCTGTGGCTCAACTGGGGGCTCGGACTCGCACCCATGTTATCCATCATCCCCACCATTGGGCCCATTATCATGTATAAAGTACACTCAAAGCTCATCTCAATGGCCGACAAGGAATTGACGCTACCTGCCGAACTGGTGGCCAAGTTGCACGCCAACATCGTGCTGGATCTACTGATCTCGCTGCCCCCGGTGCTGGGCATCATATTTGCATGGATGAACGCCTGCTCGACCCGGAACTGCGCAATGGTGTACAACTTCGTTGCGGAACGGGCCACCACCAGCTACAACGTGCGCGTGGCGCGACAGGAGGCGATGTGTCCGGCTAAGAGGTCTAACGCGACCCACGCAGCCCAAACGGCCCAAACGGCGCCACGAAGGCCTCCACCAACGCACTGACTCGCGACCTTGTCGTTTTCTTTGACCATTGACAAAAAACCGTTGACCTCGCTGGTGTTTTGAACTCGCACATGTATGTACTGTTTACAACAGATATACAAACAACGAAGACCAAACCATCGCCATGACCAACGATCGCAATCGGCTCTGGATTGACGGGTGCTTCGACTTCACCCACCATGGCCACGCGGGCGCCATCTTACAGGCCCGGAGTTTGATCCCACCAGGAACCAGCAAGAGCGCACTGCTGTGCGGAGTGCACAACGACAACGACATCGCGTTCCACAAGGGTGGGAAGCCAGTGATGAATCAGAGCGAGCGGTACGCACACACACGCAGCAACCGGTGGTGCAGCGAGGTGATCGAGGACGCGCCATACGTGACCCAACCGCAGGTTCTGGACGCACACAACTGCCAATTCGTGGTGCACGGCGACGACATCACCACTGATGCGAACGGCGAGGACTGCTACCAGCAGATGAAGGATATGGGCCGGTTTTTGGTGGTGAAGCGTACGGACGGCGTGAGCACTACCGACATTATCCACCGGATCCTGACTGGGGCCATGGCGACGAGGGACTCGACGCTGTGCGAAGCACACCGTGCGGTGCTGGCACGATACGCGACGGGTGCAGACGGCCATGGGCCGTGGTGCTACGTGTTCGAGGGTCGCCTAACAGAGGACGCGATTGTGGTGCGCGGTGGGTACGACTGGGATACTCACAACGTGGTGTACATCGAGGGCGACTTCGATCTGTTCCATATTGGCCACATCGACCAGCTCGCGCAGCTGCGTGAGCGTTACGGTGCGCAGCGCAGGCTGGTAGTGGGCATATCGACCACGAAAGACTGTGTGATGACGTCGCTGGAGCACGTTTTGAGTGTGCTAAGCTGCAAATACGTGGACGCGGTGGTGGTGGAGCCGCACACGCGGCCCGAAACACAGGATGCGTGGGTCCTGGACGACCCACGATTGAAAACGGGCCAGTTTGCGTATCTCGACAAAGCTGTGATCCTGGACCGGATCATGGCGGACCGCGACCACTACGTGGCCCGCAACATCAAGAAGGGCATGTCGGGTTACTAGAGGGGGTTTAACAGGAGCAATGGCGGCGTACAACAAGAGCAATGCCAGCGTTACACCACAAGGGCAGCTTTACACCTCTTATACACATTTTGATACATTCTAGATCTGCCTGGTGGAGATCCAAACTTGCGCGCTACACTCCAAGCACCATCAAAGAACCGAAATTCACAGTCGATGGGGTCAAAGGTTGGTACCTGGTGTTTCCAACCGCTAAGCACTCGAGCTTTCCATTTGCAGGCCACTTCGAGACATTCTACTCGAATAGAGCTCTAACATAATCAGTCGCTGTCACCTCTCGACTGTATTTTGGGCGCCAACTGGAACATCAGAGATCGACATTCGAAGCTTATTAGTTCAATCCAACTGGCAAAGATTTGTCCATACAACTGAACGTTTCTCTGAATCGTTCACTCTCACATGTAGGAAGTTACGTAGGTAATTTAGTCCACAGAGAAAGCTTTGGTCTTCGAATGAAAGTCCTCACACTGGACCAGCATCGACCGTCAGTTGTGTCGCGCTGCGAATGGTGTGGGTTACACCTGGAGATATTTAGAAAATCTAAGATGAAGGATTGTGAGCGTCAAAAGGGCGCTTGGGGAGTCAGATAAATGGCCATTGAGAGCTGTAGTTCAGCTAGTGCGCACTGGATTTTTCTGTCACGAACTAGTCACTTTACAAGACACTTTACAAGACACTTTATACTTGATCGTCGTCTTCACTTGCTATTCTTACAGGAAAGTTTAGAGGGTTAGAGAGCGAGAGAGTAGCAATCCAGACTGCAATGTGAGTGAATTCGAGTAGTTTTTACTCAGTAGAAAGGAAGCTCATCTGGTCCCCGGTGGATACATTGCACTTGTATATCGAAATAAGTAAAGAATGAGTCTAGGACCTCGTCGGTAGAGAGATAATATTTGGCATAGTCACTACAAGCGCTGTTTGGCAAACGCTTAGCCAGTTGTTCACAATCAACTCTCACTCGTTCTATCGCGCAAGTACTTTATGGCTGCCACAAATATGTGTTTGAAAGTTAATGAGTTCTCTACTAGTTTACAATACTGCGTGTAGACATGTAACTGTGACATGTAGTTGTTCAATTTTGCGTGTAGACACTAATGATATCAACAATTGAGAGCGTCTGCGATCGACTATTCAACATCGCTTCTAGCAGCTCATGCTATTCACAATTGAGAGCGTCTGCGATCGACTATTCAACATCGCTTCTAGCAGCTCATGCTTTTCACAATTGAGAGCGTCTGCGATCGACTATTCAACATCGCTTCTAGCAGCTCATGCTATTCACAATTGAGAGCGTCTGCGATCGACTATTCAACATCGCTTCTAGCAGCTCATGCTATTCACAATTGATCGCTAGCGCTGTCAATTGTTCAATAGTGCTTGGGGTTATCTGGTGCTCTGAGTTTTCTTAACTATCTACTCGTTCACAGTCGATATCCAGACCGACTGTGCTACGTATGCTATATTTTCGTCAGTCGTGCATCCCTCTCTCTCTCCCTTAGTCGTGAAACTGCTGCACTTCGCCCAGCTTGCGTTCGTGGTCCTGAACGTTTGATCCACGTCTCTGTTTGCGAAACACAGGAGGAATCTCGCCAGTTTCGATGAGATCCTGGATTTCGTCGCCTGGCTTGCCCCAGTTGCCCTTGCCCGACCCGTGTTTCTTGACTCCGTTGGGGGCAGCACCGAAATGGCCGTTATGGGTGAAATAGTGTGATTCCGCCTTGTCTTCGTGAATGGTCCATTTGTTAGTTCTGGTCATGGTGGGCGATTTGTTGATGTGTATGTGTGTGTATGTGTGTGGGTTTGTTTGTTGTACGTATGTACTATAGTGTGTGAGTGTTAACATGAGATTACAACACCAACCTCAACTGGTTCCAAACTACTGCTTTATATACAAAAGACGTCGATCTTAATGACTGAGCCACGATCGTGATCATCGTTCCCTCTTTCAGTCTCGGTTGACTAAACTTCTTCGTATGAGTCTTGTTTTTTCCCCTGAATCCTTGTTTTCTCCTCCTAACCGAGACCAAGGGGAGAAGGCTGCTGCTAGCAGAAACGGGTGGAGAAAGAGAAGAATAGAGACGAAACGAGCCAATCAGAGAGGGAGAGAGAGAAATAGGTTGTGTTGATGGTCAAAGTTCGTCAAAGTTTGGTATCCTGAAGGGTCAATGTGGGGGGGTTTGGAGGGTGTGAGTGGTGTGGAAGGGGCAAAAAACAGGTGATAGTTACGGGAAAGAGGAGTTTGGAGGGGTGTCAGGAGGAACACACAGTGCGAAGAATGCTACTTTTTGAACGTTGACTATGAAGAAGACAGGACGTAGTTGTGTAAAGAGAGGAGAGCAGAGGTAGAATATATCACTATAGACGGGTCTTTTGTAATTTGGAAAAGCGTTTATTCAGCGACGTAGTAGTAGTCTTCGGCATAGATATAACAGTAATGAAAAGTAGTGAATCATGTTTCACTGGACCGAGTGTTTGTAGTCTTTTTCACTATTGTTGTTGCTGGAATATCTTGTGATCGTGGTAACGAGATAGCACGTGACCGGAGGGGAGTACGGTATGGTGTGGTCCGTCGCAAGGGCATGCTGAGCAGAGCTTTCAGCACACAGGTTCTCGCTAGAGTAGCCCAATGCCCCTGCAAAACACTTGCTTGATCCAACGAGGACGTTCAAGCACCCAAGGCTAGACCAACAGACTACACTGCTGACAATAAAAGAATCAGGTTTTCGGCCTCACAGAGTTGATCTCCGTAGTCGCTATTCTTCCTCACCCTCCCACTCGGCATTACCGTTTGGCTAACTACCAGTTTGCCGCGGACTAGCTTGCCGATCGTCTTCCGGCACCCCCGACCGGGTTTCCCTAGGGATTAAATCCATATGGCAAATACAATTTCATATTGAATATTATTATTATCTCTCATTTTGAAATAACTACAAAATCGAAAGATATAAAACAGACTACCAACAACGAAATTGGCGGCAATCGATTCGTGTTACACCAAGTAGATTACTATCAGCCAGAGACACGGATACCTTCATCTGTCTGATCATTGCATCGGAGTTCATAGACCCTGATCTCGAGCAAAACAAAAAATCCAAAGTTATTCCCCTAAATCTCTCCATTTGACACAAGTGTTCTTCTAACAAAGCAGCGCAAAATGGTTCAATCAAACGCGCAAAAGGCAGTCTGCGTTTACTGCGGGTCTTCTTACGGTAACGATTCCAAATTCTCGAATGAGGCTCGCAATTTGGGCCAATTGTTGCACTCCATGAAGTGGAAGCTAGTGTACGGTGGTGGAACGACGGGCTTGATGGGGGAGATCGCCAGAGCCGCGATGGGGCCCAAAGTGGATGGGTTTGTGCACGGTATCATCCCCCGTGCGCTGGTGTCGCGGGAACGCGACGACGACGCTGCTCAAGTGGACGAAAAAGCCGTTTCGTCATTCAACGACGAAATCAAGAAATCCGTGGAAAACCACAGCGGGTTGACGCCATTGAGCCACGAATACGGCTCTACTACCATTGTACCAGACATGCACACGCGCAAGCGGATGATGGCGACTGAAAGCGACGCGTTTGTGGCGATGCCGGGCGGATACGGTACTTTGGAAGAGATCATGGAGTGCATCACGTGGTCGCAGCTTGGCATTCACCAAAAACCAGTGGTGCTATTCAACATGGACGGGTTCTTCGACGGGCTGTTGGCGTTTATCCAGCACTCCATCAGAAGCGGGTTTATCAGCGAGAAAAACGGGCAGATCATCCAGGTTGCCAACAGCGCGGAGGAGGTGATTGACAAGATCCAACAGTACATAGTTCCCGAGGGCCGGTTCACTTTGAACTGGAGCGACGAACACCGCGGCGACAAGTGAGTCTGGAGCGAAGGAAGTGGGCGAAAAGATAGCCAGTATATAAATTTAAGCAGAGAGCGGGAGTGGCGGGGGGTAGTAAATAAATTTACAGCACTACAAGAATTACCACAAGAATTACCACAAGAATTACCACCAGAATTACCACCAGAATTACCACAAGAATTACCACAAGAATTACCACCAGAATTACCACAAGAATTACCAGAGAGCGGGAGTGGCGGGGGGTAGTAAATAAATTTAACGCACTGCAAGAATTACCACAAGAATTACCACAAGAATTTTAACCAGAGAGCGGGCAGGCAGCGGGCATAAACCGAGGTAAAAGTACGATGGTTCACAAGCATCAGCTGACACCTGAGCGATCCTTTTTTGTTTTTCTTATGCGTCTTCGCACCGGCACCGGCACCAGTGACAGTACAGCGGCCATGGGAAATCCTACACAAAAACTACAGTTCAATAACCAACCCCCTCCCCCCTCACAAACATCGATTTAAAGATGAGCTTGACCCTGCTTGCATTCTCATCGTGGTGTCCCACCTGAATCCTAGATCTTGTGGTCCTTCCTTTTTCATCACATCATCTATCAATAAGCTCCTATTTCCTAAGCTCTTGTTTCCCTGCATGCCTCGGACTCGTGAACGTTCACCGGCTTGGTCTCCCTGTACTGTACGTCAGAACACACGTCACGCACCCGCACACGTCACGCACCCGCACACGTGACCACCAACGTTTTGCGGCCGACAAATGCATGCCTGCACGCTTAATGCCGCGGTATGGAACCGCTTTTCCGCTTTCTATTGCTGCCCCGCCGTACACCACACCCAGTCCTCATAGCAATTCCTAAAATACGGGTATTTACGAGAATGCAACGCGCGCGCGCGTTGCATTCTCAATTCTCTGCCTTATCATGTTCGTTGCGCTGCGGAACGACGTCACGTTTACGCAGCGAGGCTCAAAACTTCCCGGACGAAGATGATTAATCTAATCCAAAATCCGACCGACTTGTTGTTTCTGTAACGTCGAATCTTTTTTTAACCCTCTTGTTGGTGGGTTTTTTTCCGTTTCTCGGCAATGCAGTGATGTTCGTAATGTGTGGTTTTTTGATGTGCATTGCATTGCAGTGCAATGCAGTGTTGAGTTGAATTGAGCTGAGTTGAGTTGAATTGAGCTGAGTTGAGTTGAGTTGAGTTGAGTTGAGTTGTGCGTCTTTCGATACCGGCATCGTTGACTCCTGCCTTTTTTCTCTATCGTTCCCGCTAGCGGTGCATAGATGCCGTGTGTAAATGCCGTTACGTTTCTCTGTAGTTAAGCTAGTTCGCCAATTTGTCGGTTGGTCGACCCTATTTCTAGAAGAACTGAACAGAAAGTTGGTCTCCTGGGAGACCGGGGTTCGATGCTGTATTGACAGCAAGATGGTGGAAAAGCTCGACCCGAAGATATTAAAAGAAGGTTGAGTTTGGGCAGTGAGTGGGACGTTGTGAAGCCAGATGGTGGTATTCGTGAGAACGCGTCGCTTTGGCCAACGTGGATCGACGTAAGAACTAGGGGTCGAGGCATTGCAAGATTGCAAGATTGCCAGAGTGCGGGAGAGCATTACACACAAACACCCAAATACTAGGTTACGTTGCGTCACGTTGTTTTTTTCCCAACCCCCGCCCCGCCCAGACATGAACAGACACACCAAAAAGGGCCCCTGGACCTCGGGCGAGGATCAGGCCCTGCTGTCGCTGGTGCGACAGCTGGGCCCTCAGAATTGGGTTCGCATAGCGGCAGCGCTGAAATACAGATCGCCCAAACAGTGTCGGGAGCGGTACCACCAGAATCTCAAGCCCTCGCTCAACAAACAGCCCATTTCCGAGGCCGAAGGCGCTCTGATCGAAGATCTGGTCGCACGACTGGGCAAAAAATGGGCAGAAATCGCCCGTGTGCTCAATAACGGACGCAGCGACAACGCGGTGAAAAACTGGTGGAACGGCGGTGCCAACAAGCGTCTGCGTGCCCGGGGAACGCCGGGGACGCCGGGGACGCCGGGGACGCAGGCATTGCAAGCATCGACCGTGGTCACGTGGCCAGCAGGTTCTGGCGCCGTCTTACCTCCGCCCGCGTCCGCGTCCGCGTCCTTGTCGTCGTCGCAGTCGTCGCAGTCGCCACAACCGTCGCAATCGCCCAAACTACGGCCGGTCCTGCCCCCCACAGCGCCCTTCCCTTCTGTGACCTGCTACGTCCAGCAACCCGTCTACATCGGGGCCCCCGCGGCCCCCGCGGCTTCCAATAGACACCAACACCAACACCAACCCCAACCCAACTATGACCGTTTTAGTGGGCCTTCCCCGTCTCTTTCCAATAACCTCGTCGAGTACCATCGTTCACAATCATACCCGACGCCGCCAGCATTCCCATCGCATTCCAAGAACGATACCGAGCTCCCTTCGCTAAGCCCCACCGTTATGGCCCAGTCAAGACACCCGATGCTCAAGAAAGATGTGTTCCCATTGAGTGTGGACCGCTCTAGGTTTCAGTCGTTAACCCCGGGTCTCACCAGTCGCAAGCCAGAAGGGCTTGGCACGTCTGCAGATGGTTCCAGACGGTACTCCTCGTCGATTTTCGACAGCACTCCCAGCATCCACCATCAAAATCCTGGCCGGCGCACAATTCAAGATCAATCTTCTATTCATTCCATCCATACCACTGGAGTCAACTCTTTCAGCAGCAACACCAGCCCCTCAACTCCATCAAGTGCATACAGGTTTCAAATTCCTTCGGGTTCGGGAGATTCTCGCCTGCCAAACGATACTGATTTGTTTCGGTCAAACTTCAGGTTCAGCGACCGTCATGCGATCCAAAATTTGTACCAGCCCTCTGAACCCGCGTCTCCAAAGATCGCGGTTAGAGAGCAACGAAGTGAGCTGCCGGCAATAGCCACATCAAAATATTACGAGAGATCCCAGTCTCGAGTCACACTTGGCGATATTCTCAACAAGTCCGAGAGCGGTCCCCAATGAGAGTCAGAATCTCACTGACAAAATCACCAAAGGAGTGCTATAATGCGCTTACAAGTTAAAAGCCGGGGATCACTGTCTTACAAGTCAAAAGCCGGGGGTCACTGTCTCACAAGTGTTCACCAACGCTCTCAATTATTATACCAAGGTCATTTTCATTTCACTTGTTGTTTAATGCCCACACCAGCTTAATCATTTTCTTTAATAGCTGTTCAATGGGGTGTTAAATCTGGACTAGCAGTCATTTCTTTCGAAATATTCGTAATAATGCTATCAACACAGCTGTGTATTCTTAGCTCAATTGAGAGTTTCTCAGTTGATCAGACTCAATGTATAAATATATAAATTCGGAAGGGAAGGCTTTTTAATCACGGTTTTAGTCTAAATCTGTAGATTCCTGGCACTTCTATACTGAGCGTCACTATCTCATTTTAGTTCACTGTCATTTTGTTCTCTAAAATTTTTAAATCTGATGAAGCATCATCGTTCACTGAAAAGTCTAAAGGATAAGTGCACTGAGCTTCACGGCCCGTCTTTTCGAAATAACATGAGCGCTTCTGAGATTCCTGGTCCAGCTGCTGATGTCACGGCAAAAGTAAAGAAACCGGGCTACACGAACCCTGCTTTCAAAGCGATGGGTATTCCTCCTTTGCGCGTCCCATCGCGTAACTGGATGATCTTTTGGACAGTGCTAACGGTATCAATATCAGGTATTGTGTACGACAAAAGACAGCAAAAGAAGATCACGGAAAAGTGGTGCAAAGCCGTCGAGCCTCTTTCTCGGGGAAAATTAGATGTCAACGAAAAGCCAAGGAAAATAACCGTTTTTGTTGCCCCCCCGCCTAGTGACTATCTGGACACTAGTATGACCGTATGGAGGCGATTTGTGAAACCGGTTTTATTCTCAAGCGGGCTAGACTACGAAGTCTTCACTGAAGAGAAACAAGGTTTAATCAGAGCAGAAGTTGCAGAACGCATACGAGAGCTGAGAAGAAATCTGCTTCAACAAGAGACCGAATTGAAGCGACTAGAGGGCGAACGCAAACTATGGAGTCGATGTAAGAACGCATTCTCCAAGGGCATAAACTCAATGAGGGCAACTAAGGAAATTGATGAGGAACAGGAAAAGCTGCTAGCTCTGAAATTCAAGGCAGAGTTCGACTTAAAAAATTTGCTTGGCGTCTTTTTGAAAAATCCAGACCGAGACTTGAAAGTCGTGAGCCGGGATGCTCTCGTTTCAGACCCAGTCATGGCCGGCGGTGTCATTTGCATTGGTCGTGGAGCGTACAAGGAATACATCAATGGCATCCACGAGGGAATTTTGGGCCCATTGGACCCACCAAAGAAACCGGAGCCAGTAATTACGGAAGTTGAAAATCAAGGTCTTGAGACCTCGGAAACTAACGGTACAAGCGACAAGGACCAAAGTCCTCAGGAGAGCTTTGTTGAGATCGCCGAAGACAGCACCGAAAAGACTGTTCCAACGAATAGCGAGAACACGAATGAAGCACCAACAAATAGCGAGGAGACCACTGAAGTACCAAAACCGGTAATAAGTCCTTACATCTCTCCGAGTGAGTACGGTGAAGCCAAGTTTCCACGTGAGCTCACCACCTCAAAGATCATCAGGGAGCTGGACACACAAATTCCTGCTATCTTCCATCAACCAATTCTAGTTTTACCAATGCACAGTTTGAGTGGCTTTCTCAACATTCCAGAGCGTATTTACCGCTTTTACCGGAAGCGGTACGAGGCAGACGCTTTCTGCAGAGCAACTGCGAGTTGCGTGTTACAAAAAGCGAGGTCATTTGAGCCCACAATTGATCTTGATCTAGCCCTAGCTGAAGAAGCTGACTGGCCTGAAAAATGGGTCAAGCAAGGAAAAGAAAAAGGTAGCGAGTGGGTGAGCGAAGTACGAGGAGATGAGAGAGTGCTTAAATTGCTGCATGTTTTCGAGCCCTCCACGATTGAAGACTAGAATTGCTTATGAGAAGCGAAGAAAAGAAACCTGTGTATAGTAAAATCCGCCACCCAATGCAGCGTCATAAATGTCCTGGCGAAGGCTCAGACCGATTTTTAGGTTTTAAAGTGTTTGAATAATTTGGGCTTTCAAAGATTGGAAAATGATAAAGAGAAGATGAAGAGGGTATTTTCCGTCATCTTAAACCTGCAGCCATCTACCTAAATGAACCTTGTCTTTTTCAGTATTAGAACAAGAAGCACACTGTTGAGATATGTGTTTCGCTGTCATAACATCTGCGCGTGCATTTCCTTCAACTTTGAATCACTCAGGTTCTAGCGATCTGGACATAACTGGGAAATATTAGATGAATTAGACGTAGTTTTGTAATTGCGTTCCAGCCAGGGTGGGTGTTGCGGTAAAAACAAAATGGTCTGTGTAGAGAAACCACTGCTTCAAGTACTTCATTTCAAGCTTAGTGTTATTATGATGCCCTTCCTGCCCTCCCTCCCCGGCGCGTCCGCGCTGCACGTCTCTTTTACATAGTCGGTGTCTCTCTCGTAATTAATGCACTATTAATTTGAAGCTTTCATAACATATGAACGTTTAAAGACCTCCAGGTTATCATTGACAATAGGGAAGAGAAGCACAATGAGTCTCTTTTTTAAATCCCCGATTGATATTGAAATCCTTCTAGATGGCGAAGAATCACGAAAGCATGTTGAAATCGCCAACTCTTCCGACAGCGCCTCTGCTAGAACACTCAGAGATAAATACCCTGTCTACGAGGATGGCGAAAGTGTAAGCGGCATAGTTACATTGAGAGTCAAGGAGGGAAAGAAACTAGAACATCTAGGAATCAAGGTGAGTCTTGTTGGAAGCGTCGATATTTCGAAGTCTAGTTCCGAGAGTAAGAAACGGCCCGTTGAGACGTTTCTGAGCTTGAGCGCAGATCTATGCCCTCACGGAGAGCTGATCCACTCTCAGAACTTTCCTTTCCATTTCAAGGACGTAGAAAAAAGATATGAATCTTACAGGGGCAAAAATGTGGATGTGTCCTACTATATCAAAGTAACAGTACTACGGAAATCAACGGATATTGTTAAACACAAGCGATTTTGGTGCTTTCTGTACAACAGAGAGGCTTTACCATCGGCCGTAAGCAGCTCGCAAAATGAAGGAAAGCCCGTGAAACTAGATATTGGAATTGAAAACTGCCTGCACATTGAGTTCGAATACTCCAAATCTCAGTTCTCTCTGAAAGACGTGATAGTGGGAAGGATATACTTTCTGCTTACGAGACTGAAAGTCAAACACATGGAGCTTAGTGTCATCACCAGGGAAACGTGTGGATTAGAGCCCAACCAACTCTCGGATTCCACATCTATTCGTTATGAGATAATGGATGGGTCGCCGGTGAAGGGAGAGACCATACCTATAAGGTTGTTCCTGGGTGGCTACGACTTAACTCCCAGCAGCAACTTCAATCACTTCAGTATCAAGAATTACCTCAGTCTAGTCATCATCGATGAAGACGGCAGGCGATATTTCAAGCAATCTGAGATTGTTCTCTACAGGAAGCGGAATTAATGCTACGGAGGCGCCATCAAAGTCCAAACGGCACGTGCTGCGGTTGAAGTGAAGGTTCTGGACAGTACAACTAATCTTCAAAGAAACTCAACCGAGACTATCTCTCTTTGCGAACAGTGTGACAATTGAGCGAGCTCAATACTTTTCGACCTTTGAGACCTTCTCTCTTTATTTCTACTTCGGATCGGGAAACAAAAATTCCTTGCCCTCTGATCTCCAAAAACTACTCAATTATATTTGAATGGACGAAATTGCTCATATTGATCACAAAACCACATGGGCCGTGAGCTATCTGATCGATCTTAATCCAATTTTTTGTTAGTATTGACGATTGTTATTCTGACGTCGGTGCTTGAAGCACTGATTATGTAAGCATATCGAACCCTTTTGGGAATATGGTAAACATCAACAACAATCCATGAGAGTCGAGCACTACGCAGATCAAAAGATTTCGAAGTCGAGGCATTGCAATGTGACCAGCCATATTCTTTCACCATCGCTTTGACAGTGTACCTCAAAATCACTTGCTTAATTCGCTGGCCACTCCTCGCATAGCTATCGAGAAGGCTAACTAAATGTTAATAAAATGGCCATTCAGTGGGTGTGTTTTGTTGATTCGAGCATTAGCAATACTTGCGACCGCAGCAAGTGTGGCACTTTCCATTACCATACTGAGCAAAAGCTCTCATCAGAAATGTTTTAACAAGCCGGCTCTCATCGTTTTGACATGCGGATTGTCGCTCCTCGCAGTTGTACAGTCCAGTTGTATCAAGAGAAAGACTGGCTTGAGTTGGGTATTGATATTTTCCCAGCTGTTGTGTCTAGGTTCTGCTATTGCATATGTGAAGTTTTTACTTGAGGGACTGCCGAGGTCTTCACTGACACCGACGGAAATGCATCTCACCATCACCCACATTAGTGTGCTTCTGGCTGCAATGCTGGTCAGCAATCCAGTGTACAACTTTAACTCCAAAACGTCTGAAAAGAAGAATATTTCAGATCTAGAACACGGCAATGCGGAACCAAAGGAAGCTGCACAGGATTTACTCGAGCAGAGAACAGTAGCCATGAAAAATTCGGCGCAAACACTAACTCCAGATCAAGACTACGCAGCAGTCGCAAACAACCAACAGAACTGGATGAACAAATACCCCTCAACGTATTCCAGCTCTGAGACTAACTCTACGCATTCCGTTTTCAAACACAATCTGGAATTTCAGGGCCCACATGTACAGCTACATCCACAAGATGCTCTTCTTCCAACGACGTCGAATACAGATGGTCTCCCCAAGACCTCGAACAAATCTAAGATGGGAGTATTTGCGCGCTTGAGGTCCAAAAGCAAATCTGCTGAACGTTCACCCGTAACGGGGCCCGCTAAGGACCTCCAGGCCCGCTACGTAACAAGGCTTTCCACCATTCAAGACACATCAAAGAGTTTGATAAACGTTGCACACAATTCACACAATCTTGAAGCCAGCTCCAAGAGTATTCGCTCCAGCTTTGTATTCAATGACAATCAGAAGCAGTGCCGTCTCGACGACACTGAACTTTCCATGGAGAGGCACGCAATCCACAGAATAAACAGTGCTCTTTTGCCACCCTTCTTACAAGGGTACGAGAATAAAACATCTGTAGCGAGTGGAATTAGCCCTTACGAGCTCACGCCTCCTACAAGCTCGGTAGACGATGACGTTGTCGACATTTTGAGAAACAACGACTTAGAAGACATCCCTCAAATTTCCGATAATTTTATTGATAAAAACGAAGTCCAAGAAACCCGCTCACCGGCATTACTGCAAAGCGTCAGTTTGACTGACTGGCAACTAAACCAATCAAAGTTCTTGCACAATGAGAGGCTTTTAGATCAAAACAACCCCAAACTATTACCTGGCTTCGAACTAAGAGCCACGGACAAATTACACCCTCCTCAAGAATACAGCTTCCCGCTTGCAAAACCCAAAGTCAATTTCGAAAACCTATATCGACAAGACAGTGGTGATGCCATGAGCGAACTCGATGTCTTTTTGAAACAGGAAAGCGTCGAAGAAAGGAACGTGACAGGACAAATGATGAGCGAGGTCTTGAGTCAGGAGGATTCAATCGCCAACTCCCGAAGGCTTTCAAAAACTTTGGACACCCTTGGAGGACCACACTCCCCTACTAAATCTATCACTTCCATCTTGACGAATTCAGCAGCTGGAAGCATCAAATACACTTCAAAGTTTGGCTCGGTATTCACGAATGCTGGTAATTCGACCATGCCACACCAAACCGTACATTCGCGCTCCAACTCTCAACTAACTGCATTTTTACATTCAGCTGCCACTCTGAACAACTTGAACTATTCTACACAGTCGTCTCCCACAAAGAGTAGTCGATTGCGACGCATGAGCAAAAAGGTGTCATTGTCCAACATATCTTTCAAGCATGAGAACGAAGATAGCTTCAATGGACATGCGAGGGACAACAGCATCGATTTCAGCTACGTATACACCCTCCAGAGCAAACACTCGCCATCGAAGTCTCTCTCTTCTGTATCTCGGCGCAACAGCGCGATTCTACAAGGTGATCGAAGTTTACGTACTGCTAGCGCACTTTTCGAGTGTGGAACACAAAAAGGAAATGAGCACGCCAACAAGCTTCCGAACCAAACTCTTGAAGTGCCTGACATCAATGATGACGGATGTGAAGATCAAGAAAGTGTTTTGAGCTCTTCTTCGAAACGAAGTGGCACCGACTACCCTCAAGCTGTTATCGGTGAGTACGACCGTGAAAAGTGGACCACTCTTCAAAGCTTATCGTTGATCGATGAGCCATGAGCCATGAGCCATGTACGGTGTTATCAAATAATATTACATACGTTAACTGCGACTAATGACGAATATCTCAACTCACATTTTTACTGGTAGGTGAGCAAACTGTTCGCTTATATATCTATATTTATTCGGCTTCCAACTTAGCTGTTTACCTTTATCGACAGAAACATTTGGTGTTGAACTGAGGAACAACTTATATCCAAAATCCGTCAGTTTTGAAAAAAGTGATCAGGTCATCGAAAATTTTCAATATTTAAGAGTGATGAGCTGAAAAATCATGGGAGGTGATGAGCTAGTAAGCTACAATAAGGCAAGCATCAAAGAATATTTAGAGAATAGTCTAAGCCGCGTAATTTTTCACAATGGAAAATGATGATCTTTTCGACGTTTTTGATGAAAACACCGCTGATTTGCCTCAGCCAGAAGAAATCCCAGACTCAAATGAAGAGAAACTGAGCAATCAGGGACCAGGTCAAGGCGACGGTGATTCTAAAAAGCGCCCATTGGATACCTCAGAGCATGGCGATCCAGAAGTCAATACGGTAGAAGATAAGCGACAGGCTCAGGAGAAGAACAAAAGAATCAAAGAAGGTAAAAAACTGCTGGACAAGAAGAAGAAGTCTGATGTTGTTCCTGTCGTCGCAGATTCTTTCGAACAAGAAGCATCCCGTGAAGTAAAAGCGTCTAACGGATTGGGAGCAGGTGATGCTGGACAGTTGGAAGAAGACGGGAAAGTCAAGCTATCGCACCAGGTAAGACATCAAGTTGCACTACCGCCGAACTACAACTATCTACCTATTGGTGAGCACAAGCGCACAAACGAGGCCAGAACATACCCCTTCACTCTGGATCCTTTCCAGGATACCGCCATATCTTGTATCGATAGAGGTGAGTCTGTGTTGGTGTCTGCCCACACCTCTGCAGGTAAAACCGTTGTAGCAGAGTACGCCATAGCGCAGTCCATGCGCGAAAAACAGAGAGTGATCTACACATCCCCGATCAAAGCACTTTCCAATCAAAAGTACAGAGAACTGCTGGCCGATTTCGGAGACGTAGGCCTTATGACAGGTGACATTACAATCAATCCCGATGCAGGATGTTTAGTCATGACCACAGAGATTTTGAGGAGTATGCTTTACAGAGGTAGTGAAGTAATGAGAGAAGTTGCTTGGGTAGTCTTCGACGAGGTTCACTACATGAGAGACAAAGAGCGTGGTGTTGTCTGGGAAGAGACTATTATTCTTCTGCCAGACAAGGTGCGCTACGTTTTCCTCTCTGCCACCATCCCGAATGCAATGGAGTTTGCCGAATGGATCTGCAAAATTCACTCTCAACCCTGTCACATCGTTTACACTGACTTTCGACCAACTCCATTACAGCATTACTTGTTCCCAGCACATGGTGACGGCATTCACTTGGTCGTGGACGAGAAAAGTACTTTCAGAGAAGAAAACTTCCAAAAAGCTATGGCATCTATTAGTAGTCAAGTAGGCGACAGCTCGGACTCTACAAACTCACGAGGAAAGAAGGGTCAGACCTACAAGGGTGGCTCTTCAAAAGGAGACTCAAAGGGTGACATTTACAAAATTGTCCGAATGATATGGAAGAAAAAGTACAACCCTGTGATTGTCTTTTCGTTCAGCAAAAGGGATTGCGAAGAACTAGCATTGAAAATGTCGAAGCTTGACTTTAATTCTGAAGATGAGAAAGATGCTCTTACGAAAATTTTCAGCAACGCCATCGATCTTTTACCAGAAATTGATCGAGATTTGCCGCAAATAAAACACATTCTCCCCCTTCTTAGAAGAGGTATCGGTATTCATCACTCAGGCCTTCTGCCCATCCTTAAGGAAGTCATTGAAATCCTGTTTCAAGAGGGTTTCTTGAAAGTTCTATTCGCAACTGAGACGTTCTCCATTGGTCTGAATATGCCCGCAAAAACCGTCGTTTTCACTAGTGTAAGAAAATGGGATGGGAAGCAGTTTCGTTGGGTTTCCGGCGGTGAGTATATCCAAATGTCTGGACGTGCGGGTCGTCGTGGTTTAGATGACCGCGGTATAGTAATTATGATGATTGATGAAAAAATGGAACCGCAAGTCGCGAAGGGTATGGTCAAAGGGCAGGCAGACAGACTCGATTCTGCTTTTCACTTGGGTTATAACATGATTCTGAACCTCATGAGGGTTGAGGGTATATCTCCAGAGTTCATGTTGGAACATTCTTTCTTCCAATTTCAAAATGTGACATCTGTCCCCATTATGGAAAGAAAACTCAATGAACTAGTTCAAAAGTCCGAGCAGATAGTTATAGAAGACGAGCAGAACATCAAAGAATACTATGAAATTCAGAAGACTCTAGATGGCTACGCAGTGGATGTTCGTCACATAATTACTCACCCAGCCAACATCTTGAGCTTTTTACAACCTGGGCGTTTGATTGAGGTAGAAATCGATGGAAATGTCAACTACGGATGGGGCGCGGTAGCCGACTTCGCCAAGCGGACCAACAAGCGTGATCCCACGGCGACTTATAGCGACCATGAATCATATATCGTGAACGTTGTTGTCAATACGATATACGCGGACGCTCCAGTAAATTTGATCAAACCATTCAACCCAGCATTCGCCGAAGGTATAAGGCCCGCCCACGCGGGTGAAAAGTCCATTTCTACTATTCTTCCAATCACTCTCAGCTCCATCAAAAATGTCGGTAACTTGAGACTGTACATGCCTAGCGACATACGCGCCAGTGGCCAACGGGACATCGTTGGGAAGTCACTAAAAGAAGTGAGACGCAGATTCCCGGACGCACTGCCGCTCATTGATCCTGTCAAGAACATGAAAATTGAGGACGAAGATTTCAAGAAATTGTTACAGAAGAGCGAAGTCCTGAAAGCTAAACAGGGAATGAACCCATTGGCAGGCTCGGTCAAACTCGGCGACATGTATCGCAAATACAGTGAGAAATCAACCATAAACACAGAGGTGAAGCAACTGACAAGGCAAATCAATGAAGCTCAAGCCGTGATCCAGTTGGATGACCTGCGCCGTCGTAAAAGAGTTTTACGTCGTCTGGGTTTCTCTACACAGAGTGACGTTATCGAGCTCAAAGGTAGAGTGGCATGCGAAATCTCGAGCGGTGATGAACTGCTTCTAACTGAACTTATTTTCAATGGTAACTTCAACGATCTAACACCAGAGCAATCGGCGGCCTTGTTATCATGCTTTGCCTTTCAGGAGCGCTGTAAAGAAGCCCCAAGATTAAAGCCAGAGCTAGCAGAGCCCTTAAAAAATATGAGAGAGGTTGCTGCCAAGATTGCCAAGATTGTGAAGGACTCCAAGATTGAAATTGTTGAAAAGGATTACGTCGAGAGTTTCAGACATGAGCTGATGGAGGTCGTTTATGAGTGGTGCAAAGGAGCCACATTTACACAAATTTGCAAAATGACCGACGTCTACGAAGGCTCTTTGATCAGAATGTTCAAGCGATTGGAAGAACTCATCAAAGAATTAGTCGATGTTGCTAATACCATTGGCAATGCGACTCTCAAAGAAAAAATGGAGGATGCTTTAAACCTCATCCACAGAGACATTGTATCGGCCGGATCGCTGTACTTGTAGTCATATGTTTATAGAGACCATAGGTCAATAACATCAAACTTATAAATAAACATCAGCGACCTGCGCAGCGCCTGCGCCAGCTTTTATCCCCAGTGTGAATGACCGGTATGAGTTTTTCAAGGGCTCATTCCAAACATTCAGCGCCTCATCACCTAGACGAAGCAAATTGACAAGGACTTGTCGTCTGAGTTCCACTGTTTCTGGTTCTGTTATGCGGCCAGCCTTGTCATCGAGAAGATCTGACATAACTTTCGACAGATTGTTAATGAGAAATAGAGCGGAATAGTCATAGCTTGACATTTTCTGTAACAAAACCATCTGTTCGTAGTAGGGCATGCTCAATAATTGATCTGATACCAGCTTTTCCTTGATTGCATCAAAAGAGCGCTCGTTCGAAATCAGGTTTCTCAGTGTTGCCAAGTGTGAAGGTCTTATCTTGAGGTTTTCAAGAACAATGCTTCTTTTCTCTGATATCAAAAACAGCGGGTTAATGAATTTCTGGAACTCCGAGAATTCTGGATTTGATTCTGTCAAATGGAGGTATTGATGATCCAGGCGTTTGAAGGGCTCTTGGTCTTCGAGCAGCGAAATTTGCTTGAAGAGGCCAAAAATGCATTGTTTTCCGTAGGTACGTACTTCGGATAGCTCCTCTGCAGTCGAGTACAGTTTGCCGTAAGTCGATATTGTGACGTCCAATATGTGGGTAACAAGCCAAGCGCTGGAACGGTCGTACTCCAGCTTAGACCTGGTAGACTCCAACAGCCCAATATAATAGTTGGTTATGGCAATGAATAGAAAGATGTCAGTATTGATGCTCTTGACAATTTCCTCTTCACTGAATATTAACAATTTCTCATTGAGCTCGCTGCAGTCTAAGAAAGGAACCATTACCTGTAAGAGTTCCACTAATCTCGCCAGACAAATCGGATCAAATCCAGCCTTCACATGGATCAAATGTTTGCTGTTATGGCTCAAGATGCGTCTTCTGATCAACTTGTCAGAACTCAGTTGTCTGAAAACATTTTCAATTTCTGTCACGGAACCAACATCGGTCTCAGAGTTGAAAAGCCTGCTGAGAAGTAAATCCACCAGTCCTGATCCAGCAAACAAGCCCTTGGGCTCTGACCTCTGAATTACTTTGCAGGCCAGCTTAACCAGCTTTGGGACGTAACTCTCGATAGATGAACTCAAATCCTCTAGCGAGAACTGCTCGATTATCTGGTCGAAGGGCATCCTAGAGATTACCTGTTCTAGCACATCTATCACCAAATCATAATCGAGCTCCTGATGCGGTTCTTCACTTATGAGCTCTTTGACTTCAATCAGAAAATCCGATGCCTCTGACACCTGCAAGTTATTGATATGTCCGAGCTCAACTTGAGCTCTGCTCATAAGTTCATTGATCTTTTTGATATTTCTTTGAGCTATGCTGCAGTTCAATCGATCTAACAAGATCTGATGGCTCAACTTTCTTGTTTCAGGGTCCATAATTACCCTTTGAGAGGAATGTACGAGTGTAGGTTTTTGGTTTAAGTTAAGATTCAATATATAAATGGATAACAATCAATCCTTATAGTTTTATAACATCTAGTACATGGAACAGACTTGATCCAAAGGTCTGAGTCTTAGCTCAATGGAGAGCAAATTACTGCCGAGATCGAGGATTCCGTCGCTTTATTCAGACTTTCGAAACCTAAAGGATCTGAATCCGGAAGGTTACGAAGCTAACATCAGAAGCTGGAAACAAGTTCTGCTGAAGGAGCTGTTAGATCAAGAAATAATACTACAAACTGGCCCTGAGCTGCTGGAAAAACTAGGCGATTCACAAGTGGGAGTTCCAAAAAGTCTCGATGTTGTGTTGGATTCAATGATAGCGGAGGGCACGTTGGTGCCTGTTGAACAGTTCAAAGCCGGTCCAAAAAATAATGTTCTCTCATCCGTTTTGAGCTGGACTTTCAATAGCTTACCATTCTTTGGCCGTCATTCGACAACCCGGAATTCACGAATCAAAAATCAGTCATATCTTCGATCGGCACAGTACATAGTAGTGCCAACCGTTGAGCGGAAATACCCTCTGTTGCAGCAAGCAGTCTCGGAAAACATCTGCCGAAAAGCTGTCAGATACTCCGACCTGGTCTTTTCTAAACACTCTTTCTGTGAAATAGCTGGTTTCAAAACCCATTTGAAGGACTGGGCTGCATTTGAGGTCATGATGGCCTACATGGAATATTACCGAGAAACTATTGTTACAGACTCCGGTACCGTCAAGGTTCGTGGACTCGAGGTTAATGCCATCATCTCAAAATTTGGATCCTCAACCATAAATTTGGACGACAGCAAAATTGCATCTGTAAAAGATGCTCAGCTGCGTTTAAAAAAGCAGATTACCCATTTAGAGAGCAGAATAGAAGATTCCAAGCGACTTCTCGTCGAAGGTTTTCAGCAGAAAAAACCCAGAGAACTGCAGAAAATGCGCCTTAGAACTCAAAAGATTCTAGAAAAGAATCTCACTTTAGCATGCCAAAACCTGCAAAATGTCGAGCAGCTCTTGCTAGACATTGAAGCAGCAATCGATAGAGTGCATTTGAAAGATTTATTCGAAAATTCAAGAGATGTCTTGACAAACGCTTCCTCGCAATTGGGAGACTTGGACGAAATTGAGAAACTAGTAGACGATATCAATACTGAGAGGTTGAAAGGTGAAAATGTCGACAAGCTATTTGAGGCTGAATTGTATTCCCAATCTGATGATGAAATAGAAAATGAGCTTCAGAGGATGGATGCTGAGATGAAATTGAAAGACCTGGTTTTAAAAAGGCTCTCGGAACTGGAAATTGCCCAGGATGCTGAGCCGCAGAAATCTTTAGACGACGAGCAGGTATCGTCACCAGATCAATCACAATCACTCCGAGAAAAACAACCTATTTCACTGTGAACTTTAAATATACCTAATTAATTTCTACACCATCGTCCTTTTTGTCCTCGAGCTTAACGCTATTACCATTGAATGTCTTGCGATGTGAGTCGTCTTCGCTGTTTTCGTCATCCGCATTAACAAACTGAAAAATATTGGGGGAAACGGGCCTCGATGGAAGGCTCAGTTCAGACGGGTTGCGCCCAAGCTGATGCTTTATTTGAGGAGAATTGGCTGGAGAAACATACCTCGAAGATGGAATTGAACTCGAATCTTCCATTTGCGCGATGTTTGACCTAGAAACCGGCCGACTGAGCTTTTCATCTTGGTCCACCTTTCCTGAACCCCACCAGCCGGAAAGGGATTTGAACATTTTACCCAGGAGGCCTGGCCCTTGGGCATCAACTACACGAGGTCTATTGGTGTCATTTTCTACCGCTTTTAAAATGAGCACGGACCGCGGCGTAAGCTGCAATGCAGCAAGTGTCTTTAATTCGTCTGATTCCATAAAGGTTTCTCGAGGTATGCTTCTTAAGAACACGTATGGTGCGTCCCCGTCATTTCTATTCGTGTCCACCCATTGTCTTGCCGCGTTTAGATTGGCAGAAGATGCAAACTGATGAGTGATGGAGTGTCCATTGAGAAGACGTATTTGAAGAATGCAAGTCTTCGCCAACAAATGCTCAGTGTTTTTAATGTTATCACGAATGCTGTCTAAAGTGCTGGAGGGAGTCTGTAGCTGTGCAGGATCAACACTCATTCGCCTTTTGGCTTGAAACTCTTCGCGATCGGCCTTGACCAACTGAATAATTCTCTCCCGTTCTTCTTTGTCGATTTTCCACTGTTTCTTGATACTGTTTTGGTAAATCTGCGTCGCTTTCTGTGATGTTTGATCCTTAATCGTGACTTCGTCACTATTGGTATTTCGTTCAGCTTTATTATCTTCATCTGGTGATGCCGTTCTTCCTAGAGGTAGTTTCAAACACGCCAACAGTGTGTCTCTGTTCTCCGCTGCATTGTCGCTGGTCAAAACCGCGGCAATTTGACCCTCCACGATACAGGAAACACTGGGAAAAGAGACTTGTGGGCAAATCTGCTTAAAATATGGAAAATCAGGTGCTTCACGTAGCAGTTTCAGCAATATACAGCTATCTTTTACCGTATTGCCCAGTTCCTTAGTGAGCCATTTTTCCAGCCATAAATCATCGCCAATGCTGCAATAAACCACCAGAGCCTTGCTCTCCCTCAGTGATTTTTCAACAGCTTGATTAACTGAGTGTTCAAAGATCTTTTCAAGCTCTTTCATTGCTACTTGTTAAGTTGGGTATGTTCAAAGTTGGTGTTTGATAATACTTCGGGCTTTATGGTTTGATTATTGGTAATTTTATACGATGAATTAGTTTAAATGGTCAGAAATGTTTAAAACGGCGACAGATCGAGCTTAAAAGAGCCTCAGAGAGACGTCTTTTTTCGTTCATGTTGTTGTTTAAATTTATTAGCTAAATTATGAGTGTATCTTTTTAAGTACTTTGTTGCTAGAAGTTCAACAATCGTTTTTTGAAGACTAATCTTGAAATGTCTTTTAAAAGAGATTAGCCATTTGTTCTGAACTAATGAGCAAATCCTAGGTATTCCACCATGTAAGCAAAGGTTTTTTGTATGTTCTGAGTGTGCCAAGAATAATAGACATTTAAAGTCTGGGTTTTATTATTACTGTCATCACAGTAATCTGTAAAGTAAATTGTGCCAAACAAGTACAAAATAATAAATTAAGAGTTTATAAACTGACAAAGATTAAAGGACATAAGATGGTGTCTAAAGGCCTTGGTATGGCACTATCACTCTCAAAATGCGAGGATATGGCACATTGAGTCTCAGATGAAGTAAAAAAAAGAGAGAAAAAGAAGAACCACACATGGGGCGAAATATACTAGTAGTCAGTATTGAAATTGTCACGAACAGGCAGCTTTATATGACCAGTCTAACCGAATGAAGAGCTCGAGTCAAGAGACCGGGAGACCGTAAGAAATATTTTCCAAGCTCGCGGGCTTTGTCTAAGGTCTTTTTTTTAAGGTTTTCGTTAAACAAGAATCAATAATATGCCTGTCCTAGGGTAAGTTGATCCTCTCTACCAATGACCAGAGAAAAAGATACAAGATCATATCTTGCCTGGCTCTTTTATGAGTTTTTGAGCCACCACTATACCCAGTAAATTCTTTCAAATTTGCAACTGGCTAAAATTCCAGTAACAGATAGGTTTCAGCGAAACGTAACAGAAGATCGCAGCGCAGCAACAAAATCCAACGCTGAAAATTCACCCTAGATATGTCCAAATATTTTCGGTGCTCCCAACTCATGTAAAAAATTGTTGCCCCAGTTGAGCACACTTGAAATCGACTCGCTTATTCCTTGACCAATTGCAGTACTTTTGGCAAACCTGCCAAGATAATATTTGATCACTAATTTCTATTCAGACATTGATATTTCAACCATCAACACGAACAAAGAATAAACCATGTCGGTCAACTTCTCGCAAAAATCGCCCCTTCCTCGGATTAAGCATTTGCAATTGGGAGATACAGTAGGCCAGGGATCATTCGCATTGTATGTTGAGTATTTTTTGGACTAGCGCGAAGAAATAAACGTCACTAACGCATTCGATACTGGAGCAGTGTAAAAAGAGCATGTTTGGAAACGGATCCTAATACAGTCGTGGCCGTGAAATTCGTACACTTACCGACATGTGCTAAGCATGGCCTGAGCGAGGAAGATGTCACACAAGAAGTTATTTTACAATCAAAATGCAGCGGGCACCCGAACGTTCTTAAGGTTATAGATTGCAATCTGAGCAGGGACTTTCTCTGGATCATAATGGAAATGGCCAGTGGAGGCGACCTCTTCGACAAAATAGAACCAGATGTCGGCGTTGACGCTGAGGTTGCTCGATTCTACTACAAGCAATTAATCAATGCCTTAGACTACTTGCATCGAGACTGTGGTATAGCTCATCGCGATGTAAAACCAGAAAACATCCTACTTGATAGAAACGGGAACCTGAAACTAGCTGATTTTGGATTGGCATCTAAATTCAGGCGTAAGGATGGTACTAAAAGAGTTTGTACGGACACACGCGGTAGTCTGCCATATATGGCTCCCGAAATAGTGTATTCGCGTGGGTATTATGCAGACTTGACCGATGTTTGGTCTTGCGGTATCCTGCTTTTCGTTTTACTGACAGGAGAGACTCCTTGGGATATACCAAGCGAAGAAGATGACCACTTTCGCGAGTTTTGGGTCAATCGCGGGAAATTGACTAGCGGACCCTGGGCTAAACTTGATTTTACTGAGCTGAATTTGCTGCGAAAAATCTTGCAGCCTGAACCAACCGAAAGATATAGTCTGGATCAATTGAAATCACACAGTTGGTATACTAATCCCACAGCGTTTGCTAACGAAGCAGGAATATGTGCAAACCCGCGAATGCTGTCAGAAAAGCTGATGAGCAGGCTTCACATCTCCCTCAATGATGATGCAATTCCTCAAAATAACCTCAAAATCTTTAATGGTGAGGCACCGCAACACACTTCAACTCAACCAGCAGGTTCACACGGCGCACATCTTCAACGAGATTTTTCATGTATGGAAAAGTTCGCTGCAAGCCAACTTGGTGTATCATATCAGGCCTCCCACGAAAGCGCTGGCTCAGATGTCCTTTATTGGAGTCAGCATATTCAACAAGACATGGCCACGCAGCAGTTTTGCGAGTTCACCGAGAGGAACGCTTCTTTTTTGAATCCTGCAAAATTAACCAAGTTTTACTCTACTCAAGATGTTGGGACTATCTTGAATACTTTGGAGCTAGCACTACTGACACTAAAAATACCTGTATCCACGGGTCTGATCAGGTCCTTCAGCAAGTTGACCCAGACCTGTGGTCACGAAGATGTTTTTCCTCTGACCATCCAGGTGAAAACAAAAGACAGAAAGGGCTGGGACCTGTCTGGAAACATAACGTTATTCTATCTAGAAAGATACGTTGTGTTATTATACTTCAACAGGAGAAAGGGTGATCCGCTAGAATGGAGGAGGCTTTTCCGCTCAATAAGTGTGCTATGCCGCGACCTCATTTTCATACCTTAGAAAACTTCTGGCTTAGACCAAAGATCATTCACGTATGCCTCGGGCCTCACGCTTATCGAAAAAAAACTGCTAGATTTCTTCATTAATCTTATGTTCGTCCGAAGGATTGACGTCCAGTTTGGCAACAAATTTTACGACTGCATTTCTTAGGTATGTCTTCTGAGCTTCTGTTAACTGACTGAACTCGTTCTTTCCAAATTGTTTGATGATTTTGATTATCATTCTTGTCTGTCTATCTAAGCCCGAACGGCTATCCAAAACAGAGAACTTATTGTTTTCTGCATCATACACTTCGTAAGGATTTGAACGATTTCCATCGCCAGTATCCGCTGCAGTGCTGTTTTTGTTTTGAAATTTCAGGGCAGCTTGAGGATTTTCTGGCACAGGCCTGTAAACAACCGAAGCTTCCTTGGCTTTACCGGAGTTGAATATGGGGAGTTTCAATTCACCAGGAAATTCTTCTTTATGCTTTTCATTATCGACTTGTACCGGAAGGGCCCCTTCAACTTTAGCCTCGAGAGACCTCATTTTAGATTGAGACACACAACAGCTTTTAGTTTTTCGGAGTGTACACTCATCTGGCGGCGCAAAACCACTTTCGACAGCAAAACGCGTTGAAGGGGATTCCGCGGCGCTAGTCGTTAGCGATGCACCGGTACCATCTAAATTTGAACAGCCCTCGGCCTCTCGGTATTTCATGGTCAGCATTTGGCTTGTGCTAGTAAGGCCATCGTCTTGCTGATCGGCAGACATACATTGATTTTTCCCCAAGTTTTCACGGCCCACAGGCTCCTTGGCATCAGTAGCACTTGTGTAATTTGTGGCATTGTGCCGTTCAACTTGAGCAACATCGCTTGTGGTGTCGACAGCTGACAGCAAACGTGAAAGGTGGTCAGTCTTGCCCAGTCTTGGCTCGTGATCCTGGTGCAACGAGCGGGTTGTTTTTATGTGACTGTTGCGTTCATCGAGTTTTACGAGTGGCGACTGAGATTCTGCTTTAATTATCTCTTGAAAGTTCCTTCTTTTTGTTTTTTGTTCTGTCACAGAACCGTTTTCATTGCCGACGTCACAATTAGCTTTAGGGGTGACAATAGTCTCAGAAAAGTTATCTTGATTGGGGGTCTCTCTCTCTGATGCCGCTTCTCGAGCCCTGAGGGTTCGAACTGGTGGTTTTGTCGGTATAGCCTTGAATCGATACTGCCGTGAGCATTTAGCTTTAGTGCCCGACACATCAACGGATTCTAAGCTAAGATCAAAAGATCCAGCGGCGAGCCGCTCTCGAATGATCTTTAGTTCCTTGCTTTCGAGATTCTCGGCAGAGCACACAATAGACAGCTGCTCGTACGCTAAAGTCCCTTTCTTCGCCGGCAATGTTAAATAAAGCTCCTGCAGCACGGCATCTAGAGACTCATTTCCTGGTGCAGTGAGCAGAGTTAGGGTCTCTCTAAGCGCGTCCATCGCACGATTTTCATTGTTTTTGAGCTGGCCTCGACAATCGAGAAGCAAGTGTGTAATCTCTTCTTTGCACTCTGTTATTATATTATGCTTTTTGAATTTCAAAGCCGCTTCGATGGCACTTAGGCCAAAGTTACAAGACTCTGTCCTCAGGCGAGCTTTGAGTGCATTGAGTAGGTCACCACCCTGTTCCATGCAATCTATCAGAAGAACCAAAGTTTCCGCATCTATTTCTGAGGAATATTGACCTGAATCCTCGCACCAATGTTTCATCAAAGAAGAAACCGTTTCCAAAGTCATGAACTTTCTCAAAGCTTTATTCAAAAGTTTGACATATCCATTGGTACAACAATCATTCAAGACTTGAAGTTGAAGATTTTGTGAGTGCGCGGTAAGTTTGTGCCGCCCAGAGTCTGAAAACTTTAAACTCTCCATAATCTGGGTAGAGATTTTCATGTCTTCAGAGGCTTCGCATTTCAAAGCTCGCAATAGAAATGACAGCTCAAAGTCAAGAGCCAAAAGGTCGAAATGTTCCAACACGGCCTGGAACTCATCCATCGGGAACTTGGAGATCACTGGCACCCATGCTTCGAGAGAGTCTCTCGAAATGACTGTTGTCTCACTGCTTTCGAAAATTATTGCTTGCAAAACCAATGTGGAATAGTATCTGTGATCAAGTATTTTGTGTAGACAAAACTTAACTTGATTATGCTTCTTTATTGTTAAGCCAAATTGTGATGCGAATTTGGGGTGGATGGGGTGTTCTTGTAAGCTTAGACGCAATCGCAAGTATTTAGACAGAGTTGCAATGTCGCAAGAGACCATGAGGTGATGCTCGTCGTTTCCCGAATCCCGTATTACTTTGTTACAGGAGTCCATGACACTTTTCGCTATATCTCTACTGGAGATCTTATCTGCGATACTTAGCAGGGCAATGAAGGTATCTTGAGACATCTCTGCAGAGCGTATCTTGGAGCAGACATAGTTGGAAATATATGATTCGACGGGGCTATCATCGAATCTCATAAAGTAGTTGTAAACTTGTACATCGGGTACAAAGTTTTTTGTTGTTTCGGTGACGGCTTTTAAAATTTCTAAGTAACTCAAGCTGCTATCTTTTACAACTTTCCTTACTGCAGCTTCTAGCCGGGAGTTCTTTTCGCTGAAGGTCCACAAATTGCTGTGAAAGCCTATTATACAGCAAGTTAAGGCCTGAATGACGCGACGGCGCACATTCGAAAGCGAACACAACAATGCCTCAGATAGGGCGTTCATGCTGAAATTCATGACCTCGTGGGATACAAGTGAGGGAGGTACATTTTTAATCGTCAGTGTCAAAAATTCGAATGAGCTTTCGCGCATGCTAGTATCAGACCCCGTTTGTAATTTAAGTGCCATTTCGAATAACATATGCCAGTGGAGGCCATAAATCTGAGAGGAGAACGGGAGAAAGTCATCTACCTGCACTCCCTGGGATGCTACCACTTTCAAAGGATTGAAGTCTTTCTGATGACCCTTCTTGCTTTTCTGTGGTTGAAATAAAAAGTTGAGTATGTCCAAAGCATACGTGCGAAGCTCAAGTGGGCAAGAATCAAACTGTTCCGATAGAAATGGTATAATGATATTCCTGAAATTGTAACTGAAAACATTGGGTTTATGGTTACAGAGCGCCAAATACAAAATCCCACGCAAAATGAAACAAGCTTCCTCGTAGTCGGTGTCCCTTGCATTGCGCATACAAGTAAAAGGCTCGAGAAGCATTGTTAAGTGTCCGGCGTCTCCATTTGTTGATGCCGGCAAACTTTTCGTGCCTATCACGTAAGTTACTATTCTCCACGACCGTAGTGCCAAACCCGAAACACCTTCGACGCCCGCGTTTTGGTATTTTAGGTTTAGCTCCAACCACTGATCCACAGGATCAGAACAAAGATCTACAAGCTCAGTATCAGAATTGAAAAGAAGTCCCACAGCAGCAAGCCAGAGATCAAAAGCCAGCTTAGGTTCATCCTTTTCAGTTATCAGAAACTCAACACGGTCCAAAAGTCGCTGCGCGACAATCGAATCTGTATTGGCGACTGTGCTGCTTTTTGAAGATTTGTCTTCAGAATCAAAGGGCAGATCTCTTACTGGTTGCTTGAGTACAGCGAGCACGTTGTGATGTGTACTGTCAGTTAAACATTTTTTGAGAAGGTCGAGAAGTATCGAAATACAGCTGCTAGTTATCTTGGAGGAGTATAAATATCCGTCAACAAGCAGTCTCGATAGAACCTCCGACGGCAGCCACATATACACCGTCTCCAGCATAATATCTGTGTATTTTGCAAGGAAGTGTTTCAGTAAAAGAAGCTTTTCGCAAACCAAATTTGTGCTATCAATTCTCTTCATTTGAGTCATTGCTTCGATAACAGCTGAGACGTTCGGGGCGGTCATTCTCTGCAAGCCACATTGCTCATCGCGCAGAAAAGCCAGCTGTGCCGTGATCATTACTTTGTTCGAATATGGATGGCGCATTGTCTCAATGCAACACTGAACAACTTTCTGGAGTGAAGTTAAAAAGCGCTTATTACCATCACAGGCTTTTATCAATTTGAAATTCGAGAACAATGTAGTCAAAAAGCGCACGATTTGAACGTAGGTCCTCGAAACAAAAGGATCTTTTCTGTGGGCTTTCAATAAAGTGGACTGGTACTCGGTCAAATGTGGTATTGCCGTCGATAAGATCAGGTCAATATTTTTTATGATTATTGAGTTCTTTTTGTCCTTAACTTCAGAGTCGTTTTGGCTCGTGTAAACGGGCACAATGTTGTTGAAAGTCGCGTAAAACTCAAAGAATCGTTTTTGAGCAGCAGGAGTTGCACTGGAAAGGAAGTAAAGGCCCCCAGTCAATATGGCCTTGAATTCTGTGACACTGTTGATATTGTAAAGGCTGTGTACTTCGCCACACACCCAGAAATCGATACTCAAAGGGTTGAACTCTTTGTTCTCGGTCGTGTCTAGATCAAAGTGTTCGCTGAGCGCTCTCTTGGACCCGGGCCGAGAACGACGAGGGCTGACCTTCATGCGCACGGGCGAGCTAGAGAGCTTTAAAATAGGTTTCGAAGGTCTCGCATAAGGGGAATGGCGCGGACTAGAGTCTAGCAGCTCTGCCGGTGGAGAAGACTCGAGTTTGTCCGAAAATGCCACGCTTTTTCTCAATGGCGAGGATCGTAGATGTGGAGTTTCAGATGTGTCTAAGGAAGCGACATAGCCCATTGATATACTTTTATCGACTTTCCTGGGCAGAGAGATTTCGTTTGTCCGCAGATGAGCCTTATTCGGAGACGCTACCAGCCGTGACGACTCCGATATTGTTTGCCACATGGATGACAACGCACCATAATTGTTAGTTTTAGCGCGTTTATTTTGCTGAGAAATGTGTTTTTCCAACACATCAAGTGCTCTGGCATTGTTGTGAAGATTCCCCGCTTTCTGGTCCATGGCTTACAGGTGCATTTTTGGGTCTCCAGTGCGCGTTTTCTGTCTATTGTCACTTCAGAAGTGATGGCATCTCGCGTCGAAGCTTGTGTATTATCATAGGATATTATTATTGATGGGATCTCATCGCAAGTTAGAGAATTCGTCCGTAGTGACGATAAATGACAATTTCTGATATTCAGGATTTATGGTTTTTATTTGATTCGTACGCCATCAATTGTCGGTGGTTGCTTTGCTGCGCTTAGATTAAGAGCCTCCTTCATATGCTCCGATTAGAGCATAGCAATTGGCCGAAAATAGCTTAATGCATAGTTAATTTTTGGATTTTGGTGATTTTTTTTATGGGGGAAAGGTGTAGCACCGGCTTGGATGTTGCGGTAACTGGACCACGGAGTAGTGTCGCCTAATTTTTTGGAAGATTTTAATATTCTCGAAAGAAGTTACCTCTACAGGTGGCCCTTTATTGCATGAGTGCTGCATTTGTCACTTTGATGATCACTCTGTACTAGTGTGTCATTCCAAAAAACGACTGCGTCTAATCTGTAGGTGAATAAATGAAGGACACTGATATGATGGCGCGAGTTTCAAAAACTGGAGGACGCTTCGTCTCTCAATCAGCTACTGCTGCTTCATTTTCAAGCTGTAGCTATGTTCTTTTTTTTGGATCGCCAACAGGCCAATGCTGCCTACAGCGGCTATTGCTCCACTCAAACCAGCACTATTCACACAATGTGGTATGACACGAAGATTTCATACGTGGTAAGTTGGATCAGTTCTTAGGCCCGCTCTACAATTATATAATCAAGTATCTGCAGTTTCAATAATATGAAAATCTCCAAGTTCCTAAGTAGCACTCCGGAAATAAATCAATAGCCAAACCAAAGCCTCAGATTTCCATAATCGAGACATTTTTAGACGTCGAAGCTGTCGACCTGCTTACAGTCAGACATTGACATGATGAGACTCGTTTTACTGACGCGCACGTGATCCTAAAAGGTACTGTGTAATTGTGATAATTAAGCCATTATTACCAGGCGGTTTTACTCATTAGATGTGAACAACGTTCGAATATAGCATTGTTCATGAAAGACCATCTCTCAACTGTAGGAACTTGCACACTCTGATCGGTTATGCACAGTGAACTTTAAAACTGCCAACTTTCTAGCCATCTATAACCTTGTAGAAAAAAGCTTACCACAATGAGCACAGGCAAGCAAGTACTCACAGCTGAAGTCAAGCTGGTCTTGTTGGGAGAATCTTCAGTCGGCAAGTCTGCACTTGTCACCCGTTTCACGACCGGTCATTTTCATAGAAACAATGCAACCATTGGAGCCGCGTTTACAACCAAGACTGTTTCATGGGAAAACGACTCCGTCAAATGGCAAGTGAAATTCGAAATATGGGATACAGCGGGTCAAGAGAGATATCGATCGTTAGCTCCAATGTACTACCGTAAAACTGATGTGGCGCTCGTGGTGTTCGACGTTACAGAAGGGCTAACGCATGCCAAGGCCAATTCATGGATCGAAGAGCTCCAGAATTATATGCACGACACGGACGACGCTGAATCTATTGTCATCAAGGTAGTTGGCAACAAAACTGACTTATTAGATTCACCTCCATCTTCTGGCATAGACTGGATCCCGGTAAGTGCAAAATCCGGATCAGGTGTTATGGAATTATTTGAGTCTGTGGCCAAGCAAATACCGACGTCAAGGTTCGTTGGTTCTGATCCCTCCATTCCAAAAGTCGTAAACTTGGAATCATCGCGATCTGATGCAACGGGTTGCAGCTGCTAATTACAGCATATGTAGCATAGCTAGAGGGTTTTTAATACACACACACAGGTCGAAAGTTATTGCGATCGCTCGAGCTAGATTTACAATTCACCTGGCACAGGGAAAGTACCAGCCCATTGCGACACTTCTTCAGCCAAATTTTTGACCTCAGCACTCTCGTTGCAGAGTGTCTTGAAACTGGCCAATTGACTTCTGCTATCTTTGGCGCCGGCAGGTTCCTGAGACTTTAGGCCGATGGCCATTTTAGCGGCCTTGTCGATGTACTCGGCCACTTTCACGAACTCCTCGGGACCAAAGCCACGTGTAGTCATGGCTGGAGTTCCCAGTCTCAGACCAGATGGGAAGAGGGCCGATTTGTCGCCTGGAACTGTATTCTTGTTGGCAGCAATGTTGATCTTTTCCAATATTGTTTCCAAACGAGCACCATCAATACCAATGCTTGATAGATCTATCAAAATCAAGTGGTTGTCAGTGCCACCTGAGACCAATTGAAAGCCACGCTTGGTCAATTCTTCACCGAATAGTTTCGCGTTCCTCACAATGGCCTCTTGGTACTCCTTGAATTCTGGAGACGCAGCTTGCTTTAGCGCAACTGCTAGTGCAGAGATGGTGTGGTTGTGAGGACCTCCTTGGTGACCAGGAAACACCGAGAAATTGATCTTCTTGTCAAGGTCATACATCACCTCTTTGCCCTTCTTCGTAACCTTGCGAATACCCTTTCTGTAAAAGATCATGGACCCACGGGGACCTCTCAAAGACTTGTGAGTGGTGGTGGTGACGATGTCCGAATACTCGAAGGGAGAGGGTGTCACACCCGCAGCCACCAAGCCTGAAATGTGGGCCATGTCGCTCAACAAGTAGGCGCCACAAGCGTCAGCAATTTCCTTGAAGCGCTTGTAGTCGATAATTCTGGAATACGCAGAAGTACCAGCTACGATGACCTTGGGTCTGAATAGTTTCGAGGTTTGCGACAAGGTGTCGTAATCGATATGACCTGTTTGCACGTTGACATGGTAAGGCATTGTTTGGAAATACTTCGAAACATATGAAATCTTGGTTCCGCTAGCCAGTTGATATCCGTGGGATAAATGACCTCCGTGGGGCAAATCCAAACCCATCAAACGGTCGTTAACATCCATGATTGCGGAGTAGGCGTACAAGTTGGCTGGGGCTCCACTCAAAGGCTGGACGTTGACACCCCACTTGGCAGGGTCTAGACCGTAAAGATCCAGAGCTCTTCTCTGGCAGAGAGACTCGGCTTGGTCGATAAATTGATTACCACCGTAGTAACGCTCTCCGGGATAGCCCTCGGAGTACTTATTTTGCATTTCCGACCCCAGCAGATCCATGACAGATTTGGATGTGAAGTTTTCACTGGGGATCAAAGTCACCGAGTGCTTCTGTCTGTGACGCTCCTTGATCAAGATTTCGTGCATCTCAGGGTCCACATCCTGCACATGCTTGGACACCAAGATTTGGTTTGCGCTGGCTTTAGCAGTTGCATATAGCCTTTTAGTTAGCGCAAGGCTCTTCAATTGACGAGCGGAAACCCTGGAAAGCATGACTAGCGCTTTTAAATAGTCCCAGTAGCTGAACTTGACCGATATTTCAGGTTATGAAATTGTCGATTTTTTGGTCCAAGTGTCAGTTTTTCGCTATGGTTAAAATACTGAAATATTTCAACCTGAGATTATATCCATCTCAACCGAGTCACAGCTCAGCTCTCGGATAATTGACTCAGGATTCACACGACTCCTATCAGTGATTGGCATATCGATCACCTATCTGATACGTAGTGTATGTACATAGGCTCCTGAACTAGGTGTACTCCATTTACGCTCAAGAACAACGATGATAGATAAATGTGCGGAACAAGTGACATTTTCTTAGTCAAGAGTATGACCGAGAGCCATAACAGATAGGGATTTACAGCCAATGAAGAGAGCTACAATTACGTTCTTACTTGCAACCTAAATTTCCAGCTTTAAGCTGTCTTGCTAGCTATTGCAGCGTTGTAGATGCAAGTGGTTGTTTGTTGGGCAAATAGGATGCAAGTAGTTTAATTTAGTCAATGAGTTTTGTTCTACCAAAAAATTAAAAATACAAGCTTGCACTCAGGTTCGAACTAAGGACCAACAGATTTGCAATCTGCTGCGCTACCACTGCGCCATACAAGCTTGTTATTAGAATAAGTGGGAGTTGCATATATATTTTGGTAAGGATTTAGCTTCAAATACTGACCGACGTACATCTCTTGATATCTATGCTGGCCACCGATATACACTTTCCCATGACATTTCAAACTTGAGGTTGAAATATTGCGAGCTCGCTTTCAGTTTTGTAGAGCCTTTTTGAGCTCTAACTGTGTGCCTCTTGTTTCTTGTCCTTTGTTTCAGGGTTTCACGCTTAAATAGCACATATTTCTAATTCTTGGATAGATCGTTACGCAACAGGCTATTTTATGATGTAACTTGATCATGATGAATGAGAGATTGAATTACGCGTTCATGCTCGGGCTTGATCCCCATTGATTACTGTCTCAAATGCTTCTTACTCTCGGGACCTCAAATTAACTACCTGCCTTTTCCAACAGCCTTTCGCGTCACATTTTGATCGTAAGGCTAAAAGATTAGTTACATAGTTCCTGGCCTCAAATGTCCTGTTTGAGCGGCAGTTGAGTGGCGAGCATCTTTTTGCAAATTAGCATACGTTCCATCTCATAGATCCTGTCGTTCCACGACACTTACCTCTACCATGAAATATGCCAAAAACGTGAATCAACCCGTTAAGAGCGCTGTTTCGAGCGTCCCAAAGACCTCATTTGTGGCATCAAAAATTCGACAAGAGATGGACGGAACCTTGTTTCGAGGCATGGAGTCACCAAACGCGATGTTAGGCGCTGTTGCCGCATTCTTGCGATCTTATGCGAGTCGCGGCAAAATCAAGAAGCGCTAAAGAGACATTATACTAACCATTTGAACACAACACCGGTTATGCTTTTTATTTGCTTGTATACCGAGTCCAACGTCACTGACTTCTACATAAGGTAGCAATCCGACGTTACATGCATTCCAATAGCCGCCAAGAATTCTCGATTATGATCAAGGCTCGTAGCAGTCAATCGGTCGTTACTGTACCAAAACTCGCACAGTGAAGCGATACGTTTCAACACAGCTGCAGATGGTACATGTTCTACAGGGGCTAGAATGTCTACCAAGTTGGGATTGCAAGAAGTTTTCGCCGCTCTTCTCAAGGCGCAGCAAAGAAGTATCGCCCTTTTCATGTCCAACCTACTCAAATGACATTAAAGACCAACAACCGTTCATTCTCTCTCAGGAAATGGCTATGCCTACAGTGTCATTTACATTTATTTCAAAAAAGCTGTTAAAACCACACCTCCAATGAAAATATGAAATATTGACTATTCAGCATCTAGCGTATACAAAGCAATGATCGCTCTTCGTTTTTTGGCTGTTGTTACTTCCTCTGACCTTCACCTGCTTTCTGAGTGAAGGCTTCATTTCCCGGAGTGAAAAACTTGAATAATCTGTCAGTTTAGAAAAAGCCGTTCAGACTGTGGTTTCATTGCTGTGTCCAGAATTGAACCTTCTGCTGTGAAGTAGATTTGCCAGTGCTCCTGTAGCCTAACTAGCAGAGCTTTCCTTCACCGTTCTAAGGCCAATTTCTAGCACTATCATTAGGGGTGCCCTGTACATGCTATAGGCTCGTAACGTAGATCCATGAAATCCACGATGAGGACTCAAAGAAGGCCGTCTCTTCTCTTTGAAGCCGATGAAGAACCTACGGGAGCAAGGAAATTTCGTTCACCGAGCGGGACTGTAGAAAACTCACTGGATAACACAGATATGGTAGCGTTAACTACTTCTTTCGACAAGCAGATTTCAGACGGTCATCCAATGTACTTCGAGCCCAGTGCAATCTCCGACGGAAGAGACCTATCGGGCTCTGCAGGTAATGTGGAGTACTGTACGAAAGTGAATATTGAGGGGAAGAAGGGATTTGAATTTATGAAGCACCTGAGAACCAGGTACCTGAAAGCGTCTGCTCAGGATGCATCGTCTAATCTGAAAAATGACTCAAATCATTGGTTTCTGTATCCAAAGCCACTGCCCAAATTCTGGAAATTCGAAAATGACAAACGGCTCCAGGAGAAGTCCGACGACAATGATATGCAAGGCTATTTTGGTACGCGCGCTACGGACGAGCATTCATCCTCCGATGACAGGATCAAATTACATTACACAGGTCAGTTTTTCAAACTTTCTCATTATGCTACTGAACTGGAAAAGTTCAGAGTGACGCGAGGTTACTCTCCAGAGGCAACCGATTACGAAGCTGTACTGGCAGAAATTCCCCCAATCTCTCACTTTGGCCAACATTTCGAAAAATGTCTAGATTTCCTCACAACAGAAGAATTGGATCGACAGGCAGTGAAACGAACCGAGTATTTGTTACACAGGTACGACCTCTTCCAACAGCTACAAGGGCGCTCGGAAGTCCGTGAGAGCAGACTGGTTCCCCATCGGGACTTTTATAACATTCGCAAAGTCGACCAGAACTACCTGCTTAGCGGTTGCCTCTCTCAGCGGCAGCTAAACGATTTCATCTGGGAAAAGTTGAACCTAGAACCAACTAGAGTTGTTTACGTCAACTCAAATGGATCACATTTCACTTTGCGTCAGATTTTCTGCCATGGGGCGGATGCTACACGCAACGAAGACGCATCCATCGGGCTCAAAGCCGTCGATGACCTGTTTCTGGACTGGTACCGGACTGTTTATCTTTCCGGGACCCATGTAACTGGTGCTGACCCGGAGCCACCTAGTCCCAAGTATCTGGCCATAGCTCGCACTTTTTTAGAGTTTGACAACATTATTGGCGGCGAATATTTCGCAGAAATTGTAATCAGGTATGTGATTCAGTCTTTCGAAAAGAGCAAGTATCAAATAGCTCAACTTTCGGTTGATTTCGAATTTGGCGGTGATTGGTGGGCAAAGTTTATTGAGTGGGTAACAAGATGGAATCTTATCTCTTATAACATCCGCTGGAACATCAGATTTAGCAGGTGTTATACCAAGCTCTATGCGGCCAAAAAAGTACAAAGTTTTCAAGACTATTTGAATCAAATCTTTCGGCCGCTTCTCGACGTTGAAAGCTCGCAAAACATCAAACTTCAGTATGTTCTTTCCACGGTGTGCTGTTTTGATGTGGTGACTAGTGATACCGACGACTACATCTGGAAATCATTCCTCGAACCGCAGTCAACTATTCCCACCCAATGGGACTCTACGGCCGATAATCCTCCCGTCGCATACTACATGTTCTACATCTACCAATACCTGAAGGTGCTCAATCAGAAAAGAAAAAACGGGGGACAGAACACCATCGCTCTGCGCAACAATTGTCCGGTCACCGAAAGCCGTGTTTCCCAATTTTGTAAGGGATTGAGCATTACTGAGCAGTTTGAATCACTCATCTGCAATTTTTTGCTGTGTGAGGGAGGGCTTCTTCAAGCCGAGCCACTGTGGCAAGTATCTCCGTCAATTCTGTATTTGTACTATTTGTTCCAGATTCCAGTGATTGTGTCCCCCTTGTCGTCAGTTTCTCTGCTTCTAGAGCAGGGCCACACCCTTAGAAGGGAAAGAGCCCAAATGGTCAATAGAGATGTCACAGCGCCGTCCACCAAAACCTACAGTGGAAATCCCTTCATGCAAATGCACAAAATGGGGCTCAGAGTAGTTTTGTCGAGCAGTTCTGTTCTCTTCAATTGCTCTTACACCATGGAACCCATTATCGAAGAATATAGCGTCGCTGCGAGTATTTACCTTCTTACCAGTGCTGATATGTGTGAACTCGTGCGCGACAGTGTATTAACGAGCGGTTACGAAGGCTTTTACAAAGCGCACTGGAATGGGGTGCGCTTATCCGAGGCAAGCTTTTTTAGCGAGGAGATCGGAGCAACTGACGTCTGGTACGATCAAGAGCCTGATACGTGCTATAAGCACAATGTTCCCAACGCCCGCAGACTATATCGCAGGAATTGTCTTGATAGAGAATGGGAATTTGTTTGCTCCTGACCGTTGCAACTCGTAATTACTTGCTTCGCATCTCGCTGCTCAGCCATAGCACTACGGCGATTTTTATAGATTGGCGGAGCAAGAGAGTTTCTGACTCGAGTTTTGCAAGAGTAGTCTTTCCCTCAGTTCTGGCTATCTCTGTGAACTTTCAACGTGTGGAGCTGATATCAAAAGCATCGGGTTTTGAAAGGACTTCAGATGAGGGGAAGGCTTCAAATCCTTGAGCTAACAATAGCTGCTTGCAACTTCTTGACAAATGAGTTGCTATTGTGGTACCCTAATAGGCGGGAAGTATGATGACACTGAGATTCAACTACACTTCGCAGCTACACCGAAATTCGGTTTTCTATGATCGACTGTTTGTAAAAGCACTCGAGCCACCCGCAGTGCCATGGGCGGCATAAATTGCAGTCATCAAGGTGACATGTTGGCGATAATTATAGGGCCCGGTAAATGAGTTCAGCTACACTGTATGTTTGAAGCTGAAAGTAGTATTCTTAGCGATACGTGTCTCTTCACTGTTTCCTGTGGACACCGCATTGAACAAAATCAGTGTCACCAAGATCATACTTTCGCATCGTTTTTCTAGGGTTGAGGCCAGCACGTCCTGGTATGGATAGAAGAGACAGAATCATAAGTTTTTTTGTCGGAAACCAGAACTGGGTTTTATTCAATATTGGTCTAGAATTGGTGTTAGCGATCGAATCGATCCCCGGAAATGCGAATTGCGATTTGGCAGCTTTTCAGCTTCAACGACCTAAGCAAACGATGTGGTCATCATTCCGATTTCCAAGAGAGTGTGGATTATTTCAAAGGTTGAGGCAATCCTCTGGGAAAGGTATCCACAGCGGAGTTGAGAAATTCTGAGGATGGCATTGTTCATCTTCTCAGGATTGGAGAATCTTCTTTTTCACAAGCTCAAAGCTATAATCACTTTTCTATTCCGTTGAATGCGGCTGTGATGCCACGAAGTAAGATTGAGTATACAATTAAGTGGAACAATTAAGCTCAGTAATTATCCTACGTGGTTCAGTGCCTTCGCACTTTATCCTCAAACCACTTTCAGTAGAAATAACCAATATTGTTTTGTCGGAAAGTCTGTTAAGGCTCGTCTTGGCAATCGATAGGTCGACTTCCTGTTGTGAGGCCTGCTCGCAATTTGGTAGCAGATCCGTTGAGTATCAACTTTGCGGGGCTTTTACACGCCTTCAGCTTGAAAATGTTGTTACACTGGTTGTTCTCATGATTCTGGTAAAGCATGCCTAGGAAGCACCGTTTACACAAAGTTGAGGCTTCGCGAAGTACTGAAATATTCCAAGTGTGGGTACAGATCTTAAAGTTTCGTTATTCGCGGCGTTATTGACAACTGTCCGTTAATCGTAAACTTTCAATCAAACACAAGTCTGCAACTCACGTAGTAATGATTGCGTCCTTGTCTACATTTCTAGAGAAATGGTGAGACCCGGAAATAGAATAGTTCTCGAACGACCTTTGATTCGAGTGTTCGCACTATATGAAGGGCATCGAGACCAGAGGTCCATTCACCTCTAAGCAACAAGGTGTGCCCTTCAAGACTCCCAGCTTGGTTTTATATCCCGGATATAAGTGGAGTACGTTTTCAACCGCTGTGCATTGTTGAAGTGATTATCGCTGTTTTCGCCATGGAAAAACAGCTTGAAGATACTTGGTTGTACGTTCCCTCCTCCTAGATCTATAGATAGATCTAAAACCCCAATACTGCGCTGAAAGTACCACTTGTTCACTACGTTATCCTTCCTACTTCTCCACACAAGCTCATTCGGGAACCGCTTAAACATGAGATTGAAGATAATGTCTGAAATTCCGAGTGAGCCTTTCAAATGAGGTAAAACAGCAAATTTGTCGAGATATGGAAAGGGACTGTTATCAGGACCTTCGTAAGTTAGTATTGCGACCCCTTCATAGTCACCGATCACTATAATGGAAGCAATTCTGCCATTGATTCGATTGAGGTAGTGATTCAAGTCTAGCTTGCGCCCGAAACTTGAGTCGATAATATGCTTCAGTTTCCTTAGATCAACCTTACTCGAGGAAGTGCTCGAGAAGCTGCTGACTACAGGCATGCCAGTCGTGTTTGATTCCGTAAGCGTCCTGTAATCGAATACTTTTATATCCACACCTTTTTTGACGACTGTTGTCATTAAAACAGCATCTTTTGGGTCCCCAGTTGTATCATCGATACTTGGTAATTCATACCATGAAGAGCTTAGCTGCTTTTCCTTTTTGAACCGCGGTAGGGAAGAAGAGATCTGTGAACGATCGGTCAGTACATTGTACAAAAGTGGATTGTTTTTGTCTCGATTAGAAGCGGCATTCAAATCAGTGATGAGACCTGTAGATGATATCGGAAGTCTGGAAAGTATGCAATTCATGATTTGTAGATCGTCTAAGTGCGTTTGTTGACGCTGGATATTATCTTGCAACTGGTCTATAACAAAAACCGGGGTCAGATTATCAGCAGAGAACTCTGCTTCCTGACGAGCTTGAGAGCGGGATGCGTCCAGCTTCTGTTTCATAGACTGAAATAGCGAATCGTACTCTTGGGATAAATTGATAAAGACGTGAGCGTTATCGTGTCGCTCTCCTGAAGTGATACCGCCCAAGTCACCCAATAAAACCACTTTATCGAGTCTGCAGTCAACGTGCTGCACGAACTCATCGGCCAACTCTAAAAATTTTGTGGCAGTGGTGGAAATACAAGTTGCTTCATCAAAAATGCGTGGTTTCACGATAGGGATCAGTTCTCGAAGTGCATCAAATTTCACGGTACAGCTGTGTTTCCCATCAGCAGCACGAGTGAGAGCTTCGGGCAAAATAATAGACTGCATGGAATTGTTTCTCAGACATTTCTCGAGAGTTTCTGCCTGGTCCTCTATATTTTGATCTGGATGCAACAGGAACATGGGTTTGACACCTAGGATCTGTAGTTTTTTAATAGTTGCAGCAAAACGGTCAAGTTTTTTTGGTTTCTGATAAAGCAGATCCCGAACCATCAGCAAACAGTGATTGCGTACCGAGCTTTCACCATATTTCTTCAGATATTGCTGAGCTTCTCGTTTGGTTGCAGTGGATTTCAAAACTGACAAGATCAGCTCTTTATTGAAGCGATTGGGCTGAAAATAACCAGTTTTTTGGTAGCATCGCTTTGAGATGATGCAATGCCTAATGGGCCAAAACATGCAGTCAAAGTGACCTTTATCTGAGCTAAAAAGACCTCTTAAAGGGTAATTGTTAAACGCTTTTCAAGATAGACGTTTAAATAGAATATCTTTAATAAAAGTGAAAAATCATATATAATGCTAGTAGGGCATCTAACACTTTCAAAGCTCTGAATCTCGACAGAGAAACGTGCAATTGTGCCGTTAGAACCGTGTTTAAGTCGCGCCTTGGTCGATGTCGCTGCCCTGGAAGCTACAGGAGACGTTTTCGCCCGAAGAAATACAGTTTATTGTGGAAAATGAGCCCATAAAGATCTTCCCCAGGTTTACGACCAAGACGCCGGTACGAGACAACAGGCGTGGGACCTCGACTGGTCAGACTCGCTGGAAGCTGCTCACGGCCAAGGACGAGTCTTTGAACAACTTGGTGGCCATACGAACGACAGAGGTCGCGCTGTGGATCGCGCTGCTTTTGAAGCAGCAAGGCAAGTGTAGCATTGTAGCGCCCGGATGGCTGCGATTGTCGCAGCTGCAGAAATACATCGACTACGAGCTAAAAAACACGGGCCGTTTTAGCGAGCTGCCGTGGAATTGGCTGGTGGTGGCACGATTGCTGTTTTCCAAGGCAGCAGACGACCTGCACGATCCGGTGCATCTTTTGCGCGAGAAAGTGCAGGATCTACGTGAAATACGACTGGGAAAGATCGGCCAAGGTCTGAAACACCTGAACGAATCGCATCTGCAGCTCGACAACCTGAGTTTGCTGGAGATCAACGAGCTGCGCCCTTTCGTGCTGGGGGTGATGAACAAGCTAAAAGACGTCCACAGCAGCATTTCCGAAGAGCAAGAAGAGGAGTAGAGGGAGGAGGATGGGGGGGGAGGAGAAACCACGAGAGAAGGATAGTCCATTGTGTGAGTCACGTGTAAATCACATGATTGGACAGAAGCACGATGTCACGTGCTACGATTTGTTGTCCAAAACTCAAAATCGTCATGTGACCGATAAGGGTCCTCACTACCCACGAAACATCTGTTATTCCGGTTCCCGCGTGTTTGAGTCAATTACGGTGTTCGGCCGCACGCCCCGGGGGCCACCCCTTAACACGAAACCAGCAAGTATAAATACTCAGAGTGTTTACAAAGGTTCAGACAGGTCTCGAAGAACTAAAAACACCTGTTTTTTGATCGAAAAAGCTCAGGAACTCAGGATCCTGAAGCTTAAGCGAGATCCTGGGTATAAGAAGTTGAAGCCACTGGGTTAGGCAGTTCACAGAGTGTACTAGTTTACCTGGCGTTGAAGTCGAATTAATAAGACACGTTACAAGACACGTTACAAGACACGTTACAAGACAAGTTACAAGTCAAGTTATCAAGAAAATTGAAGAGAACACACGGCAAGCACCACAATGTCATTCTTGAGAAAACTGTTTAGGAGAAGCAAGCAGGCCTCGCAGTGCGACATGGACGCGAATGCGCGGGATCTGGATTCTGGTTACGTATTTGTGAGGGGACTGGATGACGTGGACCGGGAGTTAAGTGGCGACCACGAGGTTGCAGACAATCTGGTTGTGGAAGGGCACTCAACGCTCACGGAGGACCCATCAGAAGTAGACGTGTCTGCGTGGGAGATGGCACGCAACTGGACTGCCAAGACGAAAAGCGCGTCGCGACTTGCCAGCGTGAAACCTGCAGTCAGCTCCAAATCGCAGCGTCTGGCACACCGCGTCGAAAACATCCGCAGAACGCCGCACCAGGCCACCACTCGGAACCAAAAAAGGTGTGTAGTCGAATATGTGGACCCAGCGATGGACGAGGACAGCGAGTATCTGTTTGACGACAAATGGAACCGTAAGACCAAGGTGGAATCGCGTCGTGACAGGCTCAGTAAGCTTGGTACGTGACGGACGGCACATTTCAGCAAATGGTAACATGAGGAAGAGGTACAAAAGACACACTCGCACACTCGCACTGCAAGTAAGCAAGTGTTGAGCAACAAAAAAAAAAAACGGGTGGGGGCATGAGTTTTGGTTTTGTGAATGGCAATACTGCACTGCATTGCACTGAGTTTCCAAGCCGTCTCATGCCATTATGCCTACTACCACGACTTATGAAAACGTCTGATTTTCAACCGATTAATGCCAATTACAACGCAAGTATATATTATTGTTATATATATTTATATAAGCAAATATACTCAAATTGATAAGAATAACGACAGGCTCAGAAGGTGCCAGTACACAGTCAGTTCATTGGAGTGTTCCTAGTGTTGCAATCGATCGTTTGAGGAGTATAAGAGACTCACATGGGGTATTGGTAGCGATATATGTGGTCTCTTTTTCGCATTTTCCATCAAGTATCCGATATAGTGTAGGGGCTATCACATCACGCTCTCACCGTGGAGACCCGGGTTCGATTCCCGGTATCGGAGAAATTTATATTCGATTCTACGGAATATTTTTTTGGTTATTAATTTTGGCTGGCGTCAAGGTCAAGACAATAGACCACTAGAACAATCGTTCGAAAGCCCATAGCCCACCCGTGTACGATTTAAAGGCCCTTCTGTCAGTGCATGCATCAACTGGAAAATGGGGGCTTTAATGATTAATTTCAGGTCGTGGTAAAACAACCGCCAAAACATTATAGAAACGTTTGTTGCGAAAACTACAAGAATGCTAGCAAAATGTATCAAAAATGCACAGACTACAGCCTCAAAATTAGATCCACCATCTCAAACTACCAAGAAGCTCATTCTAACTCTGCATTATCCAACGCCATTTTTTTTTTTGTCATCGACAGAAATTAGTATTCTCCCCTAAGAACGCCACTAAATACACCGAGAAGAAGTCACTGTATTTACTCGCACTATTGAGCTTAAATCACTATTATCGGGTCTACAATTCGGGCTTGACCGTCTCGACTCGGTCGCTGTCGTTTATATTTATCATCGTGTACGAAGCAGTCTCGAGGCCAAATATATTAAGAACTCATAAGGATAAACTATTGTCAGTTAGGGTTCACTTGAGCTAAGTCTTCAAAAGCTATCAAACCGAACCGCAAATGAGAGTTTCAACGCTGATCGCATCGACCGTAGGTTGTGTGCAAGCGTTCGTTTTGCCTCAGACTTTTTTGGACGCTTTTCAGCTACCTCTACCTACCTCTGTAGACCAAGAATCGTTCTGGCCCCATAAGCCATACTTCCTCAAGCATCAGGTGGACCCCGAGAGTTTTCCCGACGAAATTGAACTTTCTGAGCTGAACTCAACGGCCTGGGACTTGTACCAGATTGCTGGGACTTCCAACAGCTCGTATGGCCATCCAACTCGTGTTATTGGCTCCGAGGGCCACTGGAATACCCTAAACTACATCATGCAACAATTCGACCAAATGAGAGATTACTACGAGATCTCGACGCAGAGCTTCAAAGCCCTAAACGGCAAGGTCTCACACTACGACTTGAACTACACCAGCGGGGGTAAAGTGTCCACTGCTCAAGCGTTCAGCCTTTCTCCTCCTGTAAAGCCTTTTATTGGGAAATTGGTCGAAATCCCAAATTTGGGTTGCTCTGACGCGGATTACGAAGCTCTGGAGATCAAAAAGGACTCTATCGCCCTGATCGAAAGAGGGAAATGTCCTTTTGGCCAGAAAAGCAACTTGGCTGGTAAACATGGCTTCAAGGCTGTTGTCATCTACGATAACGACCCGGCATCCAAGAAGGGTGTGAGCGGTACTCTAGATAAGCCCAATAAACACACTGTCTCCACTATTGGTGTATCTTTTGCTGTTGGTCAGGAGCTTATTTTGGGTATCACGCTAGACCCCGGCTTCTCCCTCTACTTTTCCATGGACTCTTATGTCAAAGAGGTCAAAACCAGAAACATCATTGCTGACACCAAGCACGGCGACCCTGAAAATGTCGTCGCTCTCGGTGCCCACACCGATTCCGTAGCAGCCGGACCGGGTATCAATGATGATGGGTCTGGTACCATTTCCCTCTTGACCGTCGCCAAGCACTTATCGGACTTCAAAATCAACAATAAGGTTCGGTTTGCTTTCTGGGCTGCTGAAGAGGAAGGATTGGTAGGTTCCAACTACTATGTGAGCCAATTGTCCCCCGAAGAAAATCTCAAAATCAGGCTTTTCATGGATTATGACATGATGGCGTCTCCTAACTATCAGTTCCAAGTTTACAATGCCAGCAATCTTGTTAACCCAAGAGGATCGGAGGAACTCAGAGACTTGTACATCGATTATTATACCGAGCGCGGCTTCAACTATACTTTGATTCCTTTCGATGGAAGGTCGGACTACGTCGGGTTCATCGAAAACGGTATCCCTGGCGGCGGTATTGCTGCAGGTGCTGAGGGAATCAACACAGACAATGGTAAGGTTTTGGACAGATGCTACCACGAACTATGCGACGATGTGGACAACTTGAACTGGGATGCGTTTTTAACCAACACCCAGCTCATTGCCTACTCCGTGGCTCACTTTGCGGACTCGCTAAAGGACTTTCCGGAAAGGGAGGTCAACGCAACAAGTTTTTCCGAAAGCGCAAATAGGCAGCCAAAATACTTTTACAAAGGTGGCGCCTTGATACTATGAAAAGACATTAAATTCAACAAACAGGCTCAAGATCAAGCTTTTTGTGCTGTCAAATCTATAGACATGACAAAAGTCGTTATCATGCTCTTAAAAATTTATAGTACTGTATGATACAATTGCCTCATCTGAAGTGCCCGAAGTTCATCTTGAATCGGTCGCCGCCAAAAGGAAAGCCTCCGCTGTTACCATTTCCGAACGGAGATTGCTGCCTTTGTTGACCAGTGTTCGACCGTTGATTGTCATAGTCTCTTCGTTTTTCTTCATCACTCAATATCTCGTAAGCCTCATTTATTCTAGACATTTTCTCCTCGTTTTTTCGTTTCTCCTCGTCTGAAAGTTGTCCCTGTTTATCCGGATGATGTTTCCTGGTCATTGTTAAATAAGCTTTTCGGATGTCCTTACTGGAAGAATCTTTTGAAAGTCCCAGAGTTTTGTACAGATTTTTCTTTGAGAGATCGTTTGGAGGAGGTGGAGCGTTTTGTTGATGCCTGAAAAATTGTTGCTGTTGATGTTGTTGTTGCTGCTGGAATCTTTCCTGGTGTTCCCTTCTCTTTTTACCGCTAGTGTTTTTGATAACACGATTTGCCTTTGAAATCGCCTCGTTCTGTGATCCTTTCCACTCGTGTTCATGGGTGAATGTTTCAAGCAAAGCCCAGATTTGAGTAGTGTCCATACCATTACGGGCCTTTTCTTTGATCGATAAGGTGTTGAGGCACTTTCTAACGGCATGCAAGGCCAGAGAGGGAAAATCCTGCCACACTTTATGAAGAGTTTCTTTAGCACTCTCAATATTTTGCAGGCTGTCTGAGAAGGCGTGTAAAGCCTCGAGCACTTCTGGTGTAAGCTTTTCCTTTTCCACCTTTTGACAGAACTTCTCGGCTATTTTGGGTTTGGACATCTGATCATATGCCTCGCATAAAATGAGATCTCGTGTAACAGAAAAAACAGATGTGGCGGTGGTTGCAAGCTTCCACTGCTCGGAGATTGACGAAAGTGGGCGGTTGAGGAGCATATCATCCAAAAGCGTTTTTTCCACGATCTGTACGATTTCTAGATTGTTGGAACCCTTCTTGATGTCAGCGAACTTGACGAGCCTAGCGCCGCCGGTATAAAAGTCCAGAACCTTGCTCCAGTCAAACTCATGAAGTGACAAAAACTGGTCAGGGTGTGTCATCGCCGTGAATGGTGGGTTTACCTTGTTGATTCGACTCGAGAGTTTAGACAGCTCACGACATGGCTTGTACTCCATGTCTAAAGCCAAACAGTTCATAAGACTAGTCGGAGGTGTGGACATGACGAACATTTGCAAAACTGCAATCGCGTGGTGAATTTTAAGTTTATCTGTAACGCTGACAAGCTTTTTGTGCTTGCCCAGGAGAGTTTTGTAGTTTTCGATGATAGATTGGGCAGTGTTGATGCCTAGCGACCGGGACAGGTCGTAATACAAGGCATCATTTAGCAGCACCAGGGTGTCTAAAGCCAGTGGCGCTAAATTTTGGAATTCCTCACGTAGCGGCAAGGGAACTGGCTCATTGCGTTTGAGATGTGCAGCAAAAGATTTTTTGAGAGTCTCATAGTGCTTTGCAATGCCAGAGTCGCTGAGTTTGTGCCAGTACCCGTATTTTTGATAAATCTCCCGTAGCCTTTTTTGGGCCAGAGGCTTGAAGGTGGAACTATCTGGCGCGTTTAGGATCGCTTCGAAGTGTTCCAAAGCGGCCAGATCGTTCCCACTCGAGACCTGGATAAGCCCACTCTTGTATAGCAGCTGACAGCGCAATTGCTCGGCATCTCGGGTGCCACACAGTGCCAGCTGTGCTGCCAGTTGCGAATATTCTGAGAGTGCCGATTCATCGTAACGCAAATTTTGGCTGAGCCGAGAAAGAGCCGGGAAGTCGCAACTGGCACTAACACTCGCCAAAAACACTGTCCATGCCCACAGAACGCAAACCAACATAGTTCACACCACGTCAGCTAGAAAAATCGCAACAGTGGGGAAGCGCAATTTTGTACTAATTTCTCGGGGGGTTTTCCACCAGCAAAAAAGCTTCAAAGCTCGTTCTACAAATAAAACCTTAAGACTCACCGATATACACTACCAAAAGACTCACCAATGGCTCTTTGAACGTGTATCTTGGGCTTCTCGAAGTTGTCAGTTTCTGATATTGAACTTGACAACTCACACACTCCCGGTCACATGCTTTCTCATCTCTTCGAAAATCTAATTAATTATTATTCGGTCGCTATGCACGGATATCACAACTATTAAATACAGGTGGGTGAATTATAAAGGCAACTTTATACCAACTCCTCAGCCACCAACACTCAAACGGTGAAGAGTATAAAAGGGACTGGACATTTGGTGTGAGTTATCAAAGATTCGTTCTCTAAAGATCGCCGAGTTTGTTTGCATAAGAACCAGGTTTTACTTTAAAAGAGTAGACTATCTTTGTTAATAGCATCGACAGTTTTAGCACGAGTCATGGACCGATCTTCAGGGCTTTCGTTCGGCCACATAGCGTATCTGACGTTTGAATCGGTACTCCAGGTGGTGATCGTATCGTTTGCTGGATTTTGGTGTGCATACTCGGGGCTGCTCCCCAAACAGGGGCAAAAAGTGATCTCCAGACTTAATGTGGATCTGTTCACGCCGTGCCTGATTTTCAGCAAACTGGCACGCAGTCTGTCAGTAGCGAAAATCTTGGAAATCGCAGTTATTCCGATTTTCTACGCCATCACTACAGGCGTGTCGTTCGGATCGGGCAAACTGATGAGTCGCATCCTGGGACTCGACAAGGACGAATCGAACTTTGTGGTTGCCAACTCGATTTTCGGCAACAGCAACTCGCTTCCGGTGTCTTTGACTGTCTCGCTCGCGTACACGCTGCCGGGACTGCTGTGGGACGAGATCCCCAACGACAACTCCGATAACGTGGCCAGTAGGGGCATCCTGTACTTGCTGATCTTCCAACAGATCGGTCACGTGCTGAGATGGTCGTACGGTTACAACACGCTGATGCGGTGGAGTGGCGACCGTGGCGTGCCCACGGCCATCAGCGTATCCGAGCAGCTCGAGGTACCCGAACAATCGCTCACAAACGACTCGGAGGGTCTCAGCACATATTCGGGACGCACTTCTGGATCTTTCTCCAAGTTCCGGTCCAAGACCTCCCAGATCTGCAGCAAAGTGATGTCGGCTATGAACCCACCGTTGTGGTCCATGGTCTTCAGTGTTTTAGTGGCCTGCATCCACCCCATCCAGCACGAGTTTTTCAGCAAAGATGGGTTTATCAACAACACCTTGTCTGACGCCATCACGCAACTGGGAGGCATCTCCATTCCATTAATCCTGGTTGTTTTGGGATCGAATCTGTATCCATCTCAGGATACTCCTCAAATGACCAGAAACTACAAGAAGATGGTGTTTGGCTCCATTGTTGGTCGCATGATCTTGCCCTCCATGGTCATGCTGCCGATCATCGCATTGGCAGTGAAATACATAAAAGTGAGCATACTGGATGATCCCATCTTTTTGGTGTGCGGCTTCATTTTGACCATTTCGCCACCAGCCATTCAGTTGACGCAGATCACTCAATTGAACGAGTTTTTCGAAAGCGAAATGGCAGGCGTGCTGTTCTGGGGTTACGTGGTATTATCATTACCAGTGAGTATTTTTGGTGTTAGTGCCGCCATGAGCGTATTGAGATGGGCTCAAGAATCTCATCAATAAATAGAAGACTCGAAGTGTACAGTTTTAAAGTAAACGTTGCGTAAGCTAATTTTGAGATAACATTCAAGAGTTCAATATAAAGTATCTTGCCAGAATCTAGCTTATGCCAGTTGGGAGGAGATATCGTCTAATCAATCGCCAGATATGCAAAATACCTTGTGGGCCTAACATGCTGTCTTGCAATCATTATATGTACATCAAATTCTCCTGATTATTTCATCAACGGTTGTTTGGCCGAGCGGTCTAAGGCGCCTGATTCAAGAAGTTCGCTTCTTAATGCTGTTACACAGTGGAACACTCAGGTATCTAAGATGCAAGAGTTCGAATCTCTTAGCAACCATTATTTTTTTGTAAACTAATTTTAATTTTGAGAGCTATACAGTGGGGACAAGTTTCAGAGCGCCAACCCTGCTATGTGCATTCTGACATTGCAAATTGCTATCTGGATTGATGGTCGGTCTGTTTTAGAAGCTTGAAGCGGTATATTCCATCTTTAGTTGAATATTTGTTTTCTATTTATTTTTCCGGGTCCGCGAAGGATTGACATCAAACTAAAAAACGTTCTGCAGCACACTGATTATTTTAATGTATCCGGCTGTACGTTCCTTGAAAATTCCAAGAGTTTGTTTGTTTTCTGCTTGGCGCGTGAAGTGTTTAAGGAAAGAGGTTGGAATCTCCAACTTGTTGTTAATGAGAATGATATAATTATTAAAACCAAAACTTTTGGTCAGCGGAAGAGGCCTCTATCGTTGTCACACATGTGCTCTTATTTATGCATAATAAGTTGCTACAAGAGCTGAGAAGAGTTCGTCAAGCTTTCACATACCAGGTTGGATTTTAAAGAAATGTCACATTAGTACAAAGTGATGGAAGCCTGAGTGAACGCGCTCTGGGGTAAATTCACCAGGGCACAGACAATTGGCACCTTCATATATCTATTCAAGACGAGTTTGATACAGAGTTGATTTACGTGCCTAGAAGTTGTCCCACTGGTGCACATTGATACCTGGCTTTGAAGTTCATGCTCAGATCTTAGACTGCAGTGCGCGCTTGAAATATGTTCCGCATTTTAACAACAGAAACACAAAAATCGTCTTAAAATTTGGAAACAAGAGCCTCTCTTCAAGCCGATTTTAGATTGCCTGTGGTATCTCTCTCTTCTTATGTATGTTCGAAGTGTTCGTGGTGTCATTTTGGAACATAGTGATCAGCGAATAACGCGTTAATTTTCCTAAAAATCAAGTCGCGTTTCAAACTCATCCTGTCTCAAACTACATCTCGACCTACAATCAAGGCCGATATGTACATCAAAAGCGTTGTAATCCAAGGATTCAAGACTTATAAAAATACCACAGTCGTCGAAGACCTTTCTCCCCACTTCAACGTCGTAATAGGAGGTAATGGGTCCGGTAAATCGAATTTCTTTGCCGCTGTGAGGTTTGTGCTGAGCGATGACTACAGCAACCTGAAAAGAGAGGAGAGACAGGGCCTCATTCACCAAGGAACAGGCTCTGTGATGAGTGCATATGTTGAAATTGTCTTTCATGATCCAAACGGGCAAATGATGATGACATCAGGCATCCCTATGACTGAGGAGAAGCTAGTCCGCGTAAGAAGAACGATCGGCTTGAAGAAAGATGAACATTCAGTAAATGGAAAGACGTGTCATAAGAGTGATATCACACGAATGTTTGAAAGTGTCGGATTCTCCTCGTCCAACCCTTACAACATAGTTCCTCAGGGTCGCATCGTGGCAGTGACAAATGCCAAGGACAAAGAACGGCTGGCTTCATTAGAAGAAGTTGTGGGAGCCAAATCTTTTGAAATCAAATTGCGAGAGTCAACTAAGAAAATGGATGCTACAAATAGGGATCGCGCCAAAATTGATACGGAACTTGCAGAATTGAGAACAAGATTAGAGGAATTAGATGAGGAACGTCAAGAGTTGGAAAAGTATCAAGAGCTCGAACGTGACAAGAGGATTTTTCAGTTTCTTCTCTACGATCGAGAGCTGAACGAGGTAACAAGTCAAATTGAGAATCTCGAAGATGAATATAACCAGATAGTACAGTCTTCCGAGGAATTCATTCAAGAGCTGTCTAAGCGCGAAACTCTGATCGCCAATGTGGGCAAAAACATGGAAAGTGTGAAGGCTGAACTTAAGGTCAAAGAAGCAACCGATCTGCTACAGGAGAAGTCGCGCCTATCAGAAGTGACGAAAACAAAAGCCGACCTAGAAGTTCGCCTCGATGAGATCAAGCGGCAAATCGATTCTCGTCGTGGGCAAAAAGAATCAGATGCTAGAAATATGGCTGTACTAGAAGGGGAGATCAATAAAGCCAACTCTCAATTGGATCGCCTGTTACCAAGATTTGAGCAATTACGCCACGAAGCTAAAGGTTATGAAGAGGAGCTTTCAAATCTGAATAGAAGACAAAGAGAAATGACATCAAAGAGAGGGATTTACTCAAGGTTCAGCAATCAAGAAGAGCGTGACAAATGGCTGGACGAGGAGCTAAAATCTTTGGAAGTACAGGCCACTGAGGCGAGTTCACAGCTTTCCACGCTATCAACGGAGAAGGAACATCTTCTTATCGATATAAAAAAGCTCGAAGAAGAGATCGCGGAACTCAATGACTCTGTGCGCGGTCCCGGAGTAGCCGCAGAACTGGAGGACCTCACCGCAAGCAGCAGTGAGATGAAAAGACGGTACCTGGAAAAGATTGATGAACGCAAAGAGCTCTGGAGGTCAGAACAAAAGCTGCAAACAATTTCAGAATCACTCGAGGACGCAGTCAAACGTTCCGAAAGGAGTTTATCGGAAACCATGGATAGAGGCTTGGCCAACGGACTGAATGCTGTGAAAGAGATCGCAAAACGTTTAAAACTCCCAAGTGGGTCCGTTCATGGCCCTCTTGGGGAATTAATCAAAGTGAACGAGAAATACAAGCTATCTGCCGAGGCTGTTGGCGGTAACTCATTACTTCATGTCGTGGTTGATACTGACGAGACTGCTAGTATTTTGATGCAAGAGCTCTACCGCACCAAGTCCGGGAGAGTCACCTTCATGCCTCTAAACAGATTGGCTACAAATTTTGCCGTCTCTTATCCTGACACGTCGCAGGTCGATTGTACTCCTCTGATGTGGAAGATCAAGTATGAGAAGTGCTTTGAGTCTGCCGTGAGACATGTATTTGGAAGAACTTTGGTTGTTCGCGATTTGGGGGCGACCGCTAAGCTAGCCAGAGATCATAATCTCGACTCGGTAACTCTTGATGGAGACCGGGCTAACAAGAAAGGTCTCATTACCGGTGGATACCACGACTACCACAAGAAGATGAAGCTCGATGCTCTAAAAGAAATCAAAGCTGCCAAAGTCCAGTTTACTGAGGCGTCCAAGGACCTCGAGAGTGTGAGGGCACAGATTGCTGCCGCTGATTTGGAGATTGACCGCGTTAATAGCGAGCTGAAAAGTCATTCAATTAGAAAGGAGGCTATTCTCACCAATATCGAGCTTCTTAGAGCCAAATTAAGCAAATCATCGGCGGAGGTTACTTTCAAAAAGGAATTGTTGAAAGGAATAAGCGCCAAGGTCGAGAAAAGTAATACATCGATCAATTTGGCGAGAGATAAGATTTCGCGCTATCAAGTTGACTTGGAGCGGCCCTTCGAAAAGAACTTGTCTCCAGAGGAAGAGCAGAGCTTACAGTCACTTGTGGGCCAAATGAAAAGACTGGAAGATCCACTAAGTACAACGAGAGAGGCCCTTGACGAGGTCAGTACAAGAATAGACCTGATAAAGGCAGAGCTCAATTTAAAACTCTATGCACAAAAGAGAGAACTGGAAGCAAGAATTTTGGCAACTGAGACTGCCAATCAATTTATACGCGATGAAGAGGTACGCAGTCTGAGCGAGAAGCTGAAAACTATGACTTCGAGAGAGCAACAATTGTCAGATTCTGTCTCCAAGATTATGGAGGAGATTGTGGCACTAAATGACGAAATTGCAGCGAACGAGAGACTACAAGAGAAGGGAAATACTCAGCAAAGGGTACTTTTAAAGAAGTTAGATAGCTTCCAAAAGACGGCGGAAAAGTCTGTAGTCAAAAAGACAACTCTTATATCTCGTCGTGATGAAGTTCAGCAGAAAATAAGCGAAATTGGCTTGCTTTCAGAAGATTTGCTAGAAAGGTATCAAAATCTTGAAAGTGAAGAGACTCTTCGAAAGCTCAATGCAGTGAATAAGAAAATCTCTAAGATGAGCAACATTAATCGCCGCGCTATCGAGAATTTCAGAAAGTTCAACGAGAAGCGACAAGAGATGGAGGCAAGAGCACAAGAACTGACACAGTCAAAAGAATCTATTGAGAAATTGATAGAGTCTCTCAAAATGCAAAAGGTTGAAGCCGTGGAAGCTACCTTCGAGAAGGTAGCCCAGAATTTCAGTGCTATATTCGAAAAACTCGTACCGAGCGGTGCTGGAAAGCTCATTATTCACAAAAGTGCTGAACGTAGCAAGCGCAGTGAGACGGTGCGAAACGAGGATAGCATAACAAGTACTGCCGAGGAGGAAAGTGTTGACGCCATCTACACAGGCGTATCGATCTCTGTCTCCTTTAACTCCAAGAATAATGAGCAACTATATGTGGAACAACTGTCTGGTGGACAGAAAACTGTTTGTGCAATCGCTTTGATTTTGGCAATACAGGTTGTCGAGCCAGCTCCATTTTACCTATTTGACGAAATTGACGCAGCCTTAGACAAGCAATACAGAACATCTGTTGCGAGCATGATCAAAGAGCTTTCTAGCCACGCTCAGTTCATTTGCACCACCTTTAGAACCGACATGCTGCAGCTTGCAGATTCGTTTTATCGGGTGAAGTTCGACAACAAGATATCTGAGATACAAGAGGTAACGCAGCAGGATGCGATGAAGTTCACGAAAAGAAGAAGCAAGATGGGCGAACTTTGAGAATTACTGTTTTCGAATTTAAAAAGGTTTCAAGCTAGTTATAATGATGCAGAGTTCTCTGTTACGATGCTAATATGTTGATTAAAGGTTGAGTAAAGGTAGTTACTAGTTAGATTACAATTATTTTTTTTGGAGTCTTTAACCAGCGATGCAAATCCGCTGCTTAACTTCTTTTGCCGCCCCAACGCTTTGCTAGCTGATTTAGCGCTGATAAAATTCGAGCTGCTATCATCTTCGGAAGAATCGTCACTGCTGTCACTATCGTCCTCACTCCCGCTTTTGTCAGAGTTCTCCTGGCTTAAATCATTATTCAAGCCTTCTTTTTGTTTAGTTCCACGTAGCGAGGTGTTGTTCTCTTTCAAGGTCTTGTCTTTTACTTCCGGAACTCCACGAGATACCAGATCGGACAACGAGCTTAAAGACCTGCTTGGCTTCGATTGTGGTTTTTTGGAGTTAGACACAGGCGACGACATCTGTGCTTTAGATGTCGGAGAAGACATTTCCATCATTCTAGTGACCGGGACCTTCGTACCACTACTCAATGGCTCGTTGTCAAGGGCTTGCTGCGTTGATTGTGGAGCTTGCTCTAAGCCAGATATATCACTTTGCTTAGTTTTCTTCGGAAGAGATATAATAGCCCCTTTTGGCGTGTTAACTATTCCCCTCCGCGACTTCCTGCTGGCTGTGGAGTCATCATCCGAGGAAGAGTCAGAAGATTCGTTGTCATTTGAGGAACTTTCATCGTCGAGCTCTTCGGAGACATCAGAAGACGTCGAGCTCTTTTCACTTTTACCTTGCCCTCTATCTTCATGCTGCGGGGCTAAGCTTCCGGATGTAAACTGTGACTTGAGTTTTTGTATCTTTGAAACTTTGTCACCTTGAGTTGGCGTGCTCAAAGGTTCTTGATTTTGGCTGACTTTCAATTTATCACCTGTACCAAAATACTGAGAGAGATCCTTGGGCGCTAGAGCAGCGGAAGTGCTATCCTCTTTCTCACCAGAGTCCCCCTTACTCTCACCTACCGCACTCGTTTTAGCCTTGTCACTCTTAACTTGCGAGTTCGTGGCCTCATCGGCGGTTTCATCGCTTCGTTTACTGACAGACGTTTTATCAGTCTTCCGTGCTGACTGCGCGGAATTTGCTACTTTTTTGTCATCTTTCGCTTTTTTAGAAGCACTTTGAAGTTCTCTTTTCTTGATGGCATCTTCCTGCATCTTTTTCTTCTTCATCTCTCGTTCAGCTTTCTTTTTGGCGGCCGCTTCCTCTCTTTCTCTTCTCCTTTCCTCCTTCTCCGCTTTTTTCCTTGCATTTTCCTCTTCCCGGGCCTTCTTCAGCAATTCGCGCTCCTTTCGCTTCTTTTCAGCCTCTTCCTTGCGTTTGAGTACTGATGGAGGGAGTTTCTTTGTAGCAGATTTCGTCTTACTTCCTTCGGCGTCCTTGGTGGACGAAGTATTCATCGAGTCGTCATCGGAGTCCTCAATAAACTCAGGACTGTGGTAAGATTTTACTTCGCGATTGGCTGCGACGGGTGAGATTCCTCTAATCAATTTGTTTGATATTTCTTCTTGTGACACTTCCTTCGAGGATTCGGTTGAAGATTTCGTGCTTGATTCAGATTCTGAGCTTCTTTCTACAGTCGAAGAGGAAGATGCTTCAACTTTATCTGCGTCACGACTGTCGGGGGTTTTGCCAGCTTTTGTAATTGCCTTTTTATCCTTACTTTCTTTACTCGCGACTGAGCCATTTGGCCCCGTAGCGGCGGCTTTCACTTCAGAAGAAGTGTCCGCTTGGGTTGCATTCTTTCCATTAACCGCTTTCCTCGGTACCGCACCTGCTATAGCCTTGCTGGTATCTGCTTCGCCATTGAGAATGGGTCTAGTACCCTCACCTATCACTTGTTCCTTAAGAGGGTGTATATTAAGCTTTTTTAGAGCCTGGTTTTCCAGCACAGTGACTCTGCCATTATCGCTTTGATCAGTTTCGATATCACTAGATTCCGCTTCGCTCTCGGAGGTTGCTTCCTGATTTCGGGACCTTCCAGATGACAAAAGTTCCGCAGCTTTAATTGCGGCTGACCTTTGTAGCCTCTGATTGATAACATCCTTCGAAAGCGCATTCGACTTTTCGGCGGACTTTTCGAAGTACCCAGCTTTGGACCTCAAAGACCTTTTGCTGAAGTCCGAGGGTATGTCAAACTTATTACCCCGTAGCATGGATAAGAGCTCCGATTTTTGAAAGCTACTATTCCCAGAATTATCCACTTGATTGATTCGAACCGTATCATTAGGATCCTGGCCCAGTTGCTGACCCTCAACTTCGTCTTCATCAGAAAACGAGACTTTTCTGGCCGCAGCCATGGGGTCGTCTTTCTTTTCTTGCGTTCCCTTGCCATTTCTCTCTGCAAGAGGGCTGCTGTTGCGGATGAGAGACTCAACTTTGTGTTCCAAAGAGGATTTGCGTGTAACTCTCCGACCCGAGGAAGGAAGTTCTGCTAGGTTTACGTTTCGATTTTTGCTGCCATCTTTGATAGGCGAACCGTTGTTGTCGGCAATTGACGTTTGGCGGGAAGCGGATAATCTGAGCGAGGGTTCAAGCACTTGCTCGGCACGGTTCCCTACTGCAATTCTTCTTTCATCATCTTCTGACGATTGGCTTAGTTCATCATCGTCTGACACAGGAATATCATGCTTTTTCATCGGTATACGATCCGGACGAGCTGGCAGTACAGCCGATGGGCTTTCAGGTCCTTGTTTGAGTTCTTTCTCGACTTCAGAGATTTTTGGCTCCGGAATTCGTAGCATTCCTGAAGTAATCCTTTTATTTGTGTTAATTGGGGTAGCAGAACCATCGATTTCTGCTTCATTGACCATTAGCATTTGATCTTGGCCCTTCTTTCTTTTAGGAGTTGTGGTACCTTTTTTGGGCGGCTGACGCATTGGAGTGCCCGAAGGTAATCTTTGTTGTCTCGACTTGTCTGGGTCGACGGCCTCGGATCTGGATATTGTGTTATCACTGAAGTTGACCTTTTTTGCGCTATCCACTGCAGAGCTGATGCGAATAGGCTGCGATTGCGGTTGTGGTGGGGGCAAGATGGAACGATTGGCAGCGTCGTCATCTTCATAATCCGAATTGAGTTGCGTTCTAGATGCCTGAGGATAGATTTGGTTGGCTAAGGGAGTTGAGACGCGCATGGCAGTGGAGTTGCGCAAAATATGGGGTCGTTTTTTTGCGATCTGTAGCACGTTTGGCTGAGCTCCTGAAGCTCCATTGGCAACCGACACTTTCCCAGCATCACCGTTGTCAAGTTTGCGCCGTTTGACGGAGTACAAAGTTTGGGCTCTATCGTCTGCGACTTCGATGTCTTGGCTTAGCACGGCCCGAACCACGTTGTCGACGTTGAAAACGTCTTTCACCAAAAAATCGGGGTCCAAGTCGCATTCGTTAGAGTCCTGCAAGCTCAAAAGCTCAACTGATTGCGCTAGATGGGGATAGATCTTGTCGCATTTGGCCACGATCTCTTCTGCCAGCATAAGAAGCGAATTGGTGGGTTGCGTGAAGAGCAGGAATTTCTTGAGCTTAGGTTGCGAAACATGGCTCGATGAAAAGCTAGACATGAACAAGTTGTTGTTAGTGCTGCCAGAATGAGGCATTTCTGGCCGATTTCCAGTCAAGATCGCCGATCCATTGGCACCAATGCTCGATGGAAGAAGTTGCGAATTGTCGGTAGTAGCAGGATTGAAAGGGAGCTGCAAAGCCCCATTTATAGAGCTCGGTGGCACCAGTACCACTTGAAGCTTGTACATGCGTCCTTAAAGGAGTTCTGAACCGATGTTTCTACGAATTTTGTTGATACCTTTGGTAGGTTGAAACTTTTCAAATAAACATTTCAAAATTTGATGCGATGACATTAAATTATGGACGGTATATATAAGAGTGAAGTTTGTAAGGCTTCAGAGAAAGGAGTTGAACCTTGATCGAGAGTTTCGGGTGTCTGGACACGCACAGTGATGAAATTGGTGACTGGAAGCAGGAACAGATTATTTCATGAAATTGTGAAGATGCATTGCGAACATCGAATATTATTGTTTTCGATCTGCAATTAAAAAATGCTAACGGAAAGGTCCGAAGTGTAGGCTTGATGTGTGGGCGTTTATTTCTGTAGAAACACTTGGAAATAAATGCGGGCGTTGAGGAGATGTCCCAGGCTTACTTGGCGGAGAAATTACGAGGTTATGTGCTCTTGCGTAAAATTTCGATTTGATAGGCGTAAGGGCGAGTAGTAGTGCTTGAAATTTTCAAATTCAGAGCATGGAGGTTACCAATATTGATTTGATTCCATACTGGGAGGGCTCACGGGAGGGTGGTGAGAGAGAGAGAGAGTATGTGTGTGTGTGTGTGTCTGTATTTTATCGCTCTGCACGTGACTTAATGACAGCATGATTTCTGGCACGAAAAGGGTATACATGGCGGATTGAAAAGATGCCCGTTCCCAAAGACACTAGCGTGGGCACGTATACGTTATAGCAAGAGTTATTAGAGCTCCCCCTCCCCCACCTGCCGTGGAAATCATTGGTTCTTACCGAGTTTCGTGCAAGAATCTGGAAATTCACCCAACTACTACAACCGTATGTAATGAACACGAATTAAGAGCGATTATTGAGTATGAGCTATAGAGTTTCCCAACGATCCATAGTTTTATCAAGTTTCCATCGGCTTTCAACTCAGCTTCGCTTCTCTTCGAGCAAGTGAAATACCACTTACTCACACTATCAGGACCTTTACACACCACTGCGTGGTGTCCAGACATTTAAGCTGGTGCTAACCAGGACTGGGTGCGAGTGACTTCAGGTAGCCAATTTTCCGCCACGGGTGGATTAACTCGATATGCTCGCGAGTGATCTGCGAAGAAAGCTGCTCGAGCTGGCTAGAAGATAGATCACGTGAATTAGTTATTCAATTCTCGGCGTCAGTAAAACAAGTGACTTACATGCTACAACTTCAGACGTCTTTCGTATGTCTCAAGGACTCTTTCCCGAGACTGAATCGAAAATCAAAGTGTTTGTAGGTAATTATCGACATCAACGTCATCACTCCTAGCTTGCAATTTTGATTGATTCGCAGCTACGTTGTATGTGCGCACTCTTCTAACGATATTTCATCAATCCGAGTTCGCAGGATTCAATCATATCGGTGGGTCACTCACACTCCAAGGATATAGAACGCGAATGTTGATCCAGTCAGCATTGCAAGATTGATCTAAAACTGAGGAAAAAAATCTCCATTCCCATATCCTGCCTAAGAACCGATCTTCTCTACCCCAAATACCATACGTTTAGTCATACTGTAAGCAATTATTTTACCTTGCGACCTTGTTTGACAGAAGTAGCCACCACCTTCAACAGAACCTTGGACTTTTACTCTTGCTATCAATTTTCTCTACTACGAAATTTTCCTACACAAGACTCATTTCTCACAGCCCGGGACTAATGACAAACCACCTTTTCTACTGTTTAATTCGCCCGTTGTCGTCCACTGTCATCCACTGTCGTCCTCTAAATTCACTTTTTCTGCTCTAAAATACATAATTAAATACACTGACTAAAAACTCACCTGTAAAAACCACCTAAAAGATATCAACACGCTGCACCTTTCAGCCCGAAGAAGGCGCTAAAGAAACAATTTCTTGAATATTTGGATCCACCTATCGCATCCTTCGAAAAATCTTATCTTGTAGACCATTCATGCTCTTCTTCTGCGATCTTTGCTTGACACTCGTAATCTATTCTCTCGTTTATCCAAATTGCATGACTACACCACACCGTCTTCCCATCTTCTCACATAGCGATGATTCCGCGTTACCTTCAGGGAATAGAGTTCTCCATTCGAAACAGACGCGATGCTATTTCATTGCGGCATCCAAGCCTTACTTGAATTTTTTACCTTGATCTATCTTCGACTCGTCTTATCTCAGGCACATCCTAACTTTGAGTCATCGATGCCTCCAGACAGACACAACTAGAGCGAGGACTATAAAACTGGCTCGACGTTCACTTAGTCGATCGTGATAGCTTACTGAGCTAGCAAATCAGCAATTAGTTTCCCGAGCTAAGTTTCCTCTGCTAAATATTACCAGTCTGCAATGTCTAGAACAGTTCCATTCAAACAAGTCGATGTCTTCACTTCCACGCCTTACAAAGGTAACCCAGTAGCAATTGTCAACTGCTGGGACTTGGATGAGAGCACAATCGAGCAATCTACCCTTCAGAGCATTGCTGTCTGGACCAATTTGTCCGAAACCACTTTCCTCTTCAAGCCCACAAACGAGAAATGCGACTACAAAGTCAGAATCTTCACACCAAAGGCAGAGCTAGAGTTCGCAGGACACCCTACCTTGGGAACGTGCCACGCTTACCTGGAGTTCAGCGGTAGAAAGAACGTGGAGAAGATCTACCAAGAATGTGCTCTTGGTGCGGTCGAATTGACCATCAAGGACAAGAAGTTGTCGTTCAAAGGCGTCAAGACCGATGTGGTCAGTATTTCTAGTGATCTCACTCAAGAATATACCAAGTGTGTCACTGCGCCACTCGTGACTGAGCCAATCTTGGCAGAAGTGGGTCCACACTGGGTTGTGGCCTTGGTGGAAGACAACAAAACTTGTTTTGACATGGAGATTGATTATGAACTAATGACAAAAGTTGCTGCCAAGCACGGCACCACCGGTATGATCATCGCTGGTAAGTTCCCTGATAGCGAGAAATACGAAATGCGTGCGTTTGCACCAGCCGCGGGTGTTGTGGAGGACCCTGTGTGCGGCAGTGGCGCTTTGGCCTTGGCCCGTTACTTGCAAGAAGTCAAGAAGTTCGACTCATCCTACGAGTTTGAAATCAGCCAGGGTGGACGCTTGGGACGCCAGGGTGAAATCAAGGCTGCTATCACCCACTCAGAGGGCTCTATCGGCTACCACATCGGTGGACAATGCATCTCTGTTGTTAACAACGGTGAATTCTTGATTTGAAATGGAAATTCGAAAGGGAGCAGTGTGGTCCAGGGTTTTTTGATAGGCCTTGAGCTCGAGCTCGTTGGTGGCGTCCTGCATTTTTAGCGTCAATCGAGTCCTGTGTATAGTTGAGCGCCCCTACGGAAAGCCTGTAGAACCTTTGCATTAGAAAGAGACAGCAGTGCCATAAAATATCTTGTAGACAAGTAAAAGTTGGAAGTTTTGTTTTTTATTTGGGCTGAATAGCAGCTATGGTGAAAGAACGGTCGAAAACGCCTTTTGCCGGTGAGAGGTGTGGGTTGACTGCAGCTGTAATATTTCTGCTTCGACTTCTCACCACTTGAAACCCTCATCATGCAAACGTATCTACAACAGTCCTCCTTCCTAAATATCGATTATCGACACTCTCAAACTATTAAAAGTACCACCTGCTCGATCAAAACCTACCAACAAACCTCTATCAACTGTACTGCTATTTTTCAAAAAAGTCACAATAGACAGCTGTTTTTCGATTCGTATATGCACTCTTACTACGCTCTCTCTTTTCTCTCAATGGACTCTCTTTACTCTCTCACTACGCTCTGCCCACGCTGCCTCTACATTCTCTCTACACGCTCACTTTACTCCCTCTCACCTCTCTTGACACTCTCAATTGCTCAACGGTTCGTCAACTTACGACTTCTCTCACCTTTTGCTATCACCAAACTCAAATTATTTAAACCTCTGAACTCTCAAATTTCCAAAAAACATGTATCTCTGGAGAATATCTGCTCAACACCATTCCTTCGACAATCAAACTTTCTGTCACTGCTGTCAAAATGCCAACTAAACGCTCCATATCACCACCTCCGAGTTTGACCAAAAAACTCAAGGTTTCGGACAACTTTGAAGAATACTACAAGCCAGACCCACGCTACTACCCTAATCCGATAACTTGGAAACAAGCCAATGCTTTCAATACCGGGAAAAGACCCAAACCTATCGACCTTCTGAACAACCACATCAAGTCCCAAAAACTGGACTCTAAAACTAGTATCGACACCGTGGTGCACTGGTTTAGAACAGACCTCAGACTTGGGGACAGCGCAGGGCTATTTCACGCTGTGAAACAGCTACAAGCGGCTCAAAACAAGTCCAACAAAGACGCCAGACTGATGGCCCTGTACATCATCAACGAACATGACTTTAGGGCACACCTCGACAGCGGATGGAAATTGCGATTTGCACTGGACGCCCTGGAAAGCCTAAGGGAATCGTTGCGCAAGTTGAATGTGCCACTTATAGTGAGACTATTTGAGCCTAAGGAAGCACTGCTATCGCGGTCGTCGGAGTTCGCAACATGGTTCAAGGACCTGTGTTTGGGACTTGTAAACAAGAAAAGCAGTAAGAGTGGGGCCGTGCTGGTCACAGCCAACGCTCAATACGAAACAGATGAGCTATATCGCGACGTGAACATTTTTGGCCATTGCGACTCCCAATTTCACTTCCAAGTCTACCACGATCAGTGCACCGTGGTGCCCGGTGCCCTCACGACAGGTAAGGGCTCCCAGTACACAGTCTTCACGCCTTGGTACAAGAAATGGGTCGAGTATCTAAAGACAAACCAGAGTGGAAAAGACGCAGTCGCCACGTTCAGTTTCGACACCTCAAAGCCACTTAACGCAGACCTCGAAGCTCTAGAGTCCTGCGACTACGTGCTGCCCGAAGAATTCGTCTCATACCTCCCCAACGAGCATTTGGACATCCCACCAGCTACCGAGCAGGACGCGCATGAAGTGCTAGAACACTTCTTCAAGAGCAAGAAAGTGCACGACTACAACGAGAAGAAGGACATTCTGAACCTCGACAACACCTCGCATCTCAGCTGCTACATCACCAGCGGGCTGATCAGCACGCGTGCGGTGGTCAACCGCGGGTACCACGAAAACGGCAACAGTTTGATGCATAAGGATATCAAACAGAACAACTCGGTCGAGAATTTTGCGAAAGAAGTAGCCTGGAGAGACTTCTACAAACATATCATGTGCAACTGGCCCTACACCTCCATGGACGTGGCGTTCAAATTCGAAACCATGGACATCAAGTGGGAAAACGACCCAGAAAAGTTTCGCAAATGGTGTGTGGGAGAAACTGGATTGCCCATCGTGGATGCCATCCAGCGTAAACTGCTGTACACCGGATACATCAGCAATCGGTGCCGCATGATCACTGCGTCGTTTCTGTCCAAAAATTTGTTGGTAGACTGGCGTTGGGGTGAACGTTGGTTTCGTAAGCACTTGCTAGACGCCGACTTGGCCTCCAACTCGGGTGGTTGGGGATTTTCGTCCAGCACAGGGGTAGACTGCCAACCTTACTTCCGTGTCTTCAACATGAAGCTACAGAGTGAAAAATACGACCCCAAGGGCGCCTTCGTGAGGGAGTGGGTCCCAGAATTGAAGGACATTGACAACATCAAGATCCTTAGAGAGGGAATCTCAAATGCTACAAAGGCCAATGGATATTCTCAACCAATTGTGGATCTCAAGGACAGCAGAGAAAAAGCCCTCGAGGCCTTCAGAGAAGCTATGTAAAATTAAATTGGAATTATCAATGCTACTTTGTATGAACTTTTTGGCTATTTGCAACGATCGGAGTGCAATTCGTGTGTGGATCGTTATCCTTCTCACCCGCACTTCGTTTCACGCTTTCAACCTCTTAGAACGGGTCTTGCCATTCTTCACAGGCTTCCCCACTTTCCAGTTACGAATTGCTCGCGGAGCACTTTGCTGGACATCAAATGTCTCGAAGCTTTCCGCCATACCTTTGAAGTGTTTTTTAAAATTGGTCTTGAGCTGTCTAGACGATAGAGCGTACTCATCGTCAATAGGTGAGGTAGAGTCTTCCGGAGTATTGGAAAAAACAGAATTTTCCCGGCTAACATCTTGTTGTTCTGCGCCAACTTCAGTGTCAGCACCAGGTTCCATGTGGTCTCGAGACACCCGTATGCGGGAGTCGTACGCGTGCAGGTCTGCTTCGAGCCTTTTTTTGTTAACGTGGACCTTGGTTTTCAGCACAGCCATGCTAATGAGACTTTTGTATTGTAGAGGCGAGACCAGCTCAGGGTAGTTGTTCGGGGTTTGTTGGTTGTCATGAGTTTCTGACTGGACGGATCGGTCAAGGGCGTCTTGGAAAAAATTGAAATCAAATGGCATGCTGTGCCAATCGACGTTCAATTTCTGCAGCGTCTGCACGAGAAACTGCCGATCGTGTTTGGTGGACAATTGAGACGTGTCCAGATACGATTGCAATTTTGCGATTCCGAGTTTTGCCCTAGCCTTAGAAGTCGGATGCGGGGCGAAAAAGCGCGCTAGGGTGGTACCCAAAGCCCATTCTCCAGAAGATGATTTCCACAGCGCATAATTATGCGAGTTCAAGTCATATTCCAGGATATATAGTGGACAGTTGGTACATGTTCCATGTGACAGACAGCTCACCTTGAGATTCTGAGTGATAGTCTCACAACTTTCCAGCTCCACGGAAAACGTATCCTGAATATAGCCGAGATACTTGCAAACTTTTTGAATATCTTGAAACGTGCTAACAAGCGTGAGTCTCACGCATTCGTCTTGGCCACTGGGGACGAGAATATCTTGCATTTGACTATTTTAGGGCGCGAAAATAGTGGGAATATAATGTGGATAAGTTTCAAAATGCGAATGGCGGTGAATTGAGTGATTCAGCGTCTTATTAAGCGATCAAAGAGCCTGTTTACACGAAGTTTATTATGTGTGGTAACAAGTTGTGTTACCTTATATTTAGCTACTGATAATCTAATTTGACAGATCTCCGAGAGGTGCTCAAGGTCACATGACTAAAGTGTCAGTATTGAATTTGAGTGACAGAACTCTGGGCCCCATTGAATGTGTCATGAGGGTTGTAGTCACTGTTGGTATTAGTTCAGTAGCTCTACAGTTTGGTGTTATATTGTTACTCTAGAGAAGGTTTGAATTTTTGTCAGATGGTATTGATAAAACATACTTTCAGCGTAGTTCTCGAGGTGCTGTTAATTCGAAATTGGCACAGTAAATTTGATCAGAGAGTACACTGATACGATTATGATGAGCGCTTCAGTGCAGCTGTAACGGTACAATATCTCAGGAAGATAGAAAACTTGGGAGCTATCGCCAAATGTATAATAATTACTACGAGAAAGACAATTTCACACAGGGACGGCCACAGACTACTCGAAATACTGTGAGAAAGGAAGACGGTTCAGCACTTGTCAGATCAGTCTGAGTATAACATCTGCTCTGTGGATCGCGAGATCCATAATCACGGGACTTTTATAATAGGTGACAAACCAATATAATGTGGTAAGTGTTTAACGAAAGTACTACCTTCTCTACATTACACGGACGAGGCGGTGATTGGCCAATTGACCCTACCGAGTAATGGCTATATTCACCCCCCGCGCCACCCATCATTCTATAATTTATCCAAAAAAATTGGACGAGACCGGAGTCGAACCGATGACCTCTCCCATGCTAAGGGAGCGCGCTACCAACTACGCCACACGCCCATTCGATGAGTGATGGGGAGAAACGTTTTCAATATAGCACTAGTAAGCAAGCAGGCTTTATTCTTCTGGAGTGCAAGCCGTGCTCGCTTTATACCACCTGAGTTCAGCGAGTGATATGCCATTACTACAATCTGCGAGATGAGTACGGTGTTTTTCGGTGTCATTTTCGAACACTGATGGGACACGGTACTTGTTGGATGTCAATTATTCAAGAAGGACAGGAGTGAAAAGTACTGACGAGCAGCAAAATATTGCGATAGCGATTTGGTCAAGGAGCCAAAGGAAGAGTTATAATGCTCAGTGTAGGAAACGGAACGGATACCGCCTCGGCCTCGTAATGCGCATCATCAGTTGTCCAAATTGTGAGTGTACAAGAATTAATCAAGTGAAAGAAGTTTGAACGCACGATCACCTTTCGTTCCCGAACCATGCTCGCATTTACAATCACTCACTATCATTCTTGGCGGCAACGGCATCGGAACGCCCAATGATCACAAAACATTCCACCCAAAATTGTTTATTCCTTCAAACTGACCTGAGCCCAGCCGTACGCCCCACATTGTTTTCATGAAACGCCCTTCGGCGTGTCCAGCCACCGCCACATTCACTGGCCCCTTCACAATCCGGTTTTAACAATGGTATGGCTGAGTTTTCACCCGAAAGATGCCATGGAAAAGGTTTGTCAATGAACTGTAGATTCTCGACGTATCGGCCCGTCGCCTTGCGACATACAGTTAGTTATCTACTCGACAACTCAACAATGCAACAATACGCACTAAAAACGCGTGGGCAAGTATCGACTTGAAAAACAAGTAGATGGCACGAAATCGACCGCGAAAAAAATAAATTGACTGGTCCAGTTGGCATTCCAGATTTGCAAAACTCAGACTTTATCATCTAGCCATCTCAAACAGCGTAAATGCACTCGCTAGCCAGCGTTGATTCGAGCCCAACAGCTTTGAGTCTAGCTCTCACATTCCTGGCATTCCAATGGTCCAAAAACGGCCATTTTCCGACAATTCTTAAGAGCTTAGGATATTATTATCATCGTTTCAATCGTGAATGGCCTAAATCTGTGAAAAAAGCTCTACCATGACACTTAACACCCATAATACCTTCATATTCTTGCCAGGTCCAGAATCCATCGAGTGCTCAAAAATTGCAGATTCCTCCATTCACCTAACTCTCTGAGTAGCTGGCCATCTAGTATCGACCATCATTAGTTATTCTCATTACGTATACACAACCATCTTGCACACGTTGCCAGGCGCGATAGAAACCTTCTGTGGAGTGTAATTCCTCGCCCTGGCGAGCCCTGCACTTTCCATGCTTGGTGCCAGATCGATATCCTCGTCCAAGCCTACGTATTTTTTTTCGCGGGCGCTGGTGCCTTCTTAGAGAACTCCCAAGCTGGACGAACTAGATCGGGCAAAAAATACTGAAACTTGTTACTTGCAGTTGCGACACACGGTTCAGGCCAGATAGATAGCATCACAATGCTGGTTTAGAGCTGCGAAAATGTGTGGTGTCAACAAGATGCGGGAAACTTTCGTGACAGATTGGCGTGGGCTCAAAATGCGGTATATAAGAACGCGAATTTAGCATGGCGGATGGAATCCATGATTTATCCTGAAGAAAGCAAGCCTTACCGCTCCAAACTATAAACCTTTACGCTCCTTATCTTATATCGAAACGTCCAATTTCAAGCCTTTCCTTTAAACAACCTCCGTTTTTCTTACTGCAAGCATGAAATTGTCCCAGATCGCTCTCGTCTCGGCAGCTGCCGCTTCTATGGTGGTGGCCGCTCCAGCGGCCGCCACGGTGACCCAACACGTCCACGGCAAAGCGACTGCTGTCGTGAAAGGCTCTCTGTACACTGAAAACGGCTCCGTCTTCACATCGTGGACCACAGAGCTTCAGGATGCGCCTACCTCGTCTGTGACAACCAGCAGCGATTCCTTCCAGCCTACTGTGTCGTCCGCTGCTCCTGCAGAAAGCGTTGTGGTTTCGACCGTGGTGTACTCCGCTCCTACTCCTTCCCCTGAAGTCGCGTTCAGCTCATCGAGCTCATCGAGCTCATCGAGCTCATCGAGCGCATCCAGCTCGTCTGTATGGACTTCTTCCTCGGAGTCGACTTCCAGCGCATCTGAACCTACCATCGTCAGCACAATTGTAGGTCAAAAAGCGGTCCAAAGCGTTGACCCCGTCTCCACCAGTGCCCCAGCATCCTCGTCGTCGTCGTCATCGTCTTCGACCACAACATTGGCACCTTCCACCGCCGCTTCTTCTGCTTCGACCGAGTCATCCTCATCTGCCACTTCCTCGTCCTCGTCCTCCTCTTCTTTGTCAAGTTTCGCTTCCTCCATCCTTGACGCCCACAACACCAAGAGAGCCTTGCACAAGGACACTTCCAGCTTGTCCTGGTCGGATGAGCTAGCTACATATGCTCAAAACTACGCTGACAACTACGACTGTTCCGGATCTTTGACCCACTCTGGCGGTCCTTACGGTGAGAACTTGGCATGTGGTTACTCAGCCACTGGCTCCGTGGACGCCTGGTACGACGAGATTAAGTCTTACGACTTTTCAAACCCAGGTTATTCCTCTTCTACTGGCCATTTTACGCAAGTCGTGTGGAAATCTACAGAACAACTGGGTTGCGGGATCAAGCAGTGCAGCGGTGGTACCGGTGACTATGTCATTTGCTCCTACAAAGCAGCTGGAAACTTTATCGGCCAGTTTGAGCAGAATGTGGAGCCTCTCAATTAAGCCGGTGTCTTCCAAAATAGGTCCACTGGGACTGTACAAGATCTCAAGATTTAGGGCCCAGAGCCTTATATACTATGCATCAGAATGGTTACATTCGACAAGGAAATACGAGCACAACATGATTCGCAAGTGCTCGAACGATACCCGGTTTCAGTTCTTAAGTTTACAATTAGTTTTATCTGTAGTTGAAACTCAAATTAGTGTTTTACAAGGTTTACTATGCAATGAGGCCTTTTGCTTATTGAATCGATAAGTTTTACAGACGTTTCGTCATAAAACAATTCCCACACCCACCAGAAACTCTATTATGGTCTCGTTTGCACAGCACAGCAGCAGGCTGCGATGTATATAAATGCGAGGCTTTCAACTCCGACCAGTGATTTAGCTGTGTTGTCGTTTTCTTGACAGGACGTTTTTATAATGACGCTTTACGCTCTTTTTATCCTGACACTGACACTTACGGCTCAGGTCTTGGGTGTCGCCATTTCCTTGATTGACAGTGCTCCAGAGCAAGTAACATCAATTTCTAGCACAACAGGCACTCTGTCTGCGATTTCGCGGACCACATTGCGCACCACGGTCTTCCGATCTCGAACTATCTATCCAAGCTCACAGACGTCGGGAACTACTTCTGAAGAGACCACTTCAGAAACCTCTACAGCGAATAACAAGACAGCTTCCAATTCCATTTCCAGTTCTAAGTCCACTTCAAGCACCACTTCAAGCACCACGTCAAGCACCACTTCCGCATTGCAGACATCTCAATTCCAGACCCAGATTCTGCAAGAACACAATGCCTACCGCAAACTACACTGCGCTCCAAACTTGCAATGGTCTGCGACCCTCCAGCAATTTGCTGAAAACTATGCCAACCAGTACAATTGCAATGGCACGCTGATACACTCGAAGTCGCCCTACGGTGAAAACTTGGCTCTCGGTTACAATACCACGGCAGCCGTGGCAGCCTGGTACAATGAAGAAAAGCTCTACAACTACAACAAACCAGGTTTTTCCGAAAAGACCGGTCATTACACCCAGCTCGTGTGGAAACTCAGTACTCAGCTGGGATGCGCGTGCGTCGACTGTGGGGACTATTACGGTCAATACACCATATGCAGCTACGATCCACCAGGAAATGTCGCCGGCCAGTACCAGCTTAACGTCCTCAAGAGTCATATTTAAAGAACAAACAAAAGTTTGAGGCCCAGGGTCCAAAAGAGCTAGGATAAAACCCAGCATTACAATTCTCAAGAGCCACTCACTAGCAGTGCGATACTATCATGTGATGGAATACCGTCAATTCGGCCCCACTCTGACACGTATTCTGTAGTTGTTTACTGTGGGACTCGAAAATTTTCAGTCGTATTCGCGGAAGGCAGGTCGGGTGGAAGATTTCTGCTGAAATATTATAAACCTTGAAAAAAGAGAGGTGATAGCGAAGTTATGAACAAAAAAACGTTGGTTACTCAATTCTGGAGGGAATTACTTCTGAAACCGAGCTTGTGCTAGTCTTAAAAGAACTGGCATAATTTGTTAGTGCTAAACGCCTTTTTCCACGCGAACATAGCTCTTGAATTGCCGTTTTTACCAGGTAATTACTTTGACCACCTATTTTCTCATTCATTTTGGCTTTCTGGTAACCTGTTGATCCTCAAATATGTCTTATCCCGAATCTGAGTCCGTCAATTCAACTTTGGAGACTGAACCCGTTCTGGAGACACCTCCCACCTCTGGGGATGCTGTGTCGGAGTTGGACGGCGAAGAAGTTGCAGCCGAGACCTCTGACGCAGCAATCGCACCTGTGGAGCAGAAACCTCTGCCAACCAAAAAAGATTTCCCTACACTAGGCTCTGGCGCCTTCTTAGCTGCCACCAGCAAAGTCTCGTGGGGCCCTAACATGAAATCTGACGCCTCCAGCTCGTCATCTGCGTTCAACTCAGCCACCCAGTCTCGGTCCACCACTCCTGGTGCCTCCTTCCAGGCCAAACCAGCCCGCTCACAGACTATCCAGGAAGCATTCTCGCTCGACCTGCAATCGCAGGTCGCAATCGCCAAACCTGATTTCTCCAAGATCGTTCAGAAGGTCAAGCAAACCCACAGTGTGTCTATCGAGTCCACTTTGTCGAAACAAAGCCGTACGTTCTTGATCTCCGGTAAACCAGAAGACGTTAAAGCCGCAAGAAGAGAGATAGTTAAGAAACTAACGAAGCCCGTCACTGTCACTCTGCAGGTTCCTTCCAAGACAAGATCAGTCATCATCGGCGCGGGTGGTAAAACCATCCGTGGGATTTCGGATCCTTTGGAGGTCAGAATCGACATTGGCAAGGACGTCAACGAGGATTCGTACGACGAAGACCTAGACGATTCTTTGGTGGACATCACTATTCATGGCGATTTGGAGTCCGTGAGAATCGCCCAAGAGAAGATTCTTGCTATTGTTAAAGAAGACACCAAGAATGCCACCGTTAAGATCAATGTACCAGATAAGAACTTGTCTCCCTTCATTGACCTCGGATTCCTAGAGAAAACTATCGAATCAAAGGTCGACGAAAAAGAGGGCAAAATTCAGCTTTCCGGTTTGCGTGACGATGTCCAAGCTGCGAAAACATCGATTCTTCAGTACTTGTCTGACCTAGCGACTCAGATCAGAACTTTGAAGGTAACCATCCCAACTAAGTTTCAATTTTTGATCGACGATGCCTTGATCAAACAGAACTTTAATGTAATTGTCAAAATGCCTACAATGGGTGAGGAGGAGGTTGCCTTTATCGGCCCAGCTTCTAAGCTAGATGAAGCCGTCACCTTTGCCAGAGAAAACTCGAAGAAATATAAAGTCGAGTCCCTAGAGATTTCTAAAGCCCACGGTAAGGACCTGCAGCATGCGAAGAACATCGCCCTATACTTTGCAAAATACGACCTTCTAGGACCAATAAAGAATGCGCACGCTAACGTGCTCATCGCTTTGCCTTCTCCTCAAGAGCTACAGAGTGCAGATGCTGTCTTAGTCAGAATCTCTTCCAAGATTGAGCATGCCGAAGAGTTGAAGGTTGTTCGCAAAGAAATCATTAACCTAGTGAACGAATTGCCTACATCTCAAGTTTTGGTCTTAGATGACGTAGACTACGAGCTATTCAGCAAAGATATCAAGCACTTCCTCTTGCAAGAAGAACAAAAGGCTGGATTCGTTCAATTGGGTGACTTTTATGCCGATGACGACAGAATCATCATTGTAGCCCAACTTTCTGACGAGGACTTCAGACCTTCTGATCCTGAACTGCAGCAAACCCTCAACGAAGTCAGTGCTGCTTTGGACCCTCTCCGCAGAAAGCAAGAGAATCTATCACAAGAGGTCATCTCCATGTCTTACGCGAAACAAGAGCAGTATTTGACAGTCGGAAGTCTTACACGCAAGCTTGTTGAACAAGATATTGCTGCTAACGGTGGACATGTTCAATTCAAGCTTCACCGTCCATCTGCCGATTGTTTAACTGTTAGAGGTGACGGGAAGGCTGTCACAGCTACCGTCAACGCGATTGAGTCTATATTGAGCCATGAAGATGAAAAATACGAGATCAAGTTCGGGGTTTCTTCGAACGCTGTTCCAAGATTGATTGGGTCGAAGGGCGCTAATCTAAATGCCATTAGAGAGAAATACCAATGCAACATCGACGTTGCCGCAATCTCCAATGACAACGTTACGGAAGTGACTGTTGTTGGATTGAAGTACGCTGCAGAGCACGCCAAAGCTTACCTGGTTTCCGAGTCTAAGAAATGGGCCGACGTGATCACCAAAGAGTTGAATGTTTTGCCAAAATTCCGTGGTAAGCTGATCGGCTCCCAAGGTGCTTACCGCACTCGCTTGCAAACTAAGTACAATGTTTTCATCCACTTCCCAAGCGAGGGCGAAACCAAGGGTGTCACCATTAATGGTCCTTCCCGTGGGGTTGCCAAGGCATATGATGAACTCAAGGCTCTTTTGGACTTCGAAATTGAGAACGGACACACCTCTATCATCAAAGTTCCTACTGAGCACGTTGCCCGTGTTATTGGTAAGGGCGGTGAGATGATTAACGATATCAGAGCCGACTTTGGCGTGGAGATGGACTTTCTACAAAAGACGAGTGATGCCAAAGCTGCTGCTTCAGGAGAGGTTGAACTTGAAATCACTGGTTCCAGACAGGCCATTAAGAGCGCCACTGAAAGAGTTCAGGCCATTGTTAAAGAGGCCTCTGACGTTGAGTCCGAGTCTTTTGAAGTCAATCCTGACTATATCAAGGACATTGTTGGTGCTGGCGGCCGTGTTCTTAAGGAGTTGATTTCTAAAGCTGGGGGTGACGAAGTCAGAAACAAGTCCGTGGATATCCCAGACGCTAAATCGCAAGAAAACAAAATTGTTGTACAAGGTCCTAAGGCATTTGTGAAAGCGCTAGTGAAGGAAATCAAAACTATTGTTGCGGAAAGAGAAAACTCTATTACCAAAGAACTAGAAATTCCATCCGACAGAGTTGGTGCACTTATCGGCCCCGGTGGCTCAGTGCGTCGTCAGTTGGAATCCGAATTCCGGGTCAGACTGTTGCTGCCAGAGATCGGTGATAAGAGTCGCAAGGTTGAAATCTCAGGTCTTTCAGAGAACATTGCTGCTTGCGAAAAGAAGATATTTTCTACAATCATTAGGGACACCTGCGACCTTGAGATCAGTGTTCCTGCATCTTATCACGAATTTGTATCTGAGAAAGGTGCTTTCATCCAAAAACTCAGATCCGACTTCTTCGTTAACGTGAAATTCGGCAATGCAAACGGTAAGGCTAACAAGTTGGCTCGTTCCCGTCTATCTATTCCTACAGAAAACGTCGTCGGTACTGAGGAAGAGAGCATCAAGTTCACACAGGAGGAAATTCCAATTGAGTTGGATGAAGCTCAAGGCTCAATCCCATGGAGATTGTCGTATGAGCCAGTTGATTTGTCTGACATTTTGACACCAGAAGAGCAGGCTGCTGAGAGTCAGCCAAAGAAGGAAGAGGTTTTGGTTCAGGTCCAGAAGCTGATCGAAGCTCGTATCGAGCTTGCTCCACAGGCCTCCGTTGTTGGTTACTTGTGGTCGAAGAAGCCACAGGACTTTAGAAAGGTTGTAGGCTCCATGGGTTCCAACATCAAGAAGATAAGAGAGGCTACTGGTACTCTGATCAATGTGCCAAAGAAGGGCGACAAGATCACGGACGTCATTTACATCAGAGGTACCAAGACCGGGGTCGAGAAAGCTGCTGAAATGATCACCAAGAAGCTCAAAAACTGATTTGCATATACAATAAGAAGTACATATAAAAGTTTTCATCGTTATATTACTCTTCATTATTAGAAAGATTGACTCGAAGTACTTAATGGTAGCGTGCGATCGAGCTTTGGGACTGACATGAGTGACTTGAATTTATCCGAAAAGGGCTTGGGCGCTAGCAGGACATTGATGATCTGCTAAGAAACACTTAAAAGGCGTTTGAAAAGCATAAAACGACCTAGAGCCGACGCCAGTGCTTCAAAATCGATGTTTGCATTGTTTTCGGCGCTCGAAAAAGACCGTTGTTTCCTTCAAGCACAACAGGAAGTGCTGTCATTTGTGGAGGGCCGCTGAAGTTCCACGTTGAGAGTTTTGCGAGATTGAGCCGCGGCCGACGCTGCAGATTCGGCCGTTTTGCGCTCGTATACGTGTTCACCGATTTCCTGGAAAATTTGACCAACACCGGCGCCCGTTTTGGCACTGACCTCGTGGAAAAGAAGTTTCTGTTCTTTAGAGTATGCCTGTGCGTCTTCGACATCCACCTGTCGGGCGCTGGCGTCCGTCTCGCACAAGTCCAGCTTATTGCCCACCAGACATATAACGAGATCTTGGTCACCCACTTTGTGTTTCAATTCTTCTACCCAACTCTGGGCTTTTACCAGTGAGTCTGGTTGTGTCACGTCGTATACCACTAGTGCAGCGTTCGCATTTCTGTAGTACATAGGGGCCAGCGACTTGTAGCGCTCCTGGCCCGCAGTATCCCAAATTTCAAACTTGATCGTCACGTCCTGATGTTTCTCTAGCTTTACCGTCTGTGACAGGAATGCTGCTCCTATCGTACTTTCTCTGAACTCATCGAACGAGTCCTTGACAAAGCGATGGACAATTGACGATTTGCCGACGGACGAGTCGCCCAAAAGAACCAGTTTAAATTGTAGCATTGAGAATTAGAGCTAGAAGAACACTTAAATAACCGCTGCTAATGGGTAGGAGGTACTGCTTGTCGTTAAAGACTCAGTGAATCAAGACATGTAGTTCAGGGACGTGATATGACTTTCTCTGATTCTTACTATAAATGGCCCATGAGTACAAAAATGGGAAAAAGGCGAGTACATTTGAAGAGAGCGATAAAGATAAAAGAGATCACGTGCTGTGATAATGATCTCGCTCAACATTTCTGACAAAAGAAGAGACAGCTGTAGTATATAGGGCTAGTTCCCAAGCACCATATGACTTGTCAATTAGCTCCTCGCTGAACTTAGTGACCGGTCCCTCTTCTCACCGTTCGAAAGCCGAGTCTTTGCCGATTTACGCAAATATCATTGTAAACGGATGTATTCGAGTACAGGATGGAAGCGACGTGCCTGTAAAGCTTTCGTCTGATACCGACCGCGACGAGCCAAGAAGGTACACTTGTGACGTCGCTAGAGTGTTCAGTTCACTCAATTTATTCGCGAACAATCATTTCAAAGTGTGAAGTGCATGGATTGAGCGAACTGAGCGAGTAAATCGGTTTGGTTCTTTAGAGTTCTCTAGAGTTCTCTGCTTTTATTTAACACTCTCGCATTTGTCTGTCAGTTATTCCATGTCAAAAAAATTCCAGAGTAGAGCTCTATAAAAACATGCTTCTTTGTTTCTTATTCTGTTACCTTTTGAATAAGAAAGTGTCAAATGGATCTCTACATTAAAAACTTCAATTTGCCAAAACATCGAGAAATAATTCCTTATGGATTACTCACATCTCCCAACTCTCCATGTCCACTCCAGTCTTCCTTTCCTACAAAATATATTCCGGAGAAATACGTCGTTGTAAGGTCGGATAATATTCACATTTCCTGGCGCCACAGATAACCTAGGGGACGATACCCCGAGTAGTAAGTGATCTTATATTTTGGCACATCTCACTCCAGAGTTCTTCTCCGTCTTGTGCTTTTCGAGTTCAGGCTATTAAAGGTGGTATAAATGCCCGAGTTTGTGCGCTTCTGCCATTTTCACTTCTATCTCTTGTGAAAACTGACCGAAACTCACATTTGGCGAGCCCAGCGAGATGTTGGCTTTGGATCGATCATGAATGTAACGAACCTCGAGAAGCTAAAGCCCTGAATGATTCAATGAATATCAGAGTAGTGTCAAAACCTCTTTTTCAAAGCTTCAGAAATCTACTGATCAATTGAAGCATTTATAGCAGACGGCACAGGGAAACAGTGTAAAGACTGGGCTATTATCGCTTGTTGAAGTGGAAATAATATCGAAGTAACCATCAAGAATCATTGGGCTCATCTACTGACAGCTCATTGCAATTAAAGATCCGTATAATCCATAGATTAAATTTCATAGCATTTCTCGAAACTTCAGAGCGCTCTGGGAAACGACTCCTCCACAACACACAGGATCGTGCACTTTTCTGGTCCTGCCAGCTCTCTTAAGTCTGGGTGCCATATTCCGCCGAAAGAAAGATCTGTTTGTACCTGTAAGTGTATATGTATATACTTCTGGAACCTGAAGTTGTGATGCTACCAGCGCGTCACCATACATGTATTACTCAAAAGTTACGCGCATAACTCGACTATTAATGCACCAATTGTCATGAAAAGGTCCTTGAACTCACTAAGAGCCAGGCACTTTCGTAGTAATCACACCGAGTTGATCTAATCTTCGTATTGCGGCCATGATCCGCTCTGCCTCTTCCTGGCGTTCTTCTTTCGTCCATGAATCGTTTTGGTCAAGTGAATTAGCACTGCACGCGGTATTGACCGAAGTTGAGGAGCACGTCTGCTGCTGACCCAGTTTAGAGTTTTCTTTAGCCTCGCAACTGACAAAGGTCTCTGCAGAGTCGTTCCTATTGGCCTGTGGTGCTTGGCCCACAACTTCAAGAATGTCTAGAGGGCCCTTAGGGGATGCTGGACAAATCTGGAGCCGTAGCGTTGAAAGAACGGCATCGATAGCGCCGCGCGTGTCCGAGCCCGATATGCAAGATTCGTGGAGCTCGAGGATTTGAGCTTTGAGGGCCACAGGTGCTTGTGGATGGCCAGTGATGCAGGGCTTTATGCGCTCACGCACTTCGGTGGGCGACCTCAGCAGATATAGGTATAGCACCTGCAGGATTTGCGGGATCTTGTAGTCAGAGAGCGATGAGTACAGTTGTTGCGACACTTCGTGCTCCCATTGAAGAATACCGCGTTTGAGAATGAGAACCAGGTTCAGGACTATGTCGAAGGTGGCCAGCAGCGGTTTGTTTTCGGGCAGCAGAAGCAGCAACGAGCACAGCTGCAGCAGAGCTCCGGAGTACTCCACCAACAAATGGCCCTGGTCTCTGCGGAGGGTTTCGTTGAGCTGTTCCAGTGTTCCCCAAAACGTACGGCAGTAAGTGTCGATTCGAACGCCGTAGTTGTAGCACAAGGCGTACCAGAATTTGCCAAGCTCCTCTAGAGCCGCACACAAGCTGGGATCTGGTGTTTCTGCTGTTTTCAACTCGCTCACTAGATGCTCGAACTTGGCCGGTGCAAGCCGTCTGTCGAATCTTGGTGTTGTGGAGGGACTCCAGGCGCCGTGCGCCAGTAAGAACAGCACCCGCCACAGAGGAACTTCCCACTCGAGCTCGAAGCCCGTTTGTTGCGAATCGCACCGTAGCCTGACCTGGACGTCATGGACGACCTCGAGGTCTTCGTCCAGGATCTGTGCTCGAAAACCGGGACTTTTGAGCAGTATGTTAGCCATAGCCACCGTTAAACAATGCATTTGTGGGTTGTACGGCAGGTCGCGCAGCTTGCGGCCCCATTTGCTGAGCTTGCGTACTGATTCAAATTTGCCTATCTGTGTGTGCCGTGAGAGCTCTCTAAGTTCATGACTCTTATCCAGCAACGCCTGGCTGGAGTCTATACTGCCAATAAATAAATCCATCACTGAGAGATCTGAGAGATTCGCAGCTCAAATGCTGAGTGGTGGAAGCTACTGATGGTCGAGCTTTTCTGATATCAATATACACACCAGCTTGGAAGCTTTATCATATACCTCCCAGGCTGAAGATCTCTCTAAGGTTTTTCCTGCCAACGAAATCGTCCACCTGTCAATAAGTGGCTCTAGTTCTACACTGCAATTTATGAAGCCCGTTACAGGTAGTTACTGAGCTCACTCGAGTTTTCCGAGAATTCCGCCTGTTTCGCCCATTTCAACAGTTTCTCAGCTAAGTAAGAATCGACACCATGGCATTTGCTCCTGTACCGAATTATGACTAGCAGATTATTGGCTCACGTCAATTAAACTTGTTGCAGGTTTCCATAAGAGGACTACAGAGAGATCTCGCAGTCTGCCAAGAGATTTCAGGCACTTTTTTAGGAAAATCTGCGGGAACTACTACGGGAAATCGTATCTTTTCTCTGCGGTGGTGCCTTAAGTTACCTCTGTGATGCTCGGAGAGCCTGCAGAGAATTTAGAATAACGACAACCGAGACCAAGAGTAGATACAGGATTTTGTGGGTGTCGTGGGATAATCAGATTTGAATCCACGAGATTTTTGGAGCTGGCCGGAGAACAGGCTCTATCCAGGTGAGTCGTGCAGTATACTGCAGATATTGCTCACCAAAGCCAGATAGGCTCGAGTGGGTTGGTTAAAAAGACACACACATCTAGCGGAAATCGTCTGGGAAAATCCCGCGCGATTGGTTGGTCGGGAATCCTGGTGTCAGTAGCGATTTCCACAGCGACGACGGATAAAATACAAAGTGATAGTGGGATGGTGTTGAAAATGTTACAAGCGGGAGATAATATCAGGAAACATGTACACACCAGGTATCAGTGGGTTTGCGAGGATTGCATAGCTTTGGAAGTGGGTTTGGAGGAGGTTGATTGATTGATAATGGTCATGAATGTCACTGTAGTACAAAGTGATATCACCAGAATTAATTAACAGATGACAGCATGAGGAGAAGGAGGAAGCGTACCAAGCTTTCGTCTACATGTCACGTATAGAATTGAAATACTCTCCCAATGCACACATGTTTTTCTCAAGTTGAAAAATTTGCTCTGTGTGGTCGCTTTAAAATGCTGGATACATTATTAAAAATGTGACATTCGGATTTTCTCACTTCACAGCATCAAAAAGCACCAAAGGAGAAAGCTCAAAATTCATGCACGAGGTATTAATTCAAAATATAGACTGTCCACATCTTACCGTTCGCTTTGCCAAAGTTAAATAAAAATTTGGAAAACGATTGGGTGAGTTTTCCAGATTTTTGGCATGGGTAAAAACTAGCGTATGAAGGCTTCATTGTATTCTACCACTCCCTGGCAAATGCCCATATCGGCACACCACAACGTACGAAAACCTGCTATCAATGCGCTGACGTTGCCTCTTACCATACTGCGGATCTCCCAACGTATACAATGACACAACAATACTTAAAAATCACCTGTAAAAAATCTGCCAATGGGCTTAAGCCAATCATATCAAGCTGTCCCAGAATCTAACCAGAAGACATAGCCAAAAGCTAGCCCTTATTCAAGTCCAATCGACCGTTATAAGTCTTTAAAGCGCTATGCTGAGATCTCGCAATGGTGTAGACTGTGCTAGGCTCGCGAAACTGGCCTTTAGGAGCCAAGTTCCGCGCGGAATGGCCACTTTTCAAGGTGAACCTCTGAAAAGATCTCATCCTTTAAGAAGCTTTGTAATTCGCGCTACATTGGCAATTACAGGTTTTTACGCTGGTGGTGTGGCTCTGTCGGTTTACAATGACCAATTCGGCGAGTTGTTTTGCGATAATGTGCCGTTGGCCGAAAGTTTAGTCGAGCTCTATGAGTCTTATAGAGACGAGTCCTTCCAGGCGTCTCGCATGTCATTGGACGATTTGAAAAACAAATTTGGCGAGTTGGGAACGAAGACTGATCTCATTCCAGCCCGTGGTGCCGATTCTGTGGTGACGACGCAAGAAGTTGCAGCGTTGCCCACGTCGCAAGAAAAGAGCGTTGCGGAAGAAGTCTTGGTAAAACTGAGACTACCGCTCGTTGAAATCGACAACAAATCGAACCCCCGCTTCCAACAGTTGTTGCAGAGTGTTAATGACGATATCCAAAAGATCAATGAGCAATCCCTGGTTTTGCCCGAGGATACTTACAACGCAGTGGGCGACGCGTATTCCAAGTTGAACAGCGCTCTTCAAACCCTGGAACGCAGCTTCCAGAGAGATCTTTCCGAATCTCTGGCGACCCAATACGGCGAGGCTTCCGAGGAACTCCGTAACCAGTACGAGCTGAGGTTGAAGACTCGCGAGGTCGAACTAACGGAACAATTCTTGCAGGAATTCAACGCTTTCAAAGCACAACTTGAAATGCGGTCCTCGGAAGAGCTTTCCACAGCATTGAGGGCAAACGAACAGGCTCTTCTAGCCAAACAGTCCAATGAAGTGGCTCTTCTATCCATCAAACAAGTCGAAGAGTTCAACAAGATTTTGGCCGAAAAGCTGGACAAGGAAAGACAAGGCCGTCTCTCCAAGCTGGAGGAGCTAGATACCTCGGTCCGCGGCCTTACCGAGGCCATCGACCAAGTTGACTCTCTTGTCATGAGAAGCGAAGTCGTGAGCCAATTGGCCTTGCTAACATCCTTGTTGAAGAACAAGCTGCAGACGGGTTCCGACCACAGCGTGAAGCTGGACTCCGAGTTGGCGAGACTGAAGACCTTGTGGGACATTCTACCCGGTAAACCTTCTAAATGCTGCAAGTCCAAACAAGTCCAGCTACTAGACGTGGTGATTCCCCAGCTAGACACACTCACGTCCAAACAACAAATCTTGTCCAATGAGCAACTTCACAACAGATGGGAGTTGTTGCAGAAAGATCTCCAGACTTCCTCTTTGCTTCCCCCCAACGCAGGTATTTTGGGGCACGCTACTGCCAAGTTTTTCAGTCTGTTCCTGTTCCAAAAGAACGGTGTCTCCACCGACAACGATATAGACAGCGTGTTGGCTCGTGTCAGCTTAAACCTCACACTTTCGAAACTCGACCAAGCAGTGGAAGAGGTGGTCGCATTGAAGGGCTGGCCTCGTGTCCTCTGCGAAGAGTGGGTCCAAGACGCCAGAAGAAAGCTTGAAATAGAAACTCTCGTCGACGTTCTTGACTGCGAGGTCAGAAGTCTGTAAAAATACGAATTCACGACAAATTCCAAAATTCACGCTACAAAAACACGGTAAAATTCGGTGGAAACCACAACGTCCTGACAAACACAAAATTCTAATCAAAGGTGCACTACTTCCAAAACACCAGAAATATTGGCTCAACCGCTACTGTCACTGTCACTGCCACCACCATCACCATGAATATTCCACATACTAAAATACTGTATAAATGTCCAAAAAGATCATCAAACACGAATGGCTGGAATTCAAAGTATCTTGATTTAAGTCAGTATTGGCAACTTGAAGCTGACTTCGACGTAGCTCTACTCCTAATCTCGTCCGAGTCTAGGTTCAGTCTAGGATTCATCTGAATGTCGAATCCTGCACTACAAGTTTATGGGGGTGACGAGGTCTCTGCTGTTGTAATTGACCCCGGGTCTTACAGCACCAATGTTGGGTATTCTGGCACCGACAATCCACAGCTTAACATTCCTTCAAGCTATGGACGCTACACAGCAGGCGATAAAGAGGGCCACAAGTCATTTAACGACCAGTTCATGGGATTGCCACGCCGTGACTTTGAGATCAAGCCGATTTTGGAAAACGGATGTGTGGTGGACTGGGATTCAGCTCAGGAACAATGGGCGTGGGCAGTGGAAAACCAACTGAAATTCAATAGTCTCAAGGGAACACCAGCGTTTCTCACCGAGGCAATTTGGAACTCAGAGGCCAATCGAAAAAAATCTTTGGAGGTTCTTCTGGAAGGCATGGATTTCGAAGCTTGCTACATCGCACCTACAGCCACATGTGTGTCTTTTGCCATGGGGAGACCAACCTGTTTGGTCGTCGACATCGGCCACGACGTTTCGAGCGTGTGTCCCGTCGTTGACGGTATGACGCTTTCGAAGAGCTCCACGCGAAATTTCTTGGCAGGCAAGTTTCTTAACACTTTGATAGAAAACCATCTGAAACCTCGAGATCTGATTCCTCTATTCAGAGTTAGCCAGAGAAGGCCCGATTTTAAACCTAAGACTTTCGATTACCAAATCGACCCATCCGTCGATAATTTCGCCAATAGTAGAGGGTTTCTCCAAGAATGCAAGGAAACTCTGCTTCAAGTGGCTCCTATTGACTCGCCCAAGTTCGAAACCGAGCTAGATTCCATGTCTAAAAGATCCATCGAGGCTCCTTGGGGTGAGAACATTATTTTTGACAGTAGGACAAGGTTTTCGTTCGCAGAACAACTATTCAAGCCCTCTGAAGAACTCATGCCAGAGAACTGGCCAAAATCGAACGGCATAGTTGAGACGTGGCATAATGATTATGTTCCGATGAAAAGGGCGAAACCAAATGTTGGCAAGGATAGAGAAGGCACGACAGACGCCACGCCTTTACCAGAGGAAGCAAAAGCCGACGATGCTTCACCAGAGACCAACTCTAATGGCAAAAGGCCTTTAGATGGAACTTCCGATAGCGTTAGCCTGCTCGCGGGTTTAAGTGATTTGGTAGCCACTGCAATTACAGCTACTGACGTCGATTTGAGGGCAACATTAGCACACAATCTCATTGTGACAGGTGGCTCTTCCTCGATACCGGGTTTGACCGACCGCTTGATGGCAGAACTCAACAAAAAGCTACCAGCACTAAAATTTCGCATACTTACTTCAGGTCATCCTAAAGAAAGGCAATCCAGAGCATGGTTAGGTGGCAGTATTTTGTCAAGTCTGGGAACTTTTCATCAGCTGTGGGTCGGAAGGCAAGAATTTGAGGAGGTAGGCGCCGAAAGGCTATTAAAGGACAGATTCAGATAAAAGGAACAGACTCATGTATTACATTAAATAAAATCAAAGCTTAAAGGAACCAGCCTCTGACTCCGATAGAAAACTAATATTTCTGTGCCTCACTGAAAAGGCACGCATATCCCTTTGCATAAAAGATCCCGTCCGCAACCAGCTAAAGCCTTACTTCGAGTCTCTACAAATCTAGCCTTATTGTAAAACTCGCGCTTCCTGTCTATTATATTTTGAGGCTCTTTTACCTGCAACAGCTGAGACAGATCTTCCACTGCGCTGACGAGTAAGGCCTGATTATCAACGAATATTTTCGTCAAATTGTGAGATGGATCGGCGTAAAATGCTACCGGAAAGGACCACTTTAAAGTCGTTCTACCCTCAATCAAAGCCCTTATGCTTTCAGATAAAAACTGCGTTTCTATCCAAGATATGCCAATGTTTTCTTGCAGAACTTTGACCTTTTGCTCCACGGTCAACCCTAGGTTCCAATCCAGTTTGGCAGAGTTTTCATGTTCGCTGAACAGCTTGTAATAAAATGTGTACTTTCTTAATGAGTTCTTCGTTTCTGCCGTTCCGAGCTTTTCGTCTTTCTTGAAACGAGTGCATTCATAAAATCCACCCCCATGACCATTCCAGCACTGCTCACAAATCCAGCAAAATTGATATTCGCAGCTTTGACAGGTCATATGGTTGCAACCACCGTTTTTCTCGATATTGACACCACATTTCGGGCATTCTTTGGTATTTTTTAAGACCCAGTTGAGATTTTCAGATTCCAACTGCGCTAGTTTCACCCATTGTTCTGCTACTTGACAGTCCCCTGGGGAGTGCGACTCCAGGCCGCATTTGAAGCAGAAACGGTGTTGATTTTCGCAGACCACGTAGGGGGACAAGTGCAAACGCGGGAACTCCGAAAGTGAAGATAAATTGCTAACCTGGATAACACAATTGCAATCAACAAACGGACACCATTTGTAGTGCTTGCTATGTTTCTGAATAAAGCCTTTAATCGACGAAATCATAAGCGTTTGACTTGAATTGTCACCCAAAATTTCGTCGATGTCCGAATTTTTTAAAGCAAGCGAGCAGCTCATACATGTTATAATCTTACCCTCCGGCAGCTTGTCCTTGATGTAATGTTCATAGCACTCCACACAGTATTCATGGCCACACTCCAAGCGAAATGTCTTTTGTTTGTTGGATTCGCAGCATATGTGGCAGAGAAAGTCGGAGTGATTTTGGATCCCACGAGATTTACTGACAGTTTTCGTTATTTCCAAGCCACACGCAACGAGAACTTTTTCTCGGTCTTCGGTCCAATCTTCCAAAAGTCGTTCTTCGCTCCAGGCGTATTTCTGGAGCATCACGATGATATCCCCATACGACAACTGGAAAATTGGCTGTATTCGTTCCAGTCTGGATACCATTAATTCGTATATTTGATCCGTTGTAAGGCAGTTGTAATTCAATTTCGGTACTCCGTCATCGTCATATGTGTTGTCCCCAAAGCCGGGATTGAGGACTTTTTCCCTCTGGTCAAAGCCCAAGTAGTTGCCCGATAAGTCACCACTTTCATAGCATGAGCTATCGCTTGAATCGTTAACATCGTTGTCTCTCCCAAGAAGCACGCTCTCGTTGTCCACATCGTCAATTACGTCTGAGTCACTTTCAAAATCCAAAATAAGAGACTCATCATCTTCATCACTTCCTTCTGCTAGTTTGCCACTGACTTTCATCTTGAATGGACTCTATAAAGGCCTCCACTGGCTATAAAACGAGGCAACAGTGTATCTAAAGGAAGGGAACACTTAATATAGTCCATTTCTTTAATATGAGTATATTGAAAGTTTCTTGACTTCGTCTAGTATGATAAATGAGAAGATGAGATGAGCCGTGATGCGATGAGATGGGCCCAGATGACACCGTCAGTTAGCTGTCGATCAAGCATCTAGCCTATCAAGAGCAGCCTTGATTTTCATCCCTATCCGTGTGCTAAGTTCGTAATCATCTGCATAGTTTTGGGCCCGTGTGAGCCACATTTTGCATTCTTCTACTCCGTCAAGCCTTTTAAGTTTCCAGGTGAAAAGAGCACGTTCATATAGGGCAGTTGGATACACCCAGGGGTCCTCGGTCTTCTTGATGTACCTGAACTTGTCGGGGGTCTCGATGACTATTACGTTAGGTAAAACCGTATTGTCCAAAAGAGCACAACCTTCTTCAACTTTCCCCAATCTTCGCAATGTAAGAGAAGTGAGCAAGCTCTTTATTAGCTCCTGATCCGGATCATTCGCCTCTAACATGGGGTTTTTGTACTCCGTGAGCAGCTTGTGTGAGAGAAGGAGGGCCTTTTCCGTCATTCTGTTGTAGCCGTTGTAGAAATACATGAGCTCATGAACAGGAGAAACACCAATAGCGTCAAGAGGGTCGCTCAGTTTCAAATCAGCTTGGTGTTTTTTGAACTGTTGTACCTTTCTCAGCATAAACCTTTCCAGCGGCGTGTTTTTGGCCATGAACTTCTTTTTGCCCGCCAAATCCGGAGACCCAAAGATTAGTTTTGTAGCACGCGCTTTGTAATAAGCCATTTTGGCATCGTCTAGCAAGCCCAACTGGCACATTCGATACTTTTCCAGAAAGCAGCATCCCGCAAAGTAAGTATATAACGCGTGCGACCATTCACTTATGTTCAAAAGAGAAAGCATTTCCTCCGCAGCTCTTTCGAATTCATGAAGATGAACAAGCGTTAAGGCACGATCGAACACCATGACTGCTTTGACTTGTTTCATCTCGATTTCGCTAACGTCAATAGAGTCCATCATATCCACCGCCTCTTGAGGTCTTCCCTTTGATGACAGCATTCGCGCTTCCTGCAAGAGCCACAAAGCACTATTTGGAAAGATGGCTCTCGCCCGCAGCAGAGAGTCTTCCAGCAGCTTCCCAGGATGAAGCAATGTGGCTGTATCGAAGTCACTCGAGGTGATTTTTTCCAGGTGATCACTTGCCGCAGGAACATCAAAGTCTACATCAGTAAACTGGAATGGGCCATCATAGTAAAAAAGCAGCGACAGCAGACCGATTCCACCGTGGATGTTGCGGTCCTTAGTGGACCGCCATATCATGCGCAGCCCTTCTTCCCTGGAGCCGCGAAAGCCCACAACAGATAGAACAGCCCCAATTGCCGGTGGAATAAGTGACAAAACAACTTGCAGAATTCCGAAGCACAGATTCACCCCTGAATGGATGAATTCGTCAATAGTTGCTTGGTCCTGCTCAATTTCATCTTCCGATAGTGCAGATGACTGCTTTGAAGCTTTCCGTGCCAGCAGATCTTTCACAGCCTGGAGACCAAGGTCGGTTCTCAATCGCTCCGCCGCTGGGGAGTTGCCGATGTGAGCGCCTTCAAGTCTCAATTTGCGCATTTTATACACGTCTTCCGCCAGCTGCATAAGTTCCCGGTCTTGTTGTTCCTGTGGTGTGAGCTGGTAAGGAATATCCACGGACGTGAACGTAGAAGTGTCTGCCGCGATGAACGACGCCCGGGACTCATTGGCGTCCTGTGCGTAGAACGACGACTTGCTTTTGTCCCTAGCACCCTTGATATCGTTGAGAATCTCTTGCAACATGTGGTAGGCCTTTCTGAGTTTGAACAAGGCTTTGGCACTTTCCACCATGCTTTCGCTGAACAGCATCAGCAAGGCATGCAGCAAGCACGCCTCCGTGAACGTTACTGCGTATTCCGTGCCCGGTGGGTACAACGAACTCGTTTTGAGCTTAATCTTCTGAAAATATTGTCTTCTTTCCTTTGAAAGTTGCTGAGCTTCTGCCAATGTCGTTGCGGCTTTTTTCATGACGCTCGCTTCAAAGCCCAAAGTGGCCTCCAGGAACTCAATTACACCACGAGCCAGCACTCGAACGCTTCGATCGTCATCTTCTTTCTTGCTTTCCGGATCGTCCCGTAGTAGCTCCAGGCCCCGTCGTGGATGGTCATCCAGAACATAATCCATTGCTTGCAAAGCTAGCTCAAAATCATGCGCTTGACTCAAAATTTTTTGGCTTCGCTCCTCTTGAGTTAGATCTGAAGGGTCTTTAGCGCCAGTGAGCGCTCCCAGAACTTTGAACATGCTTTTTCAGGCTTGTCTATTCAGGGTTGGGTTCTGGTTGGTTGATCCTGAGTTCACAATGGACCTGGTGATTTCACTGTAAATTTAGGCCTTGACAGAGGGCGTAGAAAATCCCAATTACATAATCAGACCCCACGCACGTGATACAAAATGACATAATCCGTGTCACGTGGGGATATGGAGAAAGCCTGGGCTCCAGCTCGATCTCCAGCTCTCCATCTCTCCTTCGCCTCATATTTGAGCGCGTTTGAGATCCTTCTTCAGCTGTTTGAGCTCCTGTTTCATTTGTTTCTGCTTGTCTTCGTGTTTAAGCCCAAGGTGTGCTTCCTTTGGCACATTTATCACGTATCTATCAACGCTCTCCCAGACTCGAGGCAGAATCCTGGCCGGCAGCTTCCGGCCGTACAGACTTTGGTCCACGAGCCACATGCCCACGATGAACGACTTTCGATCCAAGGTCCAGTCATTCCGTGTGTCCACCATGTCGTAAATGGCGGCCAGCTTGTCCTGCGGCAAGTTACTTCTACTCCATATTGCCATAACCACGAGGTTTAACATCAGACCCTCGTCCAGCATGGCACGCTTGGCCGCCTGTGCCTCGGGCTCATTCCACCAAGGAAGCAGCTCAAGATAGCAATTGCGGTTCGTAAGCCAAATGCCCTCGTAACGTTTCCGCTCCATCTGCGTGACAAACCCTATGTCGATATGGCTCTTCCATGGTTTATCCTCGTTGAATGACTTCTTGTGCGAGTGATTGTGACCAGATGCCTTCTGTATTTTTTTCCGAATGCGTACCCGACGTCTCTTGGGCTTCTTCTTCTTGCTCGCTGCCATTGCGTCCTCGTTTTCTGACTTGCTCTCATATTCGTCGCTGCTTTCCTCTGAGTTTGAGTCCTCGTAGTCAAGGCTTGTTGTTCTCATGGTCGTCTTGAGACGTGTTGGTTGATTGACCTTGCTAACACCACTCTCGTTACTATTGTTGGAGCTGTTCTTGGCATTAAAACCATCAAAGCTCTTGCGCTTTCGGCCAAATATAGAGCTTAATCGACCCTTTTTCTTGTCTCGTGTATGATTCGGTATCAGATCCGGTAGAGTTCCATGATATTTGATATTCTGCAAACCCTTTCCCAGTCCTCCATCGACCGACGTGCGGTCCGAGTACAAATCTGCATTAACGCTACTCTGATCGATCGACGATCGTGCTAGCTCATGTCTGTAAGGGCCCGCCCGCGGGGATATGCTGAGCTCAGAGAAATTTTGATCACTCGAGGGATCAAACCCAGCTGCAGGCAGGCCCGAGTATGCAGATGATTGGGCAGATGATACCGACAGGCTATCGCTGATGTCCTCCTTTGTTTGATTTCTAGATGTCGAACGCCTCGGCGTTATTGTCCTGTTTGAATTAGCTTTCGCAGACAAGAAAATCGGGTGTTCTGCCTGTGTACCCGGAGAAAGGTTGTCACATTCGCTTGAGTGGAAGCCGCTCAGTCCACTCCCGTTACGAGTGGCCTGTCGCGACAAAAGAGGCGGCCCATTGCTGTTGGCTAGGGGATGAAGTCGCGCCACATCTTCTGAACTAGTATTCAGCGAGATTATACTATCAGTGGACACGTTGTTTCTTGGTGAAGAGCTCCCAGACTTCTCAGCCCTTCCAGTTCTACCAGGCAAGATGGTTTCTTTCGTGCCCTGCAATTTTGCTAATATATCTGCCAGGTCATCTTCCCGAGCACTTTTAACAGCAGACTTGCTATTGCTCGACTCTTGACTGGCCTGTTCATTTGCCAAGGAAGGAAATGCGGGTACAGAATGCTTCTTTTCTCCCGAAGTGTTCCACAGTTGGCCGAATTTTGCATGTTTTGATTTGACCCGGGGTTGCACTGTCAAGATGCTCTTTTGTGCAGTAGCAGCTGCTGCTTCAGCTGCTGTACGAAGATTTTGGGATGAGGTGCTCGATGGGGAAGGCGACTTTGCGCTCGTTTGACTCACAGGTTTTGATGCGACTATTTTTGACCTTTGTGCCCCTTGCAGCTTCTGTTGCAGTCGTCCAGGCGTTACATTTTGTCTCTGGTGTACCTGTGGAGTTGGTAGAGCTGGATACTTGTTTTCTGCCGCTGCAGGTGCCTCGTGCTTTCTGAAGATAGCCTGAGCTGCTTTCAGCGAAGCGTCACTTGACAGACCATCTTCATTGGACTTCGACCCTCTTACAGATGAAGACACTCTTTTGCGGTTCCAGTTGAAGGGCATGTTCAGCCAGGAATGCTCTTACTCTTCGCTTTCTCAAGTGTCGTCGAGCCCGTATACAGGTTTCACAGTGACAATCAGTTGAGCCAATAAAACCGTGGCGTGGCGAGGGAAAGCGTAGGTTGAGATACTATATAACTCCAGATACCTCTATTATAGTCCGTGAACTCTACGAATGACTCTTTAGCTGTAGTTTCTTTAAGTTTAGAATTTAGAACTCGAATAATGATATATTCAGGTAAGTGTAAGATGAGATGTATAAGATAGTTACAGAACCATATATTTCGAGGAGCAAAGACTTCGAGCATATAAAGACGATTGAGGACGGAGAAGATGGCAGAACAAATTACACACAAGCGGCCACTCAGAATCAAGGTCGACAAAGAAAGGCGGAAGCAATTGCATGATTTTTACAAGCTGAAAGACTCCACAGAAGATGGTCAAGATGTGGCAGCGCAAGCCAACTTAGAGCACGATTCTCAGGCCGAGGACAATAGCACATCATCGTTTGAAGAAAAACGGCTGGAGCCAAGTGTGCCGAAGATTTCAGAAAGCAGATTGGTCGAGTTGGTCCACGCGCACAACACGCTTTCGAGCAAAAAGGCAGAGATGAACAATACCATCAAAAACACAATCTATGAGAACTACTATGATCTCATTAAGGTAAACGAGCTACTGCACAGCGTTGGGAACAATGATAGCGGCCATTTGGGTCAGCTGAAAGAGGTCTTCAAGCTGCTGGAGGAGAGGTAAAAGACGGCGTTGAGAGATGGCTCAAGAAAGACCTTTCTGGGACCCCACAGCACCCAAAAGAAGGCGTTGGTAGATGATTTTAAATCACACGTACGTTCACTGGGCGTCTGGGGTCTAATCTTGAGTTTTGTCGGCGAAGTCGGTGGAGTGTTCCTAGATAAAATTCCATGTTGAATTTTGTCGGTACAAGGTGCTAGGAACAAGTTTTCGAAGCCGTTTCACCTGGTAAGCACTCATAACTCGACTACTAAGGTACAGAGTCCACCCATTGTGGTCAAGTCAGCGTTGGAATCCGTCTTTCTTCGCAACTTCGGCTATCACCTACAAAAATGTCACGTGCCGGTTATCGCCATCATCAAGTGTGAGCTTAATAAAGTAGTTGCATTGCAGGCTTGTCTTCCCTGTACCATGAAATTGTGTGAACTCAGATTTAGCAGAACCGGTACATTTGAAGACCTTTGAGAGTTAAACGATCATTGCCGATTCCTGTTCTGGCACTTCTCCTTTCTCGGGTGAACAAGTCCCTTTTTTCTGTGATCTTCGGACTCATTTCGTCATTATCACAGCAGCCATTAGTATTGAAGACCTAGCTCAGTTTGGTAAAGCAAATCGTCGAACTAAATAGCGAACGATTTTGACCGAACATTGACTTCAAATCGCTATTGATGGGTTCAGATCTGGAACCAGTGAATTCTCCGGTGTTTCCGGCAGAAAAGGATCTCGAAATACCGGAAAACGCTCATCCTCTGAACCAAACCACCTCCATCCAAGTATATATTCAGCTTGCTGAACCTGCGGTCTTTTTGCAAGGTTTCGAGGCACATCAGTGGGAGGAACGGCCGCCAGGATTGTTGCGTGGGTCTTTGATTCTCAGAGTGCTCAAACCAAGCAAAATTAAGTCGATAGAGCTCACATTTAAAGGTGTATCGAAGACAGAATGGCCAGAGGGGATCCCGCCAAAGAGGCAAGAGTTTTTGGAGTCTCTCGATCTGGTAAGTCATACCTGGCCCTTTTTCCAGCTCGATAATAATCACGTTGCCAACAGCAGCTCCACTGATCCAGACGATTTATTGAAAGGCAGCTGGGCCTCAGTATACCGGCCTTTGAAGAAGAAAAATGATGCAGTGAGTCTCATGAACCTCAATCCCGTCGTATCGCCCGGCTCCACAAAAACGCAAGGCTCAAATTTTCTCCCAATATCGGGAATGCTTCGTAAAGTTGCTTCTCCAGACGGTCACACCAACCGGCAAAGGTCGAAATCAAGCACCAACGCACTGTCTGACCTGCTTTCGGGCTCTCACTCCAACAACAGCGATAGCGTCTCTATGTTCTCCAAGTCATCGTCAGGACTCGAGCCCTTTATTTTCCAGCCTGGGGAGTACGTTTACGGATTTGAGCAGGCCATACCACTCTCGTGTCCTGAGAGTGTCACGGCTTCCTTTGGCTCCGTCGAGTATACCCTCATGGCGACGATAGAACGTGCAGGAGCCTTCAAATCCAATATTCATGCAAGAATGCCTTTAGAGGTAATAAGAGCACCGTCCGATTCATCAGTAGAGGAAACGGAGCCTATAGTAATATCTCGAGACTGGGAAGATCAACTGCACTACGATATTGTGATTGCATCCAAAGATATCGTGCTAGATGCATTTTTGCCTATCGCTTTCAAGATAACGCCTCTTGATAAAGTTACACTGCACAGAGTAAGAATATATCTCACGGAAACGATGGAATATTATTGCAAGGCCAAAAAAGTTCACCGGCTAGAGCCCACCAAGAAGTTTCTGCTTGCTGAACACAAGGCAGCACCGCTTGAAAATCTTCCAGCTGGAGCGAACGCAGTGAAGGCCAAGAATCTCGGTAATTTGCTCCTGGATGAATATGGAGACCTGGTTTCGAGGGAGTTTGACTACCAGGTCTTTATACCTGAGAGACTGAATCTTCAGCAAAAAATTCATCCGGATACGTCATATCAAAACATCAAAGCTAACCACTGGATCAAAATTTGCTTGCGTTTGTCCCGGTTCATCGAGGGCAAACGTAAACATTACGAGATCAGCATCGATTCTCCAATCCATGTTTTAAACAGATTGTGTTCACATGCAAACACTTTGTTACCCAGTTATGACACACATGCCCTAATTCCCGGCACTGACTGTTCACAGTTTGGGGATCTCAATGTTAACCTCTATCATGTTTCAAATCTGTATTTCCCGAAAGAGGTCCTTAAGTCTCCCATATTATCACCGGATGTACAGCCATTGGATGATCGACCAGCATTTTCCCCACGTTCACTGACCCCTATCAGACATGGTAGCTCCAATATCAGTCTTTACCAAAGAAAAACCGACGAACACCAAAAGACAGTTGACGACTTTCTCTTGAATTCTCCAGAGCTTAAATCCAACGTATATCACCCAGGAAGTTTGAAGCCTGAACTCACTTCTGCTCAGGCCATTCCACTCAGTCCAGTAACATCCCCTCTAACTAAGCCTATTCACATGATTAGGCGACCCAGTTTTGAGCCTCCTCCATTTGACGCAAATCTTCCGTACCCGCCCCACCATACCTTCAAAAACCTACATCCCGATGCTCCAAAGGATCCACCCAGCTATGATGAGTTTTTGAGAACTGAAAAATCTCGCTCTAAAAGTTTGCGACCAACTTTTACTATTACTGGAGTCGATGGTCAAAGAGTGCCAGAGCGGAATACTGATAACAGTCAGAATAAAAGCACTGAAAATCTCGAGGGTGATATTGCCTCCTCGTTTTCCTTCAGCGGCGTTTCCCCTGGGTCTCCGGAACTTCCAAGCTCAATACTCAAAGGACAGTCTCCGAAACTGAAACCTCTCAGCCTCGCTGCTGGTTCCAGTAGGCGGGGCAGCATTCAGGACGCTCTCCCATCCACAGTGAAAAATAGTAGCGAGTCTTTCAATGACATGAATAATATATTCAGTTCATTACATCAAAACGAAGAATCTCATTCGTCGAGAAGCCAATCTTCGTCGGCTAGGGCTTCTCCAAGATCTTCTGTGGATACAGCAAGAGGTTACATGTCTCAAGAGGGAGCAGCAAATAATATGGCTCCACTTCTCAACTACCGAACCAATCAGACCACAGACACCTTGCTACAGTCCAAAGAATCTTTTGGATTTGCAGACACAGCAACGGAGGCCTCAGTGGACATTACTGCTCTTTATGATAGAAACTCGAATGGCTGGCATCCTTTGCAAAACGAGTCTCCGGGCTCGCCTGATTCTTCCAGAGAATACAACTTGGGATTTATTGACGGAAATAACGTCTTTGAAGATTTTAGGTCTGCTTTCAAAATTCCTGCTGGATCAGAAAGATGGAGAGCAGGCCACAAACAGTTACAAGAGCTAGCCACAACCGCTATTTGCACAGGATCCGACACTAGCCCCGGAACTTCGACAATGGGCAGTTCTGGTGAAAATAAAAATAGTGATGTTACTTAGGCCGTTTAATAACCTCTTTCATGCTGCTTACTAGAAGTTTAGACGTGATCGCAGTCTAAAAGATACCTTTTACTCAGTATGATATTTCTAAATAGTGGTATGGCTGATTGCTTCACCTATCTAATGAATTGAGCACAGATGCCAGCTCCGTGGGTGTATACTTGATGTGCTTTCTCGGATTTTTGAAAGAGTCTTTGTAACGTCCGTGAAATCTCTCGTATAAAGGTAAAACCAAAGAGTTCACTTCACTTTTCAAGAGCTTCTTCATTGTTGGGTCGGAAATCTTGAAATGTTTGAAATCTGATGCCAGCTCTTCGAACCCATCGTTAAATTTCTTAAACTTTTCCTTGATTTGATCTTTATCCTTAGAGGACACTTTGCCAGAGCTATCTACGAAGACTGCGTCAAGCAAGTTTGACGTGAGAGTCCTCCAGTCCGAGATGAAGTAACCAACATACCGCTTTTTGAGTTTTTCCAGGCGGGTGCTTCCTTGCTCGCCTAAGATCGAGGTTAATTCTGACCTCAGCACAATTTGCTCTATAAGTGTAATGTTAGTGATGAGGAAAAATCCAATGCGCTGCTTATGGGTGTTACGTGCACTGTTTGGATTTGCCGTATCTGGTTCTTGATTAGGCATGAGAATTTGCTGAGCACGTCTGTCCAATGATACAACCAAACAATCAATACAATCGCTGAAAAAACACGACAGCAGGTCGTTTGGTTGATTTAAAACATGACGTTCTTGAAGAGTGTATTCTTTTTCGTTGTAATTTTTGGGCAGCCAGTCATCCCGTCTCATACCAGATACGCAGCTCACGCATCCCAACCTGTATTCACTGAATTTGCGCAGTCGAGACATTACATCTATCGTTGACTCGATCACACCATTATCACTTGGTAGTTGCGAGAGTTGCGCAGCTTTACCATCGATGTAGGTTATTAAATCTCTGAACAATGAATGCAATAATGACGTTGTTTCCTGGCGGCACTGTGTCAATGCCTTGTTTTCCGCCAATGGGCTGTTTTTGAGCAGCTTGAGAACATTTGTAATGCAATCAGCCAGCTCAAAAGTAAACAGTCCTACGTTTGACAAATTTGCTTTGATCGAATTTAAATTGATTCTTACAAGCTTGACGTAGTTTTCCACAACTGGAGACATTATTTTCACGAAGACTTCATTTTTCGCATTTGGGCTTTGACTATAGAGGTCCTCCGTAAAGCTGGACTCATTGGCAATGAATCCAAGTATAGCTTCACTGTAGTTTAGAAAGCCGCTGCTGCCTTTCCGGTAGGGAACGTTTGGATTGCTTGTAATCTCTTTTGAAAAAGGTTCAAGAAACGCCAAGCTTTTGAGAATCAACTGGCAACGATTGTTGGTAACAACGGTGGTCAAAGAAAATGAGTCTCTGGCACCAAAGTAGCTCACTATGTTACTGAGCTCGCCAAGATCCCCATCTGCGTAATAAGGAAACGGTACTTTTTTGTTCAGCATGATTTGTGGGTCGAAGGGCTCAATCTTGCGCAAAATGGAGGAGAAATAATTGCGCAGCTCGTTCTCGCTAGAGTCAACAACCTTTGATAAATGAGTTCGGACACCTTGAAACTCTTGAGATTCCGGGGAGTTTTGTTTCTGGTAATCCATGCTATCTTGTATATTTCGCAGCTTGAGAATTGCCTTGATGTAAGGTCTCAGTCCCACTTTTTCAATGCTTTGCGATAAAACAAGTTCGTGCTTAAAAGCATCATTGGCCAGGTCTTTTATAGAGGAAATAGCATCCAGACTACTTTCAATATTTTTCTGCAGGATCCCCAGTCTTAAATTGGATTGCATGATCGGAGTAAATAGTTCATTCGATTGAACGGTTGTCCTACCGATGCTCTTCAGCGATTTATTAATTCTAAGCGAAATTCGCGACACTTTGTCCAGTTTGTCCCTCAATATGAGCACATCTGCACCGTCCACGTCGTATTTCGCCATAGACATCTTAAAATTTGTGTTGTTCAACTAGCTTGTTTTCGACTCAGGATGCATGCAAAAACCAGATTTTCAAGCCTGAATCGGGTCGAGATGATTTCTGCACAGTAAAGACTGTCTTAGAAATCAATCTCGTGTGCTTAAGATCGATCTTGTGTGTTTATGTTCTAAAATTTATGTTAGATGTTGTACTGGACAATTTGAATTTAAATATTTACTTTGCCAGTTCATTTTAGAGCATCATCTCAACAAAGTTGAAGCTCAAAGCGAAGCTGGCCTTCAAAATGGTTGATGCGATCGCAGACGACTTTAAACAGCTTGTTGAAGACTTAGAGGCAGCTGCTAAACTTCCAAAAAGAGGCAAGGCCTACAAAACCATTTGCCAAATCTCTAACTGCGAAAAGAAAGTGTCAAGCTGGAAATTTAACGAATGGGATTACGGCAAGAACAACATACGCTTACCAGTAAATGCGCGTGGCTTGTTCATCTTGGAGCACTCTCAAAAGCCGAGGATTGTTGTTCGTGGGTACGATAAATTCTTCAATATCGATGAGGTAGCGTCCACCTCATGGAGCTGGCTGACTTCTAACACAGTAGGTCCCTACGAGGTCACTGTTAAAGAAAATGGGTGTATTATCTTTATTTCGAGTTTGGAGGATGGAACTTTGGTCGTGTGCTCAAAACATTCAACTGGATCTAGGGACGATACCGATCGAAACCATTCGGTTGCAGGCGAAAAGTTTTTGATGAAGCAGCTTCAAGCCAGTGGAATCGATCCCAAGACCCTAGGTTTGGAGCTTTACCATATGAACGCTACGGCTGTGGCAGAATATTGTGACGATAGCTTCGAAGAGCACATTCTCGAGTACACCAAAGACGCAGCAGGACTTTACATCCACGGTATTAATCAAAATGAGCGTATCTTCAAAACCATGCCAATGCACGAGGTGAACAATTTTGCTGAGAGGTACGGCTTCAAGAAAATCGAACATTTTACTCATTCGGATATTACAAGCCTTCGCAAGTTCTTGGAGGAATGCGCAAATGTGGGGACATTTAGAGACAAGGAAATTGAAGGATTCGTGATAAGATGCAAAAAGGTCGATGGTAAAACCTTCTTTTTTAAGTTCAAGTTCGAAGAACCTTACCTAATGTACCGCCAATGGAGAGAAGCAACGAAGAAATACATCGCGACCAAGTCCCGAGTGTTTAGCTTCAGGAAGCATAGGTTTATTACAAACAAATATTTGGACTTTGTCATTCCTCTACTGGACGCAGACCCCAAGCTTTGTGACGACTACATGAAAGACTTCGGGATAATAAAACTGCGCAAGATGTTCCTACTCGATTTTGGATTGACTGGAGTGGAAATTCTGAACAGCGAGAAAATCAAAAATTTGGAAGCCCAGAACGCCATTGATTATCAAGTAGTTGACGAGAACACCAAGTTTCTCTTCATTCCAATAGCTACCATCGGTTGTGGTAAGACAACAACAGCGCTGACTTTGACTTACCTTTATCCAGAGTCGTGGGGTCATGTACAGAACGACGACATTACCGGGAGAGACAAGTCATTATTGATGAAAAAATCACTGGAGCTTCTTGGCCAAGAACATGTGAAGGCGGTCATTGTGGATAGAAATAATCATCAGTTTAGAGAGCGGAAGCAGCTATTTGAATGGTTCGCGGATTTGAAGGAAAAATACATGCCTTATGACTGCAACGTCAAAATTATTGCTTTGTCCTTCCTTCCCTACGAGGATATAGAAGAAACGTCGAAGCTCACAATCAGGAGAGTTCTAGCACGGGGAGACCGGCACCAAAGCATCAAGGTGAAGACAGATGGAGAAAAAAAGGTTTTGGGCATAATGAAGGGCTTTTTGAACAGATACCAACCGGTGATCGTAGACCAGGAGCCTGATAGCATGTTTGATCGTGTAATAACTTTGAATGTGCGAGAGAAAAACTCCTCTTTGGCCAATGTGCAAGAGATTCTTCGTGTATTACACGATCACTATCCAATTCTGGTTCCTGAGATACCATTGGTAGAAAAGATACGTTCCGCGTTCGAAAAGAGCCTCCTTTACGAACCTAAAATCACCAAGGTAGTAGGAGGAGGGAAGAAGCACAACAAGGAAAGTCTCAAACTCAAACCCGTATACTTCTCCGCCGAAATTCCTGACTCTAAGGTATTTTTGAAGTACATCCGTGGTCTGTGCCTCGAACAAAAGGGATCTCTTGATATCTCAGCGGTTCTTGAGGGTTTGCAGGATAACACTGCGCTTCGAAAAATGCATATTACACTGAGCCATGTTGGCAGTGGCAAAAAGGGCAGCAAAAAACAGCGAGATATGTGGTGCGAATTTAACAAGCGATACTCTGACACCTTGATCAAGTTGGGGGCATCAACGGCGCAACAGACTGCTAGAATACAAACCAACGATAAAGTCCTATTTCGAATTATAAAATTGTTGTGGGACGAGAACATCATCACAGCGTTGGCTGAAGTTGCAGACGAATGTATAACAGATGGCGAATCGGGTGAGATTGTTCGTCACCTAGGATGTGCAAACGATTACGCACACATAACGCTCGCACTTTTACAACCAGGCGTGAAACCATTTTATTCCAACGTTCTGTGCCAAGCGATGAGCGAAAACCATGGCTTCCAAGAAGGACATTTCGCGGACGGAACAAATTGCTTAGAACTGGGAAACACCGCCAGTATGGACGCCCACCTCTGCATAAATTTATAAACTTTATAAAACTTGTCAATATAAATCTTCCTCTATCCTGTCCCCCGAAAAAAATCTAGCCATGAGGTCCTGAGCTTTAGCGAACCCGTTCAATTCGAAACTGAGTCGTGGCCAGCGCTAAAGTCGCCCTTGTTGATCACGAAGACATCGATCACCGCCATGGCAGCGTAAAGTCTGTTTTCTGCTTCCTCGAATACAATGGAATGCTCACCGTAAAAGATGTCATCGCTTACTTCCTCCTCGTGTCTTGGGAGACAGTGCATGAACTTGTAGTTAGGCTTGGCGTGCGAGCATACTTCAGAATTTACTTGAAAGCCTTGGAATTGTTTTAGCTTTGTAGCCTTAGCGTATTCTTCACCCATGGAGATAAATGTGTCAGTGACGAGAACGTCGGCATTCGTGGCAGCTTCTATCGAGTTGTGTGTACATTCTAGTTTTGTGCCGTTGCTTTTGGCGATCTCCAAACCAGCATCGATGATATCTTGATCCATTTCGATCCCGTGTGGTGTTGAAATGGCCACGTCGATGCCCATTTTCAAACATGCTATGGCCATGTCGTTAATGACATTATTCGCATCACCGATCCAGGCTACCTTGAGTTTGTTCTTTGTGTAGTCGAGATGTTCCTTTATGGTCAGAAGGTCGCAAATTGCTTGTAGAGGGTGGAACTTGTCGCACAGCGAATTTACGATAGGAACCGATGAGTGCTTAACCAGTTGCTGGATTTCTGAATGTCTGTTGACACGGGCGAAAATACAGGACACCATTGACGAGATGACCTTGGTTGTGTCGTGGAAAGTCTCGTTCACACCTAGCTGAATGTCCTCTCTGCCAAGGAACATGGGCTGGGCACCGAAAAAGGCAGCAGCGCCCTCTGTGGAGATTCTGGTACGGGTCGATCTTTTGGAGAACACGAGTGCGATAGTTTTACCGATTAGCTTGGCATGGTTTTTCTGGCTCTCGCTCAAATTCCCGGCTTTGAAAACTTTCTTGTAGTGAGCAGCTCTGTCTACTAGAACGGCGAATTCCTCACTGGAGAGGTCCTTTATGGATACTAAATGACGCATTATGGTTGATTACAAATAAAGGTGAGTGTTCCTTCTGTTGCGAACGCTAAAGGTGGTATAATAACCCTGGGGTAGTGTGTGTGAAATCAGTAAGATACCTGAGCTCGTTGTCACCTGTACTTAAAGGACATTTGCCGATGTAGCCTTTTAGAGTAGCCGTTTTTATATACAGTCAGCGCCGTTCCTGAGCAGGTTCGTCATTCTAGGTTAAAATAACGGTGGAAAATGAGTCAGTGAGTCAACTGGGTTGAAAAAAAAGTGAAAAATTCTGAGAGCGGATGCCGTTTGGAGCGTTCACAGGTGATTGGATGTTTAGAGACGGCAGTAATAGGCGAGAATGGCTAGTCATTAACCAAAATGACAAGCTGGGCACAATACTAATGAGTACAATTCCGTCATGACGAATTTTCATCACATGGATGAGTCTGATGTGGATCTTGACAGGGCCGAAAGTGTTCTTCTGTGAATTGAGACAACACGCTAATTATCCTTCAAAATTAGAGATTTCGGCAATAAGGTTGTATTCAATTGGGAGACTCGGATCGTGCTTCTGTGTGCTGGGTCTCTTCTGTCGTCAATTGCGTACTGAATGAATACTACTGCGATGTAGTTTATCGCTAGGGCTTACAGCTTAGGGCTAAAAGCTTTAAATTTGTAAGTGGGACCGCCAGCTCGTAGATAAGGATGTGCTGCCGCGACCTTTGGCAGCACTCAAGTGCTTCTGCTTCGGACAGCGGGAGCTGAGGAGAACCAGGGTGGAGACGCCATAGCTAGCGAAATTCCCACATTCTCAGAACTTGACCAACCCAGCTATTCAATTAGACTGTCTGTTCTTTGTCTTGAATATGGGGTCACTTTGTACGGACACGACGTTGATTTCGATAGTAATTCAAATGAAAAGATACCGTTACGGCGGACGTCTTGGCGACTTAGTTGGACGCCAGTGACCAACCGAAATTTGCTCTCTCAAGTGGCTACTCGATTACTTCAAGGTAAGAGCATTTTCTCTCTTTCTCACCGGCACGGATCTTGTCTTTATACCAGTAATTTGAGTCAACCTAATTTAGAGACTGAAACAAATTGAGAACCCAGATCTCGCAAACTGTCGCAGTGTAAAACAGCCTTCATTCAGCGCTGCTGTCTGTTCTAGTGTCGTCCACTACGTCTTTAACGTTGTCAGATTAAATCTGAGCTTCTATATACTCAAGCCACTGGTTCTACACGGTCCCACGAACCATATGGTATGTAAACAAAACGACCTTTAAAGTTCTCTCTCACACGATCTACGTTACAACCATACTAACGGTCCCACATCGCAGCTGAAACTACGCCAATTGCAGAAACAGAAGCAGGAACAACTGGCGGCTTCAAGCAAACCCACTACCGCGAGCAGTCCGCCCCAAATTAGTAGCGCATCTCAGCTTAGATTGCGCAACGATTTAGCGTCTCTGGACCTACCGCCATGTGTGAAAATTGACGCGGCTGCGCTGGAAACGGATCAACTACTACACATACATATAAATCCGGACGAGGGCTACTACAAGTCCGGCACTTTCGACTTTGAAGCCAAATTCAAAGACACGTATCCCATAGACCCACCCAAAGTGACGCTGACTTCGACCATTTTCCATCCCAACATCGATACCCAGGGCAACGTATGCCTGAATATTTTGCGAGAAGACTGGTCACCGGTGCTCGATGTCCACAGTATCATAATCGGGCTTCTAATGCTGCTGCTGGAACCCAACGCTACAGATCCACTGAACAAAAAGGCAGCTGATGTGCTTCAATCAAGTCCGGCTTTGTATCAAAGACAAGTGGTCTCGGCAATGCGTGGGGAGTCGATAGACGGGTGCAAATACGACCGGGTGTTAAGATAAAAGTGTGTTAATACGAAGTGAACGAACGAATGTTATTACTACTTAAAACTAGTATGACTATCACTACTGCTAGCACTAGTACTGCACGACCTATACGCGCACATGATCTCCTACTGTTTCGATTTCGTCATTATCAGAGCTTATAATCACCGATGGCGTCTGGTTGCTGTTTGCAAGTGTCTTATTTCCCTGTTGACGACTCGTTACGAATTTGTACTGTGATGAAGTGATGGGAATGATTTTGGTTCCTATGATTTTTGCTAGACCAACATTGGAATTGGCGAAAATGGAATTAGTCAAAGTTTTAGAGGACATTTTTTGTCAAGGGCTGGATTTTGCTGTAAGTGGTAGAATTATCTTACTATGGTGAATTTGATCTTGACGTTTGGACGTGAATGGCTGAAAATCTCTCATCGTTTTTATACCTTTCATTCAATGTTCGGCTATGATTCGGTTCAATTCTTAATCTCCCATTAAGACGAGCCGAATAATTCGGGGGAAAGCGGCCAGAACTGAAAATGTGCAATAATAATGGCAGACTATAGTACTTTCAGCTATAATTCCCCGATTCTAGGGTCTTTTGTCCAATTTATGAGTTACACCACCCATACCTATCGCTTATCCCATTGATCCAATCAATTAATCCATTGATGACGTAATCGCCTCTTGGGAGAGAAGAAGGAAAAGAAGGAAACGTGACGAGTACATTACACGTGATGTACGAGTACTTTATGTCACGGGAAATCTATCTTTCCTTCCACGTGATCGAAAGACAGGTGCTCTCCGCGTCTATCTAAGGCGCCAGAGGTCACGGGTCAGTTGTGGGCTCGAGAAGATGTAAAGTGTCAGCGTCAGTGATTGTTTGTGAAACCAAGAACAGAAACAACAAATCCAGCTTTTGACGCTAATATAAAAGCACAAGTGTTTCGTTGTTTAGTTCTTCTCTTCTGTCTCTAATCTACTCCTGGATTTTGCTCCTGCCAAGTGCAGACATTATGAAATCTTCAACCTTTTTCCTTGTGCAGGCCTTTTCTGCCTTTCAGCTAGTTGCGGCTCGCGCAAGTAATGGCACCGCTGACTCTACCACTCTGCAGTCATTTGGACAGCCGGTGGGACAGCCAGTCGGTGGTTTTGTATCGGTACGAGCCGGCCGCAAACAAACGCCTTTCCCACAATGGCTCACGGACTTCACGGGCCTGAATGAATGGCCTGGAGTCGACCCTCCATATATTCCCATGGATTTTATCGATTTCAAAGAGATCCCCGACTACAAACGTTATGAGCAGGGCGTTTGTGGCGTCAACCCTCCTGAGTCGTGCTCGTTCGACTGCGACCGCTGTCTGGCACCAGACGATGTGTACACCTGTCGCCGGATTTCGCAAACATTCGACGATGGTCCCTCTTTGGCTACCGAAAGACTGTTGAACAGCCTGGATCACAAAACGACGTTTTTCAATCTTGGAATGAACATCGTCAATTTCCCAGATATGTACCACAAAATTTTGGACAACGGGCATCTAGTAGGGACTCACACTTGGTCCCATCCATTCATGCCCAGCTTGACAAACGAGCAAATCATTGCTCAGCTCCAATGGTCTATCTGGGCAATGAATGCAACCGGACACCATTTGCCAAAATGGTTCAGACCCCCATATGGGGCTATTGACAACAGGGTTCGGTCAATTGCTAGAATGTTTGGACTGCAAGCTGTTTTGTGGGACCATGATACATTCGATTGGCAACTTTTGGCTGAGGACCAAACGGCAAGGACAGAGGAAGATATCTACAAAGAGGTTCAAGATTGGAAAAGAAGCGGTACGGGTTTGATCCTTGAGCATGATGGTACTTTCAGGACCGTTCAGGTTGGAGTTAACGTTGACAAGATTCTGGGGAATAATCAGCTAACAGTAGCCGAATGTGTTGGAGGGATTGACTACATCAGAACGTTTCCCCAAAACTTGAAGCCTCGCGAAGTTGAAAATTAACACTCTCTCCATCTTGATGGTTCGACATATAAAATTTTATAAGATCTCATCAATGATAAAGTATGAGCACTTTCTAGATTATGATTGCTATCGCTGTTTCGTCGTACGTAGCCTGTCATTGTCTCCGGGGCTTAGGATTTCACTTTTATTTTCGTTTCGTGTCTCCACAATGTGCCCGTTTCGTTGGAAAACAACAACGATGGTACACATCATTTCGACTAGCGCGAGACACTTATAAACCTCATTACTTGTTTTTACGATTCGGGGGCATCTCGAGAGGCAATCAATAGTCTATACCGCCACCATGCCAAGTTCAGCTAGGTTCTGATCTCATGACAGTGTTGACAAATGCCTTGGCCAAAAGCACAGTTGACTGATTGACAATTCATTATAAGTCACTTGATGATTTCGAATTCTTGATTACGTTGCTTCTTCGACTTAAGAGAGCCAAAAAAAAAAAATTGCCCTTCCATAGCGTTCCAGTAGGTAACTTTAGTGCTCTCTGCCACTGACAGTGCCAATAGCCCTTCACCGCGACCTCAAATACCTTGTGGCATGAACTCATTCCTCTCTAGACGTCTAATCCGAGTGTTTCCCTTCAGCAACGACCACTACTATCAGAACATAACACTTTTGCTTCTGCTTTTGGGAAAACTGTAAGTGGCCTCCTAACATTTCGTCTGCAAAGGGCTCAAAAACACCGCCGATTTCGGATAGCCGCTAAAAGAGCTGAGCGTCAGCTAAAGTTGTTTCATTGTCCTAAAAGCAGGAAATACAAAACTTTGAGCAGTCTTACCTAATGGAGATCAGTAGCCTCTTTTCATCATTACTGTCCAAGTGCAGCAAAGTTGAAACCACTGGAAGAAGCATTTCTCTCTGTTCTTTGTGTTCCAAGAAACCTAATAAAACGTTTTTGATGTATGCAATTTTATCATTTAAGTCTGCTTGTGTTTCCTTTCCGGACTCCTCCGTGTAAGAAGCACGACGGGAGACGCCATTAGAATGCTGATCGGATATCGAAAAGACAGAGTTAGACCTACTCGACGGTCTTGACGTCTTCAACTCCTTTGCTGCAGCGAGCTGGCTGGACATCTGTTTGTAGTTCTTCGAAACTCTGTCCAGTTTTCGTGTCAAGTCACCGTTCAGCTCCTTGAAGCTCTCGTTGGCGATTTCCAATGAACGTAGTTTCTTTTCTGAGTTGGAGAGACTGTTTCTCACTTCCAAAAGAGCACTCTCCAATTCACGAGTTTTTCCAGAGTCCTCATTGCTCGCCTTCTGCACCTTGGCATTCGATGACTTCAACTGGTTCACCTCATACTCGTAATTCTTTTCTTTCAATCTGAGCTCTTGTATTTGAAGCGTTAGATTCTCATTTGATTTCTTTAAGTCTTGGATGGTCCTCTGAAACATTGTCGCTTGCAGGGCAAATTCACTCTCAAGCCTCTCCTTTTCGTCCAACGCGGACGTGAGAATGTTTTCGACTTTTTGCAGCCTAGCACCTACATCGGAATGGCCTTCTGCTAAGGTGCGACGCATGCCAACGAGTTCCTTTGTTTTCTCTTGTACGACAAGGGCTGATTCATTCAATTCATCCTCTAGAAATCCAATCCGCTTATTGGCCTCTTTCAGCTTAATATTAAGCTCATCACATTGTCTTCCTATTGTTCCTACCTGTTCATGAGATACACTCTTCAAATCCTTCAAAGTTGCGTATTTCTCGTTCAATACTTCCAGCTTTTCGCCTAAGGTTCCGTTATTTTTGATGAATTTCTCCATCGACTCTTCACTCTTCCTCACTTCGTTTTTCATGCCTTCGTTAATTCTTGTGAGCTGATCTACTTTCGCAGAAAGTCTGCCACTTTCTGCCGTAGACTCCCGTAGCAGCTTATTTGTTTGCTCCTCTTTGGCACTGTAATCCTTTATCTGCTGTTCGAGATAGACGATTGTCTTTTCCTTTTGAGTAACGGACATCTTGAGAGCGTTCTCTGACTTTTTCAGAGCAGGCATCTCTCTCAGCTCATCCGTAATGGATCCGTTCTCCTTTCTCAACCTTGCAATGGTCTCCTCCGTCTTTTTCAGGTTCGATGACAATTTCTGATACTCATTACTTGACTTTTCTAACGCAGACTTCAACTTGTTGGCTTCCTCGGCGACCTTCGATTTTTCAGTCTCCAAAGTCGTGATCTTTTGCTTCAATTCATTCTGTCTTGTTTCATATAACTTGATGCTATCCGAATGTCTCACTCGAATAGACTCTAATTCGGATTTGAGCTCATTCACCTTGGCATTGTCACCGCTCTGAAGGTCTTTCATTTGATCTTTCGCGGTTACTAACTCGTTCCCCACACTTTTTAAAATCTCCTTGTTACTGTCCAACTCCTCTGACTTGAATTTCAGTTCATCTTTTGCTTCCTGTAATTGTCGAACTGTATCCTCTTTCTCAATGCGTAATTTTTCAAGTTCTGATTCTGCATCTTTCAGTACTTGGATCTCTTCCTTAGATTTCTGATGTCTGTTTAGTAATGCGTCATAGTCCTGCTGCAATGCGTTGAGTTTATGCTGAATTTCCTTCAGTTGTTCGATTTCACTAGACAAATCATTTTCTCCAGTAGGTTTGACATCTGAAATAGCAGTGGCATTTTGCTGAACATCAACGGGTAGTGAGTTCTTGTTTTTACCCTTTCTCTTTCTATTTTTCGTCTTTGAATTCGCACTTTGACCACCTTGAGCGTTACAATTGTCACCGTTTTGTTTTAATTTCTGCTCCGATCTGACCTTTTCATATTCTGCCGTCTTTTGATCGAGTAATGTGTTGATCTCCTTTATCTCTGCAGTTGCCGTACGGTACGCTTCCTCCTTCTCCTGTAGAGCATGTTTACTTTCCCCAATCTTTTCCTTGGCATCTTTTAGTTCGGCTCTTAATGTAGCTGATTCTTCGGAAGCTTTTTTCAAAGCTTCTGTTTTCGCAGAAGCCTTTGCAAGTTCGGCATTTTTCGTTTCCACTTCCTTTCGCAGTTGATCAGTTTCTCCATGTAGTGTTTTCAGCCTGTCCTCCAGTTCGATACGTTCTTTGTGCGTGTCTTCGACTGAGACGTCTACATCAGACTGATTATCTTTATCGTTGAGTTGACCGCGCAGGGCCTCTAATTCCACCGATTGCTCGTTTTTCTCAGTCGTAAGACGCTTAACCTCATCGTTGAGCATGTCGATTTTCAAATTTGTGTTTTGAAAGAAGCTTGTTAGAGAATCAAAGTCCTCTAATGACGAAATTGGCGTGTTTTCGCATAGTATTTTTTGCAGCGCTGCCAGTTTTTCGATCTTTGCTTTCTCCGCCTTGTATGCATTCAAAAGAAGTGGATATTTCTGCTCGTACTTGTCGAACTTTCTCAGCTTTGCTTGAACATCCACTGGTAGATCACTGTTTTTGTCGAACTGTTCTTGTCCCTCATTAAGCTCGTCTGCCAAACCTTTAGCCAGCTCATCCGTAAGATTCTTGCTCAATTGAGACAGCTGCTTGAACATCGAAGTAGAGGTCTAGATTTGCCCGCTCAACAACGCTTCTCTGCCTGTTCCTTGCAGTGTTCATAGTTCGTTAGCACACGAAGGATAGCTAACTTCAATAATTACTCTAGGATCAATGACGTTACCCGGACTGATTCGACCTTAGCGTTAGCGTGTCGCTCCAGATCGTACAAGCGATGATGGGTCTTGTCAATGCCTTTTACTTATTTGGATGCAATCCTATGTTTCGCCATTAGTCTCTGAGAGCGGCGCTATTTAGTGAGCCTTTTCCTATTTTTGATGAAACGCGAACGTTTTTCGAGCTTCTTTCCAACATTGGCTTTCGAGATATTACTCGTGCTACTCAGACCAGCTGAGATGTCAGCACGAGGCTCGATCCGCAAAGACTGTTCATATTGCTTCTCAATGTTCGGAACGTTTTTTATGGACTCCTCAATGAATGCCTGGATATCGTCATACCGCTTAAACTTGTAACGGATATTTTGGTAGCTCGCGATCTCTCTAAGAATTCCGACAATACGTAATCGCTTGCTGAAATTGATAATGTCCATGGATCGGTGCAAGTAGTCTGGATTACCCTCAGCGACGAACGTTAGGTCCGATAAGTAAACGCCCAGAAACGGAACGCAGGGTACATCATTGACATTTTTGAGCCAATTTCTGTATGTGTAGAAATTTTTGGCGGGATCCATTAGTGTGTTGAGATTCTCCAGGGCCTTTTTGCTTTGTGGCGGAACGATTTCCCAGGTCTTTTTCAGGCGGAATATCGGTGACGAGTACAATGCTGAGATGATTGCTGTCATAGAGGAAAAATTATTGAGCTCATAAGTATGTTCAGCGATGTAAATGAAATGCTGAATGATTTTGGCTCTCTTCTTTACGTTTGCGTGTTTGACAATGGCAAACGAAACATAATTGGTCAGGGAATTTGCAATTGAAATGAAATTAGAAATGTCTTCGGAGCCGCCAAACTTGCAGTATCTTTTGCCCCATATGCGATCAAGGCACCCAAATGGAGTGATTTTGGAGTAAAGGAAATGTTCTTTGGTGGTCAATTGCTTGGCAAAAGTTTGAGGGTCGACATCCAGGAGCTTGAGCTTTCTCATTCTGAATCCATAGCCAGCACCCGGCTCAACAGAAGTTGTTGTCGGCGTCTTGACGTTCAGCGCACTGCCTCCATAATTGTGCCCACTCTCGTCGAACTTTATAGCTTCCGGAATGAAGTTTTTCAGATTTCCCTTTAACGATAAACGGTTTTTCAGCTCTGTTAACAGCGCTGGTGCCCCTTGGACATTTTGAGCAGTGGCCAGCTGCGCAAAACTAACAAGATCGTCTATTCCTGGCTCGTAGTACGCAGGGGTCCAATATTGAGAGAAAAGCGTCTTCATGATGTTGACAACGCGAGCTTTCACTAAGTTAGACTTTTTTTCGATCCAAGCGCTATATTCTTCGAAGCTTAACCCTTCTGGAGGATACAAATGATACCTTTCAACTAGTGCATGAAGGAACTCGGATGTCGTGAAAATGCTCCTGAAGGAGAGTAGCATAGCTATGTTGAAGGATGCGTCAATGGTTTGATGGCTCGTCAAGTGCTCCAGCAGAGCACCTTTACTGCCCCCTTTGATGGACCCTTGGTGGTCATATAGGAGTGAGAACTCATGCTCCGAGTCTAAATACCAAGGAACGTCAATTGTTTGGCTCTTTCCGAAGTCTCGAGGACCGATATGCTCAATTTCCGAATCTGCAAAGTTGCCTTCTGCGTCCATGTACCTGTTTTCCTGTTCACCACTCATTAACTCCCCTATCAAATCGTACTTCATCATTCTTGCGGCGTAGTTCAAGATGTTTTCACGTTCTTGCATGAGCTGCTCGACACTTTGATATGCAGAGTCAATCACCGCTAAAAAAGTTATCTGGGTGGCCTTGAGTACCGCATCACTATCGAAAAATATGATGTTGTTCAATTCGACATCTTCCGATATAAACCTTGAGCAGTAAGCGTCGGCTAGTTTCTCGGGACTCAGAACGTTTTCTTTGATCTTCACGAGAGGTTCTCCACTTTCATAAGATTGATCTCCAGCCATAGAGCAAAACACAAATGGATCTTCCAGTGTTAGATTTTGGATGTCCATAACCTTTCTAACCGTGGCGTCATAGAGAGCTTGCTTCACGTCAAAAAACTCCATAAGAAGAGACGCGCACGCAGTCATGGCATGCTGCCGCAGCTCCTCACTATCCTGATCAAGACCAGTTTTGAAACCAAGGTTTTTCATATTCTGAAAAAATCTTAAGTCCAAATTTTCGAGCAAGTCAATGATACTCACACAGTGACTTAATTCTCGGTGACAATTGGCACTGATTTCAAGATTCCTCTTTCTCGAAGCTTTTTGTTCGAGCAACACCTCGTAGCTCTGAAGAGACACGGATGTAAAGTACTCGATCTTTTTCTTCATGTAGTTCAGTGTTTCGTCGGTGAGGGGGTACTTGTTTTTCCTCAAAGGTTTGCTTTTGGCAGACTCTCGCTGAGATGTAGACTTATCGTAATCCGCTGAGCCCTTCGACAGAGCCGAACTATTTATTGTGTTCGTCTTGCTGCTGACACTTCCATAGACATTCGATGCTCTCGAAAAAGGATCATGAACCGAGCCAAAGGCTGTGAAGGAATTTCGTGGGCTCAAATCAGCTGGGTCGTCCTGAAATGTACTAGTCCAAGCACCTCCGCTGAAGCAGTCACGAAAAAATCTGGTCAGCAACTGTGGAAGTACACCATCGGTACAGCAGGATTTCATTATGTCGTACAAGTCGCTAATGCTTTTCATGAAGTGGCTGAAGTCCGAGTCTACGGACCGAAATAAAGCTTGGATCGACAAATTGGAGTTTTCATCGACGGCAGTACTATGTGCTTGAATTGTGTAGGCACTCATGACCGACCCGAATCTTTTGTCACCATCATCTTTTTGATCTGCCTCCGCTGGAGCTAAATCTTCACTGAAAAAAAACTCTTCATTTCCGATGCTTAATTTAGCGTCAGCACCTTGTCGGAGAGGATTTATAGTCGAGATGGATACCCGAAGTGGGTCCTGAACAGCGGTCCCAGAACTTACGATGCTGGATTTGTGAGCATTGTCGAGCGATGGGTAGAATGATATGTCGTACCGTTGAGGGGAGCAAAAAAACAGACTCCCATTTATACTTATCGCGGACGCGGATGCGAGCAACTGTCTTAAAAGTCGTTTGACGCCTTTCTTGGCGTTGTTCTTTATGATCTCGCTTTTCAGAAGTCTACAAGCGTTGTGATGATAAATGACGTACTTCGAGGCCATCTCTAGGCTGCGATTGAAACCTTGATAATCGTTGTTAAAGAAACAGGCATATGCCTTGCGGGCATAATAAAGAGTAGTGTCTCGAAGTTCCGCCCAGGTTCGTATATCGGATTTATGATGGAAAAAAAGCTCATCTTTTGACCGCAGGGCAGCAGGGGCACTTTTCTGCCACCACTCTGTTCCAATGTCGTTATTTGGATGGTTATCACTATTAGTCTGATTAATGTAATTTTCCCCGTTTTGATCGAATTGATTGTTATCTCCATTATCTTCGAAATCAGCTCCATTTTTTTTTGTACTTGATTCATCGTTTCTTGAGTCTGTATTAGAGGTCGCGCTCTTGATTCCAGTGCCAGCACCATTTTCGGACAAAAGAGTTGCTGCAATGAAGTTTTTACTTTTTTCGTCCACACTGGGCCTGCGACTACCTTGCGCAGCCCGAACGTAATTCGATGAGTTCCGTGCATTCACGGTGGGCCTAGTGCCCTGATCCTGGACCTGATTCTTCTGCCAGGTTTCGATACTATTTTTTCTTGATTGGTCCAGAACCTTCCTATCTTGTCCAATTGTCCTTTCATTGAGATCCACGTACCAGTCATGGTCAGAAAAAATGCTTTTTATGCTGAGCTCGGGGAGTTGTAAAAACGGCAATGAGCTGCAATAAACATCGTGGTCACGATTGTAGTAGAGGACCTTTCCTTCTGTCGTTGCCACAGGTGTCCACAACGGAGGTGAGTTGTCATTGATGTTGTTGAAGATCATTTCGACCTCTTCCGGGCTCAAAACAGTCATCTTATCAGTCCCTACCTGAGACCGCCTTCTACGATCATCCTCAAAACTATTGAGCCTTTGAAGAGGATCAATTTGTAGCTGCTGTAAAGGACGTGGCTGCCGGGGTAACAACTGTTGCTGATTAGAGCCAGTCCAATTTTCAACACCTGAGGGCGTGTCTGTCACACCAGCCCTGAAGGGTGACTTTGAGCGCGATTTGGCTTTTGTGTGGGTATTTCCGGACCCCATGGGAGCCGGTGGCGCCGATGCAGTCGCCGAAGACAAACTGACGCGTCTAGCGTACTTGTTTCCAGCGTCGTTGGTTCGCATGTCGAGTCTATAGTCAAGCTTCAAATGTGGGGGAGGAGATGGCGAGTGAGACACGGATCGGGACAAAGTGGGCTCACTCGTACTCCCGGTAGCAAAGTCTATGCTGTGCGCTAAACCTCTGGCTTCGTTTTGTCCGTGAGCCTGGTTGCGACTCTGTTGGGTCTGGCTACTGGCAGATGAACCCAGGGCCATATGAACGGCCGCAGCTGCTGCTGCTGTTGGCGCCGCTGCACTGTTTTTCCGACTATTGCCGCCAGACCTGGTTGCTTGTCTCTGGTTGGACGTCTTGCCCAGTAAGGCAGCGTTATGCCGCCTATCACGACAAGGTTTTGTGAAGTTGTGCGGAAACCAGCCGCGCACACAGCGGGGTGTAGGTCTGTTGGAGATGGTCACACCGTCCCACCAGCCAGATTCGTGTTTTCCCATCACATAAACAACCTCACCAGCATACAAACGAAGCTGGGACTTTCTGCTGGGCAGATAGTCGTAATTTGCGACCACCACGTCTATTGGTTTCGTGCTCCCACCTGCAGAGCCAGACGCACTTCCCACTGTACTTAGGCTTATGCTTGCACACCTACTTGCCAAATTCGTAGCTGAACTGTCATTACGGCCTTCGCTAGATCCATCACTTGTAGTCCCGACGTTCTCTCCGCTGACTTTGGCACTTGCTACTTTTGGCAAGCCGTGTTCGTCCGACGGCGATACTCTCGGCGAGCTCATAGTTCTCCTAGGGGTTTAACCTCTCAAGATCGTGATTAGACAGCCTCCAGAAATCCCTGTTGAGCCTCCTAGGGAAACACACGCTGTGTTTTGCCACTTTTACTTATAGCTGTTTAGATTTGACGATTATGTATTCTTAATATCTGAATAATTTTATAAATATCGAAAACCCCTGTCATGTAAGACGAAAATCAATCTTATAAGACTCTGAATTAAGGTTGATCAGAGACGATCTTGACGAGGTTTCGGGTGTCTGGATATTCATGATGGAGTAGTCTGGCTAGTTTTTATTTGTCAGATTCTTAGTCCGTTATTTATTGAAGAAAATGTGCATTTTATCGCATTTATAAAATTATGGTTTTTAGTTCCAGAATCATCACAATAGACTGACGAAATGGAACGCTGTTGGAAAACATGGAATTTTGTGCGTGAATTGTTGTTATTTTGATTCATGTTGAGGCTAATTCTTTGAAAGAAGCAATCGCGTCGAAATCAAGGTGTCTGCTTTTTGTAAGGCGTTGATTTTAGGCTTTAGTGAATAACGTACTTGATAGCGCTTCCGGGTTTAACTTCAGCTAAGAGATTTACGCTGCGATATAGGAAACCACTCACGAATGCAGGTCTTTTGCTGGAATATTGGTATTCGTTACCGTATTATGTGATGTTCGTTGGATCGCTACCGCAAGGTTCTTGGGACATCGGTGTGTTGAAAGCAGTGAGCCTGTTTGCATATATCGTTAAGCTCGCATCTCGAGTGTCGGGTCGGAGCAAACTTTCAACGACGTCGATGCCCCAGGAAAATCGAAAAAATGAATATAGGTATTCGTGAAGGTGAGAAGCGTCGCTGGACAGTTCTGTGGTAAACTGACTTTTGAGGTCTGTCGTGTCCATCAACCACTTTCTATCGCCTTTGTGTGAGCCTTGAACGTCTGAAATTGGGTGAGTGTGGCAAGTATTTTTTTTTTTTGATATCCGGGCACCTCGGTGACCACCAGCGATTAATCTATTCTTCAACGAGCGCTCAATCTGCATTTTGCTCATATGACTTTTCGGCATTCTTTGTTCACCATTTCACACGAGTGAATGAATACTGTCACAATGGGAAGATATGCTCTTCATGCGACACGAATGATGCGAAACTCGAAAAATGCGGACCGAGGAAGAGGGGGCCGATATCACACCGATAACATCAAACCATCGCTAAAATAACACATGTGGTAAGTTTCGGTCTGGGGCTCCATACCGATTGGACGATCGCGAACGTTAATATCATGGAAACATCACTTTCAACTAGTCTGTCATCAGTCGCTTGATCGCGTGATTTTATCTACCAACTATGTGATTATGCTATTAAGATTATACCTTAGAAGGTGGAAGGTTCCACATATATGTTTGTGCTGAGCATGCTTCTATGCGTGGTGTGGACTAAGTCATCTGGATCTTGTAGGCTCGGTGCCCACCAAAAAGCAGTTTGTCGGTGTCCGTGATCATTTACGCGCGCGACCGTTGCTTGAACTGTAAAGTTCGAGGTGGTCACAATTGAGCCTTGACCTTGACTTACTTCGAAACCAGCCCAATGGCACCTGAAGCGGTTCAGTTGCGCGCAGAATTCAATTGGGAACTTATTGTATCACTATGAACGGTTGTGTCGTCAAACAACAAGATGATATTCGAAATGGCGACAACGTATTGGCCTCGAGATATTGCTAGTCAATATTCATATACGTACTTTTCGCTTCTATTTTGTCCGCAACGACCAGGACCACCGCAAATCATTTTTATATAGTCTTGACTTTGATGATTGTTTGATTCAACAAATATCCAAAACAGTGTCAAAAACAAAAACATGATGGTGAAAAACACACGTTTCGTCAACGTTAGTTCAAAATCAACTAATACAGCAATTATCGGGCTATCTTTGTATTACGAAGCCACTAAAACTAATTCACCTCAACCAAGCCAGCGATGTGCTCTCGTATCTACACAGTATTGTCGCAACAGCTCATGTATAAGTAAGTTGTTTTCGGCAATTAAGTCGTCTGGCAAGGATCGGACTCTTACTATTTCGTATGCGATGGGTAACACAGCCAAGCACACCAGAGAGACTTCTCGGCCTTGATAACTCCGGTGTCGGAATAAACTAAAACGATACAATGACTCAATCTTCAGCACGTGACTGTAAATAACGTTTGGCTCCCAGCCTAAAATTGAAAATTTAGCAAATCCATTCAAGAAACAGTTGACGCTCTGGATGAGCTCACTGTTTAATCACCACATCTGATCCAGTGCTTAAACTCACAATGTCTGAATCCGTTAGTAAAGCCGTGGAAGCGGTCAAGGAATCTGTCGAAAAGGCTACCGAACAGGTGAAAAACCTTACAACACAAGAAGCAGGCTCCGAGCCTGTAATCTTGGGTGAAGATGGTCAACCATTGTCCAAGAAAGCATTGAAGAAGCTGCAGAAAGAACAAGAGAAACAGAAGAAGAAGGAGGAAAAAGCCCGTCAGCTAGCGGAAGAAAAAGAGGCTCGTGAACGCGAAGCAGCTGCCAATGACACCGCCAAGGACAACTACGGGAAATTGCCCTTGGTTCAGTCTACCACCAAGTCCGGTGTTGCAAGAGTCAAGCTTGAAGATCTTACCGAGGCTGACGACGGCAAAGAGGTGACCCTCAGAACCCGTGTGCACAATTCCAGACAGCAAGGTTCCACTCTAGTGTTCTTGACTTTGAGACAGCAAGCTCAATTGATCCAAGCGTTGGCCAAATCGAACGCAGAAGGTACTGTTTCGAAGCAAATGGTCAAGTGGGCTGGCTCTGTGAACCCTGAGAGTATCGTTCTTGTCAAGGGTATCGTGAGATCCGTGCAGGAACCTATCAAGTCCGCCACAGTCCAGAATTTGGAAATCCACATCACTCAAATCCATACAATTTCTGAAACTCCACAACAATTGCCCATTTTGATTGAGGACGCGTCTCGTTCTGACGCAGAGGCTGAAGCCGCCGGTTTGCCAGTCGTTAACTTGGACACCAGATTGGACGCTCGTGTTATCGATCTAAGAACCGCTACCAACCAGGCCATTTTCAAAATTCAGTCTGGTGTCTGCGAATTGTTCAGAGAGTTTTTGTCCAAGAGAAAGTTTGTGGAAATTCACACACCAAAATTGCTAGGTGCTCCTTCCGAGGGTGGTGCTAACGTTTTCGAGGTGACCTACTTTAAGGGTAAGTCCTACTTGGCTCAAAGTCCTCAATTCTACAAGCAGGAGTTGATTGCTGCCGATTTCGAACGTGTTTTCGAAGTTGCGCCTGTTTTTAGAGCCGAAAACTCCAACACTCACCGCCACATGACAGAGTTTGTCGGTTTGGATTTGGAGATGGCTTTCGAAGAGCACTATGACGAAGTTATTGATGTGTTGAGCGACCTATTTGTTTTCATTTTCACTGAACTAAAGGTTCGTTACGCTAAGGAGATAGCGTTGGTCCGCAAACAATACCCTGTGGAGGAATTCAAGCTTCCTAAAGATGGCAAGATGGTTCGTATCGCGTACAAGGACGGTATTGCTATGCTGAAAGCTGCAGGCAAAGAAATCGGCGAGTTGGATGACTTGTCTACTGAAAACGAAAAGTTTTTGGGTGCTCTAGTGAGAGAGAAATATGACACTGATTTCTACATCTTGGACAAATTCCCACTGGAAATCCGTCCCTTCTACACCATGCCAGATGCTACTGACTCTCGCTACTCGAACTCTTACGATTTCTTCATGAGAGGTGAGGAAATTTTGTCTGGTGCTCAACGTATCCACGACGCCGATTTTTTGAAACAGAGAATGTCCCACCATGGTCTATCGACAGAAGACCCTGGTTTGAAAGACTACGTCGACTCTTTCACCTACGGCTGTGCTCCTCATGCAGGCGGTGGCATTGGCTTGGAAAGAGTGGTGATGTTTTTCTTGGACTTGAAGAACATCAGAAGAGCCTCGCTATTCCCAAGAGACCCCAAGAGATTGAGACCATAGGTCAGATCCAGTATATATGAGGCGCCGGCTCATCATGGGTTGGTCCCAGGCCCGTGCTGACACGCATTTTGTATAATCTTCTTACACGTACATCATGATACAATGTCGCGGTCAAGATGAGATAGATCTGAGCAGCTAACGGTACCGGATTAACACTCTACTGGATAAGAGTGGTCCGTAGATCACCAGAAAGCCAAAACACTTACCGCGCTATGTCTGCTAGCCCCGGTAACTCACTCAAGGCTCTTTCTCCGACTCCTCCTGAACGCGGGTCTTTCCCGCTCGATCACGATGGGGAATGCACAAAACAAATGCAAGAATACCTGCAGTGCATCAAGCTTGTGCGAGGCGAAAATGCTCCCAATTGCCGACTACTGGCGAAGGAATACTTGAACTGCCGAATGAACCACCAGCTGATGACCCGAGACGAATGGAAGAATCTGGGGCTTCCCGACGATCCCAAGCAGAGCAGCAGTAGCAGTAGCAGCAGTAGCAGCAGCAACGAGAAGCAAAACTGAACACATACAGGGTATGTACATGTAAATAGTCATCGCACGGTATTCACAGACTGCTGTTTTGAGGTATACTGCACTATACAACACAACATACAGAGAACATGGAAAAACGAGAAAAGAAGTTTTAAAACTATCTACACAAAGCGCTATACTTGCATTGATGAGTGATAATCCGCGTTCACCTCGCTTAGGCCAAGGTGGTCAAGATGTCGGAGTCACCGGCGTCCAAGACGGACACGACACCGACTCTGAAAAGCTTACCGACAGCGGTACCCAACTCGTTGTTACCACCCTGGAAGTAGTACACCTTGGTCTTGGACAACATGGCGTAGTATTCCAACTCGGACTTTCTCAACACTGGGGTGTTGGAAGCGATGATGATCAACTTGGACTTGCCCTGTCTCAAAGACTTGACGGTGGACTTGTAACCTAGGGTGTACTTACCAGACTTGATGACCAAGGCCAACTTTTGGTTGATAGATTCTTGGGACTTAACTGGGGCCTGTGGAAACACGAGTATGCTGTTAGTAACGGGGTTGCTTTGAGGACGGCGACGGAGACAAACTGGATCCCAACATCCAGAACTCCTCCGTCTCCTACATTGAGTTTAAGTTATACTGACCATCTCTGTGTATTTCTTGTTAATGCTATGCAAACACTCCGGTCTTAGCTGAGGATTTGTAAAGAAGACTACGCCAGAAGAGCCTCCAAGAGATGTCTTGAAATCATCAGGAATTTTTCACCGGCCTGCCCACACTGCCTAGTCTGTCAAATTTCACCACCTTTTGGTGAGAGTGAGTCGGTTGCGTGGGCTGGAGCTGTCCAGTCTTGAAGTTTGACTGCTACTTGACTCTTTTCTCGTGCTTTCTGAAGGACCAAAACCCAGACTTCTGCCTATTTTGTATTTTTCCGAGAAATATCAGAAAAATGAAAAATTTCGAAACGACGCAAAATGAGCCTAAGCGGAGCGTCTAGGCAGAGATTTGAGTGAGTTGAGCGTACTGCTAGAGGGAACTCTGCGTGGCCCGGCAGAGCGTTCTAGGCAGGGCCCGCCCAGCACTCTGCCCAATGGTCTGTCCAGCAGTCTGCCTAGCTCCAGGCCTGGCTCTGTCTAGCTCCTTCCAGCTCTGTCCAGAGGGCTGTCTGACGCTCGGCCTAGAGCTAGGCAGACTGCTGGACAGCACAGGGTTGGCGACACAGCGGAGTCTGTCACTAGCTGCTAACATCATAGAACATTCAATAGACTTGGAAATTTGTCAATCTGGTAGTCAGTTCACTCACAAGGTCGAAAACCAGCTAAAAAGTATGTGAATATCGTGGTATAATGATGGATTAGTGTTGGAAAAGGACGCTGTGATGTATGGCGCGTACGGGAGAGCTTAAATCTGTGTTTTGAGCTATAGACGTCGACACTCCAATTGAAGGCATACCAGAGTTGTCCTAGTGAAATTGTCAACAGGCATATGTCTTTGGAGCTGTAGGCAGTTTGCTTGTGCGAACACGGCATCTCCCAGGCTCCAGACCTCCCACACACACACACACACACACACACACACACGCACACCAGAGGTATCGACGACACTTTTACTAACCCACAACGCGCTGCAGCTTGAAAATGAAGGTTGAAATTGACTCCTTTTCCGGTGCTAAGATCTACCCAGGTAGAGGTACCTTGTTTGTCCGTGGTGACTCCAAGATCTTCAGATTCCAAAACTCCAAGAGCTCTTCTTTGTTTAAGCAAAGAAAGAACCCAAGAAGAATCGCCTGGACCGTCTTGTACAGAAGACACCACAAGAAGGGTATCACCGAGGAGGTCGCCAAGAAGAGATCCAGAAAGACCGTCAAGTCTCAGAGAGCCATCGTTGGTGCCTCTTTGGAGTTCATCAAGGAGAGAAGATCCTTGAAGACTGAGGTCAGAAAGGCTCAAAGAGAGGACAAGAAGAAGGCCGACAAGGAAAAGAGAAAGGCCGAGAAGGAGAAGAGAAAGGCTGAGAAGGCCAAGTCTGCCGGTGCCCAGGGCGCCAAGGTCTCCAAGCAACAAGCCAAGGGTGCTTTCCAAAAGGTTGCTGCCTCTTCCCGTTAAGAAACTCAGGAACTTGTACGAAAACTGCACTTTTACCAACATCAGTTATACTAAGTATTTCCTCTTCTAAGTTTTTTCTCCTGTGTACTTGTAATCTCAAACATCGAATACATTATACACTACCAGACGGGTCCCACCGGTTCACAGAGCCTGCTGCAGTTGGCTCATAATTTCGCCAACCTGCTCAGCGTGTACAGTACCATTGAGAACCACAACTTAATTGAGCCTGGGTTTAGGTTTCGCTACTTTGCCCGATCTGGAAGCCTGAATGACAGATATCTTGAAATTTGACCTTTCAATATAGAGGAAAAAGCAGTTTACAAGATGACAATAGCAGAGTAGTTTGTTGAGTATTGAGGTCCATGACTCTAGACACTATACTGACGACCGCAACTTGCACTTTGTGTGAAATTGAGCTGTAATCTTATAAATACACGTAACTATCGCTCATCTTGGATAAAATGTAAACTAGACTTGTTGACATTTTAATTGTTTTGAAGGCATCTCTCAAGCTACAGATATGAAGCTTTTATCTAGCGTTTCTCAGCTGTTTTGCTCCAGCGTCACATTGGTCACAGCACTCGTGAGCAGTGAAACCACTGTTTCTTGCGGCACGGTTGCTACCGGTGGTTTTCTCGAAACTACGCCTTATAGCTCATCTACGGCCTCGATTTTGGCTCGAGGCACACCGGCGATTGGAGTTTACCATTTTTACCGTTCTATCACCTACGTGAGCGATTGTAACCCTAGCACACGGACCGCGGCAGACGTCAATCCCACAATCACTATATACTAGAGGAAGTTGTACTGAGGACGATGGGACGAATTGTAACGGTGTGTTGAGCTTTAGTTGTCTCGATTTGACTTCCCACAACAGTCTACAGGTTGAGGCATTACTTACTAAATGGGATGGACATAGGCCATGTTGACCTGTAGTCTTCGAGTTTTCACCTAAGCAAATAAATGGTAAATACGTTTAGCACTGGCATTTGAAGAAAGTTGTATCTGTCGATCGTTTCCTGCTCTTAAAGAACTCTCCAGGACTTGAGAAATGGCTGCAGTCTGCATGCAAAAAGCTTAAGGTTGTGTTATGATGGTGTAGAAAGTGGAGTTCCGAGACAATAAAACGTCGCACATTCGAGTCAGAAAACGTATTTCATACGTAGCAAAAGCCCAACATGACAATCAATACCATTGCCATCGTTCAAGCCATCTAAGTACACAGTTTATCTACCAGAAAAGCTCGAATATTGCTCGACTATTATTTGACATCATGCGACCGTCGCTTGAAGAATACCACATAAAAGCCCATTACTAGGTCTTCAAAAACTCTACAAACAGTTACAGATAATCATTGATATAAGATAAGTAGCTGCTAAGAGTCTGTCAATCTTCCTGCTTGGCTGATTGATCAGAGTGTTCTCTTCGAGTGTTTATTTTACAGTAATAGTTGGCTGGGTCTAAACGAAATTTATAGTGTATGTAAATTCTTTGAATTTAAAGACGGCTAGTCCGTTTTAATATCAACAAGTTTAAAGACATAACACGTAATGTTCAACAGGCTTTCAAGAAATATCACGGCTACTGCGATCCGCCGTGTGCTTTTCAAGCAGCCCTTCAAGGGATCTGCGTTGCGCTTTAATGCTACAACAACGAAAACTACTGAAAAACCATCTCTGAAGAGCCTGATGCAAACCTATGGGTATTCAGCTTTGGCAGTATATTTAGGGCTTTCAGCAATCGATTTCCCCATCTGTTTTCTTGCAGTTCACTCTTTGGGAGAGGAAACCATAAAAGTGTACATCAATAAGGCGAAACAAGTCGTTGGATATGGTAGGGACGAGCAGGAATTGATTCAAAATATCCGGGCACAAATCGCTGAAAAGGAGCGTAGAAAACAAACGGGTGAAACAGGGCAAATGACAATGTGGGAAAGAACGAAAGAAAGCACCCTTTTGACAGAAGCTCTGATTGCATATGGGATACACAAAAGTTTGATTGTGCTCAGGCTACCTGTCACGGCAGCCATTACGCCTGCTACGGTCAAGCTCTTAGGGAAATGGGGATTCAACCTTAACAAATTCAATAAAAACTTCAAAACAGCGGGGGAAAGTGCTAAGCTTAAGTACAAGACGGGCGATCCAAACGACTTTGTAAGCAAAAACGTATCGAAACAGGCTCAGAACAAGGGCAGAAAATGGTTCGAAGGCATGATGTGAGCATGAGTATATTGAATGACAAAAATCTATGTATGTTCTATGGCAAGCGAACTCCAGCGCTTGACTCCGAGACTAAGAATTTCCTGTATATAAAAAATGCCAATGAAAACTAGCGCGAATCACGGCGAAAAAAGTTGGGTTAAACTAAAGTTTGGCCTGGTTGCGACCGACTTTACACCTAATCAAACCGTTGGGGTGTGGCGAGGGGTAAAAGAGTTCGTTGTCATTCTCCAACCCTTCGAACCATTTCAAATCGAACAAAAAGTAGTGCTTGTTTGGTAGTTCATAAGAAACGTAACTGACCTGAGGAGCCTCTTTCAAAATGGCAGTTGCCATGTTGAACATCGTGGCCTGCACGGATGGGGAGTTTTCCTTAGCAAAAATGTCAAGGGTGATATCGCGCGCATTGAAATAAGCCTTATCGAAAATAGCATCCTTTGAACCAGATGCCACACTGTTCAGACAGCCCAGTTTTTCGGGACACCAATCCATGGTCGCAAAAATATCGGTCGACAGGATACGATCGGTCGTTGGTTTCAATGTCGTGTATTCGCACACGTTGTAGCCGTAAAACATAGAGTTAGTCGACTTCAACACGGTAAGATCCTTAATCGAGGTAGACAAGGCATAATTATTGGGCCCATTCTTCTTGTCGTAGTCTAAGAAAACAATCTTCTTCTCAGGTCCCTGATACACAAAGGAGTGCTGAGAAACCTTCCCATCGACATCGTACTTAACCCAACGGTCTTGAGTGATCTTGACGGTCAATCCCGAGACATGATCATATTTGGAGGTGAAGTGAAGGGCCAATTTCGCGGCGAATTTCTCTAGAGGGAAAGTATCGTATTTTTTCGCTAGGATCAGGATCGTATTTTTGACTGTGTCGGTTGGAACAATTGGCGCGTTGTCAGCTTCAGTGTAGGAAACGTCGAAATCACCTTTTAGTAAAACACACACGGTCGCTTCCATGACTTCATGCAGCTTTTTGTTCTGCTTGTCTTTCTTGACTTTCAAGAACTTGACATTGTCCTTTCCGTAAGTTGAATCGGCCAGATATGAGTATGACATTTGTTTCTTTAGGAGAGTGAAGCGCGGATTGAGAAGTGCTGAGTACGAAGTATGTTCTATACCTGCTGCTGACACTTGCTCTACTGTCCTTCGAAAGCTAAGAAGAGCGCTTAACCTTGGAATCGTGGCCTTTAAATAACTCCCCGGATCTGAGATTTGACCCTGCTTGATTGAGTTTATCAAGATAACGGGCATGCCCGTTGACGATAATTGGTGAGGGAGCCAACATAGATATCTCTCAGCACGACGTCGATGCGTGACAAAACATAACAACAGTGTAGATATCGCGGTTGCCCGTAAGGATGAGACGAAATCTTACGACTCTGAATTCTCATCACCGAGAGACAAGCAAGGCGTGAACAGAGCGGACATAGCGGGCAAAAGCGAAAAAGGGGACCTTGAGATCCTGCCAAAAGTTTTCGATAATGACAAGCTGATTGCCATCGATGAGATGCCGGAGTATGAAGCCGTTTACCGGTAAAAAAAAGCTGAGGTTGCCTTATCAGTCCACTTTTTCAACTCCAATGTCTTCCTTTTTGTTGTCGACTTGTTAGTAGGGGTTTTCTGATGGTATTCATAAAAACTCTCAAAACATACGAGAAACTCATCTAGGTTTTTGACCGCTAGCGCTTCTTCGATAAGCGTCAGAGCTGATGTCCACATTTTCTTTCGTGCACTTATTTCTTTGCCGATCTTCTTCTCGTATTCTTTGATGCGATTGACGGTTTGTGCGTACTCCGGCTTCCAATGGAGCTGCAAATCCCGAAGACCAAGTTCTATTTCATGTATCTCTTGTTTTCTGGCCTCCATGAGTTCAGATATTTCGGCATTGGAGGGTGCTTTCAAAATCATCTGCAACTGTGCCACTCCCTCATTTTTATCTTTCTCAATTCGAATAAGCTCTTCTCGTAGCTGCATCAGGGCTTCGAATGAAACTTCCTCCCAGCATCCCTCTTCCTGGTTCACCAGAACCTGCTCATTGCAAACATAAATCGCAATCTTTCCAAACATCTTGCAAGTTATACGGTTTTGTTTGACCAGACTTTCTAACGCTTTCACAGCGTTAGTTTTGGTCATACAGTTATGCAAATTTTGTACAATATCGTTGACAGCGAATGGGCGGTACTGTTCAACCAAATAGGCTTCAACGATATCTTCAGCTGCAAGAGATCAGTGTCCAGTTAGAATCTCAAGTTCTCAGATTAACGAGTTAAGAACCAAAAAAAAACACGGACAATCATCCGTTTCCTCGAAATCCCATACCTTCTGTTCCCTTGGCTTGTCCAGCTTTCTCAGCTGCCTTCTTTCCAGACATTTTCCAGGTTTTTGTTGATGGACTTCCTCTCAAAAGTGATGCGTAGCGGTTAACAATATTAGCCGCCGGCATCTTTTTATTTACTGGTCAGAAAAATCTGGAGCCAAAACAAAAGGATATACTGAAATAGCCATATATGAACTTCATCACACGGCCTGTCCATAAAGCAGGACTGTTCCTTCCCTCTCGAGCAGATGTTTTGGTGTATCAACAAGTAACATTAGGTAGTATATATATGATTGTAAGTTCTCGTTGATATATCGGTGTCGACGCCTAAAAGTAGGATTAAGATGTGAAAAAATACGAACTGTGAAACTCTGACGTCAATTTGAATGAGCGAATGCAACCTCACGCTCTTACCGAGACTCGAAGCGCTAGAGATATTGTGTTTACCTCTAAAACTGAGAGATTGAAGATCAGGAAGCAAAAGGACAGAAAGCTCAACTCAGACTAGAGAAAATCAAAAGAGAAGGGTGTGTATTGCCAATTGTAGCTATGCGATTCGGGATGTAAAACGTTTTGATCAAAAAAGAGCCAGCACTATGATTAGATCATGAGCGAAGCACTTAGGACAACACCGAGAGTTGTTAGTAGTACTTTCCAAACAGAAGAAAACTGGCTTGAAAAGGCAGAGTTTGCGTCATTGGAAGGCGAAATCGAAATACCGGGAGTGGAGGCCACTGAAACAGTGGTTTGAGTGGTGACGGATCTGCTGCTTGTGAAAACAGTGGAGGCAGCGTAGCTACCACTGGTTGTCAAGTAAGACGTGGACTGGACGGGCGTTGAAGACAGCACGTAAACCGTAGTTGAGCCAGGCACCACGCTACTGCTGTATTGGACAGAGACACTGGCAGTGTATGGAGTCCCAGTCACCTGGCTACATCCCAAAGTCTGCGTCGATGGAACATACGAAGTAGCTGTCACGTAACTTGTAGAGACAGGAGTGACCTCATAGCTGTACAACACCGCCGACGTGCTCCCACTCAACGTGCGCGTAGAAGTGTAGGTGATTATGCTGGTGGCCACTGACGTTGCGTATCCCTGTGTCGTGTACGTGCTAAAACTCGTGTATTCCGTGGACTGAACCATCACGTAGTTTGTAGTTAGAGTCGAATAGCTGGTCTGCAAATCGTAGCTTACCGCAGTCGTGGGGGAATGCACGATGTTGATGCTTGTTGACGCCGTGCAGGAGATAATGTCCTCGTAAATGACAGTTTTGTAAACGGTTTTGGGCAATACCTCGCACTCAGGGCAGCGTTTGTTCAACTTAATGATCTCTGGAGCTGCTGGTGCGACATGTGTCACTTGCTGGCCTGTCACTGTAATAGTTTCAAGAGACCCGGTTTGGAAAGTAGATGTAGTATATGCTGTGACATCAGTAGCGTAGGTTGTCGTGTCCAAAGTGACAAGCGTCACAGCTTCGCAGACCACCAAAGTGTTTGCCACGCTGGAGTTAGAATACAGCACACTTGGAGTGATGGTGGAAGTTGTGTATTGAACATTTGTAAGTGTGGCCAAAAACTCACTTGTAATTGTAGTTGGCACGGCAGTTTGGAATGTGGTTTCGACGTTACTGACATGCGTCAAGGTGTAGGTCGAGTCAGGTAATGTGACGACATAGGTGGTGTACGCGGGAGAGGTACTTATGGCCGGGGTGTTACCGGCTGAAGCAGTAGCACTAGTATAGGCGGCGGTTAAAGTGGATGTGTAAACAGTGGAAGTGGTGACACCATTAGTGACCAGAGCTATGGAGGTGATAGCAACACTTGTTGTAAGAGTCACAGCTGTTGTTGTGACAATAGGAGAAACAATTTCGGTAGTGCCGGAGATCGTTGAATAAGAGGTGATAACGCTGGAGGATGAGGCAGTGACAATTGTTGAAACCGATGTGGTGTAGACTGTAGTGGCCGTGACGCTTTCAGTCACAACTTGTTGACTGTTACTGACTGTGGTGGCTGGCGAACTGAGAGTGGAATAGATGACCAAGCCCTCTGTACTTATAACAGGCGAAGACGTTTCAACAGTTGAACATTCGAGACTTGTAGGTGTGGTCAAAAATTGGGTAGTAATGGTGGTATATGCAACGGAAACGGTGGATTCAGTTACAGTTTGAGTTGTGTACACGGGTGAATTGCTTAGCACAGTGACAATAGTGGACGTGTACACACCAGTTGATATCACAGTGCTAATTGGAAGCACGAGTGTGGTGGTTGCAACCTTAGTGAGTGTAGTGGACACATATCCCAGGCCTGGGGTGGAAGAAGTAGAGGAAAGTTGCAATGGGGGCAAGGAGGAAGCTGCAAGCGATGAAGAGGAGGCGAGCGATGTGCCAGTTGTCGAAGGAGCTGGGGAGGGAGCAACGGTTGCAGCGGTAGTTCCCGGGGCTTGAGAAGTGGTTGTTGTGGTTGTCTCTACGGTTTGTGAGGATGTTGTAGTAACGACAGTTTGTTCTGGAGTTGTGCTTGTAGTCGCTGTAGTCGCTGTGGTCGCTGTAGTCGCTGTAGTTGTTTCTGTTGGCGCAGTGGATGTGGTTGTTTCTGGGGTCGTAGCGGGTGTTGTTGTCGCGACAGTGGCGGTCGTTGTTTCGGTCACTGGCGGCGTTTCCACGGTTGTTGAAGTTTGGGTGTCTACTGGGGTCAAAGTAGTCATTTCGGTGGCTGGCTCTGCTGCCTCGGTGGTCGAGGTAACTTGCTGCGACACTGTGGAGATTTCCCCATTCGGCTGCGTCGTGACAATAACTTGTGTTCCTGCTAAACTGGCCGCGGTTGTGATCGGTGTGAAGCCAAAATCGGTCGATGTTGGCGTGGCGGCTGCTTCTGGGTTGGATGTTTCCATTGCGGCGCCCGAACCGACATTGAAAGTGGAAGTTGTATCGGCATTTAAAGTCGTGGTGGTAGTGACTATCACCTGCGTTCCAGCGAGACTGGCGTCAGTGGTGAGTTGTATGCCGCCGGGAAAATCGGAGTTAGTCTGTTTTTTCCAATGGTTAGTGAAAAGAGGCATTGAAGAAGAATGAACAATTGGAAACGTACTTCTGAGATGAATGGGGGGATGTAATCGGTGGCGTCGGTTGCCGTTTGGGCGAACGCTTGGCGGGCGAAGCCCGAGACCAGGAGCCAACACACGAAACGCAAGGCCATGGCGAAGGTTGTGGAAGGCGCGGAGGGTACGTGTGTTTGTCTTGGTAGGTGGGACGCGTAAACGCGACGCGTGAGGAATCCTTTTTTTTCTTTCTTTTTTTTGGCTGGCCCCGTACGGAGTTACTTTGGACCTGGGCGGCTAATTAATAACACTAATTCTTATGACGCGTTTGGTCGTGTCACACGAAGATGCAATTAGTTTCTCCAGATGTCCTTCGAATCGAGGCAGTAAATTTGTCGAGCCAATTGATTGGTCAGTTGCGTGAGATTCAGACGCTAAGTGAACGCAAAAGTTGTTACTGGACGTAAATCTCTAAGCAACGAACGAGCACTGATCTGAGGAAGTCTAGTTCTCAAGCCGAAGAAAGTACATTCCACATCCCAAGCTCTTTACCAAACGGGATCAAACTGCAGCTTATATAGTTATTTTTTCTGGGTTTGGCCCCCACCACCCCCCTCTTCTTCCACATGCGGCAAACTAATTGTTATTCCCTGCCCTGCCAGCAAAGTGCTGTGGTATGTCTTTTTGCTGAGGCGTACGCGTAGATAGGTCTTTGTCTATTTTTGATTTACGCGTATAGATTCGGCGATTTGTCAATGTGTTCCTCACGTATGACACTTATAATTGATATGTCGCTTGTGCTCACATTCCTCAAGAGATCAATTTTTCGGTGTGGTGCATGCGGTGTGTCGCCCACTTATGCAGGATTTCAGAAGCTCATGCACATGCTTGTGCGGAATGTTCTGGGCGACACGGAGAGAGCACAGGAACTTGCAGATTTTGTGCATGAGCAACCAGTGGCAAATCGGAGATCGCCGAAGCGTTTATGGGCAATAGGCGGCTAATATTTCCGTATTAGGAAGGTGTAAGTGGTGGTTGATATGGATACCAATGTACTAAAATGCGCAGTGGTGCATGAATGTGCATGGGTACAGCCTCGGAAATTACCGGATAACAACGTTCTGCCGTTTTGGGCAAGAGCCACAGACAGGCTCGTGGGGAGTTTGTGGGCCAAGCTATAGGCTAGGAACCTCAGAAAGTGGCAGGAGAGCTACAAGCATGGTTGAACAATTGAGAGCGAAGGGTACTCGTAGTACAGTTGAGCAACTGAGAGCGTTAGCAATCAGTTGGGAATAAAGGTAGGCCTTCAAGCACAATTGAACAACCGAGAGCTTCAGCGATCGTTTGTGAATAAACTAGAGAACTCGTAGTACAACTGAACAATTGAGAGCGGCGATCAGTTGTGAATAAGTAAAGGGCTCTCAGTATCAGACAACTCGTAGTACAACTGAACAATTGAGAGCTTTAGTGATCAGTTGTGAATAAAGATAGGCCTTCAAGCACAATTGAACAATTGAGAGCTTTAGCGATCAATTGTGAACAAACTAGAGAACTCGAAGTACAGTTGAACAATTGAGAGCGTTAGCGATCAGTTGTGAATAGAGGGACAAATACAAGCACTTCTGAACAAACAAGAAAACTCGTAGTACAACTGAACAACTGAGAGCGTTAGCGACCAGTTGTGAATAAAATTAGGCCTTCAAGCACTACTGAACAATTGAGAGCTTTAGCGATCAGTTGTGAATAACTTCGAGTACTCGGAGCACAATTGAACAACCGAGAGCTTCAGCGATCGTTTGGGTGAATAAACTAGGCAACTCGTAGTACAATTGAACAATTGAGAGCGTTAGTGATCAGTTGTGAATAAAGATAGGCCTTCAAGCACTACTGAACAATTGAGAGCTTTAGCGATCAGTTGTGAATAACTTCGAGTACTCGGAGCACAATTGAACAACCGAGAGCTTCAGCGATCGTTTGGGTGAATAAACTAGGCAACTCGTAGTACAATTGAACAATTGAGAGCGTTAGCGATCAGTTGTGAATAGAAGGACAAATACAAGCACTTCTGAACAAACAAGAAAACTCGTAGTACAACTGAACAACTGAGAGCGTTAGTGATCAGTTGTGAATAAAGATAGGCCTTCAAGCACTACTGAACAATTGAGAGCTTCGGCGATCAGTTGTGATTAAACTAGAGAACTCGAAGTACAGTTGAGCAACTGAGAGCGGCGATCAATTGTGAATAACTTAGAGTACTCGGAGCACAATTGAACAATTGAAAGCTTCAGCGATCATTTGTGAACAAACTAGAGATCTCGAAGTACAGTTGAACAATTGAGAGCTTCAGCGATCAGTTGTGAATAAACTAGAGAACTCGGAGCACAATTGAACAACCGAGAGCTTCAGCGATCGTTTGGGTGAATAAACTAGGCAACTCGTAGTACAACTGAACAATTGAGAGCGTTAGTGATCAGTTGTGAATAAACATAGGCCTTCAAGCACTACTGAACAATTGAGAGCTTCGGCGATCAGTTGTGATTAAACTAGAGAACTCGAAGTACAGTTGAGCAACTGAGAGCGGCGATCAATTGTGAATAACTTAGAGTACTCGGAGCACAATTGAACAATTGAAAGCTTCAGCGATCATTTGTGAACAAACTAGAGATCTCGAAGTACAGTTGGACAATTGAGAGCGGCGATCAAGTGTAATAAACAGGGTACCACAATGCAAGTTGACCGGCAACAGAAAATGACTGAAATGTTCTCAGCGACTGGCATGCCCTGCGTGACAGTGAGGCCGGAATAAGCTTTGACAGGCCGGGACAAGCTTTGACAGGCAAAGGAGCGTTTGACGAAGTACAGGACCCAATGAATGCAGATGCTATGGAGTACACCGCATTAATGCCCAAAGGTGTTCCAAATGGGTTGGCCATAGGCACCTCGCCAGCAGCGTTACGGAGTGCACTTTGGTGAATTGCCTCTGTCACTAGAATGGAAGCAGCTGCCGCCAAGTAAGTCTTCGACCTCACCAAAAGAGCTGCACCCAGGTACCCCGACGCTCCCACGCCCTCAAAGGTAGCAGCTAAGACCACAAACTCCTGAGGGTTCGTGTTGGGAAACTTATAGGTGCATGCAGCAACGTGACTTACTCGTGCCGCCTGGAGTGCCTTTTCCAAAAACACAACGACGTGTGTTTCCTCGTCGTGCACTCGTAGCACTTTTGAACATAGACACCTTGTAGTTAAGAGGGTAATACGTAAATGAGAGCAGCGATCAAGTGACGAGGTGATGGCATAGTAGTGCGAATACAGCTGAACAATTGAGAGCGGCGATCAGGTGTGAATAAACAGGGTACTACAAGCACTATACAGTTGAGAGCGTTAAAGAGGGTTCGTAATTGTGTTTAGCTATGATAACTACTACTATTCAACTATCCATCGCCAAGGCTTCGATTGCGATTACATAAGACGGCCTTTATTACTACTGGTTAGCGAAGGGTGTTGCAAGCACTGCTAAACAATTGAGAGCGAAAGCGACTAGAAGCACAATTTAACAGTCAACAGCGTTAGCGATTAACTGTGAATAAGTAAAGATCTAGAAGAACTATTGACCAATTGAGAGCGACAGGTGTGATGACTACAAGCAATACTGAAGATTAGGGGCGTAGTGAAAGAAAGTACGAGCACTGTTGAACAATTTAAAGCCTCGGCATTGAGAGCCTCAGCGATCAATTGTTAACAGAAGGACCCTCTTGAACCATTAAATAATTAAGACCGCGAGCATCCAATTGAGAAAAAGTCGAGAATTCTTGATACTTGCAGACGCCCTCGATTGCGAATAAGTAGAGAGCTCTTCGTACTACTGAACAAGTATGGTTGCTACAAGCACAATTGTGACTTTGTAGAGAACACGTACCACTGAACAATCGATCGCCAAGCGATCAACTCGTAGTACAGTTGTGCCTTGAGTTCTCACATTATTCACAATCAAGAGCGTGCGATCAGTTGTGACCAAAAGAGGATTCTTGGTATTACTAAATGTACAAGCACTATTGAGCTTTTGAAAGCGTCAGCGATCGATGTTGATTACGTAAGAAGGTCTCAAGCAACTGAACAGTTGAGAGGGCTACAAGCACATTTGAACAATTGAGTGCGTGAGCTATCAATTGTGAGTAGTCGAAACGGCTACAAGTCCTTCTGCTATCGCCAACGCTCTCAATTGCGAATAAAAAGAGGGCCACAAGCACTATTTATCGATTGATAATAAGAACGAGCAATTGTGTAGAGCCCTCCCAGTATCAATGGCATCAGCGATCTATTGCAAATAGAAATGGTAACTACAAATACAGCTATGATGGTTGCAAGCACGATGAAATGATCGAGAGTATAGGCAACGATTGTGGATATCAATGGTAGCTCCGAGCACAATCGACTGCTAGATACAAGGACATTTGATTAATCAAGAGCTTTGATAATACCACCACTTCGAGTAGTAGGATGAGTAGAAGTGTGCAAACCTATATGAGTACATGTATAAGTGTAAGCATGAGTACAAATATGAGTACGAGTACAAGTTTCGACGATAAATTGTGGATACGTAGAGGACCCGAAGTATAGTTGAACAAGTGAGAGCGCTGGGAAGCAATAGTGAGTAAAGAGAAGGCTACAAACACCTTTGTACAATTGAGAGCATGGGAGATCAAAAAAGAGTATTTGGAGAACTCGTAGTGCTATTGAGCAATTTTGAATTAGTAGAGAACTCGTAGAACTATTGAACAATCGAGAGCGTTTAACCAATCGTGAATAAGTGCTGAAGAATAGACAGCTTAAGCGATCATTCATTAGTAGCGCTAGTGGTTAGAAGCACAAATGATCAATCGATAGCGTCATTGATGAATTGTGAAAAAGTATGGTAGCTAGAAGTACATCTATGATGAGGACAAGCATAATGAATCACTTGAGAGCGTTAGCGATTGAATGTATCAACACGGCAATGAGTACATGTATGAGTACAAGTATGAGTACAGAAGCACGCTGAAGGATTGAAAGCGTCAGCCAAAATGGCTCTGAGTATTTGAGATAACTTTTAACTTTCTTTAACAACAAACGGCAAGCACAGCTGAGCGATCGAAAGCGTCAGCGGTGACTTGTAAGCATTTGCAAAACTGCAGTCTGATAGCAAGTGTGGTTAAAACCTTTTAGCAACGTTCTGAGCTGTACAAAAATGGAGGCTTTTCCTCCTTGTATCTCGTAGTGCTCGAGCATTAGCGTTCGATTTTCCCACAAGTTGAAGGCAAATGGCAGGACCACTTTAAGCAAAAACCTCGTAGAATACCGGAGTCATCTTAATAACTCGCCCACGAGTAAAACTGTCGCAAGTTTCCCTCCCCGAATGCCCACAACATGGGTCCCGCCGATTGACATACCTTGTGCATACTCGTAGTGTTCTCTTGAATCTTGACGTATCGCTCTGTACCATAGTGTCATTTGTTCGGTAATTTGCCCGACACCCAAAAACAGCAGTTTTAAAAAGACATCACACACAGAGATATCCATACACATTTGAGCACCCTGGCACACGCAACAGCGACCAAGACTCTCTGCCCGGCAGCCAACGCCTCTTCAATTTTCGGCTGGAATAAACCTGGAGCTCTCTCGTTATCCACAATTTATAACGAAAGCTTTCAGGTATCAGTAGCCGTGCAATCAGCTCATGCCCGGCTACTCACACCCGGTCACTCACACCCTTCCATCAATCGATTTTTAGTCTTCGTTCGGTATAGCATGGGAAAGAGCGACTAACGACACACTAGTACAAAGTGATAACTGCTTTTAAAAGCTCCAGTCCATACCAAATTATAACCTTCCGCAAGCTGACGAGACTCTCATAAAGCAGTCTCGCGTTCCTCAAGTAAGCACCATATTCAACCCACCAAAACCGAGCCTTTCCCACTGCATAAAAAGCTCCATAATTGATCATATATTATAGCGAGATTTTGATCATTTTTAAACAATTTTAAACACGCAAAAATAGCCAGGTCAAAGCCACCACGGTACGCTTTCATGTCAGACAAATGCCAGGACACTCGCCAGCTCTCACGAACCCTCACGAACGGCCTAAAAATGTGTTTTTGTCGGTCCAAAAATCTCATTCACGTGCATATTTAAAATCTCGCTAAATATCGCCATTCACGAATCCACTAAATCTCACAGCTCTATTATCACAACCTAGCTCATAGGATCAAATCTCTCTGCAACTCCAGACTCACAACCTAACACACCTCTACCCACCAGCTGCGCGCCAGGCATGGGCGATACAGAGGCCAAGAAGAAACGGAAGTCACCCAACTCGGGCCCGGACTCCCCCCGGCCCTACATCTGCCCCATATGCTCGCGGGCGTTTCATCGCCTGGAGCACCAAACAAGACACATTCGCACACATACCGGGGAAAAACCGCACGTTTGCGACTTCCCCGGATGCACCAAACGCTTCAGCAGAAGCGACGAACTCACACGACATAAGCGCATTCATACCAACCCGCATCCCAAGGGCAAAAGAGGACGCAAAAAGAAGACGGAGTTGGCAGGCGAAACCAACATTATTACGACCACCACGACCACCACTGCAGATCACTCAACAACTTCTGGACGAGACCGCAGGGCTAGGGGCACAACGACTTTCCAACTGGGAGATGCAGACGCAGATGCAGACGACGACGACATGTCTGACGTCAATACCGCTGCCAGCTCTTCAGAAGAGCAGAGCATGGGTCTTCTCGTCAACGCTGCCCTTGGAAGCTTTGGTGGCAAGCAAACTGGAGCAGCCCCGTTTCACACTGTGCGTTCTCTGCCGTCTCTGAAGTCTTGGGATCCGTCCATGACCAGAAACGTCAATTCAGCGTCAGGACCGCTGACCGCCGGAAATCAGACGCAATACTCGTCTGCAGTGAACCTCCAACAAAACATCGGGCCCTCAAAACCCCTACCGTCACGGCTAAAGTTAAATGTGCTCTCCTCGCTGCAAAAGATGACACCGTTGGCACCCATGGCGGGCTCTGGGTTTGCAAATTCAGGTCTCTCTCAAGACGTGGGAATGTCCGACAACACGACTTTTCTGCCGCGCCCCAAGAGCACGCTGGGATCGTTCCCCTCGTACGGCTCCTCGAGCTCTCTAACAAGCATTTCGAATCTAATTAATACGGCGGACGATGGAGATGAAGAGCTCGATGACGAAGAAGCGGGCAGGGCCCGCAAAAAATCCAGAACTACTACACCCATAATTAGTCGCAGTCACAGTCGAACGAGTCTCAATATGACAGCGGGTGGCTCGTTCACAAACCTCACTCTTCTGCAGCAACCCCCGGGAGTAATGGGGACGCTGTCGTCCAAATCGTCCACAACGGACTTTTCGAATGAACTAAGCCAAAAACTGCAAAACGTCCAAAAGACACAGTCGGGCCAGTTTCTGGATCATTACGCGACTCCTTCCAACGCGCTTTCCGCTGCGACGTCCGCGAAATACACTCCGTTGGGAACGCCATCGCGAATACCGAGTCCCTCAAATGCCAAAATCAGTTTGGACTTGAGGAACGCTGCGGAAAATAGTTCTCGCGAGAACGACGAGACGGTATCGGATCTGCCGCCGATCAGGAGTTTGCACTTGCAGTTCCCCACGGGGTAGTAGCCAAGTTGTATTATTACAGAATAGAGAATTGATAGATAGAGTATTTAATGAAAGCGGGGGAGCACCCAGGTTACTATAAGAGTTTGTGAAGATTAATCGAGGATCAAGAGCATCTGTGTTTAGGTTATGCGTATGGACTATGCTGGAGCACTAGAGCGTATTCCTGATAGTTTCCCATGTCACTTTGCACTATTCTGTCACAATAATGAGATATCATTGAGATTTTGGAAAACCGTTTCTCAGTTTGAGCTTTTAGCCTACAAAATCAAGGCTCAAACACATATCTGTGGAGCTGGATCCCATGTTAACCGCTCTATGGATAGCTCTTATCTTTTTAGAAGGACCTTCGACTACCAAGTTTTCCCGCGTCAGCGTAGTCAAAAGTGATCTCTAAATTTTATTATTGCCCAAGTCAAATCCTATTACCACGATTAAAGACGACAACGTCTGACATCAAAGGCGAGGGTATACAAGATTACGAAAATGTGATTCAAACGATTACAATTGCGGATCAAAGTTCGACTGAATCCCCATTACAATTTTTTTTTTGTCAAATTCCGCAACGGTGCCAAATTTGTCGTTATTTCCACTTCACCGAGCAAAACGTTACCGTAACCTCAGCTGTGTATTTGAATTAGAGTAGCAACTCCTAATGCTGAATAAACGTCACGTAGTAGACGGGGAAAACACCCTTAACAAATTCCCCATTTCGCAAACCTCAAAAATATCAACATTCATATTGCAAACTCCACGCTAGGGCTTATTTACCCGAATGGAATTGAAAACTTCGTTCAACAAAAATGGAAGGAAAAGTAAGTAGGTAAGTAACTGAAAAAAAATGCCCCAATTCTCTAAATCTTGGTCATCCAATTTTTATGTCCCGACAGGGCTAGAAATTCCGAAACATCTGGCCACCTCCCCTGGTTAGTCCGTTCTAGCCATTTAAAATTCCAATTCCCAAAATTTTGATCGATCCTGAAGCAGAGAGGCTGTTATTTTTTTTCACCATCACCCATTTTTTCCAAGCCCGTTCGTAACCTGATCCACCACAACCGTTCTTGCCGAGACTCTCCAGGTTTCACAACTTGACTTCGCAACTCGATTTTGGCACATTTTTTTTTCGCGGATTCTCTGCCCTGGCAACGTGGCTCTACATAGGTCAAGCGTCTTGTCTGCCTGCACGTCTGTAAATATCTCCATTCACTACAACGCTGTTTCTAAGATTACATTTTCTGCATTGGCATCGTTTAACAAACATGTTCTAAATTTTCTTGTTGATCAGCTTGTGCTGGTGTCCGGGCCAACACGCTGCTGAAACTGGCAGATTCGATTATTCTGGTGTATTCCATCTCGCTTATTTTTCACTGCGAGGGCGTGTCAAGCTTTGCTGAGGCTCATCGCAAGTGGGAAGAGAGGCTCGGGCTGATTCGGTTGTCACATCGCGCGGCGAAACATTACAATGGTTGGCACTCGCTAGAACAGGTATTTCAAGTTACTAAGAGCATATTTTTTACTGGCAAGAAGAAGCTAGAAAACTAGGAATTTGAAACTAATTCTAGGGCTTATTGCAGTGTGGCAGTTGGCCCGTTTAAATTTTGTTTGGTAGAGGTAGTTTGTAGTGAATAACACGTATTTAAAATATATATAGCTTTTATTCAAGTAAAATACCAAACTGGAAAGAATACAGATCGACGAAGAGCCGTAGAGGTCCACAAGAGTTTCGGTCAGCCAACAAATTCGGCATCCGGAGAATTGGGTATTTTTGAATATATATTAATATAGGTGTGTGTGTATAAACAAAGTGTACATACTCTGGACACATAGACAACATATAAAGCTAGATACAAGTGGGTCAAACTAGCTAGATTATCCACATTGCATGGCCAGTGGAAGCAGCAGCAGGAGTGCTCGTCAGAAACTGTGAGAATTCAAGTTACATCATTTTTTAGCATCTTAGCATCTTAGCCCAAGCGTCCCGCTTCTTACGCGTATGTCTGCATTTCACGATTACTGCGTGGTGTGCGAAAAATTGATCGAAGGTCCCAGCAGGCTCTATTGCTCCCATACGTGCTGTCGACACGACATCAGCGCCAAACGACGCAAAAGTGAGGTCGAAAACCTCGTGGCCACGCCGCAGCTCTGTCCCGTCGATCTCGAGGCCAGCTGCGACTCTGAGGACGACGAGCTTTCTGAAATTGACTACACGGCTACCGTTCCCACCACCCTGAGTTCTCCCCAGCTGACTGGGAAAGAACCGTCCATCGATGGCTACTTTTCTCTCTCCGCAGAGCTGTTTCTCGATCACACTGCAGAGGACAACTATAGGCTGTGGCTAAACGGTCAGGACGCCTAAACTGGCACTTCATGACAATGATGTATCCGCTGCCGTTTACATTCGCTACCCATTACCCAGTTTTTCCATAACATCACGCTCATTGGCTCCATCATCCACATTCGCATAACGTACCTGCGTTCTCGCTAGCATCACGATACCTTACTATCGCTGCCCAGACACCTGGAAATTCAGAGAATTGATTAAGGCTCATCGACCACTCTATCATGACAAATTTTACGACCTCTTACTTGACCTAATATGTTTGCTTCACACACTAGGTATCTCGAAACATATACGCATATATACGCAATGGTGAATTGACATCCTGCCATTGCTAGCTTTCACAGCGTCCCTCTTTGCATTAAAAAATATAAAACGAATAAACCTTTTAAACGTGTTCTAATCCCGGTGCTAGACTGTACAAACCTGCTGCTAGACTACTTGTTGGGCCTCAACGGATTTGCGTCAGCCGCGTGGTGTTCAAGTGAATCCTGATATCCAAGTTATCAGTGTCCTCTTCGATGTTAGCCACCCGATTCTGCTGTGCATCAATTTCTTCACCGCTTGCAACAGCGAGCCTTTTCAAACGCCCGCTGATCTGGCCTATCTTGTCCAAATTCTTGTCAATTTCAAGTTCCATCTCGTCATCTTCCTCGTCATTTTCGAACTGATACCTCTTAGACTTCTCTAATATAGCCTGGTTTTGATAGCGCTGTTTCACACTGTCGTGTGGTTCTTGGCTTGTAGAATTGATTGCACTTTCAATACGATTGGTGGACTGCAGCAGACGGCCATTTGTTTGTTTTTGAATGAGTTTGTCCTCAATTCTTTGCGTCCGGATACGATCTTCTGCTTCTCGCAGACGCCTTTTGGAATTGAAAGGATTGCTTACATGAACTGCCAATATGTTCCGGTTGAGCTTTTTCAACTCGGCCACTTTATCATCTGCAACTCTGTTTTGCATTTTCATCAAATCCAAATTTCTCTCTACGTTGTTCAATTTCTCACTTTGATGACCCAGCATCCCAAGTGTGTTCGTTCCTGCCATCTCCGCTTCCTGCGCCATCTTTAAGGTATTTCTAGTCGAGGCCACAGAACTCTGTTTCGTGAACCTGATTTCCTGTTTGATCTCATCCACAGCCTCGTCTTCTTCCTGCTGTTGTCTCTGTTCATTTTCTCTTTGCATTTCCTCAAAGGTTTGAAACCCGCGAGAGTTGCTGCCGTCTTGGCGATAGCTGCCTTGCCGTGATGGTTGCTGTTGCAGCTGTTGACGCTGGTATGCATTGCCCTGGTACCCATCTTGCATGGGTTTGTTGAAATCGTCTTCTTCTTCTTGCATGGTGGCATTCAAGTCGATATCATCGTCCTGAAGATTGGAGTCAATGCGTTCGGCTTTTGAAGGACCCTCAAAATCAAACGAGTCTTCTGGACCAACAGATGCAGGTTCTTGGGAATCGTCCGCGGTGCGCAATCTTTGCCTTGCTATACTTTCGCGTGGACTGTAAGGATCTGAAGCAGGTTTTGCAGCGCTACGGTTGCTATTTCCATTGTTGTCGTAGCCAGTGTAAGGTTTATAGCCCGAAGCTGGCATCGGTTGCAGCTTTGATAGCGCATTGTAGCTATTGTTCCTGCTCGTAGAGCTGTATGGGTCATTGCTCAAGCCGCTATAAGGATTTTGAGATGTTGCTGGTGTAGCTGATCGGGAAAAGCTCTGGCTGGCATACGGTTGCTGGCCTCTGTAAGGGTTGGTACTTGACTGTTGACCTCCATAAGGATTGGAACTTGAGTTTTGGCTCCCGTAGGGACTTGAACTCGACTGCTGGCCTCCGTAAGGACTTGAATATGCATTTTGCTGTTTGGTTGAGTTCGAGCTTGACTGCTGCTGTCCGTAAGGATTGCCAGGCACACGTTCATATGGATTACTTGGGGTGCTCTCGTAGGGACTAGCCTGTGTATAGGGACTCGAATTCTGTCCGTGGTTCTGAACGTTGTTTCTAGCATACGGATCAAAGCTGCTCTTGTTTGGTGCACGCAAATAGGCACCAGTTTCGGCTCCTGAGTCCATTTCTGACTTGTTCAAGTCTTCCAAAGCCGAGTCGTCCTGCTTCTTGGCGTGATTTTCGTACCCAGGAGGAGCGTAGAACCGGTCCTCAGCTTTATCCTTAGCAAAATGTCCATAAGCCGCAAACTTCTCCTTCTTAGTTCGATTTACGTTCTTAGTAGGGATACCTAGTTCAATCAACTTCTCTCGGTTCATTTCCGCTGTATCCTCCTCCGGAGGCTTCATTTTGAAGAACTTTTTTAAGCCCATTTTTGCAATGGTTTTTCTGGTGACTATAGAGCACTGTTAGACGGCTAAGATGCTTAATTCGTCCTGTGTCTTGTAAAGAAGTGATACTTGAAAGGAAAACTATCGTTTCGCTACTTTTAACTTTAACATCTCTAAATTTCAATGATTTCGTACCTACTGATATCCAAGATGTGTTGAGACGATTTCGTCCCAACCTTCCAACTCTTATAGCCTTAAGATGTACTTTACATGCCTCTGAAAGCATTCTTACCAGCCCTTCTACCTTGTGAACGAGCCCTAGACCTACCACTGTTTCCCTGTGGGGCGTCGTCCTCGTTGTCGACCTTAACTGCTTTCTTGTTGTCTTTGCCAGTGGGGGGACGCTTGCTGGGAATGTAGCTAAACTCAGCCTCGCCTTGATGGTTACGACGAACAAGAGCTGCGTTGTCGTCCCGCTGGCGGTCTTGTTGCCGCATTTCTTGGACTTTCGTACTGAATGCTTCCTCTTGGGCATTGCTCGCGTCCACTCCAACGCTCATCTGGTTCATGAATTTAGCGGCACTCTCGCGCTCTTGCTTACGACGCTGAGCAGCTGCCACCTTCTTGGCCAAAGCTTTCTTCTCCTGCTCGCTCATTTCCTGTGCATGCTTGTTCTTTTCGCCAGATTTGGTTTCACTGTCGCTCTCGCTTTCTCCCTCGGAATCTGAGTATTGTCCACGACCCTCTCTCATGGCGATTCTTTCCTCGTCTGACTCTTCTGCAGCCGTTAGCGCTCTGATACGCTTGGCAGCGCCTTCCTCGGTTTCTCTCGCAGATTTCACAGGGTTCAATTGTTTGTAATCGTAATCTTGTTCGTCCACCTGGAAATCTTCATCTTCAAACATTTCCTTGAAACGGTCATCGGTAAGAACGTCATCAGCAACCTTGTCACCACGTTTCTGAGACAATTTGTCCACCAAGTCCTTGTTGAACTTGACTTTTGGTTTCTTGACGGCGCCGGAGGTACGAATTCTGGATTCTCTCTCTTTTTCAATACGACGTCTGATCTCTCTTTCTCTCTCGTCCTTGTAGGAGTCAGGGTTCGAAATCAAAGCTACCTTGTCATATAGCTCGTTGTTAATGAAAAAACCATGCATGTAAGCCCTGAGCACCTTTGAGCCCACCAAGTGGGTAAGGCCCAATTTCTTGACGTCATCCCTAGTGATAAATCTGTAGTTCGAGTAGACAGAATCGCTAGGCTTTTCTTCCAGCTCCTCAGTGATAGAATCCAAGAAGGAGCACCATTGTGGAGCAGGTCCCAAATTGGGGATGTAGTAGGTGTGCATGGCAATACCCTCATTTGCGGTGAAAAACATACCAGTTCCAGGTACGTGTTCTATGTCGTTGATATCCACACTTGGTTCCATGGAAGCATAAGCCTTTCCATCGTTTTTATTCCATATCTTTGCGATTCTCTTGTCACAGGTTAGGATATTGTTACTACCGCCCTCGGCACCAGTGTTTTCCAGCCATATGATCTTCTTGATTTCAAAACCATAGCCCTGGTCCTTGACTATCGTTGGTTGGGATGTCCGCAGGTCATACAAATAAGAGTATCCTGTTGACGTTCCGCATGCAAAATTTAGACCATCATTTCTGAAGCTCGTAGCTGTGACTTGAAAAGGAGATGAATCGAAGCTATTCTCTAGAGTCAACTTTGCTACCCTCGAGCGAGCACGAGAGTCCCAAAACTCTACTACGTTCTCTTCCATTCCTAATGCCAGCAGCCCGTTGGCCTCGTTAATTGACACATGATTTACTCCTTCAGACTCAAGCTTCAAAGGATTCAGAAATCTACCTTGTTCAAGATTCAGTCTGTAAAGCTCGTCCCCACTGGCACCGACGTAAAGGTCGCAGTTGACTTTGTTGTATGCCAAACTTCGCCCGAATTTCGGTATTCTGGTTGTATAGTGAATGCCACCTTTGTTTTGAAACTGTATGCTTCTATCGTTTTGCAAATGAACACTCTTGGTCCAGTCGTCAGATAGAATCAAAAAGTCGACGTTTTCAGCGTCGGTATGTCTTTCAAATTTCATGGACAAATTTGCAAAGTCATAAAGATGAATCTGAGGTTTATACGTACCCGTTGCCATCGCGTATTGGCCATCTGGTGTGCATTTGATTCTATTGGAAGCCTCACTGAACTCGAAATCTTGGATCAATTCCACACGGTTCTGGAATTCCAAGTCATGCTTCAAAGACCTCTTTCTCTTCTTAGCGATCCAGTCGGGTAAAGACCTTGAAACGTTAGTTCCCGAGACTTGATAAACTGAGTTATCACTGGCAGATGTAGATTTCAAAACCATGTGAGTCTTTCTTATTTCCGCTTTGTCTTACAGACCCAGGTATCAGTATCTAAGATGAGATGCGATGAGATGAGATGAGATGAGATGAAGATGCTTCAAAATTTTTTGTAATTAACTTTTTTCCCTACCATGAAAAAAGACCTTCAGAGAGCAGACGCATACATGAATATGAACTGCGTACTTCATAAGTGCTCATCAGCTAAAGCTGGAGATTTCTAGCTATTGGCGCATGTAGTTGAACCGATCCACATGCACTGACTGTGCTCTACTGTTATTCGCCGCACGATTGTGACCTCCCAAGATATAATTTTTGCCCGTACTTACGGCAGAGCCGGTGTCCGGTGACAATGGGAGACCCTGTGAAAAGCAACTGGGACTCCAAGGACTTATGTTTCCGAGCGAGCTTGGTGCCGGGCCACTCATAGGCGCTGTGAAATCCTTCGAATCGGAGAAATGCTGATGCTTACCGGTCGAAAACGGTGATCGCAGACTTAAACCCTCGACTGGTGTGGCCAAAACTTTGGAATGTTCAGAAGACCTAGAACTGGAGTGGGCCCGAATTGTCAACGGTACTATGTTGTCTCCGTAAGACTTATTGGAGGGAACAAAAGAACTCGCATTAGCATTGTACTTTGAACTTAAGATGCTTTTTTTGAACTCCGCCTTTTCGGTATTGGAATTGTGTTGTAATCCTGTATCCAATTGCTCGGCCTGTGTGCCATTGTGAGGAAACAAGGTTTTGGAAAATTCTGATATTTCTATTCGCACAGTTGTCGCAGCGGATTCCGAAGTGTTGAAAATGTCGGTAAGGAAGCGAGTGTACGTGTCACTTCCATCGTTCCACATCGCTGTTAGATCGTAAAGGGCCTGTTGCGTCAGCTTGCTTGTGAGCGATGAGTCTTGTAGCTTGATGCTGCGAGACCCGAAGAAAATGTGATATAGTATCTGCATGGACACCTTGTGTAACTTCAACTCCATCAACGAAACTCGGCTCGTGAACTTGATAAATTGATACAGTAATGCTCCTGTGAAATTGGCAGTCAAGGATTCAAAGCAGGACAGAACATTCGATGCTATTATTCTGCTCTGGATTTTTGCCTCTTGCTCGTCCACCATTGTTATAAAGTACGCTTCGTCCTGAAGCTGATCGGATAAAAGCATAGCCGACGTGTTGGAGATAAAGCAAAGCTCGAGGAATTGCAATTTTGACTTATTTTCCACAACTAGTGGTTCGTTATAAGTAGTCTTTTGCTCCTTGACTCTGAAATCCAGCGACAGATCGATATCTTTGATTTCGAAAAATTCCAGCAGTTTATAATTGATGGAAATGAGATGATTCAAGGAATCAAACAGGCAGGCGACAATATCTGCTGACTTGCTGGCTTGCAGTTGTGTCCATGATCTGTTCTTATCGAAACTGAACGCAGCCCGTGAAGTGGGAGGTATATTGGGAATAACCTGATTGAAAAAGAGCGGTAGTTCATAGGGGGAGGATCTCAGCGCCCAATTATTCTTGTCGAAGTTGAAGTGTCCCGCGCTAACCATCAAGGATCCGGCATTCACAAGAAAGCGTGCCAAAATGTACTGCAAAATGTTTGTGAGTCCGATAAGACTTTGAGTGCTTCCCATGCTCCCCAGTTCCATGTGCAATGTCTGTATTTCGTTGTGTTCGCAAAGATCGCGGGTGCGTCGTAGGGCACTGTTTAAGAAAAAGGTCAGGTGCGGCTCATCCAAGAAGTTCAGTTCAGGATGGTCCACGATTTCCATGAAGACGGAAAGGTTGAAAGCAACGTTTTTGTCCAGTTTCTGGAAACAGTCGTCGCCGATGGAGCGCGAGATAAACTTCTGGCAGAACTCGCGGAATGGCCCAAAAACATGACTGCGGCAGTAGACCACGCGACGCGCAACTTTGTACACAAAGAAATTGAGCGGTTCGACGTCGCGGTCTTTCAACTCGTTCCACTGCGAAAGGTCGTATGCTCTTGAGGCAATCAGAAAATCCAGTTTGTGCTCCTCGGTGGCCGCGAGCAGTAGGTTCTGGGTCACAACGCAGCTGTACAGATCTGATTTCGAGGTCTGAAAAGTCCAAAGTGGGATCCACACGGTTCGAAGCACTGCCCCGAGCCCCAATTTCACAGCCTGGAGAACCTCTGTGCTGAGCTTCTCGAAAAAGTCCAGTTTTGCGAGCACAGAATAAACGCCTGGTCTGTAATCGGGCGACATTGTCACGGTGCCGCAGATTTTGCGCAATTGCGAGCCCAAGGTGTGGTTTTCGGTTGCCCCTCGCGCGAAACGACGTGCCACGGGTGCCAGATCGCGGTGAGCGACGCAATACGCAAACACGACGGCCAGAAGATCGGCTCCCACTTCTCGATGGTCCTGGTCGGCTGCAAGCAGCTCCACCAGCGCTGTCAGTGGGTCTGAATCTGCGAATTTCGCCACCTCGATCTCGTGGTCCGGTTTCACCGCCCGCACTGCATTGACAAACCGCATGGCGTTCTCCCACCCGTCTGTTGGATTGCACGGCACCAGTCTCAGCTTTCTGACGCCGTTTTCGACGTCCAGCGTCGGTGCCAGCGGCGGGCCCGATTTTGGCAGACTGTCCATTTCGGCGGCTAAATTTCCTGGTGACTTTCCTTGCCCAGCTTCAAAAGCTTTATGTAACAATTTATGTAAAGAGCTATACGGACAGACTAGTCTAACTTATATACTGGCGAATTGAAGATGTTTCGTCCAGATGTCTAACATTTACCAAAGTTTGATGGTTTTTATATGAAACACGGAGAAGCAGCCCAGTGTGGTGTATCAGACTTTGAAAAGAGCCTCAGAAAAACACGAATTCTACTCGTACGTAGTGATTCTGGTTTTATAAGTTTGAACTACGCGATGAGCTAGCGAAACGGACTGGGAACGGCATAAGAATCAAAGCAAGTAGCCCCGGACGTAGGGTTTCTGTTTCGATTTTAGAATCAGTGCATCATTGGACTCGTGAATTCGCATTTGCAGCTTTTTTTCCGATTGCACAGCCCATTTGTAGCGGACAATCGATCAGTTTGCTGACTGGAATAAAAGAACAGACGTGAAGCTTAGGATAGGTGAGGTTTTGTTTCTGGTTGAAGCTTGCAGTTCAACAGCAGCTTAAACGGAGACTTTTCCAAATTCTGATTGCGTGTGCCAAGGGTCTGCGACGCGACGCCAGGGGAGCTTGCAGTGGTGTAAATTGTACCCTTTGATTTCAGGTGACGGGTGACGACGCACAACGATATAAGAAGAGACGACAGCAGCTGAAGGCGCGGGAATACGGCACACAGTAGCAACAACGTAAACACGTGTGAAGTGCGAGTTGCAAATTAGACGCACACCTGGAAGTTCCTTCTCTACCTCCTTCATAAATGGGAAAAGCCCTGATAGTCGTGGACGTGCAGCACGACTTCCTTCCTCCGAAGGGCGCGTTGGCAGTGCCCGCAGGCGACGAAGTCGTGGCGCGCATCGCAGAACTGATGCGCGACGACCGGTGGAGCGTGGTCGTGGCTACCCAGGATTGGCACCCTTCGGATCACGTGTCGTTTGCCCGCAACCATGCATTGCCAGACTACAGCTCATTCGACTACAAGTCGCCAGCTCGCGTGGGCGAGACGCAGCACGCCACGCTGTGGCCGGTGCACTGTGTGCAGGGCTCGTGGGGCGCGAAGCTGGCGCCCGAGCTCGTCCAGACGTTCGAAACGCTCGAGTGCGACCATCACGTCGTGAAAAAAGGCTTTCTGGCGGACCGCGAGTACTACTCTGCGTTCAGCGACATCTGGAACGACCACCACACGCAGCTGCACGCGCTTTTGCAGAAACACGGCGTCAACGACGTTTTCGTCGTGGGACTCGCGCTGGATTTCTGCGTGAAAAGCACTGCGGTCTCGGCAGCGAACCTGGGGTACCGCACCACCATCCTCAAGGACTACACACGCGCCATCGCCTCAGATGAACGCTCCATGTGTAACCTAAGACAGGAACTCGTCCAAAACGATGTGTCCTTGAAATGAGCCATATCAACCGTCGCAGCGTCGAGCATTGTGCTTCTATTCGAACCACCGAGCTGGCAATCTGCTGCTGCTACTACTATTATTACTACTTCTACGTATATAGGGGACTTTTTCGTTTTTTCTTCAACCTCAGTGTGCTTCAGTGTACGTCTAGAAACTCACTAAATTTTCGTGATTTCAACAAGCCTTTTCGCGCGCGCGAGCTCTCTCGCACGCACGCATTGCTAAAGACCGACAAACCATTTCCCAAAATTAGCTACAACGCTATTTTGGTCCCAGTTGCCGAAACCCAGCCCCTTCCTTATATACTGGCGTTCATTCTTTCACAGCTGAAATGAACCGTCGCCTTTTATATACGTGTGAAAAATGATCTATAAGGCTCATTGACAAAATATAATAAATTTGAAATATATATATAGAAGATATACTTAAAACACAACATTCACGACGGACAATATCAGTCACTTCCAAGATCTGAAAGCTTGGCAATAGCGATAGCATGGCCAAGTTAACCAAACGAGGGAGAGCGGTAATAGCATGCGCCGTTTTCCTGTACGTGCTGGTGTCGTCGCAGATCAACAGCTGGAAAGTGAACTCCGGGTTCTATAAAGGGTTCAAGACGATGCTGCCCACAACTTCGAACGTGAAAGAAATCAATCTCAAGCGGTTCGAGGCGGAAAACCTGCGTCACGCTTCTGTGGCGAGTCTGCGGTCGCAGCTGGCTCTCCAGTTTCCCTACGACGCGTCGCAGCCCATGCCACGACGCGTGTGGCAGACGTGGCGCACAGCGTTGGACTCGCCCGAAACTTCACCCCCTTTCAAGTACTACGGCGGTCTATGGAGTGACGCCGCCAAGGGATGGCCCCTGGGCGAGTACGCACTGGTCCCAGACGACCATATGATGCCCCTGCTGCAGAACTTGTACGGAGCGGTTCCGCAGATCATTCAGGCGTTCGAGTCGCTGCCGCTGCCGATTCTCAAGGCCGATTTCTTTCGCTACCTGATCCTGTACGCTCGTGGTGGTATCTATTCAGACATGGACACATTCCCGCTGAAACCACTCAATTCGTGGCCGTCCTTGGCGCCTGATAAACGTCCTCAATTGGGCTCGCCCATCCAGTACCGTGGTCTGCAGCCAGCAAGCCTTGGATCTGTCCCTGAGCCGGGCTTCGTAGTAGGCATAGAGGCAGATCCTGACAGGATTGACTGGAGCGACTGGTTTGCGCGCAGAATCCAATTTTGTCAGTGGACAATACAGTCCAAGCCGGGACATCCTCTTTTGAGAGAGCTTATCATTAATATCACTGCAACTACGCTTGCAAGCACTAACGTCAAGAGTAGCGTCCATGCCCCGGCTTTTCTCATCGATTCAGACCATAAAAGTGACTATTTGGTGAATTGCCGCGACAGGAAAAGGTTTGACGACAGTTTCCCCGCGCACCAAAAGAAAACGTCGAAAAACGTCGACGGGACCGACACCATGAATTGGACTGGACCGGGCATCTTTTCTGACGCCATTTTTGACTACATCAACAACCTTGTGCAGACAAATCAAGACATCGCCGTAATCAACAATAACATGCGGCCAGGCCACCAGAGTGGGTCCGGAACGCACCAGTTCTATCGGAAAATCACAGAGGGCCTGGAGTCCAGTGCCACGTTCGTTAAAGAGTTTTTCACTTTGATAGAAGAACCAGTTATGATTGACGACGTCATGGTTTTGCCAATCACCAGCTTTTCGCCTGGTGTTAATCAAATGCATGCGAAACCAGACGAGGACGAGATGGCGTTTGTGAAACATATGTTCGAAGGGTCCTGGAAGAGTGAGGCGTAACAGGCTTCGCTTGATGACGCGCGATTGTGCGTCCTTCGTCGGAGAACAACATCACAAGGATTGTCACTGCATGATTAAAATATTAAAGCTCGGCCCGCGAAGTTCACGGTTGAACTCGATATTACACGCTTTGCTTTTAATTTCATATTTTGGAAAAACAGCTGTACATATACTAGACATATCGAAAAGGGTTCGCTAGAGGATTACACAAGTCTTTTTTTCTTGCGCTTGGAATCGGTTTTTTTCGACTTTGTCTTTGTTTTCCCCTGTGAAAGCGGTCTTGCCTTGGACCGGTCAACCACGTTAGCGTTCGTCATCTGGGTCTGGTGGCCCTGTTGATATCCAAGGGGGCTATTGGAACCGGGGGCAGACGTGAGACCTGTTTCGCGGCGCGACAAACGACCTGCGGTGCCGGTGGCCGAGTTCTGCACCTCCATCTCATTGCGTATGATCTGTCTCACCACATCCACGAACACTTCGTCAACGTTACTTCTCAGGAGCGCGCTGGTCTCGTAGAACGGCACCCTCCCCCATTTGCTGCTCATTTCTACACCTTCCTCGACCGAAATGACCCTCTCACCCTCCAGGTCTGCTTTGTTGCCCACCAGAACCATGGGCACTTTATTGGAATCCTTTATGCGCAGCACTTGTTCCCGCAGTTCTATTAGTTCTTCTAGTGATTGTCGATCGGTCACTGAGTAAACTAGCAAAAAACCAAGACCGGACTTGATGTACAGTTCTCGCATCGCTGTGAACTGTGCTACGCCTGCTGTGTCTAGGATCTCAAGATCAAACACTTTCTTGTCTATCTCCATCGATTTGCGATACGAATCCTCTATTGTGGGATCATATGTGTCCAGATACACTCCCTGAACAAACTGAACTGTTAAACATGATTTTCCTACACCACCAGCGCCCAGAACGACTAGCTTGTAGTCTCTCATTGTCGTTACTCCAGCCTGTTTTGAGAATTGAACTGTCCACTTCTGAGTTAACTTAATTTTCAAAATATTAGTGTGACAAATCATTAGATTATTCTTAAGACAGATATCGACTGAAGGTAATCACCAAGACGCGTAAAGCAAAGGAGAACGCGTCAGGACCACTCTTACACTTACCTTAAGACCATAAATGCGAGCTTCTAGTCTTCAAAGTTTCAATAATGGATCAATTGCCAGGTTTTACTCGACTGGAGTCAAATCCGACATGTTGTTTTCTATGCTCAGTTTGAAAATTGGGTGGGCATCGCAGGTTCAAGATCATCCAGATTCCGAAAAAATGTACGTCTCGAAGATCCAAGTATCCGCTGATGCTGGTGAGAATGGTACAGAGTCGGTTTCAAAGCAGGTTTGCAGCGGTCTCAGGAATTACGTGGCTGCCAACGAACTACAGGGACAACTGCTGGTGATCGTAGATAACATGAAAAAATGCAAGCTGCGGGGCCAGGTCAGCGAGGCTATGGTGTTATGTGGCGACGATTCGACTCGTGACGTTGTGAAGCCTTGCATGCCGGCGGTTTTCGACCGTCGGCTTATTGGGAAGCAAGTGTTTTTGAAGGGTTGTGATGAGCAGATCGAAGCGCCCACGCGAAAAATCAAGACCGGCGAGTGGCAGGAGCTCAGCAAGAGACTCATTGTCAATGGCAGCGGCGAAGTGGTGTACCACGACCCTACAACCCAGACCACCACCCCATTGTGCGTCCACAACGGCCAGCAAACGGTTTCCATCGTTGTCGACGCCGTGGCCACTGGAACCCCAGTTCGCTAGCATTTGAGATGAAACCTCAAGCTGCTGGACACGGTTCCGTGGCAGAAGCAGACGCGTTGAGGTCCTTTGGCCTGTGGTTTCTTGGCATATAGGCGTGTGGCCCTGCTCGTTCTTAGTGATTTTCTAAAGCTCATCGCGCGTCCGTCTAAAAATTTCACCTGTTCATAAGGAGGTTTTTCAGCAGGCAGAACTCTTCCCTATGTAACGGGCCTCGAGCGCAGACCACGGCCCCGAATGATCCATCAAATGGCACCATGGGTGCCCCAATTCATCCAGTCGCTTAAAAACCACTCGCAGACGTTCACGCCGTTTTATTTCGCCACAGTGGACCCGTTGACCAACACGCCCAAGTGCAGAACCGTGATTTTCCGGGATTTCTTGTTTCACGACAAACGCAGCAACGTACTGACGTTCACGACGGACCTCCGTGGCGACAAAGTCAAGGAGATCTTGGCTGCGAACGCGGAAACCGCGCCGTTCGAAGCCTGTTTCTACTTCCCCAGCACTTGGGAGCAGTATCGTTTCAGTGGGAAGTGCTTCGTGGTGTCGCACACGCAGGCGCCACCGATCTCCGACAAGTATAACATGGCGGATCCGGGCTTCATCAAGTACCCGATCCTGTCGCCCAGCATCTACGGCGGCGCCCAGGAGCTGTACAGGCACCAGGAGGAGAAGAACGCGGATTGCGAATCGGATCACGAGACCGAGGGCTCGTGCGAAGCGAGCGAGTTCTGCCTTGACCCACGGCCTCCTGCTCTGTCACGTAGCTCGACGCGCAGCTCGGGCGGTGCGGTGCACACCGACCACGTCTTGGGACCGCAGGATTACGCCCCGCCTCTGGACAAAGAGTGGGAATTGGAACTACGTCGCCAATGGACAAATCTGTCACGTTCCACGAAAGCCCAGTTTCGCAAGCCGGATCCTGGCACTCCAGTGACCTCTGCCACCAGCAAGCAGCTCGACAAGATCCAGCGCGGCGTGGACGGTGCCAAGGAGGACACCGGGCTGGACAATTTCGGCGTGGTGTGTCTTTGCATCGAAGAAGTCGACTTTCTGAATCTGAAAGACGGCCGCGGCGGCGAAAGGTGGAAGTTCCACCGCGACGTCCAGCCCGACACTGGCCTCGAGAGTTGGATCGAAGCGGAGGTTTGTCCATGAGTTTGCCAAGCAAGCTCCTGTCCTACTCTCCTCATAGAAAAACGAAAAAAAAAAAAGACGAATGCCCGGCCGGAACACCCACACACCACCCTTTACGAGACCCAGACATCATGCACCCACACACCCATACCCATGTAACGACTGACGAATTTAAATTACTGTTTTTTTATTTTCTCGGCTCCAAAGCTCCGGATCACGTGCGCACGTTTTTTTGGGCAAAAAGTTCCGATTCAATATCAATATCAATATCACTGTGGGCCCAAAATTAAAGGATAGAGAAAGAGAGGAAGAAATGGATCGTCCCGCGCGGAATCGGTCGCGGGCGCCCTCAGCGGGAAGATAAGCCAAAAGAGAACAAAGCTGAAAGTATAAGAAGAGGGCCAGTGGGACCTTTGAATAGAGAATAGTTCAAGTTGATTCAAGTCTTTTTCTTTCTTGTTTCTACTGGTCAAGAACTGTCACATCTGCCAAGTTTTTCCAAGTTCTCTCATACCACTATTTAACACAGCTCTGCACATCTGTGCCTTCCAAAAAAACATGTCCGTGTGCACTCAATACTACCCAGACGAACCAACAGCCCCTGTGGTCAAGACCTCTGCGGTTCCAGGCCCAGAATCCGTCAAAGAATTGGAATCGCTTGGCAAAGTCTTCGATGCCAGACCAGCATATTTCATGGCCGACTACGAAAAATCCAAGGGTAACTACATCGTGGACGCCGACGGCAACACGTACTTGGACCTGTACGCTCAGATCGCGTCGATCGCGCTCGGATACAACAACCCCAAGCTGATCGAGGCTGCGAAGTCGCCCGAAATGATCCGCGCCCTCGTGGACCGTCCAGCGCTAGGAAACTTCCCCTCCAAGGACCTCACACCCATTTTGCAGAAAATCCTCAAATTCGCCCCCAAGGGCCAGGACAAGATCTGGTCCGGTCTGTCCGGTGCGGACGCCAACGAACTGGCTTTCAAGGCTGCCTTCATGTACTACCGTGCCAAAGAGAGAGGCTACAACAAGGACTTTTCCTCTGAGGAAAACGTCTCCGTGATGAAAAACGCACAACCGGGCTCTCCACACTTGGCAGTGCTCTCGTTCAAGAAGGCCTTCCACGGCAGACTGTTTGCCTCTGGCTCGACCACGTGTTCCAAGCCCATCCACAAGCTCGACTTCCCCGCCTTCGAGTGGCCACACGCCGAGTACCCCCACTACCAGTTCCCATTGACTGAAAACGACGCTGCCAACCGCGCTGAAGACGATCGTTGTTTGAAGATCGTCGAACACCTCATCACTTCGTGGTCCATTCCAGTGGCCGCGTTGATCATCGAGCCCATTCAGTCTGAAGGTGGTGACAACCACGCCTCTAAGTACTTCTTGCAATCTTTGAGAGACCTCACCCTGAAACACGGCGTTGTGTACATCGTTGACGAGGTGCAAACCGGTGTGGGCGCTACCGGTAAAGCTTGGTGCCACGAATGGGCCGACATACAACCTCCAGTTGACCTGGTGACCTTTTCTAAAAAATTCCAAAGTGCTGGCTACTTTTTCCACGACCCACTCTTCGTTCCAAACAAGCCTTACAGACAATTTAACACTTGGTGCGGTGAGCCGGCGCGTATGATCATCGCCGGTGCCATTGCCCAAGAAGTACAAGACCAAAACCTTTCAGCACAGTGTGCTCGCGTGGGAGACTACCTATTTGGCAAGTTGGAAGCCCTTCAATCACAGTACCCTGAGAAGTTCCAAAGACTAAGAGGACAGGGCAGAGGTACTTTCATTGCCTGGGATCTTCCCTCTGGCGCAGAGAGAGATGCCCTACTCAAAAGCTTGAAGCTCAAGGGCTGCAATGTTGGTGGATGTGCTGAATTGTCGGTGAGACTAAGGCCCACCTTGTCATTCGAGGAAAAGCATGCCGACATCTTTGTCGATGCTTTGAGCAAAGCAGTCGCTGAGATTTGAGCATTTCATTTTTCAGCTTGTATTGTAAATAAATAAGTACCACCTAATATTATGATCACATTTTTCGTTAACATAAAAGATACGTTGATGATTAAAAAGTTCGATGTTCCAAAGACATCTTGTCAAACAGCACATCGGAGAGAGACGAGCAACACCAAAACCGCATCCAGTTCGAATCTTGCAAGATCTACTTTGGTAATCAAACATAGTAGATCTGGGTTCATGTTGTCACTATTGACGAGCACTGCTTAAGATGTGCAGTAATATGTATCTGGAAAGGAGGTTAGTTTTGAGATGTTCAGACGAACAAGAACAGTGTTGACAAAAGCGAAGCTCCGATCCAATGACGCCAGTTGAGGAATGGCTTACAGTTGGGCGGTTAGATGCGTCTTTGGCGCTTCTGACCACCAAAAACCATCATGTCATTGAATTTCCCACGATGCTGCTCCCAGACAACATCAAGGCTGGCACCATCGTCAAAATTCAGGTAAGCGAAGATCAAGAGCTGGAAAAACAAGAGTTGAAACAGTTTGAACTTTTGCAAGACGAGATTTTGGAAAAATACGGCACTCACAGACCCCAAACTCCCGTGCTGAGAAGCATAAACGTCACACAAACAAGTGGGGTTCTAGGATGGGATCCCATAGAGCTGGGATCCTCTCAATTGAAGTCTCTGGTACTTTACAAGGACGGTCTAAGGTCTTTGATGATACCCAACCCTTTCAAAACAACCGCTACGAAAATTTCGGGGCTGTCGGTGGACAGTGAATACACTTTCCAGCTCAAGCTCAGTACCACCTCTGGAGACCTTTGGTCTGAAAAAATCGTCCTACATACACATAAAATGACCGATATGTCAGGAATCACAGCTTGTTTGGGTGCACTTGAGGGTGTTGAAAATGTCACCAAAAGTCATATCGAGGCGTGCCTGCAGAACATTGGGGCCAAACCCTTACAATCCCGCGTCTCCATCGACACCACACATTTCATTTCCAATGACAAAGAAAGTGATGATGTCGAGTTTCAGAAAGCTCAGCAAAGCAATATACCCATTGTGAGACCAGAGTGGGTGCGGGCTTGTGAACTGGAGAGAAGAATCGTCGGTGTTCGAGGATTTTATCTAGACGCCGATCCCAGCAATATCGAAGGCTATAGGTTCACGAAGCTACCTTCGGAAACCTCGCAGCCACATTCTAATGACCAGCAGAAAAATTCATCCATCCCAGAACAGCCTGAAGGTACTTCTGCTCAGGGAGAGCCTTCTCAGAGGGATCTTTCAACGCAATCAACTGGGATGTCGAACGCTTCGATTAAAAGCGGTCTAGAGGCCTCACCCTCTCAGACTGGCAAATCAGAAGTCATTGCGTCAGATGTCTCAGAGACGCCGCTGCCCTCTGATGTGGAAAAGCCACTACCAATAGAGGAAACTACACCAGCAGAAGCACCAGAGAATTTGGATGCCGTCGAACAGGAACAAGGTTTGGAATCGAAGGATGCAACAGAAGATACTGTGGAGATAGAAGAGAAAGCTGAGAAGTCAAATGACTACCAGACCGAAGTCAACGAGGCAGAAGACTCACTTGAAGGTTCTTCCAAACTTCCCGAAGAGCCTAAATCGCTAAATGTAGACTCAGAGTTGCAAAATGGTGTAACATCCGATAATACTCACCACGATGAGGAAGTCGTAGGTGAAGGTGAAGTAACAACAGATGAGCCAGCGGAAACCTCTGAGATCATCAAACAGGCAGATGGACCTGAAGACGCACACATCGCAGAGCAAGAAAGGGAGAATGAAGCTACTAAGATCACGATAAATGCTGAGACTTCACCTCAACCGCAGCCGGTCGAGGAAGAGATAGTTACAGGACCGTCTGAGACGCTCCAAGCCGAGCCCTCTGTCGAACTTTCCGACGAAAAGGGCGAGTCGCGTGACGTTGAAGCTGCACATAACATCGAGCCAGAGGAGCCCGACAGTTTGCTGAATACAAATCAAGAGGGAAGCGTAACAGCAGCTGTCGAATTCAATGGGGCTTCAGATCTGGATCAAGAGGCATCGATTTCAAGCCCTGTCGAGCCACCTGCCGACATCACTAGCGTTGAACCTCCTGCTACTGTGGTAATCACCGAGCCATCTGCAGAAGTAGACCAAGATACTAGTGCACAGGAGGTCGCGGTTGAAAGCACGCCGGAGATCGGAAATGATACTGCGGCAGAAGTCGCCAACGGTGCTCCGCTTGCGATTGAAAAGAAAAAGAACAAGAAGAATAAGAAAAAGGGCAAGAAGTAGGTTGTAGCTGCACTTGGCCAAACTTAAAGCATGTTTGTCGTTTTCCTAAGGCCTCGCTTCGTACCGAGTTCGAATTTTATCTTGAGACTACGCTCTCAGGCCCTTCAAAAACGTTGCACTTCATATTCTTTTTGTTTTGCGTGTTGTCTCTATATAAGTACTTTTCAACGTCCCTCTATGTAAATTGTCAGCTGCCAGCGCTTATTCGCCGAAGAGTCTACGCACCCGTTTTAAGATGGAGTCCTTTTCAGGGTTGTAAGGATGTTCCTTTGATGGAATCTCCAAAATCGCAGGAAAGGCGGCCGTGAAACTGTCCACCTGCCCTCTGATCTTCTCTGCCACATGCTGGTTGATGAGCACGATAGCAATGTCGTCTCTTTCTTGCGTGAAATCGTCAAACGCTTTCAAAACCTCTTCCCTAGTCGTTTTCCCCTCCTGGTACATGAAGAAGTTCTTTTCTTGGCTAGAGGGCGAGATTTGACCGACTCCGGCCAGCAGCATTCCAGTGCAAGTGTCTTCGTCGCCGATCACGGCAATCAAAGAGCGTTTCTCGGACATCAATTGATGGATTCTTAAGTGTTCACTTGCTCTAAAGGATACGACGGTTGGGATATTACGATATGAAATGTGATATTCTACCTTATACAAAAAGTATATTCGTTCATGGTGATTTGTGGACGATAGACGATGAATTCACTATAAAGGAGACCGATTCGCTTGCTTAAAAGCATTGTAGCATTCTCAAGAGTTTTCGAAGTCTGGTTAGCTTCAACAACTTCTTCATGAGGCTATCTCGAGGTCTTTAACGGTGTTTTTTTTGTATTTGTTGTGGAAGCTTCTCGGTTCGTCTTTACGCTGGTATGAAAAGGTGTTGACAGAATTACTCGCGATTCTTCAATCACATCTCAAAAGCGAACAAAAGGTCTCGCAACCAGGCTCGTTAGACCCCGTACATAGCATTTAAATTACGTTTATAGATTTCATAGATGCTGCGGCTTTCAAACTTCCGTTTCCCGGCTTTCCAAGCTCGCAATTTCACGGCCTGTTCTGCGATGCGCTCCGGACACAACAAGTGGTCGACGATCAAGCACGACAAAGCCAAGAACGACGCTGAGCGCAACAAGTTGTTCAACAAATTTGCCAACCAGATCGCACTGGCGGTGAAGCTGGGCGGTGGCTCGACAGACCCGGCTCTGAACGTACGTCTGGCAGCGGCAATTGAGGGCGCCACCAAAAACAACGTCACCAAGCGCGTTATTGAAAACGCTATTCGCAAGGGATCTGGGGCCACGGGCAAGGACGGGAACCGTTCTGAGGCCTGTACTTACGAGGGGATGGGCCCTGGCGGCGTTGCTTTCGTCGTCGAGGCGCTCACGGACAACAAAAACAGAACCATCGGACTGGTTAGAAGCACATTCACCAAGGTCAACGGGAGCATGACGCCCACGTTGTATTTTTTCGACCGCAAGGGCAGTGTTCTGGTGCAGCCTCCGGCAACGCTCGTGGACTTCGACGCCGTGATGGAAAAAGTGCTCGAGCTGGAAGGAGTCGAAGATCTCGAGACTATGGCGCCAGAAGAGCCCACTTACGAGGCGCTGAAGCCCGACTACGGTTCTACCGTCTACGAAGTGAGCTCCGACCCAGCTCTCGCGAACCACGTGGCCTCGAGTCTGAAAGACCTGGATTTCTACGTCCACGACGTCAACATCGGGTACCAGCCCAAGAGTGACATGCTTGTGGAGGTGGCCAACGACGAGACTCGCTCCAAAATCGACAAGTTTATGGGCCAGTTGGACGAGATCGATGATGTGACCGATTTCTACTGCAACTTGAAAATCTGACCACCTACATAAGTGACAAAGTGCAGAAACTGTACTTGAGTCTCGGAACCAAAAGAATCTCAATCTTGATCTTCCATTCCCTTGACAAATCGATTCCAAATCGGTTATTTCATCCTCGCTTTCTACCGGTTCAGCTGCGTTATCAACAACAGTTCTATGACCGGGCAAGTCCGGGATTCTAATCTGCCTGCAACACTGGACGGAAAGAAAGTCAACCCAAAAATTTAATCGACTGGTCCCATTGATTACTCATAATCATGCTAAGAAATAAGCGTCCCATCGCTATCGCGAGCTCTGCTTACCGGTTTTGACGCGGGCAGACCCTCCTCTGCTCTTATCTTTTTCTGGGAATATGCGATCAGATTTTAAGTGAGCCCACCTCGCTTATATAAAAGGTTTGAAAAAGTTAAAGAAAAGATGCTCTTACTAGAGAGTTTAATCGAAACTTTAACGACGCTTATTGCAATCAAGAAACCGAATACCGTGAACGTTGCTCGAACTCTTGTACTGAACACCTCTCAAGTCTTGCACGCTGTGTGACGAATTTCTCAGTATTTCACTAGGCCCTGGCCGTTATCAGATACTTTGAAATTTTTGAAAAATATCCAAAAGCTTATCAAGGAAGAAAGCTCATCGCTCAATCTCAGAGCATCAATCTTTAACGGAAAAGGTCAAGTGTTTGAGGTGCCGCATTAGGAGTTTAAAAACAGACAATGAGTGGTACACAAGTGGAAAACTATTCGGGCGATGCACCCACCGCAAGCTGGTCAAAGCGAGTAAAGCTCAATGCTCGCAAAGCTATCCATAAGGCAACCAGTAAGGATGGTCTCTTGGGGGACTACGACTATGCGTTTTTGTTCACGCCCTCATATCCGTTCAGAGAGTGGTTGAACCGCAGACGAGGCATTGAGCCCGTCCAGCGAGACCAGCCGTTTTTTTCGGTGTACTCTGAGATGCCAATCCTACTGGGACTATTGCTGGGCTTGCAGCACGCTCTGGCAATGCTGGCAGGTGTAATCACCCCTCCCATCATCATCTCTTCGGTTGCTAACTTTCCCACGAACATCCAACAATACTTGGTGTCTGCTTCGCTAATCGTCTCCGCTATCATGTCCTGCATCCAGATCACCAGAATCCACATCCCCAAGACTCCATACTATATCGGCTCGGGTCTGCTTTCCGTGGTGGGAACCTCTTTCGCGACAATCACTATTGTCGATAAAGCGTTTCCAGTAATGTACGCATCTGGGTTTTGTCCCACTGGCGCGGACGGCGAGCCAGGCCCATGCTACGATGGCTACGGTGCTCTTTTGGGTACAGCAGCTTGTTGTGCTCTCCTAGAAATGGCGATGTCTTTCACCCCGCCCAAAATTCTGCACAGGTTGTTTCCCAAAATCGTCACGGGTCCAGTTGTCTTGTGTATTGCCATCAGTCTAATTCAAAGTGGCTTCAACGACTGGGTCGGTGGCTCTGGTTGCGTAGGCGCTATTTGTCCTTCAGAGGGCGCTCCGATGGCAGGAGAATGGGGAAGTGCCAGGTTTATCGGTCTTGGCTTCTTGGTGTTTTCAACCATCGTTTGCTGCGAAAAATGGGGCTCACCTATTATGAGATCTTGTGCTGTCATTGTCGGGCTGATTATCGGTTGTATAGTGGCTGCCGCATGTGGATACTTCGATCGCTCTTCAATTGACAGCGCTCCAGCAGCCACGTTTTTGTGGGTCCATACCTTCCCACTCAAAGTATATGGGCCGATTGTTCTTCCTATGTTGGTGATGTACATTGTGCTGGCACAAGAATGTATCGGTGACGTGACTGCCACCTGCGATGTTTCTCGTATGGAAGTTGAAGGTGAAATGTACGAATCCAGAATCCAAGGCGCTGTTTTGAGTGATGGGCTCAGTGGTACGCTCTCGGCCTTATTCACTCTACCTCCCATGTCCACTTTTGCTCAGAACAACGGTGTCATTTCTTTGACTAAGTGCGCCAACAGACAAGTTGGTTACTGGTGTTGTTTCTTTCTCCTCCTCATGGGTATTTTTGCTAAATTCGGAGCTGCGTTAGTGGCCATTCCTAAGCCAGTCTTGGGCGGAATGACCACATTTTTGTTCACAAGCGTTGCCGTGTCGGGTTTGAAAATTATATCTACTATTCCATTTACGAGACGTGACAGATTTGTGTTGACCGGCACACTATTATTTGGTTTGGGCGCTATTCTGGTACCCAATTGGTTCGAGACCTTTTTCCACTATAAGGGGAACAACGACGCTCTGCAAGGGTTCTTGAACGCCATTATACTGATCATGGAGTCGGGATTCGCCGTGGCAGGAATAGTTGGCATAATTTTGAATCTGATCATTCCACAACAGCTAGACGAGGATCTAATGGATGAAATAGAAGTACAGCAGGACAATTTGGCAGCTCTTGAGGATCCAGTTGATGGCCAAGTGTTGAACGGCAAAGCTAAAGAGGCCTTTTCGAGAGAAAACGACATGGCTAGAACTGAAAATAGTTATGAGATGAAAGGCAGTAGGGTAATTGTCAACGCAGGAGAATCATCCGTTTCGGACTAGACCTGAGTTTTAGTTTACACAATCTAAGCGGAGCTTCTGATAAATCATTGGCGTTACCATGATTTCGCTAACTTTCATTTTTACTCGAGATGTGTTTTGTATTTTTTATGTATTTGGCGCATTTGTATATATTCAAGAACGGTCTTTGAAGACAAACAATCCTACAAGGCAAAACTCAGTAACACGCCATTTTGTCGAGGGAGAGAGAGAGAGAGAGAGACAATCCCGTTTTAACTTGTCCTTAGCATCCAACAGATTTATTGAAATGACAATATATACGAATGTTTACTTAATGGGGGCACGGATGAGCCCCAGTTCTTCCCCCTTCCGTTGATGCGAATTCAGAGTAGCACAACTGACTTGAAGCCATTTCTGAGACACGGTATGGTTTTTAAATAAGATCAGTCAAACCTTTGTTCAAATCCTTACTCCTTGGACTGTTCCAAGACTTGCTTGAGGCCAGATCTGTCTGGGTTGGTTCTGCCGACTCTCAAACTTTCGTCGAATCTAAACTTTTTGTAGGTGAACCAACAAGCAGAGCTGAGAGCGACGCCCATAGCCACGAACAGAGGGGTCAATTCAACGGGGATTCCTAGACCAGGTTTTTGTTTTTGCTGTTTTTTTGTTAGGTTAGTATTGTATGACTGGTTTACACCGATTGATAAACCTTGTTGACACCTGTTGGATGAGCCCTTTACATCTTTTTGGGCACCATCACATTTCGATGATGTCTCTTAGACGTTACACAATTTCATCGAAAGGCCCACTCAAACCGCCAAAACAAGTCAAAAACGAAGCTGCAAACTCGAGTACGTACTGCTGCGTTCAGTAAAAACTTAGTGGCTCTCATTATTGATGTTAAACTGGTGCTTTAAATAGTCTTGAAGATCTATTGGTGTTGAATTGTATTGTAGATTCGACTCTATCCTCTTCGATGATTGTCAGATTTCATATTTTTCACCCCGTTATAAAACTAGTCACATGATACGAAATATTTGTTAGAATTTCATTGGTTTATAAAGACCATAGAATCATCAAGTTTGAAGACTAAACCAACTTCCAGCCAACTTTAGAACGGCTTGTTCAATTCGCTTATCTGCTGTGGTTACTTATCTATTATTTATTATCTCTATATTTTCAGTCTTTCAGCTTTGTTCCATGAAATCGCGAACGGCCTCGTAGACCACCCAGCTGACTGCGGTGGACGGAACGACCTTGAACAGGTTGGCAGTCAGTCCCTTGTAGTAGCCCTTGAAGCCCTCGGTACGCCCTATAGTTCGCAGCGCGTCGAGAATACCTGTGTATCGATACCCCAGTGCGTTTTGGCTCATTGCTAGCACCTGGAAACGCCGTCTCAGCAGATCGAACGGATAGGTGACAGTTTGCGCAACACCGCCACTGACGGCACCGATTGATAGCTTGCAGAGACTGGCCCATGTGGGGTCGACGCTCACGGGGATCAATTCGCGCAGCTGTTCATAAACTGCGAAATTTAAACTCACATAGGGGACCACACCGATACTGGTGGGCCAAAATCCGCGGTAGAGACCTGCAAGACCGCCTTCTTGCGTGTAAGTGTTCACGAGAAGCTTCCAAACCCCGGGTGGTTTGGTAGCGCCGGCGTGCTTCAGTCGCGCCAGGTTGGCAGTCTGGATGGATAGACGAGTGCGCACCAGATCTAGCGGATAAGTCGCGAGAACACTGGAGAACCCACAAGCGGCGCCGCCAACCAGCCGCTGCCAGCCGTAGAGCTGTTTAGGACCGTCTTCAGCCACTCTGGATTTGAACCATTGTCGCTTGCAAAATTCGTACACTACAAACTGCACCGCGCTGTAGGGAAAGATACGAACGCAATTAAGCCCGTTACCGCGTAACAGGCCGGGCACTCCTTCTTCGACGTAAATTTGCTTGACTGCTCCAAAAATTCCTTGGTTATATGCCTGAGTAGAGCTCTGCACCTGCAACAAGATCTTCACTCTCTCAAAAGGCGAAACCACTGTTCTGGAGACCGCACCTGCTACACCCCCAGCCAAAAAAGCCGTACTTGACTCACTAAACACATACTGTCGCCAACGGGAGGCTTCAAACTCGCTCATTGGTAACGTTGTATGCTAGGTCTTGATGCAAAAGCGCCCACTAATCGAGTGTAGACGATGCTGGCGCTGGCGCTTCGCTTTTTTTCTTCGCAGTAGTCCCAGAATATGTTCAACGTCTCACACTACACTTTGGATCTCATAGAAAGGCGGACTGACACCGATATCGATCGAGTAACGATATTCCGATGGGTTTCGATCTGCTATTAGCTGCGTCGTCGGCGAGCCAATGCCAATTAAAAATAAATGAGAGCTACGGGATTCGAACCCGCGCATCCGAAGATATCAGAGAATCTGACTTATTACTGGAGTTAAGCCTAAATCTGACGCCTTAACCACTCGGCCAAACTCTCTTAATTGATGTTGATGTAAGAAATTTTAGTATTTAGCGGTAAAGAATAACGATGTGACCATTGCCCGCTGGAAGACACTAAGGTTCCCGTCAAGTCGTGCCTGTTTGATTGTACTCTTGCGTTGGGATCGAGGAAGAATTAACTCACCAGCAATTATCGTAATCAAAGGCCTTGCTCCTACAAATAACTATTCCTTCACCATGACAAAGGCTTTTTTTGTTCAGAGGATTTTGTAGCAAAACCTAAAGTATCATTTGGGGAGTGGGTTGTAGAGGAAAAAGTCCCTGAATTTCGCATTATGAAATCAAAAACTAGCGCTTCGAGTCATGTTCATTCTCGATTTTTCGATAATGCGCAGAAAATAGTCCTGTTTTCGAAATATTCAACCACTCGATATCGCACGAGTTTTCCACGGTATCATTCGCAATTATTAACGTCGCAAGGAGTACATTAGCAAATCAAAACCGCTTCATCGATGACCCGTCTGTCATTTTATTCATTCTGTTCGATCATCTCATCGCGAGTACCACATCGCGAGTACTGAAATTTATCACGATGTCTCTTAAGAGTCAGTGGAAAACTACGATTTCAAAATCTTCCATTATCAGAATTCTTCGTTAAGACCCATTGTCGCACAGCGTATAACAGCTCCGTAATCGGTCTGGCTTTTTTCAGACTCTAGTGCTTGCCCTTCAAATTCATTCGTTAACAATGGCTTCTTCAGTCGCCGGCCCATATCCTCTCCCGGAGTCGAAATTCGACTTGTCGACATACTGGGGCAGAGTGCGTCATTGCTCCGAAATCAGTGATCCGTTCATGCTTCTCACCACTGAAAAACAACTCAAAGAAGCACGCAACATCATCTCAAGCTACCGTCGTGGCGAATTGAAAGATACCACCCCAAAATTCTGGAAAGCCAAAAAACAATTGGACTCCACAGTGCACCCAGACACTGGAGAAACAGTACTATTGCCATTCCGTATGTCCTGCTGCGTTCTGTCTAACTTGGTTGTCACCGCTGGTATGCTGACACCAGGTTTGGGTACGGCTGGTACTATCTTCTGGCAGTGGGCCAATCAATCTCTAAATGTAGCTATCAACTCAGCAAATGCCAATAAATCGCACCCGATGTCGACTTTGCAGCTGGTAAGTAACTACGGTATGGCCGTGACTGCTTCCTGCGGTGTGGCAGTTGGTCTAAACAAGCTTGTTCCTCGTTTGCAGCATCTTTCGTCCAATTCCAAGCTAATCTTGGGTCGTTTGGTGCCGTTCGCCGCTGTGGTGAGTGCAGGTATCATCAACGTGTTTTTGATGAGAGGAGGCGAGATTCGGAAGGGTATTGCCGTGTATGACAAAAACGGCGATGAGGTTGGTAAGTCGAAGAAGGCAGCCTTCCTTGCCGTTGGAGAAACAGCCATGAGCAGAGTGATCAATGCCACGCCTATCATGGTTGTACCTCCTCTTCTACTCATGAGACTCCAAAAAGGTGTCTTGAAGGGCAAGTCGCTAGGTGTGCAAACTCTTGCAAACCTAGGTTTGATTCTTGGTACTTCTTTGGTCGTACTTCCATTCGCTTTGGGTGTGTTCCCTCAATATCAGAAGATCGACGTTCACAAGTTGGAAGACCATTTGAAAAACCAGAAGGATCAAAACGGTGATATCATCGACAAAGTGTGGTTTAACAGAGGTATTTAAGGTCACCTCTCGCTTAGACATGTAGATATGTCTTGATAAAAGACGTTGATAGATTTATTTACGTTCAAGTTTTCCTTAAACTAATGCTATCTATATCATTTTTATATGTCCTAGAAGGTAAGAACGCTCAGTGAACCCACTTCAAGTTGGTTTTTCCAGGTAGCAGGGTATTGTTGAGGTCTGAGACACTTGACTGCTTTCTGAAAAGAGATTCGATGACGGGGAGGTTTTCTTTAATTTCTTCGGATGACATGAACGCACAACCAGGTCCTCCCAATCCCGTCATATATGTTTTATACTTGTGCTCATTTTCTAAGATGCTTTTGAATTTCTCAACGTCTTCAGGAGAAGCGTCGCGATTCAAGATTGTGAGGGCACAGCCTCCACCGCCAGCGCCCGTAAGCTTCGTGGTTCCTATAGACATAGAGTCACCAAGAGCTTTGATAATTTCCAGCCCCGGATGCGACACACCAAGCGAAACTAACAACCCGTGATTAATCCGTATTAGCTCGCACAGATCAGCGTAGTTTGAGTCGTCTAGGTCAGCTAGGATTTTGGCACCACGCGAAGCCAATTGACCCATAGATTTCAAGATTGGGCTGACTATTTCTGGCTGTCGAGTAATCAAGTCCTTGACACCAGCTACTAGTACTTTAGTGGAACGCGGAATCTTGGTATTGGTCAAAATCATGGGAATTTGAGGAAAGTCCAAAATCTGCTCAGATTTTGTCTCTGCATTAGCCTGCCTTTGAAACAAAACTGCGTTGCCGTAAGTAGCCACGGCATTATCAATACCAGAGGGAGTACCGTGTATGCATTTTTCGCCTATGAACGACCATTTGTTGACAAAGTCGAGTTCCAATTTGGTCAGTTTCTCAGGTTTTGAATTCAAATGGCCTCCCAACTTGCCGATTGCAAGCGCCAAGCAGACTGAAATGGACGCACTGGACCCTAGACCGGCACCAATCGGCGAGCTGGACTTCACAGTGAATTTGACACCTCTGCGAGTACCACATAGGCTGAAATACAAGTACAAGAAACAATAAGCCGCGTGATACTGCAAGGATCCGTGTAGAGACTTCAAAAGAGGTTCAAGTGCAGCGTTCAGCTCTGGATTTAGATTTTTGAAGTGTTCAATGGCAACCACTTTGGACGGCATGGAGACATGAGACAGCTCTGCGGCGGACCACTTATGGTCGAGGCCGATGTCCGGAAAATCTAGTTCAACAATATCACTAGTTTCGGCCTCCGTCACCAATAAATATGTTCTCAATGAGCTTACACTAGCTGCAATTGCAGGCTCATTGAACACTGCTGAATGTTCTCCGAAAATGATAACTTTACCTGGCGCAGAGGTCAGAATTGGGAGAGACATGGCTCGTCAACTCGATGGTCAGTGAGTTAGATAGTAGTGTTAATTGAAGCTCAATTGCGGGTTTACTGGAGGATGGTAAATGGGATGGAGCTTTTAACAATTGGATGCTAACGGGTTTCGAGTCCAGAGTTTCCAAACGAGATATAAGAACGAATAACCACGTGATGTGAAAGAAGTGAAGACGAATGAATTCACGGTGTCAAAGAGCACAGCTCAGCGTTGTATATGCTGGGGGTATTCTTCTTCTGATGGATTGGAAAATGCTGGGTTAAAGTTGTGAAGTTCTGGGATTTCGATTGTGTCTTTTGGAATATAAATTGGTTAGGAAGCATGGTAATACATTGCGCGTGCGGGAAATGGAAACCAGGTTTACAAACAGTGGCAGACGTTCTCTTGAGGACTGAAATGATTTAAGTTAGATACCAGGGTGTTTTTGAAGTCCCTACGTTGAAGCACGAAATGCGTTGCTATTATTTGATGACGGTGTCAGGTATTAAGGCTGCTGAAATTATAAATTTTTAGAGAAGATGGATTGTCGTTAAAGGAGCAAGCGAAGAGGTTGAAATTGTGGTTCGAGCAATCTGTGAACCTCTACGCTCAAGCTATCGATTGAAAAGGGCGGTACTTGCAACTAAAGTCAGCTCTGTCGCGTGCCCGAATGAATATCACTTTGTACTATTCTGACACCCTGAATAAAAATTGGAACCGACTCGCTTCAGCGGACGGCAAACGGTAATTAGGGCTCCCAAATGCTTTTTTAGGTCAAAAAAGCTTGTCACAGATGTCGTGACTTCACTTTCAATGGCCCTTGGTTTTATAGAAAATGCTTCAAGAGGGGCATCACCCGACTGGGTGAGACGACTGAATAGTACAAAGTGACAAAGTGGTATTTGGCGTTCATGTGGCCCATTTGCAACGCCCATTCTGACACCAGGAACGCATCCAATGGGACGCTTGGAGTGTGGCGTAGCGGCTACCTCTTTCCACATCTTAAGTTTCAAAACGAGGAATATTTCTCACATTTTGCCGGATACCAGCGAGACGCTTGGCAAATTTCAAAAAATGCATCAGAACTCTTCTCTTATTCTGCTCAATACTAGTGAAAAACTGGGCAAAAAGCTCTTCTTTTATATCCAGCACATGGAGCTTCTTTACTTGCGCCAGTAAAAATGTGCTAGCATTTTTACATACGCTTTTTCCCGCTAAAATCATCGTAAATACTCCAAAAAAAAAAGGCTGAAAAAACCCCCCAGACCCCTCACTCTCGAGATCTACTCAGGACATACCCGAAGTACATCTCTCTCACGTCCCCAGAGTCGTCAACTTGGCATTTTTAGACAAATTCTGTCAACACACACCCACGTGACCATTTTCCCAACTGTCATTTTTTTTAGTGCTTCAAAATCACCAGTTGACAAGAGGGGCCTTTCTATTTCACCCAACACTCTTCTTTACTTCACCAAAAGACAGATCAAATCGGCTCCAAAAGTGCCCTTATAGATCACTTGCTACTACTATTACTTTGTTGGCGATGCCAGAGAAGTATGAGGCGATGTTCCGCTCTGCGGAAATGAGTCTGGTGCAGCTCTACATTCCTCAGGAAATTGGCAGAGATTCGGTCTACAGCCTGGGAGATCAAGGACTGGTCCAATTCCGGGACTTGAACACGAAGATTCGCTCTTTCCAGAGAACTTTTGTGCCAGAAGTAAGACGTTTGGACAATTTGCAGAGACAGTACAGATATTTCTACAAGCTCTTATGTCAACACGACATCAAGATTTTTGAGGAAACCGAAGAGGAAGTGCCAAAGGGCACGTTTCGCATGGCGCCCAGATCTTCGAAAATCGATGACCACATCGAAAATGGATCCTTGATCGAAGAACGTATGGTGCAACTGGTGGAAGCCAGCGAGCAGCTGGAATTGCGGAAATCCGACCTTGAACAGTTCCGTCACGTTCTGCAGGCCGGAGACGAGTTCTTTGCCAACGCTGCTGGCTTCAGCCACAGTGAATCGCAGGACGAGAGTATCCCCTCTTCCGTGTCCTTTGTCACTGGTACAATTCCCCGTGCGAAAGCGGGAACTTTGGAACAGATTTTGTGGAGAGTTTTGAGAGGTAATCTCTTTTTCAAGCACGTTCAGTTGCCCGAGCCTCTTTACGATGTCAAGGCTAAGACGACCGTTTTGAAGGACGCTTTCATCGTTTTCTCCCACGGTGACCTAATTTTGCAAAGAGTGAAGAAAGTGGCCGAGTCCTTGGATGCTAACCTTTACGACGTCAGCGACAACGCCGGCGCCCGCTCCAAGCAGCTCAACGAGGTTAATTCCCGTCTCGCTGATGTGTACACCGTTTTGGATACCACCAACACGACTTTGGAAACCGAGCTGTACGCGATAGCAAAAGAACTCCAAGTCTGGAACTCGGAAGTAGCTCGCGAAAAGGCTGTTTACGAGACTTTGAATTTGTTTGACTACGACTCTAACCGTAAGACTTTAATCGGTGAAGGTTGGGTGCCCAAGGATGAGTTGAACAGCCTACAAGGGCAATTGGCCAGGCTCACTACCTCGATGGGCGTGGACGTTCCCTCCATCGTTCAAGTTTTGGAAACCAACAAGTGCCCACCCACTTTTCACAGAACCAACAAGTTCACCGATGCGTTTCAAAACATTTGCGACTGTTACGGAACACCTAGCTACCGTGAAGTTAACCCTGGTTTACCCACTGTTGTCACTTTCCCGTTCATGTTCGCTATTATGTTTGGTGATATGGGACACGGGATGTTGATGACAATGGTTGCTGGTTTGTTAGTGTTTTATGAAAAGACTCTCGGTAAAATGAAGAGAGATGAAATTTTTGACATGGCCTACTCAGGTCGGTACATTTTGTTGTTGATGGGTCTGTTCTCCATATACACCGGGTTTCTGTACAACGATATGTTCTCGAGATCTTTGACTCTTTTCAAGTCTGGCTGGAAATGGCCCTCTCATTGGGAACTGTATGAAACTATTGAAGCCAAGTCGGTCGGAACTTATCCATTTGGTTTAGATTCGGCCTGGCACGGGACTGAGAACGCTTTGCTTTTCAGCAACTCTTACAAGATGAAACTTTCCGTTCTATTGGGTTTCGTCCACATGAGCTACTCGTACATGTTTTCTCTGGTGAACGCCCTTTACTTCAAGAACTGGATTGATATTGTAGGTAATTTCATTCCAGGGCTTTTGTTCATGCAAGGTATCTTTGGATATTTGTCCGTTTGCATCGTATACAAATGGAGCGTTGACTGGATAAAAGATGGCCGTGTTGCCCCTGGTCTTTTGAATACTTTGATCAACATGTTTTTGGCTCCAGGAACTGTTGAGGAGGAGCTTTACCCCCACCAAGCTAAGGTTCAGGTTTTCCTACTAATCATGGCTTTGATTTGTGTTCCATGCTTGCTTCTCATCAAGCCAATCCACTACAAGCTCACTCACCCAGATAACGCGTACGAATCGGTCACTTCCAATGAAACTAGCGAGGAAACTGTTGCCGAGCACAACGGCGCTGTCGCAAAGGCCGGCGATGATGACGATGATGAAGAAGGCACTGGTCATGGTGAAGAATTTGGCGATGTTGTCATCCACCAAGTCATCCACACCATCGAATTCTGCTTGAACTCGGTTTCTCACACCGCTTCCTACTTGCGGTTGTGGGCCTTGTCACTTGCCCATGCGCAGTTGTCTACCGTGTTGTGGACGATGACCATTGAGATTGCGTTTGGTATGACCGGCGTAGTCGGCGTGATCATGACAGTCGTTTTGTTTACGATGTGGTTCGTCTTAACTTGCGTCATTCTAGTCTTGATGGAGGGTACTTCTGCGATGTTGCACTCCTTGCGTCTCCACTGGATTGAGTCCATGTCCAAGTTTTTCGTTGGCGAGGGTACACCATACATGCCCTTCCATTTCGAGCCTATCGACGTTGAATCGATGAAACAAGAATAGAATATCTGAAAGTAAAAGTTTCGTTTCTCAGTCGATACAAGAGCTACAACGTCTATATAAAGAAAAGTATATTTTCATTTTATAAACACTTTCACTTTCCCATCGGCGCCTCCAGATGCCATTATTTGTCTAACCAGACCATCGCTGTCTGTATGAATGCAATTCACGAATCCGTCGTGTGCACTATTTATTACGCGGACGAGTTCATCCGTAGAGAGATTCCACACTCTGATGGTGCGGTCATCACCACAGCTTATTAAATATTTGCCTCTTATGCATAGGTCTCGAACCCAAGACGTGTGCCCCTGTAGTGTTGTAATTAAAGTAAAATGTTGTCGAGTTAGATCCGGTTGTGGTGGCCTGTGAGCAACGATTTTCGGTAAAGGTACCTGCCAAATGCGTATACTATTGTCTCTGGAGGCAGTAATTACGTGCGAAAACCCAAGATCGGCATATTCTTGATTCAAGGTATTGTATTTGTTTTGTTGCTCGTCTGTATTATCGGTTGACCTAAGCATCGGTATAATTTTGACCCGCTCTATTGGAAACGTGTGGCCAAACCCGAAAGAAAGTCCCCTTCCAGAAGGCCAATGAGAAAGTCTAACGGTACAGTCGTTTGAGCCCGTCACCACGTAGTCGCCCGCGATATCAAGCGATCGCACCCACTCTCCGTGCGGCTGAAATGATTTCAGACACCACCCGTTCGCCACATCCCAAACTTTGCAGGTCATATCTCGCGAGCACGTAGCCACGAGAGTGTCGGTGCCATGCTTCCACATACACACCTGTGAAACGACATGTTCGTGGCCTGCCAGGCTTCGAATTGGATGTAGTTGGGAGTCCATGAGCCGAAATACCTTACAGTAGAGATCTTTGGAGGTGGTGACGACGTAGCATTCGGAACCCTCGCCCAGATGAACATCGATTGAGGTAATTCCACGCATGTGTGCTTGCAGCGAGGCTATAGGCATGGAATGATTCATTAAGTCGTAGCATTGCAGTTTTCCGGTGTCTGTAGCGACGAAAAGCAGCGGGAGTTCCGGATGGAGCTTGACGCTGGACACAGGGGCACCACAGCTGATAGTCAATTTGCTTTGTTCTCGAGGAATCCACGTCAAGGAGGATTTATTAGCAAGTGACACAGGCCCGTTTTCCAGTAAGATCTCGTTTTCCTCTGTCAGCTCTTGTATATGTTTTTCGAGTTCTATGATTCTGCGCTGTAGTCGCACGATAGAATTCCATTTCCTCGGCAGTAAAGATGCGTCTACAGGTCGTTCTTTGTCGTCCAAACTTTCGAGATCAACCTCGAGCCATTTCGCCAAACTGCTCATCACGACGTCTTCGTCCGCCATTCCTTCACCAGGAACAGAACCTGGGCCGGATTTTGGAGCATAATTACGCACGTATTTCAATAGACACTTGTGCAGCAGTTGACGTTGATCATTGGGAAGCAAGCTCATCTACTTGACTGATGGAGTGCTCTTGATTTAGGTCTGGGTTCAGATGCATGTTATTTAATGAATAATATGCAAGGCATCGAGTCACGTGACAAAGCTTAAATTCAGAATATGGACGACAACTGATGTCAAAGTGTCGGTTTACAGTGCTTTAGACGCTGAAAATTGTATTTGGTTTGATCAGGACTCATTGAAATGTTATGTGCACTCTGCATTTGAATAGTTTGTACTTTGATCTGACAGTTAATTGAGAGAAAAAAAGTAGAGGAGTTTTCAGCATCTTCTCTTTATTGTATTCTGGTTTTGATCATACTCAACTATTATTTGAGGAGGTGGAATTATGTCCTCTGGGTGGTTTTAGTATGTCAAGTGGTGGGGTTGCGTCCTTCAACGTTTATTGCGAAATTTGAGATATAGGTATTAAATTGCGAAATCTGAGATCTATGATAAGGGATCATTGAGTCGGATTGAGATTTAATTGTCTTCTGACTTCATTTCCTACAATTGATCAAGAACCAAGTTATCCATGGCTCGTGATTATGAGCTGTTTATAATTGAAGTCAGTTCCTTCAAATATGGCTACGAAAAGTGTAGCAGGACAGTTACAATACGTGGACTAAGGTCCATATTCGGTACTATCAACAGCGTTGAATCAATGGAAAGGCGACTGTAAGGCCCACTGGTGATCGCACTGCAGCAGCTGCGTCCAATATCGATAATTTGAAGTCACGTGCAAAGTCCGAGTGCCTTCCTCGACATCCTGGCGCGAGCTTCAGAACGATGGCAATTGAGGTATCTGGTGTTAGATTCACAGTATAAGGGTAAACAGGCGTACATCCATGCTTCTGTTTCTCTTTTCAAAGTCAATTGGCCGAAATAAAAACTATATCTATCCTTTCGCCATGAGTCCGCACACAAGCACCAATATATCAGGTTCACCCTCCTCCCGATTTTTCACACCTTGAATATCCAGTTGCTACAAATCTTCCTCCTAGTCCAATAGCCTCTCTCTATAGCTCAATATTCCCAAAATTTCTGGTACGACGCTGCAGTTATAGCCAATGCCTCATATATATAGATATTTATAATTATTACGAACAGCGCATGCCATAGACGACGTGAAAAACACAAAACAAATGGTACCGGGCTATCTCAATTATCATCATAAATTCTAAATTGATGTCTTGTGTACAATGGTTCATCGCTCCCTCTAGTCCATCGACGATCAGATAATGTTTTCCGGAAAAAAATGGGGATAATCTACACCTGCAAAAGTCGACACAAGCAACTTCAAAACTTAAAAGCACCCCCTATAAACCGCCAATTCTACGTTATTACTTGAAAACTACCAATACCTTCCCGAAATGGCTCTCTCGTTCCCTGGTTTTGTTCAAAAACTCACTTTCATACAAAGTTTGGCTGTCCGATATTAAAAAACCTTAATGGCAGATTCCCTCCTTTGAAAAAAACATCTCAACAACGATCATAAAAGCCATACTCATTCGAGGTGAAATATAAGGGTTTTTGGAGGCCAGTGAACGTCTGAGTGCTTCGGATCACTTTGGAAGTCCTCCAAAAAATACAACAGAGCTTGTAGCGTGTTTCAGCTGGTCTTTTTCGGTTTTTGTCAGGAAAACTGGGGTTTACAATTCAACTTCAACACTAGGGTTGAGTCATTTTATTTTACAAAACTCGGTCGACGCAAGCGCACACAAAGCGCTCGATAACTATATCAGCTGCTATTCACTGGTTGGAAATCTTAAGTTGAGTACTTTGAAAGCTTGACGCACAAAGCCGAAGATTCCTTGAGCCACAGCAGCGCAGTTTCCATCGTGGCAGAAACGCACTTGATCACTGCAATAGTAACGTCTCTCGCGTTCCAACATGCCTAACTTGCTCGGGAGAAGCGTATTCCACCATAGCAAGGGCCTTCACGGTGCAGCCCACGACCCCAGCTCGCATTCAGACACTAATGTGCGCAGCAGCCGGTCGTTTCTCGGGTTTATGAACCACACCAGCAGTCGCGAATCGGTGGGTAGTGACTCTGGGAACGAGTCCCGCGGGAACATCAAGCGTTCCGGTGGATCCATGAACGAGTTGAAGCGGTTTTTCCGTCCTGCTATTTTGCACCGCAAACCGTCACAAAATAATCTGCGAAACGGGTCCCCAGACCACCATTCACACACGCAATCGGCCATTCCTCCGTCTTCAGATTCGACGCTGTCGTTATCCAATCGTGTCAACATCTATCACGATGACTCCATCCTAGCTCAAAAATACGGGAAATTAGGTAAAGTATTGGGCTCCGGCGCTGGTGGATCTGTGCGTGTCATCACTAGACCTAGTGATGGGGCAACCTTTGCCGTAAAAGAGTTCCGGCCCCGAAGGCCTAACGAACTGGTCAAGGATTACGCGAAGAAATGTACTGCAGAGTTTTGCATAGGTTCAACGTTACACCACCCGAATATCATAGAAACCTTGGATATATTTAGCGATGCGAAGCAAAACAAGTACTACGAGGTGATGGAGTACTGCCCGATCGACTTTTTCGCCGTGGTCATGTCTGGCCAAATGACCCGGGGTGAGATTAATTGCTGTCTTCGCCAACTTACGGAAGGTGTCAAGTATTTACACGAGATGGGACTCGCGCACCGAGATTTGAAGCTTGATAACTGTGTGATGAGCACCGAGGGGCTTTTAAAGCTAATCGATTTCGGTAGTGCTGTTGTTTACAAATATCCATTCGACTCTAACATCACCATGGCCCACGGAATTGTCGGCAGCGATCCTTATTTGGCTCCGGAAGTAATGACATCGACCAAGCGATATGATCCACAGTGTGTGGATGTTTGGTCCATTGGGATCATTTACTGCTGTATGATGTTAAAAAGATTTCCGTGGAAAACACCTAAGGACACTGACGAAAACTTCAGGCTTTTTTGCCTACCTGACGATGTCGAGCACGACTACGTTAAATCCGCTCAAGAGCACGAAAAACTCATGAAACAGAGACGTCAAGAGAAGCATAGAAGTAGAAAGTTGAAGGAAGAGGCAGATGAGAATTCAACATGCGCAGAACGCGCTCTACCGAGTCAAGCACCTGAAAATGCATCGTCTCGATGCCAAAACGAGAATGGAGGTCACCAGATAGAGGAGGGAGTTGGAAAGATTGACGACAGTAAAGCCACGCCGAAGAATGAAAGGGAAGCACTAGGCGAGAAGCAAGGTGGATCGCAAACTGTAAAAGATCACGAGTCTCAAGCTGAAAGAACAACTATGAAAGGGGAGCAGACTGTTGAACAGAATGATGAGCCCAGAGCATCAACTCATGATGCATCTCAGGCTGGTATAGAGGAAAGGCAATTACCATCCAAGGCGTATGCGCACGATGCCGCAGATCCACGGCCTTCATCTCCAGTGCCCCAACTGCATCAGCAAAAGCACAGATCTCGCGAGCATGGCAGGAGTAAAAGAGTGATGAATGGGCCCTATCGACTTCTGCGTCTGTTACCACATGCCTCCAGACCCATAATGTCTCGAATACTAACCATTGATCCTAAGGAAAGGGCAACTATGCAGGAAATTTACCAGGATCCCTGGTTTTCTACCATTCCCTACTGTACTAATGATCTCAAAAAGGTTGTCAGACACGCTGCAGGTCACACGCACACCGTTGTATGTGAAGAAGACGCACACTTGGAGCACTACGAAGGTAAACCCTAATTTCATTGTGAGTAATGAGCTTTCTCTGGCGCCGGGCGCTTTGTCTTACCTTGGCGTGTACGTATAATGAATACATGAGGATGTGTATATTAAACAAATAGAACACTTCTGTGAATCTTAAAGTCAACCTTCGATAACAGAAAGGATCGACTCATCGATGAGTTGCTGGGTACCAGGACAGTTTAGAACACCAATATTATTTACACCCCACAGCTCTGAAAATGTCTTGGATCCGCCCGTAACCGCTGTACCCTGAAACCTGAAGGACCAATATACAATGAGACGCCATATAAGCATTTTGCGTCCGATTTCATTGGATGTCAAATAATTTAGATCTTCACCTGGTCGATAGAGTTGTCTATCGAGGATGGCATTAACAAGCTCTTTTTCGGAAAGAATGGTTTTCTGGTCTGTGTTCAATATGCTTTGCAAGAGAAGCCAATCGTCCAGCACCAAATATTGATGGAATTGTGCCAAAAGTTCGCCTAGCCGAGTTCTATTTTCGGACCAGCTATAAAGGTAGGCCTTTGTCTTGGATAGCATTTTAAAGCGTTTGAGTAAATCGGTAGTATGTGAGAGTTCTAGAGCGTAGGGAGGAGTGTAGCTCGGAGATGATGTGGGAAGCTGATAAAACGGCAGAAGACTTTGAGAAACTATTCGACGTTCGGATAGTTTTTTGTACGCACCTGGCGTCAGACAGTTCCAAGGCACAAGTGATGGAACGAGGAAGCAAATGACAGGTAACGTTTCTTCGAAAATCAGTAACAAAACAAAAAACGCAGGCAATTTCCAGAGCTCCTGTCGCCTGTAAATCTCTTGGAGCTCTCTTCTGGTGATGGCCAGTCGCACTGGGCTCCCAGGCTTTATTCGATTTTGGATTTCCTGGAATTCTAAATCTCTATAGGTCAGCGTTATTATCGACTGAGAGTTTCCAATTTTCTGCAGAACCTTTCTAGAGTCGTAAAATACCCTCCATGTGTCTTTGATACCATTCAAATACATCTTGAGAAGCTTTTTCCCGAGACGAAACCACTTTGTTGCCGGTTTTCTCCAGTCACCAACTTTTGGATCGTTCTGCACCTCTTCAAAAACCTGCAATTTAGGAAACCGAACCAACGGGAGTGATCTATCGGAGTTCAGATCATCAAACATTTCAGTGTTACTTGCAGCGACTCCGAATTTCCCTGTTTTGTAAGCCTTTGCTAGTTTCGCCAGTGTCGAATTATCTGAGAGTGATTGTTGAAAGCATTTGGCGCTGTCAACAGCGACTAAGCTGGAGGTGGCAAGCTTCCTAAGTGAAGAGTATGATCTAACATTTACACTGCGAAATCGAATCATGGGTCCCTCAAACTAAGCGATAGTGAATATCGTCAAATATCTCCAGCAAGCTCATCGCCAATGAATTTTCCACTGTATTATATATATATAACGTACGGTATTAGTAAAGCTGACTGAAAGTGCCAGAATGACACGCCGAGAACATTTACGGAGTAGGACCGCTCGTCCGCCCTTTTCATATTGAATGCTATTTAATAGGAATTGATGTTGGGATTATGAGCCATTAGTATTCATTTTGGAATCAGTGCCAGCCCTCTGATCCCAACGACACCAGCTGAGCTCAAAAACATGTACTTACTATGCTACATACAAGACTCTGACATCAGTAATGCGAGTAAGCGGTTTTCTTGGGAGTCTCACGCCATTTTTTGGCTTGAATTGAGTAGTTGGCAGCTACGAATTGCTACCGATAACCTCTGGTTTGGCAAATTGAATTTCAAAAACGGTGTGTTTCCATCACGAGCTTTTACTTAAAAGATCTCCAGCCTCTTTCAAGGTAGTATCGACTGCTTTGAGGTCTTCAGTTCCATTGTAGGTCTCGACGAAACGGGCAAGATCTTCCTTGAATTGTCCGATTTTCTCGTAAAGTGCAGGCAGCAGTCTCTCGGTATCTTGCAAGACCTCGACCTGTTTTTTCAAGTCATATGGATCTACTGAGTCGTCAGCCTTCATTTCATCGACGTGGTTTTTCTGGTCTTTTAATTCCTGTTGATAGTACTTCTCTTCTTTCAAAAGTCTCTGCAAAGACCTTATTTTAATTTCTAGTTGGGATGGTGCCATGATCTCGGTTGATTATCGACTCGGACAATTGCCTTGGAAGCTCGATTGGCTATCTTGAACAAGCAGTGGGATAACGTTGCTGCTTTTGTTTACTTGAACATGTCAAGAAACTGTAGATCTCAACAACTTTACATATCTATAATTGCAACTTTATAGAGGTCTCACCTGATCATACAAAAGACGAATTACGATCCATAAAAGAGCTATTTGATCAACCTGATGGTTGTCAAGAAGCTTCTTAATGTGATCATCTTGTTTTGAGACCTGTCTAACCTTTTTGAACTCCATTTTAAGCGTAAATACCGATCCTATTTAATCATCATAGATGGAACTAGACGCATCCATAATGTCCAGATCCATTAGTTCTTCCTGTAATTGAGATATGCAGTTAACTTTTTCGTCATCTTCAGACTCTGTAGAATCGTCAGATAAGTCCCCTAGCTCGAAAATCTGTGGAATAACTTTACTTGTACGGACGTGCCGTAACGAGTACCTCGATTTTACTGGACTCGGTAGACCGAGTTTGCTTGAACGGGATACGTTGTCATCAGCAGAATAGTAAGTTGCAGATTCGTCATCATCGGTGGTTCGCACACTGTGCGGTGATTTTAAACTGCTCATTATGCTGCCAATGTCTGAAAACTCTTCTCCAGAGCTCGAAGGGTCAGAGCCACTGGAATTCGAGTAGTAGGGATTGGGAAGTGAGTCTCCCAAAGCAGAAGTTTCAAATTCATGGCGAATTGCCGTCTGTGTGTCGCTGTCGCCACCTCCGTCCTCGTGGATATTCGGATGGAAATCTAAATGGCTATGTTTCTTCGCAGCCTGGAAACTATTATTCCAGCGCCGGCTCGAGGAATCGTCAAAATTCTTACTCACGATAGAAGGAACTTTCTTTCTTTGATCTTCTGGGAGGCAGCCATAGGCTGTAAGAATTTCATCGAAGAGAATTTCACCCACAGATTTCTTGCGCGTTAGCGGGGTTCTACTCATATCAGCAGTCATTACAGGATACGCTAAGACGTTGGTATGAGTATTAATTATGGGTGGACCGGCTAGCGGAGAAGAAACGTGCGTTTGGTTGTTCGTCACTGCAGGCCTGAAGTGTGTTCTAATTAGGCTTTTTTGTTTCATAGCTGGTCGTTGCAACATTGGCATCTTTGGCAGAGGTGATTCATCTGGTGCGTCGTTTTTGACTGGTGGAATACGTCGCGAAACCCGGGGCTTCAAATTTACAGCCGCCTTTCTTTCAAGCTGTTCTAGCTCATGGATTAAAAGCTCAGGAACGGAGCTGAGCCGTTTTTTCAGCTTTACTGTACCACCAAAGGCCCGCGAGATCCGTCGTCCATTACTAGCGGAAGTCAAAGAATTGTCAGTTTCCGATTCAATTTTCGAATTCCAGCGGGGTGCGTCGGGGAGCTTATTCAAATCGGAACTGGTAACTCCAAGAGATGCAGGTCTGACAAAGTCAAGATGTGCATCTAGCCTTTCCCCTAAGAACTTCCTAGGCATGCTATGCTCTTGGTAATTCGGAATTCGTGACAAAAAACCTCGAAAGTTGGTGAGGTTTCAAATGATCAGACTCTAGAAATGTATTAATGCAGGGAGAGATCTGGCAGGCCGCGCCGCACTTGTGAGTTGACAGGTTTTATAGGATCGTTTTCCCGGTGTACTTTCGCTTGAGCGTCCAGCATATTTTACAGCTCTCTCAAAAAACACGCTTCTCGCACAACCAAACCAGCACAATGCAAACAGAATCGGCGGTCCAAAAGCGTGGTATATCAGACGCTGATAGATGCTATGCTGGGTGTTTGCATGCTGGTGTCAATATCGAATAATAGAGATGGCTGGCACGGTTTCGTAGAAAAGGACATTACCAGTCTAGGAGGTCTTTAAATCTGACGGAGACCCAGGGATCCGATTATCATTTCGCGTATTTTGCACCGTGCTCGCCTTCCCACTCCTTCAGCGCGTTCTCCCATTCGGTGTCTTCATCAACGTTCAATTCCTTTTCGTTGAGTTTTTGCTCGTTCAATTGTTTTTCACGTTGTAATTGTTCTTGCTTGTCATATAACTCTTTATTGTCGATCCAGCGTTCTTGAACGTCTTCCGCTACCAGTGCGGTTCCTTGACGAGATGCCTCTGCCCAAACAGTGTCACCGCCAACTTCGGAAGCACCAAAAATGTAGCCGTTTGCTTTGTCAATTACACTTTGCAGGGCGATCATACTTTTCTTGTCATCGACGCACAAAACCTCGAAAGATACCAGATTGAAGTCAGAAACTAGCTCTCCGATTGTCTGAGTGAGACAGGCATATTTCTTTCCCAGAACACTAGAACTCTCTTGCTCCACGTGAGGTTGTAGATATTCCAATTCTTGTGCTTCAGTGTAGTAATCAAGCCGCATCGGTAGCGGACCATAAGACTTGATCATGTCAATCTTGGATAGCACGTTGATGTGCGGCAGGTCTAACATCAGCATAGCTCGCAGCGCCAGCAGCAGAATCGATACGTATTGCGAGGGCGAGGTCACGTAGACAGAGTCTATCAAGTTGACGACGCATAGGCGCAGGTCTAGCTCGCGCTCAAGGCGTTTGAAGATGCGGAAAAGCGCTGAATGATGTGTGAACAGCTCAACTTGACCGGGACAGTCGAAGACAACATATGCACTTTCGTCCTGCACCAATGATTTGATCTGGAGCATGAACAAGTCCACGGATCTTTCCACCGACTCCAGGGCGTACATTAGACCACCATTGGGTCCCAGTTGCTGCTCGTCCATAATTTCCTCTAGTGTGATAAAGTCGCGGATGTCTACAGCACAGGGGTAAGGTAAGCTATCGTTTGCAGGGTCCATATTCACCACTTGCGCATGGCGTCCAATGGCATTGAAAAACTGCACGCAGCCATGGGAGTAGGTCGATTTTCCAGATCCTGGTGGTCCTATAACGATTTGACCAAAGGGCATTGGTGCAAGAGGGGCTCGATGCGTGTGTTACACTTCTCAGCAGTTTGCCGATATTTTAGGCCCATCCAAATTTTTCAGATATTACATGCCAATAGTGAGCGTTCCGAGAAGAGAATCGAGCAGAGGAAAGGGTCGAGAAACAGCGTTCTGCTGGGAAATTCACTTGTGAAACGCCTTGTTGATTCTTCAATGGTGACTTTCCAAGAGCAATCATGGTAGCATGGGCTCCCAGTAGTGAGAATATGCTTAGTGAAGTTAGACACAATTATCAACAAGATCTGCAAATGACGTGAAACCGGCATTGATCACTTGCCATGAAGATTGAATATATCAATCGCAACATTTTAATGTGCCAAGGACAAGCATTTGTGTATCGTAGAACAATTGGCGTTTCTCGAGACACACGACATTTGGTTTATTTGATTTATTCGAATTGCGAGTAGAAGATCAACTATATGACGCGTGAAATAAATTAATCATTGATAATGGCACTATGATTAAAACAAGAATAAACGATTCAGAGAAGAAGAAGCGACGTTTTCTTCGAGTTGTGCGGTTGGGAATTAAGCAGCACAGATTTTGTAGCTCAAAGCTTCTCTCAGGAATTTTTTTTGAACCTTCTTTTCGCCTCCAGAGGAAATTATAAGTGATGACACACATCGATGTCCGAATCGAATAACGAAAAATAACAACGGAGTGTCAAACATCCCGATTTAATCCATTCATAAGTGGTCAATAGAGTCCCTAGAGTCCTGAGCTCACCATCACAATATTCTAAATACCATCATTCTTACGCTAGAGAATATCACTTCGAACGTAGTACCTAACTCAAGGTAAAGGTCAATATTGTTATAAAGGTTAGGTTTGCCACCTACAAGAAAAACTGAACAAGATTCATCAGAGGTATCAACACCAATCCGTTCAGGTGGCATTACGTCTCGAGAAGCACTCTCTGTATCTGCATAAATATCGACTCGAGTCTCCTCAGGATGTCGGTCAACTACGAGCAAGTGACCGTGGCGCCATTGGTGCTACTTTCAGTTTTGGACCATTACAAACGTATCAACACACCGGCTCATAAGAGATGCGTGGGAGTGATTCTAGGTTCTGTACAGGGCACGACGGTAAGAGTGACGAATTCGTTCGCACTTCCGTTCGAAGAAGACGAGAAAAACCCGGAAGTGTGGTTTCTGGACCACAATTACATCGAAAACATGAACGATATGTGCAAAAAGATCAATGCCAAGGAAAAGCTTATTGGATGGTATCACAGCGGCCCCAAACTAAAGGCTGCGGATCTGAAAATCAACGACCTCTTCAAGAAATACACAGGAGAGCGTCAGCAGCAGCCGCTGCTGCTTATCGTAGATGTCCAGCAACAGGGCGTAGGACTACCTACAACGGCTTACACGGCTGTTGAGCAGGTGAAAGACGACGGGACGTCGACGGAAAAGACATTTTTGCACCTGCCTTCATCGATAGAGGCAGAGGAGGCCGAGGAAATCGGCGTTGAACATCTACTTCGCGATGTGCGTGATCAGGCCGCCGGCGGGCTTTCTGTCAAACTCACAAATCAGCTCAAGTCTTTAAAAGGTCTACAGCAAAAGCTCGCAGATATAGCTGCTTATTTGGAAAAAGTCAGTCTTAGCAAATTGCCTGTGAACCACACGATTTTGGGTAAACTTCAAGATGTTTTCAACCTGCTCCCCAATCTGGGCGTTCCCGATGATGACGAGATCTCATCGACTTCTGATGTCCAGCTTGCGGCTGCCTCAAACACTTTGCAAAGAGCTTTGGCGGTTAAGACCAACGACGAGCTTATGGTAATTTACGTCAGCAACCTTGTACGTGCCATCATTGCTTTCGACAATTTGATTGAAAACAAAATCCAGAACACCAAATTGCATCGTCAGCATGAGCAAGCGCAGACTGAAGGCACAAACTCAGACAAAAACACTGAAGAAGAATCTTCTTCTACCAAGGCAACGACAAATGAGACCGAAAATCGGCCATCAGCTTCATAAGATATAACAAAATCTCACTAATACCATTAGCATAATTTCGTAGCCCTTCTACATCGGGCATTCTAAGGATGTCGAAAGGTTGTAGAAGATGAGACTGAGTACGAGCCAAGTTGTAGAGTCTACATATGCTTCCTCAAGCCGTACTTCGATAGACGTTGCCTAACGTTGGGCAACAATAGCCCAAAACCACATGAAGGCACCTAGATTTATAAAATGCTTAAGAATTTTTGTGAAGTTGCGGATTAAATCTCACAAAGATCAGCAATGATAAGTGGTGTTCCAAACAGATATCATAGGTTGTCCGAATGGAAATTTTGCGAAAACGGGAGAACCGTCCTTAACTATTTTAAAATACCATCAATTGCTTGACATTGTGTGCATCCGACGAGCTAGATTTCAAGTATGAACAAAGGTGCATCCAAGTAGCCTCTATACAACAGCTAAGCTGCTACTTAACATACAATTAACACAGCTTGTTAAGTTTCGAAAATAAGGGACGCTTAGAGAGAAAGAGGTTTTGTGTAACAAATCTTGAAACTCTAAATACCACATTCCATTTGATTCATACCAATTCGTCTCTTCCCAACTCCACAGGGTCTGAACTAAACCCTCTTAAAGCTATATTATTCGACCGCTCGGAGCTTCTTATACTTATCACTTTGTACTATTAAGTCGCAAGACTATAACGCTCAAAACGTAGCACAATTGGCTTTTGAATATCGTTCCCAGTAAGTAACCTGAAAAGACATTCTAACCACTTAAACCTCCAGATACCTCGGTTACGACAAGTATATCGGTTTCACTGGCGAGCTCACCAACAAGGGCTACCGTTTCTCTACCACCATGACGTCTCCGGATGACCTGGACAATTTTCTAGCAGACCACTAAATACAATACCTCATCATTTATTTATTCACAAATTAGTAAAGAGCACATAACGAAAACAACGATCTAAAAGGCAGCTGGCGAGATAGCTTACCTGAAATACCAAACCACCACTCGGGCGTATCCTACAGCTTCAAACACCCATCAAAATCACACGTCGAAATACCCGGTCATTTAATCACGTGCGACTAAGTTGGCCCCGATCCTGAAAAATGCTTCTTTCATGATCATCACACTGAATGGATCTACAGATATCTACAACGAGATCATATCAAGAGACATCGCCTTGGACCTGGTGTTAACGGCTTTGAGCATTTGTAATGGCCAGCTTATATGCTGCAAATGGCATACTGTTAAAAGGCGTGTTTCGAAGATCCAAATTTGGTGGATTTATAGCGTTCAACGGACTGAGTATAAATAAATGGAAAATTCGCTGTTACAGCGACAACAGTGATGGTTGTAGGGCTCCAGAACCTCTCAATACCTCACCTATAGAGTTCTCATCAAACATATCGGCTCAACATGCAAAAAAACAGGGTCGAAATATAGCCAATTCAGCCCTGGAGGCTCTCAGCTGCACAGATGACATAACGACCCAACAAACGCCAAATATTCCCTTTGAGGTGAAGCCTGTGGATAACAAACAGCGTATAAAGCTACGCGGCTCCGATACTTCGGCTCTGACTCAAAAAGGGGCCAAAAAACTGTTAAAGTCATATGTCCAGCTGTCTAAACCGAGACTTACAGTTCTAGTGATGCTCAGTTGCATATGCTCCTATGCGCTGAGCCCATCAGCGGCAACGGTCACGGAACTTATGTCGCTAACGGCGGGTACAGCACTCAGCTCTGCTGCCGCCAATGCCATAAACATGGGTCGGGAACCGGACTTCGATAGGAGAATGGTGAGAACCCAAACCAGGCCCGTGGTTCGCGGCGTCCTGACACCAAAGCAGGCGTACAAGTTTGCAATGCTTACAGGGTCACTTGGGGTGTCTATTCTTTACCTGGGAGTTAACACCACAGTTGCTGCTCTGGGTGCCACAAATATCGCCTTGTATGCATGGGTTTACACATCGTTAAAGCGGAAACACATAATTAATACGTGGGTTGGTGCAATTGTGGGCGCTCTTCCACCACTCATGGGCTGGTGCGCTGCCAACCCACTCAGTGACCCAGGTGGATGGTGTTTGGCCGGGTTTTTGTATGCCTGGCAATTTCCACACTTTAACACCCTCAGTCACAATATCCGAAACGAATACAAAGATGCTGGCTACGTGATGACGTGTTGGAAAAACCCTAAGTTGAACGCCCGGGTTGCTTTCAGGTACTCATTACTGATGTTCCCGTTGTGTTTCGGTCTATCCTACTACAACGTTACAGACTGGTATTACCAGCTAGATTCATTCATTGCAAATGCATGGCTTTCATTCTGGGCAATGAAGTTTTGGTGGCAACAGAGGTACAACTACTCTGAAAAGATACTGAAGGACAGAATTAAGTTCAATAAAGGTGTTGCGCTGGCAAATGTTTATGCTAGAAAGACTTTCTGGGTGAGCGTATTGCATTTACCAGCGGTTTTGATTTTGGCCATTTTGCACAAGAAAGGCCGTTGGGATTGGCTGTTCGAAAGCGAAGCTGATAGGACGAAATTACGTGTATAAAGTGTTCTTGTATATAAGAAAATTAATAAGGGATATTCACACTCAATCACTATGTTCAGCGTTCAAAAAGCCCGTCGTCTTCGAACTCCTCATCGTAATAATCATCAGCGTATTCGTCCGAACTATCGTCATCACCAGAGGATTCCGAAGAAGCCGAACTTTGGTCACTCTCATCTAGATAAATATGCGCAAGCGTTTCACCTTTGACGACAGTTTTAGCACCCACGACGTAAGAGCCTTCGATGTAGGAGTTGGTGAGTTTACATTTTTTACCCACTTTAGAGAAGCTCCCCACAATGACGTTTTCGAGAACACATTCATCTTCGATTTCCACGTTGTCCAGAAGAATGGAACCAACAATGCGGCAGCGTTTGCCAATCCGGCAGTTTTTCCCCAAAACAGATAGCTTGATGCTGGTTTTTTCTAAAATCGTAGAGTTTGCACCGACTATTGAGTCACCGCCTACCGCATTGCCCATACCAGAGGGCCCGTGAGTTGCGAAAAGCGAGGAGCGGACTCTCAGCATACAACGGTTTGCCTCCATGTAAGCACTTAGAATATTGGAGCGGATGAATAATCCTAAGCTTGGAAGGATAAAGAGCCCAATTGTTTCACGAGGTGTCGAATGTTGCCAAGAACGTCTGGCAAGGTCTCTAAAGACTTTTGAAAGCGGTTTATTACAGTTGATGGGATCTTTAAGGAGCTTGTTTTTGGCTCTAAATCTAATGGGCTGGACGAGGTGATTTTGTGGAGGCGAAACGATGGCATCGTCATCGTTTTCAGACTCAGTTTCAGAGCGAGCAGCGGACGGGTCCACGGGCTGTAAAAGCTCGGCAAGTTCGAAGGAGCAGAAATATACTGAAGCATCCAACAGTTTTTTGGAAATAGATGTATTTGGGTAACGCCATAGGAGATGGGACCGGGCCTGTAGATACTTGGATCTATCAACGTCTTCTTGAGAGTAAGCATCTAGAAGGACGGGCTGTTTCACAGAATCTTCGTTCTCAGAATAGACAGTGTAGGACACGGCCAGATGTTTCTTATCGAAGGAATCGAAAGTGTTGCGATATCTGACGGCCATAGCCAGGTTGTCGGGGTCTTTATTGCGAAATTGGTCGATGAAGATTTGAGGAGGAATCTCAGTGACAAAATCGCAAGGCAAGAGAACGAAATCGCCCTTAATGCGAGGCAGAAGCTCTTTTTGTAGAATGGCCCCTGTTGTTTCATTGCGTGCCACCAAAAACTTAATCGGCACAGGTTGGAGAGGTGCCACGCCTGTGACGCTAGGTCCGTGCTGTGCCAGTAGCGCATGTTGACGCTTCCGAATCTCGATGTATGTATTTAGCGCATCTTGGATCTGGGAAGATTCGTCGGAGTCTGCAACGACCACCACTTCCGAAAAGTTCGCCTGTTCACACCAGTCCAAAACATATTCTATCATACGCCTGTTGGCGACCGGCAAAAGAGCCTTCGAAAGGCCGGAATCGCCGCGCGTTTGCGTGAACGGGGCAAGTGCCGCGCCTTTACCACATAGAATGAAGGCCTGCAGGTCCATTGGAGGGCAACAAGTAGCGGTATGAGTCAACTTAGTTGATCTTTTGAACATGTAGTTGGCTTAACCTGTATATGGGCTTTAGCTCATCGCTAATTTTCGATCTCGTCATTAAACACGAGGTGGAAATCAGTCATAAAATTGTCAATGCTTCTCAAAGGCATTGGCAGTAGTCCCATGGGGCCCCGTAAATCTATCAAGGTATTGAGTGTTCCTTCTAATAAGTTGTTCTTCGTTTGAGCAGTTTTAGTACTATATTTCTATGAAGAGTTGGCTGTTAATATTGTGTAGATGGGCTGCTAAAAAAACACATCCTTTCAGCTGAAAATTGGGATAAAGTGAATGTACTAGCAGTTGTTGAATAACCACATTTTCACAAGATCAGAGTCTCAACCTTAGGTCTGTGTTTCTGGATCAGTTAGCGTTTGATTATATTATACATATACCTTAAATGACAGAATAGTACAAAATGATAAATGAATAGAAATGCCTTAGGTAGGCGATAGGTGAAGCTTGGGACCACTGTAACGACCGTTATTCTAGAAAAGACTCTTACTCAACATTACTTTATCTCTTCCAATAAATCAGAAATTGTTTTGCCCTTCCACGAACAAATCGACGATTCCGAATATTATATCATTGTGCACTCATTCGGAACGCTAAAATTACTCTTGAAATTTTGAGAAATAGCTAGATTTCTCAATAACTCCCACGAATCCTAAGCTCGTCTATCTATCGGCTTAATTGCGCTTCGATTTAATGTTTATTTTGTCTTTTCTATGGTGTATGCTAATATATGCTAATATATATCAGTATATATATTTCCGTCAAAATATAATCGACGTCTCACTTCAACCATTCGCCACCGAACATAAACCACTTGAGAGAGCTCACAGATCGTCTCAAATACGTCAATTTGGCTTTTCAGGATTACAGCGTTATCAATCTAGAGTTAAAATCCAAATGAGTGCAGAACAAGACCCTTTACTCGCCGCTTTCGAGGGAAGCGCAAATGGAAGTGGAAACAACGAAAATAGTGGGAACAATGCCAGCAATGCTAGTCCCGAGCAACAACAAACACCACAGGACTTGGCACAAGAGGCTCGTCAGCGGGCCTTGACCAGCTTTCGCAAGAAAATCGCAGAACACAGGCGTTACGAGGACCAATTGAAAAGCAAGCGCCAGGGGATTCGCGATATGGAAAAGGAGTACGAGCGCACAGAAGCGGATATCAGAGCACTGCAAAGTATTGGGCAATTGGTAGGTGAGGTGATGAAAGAACTTTCCGAGGAGAAGTATATCGTCAAAGCGTCGTCAGGCCCTCGTTACATCGTGGGCGTGCGGAACTCGGTGGACCGCCAAAAACTGAAAAAGGGTGTTCGTGTCACTCTGGACATCACAACCCTCACAATCATGCGCGTTTTACCCCGTGAAACAGACCCATTGGTCTACAACATGACTTCATTCGAGCCTGGCGAGATCACCTTCGAGGGTATCGGTGGTTTGACCGAGCAGATTCGTGAGCTACGTGAGGTGATAGAACTGCCCTTGAAAAACCCTGAGATTTTCCAAAGAGTCGGCATCAAGTCGCCCAAGGGTGTCCTGCTGTATGGACCCCCAGGTACCGGTAAGACCTTGCTGGCAAAGGCGGTTGCCGCCACAATCGGCGCCAACTTCATTTTCTCCCCCGCATCCGGAATTGTTGACAAGTACATCGGTGAGTCGGCTCGTATCATTCGTGAGATGTTTGCATACGCAAAGGAACACGAACCTTGCATTATATTCATGGATGAAATCGATGCCATTGGCGGACGTAGGTTCAGCGAAGGTACGTCCGCGGATCGTGAAATTCAGCGTACGCTGATGGAGCTACTAACCCAAATGGACGGTTTCGACAATTTGGGACAAACGAAGGTCATTATGGCTACAAACAGACCCGACACACTAGATCCTGCTCTATTAAGACCCGGTAGATTGGATCGTAAAATCGAAATTAATCTACCTAACGAAGCTGGAAGGCTTGAGATTTTTAAGATTCATAGCGCCTCAGTGAAGAAAGCGGGCGAGTTTGACTTCGAGGCTGCGGTGAAGATGAGTGATGGTTTCAACGGTGCCGATATTCGTAACTGTATCACGGAGGCTGGTTTCTTCGCCATTCGTGACGACCGTGAATATATTATTCAAGATGACCTGATGAAAGCTGTCAGAAAGGTTGCTGAAGTCAAGAAGCTTGAGGGTAAGATTGAGTATCAAAAGCTTTGAGCGTTACAAGTTTAAATAGAGCATTCAACGAACCTTTTTCCAAATTCATGATCAAGATGCAACTTCAACTCTGAGAAGCGATTTTTGAAGTTTGCTTTGCAGAAGCAACACTTCAAGTCGCTTTTCTTTATCACCGTGTCTTCCATGTGCTTGGAATCCACATTTTGTAGCGGTAACCGATCCCATAAGACAAAGAATTCTGTAGTGAAGGAATTATAATGTTTCTTGTTCTTGAGCCTTTCGGAATGAAAGTCTTTTGTCATAACATGTACGTGTAGGTTGTTCATAGATGGCACAATGTGAATGCCGACTTGTGTGAAGTTTTCGATAAAATAGTCCCTGTTGTGAAATTGAGCCTTAGTGTAAAAGGGCATCACTTTTACCTCCTCTTTCAATTCATATTCTTTTGTAAACGTCTTAAAGACATAATTCAATGCCATCTCGATGTAGGGTTCAAGTTTTGCCTTGACCTCAGCGTTCAGCGCCCAAGGTTTTGATTTCGAAAGTTGAAGGTCTCTTGGCAGAACCAGAAGGTGACATAGGCTTTTTGGGAACCGGTCTTTGACAATCACAACGTCCTTATCATGAAATATGATATCCTCCGAGTATTTTTCAGGATTTATAAGGTAACCTTTGAGCGCATCTCGGAAACTCATGTTAACTGGGTGTTTTATTCATGAACAACGATATCGAAATTCTTTTCGAAGATTTCTTATCCCTAGCAAATGGGCCGTATTGACATTATATATCGTATTGTCCTATGTACATGCATGTGTGTTGACTAGCGCAGAAAGCTGTTCTCTTTAAGAGTGTGACATTCAAAGCTTCTTGCTCAAATGCTCCAAAACTGTGGAACCTATGAGTTCCTTGTCCTGATCAGACAGCTTCCGCTTTGAACCCGCTGCCAGCTCTTCTTTCTCGGCAATAAAGGCCTTTTTAGCCTTGGTCAAAGGCATTTTTGGAGCTACCAGTTTGGCGATGTCTCTGGCTGTGAGTGTCCCTCTTCTAAACTTGGACTTAGGGTTACGAATTGTGAGCAGAGCGCCCTGAGGAATTGGGCTCTGTGCTATGCTGGAGACCCAGAAAGTCTGTTCTCTTGCAACTTCTCCAGAAGTAGCCAGCTCCCCGTCTGGTTTGGCCTCTGGCTTGGGCCACGGTATCACCAGGTCCTCTTGGCCCGAAACGCATCTGAGAGGCATTAGCTTCTTGTAGCCATCATCGTAGTACGATCCACGGAACACAATGTCACGCACTGCAACGGTCTTGACGGCTCCTGGCACTTTGGGATCATCGATATCTGCGACCAGCTTGACATCTTTTTGAGCCACGGCCATGGGGAAAGTCACCATATGCGAGTTCTGGCCCTCGGACCAAAACTGTTTTGGCACAGGGACCGTCTTCGTTGGTCCATTTTCGTCTAGTACGAATCCATTGGTTTCCTTGTCGAGCTGTTGAATCACGCACACTTGTCCTTTCCACCTGCCTTTGGTCACTACAACACGGTCACCAGGCATGTACTTCCACTCCCTGACGCTCTGGAACCGCTCACTGTCTTCAACGCGTGAAATCGACGGCACCAAAAACGACGGCATCGATTTTTCCTCAAATTTCTTGAAATGATCAACCAAGTGCTTTGGTCTGTTTTCAACTTGCTTTAAAAACCGGCTTCCGGCCTTGGAAAGATGCTGGTAGCCCGACATTTAGCCTACACTTTATGATGAGATTTTTGCAATGGCTACGAGGTCAAACCCGACTGGAATAGCAACGATACAAGCGCTCTTGACGTTCTTTTGAGGTCAACTCATCTCTTATAAGAACTTACCAAGATGAGAATTCAAAATTTTTTAATTATGGGTAGCCATACTATGGTGAAAATAGTAAATCAGAGAGGAAGAGCTGATACGGACGAGTAAAAGCTGGATGGTGAGCACGAAAGGAGCCTACTACGATGTTAAAGAATACTCAGACGATTTTGGGAAATGGCGAAAGTATAGGCTCAGTGCAAGGCTGTTGACTTTTTTTTTTGTTTATTATATTATTGCAACTTACATGCGAAGGAGCAAGAGGGAGGTATTGGCGTTTGATTAGGGGGATGTGAGTATTTCGAGATCGTCTGAGCAAGCTTTGGTAAAGCCCTGCTCCCGAAGTAACTTCTTTAAACATGTATATATGTATATACACATATATAATATTGCACTGTCACTGTGACATTAGTACGGAGTGATGTGTCAATGCCATTATGGAACAGCAGACTGTCAGTCGCCAAAATGAGAAGGCATCAGAAGGAAATGGTGCAAGCTTAAAGAATTATAAGTACCACTACATATCAAAGAGCTTGCAATTTCCACAGGCGCTGTGACTTAAGAGAGATAAACATGTGCGCATGTTTTTTTGCCGATTTAGCGATGGGCACCCTCGCACATCCTAGCAGGCATTCTGAGAAAGCGAGCATTACTGTAGTCCCTGTTTCCGGGTTGTTGGAAAAGATCCTCGTGTCACTGCGAAAAACCTTCAAGAGGCCGTTGTATAGTACAAATTGCATGGCGTTTTCGGGCCGCCCTCCCCGCACCCATCCGCTTTCTCACGTATCTGTGCAGATTGCAATAAATTCGCGCTCGCTGATTTCGCCATCGTCGTCCAGATCGAATTCGTCAATCATCGCCCGCAGCTCGTCATCCGTCAAGTTCTCGCCTAGTTCCTTGGCCACACGTCTGAGGTTCTTCAGACTGATTTTGCCCGTGTTGTCGTCGTCGAAAAGCTGGAACGCCCGTCTGATTTCGTCTAGGGGGTCCCGATTGAGGATCTTCTCACCCATCACCACGAAAAAGTCGTCATAGTGCATCAGACGGCGTCCATCGCGATCGTACTTCTCGAGCAGCTCGAGCAGTTCCTGTTTCGAAAGTTCAAACCCGAGTGCGCGTGCAGCTACTTTGAGCTCATGGTAGTCCACAAACCCATCGTTGTTCATGTCAAATAACGAAAAGGCTTCGAAGATTTCCTGTTTGTTTTCTTCTAATAATTCCTTCTGTAGCACTCCGTTTTCAGCACTGGAAGCTTTGAAAGAGCCGGCTCCATTCAGCGCACCGCGTGGCGTGGACCTTCTATGATTCATACTGTTCTCAGCGGTCTGTTTACTGTGTTTTTGCTGCGAGTTTGTTTCGCTGATTTGTTATTATCATCAACAATCTGTAATTTTAAACTTTTGGTGACTTTATTTCTAATGTCGCTACAACACGCGAACTTATGATACCACTTCTATGATTCAAGTAGGCCACCAGGCTAGGATTGGTAGGTTCACAGGCACTGTCAAATTTGTAGGCGAGACCGAATTTGCCAAGGGCGTTTGGTGTGGTATCGAACTGAATGATAAATCCGGCAAAAATGATGGCTCTGTGAATGGGATCAGGTATTTCGAAACTGTAAAGAAAGGTGGGTTTTATGGGCTCTTCGCAAGACTGGAAGCGGTTCATGCTGTTGGAGAAGATTTCCAGGATGAGGAAACACCAATTGATGGTGAATCAAGTGTAAAACTCCGAAATTTGGTGGTGAGATTGCAGGACAAACTCTACGAGATTCATAGCAGGTACAAAGAGCTAGAGTTGAAAGTCCAGCGTAGCAGACATTTGGAGCTGGAATTGGAGGCATGTGTCATGGATAAGGAAGCACAGCAGTTGGAAATTGAGGAGTTAGCCGATGAACTTGCCAGGCTGAAAAAAAAGCATAAAGATTCACTTAGTCACATACATGAGCTTGATGAAGAAATCAATCTGCGGAGAAGTATCGATCTTGAAGAATGGAATGCACAAGCGTCCTCAGAAACTCTGTGGAAACGTAATAAGCTTCTGGAATCGACACTTTTTAAGCTTCAAAGTGCCCTAGAAAATTCACGTCAGCGAAATGAGGAGCTCGGAAAGCAAAACGAGGTCATTACCCGCGAGCACAGAACGGTGAGGGATGAGTTGGAAAATGTCAGCCAAGAATTGGAAGATTGTCGTCGCTTGATAGAAAATCTCAGCTCCCAATTGGAATCCGAAGTGTCTTACGATCACATCGTAGACAAGCTTACACAAGAAAATGCCGATCTACAGACACAGGTAGAAGAGTACAAGATGATCACGGAAGAGCTTCAAGCCGAATGCGTGATTGCTAGGGATCTTGAACATATCTACCGTGACCTCGAAGAAGAGCTTTCGGAGCAATTACGCTGGCTGCGCGAGGACCTTAAAACTGCACAACAGAAAATGAACGACCTTGAGTTCGAAAATTCCGAGCTTTCCCAAAAATTGACAGCCCGCGATCCATCCGTAGAACGCCAGTTCCAAGAACTCACGACCCAAATTGATGAATTGCAGCTGAGCCTTCGCCTAAAGTCCCGCGACAACCAATTTTTAATGGAGGGCCTAGATGATATAAACTTGAGGCATCCCATGCTCGTGTCTCGACAATTTAATTTCCTGTCGAGGTTCTTGGGCGAAGGCACGCCTGTAGGCTGCACCAAAGGACTCAAAGCATCTTTTCTTCTTGAACTGGCAGCCCAATTCTATATGTCAACAGCTCGTACGAACAAGCTTACCAAATCAAACGCATCAGATCTCCAATTCTTCACCGCAGATCAAATCGAAGGCTGGAAGAATACTATTATCCGAAATGAGTTTCCGGATGAGCTTTTAACCTTGGGAATGCGTCCATACCTTGATCTAAGGGATTCTATTTCGAGTACCGATGCTTTGATTCTTTTCCAAACGTTGCAGAAAGCATCGACAGACTTGCTAAGTTCAGGTCGTGATTTTGTTGGCGCACTGCGACTGAGCCTTTCCCAATTGATCGCGCTTTGTGACACAAAGTTAGAATCAGTACCGGAAGGGGCCATGGCATTTGTTGAAAAGCACCAAGTTTTCGACTTACTCGCGTCCTTCTTTGAACAAGTTATATGCTGCTTAGATTTCGATGATATTGAGCAAGGAAAAATGTTGAACTCTATGGAAAATCTTCTCAGCACAGTTCGCCAGCTCGAGGTAATTGTGAAGTTTGATCATGATCAGGATCAGTCTGAAGGTTTGCAAAATCATACTAAAACCGAGGCTCCAGGCAAGACGAATGAAAGCGAGTTAAAACTTTTGGAAATGCGAGATGTGATCTCCGCTAAACAGTCTAGCATCGAGGAGTTGACTCTGAAGCTCAAGTTTTTTGAAAATAAACTAGAGCGACAAAAACTGCAAGAGGATGTCGTTTTCAAACTTCAGACTGAGTTGTCGGCTCTCAAATCATCTGAAAAATTATTACAGTCTTCAGTTCGTAGTCTAGAGGCTGCCAATCTAGGAATGCAAGAAAATCTAGATGTTGAACGCATCAAGCACAGATTTCTGTTTCCTACTGAGAAGCTTGTTAATCTGGCCAAGGAAACAGATGGTGTTGATCGCTTCAAACTGACCTGCCAAATTAATGATCTGAAAGCAGTGATTTCAAGTAGGCAAGACACACAAGACGTCTTGAATGAAAATCTGTGGCTCGAAACACCTTTGTGCTCGAAAGACGCATTTGTGGGAACGAATTTCTTCAACGAATTAGAGCTGGCTCGCAATAACTATTCGCAGTTTTTAGAGACAGCTGACGTTGTGCCCATTACGCTTGGATCCTACAAAAGCAGTTCACTTGGTTATTTTTGCAGAAGACTTGATGAGAAGAAGGCTCTTTTGGAAAGTCAACTGTATAAATTAAGTGATATGTAAAATAATTGGATATATGGCAGTTCATTCCTGTTTTCTTCTCCATTTGACTGCCAGATCAATCTGGTCTCTTGGGTACCACCATTCGAGCAGCAAGAAAATCATGAATTCGACCACAGCGCACAACATATACAGACAGCGTGCCCACGGCCCGCCGCGGTTGTGGTAATTTTTCAGCAGCCTTAACCAAGAGCGATCCTCAGTAATGGATTGGTGAAGTAGTCTGTGATAGACTGCCGTAGTTCTTTCGGCTACATCAGTCCAATCATAAATCGCTGCAACTTCCGAGTGAAACAGCGAAGTGTCAACTTTCTTTCGCTGAAATAATGTTATTGCTCTCAATGTGGCGTCCACCAAGCTAGAAACAGAGGTTTCTTTCGCGAATACTGTCATATGCTCGGGCAAAACCTCCGGTATACCGCCAACAGTAGTTGTGACTATCAGCAGCCCACAAGAAGCCGCCTCCACAAGCACAGTTCCAAAGGCTTCCGTCAGACTTGCATGAAGATATATGTCGCCTTGGCACATGACGTCGCGTACTTTCTCGTGCTGCACCGCTCCCAGAAGTTGAATCCTGTCCTGAAGACGATATGTCTCAATCATTTGCTGGAAATCAACGAATTTGGGCCCGTCGCCGGCAACTACAAAATTGACACTTTGCTGAAGTTGGCAGATTTGAGGGATAAGATGGGTTAAGAGATCGGCACCTTTGTTGGGATACAGCCGACTGATGACTACAATGGTTATTTGGTCAGGACTCTTGCGTGGGCCTCTCGGTATCGGTGCAAAATCCTTGCTCACTACCGCGTTCGGTATCACAGATACATGAGATGGGTCGAGACTGGCCCTCAAAATCATATTTTCTTTGCAGGTGTTGGAAACGCAAATGACAGCCCCAACGTTCGTCAACGAGAAGCGCAACAGCTTATTGACGAGAATCGAGCCCAATGAATCAAACCCATACAAAGAGTGGTCCGTAAACACAGTTCGTAGGCCCATGACCGTGGCGTGAAGCAGAGCCTCGTGTGCCAGCGACGATACACTGACATGCGAGTGCACAAGTTGGATTTGCTCGCGCACTAAGATATTCCGTACAATGGGGAAACTCCCAAATACAGTTGGAAAGCTGGTTTCTCGGTACACGATCGCATACGGAATGTAATAAACCTTCAACCCGTTGCTCAGATATCGCACCCCCGTTCTATCACCATATGCATGTGTTAAAATGACGACCGAGTGGCCCAACTCGATGAGCTTTTGAGCCAAATGGTAGATGTGGAACTCTACACCGCCTAGTTGCGGGTAGAAGAAGTCGCAAACCATGCTTCAAAGGATGCATGTTAGTAATCGAAAAACAGAAGCATCATTTCCAGCTATTACTAAGGCCTTACCTACGCTATATTGTACGCCATGACGGGCGATTTGTTCGGCCATATGAAGCTCAGTTGATCCATACAGATGCCGATCTCTCAATTCCAATTATTTGACTACAGTTCGAGAGTCACGTGATAGAATTGTTAGAGGCATGCCATTTGGAAGAGCGTAACGAGCACAGGATGTCAAGTTGGCCTCTGAATAGGTTTTTACTGGCATTGGGATGACTACTGGAAGTACAGCCACTTTTGGCGTCTTTTTTGGGGAATTTTTCTGATCGGTTTTGGCTTACTTTTATCGCTTTTCATCAACTTCATCAAGAGCATGAGATAAAAAATTACCAGTTGAATTTGTATCTTCAAATTCGCTAGGGAGGGTGGCCCTCTATAATGACATGTTGTTCGAACAAAACCACAAATTACGGTTTTTCGAGCATTCTTCGAAACGTTTCAAAAGGTCGCTTGTTTGATCTCAACAATTATCCCACTCTCAATGATAAGCAGGCTTGTAAACTAGAAGTCTTTTTTTCAGAGCTATGCTCGAGACTGTGGTAGGAGACAGATACCCAGAAATAGGTTTTTAGTCGACGGATCAAGCTCGCGAAATTTGATAAATTTCATATTCTGTCATTGTTGGCAGATAGCCAATTGAGACACTCTACCCATGCTCTCTGGTCACAAATCCTCATCGCGAGTCCTCAAAACTGTGTGTCACACTATGCCATTGTTGCCAATTATCCGTTTCTCGAGTATTCAATTGTCACTTTGTACTGTTCTGTCACCACCGCCACATTTCATGTTTTGAGGACAGCGATAGCAGGTGAAAACTGCTCATATTGAGTGATTAGTGTGCTGGATTTGAATAGGAATATTGGCGATACCAGCCTACAATTGACACATAAAGTCTCTGTGCAAGTTGCGATTTTACAAACATAATAAATAGTCTACGAGCTAAGGGCAGTAAAAGTTCGGCACAAAAACTATTACAGAAAAGCTAACAAAACTATTCCGATATTGGCACAATTACAACGACACTTTCATGCTCGCTGTCATTAATTGTGCTCTCAAAACCCAGAATTAAATTAATCTCTTCCGCAACCAAAACTAAACGAAAATTGGTCGTTTTTTCAATCTTACAATCCCACGGTGACCGAAAACTAACCACAATCCCGAATGAATGGTACAAGACTACGAGACTGGCCTGATCTCAGGGCCAAAATATCATCTTCAGTTATATCGTCTTCTTCTGGCGTAGAAAGTGATACATTCCATGTATAATAATAAGTTAACGCCTACTTAAGTATTAATGGTTACAATTAAAGAGATGAGTTAACTACATATACATCGCCTCTCGAGCACTCCAAATGGCGCGCTCGTCGCAGAAATATACTCCCGTTGGTCAAAATGACAGCGAGGATTCTAATGTGGGTAGTAGTGCGGAGAATGGTGCAGTAAGCGATCCAGTTTTACCTCCAAATCCGCCTGCATATCAAGATGACAGAGCCGATGACTTCGAGAGGAGCATGGAGCACTTCGAGTTCGAAGATGCTGCTCAAACAGAGGAAACGAGCAAGGTTGAGCGGCTGAAGCGAAAATTCCGGCACTATGTTGTACTTCCGGTCCGGGAACGCATCACGGACCCGTTGGCTGTGTTAGTGGCTATTGTTTCACTAAAGTTCGACTACTACTTGAGTAAGATAGGAAACCCATTGATTCTCAAGCGTTTCGTTTACGTACTGTTCGTGTCGGGTTTTATCTACTACGTGTCGACCAGTGGGCTTTTACCCAACGGCAAAACCGCTGGCTCCCGAGGAATGTTTTCGGACCAGGCTCAGCTTATGGCATACGCAAAGCAAGCACTTGACATGTCAAAAATGGAGAGCGACTTGGAATTCATCAGTAGCATGTCTCACATGGCCGGCACTAAAGGTGATCTAGCCGTGGCCCAGTACATCAAAGAGGCGTTTGCCAATAACGGGCTGCGGCTCGTAGGAGACGCTGCTTTCGAGACCTATTTGAACTACCCGGGGAACGCAACTTTGGTAGTGCGCTCATCGATCGGGGAAAATTTGAATTTGGACCTAACGGACCAAAATTTCAACCCGTTAAGTGTCGAAGGCGAGGTTCTCGACGCCCAGCTCGTGTATGGTCATCTAGGAACCGACCAGGACTTTAAGCTTTTATCGCAAAACGGTTTGCCAGGTGAAAACACTATTCTTCTAATGCGCTACGATCTTTATCCCGGAGAACAGGTCTTGCGAGCTCAGGAGCGTGGTTATAAAGGTATCATTTTCGTGTCTGACGGGTATGGAGACGAGCAAATAGACAGTGTTCAGCAAGCATCTGTTCACAATTTCCGCATCAGTATGGGTGACCCCCTTTCCCCTGGCTGGAGTTCTGCTACCAGCAAGCGGCTGACTTTAGCCGAGTCTAGCATAGTGCCTAAGATTCCAACGGTGCCCGTCTCGAGAAGGCAAGGTGAAAGTCTTCAAAGGTTACTTGCCCATAGTCAAGGCGCACAATTTGAGGATGGTTGGTACAGTGGTAGCGCAGGTGGCGTAACAGTCGATTTTTCATTAAAGCCCGTTGGGAGAAAAGAGCATGTAACTTGGAGCATTGTGGGCAAGATTGAGGGCAGGGAGCAAGATGACAAAGCTATAATCTTGAGCGCTGCTAGGGACTCTGCGTGCACAGGGTGCACTTACCCCAACTACGGCACTGCAACTCTTCTGTCCTTAGTTCAGCTCTTCCAACAGGCAAAGTATAAATTTGGTTGGAAGCCTCTAAGGAACATTTATTTCATTTCGTATGATGCCTCAGAGTTCGGGCATGCGGGCGCTACCGAACTTCTGGAGTCCGAGTCACTGAAGATAAGAGAAGAGATCTATGCATTGCTGGACATAAGTCAACTCGGTATTGACCCAGATGGTCAAAAGCTGAATATTCAGTCACATCCTTTGCTTTTCGAGTTTTTCAAAGACGAAACGTCAAGAACGGGCTTTGAGACCAATATTACACACGTCAACCAATATGGCGACTGGAGCGCCTACCTGACAAATGGTATTCCTGTAGCAATTCTTTCGGCACCACACATTTTGGAAAGAAAATATCCAATCTATACGTGCAATGACACATTTGAAAGATTCTCCAAGCATATTAGCAGTGACTTCTGGGAACGATCTTCAGAGCTCACGCTATATGTGCTTCAGACATGCCTCAGGCTGATAGACTTGCCAATGATTCCATTTGATATTGAAACTTATGTGATATCATTGGAGCTTCTGCTCCAAGACTTGGAGCGTAGTTCGGTTGCGTTGGAGTTGAATTTTCATGATCTGGTAGAGGCTCTTTCAAGGTGGAAGCGGATCGGAGAGCGGGTGAATTCTTGGATTCGCTCATGGCAAAAAATCGTATTAATCCAAAATGAAGGTCTAGAGCCCTCTTTGCTATCGGTGAATCGATGGGCCTGGAACCGACGGCTTTCAAACCTCGAGAAGCGACATTGTGTTGCTCAGGGTCTTCCAAATCGGAGTTTCTACAAAAACGTACTTTTCGGGCCTACGCTGAAAAATCAGGCACCTCACGATTCTTGGAGTTTTCCAGGGATCAGAGACGCCATCACCGATGGCGACAAACAACGTGCACAGGATCAAATAAGCCTTGCTGCTGGTCTACTGCATAATTCTGCAGCATTGCTCTTGGACAATTCCGAGGAAAACCGATTACAATGAGATCTTTAAAAGAAACTCACTAAACTAAACCTACAAGACAGAAAGAGACAGAATTCATTACAAACTAACTAGTGGGTCGACATCGAACAAAGATTCCTTGGGTGACTTCAAGCCGTCCTCTCACTTCCTTTTTTTTATCGAGACCTTCAACCTACCACATTTGTCTTGATAAATCATACAAAACGCAAACCTGGCACACCGTCGGTAGCGTCAAATTACACCATCAAGCAACGATAAATATCTTGTAATTCTACATACATGGCCTATGCTCAAAGGAAGCCTTAGTTACGTGCACATCACTTTAATCCAATCTGTCTCAACAGTTACGTCTAGTTCGTTTAATTTGACGCCTGCTAGATGTTGAATAAAATCATCAACCCTGGGGAAAGTCCATCCATCATCGTGAGCTCACAAAGATAGTTCAGCATCTCAATTGAAGCTAGCATAGTTTCTTGCCTCGAAGGACTCAGACCTATTACTATTTCACCATGTCTTTTGTCAAGAACTTGTTATTTGGTGGTGTTAAGACCAGTGAGGACCCAACAGGCGTAACAGGCGGACCAAACGAGCAGAAACAGGGGAAAAACACGGAACCTGTGGTCGAGGGCAAGTTCTATCCACGCACACTGTACAAGTTCAATGGGCATGACGACGAGAAGATCTTCTTGGCTATCAAAGGTAAGGTTTTTGACTGCTCGCAGGGCAGACAGTTTTACGGTCCCAGTGGCCCGTACTCGAACTTTGCGGGCCACGACGCATCCAGAGGTCTTGCAACCAATTCTTTCGATCTCGATACCTTGAGACACTGGGATCAACCAATGGACGACCTTGCAGATCTGACAAAGGAAGACATGGAAGCGTTGGATGGCTGGCTTGAGCATTTCGAGAAAAAGTATCCATGCATTGGGACGCTGGTGCCAGAGCCAGGTGTAAACTGCTAAGGAAGTATGGATTATAGGGCTATTTTTCATTCTGTAGAATCCGTATTTATGTAAAATTACTACCGGGCAACATGCCTGGCTGTAGCTCTTCGAATGGTGCGAGTAGCACCAGGTGACACAGTTTCAAGCTTTTGGAGCATACGACTATAACTGTTCAAAGCGTTACCGGCCAGTTTGGATGCCTCCACGAGAGCACAGAGCTTTTCGTGGAGTGTCTGGGCGCCCGCGTCGGATGGATCGTTTGCAATGTCTTTAGCAGGAACAATTCTGCTCCAAATAATAACGTCCGGGTGTTTGGAAAGCGAGGTTCGAGGCATTATTTCGCTGACCCTCCAATGCAGCTTTTCAATTTCTGAAATGACTCTCCGCTTCACAAGTGACAGAAATCCGGGTCCTGCCTCCATGTGTACCTCTACAAGCTCCGTTGAATCGAGTTGCGAGTTTCTGGCCCTAGAAAGCGAAGTAAATTCATCCAATCTTATACTGCGATCAGGGTGGAACTCCAAGAACTGTGGTTTCCGATCCTTCAAATGATCAACTGGAATGCATACAGTTTTCACAACATTCGGCCTCTCAAAGTTGAACTTGACGTCTGCATATTTCGATGCCTGCTTTTTAATGACACGACAGCTGCGAACACACTCGTCGTAGTCTGTTTCCTGGCCTTGAGCACGACATTTCGGCAAACCTGGGTTGTACTTGCGCAATCGATATCGTCTACGACTAATCCATAGTCTGTAAAGCTTATTTTTCTGTAACACCTTCACTCTTGGCGACCTAGAGTAGCCGTTTGGAAATGATGCGATGAGCAAAGGTTTGTTTTTAGCAGTGGGTGATTCTAGTCCCGACCTCATATTAACATAATCATCAATTACCAGGGGCGTCATCAATTTGTTGCCGTCAAACTGCTTGTGACGCACACTGCGGGTGTTTTTACGATGCAATCGGTGGATGTGATGCAGATTATACTTGCGTCTAATTTTGCGAAACGACACAATTTGATATATTTGCCCTGTTTTTCGACGCACAAAACGCGTCCTTGATTTTCTCGGAACTGGAACTGCTCTCATAGTTGATTCTGATGATAGGACAGGAGCCAGTGTTATCCAAGTTGTCTTATTTTTGCTTGAGGTTATTTGTGTTTTTGAGTTTTGGACAGCTTTCACCAATTTTTTATTCTGTCGCTGTCGCTATAACATGAAAGCTGTCATCAACGATTAAGTGCGAAGGCTTGCGCACAACTCTTTGATTATGATAAGGGCTCATCAACACTGAGGATTGATGATATGCTGACATTTTCTGGCTAGGTTTTGTGTACATAATGGAAAATCTGATCGAGTGTGGAAGGTCAGGTTTATTATTTGACCTTCATGCATAATTTTGAGCTCTCTATCAAACGAAGGCTTCTCGAGGAATGTTATTTACACTTTCACGGAACCCCTTCATGGCAACATCGAAATTCCAACCACTTTGGTCCGCCAACAAGTAAGTAAACTCAGCATTGAGCTTGGTTTCTTGATGGATTTTGTTGAGAAGATCGAGTTGAAGCGGATTGAGCTTTGCCTGAACATCAGGTGGTAATATGAGAGGAGTAACAGCCACTCCTTGTACAGGAACTCCGGGAATAACGGGTTGAATTTGTGGCTGGGTTATGGGTTGTACGCCTTGTGGTCCCAGCGGGGATAGGGGTGATTGTCCTTGAGCTAGAACCGGTTCTGGCTGCACTTGCTGAGGAATCCAAGATCCATCCACGAAGGGTCTTATAGTCAAAAGATCTGAGGCAACAATAACAGTGCCCTGGGAAGGCACGATGACCCATGTTCTATCGAATGATCTTTTTGCAAGTTTGTTGGGAGTATTGCCGTGGCCATGATTGAAACGTCTATTCCTTCCGCCGGCCGAGTTGGGAGTGGATTTGTTGGCGTCTATTTCAGGGGCTGCGGATTCTTCGAAAAACCCATGTAGCGTAATTGTGAAACCCTGAACTTGAGGATATGAGAAGGCTTCGACTGAGTAGCTCGACGCCTGCTCTTGAAGAAAGTGTTTAGTTTTGGGCAGAGACTTGAAAATTTTGTCAATAGCCTCTTGACCCATTGCGAGCCTTTGCTCTTTAGTCCGCTCACTCGAAATCTTGGTCAAATTCCGTGAGAGAGGTAGATAGTAACCGAAAGTCGGATTTTGATCTGCGTTGGGCACACTGGACGCAGGTACCGAAGAGTCAATTGCCACGGAAAACTGAGACTGTGGCGTGTATAGAGCCATCAACTGGCTTCTATTAGTGTCCCATAGTGTGAGGAAGTTGGTCACGAAATCTATGGAAGACTGTCCGAGATCGTTGGTCTCGAAAAAAAATTGTTGTAACTTCATGGGTATCGAGAACACCTGTTGGAGTTTGGTTTCATCCCTGATTACAACGTTATCCAGAATGACAAGCCTTGGGAAAAGCCTTAGCACCTCTGATCGATACAGAGGCTCCGTAGTGATGGGATTGTTCATCATTAGAAGCTCCCGCAACTCTTTGAATTTGTTTTTCCATACCTCGAGCGCGCGGAACCGCGAAATCTGGTTGTTTGCTAGGCACAGGTTTTTTAGGTTAGGATACGTTTGCGCCAAACAGGAGATCATGTTTAGATCTTTCAACTCGTTATCTGACAAGTTTATGGACTCGACCACCAGCTGAGATTCTTTGGAGGCCAGTTTCATCATAGCCGGGAAAATCTTGGACTGTGTGGTCTGCGAAGAAAACAGCCCGTTGGTGGCCAGGTCAGGGTCATTCCGAAGATTGCCCAGGTCTAGCATTTTGGTCTGAGGACTATACCGCTTAAAGAGGAAAGATTTCAAAAGCACGATAGTTTTGGAAGTCCCGGCATCTCCACCACCATTACCCAGTATTTCAAATTTCAAAGCGTTACCTGCGAAACGAACACCATTCCAATTCAGAAGAGACTGTGCTTCGTTCTGATTATTAACGTAACCTATCACCAAATTACCCTCTACTGACGAGTCTACGATAGCGATTCTTGTCTTGCGGCTCACAAAGCTCACAAGGTCTTGTCTGGTGGCATTCTGCCAGCCCTTTACACTTATCTTCACTCTTCTTTCTAATGCATTTTGCTGCGCAAAAGCGGTGGGGTTTTGATACATATTTTGCATCGCAGACTTGGCACGCAGACCGGACTCAAACTAAACAGCCGCTGAAAGCCTAGGAAAAGGGCTGATGTCCCAATTGCAGTTGTAGTTTTAACATCAAACTCAAGAATTGTTCGTCTTTAATATGGGAAAAGTTTTTATTATGGTAAAAGATCGTGAGATACGAAATTTGGACGATAGTTCTGAAATTCGTATACAATTGTCAGTAGTTTTGGGAAATGTGGCCCGAGCTGCTCCTTTAGGTCTTACTAGTCGTCGCTGAATATTAGTCCATGTAAAGCATCTTATTGTTGCCTTTTTGCTGCCAAAATCTCACAAGTTTTGAATTAAATGGCAAAATACAGGTCAATTGGTTTTCCGTGGCGAAAAAGAGGTTTCTCGCCCTTGAAACTAGGTTGAAACGCACTCCTTATGTACTAATGTCGATGAGATATCGTTCGGTGTTTTTTCTGGCGTCAGACCTAGTCGATTACAATAAATTGAGCATTGGTAGCGACAGAATAGTACAAAGTGACAACCATTATGCTCGATCTACGTTTTGAATGAATGACGATTTAGTTGGTTGATCTTGAAATACTGCGAGAACTTGAATTGGTTGTCCCTTCTCTAGCGGCACTCGACATCTTTCAATTCCCTTTCGTGAAAGATTTTGCGTTCAAACCATCCATAGACAACTCGAACAAATAAGGACAACTTGAGCGTGATAATCAAAGTAAAATTCAGATTCACCCATCTCTATACCGCGCAGAGCACTTGAAGTCTACAAAGGATGCTAGCATATCGGAATGTATGAGTTTTACACCCCATCTTTAATGATGTGAATTCATAAAATGGCCCAAAACAATGAAACTCGACTCTAAAAATCGTCTGAAATATGCTTCAAATTACTACGCTCAAATGACAATTGTTCAGATTGTGCAATGCCTGCTTCCTCTCTCTTTCTCTGTCGTATTCAAGACACTATTCTTCGAGATCTCAGGACCATTTCGTACAAAAGCACATCAAAACTAGATATTTAAATATTATTCCAGTTTCTACCCTCTGGTCTTATATACTCACCAGTGCCACCAGGTTTCTTCCAATACCTCTCTGAATTGTGACTAGATTGGCCATGACACAGAGCTATGATTACGATGAAGGGTCTGAGACCTGGCCGTTTTTCGTTTTGGCAGTTTTATGCGTAGTTTTAGTGCCATTGACAGCGATGCAGCTGTGGGAATTGGTTTCAGGTGGGCAAAAAGACCAAGATCTTAAAGATCAGCTGAATGTTCTTGGAAAGATGTCAGAACAGTACGCTAGCAGTGAAATACTCGAATTTAGAGCCAAAAACTTGGCCAAAAAGTCCAAATGGTTGGCTAAACGTAACCTATTCATCATTGCTGGCTGGACAGTGGTGGCCTATTTGGTGCAATACATCGGCTCAAACGATGCGATCCAAGATGCTGCTACTCTTTTGTTCGACCCTTACACCCTTCTAGACATCTCAACGTCTTCGACTGATCGCGAAATCCGGTCCGCGTATCGTAAACTATCGGTCAAGTTCCATCCAGACAAATTGACTAAGGATCTTAGCCCAGAACAGCGCTCCGTGGCAGAAGAGCAATTTGTTTTGATCACAAAGGCTTACAAGGCTCTCACTGACGAAGTTACCCGTGAGAACTTTTTGAAATATGGACATCCAGATGGCCCACAAGCCACATCACACGGAATTGCATTACCAAAGTTTTTGGTCGATAGCTCGGCTTCCACTCTGATGGTTCTTGGATACATTGCGTTGCTAGGAGTAATTCTACCATACTTTGTGAGCAGATGGTGGTCCAAGACCCAGTCCATGACAAAGAAAGGCATTCACGTCAAATCTGCATCTTACTTCTCCGACAGACTTTTCAATTTCAAGCCCTCGCAGGTGGTTACTTTGGACCTTATAGTAAATTGGTTATCGCACGCAGAGGAGTTCAAGTTGATGTTCCCTGAGCTCGGCCAAGAAACCTTCGAAACTTTGCTACACGATCAAGTCAACCGTAAACACAGTGGAACTCTCGAAACGGCGAAACTAGGACTTGTTGCAAAAAGCCATGTCCTGCTCTTCGGGCTGTTAGACATTGCGACTACCTTCAGAAACTTGGAAATCTCCAACATGGCAATTGATACATTAAAAGCCATTGTCCAGGCAACGCCCGTCTCGCCATACTCTCAACTTCTGCAACTGCCTAACGTGAATGCTAAAAGTTTACTTGAGGGATCGGTGGATGACATTCGCACTTTGGGGAAACTGTTTACCTACGATGACGCCAAGATCGGCAAGATTTTGGGTATAGATGATAACACAAAGCTACAGGAAACCTTAACTATTGCATCTGCCATTCCTCATTTGAAACTAATCAGAGCCGAGTTTAAAGTGCCCGGTGAGAGTGTTGTCACTCCTCAATCGACCCCTCACATTTCTCTTAAGGTCCTAGTTCGCTCTGCAAAGCACAAATTCTTCGGTCCAAACCTGATTCCTGATGAGATGTGTCAGGATGAGCAAGATTTCGACTCTTTGAGAGATCCCTTTGCAAGTATTTTGGAGCAGCCTAGACTGCCGCAAACTTTTGCACCACACTTTCCGGGCAAACGCAGTGGCTGTTGGTGCGCACTGGTGGTTTTACAAAAGGACGGCAAAGTTATTCAGACTCCTATGTTAATTGACAGATTGTCCTTCGCAAACTTGAACAAGGACTTCGACAAGAGAACCGTTAAGGACCTAGAGAAAGACTTCAAGCCCGAAGACTGGGTTATTGGAACCATCAAGATCCCATTCAGCCAGCCTGCTCCTGCAGAAAAGGGCGATTTCTTTTTCAGAGTGATTGTCAAGAGCACCGAATACTTCGGTCCTGATTTGGACTTCACTTTGGCAATGGCTGTTCGCGAACCATCTGAAGTTGAAGAAATGGAAAAAGAAGGTGCAGCGTATGGTTCTGATTCGGAAGATGACGATAGCGACCTGGAAGAGGACGACGAGAGTAATGACGAGCTGGATGAAGAAGAGAGCGATTACACCGATATCGATACCGACACCGATGACGAAGAAACTGCAGACGACAAGGCTGAAAAGTCAAAGTAAAGTAATTAGCAGCCGAATAAGTGGTCAGCCAATTTAATGATAAAAGTACATAGTCGTAAAAACTTCGCGTTCTATCTCGTCCGGAACCAGGTCTATCATGTTTGCTTGACCAAGACGTATGCATCTGGCGATCCGGTAGTGTCTTTGTAGTAGTCCTTTAGCTCATCTCCCTCGACTTCAAACCCGTGTCCTTTATACCATTCCAGACCTTCTTTGTTATCAACAGCAACGTGGACAAACAATTTGTGCTGAAAGTGCGTTTTACACTGTTCTTCCACGTACTTCAGAAGTTTGGACCCGATGCCTTTGCCTCTGTAAGCTTCCAGCACCGCCAGAACCTGAACATATACGCCTGCAGGCTTCACACCACCGTTTTTGTTGGCCAAGAGCTCTGCTCTAATGCCACCAACAGCAACTTCACCAAAGTAGCCCAACTGGCCGAAGAAGGTGCCCTTGTACTTGTCGTCGAACTGCTCGTTGAAGAACTTTTCTGGGTAGTTTACCGGTAGAACAGTGTTGGTGATCTTCCTAAAAGTGCCGACGTTGTTGGCATAAATATTATCGAGATTCACAGGACTCTTGGACATTTCGATTGATTGACTTGGTGAGACTCGCTTTCTTTGAGAAGTTTCCTCAGTTTCGTTTTTAAGATCTGTCTCGAGGCTATGAATGAGAACATCCTAATTGATCTAAACATGAATTTGAACATGTTTAAAGAACTCAAAAAAGCAAGGGAAGGAGATGAATAGGTGGTCTAAACTCCTTTCCAAGCTTGGATGTCAGTTGTACTCAACTAGGGCTTCAAAACGAGCCCAAAGTCGTCATGATCCCGTTAAAATCAAGGCTAATCTCAGCAAAAGTCGAAACCTATTGATCAATGCTTTAGAAAGACAATTGAATCTGGGGAAAGTGCCCGCTGGAGATAGCCAATTGGGCAAAACTTTGGATTCTGTTATGAGAGAAACATTATCGGACACCTCGCTTACTCTGCAGCAAATGCGGAGGTTATTTCAGCTCATCCTGCAAGGGAAAGTCAGCGCATCGACCATCGATGCGGCCTGGAAAACCAGCCATCCCAAGCGAGAGGATATGATCAACATTAAAGAACCACAAGCGAGGGTTAAGAGTAAGAAATCAGTGGTGGAGGGCCGTTCAGAGTTGCTAGAAATCCATCCGTCAACCTCCAAGGAATTTCACCGAACTTTAAATGACTTGGGTCCCGAGATAACTATTCCTCCGAACGATGAATCTGACGTGAAACAGGCGTCAAACTGTCCAGCTCACAATGGTGACATTGACCTTTCCTCGCTACAGACCTTTTTAGAAACTACTGAAAAATCGAAACGAGAACAGCATCAATTTGCTCAAGAACAAACGAGAAAGTACCAATGGAACGCGAGCGCAGGTACTCTTGGTGCTTTGTCTCCTGGAATGCTGATTTTTAATGACAATCGCTACCGCAAAAGGCCGACACTTTCCAAGCTGCTGTTTTGGAAGGGCTTGGATTCTCAGCTACCCAATAGCAGAGGAAATCAGGATCACATATCCAGCTCTGCACAGCTGCTTCTCTATGATTTGAAGAAGGGGACTAGGGTTTTGACTTCCTGGAAAGCTCAAATGACTAATTTACATATAGAGTACAAGGACCTGTTTACGGTTATCAATGGCAGCAGCAAACCGCCTGAGCATTTGCTGGAGGTTATAACAGACCTCGAGCGTGAAAAATGGCAGTTGATAGGAGACGCCGCGGTAAACGGCGACTCTAACCTAGTTTTCAAACGCGACCGGAAAGATTCTAAGAGCGGAAAAGCATTTTCTCGAGCAACAAATATCGGTCTTATCGTTTTGCTGCTTGGATTCACGACATATGGTGTGCAGCTGAGGCGGCAGCGTCTGCAGAGGGTAGAAACGCATTTTTGTGCATGATTCGGTTAACAGCAACGTATCGATTTTCATTCGTAATGTTCAAATTCGCTACTTCATCTCCACGTCTGCAGTGTTCGAGATTGCAGAGCTCTGTGCACTTTTATTCCCGCCAATAACTCTCTCCGCTTTGTCATTAACTCTGATCTGCTGTAAGTGGTTCATGGACCCAAAGCTGTGGTTCCAACGCCTGAGAAATGCCACGTTATCGGCATCCGTGAGATCCGGCACCAAGAACCCGGACTCTAGTTCTTTCATTTCGGTGTCTCTTTTTTGCTGTAGAGCAACCTGTCTGTTGGAAGGAGGTCTGTTCGATCTTCTCTTTTGCTTGAGTTCTTCCAGCTCGTCATCGTCGCGACCGATGTACTGCTTGGCAAATAATACCGTTTCTTCAAGTGTGAACGTCTCTCTGCTTTGGAAAGAATCCATCTTCACGACATCCTGAAGAAATTTAACACGACCCAACTCATGTGTTCTGCGTTCGTTGTGGGACCGTTTCTTGGCAGAGATCTTGTCTTCACGTAGTGTAGCGGTGGCCAATTTTTGGAATTTACGGCCCTTGGGGTGGACCGCGACACTCTTTCCCTTCTGATTCTTTTGAAGTTTGGTCAAAGACTTCGACACTGGCATTTTCTCGGTTCAAGAAAAATGTTTCAATATCTTTAAAACGCGCTAAAAACGGACAAATTGATCCTAGCGCTTCAACGACTTTCTTGGCTTCAAGATGTCTCGAAGCTGTTGTTGATTGAAACCCGGAAAACCTTCAATGTGATGCGATGCGATGAGCATCGAAAATTTACCAGCTCCGTCACCAGTGATAAATTTGCTAGAAACAGTACCGGACCTGAGTGAGTAGCTCACCATGAATCCAGTTCTGACAGTAGCCTGAGTAGCTGTTGTGCTCTAGCTGTATTGGAGTATCCTTTGTATTTGATCCGCGAATAGTAAACGGGACAGTCCTGTGAGTCGCATTTGGTGACAATTTTCGACATGTCGTCTTGCAGGTTTTTGGTCAAAGGCGCACAGCAGCTTCTGCAAACGGTTAAAATGGATCCCAATTGCCTTTTAACTGCCCTGTCTTCTTGCAAAAGCGAAGTAACTGTGGCAGATTTCTGGAGCATACACTCGGCACATAAAATATTATTGGTTCGCTTTTTGATCTCTTTTTTGCAGTTGAAGCATAGAGTGGAGCGCATGAATTCGGGCAGTTTTCCTTCCTTTGCTTGATTGTAAGTCATATCCTGGAACCGGGGCATTTCGACGTACCATCGTGTGACATCGACACCCATAAGATTGAAAAATCGTTGCAATGGTGGAATAAGCGTCTTGGTAATGTAATAAGTCGAGTCCAGCTCGAAGCTCTCGTTGGACAAAAACACTTCAGGAGGAATGCATCGCTCTCGCAAGATCTGGCCAGGCCTGCCTTTAATTACCACATACGAAACGCGCTCTCGGTACTGGGGCTCCGCCCGGTGGTCCATAGCTATCTTTTTGGTGGCCACCACTGCACCAGGTGGCGCCGTTTTGTCGCTCTTGTAAGAGCCTAGTTTTACCTCGCGTGCGAAACAGAAATCCTGGACAGAAACCTGGCCCCTCGTAATTTTTTGAAACTGGTCCTGGACGTAGGCTTTGACAGCTGAAATATTTTGAGTCTCGAACAGAATACGCAACGATTTTTCCACAATTTTCTGTTGCGCAGGATGTCCGTCTCTTCTTACAGTTTCGATCCCCTTGGCGTCAAACTTGGGTTCTTTTTGGTCGTCTTTTTCAAACGAGTAACCCACGTATCTCTTCTTACTGACCAACACACACGGGTGGTACACTTTTTCAAACTTGAGCGTGACTGGGAACGGGTTGCACGCAGTGACCTCGATTGCCATTTCTTTGCCATATCTAAAGGCTTCCTCTCTAGACTTTCCTGGCAGATAGACGAAAAGACTATCTGTGTCGCCATACACAACTTTTGCGCCCCATTCGGCATTGTCCTCTATCAAAGAAATGGCTTTCTGTAACGTTTCCCTCCCGGTTTGCACAATGCTATCTGCGACGTCTGAGCAAGGCATTCTTCCTGAAAATGAAGCAGAAGTGTAACCATAAGTGACATTTGCAAGCAACTTTAAGGCGATTTGCTTGTTGTTAAGCAGCTTTGAAATTGTCTCGTTCCTTGACTTTAAGTCGCTCATGGTTTTCTTGACAAGGAAACGGGTATGAAGAATATCTGCCAACATTTTGGCTAACATGGATTTCCGGACATGTTCCTTGACATAGAGAACACCATTTGGAGAAATGGTAATATCATCTTCAAGATCTTTCAGAAAGCCTTTGGAGATATTAATCTTGGTGGCACCAACTTCCGTACCTTTAACCTTCAGCTCTTGTACTCTGCCAAGAATTGTGGAGTAACAATAATTATAACCTATCATAATAGATGGATACAATGATTGAAAGTCCAGTACTACCAAGGGACTCTTATAAAATGCCGATTCCGGCTCCATTACCAGCGGTATGCATTCAAGGGCCTTTTGTTTTCGAACCTGTATCTTACTTGGTGACAGCACGAGGAAGCCTTCAGACTTACACAAACGTACCAAAACGGACTCGACTTTGTATTGAGAACCTCTAGATATTACTGAGTAGAAATCAATTCCAATCAATCGTGCTTGTTCCACGGTCTGGTTAATAGTCTGCTGACTCTGAAGGAGTCTTATATTTATCTCTGTTCTCTTCTTCCAATACGAAAGCAGTGTCGTTAAAGCAGTAATATCAGCGTTTGCATCCCACAGTTTGGTCAGTTGAAATGCAGGAAAATGAGCGAGCCTTTCATGTAACACATGGAAGGCGATATTCTCCAAAGTGTATTTCAAAAGATTCAACCCAGACCTCAATAAACGCCACAAATTTAGAACATGTCTGCCAGCGATGTGAATTCCTGAGTCGTGGGAGAACCCCCAGACGTCTTTCCTCTTGTTGAAGGGTTTATACTTGACTCTTGATATTTCTTCGCAAAAATCACGACCGTATTCCAAGTCACATCTCTCTATTATATAACCCCATGCGCTAGAGTGGACTTCAAATGCGGAGAGAATATCAGGGTCAATCAAAAGTATCAAATCGACCAATCCACTTATCATCTCTTCCTCAGATTTATAAATTGCCACGGGTGTCGGATTTGCAGCACTCTCTAATCTAGATGCAAACGCGCCACCATCGTCTGCAGAAAAAGCCATGATGCCCTCATTAGAAATGCCAAAATCAATTGGTAAAGACCCCGGCTCTATTTCCCAAAAAATGAGCTGAATTGCGTCAGTGGCAGGATCCGGAAGTAACATATTTTTACTCGTGGAAAATATCTCAAGAGTAAGATGCGAGAGCTGGTTATGACCGCCGGTGCTCATTCCTTTCAACGAATTGTTACTCCTGAACTTGTAGCCAAACTCGTTGCTCAGTGTTTTAAAATCAATCTGAGAGCGGAATTTGCGTTTTCGAGAATCTGAATATGCCTGGACTGAAGAATACGTGGGGGGCTCAACCAAGTATTTCCACGAGGATTCGCACGGCTCTGAGCTGTACTCAGATTCCAAGCGTATTGTTTCGCCAGCGAAATCAGTTGGACGGCGACATGTCAAGTGCGTCGATTGTATTTTGTATTTTTGTCCGGAGTAAATGTGCTCTTTTTTCTTAAGATCCTCCGGGTCATTGAAGTATGGATCCATATAATCTATCTTGGGGAACCCCGAGTTTTCTATCGTTGTGAGAATATTTGTAAAATCGAGATGAAAATCCTTGTATTTGAACGATTCAGCTGTCAGTGGAATTGAACGATCGTAGTTTATTCTCTTACTTATTTTCAAAGGCCTCTTTAGACTGAGCGCGACGCCCTTACTTCCTCTTTTTTGCACCATTCTTTGGGTCAGAATGTGATCATTGAAAGATGGTGAAATGTCGTTTAAGTTATCTGAGTGTAATTCCTCAGCTGTCGAAGCTGCCTTGCTACCTACTGCTTCCGGAAGAATAAAATCTCCACCAACTGAGTTAGCATCTGATTCCACTTCAGATGCCTCGCCACTAGTTTGTGAGGAGATTGGCGACGAAGGGAAATTAAAACTGTTTGATACTATTGCAGAAGACACATTTGAGTTCGGGGACTCTGTCGAATTCAGTGTTGGCCACAAAAATGTGAGAGCGGTCTGTGGGAGCTCCAGCTGGTCCGCGTATTTGTTTTTCGAATAGTTTTGCTTTGATCCATTGCGAAAGGACATTCGCTCTTTGGCTTTCTGGAAAAAGAGCATATTTTCCTCGTGGCTCTGCCATTGAGGAAGCTTGTCAGGTCTTTTGCCCTCTACAGCGAATTCAAAAGTCTCTAGACCAAATTCTTTTCGCAAATCTGACGTTTGAGTCCACAACTCCTTTGTCGATGGGATGAAAAGCGTTTCTTCGCTCTGGTCTTGAGACTTTTCGAAAAGCGAGTTGTGGAGGTCTCTGTACGTGATATCTTCACGATTTTGTATAAATTGAGGAACCACGTCAATTTCTATAAGACTATTTCCAACTCTGGAAAGCTTTTCCCCGGACTCATTGGTGGGCCCTTGGTAGAACCGCGCAAGGAAATCCTCCAGGTCTTTGTTCATCAAAAGTGAGTCTTGGGCAAAATCTGGATTGAGAACTGGGGTTCGAAAATAGCATTGGTGCAGTCGGAGCCACGAACATCCGAACAAATTGTAGTCCGTAGAAAACTGCAACAAATACGGGATGTGAGCTTCAAAGACTTTGCACTTGCGCCCAGTGGCTTTGCCATCCCTCAAAAGGTCGGAAATTTTGTTTGTAGCGGACTGAGTGAGCAGCGATATTTTGTAAAATGCGGAGTACCCATAATGATATCCGTAGAAGTCGACGCCCTTGACCGGGGAAACATCGGCTATAAACTTTAGAGAATCTGCATCGTTTTTGCTGGTGCCTGTATTTTCGGTGCCCTTTGTATCGTCTTCATCGTCCTTTTTCCGAGAATAAGCTTCTTTCAGCGTCCGTTCTAGTTTGAGATGCAGACTTGCGCAACGCGATTGCATTACACCCAGTGAATCGTGGTCCCGACCATCGTAAGGCACAAAAATGTACGGGAAAACGCCGTGAATGTGGCACAGCACATTATGGCCACTTGGTAGTGAGCCGTAGGCCCGTATTACGGGCACAGCTTCAAATTTACGCTCTGGCAAACTGAGTCCAGCATGTCGGTCGAAATCGCCCGGAGTTTCGTGGTAAGCGTCATATGCGTTTAGCTGAAGATGGATTAAGCCTTGAGGAAGGGCCGAGCAGGGTCCTGTTGACGTTGTCGCGCTGCACATCGTCTCATTTTTCGCGCGACGTGTGTTTTGGCTTTTCTAACAAGTTCTCAGATGAGTTGATACAATACAATTGAATATATATATATATGTATAAACCTTGACCAAGAGCACTGCTGGCAACTCGACGATGAACTTGAAGCCCAATGGACGCTGATAATACTGTTGTGTATATAAAGGTGACTGGGAGGAATAGGGAAGGTTTTGTAGAGCCTCCAAAATTTTACTGGGACCTGGAGAAGGACCAGAAACTATGGTCAAAGATATCGCATTTTGGGAACAAGAAGAAAAGCATTGACTGGACTAAGCTGAGTCGCGAATTTGAAACTCCTGAGTATTTCTTGAGAAAACGGAGCTACAGGCTCTTTGCAAAGCATTTGCGGATCCTGGAGCGTGAAATTGAAACTAAGACGCGTGGTTTGGTGTTGGAACAAGACACAGGCGACAACGCAGATCAAAACGACATGGGAGACAGTGGGAGCGATGTGAGTGACGACGAGAAACAGGCGGAGAGAGATTCTGTGGCCCCGGAAGGGGTGAAAAACCTGCGGTGGTCTAAGATTTTGAATCAAAGGGTGCCTGGCGATCCAAAGGCTACAGATTCTTCACTAAGTGAGCTGTCGAATTTGAGCGTCAGCAAGTCAGCGCTGGAAGAAGCACTTTTGGAGAGGCTGCAGCTATAGGAGGTGTAATACAAGGCAGTTGGTACCAAGAGCGGGATTATGACTATAAGTGTGTCCTGGGGTTGTGATTTCGAAACCTTGTGAATCATATCACGGAATTGGTGGAAATAAGAGCTAATCGAAAAGTGCGACTTACAAAAGAGCTATATTTGAGATATAAACGCTCGCTACCAAAATCGGCTATAAATATGAGTCTTGAGACTCATATATCAAATTTTCAGGTCTAGGAGAAGAGGCTAGTTAAATTTTGTATGGCGTATTAGAAAGGACGGGGATCTTAACTTTACTGGATAGAGTGGATGCACGACTTTCTTTCCTGCCAGAATGTGCATTGGCAATTTATGAACCAAGTCAAGGGTCCGTCGCAGCAGCCATGTTCTAACAAGCTCAGCAAACATGACCGAGACCTGAAACAAGTACTTCTTTTGCTTAAAGCGCCTGGAGAAGGAAGTAGGTGTTTTCAAGCTCCGTACCTCGTATTTTTTGAGTATACTACGGTTATGGGAAAGGTGAGGTTTGTATGCAACAAGTCATACGACAAAAGAATGTTTGAAATGTCAAAGAGGGAATCGAACCTACCACTATAATGATGATGAGTTCGAACAGTTTGACTGAGGAATAACGTTGCCAAGAACACAAGTTAAACACGAGACTTGAAGCATGCTGGTGGAACTCTAAATCTAATCATGACACGATGTCAAGTGGAAAGAATAATGGGCAACTGGGCAAGATACATTTTGCTCAACTTGTACTTATAGGCAAACCAGCGCTTGGCATTGAAATCTGAACTTTTTTTTTATATGGTGAGTTGTGCTGACTATTGAATGGTTTTCAGAGTCCTTCAGTTGGTTTGGTGGTATCTCGACTAGCATTGTGTACTTCGAGAACTCTTTACGCCTATGCGGGCCTCGTTCGTGCTGTTAGGACCTCTGTACTTAGCAGAATAGAGAGAGTATGACTGTGATCGCAGGACACCTGATCCAGCGTCAGATGACGGACTGGCATAAAACGACAACATTCAAGCACCAGGCACCGACAATCATTTGACAGAAGCGAAGCCGTTTCTTGGAGCGAGCCAAGGCATTTGACTCAGTAAGTGTGTTCTAAGAGTAGATCGGGAATTGAAAATTTGTTGGTACATATACCTTCATAATATCGCATAGAATTTGAGTGAGAAGACTTTCTTAACTCACGACAAGTACCGCTGTAACGCAGGGACACATCCACATACTTCCTAGTTACCCGAGTTGTCCTGATGTAAAACTCACGAGGCTCACACAATCAATCAATGATTTATTCCCACGTCAATGGAGAAGACAAAGTATCACCGCTAACGCTGCCATCATCGAAAGGTGTAAACACTTGATTGTGGCACCACTGTTCTCGGTTTCTCTACAAGGAAAGCTTTCATTTAATCTATAGAAAACAAAGAGCTCAACCGAATGGTGGTTCTTTGGCTATGAAGCGCTCGCTTTATTGTTCTATTCTCGTGCGAAATCGAGAATTTGTTGCGCTTAGTCACTAGCTTTACACCACCAGAAGCGTATACTCAAAGATTGTAGCCCATTCGAAGCGTCAGCAGTCATCTTGTGATGGTGACGTTAACAAGAGTTTTTGAAATAAGAACTTGAAATGGAAAGACTAGAGATGTGGAGTCTCAGAGTTTTCGACACTTCTACTAACTTGAACCATTTGCTGACGCTCGCAATATCGGCATACCACGCATTTTGTCATGATATCATCACTCTGTACCGGTCTGTCATCTGGCGCTTTAATAACGTGATAGCTACGTCGCGATAATGCCAACGTCAGAAAGCGACTCTTAGCACGCAGTTGAAGAGTTCTGAGTGCCAAAGATATGTTTCATGGCGTGAAATTTTAGTCGGTCCCCAGTTCTTTGTAATTGATTGTCAACGCTCTCAATTGCGCAAGTGTGTGACGGGGTTTTGTATTATTGAGTTTGAGAAATTAATATCTGTCGTTGATGGAACACTGAGCTTCTTATTGTGTAGGATGCTTGTTGTCATCGCCAACGCTGTCATTTTTTGATCTGTGGTCGTGCTCGTAGACATACATTTATTCACAATTGAGGGCAATAGCGATAAATTATTGACTACTATCTTAGTTCATTGTCGATTTCAAATGTATAGTGAAACTATTGCTTTTCGAATATGTTCCGAACATCTAATCAATCACTGTTAAGAGCACTAGCGCTAGTAATCTTGATCACCAGCGCTCTTGATTATATCATATACTATGCGCTCTCTTTTTACTCGCGATTGAGAGCGATAGTGATCAAGTTCCACGAGCTCTCTACGTATTCGCAATTGATCGCTGACGCTCTCAATTGTTCCGTGGTGCTTTGACCTCTCATGTTCTCAATGTTCAGTAAAATCAAGCATTATCTACATATTTACAGTCGATCGCTGATGCTGTAAATTTCATAATGATTGTTGCCTCATAATTGTTCTCAATTGATCAGCAATTTTTGCAGCCCTTTGGATATTCAAAATCAATTCGCAATGCTCTCGATGGTTCAATCATGCTCCTAGCACCCTTCGCTGACGCTCTCAACTGCTCAAAAGTACTCCGAGTGCTCTATTATTTTTCGCAATTGCTAGCTAATGCTCTCGATCGCTCAATTGTTCAGTAGTGCGCTTGTAGCTCGAGTACTCGCTCTCTGACCGCTAGCCCTTTTTAACTCGGTTCACCAGGGCTGTTGTTCTTAACCATAGCTGTTTGAAAGACTGACGCCCGTGTACGAGTACTTGAGGATGGACGAGTACTATGATGTACTCATCGGTGTACTCGCGAAAGTACTCGTTAGTGTACTCGTTAGTGTACTCATGTACTCATGTACTCATGTACTCGTGCCCAGCCCTATTTCACATCTCAAATATACAATTCTCACCCAACCATCTACAAACAACACTCCCCCCATCTCCTCCCATCTCCTCCCACACTCTCCCATTCTCCTTCCCCCCTCTCTCCCCATGCTCCTGTTCAAAGTCATTGGCCCGCGCGCGTTTTGCGAGCTGCTAGCACGCGAATCGACGCGTCGCGTTATCCCGGTCGACGCGTCCTGGTACATGCCCAACGCGAACCGCGATCCTCTGGCCGAGTTTCTCACCCAGGACCGACTCGCCAACGCAGTGTTCTTCGATATCGACCGCGTCAAAGACACCGCGTCCCCGTTCCCACACATGTTGCCCGATCTGCCCACGTTCAACGCCAGCATGAGCCAGCTGGGGATCCGCAACTCGGACGTCCTGGTCGTGTACGACCGGCTTGGCAACTTCTCTGCTCCCCGGTGTGCCTGGACGCTCGCGGTCCTGGGCCACCCGCAAGTGTACTTGCTCAACAGCTTCCCCAAGTACAAGCAGCTGGGCTTGCCTCTGGACACGACCGCGCGCGCGGTCGTGTCGCTGCTGCCGCAGCCGTCGCAGTACAGGTCGACCATGAGCCACACGGCGTCCGAGCTGGTCGAGTTCGAAGAGTTGATGGCCCTGGTCGAGACCGGGACGCTTGCAGACCGCTACAACGTGTTTGACGCACGGTCCGAGCCCCGGTTCACGGGCGACGCGCCCGAACCGCGTCCGGGACTGCCCAGCGGGCACGTCCCCGGTGCGCAGCCACTGCCCTTCACCGCTACGCTCGCAGACGGGTGTTTTGACGACGATGCGACCGCGATGCGGGCGCGAATCGACCAGTACTTGGCCCAATCGCAGGGAACACTGGACCCCAAGAAACCCACGATCGCGATGTGCGGGACCGGCGTCAGCGGCGTCATCATCAAGACCGCACTCGAGCTGGCCGGCGTGCAAGACGTGCGACTCTACGATGGCAGCTGGACCGAATGGGTCCAGCGGGCCGGGTCGCAGTGGATTGCCCGGGGGAAGTAGCGCGAAGGTGTGAGGCGATGTGAGAGCTGTGCGAGCACACTGTTGCCGTCTTTCAATCCCTTTCTCTCTCTTTCATACTTCACCATCTCTCTACACCATCTCTTTATAAGACTATATATGACCTCTGTAACTTCATAACTTCACCAACTTTCGCATACCAACACGCAAAAAATGGCCTCTCTGCCCGGACTCACCGACCCTTTGGAACCGCTGAACGTCGCGCCGGACGCGCACCAACAGCACTGCGTCGCACTGGACGCGGGCGCCGAGTGGCGCGTCCGAATCCCCCAGGACTCGCAACTAACACTCACAATCAAACAGGGCATCGCCGAGATCTTTGGCACGGAACTCGCCCTGGCAATGCCCTACACGTTCCAGGGCACCAGCATGGCCGTACGCGCAGTGGAGGACGTCGCGCTGGACTGGTCTGCGACCAGTCCCGGCGACGTGGAGCATCGCATCGTGAGCGAAGCGGACACCAACGCTTCGCACCTGTACAACTTGCACTTCGCGCTCGATAAACTGCGGGCTGCGGCCAATGCTGGAAGCTCGAGCTCGAGCATGTCGACGTCGACAGACCCGCGCGTGCTACTCGTGGGCGAACGCGCCGCGGGCAAGACCAGCGTGGCCAAGACCCTGTGCAGTTACGCTCTCAAGACTCGCGCTCAGGGACCCGTCGCGGTCAACCTAGACCCACAACAGTGCGTGTACGCACCGCCCGGGTGTGTGTCTGCGACGCCGATCTCGGACTTGATCGATGTGCAGAATAACGGATGGGGCCATAGCACCACCAGTGGTGCCACGGCGTTGCACGCCAAGCAACCGTTGGTCAAGAACTTTGGACTAGAACGCATTGGTAATAATCGACCGCTATACCTGGCGCAAGTGCGCCAGCTCGCGGTCTCGCTGGACGCACGTTTGGCGCGCGACGCCGGATTGCGTCGCGCTGGCGTGGTGGTCGACACTCCAGCGCTCGCCGAACTGTTGATAGAAGATGAGAAACGGGACTTTTCCCTGGTCCGAGAACTGGTCGCACTGTTCCACATCAATGCCGTGGTGGTGTGTGGTTCGGACGATTCACTTGCAGTGGAGTTGCATCGCGAATTGCCCGTTGAAACGCTCACCATCGTAAGGTTGCCCACGTCGAGCGGTGTAGTGCTCACCGAGGACGTGCAACTGCGTGCTCTGCAACGCAATGCCATTCGAGACTATTTCTACGGGGACGCTACCACGGTGTTGAGTCCTTACGCGGTGAGTGTGGATTTCGACGCAATTACCGTGTGGGAACCCGAAAGCACGGTCTCGGGCACGCTGGAGGCCGGTCGCGAGCCGCAGGCGCGGCTCACACCGGTGGAGATCAATGCCAGTAATTTACAGCACGCTTTGGTGGCAGTGACATATGCTGGACGCCGTGCGTCGCGGGAAGAAGTGCTGGAAAGCTCAATTCTGGGGTTTGCGTTGATTTTGGAGGTTAACGACACCCGACGCAAGCTTAGGGTGTTGTTGCCAGTGCCTGGTCGTCTCCCGGACACGGCGTTGATATTGACAGCAAGCAGGTACTTGGAGTAGGCCAAGAGACTCGTGGCATTACTGAATAATCGGGAGCGTTAGCGAGCCCCACACGCACTGCTGAACAATTGAGAGCGTTAGCGAAGGGTACTGGACAGTAGAGGGCGTAAGCGATCAATTGTGAATAACTTAGAGTACTCGGAGCACTCTTGAACAATTTAGAGCGTCAGCGATCAATTGAGAATAAGCAGAAATGACTACAAGCTTTTTTGAAGTATTGTAAGCGTCGGCGATCAATTGTGAAAGAGTGGAGAACTCGAAATATTACTGAACGATTGAGAGTTTTAGCGATCATTTGCCAGTAAACAGAGAACTCTTTACACCATCAACAAATAGCGTCAACAATTAATTGCGAATAATAGAGAATTTCTATCACTAGCTGGCGCTCTTAATCATGAACAGGTAGGGAGCTTCACCGATCATTTAAGTTCACTCCAAAGAATCCTTGTAACAAACTGGCACTGACATCAATTGCTTGACGAGTTCATTTTTGGTCTCCATTTGAACCAGTATCTAACTCCATAGCTCGTCTCTCACAATCATACGAATTTTCTGTCAATTCTGAGCTCTGAATCCAGGCGCACCTTTTCAAGCCCAGCTCCAGTGCTCAGAGTCTTTCTCAAGTTCTGCCAAGCGGTGTCAGTATCACTCTCGTTAATCGAAATTCTAAAGAGTGAATGCAACGCCGTTGAAGAGGTACAAGCTATGTGAGTCGATTATCCGAAATCATTTAAACCTCCTATAGTGCATCATTGTTCAATCGAGGTTCATCGAGAAATGACACAGTTATCGTCACCAAAATGGCTTAAATTCGCAAAGGCAATTGAAGTACGGATTGAGTGCCGCGATATAGCAAAATTACACATTCCTATCTCATGGCATTTATGTTATGGCCATGGGAGTTGAACCCGAACTGCTATTGCAAATTAGCAAGGAAGCATCCATTATGGCCATTCGCCATGATTTACACACTGAAGACTGTCTTCAAAGGTGACTGTACCGAAAGATCTTGGTTCCTGTGAACGTTGAAACTTACAGCTCAAACGCTTTTTTGAGCTTTTGTTTTATCCAAAAACCACCATCACATATCAACTGGTGAGCATTGAGCTTTTTGTGAGGTGGATTTGATTTTGTTTAAGCGAATGGTCAGGAACTGCCGAACAACCTATGCACCAAGGTTGTGGTATTATGATTTACTTCGTTCTGATCGCTTATCTTAAAAGCTCCTTCTGCACCTTTCTGCCTCCGATGACACTCGTACTAATATTCTTTTGACTTGTTCGTCGTCACTAAATTCCTATCCCAACTTTGGTTATGGAGTTGTTGTCGAGGTAAGTTTGTAGAAACCCTCGAAGTCTATATCGTTGATTTGTCGCGGGTGTGATGCTGAATGGCAATAGCACCGTTTACTGCGACGTTAGGGCCTCATCATCGTTGTGCAGAAACCAAAAATTTGCCCAATGGTCCTGACACTTTATGAACTTTTAAGTGTCCATATCAAAACTACCAAAATGATGTCTTCAAACGTTTTCTTTTGATCGCTGAAGAGGGTTTTCACAAACCATGTGCGAGCAACTGTTAAAACAGACATTTTCGACAGCTACAATACACACCAGTGCCCCGCGAAATAGAGGTTATTTTACGTTTTGTGTGCTAATGTAGTGTGTTGGTATCTGTAAATGCTAATGCTGGACATGTACTCACCTCTGTTCACATTTACACATATCCTCAACTTGGATATTCGCCGCAAGTATCCAGATTATGATCCGCCAATATCAGGGTCAGTAGCGCATTTGACACCCGAATATCCTTTTAGTGGAAGCTAGTTCAACTGCGTAATTGGCTTGCAGTCAACTGCGAAAAACCAGTGCAATGCCGACATGTACTGATTAAGTATCAACTATCTTCTTCAGCATTCTCTTTCTTGGAAGTTGCTGTAAAGCTTACCAAAATTTGTTCGTATTGCCCTCTTATTCTTTGCGAAACTCAATGGGAACTCTTTTTTGTGCTCTTTTGACCAAATTCAGTGTAGCTCCGCTTGCCAAATATGAAGAGTACAGCATTATGGTTTGAACTGAGTGATCAATTCCACCTCTTCCACAGGGATTAATACAGGTATTACAATCAATTTAAGTTTCTAATTGATGGTATAAATTTTGGCCTGATGCTTCAAAAGACAAACTTGGTAACAATCCGCCGATTGAATGAGCCAACGGAAGACGGCATAATTAACGCTACGTTTTATCAACAAGATAATCCTGCTTGACACATGGAAAACGTCGTCGTTTCGTCAGCGGCGCTAATAACCTTTTCATAACTGAACTTCGAGTAGCATGAGTGAATAGCGCAAATGTCATGATCATCTTTTATGCACTGAGTTTTGCACAAAGGTTGAATCAAAGTCACACATGTTCCAAGAAGAACGTTGATGCTAAGCGTCAAGGACTCTAGCCATAATACAGCGAATTTTAAAAGGTTATCCAAGGCTTGTTTGTCGAATTGACTTTACACGGTTGAATGTAAGATTTTGAATGCCTGTACATAAGAAAGGACTACACACAGATCACAGTTGGCTTTGTATCATGGAGCCAAGTACATTGCAAGGCTAGCATGGATTATACCTTAAGAAAACAATGCTGTCATTTTAGATTGGCCCGTCATCTGTCCTGTCATCAGTCATTTTGATCACGTGAGCAGTGTCACCTAAATATTGATAGCTGTGTCTAGAGGAGTATACATCGCCAACTTTCGGCTCAGATTGGGTTCTTAAGGTTTTTATTAGTCCTGTTGAAATTCTCTTTCCTGAACAAACAGTTTTTGTTCTGCTCGAAATGCTTTTTCTGGCATTACCTCATATATTGAATACCCTACATGTTTTCGACATGTGAAGAAACGACTACCACACATGCGTATCATGAAATTAGTGAGAGAAAACACCGAATTCGCGGTGGTGTTCTCATTATCTTACTATTGTCTTTGCTGGATTGCTTACCTCTGCAAACGTAAATTCACCAAAGATTATTACATCTCGGTTGTAGGTGAATATAGCGTCGGCAAAATCCTTAAATATGCTTATCCCGAACTTAAAGAACATTTTTGAAGGCATCAAAAGGCTAGCTGCTTCATGTAAATCTATTATGTTATATCGACACTGGTAGTGTTCAAAGATATTGAAGACAATATCGGTGGTAAGTTTGGAAAGCTTTCACATAGCACAGCAGCCTGCTACCTGTCACTGTTTTTCTCACAGCAGTGTATTTTTTTTAGGTTTCTGGGTAATGCAGCTCGCTATAAATTGTACGGATAAGCTTTCGGATAGTTTTCAAGTTGCCGAAAAGCCCCATGTGGGAATTTTATTTTTTTTAATTGTGGTCTATGACTGATACAAACGGTGACCGTTTGATGCAGAGTTATCGTCACACTTCATGTTCGTAATTTATGAAATGTGCACCGATCTCTTAGAGTCTGAGTTATAGGTACTTTCGTGTCGTGCCAGAGATTTTTCTTATTCACTAACGGCTGGCCAACGGACCACGTGATGAAATGACAGATATCAGACTGCTAAAAAATGACCAAGAGCATCTCTGTGCACCAATCACTCGCCCTCAGCATTTAGTGTGAACTTGAAAGAGCGCGAAGAACCGATGATGGAGCAAGTTACAAGCTAATACAACGTCATTTCACAATTTAAACCCACTTCGTGACCACAAAATTATTTGTCGCTTCTGGCGCCGATCGCGGAGACGCGTATAAGCTGTCTGAAATCGAGATTTCGATTCATCCTGGTATGTTTTCAATGCAGCCGTTCGCAACAATTTAATCAACTTTAGGGTTTCCAAAAAATTATGCTTGCGGTCAAACCATGTCTAACTCATCACAGTGTGACTCATTTTCCTCCTCGATAGTTGTGGTGCTGCTTTGAGCTCAAGCTTGCTCCTCGAAAGTCTAATCTTCTTCAATTTCTTAGAGTTTTTCTTGGGTTTGCTGCCTGTTGGAAGTTCATTAGAGACCGAGTTATCGAGTCCTTGTCCGTAAAAGAAGTCCGCTTTCCTCAACGAATGAGCCTACGCGACATTTTATCACGAACTATTCATTGACTGGGAGGGAGAGTAAAAGAAAAGAATTTAGAGCAATGCTCATCATCGAGAAGTGAGGGTTCTTTCCTTTAGCAATGAATGGGCGTGAGATTTCAAGCCTGTAAACGATTGAAAACTCTGAACCCTAATCTTTCGAAGATAAAATAACAGAGAGCTTTACAAAGAGAGTCTACGATATAAGTCGCCAGGACTTTTGAGTTAAAAGGACTCAATTCTGAAGAGCGTCACATATACGCGGATTCGTGAAACTCTACTTAATTTGAGGGCCATCCTGACGGTCCCCACGCGAGAATAAACATGGACGTTTCTCACTGGAAATTAAAATTTCAGACATTAGCATTAACAATGCATGGTCATTTTGATTTATTTAAATTTAGTACGATTAGCATCATTCGTACTTACATCTATGCCAGTTATCAGAAGCCAGTGTGCCATATATTCCGCCGTTCATTCTCTTGGTAACGGTTTTTATGCCAAAAGTTTCGTTGTCCTCGACGCGGATTTGATTGTCGTTTATACTTGTATTCAAATCCAAATCATTACATGAGTGGTACTTTACGCCAGTGAATAGTACGTCAAATGGCATAGATGACTTTGAGATTAACTTCTTTTCTTAGGGTCATTAATGACCCTTAAGGCCACCTTATGAAAGCATTTATTATATATAGAGGTCAATTCTCATAATATTTTGGAAATAACTACCTGTAGAACAACTACCAACAAAAACACATTATGGGAAGGAGAATTGGAGACTTGCGAGTGACGATCGCATTTACATTTTTGTCATTCAGTTTTCTTTGGATGAGCAAGAGCATGATGACAGGTTTCACAGAAGATGATTACATTTCAGAGATAGATTTTTTTAGCGTTGATCAACATCCGGATTATACTGATTTCAAATTTGCAAATAAATATGCAAATGTTCAAATAAGTGACACCCTCAAGTGCGTGCTACAGGCAAACTAATACTACACTTGTACACATTTGTTGAAAGCAAGGATGATAGTAGCACTGGAAAGCTCTCGCATAACACGGTAGCTAAATACCAGTTTCTGTTTTCCGCGATGAAATGCATTTTTGTCGGTGTCTGGGTGATGTATCACGCTCGCGAATGGATGGAGGACATTCTAGACAGCTTAGAAGCTGCTGAAACCCCTTCCTGTAAAGATGTTTAAGCTTATGTTTTTCAAATTTTGCGTGACAGACGGCATAACTATTTTGTAACCGCAGAAGACATATCATTGACAGTTTTGATTTGTTTAGATAGGATACCAACTTGGCCTCACCAAGCTATTGAGTGAGACGGGATAGGTATGATAATATGCTCTGTGATGAGTATTGCAAGCCTGCCATCAATCAGCTGATCACGTGTTCTGGTGTCAGATGTCAGATGTCAGATGTCATAAATGACAAAACTCACAACTGCACGTCATCCCAAGTTGCGGTGATAAAGCAACGTAGATGTGTATACACCGTGTGATCTCTGAGATTGAAGTATCTCTTGGTGACAGCACAGCGATTGGCATTTTTTATGGGTTGTAAACAAATAGCCTTGCTCGATTGTATGCGGAATGTGCGTATAAACTTGCTAGGTTCTCGACATTCTATTCAATATTTATTAAAGCTTTCAAAAAGCTTGTTAGCAAGCCGTCAATCAACAATAATTTTCTCAGTGCCAGCAGTTGTTTAAATTTTATTGATCTCATTATCATGTACGTCATTTTCCGTCGCTTGAAGCTACGCCTTCCACATAGTGAAAACTAAATCGCAACACGAGTGCTTTCAATGACTAGTATTCAAAACGCTATTAATGTCGCCAAACAAGTGTAGATGACATTGTATATCAAGTTTCAATTTGCACCTTTTTGAAAAAGAGTCGGAACCTTACTTTTACACACCAATTCTCATAAATGGCAGCAACGGCTCTAATTCCTTTTTCTTGTCCTCCTTTGGCTATCGAGAACAATGCTTGTTTCTTCTCAATGGCCAGATTTCTCTATGACCTAAAGCTGAAGCTTCACTTTGACAGACACGTATGTATGAATACATATGGCGACGACCTTCGTGTCTAACAAGCTCCCGGAACTGACCGCTACCAACTGCGAATATCACATTATGACCTTAACTAAAGTTATAGTAGCGATTGTCTTCTCTTTGGCCTCTATAATTCTTTTTTGGATTTCATACTCGACCGCCACAATCTGCACAAAAGAAGCTTCCCTGTCATACAGAGAAGAACATAGTAGCGCTAAGCAATTGCCTGACCTTGACTCTCCCAAATTGAAGCAGATGTTTGTTGAATACCTACAAGTGTGTTGCATAGCTCGAGCGATTTCCAGCTATGTGGCTTTACACACACACATCTTTTCCAGCTACTTTGAAGAGCTTGGGCCCATCGAGAAGCTCAAACACAACATGACAATGAACTTCCTTTTTCTGTTTTCCGCAAAACTAAACATTAGTGTTTCGATATGGGCAGCCACCCATATTAGCGAATAGACGGAAAATCTTGTGAATAGCTTTGAAGCTGGGGAAAAACAATGTGTCTAAAAGATCAGTGCTGTCGTGCAATCATGGTATTTGATATACTGGCGAGTGAAACACTTCGATAACACATGAGATATGGGTTTTGAATAAATTTAACTATTGAGGCAACATAAGCCTGTCTGGGTTAAGTCGGCCAACCAAATAGCAGCGCGACATATGCTCGGCCAGGAGTGTTGACGGTTTATATTGTTCAGTGGCAAACTTGCATGTGATCTGGTGACAGATGTCAAATTTCCTAAAAAATGAGATAGTTCAACTTCTGTGCGTTGATCATTCAGTTCCAGCACTTGGTATGAATGGCAACAAGTACCAGCTTTTAATACCGAACAAACAGGCAGGCGTATACATCGCGTGAAAGTTTTATAACAAACATTGCATGACTACTTAATGATTGGTAGTTTTTCTGAGCTGTAAAGCTGAACACCTGGCTCGACTTGAAGACACTGCCTCTACTTCAATCAAATCTCTTGAAGAGCAAAGAGATCTTAGCTATTAATCAATGGTGAGTTTCCGCGCCCCCGGATACCAATTAAGTGACATTCATATCAGTTTTCTGCACGTCGCACATCAATTATATTTACTTGTCGCTTCAAACCATTTTCCCTACGTGGTCTATTTCTCAAAGTCTTGTCTCATCACTTAGAGCTTAACTGTAGGGCCGAGAAAACCGTCCTTCTTTCTCTTCTGTGGTGCATTCAGGTTCCTTTCCAGACGACGTCGCATTATCGGCGGGATCGGTAGGGGAGATTATAGAAGCAAACCACCTTTTCATTTCGGATGTTCGTGCAGCAAACTACTTTGCAATGCATTCCAAGCGCACGCGATACTTTTGCGGAGCAAATACAGTAGCTTTATCGAGGAGTAATGGAACCAAAACAATTGACCATGGTATACATAAGTGGTGATGACCGTCTTTGCAGTAAGAATGAGTGCAAAGTATAGCGACTAGCAAGCTTGCAACCCACCTCATTATAATCTTGGTTTTATTTCTGTGCTTCAAAGTGCCCCAAATCACCTCTATGCATTTCAGTTCAAATTCTATCGCGTCATGGAAAATCAATTTTAACACAGCATTCAACAGATCAATCAAAGGGTTTCCTGAACTGTTGTTGATATATTGCCAGTCCCAAAGGCGTCGCTATCGTTCTCTTGCCATAGTGCAAATAACTCAAACCGTAGACCTTTTTTTTGGAAAAGTACAGAACTAGAATAGTTCGCAAACAAACGTTCATATATGTGTCGCCATGTTTTGTGACGCTAGACGTTTGAGCCGGACAAACAATAATATGAAGACGAAGACGTCAAGAAATGATACGATGGGCAATACGATTAAATTTTGGATACTATTGAGAACTTCAATTGCACTTGCTGGCCATCCTAAGCAGCTTCCAAGGTCAAAACAATGTATTGTTCAGACTATATTTTAATCATTTACAAATATCAAAGTATCATAATGATTGGTTGTGCAAATTACAAGACATCCCAAACTAAACCAAAGCTTCAGATATCCACATGCAAATGGAATGCCATTCTTACTTGCTTCGGTGTATAGTCATACACTGTATCCTATTCATCACCATACGAACACTGTTGACACTTGTGGTGCTCGTACTCGTACTCGTACTCGCCTTCTCAAAAGTGTAATAATCAACCATCGTTAAAATCCATCTCATATCTATTAACAATTACAACTCTCAAAAGGGTTCAGCGTCCGTAAACTCAATGGAAAGAGCTCTTAAGCTAGACCATCAATACCCCGCTACTCACCGAGATGCATTTTGCATTCCCACCTATGGATCAATGGGTCTGAGAAGTGACGGAGCTAAAGCGTCAGATTACTCACCCGTTACTTATCTGTGCGGAAACTCGCTAGGATGCATGCCCAAATCTACGAGGAATGCAATCAGCCAAGAATTGGATGCTTGGGCTGACCGTGCTGTAGAGTCTCACTTTCGTCATCGTGGAGAGCAGCAAGGATTGACCTCCTGGATGGATATCGATTTGCCGTTGTCCAATCTTCTACCATCATTGGTCGGCGCTTTGGAATCTGAAGTTGCAGTGATGGGCTCCTTGACTTCGAATCTTAACGCTCTTATGGTTTCTTTCTACCGTCCTACTTCCACTAAGTTTAAAATTCTATGTGAAAAGGGCGCGTTCCCATCAGACTTTTATGCTTTCTACAACCAATGCGCAATCCACAACTTGGATCCAGATGAGGCTCTCATTAGATTGGAAGCCCGAGAAAGCGAGACGTTTTTGCGTACCGACGATATAATCAAGGCGATAAGCGACAACAAAGACGAGCTGGCATTGATTTGCTTACCAGGCATTCAATACTACACTGGACAGTGGTTCGACATGGAAAAGATCACCAAGTTTGCTCACCAGTGCAAGGGCATTGTGGTTGGATGGGACTTGGCACATGCTGTCGGTAACGTTCCGCTCGGGCTACACGACTGGGGCGTTGATTTTGCATGTTGGTGTTCTTACAAGTATCTGAATGCTGGTCCCGGTGCAATTGCGGGCATATTTGTGCATGAGAGACACACTCAAGTAGGATCATCGGAAAAACAATCGTACCTTCCCCGTTTGGCAGGGTGGTGGGGTAACAACAGAGAGAGGAGATTCCAAATGAAAGAGATTTTTGAACCTATCTCTGGAGCTTTAGGGTTTCGTCAGTCGAACCCCAGCGTGATTGACGTAGTCGCACTAAGATCATCCCTAGAGGTCATCAAAGATTTCGGCGGTATCAATGCAATGAGAGAAAGATCTCTGTTATTAACCAACTATCTAATGGAATTGCTGATGGAATCGCGGTTCTACCACAAGTCAGCTCCAAACGGAGTTTCGGCACCAGGGTTTACAATTCTCACGCCACCGGAAGAAAAGGACCGTGGTGCTCAACTCTCGCTGTTATTGTTCCCTCATCACTCTGATCGCAAATTAGACACAATGGAAAGAGTCTTCGAATATATGAATGAACGAGGAATAATTGTGGATGAACGTCGACCTAACGTGATTCGGATTGCACCCGCACCACTTTATAATACGTTTCAAGACGTGTTTAGGGCCGTTGATATTCTCGATGAAGCTCTAGAGTCGATTATTTGATACAACAGTTACCGTTCGTTATCGTTTGTATGATGATTTTGATTAAAAACAAACTAATGTTATTATATTTGAATTACACCTTACTCATTCAATGAGCGATACATGAGAGAAAAGGGGCTTAATATGATCAGGTCTTCATTATCGCATTTGTTGTTTGAACAGATGTAGAAGCTGAGTATGAAGTGTTGTATTTTTCAAAAGGATCATGAACACGCTTGCTCTCCAAATCCTTTTCTGGGTCGCTCGCGCGGTCTCTGTTCTTGTAATATACTCTCTTGAAGTATTTGTATAATTCAGCACCCAGCCAGAAGAGCACAGTGTAGGCAGCTGCTACCCCCCATTCATAGGTGATTCCCGAATGCTTGAACACTTCTTTGTTGATCACGGGGATGTATACGACGGGGAATACCGAAACAAAACCTAACGCAACCGACCAGAACAAAAATTGATTGGACCAAATGTCTTTCAACCATTGGGTGTAAGGAGTGTCTGTCTCAGGCTGCATTTTAAAAAAAGATCTTCTCAAGTCTATGACCTCCCACGCCAAAATCAAAGCGCACCATGTCATGGTCGCAAATGCTGCAGCACGGCCGCGGAAGACGTATTGACAGCTTTCACTATACTTGTTGTTGCAGTTGCTTCCCAACTGTCCTCCGTCTTTTCCGTAGAGAATGGACACAAAGCACGCCAGACAGCAGCCCGCCATCCACACACCGTAGACAAACATATCGGAAATGATTTCCCAGGTGAAAATGCCAGCTTTTGAATCTTTTGGTGGTTTTTCCATAATGTCAGGAGCAGGTTTTTCTAAACCGAGACCCATTGCTGGAAAGCACGAAGTGACAACAATAATCCATAGAACCTCAACAGGTGAGAGTGGGAAAACTGATAAATGGTTTTTATCCAAAAATGCAAGACCAATCATAAGATAAAGAGCCTGAGCAACATTCTCAGCCAATAATTGCAAAACGAACTTTTGAATATTGTCTGTCATTCTTCTACCTTCTTCGACAGCATTAAGGATAGAAGCAAAGTTGTCATCACTCAAAACAATGTCAGAAGCGTCTTTTGCGACATCTGATCCATTAATACCCATAGCAATACCAACATTGGCGATTTTCAAACTTGGTGAATCATTGACACCGTCACCGGTCATTGCGCAAAACTTTTCTCTACGGTGAAGACTGTCTATCATCTTCACTTTGGTTGCTGGACTGCAACGGGCGATTACCAGTGGCAAAACAGGTAAGGCATCTATTTCATTGTCAGTCAAGTTGTCAAATTGAGTAGCGGTCATAACCATAGCATCAACAACTTCCTTTGGATAGTGATAAAAATTGCGAGGCAGAATACCAACCTCTTGAGCAATTGCCTTCGCAGTGCCAGGGAAATCACCTGTAAGCATGTGCACATTGATGCCTGCTTTATGAAACTTCTTAACGGCGCCTGCAGTTTCTTCTCTTGGAGGGTCATAAATACCAACTAGACCTTGAAAAATCAAGTTGTTTTCAACAAAATCACGGTTGTTGGTTAGTTTTTCTCCCAAGCTTTGAGCTTCTTGCGCGGTAAAGCTTCTTGTGGCAAAAGCAAGAACTCTCAAACCTTCTGAGGATAAAATTTCAACGTTTTTGAACACTTCATCTTTGTCATCCTGAGTCATTGGTTGGGCATTGGACTCGTCACTGTCCCCAGATGGTAGCCAATGTGTGCAGCAAGTAAGCACACGCTCAAATGCACCTTTCGTGAACACACAGTGCTTATTATTTTCTTTGGTGCTGGAGTAAATTGCCGACATTCTTTTCACTGATGAGTCGAAGGGGTATTCGGCAACATGCACGTAATCAGCTTTTCTGTTGGAAACGTTTTTTTCATTGTCGCTGTCATCTGACTGACCCTCTAATGTTAGCAATGGTCTTGGAAGATCCATTCTATGAGCAAAAACCTGTATCGCAATCTCAGTAGGATCGCCATGAGCTTTCCATTCCTGAGTTTCAGAGTCTCTATAAACCTGAGCAATGTTAGCCAACGTAGCTGTCTTTAACCAATTAGCAAAAAGCTTTGGATTAACCTCATTTGGAAGAGCATTTTTGAGGTAGACGTCTTTGAATTGCTGAATAATACCCACGTCTTTGCTTTCGTCATGACGATATTCATTAGGCGAGTACCTGGGAATCAATTGCGTTGTGCCGGCGGTTGGATTGAAAGGCTCATTGGAATTCAATACCATAATGGTTCCGAAAGAGGGGACCCATGCTTGTTTGACAATCATGCGACCTTGAGTCAAAGTTCCCGTTTTATCAGAGCAAACGTCGTTGACAGCGCCCAGGGCTTCGAGAGAATCCAATTTACGCACAACCACATTTCTGGTAGACATAATTTTGGCACCCACCGACATAGTGATGGTCAACACCACTACCAAAGAGGAAGGGATCATAGAGAGAGCCACGCAGATGGCATAAATGGCAACTTCTTTGTTGACGTTATATTTCTGGGTAGCCATCACAACGATGGCGAAAAGGACTGCCACGAAGAAGAGGATCACAGCCAGCTTGGAAAGTTTGCGATGTAGAGGTGTTCCTGTGCTTGTTCCCAAAAATGAACCTACTGTTGTCTTTAGAGTGATGAATGCGTTTTGAGTAAAAGATTTGGACTCATCCTTGGACACAAGAGAGGAACCTCCTTGTAGACTCTTGGCGATTTTCCCAATTTCAGTGTTGAGACCGGTTTGAACGACAAAACCGGTGGCTCTACCTTTAGAGACGGTGGAGCTGGCAAATGCCAAATTTAGACGATCGCCAACAGGGGTATCTTCGGTTGCTGGGTAAACCTGAGAGGCATCCTTAGCAATGGGCAATGATTCTCCAGTGAGCAATGCTTCGTCAGTTTCAAAGTTGACACATTCCACGAGTCTAAGGTCCGCAGGAATGGTGTCACCGGCCTTGACCACACAGAGGTCTCCTGGTACCAGATCTTTGCTGGGGATGATTTCGTCGTTGCCGTTGCGGATGACGTGTGCAGATGGAGTGCTGAGACTTTTCAGCGAGTTCATAGTCTTGGAGGCCTTGTATTCCTGGACCGTGCCAATAGCAACGTTAACGAACACAACGAAGGCGATGACACCTCCTGAAATCCAGTCTCGGACGGCGAATGTGATGACCATACAGATGAAGAGCACCAAGATCATGGCGTTGCAGATCTGGTGCAGCAAGATGGCTTTGAAGTCGATTTTGGAGTCATCGCCCAGCGAGTTTTCGCCGCATTGTGCACGGATCTCTGCAACCTGAGCAGAGTCGTGCAGCCCGGAACTTAGGTCAGTTTTAAGAGCTGCTGCAGTGTCATGGACACTGAGTGTGTGAAACGGCTGGGTCGAGCTGGTGTTGTCGGACGCCGTCGACATGTCCGTGTGATGTGATTTATTATGCTTTATACGGCTCGTCGTCCCTTTTTCTCCTGTCCTAAGAAAACTGTTTACGCTTCGTACGCGCGCTGATTAGGCTTGTATAGTTTAAATACCTAGACAAGAGCAAACGACGCTTGAAATGAAAGGACAGGAAAATTTTTGTTTCCACACTCTTCCAATAAATGTAATTGTCCGTCTATCGCAAAAAGAAATACGGAAAGGAAAAGTGCCAGCCTTTTTTATTTCTTTCCAAAAAGACAGAAGGGGTATCTCTCGAGACTTATCTTACCTTGATGGTTTAGGCAATTGCTAGCGAGCGTTCAAAAGTTTCGTTAACTTGTGTTTGTATGTCGTACTGGAATAAGAACAGAACAAGAATTACCTGTTTTACTTATATTCAGAACCGCATCCCACACCCAGATTCATTCCTATCGGCTAACGTCTGCTCTTTATATACCTTTTCCAGATTGAAAATCAAGGGTTTTCTTCGGGGGACTGGGAGGACACTTTATTCCTTTTCTTCAAATTGGGCCTACAACATTCCGCGGAGCGGCAAAGCAAAGAAGAAACTCTGATAGCCCACGGCATTTCTGAGCGGGTAGGTCTCCACTTTTCACGAGGAGCACCCCTGACGTAAGCAGCATGTGACCATCGTGGCGGAGCAGGCAGAGCAGGCGGAGCAGCTTACGGAGTTTTCTGAGCCAATCAGTTCTTCCCTTAGCAGGCGGAGCAAGGTACGGAGTTTTCTGAGCTAATCAGAATAAAACATGTAGGTGCGTCCTTATGTAACAGTGCATATATAATGAAATTGCTTATCAGCATGCATTGCAGGAAATTGCACGTGACCTCCGTGTGTGTGGTGATATGGAACATGTCTTGGAAGAATACAGCTAAGTTCAGCTCAAGTGACCTGCCAAAAACAAGCAATTGTGTGAAGCCTGAAGCGCGTTTCCCTCGGCGTTTTTAGCACTTATTACATTGGACCCTGCTCCTGTCTTACACCTCTCTTCTGCACCATGTCAACGACGGCCGTTTAGCGTCCCTGGAGACGCTCGAGCCATCGCACGTGGATCATTTAATTAGGGCCCTGCATGATGACAATTCTGTGGCTTAAAAGATGTCATGCCGACAGAGTGGGACTGAAAGTGTAATGAACAGCGAAGAGATAAGAAAAAAATGACGGGTGGTGATCAAAAGAGCAAAGGTCACGTGGTGGTGATTATTGTAGATGGGGTCGCTGGAAGTAATCTATGTGGCGGTGCAGTAGTTTGGCTTCTCGATGCCCAGTTCGCACGGCGAAAGCGCTGATCAAAGAGTCCAATTCGGTTTTTCGATTTTGTATTTTGGTCATGTGATTTGTAGATGCCAGTGACAGTGACATTGACAGTGCCAGGGATGTCTGGGGACTCATGAGTGTGTGGCGTCCGTTCCAAGGAAGGCTCTGTCGGCGTTGCGCGATGGTGTCTCGCGAATTGTCCATGTTTTGTTCTTTGTTCTTTGTTTTTTGTTTAGTTTTGGACCCTGTACAGATGCCCCGGAGGTTCATTTAAAAGCAGCGCTCGGTGTAAAAAACATTAAAGACAAAAACGTCTTCACTGTAAAGTGTCAACCTCCAGGCTTCCTGGCACCTTTTTAAATACAGACATCACTGGCCCATTTCGACGAGCACTGCTTGTGCAACGCTGACGTCCATGACTGCCAAACCGACTATTTTACACATTGTCACTTTTCTATGGCCACCCACGTGAGCAGCTGGTACAACAGACGCGGCTCGGTCCAATTGGCCCAGCTCGAGGAGCTGCTGGGCCTCAACTTGCGCATCGATCAGCTCGCCAGCTTCTGCAAGCGTGTGCTCAATGGAGTCCACGAGAATCTGTGCTCCCTGCTGTTTGAACTCCTCAACCAGCAGCGTGTCGCACTCGTGCATGTGGCTCTTGTAACTACCAATCAGTGAGATGTAAGTGTAACTTGGCCCACACTGCTGATCCAAGTGTTTTTTCAAAATGCCTGGCACGGTGGATGGAATGCAGCCGAAAATAATGTTACTTTCGCACACAAGCTTCGATATTCCGATTTGGTCGCCAAGCGGCATTTGGATGATGTTCAGGTCTGGGATCTTTTGTTGCAGCACCGTGGTGTCCATTGGAGTACACCGGTACGCAAAACTAACGGTTATTTTTCTACCTTCCAGAAGCTTGCAGCATATGTAGGCGTGCCAGAACGCTTGCAGTCCGGTACCAAACACAGCGATCTTCACCGATTCTTCGAAAAGCGGTAGCTGACGTAGCAGTGCAATGCAGCTGCACATGGCCGTTCTTACCCCAGTCAACTCTTTGACCTCAGCAACACCCTTCAAACGGCCGGATTTTGGGTCTGTGACAATGACCACTCCCTCAAACCCAGACCCATTAGCGGGATTGTACCCCAGCGTTTTCACACCGCAGTAGACGTCGTCTAATACCTGCATGTTGAAGTGGGTAGTGCTCCCATCTGGAGTAGGCTGCACGAATCTTGAAGGAACAATGCCGGGGTTTTTCGAGTACCGTTGCAAGGCTTTATGTAATTGAGTAATATAGTCGACCAATTTGCCTTGGGACGCCTCTAAAAAGAGATCGCGAATCTGCGAGTTACTTATGATGTGGGGATACATTGTCGTAGAGACGATATCGCGTTGGAACTCGTAATTTCTAGAATTCTCTGATGACCGAGTGAAGAGAGCGCCCTAATAGTATTGATTTTGATGATAACAAAGCCCTTCGGCGAGAAATCGACAACATGTGACACCGACCAATACTGAAGCATAACCACTGTTTGACGAATTTCGAAGGCAAACGGGAACTGAAAGGAGCACGCCATGTAAAACTACGCAATCCCGTTACATATTTCAGTAACTCGCGCGGCGTCGCGGCTCCTAAGCATCCAGTTCACTCGCAGATGTGTATTTCTTCTGATGCGACCATTTTGAATGTCCTCGCCAGCGGTGAAGGCCTATCCTGCAATTAAGTGACACCATGCCCAAATGAAGCATTTTGAGCTCTGGACGAGCATCCATGATATTTTATGTCACCACTTATTTTCGACGGCCACCGCTCATGAATTATATCTTCCCGCGTTTGAACGTTGCGGCAAATCAAACACAATGCTCATTCCCTCAGCTCTATAGTCCCCTCCCGTAATTGATGTGAACTTCAAATACCGGTAAGCTGCGGTCTTCGTGTTAGTGTCTCTTCCTTCTTAACGCATTGTTCGAGCAGTTTCAGTACACGTGATTTAATTTTGACGAGTACTCTTGTACTCGTGAGGCTTTCTGCTTACCTAAACAATTGTCAATCAGTCTTCAACTATGTGTTTTTTCTGACGGATCGAGATAGTTTAGCCTACATTCCCATTTGAACTCACACAAACACAGGAACAAACTAGCAGTTGTTGACCCGAAGCCGGTCAGAAAGGCTCCTTGTGTTTAAGCGAAGCGTAAAAAAGCTTTGGGATCATGTCGCTTGCCTTTCAAAACGAGCTCACGCCAGCCCGAGACACCACTTCAGACTCTCCAAGATCGTCGCAGGAACAGCGATGCTACTCGTCGCCAACATCGGTCGAGAGCTACAGCAAGAAACATGGCACACGGGAGCTGGCAGAGCATTCGGTGGATCCGCTGGACGGATCTAGGCCGGTCAGACTGCATCCAGTGCCAAAAGGAAGTATCGGTCCGCCTGATGCCGCGTCGCTCAGCCAGACGTGGCACAAACTCCAGCTGGACGATGAAGCGGCCACAAGTGGCACGATGGACGTGACAGAGAAAACGACGGGTGCGCACGACTACGAAAGCGTGCTGGACCACCACAGCTTGGTGGAGAACGGGTCGTTCATCCAGGGTCTGGACGACGAAAAAGTGCTGCTCAACGGCAGCACTTCGCGTAAAAAACCCTCGAGACGGGCTACTCAAGACTCCGGCCACTCCCTGCGTCAATTTCCGTTTGATTCCGGCAAGCACGCTAAAATTGTGCCTGTTCCATCTCCTACGGAAGAAGCGCAGGATCCAGCCATAAGTGCTATACAAGCGAGCCCTGCTGGCGTCTCAGAGCGTGAACACAGCAACAGTGACGGGGCAGACGAGATCACATCTCTCATACGGACCTCACACTCTCGTGCCAACTCTGCACAATCTTTCAACGTCAGCCACAGGCCCAGCGCTGTGAACGACGGCTCCTTGAAACGTTCAGAGTCGGCCACTGCTGAGATTAAAAAAATGCGCGAGACCTTGCTGCAAAAGCGGGAAATGCGTAAGAAACAACAAAATTTCCTAGACGACGATAGGGTACTGATAGGAAACAAAGTGAGCGAAGGACACGTTAACTTCACTATCGCTTACAACATGCTCACGGGCATTAGAGTCGCAGTCTCTAGGTGCTCGGGCATTATGAAACCCTTGACCCCTCGCGATTTTCGTCAAACTAAAAAACTTGCGTTTGATTTCCACAGAAATGAACTCACTCCAAGTTCCCAATATGCATTCAAGTTCAAAGACTATTGCCCCGAGGTGTTTAGGGAGCTGCGGGCGTTGTTTGGTCTGGATCCTGCGGACTACTTAATGTCTCTCACATCAAAATATATTCTCAGCGAGTTGAACTCTCCGGGCAAAAGTGGTTCTTTTTTCTACTTCAGTAGGGACTACAAATACATTATCAAGACCATTCACCATGCCGAACACTTGCATCTGAGAAGAACGCTCAAAGAATACTATACTCACATAAAGGAAAACCCAAATACCCTAATTTCCCAGTTTTATGGTCTACATCGGGTCAAGATGCCAATATCTTTTAAAAGTAAGATCAAGCATCGCAAAATATACTTTCTGGTGATGAACAATCTATTCCCCCCTCATTTGGAGATACACACAACGTTCGACCTGAAGGGCTCAACTTGGGGCAGGTACACGAAGGTCAATGATTCCGAGCCTACAGATGCGGGAGATGCACACCGGCCAGTTTTGAAAGACCTTAACTGGCTGCAAGAACAGCGTGCCATACGGTTTGGCCCGCTGAAAAAAAAGAAGTTTCTGCAGCAGCTTGAGAAAGACGTGGATTTACTCGCGCGGCTGAATATCATGGATTACTCGCTTTTGCTCGGTATTCACGATATGGAAAAGGGGAATGACTTGATAGACGAGCAGAACATCTTGGCGAAATTCAGCCCCGACCAAAATGAATTGCAGGAGGTGAAGCGTAAGTCGATGGCAGAACAGCAAATGCGTCACAAATCGGCCTTAGCCGTACAGCACTTTTTTCAGCAGGACGAAGGTGGTATACGTGCCTCAGACGCCTTCAACAACGACCTGGACACCATATACTACGTGGGCATCATTGACTGCTTGACTAACTACTCATGCCTAAAGAAGCTGGAGACTTTTTGGCGAGGCCTAAGCCATGACTTGAAGGTGATCAGTGCGGTTCCTCCACGTGACTACGGTGACCGCTTCTATGACTTCATGGAGGCTTCGGTCAATAGAGTGCCTCAAAAGAGATACAAAGATGATCCGGATGCTAAGGAATATAAAGACAGTCCCGCCCATGATGTAGTCAATGAGAAAGTCGCAGTTTAACTTTTCTACGAAATCTAGGATAACATTGGGCAGGAATTAAGCAGCGTTTTGGTCTGTGTCCCATAAAAATCAAAAATTTCATGATACAATTCATGATGTTGCAATTGTAGAACTTGCATTCGAGCCGTACTGAACCGTAGGATTGCTAGTTTTAGAGATTATGGCCTAGTCAAAGAAATAGATTCCCTCGCCATGAGATGCCAGAATTGACATCAGTGATATGAACCCTGTAAGATAAATATGGCTCGTAACAAGCTTGATAACAAGAATAAGTAAAACCGAACTCGACTTTCTTTTAGATAGCATAAAGATGCTGGAATTCGCAAGTAGTTTTCAACTTGGCGGTTTCCATCCCCGAGCAAGCGGTGTGGATCCAGCTAAGTCAGAATATGCTTTGTATTCGAAAAGTAAGGGTAACGCCAAGGCTGGTTTTAGAACAGTAGGCGCATGCAAAGAAAACCGAACATGTTTCTCTTCTAATGATGTTAAAATCTTCCTTCTTGGCAAACCAAAACGAATCGTTGTTGGATTTTGGCTAGGGCACATCAAGTGAAATGAACAATCAACAAGGTTACTATCAGCAGGGCCCCCCACAACAACAGGGCTACTACCAACAGGGCCCACAACAGCAGGGCTATTATCAACAGGGACCTCCTCAAGGCGGGTACTATCAACAACAACAGCCAATGTACCAGCAACAACCTCCACAGAAAGAAGAGGCAGGCTGCTGTAAATGGTGTATGGGAGCGCTGTGCTGCTGCTGTCTTCTAGAGCTGTGCTGCGGTGATTAATGTCACTGGCATTCTGAACTAGGAGCTCACTTCAGAAGGACGGTTTTTGAGCGAGTGATAATACGTGCTCGCGAGGTTGTTGCAAACGAAGAGCTCCAGCTTGTCCCCGAAAAGTAAGTAAAAAGCGCTGTATGTACTCTAAGAGAAATATTGGCGCGGTCGTCGCAAAAGGAGGAAACAAGCTTCGATGAACAACGAAAGGGCCAATCCAACGTCTCAAATTCGCTGCAAAACGGTAAGTACTGCTCTTCAATACGGTAAGTACTGCTCTTTAATACGGTTACGGTGTGCATTTCATCAATTTCCATTTGTCTGTGTCTACCTATAGTGGTTTGTCGATCCTTTACTTTCGAAAATGCTCGTGTAGCTCAGTGGTTAGAGCTTCGTGCTTATAGATGCATTCGGTTCTCCGAGGCTTTCTATGAAAGTACGGCCGCTAAACACGGCCTTTAAAGCAACGCGACCGTCGTGGGTTCGAACCCCACCTCGAGCACTTTCCATGTTTTTTTTCACATTTTTTGTGAAGAGATAATAAGAAAGCTATAAGACCGTATGTGCGGTGTGATGGCCTTAGCAGTAGACGGAAGCTCCAAATGTAAGGTCGTGGCAGCATCTTTTCAGCAACTGAGATTGTTTTTGAACTTTAACACCTGGAGAAATTGTCGCTGACCTTTTATCACTTTAAACACATATGACGCTTAATGTCGTATCCATATATATATATATGTAGGAAGCCTTGGGCACTGAGATGATGATAATTCGAGTTTCAGAGTTGGTCGGCTTTCTATTTAGGACAAATAGTCTCTTATTTATGGTCCCAGTAGCTCGCATTTTTGAAGAGGATGGAATAAGGCAATTTTCGAGACAACAACGACTTTCAAGTAGGAAACGAATTTGAAGGGCTATCTACAGCCCATAAATTCAACAGAATCTATATACACTTGGTGCTTAGTACCTGGAGCAACGTTACTGGACACGTTCGCTCCTTTGTCCGCCAAACTCGTGCTCCACATCATATCCTACGGCAGAGACATCATTTTTCTACAACGCAGCTATAGATTTTAAAAATTAATGAACTCGGGCATCAATGAGCTAAGAACGTTGAGTCACCCGAAATCAAAAGATCGTTGTTACGACGCTATTTCCCGGTTAAGCAGCTAAAGATCAAGCGTTTACCACCCGCCAATCTCACATAGGCAAATGGCTGGAAAAAAGAGTAAGTCTAGTGACAAGTCTGGAAACAACAAGCAGAAGAACGAAGTTGTGCAGGATGAGCGTTTACAAGCAATTGTGTTGACGGACTCGTTTGAGACCCGATTCATGCCGTTAACAGCTGTGAAACCTAGGTGTTTACTTCCCTTGGCCAATGTGCCTCTCATTGAGTACACTTTGGAGTTCCTCGCAAAGGCAGGTGCTAGTGAAGTGTATCTGATGTGTGCATCCCACGCTGATCAGATCAATGACTACATCGAAAAGTCGAAATGGAACATGCCCTGGTCGCCATTTCGTGTTTCAACAATCATGTCCCTCGAGTCTCGGTCTGTAGGTGATGCCATGCGTGATTTGGACAATCGAGGAATCATCACAGGCGATTTCATACTGGTCAGTGGGGACCTTGTTACCAATATGGAGTTTGACAAGGCTCTTGACTTTCATCGCATGAAGAAATCCGAGGACAAAGATCATATAGTAACCATGTGTCTCAGCAGGGCAAGTCAGTTTTTCAGATCTAGATGTCACGAACCAGCGGTCTTCATACTGGACAAGGCCAGCGACAAATGTCTATACTATCAGGATATTCCCTTGGAAAACTCCAAGCTCAAAAACTCGATTGCAATCGATCCAGAGCTCTTAGAGGGCGTTGACGATTTCAAAATTCGTAACGATTTAGTTGACTGCCACGTCGACATTTGCTCTCCTCACGTACCTGCTATCTTCCAAGAAAACTTCGATTACCAGTTTCTGAGAAGAGATTTTGTAAAAGGTGTGTTGACCAGCGACTTACTAAAAAAGAGCATATACGCATTCATTACAGAGGACTATGCTGCCCGTGTTGAAAGCTGGCAAACGTATGATGCCATATCCCAAGATTTTATTGCCAGATGGTGCTACCCTATGGTTCTGAACTCGAATCTACTTGACGATCAAACATACTCTTACGAATCCGAGCATATCTACAAAGAGAAAGATGTGGTGCTAGCACAATCGTGCAAAATTGGCAAGTGTACTGGCATTGGATCTGGATCCAAAATTGGAGAAGGTACCAGCATTGAAAACTCTGTAATTGGGAGGAACTGTCATATCAAGGAGAATATCGTAATAAAAGACAGTTTTATATGGGACAACACCACCATCGGAAGTGATTCTGTAATTGAGCATGCTCTGGTGGCTTCAGATGTCAAGATCGGATCCAAAGTTGTCGTTCAAGATGGCTGTGTCATCGGCTTCAACGTATTTATTGACGATAACATGGTTATCCCGGTGGGTACAAGACTTTCCGAAACATTTGTTGAGAAGCGCGTCTCTCAATTTCTGGACAGCGAGTCTTATAGCGACGACGAAGAGGTTGTTTCAAATGGAAAATCTACGAATGCGCTACCTGCAGTAAAACTGGTTGGCGAGGCAGGCGTTGGCTACGTATACGAAAGCGACGACGCATATGACGACGACGATAGCAGTGTGTTGGACGACGGCACAAATGCTCTCACGCATCGTTTCGATGACATGTACTTGAGTGACACATCTATTTCATCGCTCTCAGTCAAGCCCAAGAAAAAGCGCAGATCTTCCACGAGCAGCGCCACGACGTTTGCCGGCCGCGACGAGGAGTATTACGACGACGACAATGAGGACGAAGACGAGGAAGACTTTGCTGCGGAGGCTATTGCTACGGTGGAGAGAGCAATGGAGAACAACCACGATATTGACACAGCGCTTTTGGAATTGAATACCTTGAGAATGAGTATCAACGTTACCTACCATGAGGTCAGATCTGCCACCGTGGTGGCTCTACTGAGACGTGTCTACCACTTTATTGCTACGCAGACGCTTGGTGCCAAGGATGCTATCCAGAAAGTTTTCGGTCAATGGGGACCTCTATTTAAGCGCCAGGCTTTCGACGAGGAGGAGTACGTGGACTTGGCGAATTTGATTTTGGAGAAGGCCGTGGCCCAGAACTTCGAAAAGCCCGAGTTTATTGTTTTCAGTGCCCTGACGTTCCTATATGACGAGGACATTCTTGACGAAGATGCCGTTGACGCGTGGTGGAACCAGGTCACAGACGACCCGGCCTACGACCAGGCGAAGGTGCTGACCGCCAAATGGGTTGAGTGGCTCAGAACTGCCGACGAGCAGTCCACGTCCGAGGAAGAGTCGGAAGAGAGCGACAGCGAGTAAGACAATGTGCCCGGCGACGCGAAGGTACAAAGTGACAAGAAAATTATGCTTTCACCGTAACCACCCAGTTGGAATTTTAGCCCAGAGAAGATGAGCCGAAATCGCAACGTTGCGCTAGCAAACAATACCGTTAATTGCTGTTGAAATAGAATATACTGTCTCTGGCTCGAGGTCACCAATACCGAGTTTGATCTTGAACGGAGAGTCAAAAACTTCCAAGAAACTCAAACTTGAACGTCTGAAAATGCTTTTTCAGCCTCTGGAATTGTGTGTCCTGTTAATAAAACCTGAATTTACAAGCGATAGATACACCTGAGCCTATATCGGCTGAGCGTCTCACACTAGTTAAAGCCTAACAGTAGTGCTTACCCGGCGCTCGTCTAATCTCATTAAATTCTTCAACTCTTTTTGTCAGTTATCAATTAGAACGGTTTCCGATGAAAAATTGTCTATCAAGGAGAGGTGCTAGTAAATAAGCTGAGTCCCTCAGAACAGTCGAATAGTATTTAAAAGCGCAGTAAGACGCTTATTTGAGCCATTGAAAGACACTGTCATCAAGAAATTTGAGTCGATTCATTTTTCTGCTATCAACTTTGTTAGCATCTTTTTTTTGAACTCGAGGTTGGCCATATAACACTCGAAATTCCAGCGAAAAGCTAGATTGGAAAAGCAAGATGCAGACTCTTAAGTGCGTGGTAGTAGGAGACGGTGCCGTGGGAAAGACGTGTTTGCTGATTTCGTACACTACAAACCAGTTTCCAGCAGACTACGTGCCCACAGTATTCGACAATTATGCGGTGACGGTAATGATCGGCGACGAGCCCTACACGCTGGGGCTTTTCGACACTGCAGGCCAGGAAGATTACGACCGTTTGAGACCTCTTTCGTATCCTTCCACTGACGTATTCCTGGTGTGTTTCAGCGTGATTTCGCCACCATCGTTCGAAAACGTGAAAGAGAAGTGGTTCCCCGAAGTGCACCACCATTGTCCCGGCGTGCCTTGTCTGATTGTGGGAACACAGGTAGACTTGAGAGACGACAAAGTTATTATCGAAAAGCTGCAGAGACAGCGCTTGCGGCCTATATTGCCCGAACAGGGAGAGAGACTGGCGCGCGAGCTCAGGGCCATCAAGTATGTGGAGTGTTCGGCGTTGACTCAGCGGGGACTGAAGAATGTGTTTGACGAGGCGATCGTTGCGGCGCTGGAGCCTCCCGTGATCAAAAAGAGCAAAAAGTGTACTGTTTTATAAGGCGCTGGGCGGGGGAAGGCTTGAACTGGACCGAAATGAGAGAACAAAGTGTGCAAGAGCTGAAACCACAGGCGGGCAGAACGGCAACGTGTTGAAGATGAAGAACAACCGCTCCCAACTTTCGTCATTTTGGTTTTTTTGCTTCGTCTCTCTCTTCCTATTATGTTCCTTCGTCTGCGAAAACGGATCTGGTATACCCGTTTTTCCAATTGATCTTTCTCTTACATCTTCTTGAAGGCTCTTTATCCACACGAATCCGTGTCATCGCTCCCTTCTCGTCTCACATGTCCTGTCCATATGACCCGCTTCTCAAACCTAAGTGTTCTCGATTGACTATTTACTTCCTCATGTTGTACTACGCAGTTATGTCTTGTAAAGCAGATTCGACAAAGTCGACAAAGATAACAAAAGAGATGACAGAACAAGAAGCTATCAAGGCATCTTGACGATTTAAACATAACAGTCCAGTCATTGTCGAAATATTCAAAAATCGAATGCTTCGAGAGCCAAGTACTTGTATGATTACCTAATTATTTCTTCTTTCTCAATAAACTCAATATCATCACTATTTACGTAAATGCTTCAACTTTTCACTGAACTTTTCTCAATGGATCATAGAGATACACCATATCTTCTCCCCAAAACTCGTCAAGACAGGGAAGAATTTGCTCACCAATTGAGGATTGAAGCTTTATTTAGAACTTATTAAGACATCGACCTCGAAGTATCCCGTCTTTTCTCCTCAAACATGGCTTCTGTATTGAACAATTCCCGTTCAGATACGTTGTTTCTCGGTGGCGAGAAAGTTAGCGGCGATGATATCAGAAACCAAAACGTTTTGGCAGCTCTGGCTGTGGCCAATGTAGTCAAGTCGTCGTTGGGACCGGTAGGATTGGACAAAATGCTCGTCGACGATATCGGAGACTTTACAGTCACAAACGATGGGGCCACCATTTTGTCGCTTTTGGACGTGCAACATCCTGCAGGTAAGATTCTGGTGGAATTGGCACAGCAGCAAGACCGCGAAATTGGTGACGGAACCACCAGTGTAGTCATCATTGCCTCTGAACTCCTCAAGAGAGCCAACTCGCTGGTCAAAAACAAGATCCACCCCACAACCATCATCACAGGGTACCGTGTAGCGCTCAGAGAGGCTGTCAGGTATATAACCGAGGTGCTTTCGATGAGTGTCGACTCGTTGGGCAAAGAATCGCTTGTGAACATCGCCAAGACCAGTATGTCATCCAAAATTATCGGTTCAGACTCAGACTTCTTCGGCAACATGGTCGTAGACGCCTTGCTTGCCGTCAGAACGCAGAACTCCAAGGGAGAAACTAAATATCCGGTCAAGGCTGTCAACATTTTGAAAGCACACGGTAAGTCTGCCCGTGAATCGGTGCTCGTTCAAGGATATGCGTTGAACTGTACCGTGGCCTCGCAGGCCATGCCCAAGCGCATAGACGGCGGTAATGTGAAGATCGCGTGTCTCGACATAAATCTACAAAAGGCTAGAATGGCCATGGGCGTGCAGATCAACATCAGTGATCCCGACCAACTCGAAGAGATTCGCAAACGTGAGGCAGGAATTGTGTTGGAAAAAGTGAGAAAGATCATAGCTGCTGGGGCCAACGTGGTACTCACCACCAAGGGCATTGACGATCTATGTTTGAAAGAGTTCGTGGAGGCCAAGGTGATGGCTGTGAGGCGCTGCAAGAAAGAAGATCTCAGAAGAATTGCCAGAGCCACCGGTGCCACATTGATAAGCTCGATGTCGAACCTAGAAGGTGACGAAATCTTCGAAGCGACTTCTTTGGGTACGTGCCAAGAAGTGGTGCAGGAGAGGTTCTCAGACGACGAATGCATCTTGGTAAAGGGCACGTCTAAACACTCTTCTTCGTCCATTGTGCTACGTGGTGCTAACGACTACTCTTTGGACGAAATGGAGCGTTCGATCCACGACTCCTTGTCGGTGGTCAAGAGAACCCTGGAGAGCGGCCACGTAGTACCCGGTGGCGGGTGCGTAGAGGCTGCGCTGAACATATACCTCGACAATTTTGCCACGACGGTTGGCTCGCGCGAACAACTGGCCATTGCCGAGTTCGCTGCTGCTTTGCTCGTGATACCCAAGACTTTGGCCGTCAACGCCGCAAAAGATTCGAGCGATCTAATTGCCAAGCTGAGATCGTACCACGCTGCAAGCCAGCAAGCGCAGCTGGATCACGTCAAGAGAAGAAACTACCGTAACTACGGGTTGGATTTGATTCGCGGTAAGGTCGTGGACGAGGTGCAGTCGGGAGTTCTGGAGCCCACTGTCAGCAAAGTGAAGTCATTGAAGTCTGCCCTCGAGGCATGCATTGCGATTTTGAGAATTGACACCATGATCACCGTGGACCCAGAGCCTGCTAAGGAGGACCCACACGCACACTGTTAAGCGTCGTCGAGGCTGTCCGTCCGTGAGCCCTTGCACACATAGTGCGTCGTTTTACACGACGCCGTATCATAAACTAGCACCAGCAGAGTATACCATCTCGATGCAGGAGCGAGCATTTCGAAGTCAAGTCAAGTCAAGGTTTGTTGTGAATACGGTTTGATTACGTCCAATGCAACGGAAATTCAATTTTTCGCCGCTCCGAATTTTTTTCGGCTCTAAAATCGAGGTCTCTGAAAATTCAATATCAAGCACTGGCTCTTCAAGCTTCGTCTGGATAGCAAGCAAAACACCAGACTCCAGACACCAGCCGGGTCTCCCCACTGATTACTCTGACGTTCCTCGCGAGAAAGAATCTCCAACGGTTTTTCTGAACACCCAGCTGTAAAATTGTATATACCAAAATTCAAGGCTAACCGCTACGAATGCCAGGCCTTTCTCAGATCGCCATCAGATGACTTAAAATCACACGATTTTTCGGGTGCTGGTTTTTTTTTTTCATTCAGCTACAAACGACGTTAACAATTAAGATGTTAAAAAACGAGATTCTCGTACAAGAACTAAGACTATCTTAAGAATTAGCATAGGGAATCAACGATCTAAGGCCGGGGGCGATACTTGGAACTCGAACGCTTGTGTGCCGAGAGTATTATATCGAACTAGGGCTTTAAACGGGCAATTTCCCGAGACGCAAAAGCTTGCAAGGCCAAAGTTGTGGAACTTTCGGAGCTTTGGACGGTTAAACGAGCAGGTTGATCATTCTAATTCATTCCAACGGCGGTTCGATAAGCCAATAAGCAGGATAGGTGCCAGAAGAGAAGAAAAAGCTGAGAACCGTGGACGCTTAGCAGACTTGGCTCAGCGAGTGAACAGGAATTAAAAGTGAATTTTGGTTTTAATAGCTATTATTAAGACTGGAAATTGGCAAAAATAAAAACGGTGAACATCAACGGTGAATACCCAGTGGAAAGTTTGAGCTTTCTCTTAAAATCGAGAGTTCATCGTTATCATTTTTACTGGCTGATAGCTTTTCTGGATTGACTTCTGCCATCTGCCCCTCTCCCTCATTTAATTTTCTTTGAGTGTCAAGATGAGTAGTGATTATAGCGAAGAGGATGCTTCTGGGAAGTCAGGAAAACGCAAGGACAAAGTCATAGAGCTGATCGAGGTCGACGGGAAGAAAGTCAGCAAAACTTCAACTGGTAAACGAAAATTTCACAAGAAGTCCAAAAACGGATGCGACAACTGCAAACGTCGGCGTGTCAAGTGCGACGAGGGCAAGCCCGCTTGTCAAAAGTGTCTAGCCATGAATTTGGAGTGTTGCTACACACCAGTGGTGCCTCGCAAGCAAAAAAATGCCAGCAACACCAATCTGGACACTGTGAAAATCGCATCTCTTAAACACGAGGACCTTTCCGAAGATCTCGAGCCGCAGAACTTGGAAGATCTGAAGGAGGTCCCAGCAGCATCACAGAACACTGCAAAGACGGGACACGCCGCCGCTAGCGGCTCCCAAAAACAATCTCAAGTCCCGAACCCGGCTGCTGGCCAACTGGGTTCTCCGGATAACCTTCTTTTACCTCCCCTGTTCCCTGGCGCGAACATGCAGCTACAGCAGCAGATCCAGCAGCAACCGCAATTGCTACCACAACTAATGACCTTAAGCAATTCGGAGAAGTTTGCAGGATTTGATTTCCCCAACAGCCCACCATTCCAGTCTACTTCCATGAACATTACCAATAGCATAGGCAGCTTTTTCGCTGCCAACAAACTTCTGCCCAACGTTATGAACAACGTTTCCAATTTACAACAACAACAGCAACAACATCAGCATCAACAGCAGCAGGATCGGCCGCTTTCCTCCCCGCAAAAGCAGCATTATAATCAACATGTTCAAGCCTCGCCTCTTTCTTCGATATTACAATCACAGGAAATGGTACAAAGTCTGAGTCGGGCCGGAATCAATTTCAGACAGATGGCGATGTTCTCAACCGCTGGGATCGGCGGTGTGACGTACGACCTTCAAGAGCTCATGGGCATGAAATCTCAAGAAACCGGTGACGGGCAAGAGAAAAATGCAAGCACCACAGCAGAAGAGGTCCTCGCCACACTGCAACGACAACAGCAAAACATGCAACAACAGAATACCTCGCAAAAAAATAATGACGGCCAGGTCAACGACGGAAGTGCAACAAACTTCTCGAGTCTCAACCCCGAGGCAACGCCAAACCCTGCCAACAATCCTACCATATCACCTGCAGCGCCAATGTCTCCTATGGGTAAAAACGGAGCTTCACATCTAGCACCAGACGGCCATCAATATTACGGTCAGAAAGAACCTTCGAGTGAAACTCCTGGTCTCGACAGTAAACTCATGGGAAAATCCGCCAGTCAGGAGCCCATCACGTCGGAAGATGAGAAATCTCGGCTTGGGGCGATTCCAAGATTAGTGCAACTTTCCAAGGAAGGTAGCCTGAACCTGGTGGACCTGAAGCTATTCCATCACTACTGTACTGAAACATGGCCCACCATAACCTCTGCGGGTATTAGTGGGAAGAAAATTTGGAGTGATGAGATACCGAAACTCGCTTTCGACTATCCATTTCTGATGCATGCACTGTTGGCTTTCAGCGCCACACACTTGTCGCGTAAAGAACCAGGTTTGGAACAGCATGTCGCTGCGCATCGACTCGATGCTTTGAGATTGCTGCGGAAAGCCGTTTTGGAAATTTCCGAGGACAATACGGACGCTTTGGTTGCAAGTGCACTAATTTTGATTATGGACTCTTTGGCGAATGCTTCTTCTCCCAATTCCACCTCCCCAGATTCGTTGGCTGCTTCCATCTCTCCGTCTGCATGGATTTTCCACGTCAAGGGTGCTGCCACTATTTTGACTGCTGTCTGGCCCTTGACTGAAAAGTCTCGATTTCACAATCTCATCTGTGTCGACCTCAGCGACCTCGGCGACATTATTAACCAGGACAGCGGCACGGTTTCAGAGCTGGTGTGTTTTGACGAAAGCATTTCGGACCTTTACCCTGTTGAGATTGACTCGCCTTACCTGATAACACTGGCATATCTTGATAAATTGCATCGTGAGAAAAACCAATCTGATTTTGTTCTACGAATATTTGCTTTCCCTGCACTGTTGGACAAGACATTTTTAGCACTTTTGATGACAGGAGACATGGGGGCTATGCGGATCATGAGATGCTACTACCAGCTTCTTCGTGGGTTTGCTACCGAAGTCAAGGACAAGGTTTGGTTTTTGGAGGGCGTCACCAAGGTCTTGCCGCAAGATGTCGATGACTACAGTGGTGGCGGTATGCACATGATGCTGGATTTTCTGGGTGGAGGATTACCTTCTATGACTACTACAAACCTTCAACCAGGTCTCACTGACTTCATGTAACGGTTGTAGGAGCACTTTGATCGATCCATTTCGTCGATAATGCCATCAACACTTTTTTTGACGGAATTTTCGAGAACACACGATGAACTTAAAAGGGCTCAGAAGTCTTCATGCTGTTTGTATATATAAGCTCTCTTAGGTCTGTTACTTATTCAATTCGATCATTAAGGCGTTGTTGAGCTCTGAAATCGAATTCTTCATCTTGAGTACGAATAAAAGAAGTTAAAAATGGTCGTTCACAATCCTAACAACTGGCACTGGGTAGACAAGAACTGTATCGATTGGGCCCGTAATTACTTCGAGAACAGACTTGTGGGCATTGAAAGCTCCGCTAACGAAACGAAACAAGTTGAAGTTACGTCTATTTCGTCTATGGAGGGAGACTGCGAGGTCAGTCAACGCAAGGGTAAGGTCATTTCACTATTCGACCTTAAAGTGGTATTGATGATCAAGGGCCATGTGGAGGATGAAACTTTTGAGGGTAGTATTACAGTTCCAGAGATTGCTTTTGACTCTGAAGCAGACGACTACCAGTTCGAAATATCAATTTACAAAGAAACTGGCAAATTGAGTGAAGTCAGGCCTTTGATTAGGGAAGAGATCATACCACAATTGAAGGAGGTTTTCTGCAAATTCGGACCAGAACTTCTGCAAACGCATGCCAATGATATTCAGGTTCCAGTAGACCAGGTCAAATCCGAATTCACCAAGGCTAACGCACAATCGACACATGCAAGCGCATCTGCATCCCCACCACCAACAGTGAAGAAAACCAGCAGCAATGTGAAGAGCGAAGCCTCTTCAGGATCTTCAAAGGGGCCTCTTTACAACACCACAACTTTGCATTTGGAACCTACTTTCAACGTTCCTGCCACTGAGCTCTATCAAACATTCCTTGACAAACAGCGAGTGCAAGCATGGTCCAGATCACCCATGGTTTGTAAATCGTCCAAGAGCGTTCTAGAAAAAGGTGACGAGTTCACCTTCTTTGGAGGAAATATAACAAGCAAGCTGATTGGGTGTGACGTAGGCAAGCGGTTGGTCTTTGAGTGGCGTCTCAATGATTGGCGCCAAGGCCACTGGAGCACCTTAGCCATGGACTTCCACGAATCTCAAGAATATCACGAAACAAAATTACAGGTCACTTGGAGTGGCGTCCCGGTAGGCGAAGAAGATAAGGCCAAGGGCAATTTTTTGGAATACTACGTTAGAAGCATTAAGTTGACTTTCGGTTTCGGGGCTGTCTTATAGGCAGAATAAAGAAAAAAGCTCAATAATCTTGAGAAACCTCCGTAAACGTAGGTTAATGAAATATCTCTAGACTTATAGTAACTACTCCAACACATCGGTTACCCAAGTTATGACAATATCTTACAACGATTAAATTATCGTCTACGATAATATTATTTAAGCTATAGCTGCTGAACAGTCGTTTCATTTTCTTACCAGTTTCAATACTTCTTGATTGAGAGTATCTCTATCTGTTTGATTCTTGAAAACTATATACTATACTATAAATCCAATTTAGAACTCATATATCATCAAAATGCAAATAATAATGTTCGAACATTGGCAAGGCAACACAAAAGGTTATTATTGACTGCCGTTGTTATAAAGTGCATGGACTGCAATGCAATGGGACCAATAAAGATCCGGTGTTGTGAGTTCGTGTCTTTTATCTGCCGCTGACTGTGGTCGTAGTCTCTACCACAACGGGCGCTTCAACAGCAGTTTCATTCCATTCTTCAACCTCTTTCTTGTGCTCTCTTTCAATAGCAAACTTGACGGCCTCTAAAACATCGTCGCAAATCTGCTTTGGTGTGTATTTTGGTATTTTGTTGTCTTGGAAAACACCTGTTTTGACCAAAATAGAGAACCAAGAAGAGTCATGAGAGTTGGCAAATCTAATATCAGATTCTGGAGTGTCACCCACAAAGTAAACAGTGGATGCGGGAGGTAATTCTAGCGACAACTTGGAGTCCTTTTGCAAAGTGAGAGGTTCTGACTCGCTCGCATTGTTGCTGTCGTCGTCGTCGTCGTCGTCGTCGTCGTCGTCGGAATCGGACAAACCGGCATCTTCTAAGCTCAAATTCTCAACGTGCTCGCTGAGAGTGTTTCTTCTCCAATTCGTTAAAACCTTTTCGGCAAATCTGAAAGTACCGCGTTGTGGTTTACCAAATCTGGTGACTTGCAACTCGCGGCCAGTGTGTTCTTGATACAAAGCGGCAATGGACACTTGTAGCGCCCCCATACCGTACCGCGAGAGACCGTAGTCGGTGGCCCACACAAAGTCTGAGTGGGCAAAGTAAAGACCAACGTGGTTTTCGGAAGGATCTTGGGCCACAGTGCCCATCACACCGTTTTTAGACAATAGGATCTCCAAGATGATTTGCTGGTCAGCGGCCCAGTTCCTAGAGTCGGCAAAAACCAAGATGGCGTCGATGGAGATCTTGGAAAAGTCCACGTCGCGAGCCACGCTCTTTTCTTCCTCGGACAATTGGTAGTAAGGGGTGACACTTGGGTTCCATTTCATCACGTCGAGTGGGATATAAACGTTGTCAAACCCGTAATCCTGGGCTACCTTGCGACATGAATCCAGCACACCACCTACAACCAAAACGTTTTTGTAAGCAGGAACCAAATCCTTCATGGGCGTGTGGCCTTGAATTACCTGATCTTCGGTTACCGTGATACCCAATCTCTTAGACAAGTCCTTACAACGGGCCTTTTCGGACCGTCCACCACCGTTGGTGATGAAGATATAGGGCACCTTGATGTTGTACTTGTTGTGGCCGTTTAGCATACGCAGCGCCTCCCGGGCTTCAGGGATGGTTTCCGGCCCGCGGACAATGACACCATCGATATCGAAGGCAAACGCATACGAGGCAATACGCTCGTGGTCGATGGTCTGCTTGCGGTAACGCACGGCGTTGGAGGAGCGGCGTGACAACGACGCCGATGCCTTGCGCGATACGGAGGCCTTGCGGGACGCGGATCTGGACCCGGGGGCGCTGGGGCCGCCGTCGTTGCCTCTGTCCACGGCGGTCATGGGCTGCAGCTCCTGGTTAATGCGCCACTGGTCGCTCAGCGAGATCGACGAGACCCGGTGCTTGCGCGTGGTAGGCTTCATTTCGTCGATGCCGTCGTTTTCCAAAAACGACTTGGTGCGGGGCTTGCCCTCCTGGGGCTGCACGTGCGTGCCTGGCGCGTGCGCGCGCTGGTCATCGGTCACATGACGTGCCTGGGGGTCGTTTCCGGATTTCTGGAGAGGATCCACGTCTACTGCGGTGTAAGCGGGTCTCTGGCTTTGGTGGCTGTTATTACTGGACGAGTCGTTGGTCATCACCTTGTTGGAGAAGGCTTTTAGTTTCTCGGTAATTTTATCAGACATGGTGTATGGGTGTTTTGCAAACAAATAATGCGCTATACTATGTGCGAGGGAGGGACTGAATTGGGACACAACAGGTGAAGGAAAGGCGTGGTGGTTCAAGAAACCGTTTTCTTGGCGGTACTCTTGCTAAATGCAGATGTTGATGCTTCTGTGAAAAATATAAACACGTCAGTAGAAGGGTAAGTTCCGAACCGCCAGGGCCCTCGCCTTATATACCCGTTATTGCTGAAAAATAGGGGGCGCGCGCCTCTCCCCTATTTCGTTTTAGCAACAAATTGTGTTACGTAAACAGGGCAAAGAATCAAGTTTTCCAGCGTGTTCTAGAGCAAAGCGCAGGCGATTTCACACAGCAGCAGCAAAAAAAACAAAAGAGGATTTAGACGCCGTCGAGGTCACGAGAGGTCCTTTAATGCGCGGGGTACCTCTCCATTGCTGCGAGATGTGCTAGAAACGGACGCAGAGGATGGCCAAAAGCGGCGGTGTGTGGGTTTTGATAATCCGATGACGGAAGAATCGTGATCTACGACACAAGCCCTAGCCCCAAAGCCCTGTCCTTTCTCGAGCCCAGCAACACCAGTAAGAACTGTCGTCAAATGCCAGATTTGCCAATAGCAAGCGTCAAGAGAAGGAAGTCGTTTAACGAAGGGCAAAACACAAGCGTTGTTGGCACGATGCTTGGCGTGTGGTGTGTGGTGCGATTTTAGTTATGGTCTGAGAGTTTCGACTCCGTTACCGTGCCGTTGCAGTCGTTATTGTTGCGAGAGGTGGGTGACGTGGGAAAAGAGAGAGAGAGTGTGTGTGTGTGCCAGGGATCGGGAGAAGATGGGGCCCAGCAACCGCGAGCAATTTGGTAATGTAGATCGAAAACGGCGGCCCAATCATTACTGACATCTGTGCTTTTTCAACTGGAGCATACGGTTATGTCCCAGAATCTTGTGTGTCAGTCAGGGTCTCTCTGCAGGCCCTTTCTGACCAGAAATTATTAATTTTTCTGTCCTGTGTACTCGTGCGGGCGCGAGTACGGCCCACATTAGTGTGGAAGATGAATCGCACAGGCGTGGGGCCGCAGGAATCGAGCTCTTGAAACCTGAGTTTGGAGCTGCTTGTGAAAGTTTCGTTGTCGACAAGGTCATTTGTGGACTGCACGCCGACATTATGCGTTTGTAGACTAGCCATTACATGTGATGAAATGAGGCTGTGACGCAAAAGTTTCATCACTGCAATTTTGCAATCTTATAATCGAAGAATCACACAAGCGTAGATTCGTGCTAACGCAGTCAGAACACCACTGAACCTTTCGTAGTACTTACCATTGACGTTACAGAGTTCGGCGCTGCTGCTACAGTTTTGTTCTTGACAAGGTTATCTGTGAGCTGCACGCCGACATTGTATGTGATTTTAGAAATTTCATTATCATATGTGATGAATGACAGCTGCGACGCTGAGCACATAATTAAACAATCATCGACCCGTCTAGTAAAGCAAAATCAAAGCCAATGAAACCCTAAATTGCAAAAACATAGCAAGCAGCAAACCATTGTGCAAGAAAGCGAACTTACAGCCCAGCGGTGATAGAATAATGCAGCAAACCATTCTGCAGTGATGCGATTATACAGACCTGCGGTCGTAGAATCAGAGAATCAGGAAAGACTCGTAGAGTGACGCATTGACGCTACGGGTTGAAGCTTTTGTTGGCTACGAGACCATTTGCACGCTGTACGTTTTTTTTTTTTTGTAGAACATTTTACCGCCATGGGTGAAAAACACGGCCGCGACGCAGCCCTAGAGGACTCACGAACCTTATGATCGTAAGGTCAAACCACTGTACGATCTTACATACTGCCGTGTTACCATATAATTATAGAATCATGCTTTCGTATAATCATATAATAGAATTTCAATCATACAATCAGACAATCATAGACCCGTCTAGTGATACAATTGAAACCTTGAAACTTGCAATAATGTAATTTTACGATCTCACAGTCATGGAGGTACCCCCCCTTACAATCATAGAATGGCATAGGCATAATCATACAACCCTAGATTCGTGCAGTAACACAGTCGTAAATCGTCAAACAAAACAAGGTGAAAACGATAGTGAAAAGGACTTCATTCAAGCCATCGTACAAGAATGCATGTCTTCAACCATACACTCCTAGAGTGACACAACTGATTGACGCTTTTGTCGACTACAAGGCCATTTGCACGCTGGCATTTCATCTTTTGATGAAGAGTTTACCGCCATGGGGTGAATACCACGGCCGCGACGCTGCTTTACACTTGATTAACCACAGAACTGTATAATAATCGGTCTGTCAGTGCCACAGCTATAAAGCTTCGCAACCTTGACTCTCACAATCACAGAACCATACAGTAAAACCATCGTGCAATAACACTATTTCACAGTCGTTGGAATCATGGAGTCATATAATGAAAATGATAGAATGATAAACAGAATGACAAACAGAATGACAAGCAGAATGACAAACAAATGATAAACAGAATTTCAATACATCACGCAATCACAACCTCGTCAAGTCACAGAATCGTCCGACACCAATAGAATTTTGCATTCTAACAATCACACAAACGCACTACAGAATCTGAATGTCTAATCACGACGTCCTAACACTCCTCCTCTGTCTCTCCTGCCCTTGGGGCCTCTGTTCCTAAGCTTTTTGTTTATACGAGCCGGTGCCCTAAGGCGCGAGTGTCAAACATCGACAAAAACAGCATCGCTTGGTGTTTCTTCATGGGTCATACCAGGCGCCGTAGAGAGCCGCTTAGGTAAGTAGCTTACCTAAGCGGCTCTTACCTAATCATTACTCGCTTAGGTAAGCGGCGGTGTTTTGCGCGCCAATTCCGTCTTGATTAGCCACGGCCCCAGAAGACACCGCGGCACTGTGCTGTGCCCAATCATAGCGCTCTGTCGCGAGTACTCGTGCGGAGTACTCGCCTCCTGCTCTCCCTCGCTTATCAGTGCGATGTTTTGCATCACGCATGTAAACACCGCTATCAGTTAGAAAATAGAGCGATTACGTCAGCAGGAGATACAATGCCGCTATCGCGAAAGCTGGAATCTGGAGGGTATAAAAGGGAAGGGCAGAGGGAAGAGGGACAGGATCCTGGTTCTTTCCTCTTTCTTATTCCTATCAGTAAGCCATAAAAAGCCTAAGCCTAGGACACAAGCTCTAGCTCCAGCTCTCGCTCCCCCCAGCTCTTTAGCTCGCTACCCAGCTCTTCAGCTCGCTACCCACACTTTCCAATTTTATATCCCGCCATGTCTGCAGACCCTACGATCGAAAAAACTGCCATCCTGGCCAAGTACCTCGACCTAGACCAACGCGGCGCCGTGATCGCCGAGTACGTGTGGATCGACGGCACCGGCAACGTGCGTTCCAAGGGCCGCACCCTGAGGAAACCCGTGACCAGCGTCGACGAGCTGCCAGAGTGGAACTTCGACGGCTCCTCCACCGGCCAGGCCCCAGGCCACGACTCCGACGTGTACCTCAAACCCGTCGCCTACTACCCAGACCCCTTCCGTCGCGGCGACAACGTAATCGTGCTTGCAGAGTGCTGGAACAACGACGGCACTCCCAACAAATTCAACCACCGTCACGAGGCCGCCAAGCTCTTCGAGGCCCACAGCGCCGCCGACATCTGGTTCGGTCTGGAACAAGAATACACCCTCTTCGACACCTCCGACAAAGTGTACGGCTGGCCCCAAAACGGGTTCCCAGCTCCCCAGGGCCCATACTACTGCGGTGTCGGTGCTGGCAAAGTGTACGCCCGTGACGTCATCGAGGCCCACTACCGTGCCTGTCTATACGCCGGCATCAAGATCGCCGGTATCAACGCCGAGGTCATGCCCTCGCAATGGGAATTCCAAGTCGGCCCTTGCACCGGCATCGAGATGGGTGACCAGCTGTGGATGGCCCGTTACCTCATGTCCCGGGTCTCGGAAGAGTTTGGCGTCAAGATCTCGTTGCACCCTAAGCCTTTGGCTGGTGACTGGAACGGTGCTGGCTGCCACACCAACGTCTCGACCAAGGAGATGCGTGTCCCAGGCGGCATGAAGTACATCGAAGAAGCCATCGAAAAGCTCAGCAAAAGACACGCCGAGCACATCAAGCTATACGGTGCCGACAACGACATGCGTCTAACGGGTCGCCACGAAACTGCGTCCGTGACCAGCTTCTCGTCTGGTGTTGCCAACCGTGGTGCCTCGATCAGAATCCCAAGATCTGTTGCCAAGGAGGGCTACGGCTACTTCGAGGACAGAAGACCAGCCTCCAACATCGACCCTTACTTGGTCACTGGTATCATCTGCGAGACTGTTTGCGGTGCCATTGACAACGCCGACATGACCAAGGAGTACGAAAGAGAAAGTGCGTAAGTTTGTGCGCGCTAGATGCCACCACCCCGAAGCGGACCTCACACTGTACATTAGGATCCTGGCGATCGCTTTTTATTTAAGTTCTACTCTGTAAGTAACACACTCCCAGAGCCGCGGTGTCAAGAATACCAGCTAAAGATAGATATAAAACAAATGATAGATTATGATAATATGATGAAAACGCTTTTACGATTTTACGGTAATAGGTTGGCATTCGGGGTGTGTGTCAAGTCGGATACGCCAGTGACAAAACTGCGAGAAGCTCAGAGGTCGGAGTTTCTGCAACCGAAGACGCTCCTAAGTTTGAAAGGAGGATATCATTTCGGTTTTTGCCCGTCGATAATTGTGATAGCCTGGGCGTAACGATGTCGCTTCGAGATTGGTATTTTATACAATTATTGACGACAGGCAGAAACAAAATAATCTTCGAGGCTGACGACGCACATTGAGGCCTCTGATGGCTAGCGCGTCGAAATTTGGTAGCGTTTCTGAATGTCACTAGGGTGTTGTAATCATGCTCCGCAATGCGGTGATCCAATATTTCAAGACTAATTCATTGAACGGATTGTACGCGTGGACACTCAAATTCGACGTCCCGGAGTCGTCGCGAAGTTGTGAGTTTTTATCCAAGTGCGGCAGCAATTGTTGTTCCAGTAGATTTCCAAGAACGGTATGCCATACGTCGAGGTCTGCAGAGTCGTAACTATTTATTTGCGTTGAAGAGAGCGGCCAGCCAAATTGTCGTTATAATGGGAAATATCAATGAGGTGTGAAATCGAGGGTGCTAAATCTCGATGGAATTTCATAAGCTCTAGATGATTTTTGGCTACAAGAGATTTTGGAACGCCTACAATAATTCACGCACTCATTTTTTATGAAGATTTCTCGGAAGTAATTACCACGGCCTTCCCGTCTGAGGTCTTTTGACAAACGGTTTTTAGCTGAACATCACTCTCTGATTGAATGACACGCACAGACTCAACAAGTTCGTTCCTTGCAAAAAGTCCCTTATGAAATAAACCCTTCTTCTTGGGACCTAGCTCCCACGACTGCTGAATGTCACTAAATAAAAATTTTGAGCAACGAATGGTCTGTTGAAGGCTTCACCATAGCATTGTTGCAATCATAAAAAGGTTATCAACTCCATCTTAAACCTTCGATTCTCATAACTCCCGAATGTGACGCTGGCAAACTAGAGCCCAGCTGTGGGAATTAAAAGACATATAATATATGCCAGGTGTCAGCGACTCACTTCTGATCGGTAAAAAAAAAAAGACAGTATGAAACACAATTGTTTCAATACAGCTACCAAATTGGACCAAACGATCCCGCCAGGGCTCATCCAGTTCCATCAAACTAACTGAAGTCCTCTCTTCTTCCGTTGACCAATTTTTTCACAATTTTACGACCTCCTAAAAGAAAGCTATCAAGAGCTATTAAAAAATACCACTTTTGATGCCCAATTGACGCCAAAAAAGCCCCCGCACCTACAAACACCAACTGTTCACATCCATAGTGGCCATAAAATGATTCAGCTCAACGCTATTATCTGTTCGTCGAAAGCGACACATTCGTCACGGAACGATTTGACCCATTTAGCACATCTACCAGCGCTAAAATCTGACCGTTACCGAGCTGGCACCACCAATTGAGTCAATAAGCCTTTAATTGAGCCTCCAGAAACAAGTTTCCCGCGAAATCACCGGACTTTTCTCTTCACACCAAAAAAACCCATTTTTCTCACACCAACAGCCTCCGTCTAAGCTCAAAAAATACCAGTACCATATCTCAACTTGATTCAGTCCAACTGGTCATTCCAAGACCTCCAGAACCCTCAGATCGTCTCTCATCTCTTCATTTTATATCAGTATTTCTCCGAAGTTACCCTCTCGGTTTCCGTCCAAAATTTGCAGTACTAAGGGTGTTTCTATAATCAAGTGATATACTCAACTTCGTTCCTGTAAGACACAACTTTTAAAGCTCTCAAACCATACCGTGTCATAGCTTACAGGCCCACTCCAAGCCAGTCTTTAAGCGAGCCCCATGACGTTACCAAAACACGCAAAGCTGCTCCTGGATAGCACCCATTTTAGCGACATTCGCAGCACAGTACGTTCCCGGTCCATTGCATGGGACGCTTTGGCCAGAACTGCCGAGATCAGCGAACTGGACGCTACGGTTGCTAAAAAACTAGAGAGCGCTTTGATCAAACATACGGATGTGGCGATCACCCCTGCAGAAAGCATTCCGGCCGCGATCCACATTATAGAAACCATGCAGAACGGAGAGGTCAAGAAGTTCGTGCACAATTTGCTCGCTGAGTATCTGTCTTCGGACCAGTACGCAGACGCCGGGTTTGACTACTTCACACAAAACCCACAGGCCGTCGTCGATCTGTTCAACGCGTCGCTTTCCGGTGACGACCAAACTATTCTGCTCTCGAGCTTCAATGTGGTATCCTTGTTGATTCAGCCCGGTTTGCACAATCCAAAACTGGCAGCGTCGCTGCTCGAAAACCAGCGTTTCGTCGCGGTCCTACAAAACACCGACCACATGGACACCAGTTACGTGTGCATCCGACTTTTGCAGGAATTGGCCTCCGTGCAAGAGTACAGGGCTATCACCTGGTCAGCCCAAAGTGCGTTTATGCCCACTCTTCTTGGCATCATCAGTAACGCTCTAGAGGCTAACTCGGCCACCAGAGTGGCCCCTACTAACAGCAACAACTTGGGCATTCAGACCCAGTACTACTCTCTCTTGACGCTATGGCTGCTCACTTTTGACCACCGGATTGCCTCAGAATTCGTTTCCAAGTATCTAAGTGATTTCTTGAACCTTCTAAAGCTTGTCAAAATTACCATCAAGGAAAAATTATCGAGGCTCTGTATTGCCGTCGTGCTCAATTGCGTGGCTCCTCACGTCAAAGGGCACAAGGCCGTTATCCGCCAACTGTTGTTGTTGGGCAATGCTTTGCCCATTCTGCAGTCTCTAAGCGAGAGAAAATACTCCGACGACGAACTTCGTCAAGACTTGGTCACTTTGAAAGAGTTGCTGGAAAAAACTTATCAAGATTTGACTTCCTTCGATGAATATGAAGCAGAGGTCAACTCGAAGTTATTGGTGTGGTCACCACCTCACGTTGATAACGGGTTCTGGTCAGACAACATCGAGAAATTCAAGGACGATAACTGGAAGCTATTCAAGAAACTTGTTGCTATCTTAACATGCCCCAATAATGAACCCTCCACGAAAACAGCCTTGCAAGTCGCCTTGAGCGACATTACGCATGTTGTGGAGTTGCTACCCGAAAGTGTGGACGTTTTGGCAAAACTGAACGGCAAAGTGTTGATCATGGAGCTGCTAAACCACCCTGACTCGAAGGTCAAATACGAAGCGTTGAAAGCAACCCAGGCCTTTGTTGCCCACACTTTTAGCAGATGAGCTGCGTGGAGAGGCATTAAGTAAGAACGATCGATACAAAACTACAAAAATAGAACTAATTAAAGCTACGATACATTATTTTGACGTAGAGCAGCCCACGAGGCTCAAAATTCATTATATCGCCGTCGATTCCCTCTTAAACGTTGATATTACAGCATCCTCACCGAGGTCGCTCAGTTTAGAGTGATCGTCTGATTCAGAAGTGATTTCCTCGTCATCGTCGTAGTCCAGCTTACTCTTGATGTGATACTTCTCTGTAGGTCGTTCGCTGTCAAACTTGTGCTCGTCTTCCTCATTTACTGCGAAACTCTGCCATTTGTTGATCAGATTATCGAAAAATGCAGGATGCGCGTGGGAACTTCGCAGTTTTTGAAATCTATTTGCAATTGGGGATGAGCGTGCTGGTTCTTCTTCAATGGATAACGAGTCGGCTTCAGGCCTAGCTTTTCTAGCCTGAAAGAAATTGCCAATGCTTTGCTTGCTCTTGATTAATCTGGGGTTACTGTTGACTTCTTCTAGTGTCTGTTGTAATCGAGATGTTAACTTGTGAAGCTTGTCTGGTGAATTAACTGTTTTCTCAGATTGACTCAATTCTTTGCATTGGTGCTCTAGGGATTCTAGCTCGTGCTCCGCTCTCAGTAGTTGTTGTTTCAATTCCACGACCTGTCTTCTTTTGGAAGCCAATTTGTATAGTAATTGTTCAGAAAAGCTATCAGCTGGTGCTGCGTCTCTTACTGAATTCATTTGAGCCGGAGAAGCGCATTTCACCGGTGATCTTACCGGAGATGAAATTGGTAATCCTTTCCTAGGTGTTTCTGGCGTTGCAACATTAGAAACTTCTATTTCATGGTCATTTTCAGAGCTGTTGTGTTTATTGACAATGGAAAGCCTGTATAACCCGGTTGATTCGCTTATTACTCTCTGTTTGGACATTAAAGCAGGTGAATAAATGTCTCTCTTTTCAAATTCGGCCTGTCCTTTTCTTGCACCACTAAGCTTAACAAATCAAGAGTCCTGAATCAACACTTAAATACTCCGAGTGGACCTCGAATTTGAACGTTGAATGTCAAAATCTATATATCGGCTGGCTTGATCCATCACTATTCTACAGTTAGATGGTCTTGGACTTGGACTTGGACTAAAAGCCTGAAAGGTAAACAAAACACGAGCTTGCACTGGTCATGTGACTAAAATTAATATCGTAGCTTTGCCACGAACTGGCGAGCGTGAGCGTTGCAGTACACGATTCTGACTTGCTTTAAACTCGAAATAGTACGTCTTGTGGGGTGATAGGGGAGGAGAGAACCATGGCAAAACGAGCCAGTACACTATGGTGGTCTCCTGTCATAATGTACGGATGTGACACATTTTGACAGCACACGATTATTGAGTTGCCTTTGTCTTAGTGTTTGCAGCGAGCCCCAAAGGAGAGTGTCTTTCAGTTCGATATCTGCAAGGCCGCTTGCTTTTCAACTTAGCGAACGTTCTGCTGTTTTGGCTTGTCTCTAATAAAATCTGCAAATGCTTTCTTTTTTTTTCGCTGGCTGAGTTTCTGGCTAAATACCTCATGAAACTAGGAGCCCCATGGCCATCAACCATGGTATCCTCTGCTCGTAAAATGTCCAGCTAGCCTAGGCGACGCTTGATTTGTCTTTAAATCGAATGTCAATTCTGTATATCACGTGGTCCAATGTCTGTCTCTTGACTAAACCAAACTTTAATTAAATACCAATTCAGACGATGCGATGGGATACTTGAATGTTATCTGGACATAGGCCAGCTAGAGACGTCAGGACGACTCAATGGATGCCGTTTTGCAATGTTTCCAATGCCGTTACTCTAATGAATCTTTGAGAGATTTTTTGAAGTACGATTCGAGGCCCTTGGGAGGGGTTTTACAGTTGAAATCTCTTAAGAACGACAAGCTGATCCAGCTTATTCAATGCACGTTGGAGCTGAAAAGAGAATACAACAGTCATTGTACGGCGGGAAAACTCACTCCACAGCTCTTTGAGCTGGGAAATGAACAGTTGAAGCTGCTGAATCGGATTGCAGACGGCGAAACAGCATGGATTACGGACCCGCTGTGGGTGAGCGCCAGACAGCTGCTGAGCATAAGCAGACTGCTAGATAGAGATTTTGCGGGAAATATTAAGCAAAACGTTCGTGATTCAAACAACCAGAAGTCAAAGGGCGATCTCGAGGAGGAGAAGTACCTGGAAAAATGCGTCAGAACTGTTCACACCAGCTTCAAGCTATGTCTGAACGATCGAAACCCTGACGCACGCCAAAACAAAAAATGGGGCGTGTATTTCTTCACAAACCTGGAACTGAGCATTTACGAGCGGTTGCACAACCGAGACATGGTGCGCAACCTGGTGAAAGTGATCCAGAGTCGTACGGCGGAGTTGCCCACGCCGGAACAGGCGCTGTGCGCCCACAAGGCGCAGCTGGTCACTTACTATTACCACATGGCCGAGTTTTACGGATGTTACGAGATGGACTACGAACGCGGCTTTGCGTTTGCGCAGAAGGCGTGGCTGTTGTCGAGGGCGGGCGGTGGGCCACAGGAAAATGTGATCTGCCTGTTACTGGTGCCGTTCGCGTTGCTGGCACGCCGATGGTATCCGGACTTGGCTGTGTTAGGGAGCAGGCACGCGGCCGTTGCGGAGCTGTACGGTCCCGTGGTGGAGTGTTTGCGCAACGGGGACCTGCTGACTTTTGAAAAATGGCTGAGCAAGCACGAACAGCTTTTGCTGCGCCGCAACTTGTACGTGGCCATGGTGATGGTTCGAGAGCTGGTGGTCTTGAAGCTGGTGAAACGGGCGGTTGGCTTCATGGGCGCGGGCCCGATCCTGTCGTTGCGCGGCGTGGCCGCTGCGCTCGTACACAGTGACAGTCGTAGTTCCCTTGCGTCAGCGGTATCAGAGGACGCTTTGGATCGCACCGAATGCACGTTGGCGAGTCTGATATCGAAGGGCTACGTCAAGGGCTATTTGTCGCATTCGAACCGTGCGCTTGTGGTGAGTAAAACCAATGCGTTTCCAAAACTGGCAGTGCGGGGCGTGAGAGCACGTGAGAGCACGTGAGAGCGCGTGAGAGCGCGTGAGAAGCGCATGATCCAAACAATATCACGTGCCTCTTTCTCTCAGGTATCTCCGCTTATCTCCGCTCCCGCCTCTCCCGCGCGCACTTCGCCACTTTTCACCTTTTTCATCTTTTTCATCTTTTTCCTTCTATCGTGACGACAACAATCGTGACGTCCAAGAGAAACGATGACTTCACCACTGAGGTCACGTTCTACTCGGTATACTACTTTTCCGCTGGATTGTGTACGATTCCCGCTCGATCCCACAGTTTTCGCAAGAGTAGAGCAGTATGATTAATCGAACTGAGGGTGTGCAATGAAAAATGAATCGGTCACGAATTGATGACCTATTCTGTTCCATTATTCATCGACGATTGTTCAGACATGGTCACGAACTACAAGTTTGAAGTCCGGAGCAGAAAGGTATATAAGGAAAGGATGAATGAGTATTGAAGAAGAGAAGAGCTGTTAGTGACGGATAAGCCTTATAAATCATCATCAAAGGCAGCTTTCCACTCAGTGAAATCTACTTTACAATCACACTCATATACATCACACAATCACACACTCACACAATGGCTTTTCTAGTATTGACATCAGACGTTTCTGCCCCTTTCGTTATCCCATCGGTTTCGCCAGTATCGCCTTCGGCTAGCAGAAAGAACAGCGCTGCCAGCTTCGAGGCTGCCAGAAAAAACTAAAGGGACCCCGTTGAAAGACTCCCTTCCTTCATCGCGGGCGGTGTTCATACCAACAAAAAAAATTATGCGAACCTAAGGTACCGGCGCAGCGGCCACGGATAACATGGAAAAAGCATAAAGTATTGCAGGTCTCTAGAGTTCAGAGGCCTGTCTCACATATACATATGTACACGATACTAAGTACGGCAAAATATTGATGTTTTTGGTCTTTTTAGAAGAGACGTTGAGCAAACACCACTACCACTGGGAATAATATCATAAAAAGTCTAGCAAGTGCTCTTCTACTCACACTCCCCCTAGATTAGTAAAACTCCTTGTATTTTTTCCCGTAGTAGGTAGCGCCTAAACCACCCAAGATCGTCAAAACCAGTGGAACAGGCTTCGAAAACCGCGAGGGAATGCCCCTTGCAATCCCCGTCACCAGCATCAGGGAACTGGCACCCAGTGCCAGTTCCAAACCACCGTCGGCGTTTCTGCTGAGCAGGTAGCCAGCGTAGCCGTAAATCCCACCAAAGGCCAACCCTGCCAAGAGCGATGGCTCGGAGCCCTTACGGGCAAATCCCATTGCTCCGCCCATGGCGGTCAATGCGGCTAGAGTGTATGCTGGGTGTTCCATTGTGTGGTTTACGGTGAAGAATTGTGTAGATCTGGTGGAACTAGAGTTAGAATTGGGTTAATTAAGGATTCTTGTGGGTTTTCTCTCCAGGTAATAAAATGGCCTAAGGAAAAGACGTACAACGTATAGAGTGATGAGTGCGACATCTACACATTCACACACGAGAATCTCAGGATTCTCAGTCTCAGCACTGCGAATATGACGGCAGTGCCAAAAATATCATTGCTGTGCTTGCTTATTAGCTCACGCTCGCAGAAACCCGGTGCATTTGACAAAACGAAAGTACCACGTGACCGAGATGTCAGAATAAATAATGCCAGAAATGGTAAAACATAGTCTCAAACTGCGTAAGAAAACGTCGCTTCCTTCTCACTTCCCTATCTCTTCCTGTCGCTTATCATATTGCACTGTGACGTTTACAAGCCTTCGCTCTTGAACCGACAACTGTCTTTTATTTTAGTTTCGTATTTTCTACAAAACTCCACCCCGGTTTCCCCTTACATTTAGACCACACTTATCTCGAATTTCTGCTTCAATTGTTCCTGGATTCAATGCGTAATATCGCTATCTTTTAAAGTTCCCATACCGTATTGTCTGTCATCTAATATACAATGCTGTTTTTAAACCATAATTTGACCTCTGGCATCTCAAATGCGAAAGTGCAGAATCTCACAGGTCGAAGCGACCTGAGCAGTGAGCGTACTCTACTATCACCAGCAAAAACATTTCAGTCTTTAACTACTCTTACGACACCATTTTCCTCAGTAAGCTCGCTCTTGACAGTTTTTAAAAACCACAACAGCCCGCAGAACACGAACCAGCCAATAGATACAACGTCAGTGTCGTAATACTACATATATACCTTTAAAACACCATTAACAAGAGCTTAACTGCTACAACGTGTGCTCATTTCTGTCAAAAATGCTTACCTAAATGTCATCGCATCATTTTGAGGCTCGACGTCAAAATGATATGGCCTTGTTTGACCCTAAAATTGTTTGGTCGCGTTAAACATGAGCTGGCCCTAGAGATTTAAAGATCAACACTGTTACTATTAGTGTCCCGGTTCAAAAGCTGCGAATCCTTGTGTTTCTTACGACTTCCTCATACCTCTATCAGCATTGCGTTGTTCGCACAGCGTCACTGGGTATAGCATGGATGACAATAGCGTTCCGCTCAAAATTCAGACCCTGAAGTTGAAGCGAATTAAAGAACTAAACCGGAAACTAAAGGAGGAACTCGCAAGAGACAGAATTACGGCTTCCAACGCATGCCTATCGATTATAGACTACGCTACGTCCCACAAGGACTATGCAATCCCTGAGATCTGGGGGTACCCGATGGCAGGCTCGAATCCTCATCGCATGAATACTTCTAATTTACGTAGACGTTCACAACGTGCGTCAGGATCCGGCGACAGCACATGTTGTGTGGTGATGTAGCAGAAACGACAAGGGCGTGCACCGGGCGACCTCCACTATGCTATTGCTTATAACAATAATAACATTAATAATAATCATGATCACATTCTGTTCTATAACCGATTTTTGTTGACCCATCTCATCCACCTTGTTTCGCCTCTGTCTGCAACGAAACCTTGTTGAGCTGAAGTTCTGGACTGATCTTGCCGTCCTCGCCGCCACACCCGCAGTCGTAGTCTTCCAAAATGTTGGAGCAGTCAAACTCCTCTTTCTTGAGATGCTCGTTGACGCGGTTGTGAATGTGACAGCCCCAAACGGCCGCTGCGGTCCTGCTGGACGTTTGTGGAGGCCATTTCTCCAGCATTTTCACAAAATGGTAAGAACACTCGCCACAGGGATATAGCTCTGCATATAGTGTCAGAAACTGCGACAACTTGTCGCGCTCCGCTGCAGTGGGATCGTCTGGAAACCGCGCCAGAACCGTGTGAAAGTACTTCCACGACGCTCTTCCCAGCGCTTCCTTGGCCTTCTGGTCCGGCATCGACGGCATTATGGACTGCAACCGTGAATTTGTCTTTTCCACGGGCTTTTCCGCACTGTTAAGGGCATCACTGGCATCACTGTCTAAACCATCGCCCAGGTCATTATACGTCGTGTAAGACAGGTTTTTGGACGAGAAGAAAAACCACAGCGAGACTATCGACACTGCCGCAAGCACGCTGATCCATCGTTGTCGATGAAACATCGTTTCGAACCTGAAAGACTGTGTGTGGGTTTCGTGTTGTTGAAGCACGATGACTTACGTGTTATACTGAGAGAGGGATTGTCGTTATCATATATATGGGTTTCTGGCGAGTACATAGTCACATGGTGTGCACCTCAGTACTCGTCAGGTGAATTTGATGAGGTAAGCACAAATTAACTTTAATCATTTGTCACGGTTTCATTGCTTCTGGTCCTCATCATCATGTGACGCGATCTCTAATTTCGTTCCCACCTATTTTACTATAAACTAACCCTTCCAGTCTCTACAACTCACGTCTAACTCATCACCATCTTACAAGCACTTAATCACACCGGTAAAGCCACCTATTATGGACAGCAGGAGAGTTCCCGGACCCGGAATTAATATCGTGCAGGTCAATCAGGCGCGAGAAGCGTTCGCGCGGACCGTGAGGGCCAGGGACCCGCGCCTTAGCTCGCAGTCATCAGCACAGCTTACTACCGATTCTAATGCTTTTCCAGACACAACAACGGCAATGAGTTCACCAGGCGCGATAAAAGGACGACATAGATGTGGCAACCCCAATAACCCGGCTTGTCCGCATTGCTCGGCAGTGATAATTCCGGCGCCCAGAGCATCGTTGCCATTGGAAGACACGCCGTCAATATCCGTGGAAGATTGGGTGGTCAGCACACGGAAAAAACCTATTTTGAATTCCCGGGAGCTGGAAGAGTGGGAACAGGTGTTAGGCCCGCTAACACTGCCGGAAATGATCTTTGGAAACAGCTTTGTGCGGGTTGAAAACGCAAAGCACGGATGGTGTTTGGAATTCAATGCCCTCGATGCACTCAAGTCTGTCAAGCTCGAAGACTCGGGCATTCGGGTGTCGTACGCCAACAAATGGATCGACTCAAAGAAAAAACAGCAGCGACATTCGGATCTGGACGATCGTTCGCTGGAAATAGGACAACATTACGACTGGACGTACACAACTCACTATAAGGGCACACTCAAGGCCAGCAACCCGATACACACTCTCACTCGAGACGACGCAGAGGTTCTGCCCCTCGACAAGCTGGCGCGTCCCGATCCCATCTTATTTTACGACGAAATGGTCCTGATCGAAGACGAGCTGGCAGACAACGGCATAAGCGTTGTGAGCGTTAAAGTGCGAGTCATGAACGAGAGGGCGCTCATTTTATGCAGGTTTTTCCTCAGAGTCGATGGTGTTCTTTTCAGAGTCTACGATACGCGGGTCTACGTGGAGTTTGACGAGAACAAGGTAGTACGAGAATACAAAAAATATGAGGGCGACTACAAAAGCGTCCTGAGCAAGCAAAACGCGGGCCATTCGCGTGATCCAAAAGCCATTTTAAGAGACAGTAATTGGGTCGTTCAGCATTTGTCGCTGGTGAAGCGAGAATGCGATGTTATACAATTCTGACAGGAGAGAAAGGAAGAGACCGATACAAGAAGAGAGAAAGAGAGAGAGAGAGAGAGAGAGAGAGAAAGGCACAAAGCCTTCTCGCCAGTTAGTTTTTTTTCTTCTTCTTTTTTTTTTTCGGATTACGCAGACCAGTGCTATATATGTTGAAGTACTTTCTTTGCAGTAGCCGCATCAATCGTGTTGCCCTTTTCTGTAATCTGTGTGAGCTTCTTTTTTGAGAGGCCCTGTATTTTCGAATTGCCCAGCAGTTTGGACGCCATTCCAGCAAACGACCACCCTTTCACATACAGCTCTGAAAGCTCAACGCTTCTCAGAGCATTGTTAAGCGATTGCTGTAAAAGAGGTTTTTTGTTTTTGGGTTCCTTACCGGCGGTGTAATATAGTACCTCACTGAGCTCAGCAAAAACGAAGTAATTGAAAGGCGAAATGCAAAGCACTTCTTCGAGACAGAATGTAGCTTGATTCAGCTGTCCTAACTCGACGTAGCATTGTGCGAGAGCATACCAAGCTTCTCCGTCCACCGGGAAGTTTTCCACCAAATCTAGAAGCTTTGCCACGTATTGTTCGCTGGACAACGACTTGCGTTGAACGGCTAGCAGTTTCTTGCTGACCAAAGGATAAGCAATTATATCAGTTTCGTCGTCCAAATATTCCTTTAGAAGTCGTGTAAGGTAGTCTTCGGCCTTTTTGTCTCCTTCGTTAACCTGCATCAGGGTTGCCCTCATGACGAAAAGGTAAGGGGAATTGGGCCCGAAACGGTCTCTAAACGTCTTGTATATCGTTTCAGCCTCGACATCCTTATCCACGTAGATTGAGAGATCGAAAAGCATATGTGTTAAGGACATATATTCAATTTCGCTCATGGCATGATTACCAGCTCCAAGAAACGCTTTGAGTTGGGTCCATAGGGTCACAATTTCTTCGGGAGAAGCTTGTGTGTAGTGTTTGGTAGATTGAATGGCCAAATAGCGCTCTTTGACGAGATCCATGGCTTCTAAGGTCTTATAGATTGGGTCTGTTAGCGGATCTCAAGAGTATATTTAATGAAAGTGGAATATAAGTTCTAAAATTTCGTTATAATTGACCTTATTTCAAGAAGATCAGAGACACACAACTTTTAAAGTCTGAGTTTCGTATCGACTGGAGCCCTGAATAATGAATAATGATCGAAGCATAATGTTTGAGATGCCATATATCATAAAAATAGCTTTACAATTTGATCAAGTCGTTACAGATGAAGGTGGTGATATCTTCACCGATGTCAGTGATAAAAAACTGTGTGGAAAAAAACGGTCAACAGAACACCAAGCAAGAGGGTCAGGGAGGTTCAAATTGTGGTGAAGACTCTAGAATATAATAATCGTCGACACCTGTGAATCTAAATTCGGACTTCACCCGAGAGTAGATCCAAGAGATCCGAGATTATGGGCATGTCAGAAAAATAATTAATGATAGGTTTGGATATTATCGCTGACATCAGCCGTCGCGATATAATATGTTCAAAATTGAAACAATTGAAAGCCGACGATGAGCAAGCTGATTTATTGTTTTGATAGAAGCTCTGTTCTCACTCTTTTATCCGATTTCATCTCGCATGGAGTATTTCCCAATTCGTGTAGAAATTAACTTTAAGTATACTTTTCATGATTTTATTTCAAGGAAGCGCCTAGGTGGGACAATCTACCACATAAACTGTGTCTCGAATACCTTTGCTACGCTCTCAATCGAACTTGCTTATAAACTCTACTCTTTCAAGCTTAGCGAAATAATGTAGAAGAACAATTTTAAAGAAGGAGCCTAAAGGCTTAGGCTTTACTAACACATTTTTGAATTAAACACAAAGTTTTTGATTGTAATAACCTGACACGTCTCGCTGACACTCCTCCACACGGAAACCCAATGAGTATTTGATATCACTTTGTACTACACATCTCATCTCTTAAAAATTTTAAATAGCTAACTTCCCTCTCTAAAACTCAACACCAGATCTAGACCTCAATCAGGACCACAAGACGCCTTTACATCTTCCTAAGCCTTAAGAATGTCCATCAACATCTGCAGAGATAATAATGATCCTTTTTACCGTTATAAAATGCCTCCTCTACAGGCTAAAGTGGAAGGTAGAGGTAACGGTATCAAAACAGCAGTCTTGAACGTTGCCGACGTGGCCCGCGCTCTAAACAGACCTTCTCCTTACATCGTCAAGTACTTTGGTTTTGAACTTGGTGCGCAGACCAGTATTTCGGTCGACAAAGATAGATACTTGGTCAACGGTTCGCACGAACCAGCCAAATTGCAGGATGTCTTGGACAAGTTCATCAGCAGTTTTGTTCTATGTGGAAGCTGTAAGAACCCTGAGACCGAAATCGTCATCACTAAGACTGGGGACCTGATCAGAAACTGTAAAGCGTGCGGTAAAAGAACTCCAATGGACCTCAGACACAAACTGTCATCATTCATTCTGAAAAATCCACCCGAGTCTATGGAGGGCAAAAACAAGAAAAAAGCCGCCACTGCGTCCGCTAACATTCGTGGTGGTGGTGTCTCCATCAGTGACATTGCCCAAGGTAAGTCTCAGTTCTCTGCTCAAAGCGCAGAGGCCGAAAATGACGAAGGTGGTGACTCTGACGACGACGAATTGGCACGTCAAATCAATGCTGCTGCTTCTCGTCTAGAAGAGATCGATGTGAACAACGACGAATGGGCCGTTGATATGTCTGAAGAGGCCATCAGGGCTCGTGCCAAGGAGCTGCGCGCTGCCAATGGCGAAGAGATCGGGCACTCTGCTCTAGAAGAATATGGAGAATGGATTCTCAACCAAGAGGAAACGCCTTCGGATGTCGAGCTGTATAAAAAGGCTTCTGAACTCGACCTGCTGCAAGAACCAAAAGTGGCATGTGTTCTTGCCCAAGCCCTTTTCGACGAGGATATAGTAGAGGAGATTACCGAGCACACTGCCTTCTTCAAGAAGCTATTTGTCTCGGACGAATTTGAAAATCAATTTCTCGGTGGTATTGAAAGATTCCTGGGTCTGGAACACAAGGCTTTGATACCAGCACTACCCAAGATCTTGGTACAGCTGTACAACGAGGACATCGTCTCTGAGGAAGTCATTGTCAAGTTCGGTACCAAATGCTCCAAGAAATTTGTGCCAAAGGACGTTTCCAAAAAGGTTCGTAGAGCCGCCAAGCCTTTTATCACTTGGTTGCAAACTGCCGAGTCTGATGACGAAGACGACTCGGAGTAGGGTATTCGCACTATTGACACTATCAAGTTATAATAAATCATCGGAACTTCATCATCATCATCTTTTTTCAAATTGCAAGCTGATATTTTATCAGCATGTGTGAGTCGAGAAAGACTTTAAACTGTATATAACCAAATCGTATAGGTTCCCAAAGCTGTTGATTCGATTTTGTCGTTATAGAGAAGGCTTAATCCGAGTATATTCACTGCGATATAGCTCATGACACTACAGAACAAGCTAAGAACAGTTCTTGCACTACCAGGAGTGTTTATCGTTAAATTGAAAATTCCAAAGTTTTGAGTTCTCCCAGTGACTTGATCAATGTGCTGAAATATGTTGTGTATATACGATGGTTCATTTCAACTATGTGTGTTATTTAGGTATGTATATTTTAAATGATATCGAAATTTTAAAATCATAACAGTCGTTGAAAGAGCAGTCGATTAAGGCCCTTTACAGCGCTCAATGACGACCTGAAAGCTGTCCTAAATTGAAACCTATTTCACCATGACTGTGCAATTTCATAGATACCAAGAACGGTACAACTCCTTTCTTCAGACGTTCAATATTCAAGGAAAGAGATGTTCATGGCCATACAAAGTAATTCCAACGAAGGCGATGGCTCAAAGTGGGTTTGAGTTTAGTCCAAGGTTTAAAGGTGAGATTTTGAGTAGGGACTCTGTTAGATGTAACTTTTGTGGTGGAGAAAGTGATGATTTTCACAACTGCAGGAGTAAACCATTAGCTGCAACATTGTCCAAGGTTTTAGAGAATCATTTGGAAACTCACACAGGTTGTTTGTATTCCGAGCTAAAACTTGCCCTAGTAAAATCATTTTGGAAAAGTGAACCTATCGATTGGTCTGTGCAAAAATCTCTGAGAAAGCCACATAGTGAGGAAGTCGTACGACTGCGACAATGGACCTATAAAGAAGGCTGGATTCATGAACGTCAACCTCAAATCTCTTCAAATGCCATGGCCAAAGCGGGACTTTTGCGCTACGATCTGGGGCTCTCGTCGCCTGAACTACTCGAAGAACATCCCGATGCGACGTATTGCATATACTGCAGTAAAATCATAGGTTCCTGGGAAGCAAATGATAACCCAGTCTGGGAGCACTTTGTCTGCTCAAATGGGGGCCGTTGCCACTTTTTTGAGACAATGCCCGAAACGGAGCTTGTTGCGCGAATGAAGGCTAGATACGATGAAGAGGGCTTGGGCAGTGACGAAAAGCTTTTACCATGTCTAGACTACTATGAGACGTTCGCTTCCCAGTTCAGCAGGTTTGAAGAAGAAACCTTGAGCCAAGACTCACAGAATAAACGAGGAAGGCCAAGATCTAGAGGAAGTGGTGAGTTACCGGCACGCGAACCCAGAAAACGAGGACGGCCACCGAAAGAGAGGCCAGCAGACGTCGCAGACGTCGCAAATGTCGCTGAAAGTGAGATAATAGGCCCTACCAATGGGTCGGGTGAAGTACAGCCTATCAAGCGGAAGAGAGGGCGACCACGAAATGTTGTGAGTGATTCAGCGACAGTAATAAAAGAGAAGCGTCCCAGAGGCAGGCCGCGTAAGGACGGTCTTTCTTCGGTTCCGCAAGATCAGATGCCAAATAGTATTTCACCGCCACATACTGCTGATTTAAAAGTTCTTGGATCTAGCGGCTCTGTATCATCCAAACCTACCTCTGCAAGTGATGACAATGCAAATCCAGCTTCAAACTCTCAGCATACGATCGATGATGTACCTGGCATTGAGAATGGTGCTGATTCCGCCCCTCAGAAATTGGAAACTCCTCACGTCACAAATGGAGTCAGTCTCTCGCCGAAGCGCAAAATTCGCTTAAGGCAAAATCAAAGGATGGCTTCGGCAGAGGATAACGAGTGCGATAGCGACGAAAACTCAACCAAAAGCATAGTTTTGAACTTTAATAATCCGTCACCGAAATCTAATGTCGCACCACGAAACCCAATAATAGACGATAGTTTCGATGCTTTCAGCTTCAGCGCCCACGGTAATAGCGAATTCGTTATCCCAGAGAGCGCATTTCAGACTAAGAAAAGTAATGCAATGCAAACTTTACCGGAATCTGTGCAAAGATCCTCCCCATCGGTGTCAGTGTCAGAACACGCTAATGTGGGGAGGGCGAGGGAAAATCAAGTGGACCCTTCGTTCGCTCTGAAGAATGGAGCGCTGAACGACATAGACATGGATGTCGAAATGAGTGACGACTCCATACAAGTTCCACCACTGTCAGAAGCTTCTACTCCCATAGGTACACCGGCTAGGTCATCATCAACTGAGAAGGAGCAGAAGGATGATACTCCGCCGATACATGATATTAACCAGAGCGATACATCCATATCCAGCACTATCCCAGAATTTGAAAGGACACCTGCCATCACGTCCAATTTCGCTCAGAGTACAGGCACTGACATTTCCCCGCGCAATATTATTCGACCTACGGCGCAAGTGCCACAAGTTGGTGTTGATAACTCTACGGATAAGTCACGCTCGAAGCTTGCGACAAATGAAGTGTCTTTGGCCGCTACGAAGGGTCCTTTTGGTGTTGAAAATGATAGGTCTCTGAGTTCTTCATCCAATCTCGTCATTACAGACCAAAACATTCCCAATGAAGAGTCGACTGCTATACTGAAATTGAATAAATCCAATGTTAAATCCGCGAGTGAAGAAGAACTTATTCGAAACGGATCTTCGCCAAGCGTAAGTTTTGGTGACATCTTCCCAGCGACTGCCGATCTGCACAATTCTCTCGTCCTAGTAGATGAGGAACGTGTGCTATTGGCGAACTACTTTCGCAAGCTTTTACGATATATTAACGTGAACGACCTTTCCTTATTCAACGAGGTTGATGGTGACCTGAGTTTTTTCGTTCAACATATGCCACAACATGAGAAGCAGTTGGCCTTCTCTGCGTGGATTGACAAAAAACAATCTGAACTCAAGGAGGAGTTCGAGAGAGACTACAGAACGAAGGTTGCAAAGCTGGATCGGCAGTTTAAAGCAGCAAAAAGCTTTCTAGAAAAGATAGACAATGATGAGGCCCTTCTGAAGATAGCCGATCACTATAGCTTACTGGACAATTTTCGCACTTCTTTATGAGGGGCATATTGTAAGTCCTAATGGGACTGGTGTGTATTTAAATGAGTGCTATGTTTCGCTCACGCGTCTTCTAAATATTCATCTTCATCCTGCGAAGTATCCATCGGCGCCATATCATTGGCAAAGAAGGTCTGAATCGGGGGTAATCCATTTGGAGGAACGGGAACACCTTGAAGTCCAAATTGGACCATGCGCATTTCATTACGGATCTCCAATCTTCTCCAAGGATTGTTTCTATCAGCCTGATCCGCATTCCAACCATTGGTATCTAAAGGTGGAGAACCAGACTCCCCGCCTCTTGCACCGTTCAAGTTTTCGATAGGAACTCTTTGCCGTGTCAAAAACAGCTCCCGCTGTCGAGTTAGTGCGGCTACATTGTCCCTCAAATATAGCCTCAAAACGACGGTCGTGAGCTCGTATTTCTCTAACATATGGTCAAATTTTTCTTGCCATATTATGCGCCAGATCGTTAAGCCTTTTAGGTCCCTATCATCTCCCATTTCGTACACTCTTGATTGTATTTGTGAAATGCACCGATTAAGATCGACCATCTGAAAGTATATGTGCGTCATTTCATTAAGCAGTGCACCTGCAAATTGGAATTGCACTCTTACCATACTTGCGACGTTCACCTCAAAATCGCAAACGCGCTCCTGCAAATCGTGGAACTTTCTTACCATCTGAGCAAGCTCGCTGTTCAGGTCCTCCGATGCTTCTGGCGCTACACATCCGTCCACACCAGAAAATTGTTCAGCGTCAGGATCTTCGCAGAACTCTTCGTCAATGAGCGGGAACAGCCTGTCAACGTCATGCTCGTCCAAGATCCTATCTTGTGGTACACGTTGTAGTGAGAAAAAGACGTCCTCCAGCCTCTCAAAATTGATGTTTTGAAATGCAAAATCGTTATTATTCATGGCGTTTAGAGGAGTGAGGCTGTGAGTCGCTGCAAGAATTGCTGGTGTCTCTTGATTCAACTCACTCGCCACTCTCCGCATACCTGCTTCTAAATCCTCACCTTCTTTGATTAAGCTTTTCAAAACGATGAAATTTGTCAAGACTTCTCGAACATTTGTCTGTGGCCCATTCGTAGGCACTGTGAGACTCATTAGGTAGTGCCTTAGCTTATGAACGCCTTTTCCTGAAAAAACGCAAAAGATCTGTCTTTGGTTGTCGCTGAAATCTGAAGGGGCAGCTCGACAAAACGCCGTTATGTCAGACCTCAAGAATGAGGGAACTGCTGTGAGAGAAAGATGCGAGAGCTTCGGACATGCCATCAAAAGCTCGTAGATTGGATAAATAGTCAAATTGGAACAGTAGGATAGGTGAACTCTCTCGAGGGTATCGTTCCGTCCTCTCAAGGCCATCATGTTCAATAGCCCTTCGTCCGTCATTTGAGAGCATTTGACCAATCCAATTCTTTTTAGTTTTGTTAGGTCTGCCAGCTCATACAAGGTACGATTAGTTAGGTTTGTGCAGCAAGCAAAATCGACATATTGGATCCGAGGGCACGACTGAATCAAAATACGCACACCACTATCCGTCAAATTAAAACAGTGTCCGAAATGAACAGTCTGTAGGTTTTTTCCTAAGCGTGCCAAATGTATCAATGAGCTGTCTGTGATTCTGCTACACTTCCCGAAGAAAACATTTCGCAGTTTAGGAGCAAGGGTTACAAGCCTCTCTACACTTTTATCGGTGATATTTTCGCAGTCGCATAGATCAATAAGTCTCAACGCCGGTAAATGTTCCACCTGAAGACTCAATTGCTTTAGAAACTTGTCCGTCACGTTGGGGTTGTGCGTTACTCTGAATTCTCTTAACTGTGTGAGTTGGCAGAACAGCGTCACAAGACTCTGATCATGGACATTTGGTGAAAGCGTAATATCAACCTCAACTAAAAGCGGACACAAAGTGGCTAAAAGAGTGACTAATTCGTCATTCATGTTCAGGTTCGCCGTTATTTTCACCCTTTTGAGTAATGGCGCATGTGTAATGAAAGTATGCAATGCAGAGAAGGATACATCCCTGGCCTGTGGGACATAAAATCCCTGCACACGCTGGCACTGGTAAGCCAAAGTATTAAAAATGCTGTCAGAGACCTCCTTGATGCCAGTTATGTCCACGCTTTGGAGATACTTACAACCTTGAAGTACCAGTGATATTGAAGAACTCGTTATATTTTTGCAAAAAACAAGCGTCAATCGCTCCAGGTTGGGACAACCGACAAAATGTATAAGTTGCTCATCCGTCATATAATCGCCCACAAACGAAAAATTGAGCCTTTTCACCATGGCCCGATAGTTAAACGTGGTTTGATAAGCTGGCCGTTGCATGGTTGTCATAAAGTGTTCTAACTGAGACTTTTTGTTGATGTGTGGTCTGTAGTACAGCAACTTGACTATTATTTCGGCCCAGAACTTGCACACAGTCATGAGCTTTACAACCTCGGATTTTTGAGAGAGTCGATCCAGCACCATACTCAGGATCTCGGCCGGTAACTTTCTTAGTGGAAATCTTCTTTTAGCTGGAGGTTGATGTAACGGATATAGAAGTCGTTCCCGGAGGCCAACAATGTCTAGTTGATGTGGGTTCTCGTCCTTCCCGGCCAATGCGAGCTTCATACCAGAAGCCAACTGGGGGTTCAAATCTTTGAACATGCTTCTTGAGAGTTTGAGCGGGTTTTCGACATATTCGCCGCGCGTTTGAGCCATAAGGTAGTTTCTCACCAGCGACCTGAATTCTGACATTTTGTTTTTGAAATACAGTTCCACGCGTTGTAGTTGCAGCGTCTCCATCTCTATTGCTCGCAATCGAATGCGCTGCAGTCTGTTTATGCTAGAAATGAAATCGGGATCGGTCGTGTCGTGATTACTGCTGTGCTGGATCTGTTGCAAAAGGACGTTGTCGGATTCGAAGGACTGTAGCAAAGCGTCGCGTCTAGCTTCGATCACTCGCACACATTCATTCAGCTTTTCGTGAGCCTGCTCTTCAAAGCGCTGAATGAGGGCTGTGTTGACGACCTCCTCCGTTTCAGACATGGCCACATCCTCGTCCGTGCTAGCACAGTTGTTCGGAGATATTTGGACGCTTGATTCGGCCACAATTGGGCTTTTATCCCGGTTTTCCTCGTCCTCGTCCTCGTCCTTGTCTTCTTCGTCGTCCTCGTCCTCCCCATCGTCTTGATCTTCCTCTTCGCCCTCAACGATTCCGTCCTCCTCGTCTTCATTCCCACCAATTTCTTGGCGTCCGGACCTGCCCGATGTCTGCTGTTCATTGTCAACCTGGAAAATGTCGCGTAACGCTATTTCGTTTTGTGTAGCTCTTGTAATCCGCATATTTCGCTCCCTGTGTTCCTGATTTATTCTATCACGGTCCTGTAAGCTTGTTCCGCCTCTAACAGGCAGCTGGGCTGTGAACCAGCTAGCAGGAAGCCCACTGCTCATGATGCAAAGGGATTGCTCTGTTCAAGTACGTTGAACCCTCAAAGCCTCGAAGCACCTCGCTCCTTTTCGACGTGTCCCGCGCAACCTAAACCACGATAAAAATGCCTGCAAAAACCAACAAAGAGAACAGCCAATTTACTTAAACAGTCTCAACCGTCTCAATGCCAAATATCAGCTTGTTGAAGTACAGATTCAACCTCGATCTTGGGTTCAAACACAGGTTTGAGCTCTTGGATTTATAAATGTGTAAGCAGCTGTGAATCTACTACGTACCTTAGCTTTTTTGTGGGTCTCATCGATTTATGATTGTCGTCACTGTATACGTGGATGTTTAAACCGACGACAGCGTCAGCGTCCCAGCGTCAGTGCCAGGGCGCTGTAGTACTGAAGCTAATACGCGCTGTGTTGGTACCATTTGGATATGTTTTAAATGAATTAAATTTAGTCGGATGTTTTAATGTTTCGAAGAATCAGCTTGAAGGTCATTATTCATTATTGGCCCCACTTTCACGCACTTTCACGTAATATGTGTTGATAGGTGAGAAGTTGGATGGACCGAGGGCCATACTTAGACGGTTAATTGTTCTTGGTGAATTTTTTTTACTTTCTTTCTTACTTTCTTTCTTTAGTCTTTCCCCATCTCTCATTGTCGTTGTCGTTGTCGTGGTTTGATTTTTGAAAAGCCTTGTAATCAGTAGCCGTATGAGCCGTAAATCGACCCGTTATTGCTACTGGATGGCTTGAGATAATTGTTGTTAATGTTGTTGCTGTTGTTGTTGGCTGCCGGCTTATTGCTGTTGCTCATGCTTATCTGGGGGAGCGATATCTGGGTGTTATTTTGGAAATTTAACATGTCAAATTGCGACGACAAATCATCTCCATTCATAGAGTACGCGCCTCTGCTGTTGCCTGCTGCAATCGGATACCCTCCAGGATAGTTGTAGTAGCCACTAGACGCCGTCAATTTCTGGTTCTGATTGGGGCCCAAGTTCAATGAGACGGGATCGAAAGAAGCCGCTCCGGAGACTGCGGTTCCGGCCGGGATTGCAGCTAGACCGCTGTTGGATAGTGCCCGTGGACGCGACCCGTTACTCAAATTACTTCCCACTGAGACGTTGCGCACGTGACCGACTCCGTCACTGTTGAAAACTTGAGAGATACTAGGACGATGTTTGGATGAGCTTGACGCCGTTGATGGTGTTGCCGTAGAAACAACTGCCGCTCCGCCAAGGCCCACTTCCTCCATCAGACGGCGATGCTGTGGAGTCGGGTTGATCTCCATGAGTGCTTGACGCACCTGTTGCACAACGTGCACTCTGACGTCGCCCTCGAGAAGCGACATCGAAAGGACTTTGTACAAGAAAGTGGGACCATAATTGGTGTCGCAAAGTATCCGGAACAGAAGTGGAGAAAGATAGGTGCTGTCCTTTTTCCCAAAGATGGTATCGAGAATGAGTCGTTTAGCTCTTTCGTCCCCTCTGTAGTTGAGGACCTTAAGAACCGTTAGCGATGCAAGTTTGTGGCAGCACATTTCTGCCATACTCACAACTAGTCGAGGTGCTAGAATAGAATGCCTGTGAGGAAGGGTGCACGTGTCCAGGAACCAGGTAACGAGCAAGGCACCATTGCTGTTGGTAGCCAGGTATTCTGTGTATGAGACAATCATACCGCTTAGCACAAGAAGCTGCTCCCTAGTGATTAGGTCGTGGGCCTCCAAACATGCCCTGACAGCTCGTGCTCCATATCTATTTTGTGCGATTGTCCAGAAATTTGAGATGATGTGCTCGAATATAAAGTTATTCCAGGGAAACCCAAACTTAAGAACGCATTGAGTAACATAGTTACCAAACTGGTCGTTAAACAAAGGTGTGCAGTATTTTTCCACGCCTTTGGCAACGAGCATTTTTTGTCTTGGGGTGTCGGCCTTGGTGATTATTTTTTGACATGCCCAAGTACCGTTTTTATGAACACCCATGGAGGTTAAAAAGGAATTTGTCCGTCTCAGCATAATGTCCTTAACGACTGTGGATGAATGGTCAAATAATTTCTGAACAATCGTATTCCCTAGATAGTCGGAGCACAGCTCTGGTAATTCGTCCAGCATTGCAATGGCCAGTTGCTCAATATCGAGTTCACTCATACAGTTTGAATCAATTGCTTTACGGATTTCGCGAAGTTTAGGAGCGTCAAACTCTCTGTTGGGCAAAGGATCTGGTAATGGGCCAAAATCGGCTGTGTCTGTAGTTCCACTGCACAATAACGCATTGTTGATGATGTGTTTAGTTTGGGCGGAGTCATGACTTGCTCCGAAGGAATTTATAATATCTTCAAGAGCTTGAATGTGGTTAGAGAAATTTGGAGGTGGTAAAGGAAAAGGACAGTGCTCCTTCTCCGAACTACCATGCGATGGAGTGGCATGATGAATCGAGTTAGCATTTGAATGTGATTGCTGTTGCGACTGCGACTGAGGATGCTGCGATAGTGTTTGAGGCTGCGAAACGATCGGTTGAGCTTGCTGTTGAGTTGGGCCGGTCAATACAGGAATCGAGACATTTCCCTGCTGCTGAAATGTCAAAGCACCATTATAAAGTTGTTCCTGAAGTAAGGATTGGGGCCCATTTATGGCTGTTGAATTGCTCGCCAAAGAGTGGGAGGAAGACATGGCTTGCTGATGCATTGGTAAAACTTTCGCAAACGACACAGAGCTTGGAGCACCAACCAAAGAAACCTCTTTCCCATGTAAGCCATCCTTTGCTCGCATAGCGGACTCTACCGAGTCGAACTCGACGAGGGCCATATTGATTCGTTTAAGTGTTCTCGCTGACATTACGATACCGAATTTCATGCAAAGTGTCGCCAAACTCATACTAGTGAGATTCACGGCATCAGCCAGCTTTGGCTGTTGTTGCTGCAAAGAATAAACGTTGGATATGGACACTGTGTTGGTTGGGAGAAGAGTAGAAATTTGATTTATCGCAGGAACAGAAGGGTCTGTGGTGACCCAGTTGATTGACCTAGGGTCGATGTCGTCGACGACCAAAGGCGATGGTAAAGTGTGTTGTCTTGCGGCGGTATGGTTATGAACAGGCAGTGGGGTAGGTTCTAGTCCTAGGCCAAATGTCGAGGCCCTCGATCTGTTCATAGCTTTGTTTTCGTAAATTGGAGCGTCTGTGTAGATACTAGACGCATTGGAATGAGACCTTTGACGTGTGTTCCAGATATTGCCAGTGTTCCCGTTTGCACTGTTTTGAGTAATGCCTGGAACCACTCCCGGCACTGTCAGATTGCTTGTGTTATGATGGGTGGCAGCGGTGCTGCCATGCTTGCCAACGTCAAAGTAGGTGCTGGAGGAATAATCGTTCAGTGGGCTAGCAGATGCAAATGGTGCGCTAGCCAAACCGGATATGACCTGCGCCTCGTTTGGCGAGGTGTTCGTCGACCATAAGCTGCCCGTGGTTGGTGGCATGCCTGACAGAGAGGTGATCTGGGAGGAGACGGTGTTGTTTCTGGTCCGGGACACGGTGTTGGAGTTTGTAGCGTGCAAATTTGGACCACTGGTGTTGAAGGAAAACGATTCCCCGGAAGTGCGAGGTGGCATGACCGAGCCGAAGAACGGATCTTCAGACCTGCCCAGCATATCTTCTGACACTGGCTGGGACGCTTCTGGTGGTGTAATTTGGCCAGAAAGACTCATTTGAGACCGAGAAGTGTTGTTGCTCGACGACCCACTAACAGCCGTTTCTGACGTGTGTTTGGGCGTTCCTGAAGCTTTCCGCGAGTGGTGAAGTTTGGCACTGATGCTGGGAAGCAGATTGCTTAGTGTGTTGGAGAACTTGCCTGCTCTAACGCGGTACGAGCCCAATTTTTGAGGCTGGTTCGGATCATTGTCATTGAGTTCGTCTTCATATAAGGGCAGCGTTATTCCCGGGTCTATGGCTTCCGGGATCTGCATCAAGCCCTGCTTCTGCGAAGATTTACCCTTTTCCATGCTGGCTGAGTGGCTGATCTCGCAAAGTTTTGGGCTTTCTCAACCGGAACTGGTTTCTACAACTTTAGGTTGTCAAAAGGTCTGTCTTGTAGCCGGGTGGGTACGGTTTATTTCGAGATAATTTAGGAAAATGCTGCCGTGTATAGTGATGAGACGACTGATGACGCGGTTGACGACGAAAAATGCAGAGAACTGGGTAAGGAAGCAAAGATTGAGTGGGGTGGTTTATGATTTTTTGGTAAGGATTAGCGCCGTTTGTCAAGCTGAGAGTTTTGGAATAATACCTTTATCGTGAGCACAGACAAATTTATTTTTATTTTTTTAATTGGTAATTTTCCGGCATACTGTGAAATTATCCAGAAATAGAACGCTATATTCGTTACACTCGCGCTCGAGCAGTTTAGAGCTCGATAACTGGAGGGCCTTGATCAAACGCTAGGTATCGATGCTGCGGCTGTGTGTCGCAACGACTACGTGGCTCGTTTTTTGAATAGTTTGGTCACCTTGTACGTAAAGGTGACTGGCAAATCGACTGGAGAAATTGTTTTATTTCAAGTCAAGGGCGCGGAAGCGAACAATGAAGAACTCTACGTCAAGTGGCTCAAGCAGGACGGGTGATTGAGTAATTATCAGACAGGACGACTGGTTTTGAAATGTCTCCACATATGGTGAAGAACTCCAAAATAATAGTTGCTGTAGCATGAAATTTGGAAGACTAACGGTATTTTAAACATCTCTCATGAGCACATAGATATTGCTGAGTTTGATCACATAAGTAGGTCCGCCAAAAAATCAAATTAACACTACCACATTGCTCCACATTAATTATTCAACAGTTTGTTTTCGTCCTACAACTTTCGGTACGAGAGCAGCCATCTGGAATTGTGAATTTCATCCTTTGGGTCAAAGATAATAATAAAAAATTTACACACGCTTCTTGAAAAAAATGAGAGCTACGGGATTCGAACCCGCGCATCCGAAGATATCAGAGAACCTGACTTATATTGATATGAATATCGTAAGCCTAAATCTGACGCCTTAACCACTCGGCCAAACTCTCGTATTTAATGAAAGGTTCAAGAAACGTACGCAATATATAGGAGATAACAAAACAAACTGGAAGTGTTACTTCCATAAGCCATGCAGCTCCGCAAGCAGCGCGATTGATATGTATCCATACACGTAGAAGCCAAGACGGTCGCTAGTTGTTTACGGACCTGAAAATAATTTGAAATCGGCACGCACCAACAAATCCACATCAAGCTGAAATTTGCTATCACAAGTCGATTTTCTAGCTGTCACAAGTCCATCTAATGGGTTCCCAGACTCGTCAGAACACTACAATGGGCTACAAATGGCCAACTCCGAGCTTGGTCTAGGTTGAACTGTCTTAGAGTTTGATGCTAGCTTCGAGAGTAGTCATGTGACCACATATTCCAATACGGTAGTATGTCCCTATTTGGATGCCCCTACCGAAACAGGTTAAGACCCCTCCCGTTCGGGAAGTCGACTATTTACGCTTTACCAGATCAGGACTCACTACTGGGCGCTGGAAACTGCCCAGTATTTCAAAATGTCAATATCTACCCTGCGATGAAAGAAGATCCAACTCCATCAAACTAGACTCTCCACACCGATTTTAACCTCAATTTCGAGTGTCAAGCCGTGGTGAAGGTTTGGCATTAATCAACTCGAAGTTGGTATACATAAATATTAGCGACTTCATACCTCTTTTTTTGCCCAGTTTTTGAATGGCTATGAGTGCTAACGAGTGCAGTGTCAGCGACGAAAACTTGGGTCTAGAGCCGTCAACAGTAGATACCTTGCTGTCAGAAATTGAGAGGGAGATACCTGTGATTGCCAAAAGACAACTTCCGCTGCATGAAATAGGCGACGAAACCATGGATAAAATTGTTAGCTATAATACGCGGTCAAATTCGAATTTGAGCTCGAGCACCAGTGGGGAAGGTGACGACTGTGATTTGACAGAGCAGCCACTCTCGAGTTCTCAGAATCGTAAGTCAGTGATGTTCAGTGATAAGTTTGAGCTTCACGAATATTCCAGCATAGAGATCTCAGCAGTGAACAACCAGCCCAATGACACTGGCAAGACGAACGTGGCCTGGGACCATTCTTCTCTGCCAAAAGCTAATCCAACAGCAACTGCGGCGTTTTCAAGCAAACGGGACTCACAACAAGACGACCAGGACGACTCGTCCAGCAATGGCTCCGAGAGGTCCTTGCTGCTAACAGAGGAAGAGCTGAAATCCAATTCCGTCACTAATCTCTATGACAAGCTCGATCTCGTGCTAGGAAACAAGCCAGGGTCTCCCAACGTTCCCAAACTAAAGGAAATGATCAACCATGTCGACCAATTGGCGTTCGATTCGTCCAAGGACCGCACAATGGATACACAACCGCTAAGAATCACTTTTGAGTCCACGCCACCTTTGAATGGTAATAGTGCGCAGCACCAGTTGCTGGAATATGAAATACAATCTCAGGACTCCGACGAAGAAGTATTCCCGCAAGTTCAACATTCCCCTTCCAAGATCCCCACCACGAATACTATTCGCATAAACAGGCTGGCCAATTCTGAGTCTGAGGGTATCTCAGGACCAAGCAGAGTTTCCTCCGGCTCTTCCATGGACGAGAGCGTTACTGATTTGGAGACCACAATGAGACAGGATAAATTTAACTTTCTCCGGACATCTATACCACACACTGCATCTGGTGCGCCGCCCGTGGTCTCCGAGTTTCACATGTCAAACCGCAGTTTGGAGCTACGCGAAGCTTCCTGCAACGACTCTCGGGTCTTTAGCATGGCAACAACAGCGGATGAATTTCAATCAGCGAGGGAAAGTACAAGCAGCTCATGGTCTACCGACGAGTCCCAAGGGTTCCAGGCAATCGAAGACCTTCAAATATCTCAGGGTCTGGTACGAGAGGAAGAAACCTTGAAAAATATCAATGAAATAACAACTTTGGATGAGTATAGACGCAAAGATCTCTCCGATAGTATCTATTCAAAGGGTTTAAGATTGCCTACACCATTGTCTGATATTTTTAATGAGGATTTAGTTAAATCACCATCATCTTCGACCGTCAATGTCTCTGCTCTCCAGGAAGCTAACTACAACCAATCGACTGGAAATGACACTTTTGATGACAAGCAAGTGGGAAATCAATCGATTGGAAGTGAAATAATTGATGAAAAGCAGGCGAACATACCGGACTCAAACTACAATGAGGCCAACGACAAAGAAAATGATAATTCGGAGTTAGCAGTTGGTGGAGAACCAGAAGAGTGTGCTCAAGGGCCAAACGATGTCACAAAGAATGATGAGGAAACCGAGTCTATAAGCGTGGACGACAAGTCAGAGGCAATTGAGGAAATCCACACCGAAGAAAAAGTGGCTCTCAACGAAGAACAGGTCACAGAAGACTTGCTGAAAGAAACCCGAATTATTTCAAACAATCTCGGCAATTTGTTTGACGATGATGCTGTATTCGCAGACATTGGCGATACCTCGCAGGATTCTGTCGACATCACCTATGCCCTCAAGCCAACTTACCTCTCCATATGGCACTCCCAAGAAGGCTCAATAAAGACATCTCCGACGATTTCATCCAACTCACAGTTTTCACATCAGTCCAATACAACAGGCGAGTCTTCCAACTCTGTTCAATCAAACTTCAAACTCAAGCCACGCATTGTCAGCCGGAGTAAAATCTATTATCCTCGCACAAGAAAGCGTCAAGATTCAAAAACACTACTTCCTTTTTCCTCTCAAGACAACAGCTCAAATGCATTGGACCCACGTCGCTCTCAATGGCTCCAACGAGTACGACCAAATACTTTCAGCCAGGAGTCGCACCAAAAGCAAGTTCCTTCGATTGCCCGTATCGCTTTAGCTTATGACGAAACGGAAGCCAAGAAGCACAGGGATTCCGAAGGCGAAAGTCAAACTGCTGTACCTGAGCGAGAGGAAAATTTGGACTGTGAACTTGCAATGTCAAATGACGTAGCGGAACACTCTATGACAGGCATTGGAAACAGCAGAAAAAGTTCACAAGTCTTTGATACTTCTTTGGAGATCCCTAAAGCGTTAGGTGAGGGTCTAGATTTGTTAGAAGATTTTGATGACCTTTTGAAAACATTGAGTTCCGACAATATGTCTTTTAAAGGACCTACCGGCCAACGAAAGGGAAATCCAGTGGTGTACCACATTTGGGGAGAAGATAACTACCAGAATGCCGCTGAGCTTTCTTTTGGTGAAGACGACATCGATGCAAGGACTACTGAGAAAGTACTCAATGATAAAATTTTAACCAAACTTCTAAGCTTCGATTCGAAGGCCGAGCAAGAGGAGCCCGAACAATCCAAAAAAATCGGTTTAGGCATTTTGAAGACCGCCGACAGCGACGTAGCTGTCTACCAGTGTGACAGCTTCAAGGGTTTTGAGGTCGTCAGATCGGCGTCCACGGAAAGTTTTGAGCAATTCCAGGGTACACAATCGCCCTCGCCTGTAAAGTCTACACATGTGGAAAGCCCTTTCAAAGCTGTAAGGGCAAAAAAGCTTGATTGCGCATGGGGCGAGTCAATGGAGGCTGCAGCACCACTTAAAATGGATCTCGAACCCGAGATGCTACAAACTGCCTTGGAGCCCACCCGTCGCTCATCCATAAAGAGTGCTGGCATTTTCGAAAAGAGTGACGGTCATGAAGTGAGGGACTATGGAAAGCTCTACATCTTGGTCAAGTCGATTAAAAACCTCACGCTTGATGATATTGCACGTCACAAGGCCGAGATTGCCATAGAATTTGATAACGGGATCAATGTTGTACAGACGCCTTGGACACATTTAGACAAGGACTCTTTAGAATTGAACGAAGAATATGAGCTCGTTATGAAAAACATAACGCCGACTGTTTCCGCCCAAATAACTTTGAAATGCAGATATCAAAAGCCTTCCTCGCGTCTTGTTGAAGTCGTGGAGCGCATTCCTATCAAAAAGAAGTTCCCGTTTGGTAAACCCAAGTATACTTTACAGAAGAAATTCGTCCAGCAGAAAATTGATGTGGACAATTGGGATTACACGTTTGCGCAGGATGGTTCATTTGCTCGTTGCAAGTTGCCTTTGGATAAGGAAACTCTTGAACAATATTCGTTTAGACGCAAAGACTTCTCTTTTCCACTTTACAATGAGTGGGGCAGGGAACACTCCGAGGTAGACCCTAAAAAAGACGTTCATACTCTTCCTCGAAAATCGGCATATCAAATTGGTGAGCTAAACCTTGAGATGTGCTTTCTTTCCAGAACCTCGGATCTTGAAAAGTTTCCAAAGACGCTTAAATTGGCGCAAGGCGTAGTGGATAAGTTCGCTGAACAGCAAAAAATCAGCTTCGAAGGATTTTTGTGGCAGGAAGGCGGTGACGTCGATGGTTTGCTGCGGAAACGGTGGTTTGTCCTGAAGGGAACGCAGCTTATCGCGCACCATGAAATAACGCGAAAACCCCAAGCTTTGATTAATCTCTTGAAAGTGGTTAGCGTTGTAGGAGAAGGGCAGCTTACCGAGGAGGCTGCTAAAAAAGTGAGAAACTTTACAGACATGGTACTTTTCAGTGAATGCTTCAAGCTGATATTTGAAAATGGAGAAATCATAAATCTAGATGCCGAGTCTACGGAACTTAAAGCCAACTGGACTAATCTGATAACACGCGTAGTTGAGCTGAACAAGTTTCATCAACCATGGGTGAAGCATGTGTTGAACAACAAACTTCTGAACCTTTAAGATAAGATCATAATATGAGTTATAATAATGTACACGTAAATCATTTAATTAGGACTTTCAAAGCCTTCTACTTTTTCTGTTGTGGGTTCATGTTATTAATCATGCCAGGGAAGGGGAACGGGAAGCCTCCAAACATGGGTGGCATACCCATGGGGAAACCTGGTGGAGCCATGTTGGACGACATGCCGTTTTCCGGTCCTTTGCCGTCTGAACCCGAGTCATTGAGCTTTCCCTGTTGTTGTAATGCTAGCAGCCCCATAAGCATTTTGTGAGGGTTGTACTCAGCACGCAGCTTTTCCTGCTTGTGAAGATATTCCATCCAAGTTTGCTCGTTGAATCCATAGTTGAAATAATCGCTGAGATTTGCGCCTGGCTGACGCCATGGCTTCTCTTTTAGCACCTCTGGATCAATGTCGGTAATGAGCTGGTCGCCTAGTTTCCCCGGTGCTTTTAAGTCCAGTGTGGGATGTCTTTCGGTCCCGGGCTGCGCCTGGGGCGTACTGTCAACAGTTGCTTCGTCTGCTGCGTCACCGTTGCCCGTTATAGTGACATCCCCTGTTTCCTCCAAAGCAGTGCCAACTTGCAAAGCAGGAGTTGCCACAGTAGGAACTTTGGAAGTGCCATTAGCTGTAGAAGTTGTGACCTGCTTAGAGTCCAGTTTCGAGCTATCTGATCCAACTCCGATGATAAACTCAACGTCCGACTCGTCTTCCGAGTCGTCACCGTCACTGGAGTCTTCCTCACTGCTGCTACTGGACTCAGCAGTAGCTATGTTGGGACGTTTTGGCGCTTCTGCTGCACCATTTTCTGCTGGTCGTTTTTTGTTGTTCACGCTCGCCTCTGGCGCATGATTCTCGTCGTCGGAACCGTATAAGAATTTCTCATCCTCGTCACTGGAGCTCATTGTCGCCGAACCTACGTAATCCAAGCGGTAATGCGGTTCGTGCGAGGGCCAGAGTTGATTCGTGAAGGTGTGTGTTAGACCATGGCCGATGAGTATCCATCTTTAATTTGAAGTGAGGCATTTTGTCACATGATTTTAAGCTTTCCAATTTATTATATCTTATTACACGATACAAATAATTACATAAGCATAAAAAGAATCACCACACACGGAACATTTATTGATTACATAATCAACAGAAAATATCACTAGACACGTAAAATTGTGATTGCATAAGCAACAAAATCTATCCCTTCTCACGACAAAAATCTCAAATGCCTGGAAATTAATGAAGTTTGAACCAATACTGAAAACCACAGCAGATTCGTGAATGCTGAAAGCTCGATCAACAATTTCCAACTCAAGAATGAGAGCTTTTGGCACCAATGCCCGTCTCTTCAGTAGCTGCACTAGTGTGCTGAGAAACAACAGAGCTAGCCTGCGAAAAATTCCGGGTCCAACAGAGAAAATCCCCTCAGTAGAGGCCTTTTTAGCGACGATTGGACGAAAGTGCGATGAGCATGTGGAAGTATACGAAAACAAGTGGGAGAACCTATTTTCATGGGACTCGGCAATTTTAAAGGAGAAGGGCATACCTGCACAACAGCGGAAGTACATTTTGAGCCAAGTGGAACGACTACGGAAGGACGAAACCGTCGCGGAAATCAAAGTGGGCAAGAAATCGTTTTTAGGTGGTGAACGTAAGCGTAAGGAAACCGTAGCGAAAATGCGGGCCGAGCAACGTGCAGAACAGCGTGCCGCGAGCAGCACTCCACAATAAGTGAATAGATAGGGATTAAAACAAAACAAAAAAGAATAAAATACGGACGGTGAGCGAAAGCAAAAAAGGGCACCGATGAAGTCTCTTCTTGTATATACATAGGTATCAATGTTTAAAATTGATAGGTGCATGCATGCATGGCTAGCGTCTGATGCCGGCTTGAAACCTGCGGAGACTTTCCTCTAGTTCTTGTGCCTCTTGGTGCAGCTGTTCTTGAGACCGCGCGATCCTCTGGTCGTCTGGCTTGGCAAATTGTTTTCTGCCCTCTCTCCCACCGGTTTTGATATACTCTTCACGCCTTTTTGCCCACGATTCGAAGGTCCAATTGTCTATCATTTCGTAGATTCTATCCCCGACGTTATTCGCACGGTATCGAGGAATAATGTGCGTGTGCAAGTGTGGAACCGTCTGTCCTGCTTCCGGGCCATCTTGGATCGCAACGTTCATAGAGTCAGCTTTAAAATGAAACTTGATAAATCCGTGAATGAGCTGCACAGTCTTGAAGTAATCCTCATTCTCATCCTCCGTAAGGTCCGACAGGCCGATGACATTGGTCCTGAACGGTACCACCAGAACATGGCCAGGTACCAGCGGCTTCAGATTGACAAGCGCAAACGAATGTTTAGATTTCTACTCGAATCTGTTAGTTAGCTGCTACATGCAGGTTCCGGGCTTCAACATACGTAAAAAACTTGGTTCGTAACCAGAAACTTGCTGAAATACACGGCAGAATTCATCTTACCACATTTGTCTCAGTATAATATCTTCAAGAAAAGTTGCAGGTTGTATAATAGCATGTTGATCCTAGCTGAACAATTACAACTACTGACCGACGACCGTCGAGGATGAGAATACCACCTCTTTGCCTTCAACAACTGCCCAAAGAGCGCTTTAAGTCGCAATTCTATAAGTCTACAGCCCAGTTTACTGTTTTCAATAACTTATGTACAAACTGCCACCTTGATCCTCCAAACACGAAATAAGGTCACTGACGTCTGAGCTTTTCATATCCCAACCGAGTTTGGAAGACACCCGCACGGTTTTGAGACTCGGCAGCCGGTCTTCTGCCAACGCGATAGTTATATCGTCCGGATGAACCTTGAAAGCTTGACCCAGATTACCACTACATTCTAAGAGCAGCGTGCGCAAAGGCCGTGGCGTGGATGAAGGTGTGAGTATGTTTTCAGAAAAAGCCCATTTGGAGCAGTAGTCCACGGTCAGCTGGAGAGTTATCAAGTTGGGACAATATCGAAATACGAAATCCAGCGAACTGCCGTGCAGAGTAGGCATGGGATAGTGGAAGTACAGATGCTTGAGAATGTCTCCAATTCTCGCGAGAACTGTGTATACCGCATGCTCGTTTATCTGAGGACAAAAGGAAAACTCTAATGTTCTGATGCTTCTCGGAAACCTGCTCTCTCTCACAAATTCATTGGTGATACCCCCACTTAGCTTGAGATATCGCAGATTAGGTGGCCATTCATATTCCCGAAACCCAGCGCAGTCAATGGAACTTCTGGGGAACGATAAGTGTGTCAGGTTTGCAAACCCTTTGATAGCGCTGAAAAGCTCACCCAACTGCACCGTCTCTGAGACTAGCCCCAGATCAAGGTACTGTAGTTGGTGGCAGGATTTCAGGCTTATTAAGGGGGCATAACCGAAGCTTGTTTGCGGGGCCGTGAAGCGCCGTAATATAGGACTACAGCGTCGGAGTAGCTTCGAAACGTATGAGTTTTTCCCACTCTGAATGATATTTGAGAGATCCAGGTCCATCACATTTTCGCCCAAACGCTTTTTCCGATTGTTGATCACTGTGTCGACAAAGTGACCGAAATTGCGGCTTTGGAGCTTTGGCGAGGCATACAGGAGTGGCACGCATATTTTGTACCAGCTACGACACACCAGGAGATACTGAGGTTCGATGTTTATGCTAAAAATCAGTATCAGCTCAAAAATCTCCAACGGCAGCACAGCTTCCCCGCTACGTTCTATTCTGGAATGACGATCTGAATTGGACAATAAAGCTGATGGCGCTGCTTCTAGCTGAATCACCGATTCCGTTTCTAAGTCATAGTAATAAGTGCCTTGTGGCGTGCGAAAGATATCGCCATTTGCTTCAATATGTCTCTCTTCTTCTGCGGGATTCGAGGTAAAACCTCGCGTGTGTACGAAACCTTGGCCCGCTACGTACTTACGGTACGGTGCTTTCACCTTCTTAGGACGTCCTTTGTTAGCCATGTCGAGGATTTGAAGTTGTATTGCTACATTTCAAAGCATAACTTGTTTTCTCGTTGGTGGTATCAACGAAGGTTTAAAGACAGGAGCGATTTTGAACTTTATTTTTGATAGAATACAGTCCAACAAGGCAACAGGGAAGGGATGTCAAATAATCTTCAAATACTGTGCAGCTAGATGGTTGAATGGTTGGATGCTTCACATTTAGCTTGAGATGGCTAGTTTCTTAAAAGTCTACTTTTTTTGAAAGCAAAAAATAAATGTTCCGACTGGGGGTCGAACCCAGGACCTTAACCGTGTGAAGGTTACGTGATAACCACTACACTATCGGAACGATTTTGTTGGAAGTTAAAAGTCTGTTTAACTTCAGTACTGATACACTTGTCATCGGCAAATATAATTCAAGAAACAGTGCTGTCGCGATGGATGGTATACTCAGAAATGTTGTACTGTAGTCGACTAGTGCTACAGAGAATGATTATCGAGAATATAAGCAGAATTGGTGATAGGATTAGCCAGAATACATCCTACTTGCTTGACATTGACGGAAAGATCAGGACTTGAAATATATTGAATATCTTAATTAACTATTAATGTCATTAGATTCGTGTCGCTCACGGCCAACAGGATTTGACGGCGATAATAGGCATCTGAATGAGAAAATAATGGTCAGCTCTTGTCGGATTGAGAGTTTCTCGTCTGTCTCTTTTTTTTGTGCCTGAATTTCTGCCACATTTCGGCAATTACGAGTAATTGAAAGCCTATCGTTTTATCAGTTCTTTTATCAATGGCATTCATTGCTCTCTTTACCCTGCCTCTCTCGATTTCGTAACACTCGCCAAAGAAAGCAGATTAGTAGTAGATGTAATCGGATCGCGCGTCATGGCACTCGTAGACGTTGATCGTGGAGCTGTGCGAGTTCGTGGCAGCTAGCATCATCTCATGAGGGTGAAACACCATCGTGGAAACAAAAGAATTTGCTATCCTCGAGTTACCTATTCCAGTAGCAAGCGTATTAGCCATTCCGCCTGCATGCGGTTGAGAATTGTTCTTGAAAGAAGAAAGCAAGTCGCCTGCTGTAGTCCAGATCTTCACTTGTTTAGTACCCGTGGCAATAACCGGCGCATGCTCATGCACCTGCATTGAAGTCATCGTGGTGAGACGAGACACGGCTGAACCACTTTTCTCACCCTCATCTTTAAAGCTGCCAATTGAATGGGAACTCCTCAAATCCCAAAGTTCCACCAGACCCTTGTCCGTTCCGCTAACCAGTTCTCTGTATCCACCTCTCTGCAGATGAACGTTGTTCACTCCGGCCTTTGAGTGTCCTTCGTCCGATCTCCACAAGCGAACCATAGAATCTCTTGGATCAACACGGCGGTCGTAAGCTCTTAACGAGCCGTCTGCAAAGCCCGCGACAAATACGTCACCAGATAGTTGGTCGGAAGTGATTGTGGTTATCAGCGACGAGGATTTCGCAGGTATATCCACCTCCACGGTTTCTGTCAAGGCATCCCAAATTCGTATTATCTTGGCATCGCCAGTCACCAGTAAAGAGCCCCTACTTTGTTGCCATTCGGTCAACAACCCGGTGGACCTTGGTGTCAGTAGCAAATCGGTGAGACCTCTCCACGATGTCACCAATTCTAACTCTTCCAAATCGTGAAATTTACTGTATATTTTCACAATACCATCAGACGACCCTGAAAGCAAGAGCGGTATGTCGTCTTCATTCAGATACTTGATGTCCGTGATCTTGGTGCCAAAAGGGTTCCCATTAGAAAAGGTTACAAGCCTCGAGTTTTCGGCCCAGTCAAAGACAGATATATTGTCCCTGTCATCGGCTGACACAATATAGTTCTCAAATTGACTGAATTTCAAAATCTTAGGCTGCGATTTGTTTTCCAGACAGGCAAGGTTGTTAGACCAATCGCCATATAGCGCAAGCTTTTTTTGAGCTTGAGTTCTTTGTATTATTTTTTCGTTTCGATTTTTTCGCCACAATCTGGAGGTATATTCAACACTCCCCGGTTCGTCTGCTTCTTGCTTCTTCATTTGAGGCTCCTGAAAGTACTCCCGGGAATAGTTCAAAAACGAACTGGTTAGCGGGACTTCCAGATGGCTTTTGGGTTTCCGTGACCTTTGTGTCATGGCCGTGGGGGCTGTTCCATGAGGAATACTTAGCATATTGGAACCCCTGAGTCTATCGAATGCTCTTTTGGTGGAAGTCTCCGGCGCATGCTCATTTTTACCGCTTTCCCAGCCTAGCGATTTAAACAAACCGCTCAATGAAGTTATTCTTTTGGAGATGCTTTTCTCGGATGCGGGTGACTCATTGCTATGCGCCGGTTTGTCTTTCCCGGACAGGCTGATAGGCCTTTTAGCGATAGGTAAAGTGGATACCACGGCAGGTCCGGAATTGGTAGTGTTCAGAGTTCCGCCCGTATGCTCCATAAGGTATATTTCCATCAAAACAACGACCTCGTTCAATTGCTCGTGACCACTCAACTTAATGAGGATATAGTCGACGACCTCTTGTGTCAAAAGCTTATTCTCGGCGTATGGATCCTCGGCCAATATGAGAAGAGACTTCCAAACTGTATTAAATATGGAACCATGCGCGACGGATTGTTTGCTATCTAGCCCCCAGCCCTCTCGCGTTGGTTCAAGCTGCGTTATTTCATCACAAATCTCGTAGAACGCAATCACGAAGAAGAAGTTGATGTATCGATGAGCAAGATGCGACAGGCATATAATTAATTCTTTTCGCACTAGAGGAGAACCATCGTTGACCAGGCACAGGGCTGCAACAGTCATTTTTATTTCCTCCTGTTTAAGTCTTCTAGAATCCATACTCCTCAGCTGAGAGAGCATTTCTTGAATTTGCAGCAGTTGACATTCAATTTGAGCTTGTTGCCGCTGCATTTGCCCCGAAGATTGGATTGATTGTAATTGGGCCTGCAGTTGTTGACTCTGCTGCTGCATTTCATGTTGTAATTGTATTGCGAGTTCAGGCTCTCCTTTCTCAGACAAAAACATGTTGATTGCCAAAAGTGCAGCGCATCGAACTTCTGGAATAGGGTCTTTCAATGAGACGTAGATCTTTTCGAGAAACCCACATGTCATGCAAATGTACTTGTTCAATGGATTTTTGTAATATAATTGACCCATCAAAACAATACACCACTGTCTTAGCAACGGAACATCAGAAGTCTCAACGTAAAGACATAGCTTGTTAAGCAACTCCAAAGAAAAGGTGCACTTCTGCCCTAAAGGAAAATCGCGCAAAAAAGATGACAACACAAAAATTGCCATCGCTTTCTGCTCATCTGTAGTGTTGTTAGCCAAAGCAGCTGCGCTATTGTTGTTTCCATTTTGCATCGTATGATACATCTGGTAACGTTGTGCCCCCAAGCTTGCACTAACGTTCATTGTCAAACCGCCACCACTAGGTGCCCGTTGGAGTTGAGGTGCGGGTCCAGCCGCAGTGGTCCCCCACTCAGGAACTAGCATTTTCACGAAATACAGGTATCCTTTCTCCTTGATGAGTTCGAACTGTGTATTTTTGTAGTCGATGGACATAATTCGAGCCCAAATAAAGACAAGAATGGGCCTTAATTCTGGAGCCGGACTTTGTAACAGCTTTAAAACGTAAGGAAAGATACCAATTGATAATGATAGGTAAACGGCCCAAGGCCCGAGGTCTAGAAATCTGGATAACAAGACCAGGGCTCTTACTCGATGCACCTGCGAAAGCAACACCTGTAAGACAATGGGCAACTGTTCCGGAGGGTTTCTGGTGTTGGATCCATATTTGAGCCAAAGCTCAAATGCGGTTAAGTTTTGCTCGAAAAACCCCGTAAATTGTTGCTGCTGTAATTGAAGCTGGGAATTTTGCAAATGCTGTTGCTGTGCAAGATGTTGCGGGACTCGAGTTTGACTGGGTAAATGGTGGTTGGCCAGGGACATAGTGCTGAGCGAACCAGCTGGCGCCTTTGAAATTATGCTATCGTCTCCCCCGTTGAGTTGCTGATCCTGCAACGCAGACTGCATTTCAAGGCCTGTGGAGTTTGAGGGCATCGACTGAAGGTCGCTGGCTAGCTTACTTAAGACCTCATCAATCGCCAGATCCCAAGATCTCCACATTGGATGGTCCGCAATCGAATCGGGTAGCTCAGGGTCAGAAACAGGATGGCAATTGAACCACGGCATAATTCTTTTCGCCAGCAGAAAATTTCTGAAAAGGGCTGCAACCATGAGATCGTGGCGGAACAGTCTCTTGAAAAGAGGGCGTGGAAGTGAAGTCCACGCAATTGTGTCCGTGATGGCTGTAAATATCCAATTGAGCTCGCCCAGTGGGGTTCTTCTATCCGAGAGTTTACCCGGTATTGTCACATTGGGTTTTGTTGAGGTAGCTTTTGCTCCGTTCCGCTGAGTCCTGTCATCATTATTTTGGAACAAAACGGCATATTTCGTTTCCCGCAGTGGTGAATTCATCAAGAAGATTTCCACACTTATCTCGATCGGACAGGTAAGACAACATGTGAACAAATCAGCCGGCAACTCCGGCTTCATCGGGAGTAATTCATTTGCCCTGCACGAAGCCAATTGGATGCATTCTGTGTATGCCTGAGTGGGCGAGGGAGCTGCAGTATCGTGATTGCCGTCTTCATCATCTTTGATTCTCTTTTGTACGAAATTCTGGAAATTCGTGACGATATTTCCAGCACTGTTGCAATCATAGACATAAATACAAGGTGCTCCCAACCACGTTTGGAGATCATACAACGAAACGGGTATATACTGGGTATAGCCTCGGTTGAACACCCACATTTCGCCAGAGGCCGTGGGCTGTGGTACACCATGGCCGTTGTAATGGAAAAGAATGCGTTCATCCTTGGAAGCGCGGCGTAGTGAATTGCAGAATCGTTTTACGTCTTCGACGCAGGGGTCGAGCGATTGTTTGTAACGCGTTCTGAGCGACAGGGTCTCATACTGAGTCTGAAGGTTTTTTCCTATTTGCTCAATGGCTTTCTTGGAGTCCTGGAAATTGAGAGGATCGACCCAGGATTCCAGCCTCGCGCAGGGATGGGTCTTTGCGACATCTGGAGGATCAACTCCAAGATTCAAACACAACAGGAGTGCAGCCGAAACAGTTTTTTGGCGTTCTTTGAGAATTTTCCAGTCTTTTATAGGCTGATAGTAGCGTTCTGGGTCGTTCTTCTTTTCCTCGCGAGGAATCGGGTTTCCATTTGTTCTGTGTCTTTTATCGTCGAAATAAAACATGAAATCATTTTCCAGAGATTCTAGTAGCTGCTCCGAAGAGTATTGATCACCAAAACCATGTCTTGTCTCTGTATTGAGTCTCTGTAGAGGTTGAGGTCCGTATGCAATAGGCATCTTCTGAGAAACCAAGTAGAAAATGCGCTTTTTCTCGGATCAAAAAACTTAAAGTTGCACAAAGGACTTGTTCTAAACAGTTTGTGCACCTACAAGTAGATACACAGCTGATTGTCAGCCGTGAAGTCACAAGCTATGTTTGCTGTGTAAGGGTTTGTTCGGTTCGTACTCCCTTCTTAACATTGTTCAACACTGACCAGCTTTTTGGCAGTTTTCGAATTCGTCGATGATGATAATAATGATAATAACTCTGATAATAATGAGTACGGACTATGAATGGGACATTCGAGGGAAACACGAACTTATTTCGAATGTTTTGGGCATCACATATTGGGCTAGCAAGTTAGAATAGAAAATAAAGGTGGAATTAGTTTAAGTTTCTACCGTCTTTTTCTGTTTTGTTTAGTATGAAAATAATTTCTAACAGCTGATGCAATCTTTGGCCATTAATAACGCGTATTCTACTACTTACAGATGATTATGATTATTAATTTTTGTACTCAAGTATTGTGTTTAGCACCATGAGCATAACCTTTGTTGACCTTAGAGATTTGACACTGCAATAAATGAGGTCGTAAGTTTCGGCTGATTATATCAATCCTTGTAACTCCAAACTGGCGGGCAGCTTGAAATTTCAAATCCACCTTTCTTACTATGAACTGAAGCAAAAATTGCTACATATGGAGGTACGCCGTGCAACTGGGTTATTAAAGTCCAAAAATGTCATGATCAATTCAAGAACTCAGTTGAGCGTGAGTCAAATTACAATATCACTCGCCCACAAATTTAAGCCCACTCAAAGCGGTACCGACGACGTAGCAACATTTCCTTCTGGACAGCAGGCACTGCGAGCAACCTGGGTTTTCTGTCACCATTAAATCACTTTATACCAATGTGTCATTTGTCATGTTTAATTTACTGTCGCCCAAGATGAGAACAAAGTCAGTCAATTCAAAATCATCAAAATCAGCTGCCCGAAGATCCTAATGCGTATCTGCCAAAAACTTACTAAGTAACTCTTAACTACAGAACCCTAGTAGATTGGATGCTGAATTAGTTACCTCTAGTAGACTACGTAATGATTCATTTTAATTCCCGACTTATTTGAATTTTTTCAAGAATTACGACACAGCCTTGCTTTCCTATCCAATTCCTCCTCTTGGGAGCTTTTACTTGGAAGTAAGGTACATTTTTTTGCAAGCACATACGGCGTGCACACACGGCATTATGCCAGTGCAAACTGGGATCCTGAGAGAAATAAGTAAATCCATCAAAAAAGATTCTCAGAACTTCGTTTCAACGGCGTTTGAATTCCCGAAATCACAAAAACGAATTCCCACTGCGATAGCAGAGTTACCTTGCTTCGAAAGCTTTTGCTTTGGGCTCTTCTCAGCCTAACACTGCAAACTCACTCGTCAACAATGACAAATATACTCACATTCAACAAGATGCTCACTTCCAGGCATTTATTCCAGATGCCATGAGAAGCTTAAGCATAAGCACTCCACTGTCGTTAGAAATGGCCAGTTCATCACACAATCCATCCATTCTACTTCGTCGGGTTTTGGCACTCAAGGAAAATTCACCGTTCATTCTGGTGATAGATTCTATCGGAAGATCAGGGCACTGTGTCTTGGACGAAGTAGCGAGGGAAGCTGAAGAATCAACAACTATAATATACGTCTCATTCGAGACTGTGAGAAAACCGAAATATGCTACACATTTTGTGGGGGGCTGCAAATCTGCAACGCGACTGCTGACTGCAATTCAATCATCTTTACCTTCCCCAGAACAATCCAAATTCTCAGCAAGCAAATATCTTGTGGTGATCGACTGTGTGAATTTTATTGCAGCCAGTAGTGTGGTTGAGCTTATTACACAATTGGCGTCTCCATCTGTCACTCTTCTGGCTATATACCATAAAGACTTGCCCGAGTACCGTTTGCCTGAACTTGAAAATTACCCCAGCTCGCTGCAGCTTCTGAGATTCATGGCCCCCTCCATTCTAGAGGTACGACCATTCACAAATGACCTTGCTGCAGAACAAGACCTCGAATCGCGGTTACAAAAGCTGGAAATGCCTCTAGGGCTAAACTCCTCAATCTACAAACTCATCTTGACCAACCGTAGGAAATCCGGTCGCGCATTAACGTACACCTTCAAATGTGATTCACAGGTGCATTCTTTCGTGCCAATTCAAGACGTCCGTACTACATCTGACGGCCAAGAGGACTCTGAGATGTTTGAGGGCTTGACAACTTTCAATTTGAATACTTCGCATAAGCAAAAGGCGGCAAAAGACCAGGTTGATTTGCCCTTTCTGGAAGCTCAAAGTTTCAATACAGGTGGCGCTATCGTGTATGAATTTGAGAAGGACGATGACTACGACGAAGAGGATCCATACGAGGATCCATTCTAAGTACATTGACCTATTATAAAAATGTTGTAATTATATTTTTACTAGCTTCCCACGTATATACAGGGAAGAGCAGCGGTCGTTGAAATGATTTAAATGCAATCGATTCTTTCTTTTGTACAAGTGTGTTAAATGCGTTGTGGAATCGATTCTAGTATATGCTCTACTGGTCCTTTTTCAGTTGATTTACCTTGTCTCCTTTTCCTTTCAGTTTTTTTAGCTTTGCTATCAATTTGGCCTTCAATCCGACCTTAGCAGAAGCTTTCTTATCGGCCTCTTCGATGGTTACCAATTTCTTAACCATCAAATTAAACAAAGTGCCGAATGCCAAGCCCATAACAGTCGAGGTCAAAATGATGACATTGTAAGGCATACTGAAATCCGGAGTGGACAAAGATAGCAGCAGAGTCGTGGTTCTCATCTCGTAGTGAATGGGAGTTAACACCGTAACCAAGGCTGATTCGATCTCAAATCCGTGATTAGCATCAGGTGGATACTCGGCATATTTCAGCAAGGCTTTGTCGAACTGGTAAGTTAGTGCAAGTGTGGTCTCAGCTGGTATAGTGATGTTGAATTCCAAATGTGTTGGTCTTTCTCTGTCAATTGCCGGGAGGTAGAAAGTACTCTTAATCACATCGCCAATTTCGAGCCCAGCATCGCTCTCTATCTTTAGAGAAGATAAGTATAATCTCATGTACCATGGAAGAGACTCAAAATATATGGCTTGTACGCTTTCATTGCTTGGATTACTGAAGACCGTGCGAAGACCTCCACTGTCCTGCCCATAGCCCGTAAGGGATCTACTAACAAAAAGTGGCACGTCTTCACACTCCTTCAAATGTGCTGTATTGTCAGACTTTAGATGTATGTCGTGAAGTTGATCATTTTTAATTGTGAAACAGTTGTCATCAGTAGCAAACAGATCATCATCAATACCAACGTAGACCGTCCAGCTATCGCTGACCTGGGCGCAAACTTTAGACGGATTTTCTGATATCAGATTGGACCCCAGTATTTTCTTTCCGAAAAGCTTTGACAGCTGGAAATTGGTGTGCTTACTCTGCGGCAGAGGAAAACACTCCCAACTATCATGCGGTTTACTTTCATCACATTGCAGATCAGAATCGCGCACAGGCTTGGGAATTGGGTTATCAGCTCGCGCTAGAGAGTTTGGAACGTTAAAAACCATCTCAATGTTCTCCTCCATTTGGTACTGACATGTGTCACCGTTGCAAGAGGTCTCAACATCGATGGACAAGCTGTGCCAATTCGAATCGAAAACCTTGTGACCGTCTAACAATGATGAAATTCCACTTCTGCCCCTGGTTGGTAGAAGCTTCAAAAATGGTGTTAGATTCTCCGTACATATCGGCTCGTTAGCCAAAGCTGCGCGTAGGAGGTATGCTTGATTTGAAGAGTTGAAGATCGGTATGGTTCGTTCTTCAGCCGGCTGGAACGAGGAGACGGGATACGTTGTCTTTTCAACATCAATGAAGTTGATGGACGAGCAAAACAGTCCACTTAACGAGTTGGCCAGCATGATCCAATTTTCGAAAGCTTCATGCTGGCTGCCAGCCTCGACGACGGCCCATAGTTCCACTCCGTTTCCGCCAGACTTAGTACCATTGTGAGGGAGCTGACCCCAGGACTCTGCGTCCCATCGTCCATGCGTGAAACGCAGGTGCAGCTGTCGAGTTTGAGTATATTCAAGAATGGGGCTCAGTGCTTTGGGGAACACAGTGTAGTGACGGTAAGTATCGTAAGCTGACTCTGTTTTTCCAACCGTGAAGTTGTTCGATTGCAATTCAAATGCAAAGGAAGCCAACATGAAGTTCCGTGGCAGAGGTTTCAAGGTCAACTCTTCGCCGAAAGGATATTTTATGATGGTTTCGTTGCTAAACAAAACAGCATTAATCTTAGTATCCCCATCAAGCCCGATCTCCAGTTCCTCAACAATTTCTGGTTCCTCTCTTTCCTTCTTTCCAACCGTGTATGTATTATTTTCGGGGCTGTTAGAGCTTTTCAAAATCGAGCATGTCTGATCGGCACTGCCCGCTGATTCAGTTTCATTAGGTATGACAAGCTCGTCGTCTATCGAGTTTACAGCGATAGAATTTCGTGCTGCTATAAAAGCCCAGAGACAGACCAGATTGGCTCTCATTCCATCAGCTTTCCCTCTCTCTTTTATACGCTCACCAATCGTCTTGAAAAGTGACACCGTTCAACCTGCAAAGTTTAGGCTTACTTCATATTCCATTAAATTGACTTTCCAAAAGTGTTGATAGCACTATGAACGAAACATCAAAAACAGGTAAGAAGTGGGAACTTAAACGCCTTTAAAATCAACAACATAAGCAATACTTTTAGAGAGAATACTCGTCACAGAGGTGTCCGAGGTTATGTCTGGGGTCAAATTCGTAAAGGAACGTGATGGAAACCCAAAAAGGAATCTGATGGCGGCGTATTCGATGCCTAAAGAGGTGCTACAAGATCTAGAAGTAGACACAGCGGAAGATCAGCTTAGAGACAAGTCCGCTGCAAAATCTGTCTATGCGCGGGAATCAGAGTATCAGCGACAGAGGTTTGATCTGGAGCTAAAAAGAGACGCAAGTGTGACGAAAAGGCCCATAGAAAGCGTCGATTCATCGGCAACAGTACACGACAACGAAGAAAAGGTTAAAAAGTCCAGGTGGGACGTGGCAGCGCCAAGTCCTGACAGTTCCAATGTTGTAAAGAATCAGGAGTCGGGTCCGGTCATTCCAAGGTCTAGATGGGATACCCAAAAGGAATATCAAATGCCCGAGGTCTCGACGGCTGCGAACGATGAGCTCTCAAAAGAGTTAATAACGGAGGTGCCAGGAGTCGGAGATCTCCAGTTTTTTAGGCCCTCCGACAAAGCACATTTCGGAGAGCTTTTAATCCAGAAAACCGAACTAACTGCAGAGGAAGACAAGGACCGTCAATTTCTGCGAATTCTGCTGAGAGTAAAGAATGGGAAGCCACAGGTGAGAAAGATTGCGATAAGGGCCTTAAGAGATCGTGCTTCTCAATTTGGAGCGCCGCGTATATTCAATAGAGTGCTACCGATTCTTATGGATCGATTTTTAGAGGACCAAGAACGTCATCTGATGATCAAAGTAGTGGATCGAATAATGACCCAACTCGGAGATTTAGTAAAGCCCTATACGCATCGCATTTTGACAGTGATAGCACCAACCCTCATTGACGAAGACAAGGTCACGAGGGATATTGGTAGAGAGATTATTTCCCGTTTAGCACAGACCGTAGGACTGTTTGCCATAATAACCAACGTTCGTGCAGATATTGATCACCAGGATGAATACGTTCGAAATATCACTTCAAGAGTCTTAGCGGTGGTCGCTAGAGCATTAGGTGTTTCCAGCCTTGTTCCTTTCCTACGGGCTGTTTGCCACTCTAAGAAGTCGTGGCGCGCTCGCCAAACAGGTATGAAAACAATTCAGCGAATCGGAGCCATCATGGGAATAGGTGTTTTGCCGTATCTTCAATCTCTGGTGGAGTGCATATGCGATAGTCTAAGTGATGAGCAGTTGCAGGTGCGTGTTGCTACGGCCCAATGCATTGCGTCTTTGGCTCAAAGTACTCACCCTTACGGGATTGACACTTTTAACGTGGTATTAGAGCCTTTATGGAGAGGCATCAGGACTCATCGAGGTAAATCTCTGGCATCATTTCTACGCGCCTTAGGGTTTTTGATTTCTCTGATGGATGCGGAATACGCCGGATATTATACTCAAGAAGTCATGAGAATAGTGAAGAGAGAATTCCAGTCTCCTGACGATGAGATGAAGAAAGCTGTTTTGCTAGTTCTACAGAAATGTTGTGCTGCTGGTGGACTCACTTTCAAGCAGGTGAAAGAAGAAATAATGCCAGACTTTTTCCGCAATTTTTGGAGTCGTCGCACAGCTTTGGTCCGTCAAATTAGCAGGATCGTGATTTTCACGACTGCCGTCTTATCGGAGAGAAGTGGCTCTGCATACTCCATCAGCCACTTACTTGATCCGTTAAGAGATGAATCGGAACCTCTCAGAATTATGGCAGTACGCGCAATTGGTAGAATTGTAAAGCAGTACGGTTCTCAAGATATTGACAAGCGGCTAGAGACCAGGCTTATTGATTCATTGTTGATAGCGTTCCAGGAGCAGACAAATGAAGACCGGACTATACTCTACGGTTTTGGCGCAGTCATAGAATCGTTAGATGTCAGAATGCAACCTTACCTCCCACCGATTGTGAGCACAGTTCTCGATCGATTGAAGCACAAATCACCCATAATCAGACAGCACGCTGCGGACCTGTGCGCAATGATGGTACCAGCCATTCACCACTGTGGAGAGCAGGGGATGTTGAACAAACTCAACATCATCTTATATGAATCTTTAGGTGAAGTTTATCCTGAGGTTCTAGGCGCTCTTATTGGAGCCATGAGTCAAATTGTTGCTGTTGTTGAGTTTGATAGGCTGCAACCCCCGCCTAATCAGATTCTTCCCAATCTAACACCCATTCTGCGAAACCGCCATAGAAGAGTGCAACAGAACAGCATTATTTTGATAGGTAAAATTGCAGAAAAGGGCCCTGAAAGTATTCCTCCAAAAGAGTGGATGAGGATATGTTTCGAGCTCTTGGAAATGCTTAAAAGTCCAACAAAATCCATCAGAAGAGCAGCAAACGCATCATTCGGCAGCATCGCCAAAACTATAGGGCCACAAGATGTGCTCGTCGCATTGCTCAATAACCTGAAAGTTCAAGAGCGGCAGCTGCGTGTCTGTACTGCTGTGGCAATTGGTATTGTAGCTGAGACTTGCGGGTCAATAACCGTGTTACCTGCCATTATGAATGAATACAAAACACCCGAGACAAACGTCCAAAATGGTGTTTTGAAAGCTATGACATTTATGTTCGAGTACATTGGAGATATGTCGAAAGACTTCATTTATGCTACGGTTCCTTTGCTACAAGATGCACTGACGGACCGGGACCTTGTTCATCGTCAGACTGCTGCTACGGTAACAAGACACCTCGCTCTCAACTGTCTGGGAAAAGGTTATGAGGACGCATTTTTGCATCTTTTGAACTTATTGATGCCAAATGTTTTCGAAACCTCACCTCATGTCATAGCGCGCATCGTAGAGGGTATCGAGGCTTTAAAACTGGCGCTGGGGCCAGGTGTTGCATTAAATTACGTTTGGGCTGGACTCTTTCATCCCGCTAAGAACGTACGCAAAGCATTCTGGAATCTTTACAACAACTCATATGTCCAATGTCCAGATGCCATGGTAGCTTATTATCCATCTTTGGATGAAGACTCTGGTCGCAAGATAGATGAACTAAATGTCGTTCTATGAGTAAAGCGATATAAGTAATTACAAGTTTTGTAAAACCGCTACAAGGACTCACTCACCTCCAACACATGCAGCGACTTACTTCCCATGCTATTTTCCTCCTCCTCTTCCGATGAACTGTCTTCGGAGCTATCTTCGTCAGATGTACTATTTTCGGAGCTTTCCTCCCCGGATGTGCTTTCTTCCGATGTATCTTCTTCAGTTGTCGTACTATCTTCTTCCACCATCACCTTGCGAACCGAATTACGCGGTCTTGAAGGTATTTCGGAAAAGAATTCATCTAAGCTTTGAAGCTGGTATTTTTTGCCCACAGAGGAGGTAAAAACTCGCGACGATGCGGCGGGCGTGTTGCTAGTGTTATCCGCTTTACCATGAGCTGAATCACGATTACTATTGCCGTTGAAAAATGAAGCAGAAGAAAAACTGGTCTTGAACCTATCGTAGTCCTTAAGGTCAGCCGGTTTCCTTAGTTCAGCACTTATGTCACTTTGCTCACACTCCCAAGGCGATGAGAGGAGGTAGTCTTCCATATCATGATCGAGCCCTAGGCGGGCCATACTAGCGGCATCAACCTTCGTCGGGATATCCAAAGTCATGCAACATATTGGAGCTGGTTTTGGTGCCTGCAGAAGTAAAGAAGCGACTTCGAATTTCTGCTTATCAAATAAGGAAGAGAAAAGTCTTGCGCGATCTCTAATGTCAAAATCGTCATCAAATTTGGCTAAATAGAAAACTGCCTGGGCCAATTGAGCTACCCTGGAGTTTTCAAATTCATATTCTTCATCAACGCTCTCTCCTTTGGCCTTGAAGTTCTCAAGATCACAAGACAAAATCTTTGCTGCTAGTAAAACTGTTTGCAGTCTGGTTTCTCTGGACTCTGCAGAAAAGCTGGGTGTTATAATTCTCAGAACATCAGGACATATGGAAAAGTTGATGGTGGTAAATTCTCCAAAAAGCCATATAATACCAGCTTTAGCGGAACCTGATAGGGAACTTTCAGTTCGGAGCGCCTTGATCAGATGAATCATCGTGCCTAAATGTTGAGAGGGATATTCTTGAATCAAGAACCTGATGAAGCTGACGTAAGCTTCGAGAGTTGACGATTTATCAGTGTTTGCCATCCCAGCAAGTAGCCACTTGGTTATATGTAGCGACAAGCTCTGGGATAGTTGACCACAGACCGCAAGAGAATTCAGTGCTTCCTGTACAACCGAAGGCCTCTGGTCAGATAAGATGTAGTATTTCAGTTCTGGCACAATTTGTTTGACGTTGCTGTGATTGATCAACGCAGCGATGATTTTGAGCTTGTAAATCGCTGTAGGGGTGTCGTCACTGGGAAACAGGAAGAATTTCTTCAGAAACATAGAAAAAGTTGTTGGGTCCACAGCACAGTACATCAAAATACATTGCAAGATGATTCCATTGTCATTCGCGAGAGATGGTACACTGACAAGTTTTGCCAGGACTTCAGTGACTTTTGAGTTCTTAAAGCTCACGGGAGGACTGAGCTCAAATAATGCTTTGCTAATTGACACAATAACAGCCGGGTTTGGAGAATGTAGCATTTGCCGAATAGCTTGTAGAAAAAGCTCCATGTCCGGATCAAATGTAACATCGTAAGTCGCAAAGGGAATTGCATTGAAGGCCTCTGGAAGAATTTGAGTTTGTGATGAATCACACGAATCTGTTAAAACGGGCCTGGGAACATACTTCTTGCAGTATTCAGTGAGCAAATCAATCAAGTAGACCTGCGAACTTTGTGTGATTTGCGGCAAGATGTCGCAATAGCGGCGGAAGTGACCATGGAGAAGTTCTAACGAATCAGGAAATGCTTCCTTGAGCAACACAATTGCAGAAGATACAACCGTGATGTCCGAATCGGCCAGCAAGTCCTTTAGGAGAGGACTGATCTCCTCAACGACATGTTCGCCTTGCTCGCGAAAGAGTTTAAGAAGCGCAAAACTGACAGAGCAACGCACTTCTGGTGCACTGTCTGTAATTGCCTTTTTGACAGAATGGAGAACAATTGGGTACAATGATGGAATCTTGATGTCGGAAAGCATTTTGAGGGCCAGCGCACGAGACTGAGGGTCTGAATCCGCCAATGATTTCTGTATGGAATTGACGGCCAGAAGAGCCAGATTGGGCTGTTTTTCTGCGTATCTAAGCAGGTAAATCGAGACAAGTCGCTTAACTTTGATATCGGTTGACGAACCGATATTCTTGACTACGTCTGCGAAATACGATTCCAGATCAACATTTTCGCTGTCTGAAGCGAGCAGTGAAGCGACTTTTTTCATACCATCACGGACTTCTCTATCATTACGGGAGTTTAGCAGTGAACGGAGTCCTTCGGGAGTTATATGCTGCGAGTAGCGATGATAAGACGTTTCTCCAAACCGCGAACTAGCCACAGCTGCGGCCTCAAGGGTCAATTCGCGCGCTGATTCCAGAGCTGAGGTTATGCGCGCAATAGAATCAACCATGAAGTAGTTAGAACGCGAATAGGACTTGCTTAAATTAACAATCTGAGCATTGTAATAGGTATCAGTTCGCTATTACAGCTGTTACGTGGGTTACTTGATTTGCCAATATACGTTAGCGAACCTTGAATAGTTTCATACGGCATATAATTTTATATAAATAAGCAAAAAATAAGCCCTGTAGGGGGCTCGAACCCCTAACCTTATGATTAAGAGTCATACGCGCTACCGATTGCGCCAACAAGGCTCTCATTTACTTAAAGAGAGTTATTAAAAAATATATACACAGGAAAATATCATGTGATACGTTTTTGCATAGTCAAGATGGAATGCTTCAGTGAAGCTGCATAGCATCAACAATCTGTGGCCATGAATCAGAGTGTAATGAAATATTCACCACACTCAACGAATCTACTGAGTTCTGTGTTCCTTGTAAGGTTGTACTTTCCATTATGCATTTTTAGTGCTAGTCCTTACCTCATCAAAAGATCTTAAATTGTCGATAAAACTAATCCTTGCAATTACCAGTCATCCGACAATCTAGGACCTGCTACGAGAAATTTTCTTCAAACTTCATTGAACCCAGCTGAGCACAGCTACGATAATTACTGTTGTTACTAAACAGCATCTGCTATCTACCCAATAATCTAGTCGTTTCTCTAGCTGCCTAGTTTTATGACAACTCAATAAGCACCATTCTCAAGCATATCCTTTGATATCGTCAGGGAGGAAACCCGTTCAAGATTCACGGTTGCCGTCTTTTAACCGAAGCGTCATGCTGTCCATTACCCAGCAGGAAAGCGGGCTTACTGAAATGCAGCAACAAGTATCCGAAATTGTCCAACATGGAGTAATTGACCCGAATTTTAAATTTACGGACTCAGATTTTGAGATCCTGTCGACACTTCGATACGACCCTGGATTCACGAACTCCAGGACATCTGCCTCGAGACATGCTCGGCCCGCTACAGGCTGGAATGAGACTGGTAGCGTTGATCCACAACTGACCGCTGTAGACCTTCACGAATCTCTACGAGAAAATGGCGAGATGTCGCACGACGAGAACTCGCTGTTCCAATTGATAAAAGAAACCCAACGAGACGTCCAACCTATATCACCGCCCACAGAACTAGATAATGAAGAAACTACTGAAAGCTCAGAATCAGAGCTGCTCAAAACATTTTACAACCGCTTCTTGCTTCTGGGCGAACAATTTAAGCGCTTGACGCTGGCACTAGACTATTTCGGGTGGGATCTTGAGATTTCAATTGACCTTTTACTCGAAAAATTGATTCTGGCGTTGCCGTGTCCCATCGAAGCCGCCACCAATCTACACACACGCATGCAAAGCCTTTACACTGACGAGACGTGCTACAAAATGAGAGTCTTGGTATCCCATACAGGTAAAATGCGCATTGAGGCACATGAATTACCGTCGAACCCTAATCGTTTCTCGACCCCATCTCAATATTTCCTCAACACGATTCTGGGTGGGCTTTTAGATAAATCAAATGACGCAGTTTGGGATGTATTCATCGATACACAGGCCATGACTGCGTCTCCCTTCACAACATTCAAAACCACACGCAGAGACCACTACAATGCTGCGCGATCGCGAATGGAAGAAATGCGTTCAACCATTGTCAATTCAGGAGCAAGGTCTGAAATCCTAGTATACAATAATGCGTTTGAATTAATGGAAGGTTCCATTACCAGCGTTGCAGTACTGCAGGAAAAACCTGAGGCCGTGAGTTTTTTCTACCAAACCCCGTATCTTTCAACGGGTTGTCTATGTGGCGTTATGAGATACTACCTAGTAAGTAAGAACCTCATAAACGAAGGACAGATCGACGTCCGAGATTTACGGGTTGGTGATACCGTACTTTTGTTCAACGGCGTCATGGGGTGCGTGAAGGGTGTTATTCGTAACTCCTTGGAGTGAAGAATAAGGAAATGCATTCAGGAAAGAAGAGCGTCCAACTTTTAGCCCAGCATGCTCCTTTTTCTTCCTCTCAATCTCACTTCCTCGAACCTTTTTAGAACATCTCGCAATTTGTTCTGTCCCTTTTTACTCTGCTTCTCATAAACTTCTTTGTATCCCTGCATCAACCATTGGCTGTACTTTTCTGCGTATCGCGAATGCGTGCTGTTTACAGCTCTTTCGAGAACATATAAGTCAACGCCTTTATCCTCAACGAGCGTCGAAGCCGATCCCAATCCGAAATCAATCAAATACGGTTCCCAATGTGTGCCACTATTCTGTAGAACAACGTTAGAAGTTGTGAGATCCCCATGGCAATAGTCATTCCAATGCAGAAGTCCAATTTGATAACCTACCTTCACCAGAGTATCTTCCACCATTTTGCTGTATGGATCCAATACACACATCCACAAGTAATTCTTCAAACTGCTGAAACCACTCCCGTTGGGCAATTCTTCGCCCAGAAATTCTATCCATATGCACCCGTTGTAGACGTCGCATGCGATGAGTTTGGGTACGTGAAGACCCGAAATTTGCGACAATTTGGCCAAAATCCTGGACTCACTCAGCGTCCGGTGTTTTGTTAACGCCTTATCTATAGATGGGTGTCTGTATTTCTTGGGAGGTCTGTACTTTAGGATGTATTTGATTGATTCATCTGTATTGTTGTTCGAAGGTGCATAAGGATGAATTGTAGTGGTGAAAACAACGGCTTCTGCTCCCTGAGAAATTGGTATAACAGGAACGTTGGATGTTAAATACGAAGAAACCTGACTGATGATCTCTTGAGACATTCTTGAGGCGTTGGTCAAGGTCACTAATTAGCGACAACTATCAGCTCTTCAAATCTTGACTATATTAGCTGTATAGTGTGTTCTTGGATTTAATGTCATTTTGAACGGACAAAGCCAAACTGGCGGACGACAGACCAAGCAGCTTGACATAACTTGGCCCAGACGGCTAGTCGTAAAGCTTGGATTATTAAATGTATCTGTGTATTTAATTAAGCTCCAGAACATGCTGAAAAAGTATTTAAATTTGCTTATTTCTGCTGGCCACCGTACATGCCTCTCCACTCTTCAATCTGTTTTTCGTCTATACGTTTGAACAGGTATTCGGCCTTGTTGATGTTGTGTCCGCTATGGATGCTTAGGTGGAAGGTCTCATTGATACGCAGGGCAGGTGCGTTCAACATCCTGTAGATACCCTCAGCAGTTTCAGGCATGAATGGGTAAATGATAGACGCAACAGTGTAAACGATATTGAGACCAACACCAACGACGGCGTCAGATTTGTCTGGCGAATCAGTGAACAAGGTATTGTCAAGCTTGTTTTCTTGCAAAAACAAATTACCGCGGGCACTTAAGGCCATGGCCAATTCCAGACCACGTCTTTCGTGGGTTTGTTCCATTTCGCTAACGTAACTGGTTAAAGTTATGTTGATGTCTTGTTGCAAAGACTCATAGTCACTCAAATGGCTAGTAGTGTATTCAGGGACGACACCGTTGTATTTGGCGTTGACGAACTTGACCAATCTGTTTACAAAGTTACCCAAGTTGGCGAGAAGTTCACTGTTGTTTCTTGCAACAAAGTCGTTCCACGAGAAATGCGAGTCGCTGGATTCTGGTCTGATGGAGGCCAAGTAATATCTCCACACACTTGGGGAAACGCCAGTGGCTTTGGCATTGTTACCGAAAACACCCACGCCTCTACTCTTGGAGAACTTACCGCCTTCGTATTGCAAGTACTCAGTGGTACTTAAGTGGTGAAGCATAGTCCAGTTCTCACCAGTACCCAATTGCGAGCCTGGGAAAATAACAGTGTGGAAAGGAACGTTGTCTTTACCCATAAATTGGTATAGATTGACGTTTTCGGGATTCTTCCACCATTTCTCCCAGCTTTCTGTGTAGTTGGCAGTGATCGAAACGTACCCGATAGGAGCGTCAAACCACACGTACAAGACCTTTTCTTTGTATTTTTCCATGGGTACCTGGGTACCCCACACTAGATCTCTAGTGATACAGCGGGGTTGAAGGCCCTCTTTCAACCAAGAGTTGGTAATCGTTTTCGAGTTTTTGCTCCATCCACCTTCTCTAGAAGACTTCTCCACCCAAGCTTTGATTTTTGGCTCTAGTTTGTCCAAGGAGAGGAAAATGTGGTCCGAGAAACGAGGCACTGGTGTGCTACCATCCAACTTACAACGGGGTTCAAGCAATTCGAAAGGATCTAGAAGGGCACCACATTTATCACACTGATCACCACGGGCATCTTCGTAACCGCACTTGGGGCAGATACCTTCAACATATCTATCGGCCAAATAAGCTTTGTGTACTTCACAATACAGCTGCTTCATGGAGTGCTCCTCTAGAAGTTCATTTTGGTTCAATTTGTTGAAAATATCCTGAGCGATTTCAGTTTGCTGGTTTGTAGTGGTCCTTCCGAAATGATGGAACCCAATTTGAAACCAGTCGTAGACTTCCTTGTGGATGGCATGGTATTTGTCGCAAAGCTCGCGTGGAGTACACTTTTCTTCTAGAGCCTTAGTCTCAGTAGCAGTACCGTATTCGTCAGTACCGCAGATGAACAAAGTGTTGTAGTTTCTAGCCTCGCAGTACCGAGCATAGATGTCTGCGGACAACACACTTCCAACAATGTTACCCAAGTGGGGAACGTTGTTCACGTAGGGCAGCGCAGAAGTGATCAAGACGTTGCGCTCGCCGTCTTTGGGCAAAATTTCAGCAGCGTGCTCTTTCACGGCAAAGTCGGTGTCGATTTTCACGGCTCCGGTATGTTTGGCATTCGAAGAAGAACGGGGAGTGCACGATTTGGCGACAGAGATGGCAGCTTTAACAGTTTCAGGCACTTCTTTCAATTGCGCCTCCACCAGAGCGGGGCTCAGAGCATAAGCATTGGTAAAAATTATAAGTTTGGTCGCGCTGAGAGGTTCGACAGTAAAACCTGTCAAATAGTTTTCCAACGCCTTGGTCACAGTCTCCTCGATGTGCTCTTTGGGAGCAGTAGGATGGTACAACAACGCTTCCAGGGAAGAAATTGCAAAATGCGTTTCGGAAGATTCAAGACCTTCGAAATCATTTAACACATATCTGAGGATAGCGTTGGTGTTGAACAAGCGGAATTCAGAGCCCACGACACTTAGTTCTGGAACAGTAATCTCGGTGTTGATAGACAATTTGAGCTTAGAGTCAGCTAGTTTTTGAGCCAAGGCAACTTTTAAGTTGTTGGCAAGCTGCAGGGCATTATTGGAATCCTTAGACTTGTCAAACGACAAATTCAAAGCCATTTCTTACTGGATCTTTTGGCGATGAGTTGAACGAAGAAGGTGATGCCTCGAATTATTTTTTTTCAGCACTCAAATAATCTTCTATACAATTAAAATGACTACTAAACTGACAAAACTTAGCTGAACGACAGAAGACGAGGGCGAGAGAACGACAATGAGTAGCCGGCGTGATTGAGAATTGATTTTTCGCATTTTATTGATAAGCTTTCTGGACAAGCTTGCTATGTTTGATGGCCGTTCGAAATTTTGAAATACAATTAATTATACAACTTCTCAGAATAATGGTTTCCAAAAGATCAATATTAGTTCAGGTTTGTTCGAATTTTTGGTAGACAAGTACTCGAGAAACCGTATCATTTTTAGCCAACTCGTGACATTATTCGATATTGGCTTGCCCTTACCAGCGACCTCAATGTCAGACTGGATGCGAATTATGCGGAAACAGCAATGTAAAAAATTCGTTTTTCTATAGTCAGTATTGGGAATATGATAAATATGAACTTTCACCATTCCATAATTCCATGACTTATGGACTCGAAGATCTGGTAGGAGAGTTCCCTACTTTGGCGTAGGGTCGGACTTGCTCGTCACCATTCTCATATATACATCACTTTGTACCACTGCGTCGTCGTGTTTTCCAGTCCTGTCGTTGATCAACAGAAAGAAGACATCGACAGTGCCCACCACCGCCAACGTGCACCGTCGCAAGGTGGATAGAAATCACCTCAATTATCCATTTCGTTTTAGCGTATTTAGTTTATCTAAATTCTTATTATACATGAGTGGTGTTGGAGTTGTTTGCACGCGGCCTTCGCAGCTCCATGCTACAAGACCGACTCAACTCCGAACCTTCCGCTTCTTTGCTGGAGGCGCTTTCCCTGAAGCCCCAATAGTAATGTTGACCTTGGGTGGAACCGGGAAACCGTAGGATTTAGCAACCTTGGCCAAGTCCAATTTGTCAATTTGGTAAACGGTCTTTAGACCGTGGGATGCATATGCTTGCAAGTACGATCTGTAACCGTCTTTGGCAATTTGGTGAAGGTGGTAGTTGGATCTGATCAGCTTTTCAAGCTGGGACTGAACGTTCGCGATCTTGTTGGTGGGGAACTCGAATTCGTTGAGAGGCACCTTGGCAGCCTTGAGATAACGTAGGAACCCGAGCTCGTTGGGCGTCAAAAACATGAGGGACTTGCCCTTACCCTTGGATCCTCTAGCCGTTCTGCCCACTCTGTGAATGTAGTCTCTGGGATCATCAGGAGGGTCGAATTGGATGATCCAGTCCACAGCTGGGATGTCCAGGCCTCGGGCGGCAACATCGGTACACACCAAAGTGCCTCTGTCAGCGTTACAGAACTCGAAAAACGTATTGGTACGTTTTTGCTGTTTTTGTTTACCGTGTAACTCCAGAACTGGCAGGTCAATGTAGTTCAATAGCTCGGCGTAGTACTTGACAGAGTTACAGGAGGACAAGAAAACAATGACTTTTTTCTTCTGGTTGCGCTTGAGGAACGAAAATAGCAGCAGAAAACGCTTGTCGCTTTCACAGACAACGTAACCCTGCTCCAAGCCATCTGCAGTGGAGGTTTCCTTTTCTGAGTCGACATTAATGAACAGTGGGCCGGGTCTCAGCGAGATACGAGCCAGATCTTCGACCTTGGTCGTTTGTGTGGCGGAAAACAGCATGGTCTGGCGGTCTTTGTTGGGCAAAATCTTGACAATCTGACGCATTTCGTCTTCGAAACCGATTTCCAAAATACGGTCAGCCTCGTCGATGATCAGGGCACGAAGGTTGGTGAAAACAAACCCGTGCGTGTTTTGCAGATGGTCCAGAAGTCTGCCTGGGGTGGCAATAAGCAAGTTGACACCTTTGGCCAGCTTGTCTGCCTCTTGACGACGGTTGGCACCACCAATGACGATGCCGAAAGTCTGAGAATGGAATTCCAACAACTGTTTGGCAACACCGAAAATCTGCAGCGCCAATTCACGCGTGGGTGTGATCACTATCACACCGGTACCGTTACGAGGCTTGAATTTCAGAGAATGTAGCATTTCGATGGCCGGCAGCAAGAAGGCCAATGTTTTACCAGAACCGGTCTTTGCAGCACCAAGCACGTCACGGCCCGCCAACAAGGGTGGGATCGTGCGTGACTGCACCTGTGTCATGTTAGTGAAGCCCAGCTTGTCAATAGCCTTCATGGTGGCCGCAGAAAAGTTCAACTCGCTGAATTTCTCCTTGTATTCGTGACTCGAGTTCTCATTAAAGTTGGAACCCTCAGCGGTGATGGGTTGCTCATCAGACTCGTCTCTTGCATGCTTCTTAGAGCGACCCGCAGACTTCGCTTCCGATACCATGATTTGTAAAGCTTGGAGCTAAAGTCGTGAACCAGAGTAGTTGAAAGAAGAATTGTAAATTGTGAGTGTAGTAGTTCTTGGAAGTTTTACTAGGCGATGAGCTCGGTGGATGCGATGAGCTGAAAGTTTTTCAGATTTTTCAGCTCTTTCGTGTATGGTGAGTAAAGGTGGCGTGACTAGCACGTGAAGGAAAGTTGTTCGTACTATAACGTGACTCAAACGTGACTTATTGTTTGTGTAGTAAAAAAATCAGTAAAACGATCGTTATGGGAATACCGCTAACTGATCCAAGTACTGGATCTGTATGTGAGTGTCAGTGTGTTTTGCACTTGAGATGGTGTCTCGAGACAAGATTAATGATTCTTGACGCCAGGAATAAGCCGGGTCTCTTAAAAGTCATGTGACTTTATGGTACACACATCATCACTCTATACGAATGACATATAAGGATATAGTGATAAAGTGGTTAGCCAAGACTTGAGCTCAAGTAAGAACGAGTGATTGCGAACGTCGTGGCTCTGTACTAGCATGTGGAGATGGTTTGTAGTATTGGAGCAGAAGTCTCCCGAACTCTTTGAGAACATTGGTTTACAAAATTTATATTTTCGCCACATATATTCAACTTCCCTTATGGTGAAATTTCTGACAACGAAATTGTGTTAAAATCGCTTTGGACAGGCTCTATTCGACGACATCTTGAACATCAATCCCAGTCAGCTGCCTTCTTTGATCCCCACCACTCGTAAAAGTACTCTCTGCCTTACAATCTACCAATTTCCGTTTTTGACCATAACTACTAGAAGTCTCAACGTAATTCAATCCCAAAAGTCCCTACCAGGGGCTAAAATCAAGATCTACATCGACTAGCTAGCCTTGGAAATAAGCAGTCCATCCTTCTATGTCAAACTCGAGTTTTTCCTCTCTCTTGACCGATGTATTTCTTCAGGGTCTGCCAAATTTCTATATCTACAAATATATAAATATATATATCTTGCCAAAGTTCAACGACCAAAGTTGAAAACTGACTTTCTCAACCATAATCACCCTTTTCTGACGCTTTTGATCGACCATTCTATCGCTCCGAGGCCGGGAAATTAGTCTTTTTATTAATGCTTGAGCTTCACGACGATTGGGATACCCAAGCTCTGTACCAGGATGAAGTAAACAATTGCAATTCTTGCGATGAGAAAAGTCCAATCCGAGACAGCGGGATCATATGTGGACCCAACCTGCGTTTAGTAGGCGTAAACTATGCACAAAATTTGTACCGAGCCAGTATGCTTTTGGTTTGTCGCGGAGTACAATGCCCAGAGGTTTCGTTCATTCGTGGGCCCAGCAATAGCAAGCAAGTCGGCGCGGACACGAACAACATCAGTCGCGGCCAGTTGACTAGTACCCTCTTTTACGTTGACAACGGCATTGATTTTTACAGATACACCATTGAGTTTCCCATGGAGTCATATGAGCAATTGGTTAAATACACAATTGACGGCGAACACAAGCCTCATTACCGTTTCTTCGTGCCTTCTAAAACCAGCAATTTCAATGTCATGTCGTATTCTTGCAATGGGTTTTCGCTAAACGTCGATACCACCAAGTTTCAGGGCTCCATGTGGTTTGACGTGCTCAATAAGCATGCCAAGACCCATTACCACGTAATGCTTGGCGGTGGTGACCAAATTTACTCTGACGGTATTAACATCTTCTGCAAAGGATTCAAAAAATGGCTTGCGGAAAAGAACGCCGTCAAAAAATACAGGGCACAATTAACTTCAGAGCTGCGTGCCGAGCTCGAGCAATTTTATTTGAATGAGTATCTGGAGTGGTACGGTTACGGATATTGGAAGGGAGCAACGCTTCAATCCAAGACTACCCAAAAATGTTTTCCTATTGCTATGGCCACTATTCCCTCGATCAACATTTGGGACGATCACGATATTATTGACGGCTTTGGCTCATACTCGCATTCTTTTCAGTCAACCGAGGTGTTTAGCGGGGTGGGTAAGGCCGCCTACAAATACTACGTTCTTTTCCAGCATCATGTATCTATTGAAGAAAAGGGCCCGTATCTTGAAGATGAGTCTTGGCTGCTAGGTCACAAAGACGGCGACTACATTGAGGAGAAGTCGCACTCGGTGCTTACCAGATTGGGCCCTACTAATGCACTTTTGGGCTTGGATTGTCGCACAGAAAGAAAGCTCAAGCAAATCATTTCCTGGGACACTTACGATTTAGTCTTCAGGCGCTTGGAGCAAGAAGTGGCCAAGGGCAAAATCGACCATCTCATGGTCATGCTTGGAGTTCCGATAGCGTACCCTAGAATGGTATGGCTGGAATCGATTTTCTCATCCAGAGCTCTTGCGCCTGTGAAATTTCTGGCGAAAAAGGGCATCATTGCTCGTGGACTTGTCAACTCTTTTAACGGTGACATCGAGTTGTTAGACGATTTGAATGATCATTGGTGTGCGCGTCACCATAAAAAGGAACGGAACTACTTGATCGCGAAATTGCAGGACTTTGGTGCCAAAAATGGGGTGCGTGTTACGATTTTGTCCGGCGATGTCCACCTGTCTTGCGTGGGCCGCTTCCGTTCCAAGCTTCACTCTCATCATCTCACGAGCGGGAAGGATGAGGATGTAAAAAAAGTTTTGAACGAGCCAGAAAAGGATGTTAGGTTGATGTTCAACGTGATATCCAGTGCAATTGTGAACACCCCACCACCAAATGCGATGGGTGCACTTTTGCAAAAGAGATCAGGAATTCATCATTTTGATCATAACACTGATGAAGACATGGTGCCTTTATTCCAAACTGATGTTGACGGCTCGAACAGGACAAATTTCTCATTTATGAACCGCAGAAACTGGTCCGATTTGATCCCGATTGAGAATGTCATGGAAAGCGATTACCTTCGCGGGTTGTACCAGGTATCTCTTGGCGATTACTGCTACTCGGGCTTAGTTTCCGGCACTGGCCTGCAAACGATGCAAGGCGATACTGAGCACGACGGTAACAAAAAACAGGACGTTACATATCCTGTGACCTCCAAAGGGCTCATTGCCTCGATTCACGCCGAGAAGGACACTTTGAACAAAGACTCCGCGACCGAAGCTTACGCAGTAGTTATCCCAGAACTGCAGAAAAAGGAGACGACTATTTCACACGCGGGTATCAAGCACGTCAGTCCTGATGTCTAGTAACAACGTCCAGCACAAGTGAATAACGTCTGTTTCTGCGAGATTTGGACTTGAAATTCATTTATGTCTGTATTTCTTACGTTAAAAACTGTTTTCCATAGCGTTTTGAATGAAAGAATCACACGGCAAGGCAAGAAACACTATTTATTGTTCAGAAAGGAATGTGTTCAGGTCTCTCTTCGTAATCTTAAGATCTCTTTAATGTTCAGATTTCTATCCAGAGATTCTTGGGATTGAAATAACATAGATAGACGTATCAGACATTACGCTGCTATGAGCTGCGTGCTATAACAGGATGAGTACCTGCTCGACTATGTAGAGTCTTGGATAATATCATCGATTAGTTACGACCTTTATAGAAATGTGTACTGATTAGAAGGCTTGGTTTCGACGCTCGGCGGTTACTACCAAGAACGAACTTGGATGGACCGTCGCGGAAGTGCTTCTTCACATCTTAGAGTTTTACCAGCATGTTTTGAATTGAGTTAGATAGATTAAGAGCCACATTGCACGGTTCCAAACCTGTGATGCTGGACTTCACTATGTTGTTAGGAGATTCACGTCGAGTAGTATTCGAGGGTGAGGGTCGAGATCTCTTGAAGAGGCTCATAGCTAAAGTTCAAAGAACTCAGTGTTTATTTGCCACGGAGCAGACAGTACAACTTACGTGTGGATCCTGCTCGAAGACGTCCTCGAGTGGGACGCCCAGTTGAACATACATTTACTTTGAATGACCAATTGAAGTTCAAAAGAGCGTTTTGAGCCTCTGTACAGGTAATTGAACGTGCTCGAGAATTATAAGCAAGACAACCAGGGTATGAGGATTACGATGTGGTTTCGTTCTGTGTCTAATTTGAGGATATCCGTGCTCTCACCTAGGGCAGAGGGGAGAAGGACTACTTTCAATCGCGGAGAAATAATAACAGGCGACATCATGTACTCTTCCTGAACTATCAAAGTTAAGATATGCTTTTAAGCTTCTCTCTCCTTGAGAGAAAGCAGGAACCATCACCTGGCACTCGCATTCAGCGTCAGATGGGCAAAGCCGAACCCCCAGCGTTTGAGAGTCGTGGCCAGCCTCATATTACGAGAGTCTGCTCCCAACGTTATACCACGTCTCACTCTAAGGGAGGCCAAAAACTTCACCTTTTGGAAGAGGAACCGCTGTTCTCAACGATTTACGCGAAACATTGCCAAGGAACCCACGACAAATGAAAACGCCTTGAAAAAACTCTCAATAGTCAATTAACGGGAACCTGTGATTTGCATCTTCAATACAGCCCTTGTTCAGACGCCGTTCACAACTTTCTATCCACCACGACAGGGCTCCAAGCGAATTTCAATCTCTACTGGCCCAAACTATGCTGCCTGAAGTACCCTCGGACAAAGACCACGCTATTTCAATCACTCTTCCAAGAAATGGAGACAAGCTTCATTCAATGCGTTGCAACTGTCAAATAATGTTGTCATCAAAATGTCTTGGATGTCAAAAATGCCAGTTGCTGCGATCCACTGTGAACATCTCAAGAGGCCGAATTATCGAGAGGTTATCAAGACAAGCATGCTTAACAACTCGAAACAACATAAACAACTTAAATTTTCAAAGTCTAAGCACCACTATTTCCCAGTCAGTGACAGTCTTGCAATAAAAACCGTTTAACTCGAGAAGAATCGCTGATTTTGGAGTTTTCGAGCCCTTTAAAAAACCCCTACTCTCCAGAATAATTGGCAGATTTTTGTACTCCTCCTCGGAATTCCAATCGCTCTCTTTCAGCTTAACTTTGTCGGTATTGTCAGTTTTGGCATTTTTCCGTCAAACAATGCCTCGCAATCTGGTGATAATTAAAGATATCTGGGGAAACAATGAGCACAGGGGAATCTTTAAAACCAAGACATTTGACTTGTTTAATAACCTTTTTCCAGTTTTTAAAGACCATCAGTGACATTATTCGTGCTAGGGAAATAGCAGCACAAGTTTCCAGCGGGATCAAAGCTTTAAATCTCGCCGAATCTCGTTATAACTACCAAAAACTACCAGATCTCAATGGCTTCTGAAGCAGCGTGGCCTCAGAGACGTGGGAACTTAGAATTCGAGGATGCTATTCGCTGCAAATATGTGACAAAAAATACGCAGTTGGGCGACGGGTGTTTTAGCGTTGTCAAAGAGTGCATGAACATGGACACTCGAGATTTGTTCGCGATGAAGCTCATCAGCAAGAAAACAGTCCAGGGAAAGTTATGGCTCATCCAACGCGAGGTTTCGTTGCTAAAAGACGTAAGTCGTCAAATTCGCGAGTTGGAAATTGCTGGCCAACCGTGCACGGACACGTTTGAGGGTCACCATCACGTTCTGCAGCTGTTCGATTATTTTGAGACGTCGCAACACATCGTGTTGGTAACACAGTTGTGCGATCATGGGGATCTGTACGAGAATATCATCGAGGCCGGGTCTTTGGACCTCACGCGCCAGGTTAAACCGTACACGGCGTGTTTGTTGAGCGCGATTAACTTTCTGCACGCGAACGGCGTGGTGCATCGCGATGTCAAGGCTGAGAACGTCATTTTCCGGCGTCGCGTCAGTGAACTTGATGAATTTGCCCGTCGTGGTTCCAACTACGATCATACGTCGCATGATCTGGTTCTTGCAGATTTTGGGCTCGCTACAAGGCTCGACGGCTCTAAAGACGAGTTACGCGAGTGTGTTGGCACAACTTCGTATCTGGCACCCGAAGTGATGAAATGCCAGGGTATCGCACGACTTGCTCCTTCAAAACAGAATGAAATTGCGCCATATGGCGCGCTCATTGACGTGTGGGCTTTGGGAGTGCTTACATATTTTATGATGACCGGTTATATGCCATTTGATTGCGACACGGACGATGAAACGCGCAAATGCATCCAGGAAGGCGACTACTACGTGGAGGATGCATTGCGGGATGACAGTAACACAGAAAACAAGCTGTTTTGGAATTTCGTTCATCTGTGCTTCAATGTGAACGCAGAAGACAGACCTTCGGCGCGCGACCTAAGAAAGCACCCGTTTGTTCATGCATTTTTCCACGATGAGGACACTGTAGAGCCCTTTGGTGACCGGATCGCTCTGCGGAAAAGCATTTCGTCGTCGTCACTGCACAAGTTGCAAACGCCATCGCGCTCTGCTAGTTTCTCGAGCATAGCACATCTGGGGCGATTGGACTCGGGGCATGACATGAAACGAACCGGTTCACGCGGGCCGGACAGTGAGCCATTTCGCGAGACGGATCGCGATGCAGAACTCAATAGGGTCCGCGAAACGTTAAAGAAAACGCTGTCGATGACATCGGTGAGGCCACTGACACGCAACAGTGACAAAGACAATTCCACGTTCACGCTTGCACCGTTGCCTCCTGTAAGCTCTCTGATGAATGGGTGCTTGTCGCTGACGCCCGAAAGTAAGTCGAATTTCAACACTTCGCCCTGTTTGTCGCGAACGGCGTCCACGAACGACGTTTCGTGGCCCGCATCGAGCACCACTGCGGAAACGGGCGCCGAGGCGAACTTTTCACGCAAGCGTGGGGCGCGTTTCGATGTGTAGCGGGCGGGAGTCTTTATGAAAAGTCTTTGGTGTAATTACATGAATTAAGAAGTGTGTACTACGTCTATTTGCATGTCCAGTCAGTCCCATTAGCTGCGACGGCCCAGCAGGTTCAGAAACTCCTCGCGCGTCTTGTGCGCGCCCCGGAAACAGCCCAGCATACACGAGGTGACGGTCGAGGAGCCAGTTTTTTGGATTCCACGCGACACCATGCACATGTGGGTGGCCTCCATCACCACGGCCACACCACGAGGCTTGAGGATCTCGCTCAGGGCCATTGCGATCTGTTTCGTGAGCCGTTCCTGCACCTGCAGACGACGAGCGTACATTTCGGCCAGTCTTGCCAGCTTGCTGAGTCCCAGCACTTTTTTGTTTGGGATGTACCCGATGTGCACTTTGCCAAAGAACGGAACCAGATGGTGCTCGCACAGCGAGTACACCTCGATGTCACGGACGATGACCATTTCGTCGTGGTCTTCTTCGAACACTGCGTTTTTGATCACGTCGTCCAGGATGTTGTGCTGGTAGCCCTGTGTGAAGTACAGCATGGCCTTGGCGTACCGTTGCGGCGTGTCCAGCAGGCCCTCACGAGTCACGTCCTCGCCCAGCTCGGTCAAAATCACCTTCATCGCTGCTGCGATGCGGTCCGTACGCTCCTGCGTGTCCTGTTGCGACTCGTCTGCTCGCGACCGCGACCCGGGCGTGGGCCACGATAGCCCATCGGCCTCCACTGGCGGCGTCAGCGTGTATGGGGACGCTGGCCGGGTGTTGAGAGGTGTATCGCGTCTGTCAATGATAGTAGCAAGCTGTTTGTTTTCCATGATTGTCGGGGGTGGGAGTGAGAGCCGAGTCCAAGTCCAAGGGCGAGTGGCGAGTGGCGAGTGCTAGTGCCAGGACTTCCTTCCACTTGTTGATCGACAAGATCGGTCTTCTTCACTTCTTCTCTTCTGAACGAACGGAGTCCTGGGCCCAGAAAATTTTAAACTGTGGTGGTGGTGGTGGTGAATGGTTATTAAGGCGGGCGGCCGTTCGAATCCTGTCCGGGGTCCTATTTCGCTAAAACACCCGTCCGGTCCCGCGACACACACTACAGATCTGTTTGTCCAGTAAGAATCGCACTCTGCCCTTGCCATTGCACTGGCCACACAGCACGCCTCCGATTCTTGGGTCTCCAGGCTGGAGCACTATGGGCGATGAGCCCATCGGTTGCGACATGGGCATGGAAACGGGCATGGGCATGGGGCTTACCGGGACGGAGTTGTACATGTTGTAGCGATAGTCTGCATATTGTACGCGGACGTTGGAATTGGGAGCCGAATGTGCGAAGCGGGCCCAGCATCTTTTGCACGGGTGTCCGTTTTTCACTTTGTAGCCCGAGTTGCCGCATTTTGAACAGTAATAGCCTTGCGGATAGGTCCAGGGTAGCACATGAGCCGGTGTGTGTTGCGTTGGACGCTGGGGCATGGGCGGAGGACGCTCTGGTGGTGGTGCAAAGGGACGTTGTGGAGTGGGAGTAGGGGCAGAGGTTGTGTGAGTTTCGTTGATGGCTTGTTCGTAAGACGGTGGTAAATCGTTGTCCAGGGGCATAGGAAGTGGCGATAGCAGTTGTGTGAGCAGTGGTGCGAGCAGTGGTGCGAGGTGTGAGGCGTGAGGCGTGAGGCGTGAGGCGTGCGAGGCGTGCGAGGCGTGCGTTTTATAAGGTGGGTACGAGTACGGTTCCGAGTACTACAAGCACTACTAGCACTACAAGCACTACAAGCACTATCGAACCCTAAGCACAGTTGGCAATTGAGAGCGTAATGGGAATCTACAAGCTTTGTTGAACAGCTGAGAGCGTAAGCTATCAGTTCTAAAAAAATTAAGAGCCCTTAGTACTTTTGAACAATCAAGAGCGTCAGCGAAGAGTGCTACTAGCAATACTAGCACTACTTAACAATCGAGAGCGTTAGCGATCAATTGTCAATAGTCGAGAAGGCTAAAAGCACCATTGAACAAATGAGGGCTTCAGCGATCAGTTATGAATAAAGAGAGGACTCCAAGCACAGTTGACAATTTAGAGCGTCAGTGATCAATTGTGAGTAGCTACGGTGGCTATAAGCACCACCGGTAGCTGCAAGCACATAGCTACAAGCACAACTGATTGCTACGAGCATAACTTCTATGAGAACCGTTATGAGTATCATCATGAGTATTATCACGAGTACCACTTTCGCTGGCTACAATTGAGCGATGAGAGCGCCAGACTCGAAGCAAGACTCGAAGAACTAGCAATTGACCGCCGTTGCTCTCGATTGTGGCTACTAACTCATTTGAACCCTCGAGCGTCAGCGATCGAACTCGAAGCACTACGGAACTATAGAGCGTCAGCGATGAATGTCGAATATATAGAGAGCTTGTAGAACACTCGAACAACTATAAAGGCATGTGAATTGTGAACATCGAGAGCTCCCCAACTGCTCGCGAGTACGAGTACCAGCACGAGAAGAGCACTACAACAAAATCGTCGTCAGCTTCAGCGACAGCGATCGATTGTGAATACGTTGGATGGCCACAAGCACAGCTTTTGGTGTAGCTGAACAATCGAGGGCTTCTGCGATTTGGAGTATTGCTGAGACTAAAACTGCACAATTGAGAGCCATAGCACTCAGCACTAGAACTACTTGTAATATTACTGACCAGTTCAGAGCTTCGAGAACCACATTAGAAGAAAAAGAGAGCTCTTAGTATTAATTAACATTTCACATCTCTATCGATCATTTATGAGTGAGTTAATGCCTATAAATATAGTATAGCGAACGCTCTATTACTGGGGCCATTGTACTTGTTCACAATTGAGTGCTAAAGGAAGTCTACTTTTAGTCTGATGATGAACAACCCATCGCTGACGCGCTTGATTGCTCAACAATACTACGAGCACTTTCTTCATGAACACTCAATCGCTAACGCTCTCAATTGTCTAACAGAGCTTCTAGCCATCGACGTGAGCTCTTCACTTTTTCACAATTGATCATTGTCGCTTTCAATTGATCTCAATTGTTCAACCATTCATTCTTCAAGAAAAACACCAAAACACCAAAACACCAAAAAAACCAAACATAAATCACTCCAATGTGGCTTTCGGAAGCTCAAAGTACGTACTAACCATGGTCACCGTCTGAATTCACATACTAACTAGTTTTTTGCCCAGAGTTTGGCGTTGCCTTCACGTTTGGAGGCTGTTTGTTTCTTACGTTTGGCGTGGTGACCTTCTTTGACCGTGCGTTGCTGGCCCTAGGAAATATACTCTTTCTAGTTGGTCTATTGCTGATCATAGGTCCGCAGAAGACCTACACGTTTTTCTCGAGGCCGAATAAGAGAAGGGGGTCCATTTTCTTCGTGACAGGCGTGATAATGATATTGGCAAAATGGACGTTTCTGGGATTTTTGATCGAGTGTGTGGGCATTGCAGGGCTATTTGGCGATTTTTTCGGTGTCGTGGTCCAGTTTTTAAGATCGCTGCCCGTCATTGGACCCGTACTTTCGCATCCAGCAGTTGCGCCGTGGGTCGACCGATTGGCTGGCGTTCGCGTGCTGCCGGTGTGAGAGCCCTCACCTACAGCAAAGTACTTGCAAAAACAGTGCTCTTGGCATTTTACTCAAGATCTGAGCAAGCGTTTTGTACAGTAAGTACACGCAAACGTTCCTATGTAAACTAATTTTTGCCCGTCCAAGCGCAGTCACCACTTGACCTCGGAATGTTTCGATACGTGTCGACATTCTGATGAAAAGAAGCACGTAACAAGTGCGACCAGTGCGACCAGTGTCTACCTCTCATCCAAGTTGAACATGCAACAAATTATTCTTAGAGCTGCATTTCTCGCAAAACTTGTCGAACGAATTCAATCAAAGCTCCACGATACATCAAAACTTTCAAAGAACTCTCAAAGGTGCATTGTCAAAGCTTCAAGGTCCGCGTCTGCTCGCGATTAAATGACCATAAATGCGACATTGAGTTTTTTATACCATCAAAAGACTACTACAAAATTCCCAATTCATGTTTGGATAATAATTTGCTGATAAAGAGCATCATATAACATCAGACAACCAGCATTCGGTGCTATAGAGCACGCCATTCCAATTGGAGCGACCATCTTCGGTCTTTCTGCCGTATAAAGGTATATTTTGCTGAACATAGAGCCATATATTAGAATTTGAACATATCCATACTGAACATGAAGGTTTAAACCGAAGATCTTAAGCGAACTACAGCAAGATTTTGTTGAGTAATCGGCCAGACCGCTTCTGCCAATCGTTCTCGCGGCTCAATTTTATACTGCAAGCGTCAAGAATTGAGTTTCTGAGTCGATTTTTGGGCTATAAACGCTAGGATGACTCGTCCTCTTCGATCCAGAAGTTCTAGGGCCACCAGCTCTGAACGACAAGACTCGCCACAAGAATTCAAAGATGCCAATGGAATTATACACACAACCTCACGAAGCTTAAGGAAAGTAAATTATGCAGAAGTGGAGAACAATTACGATTTTATCAATGAAGGCGATGACAATAACGATAACGATGATGACGACGAGGACGATGATGAGGAAGAAGAAGTGGTGAGGAAACCTACTCGTGGCAGATCCCGAGGAATATACCAGGATAATCATGAGCAGGAATTAGCCGAGCCTTCAGAGCTGAATCACATGGCTAATTTTGAATCCAGTACAACAAGCAGGAACAAGAATCATCAAGACGACGAGGACGCGAGTTTCCATGAAGAAGATGTCGACGATGCCGAAGACGATGATGCCGCAGATCCCTCCATCGACGAGGAATATTTTTCTGAAGAGTCCATTAAGAAAACTCGTCGTAGAGCAGACCGTAATTTCATTGTCAGCGACGAGGAAGGCGGAGACGAAGATGTCGACATGTCAGAGATTTCCAGAAACCATCGTTCGAGGCGGTCAGCCTACTCACCAGAGCGCCAGGCGGATACAGACGAGGATGAGGTCCTGAGATCTGGACGGAAATTCAGAAACTCGACAATTCAAGCTCGTCAAAGTCGAAGACACGAACTTTCACCGCCAAGAAAGTTGAGACGTAGAGGTAGATCTGCTTACGTGGATGAAGATGAGGCTACCCGATCAGAGCGGATTTCTCTGGCAGATGAATTGCGAGAATTGAGAGATGACAGCCCCATAAGGGAAAAACGGTCTTTAAGGGAAAGAACAAAACCTGTCAATTACACACTTCCTCCCCCACTACCGGAAAACTCGATTGATGAGTACAACAGAATCACCAACGAGAGCAATCCTTCATCATATCCTTCTCCACGGGGCCGACGAAGACAACCTGCTGGCCAGAGCTTTGGCCCATTGAGAAGGCTTTTCCCTACGGGTGGTCCTTTTGGTGGGAACGATGTTACGGCCATTTTTGGTACAAACACCAATTTCTACGACACCTCGGCAGTTTCTCATAACGGGGCAAATAAGCTACTACTGGACTCTGATTCATCTGAGGATGAAATACTACCTTTGGGAGCTGCGCCGATGAAACCGAAGAAAGCTAGTTCTAAGAAAAAGAAGCCCGAAATCGCTGATCTCGACCCATTAGGGGTCGACATGAACGTAAAGTTTGAAGATGTGGGTGGTTTGGACAGTTATATTGATCAACTCAAAGAAATGGTAGCGTTGCCATTGCTGTATCCAGAGCTTTATCAAAGATTTGGAATTACTCCTCCCAGGGGCGTTCTGTTCCATGGTCCTCCAGGTACTGGTAAAACATTAATGGCAAGAGCCTTAGCGGCCAGTTGTTCCACAGAACAGCAAAAGATTACATTTTTCATGAGAAAGGGTGCCGATATTTTATCCAAATGGGTCGGTGAAGCTGAAAGGCAACTAAGGCTATTGTTCGAAGAAGCAAAGAAACAGCAACCCTCTATTATATTTTTCGATGAAATTGATGGTCTCGCGCCTGTCAGAAGTTCCAAGCAAGAACAAATTCACGCCAGTATTGTCTCTACAATGCTTGCGCTCATGGATGGTATGGACAATAGAGGTCAGGTCATTGTAATAGGTGCTACAAATAGGCCTGATTCCGTGGATCCTGCCTTGAGAAGACCGGGTCGATTCGACAGAGAGTTCTTCTTTCCGTTGCCAGATGTTGAGGCGCGGTCTAAGATTCTGCAAATTCACACTAAAAAGTGGGATCCTGCCTTGCCTAAGCACTTCATCGAAAAATTAGCGTCATTGACAAAGGGCTATGGTGGTGCTGATCTGCGGGCACTTTGTACCGAAGCAGCTCTTACCAGCATTCAAAGGAAGTTGCCTCAAATTTACCAGTCCGATTCGAAGTTAAGCATCGATCCGTCGACTGTTAATGTCAAAGCTGGCGATTTTATGTTGGCTTTGGAGAAAATTGTGCCGTCCTCCGCCAGATCAACGGGAACTTCCGCTCAACCGCTACCGGAAACTATCAGTCTTCTGCTTGATGAGCAATTCGCAGAAATCAGGGAAAAGCTCAAAGCAGTTATGCCGCCTAATCCAGATTTGCAGCGCAAGGGCGCTTCTATAATCAAACACTACGCGGAGTATGAAGAGGACGATTCGGACGAGGCAGAAGACGGTTTTTTGAAGGCGGAGTTTTTGAGAACCATTGAGAAGTCGCGAATCTGTAAACCACGGCTTGTAGTCACAGGTGCGAAGGGAAATGGCCAGCAGTATATTGGAGCAGCCATCCTCCATTACCTGGAGGACTTTAACGTCCAGATGCTCGACGTTGGGACCTTGGTAAGCGATGCCACAAGAAGCGTCGAGGCCGCTATTGTGCAGGCTTTCACAGAAGCTAGAAGACGTCAGCCCTCGGTGCTTTACATTCCAAACATTGAGATTTGGATTCTAACCGTGCCAGAGAGTGCAATTTTAACACTTGCTAGTCTGTTAGGAACGCTTAAAACTACTGAAAGAGTGATGCTTCTCGCTGTTGCCAATGGGTTGAAAGAAAGGGATTTTTCAGAAGGTGACCTATCTCCTTTAGATCTGGGAAAAGCTATTTGCAAGATACGGAGACCTTCATCGTCTCAAAGAAGGTTATATTTTGATACAATCACGAAGCTTCTCAAAATGAAGCCAACTAGTTTTGTCTCCGGTCGAAAAAGAACCAAGCCATTGCCTCGTCTACCTGTCGCTACTAAGCCAACAACTTTAGAGGACTTTGACGAGAATGGACAACCTTTGAGTGAAGAGGCAAAAATACTAAAATCTTTGAAAGCTCACCAATCGCATGACATGAAATTAAAGAACACCTTAAAGATCAAGCTCTCGGGCCTAATGGATCTTTTCAAGAATAGATATAAACGATTTAGGAAACCGCCTATTGATGATGCCGCGCTCGTGCATTTGTTTGAACCTAATGCAGCATTGCAAGGCAATCCCGAATATCAACCGGCATACGTCAAAGAGGACAACATGATACTAGAGTGTCTCACCGGCAGAAAATACTTCAACATGGACTTGGACATTGTGGAAGAGAGACTGTGGAACGGATTTTACTCGGAACCACGTCAATTTTTGAAGGACATAGAACTCATCTATCGTGATGCGCACACCAGCTGTGATCGCGAGCGTATCATAAAAGCGTCTGAAATGTTTGTCAACGCGCAGATGGGTATCGAAGAGCTATCACAACCAGAATTTGTCCAGGAGTGCAAGGCTGCCAGACAGCGAGAGGTCACTCGCCAAAAGCTATTTTTACAGGAAGGAGCCGAACAAAAAGCCAAAGAGGAAGCCGAGCTGACAGTTCATGACGAGCCCGAAGCGCTTATTCCGGAAGCAAATGAGAGTCAAATTTTGAACAGTCCATCAAAATCTTTTGGTGCGAGTAACCCTGAGCCCGCAATCACCCACGAATCGAGTCCTGGTGACGATGGCGTGGATAACGCAGTGCTAGGGGTAGCCTCGGGAGGCCAATTGCAATGCGAAGCTCACCCGGAAGCTGATATACCAAGTAATGACGAACTCGATGTAGAGAAGTTTGAAAGCGTTCCGAGTAAAATAGGTTCAGAAAGGGAATCGGTTGAACGGCAGGAGGACACAACTCAATCAGAAAATCTCGCCAAAGAGAACCATCTTGGTAGTGGAAATAAGAGCGAGACGATTGCGACCTCTTCCACATCTGAGCAAAGTGACGAAAGGGAAAAAGTCGTCCCGGAGCCATCCCCAAGCATTATTTTAGATGAAGATAGGATCCAACAACTGCTGACCGAACTAGAAGTAAACACCAAGGGTTCAACTGTTGAGCAATTAGAGGAAAAGTACGCGTCCATTTTGAGCATTGTTTGGGACGAAAGACTATCTTGGGAAAAGTCGCTTGTCCTTGACAAGCTAGAGCAGTTTATCAAAATTCCATAAATACAGACAGTACATATCTACCAAATATCCTTTACAGCATTCAACACCGTATCGTCGTCTCCATATTGCCCTACAATTTGCACGCCTACTGGTTCTCCCGAATGGCCAGTAGGCACCGAGATAGTGGGAAGCCCTGCAAGAGACATCGGTGTCGTGAAAATATCATTAACATATGAGTTTATGGGATTGCGAGAATCCCCAGTCTCGTACTCGGATATGGAAGTAGGTTCGCTGATCGCAGATAGCGAAAGAAGCACATCAACACCATTTTCATTACCCTTAGACCCTGTCAAGATATTGGGTAATGCAAAAATACTATCAAATTCGTCTATCAATTCGACTCGTAGTTTTTGGGCTTTGATGTAATGATTGTTGTAAAACTCCGACGATAGATTGTAGTTGCCCAAGACAATTCTGGTCTTGACCTCCTCCCCGAAATTCTCTCTTGTGGGAGCAAATAGGACATCATTGTGGGAGTCATATTTGGAATCCCGAACACCATACCTAACACCGTCGTATCTTGCCAAATTCGAGGCTGCTTCTGCTGGTGCTAGAGTGTAATAGATTGGAAGAGAGTGTTTGATATCAGACAGAGATATGGGGAAAAACTGATGTCCCTGTGCCGCTAGTTGTTCCACAATGCTGAGGAACTTTTTGACAGAGCTAGCAGGTATTCCACTGGGCGTAAACTCTCGCGGTATACCTATTCTGAGCTTACTCCTCTGCTCCTGCGGCAGAATGGTTTGTAGTTTCGCTCGTGAGCTCTCATCCAAACAAGTGGGGTCCTTTGGATCGCTTTTGTCTAGCACTTTAAACACTTTTTGAATGGTACTGATTTCTTTCGACATGATCCCCACCGTGTCAAAACTCTGTGCATATGCGATGACTCCGTGTCTGGATATTCTTCCGTAAGAGGGCTTGAATCCCAAAATCGAGGTGTAGGATGCTGGCAGTCTTACAGATCCCCCAGTGTCTGTTCCTAAAGCAAAGTCTACCACATCTGCTGCCACTGCAGCCGCAGATCCAGATGACGATCCACCCACGATCATGTCTTTCCCAGGAAATAATGGATTCTTGGTTGGACCAAAATGCGACTTAGTGCCTCCTGAGCCCATTCCAAACTCATCAAGATTGGTTTTTCCCACATTAACAGCACCAGCGGCTTTCAAAAGCTTGACAAGGGTAGCATCGTAAGGCGACATGTAATCTTCCAAAATCTTCGAAGCACACGTAGTTGGGAGTTCCTTCGTAGCTATATTGTCTTTAATGGCGCACAGCAGGTTGTTGAGCGGCCGAGCAGCTTCTTGACCATTCAAATCATTTTTCTTCAGTTCTTCCTCAGCGTTATGGTTCAAGCTAGTGAACACATTGAACTGCTTCTGCACAGCTGGCACTCGTCCTAGTCGACTAATGGCATTTTTCAAAGACATAACGAGATACTCACTAGCATAGGATTCGATTTGTATTGGTTATTTATAAGATCAATTGCTCGATTGAGGTTTTCAGTCATAAAATGTAAACTTGACTATAAGTTCGATGAGCTTAATGATTTTAAAGGACTCATAAATCATAGATATCGCTTAAAAGAGATAAGTGAGTGATCGCTCTATAAACAGCAGCTGTTAGATTCATGAATGTTGATCTCTTTGAATTAGTAGACGATGTGCTGGAAGAAGCACATGCTGATATATTAAAGGATGGGAATCTAGAGATCTACGAGTCCAAAGAATTGCAGGATCAAAGCGATCAAAGCGACTTACAATCTCACATGGATCAGGAGGATACTGAGGAAGATGCGGCAGATTACCAGTTATCGAGGGCAGTGTTTGAAAACCAAACTTTGGAAAATAGCAGATCTGATTTCTCGAATAACCTAAGTCGGACAGCGGCGGCCACTTTCGGCACTAGTTATGTGGAAGAAGAGAACGTTGCTGTGAGACTTGCACGCATTCGAAGGGAACTCGAGGAAATTGAGATGATGAAGGGCAACGAATTGGATAGTGAGGTATCTACTGCTGAGACCAAGCTCTTAAGAGGGCTCTCTAATCAATTGAATGAGAAACTTGGCCGACAAACTGACAATATCCAACAACGTCTTCAAATAGACTCTACAGAGGAGCCAAATTTTGCTAAGCTACCCGATTTCTCGCTGAACTTCGAGAACGGTCAGCGTATAATGCGATTGGAGGCCCAGATAGCCAAACTGGAGAGTCTTGTTGGTATCAGTGACTCACACGCCGCCAACAAACCGTTGACAACATCACTGAATGAGCTTTATCGCGACATTCGACTACTCAAGGGCGATACAGCACATTTGGGGCAGTTCAAGACAAAACTCGCCGAGATAAGCGATGAATACGAGAAGAGACTACTGGCCAGAAAGGCTTCTAATGATTTGGCAATGCAGGCACAGATCCAAGACGATCTGAAATCTCAAGATTTCAAAATCAAGAGCCTCTACGACTCATACGACGTTCTCATAAAATACAAAGAGGTACTGCCGCATCTCGTCACCCGCTTGAAAGCCTTGAATTCGCTTCACCTTAAAATTGACGATACCGTCGGCACCGTCAAGACGATGGGCAAGTCACTAAATTGGGTTTCCGATCAGACCACGAAATGGCAACAGATGTTAGAGCAAATGGACCAAAAGCTTAGCGCAAACGAGGAACAGTCTAAAAAAAACATGCAAGAGGTCACAGATTGGTTGAACAAGATGGAAGAAAGGATACAGAACTTTACGCCATGAGAGTAATCAAAAGTTGTTCACCAAAAACCTACACCTTCCTGTGCAATGAAAAAAGAATGAGTGGCATCAGCAGCGCCTTCAAATTTGGCGAGTGACTTACTATAGCCCTCGAGAGTCGGAACTATAGTTCTGACTACAGGTCACTGCATCTTAATTCCATCTCAATTTTACACCATAATATGTAGCGTGTACGGAGTATGCGCTGCTATCTGACTGAAACATAGGAAGGCGCTATCAAGTGCAGTTATGGCTAGGTGACAGCATCACTGAGCTGGCGTTGGTTGGGCCTTCGAGCAGTTTAGTACGGAGTGATCTCAAGAACTGAACTTTAATTAAGAACACTACGAAGCTATAACAGCGTTCACGTTCAAAGCTCGAATCACATAAGTCGAAAACCGTGATGTCGACGCAATACTCAATTGACTCTGTCGGGTCTTACATGCAGGCCATGAACAGCATGGTCTCAGCAGCTCAAAACTTCAGATTTGGATCCAATATGCCTATTCCACCAGAAATCGACAACGAGGTCGATCAGCAAAAGAGCGATTCTTACGTGCAACTGACAACACTGTCTCAGGACAGAAATGAATGGGACGATATTTTTGACAGCTTTGGAGAGCTGTCGCGGGAAAATGCGCTCAGGGCCATAAGAGAAGTGACCTCGGACGACAATGGCTCATTCGATATTTTGAAGGACTTGCGAGGCCTTGTTGAAAACGGGCCAACGAACGTTGATAGTCAAACTTTAATACAGACTTTACTGGCTTTACTGAAAACTGATGATCTCAATATACTGCAAACCGAACTTTTCGACTTTTTAGGCGACGAAAACATTACATTGATTTCCTTTTTGATAGAGAATCGTGAGTTTCTGCTAGCCATATCCCAAGAGGAACTCCAAAAATCATTTGAAAAACCTTCAGACGAAGAGAGATTTCTGTCTGAGAAGGAAATTCGTGAAAGCGTTCTTAAGACGGCACAAGACATAAAAAACTTGCAGTTGAATCCATTACAGAAGGAAGAACAGTATCCACACGTCTTTCGAAAATCAGAAGCTGGATCAAGTTGCACGCTCTCGTTTACCGGTCAAAAATTTGCGTTGCCTGTGGGCACTACAAGGCAGTCTTACGCCTCCCGAGAAGAGATTATAATACCGTGTGCGGATAAAGGTTTTCAGAGATCTCTGAGATTCAAATCCATCAAGGTTGCTGACCTCGATAAGTTTTGCACCTCGGTGTTTAGTTATGAGTCTCTAAACGCCATTCAAAGTTTGGTATACCCCGTCGCATATGAAACAAATGAAAATATGCTTATCTGTGCTCCCACAGGTGCTGGTAAAACAGATATTGCGTTACTTACCATCTTGAATACAATAAGACAGTTTTCAGAGATAGACGAAGAAGAAAACATTGGCATTGAGTATGATTCTTTCAAGATTGTTTATGTCGCCCCACTAAAAGCGTTGGCAGCTGAAATCGTCGAGAAGTTCAGGAAAAAGCTGTCAGTTTTTGATGTCAAGGTGCGGGAGCTTACTGGTGATATGCAACTAACCAAAGCTGAAATTATGGAGACTCAAGTTATTGTCACAACTCCGGAAAAATGGGATGTTGTTACAAGAAAAGCAAACGGAGACAACGATTTAGTATCTAAGATCAAGCTTCTGATTATCGATGAGGTTCATTTGCTACATGAAGAAAGAGGTTCTGTGGTAGAAACGCTGGTGGCCCGTACATTGCGCCAGGTCGAACGGTCACAGTCAATGATTAGAATCCTTGGTCTTTCGGCCACACTTCCTAATTTCATTGATGTTGCAGACTTCTTGGGAGTCAACAGACATGTCGGTATGTTTTATTTCGATCAATCGTTCCGTCCCAAGCCGTTAGAACAACAGTTGTTGGGCGTTCGCGGAAGAGCAGGAAGCAAACAAGCTAGAGAAAACATTGACAATGCTGCTTACGAGAAAATGATAGATATGATTGAGCGAGGAAATCAAGTCATGGTATTCGTGCATTCGAGAAAAGATACTGTAAAAAGTGCTCGAACTTTTATTTCTATGGCTCAATCCAGGCACGAAATAGACCTATTCACTGAAGCCTCGACGATCAGAGACTCTTTTTCTAGAGAAATGACGAATAACAAGGACAAGGATATCAAAGAGTTGTTTCAATCAGGGTTTGGTGTGCACCACGCGGGTATGTCACGATCTGATCGTAACCTCTCTGAAAAAATGTTCAAATATGGTGCGATTAATGTACTTATTTGCACAGCAACCCTAGCGTGGGGTGTCAATTTACCCGCGGACTGTGTTATTATAAAGGGCACCCAAGTTTATGACTCCAAAAAGGGTGGATACGCTGACTTAGGGATCTCAGATGTGATTCAAATTTTTGGTCGTGCCGGTAGGCCAGGTTTCGGCTCTGAGCACGGTACTGGTATACTTTGTACCACTAGCGACAGCCTCGATGATTACGTTTCACTTATTACTCAGCAGCATCCCATCGAATCGAAACTGGGGAGCAAAATTGTCGATAATCTTAACGCTGAAATATCTCTTGGGAGTGTCACAAACGTGGAGGAGGGTATTCAATGGCTTGGATACACATATCTATATGTGAGAATGAAAAAAAATCCGTTCAGCTATGGTATAAACTGGGACGAACTCAAGGAGGATCCTCAGCTGTATGAGCGGAGAAGAAAAATGATTATTACTGCAGCAAAAAGGCTACACACTTTGCAGATGATTGTGTTCGACGAGGTGTCGCTAAACTTTATTCCCAAAGACTTAGGTCGTATCTCGTCCGATTTCTATTTGTTGAACGAATCAGTTGAGATTTTCAACTCACTGTGCAACCCTAGCGCAACCGAAGCGGACGTACTGTCTATGATCAGCATGAGCAGTGAGTTCGACAATATGAAATTTAGGGACGAAGAGGCAACAGAGCTTTCTCGTTTGATGGACAATTCCGTGGAGTGCCAGATAGGCGGTGAGGTCGAGTCGGCACAAGGCAAGACCAATATACTGCTGCAGTCGTACATTTCAGGAGCTCGAATATTTGACTCAGCTCTCTCGTCTGACGCCAATTACGTTGCTCAAAACTCCATCAGAATTTGCAGAGCGCTATTTTTAGTCGGCGTCAATAGGAGATGGGGCAATTTCTCCAAAGTAATGCTTGATATTTGCAAATCCATTGAGAAGAGAATGTGGGCTTTCGAGCACCCATTGTGCCAATTTGAATTACCAGAACCCGTGACAAGACGGCTTCGAGAGAAGAAACCATCTATGGACAGTCTTTTGGACTTAGATCCAGAAGAACTCGGTGAGCTCGTGCACAACAAGAAGGTCGGAAATAAGCTCTACATCATATTGAACAAGTTCCCTATTATTGACATTAATGCGGAAATATTCCCAATCACCACCAATGTTATGAGGGTTCACGTCACGCTGATTCCATCTTTTCAATGGGACATTAGAGTACACGGCAATGCGCAATTTTTTTGGCTCTTTGTTGAAGAATCCGACAGGTCTCATCTGCTGCATGTCGAGAAGCTGATTATTAACAAACGCCAAATGTCCAACCCACATGAAATAGATTTTATGATTCCACTCTCAGATCCCTTGCCACCTCAAGTCGTCGCGCGAGTTGTTTCCGATGTTTGGATCGGGAGTGATTCCTCCCAAATAATCTCGTTTCAACACCTCATTAGACCTCATAACGAAACTTTGCAAACCAAATTGCAAAGACTTAGACCATTGCCGATTACGGCTCTCCAAAATGAGCTTTTGGAAGAAATATACCCCTTCAAGTATTTCAACCCGATGCAAACCATGACTTTTCACACTCTTTACAACACCAATAACAGTGTCTTTGTAGGGTCACCAACTGGGTCTGGTAAGACTATAGTAGCAGAAATCGCTATGTGGAATGCTTTCAGGTCGTTTCCTGGAAGTAAGGTGGTTTATATTGCTCCTATGAAGGCATTGGTGAAAGAAAGAGTCACAGAGTGGAGGAAAAAGATTACCCCTGTGACTGGGGACAAAGTCGTCGAGCTGACCGGTGATTCTCTTCCCGATCCAAAAGATGTTAGAGACGCAACAATCATCATTACTACGCCCGAAAAGTTCGATGGTATCTCACGTAATTGGCAGACTCGTAAGTTTGTTCAAGAGGTATCTTTGATTATTATGGATGAAATTCACTTACTGGCAAGTGATCGTGGGCCAATTTTGGAGATGATTGTAAGTCGTATGAACTACGTGGCTGCTCAGACAAAGAAGCCAGTTAGACTTCTCGGGATGTCAACTGCCGTTTCAAATGCCTACGATATGGGTGGTTGGCTAGGAGTCAAAGATGACGGGTTGTACAACTTTTCATCCAGTGTTCGTCCTGTTCCCTTGAAAATGTATATTGATGGGTTCCCGGATAACCTTGCATTTTGCCCGCTCATGAAAACAATGAACAAACCTGCTTTCATGGCAATCAAACAGCACTCTCCTGAGAAACCGGTTTTGATTTTCGTAGCATCGCGTAGGCAAACTCGCCTAACTGCTCTCGATTTAATTCACCTCTGTGGTATGGAGAGCAATCCCAGACGATTTTTGAAAATCTATGACGAAGAAGAACTTCAATACTATTTGTCTCAAGTGTCCGACGAGACTCTTAAGTTGGCACTACAGTTTGGAATCGGTCTCCATCATGCAGGGCTTGTGGAAAAAGATCGGTTCATTTCTCATGAACTGTTTCAAAAGAACAAGATCCAAGTCTTGGTGGCTACATCGACTTTAGCCTGGGGTGTAAACTTGCCTGCTCATCTAGTTATCATCAAGGGAACTCAATTTTTTGATGCCAAAATCGAAGGATACCGTGATATGGACCTTACTGATATCTTACAGATGATGGGAAGAGCGGGTAGACCTGCCTATGATACATCTGGTACCGCCATCGTTTACACCAAACAGTCAAAGAAAATGTTCTATAAGCACTTTTTGAACATCGGATTTCCAGTTGAGTCATCCTTGCATAAAGTTTTGGATGATCACTTGGGTGCCGAGATTGCATCCGGTTCGATATGCAACAAGCAACAAGCAATGGACTTTTTGAGTTGGACATTTTTCTTCAGAAGAGCCCATCATAATCCAACATACTATGGCATTTTGGAAGATACGTCTGCAAGTGGCATCAACAAACACCTAAGTGACCTCATTGATGAAACGCTCGAAAACTTGGCAGAGTCCAGCTGCGTTTTGATGAAGGGAACTGAAATTGAGCCCTTGCCTTTTCTGAGTATTTCATCCTACTATTATATTTCTCACAAGACCATTCGTCAACTACTCAAAGGCATACGCAATAATGCAACATTTCAGGATGTGTTGAAGTGGCTTTCTGTTGCTGTTGAATTTGACGAGTTGCCGGTCAGAAATGGGGAAATAATTATGAATGTCGAGATGTCGGCGCAATCTCGTTACTCAATTGAAAGTACGTTTACAGGGGATGACGAGCGCCCTATGTGGGACCCTCACTTGAAAGCATTTTTGCTATTACAAGCGTTTTTCAGTCGTGTGGACCTGCCCATAGCTGACTATCATCAGGATCAGATCTCCGTCCTAGATCAGGCATTGCGTATTCTCCAGGCATATGCTGATGTTGCAGGGGAGCTCGGATACTACTCTACTGTGCTAACAGTCATCAAGGTTATGCAATGTGTGAAGCAAGGCTGCTGGTACGAGGATGATCCCGTCAGTCTTCTCCCGGGTGTTAGTCTTAAGAGACTTCCCGACTCGAAGTTTGGAGAATCTGGTTTCCCAATTGAAAGTGTTGCTTCGACGAGTCTAGATGACGTTGGAAAGCTAGGCTACAAAAAACTTGAACAACTAGCCAAAAAACTCAATGTCACAGAGGAATCTGTCGGTGATTTTGTTCAGCAGGCCATGAGATTGCCTGTTCTCACAGATATTCAAGTCGAACCTCAGGAAAGTCCGGAGACTTTGGTTATTTCCGCTAGACATGCTGGATCCAAAGTCAACAGAAATTTCGAGGTTTACTGTGACAGGTTCCCCAAAGTGCAGAAAGAATTGTGGTTTATTATCGGTTACCAAGGTCAAGAGCTTTTGATGGTCAAGAGATGCCAACCCAGAAAGAAAAATAGAAGCGTTGTTTTGAGTTGCGATTTCATCATAGCCGAGGAATTACAGGGCCAGAAGGTTAACTTCACTATTATAAACGACGCGCTGGATATCAGGTACGAGTTGGAGCATACTTTAGCAGCACGTTAGTGCGAATTTTACGGATTAAAAAATGCTGGGTAGTTTAATGTACATAGATCCAAAATATCTACTAACTCTCGAAGAAATCGTCCTCGTCTTCCTCCTCCTGGACTCCTGATCCTGATTCTTGTTTGGTGTTTTCCTTGGAGGATGGCTTACCAGTTTCTGCTAGTTGGATGCCGTTGCCATCTCTGTCCAGTTTTGCGCCCTTAAGAATGTCAGGTAAGGAGACTGGCAACTCACCAGAGTCCATACTAGCTGCGATAAGCTTGTGGTAAGCCGATCTGCGTGCTGTAGTCTTGTCGTTTTTTTCTTCAGAGAGTTCGGGCTCTTCGGTGTCCTTGCCGTCTTCGCTCGTGGGGTAAAGAGCAATGTATTTTTCCGTTTTTGGGAAATTCACGACGTAGCATAGATCCACAGCTCTTGCCCGAATCTCCTTCTTATTGTTGGTTTTGACGGCTTGTTTATAACGTCTGAGGGCCTTCTTGCGTTCGAAAAAGCGCACCATATGGTATTTTTTGGCATTTTGTTGAACTTTTACACGAAGCTCAGCGTTTTTGAGCTCAAATCGCAGAGCTTCCAAGCTTCTCTCCTTTTCAATTAGAATTGTGTCCGGAAGAACGTCCTTCTTTTTTTGCAATAGACGTTCGATGTCCCGGATCTTTTTCTTAATTTTGTTCGATCCCGAGCCTAAAACATGCGCCAATTGAACAGAGTTACCAAGTGGCTTGTTAGACCGTCTTTGCTGTTTTCTATCCATCGCTTAATGGCCTTGTTGCTTGGTGTTTGTTTAAATCTGTTGATGCGATGAGCTCAGCTCGCTCATTATTTGCACCGATGAGCTTAGTAGGACCTCTGAAATTTTTCAGCCGGGCGGCGACGGAAAAACAGATAGTGACACACACGAATCAATGTCAGAGATGCATACCTTTAAGACGACTGGCGAAGGTCTTTAACGTTGTGTACGTTGGCGGTGTTCAATTAGCCAACGAACATTTGTTTGAAGTTTCAAGCTTTTCCAGTTGACACGACGTTTTCCGGAACATTGTGAGTTAGAGACATATTTAAAAAATTGAACGATCTGGTTGTCTATTAAACTTCAATGATGCTCGGTGTACCCATCGATGGCTGAGTCCTTTGAAGAAGTTTGCAATAGCGTGTGTCTCTTGTTGGTAAGAAAGACGGTGCCACGTAGTTTATCATTATATCATGGATTGTCGTCAGATTACATAATCAAAACACTTGCATTCATTACAGATATATCTACTCTCCCGAGAGCATATGTCAGTGAACAGTGCACTGCAGTGAAAAATACTCAATTACCAGCCTGGAGGAGGTTTCAAACTGTGGTTGCGCTCGAATTTAATATCCCCAGTAAAATGTATCTGGCTATGAGCTTTATACGCTATAAAAAGAGGCTAAAGTTTCCGAGGGTCTGTCTTGTAAAGCATCGAAAAATTATATCCCACAATCCTTTGGTCCCTAGCTATATCGCGTCTATCGGAGAGCTAGCTAAAAAAATTCGTCTTTTCACAACAGCTTAAAACTCTTTGCGTCGTCATAATATTTATTATGTATGTCAAATGGCGACAAAACGTCTCGTGGCGACAGTGTAAACACAGCCAACTCACCAATGGTTCTGATTCCCTCCTGTGAAACTAGCATCACAAGCGTAAGTATATCATAAAACTATATAGGTGAGAAAAATAAAGGTATCGAGCGAACTTTGAAGTTCGGTGGTTAGTAAAAGACTTCCTCATCAATAAAAAAATTAAACTACAAACGGGCTTTGCCGTTAGCAAATGGTTCATTCCCAGGACGGACGAACGGTCGGTCCCGAGTGCTTCTTTCTCATTTCTTTTTGCGTCCAAAGAGCCCCCGCTTCTTCTTCTTCTTGTCATCATCAGACATTGCGTTTGGCGCCGGCGCCGTGTACACAGCCTGTTGGCCCATCAAGTAGGGCTGGTGAGATGGATTCATGGCGAGTGGGTCGGCATTGCCAAACTGTGGAAAGTCAGGTCTCACACGGAAACCGTACTGGGCCGTTTCGAGTCGCTGGCCCCACGTTGGGTCTCCCGAGATCGAGTATTCGAATCCACGAATTGTATCCAGAGGTCTTTCATCTCTAGAACGTGTTGGATTAGAGATATCTGGCTGGTGAATTGGCTGTCCAAAAACGTCTCGTGCTTGGTTTTCGCCGTGTTCGCCAGAGTAGTACGACCGGCGGTTGGGGTCATCCTGCGACGTATCGGCGGCTTGTTCGAACGGCTGAGCCTCCTGCACGGCTTCCAGGACCGGGTCGTGCACAGACGTGGCCCGGAACTTGAAATGCTCACGATCTTCCTTGGTGAGTTTCACGTCGGGCGCGTGTGCATGTTTCGTGGGTGATTCATGGCTTTCTCGATGAAAAATACCCATTTTGAGCCGGGAGAAAAGGGGACGCTGTCACCGAAAGCTGTAGGATTGATCTGCGCTGCTTCTAGATGTCTTACAGCAAGAGGAAAGTACTTGCGTTGGAGAGTTGTTGTTTTTTGGAAGTTTTACAAGTTGAACGTTTACGAGAAGAGAATGGTTGTTATGGGATTATATTAATAGTGTTGATCGGTGGCTTGGCTTCGTGAGGGGTGATACGGGTGTGGGACTTCGAGTCGATTGTCGAGTCGATTGTCGAGCTGAGTATGTGGTCGGAGATCTAGTCAGCTGTCTAGTCGACCGTCTTGTCCGTCATCTAGTCCGTCATCTAGTCGACCGTCTAGTCACGTGCCTATACCACTCTGCCCAGTCCAAACCGGAGTCAAGTGCCATATATCCTGTCAAACATCTAACTTCCCATAACACTCGACACGTAGCACTGTGTGCCGCATTCGCGAATTTCTGCTTTTTTGTATAATCATGGTTTTTCACTCAAGAATCGCTCACACCCCGGGCTCACACCGCGAAGATCATAAAAACTTGCGCACCTGAGCACTCAGCCTTGATCGATCTCACTGCCCCTGTCTAAGCACATCAACGACTTGAACTTCACCGCGAGACGAACGCTTATCCTATTGCATTTTTCCACTAGCCATCACCATCACTTCGTATATCACTATGTACTATTCTCTCACCGCGTCTAAAAAACTCGACTCCGGCCGGGAGTCTCCCAATACAGCAATACCGCAGTTTAGAAGCCAGATCGTCTCAGTTCGCGCGTCTGAATTGCCGCGTTTAGCGTCCAACTCCCTCTACTTTCAGAGCCTTTCTGCGCTTTTAGTGCTTCTAAGTGCATTTTTTTTTTTTCTGGCTAATTTCTGTTTGCAGGGCAAAAAATATTAACCCAACATGCAATAAACGTTGACATCGGAAGCCACGTACAAGCCTTCTACGATAGAAAGGAAGGCTTTTCCACCAAATTAGACGACGCTAGTCGCATCGCATCCATCTTCTCGATTCGACTCGTTTTTTAGGTTCTTGATATGACGCGTTTTTCGTCGCGTCGTTCTGAGCGCGTCACATTAGTACAAAGTGACAGACTTTCAGGCTAAGCCCATAAATCCCATAAATCCAACCCATCCAAGTGCGTAATTTACCAGCTTGGTGCAAACCTTTCCTAGTTTTACCTGCCGATTTTCCTGTTCCTGAGGGACTCCGAAAATGCCTATTTCGCCTGCTTGACAGTTTTGGATCTCATTTTTCGAGGCTTAGGCTGTCGCTCACGGCTCCACCACTTTCCACTTATCTGGAATCTTTAGTAAAAAATGATGCAAAACACCAAGCCTCGCAGCGTTGCTCAGCGTTGCGAAGTTGCAGTGCTACTGGGTGCGACGTCTTCTTTCTTAGTTGATTGTGCATACCGCTCTTTTGCAGTGCAGTTTCCTTTGGCGAAATTGCAAGCCCGCTGACGCCTTTGTGTCGCTGTAAAAGTAGCCGTAATGGCTCAAGCAGTAGCTGTATGGGCTCAGTGATGTATATCTTGATGTAGGACGCAGCAGCGGACAGAACCGCGGTTTTAACTTGCTGGGCCAGTAATTTCTCGAGAAAGCAGGTATCGGCAACAGTCATTAGCAACGCAGTCATCAACAGCAGCGCTGAACGCAAGGAATTGTATAAGAGCTTGGGCCACGCAGGAGATCTGGAGTCGTGGGATTTGCAGTAAGACCTTAAACAAAGTAGATATCAGAGTTCAACACAGTCGCAGTTCCAATGGCGCTTTCAACCACCACTGTTACCAGTGCTTCCCACACCGCTACCCTGGTGTACGCTTCCCACACCAACTCAGCAGGCCAGCCTGAGGTCTCGAGAGTGTATCAATACTACTCGTACAAACCCACCGTGGCCGGTGCAGCAGTGTTTGCCGTGCTGTTCGGCCTCGCTTTCATCTCTCTCATCGTGCAACTGGTTCTGAGCTGCAAAAACAGAACGCGTGCTGAGCATCAGCTGGAGATCCCAGGCTTCGACAAGGAAAACCCGTTCCAAAGCGCCAACGGGCAGCTGGCTGACCCACAGCCGATGGTGTTCGCACCTGCCACGCCGTGCACCAACACGAGACTGGTCACCAAGTTCTTTCCGCTGCTGATCGGCGTGCTCACCGAGTGCGGAGGCTACATCGCGCGTATTGTTTCGAACAGCGACCTTTATGCACTTGGGCCCTACGTGGCGCAGACTGTGATGTTGCTGGTCGCTGCTGCGTTTATGGCGGCAACCATCTACATGAACTTTGGCCGCCTGTTGGTCTTGATGAACGCCACCAGTGTCTCTTTTGTTCCCATCCGCTTTAGTACCACCATCTTTGTTACAGGCGATGTCATAAGTATTCTCCTGCAGGCCGTAGGCGGCAGCATTCTGGGCGCCTCCGACAATCACAAGCTCGGTTCCAACATTATTATTGCAGGTCTAGTGGTACAGGTTCTAGTGTTTGGATTATTCGTCATCACGGAAATTAGATTTCTGCTCTTGGCAGACAAAGTATCGCCTCTGACGCCTCGCATCTCTCGTCAGTGGAGGATCTTGAACCTGAATTTGTTCTGGTGCAGTATTCTCATCTTGGTGCGGTCCATTGTAAGACTGGTTGAGTTTATCCAAGGCTACAGTGGCTACATTATCAAGCACGAATGGTTCATCTACGTATTTGACGCTGTGCCCATGTTCCTGGTCGCCGTGTTCTTCATTATCACCTTCCCTAAGGGCAATCTGTTCAAGGTGGAGTTCGAGTGTACTTCCATGCTCCGAAAATCCAACGAGGCGAGTGCTTAGATAGAGGCTGGCTGGTTGCGACAAATTTCATTGCTAGATATAAAATGGGCACCGATGTCTCACATCCAATTGATTTAATGACTGCATTTGTATATCCCGACATACACTTTACTTCTTTTCGCGAACCCTACTCACCTTCATGTAGGCGTCGTCCATCGGCCCTGGCGATGAATATGACAATACGTAATTACGAAGTTTCTCAGCTAACCATGACTCCACGGCATTCTTTCAGTCCAGTCGCCTCAAGTCGATCTTTACCATTGATCAGCACTATGCGTTAACGTTGAATCTAATTGACGGATCGTATAATTTAGACGCATGACAGGGACAGAAACGCTGAAGAATAGCTTTTGTTCAATCGAAATGCCAAGACAGACCGGCGGGGCTAGAAGTATTGAGAGTTCAACCACCTCGATCGACGGACACGTAGTGTCACCAACTAGCGCTTTCAAACTTGTTTTAAGCCGTATGCTAATGTCGAGTCAAGCGTGAATGCCCTTTGAAAATATGTTCATTATCAAGCCCAGTCATAAAATCTATCCTGTCCATCGATATATACAACATTCATTCATGATGTTCTGACAGTGATGTCAACGATTTTAGTGGGTTGACAACATATCGCTGCTAAGAAAATTGAAAACCCATCTCTACTGTTTCTGAAGCGCACGCACAAAAATATTGTACCCAACATTTGGTGCCAATGCATATCGCAAATGAGAGCGTTAGCGATCAATTGTGAACTTGTAGAGAAATTTTGGTATCACTGAACAATGTGAGAACGTCAGCGATTTACCGTGAATAATTAATACGGCCATAAGCGTGGCTGCACAAATGATCAAAGACGCTCTCAACTGTGACTTAGGAAAGGGCTTTAATTCACGGATCAGATTGAATTCAATCATCAGAACAAAGTCCGCACAATTAGAAGATTTCTACAAAAGCTGGCTTTCAGATTTTGACCAAGCCATCAAATTGTCCTATGAGAACGATTGTTCTGCAGAAGTGTGACAAGAACGCTTATATACTGAGCCAGGTAAATAGTCAGTGAGGAGAAATCAGAACTGAGCATCTCTACTCTGGAAAATATCGAGTTTATTGTCATTGTAGAAGCCATTGCCTTCTGGCATTTCGACGCACATCAATGGTGAATAACAGTTGGGAACAAAGTGACAAAAACATTTGTATGAACGAAGGTCTAGCACAATAGCTATTTTATCCCAGGAGCCGAGACAAGGTTTTGGAGAATATAGGATGACTGGATTTGCCTTCGTTTCTACAAAGGTCGCCAGTTGTTGTCCGATTTAATGATCCAGAACGCCTGTGACATCGCTGATAGTATCAAAAACAGACGATCTGGTGCACTGCGCTTCAAAATATAAATACGAAAAACGATGGACCAAAGTTCGACATATCACACAATGGAGGCTAATTTCCACATTCAGGGAGCTTCTAAACCATTGCAAAGCTGCAACGAGAAGCGATTAATTTAAACAGAGCTTCTGTCCTACGCTGACGAAGACCAACATCATGGGACTCGATGACGGGTCAGATTATTCAAGAACGCGCAGATGACCCTGTAACACTTGACTCAACGCAAGTGTACGTCTTCTGGCATTGTGGCAGACAAATTAATGACAAGAGAGTATACTTTGGGTTAACCAATGAATTAGTGCGTACACATCGAAGTTATCAGAAACAACCTCCAATTTTTAGCGATATTTGTAAAGCGATGAAATAAAAAGACACATAGGCGTATCAACATTTCAAAAAGATTTGAACACCATTATTTGCGAGGGGACTGAAGGCACCCGAAGATTCGATAGATCACTGCACTGTAGTTTTTTGAATCTTCATCATCTTTCTACATTTTTACCGAGAGAAAGGTCTTCAAGAGTCTTATTTTTATGAATTGATGGGTTCGACCAAAGAACTTCCGCTTGACGCACAGCTACAAAAGAGGGAAGCTCAAAGCAGCGCCCTCTTGAAATATGAGATATTTATGATGGACATGAGCTCTACATTAACTATATATTGTATAAAAACTCCCTCCTGCATGAACCATGATATCTAATACACACCATCCTCACCAAAGACCAACGTCACTGAAGCAGTCGGCATCGGCTTGGCTCAAAAACTGTAAGGATAAATAATGGAAGCAGGATACGCTCCCGCAGTGGATCAAAACATTTGTACGTCGATTGAGAGCGCGATGACGTAATCTTAAGCCATGTGATGAAGCGACCGATTAAGAACGATTTTTCAAACGATACTGTTATAACGCTGACACTGATAAAAGTCCGATCATCAATAGTCGTCAGCTCGAGCTTGAAGATCATTTGATCTTACTAAAATCGACCAATGTAATATGGCCAGATGGGCACTGCACATATACCTCGATAATGTGCGCATCGCTGGAAAGCTGGATTTATCTTTCTTCGAAATATCAATCTCTCGGTACATCTTCAGTGGCGGGGGACATTTAGGGTCTAACTTATATAAATGGATAAGTTTAACGCGCATTTCAATAAGAAGAAACCAATCAAAGCTGTAAAATCTCATTTGGACACGAAATACCCATTGTAAATCCTAAACTTTCGCACATGAGCCGAAATTCCAACTAAAATCCTGTGCTAGTCTATAGACATCGGAAGCACCACTTAATCAGCTACTTCGGGGCCTTAAAAGTCGCCATAAATACCAAAATAAAATGGATCTTCTAACACTGTTTAGAACTTGCCATCACCAAGAAATTCTCATCAATCGCGGTAAAGTTAATCACACCGAAAATTCTCCCGATTCAACCGCTGACAGAGCCTGACTTCGAAAATAGACTCGAGCGTTTGCTTCAACATCTCTATCTTTCGGTACTTTCACATGCTCTTAGCCAACGGGACTCCGGCGACATCAAGTTGATCTTCTGATTGCAGAAATATCTCCGATTCATCAGATTCGTGGTAGAAAGACACACATTTAGTAAAATCGTTGACTGTCATCACTGAAATTCGGGATGGCTTGACTCAGGACACTGTGCTCGAGTTCAGCGGCCAAAAATAGCTTCGTTTTTGTGTTCAATGCGTGCCCTGCAAATATATCTAAAATTAGCAATAATATGCATGAGTTTATGCACATGCCTAAATCTTGCATGAGAGGTACATATTAACAGGTACCTTGCAGTAAGCCGCAGCAAGGATGTTGCGCACACTTTTGGGCGGCTGATTGTCCGTTCATGCAGGACGCTTGCCTCGAGAGTGCTTTCGATATCAGCCGCTGATATGAGTACCACACATACCATGGACATCGTAGTTTGATGAATCAGCTCATAACAGCAGCTCAATCGTGCTTCTCAATTGACCCTAGGCATTTGGCATTTGCAATTACAATTTTAGAAACACCTGCGATCAACAGAAAGTAATTTGAGCCTCCTGGCGTCGTTGGCAAACGTCGTTTCAAAGTGTATAAAGATGGCACAATTGACAGTAGTGTTCAGCCAATGACTTGTAAAAGAGTTTTGAAAGGACATCACCCACCGTCATCAATCATGCAATTATCAACCACAACTGTTACCAGCGCTTCACACACCGCAACCCTAGTGTATGGTTCCCACACCAATGTAGCAGGCCAGTCTGTAGAGTATCGAGTGTATCCATTTTACCACTATACGCCCACCTTGGCCGGTGCAGCGGTGTTTGCCGTGTTGTTCGGCATCGCGTTTGTTACGCTCTGCGTGCAACTCGCCCTGAGCTGCAGAAATAGAACACGCGCAGAACAGCAGCTGGAAATCCCTGGTTTCAGCAAGGAAAACCCGTTCCAAAGCGTCAGCGAGCAGCTGGCTGACCCACAGCCGGTGGTTTTCGCACCCGTTACGCCGTGCACCAATAAGAGATTGGTCACGAAGTTCGTTCCATTACTGATCGGCATGCTCACCGAGTGTGGAGGCTACATCGCCCGGATTGCTTCGAAAAACGATGTGTACGCACTTGGTCCTTACGTGGCTCAGACCGTAATGTTGCTGGTGGCTGCTGCGTTTATGGCTGCGACTATCTACATGAATTTTGGCCGTCTGTTGGTGCTGATGAACGCTACCAGTGTCTCTTTTGTTCCCATCCGCTTCAGTACCACCATCTTTGTTGCATGCGATGTCTTGAGTATTCTCCTGCAAGCTGCAGGCGGCAGCATTATGGGCGCCACGGATGACCACACTCTGGGTTCCAACGTCACTATTGCAGGTCTAGCGGTGCAAGTTCTGGTATTTGGACTTTTTGTCATCACAGAGATTAGGTTTCTGCTCTTGGCAGACAAAGTGTCGCCTCTCACGCCTCGCATCTCACGTCAGTGGAAGATCTTGAACCTGAATTTGTTCTGGTGCAGTATTCTCATTTTGGTGCGGTCCATTGTAAGACTGGTTGAGTTCGTCCAGGGCTACAGCGGCTACATTATGGAGCATGAATGGTTTATCTACGTATTTGACGCTGTGCCCATGTTTGTGGTCGGCTTGCTGTTTATTGTTACCTTTCCTAAGGGCAATTTGTTCAAGGTCGAGTTCGAGTGCACTTCCTTGCTCGAGTCCAGTCAAACCAGTGTAAAGATTTGTCCCTGAGTCATGTACAATGTATTTATAAAGGATGATAAACACACATATTCGTGTTCTGAACTTCAGGCTATTCTCAGTGATAACTCCCCGTATACTGCAGCGTTGAGTATGTCCTATGGGAAAGAATAAATCTCCGCATACTTTTTAACAGCCTACTTACACTTTTATCGGTAGTTTTATGAGTAGGGTTAAGGATGCCATCACTGGCTCTTCCCATTGACGACACTGAGAATGGCCATCTTGACGCTGTTGCAAGCACGGAACAAGTCCTGGTCGCTCATCTTGGCTCCGCAGCACACCTTCAAACTTGGGGTGATCGGTAAGGTCTCGTGTTTGAGCACAAACGTGTTACGACTAATCAGAACGCCGTACTCTTTCAATGCAAAATCGACAATCTGTTGCAGGAATTTCTCCTCCAGTTCGTAATATTCGATGTGCTTGTCTGTCAGGTATTTGCTGTGCATGGCGTTGATGTCTTCGAACAATGAGTCCTCTGTGTATTGAAACTTCTCAAACCGTAGATCGTCTGTCAGTCTTAAGTGCAGGACACTCGAATCGTTATTCGAGGTGACTTCAATAACATTTCTGAGCTCTTGATCGTCGCGGAAAAACTGGTGCATCTGATTTGCCAATTGGCGCAGTTTTTTGACGGCAGTATTGTCTTCTTCAAGGCGTCTTAACACTTCAGAACCGACAGTAACTGTGAAAGAGGGCAACGAGGCCGAGAAAGTATAGGCATGAGATCCGATTCTTTGATGCAGCGACATCACATTGTCACCCAATGCAAACCCGCCTGAAGAGCCCAAAGCGGTACCCAAGGAACCGATGGTAAGGTCAACAGAGCTTTGACGATCTAGGCCGAAATGTTCGGTGATACCACGACCCGTAGCACCCAAGACACCTAAAGAAAACGTCTCGTCCACCAAAAGTCTGAATTTGTACTTGCGCTTCAATTCCACGAGTTTAGGTAGAGGCGGAATGTCACCAAGATTGTGGAAAAGGCCCTCAGTGACAATAAACTTCCTTGGCAAAGCTGGCAATTTGTCCTGAAGTTCCCTCTCCTGCAATTGTTGAAGCAGCTCTTCCAAAGAGTCCATATCGTTGTGATCGTAGTAATAAACTGTAGAACGACTCAACTGGAAGGCATTTTGTAAGGAAACGCTGCACCTGTCGTCCGCAACAATGACATCACCACGCTTGGTGAAAGCAGAAACAACAGAGGCAGCAACACAGAAATCTTGTCCATATAGCACGGCGTTTTCGGTGTTGAAATAACGCGCGAGATCGTATTCCAGAATGGTATGCACGTCCAAATTACCATAGAAACCGGCTGGCCCGCACGAACCTACACCGTAACGGTGGATGGCATTTTTGGCCACTTCCTTGACGCTTGTTTCTGACGATATTTGCAAAAAGTTATTCGAGGAGCAGTTCAAAACGTCTTTAACAGCTTCAGCCTCGTCAACGCGTTCGATATCGAGATAGGTGTTGGAACAGGAAGTTAATGCCACGGGAATCTTTTGAGTCCGCCATTCGACCTTTGAGCTATCCTGAGCCAATGGTTCTGGCTGCCACTCGTCCAATAATGCTTCCACCTCTTTATTGGAGAGTTTTGGACCGGCTTGAAAGCCCTGTTTTCGGGGTTTCCGAAGGAAGTACACAATTCCGTAAATGATCAAAAAAATTTCCACCACGGTACGGTACGGATCGTGTTGATGCGATCTCTTTACGTAGTCGACCACATAATGACTCCCAGGAACGGCATTGACGGCATTTTGACAGTAATACCACAGGTACGATGATGTGCGAAGTATGAAGTCCGGAACCACGATGGACTTGGGCAGAACCGCTGGAGGCTGCATTCTTTTTGAATTGAAAAGCAAGTGCTCGCGTGGATGACAGTTTAGAGCTCGCAATCGCTAACTGCAAACACGATGCTCTTATGCTTGTTGACGCTTTCGAAAGGTTTGGGTTTATTGTCTAGAGTTCCTGGAGAAGAGAGATGGTCTCGAAAATGAGTTTATTAGCAGCTATGATATTTCGTGTGTGGTGATTAAATAATAAACTGAGATTCAAGCTGTCAACACGGGTTTTGAGAGATGTTTAACATGTCTTATAGGCAGTGTCTAAGGAAACTCATAATCTTAACCACTTCAAGCTGAGTTCATGCGTTGACTCCAGCTGTAAATTTTGATGTACAATGCTCGTGTGTAGTGATATATGCTTCCAGTGACATCTTAAAGACGACTCTAGCTACTGGAGGTGTAGTGTGAGGCTTGTAGTCAGACTGAGGTTGGTATGCTCATTCTGAGTTCACTATTGTACTGTTTTGTTAGTCTTTTTAAAATTTCTAATGGGAGTTTTGACTGGTGACAGTATCACTGACATTTGACATCAAGAAAATTGGCATGGGCAGTTGAAATCTGTTCGATGAACCAGCATGTATGAAGAAGTTAGAATGATGGTATTGTGGGATTTTAGCGTGACATTTATCAGCTGCATGACAATCTAAAACTGTAGTAAAATTTCAACCTGACGCATTTTCATTTGTGTCTGCCCCATTACTTACCTAGAATTATCGACGCTAAACAAGAGCGGCAAGTGTTGGCTAGCAATGTCAGTAGCCACAAAATGTTCCCGTGGCTAGTTCGAGCGTTGTGAGATTTATGAATAATAATAAGACACATGTCAGCCTTGCTTGAGACGCGAGCCACGGCGCACCGTTCTCCTAAGCATTATGCAAGACATTGACAAGTTTTTAAATCACAGTGGAATGCCCAAGAAACCGTAGTCGTGGCGAGGAGCCCATGAGCTTCCAAATTCATTCACTACTCATTTCTATAGTCACCACTTCTACAATCTGTTTAATTGTCTTACGTGTTTCACGAATCTAGAGTCTTGAAATTGCCAAGACCATAGCTGACATTACTTGAGCTAATTGAGTTTGAAACTCAATGGACATTTCTGCCTTTCACTCGCCCTCTATCATCTGCCGTGCTCGTCGACTCATCATACCGTTTCTTCAGCCGTTTTCACCTCTGTCTCCCAATACTCACCCAAAAACACTCGTAACTTCCATCTTATCCGCCAAATACGTATTCTGCCCCCGACCCTTACCAATAGTAGTGGCAAAGAACCTTCCTGGCTCTCGATCGCTATCGCCTTTATATAGTTTGCCCTTCCATCAAGGGGCAATTTTTATAGGGCCCTGTTTAGGTCACCCCCCCTTTTTTTCTCTCTCTGGGCATATAAAAAGGCCGAGGGGTTCTGAGGGAAATCTACGATAATTCGGACTACTATTTGAACCAATAGTGGAATCGAGGAAACAGCACAGCTTTCAAGGCATAAAGTGTTGGCAAAGACTCATTTTAGCTGTTTTTTTGTACTTCGTCCAAGTCCTAGCGTTAAAACCCTTCTTTTTACTAGTCTTGCGAGCGGCAAAGGTCAAAATCCCCATCACTAGCTCATTTTCGCATTTTCAATTTTGTCACAAGTTCTATAGCTTGTTTCTACTGCTATGAGAGGCTTCACACTCCTTGCGGGAGCACTAGCCGCATCGTCGGTCCAAGCAGCCTCTTTACAAAACGTTTTCCAGGCAAACACGCTTCTGGACAAGGCCAGAAACGCGTTGGGCCTGAGTGAGCAGCAACTACTAGATTCGGTGCCCAAAAGCATTCAGAAGGTCTGGGGAGAAATGGGCATGCTTTTCCCAAAGGAAACCGCTGAGCTGGAGTTCATCACGAAGCCCAAGTCCAAGATTAATTCGAAACCCGACTCCCAGTGGGACTTTGTGGTCCAAGAACACCCAGAGCACAAATTGCGTGTCAACAAGATTAAGGACCCTAAGGTGCTTGGCATTGATCCCGGCGTTAAGCAGTACACTGGTTATCTCGACGTGGAGGAAGAAGACAAGCATTTTTTCTACTGGTTCTTTGAAAGTAGAAACGACCCTAAGAATGACCCTGTCATTTTGTGGCTAAACGGTGGGCCCGGCTGCTCCTCCTTGACCGGACTGTTTTTTGAGCTTGGTCCCTCGTCCATCGGCCCAGAGATTAAGCCCATTTACAACCCTCACTCCTGGAACTCCAACGCCTCGGTGATTTTCCTAGACCAGCCGGTCAACGTAGGGTACTCTTACTCGGGTTCCGGTGGAGTTTCCAACACCGTCGCTGCCGGTAAAGACGTGTACGCCTTTTTGCAGCTTTTCTTCAAGCAATTCCCAGAATACGCTTCTGGCCAAGAATTCCACATTGCTGGTGAGTCTTACGCAGGCCATTACATTCCAGTATTTGCCACTGAGATTTTGTCCCACCCACAAGAAGAAAGGTCCTTCAACTTGACATCTGTGCTGATTGGTAACGGTCTAACAGACCCATTGACCCAGTACTCTTACTATGAACCTATGGCTTGCGGAGAAGGTGGTGAACCTTCTGTCTTGGAGCCAGAAGAGTGCGAAGGTATGTTGGACACTTTGCCTCGTTGTCTGAGCCTGATCGAAAGCTGTTACGAATCCGAGTCGGTTTGGACCTGTGTTCCAGCCTCTATCTACTGCAACAATGCGCAAATGGGGCCTTACCAAAAGACTGGCAAAAACGTCTACGACATAAGGAAAGAGTGCCAGGGTGAACTATGCTACGCGGAAATGAAGTACATGGACGAGTATTTGAACCTGGACGTTGTCAAGCAGGCAGTGGGCGCTGAAGTCGACAACTACGAGTCGTGCAACTTCAACATCAACAGAAACTTCTTGCTCGCCGGAGACTGGATGAAGCCTTACCACAAGGCCGTGACCAACTTGCTAAACCAAGGCCTACCGGTCTTGATCTACGCGGGTGACAAGGACTTCATTTGCAACTGGTTGGGTAACGAAGCCTGGTCCAATGTCCTACCGTGGAAGCACGCTGAAAAGTTCCAAGACCAGCCCGTCAAGAACTGGATTTCCAGCACCACAGGCGACAAGGCTGGTAAAGTGAAGAACTACGAGAACTTCACTTTCTTGAGAATTTACGGCGGTGGACACATGGTTCCTTTCGACCAGCCAGAAAACGCACTTGCCATGGTCAACGACTGGGTCAAGGGCTCTTACAACTTCGAGTAAATGTTTGAGGGGGGCAACAAAAGAAACCAGGACCAGTAGAGACTAATGGCCTACCTGGAAAACAGCAAATAACGAAAAAAGTTGCATTCCTATAAGAATGAACCAAGAAGTCTTCTCTGTGAATTGTGTAAGTTAATAATATGGATAAGAAATACTATAAAAATGCTCTTCTAATCCTTTCGCCAGCATTTGATTTTGGTATATCAAGCTTTCTTGGTCTTTTTACCGTATTTCCTCTAGTCTCGTGCCCTGACTGTTGAAATATTGAAATTGGTATGTATATATAAATGACTATACGCCAACAAGTTCATCAGATCCGTTGTCATCATTCCATTGAACGATCATCCTCTGAAGTAAATATCACAAGCTACCAATGGCTCGAAGAACTCCACAAGTATATAAACTCTTGGAATATGTTACCATTGGCCTCGTTCTCATAGCAGCCGTTGAGCTTTTCAAGTATTCCACGAGAGTGAACTACGAATGGTTTCACTGCACGCCTGTCATGGAATCTTTGAGCGAGGGAAGCTCTGCTTACAAGATTTTCGCGGTGGGAGGACCAAGCTGCGACAAGAGAGGAGAGTTTAAGTCGATTATGAAGAAAATTACGTATGACTATGAGCCCAACGACCAAGCCGTTTCCTTCTGCATCAAGGAAAACGAAAGCGTTGCTGCCATCCATTACCCAATTGATACTCCAAAGGGCTCCCCCGGTTACGTGGCGTATGCTGCTTACACGTCAGAAGCACATTTGATCGACGAAATGTGTGCTGACGCTACCATTATGCATTTTTGATCGAGTTCGTCTATATATATGTCACTAAGTAGTTGTGCTAATGAAAATTGATAGCGACATCGAGCTATTCCTCCTCTTTGACTTCGGCTGGAGTACCTGGGGCGCTCTCAGAAAGGGCACCGGTAGCGGCTGCTCCTCCCATGCCAGGTCCCGTGCTGCCGTTGTACATCGGACACGTTTTTTTGGTCCTGATGTGCCCTACCATGCCGCAAGTGGCACATCTTCTGTTTGTGGATTTAGACTTGGTGACTTTCCCGTCTTTGGTCTTCTCTTTGGCCAGCTTACGGGCTTGCCTTCTTTCTTGCGATTTTTGGAGCTTGGCTAATTGTTCCTCCAGAAGTTTTTTCTGTTTCAGCTGCTTCTCCTCCGTATTACCACCGCTAACAAGGTCAATGTTGTCGTTCATGAGTTCTTCCAAGCCAAGATTGGCCTCTGCTTCCTGCCGTTTTCGTTCGTAGGCCTTTATGTAACCTTGAATTACTCGAGGATCCCTAATCACCACTGTTTGTCTTTGAATGATACCGTTCTCATCTCTGGTTTTCCGTACTACCCGTAAGACTTTATTATCACTCCGATGCGACTTGACTTTCTTGTTCGTTTTATTTTCGAAATCCGGATTCTCAATTTCTTCGAAAGGATTGGTCACTCTTAAGCTCTTGGCTTGTGTGTACCAAGTCTTACTGATTTCCTCCTCATATGCCTTTTGCTGTTGCGCGACATTATAGCTGTGTCCTCCAGCAATTTGTTGTTGCCCTAAATCTGACCCTGATCTTGTAAAGCCACCCTTCATGGAAGTCTTTAATAAGGAAAACCCCTCCCCGCAGCCGGTAGGATCACCGGCACCGTGTATCTGTACCATCGCGCGCATTTGAGTTGCGTTCAAAAAATTCTTAGTCGCAGCCCAGGGGATGAGATTTTCTTCAAGTTTTATCAGTTTTTCGTCAACGTTGAATTGCTCATTATCGTCTTGAAATTGTTGTCCCTGGTACATCGATTCTGTCAGCGAAACGTCCTCGGGAATTATCATCTTTTTAACGCTTTCGTTGTCCGGCAGTGTCTCGGACTCTTTCAATTTCCAAAATCCATGATCGTCACCGTCTCTTTGATATTTCATAAACTCCTTAAGCCTTTGTCGATTCTGCATGTCATTCTGGTCCGGGAAATGTCTTGCAACTTGTTTAACAAGCAGCCTATGCTGGATCGATTTGTTCAAAATACGATAAACGATCATACGCAGCCTGTTTTTTCCCATCGATGTGACCTTCCTGGAGTTGGGACCAGGAACCTCAACCACAGGGAATGTCTGACCAACTGTGAATAAATGATTGATGTGCCTCAAATAAAACCTGTTACCCATACCATTTCCGGTGCTTCTTACCAAAAGGAAATCAGTACGAGATACTTCGTGCTTGAATACTGGCGCTCGAATCATGTTATTGTACAAGGTCGGCACGACATTGCCTGGCTCAACAAAACCAAAGTTCCAAAATGGAGACTTGTCTTGAACTCCAAGAACATGTGTTTCTCCAACCGGTAGTTTTGGTCTTGAGGCATCTCTATCATCAGTTTTCCGGTAGTAGTTTATCAATTTGTTTCCCATTCCGAACTTGGACAAGGCCATAGGAATCTCCTCGGAATATTCCATTAAAAAGATTGGTGCGCTGTCCCCCAAAGTCAAGTCTTGACTTCTTGAAAAAAGCTCTCGAACATCTTTGCCTTTGTCCCTTTTTCTCTTTCTAGTTTTGATCTTGCTGAACACAATATTTGTCCCTGGCCGCACCAAAGAGCCAAAATGCGGTCTATGAAAGTTTCGCATTGCATTTTTGGGTGGTAGAACCTTGTAAAAGGGTGATTGCAACCTAAGCGCAGGTTGAGAGTGCTCGATGGTAAGGTTTGATATTGTGGACCGAATCTTGGTCTGGTAGTTTTCTTTGAGAATCTTGTACTTGTGGTCATTAGAAATGTTGAACTTTTGGGCCAGAGTCTTTTCGTTGAAAGCCAAAAGCGCTGTTTTGGTATTAGAATCTTTCTTCTCGCGATGCTTGCTAGGTACGAATAGTAATTTCTCGTCGTTCATATCGAGGCAGACTTTATTCTGATCGACCTTACCCTCTATTAGATTTTCTTCATCCCAGTTGGGACCACCATGCGTTAGGGCGGTTCTAGAATTCGAAATATTCTTGGCCTCAGTTACGACGAGACTTTGTCCCGTGTTGCTAGACTCGGTATCAGAGTCTCCTACTATTTTATCGTAGTCCCAGTCATCTGACATCATCATCAATTCTTTCGGTATAGACCCATCATAGCTCCGAAGTTTTACCTGAGTAACGTTGTCTCCATACATTTCATCAACAGGCACAGTTACCAATCCTCGTTTCTTGCGTTTAGATAGCTGAGTCATGCTTTGCCAGTTCTTGTTTTTAGCCTTGAAAAGTCGTCGAGAGTCCGGTTGCACTTCAAACTTGACTTTAAGTGGAATGAATGGCCTTAGGTGCCTATTTGTGAGGTACAATTCTCGCTGCCATTGGTACTGCGCTAGCTGTCTCGGTACGATACTGAGAAGATTGAGAGCCTTTCCCTTTTGAAACTTTGGGAAATAAAATTCAAGTAGTTCTTTCTCCTCGCGTGCGGCTCTTTCTTGCTCTTCACGTTTCTGCTTTTCTTCCAGCTCTAGCTGGTTTTCGTCTGCAAACCCGCCAAAAACGTGGTGCTCGGCCTCTGGATACGGCCCCTCGTGGCCACCGACACCTAAAAAAAGGGTGTTGTTCTGATCGTCGCATGCCCCGTGATTGTTGTTTCCCAGAATGGCACCTTGACCACCCATCAGTGCAAGGTAGTCGTCATTGTCCTGTTCGGCACCGTTTTCGTGACTGGGCTGTGTTTCCTCTGGCAGCTCTTCATCTGCCAGTTCATCCTCGTCTTCAAAATCTACAGCATCCGGTAAGTGCTCTGTCTGGCCGTCGTTTGGACCGATGTAATTGCCAATTTCCATGGATCCAAAGTTACCGCTGAAAATCGCATCGTAAGCGTCGTCTTCATTGGTTAAATCACCATTTTTCGCCAAAAGCTGTTTTTTTGATAGTTTCCCACTCGCCATTTTGATGGATGAATCAGCTTTAGAGGCCTGGAGGGATGAGTTCCTGGGTTGAATGTTTGTCAAGTTCAATCCAAATAGGTAACATACGAATATTATTATACCATTTCGCCCTGTTTATTCAAACAAGATGGTCACGTGTGCCATTGTCTAAGAAGTCCAAAATACGTTCAAAACAGAGAGTTCGGTTATCTTCAGCAAGCCAGGTTAATGATAATTTTTGATATTTCATGTTGCTGATGCTTGTAGCTCAGTAATATTCTCTTTTTTTGTTTATTTGTCTCGACAGGTGGGAGGTTTTTTTACTGTAGCGATTATTGTCATATAGACAAGTTTCCTTTTACTACCTTAAAACTACGCTCTTTTTTTGAATAGATATCACTGGATCTTTGATATATGCAAATTCACATGAGAAAGATTGTGAGACTATCCGTAAGTCTAATAATGATACCAGAATAAAGAAACAGACTCAATATCGTACTGATAATTTCGAATATTGAAAATATTTTAGCACTACATGAAATGGTATCGCCGGGCATTTTGTTCTCATTTATATGACTCTGGTTAGAGATTTGTGATGACATAGACCCGTGGAATTCTAATTCACCTTGCCAGTAATCTTTTTCGAGGTTTCCATTCTAAGATAATTAATTGCCTTTAATTTAGCGATTCTTGTTCTGCGAAGTAAGAACAAACATAATGAACATCTTGAACTAAATAGCTCTGCCAGAGAAAGTGTATGAGGGAAGATTCTTTTGATCTGTGAGGCGAAAAGTCAGAACCAATGTCATAACACCTGCCGAAAGAATGCGATTCCGGTGATCAAGAAAGTTTGAACTTTGATATGATGAAGGCTTTCAGCATTCCCTGCATAATACGGATGTTCTGATCTCTGAGCTTGGTCTGCCACTCATCCTCCCCTCGAGTTTTTTTTGAGCGTCAGATATCTATTAGGTGAAGCGAAGCGAGATGTATAAGAAGAGCGACATGATAGTACATAGTGACTTCAATTAATTCACTACTTTTCTACTCTCAAACGCAAGTGAGAAAGCCTGGATAATTCGAGACTGAAATACTGCCCAAGAAGCACTACGGGTCCCTCTTGACATTCAAGGATTATGCACCGTTTTTTAAAACAATGTGAACCTCGCTAGCGTAGATATCGAGCGAGGCGAGTTTTACAGGAACGCAATACTTTGCGAAAATATGTTCCAAGTCATGATTTTAGAGGTGATTTTAATTGTGTTTAAACACGATTTCTGACCTTTCTCTCTCGTGCTGCGTGTACCACCTCTTTTTCGATTTTTTTATAGCATTGTTATGGTTCTTTATAAATTTACGCAGCATATTTGAGCCCATTGCAATTTCAAATGTCGCGGGTAGCTCCAAACCACGATCAGACTAACAGTAGTGGTTGAACTTCTTATCCACTCAGTCCAAACCATAAACTGTATCACTCTGTACCAAGCCGTCAAACCTCATCTCGACTGCCAAAAGTCACGTGGCTACCGTCATACCAAAATCAAAATTACGAGCAGAACAGAAGTCGAAGATCGCATTCTCGAAACCTAGGCGTATAGTCACGACAGAGGAGCGAAACGAACTAGCATGGTACACCTCCTTTATTATTTTGATCCTTTTGGCGCATAAGTGGCCTAAAGAGATAAATATATCAATATGTCATCATTAACGAGGATTAATTCTATCAGATCACTATTCACGACGTCGTAACATCAAGTTCAATAGGCATAATTAAGAACAACCTGCTACTCTCGATCAACTACATCCAAAAAGCCCATCCGCTGATACACATATCCCTTCAATGCAAGCCAGTGCTCTTATATCAAGGGCTAACAATGCTAGCACAAACAATTTTTCGAATAGCAGTCGAAAATTTTGGAAACTAGACTGGCAAACGCCCGTGAAGCCTAGATCGAATGCAACTGCAGTAAGCGATAAGCCTGATAACACTGACGGAAACGGCGAGGAATTATATAATTTTAAGTTCAAGACGTGGCTTCCTGCGGATCAAGCGGCGTGGATTGACCCGAGTGAGGACCCAGATGAAATCATCGATCTGTCGCTTTATGACCGAACAAAAATAGTGGAACAGTCTCCAGAAAATAGCAGAAGCAGTGTTACGCCGATAAATGGCCACAAAACTGCAAACGGCCTCTCTGCTGACGACATCAGAGGTGCTGTTGGTGGCCAGGAAACGCTGTCGGGATTTAGTGCTACCCAAACCGAGGAAAACTCAAAGGATACACCTAAAGAGCCTAGCCAAAATGAGTTAACAGAGCAGACAACCCAAAATGAGGAAGCTGCAATTCAAGGAAATGAGGATCAAGAACAAGTAAATCAAGGGGGAAGACATCAGGAGCAAGCAGCTCAGGATCAGGAAACTTTGAAGGCTGCTGAGCCACTGTCGGCACCAGAAGTTGAATCGACCACTGATAATGGATCAACTGCTCAGAAAACTGACGCTGAAGGAGACATTAAACTGGACTAAATCCACGGATGTCTCTATACTTTTATGTGCTGCTCCGAAAACAATTCTTTGGTTGACAAAAGTATCAAGGTTGTGTTTGGCCTTCCTCCTAGTACATTTTCTGCTGCGCAATCACGCGCCTGAGAAAGAATCCTAACTTTGTTATACGCGGTTATAGGGCTTCCTTGAGATTACGCTCGATTTTTTTGTGAAGATCAAACCTGTCGTGACAATGAATGCAAATACAGCTGAAATTCTCTGACCATCTACAGATTAAACTGCCCAGACCTTCATCAATCAACTACAGACTACAAAAAAACCACAATTGCCAAGCGATCATGGTCAACAAAGAAATTAAAAAAATGTGTCGAAATTTGGAGGTAAACAATCCCAGAGGTAACTCCCATAGAATTATCAGTAAGTGATGGGGAACATATGAAATTTAGCACACCAGCTTCAAAATTAGTCAACTATCGGACTTAGACAGGTTGTGTTTTTCTGGCTTGGCTATACTCACGATATTAATGGCGTAAATAGCTGGAACTCAACAGTACACAACGACTATGTAACCAACAGTTCCCGAGCTCAAGAGGGAATTGTCTTATGCACAATGTATGAGCTTCTTGAAGATCGTGAGACTATAATGCTATTCTTCTTTTCCACATTACATCTGGAGCCAGGCTTTCTTATTTATGAATTTATCACAAATGGTGTCCACATTGACCATGTTATCCGTGTACTTTTTTCACATATCCAAAACGTCACTTACACGATGCGTATTGCTCAGTACTGACAGTTAGATTTTCGAAGATTTTTTAAAGGTTGGAAGCTTCGCCCTATTTGACCTTCAGGCTTTGCCGTGCATGTCGATCTTCTAAGGCAGTACATGCGCTGTTAGACACTGTTTGTACCCTTCCGATCCCAAATATTATTTGAGCTGTCTCGAATAACTATCTACTAGCTATTTAGACAGTACGCGATTCTTCCTGTTTGGTCATTGCAAGAAGTAGTGCATCCCTGGCCTTAGAAACTGCTGCTTGTATTTCAGCTTCTCTCTGTTTCTTTACCTCATTTCTTTCATCCTTATTCATCTTGTTGAGCTCACCCATTATTTTCGTCCAATCTCGAGTGTCTCCACTACCTGAACAGACGAGAAAAACAGTGGAGGGGGGACTTTGACGATAGAGCTCCTGCAGTCTCCGCGCGAAATTGTTTCTGGCAGCCAATGCGTCTAATCTTTTAAGATTTGGCGTTGACGGCACAGCAAACTCTCTTCCAAACTCTAGATCTCTTAACCTCCCCACGAACAAATTAAAGTCCTCCATGTGTTCAGAAATATTTTCAAAAATTTGGTCATCATTCTGACACCTCACGCTTGTTTCCATGGTCTTCGCCGTGAGAGTCAGCTCTTTTGTCCTTGGAGCATAGTCGTTTAGAGACATGCTTCTTATCCCATTTTTGGCGAGTCTATGAAAGAGGTTTTCGGTGTTGATACCGACCCCAAAAGCCAAACCATTGACAATCTTCAATTTGGTAAGCTCCATACAGGCCCTAGCATCTTCAAACGAGTCATGTCCGAGCCCTTCATCATTTTGGATTTCCTGATCCAAATATTCAGACGCAAGGTATTTCAATGCTGGTCTGAAGGGTGGACCGGCTTTGTGTTCATAAATAATTGCAGTATCAACAATCTTGGGATGTCTTAACTTCAAAACGTTTAGATCAGACTGTAAAGAGTGTCCAATAAGAATATCGGTAGAACTGATCAGTTTTAAGATGTCGGACTGAACATCTTGCAGAGTTGTCGTCACGCCGTCAAGCTTTTCCTCAGTGATACCACTGTATTTGGTGAGATAGTCCGTGATGGGTACGTCTGGCTTTACAAGACTGTCGTAGACGAGTTCGCAATTAAAATTCACCACACTTACACGTGTAAGAACGAGCCCGTTTTCTGACATGCACATTTCACAGTCCATGGAAAAAGTACGAGAGCCTTCATGTTCGAAATACCGAGTGTCTTTCCATAAAGAACCTAGATCTGTATGTTTTGCAGTTAGTAATTCGATCTCTTCCGCACTTAAGCCAGGAGTATCTTGATGAATAGGGTATTCGTTCTCGACGAGTTGATCAATTCGAAGTACCAAATCATCCAATGTTATCTTCTTTTTACTGAGCTCTTGCTTTTTTTCCTCTTTCTCTTTTTTGCTCAGTCCTACGTTTACAAATGAATTGTAAGCCGAGTAAAGTGTGTTCTTTGACCCAGGTGCTGTTACGGGCACGCGTTGCACTGCATCTAACAGTTCTGGGTCATTGAGAGAGATTAGCGAGGTGGCCCGCGCATTTGTGGAGTTGTCGCTGAGAGTGTGCTTGGTGTTTTCCTCGAAGTCCTCTGGCAGCAAACCTGGAACAAACAAAACAATGACTTTCTTTATGGCAGATCTGTTTTCGACCTGTATCCAGCTTGGAGCATTGTTGGTGTCATTGAATAGATACAGAACTAGATCTCGAAGGTCTTTTATGGAAACACGTTTTTGAAGAGCTTTTTGATCGACAGTGAGCTTGGCCGACTGCGATGCCTTCTTTTTCTTTTTGGGAACAACTACCGACGACGAGGACGAGGGCACTTCGCCGTTGCTGTCTTTCAATTGTGCGAGGCTTGGACGGGATATTCCACTGGATCGTCTTCTTCTTCTCTTGGATCCTGCCATCTGGTCCTGTGGTGCCACCGAAGACAACCCATCATTTTTACTGTCGTCGAGCAGCGATTCACTAGACTTTTTATCAAGACCTAGGACATCTTTAATTATTATTTTTCGCGATTCCTCATCTTCGCATATGCTTAGTCTAGCGACCTTTGACTGAAAAGAAGCTTCATCTTTGACCTGGTTGGAATTTTGGGAACTGAGTCTGTTACCGATTTTGGTATTTTCTGATATTCGGGAGCTAGCGTCGACGTCAGTGTCTGCTTTTAAATTTTTACTCATTTGAAATCCCATCGAGTCAAATTTGGCGTTCAACCGAAATCACCAAAAGATAATTCCCACCTTTCTTGAGCTCTTAGTAGCGATAATCAAAGAATTTGAGAAATATCTTTTTCCGCGAAAAGCTCCGACCGAAGTCTTTGACGGTTTTTAGAATTGGAAGTTATTGCACAGTAGTCTCGAGACAAAAAGGTCCTCAAAATAAGGATAATTAAGTTTTCAAAGTTGTGGAATCTGTTTCGAAATTCAAGAGGCTGAATTGAACCTAGCTGCTTATCCTTACTTCTCTTTGTAGCATGCGAGAGCTGTCGCACAGTAGCGTTGTGTTGAAAATTTGTGGGTTCTTGAAATAGTAAAGTCATCGTCGAATACGAGCAGGAACTTCGATCGAGTAGAGCTGCTGAAGCATCACATCTCGCCTAGTGGCGCCTCACAGGTCGATGGAAGAATATTCTTAGGGCTCGGAAGTTTCCTTGGCATTTGGAATGTCGATCGTAGAGTTATGAGCCGCAACAGAGTTTAGAAGCGAGGACTTCTGCACCTTATATATTTCTGCCAGTTCTTTCTGCACGTCGATCTCTGGCAGCTCTACAGGTGCCTCGCTCGCCTCAGATGTAATTTCTAGTTTGAGATCGTTCTTATGAGACTCGCCCGGGATGAGCCGTTCGAATTGACCAGCTATGAATGATTCCTCTTCGATCTGTCTGACAGGAAATTCCTCGCCCATAGTCTTGATTTTGCGCTCAGAATCAGAGCCCTGCGGCACAAATAGCTTGTTCATAGCAATGTGGTCTGGTATTTGGTTAGATTTCTGACCCAAAACGACTTTGCCAATTTCAGTCAATATTTCGGCCGGAGTACTTTCCTCAATTGCAACCAGCGATGCTCGTTTGATCAAAGCCAACGATCTCATGGTCTGGTTTAAAAACTCCATTTTCAAAGAGCTCCAGTCTGGTGACGTCAGCTCAAGCTCTTTGCAGACCTGGGTCTCCATGCCCACGATTGTGCAAAAGTCCAGGTCCTGCAAGTCCCGCCTCAACTTAGTTTTCAAAAGGTCAAAGCTTGAGAAGAGACCTCGCAACCAGCACTTATGGCTTCCTCGGAGCCAATCTAGTAGAAAAACCCATCGGACGCTGATTGCATCCGAATTCACAAAAATGGACAACAAGTCCACTGTGGTCGCGTTTAAAGGCCACTCGACGGTGTAAACATGTACAGCTATGCTTCGACTCTCGTCTCCCGCCAGATTGATGATTTTGTGGTAGTAACCGATCGCGGCTAAGCTCGATTTTTCATTTTTCACTTGTAGCACTCGCATCAAGAAATCCTGTAAAACTGGTTGAGTTTCGGCAGACAAAACGATTGTTACTTCGTCATTTTTATCGCTATAAGGCACCCTATTAGCCTCTAGCAACTCGTTCCAGGCATTGAGCCCCATGAGTTCCCCTAGAGTTCGAATCGAAGCAATAAGGAACTAGACTGTTCATATTCTACCAACAGATTTTTTTTTTAATTTTTAAATCCTAGTATAGAAGCTCTATTCACATCTACAACGAACAAGCACTGATTGGACCTAAAGCCTCGCAGGTTTTAGGATGAGTACCCACTATTTTTGGGCGTTTGGTTTTCCCAGTTCTATATTTTATACTATATCTACAGTGTTTTTGAATTGATGATTTCTAAAAATCAGCGGAGTTGTAGAGCCCAATGTCAAACTCAGACTTGGCGTCGCTCTTCTGAGCCGCGTTCAACGCGCGCACTCTTTCCAGTTCCTGAAGATAGCCATCTTCGACACCAGTAACGTAACTTCCAGTGAAGACACCAACTTCAAACTTCGAAATGGTGTCGGTCTTGCAGCACTCGATGAGATCTTCTAGCGATTGATAGAATACCCTGTCGCAGCCCAGTTCTTCGCTGACTTCCTCAGTGGTCTTGTTGTAGGCGACCAATTGCTTGGTGTCAGCTAAATCGATACCGTAAATGTGGTTATAACGAATTGCTGGGGCGGCTGAGGCAAAATACACTTTCGTGGCGCCAGCTTCCTTGGCCATGTTGATAATTTCCTTTGACGTTGTACCTCTAACAATAGAGTCGTCAACAACCAAAACACGTTTACCCTTGAACTCAGAGTCCATGGCGTTCAATTTGCGCCTAACAGATGAAACACGTTCTTGCTGGTTGGGCATGATGAAGGTCCTGCCCACATATCTGTTTTTAACAAATCCCTCACGGTAGGGCACCTGGAGACGTTTGGCACACTCTAGAGCGCAGGTGCGTGCCGTATCAGGAACAGACACAACCACGTCGATATCCTTGGGATTTATCTCCCTCATGATACTGTCAGCCAACTTGATACCCATTTGAAGTCTGGTATGGTACACGGAAATACCGTCCAGGACGCTATCAGGTCTGGCAAAGTAGACGTATTCGAACAAATCAGGTCTGATAGAGTTCACAGGAACAACCTGCTTGAACTCAGGAGGTGTGCTTCCGCAGTCTTTTGGCACAATGACCGCTTCACCGGGTTGTATGTCGCGGAAGTTTGTAAAGTGGTGGGCCTTCAAAACCACACTTTCGGAAGCAAGCATGTAATCCTTGGTGCCGTCTGATCTGGTTCTTTCACCGAACAACAGTGGTCTGATACCGTTGGGATCTCTGAAACCGATCATCCCGTAACCGGCGAGCATACCCACGCATGCGTAACCACCGCGACACTGTCTGTAAACACCTTCCAGCGCGTGGAAAATGTCATCGTTGTTAACACGATACTTGTTGTGCTTTTCAAGCTCTGCAGCGAACAGATTCAATAGCAGTTCTGAGTCGCTATCGGTGTTAATGTGCCTGTGAACATCCTCGTCCATGTAACGTCTGAGCGAGATTGTGTTGACGAGATTACCGTTGTGGCCAAGCAACACACCGTAAGGACTGTTGACGTAAAACGGTTGAGCCTCGGAGTTGGCACTGGAACCAGCTGTAGGATATCTCAAGTGGGCAATTCCCATCGACCCTACAAGGCCTGCCATTCTCTGTTGCGTGAAGACGTCTCTGGCCATACCGTTACCTTTGCACTGGTACAAACGACCTCTGTGGCCACACGTAGCAATTCCTGCTGCGTCCTGACCTCTGTGCTGCAAAAACAAGCAGCCATCTAACAGTTCCGACGCAACGGCGCTGTTTTGGTCTGCCAAAGCTATACCCAATACACCACACATCTTGACAGCTTAAAGGACACTACGGGGATGCTTGAAAACCCCAACTCAAATGCAACTGTCCTAAAACAGCGAAACGCAATATTTGATGAGCTTTCTTAGCTAAAAAACCCAGAAAACGAGGATATCGAAAGCTAAATCTTCAATGATTGATTCCTAGTATTTAATCTCATCGCTTGATGAGAAAATTATCTTACTATCCAGCTTACGTAACCATCGGGTAAATTAGTTTTTAAATTGTTCAACTAAAGAAGTCAAACTGAGAGCGACAGTGTTGATAATGATGATGGTTGGTCCCTGAAAATTCATTGGACAGGAAGGTCAAGCTTAAACAATGGTTTGGATTTTAGATCGAGTTCTTATTTTGCCTGGTGTAAATAACCACAACAAACTTTTTTGGCAAAATTCTGGTTACAACTGAGCTATTTTTCATTGGGATTGTAGCTCTTAAATTGTCAACATTGGACTAATGGCTCAGAATTCACCTTCACTACATTAAAGATACACATAGCTTATCGTTCTTTTCAATTTTGACGCTGTTATTGTTAAAATTTTAATAATCTCTGCTCATATCATGGCAGAGATGAAAGAAATTTTGGAATAACCTCGGGAAGCAATGGCGTTATAATCTAATAGTAGTTTCAACTCGGATGGAAGCTCAATCGATTTCGGGTTTAACAGAACAGTAGAAACGAAATCGTAGAATGAAAGCGATGTGTATAGTTTCCGTGGATCATGCACGTGACCTCACTTGATGAGATGGGCAAGGCCGCTGTCATCACTATGCCTGAAGCATGGATCCATCGCTTCACGACTTTGAGCCCATGAGTTCAGGTTTCAACCACGGCACAGCACTTTCGTTTTTATTTATATTTGTTGGCTCGACTATGAAATCAGCTTGTCATGTTTTGTTAGCCCGTGAGCTTTACCCCGTTGCGTTCAAGACACCTTAAACTCTAAACCTGGTTGGGGCCCAAGTAGCCATGCCGAGTGCAAGACCCTGTCACTACACCGTTCTGAATGTTTTCAATCTAAACTTATTTACAAGATCGCTTCGAGTTTATCGTTTCCTAAAGCTTGCATCATTCACGGACTCTTCTTCTTTCAGTTCCTCTTCGAGGACTTCCAGGTCTTCTTGAATGTTCCACAGCTCTTTATACAGCGAGTCAGGGCGGGCAAGTAGCTCAGCGTGCTTGCCCTCTTCCCTGACCTGACCCTTGTTCAGCACAATAATTTTATCGGCATCAGCAATGGTTCGCAGACGGTGTGCAATATAAACACTGGTCTTAGAGCCCGAAGTGAAATTCTGTTTCACTGTTCTCAACAATGCTTGTTCCGTATGTGTATCTAGTGCACTGGTAGCCTCGTCGAAAAACATTATCGGAGCATCTTTCAACAGAACCCTTGCAATTGCTAGTCTTTGCTTTTCCCCCCCACTTATCATCATTCCGCGCTCCCCGACAATTGTATCCCGGCCATTAGGGAGGGCATTGATTAAAGTCTGTAATTGCGCCTTCTCGATTGCAAGGGCTACATCCTCATCCGAAGCACCGATTCGACCAAACTTTACGTTTTCCCATATACTTTCATTGAAAAGGGGAGTATCCTGAGGAACAACCCCGATTGCCCGTCTCAGAGTCTCAATATCCAAGTTCTTGACATCTTTGCCGTCTACCAGCACACGCCCTTCAGAAGCATCGAAAAAGCGAAAAACAAGTTTCAAAATCGTCGATTTACCGCTACCTGAGGGTCCCACAATGGCAGTTTTGGAACCCGCAGGTATCGTGAAACTGGCGTTATCCAAAATTAGTCTCTTTCGATCGTAGCCAAAGGACACATTCTCGAATTTAATCTCGGCGGACAGGTTCTCCGGCAGCATTAAAGGCCGTTGCGCATTCTGAATGCTAATTTTATTTCTTTGCAAACGAAACAATGACTCCATATCGATGAGCGATTGTTTTAGCTCACGATAAACACTTCCGAGAAAATTGAGCGGCACAGATAGTTGGAAAACCAGCTGATTTATCAAAACTAGATCACCCACTGACAATGAGCCATCAACTATCCCTGTACATCCCATGTACATCATGGCAGTTAGAGCAGACGTAAAAATGAAGTTCTGGCCTGCATTCAAAAATGCTAGTGATTGCGCAACTTTGATTTGAGAGTCTTTATACTTGGTTAGAGATTCAAGGTATCTTTTTGCGAGAAAGTCTTCGTTGTTGAAATATTTGACAGCTTCGAAATTTATGAGCGAGTCGACTGCGATCGAAGCTGCCTTGTTGTCTGCCTTGTTGGCCGACTTTCTGAACTCTGTTCTCCAAGCCGTCGTTTTGAATGTGAAAATGGCATACAAAAGCATGGTACTGAACGTCATTGCTGCAAAAGAAGCCCCAAATTGGTAAGTAAGAATTCCGCAAACAGCCCCGATCTCGACGGTAATGGGAATGATATGGAAGACCATGGCGCTCAGCACATAGGAAATACCTTTGGTACCTCTATCCATCGCTCTGGTAAGGCCACCGGTTTGACGACTTAGATGCCATCCGAGGTCCAATTTCATAAGATGCTGAAAAGTCTGAATGGACACTTTGGTGATGGCATTCTGGGCCACTGATGCAAAAATGGCATTACGCAGCTCACCGAAAAGCACCGACCCGAACCTTGCTGCACCATACGACAGAACCATTGTTCCGATCGCGATGGGCAAAACGGAGGTAGCGTCTGTCCATTCGATGTTCATGGAGTCTACAATATGCTTGAAAAAAAATGGGACTTGGACATTGAGCAGCTTGGACCCCACCAAAAGTCCTAATGCTATTATGACGCGTGTGCGAACTTTATTATCGCCCCGGGGCCAAATGTACTTGAACAGATCCTTCAAGATCTTCAGCTCAGACATTGTGGGTGCTTTTGAGCCATTCTTTTTGGGCGAAGGTGTAGACGTTTGAAGCGAAGTTGTAGATGCGTTAGTCGGTAGTTTCTGCTGGGATGCTCGCAACGAGCAGCTTGAAAATGCTCTCTTCTCAAAGTAGGGATTCAGCAGTTTTACATTTATCGGGAGGGGCCGTACTTTCCCAGCCAAAGGCCTTATTTGTGGTGTTATCAGATTTCCAAATCGAATTCCATGGGCTCTCAGAATGGCTTGGTGTGAAGCCTTAAACATCGTGGTTCTGAGCAGCTCAGAACTAAGAACAAGGGAGACTGATGACGAGCTTGACACTTCCTTCGCTTATAGATCGCGCGTATTCTTATATTCAAGAGACCTTGACAATAAATCGGTGTGGGCCACGTGACATTTTCATTTCTCAAAGGATGTCTGGGTGTAATGTATGGGTTTTTAGGAAAGAATTGTACACGTGATGATTATTCTGGTAACCCCGGAAGATGACCAAAACAACCAGTTTCTGGTGGATATGACGTTGTTCTATACTTTACATAGGTTCATGACGCTTGAGTGTGAGTCGTTAACATTTTATTTCTTGTTCCTGGACTAAGCGCGCTGAATAATGGGTAGGGTTTCTGTTCTTCTCATAGGTAGGGCGCAACAGCCTCATCATCGAGCACGGTGAAGGGTTTATTATGGCCCACAACGGCTATAGAGAAGTTCTTGGTAGTGAGCGACTCGTCTTTCAAGCACTGCCTGAGCGCCTCCACTGCTACAGCAATTAACTTGTCGGCATCCTCGATCTCTAGATATTCGTTCAGGGTTCTTTCCAGGTACGTTTTGGCACTCTGGGAACGCGCCCCAATGGCAGCCCCGTAAAGTTCCAGTGTGTTTCCCGAGGGCTGAAATTCTAGCAAGTGAGGTCCGCTGTTGTCGCAGCCAGCCAACAGAAGCCCGACACCGTAGGGTCTGCCGCCGTAGGACTGTGTGTTTTTCTGGGCCTTGTCGCTGAGTAAGAAGCCTGCCTTTTCCACCGAGAGTTTACGGTTATACACGAGACTGGAGTAGTTGCACTGCTGTCTCAAGTAATTGCTGAGCACACGGCCATCGGGAGCCAACCCTGCCAGCGAAAGACCCAAATGCTCGTCACACTTGATTATTTTCTTTTGGTACGACGACAATTCATCTGCATTCCGTTTCAAAGCCACCAGCACCGCGTGTTTCTTGGATCTGACCCCAACAGTGACACTACCTTGTTTGATGGCTTCCAACGCATATTCCACCTGGAACAGTCTGCCCGTGGGCGAGAACGTCACGGAATCTCCGTCATAATTGTTTCTGAACATGTCTCCGTGTGCAATTCGTTTTTTTCAGTCGGCTCGAGTCTAGCACCAACAGTATTGCAATGCTTGAACGCGGTCAGTTGTAGTTGTACTTGTAACTGTGTATATATCGAGCTAATTTGAAGGTTTGCCACCCAAGACGGATGTCACGTTGAACGAGTGACATAGGCTATCACCAAAAGACTTGACGTCAGCGAATTCTACCAAGTGAGATCGAACGGTAATCGACGGAGTTGAAATTGATTTTGAAGATTACGTTTCTGAACTAGTAGAATGCAATTCGATTTCAGAGTAATATGAAACTTGAAGGCCTTTACTAAAAATATACCAATTCGCCAAGGAAGATCAAAAAAGAAGTTCTCAAACGCATACTAATCGGACAAGTGGTGACATGGAAGCTTTTGGACAGGATACCTTGTTAGTTAGAATACAATCCAATGGCTTTTCTTTCTTAGCAATTCAAATTCGCTGTCGTGCTCTGTCATCTGATCACGTGATTTTAATTATCTTAAGACGTATAAAAGGGCCCTTTAGCATCAACACAAGAACTAAACCTGTCAGGCCCGCAAACTCGCTTTTATGTGCATCTCTATCGATTTCTCCTACATATTTACACCACGGATCGCTCTCTACTCCAAACTTTACATATTATTTCATTATACCGCACAGATTACTTTTCAGACTTAACTATACATCATACAAGAACCATCTGAAAAAGTAGGTAACAATTAAAACCGTTTGACACTTTGTTTTGATAAAATCGTAGAGAGATCGAGTTTTGAGAGCCTTTCAATCTAATTGCAATTCTCTAAGCAGCGCTACTTTTTTCTAGAGGCCTGTTTACGGACAGCAAAGATCTGGCTTACCGTCTTTTTTGCAGCTACAACTGGTCCCGGCCCTTTTCGTGTCAAACTCAAAGGTCACAAGAAAGGTCAAGAATTCAAGAATATCGATAACGAACTCTCATTTAACACAGTTTTCCAGCGTCGTGTCTTCATTGTACTCAGATTTGGTAGAATTATCTAATACTGGGCTTCGAAAAAGAGCTGTCCCAGCTTTAGCTTTCCCATTGAACTCTAACAACAGCACGACACTTATCCACACCCCCCACCCCTCTTTTTGTCAAAAAAGTTCCCCATTTACACAAATGATCAGACTCTACTTTCTCTCCGTTTTCTACTCTGCTCTTAATCATATCCCTCCGTTTGTATGGGCGGTCCTTCACGTCATTGTCGACATATTCCAGTTTTGGATGCGGCGACTGATGAACTATTTTCGTCCAAAATCCAGAAACTTGTATCACGGAGCGATCGCAGAACTTGAACGCTGTGATACCTATGACGACTGGTACGGTAGGGCCGCCGTGGTAGACGAAATTACTGGTGCGGATCTGTGGCGACGCAATTTTTACTCGCAGCGGTACGATGTGAATTCTGTTCTGGAACAGTATGCAGTGCTAGATGAGGCTCTTGACGAGCAAGATGCACACACCATCGTTCAACGGTTCAGTACTACAGGCCCCTCCATGCTTAGAAATTTTGCCGGTATCGTCGACAAGCGTTTATTCACGAAATCCCTCATTGGCACCAAACTGCTGATTGAACAGTACCTAGACAAAGTGTTGGAGTGTTTGCAGTTTTTATGCGAGACACCCGCCGTAGCAAGAACCTCATTTTTCCAACGCTGTAAACTTTCGCTAGGAACCACGGCGTTTATATTGCAAGGTGGTTCGTTGTTTGGTCTTTTCCATCTAGGAGTAATCAGAGGTCTGCTGGATCAAAAACTTTTACCAAATATCATCAGCGGCAGCTCTATGGGTGCATGCATTGGCAGCATGTGCTCCGTACTTACCAACGATGAGCTTTTCGTGCTACTCTCTGGTGATAACCTTCTCAATGCAATCAAGTCGGATCTGGAACTACTCAAGAAATGCGGCTACGGGAATATTGATCAAGATATGAATCTGGGTTTCTTACTGCAGAATGTTGTTCATCGAGGTTACTCGAAAGATGTGTTTCTGTTCATTAATTTCGTGAACAAGGTTGTAATCAAAGATCTTACATTCGAGGAAGCATTTCAACGAACAGGCAAAATTCTCAACATCATTGTACACCCCACGGATCGCAACAGATGCCCCTCGCTGCTGAATTATGTCACAACGCCAAACATTTTGATAGCTTCGGCAATTGACTGCAGTCTTGGTTCCGAAGTTGTCTCGAGAGGAACTAAGTTATTGTGCAAGAATTTAAAACATGAGATAGTCGACTATCTCCCTGACACTGGAGGTTGCCGGATTGTTTTCCTGACGCCTCAGAATGCCAGTGAAACTGGCCTGATCGAAAGTCCCTATACAAGACTGACAGAGCTCTTCAATGTCAATAACTTTATCGTGTCATTGGCCCGTCCTTACCTCGCTCCTTTGGTTATGAACGATTTAAAGCATGAGATCAAGACGTCGAAATATTATTATTACAAACACTATCCTACCACTGACATGAGTAATTTCACGCCACTGCAATTGTCCAATATGAACGAGGTGGAGCCTTTGGGATTCAAATTCAGGTACCATTTAGAACGTAAACTCAAGCATATTGCCACCATGGAATTCCGTCATCGGGTAGAGGTTCTAGACAATTTAGGGATTTTGAGTCATTGGATTAAAAGGCTGGCCATTGACGAGAAAACACCGCGGTCGGCCACCGAAATAACTATAGTGCCCAATATGAAAAGCCTTTCGCTTAGTAGGGTTATTGAGGGCCAACTTGACAATATTCCTTATTGGATTAAATGTGGAGAACAAAGCTGCTGGCCGGTTTTCGCTCTAATAAAGACCCGCTGTGCGGTAGAATTTGGACTTGACGAAATTATCAAGGCCAAAAAAAACATTTGAGGGGACTGAATGGCGGGCACGCGTCCTCATCAACGATAAAATAGCTTAGTAGTGTCCTTTTGAGTATGAAATAGATATTCATTTTCAGCAATGTCGATGGCAAGGTGCGAAGTCTCCGCTCCGCCTCTAGTGATTGTCAATGTTCCCGTGACGTCCTTGGCGCGACCTGTGGCCAGCGGTTTGATACCCAAGACAGCTATGCTTTTGAAAACGCAACCGGTCTGAAAGCGAATCTGTTCTATCAGGTCATGAGCCAAATGTTCTAAAGCTTCTGCTCCTGGGTTTTCGTGGGATTCGGTATAGCTCACGATCACCATGAGCGGCACAGCTCTTGCCAGCGGGTTAATGAAGTCTAGATGGAGCTCATCGCTGCTAACGTTGAGGAGATGCATAAGTAGCTCAGGCTGTTCCAAAAGAAGTAAGTCAGATTGCGATTGTGTGGACGTCAGTTCCTCGACCAACGATTTGAGAACTCTGCTAGCTGGTTTGCCATGATTTTTCAGGACAAAGTCTGTGAGGTAATCCTGTATTTGGTAGCTGGCAGGGTCAATCTTCAGTTTTCCCAAAGCAGTATGGAAAAACTCACTATCATGAATCCATGAGGCGATAGTGGCTGCCTTTCTGCGGCCGTTAGAACTAAATCCACTGCGTTGAACGGGCACTCGACTGCTAGCATGATTCACAGCGCTGGCGTGTGACTCGTTTAAACTAAGCGGAGACCCAAAAACCTGAGTTTCGATCAAAGCATTCATCAGCCACGAAGGAGAAGTTCCCAATTTGTGTGTGACGTAAATGACATGATGCTCGTTCTGCTGAAACAGGGCCTTGGTTAGTACTGAATGATCGCTAAAGAGCGAGAGCTCCTGTTTCTGAACGGCCGACATAATGAATTGAATCCTCTATACTTCTGATAAGACGTGAAAACAGAATAAGGTCTAGAAGCCTAAGATTTCTATCTCCAATTGATCGACTAATGGCTACTGAACACTATTCATCTGGTGATCAGATTATTGTCCAAATTCGACGTCATAATAGTTGAATTCTAAAACCTGTCCTGAGTTCGATCCTAGAGTGGATCCTTTATCTTCTTAAAGTTCATGTTAATTTACTGAAAAATTTTGTTTAATCAAGCTCATCTCTCTGCAATTGAAAACTGTTGAAGATAAATTCAAGTTTAGAGTCGACTAGACTATTGAAACCAGATCACCTACAATGCTCACCTTACCTGCCTTGACCGGGGACATCAGTGTCTTTATTAACTCCAAAGCCTCGAAGACCCCATCAGTTCGTCGTCCTGTTGAACCAGTGGGTCGCTATTTCATGCACCATGCTCAGAGAACTTTGAGAAACCACACCTGGTCCGAATTCGAGAAGATTCAGGCCAGCCTAAATGTGCAACGTGTTGACGAGTCCATTGACCCAGATGAGGCTTTGCTAGATGACGAACTGGCAGACGAATCGTTGCTAGAGCACGACCCAAGAGACTGGAAGACCGCCGACCTGTACGCTGCTATGGGTCTATCCAAGCTTCGTTACAAGGCCACTGAAGCCCAGATCATCAAAGCTCACAGAAAACAAGTGTTGAAGCACCACCCGGATAAGAAGTCGGCCTCTGGTGGTTTGGAGCAGGATGGGTTTTTCAAGATCATCCAAAAGGCTTTTGAAACTTTGACTGACTCTACCAAAAGATCTCAGTACGACTCCTGTGATTACAACGCCGAGATTCCTCCTCCAAAGAAGGGTTCCGACTACGACTTTTTCGAGGCTTGGGGTCCCGTTTTCGAATCTGAAGGACGTTTCTCTAAGAAGCAACCTGTTCCAGCTCTAGGTGGCGCAGACGCTCCAAAAGAAGAGGTTGAGAAATTTTACAACTTCTGGCACAGATTCGACTCCTGGAGAACTTTTGAGTTCGCCGACGAGGAGGTTCCAGATGACTCTTCCAACAGAGATCACAAACGTTACATTGAGAGAAAGAACAAGGCCGCCAGAGACAAGAAGAAGACTGCTGACAACTCTCGTCTTGCAAAGCTGATTGAGAGAGTGAGCTCCGAGGACCCGCGTATCAAGCAGTTCAAGGAGGCCGAGAAGTTGGAGAAAGAGAGAAGAAAGTGGGAAAGAGAAGCGGGCTCGCGTGCCGAGGCTGAAGCTAAAGCCAAGGCCGAAGCTGAAGCTAAGGCTAAAGCGGAGGCTGAAGCTGCTGCTGCTGCCAACGCCAAAGTCGACAAGAAGAAGGCCAAGGAAGCTGCTAAAGCCGCCAAGAAGAAGAACAAGAGAGCCGTGCGTACCAGTGCTCAGGCTGCTGAGTATTTCGGTGACGCTGACAAGGCTGCTACCATCGACGAACAAGTTGGCCTCATTGTCGACACCGTGGACGATGAGCAACTGGTTGCACTAGCCGAGAAGATCAAGGGCGACGTCAAGGCTGCTTTGACTGAAGTTGCTCAATCCTTGGTCGAATCCAAGAAGCTTCCAGCTTCTTTACTATCTTACTTCGTCTAAAGATACTGTAGGGTGCGTTTGAAGTTCTAAATAAAGTTATAGAAGACACCATCAAATATCTTTAAGAAAGGACCGGAAATTTTGGATGGCTTACTCGCGATACTGAGTGCTAAAAAGGTAATTTCTATTACGTGAAGAAGGTATGTTGTATTGGAAGATAACTATTCTGGAAATCCTATGTAATTCTGAGCCTTGGTGACAAGAATGTGTACAAAGTAGTATTAAAGAATTTCTTCGCATACAAATTTAGCAGTGTCGAAGCTTTGCGTAGATACAAGAAGCTATCCTCAACGCACTGAATATAGGAGAGAGATCGGTGGAGAACGGACGTGGTTTTGGCAGAGCCATCGCGTCACAGCTAGAGAAACCTCTAAAACACGAAGAGACGACACGTTAGTAAAAAGTGATATAAAGCTCTTTTTGCTGCATCGTAAAAACCATGAACAGTGACAATGGTTCCAAAACCTCACATCAGTGGTGAAGAGTGGTGCTGTTATTTCGACATCGTATCTTATTGTCCACAATCACCATTTAACGACTGCTTGAACGATGAATTTATGGGCACAGCGTCTTTTACGTAACTAGTGATCTTTCCCGACAAGTACTCTTTCATGTACTCATTAAGTCGTCTGCCAGGACCCAGAAAAAAGTCCATTTGTCGTACTTTGATCTTCATTATGATGCTGTCCTATAAAACTGAGGGTCTCATAGTGTTCCAAAGGCGAAACAATCCGTTTAATTTGACCCAGAAAGCTATTGTGCCTCTTTTCCCAGCTTAATTGAGTCATGTCATTCAGAGGAAATTCCAACTTTGCTGGGATTCCCACCGCTCATCAAGGGTATAAGCATAATGGCAACATGAGGTCTCAAGGTACTAGTCCTGCTGCCTTCAAGCAAAATGCTCTTCGCGAGCTAGACAGGCTTTCTAGTAAAGTGGATGACCTGACAGATCACTCTCTGGTGCAGCGGGTGAAACCTTACGTGCCCGCTTTGTCGCGATTTTTCATCGTGGCCACATTCTACGAGGACTCGTTTCGCATCATCTCGCAATGGAGCGATCAGGTCTTTTTCTTGTGGAATTACAGACACTTGCCGTACTTTTTCGTGGTTCTCTTTTTGCTCGCTGTCGTGACTGCGATGTCCGTTGGGGCCACAATGCTTGTGCTGCGCAAGAGACTGTTAATTGCAACCGGCACTCTGTGTACATGCATTGTACTCCAGGGTCTTGTTTATGGGCTATACGGAGCTTCTTTCATTTTGCGTAATGTGAGCGTCATTGGGGGCTTACTGATCGCTCTCAGCGACTCGATTGTGCAGAGCAAAACCACCTTTGGTATGCTTCCGGAATTGAACAACAAAGACGGAAAGACCAAGAGTTTTGTCCTGCTTGCGGGAAGGCTGCTTTTGGTGGTGTTGTTTATCACTTTTACCTTCAGCAAAAACTGGTTCACGGTGCTCTTGACTATTCTTGGAACCATTTGCATTTCGGTCGGATTCAAGACCAAACTGGCCTCCATTCTGCTGGGACTTATTTTGACGTTCTACAATATCACGGTCAACAACTACTGGTTTTACGATAGCAGCAAGAGAGATTTGCTAAAATACGAGTACTTCCAGAACCTGAGCATTATTGGAGGTCTCCTGCTGGTGGTGGCAACCGGAGCTGGAGAACTATCCATAGATGAAAAGAAGAAGATATATTGATTGCGCCAAAACGCCCGCCGTTTATATATCCGGTACAATAAGGATCTCGAAATATCTGTATTTAAAGCCATTTGTTCACCGTATCGGTGACCAGACAGTAGACGTAACAGAAAATGTACGCCCTGTGTTCATGTGTAGGAACCACTGGACCCTTTTAAAATCTAATGTCAATTTTCATAAACTGAACATGTATTTATTACGTATGACATTGAACAACTGTGACAAAATGGGTGATTTGTGGAGAAGGTGCCAGTGGAACAGACCATATTATTGGCCAATTTCCACGATGCTAGCCTTACTGACATTCAAACACTTGCCAGGTCGTCTCGTCCAACATCGAATTTTAGTTTGTGAGCTCATTGCTTACATAATACATAAGTGTTACTGCTAATACGTACCCAGTGATACTTCCGAACCAAAATGTCAAAGGGGAAACCTCATAATTGGTCTTCTGAATTAGAGCTCTTCCGCCCCATTGAACAACCCAGCAGCGCTGAAAGCATCTCAACCCAAACCTGCGTTTCAAGCTTTTTAAGATGGGAGGTATTTTAAAAAATCCGCTGCCAGATCAAAATGGCAACCTTGAAGATTCTGAGTCAATTTCGGACTTCAGAAAGCAAGTCTACAAGAACACACAGTTGAACGCACAGCTTAACTCCAAGCACAGTAGCGATAGAGGTGACCTGCCACTGTCACCGAAGAAGCACTCGATTCCCAAGGACGTTTTGAGCTTGAAACACGAGCATGACACGCAACTACAACACGAAGAGGAAGAAAAACTGAAATGGAACCAGCAAAATCTGGACGAAAACGACGTTGCCAAGCTGCAATACCAGGATATAAACATCGACGAGCCTAAGACGCCGTACCAGGGGGCCGTAGACCCTTCTGGCGAGTATTACAGGGATGACGAGGAGGAAGAGGAGCTCGAAAGCTTGTCCCTTGGGGATCCCGTTGTCGCACCAAAAGAGGAAGAAGAAGAAGACGGAGAGGCAATGGAGGAAGCCAGTGACAGCGATCAGAGCTCAGAGGAGTCACCGGAGCTGGATCAAGACTCCAAAGAAGCTCGTCACAAACGCTTCGAGGCCATGAGAAAACAACACTACAACGTAAAAGAGGCTTTAAATGCACGGAAAGACGAGGATTCAGACGAAGACGAAGAATAAATAATAACGAGACAAATACCAGCGGCTTCCAAGGCTGCCACCTAACGCCTAAGAACAGTTACCAGTAATGTCATTTCAAACATCATACTGTGTACTTCACCGCTTTTTATACGAACTCCCGCCTGGAAGAATTTTTTGAATATTGAGTATCGATGAGATGAGCAGACAGACAGACATAGGTGATCCAAGCGGATAAAATAGGTCGTCTACAAGCGTTGGGTCTGTTTAAGATGGTTTTGAAACGCAGTGGGAACAATGCGGGAAAGGGTAAGTCTATTTCCCGAAAATCTAGCACAACCAAGCCCTCAAAAGCGTCGACTACGAAAGATGTCAGGAAATCGCAGACGGTTAAGAACAGTGATTCTAAGCAAGTAAAAAGGCCCAAAAAGACTCTCAAAATAATGTCCAAGAGCGTCAATTACTCGCTGTGCATTCCTGTGAGCATCATAGACAACTGCAAGAACCTTGAGCAAATCACGCATGTGGTGTACCAGGTTGCCAAAAGTGCAGTTTTGTTCAATGCTGGGGAGATCGTCGTGCTAAATCTGGGTCGTGACTCTGATAAAAGCTCCGCGATTGGTGGTGGCTCTCAAAAATTATCGCCATCGCTTCTGATAGCCTCTCTTCTACAATTCTTTGTTACACCTCCATATCTGGTGAAGTCGGTGTTCAAAAAAGACTACCAGCGATGCCTGCAGATTGCATCGAAGCTGCCGCGAATTTCTGCACTACCGTTTATGCGATACTCGAACGATGACCAGGGACGCTATCGCGAAGGACTGGCAGTCACTATGGACAAACCGGGACAACGCAGTTCGAAGACCGGTAGCAAGCAAAAGGCGTACGATCAGACCAAATACGTTAATGTGGGCAAAAAAGAAATGGTCGAGCTTCGAGGCCAGCTTGTGCCAGCCAATGTTCGCGTTACCGTGGACATTGTAGAACGCAAAGTTGTATCGCCAACGGAGGCCTACGGCGACTTTGTGGGAGCTCAGGCGTCTTTTGGCTACCACGTTCGCGTGGCTCGGAATTTTGGCGATATTTTTATGAAAAGCGCCTTGCCAGAGGGCTACACCCAGACCGTGTGGGTGAATAGTGGTGACTTCTATTTCAATTCTGAGGTTCCCAAAAACGTAAAGCTGGGAATCAAGATACCGCGCATAGAGAAAGTTCTGAAGCCTACAGTCGAGGAGATTGCCAGTGGAGAGGCCGAAAAACCTGCCAACATGATGGTTGTATTTGGCAAGTGGGACCACTTGTCGCAAAGCTTCAAGCAGTGCAGTGACATGTTCGAGCAGTGCGAGGGCGCCCATCAATTTTTCGACGGCCAGCTGCAGCTACCTGGTGCTGTTCCCGAGGCCAACCTTGCAATTCATGACGGTTGCATGATCGCTCTAACACTACTTTCGAGCTTGTGATTGCATGACCTTTCCTGTGAAATAGAATAAATTGCACGTAGCGTAGCATAGAAACAACGGTTGAAGTTAGTAAACAAGTCCAAGAAAGCGAAAAAAGAACATCAAATAGCGCTACAAAGGTTGCTGACAAGATGTTGCTTGTGCTGGAAAGGTGGTAGGACAACCGGGTCGTGAAGCAGCTGCTATCTCTTTTCTCACGCATCTCTCTGAGTCCGCATCAGCAGCGAAGCAGCTAGTATCGTAGTATCGTAATTGCCCTCAGGTTTCGATACTGTGTTTCATTACAATAAACAAATGGGCACCAGCACAAGATGTTTATTAGTCTACATTTTCAATTTTACTTCGATGCATCTTGCGTCTTCCGGTGGGCATATCTCGCATTGGGATGTCACTTAAAATTCAAAATATCTTATGGAATAATCATATTTTGCAGAAGATCCGGAAACGCTTAAGGTCTAGAGGCCACCTACCAAGCTGACATCAGTGTCAGTGTTACTTCTCTCCTCTGTATATTTATTATTAGTTGCCGAGTACGCTCTACTAGGACTTCTTCCTTACCATCGAAATAAAGAAATGTGAAACTATGGAAGGTGGAAACAAACTGGAAACAAATGGGAAACAAGGTGAATAAGAACTATTTAGTCAACAGAATGAATTTTGCGAGTTGTCTCAGATTATGTGTCGCCATAAACCGCAAGCTAGGAATACACAGACAAGAAAACAGCTTTATTCGATTTTGTTTGAAATAATGAATAAATCAAAAATCAACCTCCCTCAGCACAGAGAATCTAATTTCGTGAATTTTTTCGGCAACAAGGTAAAACGTAAATTTTAGAAGCTTGAGGAAATGTTCAACGCATCAAAGTTTGATCCTTTTTCACTTGAATCGATATCATCGGTTCGTGACGTCGAGATCGAGCTGTTTCTACCATGAAAATTTCATCACGTCAAACGAATATAATACATAAAATTTTTCCCGAGCGTAGTTAGGAAGGATATATTTAGATCTACAAAACTAGAACTTTACTCGATTCAATACACATTTCGGTCCGAATTCAGCATCGCATAGCTGTCCTGAGACAAGTTAACTTTAGACCAGATCTTGCTTATAAGATCAGAAATATTTGAGATATACTGCTCGATTACATTCGCTCAGAGTTAACTTAGTTTTCCGCCCTAAAAAACCAAGTATGAAGCTCGCTACAATCGCTTCCATCGCCGCTGCTGCGTCCTGTGCCTCCGCCATTGGCGAACTGGGCTTCAACATCGGAGTCAAGAATAACGACGGTACTTGCAAAAGCACCCAGGACTACGAAAGCGACTTCAACGTCTTGAAAAGCTACACCAACACCGTCAAGGTGTACGCTGCGTCCGACTGCAACACATTGCAAAACGTTGGTCCTGCGGCCGAAAAGGCTGGTTTTGGCGTCTTCGTGGGTGTATGGCCCAACGATGACGCCCATTACGCGGCCGAGAAAGAAGCTCTGCAGAACTACTTGCCCTGGATCAAGTCTTCCACCGTACGTGGTATCTTGGTCGGATCTGAGGCCCTATACCGTGGCGACCTAACTGCTTCCGAACTTTCCGACAAAATCAATGATATCCGTGATTTCATCGCCGACATCAAGGACTCGGAGGGCAACTCCTACTCTGGCAAGGCCGTCGGTACCGTCGACTCCTGGAACGTCCTAGTCGATGGCGCCAACGCCGAAGTCATCAAGTCCTCCGATTTGATGATGGCAAACGCCTTTTCATACTGGCAAGGCCAGACCATGCAGAACGCCTCTTACTCGTTCTTCGACGACATCATGCAGGCCATGCAAACCATTCAGACCACCAAAGGTGCTGACATTCCTTTCTGGGTTGGCGAAACCGGCTGGCCAACGGACGGTACCAACTTCGAAAGCTCTTACCCAGGTGTTGAAAATGCTCAGCAATTCTGGAAAGAAGGTATTTGCGCCATGAGAGCTTGGGGTGTTGACGTTCTTGTATTCGAAGCCTTTGACGAGGACTGGAAGCCTAACACCTCCGGCACTTCCGATGTTGAAAAGCACTGGGGTGTATGGTCTTCTGGTGACAGTTTGAAGTACTCTTTGGACTGTGACTTCTAAGTATGCATCAGATGGACGTATGGCTCGAAACAAATAAGAAAACTACGATACCCTTTCATGACCCAGATTGCCTCCGGCACCACTGCAAAAAGTACATACGCTGAATAGAATCTTTTTAACAGTGACCAATGCTACCTGGTCACTTTGAAGAAATTCAAACACTTTGCCGTTCCTGTGCTGATCTTGCATCACCTTTGGCAGGTAAAGATTTTTTTCCAGTACGAGGTTTCGCTCAAGGCATCTTAAATAACTACTGACCGTAGGTGCGATGTCTTCCATGGATTGTGATTTCAACTGTGCAAGAAATTAATGAGACAGAGGAGAGCATATGCAGCCATTGAGCTGTGAGTCTTTAGAAAGAATTAAATAGTATTTTAGCTTGGTCGAAAATAGTCGTCGCACAGCTGAAAAGGGCTCAACTCCGCAAATTCGGAGCAAATCGTTTGATGTGAAGTGTGTATCATATGTCGACAAAAGCAGAGATCACAAACGTCAAGACTTAACCTATATTCTGCTGTTCGGGCTCTTAGCGAGCTTGACTTCATGGACATAAGGATTCTTTTCCTGGGCTATTCAAGCAAAGCTCATCGATATGTGCATTCATCGCTAACTAAAAAGCTCCGGGATTTGAAAGATGGACAGGAAAACATTCATCCCGGTGGTTGTGTGCCATGATGGTGCCGAAACACGTTTTATATGAAGAAAGGCATGCAATCACCTTGTCCAATCAGGTAAGGCTCCTACCACAAACCAAACTTCCTTGACTTTAAAAAATGCTTTACGGATGAAAAAACCAATAAGATGTTCCTGAGAATCTTTGACCCTCTACAAGAACATGCTATTTGTCGGATTATTAGCGGCAGCACCATGTAACTTCACGAGTATCAACCGATCACCAGTGTCGTCATTGGTTTATCTAGTCCTGTCATCTGTCGTTGGGTGACATGACTTTTGACTATACACAATTATACAACTGAAGCTCAGCATAAAGCGCGACGGATCTTTGCGTCACCAGTATGGTCATCAACAAGGATGGTTAAATGATGTTCAGCTTTCTGTATAGCAAGTTCATTGCCAGTCAATTGGCGAAGCCTGCGTTTTTCTCATATTGTCTGTTTCTAGCCAGTTATGTGTAAAAACCAGATTTTAAATTAAGGGACAAACACTCGCTTTACCAACTTACTTCTTAGGAACATAAACATAGTCGTCGATCCGCTGAAACGTGCTACTATGTATCATCAAAATGCCCTTTTTGTAGTCTGTGATTGAAAATATGGAACGGGATTCCCCTCTAGGGCTATGCGCATGCGCTAAGGCATTTTAGCCGCCTACCTCGTGGAACATCGAGAAAGGTTGCCAGTCATCATAAATGGGTATAAGAATGCAAGTGTACTGAACATGAGTCGCTGCAGCTCCCTTCCGAGGCTCCATGGAAAGAGAATCTTGACGATTCTCTCAAAACAATAGAGATCGAGACGCAGTTTGACGCTCAAGCACCCTTCAAAGTGCTCGAATTGAGAAACATACAACTTACAGTGACATTATATCCACCTGCACAGCTCTTCAGAAAGCTCACCTGTCGGTTCTCATACTTCGTTCAGGGCTTGTTTGACCTGACACCTAGAACGACCGACCACTTTACATAGCAAGGTCAACAAAAGTTCCATTTTTCAAACCCCCAAGGCGAAGGGATTGCTGAGCTATCCACACTGCTACTTCCTCAGAAGTTGCATCGCGGACAGAGAGGTTTCCTGCCCTTACCCAAAATCTTCTAGTTGAACATCTACCTGGGTGAGTGAAGGCGGGACTCGATAATTATCGCTGACGAGTACTCCAGTACTCGCCATCTAGCATTTCTCACGTCCTACGACTAGGCCGTCTTTCCTCATAGTGAAAAATTTTCCATACTTTGGTGCTCCTCAGATACAACGAACAATAGCGAAAAAAACCTCTATCCCATCACTGATCATCACTGAATTTGAGCTCTTACTTAAAACTGGGAAACCAATTGAAAAGGGCAGACCGAGTGTTGGAACAAGATATACGCTTTAATTGGCTCGACATTGCACATATTAGCTGAAGCCAAACTGCTCCATATCTAATCATGTCCAGATTCTTTGCAAACTCGTACGAATACGAGAGCGGGTCGTCCTCGTCTGAGGAAGACCTTCTTTCAGCCTCCGAAGAAGAGCTAATGAGCTCTTCTTCGTCCGATAACGAAGATCTACAGGAGTCGCAAGACGAGGAGTCTGACGACTCTTTCTTTGACGAGTCTGCGTCGGAATCAGATGTGGATTCTGACGATTCAGATGGCAGGCCATATGGTCCCGACTGGTTCAAGAAACCAGAGTTCCGTAAAGGAGGTGCCACTGGCGCGAACCGTTTCCTCAAAAACGCCGACTACTCGGACTCAGAATCAGATGACGAGGGCAAAAAGGTGGTTAAGTCTGCTAAGGACAAACTGCTGGACGAAATGCGCAGTGTTCACGACAAGATCGACGTGGCTGAGATGACCCAGGACTTTGTAACCGTTCTCAGCGAGCTCGACACCATGACAAGACTCGTGACCAGAGCTCAGCAACAAAACTACGGTATTCCAAATGTCTTCATCCAAGTTCTTGCCCAAGTCGAGGATGCTGTTGCCGCTACGTCGCAGCAAGACATCACAAACAAGGCTGCTGCCAGAGCTTACAACACCACTAAGCAACGTGTTCGTAAGATAGCGCGTGACTACGAGGAGATCATTGCCAAGTACCGTGAATTCCCTGAAGCGTTCAGCACTGAGCCCACCGAGGACGGTGCCGCCGCGCAGGACAACTTTGCAGTTTCGTCTTTCGCTTTGGCCGGAAAGAAGGCTGCCGATTTGTCTTCTATCGCCACTGCAACCTCTGAATCTGACTTTTTTACCGCCTTGCGTATTGTCATCGACTCCAGAGGTAAGAAGGGTACCGATCACCAGGCACAAATTAAAACTTTGGAAGAACTGTTGGATATTGCCAAGAGTCCCTACGAAACCATTCTTGCATACATCAATTTGATTTCATTCAGATTCGACTCCTCAGCAACGCTTTCTTACCAACCTATAGATCAGTGGAAGGCCTCCCAGCGTGATATCGCCAAGCTTTTTGATATTCTAGAAGCCCATGTTGGTCAATACCATGTCTCTGAATTTGCTTCCAGAAACGACTTCATAGAGGATGAACCTCAAACTAATGAGCAAGGAGTTAAAGAGATCCTTGGGTCTGTGTACTCCTTCGTGGAAAGACTGGATGACGAGTTCAACAAGTCTTTACTGAACACAGATCCTCATTCCAGCGATTTCCTAGATCGTCTCAAGGATGAGCAAAGCGTTTACAATTTGATCTTAAGATCGCAATTGTATCTAGAGGCAACTACAACAGTTCAAGCAGACCTTCAGAAGAGGTTGGCTCGTGTTCTTATCAGAAGACTTGATCACATTTATTACAAATCTAGCAAACTAGTTGCGATTACTGAAAGCAAAGCATGGAGGAGTTTGCGTCAAGACTCCAAGTCTGAAGTGACACCTTTGGGTGAGGAAGTCAACGAAGCCTATGTTTTCAAGCTCATTGACACTTTGCATCAGATGTTGTGCAACCAGAAGGATGGTTCTCAACGCAAGAGAGCCGCGCTGTACCAAATCTATTTCTATGCCTTGAACAACGAGTTCGAAAAAGCAAAAGAAATGCTGCTTTCGTCTCACGTTCAGTCTTCCATCAACTACTCTGACCCACCTTTGCAAATCTTGTTCAACAGAGCTGTTGTTCAGCTAGGTCTTGCTGCATTCAAACTGTGTTTGATTGATGACTGTCATCAGATTTTGAACGAGGTTTCGACCAGCACGCATTTGAGGGACATTCTCGGTCAGCAAAGTCTACAAAGGGTTGCAAACAACAACGCCTTCAGTAATACGTCAGTTCCAAACGAGCAACTATGCCTGCCATTCCATCAACACATTAACCTCGATTTGATCGACGTTGTGTTTATGACATGTTCGTTGCTCATCGAAGTGCCTCATATGGCTGCCTTCTTTTCTGGCATAAAAGTCAAGAGAATTCCATACTCTCAGAAATCCATCCGTCGTGCCCTAGAGCACTATGACAAGTCCAGTTTCCAAGGTCCACCTGAGACTTTGAGAGACCGTGTCTTGTACGCTGCCAAAGCCATGCAAAGAGGAGACTGGGAAGTTTCGGTGTCATATTTGAATTCTATTCCAACCTGGTCCATGTTGCCTAACACCGAAGAAATGCTTGCCAACCTAACGCAAAGAGTTCAAGTTGAATCGCTAAGGACTTACATTTTCACATACAAAAGGTTCTACTCCAAACTTTCGGTCGAAAAGCTTTGCGAAATGTTTGGCCTAGCCTCAGAAAAGGTGGTTGAGGTTGTGACCACGATTATTACCGACTTTGACATGCGTGCTGCTTTGGACGAAGGCTCCAAATACGTTGTGTTTGAAAAGGGCTTTGAAATTACCAAGTTGGAAGAAGTGGCCGTTAAGCTGGCCAAGGAGACCAAGTACGTTAGCGAACGTCTAAATGAAAAGAAATATGTTGGAAACACTCGCAGACAGGAGTAAGAAGAGAGCTGCTGAAAATCTTGTATAGTATATATCCCGCGAAGCAGTACAAACAAGCCTAGATATCGAATAGCCAGTAATAGCCACATATCATCATCTTTTTATCAAATCCCAAGGCAAGGCATTAGATCTCTCTAGCCAGTGTTAAAATAAGATTATTTGTTTTGTGTTGCTTGCACACTCACTAGGGCAAGTTTTTTTAATACTACAGTTAATTTATTAAGTAGATTATATGCTTAGCAGAGATGTGACAGCCACACTAGGCGCTGGTGCGATCCTTTTTGACAGGACAGTATTTATACTTTGGAAACACCTGGTGGTGGTGTTGCTTTTCGATTTGCGAGAATTCAACGAAACGTTGCTTGAATTCGTGCGGTTCCGTATTCCACATCAAAGTGATGACTTGGGCTACGTCGGTTTGATTAGCAAATTTGGGATCTACGGGCTTCAGCCCGGCATCTGGATTATTTTCGTTAATGGGCTCATACATGGTGGATTGAATTGCCGCGCGCACAACGTCGCAATCGATCTCGACGGGCAGATTGAAGGGAAGTTCTATATCTTGGACCACGCTGCCCACGACTGAGAGCAACTGCGACTCGGCGAGTTGCGGATAATGACGTGACAGGACTTGACAGGTGTCGGTGACAACGCTGCAAACCTTAAGAATGGCAACGGCCTTCATGAGTGCCGACCGGTACAGCATAAAACTGTTGAGCGGACGCTTCATTTTACCCTCTATGAATTCGTAGTACTTGTTTTTGCGTCTACGGTCGTCACTTTCACGAAGCAGCGACATGTGCCGTAATTGCAAAAGGTCGCAGTCCCACTCTGAGAGCGTGGAGTTTTCGGTGGACGAGGCCGTGAAATTGTTGTAGCCGCTACTGGTGCGGACCTCGACGGCCAGTAGGCCGGGTGCCAGTGCAGAGGGGGAGTTTTGAGCGCGCAATTCGTCGAAAACGGTCAATCGCGGGATCTGCTTGACCTGACATGCCGTGTTGCGGGGTTTTTTTTGGTCCAGCCACAAGGATGCGTTGACAACATCGAGATCGCGGGCTTGCAGTGCGTGAAACAGGCTGTCGTCGTTGTCGTAGAGCCCGGGCACGCGCGCGCGCACGTGCTCCCGTGCCAGGATCGCGATTTTCTCTCGTACATAGTGCTGCGAGAACAGTGCCAGCACGTGATCCACCACGGCCTCCGCGGAACCGGTTCCGGTGCTCTTGTACTTCTGCACGAACCCGTTCGCGATGAGGTCGCGGCGTTCGTGCGAGATGCGCGCGATCTGGAGCCAAGCGTTTTGGTTTTCCACACTGTTTTTCGGCTGTCCACATTGCATTGCCAGCTGGGCGTGGGCCACGTATTTGTAAACGGGCGCGGCCGTGACGGCCGCGCTCCACGAGTGGGAACGGCCCGTGGCCACTCTGGACGACGACGCCACTAACGACGACGCCGCCGACGCACGTGACGCACGTGACGCCATTCGCGCCGGACTCGAGGTCTTGGCCGCCACGGCCGAGGCGCGGCGAAACCCGAGTCTCGGACGCACCAGCGTCTTGGCTGGCGCACTTACAAGGCGAATGTGACAGCTTTGACTTTCATTGTCGCTGGGCGGTGCGGTGCTGGTGTAGTAGTTGTGCTCGCCTGCGACGTTGGCAAACTCCGGCTCGAGCGAGAGCTCCATCATCATGGACGACGACGACGCGGACGACGACGACGACCGCGTGGACGCCGACAGTGCGGGGCACGGGTGTTGGGATTGTGACAGCAGCTGCGGTGGCAGTTGTTGCCGTGCTAGATCTTCCCAGGCCAGCGGATCAAGACTCTCGACGGCTAGCGCGTCCGGAAGCCCCGACGAGAGCCAGTGGAGATCGTTGCCGTCGCCGACGAGCGGGTCCCACGTGGGCTCGAAGGACCACGTGCTGGAGAACATTGTGGGTGTGTGGGTGTGTGGGTGAATGCTGTTTCTATAAATAGCGCTAGTGCTATTGCTGCTGGTGGTGTCTGGGTGCACTCTTGTTTCCACTCTTCTCTTTCCCCACCTATTTTTTTTTGCCCCCCTCCGCCGCTGACACAGTGACCTTTTTTTACCCCAACGTTGTGCTGCCCTTATATACTTGGCAACCGCTATAACGAGAACCCATTGCCGTACGACCAAAGTGGAAAGCTCCGTTCCGCGACCGTTTGCGGACTTATATGTGCGCGGGAGTGTGGGCGGAGATGTGCGTATGTGCGTAAGAGGCCGTATTTCTTGGGGTTTTTGCGGCTATTTGCGGAGCTGCATGTGCGCTCGCTGCTCAGAGATTGTGGTGTGTGGTTAATGTATAAATGTGACTCGCGCCAGCGCACGCACGCGGCGCCCCTCCGTGGAGTTGACTTAGGCAGGAGGAAAATAGGCAGACTTTGATGCTACCGGACAAAAGCAATTGAACAATTGAGAGCGAAGCACTACTGAACAACTGTGAATACGTTGGGTACTCGTTCTCGAGCGCTCTCACTTAGAATGGCGACAAGCGCTACCAGCACTCTTAGAAAACGTAAAACTCGTAGTACACTGAACAACTGTGAATACGTTGAGTACTCGTTTTCGAGCGCTCTTAGGATTCCCCTCGCGCCATCACCGTGGGGTATTACAGTAGACGTCCTTTTTTTTGCAGGTTTAGAGCGAATTTCGCATTTCGCTATATGCGATTGGGACATTGTGTGTGGTCTTGGGAGAGTGAGGTAGCTGGTGCTCTAAAACGCTGAGTGTTCATTGCAAGCAGTTTTTTGGGTTTTGCTGTCGCCTGTGGGGGGACGGGGTGCAGTTGTAAGTGGGGGAGGGGGTGTACTCGTAAGTGGGGGAGGGGTTGTACTCGTAGTGTAGTCGTAAGTGTAGTCGTAAGTGTAGTCGTAAGTGTAGTCGTAAGTGTAGTCGTAAGTGTACTCTACACTGCTTTCAAAAATACCAAGACTCATGGACAACGACACTGAAGGCTGCCAACAGCATGATCACGATATTGAGACCTTAAAGGCCTCTTCTCTACAATTGTAGAATTGATCAAAGTTCAGTACTATTTAACTATTTCTCGTCCAGTAGTATTATTAAATATTTTTCGTCCAGTATTATTCGTCTTCTAACCAATCCCTTTCTAATCTTTCAACTCTCTTTGCGAAGATTTGATGTCCTTTCTGGAAATTCCTGATCTACCACACATCTCTGTAAAAATACCATTCATGTCATACAGGGCGCCAGGCGTATCGAATTCGGCAACCTCTCCCTTTTCTAACACCAGAATCCTGTCGTAGTCTAAGATAGTGTTCAACCGATGTGCAATACACAAAATGGTGCAATGCGAAAAAGCTTGTGCAATACGTGTCTGAATTTTTGCATCGGTCTCGTAATCAACAGAAGAGGTCGCTTCATCTAAAATGAGAATCTTGGATTGTCTCACCAAGGCCCTCGTCAAAGCCAAGAGTTGACGCTCACCTAACGAGTAATTGCTACCGTCCTCCTCTACTTCTTGATCCAAGTGGAACTTGTGCAAGGAACTCAAGGTGCCCTTTTTGTCATAAATTTGAGCGCGAACTTCGGACTCCGATTCGGGGCTAATAGCCCCACTCTGGACTAGGGCATCCCAGAGCTCGTCATCGGTACGTTCGCCAAATGGATCCAGATTCTTTCGCACGCTTCCTCTAAACATCACCGGATCTTGTGGGATGATAGACAATTTTGATCTCAGATCGAAAAGACCTAGAGTAGATATATCTATGCCGTCAATAAAGATTCGACCCTGTTGTAGCTCGCATATTCTGTAAAGAGCACTCATTATGGTGGATTTACCGGCACCAGTTCTTCCACAGACACCAATCTTTTCACGACCGCGGATCTGCAAATTAACATTTTTCAGTACCACTGGTAGACCTGGTCTATAAGCAAGACTGACATCTTCGAATTCCACTGTTCCCTCGGACGGCCACTCAGCTGGTGGGCTCAATTCAGGTCTACGATAATCGGCCTCGAGAGGCAATCCTGTTGCGTATGCAATCAGTCTTTCAGTACTGTTCATGTCGTTCTCACCTTGTGTCATAGCTCTTAGAAGAGAATTCAATAAGCCTGGTAGTTGGAGCACATACGTCAGCAGCACACCTACAGAAGCAGCTGATATGTGGAACTGACGCGTAACGCACAGCAAAGTGATGATCAGGGCGAAGCTCATCGCAATCATATCAAGGGAAATAGAAACCCATCTTTGCAACGCAACCACCAAGTAACCCGCTTCGTTCATTCTGTCGATCAGAAAGTCAGACTTTCTATAAAAGCGCTTTTGATTTCTGTATGCACGAATGGTATCCATTCCACCTAGCACTTCATTGAAATTGTTGTAAACGTGTGATCTCTGAAGCGCTTCCAGTCTTTTAATTTCTCTAGTGGAGCTTTGATAGTGATCAGCAACTGCTACAAAGGTCAACACCAGGAACGGCACGGCAATAGCGAACCAAGGCAAGTAAATGATGCACATGATCATAACCCCGATGATGTTTGAAACTTGGTAAACAAATAGTCTAACACTTTCAGTAAGCTCTGAGTCCACTGTATCGGTGTCCTTTGTATATCTGTTGAGAATTCTTCCAATAGGAGTTGTGTCAATGAATGACATCGGGGTATGTAGTAACCGTTTCACAGCCTTCAAATTAAGCCACTTAGCTGCTGTCACTCCAATATAGCATAGCAAGGTAAACTGACCTGTCGTGCAAATATAATTGAAGAAAACAAAGAAAGTGTACATTCCCATATAAAATGGTGTTTTCTTGTTTTTGAATTTCATCTCTGTCCAAAATGACAGCCATACCGATGAAAACAAAAGGGTGAATGTGGAAAGCGCCAGTAACAGGATGTATAGAGGCAGCAGGAAAAATCCCTTTTTACCCACACCAGCTGAGATATATTCCTTGTAAACTTTTAGACTGATCGAATTAACTGCACGTTCTTCTTTCATGGTTAGTCGTCCATCAGCTTGAGGCTTGTTGTCGTCTTGAAGTTGAGACCTTTTGCTTAACTGTTTTTGTAATTCGGCATTGTCCTTCTCGCTTTGTTGGCGGTCAACGACAGGGCGGGAAGCATTAGGAGCATTTTTAGGTGTATCTTCTTCAGTATCAGCGTGGTTTGAATACTCCATTAAATTCACAAATCCAGCGTGTCTTGATTTCAAAGCTTCCACAGTGCCAACGTCAACTGACCCGTCGATATCGATAAAAATGATTCTAGACGCTCTGGAGATTAAGCTCAGTTGATGTGTTGCAAGTATTCTGGTCTTCCCTGCAAGCATTCCGGTCAAGCACTCATCCATAATGTGTTTACCAACACGAGCATCGACGGCACTTAAAACATCATCAAACAAATAAATATCCATTTCCTTGTACACAGCTCTGGCCAAGTTGATACGAGCTTTCTGCCCACCTGACAGTGTAATTCCTCGTTCACCGATTTCGGTCCTGTCACCAGCAGGCAAAAGATCCAAGTCAGCTTGCAATGAACAAACACGGATAACATTATTGTATCTGGCCTCGTCAAAGGGGGATCCGAACAAAATGTTATCCTTTACCGTCGCGTTCTGCACCCATGGGTAACCGCATAGCAGCAATGAACCGTCTTTGTAAATGTTTCCGCTGATTTTTCTCATAAATCCTGAAAGAGCGCTTAGAAGAGATGATTTTCCAGTACCTACTGCACCTGTGACAATAACAAGCTCGCCCTTTGCAATATCGAAATTCAAATTATTAAAGCCCTTGAATTGAACATTGGGAGTTTCACTTGAGGAGGAGGAGTCGTTCTTTATAATTGATTCTTCGTCCTCAGAACGCTTTTCGGGAGCTTTTTTATTGCTACTCTTTAGCTTTGCTTCATCAAGCTGAGTTTTAAGATTGGCTTCTTCCTTAGCTTCTTCAACCTCAAAGTTTTCCCATTCGAAGGATGCGTTTTCCAATTTGAGAGCAAGCTTCTCATCATCCATCGGTAAAGTATCTTTCTCGATGTCCTGATCCTCTTCACTAGCTTGTAAGACTTCTTGAACACGGCCTAATGCAATCGAACCGTCGACAGCGGTACCCAAAGCCATAGGTAGAAAGAACATTTGAATACTCAGCACCTGGAAGAGCGACAATGACGAGAAAATGTTGGCCGGGCTTCTACCGCCATTGTTCACTTTGTACATGGCCAAAAATGTGGTCATTGAGGCCAGATTTGTTAGACAGACAGCCAAAGCAGTGACAAAGTTCCGAGTGAATTGCATGTAACGAGTTTTACGAATTTCTCTAGAACGAATATCCTGAACATTTTGTTCGTAAGCGTCTTCCCAAGCGTAAAACTTTATCATCTTCATACTGTTCAGGATTTCCCGCATCAAGGTCACTCTTGCATCCGTAAAAACATTGGTCGCTTTACGGACTTTGATAAGTGACTTGAAAGCCATTGTAGATAAAAACCCTGCAGCGAAGAAAACGCCGACACCAACAAGGGCAATAGCGCCCAAATTCACAATCAAAAGAACAATACAGATGATCACTGCCACGAAAAATGCGCCAATCAAAGGTTGGAACATGATGGCCAATTCTAGTCTGGATAAATCAGTGGACATAATGGACGTAATTTTACCATTGGGGAACTTGTGCTTGGAGTAGCTGGAGAGCTTTAAAGATTTATTCAAAAGAGACTTGATCAGTAAAGACTTGACTTGAACACCGGTAAGCTGAGAGTTGTGGAAAAAATGGTTGAAAAGAAGAGCATTGAGGAGCATGAGAAGACTGGCGCCAATTGCGTAGCCAATGCCTGCATTTACTTTTTTGCCGGGAAACAAAGCTTTGCGCTCGACAAATTGAATGACGCGCTTGGTCAGCATCGGCAGGAACGCAGAGGTGGCGTTGGACAGGTTCATGAACATGAAAGCCATGAAATATTGCCATTTAAAGGTCCACAATAGCGCTTTCAGCAGCGTGTACTTGGGGAGCACGGTATTTTCAAGCACCTGTTGCGGGCTGGCGTCTGGATGGTCCTTGGCATATTGGGCGCGTGCTTTTTGCACGTAGTGGTCGAAATGGGCGTCGAAATCGCGAGCCATCGTTTCGATGCTGATGCGTTGGTCCATGACCCACAGATCGTTCGGCTGGAGTGTACGCTTGTAGCCGACGCGAATGATGGGGTAAACCCACCAGAAAAAGATGCGATACAGAAAGTTCGTGCGGTATAGCGGGTAGGTTTTGCGATCGCGTTGTTCTGGGATGGGAGGGATGTTACGGGTGTGCAGCAGCGAGAAGAGTCGTTTTTGCGGGTAAATGCCAGACTCGGTGACTTTTTCAAGGTCGTCGCTATTGAGAAACACTTCTGGTCGGTTGGAGTCTGCAACACTGGGCTGGCGCTGCAGAAGATCGGAGTCTGCCTGCACGGCGTCGACCTGCATGGCATTGACCTGGACGGCGTCGTTGACGTCTAGGGGGATGCCATCGCGGGGGTCATTGTGGGTATCATTCTGGGCTTCGTTGCGAGCGTCAGAATCGGCACTGGACGCCGTGATGGCGCGCGGTACGTTGTGGGCGTTGATGGTCACGACATGATCCTTTTCCGATCTGGACGGCGATTCAAGGTCGCTGGAGCTCATGTGGAGGGCAGAGGCAACGTTTTAAAGCGGTGGGAAGCCAGTGATGTGGGAGATAAGCGCCAGTTTGTCTTTTTTTTTGAGACTTTTGGTCGATTTCTCAACTTGAATAAATATACGACACACACAGAACAAAACAATGACAGAGTCGAAACACACACAAACTGTCAAACACTCACAATCACTTGTGCTTGTCTTTTACGCGAGAACCTTATTGTGTTGCTTCTGATCCCAAAATGATCGAAACTTGATCTTATTTCTGCTCACTTGGATTGTTTTGCTGTCTTTATATACTCATCACCTCGTAATCCGTCAATTCTGCTATATCGCAGCTATAATAATGTCTTCGGCCGTAACCCCGTCGTACACAATGCGCGATGCCGCGGGTTTGCTTACAAACGCGCATATTAAAAAAATCAGGATCGGGCTCTTTAATTATGCGCCAAGACAATACAGGAAAAAAATGGGTCGTTTAAGACGGAGAAGGAGAAATCTTTTGACAGATAATGCACGTGAAAAAAAAGGAGGCGAGGGTCTAAGCTGGAGATATCGGAGTTGTGCCGTATGGTAAGGTGGCCAAGACCGATCTCGATCAATTGTGAACAAGCCGGTGAACTCGAAGCACTAACTATTGAGAGCGACAGCGATCAATTGTGAATAAATATGGTGGCTACAAGCACAATTGTGCAATTAAGAGCATCAGCCTCTTGAATAGGTAGGGAGTTTGTAGTGCTACTACATAACTAGGAGGGCTTCTTTTGCACTTTGAACACAGAGATGGCTACCTAAGTCAGCGAGCAATGGTGAATAAGTAGGGAACACGTAGCATCACCGAAAACTGAGAGCGTTAGCATCAATTGCGAATTAGTACGGTGGCTACAAGCATTATGAACACTTTACAGCATCAGCGATCAATCGTAAATATGTAGAGAAATTTTGATAACATTGAGAGCATCAACGACCAATTGGGAAAAAATGAGAAGTCGAAGCACGGCTGAAGGATAGAGAGCGGTACTAGCGATTGCGAATGGTGTGAGAAGTCGAAGCACTACTTAACAATTGAGAGCGATAGCCTCACAATGAGTAGAGATGACGTAGTTACACTCATTAATTGAGGTTGCCAGCCTCAATTGCAAAAAAGTATACAAATCTTAGTATTACTGAACCATCGAGAGCGTCAGCCTCAATTGTGAAGAAACTTCGAGCTCGCAGCGCTACTGATCAATTGAAAGTGTCAGCGATCGATTGTGAAAAAGTATAGAGCTCTAAGAATTTCTGAAAGATCGAGGTGTTAGCCCCAATTGTGAACTAGTATGGTTGCTACAAGCACCATGAAATAATTCAGAGTCTTAGCGAGCAATCATGAACAAAAATATGGCTACGCGCCTCAACGAGCAATGGTGAATAATTAGGAATGCTACAAGCACTATGAAACAATAGAGATCCAGCGATCAGTTGCGAACACAAAGATGGCTACCTGCGTCAGCGATCAATGGCAAACACAGATTTGGCTACCTTTTTTTGAAGCGTCTGCGATCCAGTGGACAATGGCTACAAGCGCTACTGACTTTTTGAGAACGTCAGCGACCAATTGAAAAGAAGTAGCCAATTTCTAGTATCACCAAATAATGATCGCTGAAACTCCCAAAAAAAATGGTAATTTGTAGTACGATTGAGGGCATCACTGACTTATAACTTTATTAATCATGAATAAACAAAGGGCCCGCAGTTTTAAAGCCTCAGCTAAGTAAACAAGTAGAAGGCTAGGTTACATGCACTACCAAGTAGTTTAGAGCGTTAGCAATCAATTGTGAAATGTTAAGATGGCTACAAGCACTATACAACATGGGAGAGCTATCGGCAGGAGCTCGAAGCACCACTAAACGATGGAGAGCAAGGTAGATTTCTTCTCACCAAACAATTGGCAGAGATAGCGGTCACTCATGAAAAAGTAGAGACCTCTTCCTATCACTGAAGAATAAATTAAAAACGTTAAATTGTACCTACAACAGCAATTGCTTACAAGCAGTATGAAATTATTGAGATCATCAGCTATCGAGTGGGAAAAGAAGAGAAGTCAAAGCACAGTTGAACACTTGAGAGCAATCATGAACAAAAAGAGGGAAAGCAGTAGTCTTTGACCAACCGAGAGCGTTACAGAACAAATGGGGGCAAGTATGATCCTATCGATCAATTGTGAACAATTTGAATGGCTCGAAGCTCTGTTGAAAAGTTTTGTGCCAGCCATCAACAGTGAAAAAGAAGAGAAATCGAAGCACTGCTGGACATCAACAATGGAGGTTCTTACCTCAGTATCACCGAATAATTGAGAGCATTGGCAATCGATTCAAAAGAAATGGAAAAACTAGTATAGCTCCCATCTGAGAGCGCTAGTAATTAATTGCCAATGAGCACAGCCCACGCGATACTATTAAACAATCAATCGCTGACGCGTTACAGCACAGATAATGTAGACTTCACAAACAAAGGCGTCAGCGGTCAAAATATGTTTACGCAAGAAGATTACGATCGTGTACAAACTGCAAACGAGCGTCCACAGCCAAGTATGCTATAGAGACAATAGTCGAATCGTGAGCAAGAAGGTACTAATAACCCCATCTGCTTTAATGACTATAAGCACGTAAAGGCCTGGTAGTATAACTCACTGAGATGCTCGAGAATTAACCGTAAAGAAACTATAACCATTTCAATTCGATCGATCGCTACAACTACGACTTAACGAATAACATAGTCATGAACCTCATTGAGCGAGCAAGAGACCCTGGGTATTTGATATTGTTCTCGTACCAAGATCAATACTAACTCTATTTTCTTCCTACTCATTCACATTGAGAGCGTCAGCGATTAATCGTATGAGCAGGGCAGAGGTTTCCTCCGCGTCAGCAATACATTGTATGAACATAGTTGAGGCTTGTTCGAAAAATACTACTCCGCGGTCCACAGTTAACCGCTGACCCTCTTATCAATAATTTTAATAAAATTCCTGTGATTCTTCAAGCTCACATCGTTGCCTTGTGCTTGTAGCGGCTGACACACGACCTATAGAGATCGTACATCTACTACAAGTTTTCTACTCGTTCAAGGTCAATTGCTAGCAATCTGAGCCCTCCAGTAATACCAAATGTTTTTTCCTATTCACAATGAATCGATGATGCTCTCAATTGTTTAGTAGTGCCCAAAGCTTAATTTCTGATACTCCCTGTTTTTTGTAATTCCTACATCACGCTCAGGCATAGTTTGTGCAGTGACAGTTATGTTCAAAAGAGAATAAAGATGAGAGCCTTGAGGACGACGACAGAGATATTAGAACTTCCTTTTGGAAGCAGCAAACCATTGTCTACTTGCGAAAATTCTATTATAAATTATCTAACAATCTCAAAAGTCAATCGCTGATTTACAAATTGGTATGTGCAGTTTTCTAGCTTTCGACGGGCTTCATATGTCAGGTTTGAGCCTTCTATCGCTTCATTCGAGGTGCTCGGGTCTCCCTTGTCGTGCTTTGACTGGTTGATCTAATGACGACGTGCTCAAGGCAAAGTGACTAAGAAACAGAATGTGCAGTTGACGTTTTCACCCAAAACGTGACCTTCGCAGCGACAGCGATTAATTGTTAGTTGGATAAGCCAGCTACAATACCACGGGCATAACCGTTAATGCTCTGGTTTGTGGACTAGAGCCTCTAATACTAACAAAATACTCTCTAACCTAATTGCACTATTCTCCGCCGGGTTCTATGGTCTGATTAGTGCATGTCACGAAAAATATCAGTCTTACCTTCTCATTCACTACTGAACGCGCTGGCACTCTTTAAAGGAAAATAATATCATTCCTTCCATCTCGCTGCACTGTTGTGTGGTATCTTTTTTTCACGATCAAGAGTCCTGACAATCAATTTGGAACAAGCACCACCGTCTGACGTTGAAGGTATTATATTGGGGAGATCGCTTACGAACAGGACCAGAAGAGATTGATCTACCAACAACACAATGTTTTGGTATATACTGTTACTGGCGGTTTCAAGTCTGCCTTTGCTCAGAAACAAATAGACGCCATGGTGATGATCAATCTTCGGTTTCGAGTGTATCAGTCGTCAATTAGTAGAGGAACTTTCAAAATACCATCACAATAGCAAACACTTGCTTTGCTGAATAGGTGAACGTCACAGCGACTGGCGTAAGAGATAGGAGATACACATCGAATACTGAATCCAGGGTCAACGTAAACGTGAACAGCCAGGCGTTATCAAACATTTGAGTACAGGATTTTTTTTCGACACTCAAAGTCACCAGTTTACAAGTGTGTCAACGTGGAATATGGCCTTTGATTCCACTAGCACTTGAACAATTATCACTGTTACTAGCCATTTGGTTCCAATGCCCAATTAGTGTTGTTGCTCACAATAACAAACTCAATCGATAGCGCGCTCAATTAAATCGATTAATGCTGCAATACTAATTTGTTTTAAGAGCTTCTCCGTCAAGATCCCTTGGAATTGATTGCGAGCGGCTCACAAGATACCTGCAATTACACCTGCTGTTGAAATCTATTGTTCTAAATTTCATGGACTCGTTCACCGCGCAGTCATTTTAAGAACTCGATACAAAGAGACTGCTGAATGTCTTATACACTTCTGAGCAAGCTGCCTAAGACAATAACGATAGAGCGGTGCTAAGTATCGCACAACATGGTCAACAGGTCAAAACATACCCGACCGCTCCGTCATCCCGGTCATAGTATTCTCCTCATCACTTGATACGCGGAGCTCTCATTAGTCTCTTTATTCGCCAATCACCTTTACTAACGAGTTCTCAACCTGTGAGTGTCCGTGGCCATGCTTGGACGTCCCATACGCAAACGAAATAGAGTCTCGCTATCATGTTTGGAATGCAAGGCACGTAAGACTAAGTGTGACAAGAAAAGGCCTCGGTGTGGCCGTTGCGAAAAATCTGGCACATGTTGCACTTACAACACGCCGGCTTCACCGCTTAGCAACGACCGAAATATTCAACATTCTACCACTGCAACTACAAATGTGTCAGATCTGTCTGCTACTTCGTTGGATCATTTCTCATTACCGGAAGTCTCGAAATCAATTTCACGTACAAGTTCAGATAAGGCCACTGATGATTTGTCGAGTCCCAAACAAGAAGAGTGGCATCACTTGTGGATTAAGTTTACAGACTCTGAAGACACGATTGTGAGCCTTGAACAGAAAATATACCTCCACAAACCATATTCTATTGTTGCGACCTTGCAGCGTGACCGTTACCTTAGGGCGTTCTTTGGTTCTGCGTGGGGCCTGACTCTGCTGACTGACGATAAGAACTCCACAGGTAATAATGGCTCAAAGACGCAAGAAAAATCAATTTACCATTTCATCGGGGATTTCATTCACAAAGCAAAGTCCCAGAAAGGGCCTTGTGCCTTTCCTGCCCTGATTCATTATTTCATGTTTGCGCCCAATGATAGCCTAGAGGAATCCTTAAACTCGGATGGATCTTTGCCGGCAGTTTTGATCAAAATCCTGGAGGAAATCGAAGCCCTTCTGCCCGCTAAGTCAGCAGTGGAATTTCTACTACAATATTTCTACTCGACTTTGTATCCAGTATACCCGTTCTTGAATGTCGCAACCTTCGAAAAAAGTATAAGGTCTGTTCTTCATGACGGTTTGCACCAGACTTCAAGGTACATTTTAAAATTGGATTCCAAAAATGCCCGACCGCTCCTCGAGAATCTGTGCATCCTAATTATCGTTTTGAAGCTTTCATACGCTGCTGCTTGTAATGATAAAGACCCTAGTGTGGTTCAGTCCATTGCCTCCCTGGGTTTGCGTGACCAAGATTCTGTACCCGACGAACTTCTGATCATTTTTCAAAAGTGTTTACTGCTTTTGAATATCAGCACATTTACAAGCGAAGATGTCTTATGTTGTATGCTTTACTATTGGACATTCCAGGCGCTATCGAACACGAATGCCATATTTAAGCTCCCGTCGCAAGTTTTGCTAGGATTGGGCTTGGTTTTACAGCTTGCAACGGTCTTGGGGCTTCACAAAGATCCTTCCAACTTTAAAATTCTCACGAAACCTACACAATTCAATAAATCTCTGCTTAATTACAGGCGTAAGCTGTGGCTTGGGGTATGCACTTTGAGGATGAGTGAGTTACTACCTAACGGCTGTGGCTCTTACCTAAACAACACCGTTTATGAGAAAACCTTCAGGGAACGTGCGCAAAGCGACTCACCCTACATGTCTGCAGTACGTACGGATTCCGTTGAGGCGTCTGAATATGATGTCCCATTGCATGAGATATGTTACTTGGAATATCAAATGTTCAACGAATGGGGAAAGCTGAACATAGCCTGTTCACCACTAACCGGGCAAAACACGCTTCTTGACATCGAAAAATGTCTTGCACAGTGTGAAAGTCGCCTTCACCGTCTATTTCCGCTTTCTAATCTCGAAAAGTCGGCCCTTCAAGGCAGATCTAGCAGTGGATGCGTATCATATGCCAGGGGGCAGCCTACAATAAGGTTCGACGATATCAAAACGGTCAAAACCTTCTCACTTAATTGTCAAGGCAGGCTTTTATTACAAACAGTGACAGGGGCCTTGGCCAATGATCTCGAGAATAAATTAAGGTTAGATCAGCAATACCTGGCGCCTTTTCAGCATTTCATGAAGGAAAGCTTTCGCTATTGTATGGAATTGACCAAATTAATTCTCAAATACTTTGAGAACGACCTGGAAGCATTCATGCCCCAAAGGTTAGAGTATACTCTTAACAGAACAATAGCATTCTCGCTCTTGAGAGTTTCAATGACTTTGACGAGCATAATAATTAGACTCTCTTTTTGCGAGAAAAACGTCAAAGAATTAATACACTCAGAATCGTTTCTGTATGAAAACTTAGAAAGTTCAGCCCTTTCACGTCGACTAAAATTGGTACAGGATGTGAAAACAACACTACAAAATCTTCTGAAATTTTTGCTTGATGCTGCATCAAAGACTTTATGCAGAACCCATCACGGATGCCAGAAGGCTGTGGCCATATTCAAATACGTCGTGTACTTGATCGACGGTGAAAGCCTTATGGATGTCACTAATAGGCTATGGGACCAATTCTCAAAGGGTAAGAAAATTCCTGACAACCTCAGAGATTCTATTCTGTTCAAGTGGGGTGTAGACCTAGAGGAATCAGAGGCGATCAAAGATGAATTACTAAATGTGAACACAATGGAAGCCTTGGATGTGACCTTCTTGGCGTTTCTTCAGGATTCGTTGAGCAGACTGGACATTCCAAAGCTTTCAAAAGTGCGTTCTGAGCCGCTCCATGTAAATGAAACGGAAAATCAGGCAGTATTTTCAGATGGCTTACTTGATGATGCCAACTTTTTCTCATCAGATGTTCTCAGCTTTTTTGATATTTTCGAGGAAGCTTCTGGTGATGCCGACCTATTTCGGGTGACGCCAATGCTTTGAGTTTTCTAATCAGTTTCGCGCTGCACAATCATTTTGAGATGCTCGTTCAAGCTGCAATTTGCAATAAGGTGCAGGACTTGTTTGTGTCACTTCTATTCAACTGACTGATGATGACCGGTAAGGGTTTTTATGAAACCCAAGCCGAAATTTTTTTCGTCTAAACCTGGTATTACGGTTAAGATTCTTTGTAGTCTAGTCATAATGGAACCCGCGAAACACATCACGTTACTTGTTGGTTTCTCTTCATCATTTTAACTCGCGAGCCAGAACTTTTGGTTACTGTACTCTAACTTATCCGATTGTTTTAAGCATTGAAAAATATCGAGTCTGCCCCAAAAAAATCCATGTTATCCACTATGAAAGGATTGAGTCCTCCTTGTCTTTCACTTTCGGTCACTGGGTCGGAATAAGACTTGACCGCATATCCCAAACTGTCAAGCTGTTTATCGGTAAGCACCACTTCTTTATTGAACTTTGACAGGTAGGTTTTGCTAAGAACATTAATCAAGTACTTGAAGTAGCTTGAAAAACATTTGGCAACAAAAGGCTGGTGTATTTTCTCGTCTTCAGTTATGGATGAAGGGGTTGTAGGCGTTGAAGCTGGGGTGGAATGGCCTACGCTGCTCATGAAATCACAGTATAAACGCGTCATTAGTTTTACATCTTCTTGTTTTGAAAGTGTGTACACGAAGACCTCGAAAAACGCCAAAGTGATTGACCATTGGAAACACTTATAGTAGTTAGCTAGATTCAGCTCAGATAATCCAATCGCACAAGACAGCATGGTTCTGGCTGTTCGAACACTTTCAAAGAAGGGGATGTCCTTTAAAATTCCCATCTCTTTCATATAAACTTGCGTTTTGAATATGGATGGCCCTCTGTATAAAGATCAAATTCATGAAATAGCTAAATTGAATGGCATGTATGAAAAGCCTCGTTATTGCGGCCGGTAAGTCGCTGCTTCATATAAGCTCAGTAAGCGTCGAGCTAATTGGAGGATCGAACGGTCTCATACCCGCCGGAAGAGACAACCTTATGATTTCCATCTCTTTTATTAGCATTTATGCGTTTCGCAATTGCCTCGTAAGATTCATGGTCGCTGATGGTGCATAGAGATCGGTGTATATGCAGGAAGCGATGTGGATATTTCTACACATATAGTATCCTCCAAATGTGTCGAACCCAACCTCTTTCATGACAAATGTGAACATGTTTCTTGCGAATGCGGACTCACATTTTGGTGGTTTCGAATGTGTTGCAAGTGTAGCGTCCACTAAAAGTTCTACAGGGGTGCAGCTATGTCCGAAAATCGCAGTTGTGTCATAATGGGCAACAACTGGAGGCTTTCCCAAAATCATTGAAACTTTGAGGTCAAAATACGGACACAGACCTCAAATCTTTCTCCGCCTGTCAGCTTCGTCAAGTGGCAAGCCATCATAGGAAACCTCGGCGTGTAAACCTAAGTTTTGTGCCAAGCGAACAGCTAAAGTAACCATCATATACGACGCGTGCAAAGCGCCAGTTAAATCCGCGTACGTCATGAGAGCAAGAAAAGATTGAAGTGTTTCAATACCTTCCGGAAGAATAGAAACCTGATGATAATGGAACAATGCGTTCAAAATGAATGTGTCTTCTAGTTCTCGCAGCTTCGTGTTATATTTGTACGACACCCACCACGCGCCTAGGCACCCCTTCTATTTGTGTTCTGTAGACTCTGCTGAAAGTGACTTACAAGGGCGAGCGCCACATGGAATGTAATAGATTGATAGCGGTTCAGAGAGCGTAATCCACCGCTGACATAGGTGTTGAAACCGTTCGTTACCTCATGCGAGGCTACGAAGGAGAGTGTTTCGAGCCCGGCCTGGTTGAAGATCTCAACAAAAGTCTCCAAGACTTCGATTTCCGGCAACGGTTTGAGACCAAGCGGAACCGGGAAAAGGTTGTCCGAGTCTTTGGCGCTTAAAGAATTTGAATTCTACTCTGAGAGGTGCTTTATCTCTTTATCACAGTTTAAGCTCTTGGATCGAACCCACACCAGCCCCTTTGGAGACAAGACGGAGTAGGAAAGGAATACTCCAAAATCTCTTGGCATTCCAGTGTCTGGAATCTCAGTGGTCTCTGAGAATTCTGAGCTGCCGGGAGTTGAAACACTGCCGAACTTGACAGAGCTTTGATTTTTTGGTAATACTGTATCTTTGCTATTTCGAAGAATAACGCTAGCCAGCAAGTCCAGTGAGCTGACACGGGGCATGGAAATCCCGGCCATTTTGCGACTCGACGAATTGTTTTCTGAATTTCGCGCTACAACTCTTTTCGAACTTTTCACCCCTTTGTGTTTTGGCTTACGCACATTTCTCTGGAACCTCTCCGCCACTGCAACAACTTGGGTTTCCAACGACTCAACCTTCTTCAATAGCTTATAGAAATGGTCGGCTTTATTAGCAGTAAGGGGCTCTTTCGAGAGCTGCTCTTCGTATCCATCCGATTCCATAGTCTCAGTATCTAAATTCTTCATTTGACGTACCAGTCGCGCCGTTGAACATTGTTTTGTTCACAGATCATTGAAGCTGTTATAGCTGACTAGCCAGTACGTATAATTATATATATTCATGGCATGTCTTGATTCCCATTATGAAGGTGTCAATGATTGCTTCGTATATAATGATATTTAAATGTCTAAAGATTGGTCAAAAATCGAAAACTTTTCGTCTGTTACAATAACAGTGTTGAATCCATCACATCTGCACGCTTCAAACAAGAGCTGCTGACCTTGATATAGGTCCAAATAGGCGGTTTATCGAGAGTTACAGAAGTATAAAAGTCAGATAGGTTCTTTCTGCCGCTCTTTCGACTTGCTTGGGTGCTTTTTAGCCGTATATTTTTGTACCAATGTCCGCGCTTCCAGATGAAGTTAACAGCACCTTGATCGAGGTGCTGAATGGGTTTTCGTCGCCAGTAAATACGATTCGTGCGGCTGCGGAAGAGTCATTGAACAAAAACTGGATCACACCCGATAACATCGGTGTTTTGTTGATGTTTCTGGCTGAACAGGCAGCGTATTCTGGAGAATTAACTCTGGCTGCGCTATCTGCCGTTCTGTTCCGGAAACTGGCGCTGCGAGCTCCCCCATCGTCCAAAACCGTGATTATCGCGAAGAACATCACTCACATTAATGAGTCGGTACTCGCACAAATTCGTACCACGCTGTTGAAGGGTTTTATCACGGAAAGACCCAGTGGAATTCGCCATAAGCTGTCCGATGCCATAGCAGAGTGTGCTCAGGAAGACTTGGCCGAATGGCCTGAGCTTCTCCCGGCTCTTTTCGAAGCCATTAAAAACTCTGATCCCAACTTCCGTGAATCGAGTTTCCGTATTTTCACATCTGTTCCACACCTAATCAATGCTGTGGACATCAACAGTGTGCTTCCCATCTTCGAGGCCGGTTTCACGGATGTCGATGACAATGTCAAAGTGGCCGCAGTCACATCCTTTGTCGGCTATTTCAAACAACTCCCAAAACAACACTGGTCGAATCTAGGTGTGCTACTACCCAGCTTATTGAACAGTCTTCCAAATTTCTTAGACGACGGTAAGGACGATGCATTGACCTCTGTTTTCGAATCATTGATTGAATTGGTAGAACTGGCTCCCAAACTATTCAAGTCTATGTTTGACCAAATGATTCAATTCATCGATATGGTGATAAAGAACAAGGACTTGGAAACGTCTGCCAGAACTACGGCGCTGGAACTCTTGACCGCTTTCAGTGAAAGTGCACCACAGATGTGCAAGGCAAACCCCAACTATGCACAGTCCCTCATCATGAATACACTCATGATGATGACAGAAGTTTCGATTGACGATGACCAAGCGATAGAGTGGCACAATTCGGATGACGCAGATGAAGACGACGAAGAGGTGACCTACGATCACGCACGCCAAGCCCTAGACCGTGTATCCTTGAAACTGGGAGGGAAAGTCCTTGCGCCACCTTTGTTCCAATATTTACAGCAAATGGTGACTTCATCGGAATGGAGAGAAAGATTTGGCGCACTAATGGCTCTATCTTCTGCAGCTGAAGGATGCAGGGATGTCTTGATTGGCGAGATTTCTAGAATTCTTGGTATGATCATCCCACTAATTAATGATCCTCATCCAAGAGTTCAGTACGGGTGCTGCAACGCATTGGGTCAAATCTCAACTGATTTTGCCCCTCTTATCCAAAGAACTTCTCACGAACGTATTATTCCTCCTCTGATCTCGAAGCTGACGCCTCAATCAGTCGACCGTGTACAGACGCACGCAGCTGCTGCGCTCGTGAACTTCTCGGAGCACGCTACTCAAACAATTTTGGAACCATACCTGGACGATCTTCTAACAAACTTATTGACGCTTTTGCAAAGCTCTAAGTTTTATGTTCAGGAGCAAGCTTTGACGACAATTGCCTTCATTGCTGAAGCCGCAGAGAAAAAATTCATCAAATACTACGATACGTTGATGCCGCTTCTCATAAATGTCTTGAAAACCGATATGGGAAGCGCTAATAGATTGCTGAAAGGTAAGTGCATTGAATGTTCCACTTTGATTGCTCTAGCTGTTGGAAAAGACAAGTTCATGGGTCACTCACAAGAACTAATCGAGCTTTTCATTTTGTATCAGAATCATGGTATTGAAGATGACGATCCTATTAAATCATATTTGGAACATGGATGGAGTAGGATTTGTCGAATTCTCAGAGAAGATTTTGTTCCTCTTCTGCCCGTCGTCATTCCACCTCTCTTGGAGACCGCTAAGGCTACGCAGGATGTTAGCTTGATCGAAGAGGAAGAAGCTGCTAACTTTCAACAATATTCCGATTGGGACGTTGTTCAGATTCAAGGCAAACATATCGCTATTCACACTTCGATTTTAGATGACAAGGTATCCGCCATGGAACTTCTACAGGTTTACACGACGATTTTGAAGAATTATTTTGCCGTCTACGTGGCAGAGATAATGAAGGACATAGCCATCCCATCCATTGACTTTTATTTGCATGACGGAGTAAGAGCGACCGGTGCTGGCCTCATTCCCGTTCTGCTTTCTGCCTTGGTTTCCGCAACAGGTGTTCAGAATAACGATGTTCTCCAACTATGGCATTTGGCGTCGAATAAGCTATTAAACGGTATAATGATTGAACCCATGCCTGAAATTACACAGATTTATCACACTGCTTTGGTTGATGGTTTAGGAATTCTCGGTGAAAATAGCTTAAACGAGGATCAATTAGCACAATACACCAAAGGTATGTCTGCCAATCTGTCTGATATCTACGAGCGCGTAAAACAACGCCGTAGTCAAGAGGACGAATACAACGAAGATGTGGACGAAGACTTTGAAGACTATACGGACGAGGATCTCTTGGATGACATCAATAAGTCCCTAGCTGCGGTCTTCAAGTCAACGAGAGGGGCCTATCTCAATCAATTCCGAGCATTATGGCCCGTTGTTATCACCTATTTGAGAGATGGCGAGGTTATTTTAACACTTTTCGCGCTCTGCGCAATTGGAGACATGGTGGAGAGCGCAGGACCTGCAACCGAGCCGCTAAAGGCCGACTTCATCAACGATGTCAAAGAATATCTGCTTTCAGCCGACGCGTCTATCCGTCAAGCAGCGTCATATGTGATAGGTGTTTGTGCCCAACACAGTCGGGAAGTTTATGGGCAAGAATGCTTGGACTCTTTGGAAACTCTCACTCGTGTCATCTCTATTCCAGATTCTAAGTCCGAGGAGAACGTCACATCCACAGAAAATGCCAGCGCGGCCATTGCCAAAATTCTGCATAGCTTTGGCAGCAGTATTATGAATTACGATACTTATGTTTCAAGTTGGCTAAAATCATTCCCGGTGGTACAAGACGAAGAGGCTGCCGCCTTCAATTATAGATTTCTGGCACATTTGATCGACACCAATTCGCCTGCGGTTACCAATGCAGCTGCTATTCCAAATGTTCTCGATTACGTTGTGCAGGCTTTACGTCACAGATCATTGGTAGGTAAAAACGCGACTGCTGTGGTTGAATCTACCAAGAAGCTTCTAGGTTCTATGCCACAAAATGAAGCCATGGCTTTGTTTCAGAGGTATCCTTCTGACGTCGTTCAGGAGATTCAGCACTGGTTTACGTGAATGCTACCAGCGCTGTTTTGTTCCTTTTTTTGTACAGTTTTTCTACTGATTTCGTAGTCTGCATATTGTAATGAACACACTAATGAATAAATACCTCTTGGGGCCATTACCGACACTGATTGACTCTATCAGAATTTTCTAACTTCACCGCCTCGCTGACAGTTTGAAAAGGGATTGTCAACGCCATTGAAGGTATAACTGCAAACACTTAATTCGATAAATAACATTTTTAGTCACTAACATGGTTATAAAGTCGATAAAATATTCTTTTTACGCGATTTAAATGAATAACAATTAGCGTCTGGTCCTCCAGGATTCTTCGGTACATTCCTTAAAAACCTGGCAACTTATCATGATGGTGTTTTTCCCGAATGCGAAGCCAATGGACCGGCAGGTTTCGGGCCGTAAAAAGTATTGACCAGCAGATTTTTATAGATTTCGCAAGTTCCAAGAAACGAGTCAGCATCTTCGATTGGCAACTTTCTAGTTTACATTCTTGACTTCATATTTTTGAGCATAGTTGGGAACCATTGCTGTAAGAAGTATGTGTGTGACTTCTTGTCCCATTCGGTATACACAGATGTTCTCTATTAGAGATTGCAAGGAAACATTTAATACATGAAAAACGCTCAAATATCTAATGAACAATAACTACGCCGCTTGAAACGTCAAATCATAGAGATGCGATGCTAGTCAGACTACAACTTCGGTGTACTTCTCATACCTTTCGGATTATCACCGCTGTTAGTTGTGTGACATCACCGCTCTGCATTTCCGTCATCTGTCGTTTAGTCACATGACGAGTCACATTACTGCCATGTAAAAGAACCTATACCAAAAAACTGATGTTCAGACATTAGTTAAATCGATCAACTAACCTTGTTCTCCTTGTTCTGTGTTTTTGAGGATGTTCTCGTTCATTTTAAGGCTTCGATGGAATGCTTCATGGACGTTGTATGAGCGGGCAACTGGCGAAATTTTTCACCATAATTGATCCTTGTAGTTAATCCCCTGTGATATAAGACATTTTAGTACTTCTCGAAAGATGCTTGACAATCAATGTAAATATCAAAGCTTATTTGGACTGTGTCGACAAAGCGATGCAGTTAGCTACACTATACAAATACAAGTACGTAATCGTCGTCGTATGAGCATCACAACATATTCATAAGCCGAGTGTATCGGGAGGAAAAAACTATAGGTTGAGATTGTGAATATTTTCCTCTACTTTTATCGATATCGACACAAGGGGCACAAGTCGCTGGTGGCAGGTCAGGTTGAAACGACGGGGTTCACTACAGACAACTTATTCATTTTTACAAGTCCACCTTTACGTCTTTAGTGATCCGTATTTTAGCGCTGTTTATGAAAAATTTCATCAAGATGCGATGAGATGAGATGAGATGAGCATACCGAGCTTATACACCAATTCGAGAACACTTACTAAGGAGAGCGTTCAATTTAGTGCAAAAGGTAGCCTCTCCATTGAAGTTTAAGTATGGGTTTAGCGGCCGTTAAAAACAAGCAGAAACTTGGGATCGATCCTAGAAACACCAATTGGAGCAATGATACCTCGAGGTTTGGTCACAAGCATCTAGAGAAGATGGGCTGGAAGCCAGGCTCTGGGCTTGGTCTCATGCCGAACTCAACTACAACTCATGTAAAGGTGTCGATAAAAGACGACACTTTGGGTCTGGGAGCAAAACTCCGTAACAAGAAAAAAACCGATGAATTTGACACTGGAGAGTGCGCCGGACTGGACGCCTTCCAACGTTTGCTGGGTCGTCTCAACGGCAAAGAAGAGACGGTTTCAAACGAGCTCGAAACACAAAGAAAAGACAACATTATAAATGGGAAGTGGGGGATCCATTTTGTGAAAGGTGATGTCTTGGCCAGCACTTGGGATGCCAAAACTAAGACATTGAAGAAGTATAGTAACCACTCCATCAAGCGGGCTAGATCAGACCATGATGATTCTTCGGATGATGCAGAGACAAGAAAATCGAAGAAGGGAAAGAAGGATAAGAAAGCTGACAAGAAAGACAAAAAGAGATTGTTTGAGGACGCTAGCAGGAAGCGCTCTGGCGAAACCATAAAAAACAAGTCTGACGCTACTGAAGAAGCAACTTTGAAGAAATACAAGAGGGAAAAGAAGGAAAAGAAGGACAAGAAAGACAAGAAAGCCAAGGGAGAGAAGAAGAAGAAAGACAAGGCAGAGAAGAAAGTAAAGAAAGATTCCACCGGCAAGAAAGACGGGAAAATCAAGAAGGATAAAAAAGATAAGCATAAAAAGATCAGCAAGCAGGAGAAAATTACTCGTGAGGAAATGCTGAAACCAAAATCACAAGGCAACGATGAGATTGTTTCAAGGTTATCGGTCCGTTCCAAATGGATTAAACAGAAAAGAGCAGCTGTTATGGACGCCAAGGCTTTGAATGAAATTTTCATGATTGCGAGTTGACAATGTGAAGTTCCTCGAGTTTCAGTGAGCCTTCTATGAGGATCACAAAATTCGACTAGCCTGTACTAAAAACCATATAAATGGCGGTCAGATGATCTTCACAGGCGGGGAAAAGCAGAAATACAAGCAAAATATGTTGCTTGCGCTATATGGTAAATGGCTGTTGGGTTATACCTCCTGCGCGAAGTGTGGTCGAAGGCATGGGTAGTAAAATGGCGTTGTGCATTTAAAAACGTATAAGATAGAGAAATAGACGGTTTCTCCAACTAGGTTCCAATTCTTGCACTCGAGAGTGTTTTTTCAAATAACAGCGCTCACTTTCAAGTCTGCTCCTGGGAAACGTAGTGTATATATTGATTTGCAAGCCCGATATACAGCGCTGCTTTTCGGAATTTCAACATGAAATGTATAGAGAGTTTGATAATTGATGGCATCGTGATAACTCTCGCAGATCAGTTAAAGCGGTCTTGGACTCTCTCCATTACACCACCAGCAGCGATCAAAGAGCCCCGCAAATGAGTTACCGATATATCAACAAAATACAAGTTTATAGGTACACAATTCACGATTTATACTTAGTTTTGAGAACAGATGGCTCACAGTAACAAAGCCGGCTCGAGATCACAAAGCAGGCGGCGTCACAAGCGGCAAATTCACACTTCATATTGAAAATTGTCAGAGAAATTTGAGATCAAAACATGATGTGGGCCATTCCCAAGGAGACTGCTGTCACAGCAACAGACATTATACACAACCCAGCCGAGGAAATTGGTTTGATTTGCAATCCAGCGGCAGACTTTTTAGTGCTGCCGGATGAAGCGCTATTACTAGATCCACTTCCAGACTTGGAAGAATCTGAGCTTTGCGCACTGGATGATGTACTACTGCCACTGACACTTGCCTTTGCCGAAGCAGACGACAACTTTGTCTGACAAGAAGAGGCTAGACTTGTACTCGAAGCCAGAGAAGCCGAGCCATCAAAGGAGCAAGCAGACTTCGACTTGCCATTGGATTCGTAGTATTTGTTCAGCAAAAAAGACAATTTGACGGAGTTGTCGCAGAAAGAATAAGCACCGTAACTACCCTTCTCACCATCGGCGCTGATATCACCGCAATCAAGCTTTCCACATAAAGTGTTGTACAGTTCACCGTAGTCTTCTTCTTCTACATCACCACTTAAAACGCACGATAAGCTATTTCTCAGGCAGTCACAGACGTCCTTATCTGGCGTTGGTGGAAGAGCAGTGGCGGCCATCCAATTTGAGTTGGTGGCAGGGCAAGAGAGCGAAGTTGATGAGGGGTTATAGGAATCTATCTTGGCAGCAGAAGGTGACACGGAGGCCAACTGGCTCTTTAGGTTGTTATAATTGGACATCGTGCTGACTTTGCTTCCGTCGACAGAAACCAGTCCGTAATTGTTGGCTTCTTCGAAATACATGTAGACGATGCCTCCTGACCATACATCTGTCATTTCATCGCCATAGAGCGTGCCAACCTCTTCGAATTTTCTCGGTGTCTCTGCATTACACCCATACTCAGAAAAAAAGGCGGGGATGCTCAAATTCCCGAAGTCTTTAGTTCTATCTTCGTAGCCAGACTCTTTGTAGGTGGACGATCCACACCACTCGTACATGTTAATGCCGAAGAAATCAGCGCGAATATCCTCGTCACCACAAGCAAAATAATCCGCCATGGGAACTCTGGTATCTTCATCGTCGTTGGAAGAGTATCCCACAGGTATATTCCTGTAACCCTTATCTTTGATGTACTTTTTAGTGTCTCTAATGGCAGCTTTAACGAAAGGTGAAGCATCGGTGTTGGAGTTGTTGTTGGTAACTTCATTGCCTGCAAAGAAACCCAAGACGTTTGAATAATTGGCCATGACGTCTACAACTCCTGTGTAACGCTTGTAAAGATCCAATGTCCATGCTGGAGAGTCTCTGTCGATCGACTCCGATGGCTCAGACAAATCAGCTATAACATAGACCCCAGCTTTTCCGAAAGCCTCCATACATTTGCTGTGATCCAGGGAAGTGTTCAGCGCGTATACGCGAACGACGTTAGTTTGTGCACCCAGCAAATATGGCAAATCTCTTGAACAGGTGTCATAATCTGCCAGAGGATCAACTATGGTGTCTTCTGTAGATGAAGAATTGGCGGTATCAGCCTGGTACGCTACACCCTTGATGTAGAACTGAGACCCATTGTTGGAGAAGAAGAATTTGTTACCCTTGGTCTCGATAGCGGGAGCGCTGGTGAAATTTCCACTACTGTCATCGGCGAAAGCAACATTTAGCACCGAAAACAGGAAAACGAGTGTTGAGATTGGATTTCCTAGCATTTTCAAGGAAACTTAGCGCGACTATATGCAGCTAAGTGGCAGCTATAACCTTTTCATGGGTGCTGGCAGTAGCACATATATATATACAGAGCAGAACCATGGCCTAGAATAAATGGATTGTCAATAGAGCCTCCCAGCGCGAAACGCGACTACTAGCGGTCGTATTTCTTACTTTTGTCAACTAGAATGCCCAGTACATAGCGCACGCATAATTCGTGTCACACAATGATCAAGTCTAGAAGGTTTCACGTCTAGTCACCTCGATTTCTGGTCGTCCTTTTAGGTGAACATTGTTCGAGACGTCTAGATCATCATCTATATTTGAACTCGTCCACTGTAGTGCGAAATGATAATCGCATAAACAAAGCCAAGGCTTCCTATCTAACAAGCGGAAATGAGCCTTGAAGTTCGAGCCCGACTACAATAGAGGGCCTGGATCAAATAGGAAGAGCTGCGGGGCATAATGAGTCTCAGTTTACTGTTTGTAGAATAACTTGTAGAATGTAACTTCTTTTTTATGAATTTAAGAGCAGAAACAAACTATATAAAACACAACTTGGTTTTACTGGACGGTCCTCAATCGAAACTTTTTCGACTCATGAATGGGTAGTCCGATAAGTACCCGCTTTTACGCAATGACGAAACCGACACCTGCGGTAGCACCGATGGCGACCAAGGCAGTCATAAATACCATGGCCAAAGAAGTTTGAGAGTTCGACACCGCAGCGTTACTTTTACCAGTACTGCTGGAGCTGGCACTAGAGCTAGAACCAGAGCTGGAGCCTGAGCTCTTGGACCCAGAGGAGGAGCCCGAGGAAGCAAGAGATGAAAGACCACTGGCAGAACCAGTACCGGCAGAACCGATCTGGCTTAGAGCAGAAGAACAGGCAGAGGCGGTGGTTGCGGTTTGCAAAGAAGCAGAGCCGCTGAAATCACACGCGGACTTGCTCTTGCCGTTTTGAATGTAATAGTTGTTCAAAACAAACGACAATTTGTCCTTGGCGTTGCAGAAGGAGTAAGAGCCGTAAGTACCGTTCGAACCGCTAGCAGTAATACCATCACATGAGATGGAGCCACAAACAATGCCGAACAAGTCACCGTAGTCATCCTCGTCGACGCTGTCGTCCACGACACAGCTCAATGAGTTGGCCATACACTCACACAAGGCACTGTTGGGTGTTGGTGGCAAGCTAGTGGCAGCCTTCCAGTTGGAGTTGGTCGCTGGGCACGACAACGATGTGGAGGAAGGACTGTATGAGCCAGAGTTGACGGAGGTTGGGGATACTTTGTTGATGGAAGCCGAGTAATAGCTGTAGTCCGACAAAGTGCTGACCTTGTTGTCAACGATGGAAACCAAACCATAGTTGTTAGCTTCCTCGAAGTACATGTAGACGATACCGCCAGACCAGACGTCGGTCATGTCGGAGCCGTACAAAGTACCAACTTCTTCAAACTTTCTTGGTCTGCTCTCGATACAGCCGTATTCCGAGAAGAATAGTGGCACAGTCAAGTTGGCGAATTCCTTGGTTCTGTCAGCGTAGCCAGAGGTTTGGAAGGTAGAGGATCCACACCATTCGTACATGTTGATACCGTAGAAATCAGCTTTCACATCGTCGTCACCACAGGCAAAGTAGTCGGCCATAGAGACTCTAGTTTCCTCATCGTCGTTAGTCGAGTAACCGACGGGGATGCTTCTGTATCCCTTGTCTTTGATGTAGGCTTTGGTGTCTCTAATGGCGGCCTTCACAAAGGCAGACGCATCGGTGTTCGACTTGTTGTTGGTGACTTCGTTACCAGCGAAAAAACCCAAAACGTTAGTGTAGTTTTGGAACTCGTCAACAACGGAGGTGTAACGGTCGTATAGCTCCACGGTCCACGAGGGCGAATCTCTGTTAATAGATTGCGATGGTTGCGACAAATCGGCAATCACGTAGATACCGGCATCGTTCAGCGCTTGCATACACTCGGTGTGGTCCAAAGTGGCATTTAGAGCATACACACGGATTGTGTTTGTGTCAACAGCTTGCATATATGGGATATCTCTGGAACAAGCAGAGTAGTCGGCCAAAGGATCGTTGAACGTGTCACCGGTGGTCGTGTTCGCGCTGTCTTGCTGGTACGCAATACCCTTCATGTAGAATTGGGAGCCATTGTTGGAGAAGAAAAACTTGTTGCCCTTAATCTCGATAGCAGGCAAGTCTGCTGCAGAGACTGTGCTGGCAATCAGCGAGCTCAAAGATAGAGCTGTGATCTTGTTGAACAACATTCTAGTCTATCTTTTATTCGTTTTTGAAGAGCGAGTAGAAAGTTCAATAGGTCTTTACTTTGAATCTCGGGCCTGGTTTAAGAACGAACGAGAGATTTTCCGGTCCTGTTATTCACTTCGAGCTTTTTTATTTCAATAGGATATGTTGCGCAAGAAAAAACGCCAATGGGGGCTTCAAAATTCGTGGCCGTCGGTCCCGAATGATACACTATACCGTAGCTTCCAAAACTGCACTCGAGTTTGGTCGTTGCTGAATTTTTTCGCGTTTGCATGAAGAAGAGCATTATTAAAAAGCACTCAAATAGTCCAAATCGTCGTGTCTTATGCTCAGATGGAGTCAGACGAGTGCCATTTCTGAAAAATTTGTGTACGACGGAATCAGAGATAGTTCTATTTTCAGATCTGATCCGCAACACGGTCGTCACTGGATCGCTGTCAATGCGTATTCGATGTTCGTGGAGGTCACAAAAGCCAGGTAGGTAACTTGTGTCAACAACAACTCGCGACACCTTTTTTTGAACCTACATAGTGAGGACTAACTTTATTGAACAAGCGACTGGGCTTCAAAACATCTTTTGACTTGCCCCAAAATTATTCTTAACTTTTAGTCAACACGAGATTGTCATCAAAGTTTCAAAAGATTGTACTTCGTGCTGGCTAGTGGCTGATGCCGCCATTGGCATAGGAATGAATTGCACCACAAAAAGGTGTTGATAGCTGGGTGGGGAAGCTGGCCTGTACCAAATCACCGATAAACTTCTACTACAGGAGCATGGCTATGCCTACTGCGTCACTCGAACTGGGTCGTGCTTCGGGTACGTCAGCTGCAACGCACGGTCAGTTTTGGTTGTTGACCCCTGCTTTTCTGCATTTGGTAACTCATTTCCCCTTCTGGAGGATATGGTGGTCGGCATCGCGAATGAACGTTGCTCACCATCACAGCTTTGTGAATTCCCAAGATGGATAAACGGCCGTCTTTCATTTCTGGAATTGCAATTACCTGATCAGGCATGAGTGCCAAAAACATCTTACTAGTGCAACATAAGCAATCACCCCATGCGAACAACATCAATGCGAAGTAGCGCGTTAAAAATGATCTGGCGGGGCGGAGCGTTGGCGTCAGCGTCAGTGTCAAAAGAGGGTCCTCTAGCCCTTTGTGTGAGAATCGGTCTTTGTGTAACGACAATTGTTTATATGCTGCCAGCTGAGAGATCTAAGGAACTGTCTTAAACACAGGCATGGGAGGGGTTGTGGTGAGAATATGGGCAGGTGCTCTTGTACCCGTATCATTTTTATCCTGAGCTTTGGGCTGGAATAGTCCCTCTAAGTGCGTTTCCTGGAAAAATTCAGGTCCCTTTGGCATGTACTGCGAAACGTAAAAAGGGCTTATCAACAGCGCTAGGAATACCAACAAAATCATGAAGTGCAGGAAGAAGTACTTCTGGACAATGCGTCTGCGACGTTTTTTCTGCTTCTTGGTGTATGCTAACTTGTTTGAGACCAGGTTTTTGGGCTTCATCCAAAATAAAATTATCGAGTGCCAGCGGTTGACGAACGGGGTACACACGAGCGGAAGTTGAACGAACATCAGCATGTGTCCCAATATAAAGTCGCCTGCGAAAAGGCTGCATTCGATGGTTTTAACAAACAGCTCTCGCGTCGGCTGCAATACAACAGACCAGCCCATTCCCGTGTTGTACCATTTACCAGACCACCATGCCAGGTGGGACTTGTTGTTTTTGTATTCCCGCGTCAGAAAGAACACTGTAAAAATCTTGATAAGCACTTCTTGAAAGTTGATACAAGTAATCAGAAGCAAGAGCGCTCGCGTAAAATTCCACCCTTCTAGCAGCCACATTACCTCGAAATCGACCAAGTATATTATCACTGAAAAACCGTGGACCACGGCGGCTATCGTGGTTCCAATCTTTTTGCAGCACAAAGACAACAATGGGGCGGCGAAACAGGAGAGAGAAAAGCATACCAGAAGCATCGTCAGATTTGCAAAAATTGGAAGGAACGTAACAACCCCCAGCCGAACGACCGCAGAAGTAGGTCGCGCGGATGCAACTCCTGTCTGAGCATTAATGAACGTGTAAGCTGTAAAACTCAGGCCAGCCACACAGGTCGGAATCAATATTTCCGCGACAAATATATCAGGGAGTTGCGCCCTCTTAGTTTCTCGAGCGCCTCTTTCAGAGACATCATCTATCAATTTCGTTTTGAACCCAGTGAACCTTGCTCGAGAACTTCTGACATACTCTACCCACGAATTCGAGTCGAATGTGGCATTACCGCTGGACAACCACCGAATGAAGTTTCTGTAGTCAACAAAAAAATCCGTAAAGGTAAATTGATGTGGATTGAACAAGAAGGGTGCAAGGCACATAGAAATTACCGTTATCCAGAACCAAAGCAAAGCTGGCTGCCACATTGAAATTGTGGCAAAAATCAACATGAGGAAAATCTTAGACCCTGAGTAAATGGAGCTTGACGCAAACTTGGAGTAAAGCTGAGGAAAGTCCAATCGAGTAATTGCAAATCCTCGTCCTGTCGAAATATACTTAGCGCCACCAAATGTAACATTTGTGAGAAGAGCGCTGGCATATATTTGACAGACGAATACCTCAAAGAATGACGCTAACGAAAGCAAGTGATGCAAAAACCTGGACAATGCCTTCCACGCGCCCTTCTCTAGCAATTCCTGTATAAGAAGTGGAGCAAAAGCGATGAAGAAAACGATGAAGATGGACAGCACAAAAATTGTAACCCAGTGAAGAACAGGCTCTATGTTGTAGCAACCAATAGGTTGTTGCAGATCAGTAATCGGTAGATCTCTGTTATAATTACACTTTATTGTTTCGTGATTCAAAGCCCCAAGGTTTATCAGGAGTACGAAGAAGATCTGGACGGAAAGCGTAATGAACAGGTTATTGAGGTGAAACCCTGCGTGGGCGTAAAAGAAAGAAAGGAAGCGGTCAATTGGTAGCTGGGTTCCAAGGTAATAGTACTCTCTTGATAAGAGTTGCTCGCCCATACCTGCACCAATTTTAGTCGTAAAATTTAGAATTGACCCAAATCCTAAATCTCGTCCTTTACCGCATTGGTAGTAATCACTATGCTTTATTCTACCTCCACGGCATATTGCGGCCATCCCGGCGTAAATATCCTCGTTGAGATGGAGGCCTTTTTGAGCCTTGGAAATTCCCCCTCGCGTCGTCATGAAAATTGCATTCAGAAAGTCTGGATGACCATAGTGCAGTTTACCTCCGATCTCTGCAAGAGTTCTGGCAAAAAGTGTGCCGAAGGTCTGTTCTTTCCCAGCAGCTATGTCGCCTAATACGCCAATATTCTCCGAAAAGATGTACTCTCGTGCCCCAAGAATCGCAACAGGTGCAGGTTTCTCTCTTTCTTCGATACCAGGTACGTATGGACTGTCCTCCTCCACATCTAATTCTTCAAATTCACTTAGAATAGACCGTATTTTCAAGCATTCCTCAAGGTAGTTGTCTTGGTTAGCATCGATGACTTGGATATACTCTCCACGATAAAAAATGAGAGAGTGGTTTTGATTGTCTGACTTTCCGTCACCAAGGATTGGATTGCCTGAAAGCCGAACCTTGAAGTGTGGAATTCTTTTGCCTGAAGCTTCATCGACTTGACAATGGCCGTCAATTAAACAAGAGTAGAATTTCGGTTCGCCATCCTCTTCTGGAATCTCTTCCAAGTACGAGATGCACATATCCGGATAGGCGCGTAAGAGCAGATCTGCCGCTTCTTGTTCTTCCTTATCAAACTTTGCAAACCGTTGCATTGCAACGACCATCCTAAACTTTCTTCGAGACAGATTCCTTAATTCCCGCTCCATATCATCAAAGTTAGTACAAAAAGCTTGAACCATTGAAGGATTTTCAATTCGGTAAAGCAGTTTTATCGCTTTTGAGTAATTCATAAAGCCTGTGATAGTTCTGTACAGCGTTTGGAATCTCAGTGATGCCCATATCCGTGTTCGAAGAGTATATTCGGGATCGGATTTACTAAATCCCATGCAGTAATAAGGCAGATCTTTTATCTTCCCTTGAATTAATCTGAACCTATCATCCGCATCTTTCGAGAAGTCTCCGGTGCCTTTTTTTAGGAATTCGGAATTACTATCCGGGTCGTAACTTTGCTCTGCATTACTCTCAAGAGTCAGCAATTTGGTGTCACGAACGAAGCATTCCCATTCAGTGGGATGTAGGTGTTTCAAGTACTCGAGTAAAGTAATACGCGATTTTGTTGATTCTTCCTTTATAATTTCCTTCAGCGACAGTAAAATCTTTTCGGAGTAGTGAGGAATTAGAACCGTAAAAGTAGGCATGCACTCCACTGGCATTGGCTCTGTTATTGGAGTAGAAAGCGATTGGGCAAAAAAAGAGATACGTCGCTCTGCCTCGGAGTTTTCCGGGAAGAACTCCATTGATTTAAAAGTCGAGTCGTCTTGCGCTACAAAAAACGTTGGTGACTTTAAAGCTCGTTTGTCGTGGGTCATAGAGTCAACTTGCTGATAAAGAAGTCTTTGAACATGTTCAATTGACAGTAGATGTTCCCTGTACATCGATATCACAATGGCATTCCAAATTTGAGATACCAAAATTTTAGGTTTATATTTGACGTCCATTTCGGACGTTGCAAGAATTTTTGAATAGATGCGTTTAGGCAGTCTTGAATAGATGTTTTTCCAAGGAGTGAGAATGGAGGTGCCGAGGGAGAAGGAGAGGATAATAGAGAATATGCAATTGCATATAATGTACCACAGATAAGTGTCCAGAAAGAAGAGTACCAAATCTGTCAAGATCATAATTCCGAGCGTAATTTTTGGTTGAAGCCGGCAAAAACGTGCCCCTAATAGCGTGTCTCCTCTGCATCTGCTCATGTCCATTATTGATAAAACTCGTATGGGATCACGTAAGGATAATGTCAGGAAGAAGTATGATTCTATGAATTTTCCCACGAATACAAATAGCCAGAGACCCCAGGAGAACCATTTGCTACGCCCCGTGAGTTTGGGGAACTGGGCGGTGAAAGACTGCGACGAGGTATAACGCCTCTTCTTCTGACCTTTGTGCAGGTAAGAGCCAAATATTCCGCCCAAAGGTCTGATCGCGAAGAATAGAGTGGTTATGATGGCTACTACTAGCTGAATGATGGACACAACGTAAGCGTAACCCGAATGGACGTCAAGATCAAAAAACCCGAAAACATATATGGATGGCGCGACATTGATGAACAGACAAAGGAGTAAGCCAATCATTCTTTTTGTCAAGTGTTGCCCACCGGGCCATTTACGTGGTACAAAGCTCCACTCGAACAGCGTAGCCACAATTTGGATAAGACAAGTCACAGTCCCCCCTAAGGCCCCAGCAGATAGCCGTGCTTGCGGTGTAGGGGGATTATTGAGTAATTGAACGTAATCCTTTGTATAGAGCGTTGGGGCGTTGAAGGATGTGAAGAACCAAAACGAGGACAGGTGGATTATCCAAATTCTATTGAAATTTGTAGCGCAATGCATCCAAGTTCTGGTCTCTTTGTAAGTTTTGTAAAAAGCTTTATTCCATTGGACATTTTTGAAACAATTGTATCGCTGGTGGCGTGGCTTGTCCACTAGCCGCTCTCCTGATTCAAGAACAAGCCTTTCAATGCCTTCTGGGTACCAAAATAACTGATTCACATCATCGTATCCGATTATGTCTTTGTGATCTTTTTCAAGTTTGTTTAATTTCCCATTTTTCGCATTGACATCGTACACTTGAGATCGCAAGAAGTGGTATAAGGGAGTGATGACCTCATTGAGATACGTGTATTCGGGCCTGGTCTTTTCGCAGTCGTCTTCGATGTTTGAATCATGATCCAGCGCACATTTGAAAATGAAGCACAAGCACTCCGGTGTGTATCTTATCTGGTTTGCTTCACCCCAGCACAAGAAGTAGAGCGCCAATTGACGAGCCATCTGTGCGGGCTCCAGTTGCCGCATTTTCAGCTTCCATTTGAAATCTGCTATCTTGTAGTTCTTGTCCTCTTTCAGTTGAGCTGGCGTTATGGAGATTTTGGGATGGCTCTTAATGAACTCCTCTTCCTGCTCTTTCCACTGCTGGAGCTGATCCTCAATCGATAAGCCACGTTTCTTGGCAAGCTCAGAGTTTCTCTTACGCGCTTTGCCGTGCAGCTTCATGTTCTGAAACCCTATTTCCTCGTCGAGATCCAGCTGCGCGGCAAAATACCATTTCTTGAAGTTTGCTTCGTTGCCACCGATGTATGACGCATGGAGGGAAACCAATGCTGTCCGTGCGGTAGATCTGCTGGCCCGAGAGTCTAGCTGGGCCAGTAGGTGGTGAAACATGTTATCCTTAGACGAGTGTTGGAAACCAAATTTCGCAGTCAGATCCTCGAAGATGTCCTTGAGCTCCACCTGACTGACAGGGGCATCGTCATCGTGGCACCACGCGGGGTACTGGGCGTCTATCATTGAAATCTTTGCTGCTCTGAATGCTTGACGTTGGGTTTTGTTGATGGAAGCAGTTATTGAGAGTCAGACCTATTTATACTAATTAGCCGCCAATGCCACAAAAACGGCTCACGGGATAATACAATACGAAACAACAACAAACAATACGGATACAAAGCAGATACAGCGACACGCCCCACGAGTACGTGTGAGGGTGGGGCGATGTGCTTTGAACTCGGTGCTCGTGGTAGAATCTTAGTGAACTTGAAGTGAACTCGAACTGATATTGTCATTAAAGTGAGTAGGTTGTGTGAGAGCATGGGAATGATACTGAAGGTTCTAGTATGGTGGCATGCTATAAACGTGGCAGTAAAAGAAGGTCGAGACTGACCTGATTGGCCTTCTGGACGAAACCTAATGCATTTCAGAATTATTGTTTTGTTAACTGAAGTTCGCTTTCGGAGCAAACTATGTAAGACGACGAACCCAAATATAGACTTGCCCGTATTCACCTCTTCCCGACGAATATAAGAAAGAACCTACTAGGTCTACGAAGACACAACCGATACAAAGTAAGATACAGGCATGAAGTTTGTGTCGCGACAAGATTCCTACTATTATTGCGACAGAATTGTAGAAAGTGATAATCAAAGAAGCTTCCAGTTCCATCTTTCCCGTCTTTCCTGCCTCTCTCGCAACGATGTGAAACAAGACCGGGATCGCCATTTTCTCTTCAAATACTGCTACTTCTAGACGCCTCGTACAGTCCATTTCACACGTATGGTGATTCTGCACCGTTCGATCTGATACAACTCTTCTGGACGGCCTTCGTACCGTATGATATTGAAGAACTTTTTGACCCTTCGTATAAAATCATATACTCTCAAGCCTAAGTGAAACTCGATTTATCCAAGTTCTACTCCCATTGTGCCCGCCCCCACCACTCACGGTGCACTTTCATGACAGCTCTCTCTTTCTCGCTCTCTCGCTCTTCCCAGTGCATCTCTTGGTGCAACACGGCAGTCTCCGCCACTACCAAATCTCGAGACAGCGAAAAAAAAAACCGCACATAAACCATCGTCGCTCATCTACACGCTACCACGGCTCCATCTCGCTGTCTGCCCAAAGTTCTTTTTCGGTTCTCGCTTCTCGCCCGACCTCTTCTCGGTTTGCATCTTTTGCCTCTATTTCCTTTCCTCTTTGGCTCGTCGATTCTACGCCCTTTTCTTGTGCCAAAATCGTCAACAACTGCAAACTTGCCACTACCACGAATTAAACTTTAACTCGATTAAGAAATAGAAAAACTTTTTTCTCCTATCAGGTTCACGGTAACCAAGTGCCATAAGACAATAAACTCGAAGTCAAAGCGTATCGGGAAATGAAAAAATTTCCGTGCATGCCTCGGCTAGGCAACGACCAGATCTGGCTAGATCGCAGAATCTCAGAAAGGAAATGGGTGAACATGCGGTCTCAGATCTGAGATCTGAGAAGGTTTTCGAGATGTGGTATATTGTCTGTCTTCTCAAAAACTCTCTCTCTTTTTTAACACTCTTTTCAAGCAATTTCGTCTACTTTCTCAGTTTCGGTTTCAATACACCAACTCTCGCGCAGTCCAACTGACAGTCCTTCCTTAATTCTCACCTGCGAGCGTCGTCTGTGTCAAAAGTATCCCAACTATACTTTCGACCACTAAACCCCGACTTCAGTTCCGACAACAACAAGTTCACCACATTTCCTCTTTACTTGTCTGACACTCTTTGTTTGCAATGCGTTTCTCTCACGTTCTATCGTCGGCTGCCCTTGCCGGTGTCTCTCTAGCCACTCCGTTGGGCCACGAACATCCTGCCCACAAGAGAGACGTGGCATACGTTACCAACGTCAGAACCACCACCGTGTTTGGTACCGCCCCACAACAAATCGGCGGCCAGTCCACCACCGTGGCCCTCGACGCTTCCAACACCGTTGCCCAGCAGGCTGCTACAGAGTCGACCTCGCTTTCTGAGATCTCCAGAGGCGTCGCTGCTGCTCCAACCGAGGCCGTCAGCTCGACCGTCTCTTTTTCGAGCTCGAGCTCGAGCTCGAGCTCGAGCACCAGCGCTGCTGCTTCTTCCGGCTCGTCTGTCCCAGCTTCAAGCTCGTCGTCTTCGTCTGCTGCTGCCACCTCTTCGTCGTCTGCTGGCTCTGCTGGTGCCAAAGGTATCACCTACTCTCCCTACAGCAGCTCCGGCTCTTGCAAGAGCTCTTCTGAGATCGCTTCCGACTTGGCTCAGCTCTCTGGCTACGATATCATCAGACTATACGGTGTCGATTGCGACCAGGTGTCTGCTGTTTTGCAGAACAAGGCCTCCAGTCAAAAATTGTTCTTGGGTATCTACTACACCAACGCTATCCAGGACGGTGTCAACACCATCAAGAGCGCCATTGAGGCCCATGGTTCTTGGGACGATGTCTATGCCGTTTCTATCGGTAACGAGCTAGTCAACGGTGGTGAGGCCACCGTGGCCCAGGTCGGTTCCTACGTCTCTGAGGGTAGATCTGCTCTAACCAGTGCCGGCTACTCTGGTCCTGTTGTCTCTGTCGACACTTTCATCGCTGTCATCAACAACCCAGGCTTGTGCGACCACTCCGACTTCATGGCCGTCAACGCCCACGCTTACTTCGACTACAACACTGCTGCCGAAGACTCCGGTACATGGCTTGTGGAGCAGATCCAGAGAGTCTGGGGTGCCTGCCAGGGTAACAAAGAGGTTTTGATCACCGAGTCCGGCTGGCCATCTCAGGGAGACACTTTGGGAAAGGCTGTTCCTTCCAAGGAAAACCAAGCTTCCGCCATCAGCTCCATCAAGTCCTCTTGCGGTAGCGCAGTCATCTTGTTCACCGCTTTCAACGACTACTGGAAGGCCGACGGTGCTTACGGCTGCGAGAAATACTGGGGTATCTTGTCTAATTAGAGTAGCTGTACTCACGACTTTTCAGTCTCCGCAGCCTTTCCTTTCAGTTCAATTTCACAATACTCTCCTGCTTGAGACCTTGTTTTTTTTTTGGTTCGATATTTTCCACCATCCAGCTCGCTGCTGTGTGCGCTTCATACCCAAGGGTCTGCCATTCAGTCCCGGTTTTATGCTTTCTCAACTAGACTCTTTACTTCGATATATGGATTATTATTACTTTCGACAACCTAGTATGTCTTTACTTACATGTATGCACCATTATCACAACTTAACTTACCGGAGGCCCTCCAGGAAATGCACGCTGTTGTTACCGTCTGGCCTGTGGAGATCGTGATCTACGCCTTGTGGGTGTTCTCGACCGTCTTCGCCTGGGTGGTGTTCGAGACCTACGACGAGAGTCTCTCGGGACACTATTATCGTCTACGTTAGGATTCCGAGATTTTCGCATGCGATTGAATTTCTCCCACGTTGTGGACGTCTGGTCTTCGTCGTCTCTTTCTGCACCCCCTGCTTCTTCGAATTCTCTAGTATTCGTCTCCTGCCCTCCGTCTTGTATTGTAAGCGTCTCACCCTTCAGGGTTTCACGCATCGTCTCTGTCAGAGACCCTAGTCCGATAGCTGTGAAAAAATTGATAGAGAACCGGGTCTTATCCACATCATCAACAGGAAACATTTCCGTCAAATAGGACTGGATGCAGGGTTCTTCAAGTCTCTTTTTCAGCTCTTGTATGCCCAGGTCAAGCACCAATTCTTGCAGTAAAAATTTCAAGTACACTCTTCCCGCTGAAGTAGTCTCTTCCGCGTTCATATGTACGACCTCCAGAACTTCTAGACCCACGTAGTCAGATGCTAATATATGGCCCCAGAGTTTCCCCATGTTTCTCACCTGAGCGGCCTGAAAGTCATCTATTAAAACGTAACCGTCTTTGAATGAACTGGCAAAAGCAAATTGCCAGCTTCTATGACTTGAACAAAGCCTTTCTGCCGTTACACCATAAAACTTTGAGTAAGTTGTCTCTTGTGAACAGGCCATTACTAAGGTGTCAACGACAACCTTCTTGTCGCGGTCCGGAACTCTCAATTTGAGAAGCTTGTGAGCAGCCTCATCGCCGGAAAGTGAGCCTTTCAGCGTCAAATACACTTTTTTCTTAAACTCCAGGTTTTGAGATTGAGTCATGTCATGAATTTTAACATCTTTTGGCGGTTCTTGTGGCAATGATTCAGGTGAAGTTTCCAGGAGGTTAACTCGCGTTTGGATAGCTCCAAACTCCTCCTCTTTCGTGGCAAAATCTGGGTCGTGAACAAAGTCTACAATTTTAGTGTTGGATTCGACCTCGATTTGGTCTGGATCGATCAAATAGGTGTGTCTAGAGGGTTCGTATGGTGGCAAATGAATTTTAGGCGGCGTGCCCCGGTAGTCTCTTTTGCGAAGCTCAAAAATAACTTCAAATTCCCGACGTGCATCGTAACTAGTTTTAGAATCTTGAAAATAGGTGCGCAAGCCCTCGTACACTAGATCGTGGGCATTTTTGGCGACTGCTAACAATTCACACCCACATTGACGTATAATTTCTATTGTCAGCCTGGCAGAGTGCGGGTTGAGATTCTCCGTGACTAGGTGAAGAACTTGCAGTATAACAATTTCATGTGCGACTCCATAGTTGAATAACTGTGAGATGAGACTCGCCATGGCATAGCATCCGCGAGCGTCGTTTTTCTTGAAACAGCCCAAGAACCTCGCAGCTGCTCTCTCAACCAGAAGGGACCCAACAGACGGAACATATGCATCAACCAAGGCTGATAGTGCCGCTATACTAGAGATGCTGCCGTTATTTTTCACGGCTTTCTGCAATAAAGCATCTACCAATAACCGGCTCCCAAGTATTACATTTACAGAAAATAGCGAGTGGAATGTCTGTAAAACTAAACGCTCATCCAGATCATCGACCAAAAAGTTTATATTGCTTCTAATACGCTCCCAGTTCTCTCTTTGGAGGTCTTCATCTTGTCTTTCCTCCTTGCTCATCACTCTTCTCGATTGTTCGTGAACATTTTCAATTCATTTCTTTAAGATGGCCATTAATATTATATTTACCTAATTTCTTGGGCGTTCACGACAAATTCGAATGTACGCCAACAAGCATGGCTCGTGTGGCGCTGGTTTTGAAATGCCTGCCAGAAATAAGTCTCGAAGCACTAAAAGATCATACTAAAGGTCTACTACCCCTTTTGAAACTGAGCTCGGCTTCTTTGGATGTGATTATCACGGACAAAATAACGAATTCTGACCGGCTGGACTGTGTACTTGGAAACCTATACAGCAATATACGGGAGGTCTTGTTGATCGAAAATCTCTATGAAACACCTATTAACGTTTTGTTTAACCAAGAGGACGACTGGCTGAAAAGCCATGCCTGGGACCTGCTATTAGTAGGCGTTGAACTGCCAAGTCTTGCGAACTACAACTACAAGAAACTGAAAAAAGTGGATCTCACCAGCAAAAATACTTCCGCGAATGAAAGGCTCTACCTAGATACGGAGCAGCACGATCTCGGGTTATACAGTGTAAGCGCTCTTGGAGGAACTTTTGATCATTTACATGACGGGCATAAGATTCTTCTGAGCGTTGCGGTATTCTTAACGTCTCATAGATTAATAGTGGGTGTGGCAGACCACGAACTTCTGAAAAACAAAAAGTTTCCAGAGTTTCTAGAATCCTTTGAATCTCGAGCTCAGAACGTCAAAAATTTTGTAGCAAGAACCAAGCCCACTTTGCAACTTGAGATTGTTGCATTGCGGGATGTATGTGGGCCAACAGGCGCTGTTCCAGAGATTCAAAGTCTCATTGTGAGCCGCGAGACCGAATCAGGCGGCGAAATGGTAAATGCGGTGCGCAAGGAGAAGGGCTTGCCTGGTCTTGAAGTCCACGTAGTAAATGTTTTAGGTGGTCAAGAGGAGGATAATTGGAACGAAAAGCTTAGCAGCACAGAGCTGCGTAAGCGCAAAGTCGTTGAGAATTAGCGATATTCGCTTGCTTCATTTGAACGCGAGATGTACATAATGAACTCAGCTTTTGATAACCATAGGCCTATCGGTATATGTCTGAGTTCGAGTGCGGTCCGGGTGGTCCATGCAAATATAATCTAGATTGTTTAACACGTCGAATAATACGATTTCACGAAGTTCATCATCAGTAAAGCCGTGCAAAGACTTGAAAGCGAGACCATTATCAGAGCCAATAGTAATTCCGAGCTTTATCTTAGAAAATTCTTTGCGTCCCAACCCAAATCTGGAGTGAAGCCTTTCCCGCGTCTCCAGAAAGTTCTCGCCGGGGACCAAATTAAAGAGGAAGGATATCCCGTGCCTGTTATCCAGGTCTTTGAAATACTGAATGACAATAACGAGCTTGCCGTTGATGGCAGACGTTTGTTGCACCCCAAGATCAAATCCGTCCGTTTCCGTCTCATCCATAGAATCAACATTGTCCGAAGAAGTTTCTTCGAGCTGGTTTACCAGAGCAAGTTCTTCGGGCAAAATTCTTCCAAAGAACAAGAAGGACTCTGCCAGCTCTTGGAAAACATTCTCACCCGACAAAATGCCTTGAAATTTAAAATCACAGTTTGTCCAAAGAAGGATGTTCTTTCTTTGATTTTCATTAAAATTCAGCCGTTTCTGCAGCTTTGTCATGAATTCATCAATCGTAGATGAGTTTTGTACTCTAAATTCGTACCTCTGGTAATGCACATAGCTGTCATTCAACCAATAAAACTTGATTGATCGTAGCTGTTCAAATTCTTTAAGTGGTATGGAAAGAACCTCGAACTCGAAAGGAGGAATCGCACCGGGAGAATAGTTCTTCAGAAGATAGTCAGATATACGGCAATTCGACTTTAGGGCAAAGCGACCATTAGAATAAATGGCGAATACTCGTAAGTGTGAAGCTTTAAGTCCAGACTTTGCAGCAATCAGGTTTGCAAACTCTTCATACGTAGCTTGTGCTGAGATCCAAACGCTTAGCTGAGACAAATCACTGCCTTCACTTGCAATAGCATATTCTTCCTCGGTGTTTGCTATTCTAGCCAGTGTGATGTTAATTCTGTATCTCAAGAAATTGTAGTGGTCTAAAATCGAAGGCGCAGTATCCTTCTCATTGCTAGCGATTGAAAATGCAAGAATATCTCCGTCCACCAATTCTGAGGTAGCGAACTGCATTCTGGCATCGACGGACTCAATCGTATCAGGCTGGAACTCTTCAAAGATAGTTTCTTCTGACTCAACTTGACACATGTTCTTTAGCAAACCAAAAATGGAGGACACCTCGTCATCTGGATAAACGAGGACATGGCCAAACCCTTGAAGACGAGTGCTGGTGGGGTCGAAAGCTTTCAGGAAAATGAGTACTTTATAAGAATCATCATCGTCAGATTTCAGGTATGAAGACGAATCGGGCAGAGCGCCCCGCGAGGCTGCTTCCCTGAGGTGAGAAATAACATCAGAGCTTAGCCTATTTTCTGTAATAGTTTTCGTTGTTGCCAGCTCTGAGAGATAATGGAGTTCCAGGTAAGGCTCTTCCACGAAAATATCAACAGATGTGGTACGAGAGATCCCCATCTTGTGAGTAACTTGCTCTAAAGTAAGATTATCCAGTTCGGACGGCAAGACTGATTCTAATCTCAAAGTGTAGTTTTTCCTGTAGCTCATCATCCAGTAATTGATGCTGCAAGCTCTTGGAAGATTGAGAATTTTTGTTATCTCGCTTTTTAGGTCTCTTAGTTTCAAAGACTTCAAAACGCGTAGGGACTCCGCATACTCGTTGGGCGCGTTCAGTTCTGAACTGTAGAGCTTTGACCGTTCATTGGGCGATAAATCGAAGCCTTCGTAATTTACGAAGTTACTCACCGAGTGGACATGCACCTTAGTGTACAAATGCATTTCCTCAAGCTCCTTTCTCCTTTTTTCGCGATCTTGAAGCTCCGTCTCTATGCTGGTTACGACATGTTCCGGAACGTCTCCGGGGGAAACTTCTTCAAGAATATTGTCCTCCATGTCTTGTCTTACATACACCAGCATGTAAGCGCTTGTCTGTCGCGCGATGAGATAATTTTGATACTGTTCTCGTGTGAAAGTTCTCAATTTCTCGTCAGACAGAGCTTCATGACCAAAGTTCTCGTCGAAGGCTTGCTTCTTAGTGACTTTCCAAACTTTCTCGTCATCGAATCTGAACCATTGATCATCAACACTGGGCTTAATCATGGCATAGTAGTGCCCAGCAGATATGTCCCCTGAGTGAACTAGGACGCAGTGAAGATTGTAAACGCAAGGATGATCACCCTCTTTGCTGACTTCCGGGTCGAGAAAAGGTGCCAGGTCAATGGTTTCTGGAAATTCGTATCTATCATTAATTTTGACCAATTGGTCGTAGTTGAAGTCATACTCAAATCGTTTCAATTGCAGGTGAAGCACAGGAGGAAAGCTCTCGAATACAACACCTTTCTTTGCATCCTGAAGACCGAAATCTTGAGCTGCGTATTGATTCTCGCCATCCATCATTTCGACTTCGACGTAATTTGCGAATGACTGCTGGACTCCTTTCAAATTTTTAACATTGAGCTGAATATCCCAAAAATCTTCCACGCGAGAAGACTCGTACTTGACGTTAACGCACCTAATGTAACTTTTCATTTTTCCAACAAAGAGCTCGTTCAAGACGCTCTCTACCTCTGTACCCTTCATTCTAGTTTCAAGTCTGTCCATCAAAATACGATTCAATTCTTGTACGTCATGCTGTGTGAAAGCTTCGCCAGTGTCCCATCCAAAGGAGCGCGTGAGTTCCAGAGTGTCTAGAGGATCTTGAGATTTTTGCATAAGATAGAAAGAACGTTGGAGGGCCAGTGCTACACTGTCATTCGGCGAATCTCTCTCTGTAGGAATCTTGTAGACAACTTTCCGGAAAAGCTTGGTGAAGAAATATGACTGTAACAGAGAGTTCAGATAACATGTAGCGCCCTGATTTTTGAAGCCTATGTAGCCGGTCAGTTTTTTGGAGTCGTAATTCAAAAAATTGTGCCACAACACACCCGTAGGGTCCTTCAAAACTCGTACAAATACCGAAATGTTGACTTTGTTATTGACTAGAAATCCGGAATTGCGAGATGACGTCCGTTTCTTCAATGTGTCAAGCCCCATGAACGTGGCGAACCCCCAGTCAGTGTCTGTGGCACAAAATCTGTGATGCGACACGTTTAATAGCTGGCACTTGGCATCTTCTCCTGGGCGGGAAACACCAATCGCAAACTGTGTGCACACATGCCAGTCTGGATCTTCGGGTTCTGATATTTTTTTCTCGTCGTTGTAGACTTCCATGGGATGGGGCTCCAAATACATGGAGAGGCCCTTGTTGTGGTTTCCCTGAGGAAACAGGAGGACATTCCACTCGAAATCTCCGATCTTGTAACGCGGTGAGACATGTTTCTCCTCGGTAAGCAGGTTCCAGTCCGGTATGTGCCACGTGAAGGCTCCTTCGCATTGTACCTCTTGCGAGTCCAGAGTCGGCAAAACATCGTCCAAAGATTTGCCCAGCTCTATAAGCTCTCCGACATTACCTACGGTAGCGTTGTTTGCTTCTGCATCTGCCATTGTGTCTCGAGTTCCCAGTGTTTTAGAGCTTCAATTCTAAGTAGTCTAAGATAACTTCAAATCAATGTTTCTTGTCTGTTAAAGAACTCGTTCTCCCCTTAAAACTTGAATGATTTATTACCCGCACGAGAGTACTGTGTACTCGTAAATTGAAATTGAGCTCGCAAGTACGGAGAGTACTTTTAAGAGAGATCACCTTATACGGAACAGACAGTATATCTTACAAACAAAAGACGGAGCTCAAAGTCAGGGCGACCGAGTGATGATTTACGGGCTATTTGGCCACATCAAAATAATTGAGTGAATTGTTCGAGTAATCACACTGCCCACATCTTCATTGTCGCTGAATCGTTAGCAAAAAAATTGAGATTCACGTGACTGTTTACCTCTCTCTTTCGCCCCTCACCGGCCATCGATATATTTGCATATATATATATATCATATAAAGTGCCCTGAACTTTGTTCATCCACACCAAATATCAACTTCTACAACCCAAGAAAGGGCGCTCGTTGTCATGATCCCGACGCTGCAAAGATCTTTGAGGTCAGTTTTAGTGCCACAATGTCGAAAATCGCTTTCGTTAAGTCCGTTCAAATCAGGCATTAGGCTTGTGTCTACCGAAATTCAACAAAAGGATGAGCAAGCTGGTGAATCAAACACTGCAACCGATACTGGTGTGATACATAAAACGGAGGAGGAGACCCTTCTATACTTTGACAACGTGTATCCTCGTGCAACCTCGCTATGGAGTCCCACCCAGTGGTACAACGCTTTACTTACTAACCAGTCGCGCGACGCGGTGCGATCGAAAATTATGGAATACGCCAGTCCTGAAAGTAATCCGATCCATGGGCTCGAACTTAGATCAAGCATCCCTGTCAAGCGGGACGGAGGAGTTTTCGCTACGTTTCTGGTCCCGCGAGGCTACACTCTCGCCGAAGTTAACTCTATGATTCAAAAAAACACAGCAAAGGAGTCATCAAAATCTGTTCTCTCCTTTGTAACCAGGGCCGCAGCTTTTCCAGTAAAGGGCTCTCCTTGGATAGAAGATCTCCGCAGACTGCCTAGTACCATGGTTAAGATAAAATTTGAGGGTCAGCCGCTGATAGAGGAGGAAATTTACTCTTTGTTCAGAAGATATGGGACCATCGTCGACATTTTTCCGCCCAAAAAAGGCGAGAACACTGCAACGCTTCGATATCGCTCATTCCGTGGCGCTATCTGTGCCAAAAACTGTGTGTCAGGCATGGAGATTCACAACAGCGTCATCCATGTTCAATATGAAAGACTTGCCAACGAACATATGTTTAAGGACTTCTTTATCAATCATACAAGAATCGCCATCCCCCTGGTTATCGCGCTGCTTTCCATCGCAGCTGTCCTTATTTTTGATCCTATACGTGAGTTTTCCATTAGGCAAAAAATCACACATCAGTTTTCTTTCTCCAAGGACAACTACTTCATCAAAGAATTCTTCAAACTCACCTCTTACACTGTGTCGTCATTCAAGAGCTTGCTAGGAAGTGAGACAGTACAAACCAACAAAAAACAACTGTGGGAAGAACGCATAGAAAAAGTAAGTGATTTAAGAATGTGGTTGGAAGAGAACAACAATACTTTTGTTATTGTTAGGGGTCCACGAGGTTCAGGTAAACATGACCTTGTCGTGCAGCACACGCTTCATGACAGACCTAATGTTCTTTACATAGACTGTGACAAGCTTACAAAATCGAGAACGGACTCCAAATTTCTGATGAATGCTGCTGCTGAAATTGGCTTTTTTCCTATATTCCCATGGGTCAATTCTCTAACAAACATCATTGACTTAGCTGTTCAAGGTTTAACCGGTCAAAAAACAGGACTGTCTGAAAGCAAAGAAACCCAGTTTAGAAACATGTTGACTACCGCTCTGATGTCTATCCGGCAAGTTGCTTTGAAGGGATATCATCCGACAATTGGAAGCGGCGAAAACACTATTAGTGTAAAAGAGGAAGACTACCTACAGCAGCACCCCGAAAAGAAGCCTGTCATTGTTATCGATCGGTTCAGCGATAAAGCTGAGATGAATAGTTTCGCGTTTAAAGAGCTTTCCGATTGGGCCGCGATGCTCGTTCAGATGAATATTGCCCATGTCATCTTTTTAACAGAAACAGTATCACCCAATCAACTTCTCTCGGACTCTTTGCCAAACCAGGTATTCAAGACTCTGGCTTTGTCTGATGCCTCAAAGGAGTCAGCTAGGTCATACGTTTTAGCCTCATTAGAACAAGCAGGTCCTACAGAGAATGAGAAGAAGCGGTCGGCACCCCTTGAGCTCTCTGAAGAAACAATGCGCGAAATAGACACATCGCTCGAACCTCTAGGTGGTAGAATGCTTGATCTACAAGCTTTCGTGAGGCGAGTCAAGTCAGGAGAAAACCCAAAAGAAGCCTTGGATAAAATGGTCGAACAAGCTTTGGAGCAGATAACCCAAATTTTCTTGTCGGAGAATGTTGATCAAATCAAGAGCGCCCAAGCCTGGGAGTTGATTGAATTACTGAGCAAGGAGCCAGTTGTTCCTTTTAAGAAAATTGTTTTCAGGCCTTTGTTCAAAAGTTCCCCGGAAGCCGGACTTTTGGAGCTCGAAAAGAATGGACTAATTACTGTTTCGAGGGATAGAGGTGTTTTGAAAGACATTAGACCGGCCAAACCTCTTTTCAAAGCCGCTTTCGAATATCTTTTGAATAGCGACGAAATCTCAACGGTTCTTGAAACAAGTTATTTGCTAAAAATGATAAATTTCGAGACTAAGCGAATTCAGAAGTGGGAAGAGGAGCTTAAATCTCTAGGAAAAGTCACAGACACAAAAATGTTCAAAAGCCGACTCTCATATCTTGCCAACAAGATTGATGCTAGTAGTGACACCATCGCTAGCTGTGAGGAAAAGATCAAGATACTGTCTAAAAGCACGAAATCTTAGTGAGCAACCACTTTTAACAATATTCACACTACTTGTCTATAATTTAATGATAATGACCGTCCTCGGATTTAAGAATCGATCGGGTTGTCAGGCGACGAGTGACAATTCTGCGGTCGAAATTTCTGGAGGCTATTTTATAATGAGGCCATTGATGGTTTCGACAGAGTGCGCCAGTCTACTGCCTGAAAAAAATAAAGTTTAACGTCTTTATGTAGTCAAATATGAGCTCTCCACGTACCTACCTGTCTCAATTTCTGGGATCATGACGGTTTTCTAATTTATACGGCAAGCATGTATTTTGAGTCATCCTGAATCATCTCTCGATGATTATTTAAAAAGCACAAGCGCCGAGCAGAATAACATGCATTTCAACGAAAACTGTTGAAAGATTCTCTCAAAGAAAACGCATATATAGTCTGATCTTATGTGGGAGTTACGACCTGTTGTTCATATATGATCTACCTCTAATTGTTGCCTTCAATTATACACGAAACGCGGCAAAACGTTGACACTGTCTCCATGTCATCGTCAAAATCATTTGATCATCTGAGCACTGTCTCTGTGACAGAAACAACAGAACAGAAGCTTCCAAAAAGTTTCCGGTGGGTCTCATTGCTGGGAATCGCTTTCTCACTGACCAACTCTTGGCTTGGTGTGTCTTCATCACTTGTCGTTGGCCTATCCAGTGGTGGTCCACTCTTGATCATCTATGGACTCATAATTGGGCTTGTTTTTACTTTCATGTGTGGCTGCTCCCTTGCTGAGTTTTCCTCGATTCTGCCCAATAGTAGCGGCGCATGTTTTTGGGTACTCAAGATGCTTGAGAGGCGAGATGATGCTGAGCGCATAATTGTCGATGGCCCAAAACGAATCCAATCTGAGAGCGACAGCGAGAGCGAAGCTGAAGAGAAAGTTTTAGAATGGGCCTGCACGACGAAAAGCGTCAAAGTGACATCGAAGTTTCAGAGATCTACAGCATTGGCCGTTGGCCTTATCAACTATCTGGGCGCTGTGTTTACATCGGCCAGTGTTTTTTCCTCCCTATCACTAAGCATACTTGGTGTACACCAGTTACTAAACCCCGATTATGAGCTCAAGCACTGGCATATTTTTGTCGTTTATCAGATTTTGAATGTGATAATTACAGTCACCAATTGCTGCCAAAAGATCTTGCCAGCGTTGTCTCAGTTTGGTCTATACATGTCACTTCTTGCCTGCTTATTGACGTTCATATTATCGCTGGTTTGTCGCAGCAATCAGAGCAGCATCGAATGGCCCAAAACATCGGGTATATTCGGAGAGTTCAAGAATACCACAGGGTGGAGCTCATCACCTATGGCTTTCATAGTTGGGCTCATTAATCCTCTGTGGGCATTTGCAGGAATTGATTCAGCTACGCACATGGTTGACGAAGTTGGATACAAGCCATCGAAGAAGCTGGTACCCCGCGCAATATTTTGCACAATATTAATTGGGTTTGTGACCAGCTTCACCTACGCTATAGGAATGTTCTATTGCATTACAGACGCAGAAAAAGTAACCGAGTCTATTTTACCTATACTGGAAATTTATTATCAGGCCACTGGTAACCGAAAGTTGAGCGTATTCATGCAGTGTTGCTGCATTGTGACTGGCCTTTCCTGTGGTGTGGCCAGTGTTACTTGGCAAAGTAGAATCCTGTGGAGCATAGGAAGAGATTTTTCCAAGCTGTCAGACAAAAACCCCATCTCGCGCAAGGCGATGCAATTTTTTGGAATTGTGAACACCAAGCTAAAGGCTCCGCTCAATTCGCACTTGTTCTCTCAATTACTGGTTGCCATTATCGGTTGTATTTTTATGGGGTCGTCAACCGCGTTCAACGCGATTATAACAGCTTGCATCACTCTTCTTCTGTTAAGCTACGCTATACCATGCGCAATTCTATTGATCATCGGCAAAAAACCATTCTTTTCACGCATTCGAAAGGAATTCGCCAGTATTGGTCTGTGCACCGAAGATGGACCTACCTTAAGCATTCTCGCCTACGTCCCCAATGTTCTTACAATATGCTGGGCTTTATTCTGCCTTGTTTTCCTCTCATTCCCCTACAGTTTACCAGTGGATTCAGGCAACATGAATTACGTTTCAGTGGTTTATGGAGCCGTGGCTTTGGCCATTGGTATCCTTGTTTATGTTTAGCACATCACTCCCTTTCACACCCAGATGGAGACGTGACACCGGAAGAGCTTTTTTTCAAAAAAGTCTCTTCGCTTGCTAGGAGCTGTTGCTTCAAATCGAGGCCGCAAGCGAACCCGCCAAGCGTTCCATTTGATGCCAAGACTCGGTGACAGGGAATGATCAGAGGTAATGGATTTGCCCCACAAGCATTTGCAACAGCGCGATATGAGTGTGGCGTCCCAATATTTTTGGCTACCCTTTGATATGTAGTGGTGCATCCCCATGGAACTTTATTTAATTCATCCCATACCTTTCTTTGAAATTCAGTGCCATATAAGTACTGAAAATCTACTTTCTTCACTTTCTTACCGTCAAGCAGGCTCTCGATTGTGGCTTTTTGATGGATAAGCTTGTTGCCAAGGTCTTCTTTGAGTATGTAATGAATTTTAAGGCGGCGAGACTGAATAGCGAAGGTCTTTGCCATACGGTCAAGCAGTTCTGTTGTGTCCTTCCTTAAGTTGACGTAAACGAAGTTGTTGGTCCGTTCATCAACAGCAAGGATACAACACCCCAGACTGCCTTCGGCAAAAGTGTAGGTCAAGGTGTGATCCATGGCTAGTGTATGTAAACGTCATTACGCTAGTCTACTTACTTGTATTTCCGACCTTATTATATAATTTCCGGCATGATGGCGTTGGCGTCAAATTCGATTTTTCGCTTAAATGAGGAATAAAAAGTCTAATAGTGGTGAAGATGCTGTACTCTGAGTACTAGACCGGTGAAAAGAGCGCCAAGCTAGTAGGAGCGTTTGAATTTCTACTAATGTACGTAATATTATTATGACAAGTTATAAACTTGACAATCGTCAATCATTAATTACAAAAGTTTGAGAGTCGTTGTCACCATAATTAGCCTCGTATGTTGGTCTCTGAAAGTTGACGTTTCCTTGCCTTAGAAATCCTCTGCTATGTTATTTCAACCTCACACGTCCTGTCTTGTGTCCTGAACATTAATCCCCGTTGTAGCATTTTCACTCGTGGCGCCAGCCCTCTCATAACTATCCGTTCCATCAACATGCTCACCAGACTTTGTAGACGATACTTGCTCTAGATCTGATTCGCAACCCGAGGCCTGGTCATTTTCCTCTGCTGCCCACCTTCTCACCCAAGGCACCAGGAGCTTTGCGGTGACGACTTGTTCACTTTGGTAGAGAACCAATGGCACTAAAAGCTTTCCCAATTGAGGAAAGTCACTGCCATATTGCGAGGAAATCAAGGATACGCCGAGTGCCGCCGTTTTAGCAGGCCCACAAAACAAAATTGCCACGGTATCCTTCTTGTTGTAATAGAATGGTCGCAACAACCGGTATCCGATGATATACGGCTTCGAGGAGGATTCTGAAGGTTCTTCAGGAAATAGCCTGAGAATGATCCAGGGTCTGGCGCAAACGAAGCAGAGCACACTGAAAAAGAGGTAAATGCCCAAGTTGAAAAGAACAACGAAAACAATGCAGATACCAGGCACGCTGGTAAACGCGTGCTGGTAGAACGCGGTAGAAAAAGAACTGAACATAACAAGCAGCAAGCAGACACTTCCCACTTTGTTCATGCGCAGTGCCTTTAAAGCCCACGAGACCTGCTTGGGGAACAGGTTTTGGGCAAGTTGACCGACGAATAAAGGCACAAGTACAGACAGTCCAATTTGCTTCATCACGTTAGCGTATACTGTGCGGACGCTGGAGCCGTTGCTCGGATTTCCGAACGCAAACAACGAGGTGCTCAGATACATTTGAACAATGGCAGGCGTGATAAAGCCTCCGAGAAAGTTTCCGATAAAGACCTCACACAGACATAACAAGTCGTTACCTTTAGCCTCTTGAGTCATGACCACGTTGGAGGCTACAGTGGTGGGACTTGCTGCAGTCAAAATCAGACCCACTAGCAACCACTCATCGATATTGGAATTCCCAGAGCGCTGGATGGCACAACAAAACCCGAAGATAATAGAGCTTGTAATGAGAAAGCTCATCAACAATATTACGATATGAGCTCGCCAATTTGACAAGTATACGCAAAGCTTTTTGGTCGACATGCTGAGACCATTTTGCAGGAATATCAGGGCCACAGCTCCGTACTCGATTGTGTATTCAGCCTTGACCAGCCCTCCTTGGCGGGCAAAGTTCGGTACAAACCGTGCCAGGACAATAAAACAAACCAGGGCGATGAAAAACCACTGCGACACCACAAGTTGTACGAATTTAGAATTCCAGATTTTGGATAGCGACAACGTCATAGGTACAGGGCAGAGCAGAGCGTTTTCGGAGCAGGATCTTATGAAGTTGTCCTGTGAGTCGTTGAGAATAGCGGCACCATTGATCTTCTGTTCTTAGAGTAATGCAAGTACCTGTACTGTGAATATGGATTTCTGCGATGTTCTTTTTATACATTGTTCATGGTACTACTGTAAGTGCTAATTAATTGCAGACTTTCGGCTCCGTCGGGTACTCGGGCCGACGCCATAAAATTTCACGTTTTCGCCACAGTGAAGGAGGAAGAACATAAAATCAAGGGAATCTGATGCAAGGGCATGGAGTTTTTTTCTTCAGCGCTATGAGCTTCATCGGGGTTCGAATCCAAGTTTGGTTTGGATCCTGGAGCAGGAGATTTGATAATTTCATTTAACTTCCAGCGGTCTATTTCTCTGCGCGCTGAGAGCTGTGGGACAGGAGGCGGGACCGAGAGCGAAGAAGGATGAACAGATAAGGTAAGGTTTTTAATGCACGGACCTTGAAGTCTCATTAGCCATGAAATATCGTGGATTTCTACAGTCAAGGATGAAGAATAGAGAACTAGAGAATTCAAAGCAAGGAATTTGAAGACCTGTTTTCAAGCGCTATGACATTCGATCGGGATGCCTAAAACCAGAGTTTTTGAACCCTGAAGCAGGTGATTTGTTTAAGGTCCAGCGATCTATTATATCTGCGCTTTAAGAAAGCAGTGACACTGGAGATAATGAATATGGGCGTAGGTCAGATAAACTAGTCCAATGTAAGAGCAATGAGTTAGTGACTTTTTACCTCTATAAGCTGCGTTTGAGATCTCTGAAACAGAGATTGGTTTGAAACCTGGAGGTAATTCGATCATTTTATCCTAATTCTAATTCTACCATCTCTGCGTTTTACGAGAGCTGTTAGACAAAAGACAAGACTGAGCGATGAAGAGATAGACTAAGGAATCCAATGCAGGGCATATTGCTGGACATAAGGTATCACAATTAGGCTACGGTGGAGGATGAAGAATAGCTGAAGCAGGTCATTCAATGTAACAGCGTCGAATTATCATTCGCCATGAAATATCACGCTCTCGCTAAAGTGAAAGATGAAGGACAAATATACGACGAAATTCAATGCAAGGGAATTGGACTATTGTTCTCTAGCACTATGAGCTTTGACCGAGTTGTCTGAAGCCAGGAAACTTGATCATTTTATCTTCATTCTAGCCATGCTATCTTTGAGCTCCAAGCAAGCTGTGGGATTGGAGAGGGGACCAAGAACGAAGGATGAACAGCAGGTAGACTAGGAAATCCAATGCAAGGGTATCGAACCACCCTTTTTCAGCGCGAAACGCTTCAATTGATCATACCTTGGAGCAAGAAAGTTGTATAATTTATGAAAGCTTCAGCGATCCACAATTTATGTGCTCCAAGAAAGCTGTGATAAAGGTGTCAGGACTGGGCCATTGACGCAAACTAGAGAACCCAATTTAAGGGCATCAAATCAATATTTGCTATGAAACATCACGAATCCACTTCAGCATCAAATGAATAACAGATAATCTAGGGACCAAATCATGGAAATTCAAGGGCTCTTTTCTAGCTCTATGAGCCTCCATCGAGTTCTCTGCAACCTAAATTCGGTTCGAACCCTGATCATTTAGCGATCCACTTTTTCTGCACTCCAGCGAAGCGGCGAGACAGGAGTCAGAAGTGGGCTATGGGTACAAAGCGGATGAACTAGGGAATATAACGCAAGGGCATCAAAAAATACTTGCCATGAAATATTAGCTCCAGCTAAGAACAGAGAAGTCAGGCAATCCAACGCTACAACACCGAATAACCGTCTCTTAGCACCACGAAAGTCGATCGAGTCCTTAATTCAATTCCAACCCTGTAACAAGAAATTCGATCATTTTATTCGAATTCCAGCGATCAATTGATTCTCCCCTCCAAGAAAGCTGAGAGACAGTTGAAAACCGCCCAGATCAACCACTGCACACAAATGGATCGTTTCTCCCAGAGAAAAATGTGGCAAAAAAGGTTTAATGGCCAATGGTCATTGGTAGCATGCACTGCTCAGTCCCAAAGCGAACCAGCCCAATACTTTCCCATTCTAAATGGAAGTAAATGGAAGTAAATGGAATGGTTAGATAGTTCACTGTGCTCTCAACGAACATTCACTTATCTCACCCTCCTGGTATTTCAGAGGAAAGGACCCAACTATCAACGTTTCTGATACTAGATCTAGTGTCGAAAAGAAACGAGATCCTGTGTGAACAGAGCTTCTTAAATGCGATGGAAGCTTAGAACATCTGCAATAGCTATTTTGATACTAACGGTATCTTGCTACATATGACTACGAAGAGCCGTGAGTATACTGATTAATAACTTGGAAACGAGCAACCAGAAGCTTTTTAAAGCTCGCTAGCTTGGAAAGGAGCTAATATTTCCAGGCTTGGTATCTTTTGAAAGGTATCTGGGTCAAAGTTCTCGTCTAAAATCCACGATTTTCTTGACAACAGCCTGTGCCGGAAACTGGGAGTTCTCGCGGTTCCTTTGGTACTCGGCGATACTGTCGATGCCATGTTACTTTCATAGCGACAGATAAGAAAAATATAGGATCGACACTATAATCTTGGAAATGAACAATGCATGATATGAAAGTAATGTAAAGATCTTTTCTAGTTGAACATCTAACTAAGTCCACTGAGACTGTGAGTTGTGATAACCAAGCATGAGCTGGATCTCAGATTGAACGAGTTGGTTTCTCCTGAGATGGGTTCGGATTATTATTTAAGTACAGGTGAAGCGTAACTTGAACGACAGTAGAAAACTTTAGATGCAAATGTATCAGGCAAGTGTAGCAGACTAGTGTAGCAGTGCAATAACACTATACAACATGAGCAGCACCTCTGAACAACATTACAAACAAACCGGCGATTTGTAGTCGAAGGAAGTGGGAAATATAGAGGTCTGAGACTTCGAGTCGGGTGAAGTGAGTTCTGACAGAGCCGTCAGCGATCCTAACAAAAGCTGATCCATAACCTCGTGAACGGTTTTCGCGAGTTCGAACTACAGCATGAAGATCCCAACCTGACGACGGCTAAAAAAGCCGCCATCGCAACGGCCAACTCGCCTCTGAAGCGGAGGTTGAAAAAGAGACACTTGCAAATGATCGCCATCGGTGGTTCTCTCGGTACAGCTCTTTTTGTGGGTTCAGGTAAAGCTTTGAGAATTGGCGGTCCCGCTGCCGTACTCATTGCCTGGTCCATGACCGGCACTATGATCTACTCCGTCGTACAAGCTTTGAGTGAGCTCTGTGTGGTGCCGCCTGTATCAGGTTCGTACTTTTCCTACATGTCTGGTTTCCTAGAACCCAGTGCCGGTTTCGCCATCGCGTTCAACTTTTTGTTGGCAGCACTGGTGACCACGCCCCTAGAGATTATTGCCGCTTCGCTGACCGTCAGTTTCTAGGATGTGGATAAAAAATATACGGACGCGTTCGACACATCGTTCTTTTGTGTCATTGTCGGTATCAACGTCTTCGGTGTTAAAGCCTTCGGTGAGGCCGAGTTTTTGTTTTCGGTTATCAAGGTCACTGCCATTCTGGAGTTTATCATTCTAGGTATCGTTTTGATTTGCGGTGATGGTCCAAACGACAGAAGATACATCAGAGCAAAGTAATTTTACAACCCGGGCGGGTTTGCACACGGAATCAAAAGTTTCGCCGCCATTTTCGTCACATCTGCGTTCTCCTTCTCCGGAACTGAAATCTTCACCCTTGCTGCCGCAGAAACTGAAAACCCCATAAAGTCCATTCCCAGAGCTGCTAAACAAGTGTTCTGAAGAATTGCCATCTTTTACCTGGCTTGTCTAACCCTGATTGGGTGTTTGATTCCATACACAAACAAGCACTTGTTTGCCGCAAACAGCTCGACGCCAATGCATCTCCTTTCGTCATTGCCATCACTGAAGCCGGAATTAAGGGCCTGCCCAGTGTCATCAACGTTGTGATTCTGGTCGCTGTGCTATCGGTTGGTAACACTTATGTTTTAACCGGTGCGCGTGTACCTTTGTCGCTAGTGCACTACGGCTACCTGCCCAAGAAGTTTGAATACGTTGACAGAAACGGTAGACCATTGGCCGGTATCGCACTGTGTGTCCTTTTCTCATTGCTTTGCTTTTTGGCTGCTTTTCCAAAGAGGAGCGAAGCGTTCAACTGGGGGCCATTTCTGGTCTGAGTACTCTATTTACCTGGATGGCAATTTGTTTGTGTCACATTAGATTCAGAATGGGCTTGCGTGCTCAGGGCAGAAGTACGGATGAGCTGGCTTATACCGCACAGACCGGAGTTTGGGGTTCCATTTATGGTATTGCGTTGATTATGATGGTGCTATGCTTCCAGTTCTGGGTCGCTCTTTTCCCCATCGGAGGTAAGCCCAACGCTGAGAAAGTTTTCTCCGCGTATCTATCGTTGCCAGTAGTGTTGGTATTCTACGTTACCCACAGGCTCTACAACAGGAACTGGACCTTTTTGATTCGCGCTAAAGACTTGGATCTAGACACAGGAAGAAGAGAGGTGAACATTGAACAACTAAAGGAGGAGATCAGAGAGGAAAAGGAGTTCATTGCCTCCAAGCCACTCTACTACAGAATTTACAGATTCTGGTGCTGAGACTTTGAGGATAGAAAGTATACATGCAAAGTTTCTTAGCCGTTGTATTTAATAATATTGGAACTTTTTAGCTTTCTAAAATACAGTAATTGATTTTTACACGTACGAGAGATAGAACGGAAAGGAAAACTTACTGGAGAACGAAACTATCATAAAACAGAACGGCCTAAACAACTTGAAGTGGAATAATCTCCACTTTAACACATAATCACAACGCTCATTTCTCAAGTTCCGTCCTCAACCCACTTCGATCTCTCAAAAATAATTATTATATGGCTATATTATTAAAAGTTCACAAATAAATACCCTTTCCGACGGGTTTCTTAGACTAGGCTTTAGTCAACTGGGCCTCAATTGTGTCGTTTTCCTCTGTTATAGGCTCAGCTCTTCTGGAGTTTTGAATGTTTAGGTTCGCACTCAACACTGGTGACAGCTCACGCTTTCCCGACGACACAGCTATCAACTGGCCATCGGCATCCTTCATGTGAGGCAAGTCTCTCACATCAGGGGCATCCTTGTACGTTTCGCCCTTGATTGGAGCGCCAGAAAGGTAGCGTTTGAATTTTTGGAATTTGTCTTTGATACCCATGGTTCGTTGAAAATAATCAGGGTCTCACGATGCTGTATGCGCTGCTTTAACCAGCGGCGGGCCATGCTAAGATGAGCTTCTGGGCATTTTATACTATTTGATCCCCAGAAGTTTCCTTATCTGCGATCCTGATGCTATCTGGCAAGATAACAATATTCAAGGCTTTATTCAAGTCACCTGTATCGGCGAGAGAAAATAATGTTTACCTGTATTTTTCAAGAAGTGTAGATTATCGTAATCTTGAAAAGGCACGGGATACAACTCAGTGCTGAGGAATTGACAAGAGCCTGGCATAGTTTAGGTGGTTGGACAACCTTATTTTGAGATATGCTCGGGGAATAATTATTGTATCTGTTACCAAAATCACATTACTGAAAATTAATGGCTATACGATAGTGAGAAGCTCGGAATGAGATAGCTTGCAGCCGTGAAAAGACGGGTTAGAGTTTGCATCGTTGCATGGTGCAAAATAAGGTTTATGATAAAATTGTGCCACCCAAACCAGGCTCTTTGTTTCATAATTTCAGAGCAAGCATGAGGTTCGAATTGTGGAAAATGATGCCTAATGGTGGGCCATTCATAGAAAGAGAAGTGTATCGTTGACTTGAAGCTGCTTTGACTTTTGCAAAGAGTCACGAAAGTTCGGCGTTAGCTAAATTGAGCTAACTGTAGGCAAGCGGTGGGCACATATTTATGTTGAGTGATAGTTTCTACCACCTAAATTCAGTGAAGTGTTCAATTTTTTTCGGCTATGGCTCCAGTTTAGTCCCTGTCAAGACCATAGCTTAGAAGCAGCTGGAGTCTTTTCCAGACCTCGAGTTAACTGGAATATGTGAAATTGTCGTTGCAATGGTTGGTCAACTCAGGCGACTGGAATATCAAATTTCTGTGCGTTCAAGTTACGGTTGCGCTAATCTTAACGCTGCTAAATTTCATCCATGGGGCAGCAAATTCTGGAATGGACCACAAAACAGCTCCAGACGTACAACAACCAGCTTTGTTGGCAGATACAATACTACCAATATCACAAATTCCCTGACAAAAGCATATTCTTCGAACTGTTGCCAAAAGATCCCGAATTTTCCACGATGAGGGATGGACTTTACCTTAGGAGCCGGCGAAATCTTGGCAAAATGGCTTAACTTGTCATTGTCTGTCCTAAATATCATATATGAGACATTTGCAATCATCTCAAACCGTTTTCTTCATTATAGGCAACGATCGCAGATTTCATTACACTGCAAATGCGCTAAGACCATGATAGGAGGCTTTAATTTGGAAAACAGGAAGCCGCTGCTTACACCAGCGTGAGATTTGTCAGGGGAAGCAAAGCAAAAACACCAATCAATGATTTCAACACTCAAAAACTCAAGACGGGCCTTTCACTGCGCTTTATTATGATTTTAAAAAAGTTTGATGTCACAGCTGCGAGGCGAACTGTAATGAAACAAGTTTTGTGCGAAATGAGCAAGGGTATCGAAGAGCTAAAGAATAAGCATTTTTTCTTTACCGTCTTTTAACTGTCTTTGAGTGGAAGTCAGTCCTCCTCCTCAAACGCCCAAAGCTTCCTGTAGCTTCTAAGATAATCAAAACCTCCCTCGCCTCTCAATCCATGTCTACTTTCTTTCTAGACACAAAAAGAATGCAGATAAACGAGACGGCAGAAAACCCGAGTGCCATCCAAAATACGAACTCAACTGAATTACTGACAATGTACCCCATTTTCGAGCGAGGATTGTCGAAATGCTCCATCCGATAAGCAGCGATCCCGTCTAGTTTTCCATTTTCTTGTAGCGATATTCCAGTGTACTTTGTCTTGTCGAATACAGACGTCGAAAACACCATTGTGGAAAGTATGCTACCGAGCGTGGTACCGAGTGACTTTAGCCGGACACTCACGAAAGTTGTATCCAACATATCAGCTCCATAGGAAGGACTGGCTTTATCTATCTGAACATGGCATGCAATAAGCGCGGATGGCAGGACAAATCCCAATGCCCCTCCTGGCGGAATCAAAACTCCAAATTGGGTGTGCTTGCTCGATGTGTTATCTAATACGTCATTAAGCCACCGCCCAGAACATCCATTGCAGCACCAATTAGAAGCAAAGGCTTGATCTGTCCTGTCTTCTTGGTTATTGTTCCACTTCCGATTGAGAAAACCACGATAGACACTAAAATTGGAATTAATGCAACCCTGCCTTCCATGCCGTAAAGCCGTAAACAAGTTGGAAGAACTGGACGCTGTACATCATCTGGATGTTGTTAGCAGCGGTCAGGAAGAAACTGGAGAAATTCGCGAAAAATATTGAGGGTTGAGACATCAGATGTCAGCTCAGCAATGGTCTGAAGTTCTCCTGTGGCTTGATTTTATCAAATATTTTGAAGTCGGATATTAGAGAAAGAAGAACCAAAAGGCATCCAACGATAATAAAGCTGATAACGAGTCCCGAATCCCAAGGGTGTGTCTGACCGCCGAAGGTTAGAGCCAAAAGAAACAACAAACATCCGGCAAGAAAAAAGCGCAAATGATACAATATCAAATCCGGATAGAATTTGCCTAATGACGATCTTTGGCGTCGTTCGAAAACTCCCAATTTTCTTCAGTGTCCTTAAACATTTGACCAGCAGGTTTTCGTTCTCAGGATTGTAAAAAAGCAGGAATTTGACTATCGCCAGGCCTCCGATTGACAGGTCTATGTAAAAACACCATCGCCAAATGACATGTATGGTGAACGCACCTCCCAAAAAGGGCCCTGCAATTGAAGCCACGGCAAAAGTGCAGTTGAGGAGGGAAATGACCAACGGACGCGTTTTTTCGTCCACAAGCTGGCACCCTATAACAATACTGAGAGTCTGAAGTCCACTGCTCCTACTCCAGCCATCACTCTGCCAGCAATAAGGGTGTTGATTGACTGCGCAAGCGCCGAGATCAAAGATCCTGCTTTAAAAAGTACGATGCAGCTCAAAATGCTACCACGACATCCTAGCAAAATGCAGAGCCGTCCCCATAGCAGACTGAAAAGCGCATTAGGCAGTGAGTAAACGCTAACGACCCAACCAATTTTAGTATGGTCTTCGAAGGATTTACAGACCGTATTAATGGTGGTGCCAACAATAAGCGTGTGAACTGCGGTAACACATTGCTAAACCGAGCGAAAAAAGACTCAGTGAGAGTCTTATTTTGTTTTTCTTTGAGGTACCTGACGCATCGCATTCCTTTTGGTTAAGGGAGATGTTTTGACAAAATAGGCTTCTTTCGGGACTCGATTGACGGTCACACTTAGATTCCGACATTTCTTATGATACGTCTACAATGAAGGATACTCTCATTGCGTCTATGGTTTATAATTTGCTTATATAGTGAGTTTTCAATCTAGAACGGTCAATTACAGTGTTCAAGAGCTGGGCGTATTTAAGAATAAAAGAATCAAGTTCGTTGCGTGCTGTGTCTCGGGCATTACGTTATGGATGCACAATTGTCGTTCGAGAAATGGTTTCTCGGGAAAACGGCTTCTCACCTCTTGTCATTACCAGTAAGGTATTTGGAGGGGAAAATAAAATTTGAGCTTTACATTTTGATTTTGAGCTTCAACTAGTAGAATAGAGCTTTACAGTTTCTCGTTTGGTAGAAAGCCCAATGACTCTCTGAGAGCCGATTTCTGACATAATAACTGCATCCTAAAAAAGTCCGAAATTAAAGAATGAAAAGGCACAGCGGTGCCAGAATTGCACCTGTTAATTGAAAAGAGAAAGCCCACAGGTGGGATTTTCTTGGCATGTAGTTCTCGTCTAGTGCTGACAGCACTTCTCGAGTAGTAAATTTAAAAATTATTCGAACATTTCATCGAACACCAGATCTTAGCGCTGAGAATAACCATATCACCAATATTCACATTCGCCCCCAAATTTTGCCACCGTCAGAAAAACGCTGGGCAGATAGCAGTAACTGTAGTTTTGGCAAAGTGATATGGATGCCTTGTTGTACAAAATTATAGAGATAGTGAGCGGTATAGAAGCGTTAGTCATGCAGACACCGGTTTTGAAAAATGTTTTGGGCATTTTCTCAAGAGAGATGCGATAAGCGTTAAGATCAAAGAAGGCCTTTGGCTGGCACTACACAGCTCGTTTCGTCTACTTGAAACTCGATTTTTGGTGTACGTGTGTCTTGGCTTATACTCCATCACATCTTGGAAACGGCTTGTAAGACCTAGGCTCAATTTTCCGAGGACTTAAAACCAAGGCACGGATGTTAAAAATTCGTTCTTCTCTGAAGACGCATTTGCTTGCGAAAAACGTCTTTCGCAGAAGTGCACTTCTCACAATATGTGATGAGTTTGAGAATAGTGTTCACAATGAAGGGCGGAAAATATATTCGAAACGGCTAGATAAAATGGCTCTCATTTTCAACATTTGAATCAACTTCAATTCTCGTCCAAGTCTCAAGCTGCAGATTGTAAGCCCTAAGTATCCCTCCAGCCAAGATTGAGAGAATCCTCTGGGTTCAGACCCACTACATTTCGTCAGGCGTCAGTTGCTTGTTCCAACAACACCGTCCGAAGATAAAGTGCATTGCGTGCATAATCAGTGTCTTTTATTCTCCGAAAAGCAGCGAGTGTCACGGTTTTTTGCCGACGTCGCAGATTCTCGAGCTCTGTATTTCTGTGGCGTGATTTTTGTTAAGATGAAGCCGGTTGATAACATCACTATCGCTGACATTTCCACGGACCAATAGATGTCTATTAATTTCAGCATTACAGTGATCTAGCTTCTGAGATGCAACTTTGAATTAACGAACAGTCTTCGATAAGAATTCCAACCATGACCTTTGTCGGTTACCCAATACTACTCGCGGCAAAACTCGATATATACTGGCAAGGCTATCATCTTAGTAACTACTTGAGAGAATTTAATAGAAACCTAACACTTAAAGGTCAGATTGATAACATAAATACTGCTTGGCACAATGACGTTGTACACGTTGTTATTTTGGGAGGTAACATTTGGTTGGAAGAGAACATTCAGCATATTGCTAAAATTATCTTTTGATGGTCTTCAACACCAAGTCAGACAGAGTGCAGTGCACAGGTAACTCAAAGGACTCTTGCGTTCACAGTACTTTGCCGATGACGAAAGAAAACGAGCGCAGAAAATAGCTCAAACTAAGTTTTTGTACTGAAACAACCAAACACATTCTCTGTTCATTGCATAGCATTACAGCACTAAACGTTGGTTTCGAGACTTGCTAAGTTTGGTACTTACTTTTTGAGAAAAATAGCTGCCGGTCCGATAATCGTAAAGATCAGTTGAAGTGTAAAGAGACACCGACCAATGTTCGTTCGCGCAGTGCAAATGCATGGGAAGCTGTCGCGAAACACTAACCACGCGAAATAATCAATGAATACTGCTTAGCGATACAATTACAGGCACATGCATTAACATGCAGTATGTACCTTTTGCATACACCTAAGTTTACTCCGAAACCATGTGGTTAGATGATTGGTGTTATCGCTGGCTATAGAGGAACTCCACCGCTACTAGTTTCCAGAGTCTTCCTACCTACCAAACGCCAATGAAGATTGATGTGCAGAGATCTCACCAGCGAGCTTTCTGTCCAACTTAAAGTGTCTTGCACGACAGCCTTCTATTGGGCTAAAGCCCTTGAGCGTAAATTTACTATATCGAATTTGAGTACAAAAATGCGTATGCTTCCAACGAGAAACGACAATTGCTATTCCAGCGTTCCTTGTCTTTGACTCGTCTAGATAATTCGTATTTACCTCGCAAACCTAAAAAGATGGCATCACATCCCAATTGCCCTCTGCCCAGATTACTTTGATAATCCAGCTCTTCATTTTCCAATGTCCACTAGTCTCCTTAACGACCCTGATATCGTAGGCAGTTCCTGCCAACAAATACTCAGCATTTGGAACCAAACCTTCGCCAGCCCTGTAATGCTTGGCCATAGCATTCGAAGTGAGACTAGCAACATTTGCATCCTCTTCAACGTCGACACGGATGCCGCTCACAAAATGATGAGAGTCCATAGGACCGATTGCCTCAAAACACTGTTTAATTCCTTCGGGACCATTTAAAACGTTTCCGTTGAGATTAATGGAGATCTCAGGATCGGAAGCCCAAGCTGAGTCATAAAGATGTTTGTCGTTTCTGTCAAGTCCTAAACAAGCTCGAGCAATCGTGTCTGCGATTTCTTCACGGACAGTTAAACCAGTAAGTAAGTGAGAGGCGGTCATATCAAGTTTATATCAATTGTTTAATTGATTTTTTTTGGAAGAGACAACTGTCTTAAGGATAGATGTACCCTTTTTACGCTCTATTTAAATACCAATGTGCTACACATGGCATCAGTCAGCCGATAGCCTGAGAATACGTTGGCATTGAAAAAACATGCGCTCCGTTCAAATTCATACATATTGTTGATCAACTTAATTGAACCCTTTTCTCTACCCGCTGACATATCGCGATTAAAGAACGCTGGAAACGTGAGCTTTCTGCTCTTGAACTTTTTTTGTGACAAAAGATATTCGGTTCTAGGACGGAAATACGGCCATGTGATCCTTTTCGCGATTGAAATACTCGGCGATGAGATGAGTTGCGGCTGTAACACGGAAATAAAAACACAGTGGTGAAAATGCTATGATGCTCGTCGGGAGGAAGCAGATAATAGTTAAAATCGTTTGTATTGGATGCTTTTACAGTGTTGCTTCAAGGAGAAAACAGCTGAAATCTATCAGGACGCTTGAGTAATGGATTGAGCTTTTGGTTTGATTGAAAGATATAAGCTGTTTACATAACGCAGCATTTAGCTAAACGGCGCTTCAGGTCTTTACTGCACCAAAGAGAGGGGGGTGTCATAGACTACACTTGGATGTCAAGTAAATTCGAAGATGTTGACTATTTTCACGGTGTGTGGACCAGTTCGTTTGTATATCAACGATTAGACATACATTCAATTGCCATGCTAACGAGTGGCCATGATGAGCGAAAAGTAATGAGTCAGCTTAATGGATAGTTACTCAGTGGTTTGCAGTACACCATTGCTGCTTTTATTGTCTTGCACTTTCTTCTGTACTAGAAGTGCTTGGAAGTCTTCAAAACAACCCTTAGACGAGGGTTTGATCTAATTTTTTTCACAATGATACGTTGTGCTTGTTTTGAGTAAAGTGCGAACATATTGGCATATCACGTCTTACAAAGCCAGAAGAGGCCCAATTACCTCAAGTTATGACGCGAATATACTAGCGTCGTTTTGTGAACGAGTGAACAGTTCATCGTGTAGTCGTCAGCCAGCAGCTTTTTTGAGACGTGCGGAGATGATTTTAATCCATATGCTGCAACAGGGAAAATGTGCTCCGTCCGGTATACACGCCGCATGGTGGGTCGTTAAGAGTTTGGATTCTCAAAAACGAGACTAACAGGTTATAAATTTAACATTTATGGCGCCCGGTTCCGCCCGCGTAGGAGCACAGATGTGCTTTTTCAGTTTTCCGTCACTGTTAGCTGCATTTAAACATTTTTCATGGCGGGTTCATAATAAAATGCCATGATTTTTACTTTCGATGTCAGTCAACAACTTTTCGTCATCAAAACTCTGAGATTACACGAGGCCTAGGTGAATATGTTGTGCTGCATGCTATGAATTGCCTACAAAGCAAGGGTGATTTGCCCAAAATGTAATGACAGATGTAATTTCACATTCGAATTGGCATTGCCTGTAACGAATGTCTATAAGCTCCTGTAGAAGGTGTTTAACACCCTTTCCGGCGTGCAGCTAGCTATGAATTTTAGCTACAAGCAATGCAAATGCAGAAAAAAGCTCATTGTTTAATATATGTGGTCTAACACACGATTTGCTATCGCACTGAAAATGTTATATCCTGGCTTCCGGTACTTGTAAGAAGGTCAATATATCAACACCTTACCCCAGGAATGTTTGCATAATTGAACCTGGTAAGAGTGAAATATGTGTAAACAGATAAGTTCTGTTGTAGTGATTGTTATGACGTTCGTACCCAACTTGCACACAGTACAGGTATAGTTTCATTCTCAAGCAGCTGTGTGAGTGAATATGCTTGTTCATTTTGGAATGGAGATTAGTTATACGACCTTAAGGCAGGGATATTACCAGAAATACATCGTCAAATTGCGAAGCCACAAAGGACCAACTCATTGTTATCTAAAAGCTGAAACGACTGGTCAAAAGCCTGCGGAGACGCTAAAGATGAACTTGTAGTAGTGTTCCATTCATCACATTATTCTGATGGCCTCTCGAAGCTAAAGAGCCCCACTCCAGATATTGCAAGATTAAAAATGGACATACTTCAGTCTGACATTTTGGCGGTATGCACAATCGTTCACATTCTGCACGCTCGCATAGGTAAAAAGTACTTCTAGTGGTAATTACTTTCAAAGTTAGTAGACTTCCCTTCAAGAGCTAAAACATTGGACACGGTCTCAATCTACTCCCGTTTCCTTCTTTAAGCATTCTTGTCATACGAAGACCGTCCGCAGTGACAAAAATACCATTTTCTACAACGAGGAAGATCGATAGAAAACATCATGATTTTGCGATGTAAGGTTCCGAAGTAATTGAAACTCGACCGCTGAGTCATACAATGACCAGAATGCCCTTAGAATCCCCCGGTACTGATAATGCTAGCATAAAGGAGGTGTCTAAGCGGCTCTGTATCATTAGCGGATTCCTCGTCTGTACCATCAAAGCTGGAACGCTCAAAATAGTGAGTCCATATACTCCCTCCCTGAGACTTACACAGTCTGAAAAGCGCACAATGAGGGGAATTCCTCTTCGCGACATTGAGGAACTCCTTCATCACGAATCGGACCTCTTTCCTTGCAATTGTGAACGTCTGTTCGAAGCATTGGCGACGGAGAAAAAACACTTTTATGGCAAAATGTGGAACATGAAGGTCGTAGACCCCCATGACATGCGAAGACCCGCCAAAGATATTTTGGAAGTGCCTGTTATAGGAATTGTGTTTCCGGAAAAAGTCAACAAGTATTTGTTTTATTCACCGAAGGCACTTGTACAGATTCCGTCGACAAAGTATGGAGGGCCTTCAGCTGGGAGTACCAGTAGATTTTATTCTCCGGAAACGAAGGGCATGAAAAAAGGAATTGCGAAGACTTCCCAACAGGCCAAACACGACGTGAACTCCAGCAAAAAAATTGCGCAATGTGTGGAGCACCATGAGGAACATGAGCCGGGATTTAGATTTATACATTCTCGGCCTAGCATTCCGTCTAGAGTCTCACAGGATGCAAGGTGTACCCATTTTTCTTTAGTCGGATGCACCGATATTTTTCACGCTCTAAAATTCGGGGCAGATGAGCGCAAGGATCTTTTGATGTATGGCCTGGACGCTCGATTTTTCGGGAACATTGAAATGTACAAACAACAGTTGTGGCAATACGCGGGGTGTTTGGAGGTCTCACACGCATCATGTTTATCCTACAGCTCACACAGATTGCTAGAAGCGCTTGCTTTTGTATCAAGCGTGTTTCCACCAGAAAAATACAATGAGGAATAAAGTTTTGCAGCGTACATGGGCTGCCGAGTTGGCAGCGGAGGCTTCATGAGCTTATGGATGATGTGCTGCAGAGCTATAGTGTGGTGTATCGGAACTATCATCAAATTTTACGCCGCAGCATAGGCGTTTCAGTGCAGTGCAATGCCTTGAAAGTGACCGAGCAATATAACCAGATGTGGCAGGCCCTTCGATCAAAGGAAGTTGTGTGGTTCTTCAGTACAGGAGAGTTGATAGGGTGTCCGACGAAAGAATGCTGTCCTAAATGTGTAGAGCTACGCATCAAAAGCGGTAAAACGCCCTGGTGCCGCGACTACCCAATACTAGCAGAATACCTGGAGGCACAGATGGAGAGCACAAGAGAAAACCCGAGCATCTACAACGAGGACCGAGACATGTTTTTAAGAAGGGATAGTCCCGTGTCGTGCTATCATTACAAGCTGATGATGTTTGGAATGTTTCATAACAAGGAGTTCCGTAACACGGTGTGGGCTCGGCTTCCTGAGCTGCCGAGAGTGGGTATGTTTACACACTGGCTAAGATTGTGTGCTGTAGAAGCTGATTGCAACGGGGAGAAGGTTCCTCTATACATGATTGTTGCAACATGGTTCTATCACGAGAGTAAGAAGGGCGGTGGGTTTAGTGATGATGTAATTTGACGAAGACTTGGTGGAGCTCCTATAAGCCCAGTGTTGCGAATCGGGATGGCGGAAAATAGCTGGTATAGTTCCTGGCTTAGGTGGAGAGCGTGGCTGAGGTCGGGCCTTCATTGGACAAGTTCCCGTCAGAAACTTTGAATTAGATATCGTTTGCGGGCAAGTGTCCGCATCTTCTTGTTGTAGCACGTAATGGGATCGACTGAGGTGAAGCTCTTGAGGAAAGGGGGCTCTTCGAATGTTGTCATGTGTGAAACAGCTTGCTGAAAGGGCTAGCATGTGATACAAATGGCAAAGAAAAACAAAGCAGAAGTTTTTGAGGCACATGCCCTTGAAACGGGATCTAGACTGCGATAAAACAGGCAAACAATTGTTAAAGCAATTGACTTATGCTTTTGAAAAACGTTCATGTGATTGTCAAAAGTAAATTTTGTGATCAATCTTAGCAGCTCACACTACGGTTGTGATTCCCATCAGTATCGTGGGTGTTATGGAATTATCCTCCCGCATTTCTCTCAGTGCAATGGAAGAGGAGTGCGTAAAGTATTCCAGATTCTTATTCGCTGTCTTTTGTAAAAGATAACGCAACCCTCTACCCACCTCCCAATCAAAACAATCTGATCAATGAACATTAATTGAATAGCAAGTTAAGATAACTCATCACATGACCTATATGCACGTGGTATTTAATTTGTGCATATGTATGCATGATGGCGCATATACCCATGTACAAATATGTAAGGCAAAATAAGGGACATAGAGCATGTGACGATATGAAAAAACATTACTATCTGACTCAGTCCGGAATGTTCGCAAGAGTGAGAGAGCGCCGTAAAAAGGAGCTCAAAGCAAGCGACATTGACAAGACTTGGTCGTGGAGCCGCCAACAGAGACCAATGACAGTGTCATTGAGAGTGTTGTCACGGAAGGTTTAGCCCCCGACAATCTTGTGGTAGCAGGCCAGACTCTTTTTGGCAGGAATTCCCACTTCCAGAACTCCCAACAATATCTGGCCCTTGCTTATCAGACTGCTGGTCGAAACAGCAAACACACGGAAAGCTCACAAGTGCTCTGCAAGAAACTCTGTCAAGACCGGAGGTTAACGGTGTCGACAACTTTTCATTCGAGGGGATAGACGGGGAGACGGGTCTACATCATACGCCATGCAAGAGGAATTCTGTCAAAGATAGATCCAGTGGTTAGGACTGGACAAAATCGTGCCAAGCATCGAAGCAAGAAACAAAAGAGTGGAAGAGCCAGCAAGAGTTGGCTCCCCACTTGATGCAGACGACTTTTTAGAAGCTGTCAGGCCAATCTACGTCCCCAAATTCCAATTCCAGGCTGTTGACCTGCTCTTGGCATGCGTGAACACGTACATGGCAGAACAGCAGGTCATTGCAGTACAAGCGGCTACCGGATTCGGCAAGACTCTCCTTTTCCAACTTCCACTTTTGTGCTATGCAAAGAGGAAGATGGATATTGTTTCTTCTGGCGGGCACCATTAGCAGACTTGACCAAGGGGGATTGAAAATGGCAATGACCAAAGGCCTTTTGCGTGAGTCGATATTCGGAGACTACAAGTTGATGCCGCAGGTGAAAGATTTATTGATATGATATACAGCTGGTCTTCGAAGCCTGGTCTTTTTGTTATCGATGAGTTCCACAACCTGCATGACGAGAAGAGTTAGCGTGGTTTATTCTTTGCTCAGTTGAAGAGTATTTACTTTAACCATTTCAGACGACTAGTGCTCATAACCGCTACCGGTACACAAGGTTCCGCAGAGGGAGTTCTTAAATAACTCGGCATTGAAAGACCTATGGAAGAGGGACACACCTGGAAGGGCGAGCTTCGGAGAACCGAGCCCGCGGTGACGCATGTCTACAAACACTCCATCAACATGAAAGGTGACGGATTACAGCAGGCTTTGATGTATCTGCATTGACTATTTGACTACGACGTTAGTTCCAAGGCAGTGTTAGTAGTGGGAAGAACGGCTGGCGTCGAACATCTCTAGTGAGGTTGCTACCAGGATCATGACAGCCTCGCTACTAGCGAGAAACTACGAAGGGTCAACCTTTTTCTGAAATACAACAGACAAAGGGTGGAAGCACTAATACTAATGGTCATCTAACTAAACTACCAGCCCAAAGTGAGTGAGTATATCCAACGTGTGGAACGCACTCGGACCTCGGGAATAAAAATTGCACTGTGGAAGAATCAGGGCCATACCGATAGATCTTTTATCGATTACCGTGAGTGTGCTACTTCACAGATCTTCAGGGACTACCAATTACCACAGCAACAACACGCCGGATGTTGCAATGATTTTGAGTCTGTGTCGGAGAGTAAGAAAGATATTCTACAGTGTGGTACTTGACCAGGGAGTGAGTGCCCCGATTGAAAACTTTAATTTCCTAGACTCAACCGATGAGGATGAGGAGTGCAGAGAAGGGAGTTCCTGAGACGGGAACTCTGAGAAGGGAACTCCTGAGAAAAATATATCTCAAAAATCCACTCTTGGCCTTGCCCAACGTCGCATACGCAAAATGTTTTGTGGTCATGGTACTATTTTTCACTTCTTGAGTTTCAGAGACGCTGAACACGAGAATATGACAATGTATGGTATCGACCATCGATATTTCAGCGACACGATGTTGTTTCGGTACGACGATGAAGAGCGCTGAGCCGGATGTTTGGAAACGAGAAAATCGTGTTATTGCTGGCCAGAGCCTTTGCAAAAGGGTGAGCAGTCCTTGCGCAATCTTGCTATAGAATCAATGGCTTTCATCAGTGGTATATATCCCGCGGATAGATACGAAGACGCGATTCACGAGTATTTGGACGGAATACTCTCAGGCCGGTTTGTTCACCTTGCGAATGAAAAGCCCAGCATTCTGCAGGCTTACCGAAAGGTGTACCAGAAGTATCATCTGCTACTTGATCGGCGCATGAAAATCTCAATACTAGGCAGCTACAACGGAGGTGATATCATGGTCAAGAAGCGCTACAACCAAATGTGGAAGACTTTGCAGAACAACGTCTTATATTATACTTTTCAATACAGGAAAACTAGCCGATGCAAAGGGTGCGAAGAACGATGACTATCAAAGCTGGGCTGCTTTTCATCTCAGAAGAAGAAAGAAGGAATTGCCCTGGCTAAGAGATTATCCCGTGACTCCTGAATATCTCACTGCACAGTTTGAGGGTGAAAGAGAGATGAAGTTTCTCTACAGCAGCTCCAGAGACATGGACAAGCGCAAGGTGTTTCACAAGAAACAGTGAGTTCAAGCAAAGGTACATGTACAAACTGATGAGCTTGAGTGTGCAATTAGGAAAGGATCAAAGTGTTCCGCTGTACATGTTGACTGCAGTGAGGTTTTGCAGTGGTAGGGGAGGCAGAAAAGACAGGCTTCAACGAAGAAAGTTAATACTTGGTTTGGTGAAGCTGATGCTGGCTGTATGTTGGTAGTCTAGGCAATGCAATAGCAAGAGCCAGTCCGCGTGTTTCAAAGCCAAAAGTCACTTTGGGGCGCCCAAACTTGAAAGTGCTCAGACGCTATACGTTCGTAATTCTGTCGGGCTATCTCGCGAAGTAGGATATGAGTACGCTCAAGAAAGCTTTTTTGATGTTTTTCAATTGAACAAACTAGGAGAACTCGAAAATGGTAGTATATTATCCGGCCCATGGCAAACTACAGATGATTTCGACAGGAAGAGCGAGTGACAGAGTTGAAAGGGGTTAGACGTATTCTTTCACATAAAAGATACGAAAGCAGACAAGAAAGTGGGAAATTGTGGTGGAAAAGGGGAGAAACGTAGGGGCTTAAACAACCGAGGTTTGATCGTAGAACGTGATGCATATAGCAGGTGAGTAGCATGGAATAGCAGTAGAGTAAGCAAAGAGCGAACAAACCGCAGTTATGAGGATGTAAGAAGAACGTGCGAGATCAAACATGGGAGAAACATCAAAGAAGTGGGAGATATGTGGTGGAAAAGGGGAGAAGCGTAGGGGTTTAAACAGCCCAACTTCGATCGTACAAAGTGAGGAGGCCAAGGTGAGCTGGCAGTTGTGGTGCAGTAAGTACTATAGAATTATGTACTCGGGGGAGCAATGAGTTGGTGGCAAGATGGCAAGATAGCAAGCTTCAGGGGTGTCGCTCATGAAGATGGGCGAGGTCCCTCAGAAAATTCCATAGTATACCTTGCTTTTGCAGGTCAACTGCGATTTTCGACTGAAGTTGGCACAAATGTCTTGTCATCAAAAGTCACTTTTGGCCGCCCAAAACCAAAAATTATTTGGCGTTTAGAGTTGTATATTGCGATTCTGGAAACTAGGAGAGCTTAGAAAATGTTAGTATACTATCCCAGGGTTGAAGTTGACCCATCTAATTCGTAGAAAAGGATGTCTAGAAAGGGATGTCTGGAAAGCAGATGGCAGATGGCCCATGGTAAAGTACAGATGATTTCGACAGGAAGAGCGAGTGACAGTGTTGAAAGGGGGAAGAAGGGGGGAAGAAGGGGGTAAAAGGTGTTCTTCGATCTCGAGAATACGAGAGCAGACAAAAAAGAGGGAAATGTGGTGAAACTAGGGGAGAGCTGGAGGGAAGAAGCGTAGGGGCTTGAACAGCCGAGGCTCGATCGTACAAAGGGACACATACCTAGCATGACGGTACATCGATGGAGGGTATAGTTTAGTGTACCAGGTGTGGCCATGAGAGTGTAGAA